CCGTGTCGGGATTGGGTAATTTGCGCGCCTGCTGCCTTCCTTGGATGTGGTAGCCGTTTCTCAGGCTCCCTCTCCGGATCGAACCCTATTCCCCGTTACCGTTAAAACCATGGTAGGCCTCTATCCTACCATCGAAGTTGATAGGGCAGAAATTTGAATGAACCATCGCCGGCACAAGGCCATGCGATTCGAAAGTTATTATGACTCACCAATAAGAGCCCGAAGGCATGGTTTTTATCTAATAAATACATCCCTTCCAAAAAGTCGGGATTTTAGCATGTATTAGCTCTAGAATTACCACGGTTATCCAAGTAGTTGAGGTACTATCAAATAAACGATAACTGATTTAATGAGCCATTCGCAGTTTCACAGTACAAATTGCTTATACTTAGACATGCATGGCTTAATCTTGAGACAAGCATATGACTACTTGAGGTCAAACGTGAAAAAGAAAAAAAGAAAAGACGGAAAAACAAAAATTTTCTCCACAGACCATTTTCTTTCCACATCTTCCACATCTCTCCCAAAAAACCCAAAAAAAAAAAAGAAAAAATTACAAGTTATTCAAGTTACTAGTTACTCAAAAATTTGAAACTGAGGATTGAATTTCAAATTTCCCCGTGTATATCCACTTTCTTTCGAAATGGTTGTCTGGAAACTAGCACTTTTCCTAGTTGCTTTTTACCACAACACCGGAAAATAATTTCCTCAGACTTGTTCATGAAAACAAATGTTGTTCATGAAAACAAATGATTATGATTCAAATTGTGATTCAAAAAAAAATTTTAAACAAATTTTTTACTACCGAAATCAAACCACGTATATATACAAATAAATATATATAAATCAAACCACGTATATATACAAATAAATATATATAAGTTAAATGTTAGTCGGTACCGCTAAATGACTTTTTCAGACTCATCGAGTCTCCACCAACTTCCTCTTTCCATCTTTCAATCAATGGATTTGTGAAGGGCGGATTCTCCAGCAGGGAAAAAATCATTCCGATTTGAAAATCGTTTGAATTTTTTCAATCCTGCTAAGGATAGCAGGATGCGGAGTCAAGCACCGTCCGTAGACAACTGCAACTCGCTTCCAACTTATCCTCAAGGTATCAAGGTACCCAAAGTTTTGGTTGGAAAGAATTTGAAATGAGAAAAATTCCAATCGAAAAATCAAATGAAAATTCGTAAATCAAAAAGCTCCCTTTTTTTTCCTCCTAATAATATTCATCAAGAAAAAAGTAGAATCAAAAAAAAGAAATAAAGAAACAAACGAATCTACAAATTCCAATTCTTCAATCCTTCTCTCTTCTCTCTCTCTTTCCCTCCTTGCCAAGTCATCGCGTTTCCATACAATGAGGCCATTAATGACAAAGAACAGAAAAAAGAGAGAAAAAAAAAAAAAAAAAGAAATGCAAAATCCTTTTTCTTTCTCAATTTTTTTCTTTCAAATCTTTTCTTTTCTTGAAAATATTAAAAGAAAAAAAAAAAGGAATTCCAATTTACTATGAAAAGGAATTTTCTTTTTCCCTTTTCCAACCTGAAAAGGAATGAACAACTGTACCAAGTCTTCCAAGGTTGTTCCTGGCACCTCTTTTCTCTCGTGTCCTTTTATTTTTTCTTGTGAATTCTTTTCTCTCGTGGAGTTGTTTTCCCAAAATTTCTACTACCGTCCATTTGCGTGAGTTGTTTCCCAAAATCTCTACTACTCCTCCCGTCGACCTCAACTACCACTGTGTGGACTTGTTTTTTCACGCCAACCACTACTACCACTGTGTGGACTTTGTTTTTTTCACGATCACTTTCCACCCTCTGGAACATGGGTTTTTTTGACAGTTTGTTGAGTTTTCTTTTTAAAACAATCTTGTTTTGAAAAAATAGTTTTGTCTTGCAAAAATTTCAAACTTTTTCATCCCGGGTCTCCTCATGCTTTTCCTTTTGGTTTTCCTCTCTATTCCCTTCATCTCCATACCTTTCCCCAATCATTTTTTTGTTTCAAATCTTTTGTTTCTTTAAAAAAGAAAATACTCTTTCTCCTTGAAACGTCTCGTTTCCCTTTTTTCAAAAAAAAAAGGTCAAGAAAAACAAAAAGAAAAAAACGACACCTCTCGTTTACCGCTTCCTCGCACTTGGTTTGTTTTATCGTTTTGTTGTTGTTTGGTTTTTCCTATTTTTATCGCTTTGCTTTCCTTTTCTTTTCTTGCTTTTGTCCATTTGTCTCCCTTTGTTTACCGGCCGTCTTGGGTGGTTTTCCGATTTTACCCACCTTTTTGCCATCGTTTGCACTTGTTTTATTTTCTAATTTTTTCAATTTTTCTCATTTTTCTTGTTGTTTCTTTCTCTTTGTTTTCTTTTCTCTTTTCCCTTCCTCCCCCCCTTTCGTTTGTTGTCCCCTACCCAAACATCCCCTCAAATCCACCCATTTCGCCCCTCTCCCGCTTCTTTTCACTTCCACCTTCTTTTCTTTGCCTTTCTCTTTTATTTTGTACTTTTATCCCCTTTTGTTCATCTCTATCTCATTTCTTCAAATACCTCACTCCTTTTTCTATCATCTTTGCTAGTCACTAGCTACTACCTTGACCTAAACATTAAGCTGTCGTTTCTCGATTTCCACCCATTTCAATACACATATCAAATCTTTTCTTTTAATTAATTATATTTATTTTTTTGTTCTATAAGATAAGAAGGTGGTTAGGAAGAGAACCAACATATACAATATAAGTTTGCTTACGAAATTACGTTCTTTCTTCCTAATACTTCAGTCTGTTTTTGCATTCTGTTCCATTAAAAGTGTTTTAATTTCTGTGACGAATAAAGTCCTCAGCAAAATTGTGATCTTCGCGATAATTCATTTGGAGTTTAAATTGTAGAGAAATCAAATTAAAAACTTTGATGAATTGTTATAGCACCGTGTTCAAAAAAATTGTCACTCCTGGTAGAAATTCACAAATGCGTGGACTAATAACATGATTTGAGGAATACACCTTGTTTGATCAGGAAATCACTTCTGGTTCCAGAAAAAGAGCCAACTGAATACAAATTTTGACCCATATGTATGTAGTGCTTATAATTGTCTTTCTTTAAGACTTAATTTTTTTTCGTTTCCACAGCTGCTAATTTAGAAATCTCATCGCTGACCTGTAAGACTCCTTCCATCTTCCGCTCGCTTTATATCAATTTTCTCGGTTTTCGTTATGGTAACCTTGCATTTTATTTAGAAAGGTATATAAAGTATAAATTTAAGTATTCAATTTGGAATAGGTATAGCTACTAATTTAATGAGATTCTAAGATATATTAATTACAAAAATAATAAAAATTTAAAATTCTCTTTAAACTTTTGAATAGCTGATTAAACAATAATAATTTTTTTATGATCATTGTATGTGCTATTTGAAATAAAATAAAATAAAAACGTAACATTTTCGTCGTAAATGTTTTCGGATCGTTTGCTATTGTAAATTTTTAAACAAAAAAGTATTTTTTTCTATGATATAAACTATAGTTTGTTTCCATCTGTTGGTTTCAAACGGGATAAATTTTCAAAATTAGGATTAAGAAATTTCCTTTCACCCTTGACACCCCATCCCAAGTCCAATAATATTTTTTATTCAGGTAAAATTTTAGTCTGTTAGCAAATAAGAAGCCTTGAACAACATTGGCTTACTGTCCAACCTCATTTATGATTATTTGTTTGAACGACTTGGAATAGAACAAATTTAGCATAGTCAAAGTCCGTTCCGAGTGCATTTTCTTCATTTTCTGAAGTATTCACTGTCTTAGTTAATAAGAGGGAAATAACTTACATGTGACTTTACGTCAGCTTTCTCTTACCCACTACCTCCGTCTTGCTCTTACTCCGTAATTATAGGTCCCTTTATGCACGTTAATTTATATTAGCAACCTCAATTCTCAGGTAAACTCCAGTGATTTTTTAACTTGGTAAATACTTTATTTATATTTGTTGTTCTTAATAATAGTTATTTTAAGATAAAATTTTTTAAAGACCCTCTCATATTGTTTGTGCTTGTCTGAGTTTTCTTAAACAGATAATAAAAAAATTTGGAAATAAATCCTCTTTTTACATATTTCCGAGATAAACATATCTAATCTAAAAAGAATTAACACCAACAAAGGGGTTTGGCTTCACCGTACACAAATTCAATCAAAATATTCCGCTCTTTCTTATGCTCCTTCAATAGCCTGGTTTTTTTACTTTGAAAATTATTATATGGATTTTGTGAGCACTGGGAGCACTGTAAACTCCTGTAATAGAAAAGAAAAAGTACGAGGACGTCTAGTAGTACCTCCGAAACATTGCTCAAAACCGGCACATAACTTACAGCATACCGGGTCCAAAAGGACATTGAGTTCTTTTAATAGAATTCAGATTGAACTTGAAACAATGATTATGGGGGATTTTAATGGAAAGTTCTCGAAAATTTTGCTTTTTATTGAACAACAGTTGTAAAGACTTAATAACGATTTTAATGCCGGATTCCCTATTAAATTTTTTTTATAAAATAGTTCACGATAGAAAGACTCCCATCTTTCAATATCGTGTCAAAGTTACGTTTTCAAAGACAATTTAAGAACCCGTCGTATCGCATATGATGTGACAGATGGATAACAAAAGTAGCATCAAGCTTTTTTTACAGAAACAACATTATTTAAAAGGGTTACTTTATTAGTATCAATTTATAGACTACAAAGACACTACTGTTTTTGAATACATTACCGTACTTGATCTTTTGTGTTTCCTTACCAAAACTGTTTATTAAAAGTTTTAAAAAGCGTTTGATAAACTTACTAAAATTTTTAGAATTATAAACTTTACCCTCCTTAAGCTTCATTTTTATCGAATAATTAATGTATGAACTGAAACGTAAAATATACAATCGCAGTATTTAATATCGATTCATATCCTTAAAAGATATCTGAGTAATGATTTAATTGTAATTAGTTAAATATTAAAAATCATTTACATCAACGTAAAGGTCATCATAAAATTATACACAAGATCGCATCAAGGCCATCTACTCACCATATCTCTCAACTTATCAACCGGAGTTGCAAAGAGTCCAGCAATTGTCTCAAAGGGAGGCTTGCTTGGAGCTGATGGATGACTATGAGTTGGAATAAACTTCTTCGTTCTCTCAAAAACTTTTGCTAAATGATTCGATTCCTCAGCGTTCAGTTTACTTTCTAATAGTGGATAGTCGTGTGATTCTTCTTCTTGAATATGTTTCCGAAGATTAGCCATAAGAGCATCAATTGTCGGGATAAATTCTTCCTTATTCGGTTTCATTGACTGAAACTTGTACAGGTATTCCTTTATTACTTGATGTTCATTTCTATCTTTATTAGCCATTTCTTCTCCAGGTTGGCCAAGGTATTTAGCGAATTTTGGATAAACGACTATCTCCTCTCCTATCGAATGACGGGCTAACTCCCAGACAAATTTATTTCTCCAACGAATTGCAGTGTCAGCATCTTTGGAAGCCTTGATATTATTGTATTGTTTCTCTAATTCTCGATGATCATTGAAAATAATATCAGATATCTTAGACATGGTAAAATCCTACAAGCTACACTCAGTTTTGTAAAAACTGAACGAAATTTATTCGCTAGTTCAATGAAAACTAAAATAAAAGCCTACTATTAGAGTATATATTCTTAAAGGGTTGGTTAAATCAAATTAATCATAGGTTCGTCCAACTGGTCGTCATCATTTGCATAACTATTTGATAGCATATTGCGTAGCGAATCTGTAATTAGAAATTTCTTTATTGTTTGAATACATGAAAACCATGTATAATTGATCAACAACATGAATTACGCCAAACAATGCCTTTATCAATAAGTTTGGATTCAGGTAGTTAATTTTAATGACACGCTTGGCATAACGTAACAACAAGTAAAAAGTAAGTGAAGCAAGCTTTACCTTCTAGATATTTGCTTCTCTTGACGTGAAACTTGTATCACATAGTGATGATGTAATATGATATGCTTCTCTTACTTTGTCTTCAATGAAAACTTGTTGGATATGGTTTGTCACGACGGTTATACGATAGTTCTATTTTATTAAGTAACTCATATTATTTAAAGGAAAAATTCAATCTGTGCAATTTTCAATTGTAAAAGCTAGAATTAAGATTATTATTAGTCTCATTATTTCTAGAATAGTATAGATATCTCTGAGGGTTTAATTCATCAGATTAAAAGATTTGACTAAAAAATAGTTAAGTGCGCTCTACATAAATTATTTAGTGAATCAAATCCCTGGAAACTAATTACTATTCATTTACAAAGCACAAAAGTATCCGATTTTAAATACAGTTCCTTGTAATTGACTGTTATTCCACTGTTTAGAAAGAAAGAGTCCATCTGCGGCAAATATGGAACTTTTAAATATATTTAATAAATTCTCTTTTGTTTATTTTTATTGATAAGTCGTTCAATGGTTACGCATAGTGCGGTTTCACTTGCAAAACGAATAGTATAGAAAAGATTGGTAACAAAAAATTGATTTACTCAAATTTAATGAAATTAAACCAACTTGAAGTAAAAATAAAAATAATTGCGCTGAAAAGATTCTAAGAAAACATACGCAGTGCTTCAGTACATCACTCATAATTATTTTCCTTTCACTTAGAGATCGATACAATAGCTTAACTGCTTGAATAATGATTTTTGCAAAAATGTAAGATGATCATCTAAAATTCTTAAGAAAAAGACATTTTTTCCATTCGTGAATTACGAGGACGTCCTATAAAAAAATAAAGAAAATACTTACTCAACAACACACGATACTTGCATATTTCATGGAAGCATAATCATAAAAGAAGTACGTGTGGCTATAATGGGTACGGAGTAACCTTCAAAATTGGATGGAGGTACGAGATCTCAGTTTACCACTGTAGTAAAAAAAAGCATAAAATAGATAATTTTTTTTTATTCCAATTTTGATGCTTTTATCAATTTCATACATCGTTGTTATTCCTTGCTTACAGTGGTCACCATCTGAACAGTATACATATATTTCGATGAGATTTATCCTACTTATTCCCACTTAATATTGAAGCCTGCTCACACAAAGAAAAGACAAAAAAGAATATGAGAAGTGTGGTTTTGTTGAGCTGGTTTCAAGATCAGTAGAACTGAAGAAACTCAATAAAATAAAATCTGGTAACTTAAGTTAAAACTACGAAATTTTAGATGTACATTGCAAACTGTTTATTCAAATTCTTCATCTTTAAGTGTTTTATATGTTTTCTTTCATTGATATGCGATCCTATTTTCTGCTAATATTTTTCTCTTACAAAAGACACATAAATAAGAGTCCTTCTCTTCCGTATGTTTTCGAAAGCAATGGAAGCCCTCCTTAAAGACAAGTTCTAACGATACCGTACTAATCAGTAAGATGATATTCTGATTAGTAAGATGACGTCAGTGACAATAAGGTCCTAAATAGTACTAATACTAATTAGCTGGCTGATTTTTAACAAACATAAACGAAATTTAAGAACCGGTGTATACACTTTCTTTCTTTTATATTTCTTAAAAATGACAAGCAACAATCTTCCTCTTGAAAACAAAGTCGCCATCGTTACAGGAGGCTCCAGAGGTATCGGAGCAGGAATCGCTGAGACATTAGCAAGCCGTGGTGCCAAGGTTGCCATTACTTATACCTCTGAGAGTAGCAAAGAATCAACCCAAAAATTAGTGAATAAGATCAAAGGATTTGGTACTTCAGCAGACGCCATCAGTATTCAAGCTGACTTGCGTGATCTTGCAAGTGCTGAACATATCGTTGATACTACTGTCAAAGCTTTTGGTCCCACCATCCATATTCTTGTTAATAATGCGGGATGCGCTAAATCAGGGGCACTTGGAACATTGAAATTGGATGATTACAACCATATCTTTGATGTGAACGTTCGGGCTGTCTTGTTCATGTCAGAAGCCGTTGTTGGTCATCTTCCCAAGAAAGAAAAAGACGGGAGTGGAGGTAGAATTATCAATATCGGAAGCATTGCTGGAAGAATTGGTGTTGCAAGAAACTCTATCTACTCTGCAAGTAAGGCAGCTATTGAAGGCTTTACAAGATGCTGGGCATCAGAGTTAGGCCCTCAGGGACACACTGTGAATCAAGTTAACCCTGGAGCAGTGGACACTGATATGCTCAAAGGTTTTGATGGGCGTGAGGCACTTATAAAAATGACACCTTTTGAAAATCGTGTTGGCTTGCCTTCTGATATCGCTGAAGTAGTCAGTTTTCTTGCTGAAGATAGAAGCCGCTGGATCACTGGACAAACAATTTCGGCTTCTGGTGGATTACAAATGTATTAATTCCTGTGGATCCATTTTAAGAACACCGCGTAGTCATTCCTTATTGGTAATTCATCTAACTTATTAATGCTACAATTAATTCTGTATTAGAGCAAGAGCCTGATTAATATTAAATTTTATTACATGTTTGCGAACCCAGTTTAATTATCTCTGTATATTTGTTGTAGTGATCAGACACGGCGTAGCGTTTGCTAAGCTTCTATGTATGCTTCTCAGCGTATCCGAAGTTTCTGGACTGATTCAAAAGGGCTACGCATATCTGGCTTAATATCACAAGGTAATTCCAAGAAACGAGAGTGCGGGATCTATTTACTTATTTTGACTTTTTTTGGTTTGCATCCTACAGCACTTTACAAAAGTCTAGTTGAGATTAATAATGAACAAATACGTTATAAATATGTGATAATCAAAGATGTGTCATAACCCTGAAACAACAATACTTTCGGTAATTTAATAGCTTATTAGCAAAGGTAAAAAAAGCCAAAAAAAAAAATACCAAATTGCATCTAGAATAGAAACAAATGACCCTAGTTGATCTTGGAAGATATGTATTTCCTGGTTGAAAGCTCAAATCTTCCAATATGAAATTTTGATTTATCTAGCTAAGTACAATCTACATAGATTGTTTAATGAATCATATTTCTGGAAGCTAATGCTATTCATCAAAATAGTACAAAAGTTGATATTTCTACGTGCACTTTATAAAAACGTACGCTCATTTTTCACTAATTTTTTTATTCTCATAACGAAAGGGAGTCCTTATGTTGTCATAAGTGTAATACGATATTACTGATAATTCGATATGATAATACAATTTTAATATTAAGTAATTCATTGAAATTGGAAAAAAATCCGATTTGTGCAATTTTTAATTATAAAATTCAAGAATTGAGATTATTAATAGTCTTACTAATTATAGAGTACTATATAGCCAATAATTCTCAGTCTAAATCTTCATAATGGAAGATTTGACTGATCTAGCTAACTACGCACTATATAGGTTATTTAGTGAATTAGATCCCTGGAAACTTATTACCACTGATTTCAATAATACAAAAGTACCCAAACTTAATAGTTTCTTGTAAACTGAACTGTTTTTCCATTGAATTTTATCTATTAACGAGAGATTCCATTTATGACATATGTGACAAAGTCAATGTTTTACCAAGGTAGTAATAATATCGTAAACGGGTTATGATGCCTGCATTTTTTTTCCTTAAATATGCTCAGAAATGTGTGTCTCCTCCTTATTGACAAAAAGTGTCATTTGCTTTGCGAAGTTTTCTTTTAAAATATACGGTGGGACCAGAACTGATAACATTAATCAAAAAAACTCGCTGTGATTATAAACTTGGGCACGCTGTTTATTTTTAGCTTTATAGTTTCATAGTTTAAATCCTATATTCCATTTAGGAGTACTCAATCTTTGGTACCATTGCCTAAACGTTCGAAACTTTCAAAAGAATTTGAAAGACTCTGTTTTTTACTTTCGATACGGCCGTTAACCGCTAAGTACAGATATGAGTTTTTTGTCGCTCTATTGTCATTAATAACTTCATACAGTAGAAAAAAAAAATTAGAATTGTTGCTTGAATAAGGGTTGAATCCACTCGCAACTCTGTCGGTTCGTCTTTATTGCAACAGTCAAGCAGAAACCAATAAAGTAATATCAATTATATTCCAATCTTTTCACGACAATGACACTATGCAATTAGTGGTTGTCTGTTCATAAAATATCTATTATGTTTTCGTTTACATAGGTGGTTTCGAAATGTATGCTTTACTTAATTGTCTACTACTGCTAAAAGAGATTTTCTCTAATCGATTAATATTAATTAAGTTATGCGAAGGATTTCCCCCAGCGTTTAGCAAACGTATACTTATCATGTAAAGTTGAACACAGCTCTTTTTTCTTATAAAGAAGATCACTTTGAGGTACAAAGCCAAACAATATTAGAAGATTAGTGTTAGGAAAAGACAAATAAATATTTTGTTATTTTTTGTCTCCTGTTAGCATTCATATTTTAAATGCAACATTTTTGTTAACTACATATGTATATCACCTGCCTTTCAAAGTAAAATAAGAGAGAGAACCAAAATAAAAGGGGTTAATCAATCGATTGCTATTAGCTGAAAGGTACCTTAGATAGTCTTTCTTCTAGAAATCTACTTCTGTTTACCTTCTTGACATGCTATATCATAAGTAATATATGTTTCGAAAAACAGGCTTTTCTTTAATATTTAAAAGAAAAAATTCTGTTAATAAATATTGTCTTATTCCATTAGGTGTGTACATTACTAAATACGGAAGCGAACCAGCTTGAGTTCTTACGTAATATTGACTCTCGAACAAAAGAACGGAAACGCCAATATCATCAGAAATTTTTGCGCTAACAATTTTATAAGGTAAATATAAGCTAATTTAGAAGTCGATTAATATTTTAACAACGAATGAATGCATTTCTCCGCTCATACTTGGATAAGGCCCGAGCCTCTAGAAACCACCTAAAACGTGCTATCTAACTAGCTAGCTAGCTAGCTAGGGAACCAAAGTATTGAGTTAAACTGTGCTTGAACTGTATTCTACTGACAAGCCAAAAAAGCTTTTTGAAAAGTTTGAATTAAAATGCTGGGAACAGTAACTTTACAAATGAGTGAGCATGACCTTGCCGCTTATATCCTTAACAACGACAAAATACGGTCCAATAGATTAAAGATATAGATATGACTGCTAGTTTGGGTGAAAAAAACACAATCTCGTGGCGGTCAGTAAGCTTATACCGATCTCATCCCCCGAGAATGAATGAATTTGAGAGTTGAATGGACTGAGCGAAATTCGTAGCATATTTTGGCTAAAGGTATCAAGACCGATATGGATACTCTGAAAGATTTCATGAAAAACTCGAATCGAATTGACCAAGCATCTTTAGCTAATTCAGTTGAAACTTCGTATAATCTAAAGAATTGAAATTAATACGTACTTTTAATCTAGTTTATAAACAGAATTATTATGAATTTCCTTATTATGTCCTGGTTAGAATTTGTCCTATACTGGTAAAATTACTTCTCATCTATGATGTAGTGAAACAAGCTTCTGAATACAGTTCATTGCCTTTGACTTGTTTAGTACATTAATGCCCAAAAAGATTACGACAGCTATCAAAGTAACGTTAACTAAAGAAGCTTGAGTAAGAGATAGACACTTAAGAGAAATTCAAAGACCGAACAATTACTACTAATATTATGCTTCTTCCTATTGAATATTTGCCTGCATTTCCATGACTCACAGAGCTATAAATATGATATAATGAATGTATTACAGCTAAACAGAATGATCTCATAAGCAACTTATTATATATCTGGCAATCCCTGGTAAAGAACCTTCAAATTAGTTAATAATAAAATGCCAAACAAAAGTTTTCCTCTTGAAAACAAAGTCGCCATCGTCACAGGAGGTTCCAGAGGTATCGGAGCAGCAATTGCTGAAACATTGGCGTCCTGTGGTGCCAAAGTTGCAATTACATATACCTCTGATAGTAGCAAGGAAGTGACAGAGAAATTAGTGAAGAAAATTAAAGGTTTCAATGCTCCAGCAGATGCAATCGAAATTCAGGCTGACTTACGTGATACAAAAAGCGCCAAACATATAGTTAACGTTACACGTATAGCCTTTGGTCGTACCATTCATATTCTTGTTAATAATGCTGGAGTCAGCTATCAAGGAAGTTCTATAGGAAGTACATCTATAGATGACTATAATAGTATCTTTGACGTAAATGTTCGAGCAGCTTTTCTAATGGGAGAAGCCGTGGCACCCCTTCTCCCTAGTGAAGGCGGTAGGATTATTAATATTGGAAGTATCGCAGGAAAAATACCAATAAGCCATTTGCCCTTATTTTGTGCAAGTAAGGCTGCCCTTGAAGGTTTCACAAGATGCTGGGCCGCTGAATTAGGACCTAAAGGTCATACCGTCAATCAAGTCAATCCAGGAGCAGTGGACACTGACATGATAGCAAAGTCTGGTCTAGAAGAATCTGCTAAACTCCCTTTAAAAACCGACTTGGTCATCCAGAAGATATAGCATATATTGTTGGTTTCCTTCTCGATGAAAACAGTCGATGGTTAACCGGACAAGTAATAAGTGCTTCCGGTGGACTACTTATGGCTTGATTCCCTAATGATCATCATTCTGCTGAAGATATTTAAAGAATAACTTATTGAATATATTGTTTTATTAAAGCAGGAACTCGCATCTCCTCTTTCTTCTAAATGTTTTTTGGTGGTTTAAGTTAGCAAAGATCACTTCTTAACAAAATTTTGATCGATTCTTTAATCGTGCCTTTTTTTAACTTACATGTAAATGACGTGACTCCTTAATTTCTTAAATAGCGTCTCAGATCACAACAAGTAGATGAGAGGTTTCATTTGTAGAACTCTACGCTAAAGGAAGTCACCTCGCAACTCTTAGGCTTATCTTAGTTTAGTATTTGTTTATTAGATACAGGACCATCCCATGATCTTCCATCTCACATTCCTACAATTGTATTCCCATCGGTAAGATTGTCAGCCTAGTCATTTCATTTCGGCTTAGCTAGTCGGTAGACCAAACAACGAAGCCTACCAAACATACGTAACGTTCTCAATTTTCTGAGACCTATTGATGTCTAGTACTCAGTACCTATCCTCGTTACTCATTACTTCGGAGGTTACAAAGGCCAGTTTTTAAACGATTTATCTGATCATTTCAAGGCTTGCGAATTTACCAAATAACGTTGTATTTTTCTTCCTTTTTCTTCAAATTTAAATTTAATTTAACAAAATACTTACTATGTAAAGGGATAACCGGCGATCGTTACTCTGAGCAGCCTAGCGAGCTAGGAAACTTAAAGCTTACTCGGACTTTCTGTCTTCTAAATATTTTAATGAAGCAGTCACTAATCGACCGATTTTAAGAGTATAAGTGCTGATGAATCTTGTGAAATTTTCTTTGTAAAATCTGATCATAAACTGCTTTCGCACGATAATTGCCACTTTTCTTAAAAATTTTTTGTGGATATATATGTACATATATATCTCCCTGAATAGTGCAAAAACCTCAGCAAATAGAGCAAAATGACAGCCGTTCAGAATTCCAATGGCAATCTTCCAGATAATAAAGACTTAACCACTCAATATCAGTTGAAAGTACTGAATGATTCACAAAAGCAATACATACGTTCTTCCATCCCTATTTTGGAATCAAATGGTGTTGATTTAACGAAGAACTTTTATAAAAAAATGCTAGAGAACTACCCTGAAGTGCGTCCATACTTTAATAAAGCGCATCAGACATCTTTATCTCAACCACGGATTCTAGCATTTGCGTTACTAAATTATGCTAAAAATATTGATGATCTTGCTCCGCTATCGGGATTTATTGATCAAATCGTAATGAAGCATGTCGGTTTACAAATTAAAGCAGAACATTATCCTATAGTTGGAAATTGTTTGCTAGCTACAATGCAGGAAATGCTTGGCAAAGACATTGCTACTCCTGGTTTTTTAGAAGCTTGGGCTATAGCTTATGGTAACTTGGCGAAGATTCTAATTGACTACGAAAGGAGTGTGTATGAAAACCAACCATGGAACGGCTTTGCTGAATTTGAGGTGGTAAAACTTACTGACGAGTCTTTGGATGTAAAGTCTGTTTATTTGGCCCCAAGGAACAAAGAGTTCAAAATTGCTTCGGCTTATCCAGGTCAATATATAACTGTTGCTTGGAAGATACCGGAGTTACCTCATGAAACTCTCAGAGAGTATTCTCTATCCAAACATCCGGACACTCAACATAATATGTACCGCATATCTGTACGCCGCATCAAAGATGGTGTTGTTTCTAATTATGTCCACGGCAAATTGAAAAAAGGCGATTTAGTTGGGGTTAGTCCACCAGTCGGTAACTTTAAATACAGAAAGGTAGAAGGAAACCAAAATATCCCGATTCTATGTTTCGCCGGCGGAATAGGTATAACTCCGATCATATCTATCATTGAAACCGCTTTACTAGACGGGAGGATGGTTGTTTTTTGTTTTTCTAATAGAACATACACATCTCGGCCTTTTAAGGATTGGCTTTTACAAATTAAGGAGGAGTATAAAGATCAAATCAAACTTAAAGAGTTCTTTTCACAAGAAACTCATGTTCGCAAAGAGGAAGTTATTGACGAGTTAATGACGCGTGTTTTGAATCGAACAGATATTGAGAAGCTCATTTCTGCCGATTGCGACATATACATGCTTGGACCCAATAGCTACATGCGGTTCATTAAAGAAGAACTTCTGCAACTCGGGGTGAAGTCGAACAAAATAGCAACAGAATTTTTTGGCCCATATTCTCCTTAATTGTGTTGTGAATACCATATACCTGATTATTTTATGGGATTCCATATCGGAAGGAATGAAAAAAAGTTTCATAATCTGACAAGCTGTTGTTGAACATAATATATATAGTACTATAGGGCAGATGCCATTAGGGAATGTTATAATTGCTGGACAATGGGTATGCTTCGAATTCGTGAAGAATGAATTGAAGCATAGTAACATTTGGCAATAGATAAATACCTCCTTTTGTGCATCGATTGTATTTGGATACTTTCGTTTAATGTCTATCCATTCCATTAATAATACTATACATCAAAAATAGAATAGAATAAATGTTGGATTCGAAGGTACTCGAAGTCCATATTTTCTTGACCTTGCTCTTCGATATGTTTCAATGATACACTGACCTTAAGAAGACGTAAGTTTTGACGCCTTTGAAGAACATAAGATCTCTGGTCTTGAGGCGGTCTTGATTGAAGTATTTAATACAGTCATACATTAAGCAATATAGAAAGAGAACATTTGAAAATTTAGCGTGTTTCCTTTCCACAATAAAAACTGGGAATATAGAAATAGAGATAACGTTCATATACATTGGATAATGATTTAATTGAATTTTGATTTCGAAAAACGTATGAAGTTGATTAGTTTTAATTCTTCAGTGTTCCGATGAGAAGTTTCCAACACTGAAGCGAATACGATTGAACAACATGTCATGAACCTATGTTGTACAAATAATATAGACCGAAAATAATAAAATTATGTCTTTCGTACTCACAATTTATGAAAGTTTACACGAGGAAGGCTATTTTCTTTATATACCTAACATTAATTCTAGCACCATCATTAACCACGATCCCATTGCTTAAAGTATAAAAGGGAGAGCCTTCGTTTTATATGATGTGTTTATTAGAAAAACAACTTGAGGCTTGGATTACAGAATGAAATAAGCTATCAGTCCCCCCCCCCCCCTTTTCAAAAAAAAGCAAACATGTTTCTCTTTGGTTAAAAGAAAATTACGCTGCTTTATAATTAATGTGCTGTTGTTGAAAGAATAATGGGTAATTTAATTGAAAGTATAATACCTTTCATACTCGTTTTACGTTCGAAAACAGACGAATTGATTACATACATATTCCTATATTGATGATAGACTAAATCTATCACATGTCTTGATACGAATTATTTACCATAGCTTACGATTGGCACGCTCAAATACATTTCTGTCACATTGTTTACGATTTCGTATCTTAAGTTCATGTTGGCTTTTCTCTTCATGATGGAAACTTCTCTCATTCGTACCGGTGTCATTGTTAGTATCGCTAGTAATCGATTCTGTTACAGAAGCATTTTAGTGAAAAAAAAAGTAAACAATAATTATAAGAATCTGCAATTGTATCATAGTAATCACAGTATTAAAATATGGGAATACTTGTATAAGGTATAAAGAAATTCTCGCTAATTCGGTTAACAAGGTACACCGTAATTACGGAACACACCTGAAACCCTATGCATGCAACAAAACTATCAAAAGCAAATAGTCTTTCGTCTTCAATTTTAACGAGTTTAGTTGCTAAGTATTCCATTTCGTACGTGCTACTTGATTAACGTTTCAAAAATTGAAAAGGAAGTGCATTGTGCGAGTGTTAAATTGGAAAACAAGGTTGGGCGTTTATAATATCAATTTTGGGAATTGATAAAAGGATTTGGAAACTCAACGTTGCGGTATTTTGATTTCTTTTAGCTAATTTTGTACTTTTTGCTTGGTTTCAATGAATATCCAAGTTTAAAGTTTGTCTACGTCTTTTCATACAAATATTCGGCAGAAATTTGGAAATCACCAACAATTCTCGTCATAAGGAACTTTTTGGTTCGTGGATTTTTCAAATTCAAAGAAGAGAGCTCGTTGCTTTCAAGGTTTGGCTTTTGTATCCGTCGGTTTCTTGTAAATTTTGCTTAGGTGTTTTGAAATTCGTATCTTCGAAACTGTGGTGCTTGGCTTTGGACTACGTTAGGATTTACCCAAATCTAAGGGTTTTAATAGTTACTTCTTTAAATAATGACAGAGTATATGGATATGGAGTCTTCGTCGACTTCTAACTCGAAACCTCAAAATTTTGCAAAGACAGCTGCAGATTCACTTCATCCTAAAGAGAGTTTAGATTATTATATATACGATTACTTTGTAAAGCACAGGTTTCAAGAAACTGCTAAAGCTTTTTATAAGGAATCCAAGGTACAGGTTCGATCAAATGATGAACAAAATACAAATGAAGTTTCTACCGGGAATAATGAGGATAACAATCCACAGAAGGATGCTTCCCAATATGATCAAACTCTGTTTGATACAACGAATGGCAAATCTGAGCATTTGGATTCATTTGATATGAATATACAGTCTAAACCGAATCCAGCACTTGAATCTCAAAAAGATGTTTCTTCTGAGAATAAAAATTCTTCCGTATCTTTGCCTACACCTTCTGTTGCTATTGATATTCCTGAAGGTTTTCTCGTTGAGTGGTTTAATATTTTTTGGGACGTTTTCAGTGCCCGTGTTAGTCGGGTTAATAGCTCTGCTCATTTGTACGATTCTCAATTCAACAGATCAGTATATAGAGGTCAAGGTTATTCTACTTCTGCATCTGTGCCTCCGAACGGACCACATATGCACTCATCTGTTGCCAACCCATTGAACTACACTTCTGCAGAATCAAAAAGCTCTGAAAATAAACCGCAGCTACCTTTTGGTTCAGCGGTACCGAAGTCTGATCCAATAACGGGAGGAAACAACAAACCGTATGTTTTACCCTCACGAGCTGTTCCTCTTTCTGGTCCTTCTAATATGAGCCACCCTGATAAATCACAAAAGTACGGATCCTTGCTTCCAGCTGGTACTGTACCTAATCCTGCCGTCCCTTATTCGCTAGGTACACCTTCTTCCTCAATTCCTCCTGGTTATCCGAATCCCTCTGTACTAGCAAGTAGTCCACCTGGGTCCTATGATTCCAACAGTCATGTTTATTCTGTAGGTCCGGGCATGAACGCAAACTCGTCTAGGAATGCATTTTATCCTCCTACACCAGCTCAAATTCATCAGCTAAAGTCTCGACAAGAATTTCTTCAACGGCAAAGCAAACAAATGTCTGAACCCGCCGTTAATTTAAATCAGGCTGCTTTCAAAGATCCTCCTCAGATGCAATCTAGTGAGCAATCGGCCATGAATTCTGCATCTGGTATGGGTAAAAAGAGGATCTCTGATCCTAAGGCTTTGTACAATGCTAACATAGCAGTGAATCCTACTGCAAGAAATTCGGCCTCTCCTATAATTACTCAAGCATCTTCTGGTATGGGTGGCGGTTCTTCACCTTTTTACCCATATCAAAATAGTACGAGAGAGACAGCTTCTGTGCCAGCCATAAAGCCGTCCCCTAATATTATGATACAGCCTCGTTATCCTACAAACTCTGAAGCTTTGGTCAATGATATGCAAAAATATCGTGCTCAGAATAACGCCGACGGTATACCTCCTCATATGCCGCAAAATGCAATTGATTTAAATAGCAAATATGGAACCAATCCAATTGTGGGTAATCGACCCCCTTCACAACATCCTTATTTGCCCAGTTATTATAGGGGACAACCCTCAATGTCTAGTCCCCATCCCCAAATGTATGAAGCAAACGCCGCCAGTCAAGGTTCAATGGAATATGCAAAAGCAAGGGAGCTCGCAATGAGAAGAGGGCAGACACCAAATATGTCCACTCTTCCAAAGGATTCAGTGTCTGGTGAAGCTAATAATGTTGATCTTGGAAATCCTTTGACAGATTATCATATGCAATTGATGATATTAGAAGAGCAAAACAAAAAGAGATTGCTGATGGCCCGCCAAGAAGGTGAAAGAGAGTTTCTTTCCCCACAAACACATGAACACTTTGATCATGAGATAAAAAATAGTCAACTTAAATTAGCAGCTGAAGGACCATCGCCTCTTCACTCTAAGCCTAGTGAAGGAATGACTACTCAAATTAAAGGATCGGATGTAAGTACAGCAGGACTTCTTCCGCCCCATCAAAAACAACCGAGCCTTCCGTCTCAACATCCATATATGAATGTTCCACCAAATGAGCAACGTAAGTATTAATTCTGATGTTTGAATTCTAACTTCTATCTAGCGAACATCATGATGTCTCAATTTCTGAACCGTACGAAACAGCCTGAAGCACCTTTAGATGCTCAAGATTTTAGAGATCCAAATATGACAAAGAAGTTCTCAACGAACACACCATTAATGACTGAACAGGATAAAATGTCTCTAGATAACGCTGAAAATTCAAATTCATGGCATGTGCAGAATAGTGATAACAACTTACTGGATGCGAAGGAAAAGTCGGATCACCAGCCACAATATCCTCACTCTTCCCAGCCGGAATTGCGTTCTAGTACTACAGCTTCAGGCAATCCAAACCCTGATTCACAAGCATATATGGAGACGGCTAGAGATAATCTTAATTTCCAAAAAGATCCAATGCGTGCCTCGGATACAACAGTATCAAATGGGTATCCTTCTATGAGTGATTCTGTTCAGCGGGCTTCGATGACTTCAGAAGGAACACAGCAAAATGGAGCAGCTTCTTCTGAAGCGGAAATGAATGCTCACAAAGAATTTCAGAACAGTGAGCGAAAAGAGGAAGATATGCCTGAGAAGGGCAATACAGGCGAAGATGACAAAAATGGGAATAAGGATGGGCTATTTAATGGATCTACGGATAATACGTTTAATTATGCATCAAAAAATGATTCTAATGCTGAGTTGTTGAACGACTTCGACTTTGAAAGTTTTTTGAATGATGCCGGTGATGACTCTACACAGGCTTTCTATTAAAATCCATATAGTGTTTCGTCCAAATCATGGAATGAATTTCAAATTCAAGGGCGACATCATTGCTTTCGTTTTAAATGATTATTGAAAATTTTAGAAATGTGTATAGTGTATATTATTTAATTTCATACGAATTCCTAAAAGAAAGTTATTCTAATTTTTCTTTACATATGATTGTTCTTGGAAGCGTACCATGAACTTATTTTGGTCTATTTTATGTTATTTCTAATCGTTTTAAGCAATGACGAGTTTTATCATTTTCAGCACACTTCAAAAAGCATGTATAATTGGAAATTTCTAAGGCATAAGGAATAAGATTAACATTTATCTGAAAGCTAGATAAGCAAATTTAGTATGAAATGATTCTTGCTTACGAAAGAGGAGATGATTATAAGTTATCCTTGTTCATTTAGCCAAACCTTATGATAACTTTTTCGTATACAATGGCTAAAACGCTGCATTCAAGAGAAGGGATTGAATCGGTAGTAAAAACACAGCAAGTAAGGACATCAAAAGCTTTACCATGATTCTCTAATTATCCTGTTTGGGTAACTTGGAATCAATTTCTGTCTCTAACTTATCAAGGTTCTCGCGATGGGATTTTAACTGCTCTTTTAACTTTTTGAGCTGGTCAAGTTCGAGATCATGAATAAATTGATTCTCTTTGGCCTTTCCACGCTTGGAGAAAGGACCTTCTCTAGAAGAGGTTGCGTTGCTCAAAGTAGGATCCGTGGAATCTCCGTCACTGTTATTGCTGGCCATAGTTCTAACCCCTAACATTCTCCCTTGAGACAGTTGAGGAATAAATGAACGGCGAAGAGTAAGTCTGTACATATTGCAAATTGAACTTGTTGGCTATATGAAGTAAATGAGATGGGGGAAAGTTAAGTTGCTTTAGGAGCGGATGATAATGTGAAAACATATACGTAAGTGATGTAGCATTACTATGATATTTCCCTTTAGTATCATAATCTTGTTTATGAAGACGAAAACAATTCGAAAAAGCCGTAAATAATGGAATTATTTCGTTTTTAATTTCATGACTACACAATTGAAAGAAGCATAATTTTTTGACACTTTATAAGTTAATTTTATTTTGATTGAAACACGTATTTTGATCCTGGTGAAGTTGAACATCAGTAAGTTGGCATTCAATAAACTTTTTGCTTTTTTTCCAGTTCCAAAAGACCAAATAAGAAAGATTGAGTTGTCATGCTTGTAGAAAATGTTGTTTATTTTATTAATTAGAAATACAAATGTTTAATCATGATTAGAATAGATGAATAGTTAGTTTTGATCGTTTCCTATTTCAGTTCGGTATATTTTCTCTTAACAATCTCTTAAAATCAAAAACTTTTACTGAAAAAATATTATTTAATATTATAAAAGAAAAATTCAAATATATATGAAATCAGACTTGGTTTGAATAAAAGTAGAATATCCTTTAGTGTTTGAAAGAATTTTATTCCATATGTACCCCATAACGTACCGATCGAGCTTTACGATCATCATCTATGTGATAGTTTCTATCTAATGAAAGACAATAATGTTTTCATAAAGACACTTGGCATTTAATATAGGCAGGTTTCTTTATGACCTTCAAAAGAAAGGCGGTCGAAATATGTCAAATGATGTAATGCAAAATAATTGTTCGGAATTTTGTCTATGAGTAGCAAAATTCAGAGAGATACTGAATTCATCAAAATACATCGTGTTGAAAAAGTGTCGTTGAAAGCATAATTAGTGCTAAAAACATCGAGAATTTAAGCTCACATCAATAAAGTAGTAAGCTACATCCTTGACAATTTTTTCCGTATTCATACGTTATTTGTCTGCAAGAAGAAAAGAGAAAAAAATCTTTTAATAGGTTATAGCAACATCCTTAAAGAAAAGTTTTCTTCTGTTGAACACGTATATACAATGTCTGTTGAGAAGGTAGAACTAAAAGACTATAAAAGGGTAGCTACTGTTTTGGCAGCAGCATTCTATCACGACCCAGTACACCTCTACTTTGCTGGACCTGAAAATGGAGAGCAGTATGCAAGATTAATTCAAGATTGCTTTGAATATATTGCTTACGCAGTCTTGATGCGTGGCCATGTTTATCAAGTGGATGACTTTTCCGGCGTTTCTTTATGGGCTGGTCCAGGTCAAAGAATTGATGATTGGTATACTATTTTCAGAAGTGGTTTATGGAGATTAAGTTATAAGTTGGGTGCAGAAAATCGTCATCGTTTCTTCAAAGAGTTGATACCGTTACACAATAAAGTGATGCCAGAAGCTATGGCAGGTCGAACTCACAATTTTTGGTACCTAATGTTCGTCGGCGTAAAAGAAAATAAAAGAGGAAAGGGATACCTTCGAAGTCTCATTCAACCAATATTGAAGATTGCTGACCAAAATAATCTTCCCTGCTATCTCGAATCTACTCATCCCAATAATCGTCCAAGGTATGAGCATTTTGGCTTCAACGTTGTTCAGTCCGTCCATATAAAGGAGGGACTTGACAGCATCCCTATTGATGTTATGGTTCGAGAGCCAAATGCTTACCATAGGTCAGAATAGACGAGCGTAAGTTCAAAGTCTTGGCAAGCGGAACATGGGTTGTTTTGTCATCTCATCCAAATGCAACCACTTGCTTTATTAAGTATTGTGTTGGGTTAACATCTCTAGGTAGATTGGTTAGCATAAAGTTGAGTGAATCTAAAAGGATATCAGATGTCAGTTTCCATTTTTGAACTACAAAGAAAAGGAGGTTTTACTCTTTTCATTGTTTTGTAAATGATCTACTAAGCTTAGGTATAGGAATTATAATATCGTTACATTAGGATTGTTCATTAACAGCCAAACGAACCGCCAATTGAATGATTGAAGAATGCAAAAATGACATTTTTTAAGAAATATTTAAAGGCTAAAAGAAGAAGGGTATGTAGAATTTAACGTGTCTTTTTATTGTAAGAAGAGTTTTTGAACGGGTACCAATAGCGGTATTGGAGAACTTAGACAGGAAGAAGGAAGGGGGAGGGGTGGGATGTTACATGGGTATATTAAAACAAGAAGAGGAGGGATATTAACAGATAGGGTGGCTTGGTAAAAAGATTAAATATGTAAGCGTTTTCTCATTTCTTGACGGTAGTAAGTTCTTTCTTCTGTTGATCGCTCAAGAGCACCAATATTTTCACGAGCGCGTCGAACCAAATAAGGAAGTACTTGATAGATAGGTCCCCAAGAAACATATTTAGCAACGTGGAATTCAGGAATTTCACCTCTCGGGTAATCTGTAAGGGCGTAAGTAATATCATCTGACATTCCCAATAATTGAGCTATGTACAAGGAGGTCTTGCTTGTGTCAATCTTTTTCTTCTCCAAGAGATCCAAAACTTTGCAAACTGAGGATTTGTTGTGGGTAGCAATCATAATACCCCATTTACCTTGACGAGATTTCGAGGGAATTTGAGAAGCCCCTTTGTTTCCAGGAGCTGCTCTGGATGCGCCCAAAAACAAAGACTCCATAGCAGCATTATAGTCACGATCAGTGTCCTCTTTCCTATCGTGGATTAAATGACGAGGCTCTGAATTAATGTAGGCTCCTCGAACAATCTTAGCACCCATCAACCAATTTTCAAGAGCACTTTGTTTCATATGCTCATTCAAGATTCCCTTGGTCTTTTTCAAGTACAGCTGATAAGTGTTATGTACGATAGCTTCTTGTTGGTTGAATTTTTTCATCAAGTCCAAAGAAATGGAATGGATAGTGTCTTGGAAGTAAGTTTGTTCGGCATCAATGAATAAAAGAACACCTTTCTTCTGGGCATATTCACAAAGCTTCTCAGAAAACGACCAGAAGCGGCGAAGCTCATCCTGTTCGTAAGAAGAGAAAGAAGGGTTATCGTTGAGCATTTCAGTAAACTTAGCAGCGGGTTGGTTGGCAGAGTTATTCAATATAGCATTGAAGCGGAACAAGACCAAGGGGTTGATGAATGGGGTCAACTTGATAGCACAAGTAGAGTTTTCAACCTTGGAGGCCAAGTCAATACTGTAGAGGTAAGAGTCAAAGGCCTCTTGGGCAATATTTTGCATTTCTTGCTGGACTGGTGGAGCAGGAACCTTAATGTTGTCGGGGACTGTATTGGCAGTGGAAACAAATTGACGAGGATCAATGTCACTGGGGAGATCAATTTCACGAGAGGAGTTGAGGCAAGGAGCAATGCCAGAAGCTTGAAGTGATTGCATGTTTTGAATGAGTGCAGCGGGAGTTTCACCTCCGCAGAAATGGCGATAGAAAGTACGACGGCAGAATGGAGCATAGAGGAACGAAAGATGAAGGGTATCACATAAACTCATAGCGGAAATCGAGGTCTTTACCAACCAAGCTCGAGAGCAAATCTCATAGACAAAGAGGCCACGAGCGAGATCGCCAAAAGAACGATGACTCAATTCTTTAGAAAACCCTTTTTGGAAGAAGGAAGCCTCGGGCTCATTTGTCAAACCCATGCTATTCAAAGAGATGGCAGCACCTGCGCCAACACCCAAAAGGAGTTTACCATGGCGGAGCAATCCTGGTCGCAAACGAAAAAAATGCATTCTTTATTTTTTCAAACAAAAACAAAAAGAAAAAGTAAAGATGATAAATAAAAAGTCAAAAATGAAATGATAACAAGCAATCCCTTTAGCTTGAGTTTAACAACGCGTACAAGAAAAAGAAAAGTAAATGATCGTTTCGTCCAAAAGGTTTTTCTTTTTTTTTATTTTCCCTTGTTTTGTATTCTCAATTGTTTTTTTGTTTTGACAATACAGAAAAAGAGAATAACTATTACTAGATATTATTAAGTATTAATATTAAGGAGTATTGTTTTTAATACAATGGTCCCTGTTCCTTTTCAATCCCAATCCAACACTAGATGATAGAGTAGCTAACTGCTAGTTGTAAGTAGAAAGCAAGAAAGGAATCACTTGTATTCGAAGTATAGAAAAAGAACAAGTTCGTTTATAACTTTGTATTAACTTTAAGAACCTGTTTTTTTTTTTGTATCGCTTTTAGAATCTGTTTTTGTATGGCCGATATATAGGATCCAACAAGAACAACGATCAAGCGTATAGTAGAAGAGTAGGCAGTAGAATAAGAAGGAACTTGAAATGAAAGAAACAAAGAAAAAAAATGCACCAATAATAGCGTAAAGCGCAACCGACAACCTTTGCATATATACCTTTTCCTTTTTCATGTAAATACTGATGACCCGTTAGATTGATAAAAACTATCAGGAACCGGAACCATTATCAGCAAGTAATGTGTTGGATAATATATTGGATCCTCGTTATAGAGTATCGTAAGCAACGATACCAATCGATCAAATAGTACTTAGGAATAGACTACACATTTGTATCCGTATGTTTACGTGTAAGGAATGACAAGAAACCAAAAAATAAGCATGTTTTTCCTTTCTTTTCTTTTCTTTGCTATGTTTTTCTTTTTGTTACAGGAGGATAACGATGAAGGAACAAAAGAAAAATGCCTTGATTACTTCGGTTCCTCTTGTCTTTCTTTGTTGGTGTTTATCGTATTTGTTGATATCGCTTAGATTGCGATTAGCCGGGTGAATAGATAACCAAGTTGCTTGGTGAAGAAAGAGAACTAACTCCTTTCTTACTCTGACACAAGACGTAGATGTGTTGATGATAGCAAAAACGATGATGTTGAGCACAATTACAGAGAAACGTGAACAAACTTCCGCTTCAGAAGAAAAAAAAATGAAAAAAAAAAAGAATGAAAAAAGTAATTGGTTTTTGAGAGACGAACTGAACCATCATTTCTTTTATTTTATAGGTTTCTGTTTCACATTTAGACTGGTCCTAGGTTATAAAACTATAGATAGAGTATCTACCAACAATTGGAAGAGTGTCCGAGTGGTTATGGAGCTAGTTTAAGGCACTAGTGCGAAAGCTCGTGGGTTCGAGTCCCACCTCTTTCATTACATTTTTTTCGAAATCCTTTCAATTTGAGTCAATTCTAAATTTTGTTTTAAAATTGTTTTTATGATAGTTCCAGCTTCTTGAACAACTAGTGATAATCTAGGAGAAAGGTGGATGATTGAATCATCCTATGAGGATAATTGGATCCTCCGTAAGTAGATAGAGAGTAGAGACATAGGGGATCATCATTCCATAGAATCCTTGTTTTTTCTTTTTTTCTTTCATATGCACAACTGATCATCTCTATTATTGGAATTGGTTACTGTCTTGCATAAGGAAAAGCAATTCCAATCAGATCTTGAATCGCTTCTGGTCTCAATGGCATAGAGACAAGGACCCTCGAGAATCTCGCTTTATACAACCATTGTTGTCAAACATCATTTCACATCCTACGTATATCATATCAGCCTGGATATATTAATACGTGAGTTGTTCGACAAAAGCATTCAATGAAACCCAAAGGATCATTTAGCCGTTCATGCAAGGTCAACTTTAGAGCTCTCGAACATTCCCTCTGAAAACGAAAACTAAACCCTTTTTACCTCTTATTTACAATGTTTTTCTTGGTTTTTGGATTGGTGGAAACTTGCGAGTAACCCTTTGCTCAGTCATCACATACACCTTTGGGAGAATGGTGGGTATTACATACTACTTCACTTTCTTGAATCATGAAAGATTTGACGGAAAGTCAGCTAAATCACCTTCGCGATTATTTAGATGAACAATTATTAAATGTTTCTCAAAAATTCCAAAAAAAGTAAGATCATGTCATGCTCAAAAACCTCTTTTCAACAACCAATTCCGTCGAGCTCTAGCTAAATGAATATGTAGATTCCTTCCAGGTGGCTTTCAATCCCTAGAAAATTTAATCCACGATATCGAGCCATATTTTCAAGTACTCTCAGCCATGCCAATGCAAAGAGACTCTTTCTTGGCCATCAACGCTACTCTACGAGGATTGGATTTTTTTCTTGATGCAATTGTTGCTTTCCCTCCAGCACCTGCAGCCATGTTTCAAGCTTTTTCCCTTTTGGACAGCTTATGTCTCAAAATTGTTCAGAGTGGCAATCTTTCTACCACAGATGCGATCCGCCTAAAAAGTCTTATGGAGAATTCGCGTATGGTGGTCATTTCCAAACTCGCTGATATTCAAGGATACGAACTTGAATGCTCTTCAGTTTTTGAAAAAACACTCAACGATATTGACTTCTGAAGTTCCATATGCGACCTGCTACCATTTTTCTGAACTTGTCTACCAGCGAAGGGAAACAAACATAACTAAAACTATCATTTGTTTAATTATAACTCAGTTCTTTCATTTACTTACATATCGTTTTTCGATATTTTGTTGCTTGAGACACTGAGTATACCTAACGATAAAACAAACAGCTTTATCAAAATTCTTTCGTTCTTCAAAATGACCAGCTAAATAAAGGAACTACCTTTTCTCCATTTAGAACGTGCAAATCTATGCTGGACGTTTTTAGTATTACTCTTACCCTGACTCTTTTTTTCTTTTTTTATTTTTATTTTTATTTTTATTTTTCGCTTTGTTTACGTCTTTATGTTACCTACTTCCATTGTTACTTATGATGGAATTGCCCACCGTCATCTACCTTTTTATTTTCTGTTCCTCAAACAGACTGAAAACAACGAAATCAATTGCTAACTAATCCGGTTTTTATGTTTTCTTTGAAATTTCCCATATTTGAGGTTTTATTTTTTATACTATAAGCAAAAGAAAAGAAGCTTACTTGTTTGTTTACGTTAAAGGAGATACATATAACGAATTTGGTTGCTTCTATGTTCAAATCAGCAATCCGTACAAAACTCTATGAACATATTCATTCCGAAAACACGCCGGCCAACTTTTGAAGTCCATTTAAAAATCCAAGATCTGTCAAACATTCCTTTGGTCACTGGACTTGCCTTCATAAAATGGAACCTGGATGGCGTTCATACTCGGGAGAGTAGTGGACAAACAAAATGGGAGCCTGTTTTGGAGCACAAAGTAGTATGGGTTTACGACACAACAATAGCAGTTCGGTTTGTCATTGACCAGACCAATACCCTTCGTGAACGGTTCTTGAATTTTCAAATTTACAGTGATTCTCACAGCAGCTCTGGAATAGTAAGACTCGGAAGTTTAAAAATTAATTTAGCAGAATATGTAGGGGTTGGGATGGATTCTCGAAAATACCTACTCTCTGACAGTAAAATAAATGCTACTCTTCGTATCGGTATTGGATTAAAACAACTTTCAGGGGCCAACGATTTTCACGTTACAAAAAAGCTAGGAAAACCTCAGGTGTTTAGCGGTTTAACCGGTTTATTGACAGAGGGAAAAGAATTAAAGCGAAGGGATGATGAAGCAGCGATTGCTCCTGGTCTTGCCTCTAATTGGGCTGAAAAAATGTTAACTTCTATTAAAGACTTTAATCAAAAGGCTAGTACGTTTCATATGCATACAAAAAATAATAAATACGATACTAAACAAATCGTTGATGATATTTTTTTTGGTGGATCTGGTTGGGCCGAAAGGCCTGTACTATCGGATATCCCAGATGGTACAACCGATCCTAGATTGGTTGCTTTGGAAATCCGTCAGAGAAGTTGGATTCTTCCAAGTGAAAAAGAACAAGGTAAACCTTTCTTTTAGACTGTACTTTGAATTAGGTTTATCGCTTTCCTTATTATTTATTAGTTTACAAAAGACTATTCATTTTTTAATAAACCCGAAATCCTTTTTTTTTTGACTATAGACACAGCTATCTCAAGTTTAAATACTCTTAACTTTTTACCGAAAGTCACGAGATCCATTGTTAATTCAATAACAGAAATCTGGATGAGCCTCTATCATTCTCATCAATTTATGGACCTCGTCTAAAGAGACATTGACATGCTTCGCTACCTGAACGATTCTAAAAATGACATACCATACGTTAGGGTCTGAAGTACGTCCTAATGCACCATCAATCTGTACGTTAGTAAAGCATTGCTTGATCGATTCGATTCCGTCTTGAGCCCAGCTTCGTAGTTCTTCGCTAGATGGTGAAGCATAGTACAACAGATCCTGTAATTTTTGATAGTCTGAATAGTACAAATTCTGACGTTCTGTTTCAAACAGTGCAGAATCGCGTATTAATACACTTTTAAGTTGTTGGGAAGCCTTTGCTAATCCGTTGTGAACAATAATCCGTTTATTTACACAAGCTTGAAATTCAGATGAACTCCCGAATGCTTCTTTGGTTGCTTGTTTCCACAAACTCCATACTTCGTTGATACAAAGATCAGACACTTGAAGAACTTCACAAGCGTATGTTACAGCATCTTGTCGAAGTTCTTCGTCATCATCGTTCAAAACATCCCCATATATTAACGGTAGTATACAAAATCCAGTAAAGTTAATTGTATCTGAGTTCTTAGAAAAGCTGATTCCAAAATGAATTAGTGAGCTTAAAGCAGCCTTTCTCGAAGAGAACGCCATGTATTCATTTGTAAATTTGAGAAGAATATCAACCCAACAGTAGTAATAATTCGAAAATTCAGCGTTACCCTCCACGAACAGTTGTTTGAGGTATGAACCCAATAATATCAAGAGGCTCTCACGAACCGGTAAGCTTTCATTTGACTGTATAACCTCAATTATCTTGGCACAATCCAACATCATGGACTTGTAATTCTTCGCTTCAAGAAGATCTGAAAGCAAAGCAAGAGCAGGTGCACGGAGCTGACTCCACTGGTGTTCCAAGGATAGATCCACCAAAGCTTGCATTATTTCCGGATTATTTACTATAACCCTTTTTCTTGGATGATCCAATATGTGGTCTAGTGTTGCAATTTGAACTTCATAAAACTCGTATCTAAGTAACTTTGAAACCAGAAAGCCGACAGAATGTGTATCGCTATGTATAGAAAACTCCTTTAAGTTTTGTAGGAAGATTTCTGCGGCTGTTTGCAGATGAATAGGCAACCCAATGAAGCTCTGCCCATAGAGAGGCCATGACTTCTTTTCGAACAGGATACGCTTGCAATAATCCATAGTCATTCTTCTTAATTGTTGCAACCTTTTAGCATCCCTATCGGTATGTAGCATAAAGTAATTTTGAATAATTTCCAAAAACAACTTTTTGATATAAAAGCTTCGTTTGTTTGATGTAATTTCAGAGAAACAGCTCAGCAAAGTCAAAGAAACTTTGTCAAAGAATACATTTTTTGAATCTCCTGTTAAGTTTGATAGCAGTCCAGCCAGCATTGCTCGAACTGTCAACAAACGACCGTGCAGTTCGTTTTGCGTTAGAACTTCAACATTCTTTAATTGAGTAACGACGAACTCTCTCAAATGCGATCCATCAATTAAGCAAGTTAGTGATAACGCCGCAATCTCTCGGACCTTGCAAATTTTACTGGCTGTACATTGTAGTAGCAAAGGCTCAAACTCTTTTACACCTTCCCACTCTTCCTCATTTGGATAGGTATAAGCATATTGCAGACGAGAAAACAAATTTAGAATCGGATATAGACCTGTACTTGCCTGATTATTAGAGCGTAAAGTATCAACACTATTTTGTAGCTCCTTTAACAAATACGGCCTTAATGAAGGGAACTTACTAAAGAAAGTCTTCGTTGAAAGACCTTTAGTGTTTCCTAGGTTAACTACTCCCTTGGGCCGTTTATTACCAAACGACCTATTCATCAACGCCGTGAAAAGCATTACACTGCAATTCCGAATGGGCCACAGTTCATGGGAGAATCCTTCAATAGCTAACGCAATAGCTGGTTCCAAATATTCCAATGAAACAGATGAAAGTCGATGTTCTGTAAATATTGTTTTAAGACTATTCATAGCATGAACTTGTGGAAGTTCGACTTTTCCAGCATCTGAGTCAGCCACATTTATTTTCTCTTTAGCCAAATCAATTAGGGTCAAAATAGTTTTAGATAACAAAGCTTTGTTTTTTTCCTTGCCGGCCACCAGAATGCCGGTAATAGAAAAGGGTATACCGCCGCTTCTCCGAGTAATAAATGAAGACTTCTCTTGGATGACGTCTATGTTTTTTTGTAACCAAGGAATTGGCATTCGAGATAAAGTTTCATCTTTCATAGCAAACAAGAAAGAACAGTAGCTAACAAAGCAAGGATATACACTAGTGAAAGCTCCACGATGCCTAATTTCCCAAAGCCAACTCATCATCAAAAAACCGTAATGGTCCAAACTTGAATATTCAAATACATCCGGGTAGAAAGAGTTGCATTTAATAAGAATCATGGATAATAAGGATGATATTTCCTTAATACTTCTCCATGAATAACTTAGAATCAGCTGAGCAGGGGTATCTTCCAAATTTTCGGACACTCCACTATCTTCTTGGCCTTTGGGTAAATTTCCTTCAGGAGAATCATCACAAAGTATATCTTTAACAAGCAACCAGACAGACTCGGACAATTGCAAAATTTCGATAATTAAACTCTTCCATTCATTATCATTATTTTTCAAAAAAGAAAAGATCGACGAACCAGAAAACGTATAAGATAATTGGATCAAATATCCTTGGATTGGATAACTAACAGCAGCTTGAAGTAATGATTTTCTGGCGGCCTCAACATTTCCCTGCAAAAGATCTAAAATTGTCCTTATATTTTTATAAGTATTTCCTGGCTGTAATTTCTCCATAAAATGATTACAAAGGCATATCGTCTTAGCACCACCTTCACATTCATGGACCCTGACAGAGTTGAGCAATCGAAGACCGTGGTTGAATAAGAATCGCAAATCTTCAGAATTTGTATGACCAGGTAAATCTTTATAAGATAGCAAAATACTTAAACTAAGATCACGAATAGTATCATAAGGATCTATCAACCGATCAATTAGGATTCGAGTTAAATCCTTGTTTAAAATTTGGATTTGAAATGGAAAAGAATGTTGTCTTTCTTTCATCATTGATTCTTCTACCAATCCATCCAATCCTAAAGTCACCAAGGCTTTAAGAAAACCGAGTGAGGAAAGCACTTGTTGGTAGTTGCAAGTCGGGTGTAAGTATCCAATACATACAGAAATAAAATGCTCCAAAAACCTTTGGGATCTTTCGATAATTTTAGCATCCTCAGAAATGGAAGGACTGCGTTTGTATCTAATGTTTCTTTGAAGAGCATGACAAGAAGCCCGTATCCTAACAAAAAAGTCATGCATTGATTTTAAGAGGATTTGTCTGGTGTCGGAATCGGCTATTCCAAAAGCGAACTGAATTCTCGATTCAATGCAATCAAATTCCTCGACAGTCAAAGGAGTAGATATATTTGGACAAAGAGCAATTAGATTAAAACAGGCTAGTTGTATTTTTGCGTCTTTGTGTAATATAAGACTTCGAAGGAAAGAATGTTCATTGTTGAGATCAAGGTGCTGTATAAGCTTTCCATCTTTAGCAATCTTTAGTGCAAACAAACAAGCAGCATCCTTCGCATCCTTTGAAGCATCTGGATATCTTTGTAAAGCTGTCAGAAATTTTGGTGTGATATTAGGAGAGACACTAAGTAACGATGGAATTAAGAAGGAGGACATTCCACTTTGTGTTTGGCGATCGTCTCCATAAAATTCAGTAAGAATTTCAGGACACCACAAGTTCATCCACTCATCCTCGGCAACTTCTTTGTCATCGTATTTATCACACAATGTTTGGTAATACAAGCCTAAAACAGTTAACACCGTAGTTGATATAGCTTGTGCATAGCTATAATCCTTTAAGTATTTTATCGAGCGAGATATGAAATCAGGTTGAAACGAAAAAACAGATTCTGCTCCAGTGTACTTAACAAGGATTTGAATAGCGGTACACACAACCTTTGCGTGCCTATCCCAACACAAGGATTGTTGTAAAAGCTGCACTAATGTATTTTTCTTAATCTCTTCATCTGGACAAGTAAGCAAATAAACCTGTAATGTTTTAGTAAATAAGTCTTTCACCGCCAACTGAACTCCCGTGACACCGGGGATTGATGCCCTTGTTGATGGCAAGTTGAAAAGGATCGACCAAAACGGCCGTTCTACAGATTCCCAGACATTCTGCTTAAATCTCACATCTTGTTTACATGCGGTAAATACCCTCCGCAGCCAAACACTTATGGTGTCAAAACAAGCGAGTTGGGTAGGGCCATCGAGTGTAGGATGAACCAAAGAATACTCTAAGAATTTATAGGATTGAAGGAAAAGAGCGTTTTTTTCTGTCCAAGCGCTCGATTGAGTATGGATGAAAAACTCTCTGCACTCACAAAAAACTGAGGGATTAAGCTGCAGGTGCGAAAAGTCACCATCAAAATATGACAGAACACTTTTCTCTTCCATAGCTTTAGTCCTTGTCTATTAAAGTAGAAATGGAGCCTGATTTTAAGTGTACTTTAGGCCAAGTATTTTCCAAAATTTGTCGTTTATTCAAGAAACCAAAATGAGACTTATAACCGGCAACCCTCTTTTATTTTTCGTTCTTTTTAAACAATGATAAAATAAACCCAGAAACTTACTTTCTTCTGACCCAAAATCGAGCAATTGGATGACCCCAACAATGGTGGATACGGACTGAAGTAGAGAATGGCAGTCCACGAAGCGCGTGCCAAGAACCATCCCTAGCAAAGTCAAAAAAAAAACTTTCTGGCTGCCAATATTACATTAATTTTTATCTTCATAAAATCCTAAAAGGAATTGATGAAGTAAAAGTACCATAACTTTTAGTAAAACTAGTTTTTGGTAAAAAATCAAGGTTGCTATATTTTTCATTCGTTTCTCTCGAAGTCTTTAGCAAAGAGGATTTCTTGGATATAATACATATATATATATATAATTTTTTTTTATTTAGAAAGTTACAAAATTTCTACAAATGCCGCAAGATTTTTCCCAGTTCAATTTGGATCCCAGAATCCAGCGTGCCATTCAAAAATGTGGCTTCGCTGAGCCTACTCAAGTACAAAAAAAGGGAATTCCATTGGCTTTAGATGGAAAAGATTTACTTGTTCAAGCCAAAACGGGCTCTGGTAAGACTGCTGCGTATTTAATTCCTATATTAGAGCTTTTGTTGAAACAGAAGCAAATAAATGAAAAGAATCGTGGAATCTTCGGCCTGATTCTCGTTCCTACAAGAGAATTAGCTCAACAGGTTTTTAAGGTTTTGGAAAAGCTGACCCTTTATTGTGGTAAGCATATTAAATTTGTGAATATAGCTACAAATGCCGCAGATTCGGTGCAACGTCCTCTGCTTCTTGATTTCCCTGATATTGTGATATCAACTCCAAGCCGTTGTGTTGTTCATTTTTCCTCAGGAGCTCTTTCGCTTGAGAAGATCAAATTTCTTGTTATCGATGAGGCTGATTTGATTCTCTCTTTCGGATATCAAGACGACATGTCTAATCTAAGTAAAGCCCTTCCACGCGGTGTACAGACGCTTTTAATGTCTGCCACTCTTACTGAAAGTATCACTTCGTTACGACAATTGGTATGTCGTGATCCAGTTGTTTTACGTCTCGAAGATAAAGAAGCTGGAGGACAATTAACACAGTATGCTGTTAAAACCTCTGAGCAAGATAAATTTTTGCTCGCGTATATTTTACTGAAATTAAGGCTCATCAAAGGAAAAATATTGATTTTTGTAAACGAAATCAATCGTTGCTATCGCTTAAAGCTTTATCTCGAGCAATTCGGTATGAAAAGTTTGGTGTTAAACTCTGAATTACCCGTCAATTCTAGAATGAATATCGTTGATCAGTTTAATAAGGGTCTTTACCAAATTATAATTGCAACAGATGAAAGTGATAAAGTAACAGAATTGGATGAAGAAAACGAAGATCAGCAGGAAGCAACTAACGAAGCTAATGAGGAGGTAGACTCAAAAATGGAGGAGGATGTTAAGGATAACCAGGATTCTGGTGAAAATGGCAAAAAGGCAAAATCAAAGCAAAAGAAAGCTATAAAAAAGGATCGTGAGTATGGTGTAGTTCGGGGTTTGGATTTCGAAAATGTTGCTTGTGTTCTTAATTTCGACATGCCAACAACGACCAAAGCTTACATTCACCGTGTGGGAAGAACTGCAAGAGCTGGAAAACCCGGAACAGCCATGTCCTTTATTATTCCTAAATCGGAGGTTGGAAAACATAAGCCTACAACTTTGGCTACTTGCAAGAAAGATGAGTCCGTCTTAAGACGGTTAAATAAAAAGGGTATTGAACCTAAACCTTATGTTTTTGATAAAAAGCAAACTGATGCCTTCCGCTACCGTATGGAGGATGCCCTTCGGTCAGTAACTTCCGTTGCTGTTCAAACTGCCCGTGCTGCTGAGTTGCGCCAAGAAATGTTGGCTTCTGAAAAACTGAAGTCTTATTTTGCAGAGAATCCTGACGAATTGCTAACCTTGACGCATGATACCGCAGCTAGCGTTCGATTGGCCCGCACACAGAGACATTTGCGACATGTACCAGAATATCTTTTGCCAAAGGGACTTCAAGCTGTAAACAAAGACGTTGGATTCGTCCCATTCAAAAAACAAAACAACCGCCGAGCTGCCAAGAAAAAGAAAAATGCAAAGCATCGACATGATCCTTTGCGTTCAATGAGAAGGAGTAAATAGAGTAATTATGCAACAGGCAAAGATAATGTTTGCATATTGTATAGTTCCTTATAGACTATATGTCGGTCAATATAATGGGATCATATGGATATGGGTTTTAGGAATATATTTTTTAGGTTTGTTTAATATTAAAAATATTTGTAAGGACATTGAATTGCATAAAATACTATATAATCATTTTTAGCAGTGAAAACAGATCAACAAACCCGAAAATCAATATTAGGAACAAGTACTGGTAAGTTACATTATTCTGATTATGGTTAAAGTAATCAAGAAATAGCAGTCCTTATACGCTGATGCCTTTCTGAGCGTAGAATTCAGTATCTTCAATTTACCTTAATTTATATACCAGTTTTTGAAGAAAGACTTAATTAATTTACACTTTGCTTTAATTCGTTTAATATAAATATTGAATAACATGCAATGTAAGAAATTGCTTTTTCCTCACTGCAACCCAAAAAGTTACTCTAAACCATAACCAAGACAACCCAATTTGTTAAAGCGATCAAGTCAAGGTTCTTGATGGATTCTCTATCAGAAAGCTCGACTTCTTCCTACCATGGTAAAAGACCAAGATCTTTGAGTGACGATTCTCAAGTTTCTTCTAGTATGGATGATGATTTTAACAAATCCTTAACACCGGAGAAGTCCGAAGGAAATGCTCAAAATCCTCCTAGTATATTTGAACAAAAAGAAATTATTGGAGATCTAGTTAATAATCAACCAGATTTGGAAGAAGGCCAAACGGATTTTTATATACTTTCTTATGGTTGGTATGAGAAGTTATGTTCTTACTTGTCCGAGGAGGGACCATTCCCTGGTGAAGTTGATCAAGAGGATATTATGAATTTAGAGGATGGTTCCTTAAAAACTAATTTACAGGAAGAAATTGACTTCACCATTATTTCAAAAAAATTATGGGAATCACTCACTGAATGGTATGGCCTTAAAGGCAATGAATTCCCGAGAGAAACCGTTGATCTCGGGTCTGAATATTCCCCTCACCTTGTGGTAGAGGTTTATCCTCCCTCTTTTTCATTGACTTTATTAAGCTTACAAAGTGATCCTTATGAAACTCATAAGCCGCTAAAAATCACGCTTTCTTCAAAAAGTACATTAGATGATCTATTTGAAGGTGTGAAGTATACCTTGTCTATTTCTGGTGACAACTTTAGACTTTGGAGAGTTGATACAGAGCTGCCTCTACAACGAACTATTGATCCATCTTCATTTATAAAAATTAGCTCGAAAGAAGTAGTGGAATCGCTGGACAAGAAAAAGACGCTGGTGGAATCTGGAATGGACAGTAGTTGTACCTTAGTTGTTGAATGTATGCACAATGAAACATGGCCTGTCGATCGTGCCTTAAGACTTCAATTTTTGATTCGCCAACGAGACCAGCGAGCAAGTTCATCTATGGAAACCCGGGAAAATAAGGTGCTTGGAACCTGTGGATTAAACAATTTGGGAAATACCTGTTATATGAATTCTGCCTTACAGTGTCTTACGCATGTTCGTGAACTTCGCGACTTTTTCGTTTCAGATGAATGGAAGGACCAAGTCAACGAGTCTAATCCATTGGGCATGAGTGGCCAGATTGCTGGTGCGTTCGCTTCTCTAATGAAGTCTCTATATAACCCTGATCACACTTCATTTGCTCCACGACAATTTAAGGCTATCATTGGTCGTTTTAATCACTCATTCTTAGGATATGGTCAACAAGATTCGCAAGAATTCTTAGCTTTTCTGTTGGATGGTTTACATGAGGACTTAAATCGTATATACCAAAAGCCGTATACCTCCAAGCCTGATTTATATGAGCTTGATGAAGAAAAGATTCGAGATACTGCAAAAGAATGCTGGAGATTGCATAAACTTAGAAACGATTCAATTATCGTCGACTTGTTTCAAGGAATGTACAGAAGCACTTTGGTTTGTCCTGAATGCAAAACCGTTTCCATTACTTTTGATCCATTCATGGATTTAACTCTTCCTTTACCCGTACAACAGTTCTGGTCTCATCCTGTTGTTTTTATTCCAAACGATATCACTCGCCGTCCGATCACCGTCGATGTCGTTTTAGAGAACAGATCTGCTACAATTGGCGATCTTGTGAAATTTGTCGCTTCGAAGGTTGGTTGTGATGATTATAGGAAAATATTTGTAACCGAAACTTACAGAGGACGATTCTATAGATTCCTAACATCTCTCACCAAATCTCTCTTAATGGAAATTTCCGAAGAGGATGAAATATATTTGTATGAACTGGATAAACCTATAGATGAAACCGATATAGTGGTTCCTGTTTATCACACGATTAGTCACCCGAGTAATTCATCAAGTAGTTATCTGGATAATCGTGACTTTGGCTATCCATTCATTCTTCAATTAAAGAATGAAGATGTTGGTGATGCTAGCATAATCGAGAAAAAGCTCAAATTTAAGTATAGTCAATTTACAACCCTTGACACCTTAAAGGATGCCGAATGTCTAGAATCTTTACAGAGCAATACGAGCAAAGACCTTACATCTAGTGAAGATCCTATTCATAATGAAACAAAGACACCGTTGTTTTATACTAAGGTATTCCATGATCGTTATGAACGGATACCAACGGGTTGGAATATGCATTCGTCGAATCTATCCCTACTCACCGAAAGAGACGTCTCTACTTTAGAAGCAACGGTTGAACCATCCACTAATGTTGACTATTATAATGGTGATGAAGATGAAAATCAAGTTATCACAGAAACTGCTCCGGGCTCTTATCCTGACCCGCCAGAACTTAAGGAAATTGATCATACAAACAGTAACCTGCTTGTTCAAGGAGACCTTCTGGTTTGTGAATGGCTAGAAACATCTCAGAATTTTGTGTTCAACGAGTCACCGAGTGCTTCAGAAATGGGTCATTCATTATGGTCGGATAAGGAAAGAATTATGTCCGAAACCAAGGAAGAAGGCAATCGTCCACATACTATAACCCTCGACGATTGTTTGAATGAATTTGAAAAAACCGAACAGCTTGGTGAGGAAGATCCTTGGTACTGTCCTACCTGCAAAGATTTCCGTAGAGCATCTAAAGAGATGAGAATATGGAAATCCCCTGAAATTCTTATCTTCCACTTGAAGCGCTTTAGCAGTGAAAGAAGGTTTCGGGATAAGATTGATGAGTTGGTTGAATTTCCCATTGAAAACTTTGACTTGTCAAGTCGTACAGAATCCCAAAAGTTTGATCCTGTTGGCAATGGTGAAAAGTGCTTGTATGAGTTATGTGCTGTGGATAATCACTACGGTGGTCTAGGTGGTGGACACTACACGTCTTTTGCTCGTAACCCAGATGACAATCAGTTTTACTGTTATGATGATTCGAGAGTTTCACCCGTGAAACCCGAGGAAACTATAACGTCTGCTGCCTATTTATTATTTTATCGGAGAAAGACGGCATAAAAAAAAGGTTATTATCGTTGAATCAAACAGTTTTTATCTTTTCATCAGTGCTACAGGCTAAAAATGTTTCTTTGGGTGGATTTTTCAATGTCGGTTTCTAAGATTCTTTAAAAGTTAATAAAAGGAAAAAGAAGAAATATTAAAGCTATTTGTTTATTTTTTGACTGTATTAAAACGATGGTCACGAAATGTTGGTTCTTTCAGTGTAAAAGGATAATTACAGAAGATTCGAAAAGCATTCGGTTCAATAATGGGCTAGAAATTCCTGAGAATTTTAACTTTCAATTACTCTGTACTATGTGATGCGTAGCTACTGTTGCCGTAGTTTTAAACAACTTGATTAAACGAACTTAAAAGCTCATAGACCTAGCGTCTTTTCCGTATTCTCTTTTTTATTACAACCATTTGCTTTAACTTCAACGCTTTCAGCTTAAATTGCTAAGCGCTTTAGTAGTTTCGATCAAAACGTTTGAAACATATCATATTCAGATGTTGTGGCTCATATAAGGATCTTACAAAAGCGTATTTAACAATTGATTTTATATACGCAACATTTGTAAATATATGCAGTTTTAGTTTTTATAACATATGAATTCTGATACTTCTTTGTTTGAATTGATCTTTATTTATTACATGAGGAATCCTTTACGAATGTCAGTTAAGTAGGCTATATTAGTTTTGTTTTCTAATTACCATCATTGTATAATTGTTTTACTATGTAACATGTTATGCTAAAGCCTTTTATTTTACTTTAAGCATTTTAGTAATATGCTTTTAACATATATTAGAGAATGAGTATTTTTTTAACGTGAACAACTTTGTAAGAGAATATGACAAAATGTCGATACCCAGCATACACCTTCAATTTAAAGGTACTAAAAGTAGTATCAGCCTGAAGAAGTGTTATCAATTTTGAAAGAAAAGACTTAAAATATTCAATTTATTTTCGAAAAATGGAATGTTCAGTCGACGAAATAAAAAAGGAATTTCAAATTGGAATTATTGGATTCGGGGATATGGGTCGCCTTTATGCTGAACGATTCAGTCAAGCTGGTTGGATGTAAGTAAACAAACACAAGATTTTTTCATTGTTTAACCACCGTACTCATACTTCTTAGTGTTAACGTGTGCGACCGGAAGGAAAATTTTGACATAGTAAAGCAGAAATGTGAAGGAACCAAAATAAATGCCCTGCAGGATGGCTTTGAAGTCTCAAGGAAAAGTGATTATATATTATACAGTGTAGAATCTGAGTATCTTGATCGTATTGTTGGCATGTATGGTCCAGCAACGAAAGTTGGCGCAATTGTCGGAGGGCAATCATCTTGCAAATCCCCAGAAATTCGAGCTTTTGAGAAATACCTTCCGCAAGACGTGGACATTATCTCTTGTCATTCAATGCATGGCCCACGGGTAAATCCCCAGTCTCAGCCGTTAGTAATAATTCGCCATCGTTCAAAGGATAAAAGCTTTGAGATTGTGAAGGAAATACTTTCTTGTCTACAATCTTCAGTTGTTTTTTTATCAGCTGAGGAACATGATCGGATTACTGCAGATACTCAAGCTGTAACTCACGCTGCATTCCTAGCAATGGGTATGGCATGGCGCGCAAATAATCAATATCCTTGGGAAATAAATCGCTGGTGTGGAGGTATTGAAAATATAAAAATGAACTTATCTATGAGAATATATTCTAGTAAATGGCATGTCTATGCTGGTCTTGCTATCCTTAACCCTGATGCTAGAAAACAAATTAAGCAATACGCGACTTCTGTTACTGAGTTGTTTAAACTCTCCATAAGCGGAAAGGCACAGGAATTTGAAAATAGAGTACGTAACGCCGGTAAATTCGTGTTTGGCGAACAAAATAATGGCGCCTCCAGCGGCTTATTGTTGAGCGACGAACTTTTGGATCAATATAGTATATCGAACGTCCCTAACGATAAGTCTGTTGGCAATAGTCATTTGAGCATTTTAGCAATCGTTGACTCTTGGTGGAAACTAGGCATTCATCCTCAAAAACATATGATTTGCTCTACTCCTCTGTTTCGGCTTTGGGTTGGTGTGTCAGAATATGTATTCTGTAATCCAGACCTTTTAACTAGCTGTATTTACACAGCCACTAAGCATAATGAGTTTTGTCCGGATGATTTGGAGTTTGTACTATCTGCAAGATCATGGTCCGAACATGTAGAGCAGGGTGATTTTGAAAATTACAAAAAACAATTTGTCAAAATCCAGGATTATTTCCGACCTAGGTTTGAAGAAGCAACAAAGGTGGGCAACGCCATGATTAAAAAACTTCTTGAAAACCTAAACAAAACCGCATGAGAATAATCATTAAGTCTTCTTTATTTCACAATGATTCTTTAAATATGTTTTGTTTCATTAATAGACAAATTATTAATCGTCCTTTAACATAAACCGGTTTTGACAATTGAAATAACATGAAACAATCCCGACAGACTTCATTCATTTCGCTATGGGTATATAAGTTAAGGTATGGTCAATGTTAAATATAGTATTAAATAATAATAAATATAAATAAAATAAGGAAAATTGGTGACTAGTAATCAATCAAAAAATTTCTAACACGCCAAAAATGGGAAGGGATATTTAAATAAAATAAGTAACTCAAAACAAGAAAGGTAATCAAAGGAATATATAACAAGTTAATTTTTTTTTTCAGTATTCAACTTTAGATGATAGAAAACAAAGCCGTTACGATGAATCCGTAGATTTAATCGAGCCTTTACCGTCTTTATCCACCAAGACGAGCAATGCCACAATATTTTGCTGTAATTCGTTAGCAAACTTAGGGTCGTTAGAGTATAATTTTAATTTTTCATAGGCTGGAGACAAACGGATCGTTTCGGACAAGCAAGCAAACCCATGCTTAATCATTAAAATTGCAACAAAAACGGCTTCTCCGGTAACAATAGGATGATTATTTACCACATTAATGGTAGTTAATACACTGTCAAGGAAAATCTCAGTTTTATTCTCCAAAAATTGACAAATGATTTGGGGTAGATTGGGCATAATCAGAGCATGCTTCATAAAAGCTAAGATAGCTCGATTACTTTCAAGAGATAGGTTCGCATCAGGACTTTTGGAGCATTCACGTAATTTCTCAAAGCGCTCAGGTTCGCTTACTAATTTGTAAAGAATGTAAGGCATTGAAAGACGAATGATACTAACAGAAAGGTAATGCAATTGTGAAAAACTGCTACGCAACAGCTTGTCTTGAAGAAGCAAAGACTTGCCAGCAAAGTGCTTTCGAGAAGATAGAGGTATCATAAAGTGTCTCAAAGCTGCTGAACAAGCATATATTTTTCCCACATTCTCATCAATCTTCTTTTCTTTGAGGATACAAGCAATAAGTATTTCCGGAAAGTTCTCACGAAAAAGGGCACTTGAGATGTGATCATTTCTAGTGAGATTTCCAATGAAAAGCGCTGCCATGGTGATGCGCGCTGAATCATCTGAAAGTAAAAACTTTTTTAAATATTCAAGAAACGCACTATTCCGATGAAGATTGGTAGATAAGATTTCATTGTGTTCGGCGATTCGAGGGAAAAGATTTAAAATGGGAATTTTTTGGTGAAAATCACGTTGCATGAGGACCAACTCAATGGATTCGATTAGGATATCACAGTTATTTGCGAAAGATGTACAAATATTTGGATTGTCAAATGCTTTTGTAAATATGGAATACGAATCAATATCTGATCGGGACATAGAAGGTAGAACCTGCAATCCAGCGAAGACCAAAGTCGCATCCTTAGAAAATGGATACAATAATTCGCAAATGACAGAAAGCATATTAATGAATGGAGCGGCTAACTTGTGTTGCCAATCAATCCAATATGTGATAGCAAGATGCAAGATTTCGGTCTCAGCAACCTTTGCTCGATATTTTTTTGAATCTAAGATACAGTTATGAATAACAGCATAAGCAAGAGCAGAGTTTTCGTCTGCTTTTGCACAATAAATCTTCAATACATCAAGACCTTTATTTTCAAAAAAGGTAGCACGATTACCATCTTCTTCGCTACAAGAATTTGCTAAAAATCTCAGACACTGCTTATGAATGCATTCGTTTAGAGAAATCTCCATGAGCTTATCCAGAGCCTGTGAGATATACTCCCGAAGCAAGGGACGCTCCTCAGCATTTTTTGAACGATCTGCTAGCGTTTGAAACAGCTGCGCATCGTCAGCAATAGTCATTCTCTTCTCAAAAATCGCTTTGAGAATTCCAGCTTAAGGTTTTTTAAAATGAATTACTCTTTTCTTCTTTCTATTGATATTATTACTTTGAAATAAATACACACCCCTTCGAAGAATCCGAACCTTCAAACCTACACTTTCTGTGTTGGTATTTGATGGCTACAACTTGAGAATTATTGAGGTCATAAATTTTTGTCCTACTATCTCACTATTATTTTTTACATTCTCCAACGTATATAATGAAAATGATTGTTTGTTGTTATATATATTAATAAAGAGGTGACCATAATGTGATATTAGGCATACAGAACTTGGACAAAATTAAAGAGTTTTGTTTAGTTTTCAGATTGGTACTTCACAATGAGTATGGAATCTCGCCGTGGACGTCCTCCTACTCGGAGACAGCATCTTTTTACAAAAGACTGTAAGTAATAATTGCCCCCGTAGTCGACGGTGGCCGCAGAATCAAATATGAAAGCTTGACTGAATATTCATGAATTTCGGATGTTTCTATTGCTTTGGACACGAACTTACATATGTTCAATGGAAAGTTTACTAACTCATGAATAGTGAAGTCTCTTATGTACGCTTTTGGAGACGATCTGAACCCTGCTCCAGACAGCGTAAATGTCTTGGAAGAAATTGTTGTTGACTATATAAATGAAATGGTAAGTGATTAAGTGATTGGTTCTTCTTTTATTCAGTTCTATAAACTGATATTAGTTTAGTGCCTAGAAGCAGCTCGAATTGCTGGCAATCGCAACAAAGTAAAGGTGGACGATTTCAAATTTGCCCTTCGAAACGACCCTAAGAAGCTTGGCCGTGTTGAAGAACTACTGGTTCTTCAAAAGATGATTGCAGATACTAGGAACGTTATGAAGTACAACAAAGACCATTTTTAATTTCAGTTTGTTAATGTCCCTTATTATATATATGTATTTGAGACGGCATGCCGTATAATCTTTCTCACCGATTCCTTGTTTTATATTTTGGGTTTACAAATATGTCTTGCAATCTTCGCCGTTATATTTGCATCTTTCTCCTTATGTAGTTTTACTTATACAAAGAACATCGACTATATAATTTATATGAATAAAAGAAACAGAAATTAAGACTGTCCAAATATCAAAATGACCATTAAAATCTTTCGAATTCGAATGGATTCAAACTGTAATTTAGAAAGGAAATCAGCATATTATTTCAAGATCCTATAATCATATATACAGTATTGTTGAAACTATGATTGATACAGTGCAAAGATGTAGTTGGTAGGTTTATTCTTAATTTATGGAACCAAAAAATATAGCAATAATTCAGTCCTAATTAAGCTTTTATGAAACGTGAATACTGACATTTTTTCATTTATCTTTTTCTTTCCTGATAAAAATAATTCAAAGTCATGGAATAGAAAAGAACTCATTCCTGTTCAGAGGTAATTATGTCTTCGTTCCATTAGAAATTGAATATCTTTTTAAAAACATTCTCTGTTTTATTCCACAAAAAGTGCTCGTCTATTTTTAACAAGCTTGAAATAAACAACCTTCCGATATTTACAGCTTCTAGTTATTTGGTATTCAACCATGATAATGACGGTTGGAGGTTTCACGGATTGGAGGATCGTTCCATTTCAAACACGGTTCAGGCTCACGTGTGATTGCTTCATGTTCATCACAACAGCAGCACTCAATTTTTTGCACATAGTCTACACTCAACGCTTCCAAAGCCAACATCCTTTCTTCCGGAACAGGATTAGCTAAACAAAAGAACAAACGCTGCATTGGCTCAGGTAAATCGCAAACGGGTTTCAAATATGGTAGAGTCTTGGAGACCCTAACATTTTGAACATCGCACATAAGGTTATACTCACGCCAAGACCTCAAATACTTATTGTAAAGCTGATCTGTGGTAACGGCTTTTCGAAATGGATATGTGCGGAAGTACATCGTATGAATAACAATTGCACACGACCACATATCCGCATAAAAAGCGTTATAAGACCCAGGACTTAAAATTTCAGGTGCCATAAATGGATCGCTTCCAAATACACCGTTACTTTGAGATATAGCGGATGGAAGTTTTTCTGTATTGCCAGGATCGCATAAAACATCGCAAGCACCAAAATCTGTAATCCGTAAAGCGCCGTTGCTTGTAATTAAGATATTTTCAGGCTTCAAATCTCGATGAGCTACACCTTGAGAATGAATGTAAGCAACTCCTCGCAAAATTTGTTTAACCATGCACTCAAAATCCCTTCGAGTTAGGCGGTCATGCCGGTTGCTAATTAAACTAAGTAAATCACCCTTAGAGCAAAAATCCATTAAAATACACCAAGTGTCACTATATAAAGGAAATATATGAGAATCCAAACATAAATCGTAGGCCTTCACAACATTTGGATGTTCCATTCTACATTGCACGAGCCATTCAGATGTTAATTTTGAAATATAGAAGCTTTCTGATTCATCATCGGCTTTACGGCGATAAGCTTTGATCGCGAGCCTCAATTTTTTTTCACTCTCATTTGGATTTTTCAAACTGACGCAGCGTATAACAGCAGTGGCACCACTTCCAAGATCTTTAGTTTCTTCAAGTAAAACGTATTTTGAACTCAAGCGAGGGACAACACGCTTGGCATAAGGAGGAACATAGGTAGGTCGTAACTTCCTAGGTACCTCTTCAATGCTATTTGGTTTCACAGGCTGATAATCTGATCCTTCGTTCGTGCCAGCATTTTCCGGAGCAGCCTGGTTTCCAGAAGAACCATTTGCACTGGTTTGGGCAGAAGTATCTGGTTTCTTGTATCCAGGGCTAAAAGGATTGGCGGGATTGATACATTCGAAACCTGTTCCTTGTGGAGTCATGTTTAAGCTACCACTAACAGCATAAGTAAAGCAGTCATACTCGGGAGAATGAGGCCAAGATTCATAAGAAGTATTAAGGTAAGGGTTCCTTTGTCGCGGGAGTAGCGGTTTTCCAGGTCCCGGGCGAAAACCACCGTTTGAAGCAACTGAAGATTGTGAGGGACTCTTCGAAGAACGAGGAGTGCTAACAGGGGAGCCAGAGCTAGGTGAAGCGTGAAGGGGAGCGTCAAAGAAGCCACCACCACGGGAGTTGGTTGGTTTATTTTTGCCATTCGCTCGAATGTCCATGGGTTTAGAAGTCGGGAATTCTGAAGACCGTGAAGCCTTGTTCATGTTATTATCAGCAATCCCGGGTGGTGACCGAGATGCTTTTGGATGGATAGCAGAGCTTGCACGTTTAGGGACGTCATTGGGTTTCGAGGGAGTACTGGGTTTGCCTTTGTCAGACTGCAAGTAATGATGAGAATTACTTTTTTTAATACCTTGGGACAGTCCGTGGTCTGGAGAAGAGTCATCTAAGGAAGGGTGTTTATGCAGAATATGTTGATTGATGAAAGAACCAATACCTTTTGAAGGGCTTTGCGAAGACTTTCCACGAGAAGGATGTATGGCCTTTTCAAACAAAGATTTCACTCCTGAGTGGTGTTGAGAGCCTCCTTGAGGATTGGCATGGACAGGAACCGGCCCGGCGGGAGCCTTGGGTTGTTGAGCTTCTGCGTCTCGAAGTGGAGGAGACTCACGGGGAGTTTGGGGAACATGGGCCATAGAATCGTTCGTGGGACCATACCGAGCGTCTTGGGGGGTTTGTCTATCGACAGAGTTGGATTTGAACTGGCCTGAATTCTTTCGACTTAATATATTATGTTTAATTTTTGAGAATCCTTTTCGCAATGGAGAAGGAATGGGAGTGGTAGATTGGTTTCGACTTTTTAGAATCGTTTCAGCATCCATAGGTTGAGGACCGCTTCCTTGATTTCCCAAGCTAGACAAAGGTTTATCTCCTGACATATTGGGTTTGGATTTAAAGATATGAAAGTATATATCTATATATATAAGGAAGCAATAACAAGTAAAATTTTCGTTGCGAGGGGTTGCAATAAAAACACACACCCTAACTGTTTTGAGTAAGAATTAGTTAGAGAAGAGGGCGTAAGAACTTTTTGATAAGAAGAATGGGGGTGGAAACAAATTTTAAAACAAAGACAACAAAAGGAGAAAGTGAAGTTTAACAGAAGTGTCTGTCACCGAAAAAAGAAAAGACACCAGAGAGGTTGTAATCTGGGAGGGGAGGACGAAACGAAATGAACAAGAAATAAGTAAAAATAATATGAATTTTCAACAAAAAAACAGACACGACAAAAAAAAGACACGAGAAAAGGATCAAAGAGAAGGCAACAACAATAATTACAAACAAATATAAGAAGAACAAATGGAAAACAAATAAGTGTAGGATGAGATAAGACAGAAAACAAAGTCAGATTTTTGAATAGAATGGAAACGGGCAGAAGAAAAAGTAAATGAAAATTGACGAGGGATTCCTCCACTACTTATAGCAACATCCAAAAGTAATATATCCTTAGTAACTTGATTTGGTACTGAAAGAAGTTCACAAATAAGTGCGCTCTCTGCGCACAAACGATGTATGAAGTATGTAAATTATTGAGACTATTAATATGTGAAACGAGAATGCTTTATCGATACGCGATTCTATAGTATGTACCGATTTTAAAAAGCAAACGGGGAGATAGAAAACGGGAAGCTGCAACACGAAAAGGCAAATTAACAGCCTTGTTGCAATAGAACAATAGCAATAAAAACAACCGAGGGGACGCAAAAAACGGGGGAAAGGAGGGAAAATAAAAGATAATATCACCAAGTACGAGTGATTTCTAAAAATCAATTGCCAACTCTAGAATATATGTAAACCTCTCAATTTTCAGCAATTATGGTAAAAGAATCAACAATATAATAACATAAGGAAAAGGAAAGGACAGAACGGCAAATGTGTTGGTAGACTTAAAAGCACATCCTATATCAATATCAAATAATCAGGGTTGACGTCTTCTTGGTGGAAGCAACCAACTAGGAACAGTAACGTTAGCTAAGGTACTTAGTAGTAGTAAGGAAAAGAAAGAAGTTTGGGAAAGGAAAGAAAAAAAAATAAAGATAAAGAAAAGAGAGAAGGAAAGAATTTAAAGCTATAAAGTATAAAGTATAAAAATCGCAAAAGCCCATCCTCAAAAAAAAGCACCCAACAAACCACGACGTTATGATGTAAACAATAGAAAAGTAGTCATTGTTGGTGTAAATTTCATAGGGTTTGCCAATTGAACAGAGAAAACCAAACTTTGTAAATAATGTAAGATGTATATTGGATAGGAACGTTGAGGTACAGGGTGTGGCTCAAAGACTGACGTTGAAAGGGAAGAGTAAACAGCTAATAGAGAAAGAACATCTACAGAGACAAGTATAACAAACAAACAAATAAATAACAATACAAACAGATAGGAATGAGGAAAAGAGAGAGAAGTTGGATGAACGATTGATTGTATACAAAGCATAGTCAGTCAAGTTTTGAGAATATAGAGATCAAAAACTCCCTAGACGGTGCTCGAGGGAACGTTGTACAAACGCATTTGGGGAACTACTGGTCAAAAGTAAGACGAAAGACGATAGGAAAGAAGCTATCTTTCGCAAGTAGCAAGTTTGGAGAGGGATTATTGAAGGAATCTCCAAGGATGAATTGGTAGATGATCTGATAAATAGGGCAATACATAGTCGAAAATAGAAAGTACCTTAAAAAGATATAATAAGAAGTTGTCTTAAATCATCTCATGGACGTTTGTTGATATCCTTGGGTAAGAAAAGTTTATACCTGCTTAGTTTAGCTTCCTGTTGGATAGAATCCTTATGAGATAGAAGAATACATTCATTTAAGAAAGTCTGAACAAAAATTTCCTATGCCTTCTTTATAGAGTCAGATAGTTTTATTTGTTTCGTATAACCCAGTGCACGGTAGAAACGAAGCAACAAGGTAGTGAGCTTTCCGTGTCCATTAACAAACATAGTATTAATTTTAAAGCATAAAGAGCACAATACGGATGGTATCAGTACCAGCGTTATGGTACGTCTTTCCACCCCATCCCATCTTGCTTCTGTTTGGGTGAAATCGGTTCGCCAAGATCGCCATCTTAATCATTCGTAAAACCTATTTTCTTATTGTTGGAAGTATTTTTGACTCCATTCATGACTTGGTAATCAATGCATTGAAACCATTCTCGAAATCCTTCAGATAGTTGTCCTATTCACCTTTTTCTAGTCGCGTTCCTTGTCCATTATCATTTACTTGTTCAAGACTGTTGTAACAAATGGAAAAGATTATTAGAAGAAGGAAGTCCATTTACACCAGCTAAATCGATGCTACCCATTTCCAAGCTCTATTCTTTCCATTTCTTGACCACTATTCAAGTTTTGATATACTTTCGTTCCCAAGTATTCTTTTAATACCTATTTTTTCCCTTTTTTTTAAAAACAATATTTGGCTTTTCTTTTTGGATTTGCTTGCTTTATTTTGACTTTGGCAACATTTATGTTCTGCTGGACTGTTCAACAAGTCATCTTTTTCTCAACCGTCATACATTGACAATTTCTTGGACATAAATTTAAATTCTCAGTCTTTTACTTTCTGCAAAGGTATGTTTTCATTGTCTGTTCAAATATACGTGGTAGCAAGGCAGCACGTGTGTTACGGGCTAGTTCTGGACTACAGACTTGTACAGTATTTTCCATATGAATGTAGTTATTAAGAATTTCTTTTCAATTGGAACAACTATTCTTGTTTTGATCTCCATTATCTTTCTCCTGGCTAACAACACTCGCTTTAGGATTGGTATATGAGTTCAACCAAAAAAGCAAAATCACGACCCAGGCCATCCATGGATCTCTCAAATTCTTCCAAACGTCGGGCTGCCCGATCAGCTCGTTTTTCTTCGGACACCGATTTGAAATATCAAACTTTACGAAGACTAAGGATAAAGGAACAAGAAGCTTTTGAAGCTCAACAATCCAAACATTGGAAAGAAAGTTCTATATTGGTCGGCACTTGTACCCAGATGTGTCCGAATTTTGAAATTGTCGAAAGAACGATGCAAAAATCCATTCATCCTTATGAAAAGCATCCACAAACTCATCAACCTGATCCCGAGTTCACAGTCAAAGCATATCATCGCCCTGCTGCTGGAAAAGGACCCATCTTACCTTCCGATGTTCGTCCTCCGGCTCTCCTAAAGAAAACAACCGAATATCTTTTTCAACAATTGCTGCAGAAACATCCTTTTCAAGAAGCACATGCTTTTGTACGTGATCGGACTCGTGCTATACGTCAAGATTTTTCTGTACAGTCTTCATTTACGGAAGAATCCATTTATTGTCACGAATTAATTGCACGATTTCACATCGTTTCATTGCATGAGCTCAAAGGTCAACCCTCTTTCAGTTCACAACAAGAAGTTGAACAGCTTTCAAAAGGTACTACTTCATTACCCATCGTTTCATCTAACTGATCATATATCTAGTTCTTTATACCCTTGGTCAATTATATGACTATAAACGTATGAAAAATCAAGCCAGCCCACATGAACCAGAATTTCGCGCCTACATGGCTTTGCTTTGTTTAGGCGATCCGGCACTATCCATTGAGACACTGTCCTGGTCCAGCGACTTAATAGAAAAGCCTATTGTCCGAACCGCGTTAGCTCTTCATTCGTATGCGCAGAGAAATAATCATTTTGAGCAAAAATTGAAACATGTTGATTTATCCCTCATTTCTTCTGAAAATACCGAAGCTGCTCCAAATTTTTATACGAGGTTTTTCAAATTGGCTAAAAGTTTCAAAACTACCTTCTTAATGGCTTGTATATTAGACATGTTTCTTCCTTCCATACGTACCGGTGCATTAAAGGCAATGAAGAAATCGTATCTTTCAGCTCATGCAAATATCCCTTTCAATGATCTTTTAAGAATCCTTTCTGTCTCTCATAATGAAGAACTTATAAAAATATGCCAGAGTCATGGTCTTCAAGTAGAGTTTACTGATGGACTACCCTCATCTGTTGTTTTAAATAAAAGAGTTTTAATTCATGGTATGTTCTTGTCTTCTCATGCTTAATTAACCCATTGAATAGATGCTTTACCGGTTGACAATGAATGCTCATACCTAGCTGATACGAAATATCACAAAGTACCGACTTCTGATATTATATGCATTGCAAGCGACCGTGCAACGGTTCAGAGGCGCCGCCATTCAAAGAAAGACATACGAAAGAAGTCTTCTTTTAAACGGGGGAGTCATCCTAAAAATTACTAGCTTATTAATTACCTTGTTTACTTCTAATAATCTTTATTTTTGGATATCAATTATTGTATTTAACGGAGACCTAAACACACGAATAAACATTCATGAATAGGTTCGTAAGGCTCAGTAAACCATAAATAATAATAAAAAATGAGTTTATAATTAAAAGATCCGAATATTTTTCGGATACAACTAAACTAAAGAGTCTCTAAAGCTCTAGATACATCAACTTTATCTATCAAGTTAATGATTTGAGAGTGGACAGTTTCAAGGCTGCTGGAAGCGTCCAAGGTTACAAAGCTCAGTTTCTCTTCTGTGTATTCTCGTTGAATCCGCTCAAAATTTTTCTCAACCATTTTCTGCATCTCAATGTTCTCGTAACGTTCCTCTCCGTACTGGCCACGCTTTGCAGCAATCTCGGGAGAAACATGTAAGAAAATTACAAGATCTGGACGTAGCAATCCTCGATCAGGACTTTTGCACCATTCCCAATTGAGTCCCTAGAAATGTTAGCATAATGGTTTGCAAAGACTTATAAGAGAATCAGGATAACATACTTTAGCTGCAGAGAAGGCAATCCCAGAAAAGGCATAACGGTCCAAAACACAAGTTACACCAGATTGAATTTTTGATTTGATATCGTCAATAAGTTCCCATCGGTTCGCTGAGAAAAGTAAGTGAATGACTTGATCACTCAGCTGGCTAGTTTCTTTTAAATATGCATCAATTTTTTTCCCAATGGCGGTACTACGATCTAATTTATTAGCAAGACAAACCAAATTTCAATCGCGATTAATTCATACCTGGAAACTTGTAGAGTTGAACCTTTTTGCCTTTGGCTTGCAAGTTTTCCAATATTAACTGACATTGGGTTGATTTTCCTGATCTATCCAACCCTTCAATGACAACTAAAGAACCTCTATTTTGTGTACTCATTCCTGGAAACACAAGGCTGTAAGGTTGTTGTGAATATATCTTATAAGGTGTTTAAAACTGGGAGATATTAAATGCAAACAAAAAAAAACGAAAAGAACGTACAGGAATGGCGAAAGATAGAAGTCTATTCACTAGATTACAGATGAGTAGATATGTTGACTGTAATGGACGAGATAGAATAAACTTTCGGTGAAAAATCAGTCGTATAAAACTTAGCTAACTAGCATACAAAACGAAAAATATTAACGTGTATCTACTTTACTTAATCATGGATACGGATTATTAGCTGTAAAACAATAGTTGATTTATGAAATGTCATTCCTGGAAGCGTTCATTTCAAAGTCCAGCAGTGATTCTCTCATAGATAACTTCTTAGTTCTTTTTTTTTCTAGGAAAAAGAGGAAGGAAAACAGGTAACTCGATTACGTCGACAAGTGTCAATGATTCAAAACATTAAACGTTCAAGTTTGCACGAAGACCGGTTGGTTTAGGGTAAAAATTCATCATTTCTTTTTTGCAACAAAACGCAAACGGCGATACTGCAAGTACCAATCTCCGGTTTCTGTGCAATCCACCCAAAGCAAGGCTTGATAAACACGTTCTCGAAGGGTTTCCTTCAAATGGGGAAATGCTTCATAGAAATTGTGCGCAAATGTGTCTAACCATTGGCGAACATCACGATCCAAGTAAGTTGGCCGAGTCACGTTTTCAATAAAAGTGATCTCAAACCCAGCTTCATTCAACATCGACGTATAGGCTGTTCAGAGTTAATAATTCAATAAATGATATAAATAATAAGTAGAAAGCGCAAATGGTGCCTTTGATAAAATCATTACCTTGTTCAGTTCCAAAATACCAAGGGTTAGCTTCATCAATTCGTTCTTTAGGAATTCCATGGTCTAATAGTACAGTATATATGCTGGATAACACTTCTGAAACATTACCAAAAGCTAATAATTCTCTATTAGTATTTCTAAAGGAGCAAACAGCGACTGAAATGATTCATATCGAGGTCTACTTACCTCCGCATTCTGCAACAAAACGACCACCTGGACGAAGAACACGAGCTACTCCTTGAAAAACAGTGCTTCTTTGTTCTGGATTTCGAAGAATCCAATGCAAGGCAGCATTACTAAAAACGGCGTCATACCCTTCCGATGGAAATTCAGTTGCACTGGCAAGCTTTTCCCCTGCAACTACATAGGCTTCCAATCCTTTTTGCTTTGCAGATTGAACCATAGATGGACTTGAATCAATGCCAGTAATATGTTTACACTGCGATGCCAAATTTTGAGTTAATACTCCATCCCCACATCCCAAGTCAAGAACAACATCTTGGGGTGATAAAGCTAGTTTTTTTACGATTTCCTTTGTTAGTAAAGGAACAAACGCGGCATTTTTTTGATAGGTTTCAGCTGACCTAGAATCATTATTAATAACGAATATACAGTTGAAATGCTCGAGTTTACCAAAAGTCTCGTCCCATTATAAATGAAAAAGAATTTAATGTAGTTGCGGTTTAAAACTTGAGAGCAATTCTTCATACAGACTCTTTGTCATTCATTAAAGTCGGGTAAACTTGCAAGATAGTGATCGATATAAGAACATGAACTTTCTTATTACTGAATTGTTAGAAGTACAACACTAAGTAACGTAATAATTATTTTTCAAAAAATGGCTGCAGTTATCATTTGTTGAAACAGAACAGCGCCAACTCTTGAATAGGGTCTTTTCTCGTAACAAATCTTGCCTTAATGTTAACGCTCAATATGTCTCATATGATAAAATTAAGCATATTCATCGCTGTTTATGTGTTACAAAATTAGTTTTGAATCTAAAATTGTTGTAATAAAGGAAAAAAACAAACAAAATGGCCGCTGTATGGTTCTATATCTGTTACTCTAAAAGTAACGATGAACATGCGTATTTCCAAAAAGTATTCGATACTTTAGCATTTTACGCATAATAATTTTGAAAAAAAATCTAAATCACGTCCAGAATACTTACTTAATTAGTATTTTATTTCTGTATTTGTCGATTTTGTGTATATCACAACGGTAATTTTCGAACACGCAAAATCGTATTCATTCCTACGAAGGTCTGCTGCAGTGATTTTTGTATGCATGTATATAATTTCTATATTCATTCCTATTACAAAATATAAGGAATCTAGTTGTTGAGAGACAGATCGTTATCAACTTTCAGACCCAGTTTAAAACTGGAGAAGGGTCCGACTTGGCTTTTTGAGCTTGTTTAATTCAGTTAAACAAACCAGGGTGGACATTCTCGTACTTAACAATGATTTATCTAAATCTAATACAAACAAAGTCTAACTTACATGATGAAGATGTCTGCTGACTTACTATTTTTGGCACAGTGTAATAATAAAGTCTATTTATATTTTGACATTAAATAATTCATACTGTAATATTCATAACTTCATGCAACGACAATAACTCCAATTTCCCGAATATCTGCATGCTTACTGTCTGATTGATAATAATCGACAATATGCCTTATATAACCCAGTTCTATAAACGTTATGTTTGAGCAACAAATTTTCTAGACAATTAGTTTAAAACATTATGAACAAATTGTTTCAGTTTATGTTTTAGTTCTTGCTTATGTGAAGGTTGTACAACCGAGTTTAAAGGCACCAAGGATTGATTTAACACAGCTGGTTTACGAAAGTAACCATTGCTTGCCGCCGCACAAAGCATATCGGAAGAAATAGGAACAGAGCTAATGGCTGGTCTTCCCTCCTCTTTCTTTTCCATCAACACTGATGTTTCAGTACGATCGTCCTCTTCGTCAGTAGATGATGCTAGAGAAGGAACCGTGCTCAAGGGCCTCAAAGTACTTTTAGCAAAAGAACGGGCATTCTCCAAAACCACGGGGTCTTGTTGCTTTTTTATAGTTGGATACCGGTCTTTTAAAGAAGAGCTTGGTTTCAAGTTTGACAATCTCGCTGCATGAATATTTTGATCAGGCTTTCTTCCATCGATAACATTATTCCATGCGCGTATTGTTTCTAAAGGTCTTTCATATTTCCAACGAGTCGGATTACTGGAGTCCGGTTCTAATCATTATTCCACGGTTAGTACATAGTTCGTTTTATGCTTTCTTTTCTGGCTTACGGTAAATGCTTTTTCCAGAGTAGTCTCGTTTCAGATATCGTTTACATAGTTTTGTAGATTCACGATTTACACGAGCATATGGTTCTAATTCTACTAATGGTAAAGAGGGGTTATCGAATTCACAAGAATCAGGACCAGTTACTCTCATCAGTTTTTTTTCTTAAAAAAAAGTCCTCTTAATTACTTTCTAGATTTCTCTAACAAGAAGATATTGGTAGTGGACAAATTGTCTTTCGCGTACACTTTCTTTGTATATGGATTCACGCGTCAGCCCATTCTTAAGACAAAGAAGCGGAATTAGATTTTATGAGTATTAACAATCCAAACGAATCGCTCCTTATATGAAGCAAATGGGATAGAAACTAAGGAGCTTTCTTTGACACACGCTGTTCAAATGTCGAGTCGCGAATAGAATCCAGCCTTCAAAAGCATTTTTAGGACTTCTCCAAGAGATTATTCAAGTAGCTAATAAATAATTTTCTCTGTAAGAAGGGTAATGAAGTCCAAAATCCGGTAAGCCTAAGTTTCAAAATTGCTCATGGATGAACGGTACCTATAGGGCAAAATCAAAAGGATACGAACTTTTTATTAATATTTCTTAATTTTTTTTTATTTTTTTTTAAAAAAAAAGCGAATGTTCTGATTTGACTTGAATTGAATTACGTTGTCATAAACTCAATGAACAGCTATGCACAGCTTGAATTAACGCCCAGCTTCGGAAACTTCTAACTATTACTACTAGATTTATTTCTTTTTTTTTTTTTGTTTGTTATCTTTTTGATTTCTGACTTTATGGTTTCATGATCTGTTGATCACCTGCCATACCATAACCAAGTCCAACGTTTACCTATTACGCCTCTCACTTCATCATAACAAAGAAGCGAGCTAACATAGTACAATCGCTCGTTTATACATTCTAACATATCAATTGATTATGTTCTTTTTTGTTTTTGCTGGGTTTGCCCTAATTGCACTCGTTGTCTCATTTGTTATGATGATTCATAATTATTTTCTCAAACGTCGTCAAAGAGCCACAGGTCAAGCAAAACCTACTTCGCGTACTAGACCCTCTGAATCAAGCACTGTGTCAGGTAATCATCATGGTAATTCCTTGCAGACTGCAACTGTCATGGGGATTCCTGGCGAGCCTTCTGTCCATTACACAGCTACATATAGGCATCCAGAGGATGGGACGAGAACAACTGTTACTGAAAACCAACCTGATGAAATTCCACCTCCATATACAGCCGCTGTTCAAGAAAGTGCACCGGGTGTATTAGGTCACTCTGAGATTCCAAGGGGAGAGGATGGAGTTACACCCAGAGTTAGTCATGAAAGACCCCAATCGCCTCCTCCTGTTTATTTACCGCCAGAGGAAATAGTTTAATTAAGTGAGGCAGTTGAGCCGTTTGTTGTTCACGTAGTCTTTACCTGTGATTCACCTACAGGTTAGGGGTTTCTGGACACGAAGTTTATTATTGGTTTTTTTTATCGCTTTTGCTTATCTGAAGCTATCCTCTTTGCACTGACTAACTTTTGCATGTCATGTTAACGGACTTTTATAACGATACGAATATTTAAAGGATTCTTGGTTTTTAACGGTTTTATGATCTTGTTTTGGGTATTAATAATTACAATGAGTTTTTTCTGTTTTATTTCGTTTATGCCCGTTTGTTTATGTATTACGCACTATGAAATTTACTCTTCTAATCATAATTAGTTGCTATGCTATTGTTCCTAAATAGTATAGTTTTATCTCTAGCTTTCATTAGTAAAATTTATAGCCATTTAAGTCTATCGCCAACTTTATAATGCGACCTCTTGAAATTCACGATCAATAATGCTCGGGTGAAGAACAAAAGTATACCTACTTCTTTACCTATGGCTCAACTTTTTCTGAGGTATAATTGTAGACACGGGAGAAAATGTAGTCACGATGATGTGTTAAAGGAAATTCACTCGTCTCAAACATTTCATTGTCAACGGCATAAAAAGAAACCCACTTCAAACGCTTTCCTTTAACTTGCAAGCTTTGCGCGTATGTATAGGCCCGCCCGCCAGCGGGATGTGAAAGCAAAAGTTGGCCAGCCGGAGACATAGACCATGTAGCCATGCACGCAACTTCTCCGTTACTAAAAGCAGGATTCGAAGAAGAAGGTACGAAAAAAGAAGATTGGTGCCTACCGAAGGTTCGAACAATGAGATTCGGTTCCGTATTGCTTCGGAAAACCATACAAGTTCCATCCGGGTAGAATCGAAGATAACGATAATAAGATATTAAATGGATAGGTTGATTCCAACTGGTATCACTAGTTCCCGGGCGAAAGTACCTGCAAACTGAAATATAACAGCCATCAAATCGAATTCGAGGTTTTTTTAAATACATCTCCTTCCAGCTTTGATGATATGTAGAAGATAGCTCCTCCTCTATACTTTCTTTTGTTTGTTGCCATTCGTTCAGTTGGTAACTAAAATAACAAAATCGGCGATAAAGAGAGTCTGCTCGACACGCTTTTGCAAGTAATTTGCAACTTCGTGCTATACGAGGAAGATTTGATAAGTCATTCAAGTTCTCAAAACACTGCTCCACTATGAGAAGCAAGACCTCATCCGGAAGTTTGAGTATGAAAGGAGGTGCCACGGAGAGCTGAGTTAAACCATTTGATAGCTCATCTTCTTCACTGCTATTATTTATTTCTTTTTCAGAAAGTAACCTACGATCTTCTTCGTTCTGCTCCTTATTATTTTGAATTGCTAAGCGCTCTATTCGACGATAAATCACCTCTACGTCCTCATGAACTTTATGAGCCAGACGATATCTGTTTAAAGAGTTGCCAATATCACCTTGCTTCTCAGATTCAACCGCTTCTCTATAATGAAGTAGAGCTTTCTTGAGAATGTCATTATCTGAGCATTCTTCAAGGTTGTGTAATAAACGTTTATCTTCCATTTAGACCAAAAAATTTAGACTTGAAACTTCAAAATGATAATCAAATTATAGCCGTTTCTCAAAAATGCACAATCGTATTTAATACAACTCCAATTGTAAAAGCAATCTTAGAGGACTCCATTCCAAGTAAGTTCAAAAATGAATTTTTAAAATTCAAGTTAATTCATGTTAAATAGACTTCTTGCTATTTCTCTCTTTTTTATGCAGAATGCAAGATATTGGGGTAAAACACAATGAGAACAAATGAGAGTGGCGCCGAAGATATTCAACCTTGAGATTATAAGCTCATGAAGTATCAGCTTTAAGAGATTCTGTCATAATTCCTTAGTTTATTTAAACTAAAAGAACAAGAATTTGTTCTTTTAGTTAATAAATTAATTGGTTTCCTCAAATGACTGGCATGAAATTACCTATATCAAAGCTGATAAAATAATTTTGCTTTAAAATGGATGTTGTTCGTCTAGTCTAGTGATCAATATATATATACCAATAGTGCAAAATAACAATCGAAGGCATTTATATACTTCTAAATACTTTGTAGTTATATTGCTAGAACCATTCCTTTCCCTAGTTAATATACACTCTATAAAATATAGGATCTATATAAAACAAGCCGATTCGCCAACACTCACAATTTCTTTCATATTACCATTTTTTGTGACGAATGCGGCTTATCAATTTAGACCGGTGAGTCAAACATTTAGTTTTTCATTTCGGCTTCTTTTTTCTTTCCTATCCAAATTCAAACAAATTCGAAAACCTCGTGTCTTCCGTGACACATATTAGGAACCCTTTGAAAACCAACAATACCTTCAAGGCTAATGGAGTCATATTTCGAAAATAGAATTCTACATTTTGCAGCGTCCTGATCCAGCTTTCCTTCAGTAATTGAACGCATCGGCATCCTTGCAAGCTCTACATAATACTGGGGATTTGTTGGAGGAGCAAACATAACAATAGCTTTGACCCCACGGATATCAAACCGACGGAAATGATGAGCACGCTCGGTATATAGTAAAATCTTGGTTTTCGACTGTTGGAATAAAGTGCGAGCTCTCGTTAGATCTGATGTACTAGAGTATTCAGAAATGGCACTGTAACTAATCGCTTCGTCATCCATATGATTTCGTATTCTCACAAAATCAAAATAAGAAGGAACATACACTAAAATGCCACCTTGGGGACTCTTAACAAGATGAGGCAAGACCGAGTTTATAAAGTAGAAAAAGCGAGCGTCCGGTAATTTGACGATGGAGTCACTAGACACACGAACATACGTTTGTTTAATTTTGTAGCCTAATTGATTCAGAATTCCACGGTTTAAGGTACGGAACTTCACTTTTCCTGCAACATTCAACATGTAATGCGAAAAAAAGGAGTTAATATCCAAAGCATTATATTGAGAAAATAAAACAGTTTGCCTCATATACTTTGACTGCTGGTCCAAATACCATGGACGTACGCGGCTAAAGTCACAATCATGAGCTTCCCTGGGTAGATTATTAATTTCATCAAAAATAGCTTCAATATGCTCCCAGTTTTGCATGTATAAAGCATCGGCTTGGTCTATAATCGATACCTCAATGGAACTCAAAAAATCCAAATCTCTTTTCTTATCACCTTTATTTCCAATAGCCAATCGTAAACCTAATGGACTAGCAACAATAATATCGGAATTATAGAATTGAGAAAATAACTTAATGGTTTTCCTGGTAAACTTAATACCGATCCGAAACATATCATCAGTATTACCGGCAAACAAATAACGAAAATCTTCAGGTTTCTTTTCAGATATAACTTCCTTCTCAATTGAAAAATCATCCTCAAAGCGCTTACGATTAGCTACTTGATCCGCTCCTGAGTAAGATATAAGAGTATTAATAAACTCCAGGCAGCTATTTCTTGTTGGTAAAAGGACCAAGACTTTTGGCCGAGTGTATCCTTGATCCCGGAACTCTAGCTCGGGGTTTTGAGATAGTCTTGCACTGTTCTTTAAAATACGATCTCTTGTCTTGAACACATGATTTAAGGAGTGCAACGCATATAAAGAGACAATAAGTTTGTGGCTCTTAAAGTTCATGTTTGTAAAAAATACATCCTGATAATTAAACATATGTTTGGCAATCTCCATTTGCATAGTCGTCAAATGCCCTGATGGCTTTTGCGACTTAAAAGCTTCCAAAATTCGTTGCTTCAGACCTAGATCAGAAACGTTATCGCTCTTAGGTATGCAATTGTAAGGAATTTTCTCTTCCGTTTCTGGTGTAAAAATTTGGGAAATTCCTAGCTTGGTTTCCTCCGATGATTGAGACCAATTCATAGCCTTTATACACGAGATTGATTCGTTTATGACTTGCATATTCTCGCAATCAAAGTGACTAATGAAAGGGTCTTGAGAAGTTTCACTTTCCTTCTCATCAGCATTATCGAAATCCTCATGAGCCAGAGCATCAATTATTTCCTTTTCTTCATAGGATTCGTTTTCTTCTTCGTTTGTGTCCGGCTCGTCTAACTTCTCGATTACTTTATTTTTTTTTTCTTTATGCTTTGGTAAATCTTCGTTTTCCGATTTCTTCTCTGGTTTTCTCTTTTTCCTGTTGTGCATCAAGTACAATAAAGCTTCGTATGATTTTCCAGCTAACACATCCTTTGACATCTCATCTATGTTGCCAAACCCTGCCATCGTGATAGTTTATTCTGAAAATTTCTACCCTTTAAACACAGTTTGAAATATATGCAAGTATTAATTAATTAGTAGAGAATTTATTTTATATAAGTCTCCGTTATGAACCTGATTACAAAACCAGATTTGCAATGGGTATTGGTAAAATTGTGTAGGTGGAAGTGAAGTTCGTCTATGGGAAGGTCAACATTCGTACATACGACTTCTGTTCATATTTAACAGGAAGTTGATAAAAAATTTTTATTAAAATTAAAAAATAACTAAGTGCTACATGAGACACTAAATATAACCTCGAGGAAAGAAAACTACTCATGAGACATTGATAAAAGACGCTATATTTTGAAGAGAAAAAAGGATCTCCTAATATTAAAGTCGTAAATCCAAGCGCAGAAAAAAAAACCCTCCATTAACTACACAAAAAGACAACAACCATTAGTTAATTGAGCTGCTGTATTAAACAAAACATGAACGAGAGGAAAGCCAATAGTGGGTATTAAGTAAGCCTGAAGATTACCATAGTGCATGAGGATTAATATCGGGCAGTCATATATGTAAGCAAATTACGAAATGTCTCATAAGTGATAGTATTAGCATGAATCAAACAATCGTTATATAGTCTTCAGACTATTGAGAACATTATAAGAGGATTTATGAACAATGAAGTTAAATATAAACAAGTCCGTTCCGTATTGTCGCCATATCCCAAATTAACAAATGGTAAAAGTAAGAAGGGTTGAGGGCAAGTTGTTTCGTCTTTATAGATCGTTCGGATATATCAAGGAATTGTTGACTAATCAATCACAAAAAGCAACTCGTAATTTATTGATGATTCTTAAGAGTTACCGTATCATCATTTTCACTAGATTGATTAGACAGATTGGCTTTCATTTGAGGTAAATCATATTGGCTGCTTGATCGACGTTGCATCCATCGATTTAAGCCGCCCAGGAAGCTATTTTGGTGATTTCCGGGACCAGGACTAGGAGGCGCACTTGAGCCATGCAAAGGAGTGTATTGCAATTGGTAATCCGTTGTAGCCATCGAAAGGAAAGATTTTATGTCCGCCTTCAGATCACGACTAGTAGATACCCAGTGATTACGAATTGCATCGCGCAGCATTTTGATGTGATGGCGAAAATCCAGTTCATTCTTTTTAAACAAGGATACATTCAAAACCTTTCTGTCCAAGCCTCTCGCAAGATTACGCATGACATACTGATCATAATCACGAATAATTCGTGTTATTAAATCAGAGGTGGATACACCTTCCGTTCGTTTCGTTGGTATAAATTTACCTACTTTTTTCACCGGAAGATATATGTCACCACTATCATCTGAAGCATAAGGTATATCATCATGAGCGACAAAATCAATTTTATGCTCTTCCAAAAAATCGGGAGTTATAACCCAAGGTGCACTTTCAACGACTTCATCGACCCACTTGCAATGGCGAAGTGCTTCAGCTCTTTCTTTGTCATTCATAACTGTCAATCCCTTTAAGCGATGGGTCAACTTATCATTGGGAAGTCCGACAATCAGATGGACATTGGGAAACACTTTTTTGGCTTGCTCCAATTGCCTCATATGACCAATGTGAAATAAGTCAAAAACACCATCTGCATATACACGTACTGGTCGATCACTAGGAGGTTCATTGATAGGATAGTTAAATTGAGAATATTGCTCTTTGAATTTTACTTCACTATGAGCTTCATCCTCATCCGTATCGGATGTGGGATACGAAGGAGTCGTTTGGTCCTCATTGGAATCGTCAGTTGAATTTTGATCTTCAATATTACTTTCTGACTTTTCTTCCTCTTTCGAGTTGTTTATTGTGACTTTTTTAGCTTGTTGCTTCACCGAGTCTTCATCCTCTGAAAAATTTACATTCTCGATAGGTCGCTTCGCGCTCTCGTCCTTTCTCAATTCTATTTCTCCCATAATATGAATAATGAACCTCTAAAAGTACGATTTTACTGAAGACGGCTAAGTTATTTCAATTCCACCTTGGCAGTGGTGACTGTGGTTAGGAAGTTATCTTCAGCCGTAAATTGGCCCAAAGAGTCACCACTTATTCGTATACACAAAGACAATGGATTGTACAATTTATTGTCGTTTGAAAAGTAATATAGTAAGATAACTATCATAAAAATTTAATGAAATAAAAAAATGTAATTTAAACAAGCTAATTCACACAAGTACTAAACAACTAAAAATAAACGACATTACATCTTTGCCTTAGGATGGAAGAAGGCATCGGCAACGAGGCGTCTTTGCACTTTTCCTGTAGCAGTCTTGGGAATCTTGTCGGTAAAGTAAAACTTCTTTGGAATTTTGAATTCAGCCACTCTCTGAGCCAAGAAACTTTGTAGCTCCTTAACACTTACCGACTTTCCAGATGTGGTATGAATTGCACTTTGAATATCTTGTCCGTATTTTTCATCAGGGACAGCAAAGCACACAGCCTCAGTGACATTAGGATGCTGCATCAAGACTGCGTCAATCTCAGCTGGAGAGATTTTTTCACCACCACGGTTTACGAGTTCTTTAATGCGGCCAGTAATGAAAACAAAGCCTTCGGCATCGACCTTACCTTGGTCACCAGTACGGAAAAAGCCTTCCTCAGTGAAAGAAGACTTGTTAGCTTCTGCATTGTTAAGATATCCCTTAGTTACATTGATACCACGAACACAGATCTCACCTTCAGAGCCCTGGGGAACTTCCTTGCCCTTAGCATCAAGAATCTTTAAGTCAACTCCGAATGGTACACCGACAGATTTAGGCTTGTGAGTAAGAGGAGGAAGTGGATTCGTAGTCATTTGATGTGAAGCTTCAGTCATGGCATATGCCTCAAGAACGGGTGCTTTGAAAGCCTTTTCAAGCTTACGCAATACAGGAGGTGCCAAAGGAGAAGAGCATGAACGAATAAAGCGAATAATAGGAAGTGGGTTGGGTAAAGGGATGCGCAACAAAATTTGGTGAATTGTTGGCACGGCAGTGTACCAGGTTGCCTCATATTGAGTAAAATCTTTCCAGAATGTTTTAGGAGAGAAACGAGGAGGAACGACAGCAGCACCACCAGATGCAAGTGTGGCTAGAAGGCCACAAAGGAGGCCGTGGACGTGGAAAAGAGGCATTACCACGTATGAAGTATCACGGGGAGAAAGGCGATAAGAAGCGCTGATGTTTTTAGTGCTTTGACAGAGGTTTCGATGGGTTAAAGGAACAACTTTGGGGCGTCCAGTAGTACCACTGGTGTGCAAAACAAGCGTGATATCGTCGGCATGAGGCAGACCAAGGGGCTGGGGTGAAGAAGGGTTAGATCCTTCGACACGAACAATCTTCACTAAACGAGACTCGGGACACCAGGAAAGTTCTGCTACAGCAACAGAGAGTTTCTTGGCGGCCCGAACGGCAGGGGTGTTAGCTTCAATAGAACCCTTGCTGACAAAAACGAGCTTGCTCTTTAAATCGTCAATGTAAAACTCAAACTCTGATTGCTTGTAATTTGAGTTTAGAGGTCCACATACGGCTCTTTGCCAAGAGACGGCATAAAAGCTAACAACAAATTCCAAGCCATTAGGGACAGCGATGTTAACAGGATCGCTTGTTTTAATACCTAAGCCGGCAATTTGTCTTTGGAGATCCATAATAGCAATTCGGAGCTCACTGTAAGACAACGTAGCCGAACTTGCAGGAGCTGCCAAAGCTCTAGCATGAGCATCTCCTTGTAAAGCACCATACAGAGTAGCAAAAGACATGATAAAATCAATCAAAAATTTTTAAGGTATAACAAAAAGCAAAGAAACAAGGAAATAAATAGAAACCAAAAGTAATATCAAATGTTGAATTATGCAAATCCAACAGTATCGTTCAGTCCTATGATTATTGAAACTCCCTAGTAAAGAACAAAAACAAAAGTAATATAAATGTAAAGCTACTTTTCAAAATGTAATAAACAGAAGCTTTTTCCAAAAAGTCCAACTACAAGAGCTTTGTTCTGGTTGGAATGTTTCCTGGCAATTAAAAGTTATGAAGGATGGAGAACGGGTGAAGTTAGATCATGCCTATACGTTATGTTATACCCTTTAATTTATTCAACCAGAAAACTGAAATGATTTTGCTCAACATTTATTTTTTAAACTTTTTTAAATTTTATTTTATTTACTTATCTGCTTTTCTTTTTTGAGTGAGAGAGGATCCCGTAAGCATTAGCTACTACAAATCCTCAAAAGCGAAATAAAATTGATATCATGTACTATAAATAGACTAAATAAGAAAAAAAATATTTGTTTCATGAGAGGCTACGTCAATTACAACCGAGAATTGTGAAACGTCCTGTCAACTTTTAAGGACCATTCACTTCATAAACCCAATACTCAGTTTAAAGATTATTTGTATAGCTTTTAAGATTAGTTGTTTTTTCTTTTCTTTATTAGGATTATTAGTATGCTAAGTTTGTACGTATATAAGCAAGTGAATGGGTGTGCTACTACTCTCCTTCGTTCATGATTTGAAAGCAGATCATACAGATCCACGAGCTAAAATACAGTAAGAAAATAAATAAAGGAAACTAATCAAAAGCTCAGTGAATGATAATTGCAATGAAACATTCACTGTTTACCAGCAACTAAAAATAAAGAGATCATTGACTCTGACATTATATGCGACATCATAACTTTTGATTAAGGAAAACAAACAGAAAAACCTCAATAACGAAGGGAATATGTGTCCAAGCTAGAATCGTAATAAATACATTTTAGAAAAAAATTTCCGCACATTGTAATAACTGCCTTGTCGAAGCGACAAAAAGAACTCCCAAGGCGAGACTCGAACTCGCAACCTTCTGATGACCTTCATAAGAGTCAGACGCTCTAAACCGATTGAGCTACCCGGGACTCGCTGGTAGTATAACTGATTTACTATATCTAGTTAGACTCTGGAAGGTCTTTGAGATTACTTTATTCTTTCGTAGTTGAAATAAGAAATAGTAAAGAACAGATTTATCCCAATTTTCATCTCACACACTAGATGTGGGAAATTCCAGTATTTGATGAATGAACATATCTGGCAACAATATTTTTGAGCTCGGGAAGCAGTACCCCATAAAGGTCGGTGTAGACCTTAATTGCGCTTATTAAAAAAACTGCTAGAAGGGTTTAAAAATAACAAACCAAAATAAAAGCTAATTTTTAACTTTGCTAACAATTCAAAAGAATAGTCAGTAGAAATCATGCATGCCCGCCCAACAGCCGCAAGATATCTTTGAGGGAGTTAGTTATAGAAAATGGAACAACATGATGGAAGGAGAGGAGCTCGAGCTTTGACTTTTTAATAATAGTAAATAGTTTGACAAAGTCATACCCTGTAAGTTAAGAAAGGTTCACCGTTTCCTCCAACTGATTAAGAAGAAAGAGAAAAGACGTTGATTGCTTTGAATGGTTATTACCTTGATTTTCTAAAACAATTGTACCAAAAGAAAAATATTTGGATAAGGACAGTCGACCTTGCCAACGGAAATATGACGAGCAACAACTTTGTCATGCTGTTTTATGATTCCAATTTTTCCTTCATAATCAGCTTTTGTAGCTACGCTGATCATTTCTAGCTCTTTAAAATATCCAAATAATGAGGGAAAGTATATGATAGAACCATTGAAAACATAGAGCTACACCTAGAAATTGTATATCATTGAGAAAAATAAAAGGATATTAGGGGAGCATCAAACATGCAAGTCATTGTGACCATAGTTCATCGTTTTTGATGTGACATTGAAAGGCTATAATAAACTGCTCATCTACTAAAGGAATGAATTTCTCCCCATGTTCGTTACAGTGGATATTGTTCTTTGAATACCCTTGTTTATTCATTTCGTTCAGCTTATTTTGGTATAGATATTCATTATATTTTTTCTTTCTTTTGTATTTTTAGGATATATTAGATGCTTCAAGGTACTGGATTACTACAGTTTGATGATTGCCTGAACCATATGTACGTGTTCCCTACTCTCTCATCCATCCTCAACCGCACACCTGATTCCTTGCATCGATTGATTAGCAATTAATTGACTTGGAATAACTGAAAATATATATTGTACCTAAATCATAAAAAAAGACTAGCTCTAAATTCTAATAATGAGTCATATTGCAGAAAAAGTAGTATTACTGACAGGCGCTTCTAAAGGTATTGGTCTTGCGACTGCTCAAGCACTTCGTGCTAAATCTAAGGTGGTTGCCGTTAGCAGAAGCTTGACGAAGGAACTAGAGACTTTACTTTTGCAACATCCAGATTCATTCGTGCATGTGCAGGGTGATGTTTCAGAAACGGCCAAGTCAAGCGTAGATACCGCTATTAAAAAGTTTGGCCGACTTGATGCCATTATCTTAAACGCAGGTCTTGTTGAACCAATTTCGAAAATTGAAGACGCGGATGTGAATCAATGGAAAAAGTTGTTTGATGTCAATTTCTTTAGCGTAGTCGAAACTATCAAGCAAGCAATCCCTCATTTACGCAAAGCAAAAGGTTCGATAGTCGTCGTATCGTCTGGGGCCGCTGTTCGAGCTTACCCAGCTTGGACTGCCTATAGCACCTCGAAAGCAGCTGTTAACATGCTTGTTATGAGCCTTGGAAGCGAGGAAAAGGACATTATGAGCGTTGCTGTACGACCTGGTGTAGTTGACACTCCTATGCAAGATATTATTCGCAATGAGCAAAACAAGCCTGCCATGGGAGATATGCATAACTATTTCAAAGAACTCAAGTCTTCTGGTAAGCTTGTGTCTCCTCACGATGTTGCCAAAGCTCTTACTTACTTGGCGTTAAACCCAAGTGAAAAGGTTACTGGTCAATTTGTTGAATGGAAGTCCTTTGTCGAGTAAAGTTCATCCCAACCTTTGTTTATGATTAATTAGAGAGAATGACTATGAATTTTTGTTTTATATTTATCTAAGACATACTTCGGATTAAGAATGTTTTGCTTTTTTCTATTATTCATTCATAGTGGTTTATAAGAACGGTAATATCTTCAAAAGCAGTCTACACATTTTCTTTAAATTACTCAAAATTTTCTTTGCAAATGAACTAAAATCGTTAAAACGGAAGACGAGCTTTGCTGAGCGTGATGAATCCATTTAAAGTCAGTTTCTGCTACTCATTCTTACAATTTAAAACTTTTTTCTCGCTTAAAATTACAAATTCTAAAATCTGGAGTATAGGCTTAATTTCCTTCCATTATGAAATAAGACTCTTGTCTATTACACGAAATTTTTTCTAAATCGCATATGACGACGACCTGGGAGTAGTAAACGTTTACATAACACTTTCCTAAGGACAAGTTAAAAATAAGTCAAATTCAACGGATATTACAAGGATTAATAATAATTGAAAATTTATTGGAAGTTAACTTATACTTTTACCTTTTTATTCGATCGTTTGCTATTTAAAAAAAATTCTACTGGTTAAGAAATGCAAGACATCCAAAAGTCTACCATTTTCACCCTTCCGGACGATGTACTTGCATCTATAGAATTAAAACCCGATCTTTCAAATCATATTTCGGCGGCGCCTGAAGCAAATGAAGATACGGAAAACGCGAGAGAGTCTCGAATCACTGACCCTACCCAAAAAAATGTTTTATCATGTACTGTATGTGGAATAAATGATCTAAACAATTTAGAGAACCGAAAACAGCATGTTAAAACGGATTGGCATCGGTTTAATGCGAAACGCGCAGGGGCAAGTCTTCCTTCGGTATCTCAGGATGAATTTGACCACATTTTAGATAACCTGACAGAATCCATATCAGGTTCAGAAAGCGATGATAGTTTAGACGAGGATGAAGCTAGTAAAGCGCATTTGGAAAAGGCTTTTCAAAATTCTCTTCGAATAAATGAAAAACCTCAGCAAGAAAACGAAGAGTCTACAGAACATAAAAAATCACCGATAGTTTGGTTCGAAGTAAAACATCAAGATTTATCAAGTCCGCTATTTCTTGGTATATACCGACACTTATTTCCCTTGGATTCCGTTATAACAAAGGATAATCTCTTAGAATATCAAATTGAAAACCAAAAGAAACCACTTCAGGTAGCCATGTTTATGTTAGGCGGTGGTCATTTTGCCGCTATGGTAGCTTCCAATGAGGCTTATGGAAAATCTCCTCAGTCTTTTGCTACTCCCAAAGTTCTAGCCCAGAAAACGATTCACCGATATACTACGAGAAGGAAACAAGGTGGATCTCAAGGTGCTGCTGATAATGCAAAGGGTGGCATCCATTCCGCCGGTAGCAGTCTTCGTCGATACAACGAGTTGGCATTAATTCGGGATATTCATCAACTGTTTAATGAATGGAAATCTCTACTGGATAAATGTGATTTGATATTTGTCCGAGCAATTGGTGCATCAAATCGATCTATATTTTTTTCACAGTCGGATCCTTTGGTTAACCCTAAGGACCCAAGATTGAGGACATTTCCCTTTACTACAAAACGTGCGACGCATTCTGAGCTACTTCGTTGTTATAAAGAACTAGTCACGCCCAAAATCAGTAATATCAACACTCAAACCTTGGATACTCAGCAACGAGAAATCATGAAAGAGAATGAAGAAAGAAAAATAATTGAAAAAGAAGCTAGGGATAAACTGGAAAAGGAGAAAAAGTTATTGTCAAAACATACTGATGCATTACTTACGAGTTTAAAAGCGAATAAACTGGAGGACGCCTTAAAATATCTAGAGCTAAATGCGTTATCCATCAATTTCCGATTTCACCCACTAAATGTACATAATCATACTTCTTCACCTTTACATTATGCAGTTGCTCAAGGAAACTCAAAGCTAGTAGCAAGGTTGCTTCGTGAAGGGGCGGACCCTACTGTACAAAATGGAAACAATAAAACTCCTTATGAAATTAGCTCTAGCAATCGGGAAGTACGAGATGAATTCTCAATTGCTCGATACGAACTAGGTGAAGAAGCATATGACTGGGAAATGGCTAAAGTTGGTTCAGCAAAGTCACGAGATCAAATAGAAAAACTGAGACAAAAAGCAAAGGCTCGTTCAGAAAGTCAAAAAGAAGAACGCGAACAACAAGAAGCACAACGACGCCAAGAAGCTATAAAGAAAATTCAAGAACAAGAGAAGAAAGATTACGATATCAATTTTGGTAAAGGTCATTCCTTAGGAATAAATCAAATGCGTAAGCAGGATGATCTGAAATCTCTAAGTCCAGAAATGCGACAAAGAATTGAACGTGAAAAACGAGCAGCAGCAGCTATGAAGCGTTTACAGAAGCGATAAAAGCAGAAGACAGTAAGCATCATGTATGAATGACGAGTTTATGAAAGAGATACTAATTTGTTTAATAAATGAATATATAGAAAATAAAGATATGTGAAAATAAAAACTTAAATTTCTATTATAGGGAGAGAGAAAGTGCAAAAATTATAAACCTCAAAAACCCAAATACATTATTTTACCTAAACCTGTTTGTTTTGTTTCTTTTTCTTGTTAGACTTCTTGGTAGGAGCGGCCTTTTTGACAGACTCAGCTTTAGCCTGTGTTACGTCCGAATCAAGAGTAATGCCAAGTTGCTCGAGCTTTCGCTTTTTCAATTGCAACTTGCGGTTATGACGAGCAACTAACTTTTTAACCTTTTCACCACTTAAAGGCTTTTGGTGCTCTAAACGAGCAATGGTAGCACGGGGAATACGTTTATATGGTTGGGAAGCACCTTTGAACAATTCACCGTGAACCTTATCCTTTGGTACTACCTTACATTGCAATAACCGACCATATAAAAGATAATTATGCATAGTTTCAGCAACGATGTTGGCAACATCAACAGATTCAAACTCAATGAATGCATAATGTTTGCTGTTGCCGGTCTAATATGGTTAGCAATTGTACAGTATTTTACCATTGGTATATAAAGCGAGACTTACCTTTTTATTACGAGATAAACGGAGACGGTTAATGGCACCAAATTGAGAAAAGTATCCCTCCAGTTGTTTTTCGTGGAAGCCGTGAGGAAGGCGACCGACATACAAGACACCTGCCTGCTTGCTCAAACCCTTTTTCTCAGACACCTTCTTCTTTATTTTTTTCTCCTTCTCGTTTCCTAATGCCATAATTGGCTTAGAAGGGATATTTGAGTTGTCTATTTCCGCATCGCTCTCGTCTTCATCACCAGAAGATTCAAAGCCCTTCAATACTTCTTCGCTTTCGTTTCCATCATTCATGGACTCTTGTTCAGCACCTTCTTGAGCAGCAGTGGGTTCGGTCTTCTCAACATCATTCACCTTCTTGTCTTGAAGAGTTGCTTTTGGTTCTTTTGGTTGCTCTATTAAATCAATTGCGTTAACACAGTTCAGTTTTCACAAATTTCCTTTTACTTACTCTTCGTAGCCCTTGTAGGCTGCTTTGTTTTCGACATTTGTTCTTCTAATGGTGTTGGTTGTCAACTGAATTTTTTCACCAAGAATGTACCCTCTTTCAAATATGGTAACTCATACGAATACGCTCTAGTACGTAATATATCACTATAATCTAATTTTCATACACTATAATGCGTTATATCACATCCTAATTCCATGACAACTTGGACGTGGAGGAAATTGATGTAAACAAGTCTCTCAATTCCTCCATAAATGAGTTTCTTCTTTTACTTTCTTGTTAAAACTACACTGACAGTAGTTTTTCATTGCTAACCAATATTTACCTACATGTTTCATTCAACGCTATTATTTTTTCTATAACCAAAAGAACAAGACGGGAATCAAAGTCTAGCAGTGAAAAAACCCCAACCTTTTTACTAAGGAAGCAAAAGGACTAAACTATTATATAAGAGAATGCATACTTTTAAAATATAAGGAAAAGAAAGTAAAGCAGATTATAAGAGACCCTTCTTGACGGCAACTTCAGCATTTAAGATACCGGCACCAGCAGCACCCAAAACAGTGTTATGAACAAGAGAGACAAATTTGACGTCAAAAATAGAATCGGAGCGAATGCGACCAACAGAAACAGCGTATCCATTCTGGTTTTCACGGTCTAAACGGGGTTGAGGACGGTCGGGGCAGGATTCATCAAAGACAACAATTGCTTGTTTGGGAGCGCTATGGCATTCAAGCTTTTGAGCTTCACATACATAATTAACAAGAGCCTTATGAACTTCAGAAACGGAAGGATTGGCCTTTGCGAATTTGACAGAAATGCACATCAAGTGACCGTCAATAACAGGCACACGGTTGCATTGAGCAGAAACAACAGTATTATTTAACTCAAAGGAAGATGCGTTTTCATTTACGCTACCCAAAATCTTGCGAGTTTCCCATTCAATCTTGTCTTCCTCACCACTGATATAAGGAACAACATTGTCCAACATATCCAAACTAGAAACACCAGGGTATCCAGCACCAGAAATTGCTTGCATACTAACAACTGATACCTTGTCGATAGGGCCGAAGGCATCTTGAAGGGCCTTAAGAGGCACGACGACAGCAGCAGTAGAGCAATTTGAGTTGGTAACAATGCAACCACGATCTAAGTTACTTTCCTTGCGCTGAGAATTCAACACATCCAGATGATCAGTGTTGACAGTAGGAACAACCAAAGGAACATTTGGAGTTCTACGGTAATTCTTGGCATTGGAAAGAACAGCAATGTTTGCATCACGGAAATTCTTCTCAATTTCACCGGCGTAATCAGAATCCAAACCGCTAAAGACAATGTCGCAATGAGTAAATTCCTTGGCATCACAAGGCTTGACAATCATGTCGGCAACCTTTTTGGGCATGGGGGCAGATTGCTTCCACTTAGTTGCCTCCTTATAGGCCTTCCCGGCAGAACGGGCGGAAGCACCAAGGGCGGCAATTTCAAAGTTGGGATGGTCAGCAAGAAGAGTCAAAAATCTTTGACCAACAGTTCCTACGACAATTAGCAAAAATCAAATCGAAACAGCGAACAAAGTTTGAGCAGCTTTTAAACGTGGAAGTACAAATAAATCGGAAGCAAACTCTATTCTTATTCAATGAGTTTGCTTTCTGGCCATAGTGTATTCAGTTCTCCATTATTAATGGAGTCGGTTAAGAATAACTTTCCATCGTAAAGCGCCAGTCTTTTCCATTATGACCAATTGTACTTACCTGTAGCACCAAGAACACCTACTTTTCTAAACACCATTTTATGCGTGAAAATCTTACAGAATATATGTTCTGAGCAAGTTTGCCAAGAGTCGTGAAAATCTATGAATATCGAGATGGAATCAGAGATCAATTACAAATCGCTGCATTGCGGTAAATAATTTTTAAGGAAACATAAGGAAACATGTAAGTAAACAGTAACTCATTAACAAGAATAGTTAGTTAGGTTAAAAGTGGCAATGTAAATATCGTAGTCAACAAAGAAAGAGAAAGAGTTCTAGGTGTTCTAATTAATAGTCCTAAGGATTATGTATGAAAAGGCAGAACAGATCGGGTTCTTTGGTCATGGGGGTAATCAATTCGGTCCGGTCCATTCAACGAAGAAAGTGTAAATTTCCTTCCGACTCTCATTTACTGTAGGACTTCTCCAAATTCCTGTTTTCAATCAAGGATGGAGCCTTTTACAAAATAATCCTTAATACATTTTTCCACTTGTACATTAATATCATGACTGGCCGGCGTTTCGTCCGGTAAACATAGAAAGGTATATAAGAGAAAGATAGATGTAATTATTCCTCAAGTCTCATTTCTGAGCGCGGATCATAAGACATATTCATATTAGTGTGTGCACCGGCTGGCTCATCTCCGGAATCGTCATCGTCACTAGCCCGTGTATCCTTTTGAAACATGGGTTGCGGAAATCTATCCGCAGGTGATCTAACAAAATTGATCTTTAATTCTCGAGCTGCACGTAAATTTTCCTATAGAAAAGCTGTTAGTTCAAAAACCAGAGCTTTCCATAACACTTACCCTATTGTAAATTTCTTCGTTCTCTACTCGTAAAACATTCCACAGGCATCTGCGGAAAAGTTCGGAAAGTGTAATGAAGAAACTTATCCCTGAAGAGTGCTGAATATGGTTAGGAAAGATAGAGTAAAATATAAATGATATTCGAATCACAAAGTTGAATATCATTGCCAATATGTAAGGCCATGTACTTCTCAGTAAACGGTGTTTACGAAACTCCCAGTGGCTGTCTTTGCGTATAAATAAAGACCAATCCATGGTTATATCCCATGTGTATGAAAAGAGAGCGTTAATTCCAGCAAAGATCGTATAACAAATACGATATCTTAAACCAACTTTTCGTCTATATAAACTTAATAGCATTTGTGTAGTGACGGTAAACATGTACTTCAAAGCATTAACTAAATGTGGAAACATTTGCAAAGAGTCGGCAAATCTTCGAAAACACTGAAAAATACGTAATATTGCTGGAAACGCCGTAAAAAACCCAAGAAGAGGAGAATTCGACGAGTTGCAGAGATGAGGTTGATTCCAGTGCCTACTGTATATACAGAAAAAAAGAGCAACATTTCCTGCAACATAAATTAAGCTTACCATCTGATCAGCGAAGAAGAAATCCTGAAAATGAACTGAAGAAAGTCCAGAAAGAAAGACCCGGATAAGTTGAAATATGAAATACTTTCTTGTTCGCCAATATGGGAAAAATCGAGGAAATATGCAAATTACGCCTGCCACTCCCAAAAACAGAGCTGGAAAAAAATTGGTAAACCCCGGGAAAAAATCTCGCATGCAAAGCCAAAAGAAGAGTGAAAAGATAAAGAACATAAGTGAATAAATCTCCATATGCTGTCTCCAATTCAAGGTTTCTCTTTGATTGAATTCGAAGATTAGAATATAGTTCACTCTAGTTTTTTCCCAATAATAACAATTTAATGAAAACAAAACAAATACCAAAATAAGTAATAAAAAGCCACCCCAAATTTGAAGAAGATATCTATGTTGTTCATCACCGTTATAATAACAAATTCCTTCAAGGGCAAGAGGGATTCCTGCCCCATACAGAAGCCCAAACCGCATGGTATTAAATGAGTAATCCTAACAAATCCGTTAATATACAACTATGTTATTAGAATTCCTCGTACCTGTTTCTGACGTAAAGAACGTAACTGCTCAAGAGCAAGTTTTCTGTCTCCCTTTGTAAAAACATCGGCAAACGTATCTTCAATTCTCGTTTGCCATTGGTCCGTAGTAACAGTATTCGTAAAAGAAAAATTGGATAGATATTTCATCCATCTTGTTTGTAAATTTGTATGAAAAATCTTATCATACTTTTTAACAATCTTCCTAAAGGCTTGCTCATTCAAGCTTTGATATTGTAAAATTAGCTTTAAATAATCATAGAATTCTAGCATCACCTACACAGTTAGTAAAAATAGAATATCTGTTTAATGCAATGATTTTACCATTTTTAGTTTCGACTTTAATTTACGGTAACTAACGTCAGGAGTATAAGCATCTGTTGGTATTCCCTTTCGGGCTGGAATACGAAAGACTGGTTGAAAATTAGTTGAAAGAGATTTAAAGTAGTGTCGAACCCTCATAGGGTATTTTGGCTTTATTGTATGTGTAACATCTTCTTTCTCTTTCTTGTCCTCTTTCAGCTTTTCGTAAATATGTATTTGATCGTAAATCATGTCTAGACGTTCTCCAGCTTCATTGGTGAGCTTCTCATAAAAGCTTTGGATTTTCGCTAATTGTTGGTCAAGAAATTCTTGAAAAATGGGATGAAATCGAAAATCAACCGCTAGCCTGGTTAGAATGAACATTCGTATAGGCAAAACACATTGTGCGTACCAAGCCTGTACAAATTAGTTAGTAAATAAACAAGCGAAACTTTCAAAGATACCTTTGAATTGCTTTTTCATAGTAGCTGGTATTGTTTGCAGACGAAAGGAAAGATGCTTCACTCGACTGTTTTGGCAATCCTTCACCAGGATTCTTTTGGATTGCACCTATTATTTTTTTTCCTTTCTTGTAATCAAAATAAGTAGATGCCCATTCTCAGATTGTTAGATATCAGTTGGATGTCTAAATTAAAAGCAAATACCTTCTACTAGTTCTCCTTCAATAACCCTGATGTTGTTAATAACTTTAAATCAATTGGTTTAAATTATATACTTTCCAAATTTCATTCTGCTAACACTTCGACGACATTAGGCAAACGAGTAAAACGGAAAAGAGACTAATCCTTGATTTGATCAAAATAAACGTTTTAATGATAGAAAATGATTCTAATAATTGCATAAACGTTTGAAAGACTAAAATATAGAACTCGGCCTGAGTTGAGAATACTAAGTTTTTTATACAATCTTGGAGTAGTCAAGCGCAGACCATGAAAGGGTAAAACGTTGATAAACATAGTATCCTGCATTTTGTAGATAAAGCCATTCAAAAGAAAATAAACGATATGGAAATTGTCTATTAAATTCTTATAAGAAATACTAATATGCGTATTCTTTCCAGATGAACACATACATAACTCCTTATAACGTTTAAAAGGAAGTAAGAAGGAAAAGAAAAGGAAAAAACATGTAGTAAAAAATACATTCTACATGTGTACCTATATACATTTCTAATCCAATGGAAATTCCAACAAAATCATTTTTGCTATCCAGAGGGCTGGACGATTAAAGAAAGTGGAAACTCAACGAAAAAGATCAACTTGACTAGATACTCTTTGTCTTTTTGAAACTTCATAACTATTGTTCATTTAGTTGTTGATAGGAAGGTTACTGCTATATCTTCAGTAGCATCAGAATTAAATGTCGTACTTCATGGGAGAACCATTTGATGCATAAACCATTCGCATCAAGTAGAACCAAAGGAAGACGCGGATATTATTTATTTTTTATAGTATAATCTTTACGGCAGTAGCTGGTCGTTATTATAAGAGTACTAAGAAGCAATTCATAGAGATGCGAATGTCTGTGATATCATGGAACTTTACGAAATCATCCTAATCTTATTTTAGTTTTTACAAAATAAGTGTAACCTGTTAAAAAAAGTATCGAAACTTCCCATCTACTGCCTGCTGTCAGAGTGATGAGTTTCACCTTCCGCGAACCACGAATCGGCTGGTGTATACGAAAGCCCCGTTTGTGTTAGATTTTACGATGAATTCATCATGGAATCCTTCTTTACTTCCTAAAACACCTCTTCCAGCCGGCCTTTTGCCTCCCGGCTATAACTTTGAAGTCGAGAAGTTCAATGTTACTGTAGTACGATACATCGCTGAAGGTAATTAGTGCCGTTATACCTTTATCGTTCCTTCTAACCGCAGTTATTAGGTGGTTTTTCACATGTCTATCTCGTAAAGGTGCGCGCGCCTGGCGTGGCTCCTTACGAAGCTGTGTTGAAACGGATATTCGCTGTAGATGCTCTTGCTCTTAAGGCTGTCTATGAAGAAGTGAATACAATGGTATGTTTCTTGAAATAGTCAGAAATAACTAATTATTCATTTTGTAGAAATTGGTTTCAAATGACAAACGATGTGTTTCTTACTACGGATCTGAATTCTTCTCTGCTGGAAAGAGTCAGTTCGAATCCCTTGTATTATTAGAATACTGTTCTGGCGGTGGGTTAATTGATTTTATGAATAGTAGATTGCAAATTCGATTAAGCGAGTCAGAAATATTAAAAATTGCTTCTCATGTTACTGAAGCGGTGGCTTCAATGCATTATCTCCGTCCTCCGTTAATACACAGAGATTTAAAAATTGAAAATGTCTTATTGGCAGCCCCTAATTTTTATAAGCTTTGTGATTTTGGCAGTGCTTGTCATCCAATACCGAGTCCGAAAACACCAGCTGAAATTCAACAAGTCGAATATAATATCGAAAAGTATACAACCTGGCAATACAGATGTCCTGAAATGCTTGATCTACGTCGGGGTTTTGGAATTGATGAGAAAAGTGGTAAGAAACACAAGTTTAGACATCCGGCTTTCTAATGCTGTTTCTAGATATATGGGCTTTGGGTATTCTGTTTTATAAATTATGCTATTATACTACTCCTTTTGAACAACAAGGTCCTCTTGCAATTTTGAACGTGAACTACATGTTCCCTCCTTTGCCTTCTTACTCTAGTCGCCTAAAACGCTTGATATCTGCTTTGCTGCAACCTAATCCATGGCAGAGGCCAAACATTTATCAAACGTTGGCTGAGATTTGCAATATGCAGAATATACCTGTGCCTATAAAAGATATCTACGGAGGGAAGAATTCGTCAAACTGCAATCCTTCAGGTTCTGAATATCTACAAATGATTTCGAACACACAAAGTAGTAGATTGCATCCTAGTCAGTCAAATGGAGCGATACATACGAACCTACTGCACACACCACATCAAGGTGTCCCCGTTGGCGCTGTCCCAATGTCTTCTAATTTGGGACCTGATCCGGGGAAGCCACCTTTTGCTTTGACAAAGCCGATGCAGCATGGCTCATCTGCAATTAGTGCTTCATCTAGACCTTTCCAACCCGCTTTTGGTAAGAATGTTTCATCCCCTCATTATAATAAAGATGCACAGCCATCAGCTGCAAAGACAAAAACGCAGGAACTGACTAAGATTAAAGCTGCTAATCCTCCTAAATCGACTTTGGATATAGCAGATAATGTCTTTTCTTCCACATCCCGTAATCCAACAGGAAAAGAACAAAGGGACTTAGACAAACTAACGTCGGCGGACACGGTTACGGCTCAAAAGTCTTCTGGGTCGGCGTCTTCACTACCGGTATTAACAACACCTAGATCCGACTCTCCAAACAAGGTCAATTCACTTATTAGTAAATGGAATAATGCAGCACGCCCACAATCTTTACCAAATTTAGGAAACCGTCGGTCTGTACCACAGGTTCCTCGTAAACCTAATTATTTAAGTGGAAATACTCAATCTTCAATGAGTTCGCCGACCCCGCGCGCTTCTATATCAGTAAACCACATCACTAAACCCGAAAAACCAAGCAAGCCATCTTTTGAATCGAATACTGAATTGCGAAATAAGGATGCTCATCTGGACTCGCCAATTGAGTCTGACAAGTTCGTTGAGTCTCTGAGAAATGAAAAAGAAAGCGATCCGCCATTTGTAAGTATTGCAGACAGAATGAATCAATTGCTATCAGGAAAAGAATATCAAAAGACATCCGTCGAAGGATATGGGAGGTACATGGATCGCAGTGCAATCACTAAATAATGAATTTTGTCATGATTTTTTATTAGAAAGGAAAGAAATAAATATATTGTCAATGTTTTATGAATAAAATGTTTTTTATTTTATTTTCATTTTGTTTTATATACTAGAGCAAATATTACTGTTGTGTTCATCATTGTTTGTTTACTTCTCTAGCCTGTTTATGTTTTCAAGTAGGCAAAAAGTACCTGTAATTAGCCTGATACCACGTTAATAAAATGAAGATTTTAAAGAACTTTCCTTCACGCTTTACGAATAGAGACCCGTCACTGTTAATTAAGCAGGAAAACAACAGTGAAACTTGCTCGTTGCAGAGTTCAAATTCACAATGGGAACTATCTGAGACAGAAACGCTCACAGACGGGCTTTATAATTGTGAAAAGAATTTAGATATTGGAAAGCAACTCTCTTCAGTTGTAGTAAGGAGCAATCCACTTTACTCCGGTAAAAGAGAAAAAGCATTGTTCCCAATTACTAAAAGTCCAATCAGGAAGTCAAAACATCAGCTCCTAGAATTATCAAAAAATAGGTTCATAGACACAAAGAACCTAAAGCTTGCAATTACCTTACCAGAAGGGCCATTGCATGCTGGTACACTCATCAGAGGACATGTTTGGGTATCCTATGATCCTCTTCTTGATCAAGATGATTCCATATGTATAACACAGTTCGATATTGATCTATTCGGGGTCTTAAAAATTAATACCACAATAGAGCCCTTCTTTTCAGTATCAGAGAAGTACTCTCTCCAACATGCAATGCCTGCAAACCGAACAAAGCCAGGAGCATTCTCTTCAAATGAATTTGGTTTCTTACTGAAGGAACCTTGCAAATTTAGTTTTCCCTTTGCATTTGTTGTTCCTCTAGATCTTGGACCGGGAACGCTAAAAACGCAAAAAATGCAGTTTTCATATTCCTTCTCTGCGTATGAAAAATTTCTGTCAAAATGGTACTAACTAAACAGAACCGTATTTTACTCCTCGCTTTCAGGAGAAGCTCAGTTTACCAGGACATCCATTGAGAAAGCAGTACTTCCATCAATGAACGAAAATATTGCTTCCATCACAAATAATATCGTTTGCGAAAACAGGATCGACTCAAAAAGGTTTGAGGCCCCAAAACTTTTACTCAGGATTTCCATATCGCGATCACTGTTTTTAAGTGGGGAACACGTTAAACTTAGTATACATTACTGCTGTAAATCTCAATCCACTGTATGTTTTCCTAAACTTCTCTCTTCCTTTACTAACGAACACCCAGGTCCGTTCTATTATTGTTTACTTAATAGAGTACACTCAGCTCTTGAAAAACAACTCACGCCTATATCAAACATTAAAAAGACCATCAAAAACGACGGAAAAGGTCGTTTCAAAATGTAAACTTACTCAAATTGCTAGTCATCATAATTCTTCTCAACCAGGGCATTTACATGTTTCCCTAGGGTTACCACAATCCTGTAGATCAATAGAAACAAACGCCCAGGTTCGCATATCCTACGCAATAAAGGTATCTTTAAAAACAGTTTTACATTCAAAGTGAGTATCAAAACTATTCCGTGAAATTGGCAAACTAACAAGAGTTTAGACTGACAGAAGTATATCTTCCTATAACAATATTACATGCGTAAACACGACTTGGATATAGAAGCAAATTTTATGGCAAAATTTTACTTATGGAATCACTTGTATGGAATAATTGAACCTATTCAGCTTAATTAGACTGAGCAGCATATGGAATCAATTGGGGAAGAGATGAATGGGGACTATGCGGAAAACGCTTCCTATATGCATCAGTCACTTCAGGTTGATAGAACCAAGTACGAACTTCATACGGAAAGCACAAATATAATAGAAAATAAAGCATCACGAATAGATTATAGAACGAAAAATAAAAATAACTTGTAAGAAATAAAAATAAAAATATAACCACAAAAAAATTAACGAAAAGAGCACATATTTATAATAAGATAAATCAAGGATAATAAAATAGATAATAACTTAAGAAAGCCCTTAGGAACGCATATGCAAGTTCTCTAAGACTTTCGTCTGCTGAAAAGTCTTCGGAACAAATTCATTTTTTTGGGTTTGGCTTCTTCTTTGGCTGTTAAGGGAAGAGACGTTTGTGATTGGGTATGAGCTGGGTAAGGACGAGTGTTTAAACCACCATTTCTTCTTTTTGGTGGAGGAGGTGCCTTCTTAGAAGAGGGTTTCATTTCGGCATTTCGTGACTGGAAAATACTGTCATCACTTTCATACTCGTCTGCATTGGATATAGGATTCAAAGCTCGAGGCGACTCTACTGGAGATTTCCGGACATCTAGAGCAGACCTTGAACGGTAATTACTGGGTAAAGTAGAGGAACGAGAAAGATTGTTAGTACGTCCAAAATTAAGTCGCCGCATTAAAGAATTCTTTCTGTGAAGTCCAGCTTTTTCCATGGCCTGTAATTCTTCATTACGAGCTATCGCACTTTTAGAGGCAAGGGCACCTTCGATACGAGTCGAATCTGTTAAACCGGGAGCATCAGTGTTACCGCCGGGGACTGGATTTTCTTCATCGTAAGTCATAGAACTAAAAGGAGATTGAAGAACAGCTTTCGTACGAAGGTTATCGTGAATAGCCTTTCTACTGAAATCCTTTGGGGCAGACGGGTCATGAAAGTTATTACCAATTTTTGGAATAGAATTAGCAATACTGTCTTTTGGAAAAGCAGCCACTGGGGCTTTTTTTGCATTGCGGTTGCGATGAGGTCGGCAAGCATCAAAAGGACCATCATGATGAAAACTTCCTGAACCGTATATCCCGGTCACATCTAAACGATCAATCTGATCTAATGGTTCCTTCGTAATATTTTTGTTACGGCGACCTTCGCGAACGGTCTTATATCGACGAATTTTACCCTTGACAGGGGAGTGACCGGATTGATTAGATGGAGAATAGTCAGTTTTGGAAGGAGATCGGTAGCGACCACTAGAGGATCCTACATGAGTGCTACGAGCACGCGACAATCGGTATGACGGAGGTCTGTCATTACTCATGGAAGAAAGAGGTCGAGTTGTGCTCATAGGTGAATTAGAGCGGAAATCTAATAAATCATGGCTTGTTTTTATGGGACTAGAGGATTCGGTAGATACTGGTGAACGAACTGGATTTTTCTGTAGACTATTAAACTGTTGTAAATAGTTAGTATACAAAAATACAAAAAAAAACTGTAAACAAGCTAATTTTGGAAATATAAACAGTAAACTCTCTGGCTTCACCTGCTCAGATGAGATGCCAGTTTTATTCTTTTATGCTTGAAAATCTTTAACAGTGACATTCGTCATAGTATTCGACGCTGTTTATCTCATTCCGAGGGGCTTGCCTTGGCATTATTCCAGTTCACAATTCGTTGCTTGAACAATCACTTACCAAATCATCTGCTAGAGACTCCATATAAGGATCATTAGTTCGAACTAAATTTGGTGACAAAAAAGGATTCTTGCTGTTGTATGTCTCCATGTTTGATGAATCGGCAGGCGCCTCTTCAGCGGGCGATTGTCCGACATTTGCATTCCTTAAGAATGGATTCTCAGTCGCCATCATCCCGTACTCCTCCCAGAAAATAAATGATTATGGCTTAAAGATGGACAAGAAAATGAGCGTATGGATTACGGTATTATTGAAACTTCTCTCGCTTCTAGGATATATGTTCTAGTCAACTTCACCATACATGGTAGTCAGACTCTGCTGTAGTATCCTCGTTAATGTGTGTTAATTAGTATAACGATATATAAGCTTGTCACTAACCAGTCCCTTATAGTACGAGGATTGAAAACCCTAAAACATTAACGGACATATATTGTGTGGTATTGTTAGTAAACAATTTGTAGATGAAAAACGAATTGATGTTTGAATCAGTAAAGGGTTTCATGTCTACCGCGTACACACGAAGATTGTTTATACGTTTTTGCGATGAAATTTCAGCAGAATTATCAAGTAAGTGTCGCATTTGCTTCAACATCGTGAAGTGATAAATACAATGTGAAGGAACATAAACAGTAATATCAATATACTTGCCGATTTAGGAAGTAAGTGACATTTTATAAAATAAATAAACTAAAAAAAAAAAAAAAAGGTTTTCTAAGGATCAATATGTTCTGTGTAAAAGAGCGTATACGTCAAGGCCGCTGATGCACATTTCATTTGTTTCCGTTCTTCTAAAACCAGCCACTAACATATTTCTTTAGTATAAAATGTAGAGAACACCAATCAGTGTAATTCCAATGAGGATAGAAACCCAAAAGAAAACGTTTCCAAGTAATCGATGCTTGCGAATGAATTTCTGTCGTTGAATCAATATGTATGGTACTTGGGTCATTTGGAAAAATAAGCCATAACCTCTAATTTTCTTTGTAATGCATGCCATTACTAACTCATGCAAGACAGATGAAACAAAAAAAGTAAGCGTGGTAGATGTCAATTTGGAAAAGATGTTGTTAAACGGAGAGTAAACATGTCGAAATAAAAAGTAGTGAACCGGTTTGTTCCAGGTTCTAGCAAATTGGTCAAAAGTCCAACAATTCCACCAATCATCATAGAAATTCCTATCAGCAAATCGAGTGATTTCGGCGCTGAAGTTACAGATGCCTTCAAATATGACCCAAAATACTAGTAGGAAACTTAACATGAAAGGAAACATAAGATAGGTGACAGTTTTACCTAATTGGAGTACAAAGAAATAGGTAGAAGCTTCCTCTGGAGCTTCTAAAATCCATTTGATAGCGCGAAGTAAAATAGGAATCATGTAGTTTTCCGATATAATCACTAACAAAAATAAACAGCCAAACGTTCCCAAAGCACACTCGAGTAAATACGTAAAGCGAATCTGAGGTGTCCTAGGAACATACAATTGATAGCATAAGGTAGGCATAAATAAAAACGTTAGAGCATTAGTAAATGTTAAGTTAGCAGGATAACGTTTACCGTGTTCATAGATTGATTCTTCAAAAAGCTTATAATTTCTCTTGTCGTGCTCGGAAAGAGAAATCGACCTTGTGCGAAGTCCCTGCACTTGATGATAGCAATACGAAAACCACCCATTTACTGTGTTGTAAGAATGGGTTTTCATTAAAATGAGGATGGAATGGAGGATAAAGAAAGAACGATGAGTCCAAGACCAGTCACTTAAACAGCACCGCAATATACTGTGCATGAGAAACGCAAAAATAGAGACGGTGTATATATAAATGCCAGAACCATACCAAGAGAGGGCACCTGAAGAAAACAATTTCTGGAATGGATAGGACAGAAAAAACAGTGAAGACATAAATAAGTCTGCCTTTGCGAGATCCAATACATTTGTCTTGAAGAATTGAAAGATATTGTTTCCAAAAAGTTGTCCTGTTCTTTCCATGTTGTCCAAAAAGTTGATTAGAATCATTATGGCAACGGAAACCCAGAACAGAACAAAGAATCCAGTAAAGTCTACATTGTTTCGTTGATGAGCACGAGTAAAAATGGAAGGAGTAGAAGTGTAATTGAGAGGGCCGTACATCCTTTTAGAATGCTTGTAATTAACTTTTGCGGTCTCAGAAGTTCCGAAATCCTTCTCGAGATGACTCGAGGAAGACTCGCTTCTGGCTGGCGTGGCAGAAATCATTAGAAGGATTGCGCGAAATAGGTAAAACGGATATTATATCGCAGAATGGATGTTAGGAGCGAAACGACAAAGTCAAAATCGTGAGATCAACGAGTTAGTAGTATAATACTTACGTTATACTACTTGGCTACTCCGATCCGGAAACTTCTTCCTCCTAAGAAATGACTAGAAAACTGAAGATGTTTCGATATTTCTTCAATTGCTTCTTGATATCTTCTTTTTTAAGAAACGAGTTTTCCACTGAAAACTGAGTGCTCAGACCACTAACGAAAAACGTATTTTAGATTTTCAATGATGATAGAAGTTTGAACGGATTGCAAAAAATCCTCTTCAAAGACTTTGTTGCATAGGATAAAGAAAATGTAAAGCAAGGTATGGAAGATAGTAAAAGGGATACTGTGAAAGATGCGTTGCCCGTGCTCCCTCTACGTAGTACCTATGAACATCGCTATGACATTTTCAACGAACTGCTATTGAGGCAGTGTTCCTTTAGTATGGCTTTTGTAAAACAAAGTTCCATGAGTTCTATCAATTCAAAAAAAAGTATTTTCATAAATTAATTGTCAGGTATTACTGTGCAACTAGCTATGTTTCAGCTCTGACGTGGCACCAAAAAGAAACAAAAAACTCTTCAATGTAATCGATTCGAAAAAAAAAAAAAAATCCTATTGAATCAATGCTATATGTACGCTGAGAAATCCCAAGTAGTTTCCGAAACAGTAGGAATTTCTAATATTTTTCTAAAATTAATTTATTGCTTCTTTACTGTTAAAGCAATAATGGGCATGTGGTGTAGATGGTTATCACGCTTCCTTAGCATGGAAGAGGTCCCAGATTCGAGTTCTGGCTTGTCCAATTTTTGCAATTCTATTCAATGAATTTTATTTAACTGAAACTAATTTTATTTATTGACATTCAAACCCAATTTCTAGAAAATGGTAAACATCTGATGATCCCGATAAACAGATGTTCTTATTGAAAATGAGAGTAGCTTCCTCTGTAGATTTACCAAAACGAAAAACAACTGTCCCAAACTCTTTTTTTTATATATTTTCGAACCACTTTTATTAAATATATGTTTATGAATATCTTAATGAGTTGTTCGTACGTACTTGTCAATACATATTTATTCTTTTTTGTTTATTTACAGAGTTCGCCAAACTTTTATATTCGTTATTGGAGTCATGTTCAAGTCTATTAAACATTCTGTTTATTGTATATAAACAAAAAAAAAGTATAAATAAAAATAAATTAAAAGTGAACGAAATTTGCTAGGAGCTTCAGTTTTTCACTCAACCCTAAAACAGTTAAAACCGATCCTAAAAACTCGTCTCATTTACCTTTTCATCTTCAAAGTTTTTTTTTTCTCTTAAGTTTAAAAATATTTTTCATCCCCCAAGCTCATTTCTATTTTACAAAAATATAATATATGAATCTACATCCCTATACTTGTTACCCCCGAAATAGCAAAACAGACGATACGTAGAAAAGCTTGTAGAATCTCGTAAAGTGACTTGACATGTAAACAGAATTAATGTAATGGTATAGAAATATAAATAAAAAGTAAATCATGACAAGCTTACACCATTCCCGTCCCATAGGCGGTTTTATTATGTATGTAGTAAAATCATGACTCTTCTTACTCATTCCATTCTTTATTTTAGTAGTAAATAAAAAAGTTGCTTCGGCCGGGAATCGAACCCGGGTCGCTTCGATGGCAACGAAGCATTATACCACTAAACCACCAAAGCAGTATGAATAGCTTGTTTCCGTATACACATTTATACAAATTACTGGAAGCCTAAAAATAAATCAATGCTTGAATAAAGAATGCATATATTTATATAAAAATTTGTCGATACGCCAAGTGGTAAATGGAGCGCGAAGCATTGCTTACTTACTTCAAATGAGAAAGGGCCTCAAACAGTAATGTAGGAAATTCTATACTATAGTGATCATGGCCAAAAACAATAAAAGCTTCATGGCTTTCAAAATGAATACTGCAGTAATCAATACATGCTTTTAAAATTGAGATTACAGAATAGGAGAAAAACTCTGCAATTTATACTATTTGAGAAGACTCCTGTACAAGTAATAACTTCACGGTCTTCGATGGACTCTAAGCTTAAAAGAGAAAGAAATAGCAGTTATACGATCTGCTCGCCCAAACATGCTTTTTAAGGGAATATCAACCAACTGGTATTGATAGAACACTTCAGCCAGAGTCAAAATCTTGCATTAGTACAATATAAAAGAGTAGAGGAGTTATATATTACAAAATTTAAACAAGAAAGTTTTGAGCAAAAAAACTTTCATTAGAAGAAACAATAGTATCCAATGCACGAGATATTTAAATTAAAAATTGAAGTGAGTAAGAAGCTTCAAAAGCAAAATTAGACTGGACAGGTTTTATGATGCGAATGATCATATGTTTGGCTAATGAACTCTAGAATTATTAAGAGCCTAATAATAGAACGTAAAATACACTAATGTATTTGAATCGCTTTTATAACCATTAGAACTTAGACAGTCTGTCATACAACAGCAATAGAGCGTACAAAGCTGGCCGTAAACAATTTCCAAAACTTATATCATACTAACGGGAAATCATATTCCATGAATTATGCACTTCGTTAAATTATTTGTCATAAATGCTAGAAAAACAGTGAACAGCGCCGAAGTTCGTTAAACTGTATGGATTGTTTCTACATTTTAACCATGTAAAACTCACAATTTTCTCAAAGCAAAACACATTTGCAAAAAGTCGGGTAAAGAGGAGTAAGGGGGCTGTATCTCTATACATCTACCAATTTATAAATAGAAAAGATACAATGTCTCTTAAAGTACAGAATCCCAACAATGTGCGCGTCTATACAGTATCAGGCGAAGGCGTGACTCAAAAATTGCCGGACTGGATCAGTAAAAAAAAATTAAAGAAGGACTATGCTTTGTCACATAGAATTGAGCTTCTTCAAGAATTCGATTATCCCGAAGCTAGCAATCGCATCAAAGTTACAAGAGATGGTAAATATGCGATGTCCACAGGTGTTTACAAGCCTCACATTAAAGTCTTTGATTTTGCTGAAATGTCCTTAAAGTTCGAACGACATACGGACACGGAGAATGTACAATTTGAGATTTTATCGGATGATTGGACGAAGAGTGTACATTTACAGGCTGACCGTACTGTGGATTTCCATAGTCAGGGCGGTATTCATTATTCCACAAGAATTCCCAGATACGGTAGAGATTTGAAGTATCATTTTCCCAGTTGCGATCTCTACCTTGCAGCTGCTGGAGATGAAGTCTATCGTTTAAATTTAGAACAAGGTCGATTCTTGAACCCTTTTAAGATTGAAAGTGCCGCTAGTGATGAGCCGACTGCTGGCGTAAATGTATTGGACATTAATCCAGTGCACCAATTGTTGGCATTTGGTACTGATGCTGGCACAGTGGAATTTTGGGATCCTCGTGATCGTTCTCGAGTGGGTATCTTGGAAATGCCCTCTAATGTACCTTCTTCTCCCTATACTAGTGCCAATCGTGCAGTTACCGCTTTGAGTTTTCGTAATGACGGTCTTAATTTAGCCGCTGGTTTATCCGATGGTGTCTCTCTTTTGTATGATTTGCGTTCTTCAAACCCTTATATGACTAAAGATCAAGGTTACAGCTTGCCCGTCAAGAACTTAAATTGGTTAGATAGTGCTTTGGATGGTAGTGCTCGGGTTCTTTCTGCAGATTCCAAAATTATCAAGATTTGGGAGAAGGATACTGGAAAACCGTTTACAGCTATCGAGCCTACTGTGGATTTGAATGATGTTTGTCCCGTACCCGATTCTGGTTTAATTTTCACCGCCAATGAAGGATCTCCCATGCATGCCTTTTACGTCCCTTCTCTAAATCCTGCTCCCCGCTGGTGTTCCTTCCTTGACAATATTACGGAAGAAATGGAAGAAAACCCTACTCCTACAATTTATGACAACTACAAGTTTGTCACCAAAAAGGAACTTCTCAGTCTTGGTCTGGATCATCTTATTGGTACAGGCGTTATTCGTGCTTACATGCACGGTTTCTTCATCGACTCGCGTTTGTACGAAAAGGCACGTTTGATTGCTAACCCCTTCTCTTACGAAGAGCACAGAAAGAAGGCCGTCAAAGAACGTCTCGAGAAGAAGCGTAGTAGTAAGATTCGTGCTCAAAATCGTCCCAAGGTTAATGCTACCTTGGCAGCTCGTCTTGCTCACCAAGAAGCTAAGCTACGTAAGAAAGTCGGGGATGAAAATGCTCCCAGTATTCTTGAGGATGACCGTTTCAAGAATGCTTTCACTAATAAGGATTTCGAAGTTGATGAAGATACAATTGAATTTAAACAATTGAATCCTACCAGATCAACCAAACCTCAACTTACTGCTGCTGAAGAATCGGATGAAGAACGCGAACAAACAAGAGGTGTACAGTTTAGTTCCGATGAAGATATTTCTTCTGATGAAGAAGTTGAAGAACATGAAACATTTGATAATCTGTTGTCAAAGAGACAAACCGAGCAAGACAATAAGAAAAAAAAGGGGGCTGAACAAACTATTCGCAGTACTCCTTCCGGAATGGAAATGTCTTTTCAAGTTGAGAAGAAAAAGAAGAACAAACCAAGCCCTGGAAATGAAGAAGCTCTTAGCGGGAAAAAGAGGCAGAATACTGAAGGTCGTCGTTCTGCTAGTAAAAACGTTTTCCGACGATTGTAGACAAATAATTGGGTTTATGTTAATGTGGAGCTTTCAGAAAGTTTTTTTTTGGTTCAATAATTGAAATGGTTATTTGGGATAATTGGTGTTTCGTGCGGATATATGATGTATGAAACAAATTTAATAGATTTCACTAGAGAATAATATTTATTCATGCTTTAAGATTTGATCTCAAAAACAGGGAAGGCATCTGACATCTGTCTAAAATTGGTACTGTCGTTCATAGGAAGATAGGTTCTGTAGTATATGAACTGGAATGTAGACTTGCATCTTTATGGTTTTATCGTATTTATAAATCCTTTAGATAGTACCGTACTTATAGAAACTATAGTCTTCATTGACAATAGCGGGAGAATTACACGTTGAATTGTTCACTCTTGGAATCAACCAACCAACGACTCCGTTGTTGATACTTTTCATTCTTCTCCTTGTACGAGATAAAAACGGTATTTATATTGTATATTGCATATTTTATTTAAAGGTCAATTGCCTATAGAGTGAGTTATTCATAGGTATAGTGCGTTTCTTTACGAAAGTTCTAATGTATGTTCAAGGGTGGAGAAACTGATACTGTTTTGTAAAAATAGCAAGAATGAACGAAGATAACATGTTAACGGATCACAATATTCACACAGAAAAGAACAAAAGCAATGAAGAACAGGAGATGCCCAACCGAAGACATATACAACCTAATATTAGAGGAGAGAGGAAACCAACCCAATACAGAAGAAGAGATTACTACTCAAACAATGATGAAGAAACCTATTCTAAGGGTAGAGATGATTTTTCCAATCGAGATGTGAGAGATGTTGTTCGAACTCATTATAATGCACGACCTGATATGGGTACAAAAAAACGACAATTTTCTCCCATTATTCAATTAAAGCGCTTCAATAACTGGATAAAATCTGTACTTATTCAAAAATTCACACCGAAGGTAGATGATAAACCATTACTCGTGCTTGATTTGGGGTGTGGGAAAGGAGGTGACCTGATTAAATGGGATAAAGCTGGTATCGAAGGGTATATAGGTATAGATATCGCTGAGAATTCTGTCGATCAGGCGAAGAGACGGTACCGTGAACTTCAACCATGCTTTGATGCTCTATTTTATGCCGGAGACTGTTTTTCCCGTTCTATTGGCGAGTTCCTGCCTCCAGATCAAAGACATTTTGATATAGTATCACTACAGTTTTGTTTGCATTATGCTTTTGAAAGTGAACAAAAGGCTCGAAGACTTCTAGAAAATGTCTCAAAATGTTTGTCTCGCGGTGGAATTATGCTTGGTACAATTCCAAACTCGGATATAATATCTCAGCGTTTGAAAGAACTACCTCCCTCCGCTGATTCTTGGGGGAATAGTATTTACAAAGTACGTTTTACGCAGCGACCGTCCCACACCTTCCGCCCTCCTTTTGGTATCCAGTATTATTTTTATTTGGAAGATGCTGTAACAGATGTTCCTGAATACGTTGTGCCGTTTGAGGCATTTCGAGCAATCGCGGAGACGTATGACTTGGAATTGTTATGGCAAAAACCGTTTGTGGACATATTTAACGAGGAAAAAAATTCGGAAACATTTGGCAGTTTAATGGATCGCATGAAGGTAATAGACAGTAATGGTAAGAGAGGGATTGATCCCCAAGAGTTAGAAGCTGCTAGCTTTTACTTGGCGTTCGCCTTCGAAAAACGAGGAATTTAAATAAAAAGTGCTATACTGCATACTACAAAAGCTAGAGGATTTTACCCTTTTCTTTAAATCTTTTTTGGTTTTTATTTTCAACTACTAGCTTGTATTAATATCCAACTCATTCTCTGATAACTTCTGTAATTTAAGCGAAAGTTTATTTCGAGCTTGTCGCGAGTTTAGTCGAAGAGATGCCTTTCCTCTAGAATACAACTGACCCATTATCCTTTTGCCATATCCTTTACGGAGAAATCAGTAATAAAGCATTTAGTGGCAAGTTGAAATTGAGCATTTATACCTTGTAAAATATATTATAGATGAATACTGAATTGCTTCCGTGTAATTACAACCAAAGTTCGTTAATTCAATGAGTCATTTGCTTTTTGCTTACTACTTTTGCAACGACATACGGTCTTTTCAAACGTTATTGAGACAAGATGATTATAAATCACGAGAAACAAAGAAGGGTTTGTCGGAAAATGGTTCATCAAAGTTAGACGTAAATACTAAAGATCGTTACGGACGCACTATTCTTCATATAGCCGCATTCGAGAAGAAAAACAATTTTGTTCGATCCTTACTACAGCATAAAGGTTTAGACGTGCTCATTCAAGATGAAGAATCCGGCTATACTGCTTTACATCGTGCCGTTTATGTAGGAAATCTTGAAGCTGCTTCCTTATTACTCTCTAAGGATCCTTATAATCTTTTAAAAGTAAAAGATCATGAAGGGCTGTCTCCTTTTCAGTTATTGTATAGAATATATTCGGGCGCTCATCCTCAGAATAGCTTTCCAGTTCTTGGAAACGAGCTTTACAGTCTGGGGGACAATGAAAATAGTATTCTTGGGTTTACGGTTTCAGGAAAACAAGATATGGCTAAGAGAGTATTTCTGTACCGTAGGCAGATGTCCGATTCAACATCCGGTCAACTGTTTCATCCGGACAGAATCGTTGATATTCAGTCCTCGAAATTTCATACCTTAGTTGTCACGGATGAAGCAAGTCCAAATGTGTATTCCTGCGGCATTGGGGCTGGTGGTAGACTCGGATTTAGGAAAGACGCCCAGTATACTTTTATTCCCGTCTCAGACTTACCGTATAAAGTGGTACAGATTTCTGTAAGTCAAAATCATTCTCTTGCTTTGACAGATATTGGAAATGTGTATGCTTGGGGATTGAATACGTATTTCGCTTTAGGATTTAATGTGGATAGTTCAAAGAAAGAAGATTTTATTCAAGTTTCCCCAAAGCGGATCTCCGCGTTTAAGGACTTGAACATTATTGGTATTGTTGCAGGTGACACTTATAGTGCTGCCTGGACGTCCTCTGATTTATATACTTGGGGCCAGAATGAAGGACAGCTTGGCCATCCGGACGATTCTTTTATAATATCTACTCCCCGTCGAGTAGCCGGTATATCGTCCCCTGTTGTTAAGGCGACTTGCAATTCACATAGTCTTGTACTTTTATTGGAAAATAATACCGTATTAATTCTTTCAAACTATACGCAAATGAAGGTGCCCTCGGCTATAGATTTAGAAAGTTCCCTCACGTTTACTAAGCACCCTTTATCTCTTTTGCGATTTAATGTCAGAAAAGTCGAAGCTTGCGAGGATAATTTGGCAATACTTACTGAACAGGGAGAGGTTTTTGTTGTTGATTTAATACCTTTAAGATCTGCTAAAGAGCAAAAGCAAGCTTCCTTATCTACAAAGCCTAGTAACAAAGGTGCTCTTAAAATAACTTCATTTTGGTCAGTATTGTCACCAGAGAATGCAGCAAATGATGTTGCTTGGGCTGACAATAATAGTCTTTTGTTATGTCTAAAAAACGGCACATGTTGGATTCGACAAATTCGTTCCAAAAAACGTGAAAAGGCATCTTTGAAACAAAGTACTAAAGGAATTTATAAATATTCTTGTATTGAAAATGTACAAATGATAACTAATGTTCGAACGAACGGTTTTGGAGGAATTTTCACAATTAGAAATGATTATCGTCCTTCTACTATTCCTTTTACCGTTCCAGAGTTGAATGATGTATTCAGTTCCCTTCTTCCATACGGAAGTATCTTACATAAAAGGACTCCCACTCTCAAACCAGCAGAAGACGAAGACAGCCCACCTTATTATGATGACGACCGTGATCCCACGGAGGATGAGATGCAGACTCTTTTTTATAATCCTGGAATAATAATCAGCTGTTATAGCAACTATAAGAGTTCTTCGGCTGATATTTGTCTTCAATGCGTTGATAAAACTTTCTGGTGCCATAAATTCCTTTTGTCGGCCCGTTCTTCTGTTCTACGACAAATATTGTGTACTAGTAGAAACGTGAAGAAAGCATGCCTACAATATCGAATAGACGAGAAGGAGAAGCCTACTTTAGTATTTACGGATGTATCTGCTATGAGCGTCGCTGTGCTTCTGCATTATCTTTATTCAGATTCTCTTCTTCAACCTTGGAAGTGTGATTCAAGGTTTATGAATATAAAAGAAGAATTACTAAAACTTAGCAGGATTTTAGATTTACCACACTTACATGAAGTTTTACCTTTCACAACTCCTCGTCAACCTGTAATGTCATTAGCTAAAGATGTGAACTCTCTCTTTTTGAACAAGACTGCATTTAATGATTCATGCGATACGATTATTAAATTAGAGGATGGAGAAATAAAGGCGAATAGTTTATTATTAAGAATTCACAGTGATTACTTCGATTCATTTTTCACATTTTTAGAAGGACAATCGCCGTCCAAGGCTGAGCAGTACATAGTGAACTTACCTGATAAGAGCCTATTCCAGTTTCAGCTCATTCTTCGTCATATATATGGAAATGGTAACTTGGAAATTTTCGATGATATGAAGGACTATGATTTCTATAGTTGGCTGGAGACGATGACAGTCATGCTAAGTATATCTGATGAACTTTTATTTTCTCGACTGAAGGAAATTTGTGAGCAATCTTTGCTTCGGTTCTTGAATTTGAAAACTCTGAATGATATGTTTGAATTGTCTTCTTGTTATCACGCATATTCACTTTATAATCGATGTGTTGATTATGCGTGTCATAACATAGGTTATTTTTTGGAAAAAAATCGATTGAATGAATGGGAAACTAAACATCTTAGCAATGTTTCAAAGTCTTTAGAGGTGGCTTTACAAGAGCAAAGACTTCATACTCAAACGAGTAAAGTTTTAAATAAGCTATTATTTAGGAATCCAAAATATTTAGAAGAAAAAGCATACGATTTAAAAGTACTGCGAGAGTTTCTGTTTTCGGGTGAATCAACCGAGTTTTGGAGTAACTCTCCATATCGGATAAACAAGGAGAATGATGTGGCTGCTTCACAAACCGGACCTCCAAAAGTTCCTAATGAATTGCCGGAACAAACAGTACAACAACCGTTTAGAACTACTGAAGCTGAACCGAAACAAGATAAGACAAATCAGTTTGCAAATAAGGAAACTTCAGAGTTAATAGGACAATCACCAGGATTGTTGTCCTCGAATAATGAAGGGTTCACGTCACAACGGACACCTATATCTGAAAAGACTAACGGGGAACTGAATATTAGTGGAGAGCGTAACAAAAACTTTTCGATTAATGAAAGAAAAGGTCCCTGGAACAGTACACGAAACGTCTTTGAAAATACAAAAAAAGCTCCTAATCGTGCGAATCTGAGAGAACTACTTCAAGAAGCTAACGATGTGGGCCAACCTACGCCATCAAATACTGAGTTTCGTGGTATGAAAGGTGTGGTAAAAAAGTCACAAAAAGAGAAGAAAAAGGAGATGTCTAAGCAACAACAGCCATTTCGCAAGGGTGGTGTGAACGGATTTAATCCTGAACCCGTTGAAACATCAGCGAACCCTTGGTCAATGAAAAAATCATCGGCGCCTACATCTAAAAAACCTTTCAATGGAATCCTTCGAGAAGTAGCAAGTAATGAAGCACCTTCTCAAGTTTTTTACCAGGAACCTAAAAGACGTATATCGAGTGGATCTCCGTCTAGTTGGAATACATCAGGAAAACCTTCTAGTCAGTCTTCATCATTGCCGAAGGGTGGAACGCAACCGAATTCGTTAATGGCGATTATGTATGAGCAACAAGAGGAAATTGAGGAGCGAAAAAAACGTCTAGCAAACAGGAAGTCAATAGAGGAGATACAACAGGAGGAAGAATTTCAAAAATGGTGGGAGGAAGAAAGTCGTAAAGTCCAGAAGGGACTAGGAATCATCAAACCAGAAGAGGAGTCGAATGACCCTTCTCGCAGAAGAAGGCCAAAGAAGAACGACAAAAAGAATGCGACTTCAGCAAATAAACCAAAGTCCCAACCTATAGATATTCCTCCAGCAAATATGAAAAAGGGTAAAAGCCGAGTATATCGTTGAATTCATTTGTATATTATATAAAAAAAGGAATTTTTATAAACCGACCTACGTGATGGATGAACTTACTTTATTTATTTTTGTGCTGTATATTCCGGCGTTTTACTTAATGGATATAGAATGAAATGTACTTAATAAGCTATCAAGTAATATCGACAATAATTCAAAGCTTCTTTTTTCTGCACATTACTTGCTTCTCGAAAAATCGGGCATAGTATTTTCTAAAATAAAAAATTTAGAGTGGATATTCATTACCACATTGTCGGAAGCATCTTTGAAAAAAATAAAAAAAATATAGAGGGGGTGGACAATTTAAGCAATTAAACATTTGACGTAAAAAGGTACTTAGGAACTTCAAGAACAAGTCGAGAAGACGTAAGTATATATGAAGTGTTTATCTTTCAACCATTAAGGATGAACTTAAACAAAGGCAAGGTAGCCGGAAGTCAACACAGAAAGGATGAGGGCAGCATAACCAGTACGATAGACACCCTTAAGAGTCAATTCTTTGGTGGTATCCCAAACCAAGTGACGAAGACCGTTGAAAATGTGGAAAGTTAGGGGATAGGAGATGGCGAATTTGGCAGGAACCTTTATCCAAGCAGGAACTTGTTGAACAAGACTAGAAATAGTCTCGGTATCAAGAGAGTAACCAGCCAAAGGAGCAACTAAGTAGCCAGTAGCAAAAAGATAAAGAGTACCAGCCAAAACAACGCCAGTGACACGGTGAAGACTGGATAAGTACCATGTAAGTTGAGGCTCATAAATGCTCAAATGGGGAGAATTGGGACGGCGAAGACGCTGATCAGCAAGACGGGAACGGCCTTCCATGTCGGTCATGTGTTCGGTAACAACGGAGCGTTTCCATACATTTCTTAATAAAGAAGAGGAAGCCAAGGAGTTAGAAGGACGTAACAATTGAGAGGTAGAGCGGAAAAAACCAGGGGAGAGAGAATGAAATGTACGTGCGGCAAGCATGATCGAGTAGTTTCTTCGAAAACCGTAGGGAGTATAGTAACTATTAATATATGCTTTTCAGTATTGTAGTAATCAAAAAATAAGTCTCAAACCGTGGATCTAAACCCGTTTAATCCTCAAACTCACAGAAACAATTTAAACAGTGGTTTGTAGCGAATGGAATTGTAATCCCAATCTCGGAAGACATAACTAAACGTCGGGGACTTGTTAATGAAGCGAAACGCTGCGTACTACAACGCGAAAATGATGTAGTCCAGGGTTCGAATCTCAAGAAGATCTTTTTTTAATGAAATTTACCATTCGCCTTTACTGAGTATTTTTTTAGGAAAGTGTGTGGTCTTTTGAAATTACAGTGAACGAAAGTGGGCTTAAAAAAAAAGCGAAATTGTATTTTTGAGTTTATTGGAACTTTTGTTTGAAATCAATTTGTGTTTGGACGAACGGAAATCTTTAGTACATTTGGCTGGAAGAAAAGATAATTATTTTACGTTGGATAAAAATATTGGATTAACGAAGTGCTTTCAAGTTTTTGAAATATAAAATTAAAGTATGTCTCAGCAAGACGAACACATGAACGAAAGAAGTGAATCTTCAGAATCACCAAATGATCCTGTGGTAAGGACCCTACCTGTATACTATTCACCGGCCCTTAGAAACCATTTACTCTTGAATCAATATCCTTTAAGACCAAAAAATCGAGAATACAGTAGCAGGACAGGAGAAACACCAGTGAATGCGCGCATCAAGCCTAAAACCGGGTGGATGGAGATGGAAGTGCCCATTCCTACAGCAAATTACTTTGACGAAGAAAAAGCGAAAAAATATAGCAGCGAGCAACAACCATTAAGGACACAAGTGCTTGCAGGCCGTTTACAACAGCCACAAACTAACCTGATGGTAGGATTGATTCGTAATGGTCAACTTCACATCGTCCCTTTGCGGGGATTAACACAGTTACGTCCTTCTATGAGACATGTAGATGACCATACACAACGAGTTAAAGCCTCTACTACTTCTACAACATCACAGCCTAATGCTTCCTCTTCCCGTGGACCGATTCGCGCCATTCAAGTGACGGCCAAGCAAAATTCAGAGGCACCTAAGCTCTCAACGACACATATTATTAGGGCTACAGAAGAAGAAGAATGGCAACCAGTCGACATTCGGGAAAACGAAGAAGCTCTCTCAGTTGCTAAACAGTTGGAATGTCCCTTGGAGCATCAACCTAATGAATGCACGCCAGCGGACGTAGAGTACTCATTTCTTTAGGATAATCGGGATAAACAAAATGGGATTTGCTTGTACAATTTCGTGTGAAGTAGCGTAAATAGTTTTAGGATCCTTATTACGTTTAGCATCATTAACATGATCAATTGTCCTAAAATATGCATCACCGTTCTTCAAAATCTCTTCATTCAAGGCGAATATTACAATTGGCTCTTTCACTACTAAATAAATGAATTACTGAAATGAATGCCTAAGCTTATCACATCTACTAATACAATGTCTAAAAAAAAACTCCATAACCCAAGAAATCATGCTTATTGATTTTTAAACAATCTACTGACTAGCAGCAGCCTTGGCGTTCTTGATGGCTTGACCACGGGCAGCACCGGCAGAAGACTTGGCATTGCCAGCCTTCTTCTCGGACTTAGAAGTAGCCTTCTTGTCCTTGGCTTGCTTCAAAGCGGAAGCACGAGCGGCAGCACGGACTTCAGGACGTTGGTTACGCTTTTCCTTGATGACATCGACGGAAGCACCGACAACACCACGTTGGTGCTTGACAGTACGGCGAGAGCGCTTCTTGGTAGATTCCTCAGAAAGACCCTTCTTGTGCATACGACGGTAAAGGACAGTCCATGACAAACGACGGGGGTTCTTACGTTGGAGGAAGAGGCTCTCAGACTTCTTGTTTACAAAGCGGAAAACCTTGTTGTCTCCACGAACAAAGAGTCTTCCAGCTCCAGGGTAAACTTTAGCACCGGAGAATGAGCAGATTTCCACCTTCATTATGCCTTGTTGTTCGTGGTCGTTGTAGTCAGGAATATTTCCTTACTGGGTTTGTGTTTCTAATATAGCAGTCACATACCCTAACCTCTTAGAAAAATTGCGTTACATCTTCGTTTACGTTAATAGAAATAACGATGTTTTATTTGGTGTCTTTGATAAACAATAGAGTAAAAGAATTTTAATAATCACTGGTTGTTTATTTGCAATTATTCACCATGTATGGCTTCCTTAATTACTATCCTTTTTATATTAATTTTAAAAAATTGAAATAGAATACTCTTGCAGCGCTGTATAGTAACTACCATCATTTGCCAAATATGATATTGTTGTTCATTGACTCAAATTATATTTTTGACAAACAAAATTTAATGAATATTTGTTTTTATGTATTAACAGGGCCGTTTACTAACCATGAAGATCACACTACTGTTTACATGAATTGACTTATAAATTTGTTAAATGAAAACGAAGAAACATGTCACCGCAGAATGTAAACAACAATGTTAGGGAAGTAAGCAGCTAACCAAAACCCAACATCAAGGTGGAAGAAGGGGTTCGAATTAATGACTGATTCTAAACTTGCTGGATCTGTAAATCAGCTCTCGATGTCTTCAGGCTCGGCGCTCCCAAACAGTGCGAACCCTGGACGTCAACAGTTGCTGAAACTAGCAGTTTCTAATCAACGTCAGGTGAATTACCCTGTGACAAAGAAGGACAGTAGAGGATTAGAAAATAAACGTTATTCTTCTAGCAAGCAACAAGATGAACCAATTGCAGGTGTTCCTTCACCGATGGGGCCTCAATGGCGGGATTTTCATATAGGCATGTTTGAAATAGGAAAACCACTTGGGAAAGGAAAGTTTGGAAGAGTTTATTTAGCAAAGGAAAAGAAAACAGGATTTATAGTTGCTTTGAAAACGTTACATAAGTCCGAACTCATCCATTCAAGAATTGAAAAACAGGTGAGAAGAGAAATTGAAATTCAATCAAATTTGAGACATAAAAACATCCTTCGTTTATTTGGTCATTTTCACGATGAAAAAAGGATTTTTTTAATACTGGAGTTTGCCGGAAGAGGAGAATTGTACCAGCATCTTCGAAAAGCATCTCGATTTTCAGAAAGTACAGCTGCTAAATATATCTATCAAATGGCAAATGCTTTAGCCTATTTACACAAAAAACATGTTATTCATAGAGATATTAAGCCTGAAAATATACTACTTGGAATTGACGGAGAAATCAAGCTATCGGATTTCGGATGGAGTGTACATGCACCTTCCAATCGCAGGACAACCCTATGTGGTACTTTGGATTATCTTCCTCCTGAAATGGTGGAAGGCAAGGAACACACTGAGAAGGTTGATTTGTGGTCCCTGGGAGTGCTTACTTATGAATTTATAGTAGGAGCACCTCCCTTTGAAGACGTATCTGGTCACTCGGCCACGTACAGAAGAATAGCAAAGGTGGATTTGAAAATCCCTAGCTTTGTATCACCGGAAGGGAAAGATTTAATTAGTCGTCTGCTGCGACATAGTCCTGAACAGCGAATTTCCTTAGAGCAGGTTGTCAAGCATCCTTGGATACTCAAATTTAAAGCGTCTTGGAATTCCGATCAATGAATAGAGACCAACAACAAACCCCTTAAAGGTTGATTCGGTAATTTTGTGCGGCATTCGTCAAAACCTCCTTTGGTCACTTAATTTATTTCACTTTAATAACGATTTTTGATACTTATTTTCTATGAATGCTAGTATTTCCTTTTATATATAATTAATCTTGGTGTAAATGATATTAAATTTTGAACATTCTAGCCAAAGAAAAGGAAGGGAGCGAAGGAAGAGGAAGTATAATGAAATAAAATAAAGATTTATCCATAAAACGAGGGCAGCAGAAAAGGTAATAAATAATGTGTTTCTTTCGTTTCGAATAGAAAAGATTGGATTTTCACTCGAGACGTCGAAAGACGACTGTTTAGATATTCAACTATTGATAGCTGTACATCGCTTTAATGAACTAGTAAACTAAAATATGTTAATGAGATTAGAAAAATAAAAATTAGTAAAAAACTTACTTTTTTCAAACGGTCTGGTATCCCGGAAACACGAGGCGAATACTTCTTGAACAATCATTTCTGCTTGATTTTTGCTTTGGCACTTTGGGTTGCCTTGGACAGAAAGTGTTGCTCTGCGTTTTACGCATTCCTGATGATGTTTCCTGAACGTGTGAATGTTACCATAAAACAATTCTTTAGTCCATCGGCATTCACCGCTGAGGCTACTAGCGCGAATTTCAGAGCATGCATGATGGCGTAGATCTTCCCAATTTACATGAAATCTACAGTCATCAAACCAATGAATCATTTCATGAGCTATTGTGTTTTCAGCCATTTTTTGACTATAGATTCTGTTTTCACAAAGTACAATGCCTTTTCCAGGTACAAAGCCACCGGAGGTTTTCTCATCACATGGTTCACATCGAATATCCGAAGCATCAAAGTCTGAATTCAAATACCCCAAAGACTTTTTCAGAAAGACCAGAATAGGTGAATCAGATAGGAGGGCTTTCTTGACGCGTTCGCAGTTTCTTTTTTCTCTGCTGGGCTCGATTTTTGTTGTTTCTGACATGCCGAACCGAGCTCTAGATTGAATATTTTCTGATTCAACCTTGGATGAAAGTTATTTAAGGGATCAAGTCGAAATCTGTCGAATGTGACCACAAAGTTGACTTTATTACTTGGAAAAGGACCAAAGTGTAAATATGATAAAGATATCCAAAAAAGAAGAAAAGAATAAAGTGTTCTCAAAATGTTGAAATACGTTTCAGTTGGGCCCACCTCACTAAACTTTTGAACTGGTCTTAGTTTTGAAAGAACATATGCTGTTAATCTGAACTCCCTGTGATATCGTATAAAAACTCGTCCTGAAAAATAGCCAACTGGCTTTTGTTTGAAGTTATGATTCTAACGCATCAAAACAACATAAAATAAAATAAGAAATTGTAAAGCACTTCTAAAACTATAACATAGCACTTAATCACTAAATAAAATGCGACAACTTGCTTTGTCTGTAAAGCTCGAAAGCAACAGAATTTTGTTAGCATTGATCGAGAAACCATATTAAATGGAAAACTGTTCCTAGATATTATATTAATTTATTTTAGAAAAAACACCAAGCATGATTTTTTCGATTACAAAAAAGACTTACTAATCTGCAAATGTTACTGCAGTGGGAATTCGACAAGCATAAATCTCGAAGGTTAAAACGGCCATAGATGTTTGAGCATCAAATATTTTCTAATAAAAAAGATTGACTCCATCTGACTCCTAAGTAAAATCAGCTGAAATTGGATGTTTTCCAAAGTACGTTTCAATGGTTTGTTTACTTTTTGTAATAGTTTGGTTTATAGTATAATCTAGTGGAATTGTGTAATAAAAAAATTATAATATACTCTATAGGAATATATAATGAGGTCAACAAATCGTAACAGAAATTATAGCTTACCCATACTTAGTAAAATATAGACAACCATCGAATAATCGTAACGAGGATGTGACAAGAAGTCGCTGTTTAATGAATTTGAGACATGCGAAAAGCCATTACCATGAGTTTTCAACTTCGCTTTATCTTTCAAGAGGAGCTTTTCTTTGAAAAGTGATTTTAATTTACGTTAAAAAAAAGAATTCCTTTTTTTTGACAGATCTGTGAACGGTGGAATCAGATTCTGCGGACGTTCTCTGGTGAATCTAACTGATACCGTTTTGGCTGTAGATATTCGCATTATACTCTGTTCTAAGTTGCCATTGCAAAGATGAGGAATAATTACAATCCTGTTTCAGATTCCGATGACTCTTTCAAAGTGCTCAATGGTGAAAAGTCAGACGCTAGATCTTCGGATGGTACTGGTACGCCTCCTCCGTACTCAGGTAAGATTTGTTCAAATAGAAAGGAAAAAAGGAACCTCAATTGTTTCAATTTTCATAATTTCAGCTACTCGTTGTAAAGACAAGTCCTCTATCATTTCGCAAACAACGAAGATATTAGTCACTAATACATTCATGAGTTCTAAGAAAATTTACTGATTCCGGAAACTCTGATGGATCAACCTCAGAGTCGGCAAGAATTTTTGGATTATTCTGGTGATAATCCATCTTCAAAAGTTCTTTGTACAATTCTTGTGTTGTACAACCACACCATAATTACGTTTTATATTACAAGGCTTCTCTGAACTAGCAAGTATTTTAGGACTTACCCGAGACTCCCTTGGATTGTTTGCATCGTTTTGGTTATTAGGTAAACAATGATATCTCAATTTTATCGATTTACTTATCAACGACGCATATGCTGCTCTATCTTGAATGGTCCAAGCTCATAGGAAGAGCAACAAACAAGTTCATTAAGGACAGCCAGGTATATATGTTAAGCCTTATCGCTTCTGATTATTCTTAATGGGGTCAGAGTTACGGTTTAGATATATCAGAAAGCTTAGAATGTATGCGTTTAGTCGCAGCTCAAGTCGATTGGACTTTAGTCTTTAGTAAACTTTCTACCTTGGTTTTATCATGCATTAGGTGCAGATATCAACCAAGTGTGCAAAAAGCCATTTACAATTGAAAACCAGAGATGCTATCGTAGTTGCTGGTGATATTGCTTTGTATGACAAGGGTAATGCCAGTCCTACTGGTGGTGCTGGATGTGTTGCTCTTTTGGTTGGTCCCAACATATTCATGATGCTTGTAATAAATTTACGCATACTATGCTAAAAGGTTTACTAGATGTTGTTTTGACTATCAAAAAAAAATAAGGATTTGTGACCATCTCAAAAACTTAATAGGGAGAAATCAAAGCAACGGCACATAAAGCCAAAATAAAAGAAAACCATTAGAAATAATCTAAAAAAATTTCACAAAACTGCTTTAATTGCTTTTTGTAACGAAGTATGTTAATTTGTTTACTCTTTTGATATTCTATATTTTCCTCGCTACACCACGTTCATATTGCAAATAAGCACATACTACCGGAATTCAGTGTGGTGTTGACTTACGAGAATCAAAGAGAAACTACAGTCTGAAATTTACCAAACATATACGGCTTAGGGAAAATTGGGAATTGGGAGCATTTTCTGTTATTTATAGACAACAATGAGACCTTTAACACACGAGGAAACTAAAACTTTTTTTGAAAAGCTTGCTCAATAGTAAGTAATGAAGGTAGAAGAGTGAAAGCTGAAAGACTTCGCGGTTGGAAAATTTTTGTCTATGGATAATGCCGCTTGAATTTCACCTTTCACCTATTCAATATAAAAGATGACTTTTGGATTAGAATACTAACCAATGATTCTTGCAGTATTGGAAAAAATATTACTCACTTAATTGATCGTCCGGACGATCCTCACTGCTTTCGTTTACAAAAAGACCGTGTCTACTATGTTAGGTAAGTTTTTATATTCGTTTATTAAAGGTTTCAACTTATGTGGTCTCATTTTTTGTAGCATTGTTCATTAACTTCTTGAATAGTGAAAATGCCATGAAGCTGGCGACTTCAGTTGCTCGTGCAAATCTTATGTCTTTGGGTATCTGTTTTGGAAAGTTTACAAAATCAAACAAGTTCCGCTTACACATTACCTCATTGGATTACATTGCCCAATACGCTAGATACAAAATATGGGTTAAGGCTAACGGTGAAATGCCCTTCCTTTATGGCAACCATGTTTTGAAGGCTCACGTCGGTCGTATTACTGACGACACCCCTCAACACCAAGGTGTAATAGTTTATTCTATGAATGATACTCCTTTGGGTTTTGGTGTGACAGCTCGTTCTACTGTGGAATTGGCTCGTCTAGATCCCACTGCCATTGTTGCGTTCCATCAAGCTGATGTGGGTGAGTACTTACGTGATGAAGATACTCTCTTCTAATTAGAATTTGCATATGCATATTCATTTCAAGCGTTCTATCTCTTCCCTTTCTTCCAACTAGTCAAGTGTACTGCGTGCTCTTTTTTTCAAGATACTATCTTCAAATGGACAACGTTTCTTTCATTTCAGACATGCGAAGGATAATACTCGTTTAATCGCTTCATCTTCGTTTTTTGGTGTCGCTTCAGGCGTTTGATTTTTGTTACGTTTCTTTTACGCTTTAAAAATGTCTTTGAACAGGAACGGTTCTGGGTTATTTGGTCTTACTATATGTAGAAATACTTTAATTTAAACAAAACACCAATATCTTTCATACGTTAGTTTATGTAGCGAAGTCTTTAATTTTTTTGAAACAATATGTATACTGATTTCTCCATCGGCAGCAAGAGTAAGGAAATCAGAAATTAACTACATATATTCATAACATAACTCATTTTTAGGTTGCAATTCCTTGCGTATTTCTGGTTTTCTTTTTTACTTTAACATTAGTGCGGTCCCGTTTAGGAAGCCAGCGTTGGGGATCTGCAACTGTATTTGGATTGAAATTCTTTGGGGTTGGCTTCTTGCGCTTTCTTGTTTTTTTAGATGCATCATTGTTAGCCTCACGTTTCAAGGATCCTATAGTAGTCGACACTGGTACTCCCTTGGACTCGATTTCGTTGATATCTACATTCCCCACTAAGTCGGTCACAGAAATTAAATGACTCTCAAGTGGTTGACTAACGGGTTCCCCAATGTAACAAAGGGCAGCCACTTTACTCGAGATTAACTCACTAAGAGGACCGTTCTGTTCAATCAATTCCTCAATCGTTTTCAAACCACTACGTACCAAATTGACGTCCACTTTCTCATCTATTAAAGCCAACAATGAACGTGTACAAAGCAATAACTTAGCATGGCAATTAGGTTTATCAGTCCAATATCTAGCAGCAGCGTGTAAATTCTCAGTATTTGGAACTCGAGACGAATGGACCTTAGAAAGGAGTGTATCGCCTAAACCGGCTAAACCAGGAGAATATCTCAACGCAAAATCTTTAGAAACTTCCAACGCTTCACACATTTTCTTGTATACAGCCAAAGCTCCACGATAGTTTTCATTTGAAATCTTATACTGAATTAGTAAAAGGCCACTGCAAGTATCAGCAGTATCCTTTTGGAACTTGTTCTCCAAGTATCCAGAAAGCTTCTTGGAAGATGAAAGTGATCCTTTCTCATGTTCTAGCGTAAGGATACCGTAAAATATTTTATCCTCTTCGGTTCGCTTTTCTTTCTTGTGAACAGCGCGTATTTTACCAACGGCCATGTCCAGCAGGGCCAAATTTCTTTGAAGCTGTAATCTCTGGGATGCCAACAACTTGGTAAAAGCTTTCTCGACTGGCGTTTCTTGAATTTTACGAAAAGCAAGATAGGGATTTTCGTTATCCAAGCACAAAACATTATTAACAAAAAGGACTCGTAAAGTTTCATCGAGACTAATTTTTATTATTAGTTAAATATTCCACAAAGCACACGAAACGACTTACCTTGTTGGAGCTAGTTTCTTGGACTCTTCTTCGGCCTTTGGCATCTCGCCAGCCATCATATGTGCATAAACCAATTGCAAACGGCATAAGTTCACATGGGATTTTTCTTCGGAGGACAGGAAATCATTGCTTTCCAAATTTGAAATAAGGGAAGATAATAAATCAATAGCTTTGTTCCATTGTTGCAGGGTTAGGTAGCGAGTAGCCAAATTAAACAATGAATCTTGATCCTCCAAAGATGTAACATTCTCAACTCGCCATCCTGGAAGTTGAGAAGCGACTGCAAGCACGTTTACTTGAATATCAGACCGTTGTTCAGGCTGGTTAAAGTTAGCATATGATCATCCATAAACGAAGCCCCAAACCAACAGTTGACTCAATAAATTAACAATAAAATGAATATTTATTTTTCTGGATAGATTTCAAGCAAAGAATTTTGGGCTAATACAACCATACTTACCAATCTTTCAAAAAGCTTTTCGTAATTTTCGAGAGCTTTACAAAAATCCGACTTCCGATAAGCCTATTTAAAGTTAGTATAACTATATTAACGGTCAAGTAAACCGGATACAAGCTTGAAACGCGTGCATCAGGATAAAATTTACCTCTTGAGCTTCCAGATGCTGAACAAAATGAACATCCGTTATAGGAGGATAGTCTTGCTTTAAATGAAATTTGCAATAAACTCTTTCATATACAGCGTCCTCTTTGCCCAGATACTTTTCGATAATATCCAAGGCTTCTACATAGCATTCCACATCAATTAGGCTCAACACTTTCCGATAAATATCTAATTTAGAATCGCCCACTTCTATTTTTCCAACACGATCGGCAAGAGTAGTAATCTGTTCTTCAGTATCCGCCATGTTGGTGGTGTCTTGCTCTTGGTAAGTGTTATACCATACATTCTAACATCCGTACGAGCAGCAAAAACTACATGCTAAAAAAGTCTATAGCTGTAATTATTTAACATATGAAAGTAATAGACCGTGATATTAAAAAATCATATATTTCGTCTTTTTATAAGTAGTGATCGATAATGTGTAATTACTTGAGTGGAAGAGTAACTATGTTTTGTTCAACATATATTATTCATTTTCTTTATTCATTAACTTATGTTTTTTTTCTTGAAATTGGCCCAAACCTTTGCTAGTCTGAAATAAGAGGGAAAATGATAAATTAAACCCCTTTACTATCCTTTAGGCATTGGAATACACACAAGACGAACATAGCGTTCTTCGTACAATTGTTTTTCTTTTTCTTTGTTTACTGATGATATAAATTATCCAGAAATAAAATCGGAAGTGAAAGTTGCAGTGACGTTGCTGAGGAAAAAGACAGCATCGGAATAGCAAGGATAGAAAATAAATAATTTGTTCAAAAAAAAAAATAATCAAGAACCATAAGAATGAGTTAACATCTTCTGAAAAACTCAATCCGCTTTTCACAAGACTCGTTTGTGCAGCCGGGGCATCTTTGAGTAAACTGTCGAGAATGAGATGTGTTTGTTTCCAAATGAAGCTTTACTTCATCTGCCATTCCTTTGATAGCTACAGCATTATCATTAATACTGGGTGCGCGTTTTACCCCGGTAATGCCTTTCTTTTTAGCATCCTCAATGTAGTCTTCAAGTTCCTTCAGGGTTTCAATATGGTCTGAAGTAAAGGCGACAGGGACCAATATCATGTTTTTGTGACCTTGCTTTCCAAATTGATCGATTACATCTTCTGTAGAAGGAGACATCCAAGGAATGGGGCCAACTTTTGATTGCCAAGAATTTATAAATTTATTCTTAAATCCAAGTTTTTCCATTATTCCGTAAGTAGTCGCAGCAACTTCATTTACGTATGGATCTCCTTTAGAAACTTGAGACATGGGTAATGAGTGGGCACTGAAAATAATAATAACGTTTTCTCGTTCCTCCTCAGGATACGTCTCCAAGGTTTTCTGTATGTTTTCTGAAAAAGCCGTCAACAAACCTTCTTGCAAAGGCCAGCGATCTAAAACAGACCAGTCAATATCATGCTCCATGTTCATTTCAAGAAGCTGTTTTCGCAATTCATTCAGAGAAGCACCACTAGTTGAGCAAGACCATTGGGGATACTGACTAAAGGCGACTGCACGCTTAATTTTAGAATCTTTCAAGTCCTTTAGCATTTCTTCGGTTAAAGGTGGAGCATAACGAAAGGCCACGAAAGGAACATGAGGAGCTGAATGAGGAGAAGTTTTGTCCAGGATTTTACAAATCTCTTTTCCCTGATATTCAGTCCAATGTAAAATTGGGCTTCCGCCACCGATGTCTTTATAATGATCTCGAACGACGGGAGTCCTTCTCTTAGCAATAAATTTACCAAGGAAGTTCTGAAAGTAGCCTAGTGGAATAATATCACCATCAGCAAAGAGGCGTTCCAGGAAAGGGCCAACCTACTTTGATTAATACTCATGTTTTGTAAAACCAAAAATGGACTTCTAGCTAATTATACCTCATCTAAATTCGATGGTCCACCCATATTAAGCATAACGATAGCCTACAAATAGTTAGTTAGCAAAAGAGAACTAATAGATTTACGTACAGTTGGTCCTCCTTCTTTAGAAGCAGTATCCTTGGACACAACTGATTCTGTTGTCTTTGCAGTCATCGAAGAGGCCTTTCTAATAAATAGCGATGGATTTTGAAAACAAAAACCAAAAGCCGGTGAAAAACATGCTGGCTTTATAACTGGAAATCGTACAAAACGAGATCGAATCATTTTTACAATCGTCTCGTGAGAAAGCGGTGAGGTTATTCAACTTTCTACGAGTCTTTGTCAACGCTATAAGTACTAAATTTTAAACAAAACAAATATGAGTTGAAGGGAAGATTTTTTTCAGCACTTGTTATTACTCAGTTTTATTTGACAAATAAATATTTGTAAGAAAGAGCACTAACGACTCGTCTGAAGTGTTAGTTCCACGCACCAAAACCGAATGATGACACTCCAGCTTTGTTCTAGATTATAAATTCGAAACATTATTAATAATACAATTGAACAAAGACCAGTTTCAGCCTACTTGTAATGAAAGGTTGAAATATACTTACAGCGTGAATCGTTTATATGATTGAACTAGTAACAAAAAGACGATAATACAATCTTCTAAGAGAGTTCAAAAATAGATGAAATATGTTTACTACCTTATTTTACACACTGATATATTTAGTTTTTCAAACTTGTTATGACTATGAGGGTATAAAGATTGAACTAAGATTTACTCGTGAAAGTACATGCAGCTGTTACTCAACTTCATTTCATCCAGAACAGAAGGGTATTGTTAAACCACTATTATAGTTCAAGGTTGCAACCTGAATATAACATGTGAAAAGTGAAAAATGTTCGCGCATACCTTCACATTATAGAGAATCTCTCTTAAAACCAACGGTTTGGTTTCCAGCAAACTAAAACTATATTATACTAAATTAAAGACTAATTATTTAAACACACGAATTCTTTACCCAAAATATACCGTTTTCCCAAACAAAATTCTTTTCCTTACTTTTTCACGAAAAAATGCTTTATCCACTTGAAGGAATCACCAATACGACTGAAAAACTCGTCATCATTATGAGCAGCGACGATAACCTTACTTTTGTCAGCATTCTTGTCGATATTGCTCTTTGTCGAAAACAGAGACGATGATGGCCGACGAGCCATACCGACACCATCTACACCTTCGCCTTGTTTTAACCAAGGTTTTGAGGTCTTATCGGCAGTATCGACAAAGATATGATATAGGAAAAGACCTATAATAATCATAACAAAAGCAATAGGATAAAGCCAATAAACGTGGTTACCAAACACATGGATACCAATAATTAAACTCCAAAAGTCCGAAGTCAACACTGAAATATTATAGAAGGTAGCAGAAGACATACGGAAACATATAGGAGCGAGGGAATAGAGAATAAGCATTACGATAATGAAACCAGCCAAATATCCTCCCATAGAGCGGGTCCAATGCAAATGCAGGAAGTCGTGACGATCAAAAATAAAATTCTGCACAATACTGATGATGGAGGCATAAAGACTCAATTGACCGACGACTACGTACAAAGGCAATTTGGAAGCGAAAAACTCTTCAATGGTGTTCGATAGACCATAACAGGTAGCACCAAGAATCATGTAACCATCACCTAAACCAGGGTTCACTGCACTTTTTTCGTTACTGCCATAATTTTTCAAGTCACTAACAACCAGCAAGGCAAGACCGCCAATACAAACCACAATACCGAGAAGCTGAGTCCAGTGGTATCGTACCTTTAAAAATAAAAATGAAAGAATGACGACCGCCACCGTGGCCCAAGAATCCAAGAGACTTGCACTAATCACACTGGTATATTGATAAGCGAGTACGACAAAGTAATTTCCCTCTACATCGAAGAATGCGAAAATGATGTACTTCCAGCCATGTTGAAGGACCATTTTAAAGTAATCCTTAAATCCCATTCGATAAATGGTGTAAGGAGTATATACAATAGTAAGGGCGGCATAGAACAAGAAGATTTGAAAAGCAGGAACTTTCCCCATCTCTGATAAAAAGCCATTAAAGGTATTACTAGCTGTCAAACATAAGGAAAGCACTTGTCCCAAAATAAATACAATCCAAAAGCGTTTGTTCAATACAAATGCAAAGGCCCTTCTCTTTACCTTCTCCAAACGAGTAACCTCTTGCTCTGGGGGATGCTCTTGAGAAGATGGTTGAATTCCTATGTTATGCTCGGAAAACCCATCATCCAAAGGTTCATCCAAAGGTTTCGTAGAAACTTGCTCTTCCCTCTTATCGAAAGATGTTTTGTGAATGTCCACATACGACTTGTTATTGACTGAGTGAGACTTCGTCGAATCGGCTTCTGGAAACTTTATATTGTTTTTTACTGTGCTTGTTATGCCACGGGAATCAGCGTCAAATTCTCCGTTTTTGTTAGTAATGTCGAATTGGCTTGCGTTTGAATTCTGAAGTGAATCTGCTCGCTCAAAAACACTTTCACCTGGGATTTCTGATCTAGGTATGGAGTTTTCCGTCCCAAGATGATCCCAATTATAATTATTTTCGTTCATTATAAGTATTAAAAGTAGAAAATTGCAAAGGAATGGCCGTTCCTAGAATTTGAACGACTATGGTCGTTTGCGAAGGACAAGTAAAACTGCGGATTTTCATTTATTGCCATCCCTCCTTGTAGTAATATAAGAGCTGTCAAAAAATTGACGGATTTTATTCGTCCAATGTTGACCACTAAAGAATCGAAGACACACAAAAACTTCTCTTTTATGCTTCTATCTACAGTATTTCTTAAAAAAGACAATTTTGTTTTCCAAACCTTTTTAAATTGCATTTTTAAGCTTCTTGAATTTACCAAGAAAGTATTACAGACTGTCGTATTTTGGTTTAAAGACATTTAGCGAGTTTTACTGCCACGATATACAACATGAGACGGTGGCGCAACGAGCGCAAACATTAATTTTGGAGGATAAAAAATCGGCAAAAATAAGATTAGCACCATATGCTAAGATTATCCAATCAACGGTGATACGTTAATTTGATGTCATATATATGACATCGCCATTTTGATAAAGTTTAGACACGAAATCAGAGAGGAAGGGAGAGGCAAATGGATATGGGGAACCAACCACGTCGGTTTTAAGGTACGAAGGGTGAAAAATAGCTAGCTGCGTCACCGAAAAAAAGCTGTTTGTTTACATCGCCAACGAGGAAGAAAAGGAAAAAACTACCCAGAAACCAGAAATTAGAGGCCAGAAACCAGAGAATAAAATGAAAATCAAGAGAAAATTCATCCTGGAATATCATTCACTCAAAAGAATGATCTCTTCAACCCTTACCCTTTCAGGTTTCCAAGAGCGAAAGTTCAGGGTGCTGTTGCATGCATGTGAAGGTGCTTACAGCACGATTACTCAATCAGTAGAACCGATCTAGCTCTTTTTTTTTCTTTGGCTTCGGGTCGTGATTTTGTAATAGTTTCGTTTCGCAGTCTTTAAATACAAGTGGGGTTTTGAAGGAAAGGTATATAAAGCCTGTCTACTACACCCTTAGGCAAGGAGACGCCTGGATTTCGATTCTTTATATATACATATATATATCTTGCTATAGATTTATTGCTTTAGTTCTAATTGTTTTTTCGAATCAACAATTATCAAAGCAATCACCTAACTCCCTTTTCTATTTTGCACTGACTTGTTCTCAGCGGATTAGCATCTCGCTTTCGTTTGCATCATCATCTTTAGTTTTTATATTCCTTATTATTCTCTCTTTCGTTTTTTACTCCCCATTTTCATTGCATAACATTCGTCTTGGCTCTTTCGTTAATCAAAATTTTGGCAATCTACCATTTTTTTGTGTTTTGTTTTCGAGTTCCCTTATCTACAAAAACAAACAAACAAACAAACACGTAACTTAAACGGTGTTTGATATTGACTTTGACTTTCTACGTGAGCATATACTTCAGTCAGATACCGAAGTTCCACTCATTGATTTGATTGAATCAGGAATTATATATATTTGAGAAATCCAGCAACCTTTTTGTGTCTTCCCAAGTTCTTTTGACAATCCCCGTTATTTTAAGCATATTCCTTTCCTCGCCAGGGAAAAGCATTAATCTAAGATTTGTTTAGTTGCGACTCCCCATTTTTGCGTTCTGTTTTTGGATCTCTCCCTTTCCTTTTGAAATTTTCCTTGTTCTTTTCATTGCAATAAACTATTCTCTTGTTTTTTTCGCTTTTTTGCTTCATTGTTTACCTCAATTCTCGGTTTTTATTAAATAAACAAACAAACAGAAACAACGCAATTTTTGACCCAAGTCATTCTTCTCAAGTTATCAAAAACCTCATATCTTGAATTCTTTGCAAACTCACTTTTTACCCACATATATTTACTTCTTACCTGACATCGGGTATTAGTAACTGATAATACTTTTATCTGCCATCATTTGAAGTGTTCTCACATTCTTCGTTCTACATCAGTGTTTCCAGTCATTGTCTGCTATTGGTAAATTAATCTTTATATTCTTTGCCGTCTTTCATCGCAATTTCAGCTTTCACTATGAGTCAATTATCTACACTCAACAATCACCAAAAAAGTGCTAAACCCGAAGATCCTAGCAGTAGAATGTCTGTATCTAGTCTTTCTTCTAATCCTTGGAATAACGCACCTGAACAACCACAGACAGGCCACATGCATAATGGAAGTACTGGCAGTTTACTCAATCCCTTATTGTCAGGAATGTCAAACGGCGCAACTCATCCGTTGAATTACCTCTACGCTCCATATGCTCAACCTGCCAAATCCGCTGCCCCTCCGTACTTGTCGACTATGAATCCTATAGGAACGAGCCCAACGAAATTGCCTTCCTTGTCTGCTACGAACGTTTCCAGTGCAGCTTCAGGAGGTATGGATGCTCCCAGCTATCCGCCCAATTTTCCAACGCAATCCCATCCTTCTTTCTGGAATCCCGCTTATGATTCCTCTCCTGGTTTAGAAGGAATTGGAAATTCCCCTCCAAAGTTTCGTGGGAACAGCTGCAGTGTTTCAGATGGTCGACTTTCCGTAAACACTCTAAACTCACTTACCTCCTTTGATCCGCAGAATGCAGGACTCGGTCTTTCTCTTCGGTCAAGAACCCCAAGTTTAGTTCCCGAGCATATACTTGATGACACCGACAAATCCCTACAATCGAAGAGTAGCAGTGGCTCAAATTCATTTAGCGAATTCACTCCTGAAAGCTTTGACTCATGCACCCTCCACGTACTCGATGGTCTCCCTGACGACATTGATAGCCGAGAGTTCAGTGGGATCTTTACATTCTGCGAAGGCTATACTCAATCTAGGGTTGTAATTGAATCAGGACATCGTAAAGGAATCGTTACCTTTAATAACCCCAATGCGGCTACCAAAGCTAAACAAATGCTTATGAACTCGCCAACCAACACTTTTACAATCGTTCAAGGCAACCTTCACATTGCCGATAATCTACAACAAAGACAGACTCTATCAGTGAATCCTATTTCAATGCAAATGAACAAGAAGGTAGACCCAACTTTGCTAGGAAATATCCGTCCTTCCCCAAGCGTAGAAACCTCTCAATATCTCGATTCGATTTCCGAAAGCAAAATGTCTTCTTCTTTCCCGAGTCTCGATGCTTTACAATATTGTGAACCTTTCAAAGGTCCTAAATCCGATTACGTGGCACAACCAAGAACTTCAATTAGAAGTCCTTCTCCACTGACTTGGAAAAATAACCAGGCTTTCCAGAATGGAGGAATTGGTGATAAGAATTGGTACGGGTCCCAAAGTCTTAAGAATGGATATAATACCACAACCAATAATCCTCTAGTTAATAACACTGGTTCGAAAAAAATGACAAAGTTACCGACAACATTATCGGATATTAGTGAAGCCAATCCCGCGTACGATATCTTCGGTAGTCTTGCACCTACAATTGAGGATGAACACTTACCTTTACCGCACTCTATCTCTCCTAAAGCCAGATACCATGTTGCTGATAAGCCTACATATCAAAAAGAAAACTCTTTTTCATCTTCACAAGGACTTGATCGCTCAAATCCTTTCGAAGAGGCTTTGAGAATGGAGCGTTTAAGCCCGGCCAAAGAGCTACCAGCAATTCGACCTCGAGCTATACCCCTTAACGGTGTAGCACCATACGAGCCTGAATTTCAACGTCCACCCAAATGGAAGCCAATGCCTGATTTAAATACCGTTAAGTCAAGAACTTCCAACAAAAAGCGACCAACCCCCAAAACTCAAAACCTTGAGAGCAATTTGCTGTCGTCTTTTCAAGCTGATACACTGCAAGTAGAATTTGACCCTACCGCTTCAGAATCCACTGTTCATTCAGATCAAAACACTCCTTGTAATACCATTTATGTTGGGAACATTTCTGGGTACGATCAAGAAAAGGAATTGCGAAAGCTTTTCTCAACACAACCAGGGTATCGCAGACTCTCATTTAAAATAAAGGGTAGCAATCCAATGTGCTTCGTAGAATTTGAAGAAATCTCTTATGCTACGCAAGCATTGAACAAACTCCAAGGTGCCATCCTAAGAAACAGCCCTAAAGGAGGAATCCGTCTTAGTTACTCAAAAAATCCGCTTGGAGTCCGTTCATCAGAAAGCCTACCCATAGTTGCAGCACCCTCACAAAGAGCTTCTCCTGTCAGAAACGGAAGCGCTTATTCTGCAAAAGCACAAGCGTCTTTGGATAGAAATCCACCTTTTGTGTCAAGTGTTTCAAGGCAAACAAGCTCAACCAGTCTTCCGAGTAAGCATGGAAGTATGAGTGACTTGTTTGACATATTTGAAATCAACACTAAATAAACCTCAAATCCAATTCAATAAAGTCATAATGATTTTCCTTTACGAGAGTTCTCTCCAAACAAAAAAAGCATGTTTCAAGGGGAACTAACAAATGAACTTTAAATAAAAAGTAATCACAAAAAAAAATTGGTTTAATGAAATGTTATAGTTCCTAAATTTTGATCCGTAAGTAGCCGTATACCTTCAAATTCGTGGGCGAATTTGATAGCAAGCAACCTTTAAGAACATTGTATGTTAGGTAATAATCACAAAAAATTTGGTTCATTCATAGATACGTAATAAATTAAGATGCTAATAGACGAGTCAACTGCTCAGGTGGGTTCTTGCTCATTTTAGGTATTTGCAAGATGATAAACCTGCCTGTGAGACTTGACATAGAAGTAGAATTAATGTTGTAATAAGCGCTAATTAAATGAATCCAATATCTTGCAAATGTAGAAGCTTTAATATTCTTTGGACATTCAACATCCAAACGGACATATTGGTGTCGATGCGAAGATCGAGTATTTCCATGTATAAACCTCATATCAAGGGAGGCCGTAATGATAAAGCTTTCTGAAACATACTGGTACACTTCGTCCGGTTTATAACTCCACGAAACTAGCTTCTCGTGAAGGATATTCTGAATATAACTGTCAAGTAATATGACAAGCTGCAGAGAATTGCTGCGTTTCAATTCATGACGAATTTTACTAGCAATTGTATAATGATGAAAGTCTTGCCCATTATACTTCGTACGTAAAGAACTGTCCAACAACGGATCCTCAATAGGATTATCATAGAAGTCCTGATTCACACTTGAGAAGCCAAAAACGGGCCGGGACGAGCAATATTCCTGATAAATACTCTCTTGCTCTTCTTCAGGGGTTTGCCTAAATAGATGAAGATCTAGTTGCAGCAGTTAGCTGAAATCAATTTTAATTAAAGCTTACCATTCAACAAACGGTTGCGTTTCCGTGATCCCACATGATGAGTAGAATAATTTGGTCGCCGCCTATGCTGATTTTGAAGCTCTAATGACTTTGTAGAATAGGAAGGACGCGTTTCATGAGTTGAGTTTCTCAATTTCGCCTGCTGATATGATAGAATATTTATTCTACGGACACCATTGTTAATTGGGATTACCGGTTCATGCAAGTTTGAATGTCCATAGACGGTATTAGGAACCAAAACCATGATTGGTAATTGTAAGAAAAGCAGTTTCGTACATTGAAAAACCATAAGACGTTACCTGCCCTTTGTCACCCAGTGTTCAAAATTTTCATTCGCTATAATTATATTAAATAACAAAACCTGAGTGAATCAAGACTTTAAGTTCTAGCAAAATTAAAAAAGAATTAGATGTAAAAAGCATGTAGTTGACCTAGTATTCTTTTAAATATGGTTTCAATTGATCGTAAAAATTTCATTATATATTACATTAATATGTTAGATGCTTTGCTTTGAATAAAATAGCCAAAACATTGAAAACTAGGAACATTACGAACATAGCTGACTATCCAGTAATGATATGTATACTGGTTAAAGTGTAGTCCTGCTAAAAGAGAAAAAAATAAAGAAAGATTATGAAAAATAACTTGAAGGATAATTAAGAGAAAAATAAATACAAGAAACGAGAATTTAGAATAGACCGATTTCTGTTTCGCGGGCAGCATCTAATTGCTTAATGCTATCATAAACGTGATTGAATCCCCCAATAATTTCTATAAGGCCATGTTTTTCAAAAATCTGCAAAATAGAAGGATCAACAGAAACAAGGTAGATGTTAGTTTTATAGTTTCTGTATCTTTCCAAAATTCGGCCAAAGGTAAATAAAGCACTAGAATCCATAGAAGAAACGCCAACCATATCAAAAACAACGATCTCCAGGTCTTCAACACAGTGATAGGGTGTTTCACCGGGATGCATACGCGGATTACCGTACTTTTCCAATCGACTTAGTCGATCTTCCAATTGACTAACGTTGGCAAAGAATAGGGGTTCTGGAATTCTGACTACCAGAACACGCATGTGATCATCGGCGTCAACGGCAAATGTATCTACCCGCTGAGAACGACAAGATGTGTGATCTTCCAACAGAATAGCATCTTCATTTTCATCGACCGTAGTACGAAACATTATGCGAGAACGAGTCGCATGTCGTATTATCTGTAAAACTGTAACACCAAGCCCGAATATGATTCCAGTTTCTAAGCCAAGCATCATCGTTATGCTAGCTATGGAAAATATGATTAAAATTTCGTAAAACGCACGAAGCTTTACCAAAGATACAATTTCAGAAGTAACATCTGTTAGTAGAGAAAGAGCCAAAGACACTACCATTGCCGCTAACAAGCAATTAGGTACATGAGAAAAAACAGGTAGAATATACAAAGTAGCCAGAAATACAATAACACCACATGCTATTGCAGAAACTTGAGTACGACCGCCTGAAAGTATATTACACTTTGAACGTAAGTAACCGCCGCATACGGGTAAACCTGAAAACAAACTTCCACCAATGTTTGCCATTCCTAATGAAAATAACTCTCGATTTGAACGAATTATCTGATTTCTTTGGGTTGAAAGAGCCTTTATAGCTATAACGGTATCAATGAATGACAAAAATGCACATGTCAAGCCAGTTTGTAAAGATTCACTAATAAAATTTACCTTACTTACTTTAGGTAAAGGGAGTTTAGGATAGATGACTTTCGTTTCAACGTCACCAAGAATTGGTACCCCATGAACGGAATGCCAATGAAACCATTTACTGAGTAGGGCTGCCACCAAAAGAATTAGAACGGTATCAGGAATGGAAACAATTCTAGGAAAACGAGAAGAAAATCTTGTCTTCCCTAAACGGGACACAGTAAACAAAACAATCCCAATCATTGAGATTGCACAGGTAAACTTGTGAGAATTTGGAATGTTGCGCAGTATAAAAATCAATTTTTCTATCGGAAGGTCAGATTTAATGGGTTGAATATGAGTTAGCCCAAAAATAACGCTAGCTTGGTTGATCATTATAATGACTGAAATCGATAAAATGCAACCACGAAGTAAAACAGGAGATACAAGAGCATCGAGGAATCCAAGTCGAAATGTTCCTGCTAACAATGTGAAAAGGCCTGTCAAAAAAGTAATCATGCCTGTAATGAGGATTGCCATTTTTTCTGGAGCTTCAGTGTTTTCAATTACCCGTTGATGGATATTACCTGCAATTAACAGACATACACCAGCTTCTGGACCTACGCTAAGCAATGGACTAGCCGTAAAAAGGCTGTAGAGTATTGGACTTACAGTAGCTCCCATCAACGAGTATACCGGAGGAATCCCCAAGAATGTTTGAGAATAGCTGAGGGCAACCGGAATAGAAAGACATGCCGTAGAACATCCAGCCAATACATCCCATACAAGATTCCCGAGCGCATAATTTGGAAGCCAATGCAATACAGGGACGTAGTATTGAAGTCTTCGGAAAACAGAAGGCTTTTGCGTAGGGACGTTTGCTCGCATCCAAGTCGACGATCTTCTACCAAGTGACTGGTACGAAGGATTCGTTTTTAAACGTTCATTTTTCTGCAATAGAGGTAACCGTGAATTATTTGATTGCTGGTTATTAGAAATATTCATAGCAAGGCAAACTAAAAATTTGCAAAGCTATCTATCTTTATCAACTAAAAATTATTTTGATCAAGTTAATTTGGTTTAGAAAAGTCAAAATAAAACAGAAAAAGGGGTTTGAATGTAAAGTTCACAATTTAAGGATGAGCAGTTTTTTTCAGAGTCTATTGACTTTAGTAATTCGAAAAATATCAGACGTTGTTCTACTTCCAAACTGATGTATGTAGGACAAGAATTGTTGTTGACAGCTTCTGGTTGATCAAGTGTTAAATGTTGTACATCACAGTAGAGAAAGAGACTTAAAATATCGCTTATCTAAAGATGCTACCTTAGGGTTTTGGTATGATACGTCCTAGAAAAACAAACGCTAAGAACTAAATTTATTTAATTTAATTTGTATCAGTTTCAAATTGTTGTAAAATCTCAATTAACGAACGCTGATCTTCATCTGCAAGGGTAGCATTACATGCTCTTGTGTAACAGTTGATCGGATTGAATAGTAATTGGCGAACCGCAAGAAGTTTCAAGCGATTTTTTTCTTCAGTTGTAGTATATTCTATCTATAATAGAGCTTGAATACACATTACGAGACATCCAGATTTTTTAACTTCACTAGCTGCCAACTGAACGATGTGTCGTTTGAATCCAACATTCTAAGATAGAGATACTTCATTAACTATGAAATTGAGAATGAATTAAAAGAAAAAAGGCTCAAGAATGGTTTAGTCTCCACAGTTTTGTTTAAAATTGATAGTATCCACTAGGATAGTATAGCCTTCCTTAGTATGCTCGATGAACAATTTAATGGAAGAATATCATTCTGTAAAAGCAGATACGCATTGACAACCTAAAAATCCAAGAGCCACAAAGGTTCCTCTCTCGTTTCGAGCATAGAACAGTAAAGATCCAAACAATAAGATAAATATACAAGTCGACAAAGATTTATATTTAAATCAGTATAGGAAATAAGTAAATAATTTACTTCAATTCCTTAGGATCCTATATCGATACCCAGTAAAGGACGCCTGCAAGCATCACGAGGCTTTTGAAGGTTGCTTCATACTTCTAAACATCCAGTAAATCATTTTAAAACATATATTGTTTCATTACAAGGATAGAATCGGTGTTTTGAATATTCTCCCTTTGGAATACTTCTTTCCATACCGCACTTGTCACTTACTACTTGGCATTCTTGTACGCAGAATGTGTTGAGGCGTTCCAGAAGCTTAAAATGAAAGAAGTTAGAGTCGTTATTTGTGGAGACCAAGGGGTTGGGAAATCCTCTCTTATTTCAGCGTTAATACAAGAAGACAACGTTACAGCAATTCCAAAGGTACGCATGGATTCATAACTTTTGTCTGTGAGTTCCAGATCTAATCGTTCAGGTATTTCCTATAATATCCATTCCTCCTGACCCAAAATTGAATGACGATGTATCTTTGGTATTGGTAGACACTCAGTGTAAGAATGAATCGAGATCAGTTACGTTTCAAAAAGTTGTCTAACCGTCTCAACGAATTTAGCCGGCAGCAATGAAAGGGATTATTTAGCATCTCAATTGAGAAAAGCCAATGTTCTATGTCTTGTGTATTCCGACAATTATTCTTACGAACGTGTTAGCATCTTTTGGCTCCCGTACTTTCGATCCCTAGGAATCAATGTATGTGATCAAAGAGAGTATCTTATTTTCTAATTTTACTAACGAGGACTAGGTTCCTATTGTCTTATGTGCAAACAAGTCGGAGGATCTTGATAATTATCAAGGGCTTCATTCTATTGAGCATGAAATGGTACCTTTGATTAATGAATTCAAGGAGATTGAATCCTGTATCCTTTGTAGTGCGCTCGAAAAAGTCAACGTGAATGAGGTAATACAGTTTCCAACATTCTTGTTGATTCTCAATCAGGCTAACCAAATCCAGTTATTTTATATATGCCGTTCTTGTGTCATTTACCCCATTATTCCTCTGTGGGATACAAAAGAAAAGGTATCCATTTATTGTGCAAAGTTTTTGATAGTCTACTTTCTCTAACTGCTTTTACAGAAATTGAAAAGCGTGGCAGTTGATGCCTTAAGTCGAATATTTTGTAAGTCTTTGCCCGAATTGTTCTTGGTTATTCATATAGTTCTCTGTAAGCTAATTATTTAGTCCTAAGCGACAAGAATAATGACGACCTTTTGTCGACAGAAGAGCTTGCACATTTATCCGAAAAGTGTTTTGGAAAACAACTTAGTAAAGAGGAGGCAGAAGATATTATAAATACTGTTCAGGAAGTCTTTCCAAATGGCGTAACTAATGGACAGCTTAATCGTGCTGGGTTTTTAGCTTATAATCAGCTCCAAATCGAGAATGGGAAACAGGAAAGTACATGGGGAATTTTGCGAGCGTTCCATTACACAGATAGTCTTTGTCTTGATGATTCTTATCTTAGCCCCAAATTGGAAGTCGCACCCGGTCAGAGTGTTGAACTTAGTCCAAAAGGTAGTGATTATACTAATGATGTTTTTACTAAACTCATGTTTTAGGTTACAGGTTTTTGGTTGATTTGTTCTATCAATTTGATCGAGATAATGATGGGGCGTTAAATGATGATGAACTTTCCGACCTTTTTCGGTATACACCGGGATTGCCTGAAACTTGGATTCATTCAAAGTTCCCAAACTCGACCGTTCTTAACGAACATGGGTTTGCTAGCTATAACGGTTGGCTAGCTCAGTGGAGTATGATTACTTTATTTGATTACAAAACCACTTTGGCATACTTGGCGTATCTAGGGTTTGATAGTGAAGGTCGTGGTCATGTAACTGATGCCCTTAAAGTTACCAAAAAGAGGTCCATTCAGCATCGCCGAGTTTCCAAGTACGATCGCAACGTGTTTTTGTGTTTCGTGGTTGGATCTGCTGGTTGTGGAAAAGTAAGAGATTTATTTTATAATAAAGCTAACGCATTAAGACTTCATTATTATCCAGTTTTATCAACAAAATCCCCCATCGTGTTTCCGATGATTTAATTCCTAATACCGTTGTTAATAGCGTTGAGTTTCAAAGCAGACAAAGATATTTGGTGGTAAGAAATCCTTCTTTTTGTGAAGACTATTAGCTAACTAATTAGCTTTCTGAAATAGGTGAAAAAGACATCGACATACTTGCTGAGCCAAAGTCATTAGATGCTTGTGATGTATTATGCCTTTTGTATGATTCCTCGAACCCGAATAGTTTTTCATTTATAGCAAATCTCTTGGTATGTTCAGAAGAAACCCCTAGAGAAACAAATAAAAAAATGACCAGAAATACTAACTCTGTTATGATAGGGACGATATCCTGCGCTTCAAAAAATCCCTTGCGTATTTGCTGCAACTAAAGCTGATTTGGATCGTCAACAGCAAGTATGTCGTTATTTTATTTCTTACGTCTGTTTCTAATATTTTCTCTAGAGATATCCTGTTCAACCGGATGAATTTACAAAACAGCTGAGCCTTCCATCTCCGACACATATTAGCACTTCTGCTATCTGGAATACTTCTAAAGATTTTTTCATTCAGGTATTTTATCTCAAATGAGTTAAAAGTTACTAATTTTTGTTAAAGATTGCCGAATCTGCACAATTTCCTGCCAATTCGATTATTCAAATACCAGACAAGAACTCCAACAAAATTAATTACCAACTGGTTGTAGCCTTAACAGCATTTGGGGCCTTGCTGCTGTCTGTGGGAGGCAGCCTTGCTTGGAAAATTGTGAAATATCGAAATATGTTTAAGCGATAATTCAATCTAACTTATGCTGTGATCAAATTTTCTATTATCTCAATAATGAATATATATTGTAAATATTTTTACTGAAGATGTGTCTTACAATAATTAATCAAATACTTTGACGGCTTCTTACACCGTTACGACGCAAGTTGAAACAATAAAAATGCGAGATTTACTATCTTTATTCATATCCCTATTTTTACTTCATCACAACACATCAGATAAACATCCGTTTACACCATTGCTGTAACCAAAACCAAATATTATTGATTCGCTGGGTACGAATATTCTTTTACCGTAAAGAAGATTTATCATAACTCAAATCAGGAATCCAAGATAACCCAAATTACACAACCTTGCATACAAATAGGCATCTTTGAATGTCACTGAATCCATTTCTTGGGCATTATATGAAGGAAGTGAAGGAGCTGGGACGTAAGGCGGAGCGGGAGGATCCGAAGCTATATGAAGACCTTGCATTTTAGCATTTATTAACTTCAACACAACGTAGTCCCAATCCTCATGATCCTTTCTACTGACGATGTCTCGACGTTTTTCTATACATTCTCGAATGTATTCCAGCCCCTGTCTAGCTTCTTCCTGTAATTCCGGAATATCATAGACACCAATTAAAACACATGCAGCTAAACTAAAAAAGTGGTGATTAAGAGGTGTCAGCGGTGTAGAGGAAGAAGAAAGGATATTAGCCATCTTCATAGCCGGAGTTAAAACAGCAGAAGGACGAGCATTCGTAGATAACTCCAAAAGCACTTTTACATGAGTAACGGCCAACGTTAATAAATTCATTCTACCCCAAACAACGTCAACGCTTTCACGGAATGCGTCAATTTCTGACCTTAACTGTTGAGTCACGATTGGATTTTCACGATCACTTGGATCCGGAGATTGAATAACATCGGAAATGTGACCAACTATTAAAGACAAACGAACAAGTTGACTCGGGAAGCTTCCTAGAACCTTTTGATCTTGGAGAGACAGCTTTATACAGCTCTCTGGTATGAACAAGGGAGAACACGTAGACACGGAGTGCCACCTATCTAAAATTACCAAGACCCACCAGGCTCTACGACACAATGCTGCGTTGCCATCCATATCTTCATAAGCAGATTGCAAGGGTACATGAGACTGTATATGAAGGCGCATATTGCAAGCTAAACCCACGGCAGCGCCGTGCCACATACTTTGAGGAAGTCCATTTCGACCAGTAATTGTAGTAGGACCACGCTGGTCACTCTCAACCGCGAGTAAAATCATTGTCTGTAAGTGCAATATTCTATTAGAAAAGTCCTGTACGTTTGTACAGATCAAATTCAGTAAACCAATTGCCTTCATAGGATTTTTATGAAAGATACTTCCGAGAGAAGAAAAGGGCGGCCGGTTTACTAGAGAGTAAATTGCATGTAAACAACAAGACCTCAAAAATTTTGGAGCTTTCTCCAGTTCCATCTTTAAGCGCGTTTTTGAGTGATGCAAAATTGGCAAGGTAGAATGTATAAGCAAATAGTATCTATCAACAGCTTCGTCGTCCCATTCAATGTCTTCGCGAAAAACCTTTGATATTTCGTGCATATCATCATACTGAGCATTTTCGGCAGTTCTTGACTGCTCTGCATCGGAAGCAGCGTTCGAAGTAGAAGATCGGGGTTCTCGCAGAAGTGATAAAGTCGGGTTTTGCAGGGATTGGGTTTTATGAAAAGGAAGATCAAAACTTGGGAGATTCCCTGGTGTACTCACAGGGACAGGCTGCATTGGAACAGGAGGCTGATAGGATATGTTTGGGAATCCGGCGTGATGAGAAATGGTGTTGGGACGGGAATTGTCAAATGAAGAGATGGACGGCAAGGGTAAGGAACTAGGATCGGATGATAAAACATTTGTAAGGGCAGGAGGGTATGGAGCAGATGAGGAAGGCATTGAGTTATAAGGTGATTCAGCAAAAGATGGATGGGATTTGCTTGTAACTCCATTAGAATCTAACACATAAGGGGCATTCTGCGTTGATTGAAGTGGTAAATTTGGACGTGCAAATGATTGTACACTTGGAGTAGAATAGACGGGAGGGCGTACACTTGAGGAAGGAAAAGATTTAGAATGCTGGAGACTGCCAAAAGATTGGTTAGAAGGGGTGGATAGGTAAGGATACGATTGTTGTTGGAAAGGAGGTACTCTTGAAGGAGCCGGCTGAAAGTGTTGAGGAGGGTGGTTATAAAGTTGAGGGTACCACGTAGAGGTAGGTTTGGAATGGTTTGGTATACTGGTTTCTTTTGGGTCGGGGGACGCCACAGGCATTGTAATATCTCTAGGAGGCATTTTGCTAAGAATGGCGGAATTATCAGGGGAGGAGGAATTAGATTTTACATCAAAAGGCATGGAATCAGCAAGAGTAGACGCAGGAGATGTGGTGGGATTCGTTTCGGGAGGTGAAGCGACCACCGATGTACTATTGGAACGAACCCGTTTATTTTTCTCATCAACGTTACGAACAAAACCTTTTGCAGGACCACGTTTTAGCTGTGTTCTTGTAAATATGCACTGCAAACTGTGCTTTGAACAATTGATGCAAGCACCTGTGGAGCCTTCCACTGAATCACAACGAATCTAAAAAGAAGAGTTAATGAGAGAGAAAGAAAACAAGAAAGAATAGACATACCTTCTTTTTTCGACAAAGGTCACAAGCCCGAGAAACCTTCTTCCTCCTCTTCTCGTCTGACACTGCCGAAGAAACGCGGACAGCACTAGGATGTAAGAAAGGCGGAAATTCTTTCGATTTGTCGTTCGTTGCGGGAACGTCAGTTGGGCGTGAGACGGAAGGAGAAGAAGAGGAGTGGGTAGGGAAAGGATCAAACAGATAAGGGTATGTGTAATCATTAGAACCTATGGAAGGAGGGACAGTGGATGGATGGTGAAAGTAGGAAGATTGGGATGGTGCAGAGAAGGTAGGAGGAACATGTTGGGTAGGAAGAGGGGTATTTGAAGAGTTGGAAGGAAACTTAGCGGGAGGAACAGGAAGATAAGAAATGGTGTTGAGATCCATGAATTAGACAAATCATTAACTCCAAAAGAAACGAAAGAAACAACAACAATGAAAAAAAAAAAAGTACGACCAAAGAAAAGAAAAACAAGGATCACAAGGCAAAGGAAAAACACAATCTGTCTATTTAAATAGCCAAAAGTATTAGGAAAAAAGTCAGAACCGAAAACCAAACACAAAGAAAAGAATTAAAACTTTCGATGCAAATAAGGAAATGAAGCGGGCGAATTAAATATAAATAAAATTAGTAGAAATGATGTACAAGAAGTAAGCAGGATGAAAAAAGGGGCGGATATCTACAATGAAAGGAAAATGAACCAAAGGAAGGATCAGGGAATAAGGTGAATAACGCGTGAAGAAAAGCAAAAGTCAAGGAATTGATATTTGGAATAGAAAAGAAAAGAGGAAAAAGAGGTCCAAGAATAAATGTCCAAACAAAGAGAAGTGATCAAAGGTAATGAAGAGAGAAAGTGAAACCAAATGATGCAACAAAAATATTGAAAATTAATAAGAAGGAAAAAAAAAGAAATAAGATGTACCAAAATGAATGCCGAAATGAATGAGAAAGAAATGAAATCTAAAGATGAGGGAAAGAGGGAAAACCAGGGAGAATAAGAAAAAGAAGGCTAATAAAAAAAGTTCTAAATGAAGAATGTAAAGGCAACGATTTTCGAGTGAATCCTTCAAAATAGAAGAATCGAATTAGAAGGAAAGAATAAAGACCAATGCAAGATCTTGTTGTGGTACAGACTGAATTTGAGCGGCCGAAAGAAAGAGCCGAAAAATAAAGTGAGAAACAGCTTGTCGCTTGAAAAAAAACATAATGCGCTAGAATACGAAAAAAACAAATAACACATTCTTATGATATAAAAAATAGTTTCATACAAACCACCGGTTTCAGTAAAGACAGGTTTGCGTAGATTTTGAACCCACCGCGATAACAAGATTTTAGGAGTAGCAAGGAATCCTTCGTAAACAAGCTCAAAGACCGAAAAAAAAAGGAAAAAAAAAAAAAATTTACCTACGCAGTACCATCCACAACCGTACGGTAGGTAGGTATACGCAAAGCAAAGCACGGCGCATTAAAGCGGTGTGGTGTATGTATGGTGGTATGCTTGCTATAGGTAGTAAGTAGTTCCTGCAGAGAAAATTGTTTCAGCAAGCAAGGGAAAAAAAGAGAGATAAAAAAAAAAAAAAAAAGAATAGACTCGAAGAGTCTGCAACCAAAAAATAATAATATAAGTTTATGAAAACGATGGTTCTTTGACGGAAAGAGTTGAAAACGGTTGGTTCAACATGATAGCAAAAGAAGACGGGAAAGAGGAATGAATCAAGTAGAAAAAGGAAATATCTAGCAAACAAGAAACGAAATCATGAAAAAGACGAGTGAAATGACAATTACAATACCACTAAAACGGAAAAGAGAGAAAACAAAGTGAAAAGGAAAAGAAGGGTGGATGGGATGGAAGATGGTAAAAAAAAGTAAACAAAGCATGAAGAAGAACCCGAAGGTATACGTCAGAAAAAACTAAGAATAACTTTAAGCAAGGGTCAATAACCAACGGACATACGATGTGAAAAGGTAAAAAATGCGGATTGGTGATTCAACAAAGTCAATTAAACTATTTTTACCAATCGCTTAAAAGGGAGGCGAATCTCTAGATTTCCATTGGAAAGGGTTTCAACGTAAAGCAAGTTGATTGAACGACATGACGTAATAAGGCGTTGGACAAGGAAGCCGATGCATGCAATGCAATCCAATCCAGTCTTAGTCTTAGTCTTAGTCTTAGTCTTAGTCTTAGTCTTAGTCTTAGTCTTAGTCTTGTCGATAGAAATAGAGCCTTTTTTCGGTGGACATTTGTTGAATCCATTGGGAGAGAAAAGGCAAAAAAAAAAAAAATAAAAATAAAAAAAATAAAAATAAAAAAAATAAAAATAAAAAAAAGAGAAACTTGAAAATTCGTTGCAAACACAAATGACGAGTTTTGCAACGAATCTCTCTCTCTCCCTCTCTTTCTCTCAGGAATAGACTTGTTGACGTTATCGTGAACGGATATTGGCGGAATCCGCCGGCGGTCGGCCCGTGCTGTAATCAGATCTTACTGAAAGTTATTTTTAGGCTATACTGACCGAGACCGCTTCTCCTACTATACACACTGTAGATTAGACTAGAAGGAAGGGAATGATGATGACTGGACGGAGAAAGATAGACGGCTGGGCTGGAGAGGAAAAGAGAAACCAAACAAACTTCCAATGGGAAAAATAAAAAGAGAATTCTTTCCTGGGAAAACAAAAGATGCATTTGTAAGCTTACGTATGGATTTAAAAATAGTAAATTTCGAATAGAAAAAGTGTACACAAACATAAAGAAATATGTTATGAACGAATAAAGAAATGAATTGATGATTGATTGAAGGAACGAACGAACGAACGAACAAACCGGATGACTAAACAACTCCTCCTATCAGATTTTTGGTGCAGACATTTGGTGCAGACTCTTCGAGTCTATTTTTTTACCTTGTTATGGAATGGTCCGCTCAGCAATGGTCTGCGTTGCATAGCTCACCTCGGTTTTGGCTTTGCTTTTCTGTTTATGCCCAGTTCAACTCCACTCTATTCTATTCTTGCGTAACCGTACACCTCGCTGTTCTCATATTTCATGATTTTCTTTCGATTTCGTAAAGCATGTTTATCAAAATCGTAAACAATTGTGTGCAAAGCCTCCCCGCTGAAATGACGTATGTAACTGACGGCTTGAAATCATCCAAGGAAATCATGGAACAAATTACACGAGATAAAATTTGGTATCGACTGTTCTAGTTTCCCGAATTTTCCCTAGAAGGTCGCTAACTGAAATATAAAGAAATACTATATATATTTGGGATATACCTACCCATCAAGCAAAAATTGTACAAATAGAGTGATATCCTTTTATATCTCTCATTCTTTTACTCTTTTTTTTTTTGTTATAGAACATATTTCATCGTCTTTTTTCTTCATAATGAACTTTGATAATCTCAAGAACTTTGCCGGTAAGGCCTACGACCAATACCAAAAGTACAACAACAGCAAGCACCAGGGCGGCAATGGCAATGGCTCTAACGGTGATGACTCTTTTGGTAGCGGCAACAACAACAACAACTCCTTTGGCAGTGGAAATGACAACTCTTACGGAGGTGGAAACAACAACAACTCTTACGGAGGTGGAAGCAATGACAACTCCTATGGTGGAGACTCTTACGGCAGTGGTAATGACAACTCTTACGGAGGTGGAAACAACAACAACTCTTACGGAGGTGGAAGCAATGACAACTCCTATGGTGGAGACTCTTACGGCAGTGGTAATGACAACTCTTTTGGAGGCAACAACGACAACTCCTACGGCGGTGACTCCTACGGAAGTGGAAACAACAACAACTCCTCTTTCGGTGGTGACTCCTTCGGCGGTAACGATAACTCCTACGGTGGAAACAACAACAACTCCTACGGTGGAGACTCTTATGGCAGCGGTAGCGGCGGCCACAAAAAGTCTCACCACGGTAACGACAACAACAACTCCTTTGGTGGTGGAAACTCCTATGGAGGCAGCAATGACAACTCCTACGGCGGTGACTCCTACGGAAGTGGAAACAACAACAACTCCTCTTTCGGTGGTGACTCCTTCGGCGGTAACGATAACTCCTACGGTGGAAACAACAACAACTCCTACGGTGGAGACTCTTATGGCAGCGGTAGCGGCGGCCACAAAAAGTCTCACCACGGTAACGACAACAACAACTCCTTTGGTGGTGGAAACGACAACTCCTTTGGTGGTGGAAACTCCTATGGAGGCAGCAATGACAACTCCTACGGCGGTGACTCCTACGGAAGTGGAAACAACAACAACTCCTCTTTCGGTGGTGACTCCTTCGGCGGTAACGACAACTCTTATGGTGGAGACTCTTTCGGAGGTGGTAACAACAACTCTTCCTTCGGTGGTGGCAACAACTCCTATGGTGATGACTCTTATGGTAACTCTAACAACTATTAATTCAGTGGTTATTAATTCCTTAGGTAATAATAATATGCAATCTTCCAAGAGCAACAAATCCTATGATCAAACTTCAAATTCCAACTCGGGACTTAGTTCCGGTCCTTTGGACGTCAGTACTTTTATTAATGCCTTTTCCACGTTGGGGGGTTTTGGAAACAATGGCGGCAATGTTCAAAAGTCGGGTAGTCAAGGTTCCAACTCTCTTAGCCATGCTGCAGTTTTCAGTGCCGTTCAAAAGTACTTTTCTCAAAATGGCGATGCCTTAGCTAATGGCCAAGGTCATTCTAATCAACACCAAAGTGATTTTCTTTCCATGGTAGAGCAAGAGGCCCAAGGCTTAATGAATAACAATGCTTCCGGACAAGGTCGTGGTATCGGTGGTTCCGAAGGGGACGTCAAATCATCCGTTGAATTGGCAAAGACTTTATTCCAAAACAGAAATATGCTTACCAAGCTGGCCGAGGCCGCTGGCTCTTCACAAGCTAGTGGAAACAGCGCCGTATTAGCTACTGTCGTCGGTTCTTTCCTTGGAGGTTCTACTTCCAACAACTCAAACGCCGCCAACAACAAGAACCCTCAAGCCCAGACTCATGGCTTGCAAGAAATGGCTGCTAGTTTCTTGGGCCCTGGTAACCAAAACTCCAATCACAATTCTAACAATTCCCAAGGCGGTGGTTTAGCCGGTTTAGGAAGCTTAGCTGGTAGCTTTTTGAATTCTGGCAACAACAATTCCGGCAACCAACAAGGGAATGCTGACTCTGGTTTAGCTGGTAATTTGTTGCATGCCATTTCTGGAAACAACAACCGTGATGACGATAATCAAGGTCCATCTAAGCATTCGGAAGGTGGAGATGGTTTGGTAGGCAAGGCCATCAACATGTTTATGCAATAAGAACTTTTGGGGGTCGTGGAACGATTCATGTAGAAGAATAAAACGGACAACATAGTTTACTTTGTTTAGGTACATATAGAAAGAGTATATAGAAATTTTACAGGTTTGCATTCCATCCACTATAGAGTAAAACAAAAACAAAACAAGGCATTTACTATTACTACTACAAAAAGAGGTAGGTATCAAAAGTTTTGGATTCAATGGTTAGATTTCGATATATTCACATAGAAAAGAAGAAAATAGCATTTGCTAAATCCTTGAAATTAGCAATATAACAAATAACTTGGGCTGGCTAAATGGGGCTACTCAATTCGTATGAAATCCTGACTCGACTGATCAAACTACATGTAACAAGACGCTAGTTCCATGAGAGCAGATTTCATACGAATTGAGTAGCCCCATTTAGCAATGAGAATAATCTTTGTTGTTTTTCGCCTGAATCCTTGAAACGTTTTGACATTTGTAAACAACATTTCCTCTTCTTTTCCTTTCTCTAACAAATGCCACTTCATACGCAGGCATTGGAAAATACAACAAAACTTGGTGGTGATGATATCAGTTTGGTATTTTTATCGATGCCAATAAAAGATGATAGAGATTGATTGATAAGTATACTTACCCTTCCCCGGTAGATCTAAATGCTAGTTTCTACTACACCAGGAGGCCGTGAGAAAACGCGTAAGAAAGGTCTATTTTTGAGGGATTCCAGCTCTCATTTAAACCATTCTGTAGTCCTTTTGCAATACAAACTTTTAACGAGACCTTTTGATTGAAGATCTCTCGAAAATCTAGCAAAAAGCTTTTTTGAAATCCAATTCATCTAAAAGTCTGGAGTATTGCAATCAACAATGTTTGGAGCTATAAGACACCAAGTTCGTAAATCTTCGACTTCCGCAGTTATTCGGAATGACTGGACACGTGAACAAATTGGTAAAATCTATCATATGCCGTTGATAGAGCTTGTTTTCAAAGCGGTATGAAAGATCCGTCTTCCTCTTATAAACCAAGTAAAACTAATCAGTTGTGTTTTTTTATAGGCCACAGTACATCGACAATTCCATGACCCTCGAAAAATACAACAATGCACACTTCTTTCCATCAAGACAGGTTTGTGCCGAACTTGAGTTTATCAAGTATATATTACTAACTTTCCTTTTTTTAGGTGGCTGCACAGAAGACTGCAAGTATTGTTCCCAGTCTTCCCGTTACAGCACAGGTGTCAAGCCTACTAGGTTGATGAAAGTGGACGATATCATGGAAAAGGCTCATATCGCGAAAGCCAAAGGAAGTACACGTTTCTGCATGGGAAGTGCCTGGCGTGATTTAAATGGTCGTACCCGTACGTTTAAGAATATCTTAGAAGTTATCAAACAAGTCCGTGCTTTGAACATGGAAGTCTGTGTTACTTTAGGCATGTTAAACGAAGAACAAGCCAAAGACCTTAAAGAAGCTGGATTAACCGCTTATAACCATAATTTGGACACTTCTCCCGAATACTATCCCAAAATTATTTCGACTAGATCGTATGATGAACGTTTGAATACCATCGACAATATTCGCAAGGCTGGAATCAAGGTTTGTAGTGGTGGCATTTTGGGTCTCGGTGAAAAAGAACAAGATCGTATTGGCCTCATCCATTCTTTAGCTAACATGCCATCCCATCCTGAGTCTGTTCCTATTAATGCTCTCGTCCCCATTCCCGGAACTCCTATTGGTGACATGGTCAAGAAACCTGTTGGCTTTCACTCCTTCCTTCGTGCCATCGCCACTGCTCGTATTTGCATGCCCAAAACCATTATTCGCTTCTCCGCTGGTCGTACTCAATTTTCTGAAACTGAGCAAGTGATGGCTTTTATGGCTGGTGCCAATTCTGTGTTTACCGGTGAAAAGATGCTCACCACTCCTTCCGTTACATGGGACCAAGACAGCCAATTATTCCACAAATGGGGCTTTCATAATTTGGAAAGCTTCGAGTATGATGAAGGAGCTGAAGAGCCCAACTTTACTCTTCCCCCCAAGAACCGTTTTCGCCCTGACCATGCTGAAGTTCTAAAGGCTGCGACACCTCAATTAGAAGCTCAAGGACTGGCCGTGTAATTTTCGAATTCCTTTTTCATTAATATTTCAATCCTGTAATTAATTCGTCTTTCCTTCTTCTATCCTATTCCATTACAAAAAATAACTCCTCTTGTATACATTATACTACATCTACTTTTGAGCAGAACAAATGCAAAATCTAGTAAATTAATTGTTCGTTCTTTATAATTATGTTAGAATGAAATTCTACATAACTATGCATTAAAGCTACCTATAGTAAAATATCAACTTACTAAGTAAACGTTAAAAAAAAATGTAAATGTATGTTACATGTATTTTTAATCAATTGATATATTTCTTCTATTTACATTATAGTGATGTTGTATAAACTGTTGGTATTACATTTACAAAACTACCTTGGAATTTGTAAAATCGTTGGCATTACACGTATGCCAAAACGCAGCAAACGCGACCTGCAATGAACAATATTTCTTTATAAGCGCGAACGCAATCCAATGCCAGATTGGCGTTCGCAATTTGAGGTAATGATAAATGGAAAATAGGTTTGCTAAAGCATTAGGAACACTATTCCCAGTACCTGGATTCAGCACTTGTCTTGGCTATTGTCAACGATTGTGAGAATAGCGACAGTGCTAAAGATGTGTTGGAACTACTGAAAAATGACGGTCAATGTTTGACCCATGAAGATGGTTGGAATCAATCCACTACACGAGAGAAAGAAAATGAAATTTTACATAGTTTAGACGATGAATTCAACAAAGAACATGAAGTTGACTATTCAGAAGAATTGACAAATTCTCTATATGATTTAGATGAAACTGTTTATAATTTTTTACGGTCCATGTTTCATGATATTGCACCGCAGCGTGTGCAGTATGTCCTTTATAAATGTGAAAATGATCTTACTCGCGCCAGTGATGAATTATTAAATCAAGAAGTACTTGAAAAGAACGAAGGCCTTAGAAATGCTACCGATGCTCTTTTTGCAGCTCCCAACGTCTCTCATCGTTCTCGGCAGCGTAAACGAAAAAATAAAAAGCCCAACGCTTCGCGTAGAGCCCCCTGGAAAGACGATTTGTATCTAAGCAATGCAAATAAATCCGACACTGACGAAGAATTGGCTCAGTTTACTGCGAACAAACTTTCCTTTTGGGAAAGAAACCAACAACTTTTTGAAAAGATCTCCTCTATTTTGGATATTGCTAACTCGCGAGTCAGCCATGAATTTTATAAGCATTCTGGGTCATTATACTTTACAGTGAACGCTTTGCTACGGAAGCATCCTTTGTTGACAGAGACCTTTGAGAAGTCATGTCAAGATACTGCATCTGAACTTTCCAAAAACACTGGTCTTGCGTTTCAATTTTGCTGTGAACTTATAACCTGTAGTAAAGACTTGCAAGGAGCAAAATGGATTGCTTACGCCGTCAAGCAATCACAACCGAAAGATACGACTAAATTGGAACTTGGTTTACTTGGTAATGAAAAGCCTAAAGCAAGCCAATTGCCTTCTTTAAGTCGTAATATGAGTGAACGAGATGATTCAGTGGAAACGTATTCCGCAGAAGAATGTAATCGTCTAGCGGACGAATACTTGGATTATCGAAATGCCGAGTACGCTGCTTCTGCGAGAGATTATCGAAGAAGCAGAAGTGATCGATTGCTTGGTGGGTCTGCAGCTTACCACGCTCAAGTTGGACGACAATATCATGAAAAAGCTATGAAATGGCGAGGTTTAGCCATGAGGTCTTTAGTTCAAACTGGTACGCCATATTCGTTGGATTTGCATGGTGCCACTGTTCGTGAGGCTAAAAGCATCGTTGAAGAGAGAGTCTCAAGTTGGTGGGCAAAGGAAGCGGATTCTTCTCCGAATTGTATACACCCCTTTAGAATTATTACAGGGATTGGTAATCATAGTGTAGGCATGGAAGCTAGGCTTTTACCCTCCATAGTTCGATGGTTACAGCAAAATGGTTGGAGATTTGAGGTAAATCATGGTCAAGTTGAGGTTTACGGTGCTATTATCAAGAAGAAGAAATAGTTGTTTAGTACTATACACTCCGAAGAACCTATAAGGTTTGTTATATATATATATATATATATATATATATTTTTTTTTTTTTTTGGTTGAAAGAACTTGGGTTACTTGGTTGCGTTAAATGTTGTTGAAATTTAATTTGATTGAAGCTCATCATATTAATGAAATTGTTCATGACTTGTTTGGAAGTTACTAGGTAGTAGGTATATAAGGCGTCGTTAGCGAAATCATTAAAGCGAGGACTACGGGGACTGAACCAGTATTGAATCATGCATGTAGGAGACCAACTAGTACGTAGGATTTGCGCTTTATTGGCAATTCATATCTTCCATATCTCGAAAATTAAAAAAAAAAATTATTAAGCAAAACACGTACTAAGGATGTTAGGAAACTTCAGATGGTGCATATGATGAAGCACCGCTCTCATACAAATAACGAGAGTTGGTCCTTCGGAAAGGGACATTTTGATTACGTCCAAACCGTTCCAATGAATCATCCAAAAGTAAATGAGCAGGAGAATAAGACCCATCTTCATTTTTAAGAGCAGGGTTGGGTGATGTATCGGAAACACCACCTAGTGAAGTATATCCTTTATCGTATAATGTACAGTATTTCGTTTCAGTTTCTAGCAAAAGCTATATATTCGTTCAGTTAGTAAAATCCCAAAGACTAAATTATTATAAATTAAACACATACGTCCCAAACTTCTGAGTATTTCCAATCTAATATTGGTTGAATCCGCATGAACTTAGGCCATCCTTTGTCGGTCATTTCGAAAGCAATACGATTCTTGCCGTGTGGATCTAATCGACGGATTCCGATAAGTATTGCTTCAATGCTTGGGTTAAGTTTTAGGAAAAGTGTGAATGCTTCTTTCATAGGAAGGGAGATTCTGATAATGTTAAGGCCGTAAAGGTCTTCGCAACTTTTAACGAATTTGTCCATTTCATCGAATTCATCTTTTGGCCGTACAAATACAAAGGGTATTTCGGATAATTTTTGTTTTACCAAAGAGGGACCGTATCGTTCCCTTAAACAATATATACACAGCAACAGTAAAACTAGACAATCCTTTCCTCCGTTAAATGACATAGCAATTTGTGAGGTCCTGTACAAGAAGATTAGCAAAAAGGTGTACAAATGATGGCTACATTTTATCCAACAAAATTATTTCCTTACTCATAACGGTCGAGTGCATAATCGATAAATTTCAGTGATCCTGTAAGCTTTTGTTTTAGAACACTAACTTTTTCAGATGAGGAATCTGAAGTATAAATCCTTTTTATTCTATTATATACGTCTTCCAATGCCTCCATGGAGCCTGTGCGTATAATTATTTTTACACGTCTGCGTTAATAAAGTCCCGGTTTCCTATGCACCTGTATTCTGCTCCAAAATTACGAACAGAAAAAAATAAAGTATATCTTTCTAAGATTGAGCTTCTTTTTATACTTACTAACAGTCGTTACTTGTAAGTATCTTCTTAAACGTGTATTCAAGAAGGATGGACGTGGTGGAATCATCATTCATGAGATGAGATAAACTGCTGATATTCATCAAGACAAATGTATATGGTTTTCCATTTCGTTTATTATTTAAGCAATACTTATTTGACTTACGATTATTTTTCATTTAGATTTCTTAGCTACTTCACTATTAAAACACCTTCTTCCCCAGAAGTCGAAATTTCAGGAAACAGAAATGGAAAAGGAAGTTGATGTGTTTATATTTCCAGAGAAACAAAAGCCTTCCAATTCTTTTTCTTTTAGGCACAGGTGCTATTACTTTCCGATGAAACCGAATCAATTTTCATTAAATCTATATACATATAAAAAACTTCTAAATTAATATACAAGAAAGGGCTCCAAACATAACTATATCGGTTTGTAAATTTTGTATCTCAACTAAAACCTTTGATTATGAAGTAAACGTAATAGAAAACAAAATCTTTGTCCCTTCATAACAACATTCTTCTAAGTTCAAAACAAAACACCTTCGGCCTTTCCAGAGTATAAAACAAGCTCATTCACTGCAATAAACCTCTAGTAATAATTGCATAACTAGTGTTCTGCATGCGCGTTTCTCTTCTATCGTCCATTCGGACGATATTATAATACAGCACAAAGCGATATTGAATTATATAGAAACCCAAAAAAAGCTAGAAATTCATTTTCCATTTTCAAAGGAACACTGCGTGTCGTAGGTCCAAAGATAACGATAAACCTAATAGAAGGCCCAAGCTACCGCATTTCTTGTAACAAGCCCTGCTTAAACTTCCTTTGAATGACCTTCCTCATTCGTCTTCGAAGACAGGTCAGCTACTGATGGTTTTTCCTCCGACGTTGCTAGAGATGCAGTATCATCACTTTCTTTACCCTCCTCTATACCATAAGAGACTTGAGCTGCCTCTGCGACACCATCAGATGGATTCTCTGACCCAACAGTGTCCTCATCCTTTTTCTCATCGGGTTTTACTTTATCTTCATTAGTTAATGGCTTTTCTTGACTTGGGGTATCTACATTAGCCTTGTCATCATTCGGTTCTAACTTAAGGTTTTCTGGTTCTTTCTTGAATTCTTCCTTTTTAGGTTCCTCCTTATGTTCAGTTTGTTCAGTAGCATCAGTTTTCGTATCTTCATCACTATCGCGATTTTCTTCGTCAAACATAGCTTGAACCAAACGTTCGCCTAGCTCTTCACGATCCTTACCATCAGAGCTAAGACTCATGTCTAGAGCTAGCTTGGTATTGGCAAGTCTTTGTATATACTCTTCAACAGTATTTTTCGTTATTAGCCTTATAACTCTCACATCGCGCATCTGGCCCACACGATGTGCGCGATCTTCAGCTTGCAGATCATCAAAAGGGTTATAAGAACAATCATATAAAATTACCACGTTCGCACAGGCTAGGTTAATACCGAAACCACCGGCTCTAGTAGAGAGCAAAAATACTGTAACATCGGGTTCTCTGTGGAATTGATCAATAATGTCTTGGCGGGTTTCTACCTGTGTAGATCCATCCAAGCGAACATACGAAATTTTCAAAGTATCCAAGACTTGCTCTAGGATATCAAGCATCTGCGTAAACTGACTAAAAAGAAGTATACGATCTCCTTTCTCTTTCATTTCAGGTATCATCTTTTTCAGTTTTAATATTTTTCCTGAATCCATCCAAGGCTCGTTTTTTAGCATGTATGATTGCAACGTGGAGAAATTACGGCACAGGCGATGAAGCTCAAAGTCGGACATAATTTCCATATCTTCAAAAATGTATTGCTCATTTGCATTCTTGTATTGTTCTTCCTTCATAATATCTTTAGCCATTTTGTGCAGGATATTTTCGTCATAGTTTTCTCGAAAAAGTAGAGCATGATTCGCTGCCTTTCGCAATTGCATAAGGGTATGTCCAACGGACGCTGGTTTGTCGTTAGCCTCATTTCCTTCATCTTTCTTTGCTTTCTTTGGCCGTTTGTCTTCACGTTTTAGTTGTTGGGATTTCTGCACAGCAGCATAACGATTATATATGGCTTCTTGTTCAGCGGACAAATCACAGTATTCAATGTAATGACTCTTCTGAGGTAAATCACCCAGAACTTGTGCTTTACGTCGACGTAATACAAAAGGAGTCATCATTGTTTTAGCTCTACTAATCCTCTGTTTAGATAACAAAGCTTGTTCGATGTCAGCATCAGCGGTAGGCTTAGCTTTAAAAATGACATCCAAGTCTTCCATATCACTATCAAACATGTTTGGAAGAATAAAGGCTAGCAAGGATACCAACTCTTTCAAATTGTTCTGCAAAGGAGTACCGGTTAAGAGTAATCGAAAGTTCGCAGTTAAATTCATCAAATTTTTATATCGTTCGGACATGCGATTTTTTAAATAGTGGCCTTCATCATAAACACAGACATCAAAATTCTGGTGCTTAAGAAATGAGCGATCCTCTTTGCTACTAGTAGCAAGCTGGTAGGTAGTTACCAAAATGTCATATGTTACGTTGTTTTCTTCAATAGCCTCTCGAATATCGGCACGTTCTTGTTGACTTCCGTAGTACGGTTCTACACGGAGGCGAGGGCAAAATCGAGCAAGCTCACGTAACCAATTTTCTAGAGTAGAAGAGGGTACCACTACAAGATGAGGACCGGTACGGCCTTGTTCAAGAAGCAAAGCAAAAAAAGCAACAACTTGACATGTCTTACCCAAGCCCATTTCATCCGCCAGGATACCAGAAAGACCTAATCTATACAATAAGTTCATCCAATTGACACCAATCATTTGATAGCTCTTAAGCTTGACATCAGGAGCAAGGCTAGCAGGCTGTTCAGTTATGAATCCGGGATAGTTAGAAGCGTTAAAAGAAGGATCATTGTGTAGGGAATCCATATCAACAATGTTCAACTCACCAGAAGCTTCTTTCAATTTTATACCCCAGGAAGCCATACCATCGGAAATGCGTTTACCTAAATCTTCGCAACGAGCAATAAGGTTGTCAATAGCGTAATATCCTTCCATAGTCTCCATACAAACATTGACAATCTTTTGACCCATGGGAATTTTCGGTCTTCTTCGACCTCTCCTACCGGGTTTACTGGGAATGTCATCAGGATGCTTTATAATAGATGCCTCATAAAGATTATTAAAGGGACGATGTTCCAAAAGCAATTTCGAGTGAGCGAGCGGGCAACTGGCTGTATCAGATATCTCTTTAGCAGAACTTACATTGATAAAATTAAGAACAGTTCGCTCTAAAGCTGAAGTGTCTCTGTGAACAACAACGTCCGATTCTTCTCCAGAATCGTAGAACTCATCTTCTTCAACGGGTTTTTTTGCTGGTTTTCGAGAATAGGAGGGAATTGGAGTGGTTTCCCCGGCAGGTACCATGGGGGATCCACCTGACGGTTGGGTGTACTTGTCACGAATAGAACGTTTCTGAGTTTGTACAGTACGATTAGAGGTCTCTTGTTTTGGTATGAAACTGGGAATATTGGGAAGGCCATGAGTAAAAGCTTGATGTTGTTGCAACTGAGCTGATACGTCGTAATTCAGGAACTGGCGGGATAATACAGACAATGCAGCCGTTTCTTCCCAGTTATTTTGAGCAAGAGCATTGATCGTAGTTCCAATGTCAGCTTGAGGAACAAATGAACGGATCCACTGAACGCATTGCATAGCATAATTAGGGTTTTTTCTGGGATCCTTAACAGATGCATCAGTACTTATGGAAGGAGAAGAGAAGGAAGGAGTATTACCGGGTGGTGTGGCAGACGCACGTTGAACAGATGATGATCTAGGATGACTAGCAGAGCGAGGTTTTGACCGAGTATAGCTAGGAAGTGCGTTTGTTCCAGGAGTGGTCGATGCAGAAGAGTTATAAAGTGCATTGTTATCGAGGGCCGGCATTACAGGATTCGACGAATTTAGCAATCCTCCAGTATTGACATTTGACAAAGCAGAAACGTTTCCAACATAATCATTATTGGAATGGTACGGTGAATTGTAACCAGAGTACGCAGACTGCTGTTGTTGCAAAGAATGGATACTGGGAAGTCGAGAAGAAACATTCGACATTCCAGGAGAAATTCCAGTAAGTGGTGGCATATGAGAAACATTTGATCTATAATCATAAGAGGTATTAGCTGGATAAGAGGGAATAGGCTGTGGAGGAAGACCACCCATGTAAGCAGCAGCCGGAGGTGCGGAAGACATCAACCCGTAAGGATAGTTTTGAGCATTTGGCATCACGTATGAAGTAGTCAAGTTTGGGTTTGGTTCACCAACCAACGACGGGTTGGAAGAACCATAGGAATAATACTGCTGGCCATAGTTAGGTGTTTGGTAATGGCTACTTGCAGCAGCGGATACGTAAGGAGACTGGGAAATATTCGGAGGGCTAGCCCCAGAAACATAAGGATGATGAGAAGACCCTACTGACGATATGCCGAATGGCGAAGTACTAGTAGTATAAGGAGCATTGAATCCTGCACCGGACGACGTAACTTCACCAGAAGGAGTCTGATCCTCTCCGAATTTTCGTTTTCTATTGTCCGAAAGATAATCTGGAATCATCTATTCTATAAGTTTACATTAACTCTTTTGTAACGGACAAAATACAAGAAAAACACGGTTGACCTTTTGTTCTATACTTTGGTGGCTGTTTGCGGAAGTACGTAAAAAAGAATACAGTATCTTATTTTTGGTGTCATAAGCTACGCAACGAACCATAGTGAGCTGTACCTTATATCGTAAATATAGAAGTAAATAAATAAATAAATTCTATAAAAAGGTCTTAACAACCTTGAGTAGTATGAAATGTAGCTCATTTTTAGAAATTAGAGAGTAAATTTATTTTGGATATTCTTACTGTGAATCCTGTTTTCCATAAACTGATATGCAATTTTCATTTACAACTTTCAGCATCGATATTGATCAGGCATTTCAAACAATTATTAAGGATTCGGCTTCACTGTTCAACAGTTCTATAGAGATTACCTTAGGGCTTCATAAAGTGCATTTAAGTTTATCAAAAAAGTAGAGAAGTAAATAGTGTACCTCTCTATCTTGTTCTGCTCGTAAACGTTTTCGAACTGAAAGTTTCACTATAGCAATATGGTACCCATGAACACACCATGCCTGCAAAAATAGTAGAAGATAATTCTATTCAAACGTAAGTTATGAGCATTAATATGATTATATTTTTATAGCTACACTGAAAATATGAATTTAAATCGCTCCTATGACATGAGTCAGACACTCTTCGAAAAAACTTCCTATAAGGAAAAGCGATTATAGAGCAATTGCTTTATGATTGATCTTGAACTCTGCTTTTATAAAGGCTTTCTATTAACCACAATTAGTCATATATTAATAAAGTTCGTCGGATTTAGCATTGCTTTATTCACATTGCCTTTGCTAACTTACTATTGGACTCTAAAGAACTGGTTTTCTGGTATGAAATTTGCTTTTTTTTATATTTTATTTCTTGTTGAATTGAACTATTCGAAGCCAAGTACTGAAAAAGTTTGGAGCGTACTAACTATTCCAAAATAGGCAACGGCACTATTTACGCAGGAATAGCAGCAGCTGTTGCAGCGAACATCGTTTTGACTCTCTATGTCATTGTCGCATTTCTGGAGAAAGACGATAACTCACCAGAACTCGAGAAAAAGCAGCAATGAATGGATTACATACTTGGATTGCTGCTAGCAGTGGCTCCTGAAATCAACAAGAAGAGTATGCTACATAAAGAGAACAAAGGAAAGAAAACCTCCCCTCATTATTTATTTTTGTCTTTTGCTATGAGAAGAATGGCATACTGACGGCAGAACCTTTTGACGAAGGTCAATATAAAGAAGAGTAGCTAATACTCGTGGAAGACTATTTAGTGTTTTTTTCATAGTTTTTTCGTCCAGTTGAATTCTCTACGAAAAGGTTTCTTCATTAATTCAGGTATTTCTAGCTTGACCATCCGAAGGAACTCCATGAAATATAACTGAAGTCTTAAAAAATGAGATTTTCTACAAAAAACGTGAATGTTTTCATTTTCTAAAGTCATTGTTTACTCGCCTTGAATGAAGTTTCTACCAAACGAGAAGAGTAAAAGTACACTTTTCAGATTGACAAGATTAATAAAGTCATGGACTGTAGATTTTCTTTCTTTTTTAATTATACAAAAAGAAATTGACATAAAACGTTTAACAGAATACTTAATGTCTTCTTGAATCTAATTAGTTTGGAAAGCTAAAATTTGGCCGTATTTTATTTCTTTATATTTTATTACATATATTTATGGATATATAGCTTTTTTATATTTCTTTCATCGAAGCGAATGAGTATAGTTTGTATTCTGGATTTCGACATTATACTACATCCTTGCCTTCATCACATCAAGACTGACTCAAACCCCATATTGAAGCATTGGTAAATTTGGTACGATTTGCTACTTCCAAATTAAATTGATCTTTAATAATTTTCATTAGTCTATATTCTCCGTGGTTTATAATAACAAAACATGTCATCTGCAGCTGAACAAGCAAGATTACGCAGAGAGCGTCGCATGGAAAAAATACGACAAGGAGGAAACTCTAGAATTGATAAAATTTTGGGCCAGGAACCTAAAACAGACGAACAAACGACTTTCCCTGACATTGCTTCTAAAAATAGTACCTCTTCTATTTCTCAGTCAAATGTGAAGGCTGAACCAGTTCCTGCTGCAAATCCAAAGATTACAGAAGGAGATGAACCAAATAATTTACATAATCTTATGAATTCTCCTTTCAATTTGCAAAGCGACACTCCTATTAATGGTCCCCCCGAGAACATGTTCGCCGAAAATCCTGATTTCGCCAAGTTTTTCCAGGCTCTTATGGAGTCCTCCAAAGAAGATAGCAATGGTCAATTTAATAAAGCCGATGCAGATATGAATCCCAACATTCCTGTGGATAATAATAAAACCCTCCCATTGCGTAAATACATTCACTTACTCTTCGTTGTTGCTGTTGTTTGTTTCTGCTATTTCCGTCGTTTAGTAAGTGTCAGAGGTTACATTTCTGTTTCTTAATGTATACTAACCAACTACAGCCTTTGCTTCCTTGGATGTTTACTATTGAGGCATGTCTATTTTCCATGCGATTGTTTGTGGAAAGAAACAATATACCCTCATCTTCTTTACTAATGACGGTGGCATCTCAATTACCAGCTCCTTATGCGTCTATGATCAAACATAGTGCAAAATATGCTTCCTTACTTTCTCAGTTAATCACTGATGCATGCGTAGCAATATTCGTGATAGGGATCTGTTGCTATACTAGCCCTTCTCTAATTTAATGACCGTGGATGAAGAAGAATGATTGAAGCTGCACGAGAAAAGCATACGAAATTTTCATTTTTTTTACAGAGTCTTTAGTGGAAAACGAATATTAATTTAACTTTTACTAACGCATGTATTCTGTGTTGCCTAAATAATATCGTTACGACCTAGACGGCGCTGATTTCAACTAGTTTAGCGGGATTACATAAATATAAATATGTTTAAATTAAAATGTGAATTGAATTTTTAGTTGAATTAACTGCATGAAGGCCTTCTCAAAATGACTTCAAATATATGTGCAGTGCCCTCAATTAGAACAATTTCTCACAGTATTGTTTCGTATCCTACTTAACTGTAAAACATGTAGCCATTCTTGTACGTAAAAGAATATATAGTATGTCGAACCTCTCTTATACTTACTAAAAAAATTGATTCTCAATGTATCGACCTTGCAGTAGTAATTATTTACACTCGAAGAACATAACCAAACCTCACGAGAACAGTCGAAAATAAATTTGGGGATGTCAGTTTGAGAAGAATAATTTCATTAATTAGTTATTTTTTTATTTAAAAAATAGGTTAAAAAAAGATAAAAGTACCCTTGCTATTAATTACAAGTTTGAGAGAAAAACATGAAAAGAAGTGTACGGGCGGTTCGTAAGGAAGAGATTCGTAGGAAATGGCGTCCTTTATCAGAAAAGCAGCACGAAGAAATGATGATTATTCTTCGAACTTGTGCTAGGTAAGTAATTTCTAAGGATCCTTTTTTCGACCATAATGAAGCGGACTACCTTTAATGAGGAATTCAAATCTTCTATCTATAATCTCTAAAAAAGCTTTATAAAGAGACCAAGATTGACTATAATGTCTTAATTCTGATTTTGTAACCTAACCAGCTATCTCTAGGCTCGTATTAAACGGGATCAAATCTGAGCATAGAAAAAGTGCAGCAGAAGGATGGATGCTAGAATGCTTAAAAAGGATGAATATATCACTCAAAACATTGCCCGTTCCCCCTAGTAAAGTAGGCAGCGGCGCTTTTTCTCAAGTATTGACAGCCAACGTATGCTGCTTTGACGAATCTTCTTATATACTAATGAACTGATATATAGAATCAATTAGAACGACAGTTGTACGGTGACTTGGATCATATTCATCTGCTACAAAAAGAGCTTGACATAGAAAGCATGAGATTAGAACAAGAACAGAAAGCTTACGAACAAATGAAGCAGAATCTTTCTTCAAATCAAGCCAGGTCACGAAATATGAAAAACAAGGTACGTATTTCTAATATTCTATGGACTGAGTTCATATATGCTGACCTTACTAGTTACACCCTCTTTTGAAATCTTCCACTACAGAACCTTGGCTAGGCAATATCACAGATTTGGAGAAGCGCGATTTTCCAGGTTTGTTATCCTCCAGTACAAAGGCTTATGAAACCAAAGCGGAAATAAAGTACAGCAAAAAGCTACAACCATTTATAAGGACTTTACATCGTCATACAAGTCAAACAGTTCAATTAAGTCAAAAGGTACAGAAGGCTACTCTACTACTCCAAAGATTTCAACAACGAATGTCTGTTGGCCAACCGCAAACAAAACGTCCATCATAACAGGGCCTTTAATATCTTTTAAAAGATTAAAGAGATGACCCGAAAGACAATTTCGTTGCAGTTAAAAATTAGAAATGGCCCTGAACTAAAGCAAACCCAAAAACTGGATTTACAGCCCATCTACTCTCAGCACTCAGACTAATCACCTCGTCATAAAATACTCTCATATAAAATGAGACGACAAGCCAACTTAATGGAGTGCTTGGTTAAAGAAGGAAAGGTTTCGCAAAGTCTCCTACCAATTTCTCTATAGACAACTAGGGTAGGGTAAGATGGAAAAGCTGAGATTGAAAGAAATCGATTGTAATGATCATTAAGAGAAAAGACATTGTGATTTATAAGAGTTAATAATCTGTACAATTTACTAGAGACTCTTCAGATAGTTCTTGTTGATCTGTGCCTTCTTTTACTACAAGCGAAGGTTGCCTTGGAAAATTTGTTTGCACAGAGTGTTGGCGAAAAGTTCCCTTCTTAATATGAATATCGGTATTGCAAATTAATTATTGACTTGGATATTGTGAGTATAGCTAGCAACGTTTAAAGGCAGGAAAACTACATTTTTTAATGTTCGTTTATTGCAGGTACTGTTTCATGTATAATATTTGTATATCGAACATCTGCACCATGATGACACATAGAGTTTCATTTAGTAACTAAGTTAACTCATGAATGCTCTCTATCGGGACTTTTTCCTTTAATAGGGACGAAGAACAACCGATAAGTATAGTTACTTTATTCTGCACGGTTTCTTTGTGAAGAGTGATGGATAAAAGCGATGTTCGAAACCAAACAGCCTCCAGTTATCCAGCTTTCATAACAATATTTATTCATTTAAAATACCACCAATTTGTTTCTACTGTATAACCGATTAACAACGCATATTGAACTAAAATAGAAATAAAATATTCTTTTTCTTAATTTACTACAAAGAATGAGCTGCATGTAAGAAGATAGTACATCTTCATGTGAAACGTTTGTGACTATAGCAGTTGACTTGTGAGATATATAGATTCAATGAATCTTTGAGGAAACTTCATAAAAATACTAAATTTGCATACCATTTGATAGTAAATTTTATTGAGGTTAAAATCTAATTGCTACAGTTCGACCAGTAGTGGTAGAAACCATTGAAGAAGACATTGCAATATATCGGATCTGAAATTCAAATTCAACGTCATTATGGATACAAATCAGATAAATTATATTATTTGGAGGTATTTACAAGAGTCAGGTAAAGTACTTTAATTATATACATGAATTATGATTTGACTGAAAAACTATTCACTAACACCTCAGGTTATTCACATACGCAGTTTGCATTCGAACGTGAAACCAATGTTCAAAATTCAGACAAGGACTGGAATTTGACCTGTCCTCTTGGAAGGCTCGTTGAAGTCTTGCAAAAAGGTTTACAATATATGGAAATAGAGCAGCATTGGATCGACAATCCACCTCCAGGAGTGAAAGAAGGCCCATTAACTCAAGAAGACATGCAGAACAGTGAACATCCTTGCAAAAATGACTTTTTATTAACTGTTCCTCATTTCTGTTACGGACCCAATGTGAACAGTAATGAACTGGCAGACCCAATTGGACAAGGACATAAGCATTCTGAATTAGTAAACTCTTCCAAGACGGAAGAAATACATGAAAACAAACAGGATATTCAAATGGATGACCATTTAACCGAAATTCCCTCAAACGAACCTTCGCTTTATACAGAGGAGAAGTCAGCTGTGATACCCGATACTGTCAACCAAGAAAGTACTCAATGGGAAGGGCCGTCTGTGGAAGGATCGTCATTGATTACAGATACTATCTCAATGAGACATGCTGTAACTTGTGCTGACTGGCAGCCTACTAATCCTGAGAAGTTCGTTGTAGGAATGATGAACGCCGATTTGAGTATTTGCAAATTTGGAGACGATCCTAAAACCTTTTACGGATCCAACGTTGAAAGTCAGGATGTTACTTGTATTGCGTGGAGTGTAAGAAATTATCTGTCTGACTGAGTTTAAGTGTTAGCTAACCATACCAGCATTCTGGAGCATACTTTGCATGTTCTTTTTTTAATGGATCTATAGAATTATTTAATGATTATGGATCTCAACAGGTCATCTTTCAAGAAACTGAAAGCCCTGTGCTGACACTAAAATGGAGTGCGACCGACACATACATAGCGGCAGGTTCCGCTGATGGTGGGGTTGTATTGTATGATTGTTTAAAACGCTCACTTGTATACTTTTTAGATACATGTTCTTCTGTATTGGATATAGAATGGATTTCTACAGATGCTTTCGTCATTGCTGATGCAGACGGAAATTTAAAAATTTTTAACATTGGAAACAAGAACCCAATTTTTAGTATCGTAAAGGCTCATGAAGAATCCATTTTATCTTTGCGTTATCATCCGCACTTTTTGCTGTTAATATCTTCTTCTAGCGATGCTACCGTAAAGGTATGTATATATTAAAGAAACTTTTCTAATTCATAGTTATGGTCCCAGTCAAATTGCGAGTCATTGCAGTGTATGCACACCTTTCCTTTCAATTCTCCAATTGAATGTATTGGCTGGAACGAGGGAAGTGGATCTCCTATTTTTGGAATTGCTTCCAACAGCATTATCAGTCTATATAATGCTATATCCTTACAACAGCTGTCCGTGTGTATGAGACATGCTTCCCCGATAACTTCGATTTCTTTCAGTAACAATGGACGATTACTAGCAACTGGTGATTCCATTGGAAGCCTTTGCATATGGGACTGTAAATTAAGTAGCTTAATTCAAGAGCTGGTTCCAAAAAACTCGTCAATTGCTACCTTTGCAAATAATGAATCTGAGGAACAAATTAATTGTTTAAAGTGGAGTCCCGATGATAAGCATCTAATAGTTGGAAAGCAAACGCAGGAGCTTGTGATTTGTACAGTTAGCGACAAGAAATTTGAGATGGATTAATGATTTTATTGTTATTTATAACTACTAAAGTTTTACCGCGTAAAATATACGTGATGCATACCTTCATTATAATTCCAATAAATTACTAATAAATATAAGCGCCTCTCGCGAAATCATTAAATATCATAAGTATGCACAAAAGAATACTTTAAAGAGGAGCTGCATTGACCGGCGTAATTTGAGAAAAAATTGTTGGCTTGTTCGAGGAGTATTGTTGCATGTTGGAGTTTTCTTGTCTAACAATTTCAACCATTTTTCGTATCGTTCCCCGATCAAGATCAGTTCTATTGGTGAGAATGACCTCTACCAAGGACAACGGGGCATCCCAATAAGATTCTTTAAGAAGACGAAAGTATTCTGCAACACTTCCCAATTCTGCATCGAGCATGCCGAGGAGTAATTTTTCTATGGGTTCAAAGGTAGCCTTCAAATGCTCCGCAGCCATATATTCACCAAATGCTCGGATGGCGAGGGCTATATCGGACCGTATTTGCTGAATAGCACTAGGACCTTCGAAAGTTACTCCTTTGTTGTATATTCCACGAAGATAGTTAATTGTGAGGGCATTAGAAGATTCAAGCAAGAAAACATCAAATAAACCAGGTACCATATGTTCTATGCAATCTACAATGTAATCTCTAAACGTATCAACAATTAACTTCATGTTACTCGATTGATACCATCCAGGATGGAATAAAGTAGCAAGAGCGGGCTTCACATCGTTGCTAATGATTTCAACAATTTCATTTACACCGATGTCGCTGAGCAAAATGAAACCATCTACTGTTTTGCCAAAGGATTCACGAAGATCTTCTTCGCGACTATCCGTTGCCAACTCAAATGTACGCAAAAGCGTGTTGTCCATAAAACCTGCGCATTTAAGATTGTCATTGGCAAGAGCCAATAGATATTCCATTAATCCTGGAGGAGTATTTGAAGTAGATAAATGTTTTTGTAGTTCTGTCTTCATCACGGTCTTCCAGTGTTCTTGCATCGCCTGCATTACATACATAATAGATCGTAAAACAGTACTAACAACCTCGGGATTATTCGTTTGCGATATAATATTAACTTGTTGAGTAATCATCTGGAAGAAAATAATGGTTCCTTGAATACCATAATTTCCATCGCTGTCCAGTTCAGGCTCGCTCTCACGTTTAATGAAAGCCTCAACACTACTTTGGAATAATTTATCAGACCACTCCTGGATTTTCTGAGTAAAAAGTCTGGTATATTCTTTTACCAATACCCCATTGCTTCCATCTTCTAATGAAGGTTGAATCTCATCGGCGGAAAATGGAGCATGTTCTTGATAAAAGGCTCGATATTCTTTGTGAAAGTTGATAAGATACAGAAAAATTGCGGCGGGGGTGTCCGAAGAAATGGAATCCTTTACAAGATTTACGAGACATTGTTGATATATTATAGCAAATACTCTGGCAAGATCGAAGGATGGAGAAGCCAGTTCTGGAAGAACCTTAAATGCGTATTGCAAATCGTCAAACATCCATTCTAATTCGAGATCGGCTTTTTGGGTAATAAAATTCGACCAGGCTTGATGAAATCGTTCTGCAACTGATGCTTGGAAAATCTCTTTTGCCTCTGACCAAAAGTTCCGAAGCTGACGAGAGCTTCCTTGAAGGTTCATGAATGGAGCTTCATTTGCATCAGTGAGGTTAGACTGGGCATTTCTGATGCTCTTGAGCATTTCATCTGAAGCTTCTTCGGCTTCGATAATTTTGAATACTCGAACGATCGTTTTTGTGTTTCCAACTTTTAAAAGCTCAAACAAGTTACTGCAGTAGTTAAAGATTAATCGATCAAACTTTTCGGAAAGAGCATTTAGATTTGAAAAAGACGACTGTAGGGTGGTAGACGCGTCATTTCTACTCTCCAATGAAGCTTGATACATGGCTTCATCTCGAAAAGTACGAAGTTTAGTAAGTTTGAAGTGTGCTTTAAGCAAATTTGGCATAGTTGGATCATGTTCCAAGTCTTCTCGAATTATATCTTCAATGATGTCGGTTTCTTGCATCAGATTTTGAAGTTGTACAATCATTTGTTGAGTAGCATAGCAATTCTTATATATACGAGAGACTTGGCTAATAAGGGGAAATTGCTCAACCATTTTATGAGCCGCTGTGCATAAAGATCGCATCTAATAAACACTTGTCAGTAAACCGGTTTCTACCGAAAGAGCCATATTTTCCAGACAAACGGCTTTGCTATAACCAAAGCTGTTGATTTGCAAGAAAAAGGTCAGAACAAAAAGTAACGTACATGATTTAATTCATTAAGTAGCTTTTGACGTTTTAGATGGGAATCATGAAGGGCGAGTTTCCCTCTCTTGAAATAGAATTAGACACATTTACAATCAGTAAAAAGGAGCAAATCCATTACCTGTAAACTCTCTGAATGTTTTTCAAGCTCTGCTTTAACATGCAAGTCGAATGTATCTTTCTCGCGTTCGAGCTTCTCGACATGGGATGAAAGCTTGTATAGATCCTATTCAGTCAGTCATGCTTTTCTTGACTTTGTTATTGTATATTGGATTTTACCTCGCTTTGCCGCAGGATATCGGCTACTCTATACAGACGGGATTGTTAATACCAGTTTGAACACAAACACAAAAGGAGCCATTACTCATCATCCAAGCATACTTATTATAGACGAGCTCATCAGAAGAAACCAAAGACATTTCACTGGAAAACGAAGAAGCCGCTTTGTTTACGGTGTTGACTCTGAAGAGACCTGGCCGTTCACGTTTAGCAAGATGCAACAAACTCTATAAGTGAAATTACGGAGATGGAACATATTACAACTGATCAAACAAAGTAAGAATGAAATAAAAATAAAACAGCATAATGGCCTATAACAGAAGAAGTATGCCAAATTAAAATATTCTACTTTTAGTAACTTTTCGTTATGTACTTGGAGATATTTTAGAGTTAAAAGAGTGTCGTCCTCCTCAGTCAAAGCTATGCAAGCGAAAAAGCTGAACAAAGAAAGTGGACTATGAATACGCAAGCCTTAATAAAAAAGGGAACAATTAAAAGCATTTGTAAAAGAGATTAACAATTTGCATGCTCTTCCTTTCTGTTAACTTATGTGCCCTATTTCTCTCGATCTTCAGTTACCATGGAATGCACTATTCAAAATACTTGGAGACAAATCTTTTGTATTGTAATGTGAATATTGTAAAGAACTTTTTTTCTTTCCCTTTATATTGTTTATTGCATATAAAATTATCACTTCTTTAGCAGACTTGGAAACTGTTGGTAGCATTGCATAGATTTATCTGTTCAATCACACTTTTTGTAATAGAGTACTTATTACCCGGAAACCCAAAGGAAACCACCAACTACTAGTCACTTTGAAAATGTAAGGTGTTTAGGGATTTATGGTAACTAATCACACTAAATTATAGGAATGCCCCCGAAAAATTGACTCAGAAAGCCTCACAAAATGTGATGAAGCGCTTTGGCGTATGGCTTAAAAGTCCCGACTTTCGTAGATACTTGATGAGTACCCAGTACGTATAATTATGTTAACATGACTGTAAATCTAGCAAAATCCATTGTCTTTAGGATTTTAGCCAGAGTTTGTCATTGATTACATTGCTGAATCCAATTTGCTAACCAGGATGGTATAGCTTTTGGGGACCTCTATCAAACTTTGGTATACCTATTGCTGCCATTTTGGATTTGAAAAAGGACCCTCAATTGATTTCTGGACAGATGACTTCTGGTATGTGGGCTTAAAGTCATATGCAAACGAGTATAGGTTGAACGAGTATAGTTCTTCTTATACTCGGGTTCATGGATAATAGTTTGAAAGTGCTTGATAAGGATTACTTGCTGACTTATCTTTAGCCCTTGTTGCCTATTCCGCAGTATTTATGCGTTATGCTTGGGTAAGTATATCTGGTCGAATTGAACATGATTCGATCAAATATTTATTTAAATTGACCTTGCTTACTAATTTTTCTATTATTAGATGGTTAGCCCTAGAAATTATCTTTTGTTGGGCTGTCACGCTTTTAACTGTACCGTACAAAGTGTCCAAGGTCTCCGATTTGTTAACTTTTGGTAGTATGTACAACGCTGATATCTATATTAAACCATATAAAAAGAAGAAGATATGCTAACGCTTTCATTAGTGGATATGATGACCAACGCTCTGCCTTTGAAAATGTAATGAAGGCTGCTAAGCAAGAAAAGCCTTCTAGAGAATAAAATATACAAACCAACCATCTTTTGCATTTCTTTATTTGATGCACCTTTACTTAATGGTATTTACTACTTTCTAGGATAAATTTGTATTGCTAGGATTGAACCCGCTTAATCTGGTACTACAATTTTGCTACGTTAACAGAAATGAGTCATAGTGTATATTTTCTATGAAATCTGGAATAATTTCAGGATACTCCCCTTCTTTTCTTTGTCGTGCTCTTCTAGATTACGAATTGACAGCTATCTAAAACTGCATATTCATTTTTAATCTCAAAAATCACATTTTGGTTTCAATCTCAAGCATTCGTACATTACTTCCATCAAATCTAAAATAAATATATAGAATGGGTTCCGTTATCATCACTAAATTGTAGTGAAAATATTTACATTATTATACAGATAAATACCATTATCCGGTCGTCGGATTATTCCAAAAGGAAAATTATAATACTGCTGAATATTAGAAATTAGATTAGTTGATTAATAGGAATGAATCTGAAATGAGAGTTCCTTTAAAACATGAGAATATAGTTCATAATAGCAAAGAGCTTAGCTCTCGTAGCAAAAAAAAAAAAGAGGCAAAAAGTATCAAAGAAAGAAAAAGTTAATCACATAGATATGAGGTTAGGAAATTTAAATTATCATAAGAGAAATGAAAGGAATATTATACGCAGACGCCAAAACCTTGAAGTTCCACTTTTACTTTATCAAAAAAGGCTTCGTTTTGGTAGTTTCCACAGGTCATTTCTGGATATTTACGAATGGCAGTTTGCAGGTCTGCCAACAGGAATTCTAAACGGAGAAGCAAGATAGAAGGATCATCAATAGATCCACTATTCAGTGATTTCCATGTGTTCTCCAAACGATCAATATCTTCTCCTTGCACAACTTGACCAACGGACTTTAGTTCTGAATTTTTAAGTAATTCTTTTAGAACGGAGAAGTTTTTTTCAATGTCAGAGCTTGAGAAGCTTAGTGAATCTTCATCGTCGCTATCCATGGAAAACCAATCAATGCTATTATGGTCTTCACTCTTATCGGTCATTAATTTTTGTTTGTACGTATCCAAATCCTTCTGAGCTGTGCAGGATATGGAAGAAGCACTATCGGGAAAGCTGTACTTTGTACAAGTAGAAGACTCCGAATACGAAGACTTGCTATCATCATTGATCACAGTCATGGATAACGGCGACTGCATAGCGTCGGTATAGAAATCATCAATCGAATCTTCCTCTTGCCTACCATCTTTGTAAACGATGTCAATAGCACCAGGTGAGCTATGCATCAAACTTTTAGTAGTGACTACTCGATGGATATGCTGCTTCTCACGGCATGAGATATAATGACCTGGGCAATATAGCAATCGAAACAACTTGTGCAAAATAGAATCGCGTTTGCGGAGATTAGAAAAGGGTGCTTTTGCTAATAGATTATACAATTGTGCACGAAGGCCTTCAAGTTTGGAATACTTGTCCATTTCAAAAGACTCAAGCTTTGTATGTTCCGTGGAGACTGAAAAGCTTGTAGCTTGTGCATGATCACGCTTGGCTTGTATGGTAGGGCGATTGTAAGAAACTTTTGAGATTTGAGTCATACTTGTAAAACGAGCTGAAATAGACAAACAGTTGAAAATGAATTGAACACCAAAAAAGAAGTGTGAGAATAGGCAAAAAATGAATATATTTGAGCAGGACCAAGAAATATTGATGCCAGAATGAGAGAGAATTCACGGAATATATAGAAAACATGGATAAATCTAGTCATTGAATGATCATAAACTGGGACCAAAATGACAAGGCGTTTTCAAGCACTTTCAAATTAAAATTGACCATGTAATGAGTGAATAGTCTTCCCCTCTTCCTATAGAATCCAGCCACATGAAAATTAGCGTTTATAGTCTGTGTAGCCACCGAATTATACGAACAGTGCCTCATTTGAGTAAAGAAAATAAGCTTTTTTGGATTCATGCCCCTCATTTTCTCCATTTTTATGTTACAGAAAGATGAGGTGTCTAGCGTTGAATGGTCATAATACCAACACAAACAATGTGGTGTAGGTTTTCGGAGTAGCGGCTATTTCTTCAGAAAATTAAATCTGAAATAATTTATGAAATACAATTTATACTCCCAATTTGGATGGACTCCCTCCTCAGACTATTCATGAGGAATCATAGACTGGTTCCTTGTTTGTTTACACTTGCGACTAATGGTAAACATACCCCAAACTTTATGGCTGTGGAGATTCAAGGTGGGGATCCATATGATTGGGTTATGCATGTATATTACAGTATCATATCTCCCTGTATTGACCGAAACTTAATTAGATAAGAGTGACCGACTGTCATAATACTACGTCACAAATATATCATGGCCAGCTTCATTAGCAGGAAAGGTAGTGTTACCGATTTCCTAATTATTGCAGTATTGTTTTGCGACATTTCGATCATAACTAAACATGAACTGGAGAAGACTGAGGTAATCTTGAGTAGAGGAGGTATATACATACAATAGTTTTTAATCAGGTTTACTTTTGAAAATCTGACACCAAACTTCATACGGCTGGTAACTAGTTGTTTCCCGTAAGACACAAAAGCATCGTCAGAAACCTCTTTCTCAAGCTTCTTTACTTCAAGTGGGGACCATCTTTTGAATTTTCTCAGAACTTGCTAGCCAATCTTCAATTCTCGCAAACCTCAAATAAAATAGTGTTTTCAGTTCAGTTTGTTTACTTCGTTCGCGTCTTTAAAACACGCTCAGCATTCTTCGCTATAAAGTTTGGAGTAAACAACCACTTTATGTAATTGGTTCTGCCTTGTTTGTTTATTCTGAACAAGTCTCATATAAAAGCAAATACAGAATCAGTCAATCGGGATTCAAGATTCCGTATACAACGCAGTATTAATATATCCTCTAGTATTTTTATTTTATTCTTGGGTCGAAATCATCCATTCTTATAAGCTATCGTCCATTTATTGCTTTCCTTGGAAAACCTGATTATCGTTTTTCAAAATGGGGAAATTACTCACGACCATGATGTTGGTCTTCGTGTCCATGGCCGGCTGGATGTTTGGCGCTGACACGGGTTCCATTGGTGGTATTACCAGCATGAGAGACTTTCAATCGAGATATGCAGACCGCTATGATCCGGTTGCCGACACATATTCGTATTCTTCAGCACGTCAGGGTCTTCTGGTCGGTATGGTAAACATAGGTACAACAATCGGTTGCTTACTTTCTTCACCCTTAGCCGATCGTTTTGGTAAAAGAAAATGTATCATGGGATGGGCTTTGGTCTATATAAGCGGCATCATTGTACAACTTACCACAGTTCCTTCTTGGGTTCAAATCATGGTCGCAAAAATTTGGACTGGTCTCAGCATTGGAGCCCTTTCGGTTATTGCTCCAGGTTATCAGTCTGAATCTGCTCCACCACAGATTCGCGGTGCCATTGTCACTACTTACCAACTTTTCATTACTGCTGGTATTTTCATCGCTGCATGTGTCAACATTGGCACACAAAAGCGTCATGGAACTACACAATGGCGAGTTCCAATCGGTATTAACTTGTTATGGGGAATTTTGATGTTTTTAGGTATGCTCTTTTTAAAGGAATCTCCACGTTATTTGGCAATGAGAGGGCAAAACGAAGAGTGCATGCAGATTTTGTGTCGCAACTCCGGACTTACACCAGATCACCCTTTAATGCAAAAGGAATACAATGCTATTCAAACAGACGTGGAAGCTGAAACTGAAGGTGGTCCCTGCAGATGGATAGAAATCTTCCAAAGTCCTATCCGTTACCGTACATTATTAGGTATGGCAGTTATGGCTTTCCAACAATTAACTGGTAACAACTATTTCTTCTATTACGGTACTCAAGTGTTCCGTGGTACCGGTTTGAACTCTCCTTTCTTGGCTTCATTGATTCTCGATGCTGTCAATTTTGGCTGTACCTTTGGTGCCATCTTCGTCCTAGAGTACTTTGGTCGTCGTAACCCCCTCATTTTTGGTGGTATTTGGCAATCTATTTGCTTCTTCATTTACGCTTCAGTTGGTGATCGTGCTTTAACACGCCCCAACGGGACCTCAAATCATCGTGCTGGGGCTGTCATGATTGTCTTCTCTTGTCTCTTTATTTTCTGCTTTGCTCAATCTTGGGCTCCTGCAGCATACGTTATTGTTGGTGAATCCTATCCCATTCGTTACCGTTCCAAATGCGCTGCCGTCGCTACAGCAAGCAATTGGTTTTGCAACTTTTTGATTTCGTTCTTTACTCCATTTATTAGCAATTCCATTGGCTTCAAGTATGGATATCTTTTTGCATCTTGCAACCTGACAGCTGCTGTTATCATCTTCCTCTTTGCCAAGGAAACGAAGGGTCTTACTTTGGAAGAAATTAACCAACTCTACATGTCTTCTATAAAACCTTGGCAAAGCGGAGCTTATAAGCGCAACCGTGACGAGGTGCAGAATCGGGAGCCAGAAAAGTCTCGTGGGCCAAAATCCAAATTTAATGAATACGTTCAGCATGGACCAGATACTCATTCCGATGATAATTCAGTGACAAGTCGACAGAATTATCCTCAGCAGGTCACGAATCCTGTCGGTCTTTAAGGTCACATTTGTACGAGACGAAACTTTCGTTGTCTGTTATTTTGTATGTTCATGTAAGAAAATGTAAGACGGATCTGGATTGGAATAAGAATGAAAATGTCAAAACAGCTGGCACATGGAGTATTAGAAAGATGCATATCCTTACTTTTTTTAGGATTAAAACTAAACGAATTCCTGACATAGGAATATTCCTTTGTTTATTATGTAGTAAATTTATTTATTTTCGGTCACAACATGTTTGGTTTCTATACTAGTAGAAGCTTGTCCGCATATATCTCCGGACATGCCCGAACAAAGTCGTACACGCGCGAGGTTATGATTGAAACCTCTCCCAGGGGATTATTCTATAGTGAAGGTTACTGTAATATAGCATATGGGATATAATCCTAAGAAAGATCTGTATAAAATATGTATAGGGATAGGGACGACCGAGAGTCGGTTCTATTACTAGAAATGCTTTTGAGAAGCTAACATATTTTGAATGATAAAAGAAAAAATTTGAGATGAAAAACGGAAACTACTTTGAGCAAGCTCGCAAGTTCGCTCGATACAAATACATGTTCTACTGGAGACATTCCTAGTCTATGATATAAGTAGATGCAAAATGACCCCAAAAATAAAACAAATAAATAAAAACCAGATCTTCTTGGTTTTAGTAAGTACTCATAATATTTAACAATCAACCTTTGGAGTCTATTCAGATTTCAGTCTCGTTTTTACTACTTGTTATAAGTGTTGTCTACTATGATTTGGAAATTATGTATCTTGTAACTTCAAAACTAACAAAGTGGGCTATCGTCTATTCATTATGGCTACATTCAATATATCAAAATTTATTGCAACATTACTTTATTATATCTATATTTTATATATTCAATTTTTCGTCTAATAACTGCAAGCATTCGCTATTTTAATAAGTGCACCACGATTCTTTTCCAAATTTCTTTTTGATTGAGAATTAAAGTAAGTAGATTATTATATTCTTGTTCTTTTTCTTTTTGTAATTGTTGTAATTTTAATTGAAGCTTCTGTAGTCTTTAGAAAACTATTTTTTATGTTTGTTTTTTCATTCCTTTGTTTACACAATCCCAAAACAAAAAGAGCCGAAACTTTCTCCATTCTTTCCCCTTTGTCTATTCGTAAAACCGAGCCCCTTCCCCTCTCTCATGAGATTTTAGTGCCCAATAATGGATACCTGCGAAGCCTTCTTCAACCCTGATTCTTCCTAAGTTTTTATGTTTCTCCACTTTCCCCAACATGAACCCCCTTATTGATTGGTTCAGTGAGAACTTTAGTATTCATTACGTGTAAGGAAACTATAATTCTGAAGAACTCGTGGTATGTACTCGTCATTTGCATGGACTAAAAGCGACACAGGCAGCAGTTTTTTGTAGTTTTTTTTCTATAAAAGAGCCTTAAATTAAGCAATTTAATACTGAAAATTTATATATTTCAGAAACCACATCTCTTCGTAGCCTACTTTTATTTACGGGATCGCGGTTTGCATTTAGGGACTGTTTACGATGTCATCCCTATTCTTTCTCGTACTGTATTAGAATTATAGTCTAACACGTATCTAGTAATTTTATTTTAAAGTAACCAATTATAAAGTCTGATAGTGTCATAGTCGTCTTCTATTGGGAAACAATCTCTCTCTCCATATGTCGTCAAAAGTCTCGTTTGCTTATAGCAAACAAAGCCAATGTGGTCATTTGTCGACTATATAAACAGAAAGAATTCCTCTGCTTTTACCAAATTTCATATCAATATTATTGCTTCTATATTTTTATTTGATTCAGGACTTTATCATTTGAGGACCTGCTTCTTACAGTTGCGACATACAGACATAAAGGAACACTAACAATCAATTCTTTGATCTCTAGTTAACACCTACTCTATTTAATCTTCTTCTCTCTTCAGTCAATCTTTTTTTTTTTTTTCAACTCTTTTAACCTTCCAACTTTCTCTTTGAACATTAGCTTTCGCAATGGCAAAGATCTTGACAATTGTCATGCTGGTCTTTGTGTCCATGGCCGGATGGATGTTCGGTGCTGACACAGGATCCATTGGTGGTATCACAAACATGCGCGACTTTCAATCACGATATGCAGATAAATATGACAAGGAAACAGATACTTATTCGTATTCATCCGCGAGACAGGGTTTACTGACTGGTATGGTCAACATTGGATCCATGACAGGCTGTATTCTTTCTTCTCCGTTTGCTGATCGTCTGGGTAAGCGTAACTCAATTCTCTTCTTCACCTGTGTCTACCTCATCGGTATCATTGTACAACTCACAACACTCCCTTCCTGGGTACAGTTCATGGTCGCAAAGATGTGGACTGGTCTCGGTATTGGTGCTCTTTCTGTGCTCGCTCCTGGTTATCAATCTGAAGTTGCTCCTGCCGCGATGCGTGGTGCCATTGTCACTACTTACCAACTATTCATTACCGCCGGTATTTTCATCGCCGCTTGCATCAACATGGGCACTCATAGACTTGCAAAGAGCACATCTTGGCGTGTCCCTATTGGTATTAACTTGCTCTGGGGTATCATTACTCTTGTAGGTATCCTTTTCCTCCCTGAATCTCCTCGTTACTTAATTTCCGTTGGCAGAGATGCAGAAGCTTTGCAAATTATGTGCAAGAACAATGACCTTCATCTTGAGCACGAGGTCATTCAAACTGAATACCATATGATCAAATCGGACTGTGAAGCTGAGTTGGCTGGCGGCCCTGCTAAATGGCCAGAAATCTTTAGCAAAAATATCCGCTATCGTACATTCCTTGGTATTGGTGTCATGTCCCTTCAGCAACTTACCGGAAATAATTACTACTTTTATTATGGTACTCAAGTATTCCGCGGCACTGGTATGACCTCTCCCTACTTAGCAGCATTAATTCTCGACGCCGTAAACTTCTGTTGCACCTTCGGAGCTCTTTATGTAATGGAACATTTTGGTCGTCGTACTCCTCTAATTATCGGTGCACTTTGGCAATCACTTTGTTTTTTCATTTACGCCGCAGTCGGAGATCGTTGCTTATATAAATCAGATGGATCCACTAACCACCAAGCTGGTACTGTAATGATTGTTTTCTCCTGTTTCTTCATTTTTGCTTTTGCTCAAGCTTGGGCTCCCGGCGCGTATGTTATTGTTGGTGAATCGTACCCAATTCGTTTCCGTTCCAAATGTGCTGCAGTAGCTACTACCGGTAATTGGTTCTGGGGATTCTTAATTTCATTTTTCACTCCCTTCATCACTAATACCATTGGATTCAAGTATGGCTATGTCTTTGCTGCTTGCAACTTGTGTGCTGCTATTGTCATCTTCGCCTTTGCCCACGAAACCAAAGGTCTTACGCTGGAAGAGATCAATCTCGTTTATATTTCTGGTCGCAAGCCCTGGTCACACCGTCCCAAGAATATTGCCAGCTACTCTGAACAACATAAGGAAGCTTTCGAAGATGACAAGCATGATAAGGCCGATCTTGACAACTTTACTTCTGACAGTATGGAAAATGCTTCGTCTTCTCCTTCAAAGCCAAAGTCAAAGTATATCGACAATGTCGAGGAGGTATGAAGTTATAAAATTTCCAAAGGATCTTCATGTCATCCATGTTTAGAAGTTATTGAGATTCATTAAATCCTCTTTTTTGGATTTCTATAAAAGCCACCTAAATCGTTCCACGATGTAAAAACCCTATTCATTCTTAATTGAATGAGTTCAAACTAAATTTTGTGTTCCTTCACACATTTCATGAGTTATGACACCCCATTTATTTGTATGAATGCATCCTTGTTGATTCACATACAATTTGTTAATATGCATCCATGCTGGCATTACCTTCCATCTTACTTATTGCACTACACACCATAAGGAATCAATGAAGAACCTTTGGCATTTTCAGCCATATTTCACGATGTACTCAATCAACCTCATTAGTTAGAAAACAGCGAACGAAGTCTCGTACTCGTTTATAAGTAACCAGCATCTAGAAAGGCAAATAGGATAATTTCATGTATATCTCTTCTTGCCTTCCTTGGAGACTATCCTTCTTTTCTTAAAGCAACCAACTTTTGTTTATTGTTTATATTGAGCCCCTTAATTTGATAAATAAATTGATCAAGTACTGGCAAGCTGAATCAAGAATGTTTACAACTGTCATTTATAGTAGATTGGAATGTATGATAAAGCTGCAATGGGAAACAGCAAGGTCAGCTAGAAAAATAAGTAAGACATCCCGTTGATTTCGGGATAAATAAAAAATTGCTCCAGCAGTGACTCGAACACTGGGCCTCTTGCTTACTAGGCAAGCGCTCTACCACTGAGCTACAAGAGCTAGTTGTTAAGTTGTAACAACGAAACGTATAAGATACGTGCAGCGTAATTTCTATTCGTATTTCACTTGGATATCTATAAAACATTTTGACTGTGTACAAAAAAAGATAGAAAATAGCCTGTCTTACATTTAATGATTGATTAGTGAAAAAAAATTCCGTAGTTGTGCTTTTACCTGATAATTACATGATATAATAGGAACGATACTCTCTCTGGAATGTTGACTATGTGCACGAGTAGGACTCAAATTTGCTCTAGCTCAGTTAATGCTAATTGTCCGTTACAATGCTATTGTCATTAACAATTCGGAAGCAAGACATATCCATTGGGTATGTCACATACAGAAGTAAACAAATATATTACACTGACTGGTAATCGACTACATTGATATAATATACTTAAAGTTAAGCTACTTATGTCTGCTCTATGGGGATATCGCTTGTCAATGAGGGCTCTTTAATCTCCCAATTGATGTGGTTTCTGATGCGGTACACTGTATTCTTTACCTTTTTTCTAGACTTGCAGTTGTGTGCAGCAACCTATGGAGACACAATACACTTTACAGAGTCATGACTCCATCCCAAACTGTGACACATATTTTGACATAAAGAAACTCTTTTTTATTATTCAACTATCTGATCAATGCTATCACCACCATAGCTGTTTTGAAGTCAAGCATTTGAATTCCATGGCGCTATACATTTTATCAATGTGAACTAATAAGTGTTGGGTTCACATACCTACGGATGGTAATTAGTATCTGAGATACAGGTTTTTGACATAACGTTCAGATTCCATATTGAAAAACAAGTCAGTGGGTGTTGAATATTCTCAAAAGATGATGGTTTCTAACCAACATGGTTATCAATATTTTCCTTTCAAGAGGTGAAGCTTCGTTTAACAGAAGATGTACCTGTTCTAGCTACTGAGTCTACCAGCACGAGTATGTCAAACTGAATCCGCCGGGAAGTTTTTTGTATTCTCCGTCATTATTCGATCGGCATATGTTTTCTAAATTCGTAGGAAGAGTTTCGTGCTGAAATTAATCACAGTTCTAATGAACTGTTAGCTAGTCAAAATGACACTCGATTTATAAAATAAATCAGAAGAAACTTCGGTTGACTGGAAAATTTAAGTTTATTTCAAATATTTATGTTCTTTTTATTCATACAATACTACTCATTAGTTTGTTCACATTTAAAAGATACATTGTTTATCTCAGAGTAATACTCGACTCCCTTGTATAATCATATTACAATAGGGGAGCGCTGACACAAGAGTAATTAATCAACGGAGGTTACATCAAATTCATCCTTCCGCAAACCACTTTGTTTATCTTCCCTTTTCATCCAATTGAAGGTTATTTTACAGAAGAAACTTTGGATGCAGGCATAATGCAAGAAATTACTAAAACTACGGGCCCTATACCCGGAATTTTAGAGTCCACAACATTTACTCCAAAATACAAGAAATCCCACTTAGCAAGCGCGGTTGAGGCATTAGCCGTCTTTCTTCACAGTGTTAGTTTGACGCTTACTGCGTCTTGGTTTACAATTTTATGGGTGTTCTTACCGATATGGCCTGTAAGTATATAATTAATAGTGATTCTTGACGGAAGAGTACGTTGAAATCTTAGGTTTTACGTACGTAGTGCTGGATCCAAGCAAGTAGCTGTACTTGTCTATCCGAAAAGCTTTATAAAGTCGACGCACAAGGAAATACGTCAAGTTCATTTTAGATCAATTCCTTTAATGCAGTGATATTAACTAATGTAGATCCTTTTGGTATATCTGGCATGGTTATTTTACGATGATGCTTTCGTGACAGCTAAAGATCGTCAAAGTCCATGGCTGAAAAGAGCTGCTCCGTATCACTGGTTTTGTCATTATTTCCCTATTCGTCTTCACAAGACTGCAAACCTTGACCCACAAAAGAACTACATTTTTGGCTATCATCCTCATGGAATTTTATCCCTTGGGGCCTTTGGTGGGTTTGCGACGGAAGGTATGTAAAATCACATATTGTTATTTTTAACACCTTTTAGGTGCCGAATTCAGCAAATTGTTTCCTGGTATAAACGCTTCTGTCTTGACTTTGAATTCCAATTTTTATGTTCCTGTATACCGGGACTATTTGCTTGCTTTAAACGTTAATTCTGTTTCTAAGAAATCTTGTGTCAATATTCTATCCAGGGGACCTGGCGAAAGTGTTGTTATCGTTATTGGTGGTGCACAGGAATCGCTATTGTCACGTCCCGGACAAAATAATTTGGTGTTAAAGAAAAGATTGGGATTCGTCAAGTTGGCGTACTTGACTGGTTCAAGTTTAGTTCCTTGCTTTGCCTTTGGCGAATCGGGTACGCTCTTATGACATATGAAACGTGAAATTAACCGCTTTTAGATATTTTTGAACAGGTGAACAACAATCCTGGAACTCGCATTTACAAGTTTCAAGAAATTGTAAAAAAATTAGCAGGATTTACTATCCCTTTTTTCTATGGACGAGGAATATTAAACAAATCATTTGGCTTGATGCCTTGGAGGAAGCCAATTAACATAGTCGTTGGAGAACCCTTGGATTTGCCTAAAAAATCAAATCCCACAAGCCAGGAGCTTTATGAGACTCAGGAAGAATACATTCGTCGACTTGATGGACTTTGGAACAAGTATAAAGATGTTTTTGTCCCAGAAAGAGTAAAAGAGTTACATTTGGCTGCTTAAACTTCACCTTTTGTAACGTTTTTCTTCGTCATTTCAAGCTCTTCCTCACTTATTCACGTATTTATAGTCTGCCCTTCTTTTCAGTTTTGTTATTCTCGTTTAATTCGCCTTTCCATATATTCCATTAAGATCTTGGCTATACTTATTATTTCAGTTTAATATATACTATGTATTTAATACTTCATTTCGTCGCTAGAGATAAGGTCTATTGTTTACGCTAGCAATAACTTACATCCTGTAGTTATGCATGAAAACGGTTGAAAGTAGTCAGTAGAATCAAAACGCTTTTCTTATATCTTCTAAAAAAAGATAGATCCTGAGTGAAAGTACTTCACGATTACTAGTCATTCAATCATATAGTTAATTAAATAGTTGGTAACATTTCTTTTTTCTTCCAAGCGTACTACACTTAAATCGTATATCTTATTGTTGATTAACGCAAATCTTTCAATTGTTTTAAGCCACGTTAACGCAATAAACCTTAGTACACTATCATAATTTACGAAAATTGATTCAAGCTAGAATATGTGGAAAAAGAATAGCTGCAGAACATAGTATCAAATATTGAAAAATGGTAGTTAAAATAGAATTACTGTAAGTTGGACACTGATGTTGTTCTTAAATTAATTAGATATGTGCAGTGGAGGGTTGGACATGCTCTTTAAGAAGCAAAAGGAACTCTCTTTGGAGCTTGCAGAATTAGGAGAGGACAAGACATTGAAGTCCTTGATCCATTTCATGGCTGAAAAAATCGAAAGTCCTACTCAAAAGGAGCTCTTTTATTTGGATGGCACAGTGTATGTTCGGTTTGTAGTACTTTTACTGCTTGTGGATTCTAACGTATTGACTTAGTCGTCCTGGTATTATCGTCTTGGTGAATGATCAAGATTGGGAACTTCTAGATAAAGAGGAATATGTTCTTGAAGACAAGGATCAAGTTGTTTTTGTATCTACTTTGCATGGTATGTTTGACAATATAACTTTAACGACTACGAAATCTAACTGTTCAATAGGTGGTTAAGTCAATAAAAAAGTTAGTTCTAAGGTAATTTATCAATTATACATACTGAAAGAATATAAATGAAGATTCTATTGGATGTGATAAAGTATGAAGCTTTGTGTACATTTTTTGAAACCAATGTAGGCAAATTCGAAGACACGGCAATCCAAGTAAAGATTTTATTAACAGGAACAAAAAAAAAGAAAGGAAAAACGATTAATAATAATAATAATAATAATACAGTATGCATATAGTCAACATAGATTATGAAAATGCTTCTAAAAACGTCAATATAGAAGAATGTTACTCCTCATCTTCAGAATCAATTTGAATTGTGCCCGTCCTACGTAACGGTCTTCTGGAGGCCGTCGCAGAAGGAGGATGAGACGAAATGGCGTTAGGTTCGTCTTCTTCGTCAACATCAAATGTATTCTCGTTTCTTTGCAAAGCGGAATTAAGCCGTTCTCCGAACTGAGGTATTTCTTCATCATTATCTTCTTCTTCATCGTCAAGTAGCATAGACGTAGACCTAGAACGAGAATGTCGTCCTCTCTTAGTAGGACGATTTTCGTCTGAGTACTCGTATCGTTGGTCATCACTTTCATCATGAAGTTCATCCAGCTCTCTAGCCAACTCTTCGTTTTTTTTATTCTCTAATTCTTCCGGATCGAATTCGTCGTCGACAGAGCCCGTAGCCTCTTGGTCATCGCTGTCTACTAATTCGGCTTGAGACGCCGAATTAGGTTCATCTACCTCATCGTCTGGGACAACAAATTCATCCTCATTACCATCAAAAGGGGATAATTGGCTAGTGTTGCGATTGTCAATGAATTCATCGTCTAGGTCATAGTCTCCAGCACCTGAAAAATCAGATTCTGGTTCTTCTCCAAAACCGATCCAATCTTCTGGAATGGCTGTAATCGGAGGCCTCCGAGAAAAGTTTGTCCTTCTTTCTACCCCTTCTTCACTGCCTCCGCTTCCGACATTTTCGTTATCCCAGAACCATTCTGGTTCTGAGTCAGCTTCATCCGAAATTTGAAACCCACAATGGTCGCAATGATACGGATTCTCCAACTCCCACTGGCAACGGGCGCATCTCAACACTCCATCTTCCGCGTCTTGGACAATGCCCGTGGGATACATGGACTCTGTATCTTTAAATATTCCATCAAACAAAACCTCTTCCTGGCGTTTTGACGGATCGTCTCTTGTCTTCAGCAATGATAAGCTTGGATCCACACTTGCGATAATGCCCATCAAGTCATAGACGAGATACGCTGGCGATGGTTGGGTATGAATCTTCTGGCGACAAGTAGGACACGACTTTGAAGTTTTCAGCCAGTTCTTTAAACACTGCGCGATTTCGTTAGTTACTAATGTCGTTTTCAAACAGCATATTCAACAGGGTTGTTCTATCGTCAAACGAACGAATAAAATCTAAAAGAAAGACGATATAATAAAACAGTACCCATTAGTAGAAGCTCGCTTTCATCGAATGGCTTACCTCATAACAATATGTATGTCCACATGGTGTTGTAAAAGGTCGTTGTAGCGTTTCTGTACAGATGGGACAGTCGATTGTTTTTTTTAGTCTAGTCAGAAACGAAGGTAAATCTGTATTTGGAGCTATGTGAGTCGATTCATTCGCTTCACTTTTACTATGGAAATTCCAATGGCCTCTTTCATCCCCTTCCTGATTTGTTTTTTGGTTCGTGAAAGATGCTGAACTGGGTTCTTTTTTATCCATCATGGTATCCGAATCGTTCTCTTGTATTACCATAACCCTTGTAGGATATAGACTCTCTAATTTTCTTTTGTCGCCTACAAAGCTGGCCACTTCTGTTTCAAGTAAACAAATCAACCTTTTCACAGCGTCGACAAATTCCGTTCAAAATGACCGATGGCTTCTAAAATCTATGGAAACGCTTCGTCCTTTTCTTACCAACGTTCTTCCCAGAATAGCGCTATGTTGACGATCATGTTGATGAATTTCCACAATTCTTCTTCATAAACCGTTAGTAAATTACCGTATTCTAATTAACGTTTAGATTTAAAATACGTTATACAAATTATCGACACTTGAGCGTTTCGTTATATCCTTACAACAACAAACGATTCGAATGAAGTAGTAATAAACTTTTTCAGTGCGACAAATCGATTCGAAAAAGTTGAACGAAGTTTATGAAAACTTTGGAGAACTGGTAAAAATAAACTATTCAATATTATTACTTCAGTTGTTCTTGTCTTCTGATTACAATTTACCAGTTTTTCGTTTCGTTGACAATTACAGTATACGTATTTCAGAGAAAAAAAATTATTTTTTAATAAAATATGCATTTATTTTTCTTCGATTCAATCCATTAACCATTTCAAAAAAAAAAGGCAAAAAACTCTTTGAATCGATTTATAATAAGTTCGTATCGAACGTGTATCAATTAAACAAGAAAAACATAAAAATATCACAATTAGTAATTATCTGAAAAATTTTGTACAAAGTAGAAGGATTTAGGGACATGCAATGCAAGGTTCGATAGTGTGCCAACTAAGAAGAACTAATGGCACGATGAAGGAGAAATGAAAACAGCAAGGAAGGGGAAACATAGGAGAAATTTTTTTGTCAGAACAGATCCTATGAATTATTAATTAATTAAGCAAAGCGATCTTTTTGGTCAATATGAGCAGCTTCATGCTTGCCTGCAGCAATAGGGCTGCTGCTTCCGGCGGAGCTGTCAACACTGTCTTTTGAAGCTCCAGCGTGTTCAACAAACTTGGAGCTTTCTCCACGAACACCACGAGACTTCTCAAGAGCTTCGTCTTGGTGTCGGGAGTAGTCTCCAATGTTCTTGGGACGGGGCATCCAGGGTTTGGCACCCGAGGTATAAACGAGATTGATTTCTTCCAAGGTAAGACCCTTTGTCTCATGGGCGAAGAGGAAAATAATAATAGCACCAGTCAAGTTGCAAGCAGCAAAGACATAACCGTATCTGAAGCCGATGGAGTTGGTGATGAAGGGAGTAAAGAACGAAATCAAAAAGTTCCAAGTCCAGTTACCCGAGGTAGCCAAGGCAGCACATTTGGAACGGTAACGAATGGGATAGGATTCACCAACAATAACGTATGCTGCAGGAGCCCAGGTTTGAGAAAAGCAGAAAATAAAGAGACAAGAGAAGACAATCATGACAGCACCTGAACGATGGTTAGAGGATCCATCAGGACGCTTCAAAGCCTTGTCACCAACAGAGGCGTAAATGAAGAAGCAAATTGATTGCCAAACACCACCGATAATGAGAGGGTTACGACGACCAAAGTACTCTAGGACGAAGATGGCACCAAAGGTACAGCCAAAGTTGACGGCGTCAAGAATCAAAGCAGCCAAGAAAGGAGAGTTCAAACCGGTACCACGGAACACTTGAGTACCGTAATAGAAGAAATAGTTGTTACCAGTGAGTTGTTGAAGAGACATAACAGCAATACCAAGAAGAGTACGATGGCGAATTTGCTTATCGAAGACTTGAGACCAGGTGCAAGGACCGCCAGCCAACTCAGCTTCACAGTCCGATTTGATCATATGGTATTCAGCTTGAATGACTTCGTGTTCAAGAGGCAAGTCATTGTTCTTGCACATAATTTGCAAAGCTGCTTCATCTCTGCCAACGGAAATCAAGTAACGAGGAGATTCGGTAAGGAACAGAATACCGACAAGAGTAATGATACCCCAGAGCAAGTTAATGCCCATAGGAATACGCCATTGAGCAGTCTTTTGGAGTTTATGAGTGCCCATGTTGATGCAAGCGGCGATGAAAATACCGGCGGTAATGAATAGTTGGTAAGTAGTGACAATGGCACCACGCATCGCGGCAGGAGCAACTTCAGATTGATAACCAGGAGCAATTACAGAGAGAGCACCAATACCGAGACCAGTCCACATCTTTGCGACCATGATTTGAACCCAAGAAGGGACTGCAGTAACTTGAATAATAATACCAATCAAGTAAATGATTGTCCAAACAATGATAGAAGTACGTTTACCGATGCGATCAGCTAAAGGAGAGGAAAGAATACATCCAGTGAAGGATCCAATGTTGACCATACCAGTCAACAAACCCTGTCTCGCGGATGAATACGAATAAGTATCTGTTTCCTTGTCATATTTATCTGCAAATCGTGATTGAAAGTCGCGCATGTTTGTGATACCACCAATGGATCCTGTGTCAGCACCGAACATCCATCCGGCCATGGACACAAAGACCAGCATGACAATTGTCAAGACCTTTGCCATCTTGTGAATATGTTGCAAGAAGAGAAAAGAGCGAGTCTGTCAAGAAAAAGAAAGAAATCGCTAGAGTAACGAGGAGGAGGGGAAAGAAAAGAGACGAGAGAGACAGGAAGACCAACGAAAAGAATAAGAAAAACTTTCGCTAATGAAAAGAGGAGGGTGACACTTCAAGACCGCTAGACTTGGCTTACAAGGTTCTGCTGTAAGCTAAACAAGATATTATAATTTGGATAAAAGAAGCTTTACAGGATAAAGTTGATGAATCCAAACAGCGAATGCTGAAGAAAGCAAGTTACAAAGAAAGGAAAATGAAGTTTAGAAGAGAGAAAGACAATCGGTTACCAATTGTTAACCCTAAAAAAAGTTTTTTTCAAAAAACAAAGTTAGAAATCTAAATTTCTTGTTTGCTGATGAATCCATAGCCTGGGACCTTGATATATATATAGTAAAAAAATATACAAGAAAAACATCCAAGGGGCGGAGCGCGGGGACAATGCGGAGATTCCCTAGAAACCACTCGATGACATTACTTGGATGTGGGGAAACAAAACAACTGGTGTATTGGTTGTGATTGGTTGATCAGAAAACCTTTTTGAGCGAATTGTTACCGTAAACGAAGGCCGGGGTCCACCGATTGCAATCTAGACTATGGAAGAAAAGAATTAGGAAGTCAACAGCGAATGTTCCGCCGGGAAGCTTACAGAAGTTCCGGAATAGTGGATCGAGACATAAAGAAAAACAAGTGGTTTTTTTCTTTTTATTTCTGAAAAAATTCGAGAAAAGAAGCAGAGTTTTTTGTTTATTTTTTTCTTTTCTTTTCATGTTATTTTATTTGTGAATCCTGCAAGCGTTGTATGCCAATGAATTCAAAATAAGGTTGAGGACGTCCATTTTTTCTCTAATCATGGGATTGCTCGACGCCACATGAAAGGGTATAGGGTTGGGATTAGGTTGCCCAACCTTAGATGAACCAATCGAACGTAAGAGGCTGGTTTCTCCGCATGCTTGGAGACCTGCATGACGTATAGAATCTCCACACGAACCTTGATGGAGAAAAGTCGCAAAGTAACAAGCGAGTGATTTGTTGTTCACGCGATAGCATACCTTCCAATCTCGTAAAGGACGCTTTACGATAGCTTATCTATCCGAAAAAACAAAACAAGGTTCTTTGAAAAATTCAAATGCACCAAAGGAGGAAGGAACAGACAGTACAGCATCCCGCTACTGGGCTGAGTCGCACGCGTCTCTATGTTCCACTCTGTTCTAGTCGATCTCAATACGATATGGAATAAATACTACGATATATTGTATTCCGATTGTATGATGTAAATAAACAAAGCGGCGGTGGGAAAGAATGGTTCAATAAGAAGTTGCGAAATCATTCTTGACCATAGCTGACTATGAAGATGGTGTTGTGGTTAGAAGGATGAAAGTTCTTGATAAGTAATCAACTAGCGATTATAAAGCCTGCTGTTGTCGGTGTCTGTGAAAAAAGGTCTCATTGACCAACCTTTTTGCCTTGACACTCTATAGGTTGTATTCGTTTAGGAGGGAGAATGCATTATAAGAATTTTATCGTAGAGGAATAAGCATCTACGGCCACACCTAGGCGAAAACACCAGTTCCCGTCCGATCACTGCAGTTAAGCGTCTGAGGGTCTCGTTAGTACTATGGTTGGAGACAACATGGGAATCCGGGATGCTGTAGGCTTTTTATCGCTTCGTTTTTAATTCTTTTTCTTTTTTTTTTTGTTTGTTTCGTTTGTTCGTTGCTCTTTGTTAAAGCATATGGCTGGCATTTGCATCGGCATGGTCCTTTAATTAAGGTATTAATAGCGGTGGAAGTTGGAAATGCAATGACTACTCTTAAATTCAAGAACTAAAGATCTTCCTAGACTTATGAAACGAATAACAAAGATCAGAAAATAGAGTTTCAAACGAATAAATAAAAATAAGCAATTGAACCTAGCTATGCAGATACAATGACAATATCATCCAGTAATAAGCATCCTTACTTATCCAAGGTTGAAGAGATCAAGTAAATCAAGAAAACGGACGCCATTCAGGAGAATTCGTCATGCAAAATGCATTCTTAAAATAAATATGCAGGGACGAAATAAACATAAACACAAACACAAACACAAACACAAACATACGCAAAAGCATGCAGGAGAACAATCGAAAAGATTGGGCAATATAAAAATTAACTTTACGTATCAATCAACTCTCACTGTTTTCCACATCCCTAGACTGACCAGGTTCCCGCCGTAACCCTGGAGATTGTTCAGAATGTTCAGAGGACGGTTGCTCCAAAGTATTATCACTACAATCATTAAATTGATATTCAGGCTCTGATGACATGCTGTTTAATGGGATACAATTATCAGCCGTCAAGTCGTTTCTTTCTGACGGCATCCTGAAACCTAGAGCACTCGTAACAGCACTATTGATTCCAGAAAACAGTGAAGAACCCCCAGAAGCAACTAGAGGAATAAGTATAACGATAAAATCCACCAACACTAAAAGCATTCCATTAGTAAACAACTTTAAATTACAAATCCACCAGTTCACTTACATGAACAAACATATAGAAACATGTAGAAAGCCACGATGACAAGAACAGCTGCTACAGTAATCTGAAACCATAACCTTACAGATTCTTTCATTGATTCCTTTATAAAGGGGACAAGGTATTTGTAAGAAAACCAAAAGTCTACCATTACCGAAATAATAAAGCAGAAACTAAGCCGAGCAGTTTCATTTTCCTGTCTTCGTTGTGCTTCCGGGATTCTCACAATTTTTGCCGGCCAGAAAATTAACCACAACAATGCCGACAAGACATCTCGTAAAAGAATAAAGAAACCGTTTCCTTGCGCCATGTGAATAGAAGCTTCTTGATGTCTTCTTGAGTATGGTGGAACTGGATCTGGATCGGACTGTAAACGTAAACTACCCTTCTCCATATTGTCAACATGAGAATATGGGATTTCGCTGTATTTAGGTAAGCAGTTCTCAGAACTTGTAGAAGAGCTCAAACAAGCAACTTTTGCTGGTTCGACAGGTTTTTGATGTCCTTCCTTTTCTTTTTGATCCATTTTTGTTGAACGTAGCAGTGACTCAAAGAGTTACTCAACCACTTTTGCTTGATCAGTAAGTTACTGCGAAAATTATTGATTACAAAGTAAAAGGACCAAAAAGCGTGCAATTTCGAAAACAAAAAGATGCCATATCAATTTGGTTTATACATTAAAGTAGGAATGCTAAAAAGAGTCTTGAAACCCAGAAAATAAGCCCTCAATGGCAAAGACTAGAGCTTTGCAGAGGTGAAGCAGTCATCCAACCCATTTGACATCTAAGTGATGCAGTTCGTTAAAGAGACTTATCGATAGTTAGTAAGCGCACGCTATTATATATATTATGAATGAATGAATGAACAGTTGGAAATAGCTTTTGTTAGTTTCTAGTGTTTAATTACCATAAATTTATTAAAGATGAAAAGAAAATGCACTTGTCCGTACAATTTGTTTACCATAGTTCGACGTCGCATCTACAAACTTTCCATGTGTTTACGGATTTAAAAATAAAACTACGAAAATGGAAAGTGTTGTAGCTTTCTACTAGAATTCATTTAACCAAAGTCATTAAAACTTTTAAATCAAAAATACGCATTTTCAATTCCTTGTTCACATCATTCAAAGCAAACACCATGGTTGTTTTGCCAAATGTTCCTTTGTTTACTATTTGTAATAAACAGTGACTCTTTTGGATTATACTATTACGAGAAATCGCAACGAGGATGTGACCAGTCGGTGACATAATGTCGCAGCTTTTATGAAACGAGACATGCGAAAAGCCATTACCATGAGTCCTTAAATTTGTATCTTTGGTTTTAAAGAAAATCTTCATCTGTAAAATTTATTAGCTTTTTGAAACGAGGTCCAATTCCTATTTTTGAAGACTCTGCAACAACTGGATCCAGTTTCTACGGACTTTTGTTGGTGATTCTAGTGATTTTAATTAGATTGCAACTGCAGTTGTTAGTTTGGGATTTAATGTGGCATTGTAACCATGAAGAATAAATACACCTCTGTTTCAGACTCTGAAGAGTCCTTGAAAACGCTCACTGATGAAAAGTCAGACACGCATTCTGCAGATGGCACGCCTCCTCCATATTCAGGTACGATTATTGAAATAGAAAGGTAATGGTGTTTGTTATTGAGAGTTTTTACTGAGGAATTCTATTTTAAACTTGTCGACGATTGTCAATAAACAGGGCGAATACCTTCATTCTCTCGTATACAACGAAAACTTCAGCTGCTAATTCATTCGTTAGCTTCAAACAAATTTATCGATTTAGAAATGGCTGACGGATCCGCTCAGAATTCCGCCGAATTATCCGAAAATAATATTAGGTCTGACCCTTCGCCAAATAAACAGTGGTGGAAAACACATTTCATAGAAACAGTGACTATTATAACTATTATATATAATCTTGTTTTTCTAGTCATAGTTTTTGGTTACAACGTTTCTCCGTATTCGAAAACTTTTTATGGTCTTGCTGGCAGCTCTATTGGATCTATTTGTACTTCTCTCCTTGGTAAGTCTACAATATCTTGTTCAGGACCGCTCGCTAATTTTTAGCAATTCTTTATATCTGTCCGGAATGGTACAGGGAAGCTGGAAGAGCAACAAAGAAGTGCATTAAGAAATTCACACCAGCTGTATGTAAAGCGCTAATTACCCTGATAAGTTTGAATGGAGTCGGGGGTGGTGCTTTGAAACTAACAGGAGGCTTCGAATATATACATTCAGCCATGGTGTTGGTTGTTCTGGCCGTATTGAACATATGCTTGTTTGTTCTTCTCATTCGTAAGTTGCAATTTTCTATGAACCTTTCTAACCTCTTTAGGAAACCCAATTGGATTTGGAAATATGACAGTTATCGTTCCTACAGTAAGCGAAATTTAGTTTTGTTAACCTAGAATTTTTCATTAACCTTTCAGAACAACAGAATTAGCAGGAATACTCCACCTCGTAACGAAGAAACCGAACTTCAGCCTCTTGCTGAGCAAAGCTCTGAAGTTTGAATGTGAGTGTGAGTTTCACCGAACCTGCTTTCATTTTGTGTACTTCGCCTTCGACCCTTCCTTGGGATCATCCATGTCAATTGCAGTTCACCAAGATCCCTGTGTTCGTTGTCACAAAAGCTTGAATCTGATAAATCCAGTAAACTTTGATTGCTTTAATAATTCACTCTTTTACGATTTTCTAATTAGTTCACAGCACTGTTGTTTATGCATCGTTCATTTTTCTTCGCAATCCGAATAGAACATCCTTTCTAATGATTATTTCATGTTTTTGACAACGAATATTCCATAGCAGTGAAGTATTGTTTAACTCAACGCCGAGTCGCGTAATTGATAATGTCTTAGAATCGGCAAGGATGAATGTGAGTTTCGACAGTTATTATTTTCACAGTATAGCAAACACAAATCTTCAGATCTAAAGATCAGATGTAGCTTAACTCATTAAACTATCGTTCATTTAGAGAGTCAAATCAACGCACCGTGAAATATTTCAAGTAGGACCCAATTTGTATAAACTACATTTTCAACCCATAAACCCAAACGCTCATTTTAACACTCATTCTGATGCTTTTTCTACAACAATGTGAATCAATAAAATAGAGAATGACAGTTTGTATTCAAATCTTATTCTTATCATATTAAAGCATTCTCCATTCAACCATGATAATATATCACAGATCGAGCTGAGTAGGGATGGGATCTTCAAGGACATCAGGTTGGCACAACACTGAAGACCATCGACTAAAAAAAAAAAAAAAAAAATTGCTCATTACTTCTACAAAGCGAATCAAGGTCTACGGCCACACCTAGGCGTCCGATCACTGCTGTTAAACCATCTGAGGTCTCGTTGGTACTTTGGTTGCAGACAACATGGGAACCCAGGATGCTGTAGGTTTTCTATAATTTTTTCCTTTTTTTTTTTTCAACATCATTAACATTCTCTATATGCTTAATGTTCTAAAATGCCATTGCTAACCGATGGCAGTACCTATCTGGCAGGCAAAATGAACCCCCAAGTTTGAGTAAATGCCATGGAGAAAGTAAAAGATGAATGGAATTTTTTATTTGACACACACTACCTTTTTTTCCTTTTCCACTAAAGCAGCAGTACATCTGGACATTACTTCACTATTTTGTGTCGCATACCTTCTTTCAAACTAGTCACCAAGAATTGTCGATCTTTAGTAGACTTATATCCAGCTTTTGATGGATGACTATTGTTTTCAAATAAATATATATGGAAGCTACATCTCAAACTACCCTTGTTCACTAATATCAGTCGATTTTTTGTTCATGATGAGCACTGAAACTCCGAGAGTCAAACCTGTGGATGGCTACCTCGTTTCAGGATCCAAAACCAAAAGGAATTAGGAATTAATAGATAAAAAAGCACTAGTATTTAAGTGTAAATTAGAAAAAGTAAAGGATATTTGCCGAGCCTCGTCTTTTCGAAGAAGCAAACATGAAGAAACTGACAGGATATCTTCTTTAAACATTCATTTTATCATCAACGATCCAATTTGTGGATGCATAATTGCAATTATTTTGCTAGCTTAATTGTCAGCGCCCCAAGCTGGTGCATTAGGATCACCTTCATGAATGGGTTTAGGTGTTTTTCTTCTGAAAACCGCTCCTGAAGCAGTACCTCCAATGTCACCTTCAACAATTGGAGTGGGTGAGTCTCTCTTCACTATTTCGGCAGAAGCAATGCCTCCAGCAACACCTCCGTGAAGATTGGCAAATGTGATACATAGTACCACTAAGAGGATGCTAGTTAGAAAAGTGCGCATTTCGGCGAATATCTGAATAAACTTGATACGAAAAGAATTGATAACAATGGATGCTTATGGGATCGATCAATTCATTCACAATTAGAAATCTCGTCTTCTATATATACGAAGTATAGTACATGATTAAAACGTTGTCATCCTTAGCAATTTCCATAATTTCGTCCGAAATATTAACTGGAAAAAGCCATCAAAACTGATCGATGTCAATTATTTTCAAAAACACCCCAATCAAGTTATTGCGTCGCCACGTGATATAATATTTAATACTAACACCTAAGATTTAGTAATGAGTGATCTATGCGGCAATGCCCAACGAAGAGAAATTTGAACTTTTATTGGAGTCTCTTTGCAAATCTTGGAAAACAAAACTCATTTTCTATGTCGAGTCCGGGCCGGTTTACTCACTTGGCGAAATAAATGATGTTATTGTTCCATTAAGCTTACTATGAAATCAATTCAAAAAAGAAGATGCTCAAGTAAATTGCTACAAGCATACAAATCATTGAATGGAGCGATCATTCCATGTTTGCGCGTTGTGTAATGATATTACTCGCCCCACGATGATTCTAACAATATTTGCAAAGATCTGTACGCCTCATGAATAAATGCTTTTATCCTAGTGGATATCCTTTTCATAGGTAAAGTCATACTTTTGGCTTTTCTATCATGAAACCCAAAGGAAAATATCATTCATTAATGTAGGCATGTTAGAATTTCTCCATAAAACAACTTCTTTATCCTCGGATACCTCATAATAGATATAAAAAATCAGAAAAGAAGGTACTTTACTTTTTAAATTCATGGTGTTAACGAAGCTTGCTCTCATTCCTTGAGAAGAGCAGCAACAGCAAAACGCGCAAGAGAGAGTTGGTATCATGCATAAGTTTTGCAAAAATAAGTTTGGAGATCCTGTTGAGGTGGGTCTTTCTTGAATTGTCTTTTCGTTTCTACGAAACATCATTGGAGGTGCGATGTTTTAGACTGCAAAAGACAGTTCGGTGATTGTATACTTTGCGGCGATAAAGGGTATCACTTTTCATGAAGAGTGCTTTCCTATCATTGAGAAAATGCTTAGTTTCATTCCATACCTTGTAATGGCCGATGAAACAGGTTCCTGAAAAAAGTCGTTAAACGAACCAACCAGTTTACTTGCCCCATATGAATCATTGACCAGAGGAATGAAGAAAGAAATATTTAAGCAAGAATGGTTACCTAGTTTTCGTGCGTGAGAAAATATTTTTCTCTTGTCGTATCCTGCTGTCGAAAAACAAAACCAGCATTTGATTCTCCCACATTGCATAACCATTGATTTACTGATCAACTAGCATAAGTTTTTCTTTTAAATGATAGCTAAGAATATTTTTTTGTTTCTTTTCCTTCATAAAAAAATAAACACTATATTATACAAAAGATTCAGTTCAATTTAAAGCAAAAGCTGACGATCTAACAGGGATTACAACCTCATTTGAAGAAAAAGATAGATTATATCATAAATAAATACAGGCTTAAGCATATATAAATGATCATAGGAAACGATAATGAGCCAGGTGTCATACATACCCCAAGCATACAATGCAGTGTTTACAATATCATCCAAATGTCTAACAGAAGATCTATTTACCAAATGCAAAGCTGATTGAATAGTTATAGTTACGTAAATCCTAAACTAAAAGAAGTCGAGATCAATATGTTTTTATTAGGTTTTATGAGGATCTTAAGTAGGCGCTTTCAGACGAGCTAGATTCTTCACATCTTGTTACAAGACGCTTCTAACATAAGCTTCGAAACAATTTTATCATCGATATAATATAATTTATTTATTTCTTTTCTATTTGCAATAAGAAAGAAAATAAGCGATGTTTTATAATCGTAACTCTTGCAGACCATCATCACTGTTCTTATATCACTTGAGTATAATAATTTTCATTACTAGTTGTTATATGATCAGTTATCAAGTTTCATTTCCATAATCTTGTTTTCTAATTTCGATATCAGATTTTTAGTTTCTTTTATTGTTACTTACTATTAATATTGTCAAAAAATTTCTTTTATTATTACTACCAGGTGTTGTTTTCAAGAATTTCGTAGGTGCTGCAAGTGAAACACAAGAAAACTGTATACTTTTTCTCTTTTTTAGATTTACTGATTCCAAAAAAAAAACAAAAGAATGAATTAAGTAACATCCTTCCAACCCTTCGAATACTTAAAGAGAACGCTTGCATGGCCTTAGACTTACTTAATTCATAATTACGACAAAATCCAAAACAAGTTGATTTCGCCTATAGATTGTGTCTCGTCTTTTCATTCTTCTCAAACGGTTGATCTTCCGAAAAGAAATATATAGTTTTTTCTAGTCTGCGGTTACATAGAACAGCAGTTAGTTCAAGTGTTTTACCCTAATAATTGAAGATTTGAGACCTACATCCAAATTAAATTGCAAGTGAAAACCATCTAATGCCCCATTGAGCTTTCGCAGTTCATATACATACATAAATACTCAGATACCGACGTACATCAATAGCACGGTTTCGTGTTGCCATGATTAAGGGGTTCCAAATTACACAAACGGAATCTTGCAATTGTTTACCAGATGAATTCTTTGAGGACTTATCGTGTGAAGAGGTAGCTTGACACCCTTTATTGTCTACTGGTCTGTAGTGATCGGCTCTATCTCTCATCTAAAATCAGACTTGCTTCGAAAAGGAAGGATCTGCTTCTGAGTGGGCAGAATTATTAAAACTTACTGCTTTCGCAAGTCAAGATAAACAACAATTTCGTCTGCGCTACATCGAACGAACAAGTTTATAGGTATTGCTAGTGGATATCAAGCGATTATATTCATATCTATTACGATCTAACGAAAAGGATTCTAACAACGCCTCTTCAAAAATTCCGCTCGTCTTTTTTAAATTTATGACGATTCTGCGTGCTTGCGGTGATATGAAATATGGGGTAGCTTTCAAGGCCATCCATCAACTTTACTATTGTTTACTAGAAAACGAGACAATTTTGCAATTAGGTTTTACTACTTGAAAGTATACACTGAGGAATGGCGTCTATTTGAAATTATTTTGACTTTTACTTTCATTCCCATCAACGAATTTTTGTACATAATAATTCATATTCATCATATATGGTTGTCTACGGCCACACCTAGGCGAAAACACCAGTTCCCGTCCGATCACTGCAGTTAAGCGTCTGAGGGTCTCGTTAGTACTATGGTTGGAGACAACATGGGAATCCGGGATGCTGTAGGCTTTTCTTCGTTCTTTGCGCTTTTTTTTTACCTCTTAGTATAACGTATGCATGCATCGCGTTGCATTTGGATTTCCTTTTGATCGCCATGGTACTTTGAGTTAGGTGATGTTCTGAATGCAGAAGCTAAAGCAATGGACTCCAATCAAGAATGTAGCCATGGACAAGAATGTAGCCATGGAAAAGCTGTGCAATGAATAAAAAAAAACAAGCATAGCCCAAGCTAAAGAAAAACAGAAGACCGGACCCAGCATAACAATGATTTCCTTTCCATCTACATAAACTTTCACTGCATTCAAAGCCCCTAGATAGACAGATTTCTTCAAGTATTTTTTTAATAAAGTTATTTTTAATTCCTATTTCTTGTATATATTATTTAAAGTATACAATCTGTATCTTTTGATGAAAGGTTCTTTATTTACTTTTTGTAATACTTGATTCGTTTGAACTATAGTATTACGAAAAAGTACTGTAAAAAACGAAAGTCAAATAATCATAACGAGGTTGTGACCAGTCAGTGACATAATGTCGCTGCTTTATGAACTTGAGACATGCGAAAAGCCATTACCAAGATTTTTTTTTTTGTTACTATCTTTGGTTTTTGACAGATTTTTACTCAAAACATTGCCTTTCTTTAGAAACAGGGAACGATTACTTTTTTTTTAAAAGATATCTGAAAGGTGGAACCGATTTCTACGGACTTTTCTTGGTAATTCTAGTTAATTTCGAACTAGCTATAGATATTGGTGTTCTTTGGTTTTGGTTTGCCATTGCAAAAATGAAGAATAAATACACTCCTGTTTCAGACTCTGACGAGTCTTTCAAAACACTCATTGATGAAAAGGCAGACACCCATTCTTCAGATGGTACGCCTCCTCCGTATTCAGGTAAGATTTATTGAAATGGAAAGGTAATGGTGTTTGTTTATATTTCCTGTTTGTAATCCAGTTATGGAGATTTCTTACTGAGGAATCCTATTTGTTTATTTGTTTGTTGTTTTTAACCTTGTCGATAATTGTCAACAACAGGACGAACGCCTCCTTCCTTTCACAAAGAACGAAAACTTCAGTTGCTAATACATTCATTAGCTTCAAACAAATTTATCGATTTAGAAATGGCTGACGGTTCCGTTCAGAATTCCGCCCAAGAATCTGCTAATAATACTAGGTCGGACACTTCTGAAAAGAACAAGTTTCAATGTCATTTTTGGAGAGGAATAGCGACTACTCAACTTCTTTTATATCATTCTGTTTTTTAATCATAGTCTTCGGTTACAAGATTCCTCTGAATACAGGTGTTTTTATGGGCTTGCTGGCGGTTCTATTGGATCCATTATTATTTTCGTACTTGGTAAGCCAAAGTGCGCTTTTTCCTTTAACAGCTAACTTATAATTAGTAACCCTTATAGCCTATCCTGGATGGTTCACCCAAGCTGGGTGCAACATGTGTGCCGCAGTATTATGTACGGCCTCTCTGAATGTCCCTTGTTATTCCGTGTATTATTTTGTAAAGAAAATAATAGGATTTGAAAAGATGAACGATATTGCTTTCTATGGTGTCTGCTTTGTTAACGTTGCCGTCTTTGTTTTATTTTGGAGTATGTCTTACATCCTGCGAAATATTCTAACTGTTCTAGGTACGACGGATACGCGACAACTTCGAATATTCATTGCTGATTTAGGAAACGGCATGGGAAATGCCATGGGAAGCATAGGAAACGACATGCTAAACAGCATAAGAAATGCTGCGAATTATGTTCGTATGTACTTTTTATTATAATTTTTTTTTTTAAGATCTGACTAACCTAATTAGGACCGACAGATCCAGAAAATGAAGCACCTCGTAACGAGGAAATCGAGCTTCAACCTTTTGCTGGGCAAAGCGCTGAAGTTTGAGTTTTATCGAATCTTCTCCATCCCTCCTGTAAATCACATTTTCCTTTGAAGCATCCATATCAATTGCAATCCCTCGAGTTTCTGCATTCTTGTCTACAGAGGTAAGCAGAGCTTCATTTGGCAGGTTTGATTGCTTTTCACGTTCATTCTTTTATGTATTTAAGAGTTCGTCTCGCAATAGTGTTATTTATGAATCGTTCGTTTTCTTTCTGACGAACATCCTTGTTAAAGCAACCTTTTTAATGATTATTTAATTGTTATGGCGATAATCTTGCAAAATAATCAACCGATTTCTAATTCAAAGCTGGACATATTCAGATTAGCCGTTTCAACTAATGTAGTTTGATAATTTACTTCTCAAACTATAAGTTTCTCAATTGCTATAAATTCAGACATTTGGTCTCACACCTCAACGACAATTTAGCACCATATGAATAGCTAGAAAAGAGAACAACAGAGTGCTTTAATCTTGTAAGTATCAAAACCATCCTCTATCAATTTTGTAAAATCTGAGATGATGAATACCCACTAAAAATTCAAATACCTTTAGTTACACATTTTGGATGTCTACGGCCACACCTTGGCGAAAACACCAGTTCCCGTCCGATCACTGCAGTTAAGCGTCTGAGGGTCTCGTTAGTACTATGGTTGGAGACAACATGGGAATCCGGGATGCTGTAGGCTTCCCCCTTTTTGCAATCCTTCCTTCTGAAGCCCTTAGTAGAAGACACAACACTAAAGACTGTCTTCGTTTGTATCTTTTTATGAAATTCGAATAATACTCTTCTCCAGCGCTGGGGTTTTTTGAACTTGCTTCCCTACTTAAAAATTTTCTTGGTCGAACCTTGAAGTTCCGTGTTTCAGATTACTTTTCTTATTCTTACTGAATTTCCTTTGAAATAGTAGCGTATGTTCGGAAAACAAACCTAATAATCATTGGAAATAAAATATCGGACTTCTATATTTAGATAACGCCTTTCTTTTTGTTCAACACTTACAGGTTTTTCTTTTCGCGTATACTTACGTTGTTCCGTATATAAAATAGTTCAAGTTCAAGTATGGAACTGAAGAAATCTTCGTCAAAGCAAGAGGAGGTCGAAGAAATTAGAACCATTGAAAAACCCATTGATGACTCTTTTTTAATCACATGGGAGTCTCCAACTGATCCTAAAAATCCGAAAAACTGGCCCTATGCTAGAAGATGGGTGCAACTCGTAATTGTTTCTGTTTTTGCGTTATTGGGACCCATGGCTTCTTCTATGGTAGCTCCCTGCCTCGATCAGATTGCTGAACGCTTTCACATCGAAAACTCAACAGAAAAAGCACTTGTACTTAGTATATACTTGCTGGTTTTTGCAATTTCACCCATGATAAGTGCTCCCTTATCCGAAATCTTTGGCCGTCGAATCTTATTACAAGCAGGAAACGTCATTTTTATTGGTAAATTTCTTTTTTCATTACTATCGTTTGCTAATATTTAGTTTTCAACATGGCTTGCGGGCTGGCAAGGACCAAAGCTCAAATGTACATTTTTCGGTTTTTGGCCGGTTTTGGCAGTGCAACGCCAATGGGTTTAGGAAGTGGGACGTAAGTTTATATTGTTATTTCTTTAATTCCATTAATAAAAAAATATTTAGAATTAGTGATCTTTTCACTCCAGAAGAAAGAGGACGAGCTGTCGCAGTCATGTCCTTGGCTCCTTTGTTGGGTCCCACCATTGGACCAGTGATTAGTGGATTTATTGCTGAATATACAACTTATAAATGGATATTTTGGTCAACTACCATTTTCAGTGGGTTTGTATTTGCTCTTTCCATACCATTTCTTACGGAAACATATCCCAAAACCTTGTTGGGACGGAAAGCAAGAAAACTCAACAAAATAGAAAAAACTCTGAAGTATCATACAGAATGGCGGCTGGAGCATATCCCTCAACGTAAGCTTGTTGCCCCCGCCTTAATGCGACCATTAAAGATGCTGACAACACAGCCTGTGGTAATTTTATGTGCCGGATATATGGCTATACAATATGGTACGTTGGTGTTTTGTACAGTTCATCCCTTTTTAACATGTAGGTATTCTTTACCTAGTATTGACAACGTATCCTGTTTTGTGGACGCATGATTATAACGAGCGTCCCTCCATAGCTGGTTTGCATTACATAGCTCCTGGTCTTGGTTTAATTTTGGGTAGTCAAGCATCTGGGATTTTTATTGACAAAACGTTTCGTTTCCTGAAGAAGAGAAACAATGGAAAAATGGCACCAGAATTTCGCGTCCCAGTTATCCTATTAGGTACGATGTTTTTCCCGACTGGCTTATTTGTTTATGGATGGACTGCCAAATACCATACCCATTGGATTGGTCCTGATATCGGTGCCGCAATGTTTAATGTTGGTCTTATGCTGGGTTGGCGTGGCATTCAAACTTATTTAATTGATACCTTTATAATATATGCTGCATCATCAACTGCAGTTGCTTGTTGCATTCGCTCTCTTGCAGCGTTCGGGTTTCCATTATTTGGACAAACGCTTTACGATCATTTAGGCTACGGATGGGGAAATTCACTTTTAGCTTTTATGTATGTTATATAACATTTTTTCTTTAAGAATTTATACTGACCAGAATAGCGTTTTGGGTTCTTCCATAATCACCTGTTCTATCCTTTGGTTTGGAGGAAAACGACTTCGAGCAATGTCAGACATGGTTATCTTCAAGGATGAATAATTTGTATAGATATATCCGAGAATATTTCAGGTTTACTTTTAATAATTTTTTCTGTAAATTCTTTAATGCTAGTTAAGATCTTCTAGGTTAATTCTGAGGGTTATCGGATCTTTGATTTATTATTTAGATATTTATTTTATTCGTTTCTTACTTAAGTATTATAAAATGACTTACTTGGGTTAACTAAAGTTAAAATGAGAGCTAAAATCAGTTTTTATACGGTTCCATTATCTTCGCAGCGAATAGGTTTACTAAATTGGAGTCCTCTTTATTTTATTTTTTGTATGAGCGTTCAAAAACAGAATAAAGATTGGCAATATATTAGGACGAATATATAGGAAAGCTAAGATAGAGACAGAAAACGTCTATTTGGACTCATCTTTAAATGAGCAATCCATGAACGACTGATAATTAGATGGTCAATACATCAATCAATCCCCTTAATAAAACTAGGTATTATACCAGTTCTGGGTTGAATGTGTAACAATTCTTTTCGGGCCGCAGCCCTCAATATATATTACAAGATTATAACGGTAAGATGGCACATTGAAACCTAAAAATAATTAATATGCATTAGTTAGTCAAGACTTAAACTCATGATTGAACATAGAGCCAACCTCAATAAGATAAACATTAATTTATACAGAAAGAGCTCAGCTTTTACGTCAAAAGCTAAGGATAATGATTGACTGAACAATGATGAGAAATTGTTGAGAGCATTTGGATATCAACCAAAACTGCACCCGTACGTAATAATTTTTCAAGAATTTTGCAAGTTCTTTTTCGTGCTGCAAATATACGGCAAAACCTTCCTGGTCTTTTAAAGGATTGCTGACCGGTGGTCCTTCTGCCTACTAGATTACTAACTGTATTTCGATTCACCTAGTGTTAAAATCTTCGGCTTTCATATAGCCAAAGTCCGTTTACGTTGCCTATTGTAAGGTCTGTCTCATTTTCGGGCTTCTGCCGCCAGCGGCAGAAGCCGTGGTCGCTTGTTGGACTGTTGTGACAAGGACCCCTTTTTCTGCAATCAGTTATCAATGGACAACCAAAACAAATGTTCGGCGTTTATCCAGACTTAAGTTTCGAGCTATTCAATATGTGGGAGGATGAAAGGTTATGTGTCCATTAACAGTATATTACCAAGGTGGGCTGGTCTCGCTACAAATTCGAGTGCCCTTGCCATCTTACTGAACTTTCTACTCAATAATTACATGGCGTCCCATTGCCGCTTCAAAAAAACGAGTTTCGGGGTCAAGGATTCATAATATAAACTGATTATGGGCTTGAAGCATAACACATGGGCGGTCTTGCTGTTCGGCCTCTTTTTTATACGGCCGGTACTCTCGTCAGTTATGAAGCTACCGGACATGTAACTGAAGAAACAAAGGACGTCAATCAATCCTCCCCGAGAGTTGTTCTAATGGTATCATAAGTTCCAGTACAGTGATTATTTTCCTATATCGTCTCCCGCCAAGCCACGTATCATGATGCCCTTTAACGAAACAAGCAAAAACCTTTGGTAAGCTTGTGTTCGTTTGCATTTGGAAAAGTAATCATGCCTTTTACCGTTGTTGGATTGCTAGGAACCATTTTGGTTACATCTTTATCGTAGCTTCGAATAGACTTGGCATTTTCTGCTTTATTTTTGTTAAAATGTTACCATAGCGGAGACACATGGCTAGCCAAAAGATTCTTCCTAGTTTATATCTCTGTAACACTTTATTGTTATCACACTTGCCCAATGTTGTTGCTTTTACTTCATTTAATAACTGCAGCCGCTGCTGTACCCACGCTTTTCTTATACGCTATCATAGCTTTCAGAAATCTTTCTTATTCCAAAAATAAATCACAATGTCAAGGTGGTCTCTGAAATATTTATCCATGTCCTTTTTCAGTTACCTTCCTAATGAAGCGTATTCATCGAAATTCATTTGTGTATATTTAAGCTCATCCGGTGTTCTCAAAAATTTAAGAACACGTCGTATTTGTTGTAATCCCAAGTTGTTGACTACCTAACTGGCTCATGATACCAGTAGCCAAGATGGATTACCTTTCATGAAGCAGCGGACAACAAGTTTGGCTTCAAAACAGAGGAAACAAATAAAGATCAAAACAAGTAAATATGAAGCACGTATTTATTTAACAACAGACATTTGGGTTCTTTGTCTCGACTTACCCAGTCATAATTGTGTCTTCGGTCGTCAATATTTCCCTACAAAATAAAACTGGGTTTCCTGTTTCAGGAGATACCTATAGAATAAAGAAATGTAGAATTGCTTACATGGTAATATGTTAGCTGTAACTGATTCCCATTCTACTGTGAATCAAGCCGACCTTTCAGTTCTACGAAACCAAATAAGAAGGTTTTAGACCCTGTTAATTCTTGTACACAATAGTAAAATATAAACCAACTAACATAGAACACGCTTCTTCCATTCAATGCATTCATGTAAATTGGTGTTTGTCTACAGTTTACACTCTGTAGTACACTTATCATACTACATAATTATCATTGTAAGGAACTTCACCTACCGATTTGTTAAACAGTTAAAAGAAGATTGAAGAGTCATTTCAGTTTCTTCCAAAAATGAAGAGGTCAACGGATATTCCTCCGCCGGCCTATTCTGAAAAACCGTTTAAGCCCTATAGAGACAATCCAGATGATGATGAAAACGACTATACACCTTTTGAACCTCCTTCTCCTGCTTCCTTTACAGGCAAGAAGACTACCGAAGTTGCAAGTGTTTCACTTCATGAACATGATAAAATTCGATTTACAAATTTTCCACCTCCTCTCTTAAGCGGTGCTGTAATCTTGATTCAGCAATATTGGCCCCGCGGGATTCGAAGCCAGCGGTCGTATGGCCCTTCACACGAAATCAAATTGTCTGGAGCTCCTTGGCTTGCAGAGGGTTACAGTATAATTCATGTTCAACGTACGGTCAAAGAACTCATTGCTTATATGGTCAGTAATGACTGGAAACTTTATGTACTGTGCAACGTTTCAGAAAAAATGGGCTCATTAGACAGTTGGTTTTTTTTACATGTCCCAGGTCTTGCAGCGTCTACGCTTACGCCCCAAAAAGAATGGTCAGTCATTACATTCGAAAACTCAGATCGTATACGCATTATCGATGGCTCACAGCAACTTATTTCAATCATTCATAGTGCCTGCCTACAGCATTGGTATCGTGGTATGAAATCATTCCGTCTATATCGCGGTACTGTGCCAGAGTGTAAACTTCGTGGATTTCCGTGGGCTGCCAATGGTACCGAAACTATGTATGTTCGTCTCTTCGTAGCGAAGCTGATTGAGCTCCTAGAATCTTCCGGATACTCTATCGTTGGCACGCTCAATATATTCCGAACAGAAGACTACTCATTTCCTGATTCCTGGGTCCTTTTGCATCCCTAAATACGCTTGATCACAGGTCTTTGACTGCCCTTACAATTTGCGAACTATAATAATTCCAGTTTCGAGCGATCCATCCTTCGTTGGTCCAGCTCTTAAGGAAAACTATAGTCTAAAAGATTGTTTTTCTAATCCCTTGGGACGCTAAGTAAATTATCCACCCTTTACTTTGCCTCTCTTTCTCTTCCGTATATATATATATATATATATATAGTCTTATTCGGCAAGCATATGACATATGATTTGACGAAAGTATTATTCCTCCTTCATGTCCCAGCTCTCTTTCATTCTTTCATAGAAATGAATTCGCTTTTCCGTCAGTGTCAACGTACATAACTTCATAATTTTTCGTCCTCAAAATCTAAGTTTCAACGTTCTGCTACTACTAGCCTACCGTTACAGTAATACTTACGGATGATAAATCTAATTAATAGTTACTACAAACATAATTTTAATACTCAAAATGAAAGTGTGATGCTCTAAAAATAAAGATTTTTTAGTATTTATTAGACTATGTAGCATTTTCTGTAAACGTACAAAAAAACTTCAACATGCCACTGTTTAGCTAACTATATATAACAACTTGCAAGGCTCATAAAATACGTATAAATTTTTAGAAAAAAAAAAAGACTGTAGAAATCATAAATCGTAGTCCAAAGCATACTTATCGATAGGGTCTAAGCCGTTTGACCCTTATCTATCATATACCTTTCTCAAAGTATATTACAGAGATTATAAACAATGGGATGATGAATCCATCTCATCCTTTATTTATAAAACACATCATCCCCAACTTAAGGGTATAAAATCCAAGTTTGTTGTCCTTTGAGAAACTTTAACAACAGTATATACTTCGTCCTTTTCAAACCAGTCGAAAATTCCGATCCTCATTGCTAAACTTTTAATAGAGAAAACATTAAAGACAATCTTAACATATAATGCAGAAACTATAATACACTTAGAGCACCCGTGCTCCTTTTGATTGATTTAACCACCCTTGTAGGCATGGGAACTTCTTTGACGAATTCTTTTACCAAAGAAAAAGAAGAGGAATGGAATGGGAACAAGAGCACAACCAATGAAAGCTAACAAAGATGTGGCCCAATGATAATTTAAGTTATTGTACATAGGACGAGCAACAACAGTCATACCGCCACCAGCAGCATAACGGGTGGTAGTACCAACGGCCAGAGCACTAGCAGCCAATTCGTGGTAAGAGTCAACAAGATAAGCGTAACAAGCTTGCAAAACATACAAAAATCCCCATCCTAAGAAGACACCACTTACTAAGGGAGCTGCCCAATGAACCGACGGGTAACAAGTCCAAGCTAACCAAAACAGACCAATTGGAATAAAGAAGGAACCAAAGAAAAGAGGCCACAGACGGTCTTCAGGGCGAACATTGCCATTGTTTAATTTAAAGCGTTTCTTATAATGTATGTGGATCAAGGGGGTAAAGGCAAAACCCACGAAAATACCCACATCAACGCCAAGCATAGCAAGACCCTCTTCACCAGGATTGAATCCGTACTGAGCAAACATCATGGGATAACCAACGTTTACCATATAGAGAAGAACGTTGACGAATACGAGATATAAACAAATAGCTTGGACAATGGCTTCTGTACTCAAAAGCTTGATACCACGTGTCAATGAGGTACGGATAGCATTGGTAACGCTACGTTGACGCTCGTGTTCATTGTACCACAAACTGCAACTTGTAGTTTTACGAAGGTACCTAGCCTTAAAATCAAGAATTGTAGAACCATGGCTTTCAGGCATGACGAATATAACAATTACCCAAGTAAGAGCAGCCCAAATCATGTTGATCCAAAAATCCCATCTCCAGCCTAACTTGCTATCGGTGATAAAACCACCTATGGTAGGTCCAGTAAGAGGACCAACGAAGGCACAAGCGCAAAAGAAGAGTAATGCCGAGGTACGCTCGACAGGGGAATAGAGATCACTAACGGTACCACCACATGCAGACATGGGAGTACAAGCAAAAAAGCCATGTATAAAGCGGAAAATAATTAAACTCCAAATATTTTGGGAAAGGCCACCACCGATTTGGAAAAGAGTAAAAATGATGAGCGTGCAAGAATAAATAGGAAGTCGTCCATAAACCTCAGAAAGAGGAGCAAAAATGACAGAACCAGCAGCAAACCCCAACAAAAATACAGCAGAACACAAGTCACCAACAGCAGCACCTACATGATACTGCTTAGCAGCGACACCACCACCAGCAGAGAAAATACTGGAATTGGCCGTAATTACAATAGCAATAAAGGAAGCGATTGTCAGAGTAAGGTTCTTCTTCCACATGGGCCAATTTTTGGGATTTAAGGGGTCGTCTAAACCATCCCAAGCAACTTGGTAGTCTGAAAGGTCCTGTTCCTCTTGGGTGGATTTACTGTGGGAAGAAGTAAAACCGTCATCTTCTTCGCTGGAATGAGTCTGAGGCTCTACTTTTTCATGCTGTTGATGGGTAGGTTCCTGACCCTGAGGAATGGAATCTTTTTTGATATTCACCTTATTCACATTCGCATTTATGTCAATATGGCGGAATTTTCTTCCCGTCAAGAGAAAAATATAGTCCATTGTTTTTGTTTATATCAAAAAAACAAAGAGTTAAAGAAATGGGAAGATGGATAGGATTAGATGGAAAGAAAAAGGAATAAAACGGGATAGAATTTGTCAATGTAGAGAAAAAGACTCCAAACGTTGAACAAAAAAAAGAATGAACAAAACAACACGCCAAAGAATTTGCAAAAACAAGCAATTGAGGGTGTTGACAATGAAATGCAGAAGGAAGAAAAGAGTGTAAGCAAGGAGCTAATTATAAACGAATGTTGGTTGATAAACAGAATTAGAAACGAAGAACGCGAAACCAGAAACTTGAACTGACTTTTGTTGTACGAATTTTTAATAAAAGCAGATATTAAAAATTAAAAAAATAAAAAAAAAAAGGGGGGAAGCCACACAAGGAAAGCTTTAGAATGGAGAAATCAAAAGCGTTCAAGACGTAAACAAGCGATGAAGAAATGAAAAAGAAAAAGAATCGTCACTTCTCTGGCGGAGTTAAAAGAGAAGAACACGGGGGAAACAATTTAAGCGAAACTAAATGCGAAGTTCAAAAAAAAATACAAACTACAAAAGAAAGTAAAGCCAATTCAAAAAGGAACTAATCGACATGTATTTTCAGTGTTCAATCGAGGGAATCACGTAAAGTAAATAGGGGGAAACAAGGCTTCAAAAAAAGAAGTAAGAAAAGGGAAAATGGGTTAGAGGTAAAAAAAAACGGTGAGAGAACCGGGGAGGATAGAGGAAAGATGTAAATAATCAAGGAAGATGCGCGTGCAAGAGAGAGAGAGAGGGAGAGAGAGAGAGAGAGGGAGATAAAAAATGATGGAAGTAATCAATAACAAGATTGAAATACTCCCCAGTAATAACGATTTTTACAACAACAAATAAAATCCCTAAGCACGACAAAGAACGGTTAGGTTATCGACTAAGACGAAAGGGAGAGAAAAAAAAAAGAGGTCAAAGAAGAAAAAGGAACTAACCTAACCAAAGGGAAGCAAAGATTTGTATTGTAAGAAAAGTAAAGGAAACACAAAGAGAGTCCAAACAAGATGAAAAACAAATGAGAACAAAAAAAAAAATTTTTTTTTAACAAAGAAAAAGTAAATAAGTAAGTAATGGAGGAAGAATAACAAAGACTACCCGACTATATACTAAAGAAGTAAGGAAAAAGGACTCGATCTCGAGGTAGCAAAGCTCCAAGGTAAGTAAATACGAAATGGGGGTTTAAGAAAAACATGGGGAATGCGGTCTATATAAATGCAGGAAATTTCAAGACTGAGGATTCAAGGTTCTTTGCGACTTGAAACAACACATACAAGAATGACGCAAATTAATAGAGGGAGAGCGAGATAGTAAGAAGAAGAATAAGTTCGGCTACGTATCAATGAGGAGAAAGGTAACATCAATGAACAAAATAAGACACGAGACAAAGTGGACTGGTAAAATAAAGTGCAACCACATACGAGTCACGTTGCTTGATTTTTTTGATTGGTAGTTCGGTCAGGGTTTTCAAAAAATCTAGACCCATTGATACTTTCGAAATGCCGACGTAATTGTGGAGAACCGGTAGATGTAATCACGATACATTTTTCTTATTGCCGGGAACCAACGTCACTCTCGAACCTTGTTGAAGCCTTTCGTGAGGATGATGGAAGTCAGAGGTCAAAGAGGCGTCGAAAACGACTCCATTGTGGCCAAGAAGGGAGGGGAGAAGACGATGAGTGGAAGACGGTAATCAAAACAAAAGGCTGGGTAAACTTTAGATTCCAAAGTGCGCAAGTCGCATTTATGTTTTGTGCAATTGGGGGGAGAAACTTTAAACTGTGTGTGAGATCAAGTTGCAAACTCAATGCAGCGGGTAGGTTTAGTTAGGGTAGGGTATATGCAAGGAACCCCACTCGAAAAAGTCAACTTTAACAAACAAGGCTCGAGGTATGTCGGGGAAAGGAAAACAACGGTACCGATTGCGACCTACTACGGCATTGAAAGAAAGGATAAAAAACAACAACCAGCGCATCCAAGAATTGAAAAAATAAAGAAATTAAAAAAAAAAAAAATAAAAAGTACAAAGGAAAAACTAAACAGAAACCGAAACAAACCAAATCAAACCTGATCATGGAAGGTTCATTTGTTGATTGATGGAGATATAGCCGGTTTCAATAGTTCAACACACCACTCGGTAGTACAAAAAGTAAAACGAACGTTTTATTCGTACACACAAAAGAAAGAGAAATTTTTCGAAACCAAATAAAAAAAAACAATGCGGTAAGCGACTGGCAGACAACTCCCGATCGGTACTTGAGAAAAGGCTGGCTTGACTAGGCTAGGCTAGGCTACCTGGATGGCTGACTTGGCATTGTTAGCATCGGGAACGAAACCCGATTTCAACACAATGTGGACAGTCTAGAAATGCCAAAACACAAGGAGGGAAAACAAAAGAAAGCACCAGGTTTTCCGTGTTGAGCCCCTCCTCTTTTGCTCTTTGTTTTCTTTGTTGTAAGGTGATACTACCAGTCGACTCTTCCATCACGTTATAAAGATGCACTCCTGTATGCACCAGGAGCATTCAGGTGTATGTATACAGGAGCATGTGATTATTGTGTACCACTATGTATGATAGTAGGTAGACCGACCCGATTGTTTTTATTTTGGTCATGAGAAGACAAGGAAAGGGAATTCGAAATCAGAAAAAAAAATTTAAAAAAAAAACAAACAAACAAACAAACAAACATGTATATATCAGCGATATTCTTTCAATTTTTTCCAACAAAACATCGTTGAAAAAAGTATTGTTTGGGTTCTTCATTTTTCTTTTTTCATTTTTCTTTTCTTTTCTTCTGTGCTGGATTTTCCTTGCGGTTTTATTTGTTTACCTTGTTCACCTCACCTCGTTGATTACTTTGGTTTCTTTTCTCGTTCCGTGGTGGACTAGTATCTGTATGTTGTTTTGCAAATGCAAAAAGTTCTACAGTAGACCCACTTTGCGAGAACGAACGTATCCATTATTTCATCCTTCAAAAGGAAAAAACCATTCCGAAGACTCCTTCCTTGTGTTGTCCTTTTATACCAGGAGGTTTGTTTCATCTTTCCTTATCCATATACCATAATCTTCTTTCCGTTCCGTTCCACTTCCGTAATGGACTCATCCCGACCTCTGTTGCGGCTATTCCATATAGCGCGATTTTGTGTTGTTGAACATCGTGGCGTCTTGTTGGTCGTCGTTCCTATGTGAGGAAGAGTTGTGATTTTACCAACTACCGTTCTCAGCGGCAAGTCTCTGTAGCCTAAACAAACAAATCCTCCCCCCCCCCCAAAAAAAACAAGTACCCCAAGACACACACAAAAACAAAAATCCTTCTAGAAAAAATTTTTTTTTTTATGTTTTTGTTTGATTGATTTTTATTTTTTATTTATTTATTTTTTCTTTTAATAAGACAAGACTGGTTCTTGGTTTATTTTTTGTTTTGGTTTTTCTAGACTACGTGCATCGTCGGGTGGAAAGACCTTTTTCGGTATCCACCAGATACGTTTTGCCGGACAGACCTCCTTCCCAGACTGGTGGAACGTAAACAGCAATCTAATTCAAAAAAGCGGTTTCCCGCTTTCTATACACTTTATAAAACTAGACCACCATAAACAAAGAACAATTTGAAAACAACGAGGTTTCTTCGTTTCCTCTTTTTTTTTTTCCTCTCTCTCTCTCTCTCTCTTCTCTTTAGTTGAATAGTTTTGTGTGTTGTCCCTCTGTTTGTCAGCGTTGTCCACGTTGTTTGTGTGTGTGATTTCCTTGTTTCATTGGATTTTTTGCTTCTGCTTTTCCTTTTCTTTTCATTTCGTTTCTTTTCGTTTCTTTTTTTCCCTTTTGTAATCTCTTCTTTTGGGTAGGCCCTCTACTTGTTTCTTCAAAGTATACCCCCTTTCCGTTATAGAATTTTGCTACCCAGCGGTTTATTTATTGATATCTTCGTTTCTTTTTTCTAGTTCGTCTTTATTCTTTTTTTTTATTTTTTTATTTTATTTTAATTTTTTTTGGGATTTAATATAGCTTTTTCTTCTCCATCCCCTCCGTTGATTACCGAATGGGTCTTTTGAAACAACGGTATCATGAACTTTTGGACTTGCGCGTGCGTGGTGAACGCCTTCCCATAGCAAGGCGTCTTCAACACTTTACTTGGGCGTGGTTTGCTTCTACAATGGGTACAGGTGGTATTGGTATGATCACCTCCTTGTATTACTTTCGGTTCACTGGTCTCAACACTCTTGGGAAAATCGTCTTTGTCTTTCAACTTTTTATATTTTCCCTTTTTACTATATGCATTCTCTTTCGCTTCCTTCGTTACCCTGGCACCTTTTGGAAATCTTGGAATAATGCTGGTGAAGTGGTGTTTATGCCCACGTTTCTCCTTTCCATCGCCACCATCATTAGCAATTTCTATCCGTATGCCTATCCTTACACTGGTGAATGGATGGTGTGGACCATCCGCATTACCTATTGGACTTATTTTGCCTTCGCCTGCATCGTCTGCGTCAGTCTCTTTTATACCCTTTTTCGTAACCATCCATTCCAAATGGGTACCATCATTCCTGCCATTATTCTTCCCATCTTTCCCTGTATGATTTGTGGTGTTGCCGCCAGTGCCATTGTCGAGTCTCAACCCCCAGAGCAGGCAAAGAACATGATCGTTGCCGGTATTGCCTTTCAAGGATTAGGTTTTTGGGTCTATCTTCTGTTGTACGGAAATAATTTGTTACGTCTCTTCACCACAGGCCTTCAACCTGCCGCTGACCGTCCGGGTATGTTTATCCTGGTAAGCCCTCCTTCCTACACGGGTCTTACTCTTTTGGATCTTGCTTTCGGTGCCGTTCACAAGCACCACCCCATTTTCGTCTCCAAGAATTCCCCCGAATGGCTATTGTTTATCTGCACCTTCTTGGCCATCTTCATGATCGCCTTGGGTGCTTTCAACTTTTTTGTTGCTTTGATTTCCGTTATTACTGGTTTCTTTTCTCCTGGAAAACTTAAATTCAAGGTTTCCTGGTTTGCTATGATCTTTGCAAACGGTGGTCTCGTCATGGTTATCCAAGAGCTCGGCAAGGCCGTTGATTCCAGAGCGCTTGATGTTCTTGGTCAAGCCTGCGGTAGTCTCATATCCGTCGTTTGGGTTATTTTGATTATTCTTGCTGTTCGTGCCGTATACGTCCAAGAACTGCTTTATCCTGGAAAGGATGAAGATGTCAACATCCTTCCTCCCGAAGTTCTCGAGTACTACAAAAAACTCGAATTATTTGACGATGATAGCGAAGCTGCAAAAAGTGGTCATGGCTCCTTCGAAGCTGAACATCGCAAACATGATCACGTTTCTCTTAAAGAAGTCGACCACGATCAAATTTTATAATGTTTTGTCTTTGGTTTGACTTTCCCACATGTTGAAAATAAAAAAATTAGAAAAACTTTGGATACTCTGGCTTTTTTTTCTCTTTCCCTTTCTTTTTGTTTTTTTTTTCCTTTGGACTTCTTCCCTATGTGGCCTCGAGATTTGGATGCTATGATTGGATTGTTTGGTTTGGTTAGTGTTGTTTTTAATTGTTTTATAATCGTTTTCTTTGCATTAGTCCTGTTTCCGTTGAATTGGATACCTTAGAAGCCTAATATCCTCTTCCTCCTTTACCATTTAATCTACCTCCTTTGCACGAAACGAAACGTTTATCCAATCCAAAAAATTTTCTTTTTTCAATTTGTTGCTATTTTCATCTATACCTATATACGGACCTAGACTTATACTTTACCTTTGTTAATGTTGTGAACCGTTGCTTAATTTTATTTCCCTCTTTTGTCTTAGGCAGATCAGGATGGAGCACGTTGGCTAAATATGTTGAAATGAAACCTAGAGATTGCTTTTGTTTATCACTACATCTACTACTCAATTTTGAATTTGTTGTTATTAACTTAATACTAATAATTTGCTTTAATTGTTAGAAAGAATACTGGTAATTTGAATAAACCATTGATGTTATATTTTATTGTAAACTTTTTTAAAATTTGTAATAACTCTTAATTCATAAAAAAATTTTGTGCCTTGTTTTTTTCGCTGCCTATGTGTCGTATAGCCCAGTAAGCTCCTAAGGGTAGTACAGCATAGTACGCCTTTTTCTTTCATCAAAGTGATAAGCACATTAATTACAATATGATTGAGCAATCCCCTCCTTTTTCTTCTTAAACACCGTCTGCTTTGCTAAATCTCATTGTGTTTGCTATCATAGTGAAGTGCACCTCATAATAAGGGAGGAGACCTCCCACACATAGGAATTTGCGGCTTTCCTTTACCAACAACATACATTCGAGTTTTTGGCAGTAATTTAGCGTTTGGAAAACGGAAGAAACATCTTTATATAATCAAGGAATCGCTAAATGTTGTCTGGAAGCCTCGTTCGAAATGTGCGCCGTGGTTTCGCTGTAACGAAGTCGTTACAGGTTTCTGGCGGGTAAGTAAAAGAATCCCGCCTCAATAATGGGCTTCTAACTCTAAAATGGAAATGACTAACCGCTATAGTACAATCACAGCTAAGCGTGCCAATCTGTACCCTTTAATTAGCAGCATGGCCCGATCTTATGCCACCAAAAAAGAATATCCCCCTTACACAATCCTGAATATGCCAGCTTTGTCTCCTACTATGACTGCTGGTAATATTGGAGCATATCAGAAAAGCGTTGGAGACAAAATTGAGCCTGGTGATGTGTTGTGCGAAATCGAGACTGATAAGGCACAAATGGACTTTGAACAACAAGATGAAGGTTATTTGGCTAAAATTTTGGTCGAGACAGGTGCTAAGGATGTCCCTGTCGGTAAGCCTGTTGCCGTTACCGTAGAAAATGCGGATGATGTAGAAGCCTTTGGTGATTTTAGCATTGAAGCTGCTGCTCCTGAAGCTCCTGAAGCTCCTAAAGAAGAACCCAAGGCTGAAAAGGTTGAAGCTACTCCTCAACCCGAAGCTTCGGAGGCTGAGACGAGTGAAGCTGTTAATGTTAAAGATGGCCGTATCTTCGCATCTCCTATTGCCAAGAAATTGGCAGAGGAAAAGGGTGTCAACTTGTCTCAAATTCGCGGATCTGGTCCTAATGGCCGTATTATTAAGGTCGATGTCGAAAACTTTAAACCAGCTCAACCTGCCGCTCCCTCTAATAAAGCTGCTGCTGCTGCTACTACACCAGCTGCTTCTGCCAAGGACGCTTCTGCCGCCGGTACCTTTGAAGATTTGCCCTTGAGCAACATGCGCAAGATTATTGCTTCTCGCCTCACTGAAAGTAAGCAAGTTAACCCCCATTACTATGTAAGCGTTGCCATTGATGCCGAAAAGATTGTTCGCCTTCGCGCTGCTCTCAACTCTATGGCTGATGGCCGTTATAAGCTTTCTGTTAATGACCTCGTTATTAAAGCTGTCACTGCTGCTTTGAGAGAAGTACCTGAAGTTAATTCCGCTTGGATGGGTGAGTTTATTCGTCAATATAAGAACGTAGACATTTCTATGGCCGTTGCTACTCCTTCTGGCTTAGTTACTCCCGTCATCCGTAATGCTCAAGGCCTTGGTCTTCGTGAAATTTCGAACATGGCTAAGGATTACGGCCAGCGTGCTCGCATCAACAAATTGAAGCCTGAGGAGTACCAAGGTGGTACTTTCACAATCTCCAACTTGGGCATGTTCCCCGTTGATCAATTTACAGCCATTATCAACCCTCCTCAAGCTGGTATCTTGGCTGTGGGTACTGTTAATGAAACTGTTGTTCCTGACAAGACTTCTGAGAAGGGCTTCAAGATTGCCCCTATCATGAAGTGCACTTTGAGCGCTGATCATCGTGTTGTTGATGGCGCTATGGCTGCTCGTTTCACCACTGCTCTTAAAAAGATCATGGAAAATCCTTTAGAGCTTTTGCTTTAAGTAACGTCGTTCATTTCAATTTACAGAATTTGAATTCAGTTTTTTAATTTAAATCTTGTTGGTGACTAATATGATTCCTTGGGTGTGTTTTTTCCTTCATATTCAAATCGTTAAAACCAAACGTAGTACCATTACTAAAGAATGAAAATTTATACTGTATTTCTTTTATTATGTTTAACTTTACTCTAATGTGATATTATGAATATCTTATTTACGAATAGGTTTTTAAACGTATTCAACGAATATGTTTTGAAATTTACATTATTGTTATATGATTTGATATCTAGTGCAATTCATTCGCTTAGATAACATAATTTTACAATTTTTTGTGCTTTATGAGATATGGTATACACCACCACCTTACTTCATCCGTTTACCAACAAGGACGCTGTTTCATGACTGACCTTTCAATTGGCTCCTATGTGGCTTTTATTTCGCTCTAAGCACAAAAAATTAGTACTCAAATGTTTTCCATCCAGAAAAATAGGAGGATCGGAACCTAACGGTTCACCTTTAGCTTACCTAAGCTACTATGCCGCATCCAACTCAGGGAAATTGAGGAAGGTCATTCGGTATCTAAGTCATTTAGTACAACACAGCGTATACAGAAGAAGGGATAAGTAAGAGCTTTTATTGTGTTAGAAGCTGTTTACTAACGGAAATAGTGAAACGGTCATTGCATTAAAAATTTGTCGTACTCTGATTCAAAAATGCCCTGAAAATGTCATGATTATGGCCTCAGAGATTATTAAAATATTGTTGGCTTCTAGTAATTTAAGAGTTTTCGACGTTCAAAGTGTTTCAGTGGATTGTTTTGCTGTCTTTTGTGAACGGAGTATAAAAACTAATTCTTTGGCATTTGGAAATGAATTTTATAAATCATTTGATGAATTAGTCTCATTCTATTTTGACCTAACTAGAAGTACAAGTTCCCCAGATCCCCAACAATCGAGAATGCTAGGTTTGAAGGCATTTCACGCCTTGACGTCTTGTAAGCTATCAAACGTTGAAGGCGAATCACATAGCCAACCACATTTCGTTATTCATGCATTTCTAAGCAATGCTTGGAGTCAAGATGATACGGCTCAACAAAGCTTTACTGCTTTGGTACACTCAACAGCTAAGACATTCAGGCCGTTACCTCCTAGTAGTACTGGTATATCTTTACCAGAACATGATGAAGTTGGCGACACCGTAGAGATCGCAAATAAAAGGCTATCTCTGAGGATTTTATATAACGTGTATACTCAGACGAATCCTGTTTTCATGGCTGAATGCACAAAGTCTCTTGTTCATTTTCTATCTGGTAAATCAGATACTTTGGTTAATCGGACCTATATTTCTGTCATACTCAACCAAATAGTTGAGTGGACGCCGGTTGAACTTCGCCATTCTATCTTTTTTTGCTGTTTACGTTGTTTGCAAAGCGGCCACGTTGAAGAGGCTAATACTAATGTTTTGGTTCCCTACATGATTCATTCCATACTAAATTCTCAAAGTTCCATTCCAGGCCTTTCTGTGATTGACGTTCTCAGAGAGCTACAATTCCATCTTTTAATTGCGATTGAAAATACGCAACTTAGTGATTCTGAATGGTACACCTTGTGTACATCACCAACCGAGCGATTACCTCGGCGTTTATATTTACTTCTCCAGTGTATAACTTCCTTGATTAACCATCAATATTACAGCGAGGAATTTGCCGACGTTTGGAAAGAGATGGATTTATTTTCGAGTGAAAAGGCTTCAACAGCCACTCAACTGATCGTGCTTACGGCTTTGGATACCATGCAAATGGAACAAATGGAGAAGGAAAGGCCGTCTTCGGTCGGTACGCTTTCATTCATTGCTGATTTCTTGTATAAAGCTTGGCCAGCAACATTTCAGCGTGTGTATATTTCGGATTCTCCTTTTGTTCGCTTAAAAACAGTCAACGTCTTTTTTGAGTTTTTAAACATTTCACCTACATCTATTTTTGACTTTCATACAGTTTTTGGAAAAAGTACAGTTTCTTATTTCTCCGCTTTATGGAGCTTCATATATGAAATAAGTGGACTAATTGAAAAATGGCTTGGAAAGTTTTGTTTCATGAGTGAGTTTGAGGCTGTACTCAAATTATTACAAAAGTTTTACGCCCTTTATGGACCTATTACTGTAGCAGCTTTCCTCCCATCTCTGTATCGAGCTTTAAATGTCATGGAAGGGCATTATTTGGTATCGCATCAAGCATTGATTGCCGATTATCTTCTTTACGTCTCGGACTGCTTGAGTAACGATGCCTTAAAAAGTATGAGCTCAAAGTGGAGAGCGACTCTACCATCTAATGCTCTCCCACGTTTGGAAACTAATACCGGGATAACTAAGAACTTGTGGGATCCCTTGCCCACAAATACTACTAGCACTGTTTATCTTCCGCTTGAAGAGGTTGTTTCAGAATTATTACAGAAGAATCCTTCAGTTTATCCCGAGGAATCAAAAATTCTGTTTTTGGAGAAATCTTGGCATCCAAAATATTCGACCTTTTATGAGAAACTACAAAAACCTACGAAAACAGTTACTTTAACTTCACCCTCAGAAAACTCAATATCTAATGGGTTGTCCACTTCAGATTTTAATCCAAATCCAGTAATGGTTCACACACACCCGTCTGCAAAAGTCGACAATCAAAACCCAAAAAATGAGAAGATTTTAACATTGAAGCAAGCTTTAGAATCTCCTCCGAATGCTCGAACATCATCGGGTTTCCGTACACCATCTGAAATAACACTGTCTTTGCGTTCTGCCAGTCCCCTCCCGCTATTGGACATATTTAATATAAATAATTCTCTCTCAACGCCGACAATCCAACACCCTCCCTACGTTAACTTATAGAGCTTGTTTTGCATGTTTGGAATAGATAAACGTTAAAAAATTATCGCTTTCCTTTTGACTTCGTTCTTTGTGAATACACGGTTTTTCTCACTTAGTCTGTTAGAAGATTACGTAGATATATATATATATGTAAATGTTCACTGAATAAATGTCTTCTCAACCTCTGTAGTTAGTAGTACTGTCATGGACTGAACAAGCGGTACTACACATACTCAAACTAAGCATAAATAAGAATCTATTTGGCACCTCAGAATATAAGCATCCTCTCTTTACATATCCTTCAATTTCATTCTTCACGACGCCTACGACAAAAACGGTCATGGGATGATACAACATACAACACTACTCACAAAAGAAAATATCGTTTAATAATATCAATTACTAATTAACTCAATCCTAAACAACCAATTGATAAGATTGACTAGTAAAGACCTGATGAAGATCAGGAACTTTACTTCTTACCACCAGCCTTTTGGGCAGCCTTGGTGACCTTAGCTTGACCAGGGGCAGTCTTCTCGACAGCCTTGATGACACCGACAGCGACGGTTTGACGCATGTCACGGACGGCGAAACGGCCAAGAGGAGCGTAGTCAGTGAAAGCTTCAACGCACATAGGCTTAGTAGGGATCATTTGAGCGATACAAGCATCACCAGACTTGACGAACTTGGGAGCTTCTTCGATCTTCTTACCGGTACGACGGTCAATCTTCTCAATGAGCTCGTTGAAACGGCAAGCAATGTGAGAAGTGTGGCAATCCAAGACAGGAGAGTAACCAGCAGAAATTTGACCGGGGTGGTTAAGAATGATGACTTGAGCGGTGAAGTTAGCACAGCCCATGGGAGGGTCGTTCTTGGAGTCACCAGCAACGTTACCACGACGGATGTCCTTAACGGAAACGTTCTTGACGTTGAAACCAACGTTGTCACCGGGAAGACCAGCGTCGAGAGACTCGTGGTGCATTTCGACAGACTTAACTTCAGTGGTGACACCAGAGGGAGCGAAGGTGACAACCATACCGGGCTTGATAGCACCAGTCTCAACACGACCGACGGGAACTGTACCAATACCACCGATCTTGTAGACATCTTGAAGGGGAAGACGGAGAGGCTTCTCAACGGGACGAACAGGGGGCTCAATGGCGTCAATGGCTTCCAAAAGAGTCTTACCCTTGACGACACCGGCCTTGCTCTCCTTTTGCCAGCCTTGGTACCAGGTCATGTTGGTGGTGGGCTCAATCATGTTGTCACCTTGGAAACCAGAGACGGGGACGAAAGGAACGGTCTTAGGGTTGAAACCGACCTTCTTAACGAAGTTGGAGGTCTCCTTGATAATTTCCTCAAAACGAGCTTGAGAGTATTGGACGGAGTCCATCTTGTTGACGGCAACAATGAGTTGCTTGACACCCAAGGTGTAGGCAAGCAAAGCGTGCTCACGAGTTTGACCGTCCTTGGAGATACCAGCTTCGAATTCACCAGTACCACCACCAATGATAAGGATGGCACAGTCAGCTTGAGAAGTACCAGTAATCATGTTCTTGATGAAGTCACGGTGACCGGGGGCATCAATAACAGTAACGTAGTACTTGGGAGTCTCGAACTTCCAAAGGGCAATGTCGATGGTGATACCACGCTCACGTTCGGCCTTAAGCTTGTCCAAAACCCAGGCGTACTTGAAGGAACCCTTACCCAATTCGGTGGCTTCCTTCTCGAACTTTTCGATGGTACGCTTGTCAATACCACCACACTTGTAAATCAAGTGACCGGTAGTGGTAGACTTACCAGAATCGACGTGACCGATAACGACAATGTTAATATGTCCCTTTTCCTTGCCCATTTTGTTATTGAATAAAAGTGGTTGGTGGATGGAAGCTTTTTACAGTCCCATGCTCTACTTAGTAGCTCGAGTGTGACTGTTTTTCTCTTTGAAAAATATTGTGACTTGTTTTCACGTCGCTCCCGTTTGTAAACTTTGTTTTACGTGAAGCGTTTGCTGGTACGTTAGTAAATAAACATAATAAGATAAATATCATGTAAATCTTTCAAGTTGTACTGATTATTGAAGTCTTTTGTGGTTGTTTGAAAGCTATTTAAAACTAACGTATTTTCGGATCAATTTGTTTGTGGTAGATCAATGGTAATTCACTGAAGCAACGAAATGTGTATGTAGAAAGCACTTATAAAGGCGGAATGAAAAGAAGGGTAGAAAATGAAATAGGAGATGTAAATAGTAGAATTTGTTTTTCAAATGTTGGAATGAGAAACAAAAATGTGGCCAATGTGAGTTTTTATTCCTTCCTCGGGTACTTAATCAATTTCCTAAGTGTAATGGCCTTCCAAAGCAGATGTAAATGACGTTGCATTCTTCGTGCTCGGTTTGAAGTACTGAAAAAATACAAAGCCATTTCATTGCTTTTTCTTTTGATTTCTATTATTCTTTTTATTTCCTTTATTTAATGTGAAAGGAAAAGATAGCAAGCCAAATATTATAAAGCTTTTATAGCCAGATTTATCTGTCATTCGCCAACGTCAAAATCTAACATACGCTCTGATTAAATCGACAATGTCAAGTAATAATATACTAGAAAGTGTTAAATCAAGTACAAAGGAAGTCGTAAATTTGTGTAATTGGATATCTATTTCAGAATCGTCTTTGCCCGCGCTGATCGATGCGTTGAAGGGTACCTTGCAGGATGCTCGTCCATCAAAATTTCCCTTAAATTTTAAGAATTTAGAGGATGAGGTGAATTTTGTTGCTCTGTATGGTCTTGTAAGTTTTGGCTCTGGCTTCCGAGACCAACTTCACGAAGCGTAAGTCTATTGATATTGTCAAAGTCCATAAACGACTTTGCATTTTGCTGTTTGATTGCTCTTTTGCTCTTTTAACTCAAAATTTGTACAGAATTGGACGAGGTGCACAAGAAACTTCGCTATTTTTGATGCTGTCCATTTATATTTCTAACGAAAACGGAATACCCGATTCCACTCACTTAACAAACATTAAAGAACATGATATTCAATCTTGGATGAATCTCCCAGCCACTGAAGAAACGCCGGTGGAATCCCTTCCAGGTGTCTTTGCAGTTTCTTCTAGTCACTTGATGGAACTGGTGAAGAAAATGACGTTTGTTTTAAATACTACGGGTGAGATATTGAAAATGAAAAATTTCTCGTCATTGGGTGAATTCTGCCTTCGATATGGCAATAGCAAGGATCCTTCAATTCTTATTCATGCACTTAGTAGCACGTTTCCGGCATTTCACGATATAGAGGAGGTGTATGGAAAAGAAGTATATTTATTAAAAAAAGCACAAGTAACTGCTTATCAGCTATCTCTTTTGTACCCCGACAGATTTGGTCGTCAAGGGTTGTGTATATTCGCTGACAATGTTATACCAACTGTTTTGTATCTTTATGGAATTTTAAAAATTCCGGCCGAGCTAAAAGAAAAGTTGGAAAACAAAAAACTTTTAGAAAAAGAGGAAATAACTGTCCTTCGGGCCTCTTCCGTCTTTGTTTGTGAATTGATTTCCGAAAGAACGAAAATTCCATCTCCACAATTAGATCAAGCTCTTTGGAAACTAGGGAAATTCTCACCGGAAGTACGAAACTCTCCAAGGTTTTCATACCAAGACACCATTATGTTTTGAAAAAGCAATGAGTCATCCTTAATGTTTAACGAATTTTAAAACACATTCTAATCAGATGGATAGGAAAGTCAACTTCTGTTATGTCCATACTTTTAGAAAATTCATTTATTTACTACATTTTTCATTTGCGATCTTAAATCAGATAATATTTATATGTGTGGGACACTTTTGTATTACGTCGTATTTCATAAAATAAGCACCGCTAGGTGATGTGATTTGTTGTAGACAAAGCCAAAACCATCGGTACCACCATTGTTTATAGCGAACAATACGGGTGTTTTTTCCTGCCTTTAACCATTATCATAAAAGAAAAGAATGCTTCATCGGCGGGTCCATTTTAAATCCCAGTCCACTTTGGACTTTGACAGTATTGCTGTCAGTATTTCGGCGAGCACCATGAAAAACGAACTCGACAAACTTGTACACAACTCCAAGGTGGCTGATCGGCGGATATTCAAACTTCAGATGGAAAACTTTTTTGCTCTGTATCGGAGGTATTTATTGCATACAGTGAAAGGATATGAATGTGATTGGGATTCGATTCGACCTCTGGGGCCTCAGGATGTTACGGATTACACGAGTTTAACTCCATGTAAAGAAGAATCACAGTATTTGGACCGGGTAGCAGTATTAAAATTAAACGGTGGAATGGGGAATAGCATGGGCGTAAATAAGCCGAAAGCGTTAATTGAGCTTCACGGCAGTCAAACGTTTCTTGACTTGAGTATCCAACAAGTTGACTACTTAAACAAACGTTACGAAGTGGCAGTTCCTTTTCTATTAATGAATTCTTGCGATACAAATGATGAGACTTGTAAATATCTTCGAAAATATACCGGCTATAACCTTGACATATCTACCTTTGAACAGTCGCGTTACCCACGTGTTTCCGTGGGTTCTCAGCTTCCCGTTCCAAAGTATGCTCCTTCTCCCATTGAGGAATGGTATCCACCTGGACATGGAGATGTTTTTGAAGCGCTTGTCCACTCTGGGATTATAGATCGTTTGCTCGCACAAGGAAAGGATTATTTATTCGTGAGCAACATTGATAATCTCGGTGCATCTGTTGATCTCAGACTTCTTTCACACGTTATAGAAAACGAAATAGAATATGCGATGGAAGTTACTGATAAAACAAAAGCGGACGTTAAGGTTGGTATCCTTGTTAATCAGGACGGCATTCTACGATTATTAGAACGGAACCAGGTGCCAGAAAAGCATCAAGAAGAATTTACATCAGATCGCATTTTCAAATATATTAATACGAACAACGTTTGGCTTTATTTACCAGCCGTGAAACGAGTAGTCGAAAATCGAGAACTCAATTTGGATATCATGCCCAATATTGAAATCATCAACCGTAATGATGAATCAACCAGGGTAATTGAGTTTACAACTTCTATTGGCTCCGCCATTAGTCAATTCAAAAAAACCGAAGGAATAAAAGTCACCCGTGAAAGATTTATATCCGTGAAAACGTCAGCGGATTTGCTGCTTGTACGAGGTGATTTATATTCCATAGATCATGGATCTCTAAAACCCGACGAATCTAAGGTTGGATTTTCTCCACCTGTTGTCAACTTGACTAATGAATTTACTGATGTAGCAGAATTGTTTCGCCGAATACCCCACATGCCCAGTATTAAGGACTTAACCTCACTATCCATATCGGGAAATGTTTACTTTGGAAAAAATGTTGTTTTGAAGGGCAATGTTGTAATTGTAGCATCACCGAATGCGACGTTGCATATCCCACCCAACGCTGTTTTAGAAAACTGTGTAGTATCTGGGAACTGTAAAATAATGGACCATTAACGCTCTTTTGCTGGTTGCAAAAACTCTCATGTACGGATTTTTTTTACGATTAGATATGGAATACTTTAAATGGCTTTGTAATACATTTTCATTTTCAGTGTATGACCCAAACACCTCTCGTTACTAAGTTATAACAAATTTATTATCGTAGTATATATTGACATCTAAATATTCAGGATATCCTGCAAAAAATATACAAATTGCTTTACATATGGTACGCTTCGAGAAACATCGATATTAGTTTTCACTGTGGGGATAATTGAACAATAAAGATCCAGGGTTGGGATTATCCAGACCCTCTTCAAAGTTTATGCATTAATATCAGGCAACTTATAGCAATCGTGAACAGGAATGTAGCATTTAATTTAGTTCATATTATAAATAACAAAAACGACTTAATGAAGAAAGGAAAGAAAAGAGTAGCAAGCTTCATAATTCTATCGAAAGAAAAGACAAATTGTAATCAGTGGATTAGTATTCATGAACTCTAAAGGAACAAGGTATTGTTATATTAAGTCGGTTATGCAGTTATGTAGCTCAATCCAGCACGGCTCAAACAGGAGTCTTTCCTCTAACTTACTACAAGTTCATTGGGCTCACTAATTAGCTGGAGACTCACAAAAGGAGATTATTGTCATCACTAGAAAGAAGATCGGAGGTAGGTGGATTTGATGATGTAGAGACAGGAGGAACCGATGGTGAGTTTGAACCCGTCTTCGAATGATCATCATGCTTCACTTTGGTTACTGCCGAACTCCAAAGACTACCAAAAGCATCGCTTCCAGAGCCGGAACCTTTAACGGCTTTAGCGGAATGAGTAGTTTGAGTAGCGGAGGTATAATTTTGAGGTGATAGACTAACGGCGGTAGGAGTATTAACGTTTAAAGAAGCAACGTTTCCAAGGGAGGGACTGGCTGAAGACGAAGCGAAAGAGCTGAAAGAAGCCATATTTCCAATTCCACCAGATGGGGGAACAGCAGAGGGTGCACTCTGAAAATCGTCAAATGCATCATCGTCATCGTTAGCGGAAGTTGCGGCGGCGGTTGGAGCAGCGGAGGAAGTTTGAAAATCACCAAATCCATCATCATCCTCAACGGTATTAGCATAAGTGGGTATAGTTGAAGAAGTAGGTGCAGGAGTGGCGGGCTCTTCAAGTCCAAGAAGGTCAGCCACAGCAGATTGTTGCTCTTGTTTGGGTGGAGAAGAAACTGGAGCAGCAGTGGGTTGGGAATTTCTTGTAGTACGTGCAGATAATCTAGACGTGCGAGCACTAGGACCAGCACTATCGTAGTTCTCATTATATTCGTCGTACTCAGAATGATCATGAGTATCACTATAGGAAGATGAGTCATGGAAACCAGAGCCACTGCCAACATCTGAAAAGCCACCACCATCCCCATAAACGCGATTATTTCTAAAACCAGTAGCATGAGGAGAACTTCCGAAACCTGAGTACCTTGGGCGAGATCCAGAAGACACTCTTGCATCACCGTCGCTACCTACGCCAAAGTATTTACCTCGAGTTTGTCGGGCCTTTCTTCTCTCCTGGCGTATACGATCATTGTCATTAAGAAGTTCAACTAATTCTTTTGCTCTAGTTCTCACGTTCAATCCTTGGTCTCTTTGGTAACGGTCAATGTAATGAAAGTTACGCAACATCTTAATAGTTGCTTGATGAGCACGTGCATCGTCGATAACTCTTTCGGAACCGTTTTTTACCAAAAATTCCAGCAACTGCAGAGCTTTGTAAATTTGACGCCATTCTTCGGCTGTCTTTTCGGTGAACCTACGGTAAACCATTGGCATAATCTCATTTAGTTGCGAATAGTTATGTGTTCCTTGGGCAATTTCCATCATCAAAGACGTACTTGCACCCCAGGGTTCATTGTTCGTGGCTTCACGCACTTTAGCTTCTGTCGAAGTATAATTCATCACCACATTTTGCGCTTTCCTAACAGCTGCTTTGATGTCGTACAAATTAATGTTTTTTAAACTTGATTGAAGCCCGTCCATCGGAATGTTCGTGTATTTTACTTCAATGATTTTTCAATTTGTCTAGCGAAAGCCTCGTCCAAACTCTACGTACTTCCTTTCTTTTCAATTTTTAGAAGCTATTTTCGTCGTATTTTTCTCTAACGACTTTTATCTTCTTTAGATATCTTTTCTTTGTGAATTGTATTCTGCAAGTGCCAGCTAGTTAAATTCTATAGAAACGCAGTGGTGGATTAGGCTGCACTTTTCTTGCGCGCTTTATTACTGTAAATTATTTTTCGCACTTTGGTGCATTTCGATAAACAAACAACAAGTAGATGGACCTTTGTTTAAAACGAATGGAAAAGAAATCATAATTTATTACAGTGCCATTGAAATTCAGCTGTTGAAAGTTTTGCTTGGACCGTTTCGTTTTGGATTATTTGTAGGAGTGGTTCACGTATAGTAATTTTGAAATCCGATTGCTTTACAACTAGCAATGTTTCAGTGCTTTAAATACAAGCTTTACTTTTAGTATATAGCGAACGTAACATATGTTTAAGTAGACATTTACTGGACATTTATGCTTAATGTAGTAAAATAAAGGGAATGATATTTGCGTAAAAATCAACTCATAAGATTCCAAAAAATGGGTTGTACCCATGAAATGACAACTTTTTCATCGTATGTAAACTTGTTTAACAAAGTACGGTTACCTGAATACAAGGTGCCGGACAGTTTATACGAATTTCTTGTAAGTAGGATTCCACTCGTGCTTCAAAATCCATTCGCTCAATTCCTTGTCGTCAGTGGGGAATTCAGTAGTACTCATGTTTTCTTTTCTGGCTTGCTTCAAAACAGCGAGCGTAATGTGACGGGAAATTTCACGAGCATTATTCAAATCAGGAAGTAAAGCCTCTTCCGATTTGAACAAATTCTTTGGCACGGTTGCCAAGGCATCGGAAGCAGCCTTCATCATAGTATCGGTCAAAAATTTGCAACCGGATAATACACAACCCACTCCCAAAGCTGGATAAAGAAGAGCATTGTTGCATTGAGAAATAATATATTCCTTACCGTTACGCTTGATGGGGGGAAGAGGTGATCCGGTGGCCATGAGTGCTTTACCATTTGTCCACTCGTTAATTTGATCGGGTTTAGCTTCCATAAGCTTGGTGGGATTTGAGATAGGGAAAATAATGGGCTGTTCGACATGCTTAGCCATTTCACGCATAGCTCTTTCGGTAAATTTACCAGGTTGACCTGAGCAACCCAACAAGATAGTAGGCTTCACGCGAGAGATGGCAGTTTCCAAGTCAACATCACCGTTAATGTCTTGGAAACTATCGTTTTTCTTCAGGAAAGGTTTTTGATCTTCTGTAGCAACATCAGCATGCTTTTCCAATAATAAACCATAGCGGTCCACCAAGTAGATATGATCGATGGCTTGTTGCTTAGAAAGGCCATCTCCAACCAAGGCACTGGTGATTTGATTGGCAATACCGATACCAGCAGTACCAGCACCGAAGATCATAATGCGTTGTTCAGTCAAAGGAGATTTCGTAACCTGGAGAGCGGCTACAATGGCAGCCAAAGCGACAGCACCGGTACCCTGGATGTCATCGTTGAAGCAAGCGAACTCTTTGGTGTATTCGTCCAAAATGCGCTTTGCATTTTTCAAACCAAAATCTTCAAAATGAATAAAGGCGTGAGGGAAAACCTCTCTTATAGAGCGGAGAACAGTACTCAAATATTGATCATATTCTTCACCACGCACACGGTCCCTTTTAAGACCCATGTATTGAGGATTGGAACGATGTTTTTGGTTGTCGGTTCCAACATCCAATACTATGGGTAGGAAGCAATTGGGATCAAGACCAGCACACAAAGTCATTAAATGGCCTTTGGCAACAGAAATCAAGACGCCACCTACACCTTGATCACCAATACCTAAAATACCCTCGGAGTCGGTAAGAATGATGTACTTGATGGAATCTTTTGTTCCAAAGGCAGACAGTTGATTCTTAATGTATTGAGGATCTTTGTGATCAATGTCCAAAAAGCACCCCTCGGGGTAACGATAAACGTCTGAGAATTGCATGATAGCATCTCCCTCCGTTGGTGTATAAATAATAGGGATCATTTCAACTAGATGTTGGCTGATCAAAGCATAGAATAAAGTCTGGTTTCGAATACTCAATTGCGACAAATAAAAGTTCTTTTCCAATACTCTATCACCGAACGATTTGTATTGTTCATAGGCTCTGTCAATCTGTTCCTGTAAGGTCTCCACAACGGGAGGAAGACGAGAGGTAAGTTCATATTTGATACGTTCTTCTTCAGTGAAAGCCGTGTCCTTGTTCAAGCGAGGATTCGCCAATAAAGCTTCACCCTTTAAAGAGCATTTGATTTCGTCTTTCGACATGGTGTACGTTTTGTTTTGCAAACTACGAAAGAATAAGAAAACAAATTAAACACAAACTAAAAGCTTTTATACTAAATATAATCAAGCTTCTCGGTATAAAAGTATACGTAAGATTGTGTGATACTGTAACGTAAGATTGTGTGATACTGTACGCTATAAAGTATTTGTTAAAGCTATAATAGCAGCTATGCAGAGGGAGGGTGAGTGAGTTAACGTGGTGGGTGGTATGGTATGTTGGGTGGAAGTGAAAGCGAAAGCAATCTTTTTATATCGTACGAAGGTGGTATTTGTTTGTGTATGTTAAGATCGATACCGATGGGGTTTCCAGATCTGGCCAGTACTTCTTGTGTTTGTTTGATGAAGCATAGCGTACTTGCAAGATACTCATCGTTGAATCCATTCGAATTTATCGATGACGGTGATGATAATAAACAAAAGAACCAGCGTCCAATCCGCTCGTCTAGTGTGGAATAGTATAGCTTGACTGTTTGATCGTTTGAGTCGTATTTGTCATACTGTTCTGTCTGTACCCTACTGACTTGAGAATGGAGGGAAAAGAACCAAAAGAAGGTCTTTACTAAACGTAGAAGAATTGAAGAATAAATGGAATCTGCTGTTTCTTTGTTTTATTTTTTTTTCATTGTTTTATTTGATCCTTTGCTAGCAAAAGAAGAAAGTTTATAATCGGACTAAAGGGAACAAATTTAAAGAATGCGAATGTGACATTTGCATAAAAGATAGAGTAAAATATATTTAATTTCTAGAACTAAAGTATTGAAATCTTTCTTAAAATTCCCTACTCCCATTCCCATTCCATTAGAAACTAGTTTTTGAAGATCCCTTTAGACATTCTTTTCGTACTCTGCTCTATTGCTTCTATACACACCAGCTTCATTATCCTTCACTATAATTTGCTATTCGATGGAACATTGGTTCTTTTCGAATCGTTCATGATCGTTATTCTTATATACTAGAATACGTTCTCTTTTCTTATGCACTATTACGATTTTCAACGTATGTTTGTAATTCTTGGCTTGGCTCAGTTTAGGAGAAAACAAGACTACCACCATCCAAAAATTGAAGAAGGTTGACCATGTCAACAACTCCTTTCTCCTTGCTGGGAAATAACAAAACAAACAAACAACCATCCTCGAGCCAACTGGTCAACTTGGTAAGGAAATCACGATATTTTAAGTATTTCTTGAAAAATATATTCTTTTTTGTTTTTGTTTACTAACAAAGGTTTAGAATTCGAAAACTCCTGTCAAGATCCATTGGAAAACACCAAAGCAAACAATTGCCGGTCAATCGTTTTGCCAACATCAACCAACGAAGACTATTTCCATTTCATTCGAGGATCCTTTGTTTCAATTCACAAAAAAAAATTCGGTTACGACGGATTCTAAATCGAGAAAATTAGACCCTTGACTGTCTTTTGATTGTATTTTAGGAATATTTGGTTTTCATTGGAAAATTATATTTTAAAGAACAAGAATCATAAAAAAGAAAAGATTTTGAATTCTGTCATTTCAAACGTTCAATGGTTTAAAACTGAAACTTGCTCTCCCTCTCTCTCTTTTTTTTTTTGCTTCTTTTCCTTTTTATTTAGTATCTGTCCTTAGATACTTTTCTATGTCCTCTTCACAAAAATGTCCGACAATTTGGAATCTTCGTCCCATTTGTTTGCTCGCTCCTCCGTAAATGACACTTCTTCGCAATTGTCTCGATTGGAAGAAGTCGAACTCCTTGAAGGTGCCCTACCTTCTCCATACAGGGAAGAGTTCTTAAACGAAGACGCATTATATGTACCCCCAAAACCCCAGTATGGACAATCTTATATGGCTGCCGGTCCTTATTATGCCAACAAAATGAATCCTGGCTGGCCTCTCAACTACTTTATTGGTATCGAAAGATCTCGATTTGAAAAAAAACTCTCCAACTTTTGGCTTCGAAATTTCTTGTTGCAGGTCTTCGCCCCTTGCATTGTCCTTCTTTGGTGCGCGATCCCCATGCCATTGTATAAGGATAATCAAGGTATAGTTCGTATAAAATTTTGGTTTTTTCTTTTTTTTTACTACGGTATCTATAATGCCGTCGGTTTGTTATGGATTACAAAACTTTTTCATATATATTCTGTCAACTGGTTTTCCAGTAAACTTGGTGGCACTGTCAGTTATTTATTGTTTTGGGCCTTTAGTATTCTTGTCGGTAGTTTGGCCGTCTATTTTACTGCTTGGCGTCAAATAACATTCACCTGGATCACCTTGATGTTCATTTCTATGATTATCCCTATCGGGATCTCCTTTTCAAAATTATGGAAAAAGCATTCTCGTCGCACCACTCAGTTTTTGTCTCAACTCTCTCTGCTCGAACCCAATGTCCGGAGTAACGCTGTCTTGGAAACCATAGGCTGGAAAGATGCCTATGCTCATTATTCTTGGTTTATTATCGTGCTTTGCGTTACCCTCGTTGTTTACCTAGCTGGTGAATATCTGACTAACATTTACATGTCCACACTTCCCCATAGTTCTAGTGTCGCCATTGCATATGTTTATTCATGGATGTGTACCGTTAGTTTGTGTAATTTGGTTTCGTCTTGGATTTTGAATACAAAGACCCACTCTTACGCCCTCGTTTCTGTTTTCAAACTTTACTTTGAGCTCACTCTCCAAGTTTATGTGCGCAATTTGTATGCCAGACTTGAATCGCCTCAACAATTCGTTCTCGTGCAAATTGCTTCTTCTCTTACCATGATGACTGTCGTGCCTTTAATTTTAATGTCACGCACGGTATATCACTTTAATAAATCTCTCACAAAAAGTTTGGACCCCTACTCTGTATATCGCAAAAACATGGGCAGAAACTTTTATGTAAAGTGTGTTGCTTCCAACCTTAGTATGCTTTCATTTTTGGGCTGGTCTGTTATACTGCATTTTGGACCGAACGCAGCAATTTATCCGTATTTTACCTTTGCGGAAAACAGTCCATACAGTTTCAAGCTTACCTTCTATGCTTCTTCAGCGGTGTGGGCAAGTGAACTTATTGCTGCCTACTTTACTCGGTTGATTATGAGCAAATACTATGATTTCGAAGTCTCTTTGGAAGCTATCCGCGATTTCGTCGAATACCCAGACATGATACCAGCATTCATCTTTGTTGGTATTCATGTTTTACAGAACGTTTTGTTTAGCATTATCCAGTTACGATTTTAGAGACATTTTCTCTTGTATTTTTTACGTTTTTTTCCTTCTCATTCTCTTCCCTATTAAAATTGTCGTCCAGTGACGGGTATGTATAATAGCATATAAGTGTATACTTTTGTTCGTCAAACTAGTTCCGTGTATATTTCTTCTTTCTCTTCTTTTTCCATTGGCTTGAATTGGTATTAGTGATAACCTAAGTTGTTACGAATTTATTATAGACCTTTTTATCAGTTGTTTAATGCTTAGGAAATTGTTATGCGCTTGTTAAACGTTGAGATCACTAATAATAGATGTTTTTACTTTCCGTGTTAATGGTAAGTTGATTATTGATTTCATAATTTATTCCCATGTAAACTTTTTTACTCTCATAAATGCTAAATTTGGTAGATTTTGAATAAATATTCCTTTTAGAGGATGGACCTTTAGTAGCAGAACAATCTATTTGAAGGTTCTCTCTACGTTTACCTTTTTGAGGATAATGCTTATTTAATCCTGGAAACAACACGAACATGAACAATAGAAGTAAAAAGATACCATTTTTTTTCTTATTGGTAGTTTTAATTTTTGAAATGTAAACTGAAGGCAATTTATTTCGGAGAATTGTTAACTTCAGTAATCTCAGAATAACATTTTACTCACCAAGAACACGCGATGGAAGAAGCACGCTATTCGAATTAATTTTTACAGTTATGAATACAACACGTTTAGTTAATTGAGACACGCCTTTTGTTGAGTAGTAATAAATTGGCATTATTCATAAAGATGTATTTATTTACTAAGATAAAGCACTGTTCTCATCGTTAATGGTTCTCTCGCACATATGAAACAACGTTAACGCAGTGTTCCGTGATGCTGTAAAAGGACTCTCCAGCGGGGGGCGAACCGCAATATTCAAACTTACCCTTAGCTAAACACTGCGTTTCTATCATCGAAACCAATTACACAAATGTCACAGTATTACGAACTATACAGACGTAGCAGGTAATTTTTTATTTTGTTTTTATTTTGTACTTTGCTAACCTCTACAGCATAGGGTATGGATCTTCGATCAACCTGGATTGGTAGTAAAAGATCACATACTAACGGGAATTTGTTTAGGATTTCATTAACTGATGCATTGGACGATTTGATTTCTCAAGGAAAAATATCCCCGCAGCTTGCTATGAAGGTTCTTTTCAACGTAAGTATTAGTAGCCTAGCAGAAACCTGCCTTTAGTTTGACGCTGTCAGCTAATATTTTCTCATTATAGTTTGATAAAAGCATGACAGAAGCGTTGGCCGAAAAAGTACGTGCTCGCCTGACGTTCAAAGGACATCTTGACACATATCGGTTTTGCGACGAAGTATGGACGTTTATTATAAAAAATCCAAATTTCCGGTTTGACAACGAAACTGTTACAAGTAATAAGATTCGGATTGTCGCTTGTGCCACCCGTGATTCTTCAGCAAATCGTTGATTAGACAAGGATCTCAAATAATGGACTATTTTATGATTTCGCTATGTCCTTTCACTCGCCATGATAATTCAATATCGGGAACGAAAGTGATAGTTGAATAGTAGTTTGCAGATTTTCGTCCTTTCGTTCAATTGTGTCTTTTCTGTTACTTTAAAACCTTGATTTGATGTCTTTTGGATAACTCGTTTTGATTCCTTCCTGTTGATTCTTTTCTTCATGCTTCCGTGATAGTGGATGGCTTGTTGCATCTCTAAAATTCCCTTTCGTAACACTGTGCGTGTTCTTTTTAATTTTTAACAGTTCTTCTATACTGTTACTTTAAGTTGTTATCTATAATAATTTTGTTGCACCGTGTATGTATTGTCATTAACGTTGGATGAATGGTTTACTCATCTGTTTACGTAACTATGTGACACCTGGCTTCTAAATGATCTTTCTTTTGTGGTAAACTTTTCGAAAATATTCGAGGTGTTTTCACCTCACATCAAGTTTTTCCTGCTACTTGTACTTTAGTTGATTGAATATGTGAATAAGTCGTTGGGTATTCATTTGTTCTTTATTCTATTCGTTTCTATTGCGTACACGATGTTTTTCCTTCCGTAGCCATTAAGACGCATTTCATCCATAAAAAGAATTATTAGAACAAAGTCGCGAATATAAAAGTAACGCTAAGCAATATATTCTTTTTCGATTTCATTGAAAGCGGACGTGAGTGAGAATTAAAGAAGTAAACAAATCATATGCGGGCATTGTAACCAAAAATGCTTGAGGTAAACAGAATTAAAAAATCTGAACATCAGCTCACTACAATGGATCTGCAAACTTTAAAACTGAATATTAAGCAGAAAAAGCGTCTAAATGATCATGAAGAAAATTGCTCCTCCGATAATACCGACCAAGCTTGTTCCAAGCAAACCACGCAATGAGGAACTGCCTGATTCAGCTGCAGTACTTTGGGCAGCAGTTGTGCTTGACGTTGAATTGCTGGAGTTGCCTTCTTCCTTGGAACAGTTGCTTAAATTTTGGTATGGGGTGGAAACAGTACTAGCACTGGCGATAGGCTTGGAAGAGATAGGAAAGGAGGAAGAAGCACCGTGGCTCCAAGAAGTCAAAGTGGAATGACCACCTTTAGAGTGAGACGTTTTATGAGAGGTGGTAGCACCAGTAGAGGTAGATTCGCTGATGGAAGCAGAGATACTAAGGGAAGCACTAAAACCGAATGATAGACTGGCGGAAGCGCTGTCGCTTGGAGGCAAAAGGGTAAATTCGTCAGATTGTGCATAGATTTCTTCAGCACTCTCAGGATTTCCCAAATTGATACGGAAGCCTCCACCAGTAGGCCAGTCGTTGGTGCTGACGGTGACGCTGCCTTCGGTGGTGTTTACCTTAGCAATTAACTTGTTCAAGCTTGGAAACTTGAAATAGTTAGTCAAGTATACACCGACAAAGGTTTTGTCTGTTGGTACGTAACTCCACGAAATTGTATGGTCTTCCTTGATTTCCCAATGCGTACCTTCGGAAGGGCTGGTGACATGAATAGCCAAAGAACAGGCGATGAATGCAAACAATACCAATTTTGTTAGAAACATTTTGATTGTTTGTTACGAACGAAATTCGAACAAGAAAAGAAATAAAAAACTTTAGGGATTAAAGAGATACAGCAAATCCTTATTCTTGAATAATTCTTGCTTAAGAGTATTGATACTGGAGATGAACGTCGAGTTCTAAAAATAATGGATCAAGATGCGAAAAATCGCTGAGATACTTTAGGAAAACTAATGCTTATTCCTTTGTAATATGGTAGATGCAGGAAAAGAACAGCGGAATGGGGACTATTTCTAGAAGAAAAAGTAAACAAACCTGGCGAATCTAAAGTTCACTTCTGATCGATTTTTGTAAACAAACAAATGCTTAAACCCCTGCCGGTTGGCTAGGAGCCCCGCGCAGACAGCCTAGTATTCACAAAACAAACAAACATTGTTAATAATCCGGCGCAGAGGTATGAATAATTCCAGTATCCTTCATTGGATGTGATTCCTTGCGAAGCCAAGGAAGGCATAGCTTTCTATACTTTCTATTTCGCTTCATATTTAAACCACTCTCGTTTGTTATGACTTTAATTAGGCGTTATCAATGACTTGGATTATTTGCTACATTTCTTAAGTACGAATAAAGTTAAATAGAGCTTGTATAGAGCGAACCCCGATTTTTGTTTGAAATATGACTAAAAACAGTGTATGAATAGTCTCTTATTTCTATTTAATTAAATTCAATTAAATCATTCCATTTCTGATCCTCTTCAAAACGTTTTAATACCTATATAGCCCTTACTAATTTCAAGTATCATATTATCGAGTATATTATTTAAACCGACGTAAACAAATAAACAAGGGAAACAACAAAATTGAAGATTAATTGAATCAATTTTGTGATTTGTAATATCCCGAAGCAAGCTACTTCTTTCAATAAAATTGATTAAATGAACCGGCTTGCATGAATAGAACTCGTTGGTTCATATTCTGAAAACTTCAAGTTGAACCCACTTTATTGAATTAGCTATTATAAGTCTCGCCTGAAAAAGACTCGCTATAAAGCTATACTGGAAGCCCAAGAGGACCACAAGTCTTGTATTAGACCAATTTATTGACCTTCTGTATAGCAACATGCTTTATTGTCCTATTGCTTATTGTTTTTCCGTATAATTATTCATATTATTATATTACATTTAATATGTGTGTACCTGAATCTCATAAACACCATGCAAGTATGAGTAAATAGTGAAGATTTGCCCTCATTTTCTATTGTTTTCTTCTTTTTTTGAAAAGCCATGAATACAAAGACAGATTTTTTGAGTTTCAGCTAATTTTGATCAAGAAGAAAATACACGATGCTCTCCTACCTTACCTGTCCAGACCACTTCCTCTACACCATAGGTCTTTTTCAAGCGCGTAAACAAACCTTTATTTTTTAAAAACAAGGATTTCAAGTAAAGATTAGTAAAGTGGGCTCTTTTTCTTTATAAATTTTAATCCTTTCTAATTTTTTTTTTCTTAATTGCTGCTACACGAGAGGTTCAACGAACTCTCAAGGATTATTTAAAGAATTTTTGGTATAGAATGGAATTTCCTCCAGATCAAGCACTCCTCGAGGAGAAAAATACTCTTTTACAAACCTGTGGAATGGATGAGCAAATGATGTTTTTTAAATGGGAATCTTGGTGTCTGCAGCGCGACAATAAACCTGTCTTAAACTTGGATAACTTTAGAGCCTTTGCCGCAGACGTGCGGACTCAAATGGAACGTCAAGTAAGGGCTTCTTTGCGAGAAAAACCAGAAAAGAGATATGTTAAAACAAAGACTGGAATGAACTTTGAAAATATGTAAGGTATCTATGACTTTTGATGATTCTAACTTTTTGTTTTCTTTTTAGGCTTGGAATACCGACAAAGTCACACGTTTCCAAAGATAACCTCCCAAGCCGTCCTGTACCGTCTGCTTCCGATGTACCAAGTCTTACTGGCGAGTCAGGCCGTATCCTGGAAACTTTCAACTCACAGCTGTCCTCAACATCAGCGTTATCAAATGAGTCAAAATCAGCTTCACCGGATATTTCAGCACATATCGATCCAAAAGCATATCATTATAGAATCATGTTTCAAAAGCTCCAGGATTCGTCTGAAGTTCTTGACGACCGAATCGATCTTTTCAGCGATATAATATGTCAGCACTATAAAATTAATGATGATGACCTTGTAAATCCAAGTGAACTTACACAGGAACTGGTTACTGTAGTCGGAAGAGTTGTTGTTGACAGCAATACTGTTGGTGGTCGCCTTAACTCCAATAGTATTTTATTAGAAACTTCAAGAAGACTAGGTGCTGGCGCCAGAGTCTCACTCAAACTAGATGAAGTATTAAATTATTCCATTTTTCCTGGGCAAATCATTGCTCTCAAAGGCTGCAATCCTAGTGGTAAAGTGTTTGTTGCAAAAGAAATTTTACCTTTTCCTCCTCTCCCATTCCCTGTCTCTTCAAAGAAAGAAATCGAAAACTTCAACAACAAAGCGAATAACCAGCCCATATCTATTTATGTGGCTTCGGGTCCATGGTCTCTCCGAGATGACCTTTCTTTTACACCTTTGAAAGCCTTGGTATCATACTTGATAGAGAATCCTGCCGATCTAGTGATCCTGACAGGCCCATTCATCGACATCAACCACCCTATCCTCTCCACTGGAAATATTACTGATACGCAAGCGACTTCCCTTGAGGACTTCTTCAAAGAACGCGTTACTCCAATTCTCTCCAAAATATCTTGTAAATGTATCCTCGTACCTCACATCAACGATGCTATTTCTAATCATCCTGCTTGGCCTCAAGACACATTCGATCGTTATACCCTAGACCTCCCATCTGTATGTCTGCAATTCATTTTCTATATAAACGCTAACATTATAGAATTTTACATGTTTTCCAAATCCTTGCATTTTCTCAGTAAACGAAGTTGTTTTCGGTTTATCCACAAATGACATTTTGCTACACACCTCCAAGGAAGAACTTTTCCGAAATCCAAAACATGGAAATCTGTTTTCGCGACTAGTCGCTCATGTCATTCATCAAAGGCATTTTTACCCCTTGTTTCCGGGTGGATCTCTAGACAGAGGTAATCCTTCAAATATCGACATAGCGCACCTAAAGCTTGGCGAGCTACTTCAAACAGTTCCTGACATCCTTATTTTACCCAGCGATATGAGATACTTTGCAAAGGTAAGTTATATGTATACATATTTGACTTGTAAATTCTGATAAATTTATTATAGACTGTCGAAGATGTGATATCTATTAATCCGGGGAAAGCTACCAAGGGAGTCACCTTGGGGTCTTTTGCAAAGCTAACAATTCTTCCTTACCCTCTCAATACTTCAACTTCTTCTACTGACCTTCTACACAATGCCCAGTCTCGTACTAAAGTTGAAATAATAAAACTGTAAAATTGTCACATGTGCATGATGATTGCTTATATCCTACGTCTTACTCTAATTGTACATGAATTTTAAAAATTCATTCTTCTTACGACGTTTCAATTTAAACTGGATTTATATATATGCATTGTAAAAAGTTAGACTTTGAAGTTCAATACAAACCTCCTTAATATTATATTTTGGTATTCGTAGCATTCTCGCCTACTTTTTGCAACCTCATCCATTAAGTAGTTTCAGGATGCCAGTAATTCCACCTGAACGATTAGCTCCTCTGCAAAGCAATCAGAATAATATAAGGAACTTTACTTTGTTGGCTCATGTGGATCATGGAAAGGTATACGGCAATTTTACTGCATTTTTTCAATTCATACTAATTAAGCGCCTTATAGACTACACTGGCTGACAGTCTTTTGGCTACAAATGGAATTATTTCTAGTAAGCTAGCCGGAACGGTTCGATATCTTGATTTTCGTGAAGATGAAATAACTAGAGGAATTACCATGAAATCCAGCGCGATTTCATTATTTTTCAAGGTTATCAGCCAAAGTAGTGAAAAAGCTGTTGAAAATGATTACCTAATTAATCTAATTGACTCACCTGGTCATGTTGATTTTAGCTCAGAAGTTTCATCTGCGTCTCGCTTATGTGATGGCGCTTTCATCTTAATTGATGCCGTTGAAGGAGTCTGTAGTCAGACTATTACCGTTCTCCGACAAGCTTGGGTTGATAAAATAAAAATGGTTTTGGTTATAAACAAGATGGACAGACTTGTGACCGAACTTAAATTATCCCCTATCGAAGCTCATCACCATCTGCTTCGTCTTGTTGAACAAGTCAATGCAGTAATAGGTACATTTTATAGAGGAGAGTTGATGAATCTAGATGAAATGGAGGAGGAAACCAGTGACGAGGGCATCTATTTTTCTCCCGAGCAAGGCAATGTAATTTTTGCGAGTGCATCCGACGGTTGGGCTTTCTTTCTAGACCAGTTTTCAGATTTTTACGAGAAGAAACTCGGAATGAAGTCTAGCGTTCTTACAAAATGCTTATGGGGAGATTACTATTTGGATCCAAAAACCAAGCGTATTCTTCAGGCAAAACATCTTCAGGGACGGCGCTTAAAACCACTATTCGTCCAGTTTGTCCTTGATAATATATGGGCAGTCTACAATTCAGCAATAGTAGATCGTGATCTGGAAAAAATTGAAAAGATTGTGAAAACATTGAACATAAAAGTCCTTCCTCGAGACATGAAATCGAAAGATCCTAGAAATTTGCTACTAGCGGTTTTTCAACAATGGCTTCCTCTTTCCACTGCGATTTTACTGACAGCCATTCGAAAAATTCCCTGTCCCATAGATGCACAGAAGGATCGCGCTTTAAAAGTTCTTAAAACTACTCCACACTTTGAGAATGTTGCCCCCGAAATTGCAACAGCTATGTCTCACTGCAAAGCTGATAAGGAAGAACCGATGCTGGCTTACATTAGCAAAATGGTTGCTTTCTCCGAAAGAGATCTTCCACAACAGAAACGTCGACAGCTTACCGCTGAGCAAATGCATGAATTGAGGCAGGCTAAGTTGGCTGGTTCCCTTGAAGATTCAGTAGGATCCTTATCAGTGAACGAAAACGAATTGGAAGAGAATCCAGAAAATAAAGATCATGAAGAGGAAGAAGAGAAAGACGTGTTCGTTGGATTTGCTCGTATTTACAGCGGAACTATCTCTGTTGGCCAGCAGGTTTACGTTTACGGTCCGAAGTATGATCCTGCAAATCCAGATGAACACGTCACCAAAGTAACGATTGAATCTTTATACTTAATGATGGGTCAAGAACTTTTCCCATTAGACACTGTACCTGCTGGAAACGTGTTTGCTATTGGTGGTTTGGCTGGAACTGTCTTAAGAACTGCTACTTTATGCTCTCTACCTAAAGGACCAAATTTGGTAGGTGTGTCTCAGCAGATGGAACCCATCGTCCGCGTTGCTGTTGAACCGTCACGCCCTTATGAGATGAGTAAACTGGTTGCTGGACTAGATATGTTAAACCAGTCCGATCCATGTGTTCAGATTTCAGCTGAACAAAACGGTGAGCATGTAATTATGTGTGCTGGTGAAATTCATTTAGAACGTTGCCTAAAAGATTTACGAGAGAGATTTGCTAAAATTGAGATACAAGCTTCTCAACCAATTGTTCCCTTCCGTGAAACGACTATTGCAGCTCCTGATATAAGTGTTAATGACAAGGAGGCTCCACTTGGATTTGTAAATACATCCGTCGCTTCTGATGGTATTCAGATTAAGCTGTCTGTAAGTCCATTACCTAGCAACTTGGTGAATTTCTTATTAGACCATGAAAAGACAATTGAGTCGTTTATGCATCATATTTCGAAAAAAGGAAGAAACGGCGATCTCGAACGTTCTGATGCGCAAAAGCAGAAAGAGGAAATCCTTAGTTCAGAAGACTTTATTACGACTATCCACGAGTTGCTATCCAATGATACCTCAATTAAAAATAACATTACTGATTACCTTGACTCGATAATGTCTTTTGGCCCAAAACGAGTAGGCCCCAATATGTTAATTGATAAGACTGGATCGATGAAGAAGGTACGTCAGGAAAGTGACGGATCTAGGCTCATTCCCTTTGATCTCGGTGAATATATCGCTACAGCTTTTCAAATTTCTACGCAACAAGGACCACTATGTGCTGAACCTGTTCAGGGAATATGTGTTTGTATTGAATCTATTGAAATAGAAAATGGTCAAGAAAATGAAGTGCTTACAATTGGAAATCCACAAATTCCTGGTCAAGTTATTTCAGCTGTGCGTGAGGCAATTAAGCAAGGATTCCTTGCCTGGTCGCCAAGATTATTACTTGCTATGTATTCATGTGATGTTCAAGCTACTGCTGAAGTTTTGGGTAGAGTATATGGTGTGGTTGCCAAGAGAAAAGGACGAATTGTTGATGAAGAAATGAAAGAAGGAACTCCATTCTTTGTTGTAAAAGCTGTAATTCCTGTTGTTGAGTCATTTGGTTTTGCAGTCGAAATTTTAAAACGTACATCTGGTGCTGCGTATCCCCAACTAATTTTCCATGGATTCGAAATGCTTGATGAGAACCCATTCTGGGTTCCCACTACAGAAGAAGAACTAGAGGATTTGGGTGAACTGGCTGATCGTGAGAATATTGCAAAACGCTATATGTTAAATGTTCGAAGAAGAAAGGGTTTACTTGTCGAACAGAAGGTAGTCGAAAAAGCTGAAAAGCAAAGAACTTTGAAACATTAAACCTAAAGAAGTCAAAAATAATTTATTTGAATATACAAGTATGAATCGAAAAAAATAGACTGAGAGAACTGTTACGAGCAGAATTTCCTTTTTTTATTATTATTATTATTAATAAACTCTGAAATTATGCTTACGCGTATTCCAACTTTGTCATGCAGATTTCGCATGGAATAGCATCTATATTTTATACAGTCTATTGTATAATATATCATACTCAATATCATCAAGAGAACATCTAATTGTCATAACCGGTATACGATATTACTTAAGTTTTGATACAGCAATAGTATTATATTAGCAAGTATATAATCAAAAAAGTAAAAATCCATTTTTGCGACTGAAAAACTTCTAAAGTGTAGATCAAAGATGGATAGGACTTAACAATTTTAGAAAGATATATTATAAAAGTGCAATCGAAAGCTCTGAGCGATCTAGCTAAATGAATTGTTTTGGACAACTTATTTCGTGAATCAGGTAACTGGAAGTTATTACTTTACTTATCTAACAGTAAAAAAGCTTCAATCCTTGTTTCAATGTATACTTGTTTTCACTAAATATTTATTTTTATAACGTGTCGAAGTTCACCTGTAATACTAATTAAGATGCGTCGCGCTTAATAATATAAACAAAAACCACCACTACACCAAAAACAAATTTGCTTTTACTTGAAGTTTTTCAATGGAACAATGTGAAGGTAATAATAATGACGTTGAAAAAGAAAGAATTATCTTTGATGTACACATGGAAAAAAATCAAGAAGTAGATGATGAAGCTACTTTGAAACGACGCTTGGCTGGTCCTTCAGTGTTGAAATCTGGTCAAGAAAGTGTCAATCAAGAAAGAATTAATGAAATAATTTACTCAGCTTCTAAAGGAAGCAAGTATTTTGAAGCAGAGCAGAAAAGAGACCTTGAACTTCGCAACAGAATTGAACGTGTACAACAGGAGGTAAAGGAATACTATCGTAAACTTGAATGCGATAAGGGGTTTCAAAGGGAATGGGCTGAACGTACTGATGAGATTGACGGTTACATGCAAGAACTCCGATCTAGTCGTGATTTAAGTCAAGTAATCGTGCATGTAGATTGCGACGCATTTTATGCATCTATTGAAGAGTTGAGAAACGAAAATCTTAAGAATGTTCCAATGGCTGTTGGTAAAGGTGTTTTATGTAAGATATATCTCAGAAGTGATTTTAAGCACCAAAACTAATCCACAGGTACTGCAAACTATATGGCTAGAAAGTTCGGCGTGCGATCAGCCATGCCAGAATTTATCGCAAGAAAACTTTGTCCAGACTTAATCGTTATTCCTCTGAACATACCAGAGTATGCGAAGAAATCAAAGGAAATACAGGATGTACTAGCGGAGTATGATCAGAATCTTTGCCCAGCTAGTATCGATGAGGTTTACATGAATTTAACTTCATACATTCACCTGCATGAGCTTAGTAACGATGAAGATAATATACAGAAAGTCGTTACGCAAATAAGAAATAAAGTTCTGGAGGTTACTGGTGTCAGTGTCAGCTGCGGAATCGCTGCTAACAAATTACTAGCTAAAATTGCTAGTAACATGAAGAAACCGAACGATCAATTCTTTGTTTCAAATGAAGCAGAATTGATTGAAAAGTTTATGTTCGAATTACCAACAAGAAGGGTAAGACTGCACCTTTTGAGAATTTAATAAGGCTCTTATTACTAACTAATCTTACAAGATTAATGGGATTGGCAGAGTATTAGAGCAGGAGCTTCTTGGACTGGATATCAAAACCTGTGGAGACATAATTCATAGTAGGACTCTCTTGTCCTATGTCTTCAAGGAGAAAACATTTCAAAATTTAATACAATGCAGCTTGGGAATTGGATCTACCATTGTTCAAGATTTTGGTGATAGCAATAGAAAAAGCATTGGCAGTGAAATAACATTTTCGAAAGCTATTACTTCCGGTGGTCTCCTGGAAAGCAAGCTACAATCTTTGTGTCAAAGTTTGGCAGATGATTTATCGAAACGTGATTTAATCGCAAATTCAATTTCGATTAAGATAAAGACCGATACCTTTCAAGTACACACGAGACAGAAAAACTTAAGAGAATACATCTACAATGACACAGACCTTTTCTGCGAAGCTCTAAAATTATTGAGGGTGGAATATCCACTACGATTACGGCTGTTGGGTGTTCGACTTAGCAAGTTGACCACCAAGTCAAGCTATTTTGCTTGCCAACTTGTATGTTTAAACATGCTTTTTATTCTAAGTTTTCTAACAGTTTAGAAATTCTCAAAACAAAACAGTGTCCCATGTCCTGTTTGTCACAAAAACTTAGAAGATGATTTAAGCGTTGTAAACCAACATATCGATCTTTGCCTAAATACCGAAACAGTTAAGACAGTGATAAACAATGAAAAAAAAGGACCTCCCAAAAGAAAACGAAACACTATAGATGTTTTTTTCAGGCATTAACTTTCCACATTAAAAGGCCTCGGTATAGTATGGAATATTTTGGATACAATATAGACGAAAGGTACATTGAAATGAAAATAAGTCAAAATTTATTTACGTTCGAAATAGATAATTAGAGTCGCTTATCCATTGGATTTCAAACATACTGAGAACCAGATTCGTAATAAATTCATGAAAAAACAGATATTTAATGGTCATTCTTTTCAAGCATCATTATTACAAGAGCTTTGCACTAACAGCAAATGCAGCGAAAATAAAAACACTATATCTTATAAGTTGGAAGATGGTCAAAGATGTCCAGTAAAAGAATAAAAGACCTTCAGCGGCAGCGAGCGAAACGAAAAAAAGAATGTGGCCCAATGAAGAGGAAGAAACAGAGTACACGGATGTCTTTTCAGCGAATTGCATCCAAACTATAAGAAGAGCAACGGAAGCAACAGCAACGGCGGCTGAAAATACAAGGCTTAAAAACTTGTTGGCAGCTTTTGGAGGAGCAGCGAATGTATGGAGGATGGTAGGTTTAGGAGAAGTTTCTGCTTCAATGGATGATTTGGCCTGGAAAACAGGAAGAGAACCAGAGTCAAAGACAAGAGATCCTAGAGAACTAGAAGAAGGAGAGGCATCACCGAAAGAACCGATCATTAGAGTAGTCAAAAGACCATGCTCACTTTGAATTAACTCAGAGGGTAATTCAGCTAAAGGCTAAATGGCTGTTAGTACTTTTTACTAGTAAATAATACGAACGACTTGGGTCGTATTAAGTGGATTCAAGCAGTATTATCTGCAAACGAAATCTCCTTCATTAGGCACTTACCAATTTCAAGACTGCATCTCCATTTGTATTAACCTTGACAGGGTAAATAATTGAAGAACTAGGCTTTTTCCTATCGCTAATCAATATATGGGCTTGATGAGGGACAGAAACTTCATCATCAATGGCACAGGTAAATTGTACAAGCAATGTATCCTCTAGAGACGAGTCTAACTCAACGAAAGTATTCAAATCATCAAATCTTAAAAAGATAAATTAGAATGTATGTTCAAAAGCGGCTTCTCAAGCGCTTACCTGTTCGTCGATCCAGTCTTTACGGAGCCTGTAGGACTGAGGAGTTTGACGACACCCTCTTTAGCATTCCATGAGCTGCAAAAAACGCCTATGAATAGACACAACAAAGAAACGAACGAAATTGCCCTCATTTGTGTATCTCTGGAATTTGTAGTGGGTAAAATGAAGCCGAATCTACATACTGCTTCAAGCATGTATAGTGAGGTCAAGTGCGTATCGCTATTGGCCTTATGGCATTCCACCCTACACTTTTGAATGTGTTGGACTTTTCCTTTCATTGCTTAAGTATTCAACACGCGAGAAACAACTTTTTATCACTCCTTTGCTGGATTCGTTCAAAGGGCTTTTTTGTTTTTCCTATACATTTTTTGAAATTTAAAGCTTCTTTTCCGAGTATTCGTGGTTTTCTCGATGCAATTGCACTTTGTATTTTCGCATTTGCAAAACTCATTCCGTGCTGGAAAAGCGATGGCATGTGTTCCCAACTGCAGAAGCGTTTTGGAACTTAGTGCTGCTTTATACCATCAAGGATTTATCAGCTCAATTCAACGTGGTCATATTCAGGGACCGGATTTGGTGCCAACGCCGACTACTAGAAGCAACGTTGCTGAGAGGAGGCTGTGGCTGTCTTTGAAGTATTTTGAAGGAAAACCTGTTATGAAATATATTCGAGGGGTATCCAAACCGAGCCGTAAAGTGTACATGACCCCTAGTGAACTTCTAAACTTTTCTAAAGGAAGAACGGTTAGTTTTGTTCGAGGACTGGAGCCTGCTGAGGTAGCTATTGTGGAAACAAAAAAAGGAATCATGGGTTTGGAAGACGCTATTCGTGAACAGCTGGGTGGCCGTGTTTTATGCCGTGTGAAATAGAGTCTAATCTTGTAACAAGATTAAAAGACAGAGAATATTCTTGCTTGCCTTTTTCTTCTCCCCTTTCCTTTTGAATTATCTTAAGTAATGCTTTCATCCCTTGTGGATTATAAAAACTACTATTCCTTGTAACGATGGAACCAATACATCCAACCTTTGTATCTGTTTTTTTTTTGTGCGTGCTCCTCTCCTTCTAATAATATTTCCGAAGAAGCACAGAATCCTATTATCTTGCTCCCGAAATTTTTGCTTTGTTCCTTTTCTCATCCGATTAATAACGGGAAATGATACCTTGCACCGATTTCATTACCATTCTTTCCTCCTATACATAAGGGTATTGCGTAACAGTAGAGTTGCATATCATATATCTTCAATGAAAATCACTCTTCCTTTTGTTTCTTACTTTAGAATGATTTTTGTAGTATCGTACTCACTTACCTAAAATCCATAATACCTGTCCTTCCTTAAAATAAAATATCTACCATTCTTTTCAAACTATGGAATACTAATATGTTTGTTTATTATTCATAGTAGTCAAGCAAAGTCGCGGTGGTGTAGTTGGGAGCATGACAGACTGAAGATCTGTTGGTCACCGGTTCGATCCCGGTTCGTGACAATCTTTTTGAATTTTTTTTTATTCAGTGAATTAATATTACTATTCATTTACATAAATGAAGACCATATATTTCATCCTTAATACCTTGCTGTGAAGTAAAAACTCTTTCTATATCATACAATAAGGTAGCTCAGTTATCTTGAGAATCCCATTCATCTATTAATTTAAAACTACTGATATTTCCTAATAAATTTTATATTTCAGTGTTCCTTTTCTTGACGCATTTGATTCTCAAGGATAATGCTGTCACCTTTCAATCACACGAACACTTACATTTTAATTTAAGTCTGGGTTAGACTCTTGTATTTCTCTGCTGGATTCCGAGTATATTCTCAAAGCAAGTAATAACTTTATTTATTTGTACACCTTATTATTAAACTTAGTAAGTATATCAATCATGGAAGTTGAATTTCAACAGTTTCAACGTGTACTTCAAGAACAACAAGATAAACGAGAAAGGATTATCCGGATCTCTCGAGAAATCACAATTCAAAGTAAACGAATGATTTTTCTGCTTCATCAAGCATCATCAACGAAGTTTCCCTTACCGTTAGAATTTGACAAAACAAAGCAGCACAAACAAAACATCCAAAAACAACTAGGTTTATTGAAGCAAGAACTGGATACTCCGGATGCTGAGCGATATGCTGCATCCTGTTCTCCTGGTATCCAAGAATTTGTTGAAGCTTACGCATTTGAATATTGGTTGCAACACCAGTCTCTCATACAGCCAAATGATGCCAAGTTCCAGATTGATCTTCAATCCTTCGACTATGTTTTGGGAGTTTGTGATATGACCGGTGAAATCATGCGTTTCCTTATAACTCATGGGTCAAAGTTCGCTATGGTCGACGTTCTTTCACATGTTCAGTTTCTTCGTGAACTGAATTTGGAGTGCACAAAATTAAGAAACTTGAATCGTCGTTCCCAAAACGATTTAAAGCAAAAACTTGGCGTCATGGATAACAGTATTTCTAAAGTCGAAAGTATATGTTACAGCAAAATCCTCAGAATGTCTGACCAAACATCTGTGAAGAGGGACATAGAAGATCTAGCTTCGGAACAGAAAAAGGTTCGTATTCATTGAATTTGCAAAAATAAAACGCATCATTGTATATGATGAATATGTACATTAATTGAATTTGAGAACATATTTTCATTCTCCCCAAAATCTATGAGTAATTACCTGAGGACTATACTATTTAAAGAGCTAATAAATATGAAAACCTGATAGACAAAAAGAAGTAATCGGAAGGAGTATACGATTTTTGTTCATAGACTTTTTCCAAGGAGATGCCTTGAAGGAAGTGTGATATCGTATCCTCCTGAAACAACAGTACCGTCTGAATAAACAAATAAAAGAGGAAGAACATTGGAAGCCATCACTTCTGTGCAAATATAGTTCATACTAACCAATATCCTAACATACATAGATGGTTTCTTTTCTGTTCCGTCTAATATCGTGTAGTCGAAAGGCCCCAACTTGCCTAGCCAGATTTGCAAGTCTGGAGAAAATCCAGCTACAGTTAACTCTAAAGACTTGTTGCTGGGTGAATACACGGGAGGAGCCTTCACATATGGTAAATTCAATTGTCGTAACGAAGTTTGATTTTGGAGTGGTCGGAGAATTGAACAATCGCATTGTGAGATTCCAACAATAGTCCAACAAACAGAGTCTCGTATTTTGACAAGGCCATCATTTAAAGTCTGTATTGGCTCCCATTCTACCGGTACAACAGCTTCATTAGGTAGATTTTTACATTGAGCGGAGGTTGCACCTAAAAACCATCGAGATTGCACTTGATCATCCTGCATAAAAGCATTTTTTGTATCTCTAAATCCAAATGCCAAATTTGCTGATAATGTAGTTGAGCTTTCTAAAACAATGCGGTGCATTTGATTGACATATCCATCATCCTGAGCAATCTCATCTTTTTCTACCCGGCGAATAATTAGAGGATCACTCATAATCTGTGAGGATTCATCTTGTAATTGAACAACGGAACCATATCTAATAGGAACTGCTTCTAGAGAATTATTTATCATTCCTTCTACGTTACTCTCCGCTGATGTAGATATTAAATGAATGCGTAATGGCGCCCAGCCATCACTCCTCAGACAAAAATTTCCATTCTCTAATGTCGTATATTTAGTCCGGACGGTCTGCGAATTTATACGATTGTAGAGGTTTATGATAGAGCCAGAGCGCAATGTTATGTGACTCACCTTAGACTTCGTGCCCTTTTTAGCTGGTTTGGAAACAACGTCAATAGGGGAGGTCACAAAGTGCGATACTTTTTGGTCCGTAATTGTCGAAAAAAAATCAATGGAGAGTTTTAGGTTTCTAGACTTTGCAGCTGCTAAACTTGATACATGTAATGAGCGAAAAACCATACAGCGTTGATTATTGTACACTTCACCGACTGTTTGTGAATACTGTCCTTCTTCATTAATGATAGAAATTTCAACCCGAAAAGATATGCCGAGCAAAGATTGGAAGGGGCCATCTATCATTAGGATGGGAGGGGGACAAAGAAATCTCTTTTCTGATCCATATGATTTTTGAATGACAGAGGCATGTCTGCACGTAATTTTAATATACTGGCTTCCTCCATTGTTAACGTTTTTGTTAACTTCATTTAACCTAATGTCAACCCGTTTGTCTAATTTGTAGCGATAAAGCAAATTAAGATTCTTACTGATTAAATCCTGTGTGGAGTCTCTTGAAACAAGTTCTTCTATGTTTTTTCGTTTTCTGCTTCCTCTATTCACTGGAACGCCGGAATGACTATCAAAAACACGGCTTTTTGGATCATCTTCTAGCTTTGCTTGTATATGAGAAGAGTCAGTTTCAGTCTTTTCAACATTTGTAAGTGCTGAATTCACAGCACTGAATAAAGAAAGAACTTGAATAGGAACTGCTTCCGAGTTTACAGCCTGATTATTATTTTGGTCTAAGTCGAAATCGCCACGAAGGATAAGCTCATTCTTCAATTTTTCAACTAGTTGATTGAGTTAGTCGTATTGTTTTCAATTACAGAACGAATCCTCCCATTGTTGATATCCGTCTTTGACAAATTAATCTGCCTCATAATACATACTTTTAGTACTGTCCAAGGAGAAAGGATCATTTTCAGAATCTTTCACATTCCAGCCATCAAAATCAGTCATCATACACTTTGGTTTGACAATCCAAGCAGATTGAGTTAATTTGCGATTTAGATCTTTCAATACGGCATGCACACTTCCATAGAAATATTTTTTTAAATTTTTTGAATAAGTATATATATTTTTTTTATGTGAAAGAGCAACTGGCTTGCTATGGTAAAGCAAGCGAATGGAGTAGTTTGTAGGCAACTTCTTTATCGCCCAACTTAACTTTTCCTTTTACCAACTCCTACTACAATCAAGAAGAATTGGAAGTAAATTTCAAGAATTAAGATCATTAAGAATTAAAAAAATTTAGAAAAAAGGGTTGTACTTCTTTGGTCTCAATTCGCGAATTAATTTTTAGAGTACACAGTTAAACCTACAGGCCATTGATAATCGTGTACGATGGATAGTGAGGAAATACTTTCTATACAATATGATCAAGATGTATATTACAAAATAGATGAAATTTCTAAACACATTTCCCAAACAATCGACTTTTGTAAACAAAAATCTGGGGAACTGAAGTCTCAGGGTGATTCCTACTCTCATATTAAGTGTATGTACTTATAGTTTTTATGTTTATTTATATGATTTGATTATGCCCAATCTTCTAACTTTTGGATCTAGTTTTTACATACTTAAATGAATTACTAGAACAACGCTCGAACGATCTTCTTTCTGCCATAGATAAAAAGAGATCAGAACTTTTGGTGAGAAACCAAGAAGGATTACCTATTGTAGACATTCATGAGGAAGTTGACGAGGATGGCAATATACTACGTTCGGACGTAAAGCCTCAAAATATATCCTCTGTTACAGATTACGCCGATGTCATACGAAGTTTGCCAGGATTTGGCAATCCAAAAGAGACTACAACATCTTCTAAATCTTCTGATACTGAATTACCAGAAACAAGGATTGAGGAATTGCCAGCTGAAGGGACCGCGGCTAGTGAAATATCGAACACTGATGAACAAGTTACCGAAAAAAATGGGGACGATGGTCCAGATAGGTTAAATACTTCTCAATCTCGGCAACAATTAAAACCCCAGGTTAAAGCAAAATCATCTCCAACTGTAAATAAAATTGATTCAAAGCAGAATGAAAAGAAACCAGAGTACGAGAGGGACGAAAAGAAAAATAAATCTTTGTTCAAAAAAGGTTTTCTTTCTAATCCCAAAAGCGAATCTCAAGACCACTCCAAGAAGGTTGAAAAGGCTAAAAAGGAAGAATTGGAGAAACAGCGTCAAATAGAAAAGAGGAAAATGTCAGATGTCACGGATAATAATGCCGTTAAAGAGACTGTTACGGAAAAGCCTGTTCAGAAATCAAATAACCAAAAACAATCAGATACAGAGCCATTGACGAATTCTAAGCCGCAAAAAAAAATGTCAAAGTTTAAAGAAGCAAAACTTCAAAGACTTGCTCAGAGAAATCAATCTCATTCGGATAATGCAGATAATTCAAATTTAACTACTGATATCACAGATTCTTCCGAGTCTACTAAGTTTGACATCCCACAAATTAAAGAAGAATCCAAGGAAAAAGGTGATTCCTTAGGTCAAGCTCCAGCGTCTACCGAAAGTGATACTGTCACAAATATTGACGATGATAACCCAATTATTTTACCTGTACCAACAGATGCCGAAGGGCAGAGTGTAATGCATGCCGTCCAATATGATGGTCTAAACTCTTTAGATGACATGGAGCAGCTCCTTCAGGACATGGAAGATGCTGGCGAACTACAATCTGCTTTATCGCTACAAATTAGACAAACGGGTTGACATTAGCTTAAATTTTTCTAGGAACCTAGTACCTCCTTTAAATCCAAATTACTTTGGGGAGGATAATGTAGATACTTCAGATGATGTTGCTCGATCGATTGAACCCCGAAAGGAGAATCTTGCTGTTGACGAAGCTGAAATGCCCGGAAGACATGTACATTTTGCCGACACATTAGAAATTAAACATGTTAGCCGAAATGGAAAATCTCGTATTGAAAATGTACCAACTCCTACTGAAGATTACGATAACATGTTTGAGCCTCATGAGTATGGCAGTCGCATATCAGCGTTCCGGAAGAATCGAAGTAAGATGAAATCGCAAGAAAAAAATAAAGGGGTGGAATCTTCTAACAACGTGCACAAGGAAAAAAAACTGCCACCTTTCGAAGAGACTGTTTCGGAGCGTTCCTCATCAGATCATGAAGAAAAACCTCCCACTTTACAAAACGAAGAAAACCTTGTGGAGAAGTATTTAAATGAGACACCTACGATGAAATCCAACGTTTTTGAAAGACAGCCCTCAAGGAGTGTTGAACAAGCAAAAGAGGATTTTGAGGATCATCAGGAATTCGTAAAAGATGGGCGGGAAATTTCCCACCGGTACTACGAACTTCGTCGTAAAATACTAAATCCAGAATTGAAGGATGTTAAGGAGGAAGAAGGTGTTGTACCAGTTGACGAAAATGGAAATGAGCGACCTAAGCTGAGTAAATTCATGGCAGCCCGTTTGGGTGGTAAATTATGAGGAAATATATAATGAAGACACTTACTTTGGACTTTTGGATATAGAATTTAGATTTTGTTAGTTATTTCAATATGATATTCTTTTAGTTGATCTTCAGTTACCGTAGAAGGACTTCCTACAAGTAGATCGGTTCCTGAAGATGTTTTTGGAAACGCTATAACTTCTCGTATGCCATTGGACTTTACAAGAAGAGCAATGAGCCTGTCAAAACCTAGTGCTATTCCGCCATGTGGTGGGCATCCGCTTTGTAGAACACTGATTAAATGGTCAAATGTGCAAAGCTGCTTCTGTTGAAGCTTCAAAATACGTTCTAAAACATAAGATTGAAGTTTAGGATCGTGTATGCGAATACTTCCGCCTCCCAGTTCAACTCCGTTTACTACCAAATCATAATGCAGTGCTCTAACATTTAAGGGACTTGATGAGAGCAGATGCAAATCTTCAGGATGAGGAGCAGTGAACGGATGATGAGTAGACATTAAAGATTCTGAGTTATTCTCTGCAGGTGAGAAAAGAGGAAAATCGACAATCCAGGTAAAGTTTAAAAGATCATCATTTAAATGTGGAAGCTGATGTTGCTTTACTAGGAAATTATGAAGAAGAGGTCTTAGCCTTCCAAGAGGAGTTGTACCAGATGTCATATATTTTGGGCGATTCGCTACAAAAAGTGTAAGCCCTGGAGAGAGACCAAGCTTTTCGTTAATTCTTTCAAGATTAAGGGGTAAGTGTTTTAGTTGAGGAATTTTTTTATTCCATTCGGGTAATTGAGAGTTGTCACGAATGGTCACGAAGGACACGTCCTGTCCTACTTGCTCACATAAAGAGCGCGCTTCCGCATTGCTGATTGTTTTCTTCACGTCTCTTAAGACCAAAACTTCGGTGCAAGATTCAGAGTTGGGAAGAAAAGGCGTTAGATCTTGTAATTTTAAACCGTAGCGTAAATCTGGCTTATCGGAACCATAAGATTCTATAGCTTCAGCATAAGACATTCGCGGAAAAGGAGATGCTACAGAATTTTTGCCAAGATTTTCTAAAATCTGGGAAAATAGATTTTCAATAACAGTCATTATTTGTTGAGGGGAATTTATAAAGCTCATTTCCAAATCGATTTGGGTAAACTCTGGCTGTCTATCATAACGTAAGTCTTCATCACGAAAACAACGAGCCAACTGATAGTAGTTTCCAATTCCACTAGCCATCAATATTTGTTTGTATTGCTGAGGACTTTGCGGTAATGCATAGAATTTTCCGGGTTCTTGTCTAGAGGGGACTAAAAATTCACGAGCACCTTCAGGTGTCGACTTAAATAGCAGCGGAGTTTCCACTTCCACAAAATCATTTTTATAAAAAAAATCACGGACAATATGTGCAATATGGGATCTCATCCGGAGATATTTATTATATCTTGGATTTCGAAGTTGGATATGACGATGGGTTAGTTGAACAGGTAAACTGGTATTCTCATCATTTGGATTAAAAGGAATGTGACGTGAAAAGTTTAGAACTTCCAGGTTTTCCACTTTTAATTCAAACTCATTTCCTGGTCTGCGATCTCGTTCAGGTCGATACTGCAATTTACCGGTGATGTTCACAACACTTTCCGACGGGATAACCTGAGAAGCATGATCATTTAAGCTAGAAGAAGTAGCTGTTGCATCAGCGCAATTAGAAGACTCCCATCTGGTTTCAGCCAACAGTTTCTTGGGAACTTGCAAGGGCTCTTGGGAAAATAACTGAAGATACTTGCCTTGCACATCACGAAGTTGGTTAAACTTAATGGACTTTGAAATATGTCGATTTGTATGTACAAGCCAACCAGAAACACTGATCACCTTTCCCACAAGCGGTGCAAGTACATTTGGGATTTTATGAAACTGCATTCGTAAAGGAAAAAAACGCTAATTAAAAAATAAATTAAGTAATGGAATTCCTTTCCAAAAGCAATGTTCTAATTAAAAGAAACGCAACCTCTGAATCACCGTTAAAGGCTTCGCGCGACAGTACCCTTGTTTAAAAAGACGCAGATAGCATACAAACCAAAAAAAAAATAAAGATAGAAGTTCCAAATCTTTTTTAAAAATTAAAAGACGGCTTATTTAAAAATTTCTAGTAAGCTTGGTTCATTCCGGTAAAACCAATCAGTTTCGTTTAGCATAGGCTTGGAATATGAATTCAACATTTATGCTGATGCCTTTGTCAGCGAATATTCGATTAACTTATAAAGAGAATTATTGTTTTCTTTTAAATTACTTTTCTTTTTGGAGGAGAACCGTTCTTTTAGTTTGAAATGGCTAATTGGAAATGGTACCAAATGTTTCATAGGGACCAACTGGGAGTAGGATGGCTTAATCGAAGAACAGAGAGAAGAAAATCGGCTACTATTAAGTCGATTTAACCCATAGTTGAAGAAAAGTTATACTAGGCATCAATTGAGATATGAGTTACACATCCAATAAGACCGACAATGAATTCCTTTGTATGAGTAAATCGCAAATAAATAGTAGGAAATATAGTAATAAAGCGATGACTCCTTTCTATATTGTCCAACGTCAAATTAGTACCGAATGATTCCTTTATTGCAAGCTATGGGTATGACTATGACATGCTACATCGTATTGTATAAAAGCATAAGTATGTGTTAATAATTAGCATAAGCATATGGCAGTACATTTATAACATATATGGATAGCTCGGATTCGATACATTGGAATACAAAGCCAGTGAAAAGAAGTGACAATTGACTATGTAATGTGGGGAATTTTTCTTTACCAAGTTTTCTTGTCGTTTCATTGTATTTCTCTTGAATGGAATCTTCAACCTTTTCTTTGAAAAAATATTTAAAATTTGTTTTTGATATTATTGTCAAATTTACTAAACTTGTTTCATATGAATTGAATTTTCGTGCTTTGTTAATAACCCAGGTAACACGCAAAAAACATTCGAGTTACACGTAGGTAACGTCAAAAACGTGAAAGACTACTTTATAAGAACCGCAAGTCTATTTTCAGTTACCACCAAACTGTTCCTTGAGGAAGAAAACAATTTTGTTGGAGTGGTCAAATGCGTTTACGCTCTTTAAGAGTCTCTTATTTTTTGCTCTCTTTTTGTTCGGTCATTAATATTTAAATCTGCTTTGTCAGACATTATCATTCTACATATATTGTTTTTGAACTATTTATTGTTTGAGGTTCTAGTATAGAGTAAAGCATTTGCTTTCATTATTTGGTTTCGTATATCACTAGACATTTATCATTCTTTACCTTGCATTGTTTTGTCACACCGTCTCAAAGCGTTCGGCCATCATTTTTCGCCAGAAAGCAGTTCTAACTTATTTAATTATCGATATAGAGACTCTCGTTACTACTTAATTGCCGTCGTATATATTTGTCACATATAGGTTTATTCTTAATAATGCGTGCCTTGCCATATGTCACTGCTGCCACCGTGATCGTATTTATGATCATTGGAGGTGCTTGGTGGAACCACAATCTCGATAATCGCTTGCAGTCAGAGGTAAACAAGATTTTGGACAAACAGAAATCGATTTTTGTAACACCCACTGCCACACTTACAAACACGGAGACCGATACAGTTCGTACCACATTGGATAGGACTATAAGCCAAACTGCTACAACTACAGAAACAGTTACTGCTACTCCTTCAGCTACTCCCGTTATTCATCAGTTGGAGCAGACTAATCCCCATCCCGACAACTCAAAAATTGTCATCCTTATGGGTAGCAATTTCCATAAGCAGGATGGTCCTCTTAATAAATATGCGAAATCCATTATAAAAAATCGTCGTGAATATGCTGAGCGCCATGGTTTCATATTCGAATTTTTAGATGCAAGTGAATATGCTGCTAAAGTTACAGGTCACTTGTACCCATGGGTCAAAGTTCCCATGCTTAAGGATACAATGGATAAGTATCCTCAGGCCGAGTGGATTTGGTGGTTGGATCATGATGCACTTATTATGAACAAGGATGCGAACATTGTTGAAACTCTCCTTGATCATGAGAAGCTTAATAGCCTTTTGACTCGTGGAGCTGAATACAAGAGTGGTGCCGGTATAGAAACCGATGGCTTTTATACACCACAACAGCAAGAAGCGCAAGATGTCCATTTTATTATGTCTCAAGATTTCAATGGAATTAATGCGGGAAGTCTTTTTGTCCGTAATAGTGAAGTCGGTCGTTGGATTGTTGATATTTGGTTTGAACCTTTGTACCTGGATCATATACAGGGTTACGCTGAACAGCAGGCAATTTCACACATGATTTATTATCATCCAATAGTCCACAAACATGTTGGTCTTGTTCCATTACGAACAATCAATGCTTATGACTTTTATGACGACCCAACTTGGTCATGGCAAGAAAATGATATTTGCATTCATTTTGCTGGTTGCAACTTCTTCCATAACTGTCCCGAAAAGTTTGAAAAGTATGCCAAGATACTCACCGATAAACAAGGTGATGATTGGTTAGACGTAGAGGAAAAGGAGTTTATTAAACAACGGATATCTGCTCAATAATCTCGTTAGCATCAAGTTTGAACTAAGTTCGGTCGATTATAGTATACTGAGATAATTGTTGTTGGTTTAATGTTGTCCACTTTATTTCACAACTTTCTCCTTAGTGCGACGGCCGTCGATATCTAAGATTTCCAATGAAGAGTTGGATTTCTTCACTTCGACTCTATTTATATAACTATCTTGAATATTAAACCATCTCTTGATTTAGAACTCCTCTGAACAGTTTAATAATATTTTTGTTGATTGAAGCCGTGATAGGCGTCTTTTTACTTGTACCAGCTTTCAGGCTTATCTCAAGGTACCGTTCAGATCGTCTTGCCTGTCTTCAGAATGATTAAATGAAACAAGTCTAGCTTTTTGTAACCACTACAGCATAGTGAGTTTATAAAGCGCTGAGACAATGAAATACTTGATCTAATATGACTGAAGAAGGAATAAGAGTGACAGGGAACGCTCATACTGTTCATGAGACGTGAAGCATTTGTTTAAATAGTTAAAGTACTTTGTGAAACGGTTTAATTCAGTTTAACCAGCCAGCGAAATGTTTTATACGATCACTGCTGAAGATATATAAGTTTTCTTGACTTGGGGGTTTCAAGCATTATAGATGAGGCGAGTGTGCCATAGTTGACCTCAATCTTCAAAACTGGTGAATTGCTATACTCTGAGGGAACTTATAAAATACTTCAAAAAGTTAATTAATTGAGCATATCAATAAGCATAACGGAAGATAATATTATAAGCGTATGAGGCATAAGTTGTGTCTATGAAACTCTATCTGTAGTATTAGTAATAAGTCAGTTATTGTAACATTCCAATAACTAACAGGGTTTAAAAACTGCTTCCTGCTTCACTCTTAGCCAATTGCTTATGATATTTCAAAATAGGTGGTATAAGCAAGACTTCTTAATTTGCCAGAAGGAATTATCAAATATTACTTTCCAAAAAGATAAACGCTACCAGTTTTATTTATATTCCTAAATGCATCATTATTTAAACGTATTTGCCGAAGTACTTTGAATTTCAAGTGTTTGTTACAACGCTTTCTGAAGATCTTTTGTACAACACCATCAAACTAAACCAACATTTTGATCTCTTGTTTTATTCCCAAATTTTGGCTCAATTAATTCAAATAAAATAAGCTTTCAGCTTTCTTTTCTTTTGTTGTTATCTTTCTTGATAATTTGATCAACTACTTTGGATGAATTCTTAATACTTTGTTAGCTTCTGTATAACCATAATTGCAAACTTGGAATTTTAAATTATTCTATAACTTTTTTCTTGCTAGACTACAGGTTCTAGTTCGTATTTACTCTGCGTTGTTTTCCCAACTATTCCCAATTTCTTCATGAACTCCATGCTTACCTTGAATTGTAAAAGGTGTTCGCTACCAAAGTCGATAAATTTTTTTTGTAGAAGAAGCTATAACACCTTGGATGCATGGTCAAATATACCTGAACACATAAAAGCCAAACAGGGCCGACGACTGTTTTTGCAAAGCGGACATCCTCTATGCAGCCTTCGTGAGTTATTACAGCAGCAATTTAAAGGGAAGCCTATCAATTTCGTCGAGAAAGATTCACCAGTTGTTTCTACTATCACCAATTTCGACTCTTTAGGAATTCCAAAAACACATGTTAGTAGGAGTAAATCGGACACTTACTATGTCAACAAAGATACATGCTTGAGAACGCATACTTCGGCTCATCAATTGGAAGAGTTTCAGAAACTTGCTGAAAGTAAAATGTCAAAGAAAGGCTTCCTAATCACCGCCGATGTATATCGACGTGACGAGGTAGATGCTAGTCATTATCCTATTTTTCACCAAATGGAAGGCGCTTATTTATGGGATCGGAATGATAGAGAAAGCATATTGAAAGATGTTGAGTCGGTAAAGCTCGATAAAAATTTGGAGGAACTTGTAATTGATGAAGCAACCTTAGAAAACCATGATGACTTACAGGCTGGTTATTCTTCCCAAGAAACTGAGCTTGTATCCATTCACCTGAAAAATTCCTTGACCCTTGCAATTCATAATTTAGTTTTAATGACTCCAGATACTGGGCTTGATAAAAGTCAGGTTCGTTACCGATGGACGTATGACTCTTTCCCGTTCACGCAACCATCTTTTCAGCTTGAAATTCTTTGGAAAGGAGCATGGCTAGAAATTCTAGGCTGCGGTGTTGTTCGTGAAAATATTCTGACGCGTGCCGGAATCCAAAATCATGTAGGCTGGGCCTTTGGTATTGGTTTAGAACGTCTAGCAATGATTCTTTACGGTATACCTGATATTCGGTTATTTTGGACCACTGACGATCGCTTTTGTAAACAATTCACCCCAAACAACATCACTACATTCCAGCCTTACAGTAAATATCCTTTATGCTATAAGGATATATCTTTTTGGATTGATGAGTCCTTTACAGCTAATGATTTCTTTGAAGTCATTAGAGACGTTTGCAAAGATTTGGTGGAATCTGTAGACCTGATTGACCAATACACAACAAAAGCAGGAAAAACAAGTCTCTGTTACAGGGTCAATTATAGAAGTATGGAAAAGTCCTTAAAAAACGAGGATGTTGACTTGCTCCAAGACAACTTACGAAAAGCAATTGCCTCTTCTCTAAACATTCAACTTCGTTAAAAGCATGAAAAAAATAATTCATTGTTAATTATGATAGTTTGTAATCCTATTAGTTTCTTTTAACCATTAATCCCAAACCCCGAAAGAAAACAAAAAGACATAATGCACGTGCAAAGACGAGCAATCATTAATACAAGAAAATTAAGCGCGATTTTTGATAAAACAAATGTTATCATACCAAATGTTTAGTATAATGAATGAGTAGAAAAGGTACTATGGCTTTTTTTTTTTATCAAGCTCATTACTGAAATTTAAGTAGCGTAGCCAATTGAGGTATAGCGCCTTTTCCTATTAAATAATGTACAGAATTCGTTGCCTTTCTAGAAACAGCATATTCCAAAGATTGAGCTAAAAAACCATCAATGCGGAACTTTGTCCAACGCATCTGAGCAAGGTTAAACCAGAAACCGTAGACAATATCTAAAAGGTCTACAGAATCCTTTATTATGCATTGTTCAAAGGCAGGTTGAAAAACTGTTTCAACATCGTTTTCTTCTTTATTCAATACTTCCTGAAAAACAAGGTGACCAACATGTGAGAGTCGATTTGAGTCTTTCATTTTCAAGCCAATAAGAAAGCCATTTGTAAGTGTAGAAGTTTTAAACGAAAAGTTTCTTGTTTTTAAATCTTCAATGAATTGCCGAGCATTGGGTTGAAACAATATACGCCGTGGAATATGTCCTTTGTGTCCTGCATGAATTACTTTTCCATTTAAAAGTCCTTCCCTTTGACTCTTCTGAACATAACCTGCTGCCACAAGCTCATCTATATAATTAAGTAGTTGCAACGTAAAGTATCGGCGAGGTAAAGAACGCTGTATTGCTAGGATTACACTCTTGGGATTCATACATAGGGTAAAATCGATGAACAGATATGAAGGTATTTTCTCCTTGATCCCTAGTCGATTCCACAGAACAGGAGATACAGTAGCTAAACTATCGTTTTTGGACAAAAGAAAAATTCTGGTTAGCAATTCGTAAGGTAAACTTTCAAGCAATGTCAGTCTTCGGTTTATTTTCCTTTGTATAACAAGTGCTCCTTTCTTTCTAGTTTTATTTCCGCTTTCATCGAATGTAGTAGCGCGTTTGCGCTTTTTCACAACTATCGACATTGTGGATGTTCATAGAGGAATGGACGAAGTGCAAGAATTCAATGAAGTATTAAGAAGTGTAAACATACATTTATTGTTATAACTAAAGAGATGCGGAATTCTAATCCTGTGATTTCAAAAAATGTATAAATCAACACGGTTATCCTTTGAAATTATTACATAAATGTTATCAATGCTCATTGAGAAACCAAAATACAACTTAGACCAGAAAACTACAATTGATTATAAACTAAATAATAATATTATTGAACATAATGAACATAAATCAAAAACAAAAATCGTTACATATACACATGCTTAAATAGAAAAAAACAGTACACTTGTTAGCTCCTTCCTGATCCATTCAAACTAGGGACTTCCAAATGCATTTCAATCCGTTGTCTTTTTTATATAAAATCCTTTTCTTCTTCTTCAACGCTCAACTTTTTATTGTTTGAATCGTGAATTTTAAATTGAAGCATGTTAAGCTTTATCCTTTTTATTTTACTAGCGGTGGACGATATATCGATGGAATTAACAAAAGGCAAGTCACTGCATTCGGAAGAGAACCTCTGTATGGGTGAATAGTTGCGGGTTTTACGAGGAGTCCCCGTTGGAATTCTTCTTTGTGAGGATGGGGATGGATGAAAAGGTAAGTTCTCGTCATCCTTAATGTCTTTTGCAAGTGGTGTTGATAATTCCATGGCTTTTGATTGTCGTTTATTCTGCAATAAAGTCTTGGAATAGTTCGAAGATTGTTGTGTAGAATTTGGAGAAGCAGTCCTATCTGCTAAATTGTTTTGTAAAGGGAAAACGGAATTTTCCGCATTGGAAAACGATGGCGTCGAAAACGGTTTTTCTGTAATCCTTCCTGTATTATGCAATGCTAATGAAGGAAAATCTTTTGGTAATGCTTTGACCTTTTCCTTTCCCTTCGAATCATTAATTCGCTTTGAGTATTTTCCATAAAGGAGCATCCCTGTCCGAAGAGAGGGCCCTGAAGGTTTCGTTAAAGCGGACTGTAGCTGAGTAGCCGGTTTCACTAAAGGATTACCAACATTCAGAGCGGAAATGGATGAATTTGATCGATTCAATGCATTTGAAGTTGAAATATCATTTGTAAGTTTGGGTTTTGGAACAAAAGAAGGTGGACGGAAAGCAGCTGGTTTTAACGTCTTATTATTCGGCAAAGTTATAGGGGAAACTGATTCAGTATTTTTTGAATTTATGCTTTCAGTGTTCACATCTTCTTCATTATCGCTTTCCAAAAATTCCGGGGAATTTGGTATTTCTGGATCCGTATTTTCGGGTAAGCTTGGTTGAGCAGCTAACAGTGAAGTACTCTGTATTGCTCTCTCATAAAGGTTTTTAGAAGGATCCGTAGTTGTGACATTACTATAATTACTTCTTTTTCCAACTGGCCTTCGTAAACGCGGCATTGGCAACCGAAGTAAGGGACTCTTCTTTACGGATGAGGTATGTAAACCATTTCTCTCGTATGAATTTTCCATACAAGGAAAAGAAAGCGACTTTTCAAAGGGATGGGATACATCCGTCTTTTCATCACATGGAGGTAGCGTCGCTCCAGAAGCAGATCCCGAACTGGTCAACATTGGCTCCGACAAAGATGAAGATAAAAAGGGATTAGAATTACCCAAAGAATGACCAGCATCCATTGGTTCACTGAGAAATGGCGGTGTAGACTCATAATCTGGTGAAGGGGAAGAAAAAAAATCGGAATCAATATTATCCTCATCAAAGTTTTCTAATGGATCGTTATTGAAGATATTTGAAGATGGAGGAGATTTGGGTCTTCGAAGGACAGGAATACAAGCAACTCTGGTTGGTTTTGAAGCCTGAGATTTGACAGAGTCAGGAGAGATGGTAGTTATATTGCTTTTCAACGGCGGTTTAAACGTTGCAGGATTACCAGGTAACTCGGCTTGCGGAGTAAAATGTTTTTCAGAAGATATAGAGCTTATAGTAGGAGACGCTGAAGGCAAGGTATTTTTCGGTGCGACTGTCGGCGGATCGTTTCCAGAACTTTTATAGCCATGTAAATTATATTTAGAGGACCGAAGGAAAGAAGATGGGGCGTTATTCTTTTGACCAATGGAAGATTTTTCGTTAAGAGACCGAAGATGACCTGCTTCGTTTGACGACCTGACAAAAGAAGGCTGTTGATATGATGGAATTGAGGAAGAAGAACGAGAAGGAGCCTGAAACGGTTTTGTTAAGTACAAAGGACGAGTTGATTTGGATGGGAGCGGTGGAATTTCCTTTGATGTCGTTGCTTGTAAGTCCTCGATATATATTAGTGTACGGTTCAATTCCAGATGAGCATCGACTTGGACTTTTTGATTAAATACAAAAGATTCATCTATGACACGATTCTCTGAATCATATAAAATACCACGATTGTTAAATGTGTGAAACCGCATAGTCCCATCTTTCCATACTTTTGCTTTCTTTACCTTATCGGATGTCCATAGTACTTGGTAATGTAAAACATTTGCAACAGTGGCCATAGAACCATGAATCTTTATCCTTTGTTTCTGCCACGGTAACAAGAAGATTACTTATTCTTGATGTCGTTCATTAACCCGGAAGGAGGTTCTGTGACAAGCGTAAAATATCCTATTGATAATATTGAGGAATGGAACGAATAAATAAAACAGGTGGTTCCTGCAGTTAAAAAGATCTGCTAAAGTGGTAGTAGTGAGGACTAGAAATGGCTGGTGCGGTGTTGAATGTCACCCCTTGCAATATGGTTTATACAGGTTCTACGAGATAGAAGAAACAAACGCGCTAGTTTCTACTTGATTAAGATTCGGTTTCGTTTGATTTCCATGTCTTCAATTTGGTTTGATTTACACAAAGTGCATAGAGTTATTCAGCACGCCGAACAAATTTGCACACAACTTTGGTGGTCGATTTCTATAGTAACATAAAATGAAAATAGTATTTACCAGTATTAGCTAGTTTTAGTGCCTACAGTCCCAATACATAGAACATTGCCTATACATCGTCTACTTTTAGAACAGAAATTGAAAGAGTTGTTCTTGTTAATATTTATTATAAATAATAATAATAACTAAAAACGTAATTAGACTTGGATGAATGTATATCTACATAACCTAGTCGCGCTTCTTCCAAAATTACATTGTTGTGTTCTTTTATATATATATATATATATTATTCTCAATAATCTCGACATTCGTAAATATGTAATCAGTGATGGTTATGACAGCCAAATCGCTCAGGTATTTGCCTCTTCCTGGTTATTTATTTCATAGTCCTTCTGTTTCATCAACTACCTCATATCGCTAAGTGACTGTGACTACGTGAATTTAAACTTATAGAAAGTGGAATATACCAATTTCGTTTCTTTTGTGTTTGTTTTTTGATCTACTTTTGTATAAATTTAAACGTCTTCTCTCTTGTTAGAAGAAATTTTGTAAACAATAAAAATGGAGCACTACGTTACCATTGCATCTTGGTATGTATTGAGCTTTGGGAAGAGTAGAAGTAAATCCCATCAATAAGAATTGAAAAATAAAACTAAATTTCTAATCACTCAACTAGTCAACTGAATCAATGGGCCCTCGACTTTGAGGGGAATCGGGACAGAATCATTGAATCAATCAGACAAGCAAAGCAACAAAATGCCCGTCTTCGCCTTGGTCCTGAATTAGAAATAACGTATGTACAACAGTCGCAGTGTCAATCTGCATTCAGCGTTGTAGCATTGTTGATAAAACTAACGTTCTTCAGTGGTTATGGATGCGAGGATCATTTTCTTGAAACCGATACTTATACCCATTCATGGGAAATGTTTTGCTGGATTATAAAGCATCCAGATTGCCAGGATATTTTACTTGATATCGGAATGCCTGTCATGTACAAGTCAGTACGCCATAATTGTCGTATGGTAGCTTTAAATGGAAAAATCTTGTTAATCCGACCTAAATTGTGGCTTTGTGATGATGGAAATTTCCGTGAATCTCGCTGGTTCACACCTTGGTTACGTCCTCGTGTTGTTGAATCATTCTATTTACCCACCTCCGTTAGTGAATCGCTTGGACAAAAGCAGGTTCCCATTGGTGACGCCGTTCTTCAGTGTAAGGATACCGTTGTTGGTATTGAGACTTGTGAAGAGTTGTTTACCCCTGACAGCCCTCATGTTGATATGGCGCTGGACGGAGTAGAAGTATTTTTGAACGCATCCGGCTCCCATCACGAACTTCGAAAATTATCTACACGTTATGGGCTTATCAAAAATTCTACGCAGAAATGTGGCGGTATTTACTTGTATAGCAACCAGAGAGGCTGCGATGGTGGTCGTTTATACTATGACGGCTGTGCTATGATTCTTGCTAATGGAGAATTGTTAGCACAAGGCAGCCAATTTTGTCTGAAAGATGTGGAAGTCATTTCAGCTACGGCTAATGTTGATAAAGTTCGTTCAAATAGATTTCAACCCTCGCACGGAATACAAGGAATTACTCGCCCTGCTTATGAGCGTATTTACATCGACTTTAGCCTTAGTTCTTTCAAGCAAAACTTTGACATGCACTACAAGCCTACTGAAGAAAGGCCTATTCATATCGTTTCTCCCCAAGAGGAGATTGCTTATGGGCCTGCCTGCTGGCTTTGGGACTACTTAAGAAGATCTCGATCTAGCGGATTCTTTTTACCTTTAAGTGGAGGTTTAGACTCCGCTGCTACAGCTGTAATTGTTCATAGCATGTGCAGGATTGTTACTAATGCCATTAAAGACAATGGTAAGTTGGATTTTAGTGTAACAAACATTAACAATAGCAGACCAAACAGTTTTAGCTGATGTCCGTCGTATCGTTGGTGATGAAAATTATACCTCGACCTGTCCCAGGGAGCTTGCTAGTCACATTTTCTGCACATCTTATATGGGGACTGAAAATTCATCTAAAGAAACAAGGAACCGCGCTAAGGAACTTTCTTCTCTTATTGGTTCATACCATGTGGATATGAACATTGATACAATGACTCGTGCAGTTGTAAGCCTATTCGGTATGGTAACAGGAAAAACTCCTCAATTCCGTTCCCAGGGAGGATCTAATGCCGAGAACTTGGCTTTACAAAATATTCAAGCAAGATCGAGAATGCTTTTATCCTATCTGTTTGCTTCGCTTTTACCATGGGTTCGTGGTTATTCAGGATCTTTGCTTGTTTTGGGTAGTTCCAATGTTGACGAATGGTATGGTCAAAAAAGAGTTGCTTTTCATTTCACTAACAATGTAGTTTACGTGGATATCTTACGAAATACGATTGCTCTAGTGCTGATATCAACCCGATCGGTGGAATTTCAAAAACTGATCTTAAATCATTCTTACAATTTACCAAAGGAGAATTTGATTTACCAATCCTTCAAAACTTCTTGGATGCTACTCCAACCGCTGAGTTAGAACCCGCCACCAATAATTATGCTCAAAGTGATGAAGCTGATATGGGAATGACTTATCCCGAACTTAGCATTTTCGGAAAACTCAGAAAGATTGGAAAGTGCGGCCCCTTGAGCATGTTCAATGAATTAATTCACAAATGGGGCGATCACCTTTCTCCTACTGAGGTTTGTACCTACTTTGTGTGTGTTCTTACTAATACGTTTATTAGATTGCTGCTAAAGTCAAGCGATTCTTTTATTACTACGGTATTAACCGTCATAAGATGACTACCCTTACACCAAGTTACCATGCTGAGACTTATGGTGTTGACGATAATCGCTATGATCTAAGACAATTTTTATATCCCTCTTGGTCATGGCAAAACAAGAGGATTGACGATGTTGCTGCTAAATATGAAGAACATGAACGAATGAATAAAAGTCAAGCAAAATGAATGAATTGGTTTTTGTCGTACCAAAATACTTTTCTAGTAAATAAATTATCAATTGCCTTTTTATCATTTATTTCTTTAGATGTGTACTATTAATAAAAGTACAACTCTACCTGTAACTCAGCACATCAATTTTCTCAGAAAGTTAAAGCGTCTTGATCCAGTAACTACTACTGAGTGTGTAAGTTGGCCAACCTCCAATTGATGAAAATTTTCATACTTGGATTGCTTTGATGAATTGTTTGATTTCCTTTAAAAATACAAGATCATGTTTCGTTAATATACCCGATTCCTTGTTGCTGCAACTGGATGGGCCTTTACAAGAGTATGCAGTTTGCGTAGAGGTTCCAATGACTAAAGAAGATGACAAATTGATAAAAAACCATTATTTTGGCATTTCCGGCCTGCCTTCGTTGTCGACGACATGTGAAGTTATCGAAATTGATCCTGTTTACGCTCATGTACTAGGATTAGCAGATTCAGAAAGGGTATACGCGTTAAGACTGTGCTTCAAGTTCTAACAATAATAAAGGTATATATATCATTAATTAGAGTTGATAAAATGATTCAAAAACTCGAAATAAAGCCTGATTCTCCTGACGACTGGGAAATTGCAGAACAAAATGCGGATTGGTTAGAAAAGAATTTCTTTAATAGTTACCGCATTATAAGTGGAAAGAGGTTTCCAATTTTTTTTCCTTCAGGAACTGCGATTACATTCCAGGTAATGAATGCTGAACCCAGCTTTCGCGACTGTGGTCGTTTAAGTCCGTCATCTGAAGTGCTTGTTACTCCCTTTATTAGAGAGAAAGTAACTGAAAGTAGTTCATATCTTACTTTGAGAGCTGTTGTTGAGAATGATCTTGTACCGAAAGATGACGCCATGAATGCTCCCGAGCTCTGTGTTTTTATGCCTGGAAGTCTTGAATTTCCAACGCGCTCTGCTTTCATAGAGCCATCAGATTCTTTTTCCTCCTCTCCTTTGATTGTTTGTGTTGTTCAGCTTCCATTTCAATGGCCAGGACAGTTCTTCATATCTAAAAGTTTAGCTTCATCATATAAATTTTCTACCGGGCAGATTTTTAGAATTTGGCCTACTAATATCGGTACCATGTCATCAAAATTTCATCTTCGTCCATTGAATAAACAAAGTTCGGAGGATTATATCGGTACTTTGGTCATTTCAAGGATTAAACATTCGTATTTAATGAATGGAATGGATTTACATATTCCTGATTTGGATGCTCTATACTCGGTAGATGGTCGTACTGGTTACGTTGAAAGTGAAAAGAATATTGATATAGACTCTAGTTTGTCATTTGATGCGAATGGTCGGGTTTCTCATACGAAAACAAGAGATATGCCTAACCCTTTCCAAGAATTAATGAGTAGCATTGAATTATCGATGAACTTTGGTTACAATGTTTTGGTGAATGGAATAAAGGGTTCAGGTAAGACTTCTTTACTAAGATCTTTAAATCAAAAATGTTGTACTTCTACAGTGTTTCATACTGAATATATTTCCTGTACCGAACTGAACTTATCTTCTTTTAGTAAATTTTCAGGTTTTTGGGACCGAATGATACTAAAACTGGTTGGGCGTAGCCCTAGTATCGTGCTTTTGGACGATTTTGATAGTTTTTGGAACTCTGAAAATGAAAATAATGAATTGTCATTTGTTTCAGAAAGGCAGCTTCAGTACTTTATTGAAAGGCTAACTTACTTGAAGTCGGTGAAGGATATTATGATAGTTGCGACTGTTCAAAATCCTGGCAAACTTCCAGCTGATTTAAATTCACGGTTCTTTTTTCAACAGCGAGCGATCATTCCTCCAATACTAATAAACGATCGTGAAGAGATTTTAAGATTCTTTTTTAAAGATTTGAATCAAACTATTCCAGAAGAGATTTTGCGAACAATGTCAAGAAAGACTGATGGTTTTACCCTTCTAGATCTTTCATTAGTAACGAAACGTGTATATAGTGAACTAGCTTTATTAGGATTACTAGAGGACTTTGATAAAGTTATGAAAAGTATAAACTCCGTTCTACAAGGATATGTTCCTATGCATACTAGAAAGACGAAGTTCGTCAAGTATAACATCGATTGGAATAGTATCACGGGAATGCAAGATGCTAAGTTGGTTTTGCAAGACATTATAGAATCTCCAGTGAAGTATTATTCTATTTATAAGCAATGCTCTTTACGACTACCTACAGGAGTTCTTTTGTACGGATACTCAGGTTGCGGTAAAACACATTTGGCTTCTTCTATTTCAAACGCATTTCCGGTGCAGCTAATAAGTGTCAAAGGTCCTGAAATTTTAGATAAGTACATTGGAAGTTCAGAGCAAGCAATAAGAAATTTGTTTGAAAGGGCGCAATTAGCTAAACCTTGCGTTTTATTTTTTGATGAATTTGATTCCATCGCCCCACGAAGAGGCCAGGACACTACCGGCGTAACGGACAGAGTGGTAAATCAATTACTTACTCAATTAGATGGTGCTGAACAATATGAAGGTGTATATGTAGTTGCAGCAACTACACGACCTGACATGATTGATCCAGCGTTGTTACGTCCTGGTCGGTTAGACAAACTGGTATTTTGCGATCTACCAAATAAAAAAGAACGAGCGGATTTTTTTGCTAAGATGTTGGAAGAAAATCAAATAGCTGATAAGTCATGCATCACTGAGCTGGTCTTCCAAACACATGGATATTCATACGCAGATTTATCCTCTATATTTACCGAAGCACATTTAATTGCTGTACATCACTATCTGAAAAAAGAGAAATCGTTTGCCTCGAAAGATATAATGAATCCAACGGATTCGTCTAAAGAGAGCACATTAGACAAGAGGATGTCAACCTCAGGAAAAGAAGAATCAACTCGTGGCTTAAGGAATTTTGAAATCAATAAAGAATGTATATTTAGTGCATTAAGAAATACTAACTCCAGTATATCTGAGGAGGAGTACAATAAATTGGCCTCCATCTATAAACAATATACGCATAACGGTTTAAAAAGTCAAAAAGAAAATAATAAAAAAACAGGACTTAAAACACGACAAGCATAATAGCCTGCTGACTTATTAATAAAATCTTCTAAAAACCGGCTTTACCCTTCCTCTTCACGAACTCACTTGACATTCCCAATTGCAACGTTTAGGGGATTCGCTTGAATTTCTATAATGACTGACGATCGAGTACCGGAAAATGAAATTGAGCATAATACTCCTCCTTTAAAAAAAATAAAAAGTAAGTTATTTGTTGCTGTGGTCAGGAAGTTTCTAATTCATTAATTAGGACAAAATCAATCTTCGTCATTATTGGAGAACATACCTGACGCTACGAGATATCGACGTTCTTTTATGCATAAAGATAATTTACATTCATGTTATTCTACTAAAAGTAATCTCATTTTAACCATTAGTTATGATGGTCATGTCAAGTTTTGGCATAAGACAACCGATGGCATAGAATATATTAAAGACTTCCCTGCACATAATGGGAGAGTCATTTCTACTTACTTAAGCACAAATGAGCGAATCCTTTCTACTTGTGCTGATGATAATACTGTAAAGGTATTTGATGTCGAGGGCATTGATATGGTAAATATTATTGATTTAGAATTTCTGCCAAATGATCTGGTTTCGTTCAATACATCATCTATGAAGGAAGAAATGCTGGCTATTTCAGATGCTAATTCGCCGTTGGTGTATTTTTTTGATTTAGAGGGGGATGGCAATGTTCTCTACAGTGTAAAAAAACACTCGACTCCGGTGCATGTACTGGAATATGTGAACAGCTTAGACTGTATGCTCTCTGTTGACCAAGGTGGCATGGTAGAATACTGGAGTCCCGAAGAGCCATTTCGAAAACCAAATAGACCAGATATGTTTGAACTAAAGAGTCAAACAGATTTATATGTTTATAAGAAATCAAAAAGTGTACCATCATCTATCCAAATTAGTCCATCTGGGAAATACTTTTCATCGATTTCGTATCCAGATTGGAAGGTCCGGGTATTTGATGTAAAAAGTGGACGGATAGTGCTAGAATTTGATGAGCATCCTTTAGATGCGGCAAAAAAGATGGAGCATGCATTGGTGAAAGAGGATGTGAACTCTCTGTATTTTATGAACCAAGTAGAATTCGGTAGAAGATTGGCTATTGAAAGAGACATTGAACGAGCTGGGTATTTAGCTGGTACAATCGCTATTTTTGATGAAAGTGAAAGTTACATCATTTACGGAAGTATTCTTGGAGTGAAAGTTCAGTCTATTAAAGATGGATCTTTGTCACGGGTACTTGGACGAGATGAAAGTATTCGTTTTGTGAAAGTTTCACTCTACCAGGGAGCTCCTAAGAAAGGGAAAATGGCGTCTTTGGAAATCATGGCCAGCAACAATCCTTTGGTTGAAGAAAGCTTTCGAAAGGATCCAACTTTGTTTTGTACTGCGTGGAAAAAGCAGCGCTTTTACCTGTTTGGATCAGCTGATGAGAACATCACTTTGGCTGACCGTGATACGCTGAATGAACATGCAGCAGGACTTGCAAACGAGACAAATAAGGCGGAAGAAAAGACTGCTTTATTAGGGAAAGCTGCCATATTACACACTACCCAAGGAGATATTAGCATAAAACTTTTACCTGAAGAAGCACCAAAGGCCGTTCAAAATTTCACGACTCATGCAGTCAATGGATACTATGATAACACCATCTTTCATCGCATTATTAAAAATTTCATGATTCAAGGAGGAGATCCACTAGGTGATGGTACTGGGGGAGAATCAATATGGGGTAAAGATTTTGAGGATGAATTTTCACCGAATTTGAAGCATGATCGTCCTTTTACCGTTTCAATGGCGAACTCCGGTCCCGATACAAATGGTTCCCAATTCTTTATTACGACTGATCTGACACCCTGGTTAGATGGGAAGCATACTATATTCGGTCGTGCGTACGCTGGTTTAGACGTTGTTCATCGGATTGAGCAAAGTGAAACGGATAAGTACGATCGCCCTCTTGAGTCATCAAAAATCATCAACATATCCATCCTGTATAACTAATAGACGAAGATACTTCAAAAATTGCTTATCAGTCGTTAAATTAATACAATCTTTAAAGAAAATAACATAAATGGATACTGTTAGACCATTTCAGGGCATCTAAAAATTTCTTTTTTCCTAAAATTCGAATGCTGAAAATTTTACAATCTCAACCACTATTACGAATACGTATACAAACACAGGTTTAAGAGAAATCGCTAATTCGTTCTTGAATCTTTTTTATTTTGGTTCATTAGAAACTATATGAATATATTTCGCTCAACTTTTACATAGTAACTTTGTTTATGCTTAGAAGAGCGTTTAAGTGCGTCCTCTATAGCTTCTTATGTCTATTTTAACGTTCTCTACTGTAACCGATATGTCCTCAAATGTACATATATGGTATGGTGGCTAGGTAAGTCTTGCATTGCATATGAGGTAACTCTTAATGAATGTGAAGTTTATCTTTTATCGTGAGCCTCAAATTGTTTATCAATTGCGTTTATAATCCAGGTTCAAAGGACTAAGAACAACACCAGAACAAACCACTTCTCATAAGAAAGAATCTTTTGTTTATTATTAGTACTAACATACATATGGATGTTACACCTTATAATCCTCCGACGGTTAATGCAGCCCGTCCTGGTTACGGCAAGTTAGGCAGACCAGTCAATTTGAAAGCCAACTTCTTTAAGATTACTGCACTCCCAAATCACAACATTAATCAATATCATGTAAGCGATTGAGTTTCATTGCATTGTCTCTTTTTAGCAAGTGAAGACTTGCATATTGTTAGGTAGTGGATGTAAATGTTAAGCTTTCCCAAATGGAAACGGACGGCTTTTTTTTCTGGCGTACTAAAAATCCAAAGAATTGAAACGTATGGTCAGTTGCATGTGGATTCTATCGGACTCACGGAACTGGGCCGGTTGTCCATGATGTTGCTATACCCGTTGAGAGCTTTTTATGGCGACACTATCTTAACATTGATATTTCATTAATTCTCCTATATTCTTCTATATTCTTTCCTTCTTTTAGTTAGTTTTGATTAACACTATTTAGGTGATTATAGGTGATGGGTCTCGATTAACTCGTGCCTTAATTAACAAGATCTGGAATTCGAAGGAATTAAAACAGAAGCTCGGTTCATCTTGGCAATCTTGTGTCTATGACGGAAAAAGTTTGCTATGGACGAAAGATGATGTCGAAGATTTCTTCATCTCAGTGAACATTGGGAACGAGAAACGAGAGCAGTTGATCGACTTTGGCATTCAGAAGACAACTACAATCAATTTGCAAACATTGACGGAATTTGTAAATAGCAAGTATGCCGTTGATTCACACGTTTTGAGTGGAGTCATGTTTCTAGACTTGCTACTGAAAAAGCGCCCTTCCGAGACGTTGTACGGATTTATGCGTTCTTTTTTTAGCGGGGAATTTACATTTGCGTTAGGAAACGGAATAGAAGCCTGGAAAGGTTTTTACCAAACAATTCGCCCTACCCAGGGTCAAATGAGCGTCAACGTCGATGTATCCTCAAGTGCATTTTGGAGAGAGGGTTCTTTTCTTTCCTTACTATTGGAATACACAAACTCGAAAGACGTGCAGAGCTTAGGTCGTGTTGATTTTCAAACTTTGTCAAAAAGATTTCGTTTGCTAAAGGTTACCTGCAAGCATAAAAATAATCTAGGAACGCCTTTATCCAAGAAAGTCTACTCAATCCAAGGGTTTTCTTCCAAACCTGCATCGAAGTCAAATTTTACCCGCAATGTTAATGGCAAGTCTGAAACCATTTCCGTTTCCAAGTACTTTCATGAGCACCATAATGTTCGCTTGCAGTATCCTAACTTGCCTTGTGTCATTGTCAAAAATGGAGCAATGCTTCCTGTAGAACTTTGCTACGTCGAAAAAGGACAAAGATACACAGCCAAACTAAACGCTGACCAGACTGCAAAGATGATACGTTTCGCTGCGCAGCGACCGCATGAACGTGTTCAGCAAATTCAGGGGTTTATTCGACAACTCGCATGGGAGAAAGATCCTTATTTGGCAGAGTATGGTATGAAAATTGCATCTTCCATGACGGACGTTTCAGGTCGTATATTAAATACACCCTCCATCTGTTATGGTGGTAAATCTATTGAAGTACCATCGGGTGGAAGTTGGAATTTGCGTGGAAAACGATTTTTCAAGCCTGCTAGTAGACCCGTTAAGTCATGGGCAGTCATGTGTTTTACCTCGAGTCGAAAACTACCCACCGTAGTCATTGATAACTTCCTGAAAACCTATGTGCAATCCTTGACTGGACTGGGTATTCAGTTCTCTCAGAAGAATCCTCCTATTATGTATGCCGATATGCGGGCAAATATTACAGACTCTGTGAAAGGTCTATATCGAAAAGCTGAACTTGTTAGTAAGAGCCCACCTGATTACTTGTTCTTCATTGTTGAAAGAAATTCTCCAGAACCATACGGCTCTATAAAGCGCATATGTAACACTACACTGGGTATACCATCTCAGTGTGCCTTGAGCCATCACATCCAAGCGGCGAAACCACAGTATTGCGCCAATCTTGGGATGAAAATAAATGCTAAACTTGGAGGAGTTAACACGGTTTTGCAGGCCAAATCAAATCCTCTCGGAAATATCCCAACTCTGATTATTGGAGCTGATGTCTATCACCCAGGTGTTGGAGCATCAGGTGTATCTATCGCCTCGTTAGTTGGTTCTATAAATCTTGAAGGTAGTAAATACACAGCGGTCTCACGTGCAATTCCTCGACATCAAGAAGTTATCGATAGCATGAAGGATCTGGTAGGCTATCTCTTGCGAGGATTCAGAGCTAGTACTGGGGCAATACCGCAGAGAATTATATATTTCCGTGATGGTACATCTGAAGGTCAGTTCAAGTTTGTTATTGAGCAAGAGCTTGGTGAAATCAAAGCAGCTACACACGAGCTTTCACCCAAATACAATCCGAAGGTAACAATTTGCACTACTCAAAAGCGCCATCATGCTCGTTTTTTTATAAAAAACAAGCAGGACGGTGATAAAAATGGAAATCCTCTTCCAGGGACACTAATTGAGAGAAACGTCACTCATCCATTTGAATACGATTTTTACTTAATTTCTCACCCAACACTTCAAGGCGTTTCTGCTCCCGTTCATTATACGGTTCTCCACGATGAAATCAGAATGCCTCCCGATCAGTTTCAAGCGTTGTGTTACAATTTGTGCTATGTGTATGCGAGATCCACTACCTCTGTGTCTTTGGTTCCACCCGTATATTATGCTCATTTAGTAAGTAATTTGTCGAAGTTTAACGATCCAACGTATGACGATACGGCAAGTGTCGTTTCAGAGGAACATCCTGAAGAAAGCATAAAGCCGTTAGCTGAGGTTTCTGGCAAGCTAAAAACCAAAATGTGGTTTATGTAATTTCTTTGCGTTTTTCGTTGTTTAAATCAATTATTCAATTAATAAATGATTAATAATTGAGTATTTGTTATTGTCATTGTCATTGTCAATGCCTGCAAATTTCGGTCCTATAAGGTACTCTGTATCGTTGCTAATATGCTTTATTCATATACTGAAACATGAATCGGTATAAGCTGCCATATCCATGATGGCGAAGCTGCAGAACTGACAGAAATGAATAATTCAATTGGTTTTTAGTGATTTAGGAACCACAAATATCTCGAAATATTGAAACATTCTTAATTCAGTGGGTATCATATAAGACTAATGCAACAAACATGAAGTAACCGTAATGTCAACGCTTTGAAGTAAATTAGATATTTGCTTTTCAAAATACAAAATATGTAGTGAAAACCGAACGATCAATATATATGTATAACAACAATAATAATAGCAATTTATAACGGTTTAATGTTGTTTTATACAACTGGAGCTTAAGAGTACTCCGTTTCGAATTTTTGACTGTTTATTATTTCAATAACCAAGACTTTCATTAAATATCTAAGTTAAAACTAGGCATTATTAGATTTGAATGATTCAATGGCGAGCTGAAACCGATTTAGTAAACTTCCATGGAGCGAAAAATTCATAATTCACAAAACATGTATAATTTAATCAAAAACACGTTTCAAGTTTTCTTTTTACTTTGCAATTCAAAGGTTTCTTTTTTTAACGGAATTGAAAATTCGGCGAGTGGATTCGCATCAACGGTTTAACAGAATCTTTAATGTTTGGAACTTGTTACCGATCACGACCGATTCGCTTCATGATGGCCGAGTTAACCAATATGCAAAGACGGCAACCTTCATCGTACATCATTTCCATTCCATCTCTAGCGGTTGCTCCATGGTTCATTCGTCCAACGATATCAGATATCTCGGCAGAGAAAAGATTGCAACTGCTATGTTAGTATACAGTCATAATCAAAAAAGGGGAATATTCCTCAAACTTACGTTTTAATCCACTTCACGCGAACGCCTCCAGCATAGGTAGCATTATCTGCCCAAAACGGAAGCTCCGCGCTATTCAAATCACTAACAACTTGAGCATAGCCAAGAGCGTTGTTTGTTGGCTTAGCAATAAAAATGAAATAAATACTAGCATTCTAGTTATAACGTTAGTAATAATAGTAACATTATAATATTTGTCGTTCGTTACCTTGTAAGCATCTGATACACGGGATGCTGCATCGTGCTTTACAGCCCAAATGGACGTTTTCTTTGCATGAGAAATAGCCGTCTCGTTATCACAAAGCATTATAAAATAACGAGAGCCTAAAATAGTTAATAAACTGAACACGCGAACACCATTTTAGTCTACACATACGGCTAGATATTCCATTTTCATCAAGAATTACACGAGGATTGATCATAGATATCCGTTCACCTTTGTCATTTCTGTACTCACTGGCTCTAGCAAAATTTAATGGAGGAGGTGTAGGAGCACGTGGCTTTGGTTTTTCCTTTCTAGGAGGAGGAGCCGAATAAGGCTCTGCATTCATAGCATAATGAGAACGATCCGCATAAGCAACGTCTGCAACAGGACGATGAGTATATGGATCAATGAGTCCAGGAGAATGAGAAGCCCGAACGTCACTAGCCGTCAAAGGATATCTACTAGCAGTCCCACGAAAATCATCAGCAGCTATTTGGGAAGGAGCTTTCGCACTATACGGAGGATAGCCAACAGGATACATGGGGGCTGATAAAGGAGGACGATCCCCAGCCAATGCGTAAGAGGATTTTGAGTATGGATCCTCCTCAACAAAGTGAGGGCCATATGGATCAACAACTCTTCTTGGAGGAGGACTCAATGTTCTACGTTTTGAAGGGGGCTGCAGTCCAAAACGAGCACGATCATAAAATGTGGCGGGAATATCAGACTCGGGTGGATAGTATTTGGGTTGTAGGCTAGCTGGTTCAGCAGAATAGGGTGGAAAAACAGGAGATTCAGGAGGAACAGCAGCAGGTGGTGGACCATACATCAACGATTCACGACGAACAGAACGAAAATAAGGCCATTCATAAGAATGACCATAATCCGTACAGTGCCGGGTAAAATCGTACTTCACAGCTTTCGCTAAGCGTGGATCATCAACCATAATTCTTCTTCCCATAGGAGCTTCACGAGAATCAGGAGCTGGACGTTTTAAAGGAGAAGTAAAACTATTCGCAGCAGGATTTGATAGCACATGCACAGGCTCCGCCGGTCTGTTAGACCAGACACTCCTGGAGTCATTAGGTTCGTTTGATGGTTGAGAAGCTAAACATAGATTAGTTAATGATGTTCAAGTTATCGATATGTATGTTTCAACCATGTCTTTTTTGACAAATTCAATAAGTGGAAATTCTACCACTTTAACTTATCATTTACTTACGCCACAAGCTTCGTAATACCTCCAAGTTTGGGAGTTCAGGTAATTGTTTAGAAGACTGAGGATTAAAGTTTGTGTTTGACATTCTCCAAGTCTTCGTACAATGCAAATTTTCAAGCTTTCAAATTAAATGAAGTTTTTGATTAATATTTCCGATATGTTCGCGATCTCTAGAAATAAAGAGCACTGTTCAAAAATGAATTGATTGCCAATCTTGTTCTTGCAAGCGAATATCAAAAATAAAACTGGACAAGTTTCAAATGATCAAAAAACACCTCACCTTTGTTTTTTCCTTTACAAGAATCTTGTAACTTTTTTTTCAAGCCAAAACAAATGATAAACACAAAAAGGTCTCCAAAAAATATAGATATATATAAACAGGAGATACGGTTACTCCAATCCAAAGGGCTGCAAAATTAAAAACTGAACAGCTGATTAATGGTTTAATTAGTAATTTGAGGAAGTAACACTTCTATTTCGAGAAAGTCGCTGCGTTGGGAAGAGCAGTATGTTGGAAAGGCAAGGAGGGTACTTCGTAGTTCAAAACTTCAAGTTTGTATATATACTAAGTTTTAGGTAAAAAAATTATATGAACCTTCAAAGGATAAACAATAAATATAGAAAATGTATTTTTGTCGAAGATTTATGTACACCAAAAACATTGGGCTTCATAAAGACATATGCTTTCATTAAATACTGCTACAACTATATGGTCGTGGCTTTTCTTGTGTTTTTTATCATTTAAAATAAGTGTATATTTTATCCTAAAATGATCTCTAGTGTAAACTTATGTGGCATGCCGAAGATGCCTTTTAGTGTCAGGGAAGTTGCAGAGCATTGTTGGAAATAAACAGTATTAGCTCATATATGTCATAGCTTACAGATAATTTCAGTGCAGCGTTCAATTGATAACTTATAATTGAACATCAATAACCTTTGTAAACAAGTAAACAAAAGAGAAAAACCTTACTTGAAATTGTCATTTGAAGGGAGATAATGAAGCTTCTCAAAAATTCTGTGGGTAAACTCCCATAATTGATTCACAAGAGCAGGGTCTTGGCTACGATAGCAAGTTGATTTTTGAGCGATGGCTCGATAAAAGCTTCCATTCAACTTTTGTTCAGAAATGATGGGATTCGTGGCGGCGTACAACGTGGTATATGATCCCCAAACCGGATCTAAGACAGCACGATTGATAGGATACATTCTTAATATCTTCTGCATCAATCCCGGAACGTTCGCAAAAAGGTTTGTTTTCACGATACCTGGATGTAAACTAACAGAGTAGATTCCATATTTTTCTAAGCGATTGGCAAGAGCCTGTGAATGAAGAATATTGGCATATTTTGATTGTCCATAACGCGTCTGTTCTCCTCCGAAAACGTAAGGAAGATTAATGTCCGGGAAGTAAATTCCACTATATGGTGCGAACATGTAGGCAATACTGGAAACGTTCACGATACGCACATCACCAGGTCTTGAGTACTCTGCAGCACGGCGCAATGCTGGAATAAGAAGGTATGTAAATAAGTAAGGTGATAGATAATTTGTTTGAATTTGTCTTTCATAACCATCCTTTGTCAACTGATACTTGCCAAACATGATACCAGCGTTGTTGATTAAAATATCCAGCCTGGTTTCCTTTGCCAAGAATACTTCTGCAGCTCGATAGACGCTTTCAAAATCGAGTAAATCCATATGTAAATAGACGACGTATGCGTCTTTCCATTCTTCACGTATATTCTTAATCGCCGTAACGTATTTTTCTTCACTGCGACCTGCCAAATAAACCTTAGCGCCTTTCTTTGCCAATTCTAAAGCAGTAACGTAGCCAATTCCACCAGAAGACCCTGTTACGACAGCAACTTTGCCGTGTAAATTAGGAATGTCTTTAAACGACCATTCAGGCACGTTTGCTCCAGTGATTTTTGCCAAAAGATCAATTATACCTTCAAACATAATTGCTGAAGAGGGAGGGAAAGGAGAAAGCTGAAGGGTACACAGCCTTCTTAAGTACCTTTCTGTGATAATATACGTAGCAGTACTATAATAATTTCTATAATCTTTTTCTTCTAATGGGCTAAACTAAATAGAAGTTTATAGGAAAAAGAAACCCGATGAACTAATTGAAACTGCCTTCTGAAGACAACTACGGGGTTGGTGTCTCTTTTAAGGGTAAGCTGCCTATGAACATTTGGGATATGATCGGAACCTTTTCATATGCTCATTAGATGTGGGAGACAGTATATAAACTTTTAAAACGTAGTTTTCCCTTCTTTGTACATGGTCGAAACTGTACGGTAACTCTGGTCAGGTCGTCGTTTTCATATATTGCACTACTTCCACTCATAAATCACTAATAATCATTGAAATATATTGCTAAAGAACAAGAAGACGCTCTTTTGCAAAAATTCGATGTTACAGGAAGCCGTGGTTTGTTTACATTCAATTCCTGCCTTGTTTGGTCGGAGAACAATGTTACTCAACTTCATTCCACTGTTCGACTCGACTCTTAAGACCTGGAGAACCCAACTTGCTTGGTTTATTCTATTTGAAACATAATTCTTATATGTCTTTCTTTTATTAAAACTCTTAATGAAAGCGTTCCTTTTTAGTAGGGTATCTTGCGTGAACTGAACAAATGGATATAGACGAATTTAACGAACGGATCCTGAATCAAATTTCAGAAAAGGTAATTCTTGTAGAAGCATATATGAATAGATGAAAAGCAGAGCATAGCTGAATCTAAAAAATACATGATTGCTCATTGATTTGTTTATTTTCATGCAATGAAGCACCATAACATTCATATATATAGAATATTTTATTGTTTTTATTGCTTTGAATGTGAATTTCTTTTCTTTTTCGATGACAATATTTTCTTCTACTATATACTAACAGCATCTAGGCATGGAAAAACAGACTAACAGCATATGAAGAATTATTAGCTGTATTTTCAAGGGCTTCTGATGAGAATGACCCGTGCTTTCAGCCTTGGATCCAAGACCCTGGTTTATGGAAGCGTGGACTCTGCGATAGTAACGTTTCTACTCAGGAATGCGCATTAAAAGTCCTTTGCGCATTTTTTGAAAAATCCCGAAGAAAGGGTATCTCTAGTTCAAAGCTAGTTGTTATTCCTTCGTTGCTTGAAAAATGTCTCCCTTCGCCAAGACCGTCCATCAAAGATCTTACTCATCAGGCACTTTTACTTTTAACTGGCGCTGGCGCTATGGATGCAGTTATAGATGGCCTTTTGAGTAGTTGTAAAGTGAAACACCCAAAACAAGCTATCGCTTCCATTAAGGAACTCTGCCTATTTATTGAAAAATTCGGTATACCTACCATCCCTTCTTCTCATTTATATAAACTTCTTCCTGGTTTGTTTGCTCAATCAGATAAAAATGTACGTCAAGAAGCTTCTAAGCTTGCCGTCCAGGTTTACCGTTGGGTGGGTGATTCACTTAAAGTAAACTTGTTTCCTCACCTGAAACCCGTACAAATATCCGATCTCGAGTCACTCTTTCGTTTAGCTCCTCCCTTAGTTTTAAACCCTCCCGCGGCGACCAGCAATCGTTCATCCATATCTGCTGCTACAAAATCTCCTAGTCCAATGGATCAAAAAGCATCTTCCCATCCTCCTATTCCAAAGCTGGGTAGTGCCCCTGGGAATTCCCGTGCGGTAAAACCGACCTTAAACATCCCTCAACCGTCTCGATCTTCTTGTTCTCCCACAAAGCCGTCATCATTTGATGCTCCCATTGACGTTCTTTCTAAAATAACTCCAGAATTTTATAATGCCTTGTCCTCGCCCAAATGGAAGGACCGCAAAGAAGCTCTAGATAGCCTTTTGGAAGTATGTAAATATCCATGCTACCAAGAAGGGGATTACGACGAATTATTTCGAATCGTTGCTAAATCATTAAGGGATGCAAATGTGGTTGTCGTTGGAACCGGTGCGCAATTGTTGATTGCTGTCTCAAATGCACTGAAGAAAAACGAAACTCCTTACATACCCATCGTATTTCTTCCATTATTTGAAAGATTCAAAGAGAGAAAACCCTCATTAGTAAACGTTCTGTTTGACGCAGCAAACGCAATATTTGAAGCGTGTGGCTTCAACGAACTCGCTGACCAAGCGCTAGATTTTTTGGGACATAAAAACCCCCAAGTAAAGACAGAAACATTGCATTGGTTTACTCATTGTCTACAACGTACAGAGTCGTGTCCTCCAAGAGTTTCTCTGGAAATGTTGTGCAACAGATGTTTGGTTCTAGTTAATGATACCTTTGAACCTGTTCGGACAGCGACCACGGAGGTATTGGCCACTCTCATGCAAATGTTTGGACAAGCAATCCTATCCAAGTACATCGTCGGACTTGACCCAAAAAGATTGCAGAAGGTAATTGAACTTTCAGAAAACATTCAGGTACTTGCACATCCCAATCAACCTCCAAAACCAAAACTTCCTCGGGTAGCCTCGCCTTTGAAACCGTCACCTGTGAAACCAATATTATCTCCCAAATTTACGTCCTCGCCTCTGGCTCCCATACAGGCAAATGCACCTGAAGAATCTCCGTCTCGTAGGTCTTCCCCGGTGAAGTCATTATCTTCTAGTCTTCGTTCCCAAGCCATGAACCATAGAATAAGCAATTCTTCATTAAAACCAGCTCCCAGACCAGCGTTAATTGGTTCAATGAAGCAGACAAACGAAGTTTCGACCCCGACGTTGACAAAAAAGGTAGAAACAAATCGCTTGTCAACAAAGACCCATCCAAGTCTCCTGACGAAATCCACAATAAAAGAGCACGTTTCCCCCACAAGTAAGCAAGGTGGAGTAAGTACGTCGAATTTAGTAACCATTACATTATCAGAAAAAATTGAGTTGGATCTTTTGAGGGAAGAGAAAGCCATCCGGCAAGTTCAACAAACAGAGGATGCGCTGGAAAGAGAACGCCTATTTAGAGAAATTAATGATCTTCAGATCACAAACGCCGAATTACGCGAACATCTTGATAATTATCAAGGAATGGTTAATCAAAAAGATTCAAAGCTCGCGTCTTTGCAAGAGGAAGTGAACCGGTTGAGCAATCGATTACAGGAGGTCTTGTTAGAATTAGAACACCGGCAAGACATTGCAGATGAGAATTCTATGGACATTGATTCGAAAGAAATGGAAAGTGCAATTAAAAGAGAAGATGAGACAAATTTACCCAATGGTAGAAAAAGTTATATCGGGGTACCCGACGAACCTTCACGAACTACTCGACGATCGACACTACTTCCAGTACGACAGTCTCTTACAGGATCAATGCTACAAAAGCCAACGGCATTTTCACGACCATCGCTTTTTCCGACTAGCAATAAGCCCTCGACTGCTTTCTCTTCACATTCCCCTTCAAAAAGTATGTCATCTTGGTCTGAGGGAACAGATATCTCAACGCATTTATTGGAACAAATCCAAAGAATGAAGCGAAGCTAACTTGAAGAGAAAATGTGGATTATTTAATCTAGGCATTGGAGAACGGTTTGCTTTTAGTATGGGATCTATTGTTTTCTCTTTTTTATCTATTTTATTTCTGTTCCTTTTTATTTGTTTTTATTTGTTTTATCTTTGATTTTCAGTTAAAGGTTTGGTTTTGTTTAAATTCCTCTTTTTCCTTCTTTTATTTTTTTGCGGGCGTTCTTCTCGCTACTACGTTCCTTTCCCCGGTGGAAAGGTGAGAAGCTTTGCTTTTTCATATTTGAACAATTATAGAAACATACATCATGTTGGATATCTGATGACTACATAATTTAGTCTGGTGGAACATATATACTTTACCGAATCCCCATTTCAATATGTAATAAAAGAGAAGGATTGGTGTCATACCGTCTACAGCCATACTAAGAAATAATTAGAATGGTATAAACAAACAAACAAAAAAGAGAGTAATAAGTGTTCTTTTTTGGAAGAAAAGAAAAGCATATTCTTCTTTGTTTGCGAATCAAATTTGAAAAGAGTGATCAGAAACGTTTCATTAAGCCCAATGTTGGTTTTGGGCTTTAGGTTCCTTGATGCTTTTGGTATGATTTTTAACTCGATTTTTCTATCTCTTATATCTTTCTCTTTCTTTCAAAATACATATGACTAAAAATAGCTCTATATATACCTTACTTTAACTGCCAGGCTTCCATTTTTCTTACGATTAATTTTCTATTGCTATATTTAGAACAAGGCTCTTTTATTTGTCAAATCCTCTCTATAATTATATATTATAAGTCTGGTATATGTATGATTTAGGGAAACATACTCGGAAGTTTATATATGCGTAAACCGCGTATGACGTTTCTTGACCTCATGTAATGGACGAAGTTCAGATGAACGAGTGGTAAGCTTTGCTGCACTTTGGAACAGTATCGATGATATCATTTTCCCTTCAACCAGAAGTTATATAAACGCACGACCTCAAACAGCTGAGACTTTCCAACAAACGTTGAAAATACCAAAGTCGTTTAACGAAAAAGTTATTTTGGTAATCCAAGTTATACGTTCATTTAACTTTGGATTTCTGAACATCTCGTACTGATCTTTTGTCTTTTTGTTGATTACAGGATACTGATTCCCTTTCTTCATCTAATACCAATAATACCCATTAATCGTTTGAACTAATATTTATTTGGGATAGCGAAAATGCAGCGTTCCTATTCTTTAAGAAATGCGCGTGCCCCTACGGCATCTCAGTTGGTGAACCCACCTCCTCCTGTCTCTAGTGCTCGTAGTGGCCGTTCTTTTGCTCCTTTCCGTCATTCCATGCGTATTCACCAAGCCGTGAACTTTTCCCCCGACTTGGCTAAGCGTTTAGCTGTTTTGGTGAAGATGGAGAAGAATATCATGACCAGCATGGTCCAAGTCACTCGTGGTCGTCGTGATGCAGCTCGTCAGTTGTCTTACTGGGGTGAAGACTGTGACGACGACATCAGTGACGTTACTGACAAGCTTGGTGTATTGTTTTACGAGGTTGCCGAGTTGGAGAACTACTTGATCGATCGTCACGACCAATACCGTGTTACCTTGAAGTCCATTCGTAATATCGAGGCTTCTGTTCAACCTTCTCGTGAGAAGAAGCAAAAGCTTTTGGACCAAATCTACATGCTCAAGCATAAGGACCCTGAATCTCCCAGATTGGTTACAATGGAACAAGAGCTTGTTCGTGAGGAAGCTGCTTGCTTGGTAGCCGAAGCACAGCTTTCCAACACCACTCGTGAGAAGTTCAAGCAAGCCATGGTTTACAATTTGGATGCTCTTCACGAGCATGCCGAGAAGCTTGGCTTGATTTCCACTTATGGTCGTCACCTCTTGAACTTGATCGATGATACCCCCGTTACTCCTGGTGAGGCCCGTCCTGCTTATGATGGTTATGAGACTTCTCGCCAAATTGTTATGGATGCTGAGCAATCTCTTAGCAACTGGGTCCCTAGTAACCAAGCTCCAGTAAACTTTGCCAAGCCTCAGCAAGACGAAGATCTCCAAAGTGATACTCGTTCCTGGAATGAATACGAGGCTCAAGGTGAGCCCATGCCCGTTCAACAAATGACTCAATTCAACACTGCTCAACTGAACGATACTCATTCTGATACTAGTGAAATGGCCGAGAACGATCCTAACGTTCATCCCCATGTCCGTGAAGAACGTATCGCTCGTATTGACCCCGATGCTACTGATGGCCCCGCCACTTTGCAATCAACTGATCAACAACCTGCTGTGCAAGTTGCTTAAACAAGCAACAAGAAGGCTGTTTCAAAGAACAATGAAGACCATCATGGTCATGTTTTAAGTCAAGTATGGAATTAGTTCCTCTGCTGTTTCTAATCCGGTGTGAATTGCTCAAGTTTATTCTCGTAATGGTAGGGAGAACAAATTCCTGATAATGGATCATTAATTATTACTTAAGCATGCTTACGTTGCATCAGATTTTGTCGATGGAGTATTTTAGTTGGTTGCGCGAACATAGTTAATACTTAATAATTACTAGTGTACGTGTCAACGTTCTTTTAAAATACATGATGTTATCTTTTGAGGACGATTTGATTCGTTACTAGATGGGAAACTTATTTGATTTTGCTCAATCCATCTCAACTCGTAAAACTTTTTGGCAGCATGGAGGGCTAGCTAGCTATTTAATATTTAAATTATTAGTTGAAAAAGAAGGAAACTTAGAATGCAGTAAAGACAGATTGTAGAAGTGTGAACGGAAGGAAAGGATTTACAATGCTAAATGAGAACTGTAGAAGTATTGATGTATACTAGACATGTTTGCTGTATAATGGATTAGAGCTTGAGAAAGAAATCGCATGGAACAAGAACAAGCAAAAAGGATTTATATGGAGGCAAGACAAGTAAGAACGATATTCTTAAAGGAAAGCTATCACAATAATTGACAGAGAAAATTCATTGAGAAACCCCAAAATTGCTTAGCAGAGTTATAAAAAGTAGTAAGAGCAGAGTGAGAACTGATTCCATGCAAAACTGAATTGCAATTTCAACGTATTTACTTTACTAACTACATCTCATAATTTTTGTGAAGTGAATAAACATATAGCTTATTTATCCTACCGAACTGTAAGGTCAAGTGCGTATTTGAAACTTAAAGCAATGCAAGCCAAAAACAAAGCTTGTTTCTAAAGAAAAATAGGTTATACATTACGATAACGTACGAGTACGTTGCTTTGTAATAAGGACATCAACAACCACAAGCAGTATATGGAAGCTGTTACGTCGCTGGCAGAGGATGTCGGAACTTACCTTCAGCCAACATCCTCAAGTCCAGTTCAAACGGTACAGAAATTGGAGAGGATACAGGGCGGAATAACCCGTAACAATGAAATTAAAGGTCAATGTAGGCCCAGATCCTGGGCATACGCAAATTGCTTGGGTGAATCATGAAGGACGGCCGACAGAAGTAGATGGGCCATATTGGGTCGGTAGAATTTTGGTTCGGGTCCGCGACTTTGACGGTGTCACACCTGATGGTAGCCCACCAAAGGCAGATTCTATCTATTTTCGCGGTCGTTCAAGAAAGTTTCAAATCCAAGCTGAAGGTCGCTTTAAGAAAGAGTACACCGGCAATCAAGTCATATTTGGCACGCAATTTGATCATATGATCTCTACATTTCCAGAAAGTATGTCATTCAAACAAACAAAACAAAGAAAAAGCAGGTGTCAGTAGCCATCATTAAAATTGCTCTTAACCGGCAGAATTGAATGGGCAATTACCGGTTAGATGTAGCACTCAGTATCCTGCTTGTTCTCGCATATATAGAAGTCTTGCTAACCTCATATAGGCGCTTTTCGTGCCGGAATGCGAATTGCCAAGTATATTGATCCAGCTGTTTACTATGACAAATTTGCGAAGTCACCTTATATTATGTCTCCGTAAGTATAAAGAGGAAATAGGAATTTCTTATACCAAGGGGAGAAGCGAAAGTGGTTCGTTAATGAAAATGCTATGTTAAATAATTTATGATTATGCGTACTTAGTCTCTTCTTCTTCTTGGTTGTCACTCAATTTCTTATGTATTATCTGAATATTAAACTAACGTTATAGATTTGTTGCATGTGTTAACACACTTTCCGCTTGGCCAGCGCCTAGCCGTTTGGACGATGCTGTCATTTCGTTAGTGGAAGCAGACCCGCAAGAATCTGACACAGACTCTTTACCAGAGATGAGTGAAAGTTTAGACGACGATCCGCAGACGCCCATATCCTCGCCCACTAAATCTTCCGTCAGCAAATCGAATCTTAAAACTAATACACCTCCTCCAATAACCGTCACTGGTTCACAATTGTCCCCTCCGCATACCAACGATCCTTCCAGGACGGATCATGATAATTTAAGCTTGGTGTCGTCGGATTCCGGTAACACTACAGCTTATCAAAAGGGCCGCCATCGCTATTGGAGTTTTGCTGGTTTTAACAATAACACCAGGTTTTCACATCTGAACTTGGCTCCTCATACACCGGAAGTTGATGAATCACAAAAGGGACAACAGAATGTACCTGAACAGTCACTAGCAGACTCTGTTGGTTCATCAGCTATTCGTAGATCTGGTGAAGATGCAGATAGTGATGATGATGAACTTGTTTTGCATCGACCTATTACCAATCGTCACAAAAACTTTAGTGTTCATGTTCAGCAAGTGGGTCTTTTGCATAAGCCGAGTTTGGATGGGGATGGTTATGTTAATGAATTTTATGATGATGATAATTCTTTTGATGACGGAAATGAAGAGGATTTGCAGCGCTATTTCACAGCTCTTGAAATGCAATCCGATAAAAAAAACCCTAGAAAACCTAAAAATAAGGATCCTTTTCATAGGATTACACATCCAAATCTACACATTGGCAAAATCTCTACGCCAAAAATTATTAAACGGATGTCTTTGCGTTCGAAAAAAGGAAGTAAGAGCTCTAAGCAAGAATCTTCTTCTCAACCGGAAACACAACGTACTTCTATGTCTAGTATGTCTCCTCCGCCTGTCTCTAAAAATGAAAAGAAGATGTCTGCACCTCGCCGTTCGCTAGACAAACTGATACGTATTGGGTCTTTACATAAACACCATCATCATCATCATCATCATAATCAAAGTAAATTGGATCATCCCGAGTCTGACCCTGGTGTTGACTCTTATAAGAATGAAGGTAGACATCAAATTGAGTCCGTACCTCAAAGAAATTCTTTATCTAACGATCGCCCTTGCTCTTCCCCTTCTACCTTGACTTCACCGGAAGGCTCCATTTCATCTACTCCCAAAGTTAGTGGTGAAACAGGATCTTTACCCCCTCTTCATGAGGACACTTCACCAGGTGAAAACAATGGTAGCACCTCCAAGCCGGCTATTAAGGCAGAGCAGGATAAGCCTAGAAATACTTTACAAAAGCCGTCTCTCGATATGTCATCTGATAACCATTTGCAGGGCAGTAGGAATGGAAATACGAATGATGCTGACAATCACTTGAGTGTGCCAAAGAAGCCTGTAAAGCCTGTGCCTTCCCGAACAGCATCTCACCAATCAAAAATTCCAAAACCCTGTGTACATATTCCTTCCGAATCGAATTCTCTTGATCCCCAGCTTGGTCCTTTTAGATTTGCCAATCCAAAAGTTGATCCAATTGAAGATAATTCTTTCATCTTTGGAGAGCACAGATCTGTCAAAGATAGGAGGAAGTATTTTTCAAGTTCTGAGGAAAACAGGGCAAACTTTTTTTACGATAAAGATGTTGTTTATTGCATGAGCTTCTTCTCTCCTCATATGGATTTTAATAAGTTTAACTTGAATATTGGTCCAATTAAATTGAATGTTTTTAGGCATCTTAATGCTGACGGTCATCAACCTATTCGATATATGATGCGAGAAACCGAAGATGAAAATGCTATTATGTTCGTGATAGAGTTTGATTTGGTAGAGGATGACGATGAGGCTGTTTTAGCTCAGCAAGCTACAGAACGCGAACGGAGAATAAATTAGCAAACATGTTCAATTTGAATGGCTAAAGGTTATGAGTTTATTTATTATTAATGGTTCCCTTACCTATGTTAATTTATGTGATAAAACTAGTCATGTTCTTCGTTGCGAGACAGAAGCCTTTCGTTTTCTTGTAAGCTGTCTTTTTTCTGCTGTTAATAAATTTGGAGGTTTTTTGGACTTTAAAGCACAACGCTATAATTGAATTGATTGACTATGGCTGTTAGGTCTTTCTGTTATGGAATACGTGTTCGTTAGTGGTCGGTTGTTATATTTTTTATCTGGCTTAAGTTTTTAAATCTCTATTCTCGGCCTTCTACTTTTGATTTTACAACCGTTACCTTTTTCGGTCTTATAACTGTAACAGCTTTCATTTTTAATCAGTATACATTCCCTAAATTCAAATAGTTTGAAAGCACATACTACATCATATTTAATGATTTAGCTTTTTACAGTCGTTGAGGTTACTTTATATGCGTAAATTGAAGCGATTGCATTGTAGGAAAAGATAGATTTAAAAGTTAGTCACGTATAACTGAGATTTTGTAAAAATAATTTAACAGCTGGCAAATCATATATATATTGAGTATTCGATACAGTAAACTCTTATCATTTTCAGTAAAGTTGTTTTTTCTTATTTTATCTCACAGATTGCTATATATCGTACAAGCCTATGCCCGCTAAAATGTCAAACTTTTTACTGACTATTAGTTGATATATTAATCTAAAAACTATAAAAATAGAAAACAAACAAAACAGTCAGTCTATATTATTAATAATACCATTATCCCACATTAAGTTTGCAAACCCGAAACGTATTTTTGAGAACGAAAAGCAACGTACCAAACTAAGTATCCTATTTTCTTAAATCCCCTTGCCAAAAACCAAATTCAACCAATTATAGAAACTGCATGTACAAGTGAACAACACTATGGCTTTTTGGTTGTTACGCTTGTGTCAGTAGAAGCAGAATCAGATAATTCTTCATTGGCATCACCATTCACACTTGGTGTAGCCGAATTCACAGCGGAAGAGGTTTGAGCGATACTGGGAGCCGTAACTAAAGAAAAACCATCATTGTCAGAGCTATCATAAGCGCTGCTAAGAGCGTGAGATCGTATCGAGTTGTTCCTGTTTAAATCCTCATTAGTAAAAGTTGTACGATGTACCATCTCTGGTGACATGATTGATTCAAAAGGTGGTGACTGGAAGTCAGGCGAGTGATCAAGAGAATCGTACAGCCTTTCATCGTTTAGATGAACAGCATGATCGGCAGGGACAGGTGCAGAAGTATCGTACATGGTAGTTGTGTGAGTACTTAACACTGGATGAGGTTGATGATCTGCAAACGCATTACCCGTTGCCTTCGGTCCCAAATTAATCATGCTCGAGTCTTGAGGTGTGTTTAAATCAGAAGCTGATCTTCCAAGAGAGGTGATCCCAGAATCATTTCTGGGATTAGGAGTAGGGAAATGATTTATCACAGGAGGAGCAGAAGATGTGGGAGCGGCGGTGGTACGCTCTGAATTAGCATTATATTCCGAAGAAGGAGGAAAAGCAACATTATTATTGCTAACATTACGAGCACCACCAGCGGCAGCTGCTGCACCGAAGCCAGAACTAATAGCGGAAACAGATGCATTCCTCTGTGATTCCAAGTCTTTAATACCACTCGCCTGATTTTGATGATCATCCAAGTACTGGTAGTGACCATACATATACATATGTAAGAACGCAATCCATGGAGTAAAAACAAAACCCAGGACACCACCAAATATAAGCTTTATTATTTGAGGAGCAGGATAGTTATTGTAAAAGTAATCGTTACCAGAATGCTGTCCTGGTGCAGTAAGAATGCCGATTGAAGCAGGCCAAAGCAAAAACCAAAGAGGAACAGACCAAAACAAACCACGTAAACCAGTAAAAGCCATCCATTCTATCCAACGGAAAACTATAAAATGAAAGTTATACTTTGGCTTCGCACGCAATATCTCTCGCATAAAAGTATTTCTTGGAAACCGACCAAGATAAAGAGGCTTTACAAGCCCTGAGCGTAAATCAGCTTGTACTAACGCAGATTCTATCCAATACGTAAGTACAGCTTGGACAAAATTGGTGACAGCCAAGTCACCAGAAAGCGTATCGGGTAGGCGCCATAGACGAACACGGTCTATGGTGTTTTTATACATACCATAAGCGATAGCGAACTCCAAACCCCCGGAAATGATGAATGAGCCAACTGCACAAATTAAAAGATATAGTACGCGAGGTACGTGAAGGTTTTTACGATTAAATACTGTGTTGGGATCAGTTCTTAGATCCTCGTCGTAGGCATTCTTGTGTAAAGCATGATGTTGTAATTCCAAATCATCAGCATTCTTTACACTAGAGGTGTCATCTTGGTTAGCATTAGAAAAGATTCTTTTCCAAAAACTACGATTAAAAAAAGTAGCACTAGGTGGAGGAGCCATTTAGCGAATAACGTAGGGCGTATTAAAGGAAATCCAACTCTAATCTCTTGTCGAAAAAAAAGAAGAAAAAAAAAAAAGAGCTAACTAATGAACCAGAGAACGAATCAAAGGCGGGTTTTATATAATAACGACGCAATGTGTTTATAGTCCGATAAAACCACTAAAAAGGAGGAACAAGAAGTGAATTAGACCAGGAATGAATTATTAAAAATAAATTAGGAATATCCAAACGAGAATCCAAAAAAATAAAAACAAAGTATAACAACAACGAGCGTAGTCCGTCCCAACAAAGCCTGAATGAAAGAATCAAACACTAACGAAGGAAAAAGTTTGTAGAACGCCGGAAAATAGAAAATAAATTAAACAGAGCAATCAACTTAGAAATGAGCAGCAAAAAACTCCGGAACGACTAGAGAGGAAATTAGAGAAACAAAAGAAATGGAAGAGAAACCAAGGTTTCTTTTTGGTTCCGATTGTTAGACTTTTTTTAGTAGAAAAAAAAAAAAAGATAGGAATAGCTGAGTATAGTATACCCACAGACTTAGATAAAATAAAGCCTACAGAATATTGATTTAAACGTTTTTCCAAACAGAATATTCGGTAAAACCTCGGACTTGATATAGTAGAACACCGATATCGTGTTTACAAAAGAAAAACTAAACAGCTTTTAGGGCTTTTTTAGAAGATATAAGATGAGTTTTCTGGGTAAGTCCTATTACACCCGAAAAAGAAGGTCCTTGCGGGAAACTGACCTCCTAAAAGCGATGTGAATAGTTAAAAATTCCGCAAAGTCGAAAATCTGAAATCTGAAATCAGGAAATTTTGAAATAGTTCCTAGGGAATTTTTTTTGGTGTATGCAGACGGATGATGCGACAAGTATTTTAAGTATCCTGCTTGTTTACCTCGTATGTAAGCAACCGTCTATGACCTTTCAGTGAGGTCATTAACAAAGTACAACGTATTTCTGTAAGTATGTATAACGTAGGTTTTCGTAATTACATATAATTCTCTACTTTCAAAGTAGAAAAGCTGGAAGTTTGGAAATTTCTTTTCCATTAAAAATTCTTTATTTAAGTGTTTTAAAAGTTTTATATCCGTATAATCTCTTAGTTTTTGTTTTTTCTACTGCTAACGTAACGGAAACCATGCTGTTTTACGATAAACTCATATTATTACTACAGTCAAACATTTTGTACCTATCGTTACAGTAACAGTATAGTATAGCTTATGGTGAAAGTCTACGTGTTTCGTCGGATCTCTCATGACTAAGAATAGACCATGCAGGAATCCTTCTTCAATTGCGTTGGCATACAGTGATCACAATAAAGGGTAAAGAAAAAAAATTCACGCAAGGGTAAGGTATCGGTTTGACGGATTGATTTAATGGATTGAGTTTTAAAAAGTGTCAACATTGAGGTATAATCCCTTAGTTGAGGGCCTATGGATTTTAGAAAACTTGTGAAAATGTGGAGAGACTTGATAATGAACAAAAAAAAAAGGTAAAAAAATAAAGTACTTTTCGAACCAGATACAAACGTGAAGCTATTAGAATTTTTGATTCATATTCTCACAAACAATTTATATATTAATAAATAGCCATGCCTTTCATAGATCATCACAACGGGTTGTTTGAATTTTGCTCCGTAAATCTTGGAGACAGAATGAATTAAATAAATTTCTTTTTTCAACGTTCATTAACGAATGCTTGTCACGTGGGACTAGTTATGCATTATTTAGTCCGTTTTTAGAGAAGCATCCTCATCAATTGGTTCCCAGTGGGAGCCATCAAGACGTGGAAAAAATCTACCAACCTTTTGGGAATACAATGAATATAGGGGATATTTTTTAACAGAAATCATTTCCGTTAGTCTAGTCGACGCTTGGAACACACCGACAAGCCCCAAAGGTCCTAAAATCGTCCAGTTAATCCAAGTCTTTGAGGCAAGCGCTCCAAAAAAATAAAAAACGAACCAAATCACCTGTTCAGCCAAAAAATTCGGATGTCTCGACCATTTAAAGAGACCGTTTGTATTAAAACCTTTTGCTAGTGTCATCAACTCAAAATTCAAATGCCCTGGAATCTCTTCGTTATTATTATATAGCTCTCGTGCTTGGTAAAAATCCCATTGCTGCTGATCAGCAATAATTTCCACTACAAACGTAAACATAAACAACTCTAAGGCAACGCAATCCAATAACCCAAAGGATCGTGCATTTCCTGCTACCATCGCAATATATGTAGGACAAGCAAGCCAGTACAAGTGAAGAGTTTGAATTATATGAATGTAAAGAAAATGGAAGATAGGATATAAATAAGGCGGCATATTATGACGAACTGTAACCCATCGATAGTCTTCAGATCCTCGCTTGTATCCCCCTTTTCGATAATAATTATATGTTAATCGAACACTCCATAGCAATTGCAAAAACACCATAATCATCAGCCGACGAGAAGCAATGTTAAACAATGTCCCATAGATCAAAAAATGGACGGAAAAAGCAGCTGGCAAAATTGGCCATGCGCGATCGACTTGAGACATATTTCCCGTTTGGACTGATACTGCCCACAGGAAAACCCCAATCATGAACGCAAGAATTAGCCCGCTGACAAACGGATTTGTGTCGACATAAAACTCATAGAATCCTATATTTCCTGAAAGAAGCAATTTCACATTGCTCGCTTGCTCCAAAAAAGGAGAGACTGCCATCGACCAACTGGCAGCATTAGAAGCTGAGTAGATTATCGGCAAAGTAGATAACAATGTCATAGTTCCAAAATGGCATACGGAAAATACAACTTTGAATATTTCAAAGATATTCTCTTTGGAGCTGGTGTAATGCTTCAGTGTGACGTTACTGAACACGACAATAGTGAAGTACAATGAGATATTGGGTATCCAAAAAGTCAAGAATTCAAGAATTTAAGAATTATGTTTGAAAGAAAGAATGTTTGTTCAGTAGAATTAGCTAGTATTCTCATATCTGACAAACAAGGTTTCTCAATTTGTAAATTTCATAATGATGTTGTCCCAATTCGCTTTTGAAAGGCATCAATCAGGGCCACTTTCCAAAATTTCCAATACATTATTCTCATTTCATCGCAAAAGTCTTTCCATTCTTTCCGCTGATATTTGGGAGCGATGAAACTCCGGATGGCCTTCATGCTCGACATCCAGTATTGCTCTTTCCTTTTGATGATCTATTAGACGTTGCTTAGCAGTCTCCATTTGTTCTAATTTATGCATCAAGCCCTTCTCCTCCTGGTTTATATCCTCTGAAAATATAATTTGCCAATTTGCATGTTTTAAGCACCTCCGCTTTTCCTGTAAGCAGATGCAATCAGAGGTACATTGCATTTGCTCTAGCATTTGCTCTAGTTCTGTAATAGGAGCTTCCGGAGATATGGATTGCCATAAATTTTTTAAGTCCTTATCATTCATTAACAGGCGATTATCAAATCCACAAATATCCTTTTTCAACCCTTCTTTTTCTTTAAACTCTTGAACAAGAGTTCGTGAAGCATCCTTCACAAGCTGAAGGAAATGCTTTTTTTCTTGAGCAAAACGAACTTTCTCATGCATTGTTGACAAACTCTGTTCAATGCTTTCTAGATTGGTTCGTTCAAACGCATAGACGTTTTCTGGTAGAATTATCTCTGGTAAGGAAGGTGCCTGGCTGCCAAAATTACGGAATACTTCAAAGTTATCTGCAACCATAGTTAATGTTTTTAAGGAGGAAGGCTCAAGTGTCATACTTTTAAGTTTAGATCGCATGAAAAGGACACCATGCTCATGACAACAATACTTTGATGAGGCTTCAGCAGGTTTTGAGCATTCCCGAAGCCTACACTTCCTTCTCCATGCGGTCACACCATGACCACTAGCCGTGCAACTGGGACAAAAATACTGAACTGTCAATTCATCGTAAGACTCTGGAATATTGACACATTCTCCATGAAACCAATCTTCACAGCCATCACATCCCAACATCCATCTACCATCATCAGGTCCTTTACAAAGACAATAAGTAGGACCTTCGAAATCTACATTTATAGAAGACCCTGGTTTTGTCCTTCGCGGTCCTTTACGAGTTACTGTACCAGCCTGTTTCTTTGGAATTGTTGATCCTAATTTTTGTAATTCTGTGTCTGTTTCAGTGCTTGAGGATTCAGGACTTTTTGGCTCCTCTTGCTTTACTTTTGATGACTCTGGTGTTAAACCATCCTCTACATGAGGTTTGCCAATCTCCTCTGAGACTTGATCAGATGCTATTGGCAAAATAGACTCCTCTTCTTTAACATTTTCAAATTTGTCGATATTCATCGAATCTTGACTCCCATCGTTTGAAATCTCCATGCCTTTGAAGTTTTTACCAGCGTTCAAGTGTTTTGATTCAATCCCAAGTATTTTGGGTACTGGAACGCTTTCTCCTTATATTAATCTATGGAAAAAGCATCATCTAAAAGTAAAAAATGAAATTCAGATTGATAGTTTTAAAGTAAATTATATTATGTAAAAATATATTTTAAAATCGTGAAACAAAATGTTAAACAGAAATACCGGTTGGCGAACAGACATTATACATCAAATATGGGGAAATTTAAATTATTAAAACGAAGAAAGGGATGAAACTGTTCTTCACATAAAATAAGAGAAAATGAAATGGATAGATTAAGGCGCATATCATCATTAAACCATTGTGGTTCCTTTGAAGCTCGGTGATAGATAAGTAAAACGATATTAGCGTTCAAATAAATAAGTAAATAAATAAACCCCATATCTTTTGCTTCAGCCTAATTGACGAAGACGATCTTTCGTTTTGCGCATTTTCTTACGGTTCTTGTCGGTTCCATGCGCTACATCATCCAGCATGGCATTTTGTTCGATGACTTCGTTATTAATTGCCATCGAAATCTCCTTTTGTCGTTGAATCGAAGGTAGTAATGCTTCCGCTTGAGTATCTTGACTCGTCAATACTTGGTTTTGTAGTTGGTAAAGACCAACATTATCAAGCTTTCTGGTGGTTGATGTCTCCTGTGAGTGGTTTTTACCTAAAACGCGATTCGAAGAAGGAGTAGAACGAAGAGAATTCTGTTGATCGGATGAAGACGATATAGGCTTGAATGGTGAACCTGGGCTGGAGCTAGCAGTGACTTCGGCAGAGGATGCGGGAGGGCTCGCAGGCCGTGTTAAATTCCTCATTAATTTTTGATACGATGAAAGCTCTGAAGAAAGTTTATCCAACATATCACGTCTGCGAAACACTTCACCAGAACCAACGGCGTTCATTTGTTCGAGACGATGAAGTGAAGAAAATAGAAGATCAATTGACCTCTTCGCATTGTATACGCTTCTTTTCTGCCCATAAATGGTGCTGTTCTTTTTTGAAAGCAAGTCAACCCTTGAAGCATGCAAATCACGTTTGCATTCATGAAACAATTGCATCCATTCAACAGGGCCAAGGCTACTTTCTTTTGAGGCATTATCAAAATTATTTTCTAAGTTTAGAAAACTCTTAACTTCTCCCATTTCTATCCAAGGACTTTTATTTAATGCTTTTATATACCCCTGAAGAGCTACTCGACGAGATTCACGAAATCCTTCATTTGTCACAGTTGACTGAAACCAAGACTTAGAAGGAAGATTCGGCAACGCTCCCATATCATCAAAAGGTCGGATTTTTTCATCTAAACTAACAAATTCGCTGAATCTTCGAAAGACGATTCTTCGTAAATTATTGGGAAAGCATACTTCAATGTGATATATGGTCCACCGCGAACCTTCGTCTTGTTTCTACGATCCGTTAGCTAAATATTTCTTCATTTCCTTACTTGTGATGTTTTTGGTATTTTCAATTGAATAGGTGCCATACTGGCGAATGCATACATTTATTTACGTGTAACTTCTTCCTTAATTCATTATGTATAACGAAGTTACTTCTACCTTGCAAAAGTAATTACCATATCTCTCTTCACTGCGTTGGTAAATAAATGAAAACATGCTGCGATATGAATAAACTGTAGTAGAGCAATTATTTAATCAACCTTTTCTTATGATTTTTGTTTTCTAAATTATAGCTAGTCGTATTGCATGGTATTTATAGGTGTTTGAAGAATGTACGAGCAATGTCAGACTACGAACGAAAAATCTACCTACCGCACAATTTTTGTTTCAGCAGATGGATAACTAATATGCTGAAGTATTATTAATTTCTTATAACACTAAAGTTAAGCAACTTTAGATCACTACTTAAAGACCACTGAGCTTTTATACAATCATTTGCACTTAGATGAAATCAGTAGGAAACCAAATACGAAGCTGATTGTGAATATCCTTTATAATCAGAGGTGAACGAAAGTCCTTGGTAGCATTTCAATTATGTGTCTACTAATTAGCGAATTTATGATTTCCTTTAGTGCTTTTGAAAGATTTGTTACTAATGTTCCTCTAATATTTATCGAACGTATTTCTACGGTAATGTATGAAATCAAAGTAAATTCAAACAATCCAGCGATTTATAAGCCCCTGCAAATATCCTTTGTTAACGATAAATGTAAGCTTTATAATAATAAACTTTCGAAAAATAGAGGAAATAAATACAAACAAATTAAGTAATTTAGTGAGTTTAGATATAACCAGTACAGACCCACACCGACTGTGAATTTGGAATTATTTGATAATATTACACCCGTACGCGGTTAGAATATTCAAGAAATGGATATGCCATTCACAGCGTACTTAAGAAGTCATTAACTGATAACTCGTCAAGGAATTTCCAAACAATCGAAAAGGGGAATAAGGTAGATGTTGAGATAAGACAGAAAACTGGACGTAGAAAGAAAATATAAACAAGATACATTCGCGGACACGAAAATTTTCATTCTCTATAGAGAAATAGCCCAGCAGATAAGTACCACAATCACAGCTTGGGTTATGTAAGTCAACAATACTTGACACATAGGAACCCAGTGAGGAGAAAACAAAAGGGTAAAGGGAATAGCGCAATTCCAAATGGAAAAGAATACCATTAAGGCAAGGGATTGAAGTAAGTTTCTCTTCTCAAATACAAGTTTTTGCAAAACATAACCAATAGGGACATGCGCAATATACTGTAGTGGAAGAGGAGGAGCAATTAAGCTAGTAACAACGTCACGAACGTTGCCAAGGATAATTGAGTTGAGATATAACTTTTGGGTTGAATAATTAAGCACGCTGATTAAAACACTAGCCATGAATGTAAATAGAACAGTGATACTGGTACGCGATGTGCGATCGCGAGAGAGTCGAGGATGTAAGATATTGGTACCTGCTCGAGCAGCAAGCAAAGACAGCGCGTCGATAGCAAATGACCAAGAGATCTGTCTAAGAGATACAAGATAATAAGTGGATAATAGGATATACAGGGGATACTTTGCGATCAAAAACCACTTAATACCCAAATTGAAATGATACGTCACAAACAACTGAAACGCGTGCATCAGAATATACACGTAGCTCTAAAATTATTAAAAGTTAGAATAGATAAATAAAACATCAGCTTGCAAAAACTTCCACGGAACTTACCATCCAATCTGGAATATTTTTGTTTACGACACCTGTGGATGCCAACAAACGAGGATTCAAATGTAAATTCAATGCTCCATATGTGATTGTGTGCAAAGAAACAAAAGCTATTACTTGAAGACTTCGAGAAAGACGCGAATATCCTTGTTCTGTCATCTCGATAATATTGGTAGTTTGTAAGTGTGCGATGCTGTGTAATGGGAATAGTGAACTAGAACGAACAATAAATAAAAGCTGTCGTGATGAAAAATCTTTAAAGATTTCTGTAGTAGAAATGACTTTATAATGTAAATGAAATATACTGAATTTTTAAAAATATATTTCTGTTTCTGGGTTACTTAAAATTTACATGATCTATCCTACGTCCCGTAAACCATTATTGTCATTAGTTCATTAATATTGTCAAGTTGAGAGAAACAAGTAAAATATAAAAAGAATAGTATCAATTTTCCGACTGAAAAATCAAAGCAATAATGCTAATCACAAGGGAACTATCGATGTCTTTCAATAAACAAACGAATTATTTACCACTATAATGTTTTGTTTATTTACTGTTTAACGAATATGTATGTATTCGTTATTATATTTAAAGAATATTGGTAATCATCGTAATCATAGAAGTTCGATCGGAACCATCTTACTCGCTATTCATCTGCATTAACTTGTTTATGATTGGGATGTACCACCAACTCTCATTCTACCAATACTCCCTTCTCTTCGATGGTAAGTTTATATAACGGACAATTCTTTTGGTTCCTTTCATTAACAAAACAATTAAGGCTAGTTCTACGATCTACAATATCTTTTTCAGAAAGAACTCTTCTTTCTACGCTACTATATTCGCGTCAGCCTTTTTCACCAAGATGTATGTAATTTCGAAAGAAGCAGCGAGTTTTCCGTTAAAATACTTACTAACTAAATAGTGGCTTTGATATCTTTGCGGATAAGGTGTGGGAGAGTGCTAATGCTGGTGTAAGTTTTCATTTTTCGTCTTTGTACCTGTTCAGTCTTTTTGCTAACTTCCTCTTTTTAGATGCAATGGAAAGATGTCAAGCCTCGCTTCTTAAATAATGAAGAAGAAGAGGAGTAAACAATTTAATTTGGGGTTTTCTTTCTTTTGTGTTTCTGTCAGTCTTTCCTGACTGTCGTGAACAACTTCAAGTCTTTTTGAAAGTATCTCAGTGATATAACTCTCATTTCCTCCCCCCTTTTCTTTTTACTTTCAGAATTTGCAATGCCTCATAAGCTTCAATTCGTTCTCTTTACCTTTCGCTTGAACGAATAAAATTTTAATTTCGCCAAGTACCTATTTTCTATTAAATACTTGTCTATTATTAGAAAATTGTAGTTCAATATCCATCCTTTCTGAAGAGCTGTATTAAAATACATGTAAATTGTCGCTCTATGATGCCTGAATAGCTCTAACGAAGAAATAAAGGTAATAGCCGGAAATATTAAATAATTAATGAAAGTTGTAAGAAATAAAATACGTATACAGAGACTTTATCAAAGTCTTCTTGTTCCCCAGCTTGTTTTCATAAACATTTTAAAAGAACAAGAAAAATGTGGAAACGTGTTTAAATGCGGTAAATCATATCTTCGGAGAACATGATTTTGTTTTGGGCATCCATTTCTTTCAAGGCAGAAATTCCCTCGTCTCTTGTAAAGGAAGTATCACCTTCAGCTCCATTAATTGCATTCAAGACATTTTCCAGAGACGCACATTCTTCTGAAAAGACGTCTGTTTTGGTCAACTCAGACAAGCGAGACATAAAGATTGACATCTTCTCCCTCGATAAGGCGACGCCTTGAGAAGAGGAAGCATTACTTTCCGTAACTTCGCTTGTATCAACATTCCCACTGAGCCCGCTAGCTGCTGTGGTGCCTCTGCCTGTTGTTGGAAGGGTAGAATGACTAGAAGGCCATGAAAGTTGGGTATTGGAAGGCTGTCCTAAATGTAATTGACTGCCATCGCTGGTAGCTGTTGCTGCGACTGACTGATTTGTTGCAGACGCGGCATCGTCAATGTCCATTTCACTTTCTTGACTTTGTCTGTTTTGGGTTTGAGAACGTGTCTGTCTTCCTGACTCGGGGACATTTGGTCGACTATTTTGGAATGTGGGATCATCATTCAAATCATTATCACCTTCCAGTTCCTCTGAATCAAAGTCTTCCTCATCTGAACTGCCTTCTTCTTCTCCCCCTCCTCCTTCTTTACGCTGTTTTTTACGACGGTTTGATTTTGGTTTATATACTTCCCTAAATAGCGCGTAACGAAGGATCTTTTCAGCAGCTTTAGCGTCTCGTACCTCTACTGCATTACTCAATCGAGCTTTTGCATGGGCGGTACTTAATCGAATTAATGTTTCCAATGTACGAGCTGTGAGTGGACTGGTACGGCGCTGATTACCTTGTAAATCATCGTTTCTAAGACCACAATATATATTCGTGATATACTCGGCCGTAGCCTGATTAAGGACTGGATTAATTCGAGATTTTGCATACTGAATATATTTACGAACAAAGTTGATGTTCAGCAATTCCTTTCGTTTTGTTCGAGCGTTTGCGTGTAGCAGGCTTGAAAATGTTTCCCAAACTGGTGTTTCCGATTCTTGATCTCCATTTCCAGCTGAAACACCTGCAGTATTTGTTGCACCAACATTAAGTACCGAATTTAATGAGTCTCTCACCGGAGTGCCAGGCTCCACACCCGGCGGTAGATAACGATGCATCCTCAAAACATGTTCACTCAAGGCACGATCCTTCTTATCGTCTATATCATCTGTAACAATAAATAATAAATCGAAACGAGAAAGCATAGAATCCGGTAATGCTATATTCTTAGTAGGATCTTTTCGGATATCATATTGGCCGTAGATGGGATTCGCTGCAGCTACAACACTGCATCTAGCGTTCAAAGATGTATGAATACCAGCTTTAGCAATAGTGACCGTCTGTTGTTCCATTACTTCATGAATAGCAACCCGATCGATATCACTCATTTTGTCAAATTCATCAATACAAACAACTCCCCGATCAGCTAAAACCATTGCACCGGCTTCTAAACGACGTTCACCAGTCTCTCTATCCGAGGTTACGGCAGCTGTAAGACCAACACCTGACGAACCGCGGCCAGTAGTTGCGATAGCTAAAGGAGCTGTGTTTAACACAAATCGCAATAGCTGGGATTTTGCTGTTGAGGGATCACCCACCATTAAGATGTTGATATCACCACGGATATGTGTGCCATTAGATAGATTTTTCTCTGTACCACCCAAGAGTAAAAGCAAAATTGCTTGCTTAATATGCTCAAACCCGTAAATACTGGGAGCCAAACTTGTAGAAAGAAGCTCAAAAGCATTCTTTTTTCGAGCCAGCTTATTTATATTACGAATATCAGCGTCCGTAATCGTCAAGGCACCTCCACCAACGTTTCCACTGCCTGGTTTATTTGTTAACAGAACAACGTTATTGGCAAGCAAAACGGTACGAAACGTAGCATTTGTGCTTCCAGAATTTTTTGAGCCCATTGAACGATATTGTCCAACAATATGTACTCGATCACCAGGTTTTACTGTATCAACCAAGTCGTCATCGAGTAAAATATCAATGGATCGAGGCAATTGACCCGGTGGTGCACGTTCGGGCATTTCTTGAAGTGAAATCGTCTGATGGTCTCGAAAAGTACTGTAACCGAATTCAATAGATAAGGGATTACCACTTTCATCCTGCGTTGGATAGACTGTGGATTGAAACGAAAGTCCACCATTCATTGTGGAGTCAGCATACTGTTTGAAATGATGACGCTTCGTTGCTTCACAATAATGTATAGATTTTATAACTTTAGGACGAACGAATGAACATCTTGTCACAATTCCTTCTAGTGAAATCATTTTGTTCAAATGCAAAGCCCGTAAAGTACGAGGCGTAACATGTAGATCACCAAAAGAACCACGAAATCCAATATAAAATGGTTTATCCTTAATATCTTTGTGAACGATAGGATCAATTAGTGTACTAACTACTCCCTGGAGAGCTTCATTAAAAGGTTCGACAAACTCCATTGGCTGATAAAGGACTCCATCAGCTAGTTCTTTATTGTAATCTCGAAGTTCATCGATGTTAACAATCAAGCGTCTTTGTGCCATGTTCAGCATTCTGAGAATTGCTTCATGATAAAGCGTAGCATTCGTATCGTCGGAATCGTGCTCAAGATATTCTTGAAAAATCCTTACACGATCCTTGAAAACCTCATCTGCCAACAACTCCGACATTTTGTTTGTTCCTTACTTGCAAACGAGCTTATGATTTTACGACGCGTCTCTTAAATTTTTCGTTTCTCAAAAAGTCTACCTTTATTGAGTAATTCCTTTATTATATCATAAATCGAAAACAAATTAATTAAATGATAAAAAATGCCAAATCCCGTTTCTGTTTTAGCTGCCTGTAGCTTGTTTACTGTAAATGTTTTGCTTGAAGCGTGTACCCTTTTTGTTTTCGCAGTGAATAGTAACATGTTACCCATAAGCGAATGAAATAATTGCAAACATAAATGAACTCGCCAATATTCCTGATTGAGTAGTAGACATTATAATAAAACAAAATAAAATTGAAGGGAATCTTAGCATGCTCCTTAACATGAGGCCGCAAATATTATCTATTTTTACAAAGTTGATTTGAAGTAAACTAAATGTGTCTATAATATTATGCAACTCGAAGAAATACTATAAATTAATTATATGATTGAAATGTGCAGATCCAGGAAATAACAAAGACATCAGTACTTCGTGTCTTGGTAATAAATTATCGAATGAATAAAAAATGCGGAATAGTAACTTTTCATTCAATATTGTACAAGCTTGTGAATATCGGACATAAGATCCCATCCATATGTCACGATGCCCTCAACAAGTTGCTCGTCTGGTATAGTTCCGAAACGGCCTTGGATAATTTCACCATCAGGACCATATTTGATTTTGTACCGATGTTTTGTATCTAATTGGATCTTAACTTCTTTATCATTGGAAGTAATAACCCGCCCTGATTTTTCAGAAATCTCAGGTGTATAGGTATTAACATTCAAGTCCATGATGGTAAATCGCAATAAACTACCCGGAGGGAACTCAACGTCTAGCTCTGCATCCTTGGACACAGGTACCGCATCATAGCGATGTTCAACTTTTATTGTATCGGAATCAAGATGAGAGCTTTGTCCCTCACTCAAATCTTTGCTTTCATCTGATGGATAAGGTCTATCAGCCAAGTCCAAATCACCGGGCATAGCTTCTACATCTTGACCGTATTTCTTCATCAATCTCGATTTTTTTCGACGAAGATTTCTTGACTTAGTAGCAGAGCTACCGGAACCGGGTGGCCGAATTGAAGTTGAACTATTGGGATCTTCATCAAATTCGTGAAATGAACGATTATTAAAAATGCCATTCTTATCATCCGCAGACCGAAAGTCAGAAGTGTTGGCGTCAACTGAATCGGTTCCAAATTCACCGAAACGTTTGTAGACAATGTCACTTTCTTGCTCCAAGCTGGATTGTCTTTTAGTCGGAGAGGACTTTAAAAAGTTTGTAGTGTCAAAAAGAGTCGTTCGTTCACCATCTATTGTACTGCCAGAATAAAGGGTGTCCGGGTTAGATGAATGCAAAGCAGAAGAGTCACGAAAATAAGACATTTCGTTAGCTGTATTCAAAGAGTGAGAAAACCCAGAAGTGTTGCTTTTAGGAATATCATTTGTTTTTTTATTATGATGCTTCAATTGTTGAGAATTCAAAGAGCCACCATCGCTGGTTGAAGAGTCTGAGCTTGAAGTACTATCGTCGGAAGAAGAATCACTGCTTTCTGAGCTATCCTCTTCTGATGAACTGGCAGTGGTGGATACGGAAGCTGCATCAGAAGAAACAGATACAGAGACAGCAGAGGATGATTCTGATTCAGAAGACGAGTCATCGGATTCAGAAGATTCGCTTGAAGAAGATTTTACTGAGTTTCCACTTTTCATGGGTCTTTGTTGGTTTGCTGTAGTCAATAGCTGAGATTCGACATTTTTCTTTAATGGGTTCACAGTAAACTCACCATTCGCTGAGTGATCCACCTTACTTTTCTTTAAGGTGTACATGTCATTCCATGTTGTTGGAGCTGCTGCATCACGCTTTTTTGTATTAAACTCACTACCATTTGGAGTTGTGTAAGGTAAAGATGAGCTAACTATTAAGTTGGCTTGTTTTGGAGCTTTAGTGACCTGAACATGAGCTTTGTTTCCTCTTTCCTGCACACCTTTGCTCCAATTTTGAAGAGCTGTTTCCAAGGAAGTGGATGAACTTAATCTCAAAGCCAAAACTTCGCAGCTTCTCAGTAAAGCCTCTTCTCTAGAAAGAATGCGCAATTCCAGTATCTCCGAATCACTCAAAAACAAATGATACGCCATAGAAATCGGCAAGGCAAAGTCGTCCTTCACAAGTTGTAAAAATAATTCATTTCCTAATGCATACTTGGCTTGGTTTCCAGATCCTACAAGAATCGATCGTCCATCTTTACAATCTCCAAAATTAAACAACAGTATACTATACAACAAATCGGCAATAGTGCTTGTTTTATCGGACAAATTTAGTTCAGCAGTGTGAATCCACTGCTGTATAGGAGTTAAGGGCTCACAGCTTCGAATCCTTAAGAGCATCGTCAGTTCGCAGAATATATGTATTTCGTACTAATCGAAGAATATTCCAAGGTCATCAGTTTTTCTTCTCTATAATAGTAAAAATAAACTAAAGTTTGCTTTTTACCCAAGTATTTCTCGATTTTTGTCACATAGAGGAAGAAAGCATTTAATGTTTACTGTTGGAATGTTGATTCCAAAAACATACACGAATAGTGCACCCTAACAATATACACTATAATTTTTATTGAAATCGTAACTTGTCGGTATTTTGTAAATACTCGTGAACAGACTGACAATAAACCTGCCATTTTCTAATTCCAATGTTTGCAAACGCGCGAGCGAAAAGACGTCCTAGAGCCACTTCTCCTACGCCTGCGAGATTGACTAGCTATGCACCGGCTCGAGTAGAGATTACAGAGGAACAGCGACAAGACATTCATGAGGCTTTCAAGTTGTTTGATTCAGACAAAGACAACGCAATTGATTATCATGAATTGAGGGCTGCTATGCGTGCATTAGGATTCAATGCAGAAAAAGCAGAAGTTCTTAAAATTTTACGTGACTTTGATAAAACTGGAAAAGGATACCTTCAAATGGAGGACTTCGTTCGCGTCAGTAAGTTTTTAAAAACATAAGATTAAAAGTGAAGTTTTCATGAATTTTGACTAATATAATTCAGTGACCGAAAAAATTGTAGAAAGAGATCCTCTAGAAGAGATTAAACGTGCTTTCGAGCTCTTTGATGATGATGAAACTGGTAAAATTAGCATACGAAATCTTCGTCGCGTCGCTAAAGAGTTGAATGAAAACATTGATGATCAAGAATTAGAAGCTATGATAGAAGAGTTTGACCTTGATCAAGACGGTGAAATTAATGAACAGGAATTCATAAGTATAATGATGGATGAAGCCTAATGTATACTAGTGTTCATACAGTTGGTCATTCCGCTATACCTTTGATGGATCTAGTGAAACTTTTTGTGTCTTCTATCTTCTTTCGTTTTTTTACTTTCTATGCTGGTATATACTCTCTTTATTTATAGGTTACATAATTTAGTAATTGGTCTATTATCTTCTTCCAAGTAAGCTTCGGAAAAAACCTTTCGTCTTGCTCTCAGATGAAGAATCCTGTTCTTCGACCTTTAATTTGGTTTTTTCAAATTCTGTTTGTTGTCCCAAGTATGTAATAGCTAAATCAAAGAAAAGTGGTTTAGCAGGAATGGGTCGTAAGTTCAATTGAGTTAAGTTTAAGGGTTTCTCCAACTCCGTATTGTACTGATTCATAGACTCGACCAGCGATAAATCCTTAGGCTTTTGATTAATCATCTCCATAGAAGCCAAGCTTCGCAAAAGTAGAATTCTCTTTTTCAAATCTTCAGGTTTTGTTTGCAACTCTGCAACAATATCGAAAGCGATTTCCAGAGGGGTTTCCTCAAAATTATGTAGACAATCGTTAGCTTGCTCATAATAATGGCCTGCACGAATACACATAGCAAGTCCTTTTGCTTTATCTTGTGATTGATACGCCTCGGCAATAACCTGGCAACGTCTCGCTTTAGCTACAGCGATTTGAGCTTCCAGTTGTACCATCATGCCATTATCCTTTGCGATACCGGGTAAATTCTTGGCAGCTTCAATATTCTATATTAATGTTAGATAGATCATAATAGATAGAAAACCATCCTACCTTAATAATTGTGTCATATAAGCTTTGTTGAGCTCTTAAATTAGCCAATGAATTCGTGACAATTGGCTGTTCCTGGGTACGAATGTCCCGTTGAATTTTGAGGACAATGAGGTTGTATGCAAGATAACTATAGCAAATTGAAAGTTCTTGATATTCGTTACTTTCTGGAGAAATACCATCCAAAATGCTTTTCGTTGTCTTCTCGGCATTGGCCCAAGCACCAAGCAAACGATCATCTACAGTAGTGGAGCTGTCAGTGCTTGCTTGAACGTCGTGAATACCGTACAGAGCCAATACCATTTCAGGGTGTGTTATCTGAACGGTTTGATCACGCCAGGTAACTCGGGTAATGGAAGAAGTGCCAGCTTGGTCTTCAGCATTCGATTCTAACAATTGAGGGTTCAAAAAACGAATTTGTTGAACTACCAAATCTTCATTGGAAACGTTTGCAAGCATGAGAACGTCTAATGATTCTGTCTGGTTTTCTAAGCCGTTTCGCTGGGCGACATAGCGTATGGTAGAGTCAATTTGCCCAACTAATTCATTTAAGACTCCTCGTTGGTGGTCCGACAACTCTTTTACAGATCGTTGCAATTGTTGAAATGCTAATCGAGAAGAACTGAATGAGTGCAAAGAATCTTCCCATAATCGCTTTTCGTAAAAATATGTACCTTCAATATATTTCATGAAAGCAGCAGCCTCTAGAATAAACAAGTGATTGCTATGGTCTTTTGATTCACAAAAAGAGACCAATTCCTTGGAGGCTTGCAGCCCCCGTTTCAATCTTCGAAGAGCATGTTGACGCTGAGAAGATCTCAAGTACGAATATTGCTGGAATGCGCGATCAGCATTCAACAGTTGGATTTCTGCGAATCTTAACTATGTTAGTTACTAATTCTAAACTTCTACCCCTTGTGTTTTCTAATACCTTTTGTCAGCTGATGTCTTTGGCTTTCCACCTTTTTGAGTAATGCTTAAAGCTTTCCGCAGGGAATGAATGCGCTGTGATAAGTATCTGATATACTCAGTTCCTTCATAAAAATGATCAGAGCGAGCCTCCAAAAGCAAAGGCAACAGATAAAACCCTGCTTTTTCCATATTTTGAGATTTTGGCTCTGCACACGCGATCCTTTCTACTAAGCACTGCTTCATGCACCCATTACATCGCTATATTTTGAAAACGGATTTAAGCAGAAGGCTTGCAATACCATGTTTGATTTATAGCGTATTCCTCCGTTTCATTAAAATTACACTTTACGTAAAGTATCACTAAACGTTTAACGAAATAGGACATTCGCGTTAAAAAACAAATACTCGACATATGAGAATCGTGTTTTTTGACTATTGTATATTCATTGCTCCAATTAAAAGTACTAATTTTTTTATGTCTACTTTATAAAAAATAGTTCCTATATAGCTTGTTTAGAAAAAGTGTCCTTTGATATCGTGAGTTTCTCGCTTGACAATGCGTGGACGATCTGATCTGCTTTAGGAAGTATGTGAATTATAACCCTCCAGTTTGAATAGAACATACACGTTTATGTACCTACAGTTATTGGGAAATTCAGACAAAGATGCGTGACACTTAGAACATTCGCCTTTAAAGCTTCCTTGTTAAAAGTCTATACATCTCCACGAAGTAGCTTACCAGTAATGCATATACTTGTTATAAATTAAAGCATAGCAATGAAGAGGTTTGATCGGTCATATTTCATGTAGTTTCAGTAATTTGCGTTAGTAAACAAAAAAAAAACAAAACCAAAAGCAAAAAGGTAGAAGTAGTTGTAAAGTATATAGTATGTAAACAAGAGCCGAATGAATTTAATGGATTTCGCCGGCCTTAGACAAGACATCAACAAATGTCTCTTGCTGGGACTTTGCTTTTCGCCTACCAACTAACTACCACTCCAAAAGCAAGAAGAATTACCAGCGAGTCGATTGTTTTCAAATTAATATAAAACTGGTTGTTTTGATGAAAAAAGCAATATGGAATGAATGTTGGTAGGAAAAGTGATTTGTTTCCTTTCGAAACTTGTACCAGATTACCGCTCCCCTCGCTGGAGCCAACTCTTTTGCAAGAGCTAGGGGTTTTGAATGAAAATGAAAATGCCAAACGAAAATATCATAAATTGTCAGCAGGCTTGGAAGAGTTTTCCTTAGCGAAAGACCATACATTGCTGGGAAAGGACGCTATTTTGGGCGTTTCCACTACCTCTTCGATTGAACCTAAGAGAGAAACTACAAATGAAAATATAGATGGAAACTATTATTTTTTGGAGTCTGTTGCAGATAGAAAACGCATAAAGTCCCAGAGCCCGGATTTGGATTCTGCCTGCTATAATGAAGACGCGTTTATCGACTCGAACATTTTGGGTTGCTATTCGAATTGGGAGGGTACAAATTATATCTCGAAAGAAGCAAAAACGCCATTTTTTTCAGAGTGTCCTGCTCTTGTCTACGATGCCTTTCTACATGAAGACGGGTCCCCCGAAGCTTCATCTGTTCTACGGCTTTCATCTCAACAGGTGTATTTGGCACTATGTGCTTTGGTTCAGGGGTTTGAAACGTGTTTGTTTTTCTGGGATGACGAGAATGCAACGTTTCGTGTTCCTAACCTTGTTTCCATGTCGGGAACTTCTCAGCTTTCCTTTAGTAGTTTTGTGACGGAATTCATCTCGTTTGGTACGTTGGTACGAAACTCTATAAAGAAAATAAAGAACCCGATATCCATCGGACAATTTTACCTGTTTAACTTTTGCGCAAATGGTATTACTCAGTATCGGAAGGAGTTACAGTCTTTATTATTAGACTTTCATTCCCCCATTAGGGGACCTTTATCCCTATTGAATTATATCCGAAGGTTTGATCCTTTGTTCCGTATGCTTAAATACGTTTTGTCTATGCCACCCTCTCGTCAAGATACTATATCAATAATGAACGCTCTTTATGATTATACGATTATTTGCCAAAACACCAGAAGCTATCCAATAGCTTTGGAATGCTTCGTTTATTGTTCTGACCCTTTTTTTCTAAAACTAAATGCTGCATTGGACTTTACGGTTACCAATAAACGTATACAACACTTCGTTCAGTCATTCCCCAACTTTTTCCCTTCTGAGCTTTCTTTGCTTCTGGCTGAATTCTTGAATTCCTTCACTATGGTTCAGCAGTATCCTGTATTTTTTGAAACACTACGACCAAAGTTAGCTACTTCTCTTAAAGTTGGTTTCAGTCTTCGTGAGAATCTCTTATTTCCTACACCAAATAAATCATCAATAGACTTATCAGCCAATGCTTTTCCAAAGGAGAAACAAAATGTTGGTGAAGAAGACAATTTTGAAGCTCTGCTTGAAAAAATGAATATGACTCCAAACATCGACGATGAGGTCTCTGAATTACACTTTGTCGAAGGTCCAGAGGGAATGTTACCATTGGGTATGGTGATGCAATTATGTATATATAATCCGATTCAGGACTATATTCTAGTACTTATGCGAACTCTGTATGAATCTTTGTTTACGCAATGTTTTGCTTCTGAAGTATTAAGACTTTTACAAAACGTATGCTGCTTTCAAAGCCCTGCGTTTGTTGACGAAACAATGTGTTTTCTAAGAGATGATTTCTTTGGATTAGATGATTCATATTCCTTGGAGCATGCATTCGTTGCATTTGCATCTTTTTCAAAACAATGCACATCTCATGAAATGGAACGTCTAGGCTTTGATAAATCTGCAAGTTCCAATATACAATTGCTTCTACATTACAACGAAGGAGAAATCCCGTCCAAGGAGTTTGGTGCTCTGGGTTTAAAGTGCAAGATATATGGCCCCTTACAAATGTTGTTTCCAAAAGAAATATTAGAACTCTATTCTAAAATCTTTTCTATGGTATCTTTTTTTTTTGAGCAGAAAGTGCTAATAGAATATGAATTTCAACATAGTCGACGACTTTGGGAAAAAAAGGTTCGAATCGAAAAATGGCTTTTCTATCAGAACATAAAGAGCAAAATTTTTGATTTGATACACGTTGTTATTCCGGAAACTATTGCTTCTTTTACTGGTCCTTTCCTATCGCTTTCCTCATTTTCATCGGACAGGCCAGTCAACATATTTTCTTCTGAAATAAATGGAAAGCATAAAGAAAGCTTGATGTTGTTAATAAAAGAAGTAGAAGCCAAACTACCCTCTATTGACGAAGCTCAAGGACAAGGCAATTGAATATTTATTTTTATTTTTATTTTATGCTTCTCAAAAGCTCTTTCCAATTCTCAACAAACCATAGATATTTTATACAATTTTATTAATTTTAAGATATTATGGAAGGATAATTATTAAATAAACAACCAACAACTTTTAAACATATTTTAGATGCATAAAAAAAAATAGTAATGTAAATATATGGATAGGAGAAGTCTTTTGCTAACCCAAGTTTTCTCAGAAATGCAAATAAAGCTTCTTTTTGCATGGTAAAAAAGAAAAAAAAAAGAAAATAATAATAATAATAATAATAAATTGTACCACAAAACGAGTTAAGTATGCCCAAAAAGAAAAGAAAACAGACAAAAGCCAAGAACAAAACCAATTTCAAACGTGAAGCTGATCATTCATCATAAGAAACGTGAGATGGCTAATAAACCAAAGATAATAATGCCGCGGGAAGGAAAAGATATATGCGAAGTGAGGAATGAAAGAGAAAAAGAGGGTGGCAGAGAGAGAGAGAGAGAGAAGAAAGTAAGGGTATCACAAATCAATTACCAGGGCAAAAAAGAAGTAGAATAAAATAAGATAGAATAGAATAGGATTTACCAGATGAAGGCATCATTGCGGTAACGGTAGAGAGAGGTCTTGTTTAAGTTAATAAAGGAAGAAGAAGAGTTGCTGTTATTCAACATGGGAAGGGGTGAACGAGTTTTGTTTGTGTAAACACAAATACCTTGGTTTTGGTAACCGATATTTTGGCAAGTAGCACCGCCAAAAGGAGTGCGCAAAGCATTGTTGCAATTGACTGGGTATTGGGTACCGTTGAAGCAAGTATTGACGAGATAGGGATAGTCTTCGTTGCAGTAAGTTTTGTTGCAAGCCCATTGATCAAGAGAATCGCGAGCGAAGACAAGAGGCTTTTCGACGATGTTGGAGTAGCTCAAAGAGAGTTTGGGGAATGCACTCTTTCTGGTGTTTTTGTTGGTAGCGGAAGAAGACTTGGCGTCAAAATTGGAAGAGTTAGTAGTTCCGGAAAAGTTCGAGGCACCAATTTGGCAAAGACCACGAGTGAGACCATAAGAAGGGTCTGTGGAGACGCAGGAGGCACCCTGGTCGCTGGGATAACCAAGAACGGTGGGACAGTTCAAAAGGACGGTACTGTGGTTGGCACAGATGGCAATGACTTGGGGAGAAACACAAAGGTTAGAACCAGAGACATGGCAATAGGTGCCTTCCGAGATGTTGTAGTAAGCAGTGTTGGCAATTCTGCTATTGATGTCGGGAAACATAGCCGAGCGTTTTTCAAGAGCGTCTCGGCTGCATTCGGGGTAACCGGGGGAACCACATAGTTTTAAAGCAGCGCAGGCTTGGAACAAAGCCAAAGCCAAAAGGATGACAGAAAGAGGTTTTGTAAGAGACAAGGAAGACATTTTTTACGGATAAAAATTCAAAGACAACACTTTTTCTTTTTCTTTACGTTTTGTTTTTAATGAATACCTTTTGTTTTTAATGGAGAACCTGAACAAGCTGGAGAATCAAAAAGGATCAATGGATCGATGTCAATAGAACAGAACAGAATAAAATAGAATAGAAGGAACAATGGGTATAGAAACACCGGTCAAAGGTTGTTTTTGTTCGTATATCCTTTACAATGGATGTAGAAAGAATGAGAAATGTGTTTGAATGGCGTAGGCATAACGCCGTACCTGCATATTTATATAGTCATAGATAGGTAAGATTGTTTACATACTTCGTAATAAGATCTCGTGGCGACCGAGATTTTTTTGACCTATGAACAGTCATAACGGGCTTTATCGTTCACCTAGCAACAAAATATGACGTCAATTGTAAATAAATAAACAAAAGTCATACGTCGATGTAAACAAGCCACCCGGTGTTTGAACCCTGTTAAAAAAACAGCAAAACAAGACGAATTGAAAGAAGAGTACAGAAAAAAATAAACAAAACAAAAATTGAAGATGAAAATATTAACGGAACCGCTTTTTGTAGGTTTATTGACGATGGAGTCTCGAAACTAGTTTGATGGTTGATTATCATGTAGAAGATTAGATCAATTTTTTAAAGGAGCGCTCATTTGAAAAAACGTAGCATAGCATTTGCCATCTAATGTTTTGCGGTTTGGAAGGGTTTGATACGTAGAGAAAAAGAATAAAAGAAGAAAAAAAAATAAAAAATAAAAAAGATGAAGAAAATTTAACGGGTTGATTCTCCTTTGGCTGGCGATGGCAAATTTTTCTATCCTACATTTATTTACTATAGTATAGTATGGTACAGTCTACAATGTATTATTCTGTCTTGATGAATCGAAAAAGAAATACCAAATGTGAAAAAAGAGCAGAGCAGAGCAGAGCAGACTACGGCGAATAAAATTAAATGATAGATAATTGATTTTCCATTGTGTTCCTGTTTCAAATGAGAATGAGAAAATGAAAAAAAAAATAAAAATAAAAAGAAGGGACCTGTACTAGTCCTTGTTTTGTTTACTATTTAATGACCCATTTCGTCTCGACAATCCGATCCATTCAACAAAAGTAAACAAAAGTAAATGGTAAAAATTACAGGTGGATTAGAAAAGAAAAGAAAAAAAAAAAACAAAACCACGAAAAGAAATGTTGAAAATCAAAAATCACATTGTTTTTCCACTAAAAGTATCAAGGCACAACACAGCATCTTCTGTTACCTATGATGGTCTACCCGGCCTACATGACACTGGCGGCGGTGGACGTACACGTACCCTTTGCCAACGCATCTTTTTAGAGAGATGTCTGATAGCATTAATTTTCGCGAGGCTGGATACAATTTTACTACGATTCTCAAACGGTAAGTTTTTGTCACAACTAGACATGCCTTTTCATCCTTAACCGATTTCGACAAGTGTAACTAATCCATGGTTTGTTCAGATTGGAAGCGGCAACCTCTCGTTTGGAGGATTTAGTAGAAAGCGGCCACCAACCTCTTCCCAATTTGCACCGAGCTTCCAGAGACAATAATTCCCAAACCCATAACATATCGGCGGGATCCCACAATGGAACCGGTAACCCTGCCATCGCTGCTGTCCGTGAACATTCATCTCCAAGTGTATCACATCGCCAGAGTGCCAGTAACCCGAAACCGGAATCCTGTTCTCCTTCCATCGCTGCCTATGACGAGTTTTGTTCCAAATACCTCAACGAGTATGTCCAATTAAGTAAAAAGCTTGGTGGGCTTGTTCAACAACAAAGTGAACACGTTGAAAATGCATTCAAACTCTTGCGTGGTATCTTGGTTGTTGCCATGAAGGCAAAGAAGCCCGAATACGAATCCCCTGAATTTTTCGAGTTTTTGAAGCCTATCCAATCCGAACTTCTTAGCACAACCAATATCCGCGATGAACACCGTACGGATCCTTTGTTTAACCAGCTCTCTACCGTCATGAGTGGTATTAGCGTTTTAGGCTGGGTCACCATTGAACCAGCTCCTGTCTCTTTTATGTCGGAAATGAAGGATTCCTCTCAATTTTACGCAAACCGTGTTTTGAAGGATTTCAAGGGAAAAGACGAACTTCAAGTTTCTTGGGTTCGTTCTTACCTTACTCTCTTGACAGAACTCGTCAACTACGTCAAGACCCATTACAAAACCGGCTTGGGCTGGTCTAATAAACCCGATGCTCCTCCTTTGAAGGAAGTTATAAAGAATGCCGGCGAGAAAGAATCACAAGAAGAATCCTCAAGAAAGTCTTCCTCTAGTGGAGCTAGTGGCTTGCCTCCCCCACCACCACCACCTCCTCCGGGAAACGACTTTTGGAAAGACAAGGAAGAGCCCAAGGGTAATGAAAAGGCCGATATGGGCTCCGTCTTTGCTGAAATCAATAAAGGAGAAGACATCACTTCTCACCTTCGTAAAGTCGATAAACGTGAGATGACCCATAAAAACCCTGAATTACGAAAGACCGGTCCTACACCTGGTCCTAAACCCAAGACTACCTCTTCCGGAGTCAAGGACGAGTTGGCCGTTCCACCCAAGCCAGCAAAGGCTCCTCGAATTGAGTTGGAAAATACCAAGTGGTTCGTTGAAAACCAAGTCAATAATCATAGCATTGTCTTGGAAGGCGTTGAGTTGAAGCACACCGTTCAAGTGATTGACTGCTCGAACTGTACTCTGATTATCAAGGGAAAGCTTAACGCTGTTTCCTTGTCCCACTGCAAGCGTACGAGCGTTGTCGTAGACACTTTGGTTGCCTCATTTGAAATCACCAAATGCAGCAACTTTGGTTGTCAAGTCATGGATTATGTTCCTATGATCGTCGTTGACCAATGCGACGGAGGAGCCGTTTATTTGAGCAAAAACTCTCTCAGCACAGAGATTACCACCAGTAACTCTTCCAGTTTGAATGTCAATGTTCCTATTGAAGAGGGAGACTACGCTGAACGCGCTATTCCCGAACAAATTAAGCATAGAATTAACGAAAAAGGAGAACTCGTTTCCGAAATCGTTCGTCATGAGTAAACGAAGGCATGAAGAAGAAATTTGGTACGTGATACAATCTATTGTTGGATGAACCCTCTACATCTACATACTTGCTCAAAGGTGTATATAGATACATCTACAATCTTTTTATGATAGCCAAAAGAACTGAGTTTCGAATGCCAATAGGAGGAAGTGTTTCGAATGAAGAAATATCTATCCATGACGACCAAAAACCATGATTTTATTATTCATCAACAATATTTTGTATGTTTTCTTTTTTACTCTTGAATTTTTTTTCACGTTTACGATGAACAGAGCGTTGAAAAGAAATACGTGTTCTATGAACTTTTGTCAATGCCGATCTTTTTACGACGAATAATGTGAATGATACTGATATATCTCGAGCTGAAAGTGCTTTGCTTTTATATACAGTCGAAAGGAAGAAATTTGGTTAGTTTGGTTTTCATGGAAATATTTTTTTTCCAACCATTCGTTCCATCGTTATATACTGTTTGCTATTCTAAAAGCAAAGAATTATTGACTGAAGGTTTTCTTTCTTACTTTTTCTTATAGAATGTTCCAATTTTGTTTTATAATATAGAATTCTAGTTCTTCAACGTTAGTTTGATCATGTAACTTTTTCAACAGTAAACATTTTTTTCTTTTTCTTTTCCTTTTTTTTTTTTTTTTTTTTTTTTTTTTTTTTTTGCAGACTCTTCGAACCTCTTGCTTTCTTTTCTCTGTGATTTCCTTTTCGTTTTATCTGATGCATTTCCAAGCAAAACAAGCAAAAAAAAAAAATACTAGATCTATACCAAGAAAGAATAAAACCAGGATTGTAAAACAAAAGATCGATTGATGAAAAGACAATGACTGTTTATTGAGATTCGGCAATAAGTTTCTGCTTTTCTATTAGACAAAGCGAGGATTCGTAATGTCCAAAAATGAGTAGTGGGGAGCGAACGCCTCGGCTATTAAAACGGAGGCTTGTTGGTCAATGTTCTTTGCTCGGTATGGGAGCATATTGTGGAATACGTAAAACGTCAGTCCATGAGCGGATGCTTCCGAGAGTATATATACCTGAAGAGAAGAAACAATCTTTACCTTTACCAACCCCCCTCTAAAGTTATAAACACAGACAGGAAAGAAGACTACCTACGGTTTTCGATTCATTTCATTCATATATAACGATAAACTTTTCAAGGTAAGTTGCTTCGGAATTGCAGTTTGGAATTTATTACGATGGGCTTTTTTGGAAACAATGCGAGGCTGAATTGCTGAATTATGAGTTTAACTTGCTTCACAGTGTATATGTGCTGTTTTCCTTGAGTATAACTATGGTCAGTCAAAGCTGGAGGAGGGAGGTTAGTGAGGAACGAAGAAAGGATGAATATGGAAAAGAAAAAGGAAAGAAAAAGAAAACAAGCCCCGTAAAGTGAGTTTTAGCTTTATATGGTGGAATGTTATTTTTGATCTGTTTCTACCATTTCATCTGTCTTAGGTTGGTCTTGTGGTTACGAGGCTCCTTCCTTTTCCATGAAATTGAGCTCATCTGTATTCAGCATGAGAGAAGTAAAAGCTTGCCCAGTGATATCATTTCATACGAAAAAAGCGAAAAGAAAAAAAATAAAGATGCGCTAACATTTTGTGTAGAAAAATCTAAACGTATTGTTTCAAAAATGATGATGCATAAAACAGTTTTGCAAAGAATGGGCATGAAGACCTGCATGCCTCGCCCTTTCTCCACTAGCTCTAGACTTAATTATAAGGTAGCTGTTTTGGGTGCCGGTGGTGGTATCGGCCAACCTTTGTCCATGCTTTTAAAGACAAACACAAAGGTCTCTGAATTGGCTCTTTTTGATATTAAGGGTGGTCCTGGTGTTGCCGCCGATATTGGCCATATCAATACCTCTTCCAAGGTCAATGGATTTTCTCCCGATGACAAGGGTCTTGAAAAGGCTTTGAAGGGGGCTGATTTGGTTGTCATTCCCGCTGGTGTTCCTCGTAAGCCCGGTATGACCCGTGATGACTTGTTCAAGACCAATGCCTCTATTGTTCGCGACTTGGCTTTTGCTGCTGGTGAAACTGCTCCTAATGCCAAGTATCTTGTCGTAACCAACCCCGTCAATTCCACTGTCCCTATCTTCAAGAAGGCTTTGGCTCGTGTTGGCGTTCATCAACCTAAGCACTTGTTTGGTGTCACCACTTTGGACTCTGTCCGTGCTAGCCGTTTTGCTTCTCAGGCCACCAATGGTGTCGCTGAGACTCTCCGTATTCCCGTCGTCGGTGGTCACTCCGGTGCCACTATCGTCCCCCTCTTGTCTCAGGGTGGTGTTGAATTGACTGGTGCTGACCGCGACAACCTCGTTCACCGTATTCAATTCGGTGGTGATGAAGTTGTTAAGGCTAAGGCTGGTGCCGGAAGTGCCACCTTGTCTATGGCTTACGCCGGAGCCCGTATGGCCTCCTCTGTCATCCGTGCCTTGGATGGTGAATCTGGTGTTGAGGAATGCACCTTTGTCGAGTCTCCCTTGTTCAAGGATCAAGGTATTGATTACTTCTCCTCTCGCGTCACTTTGGGTAAGGATGGTGTTGAGACTATCCACCCCGTTGGCCCCATCAATGAATACGAAGAAGGTCTTCTCAAGGTTGCTCTTGCTGACTTGAAGAAGAGCATTGAAAAGGGTGAACATTTCGTTGCATAAACTACGTTAGCGAACTTTTCGCATGCTTTTCCAATCGTTCTTTAGTCTTAACGCAATTTGTTAATGATATCTATGCCTAGATGAAATTATTTTATTACTATTATTATTATTGTTTTTTGTATTCCAAAAATGTAATCTTACTCTTATTTTCATGGCTTTCAATGTTGCCTGTACTGTAAATGCCAACATACCTAGGTGCTGCGGTGGCATACTACTTTTAGCCGCTGCAAAAAATAGTAAACTACGTACCGATATAATTTTATTGTGTTCTTCAGCGAAATCAGTTTTGTATTTTGCATTAGGTTTTTCTTTACATCCTGTCTCTGCATTTACGACGTCTCAAGGCGTACCTTTACGATATCCTCTCACTGAACTAAGTAGACACAGCATATTTCTATCAACCTCTTAATATCTGACTTAGAATGCCATTGAAAAGAAAAACGGAATATAAATCAATAGAAAAACTTGATCAAAAATTGGTATATACAATTATCGTGAAATGAAAGGATTATTAACAACAACGCACAGGTTAAAAAAGCTTCTTCAGCATTATTGCAATATGTGAAACAAAAGGGATACAATCCTGAAAAAGAAAGGATATACTTGCAAATTAACACATTTCATCCACCCGAAAACGAAGCGCTAAGGAGACCCAGTAAAATGTAAGTGAAATTGTTTAAGGAGTCGACAATTCAAGGATACATGCCCATTGAAGCTTACAGTCTACAACCTGTTCGTTTTGTAGAAAGAATTGATTGTGGTTCTTCAATTTTGGGCATATTTCATATGGATTTGTTTTGACACTTAGACGATACGCCAGCCATCAATAGTTTTACTAATGTTTTATTAGTTTTCTTCCTAATCGTGTTTTACGTGCAGAAGATGCTTGTTTATTCGTGAAAGGATCACAGCAGCAAATACAGGACGAGATAGCAAAACAAGGATTAGACGAGATGATTACAAAAGTTGTTAGCATTGCAAGACTGAAGCTAAAATACAAAACTGTGAAAGAAAAATGTCAGTTACGTGATTCCCATGGATTCTTTTTCATGGATAAACGAGCTGCAAAGGATGTGACAGCATTAATGGGTATGGTGCTTGCTCAGAAAAAGATCAAAACTTTCCCAATTTCCCTCGATCAAAAGAAAGATACCATCCGTCACCAGGTTGCGCGTTGTCTGCATTCCACTTTTTTCCAATTATCCGCCGGTACAAGTCATTCTATTCTATGCGGACTCGCTTCACAAAGCAGCGAACAGTTGCACCAAAATATAGAAGCCATATTTCGTTTTCTGCTAGGAAAATTTATTCCTAGGGGATGGAATGCGATTGACAATGTTGCTATAAAGACAGCAGACAGTGCCTCTCTTCCTATTTGGCAATCAGACAAGGCAGTTGCTGAGTATAAGAGGAATATTGTTCATATCCAAGACAGCCGTCCTCCTACCAAGAAGGAGTTACGAGCAATTCAAAAGGGGACTCAAGTCCCTAATAAACCCCTCTAAAACGGCTTTATTAAGCTATTGCTTGGTTCATCGGGATCCAAGTTGCGTAATGTGTCTCTAGGCATGGGTTTAAGACAAAGTTTTTGTATTTCTTTTGGGATATAACACTGGTTAATCGGGTTCATTCTTCATTTCAGCAACCAACCCTAGAAAGATTCTTTATAAGGCAGGTATATAATAAGAACTTGGGTTTTGGATACTGTCAGGCAAAAGGTTAGACGTTAGTTTACAATCTTCCAAAAAGAAAGAAAGTAAAAGAAGAACTAAATATTATTTATATACATACACATATACATTTAGTGCTAGTTTATTTTATTCATCCAAGCTAATTTTCATTAGTCTCTTATAGTAATATTAACTTAACGATATTTCATTCTGTACCTCCCACCTCAAGCATTCTTGAAACTCTTGAGGAAAAAGCCGAATTTTCAGGAATTGAGTCAAAGACAATTGCGCCATGAACTTGTGGAGTATTTCTTTGGTTTTCTACATTTCGATTGCAGCCGCTTTCCAAGATACTCATCCATTATTTGCATTTTCGTCATTTTCGTAAGTCCAACGTGCAGTAAAATCAAGATTGCAAAGCTAATTATTATTTTAAGGTCTGTAATTGATGCAAAAGAAGGACCCGTCTTGACTTCTTACTCGAAATTCAATAGTAAGGCAGAAGAACTCTTGTCGAATTGTGATGCTACTACTATCTTCATTTACCAGCCTGGTCTGCAGGCAGAAGACTTTCATTCATCTGCTTTATCTAATATGAAACGTATTTCCTTGAATGCTAAGTCTCAATACATCTTACCATATTCCAAGGAACGTTTACACCCTGATCAACTTTTGTACGATGCTAAAGTTTCTTGCTTTTCGAGAATCGTAAACATTGATTCCACTCATGAATCATTTCCTATTTTGGAAAAAAACCAAATTAGTGTAATTTTTATGCAGGATTTGCCTTCAGATGCTAAATCACGCGAACAAGAATTATTTGAGTTAGATCAGGTCATTTATTCGTTGTATTCAAGTATTCCTGATGATGTTGAGTACACCTTTTTCCTGACCTCCTCTCCAAAGTTTGCAGCCGTGCAGGTTTCAGAGGACAACAGTACTAAACAAAAGGAGGAAGAAAATGAAGAGGAATCTTTGGCAATAGAGTCAAATTATTTTGTGAGTATGAATCGCCTTCGTCATGCCCAACCCATTTCCCTTCCCGTCGAAAATATGAACAATCGCGGCAACTCTTTGACGCATAACAAAGATAATCAAAGTGTGTCTAATATTGATGGCAGCTTATTTGATCGTTATCAATTTTTTACCCCAGGAATCTTTATGGGATATCTAGCTCTAGTGGTTTTGGTGCCTACTTTGATAATTTCTTGCAAGTTACTCTCATCCGTTCAGATCAGCTACCATGCCTTTGACAGCCCTCGTAAAAAGAATGTATCTACAAAGCAATAATCTTATTTGCTAATTTTCACAAAGTGTTTTAGAACTGCTGTGTTTTTGGTTTATAGAAAGCATTGAAAAGTTCTACTGCTTGTTTGGTATGAAAGATAATTTAAATCTAATAAGGATGGGTCTTTTGATCCTAACATAACGCTTGCTCGACTTTAATTCTGTGAATATAATAAATGGATTCAACGTTGATATTCGAGAATTATATAATTGAATTTTGCTTTTATGAACACAAACTCAGTACGAGACATTGGAAGAAAATCACGCTGAATATGTGTTTTGCTTCTTAGACTCCGCAGTAAACAGACTAGAATGTCAAGCAAATCGCTTGACTAGTGCAGTTTTAGAAAAACGCCGTTCACCACGTTTGAAAGGCTATAACATGATGACGATTTGATTCCTTTTAATAGCGAGATTTATGGTTCCCAATTCTCGAAAATGTTGTTTGAATCGAATGTATAATGGTTCGAATAAGGAAAGAATCAGATGTTGGAATTACATACATTTTGTTTCATATTTATTAGATAAATAATATCACTTTTTCAATGTTTCATCAAGTCTGTCTATACATGAATCCAAATATCATGGTTTTGTCATCCCCACTGTCCCTACTGGTAGCTAGAATACCCTTCATTAACCAACTTTGAAACCCTTGTTTACATCCTTTCAAATTATCGGAGTATTCAGTTCAAATTGATTTGAATAATAGAAGAACACAACTGGATCAATATGACTTCTCAAAAAGTGTATCGACCTAATCCTCGATATGCTGAAGGATTTCCCAGTCAGGGAAACATGAAACGCTCTATTTCGGTGATGTCTTTCACTTCTTTGGACAATATGCGATCGACATTGTCTGGTTTATTCACTCCTTTAAGACTAGAAGAAGAAGAACTGGATGAAGATGATAATTCATCTGTTCATGATTATGAAGACTACGCAAGTAAGCAAAAAGATGACGATCTAAAAAAAGAGAAAAGAAAGAAGAGAATTATAATTGAACCAAATTTATCTCTGAAGCTGTTGTTTTTTAAATTTTTCGCAATTTTTGGGCTGGGATCGATTTTTACTTACATGGCTGAAGGCATTCTTCAGGAAGCTAAATTATCATCATTGACAGTACAACTTGGGAGCTGGGTTTTTAAGCCCAATTGGTCTGTGGCTTTTGGGCTTGTAGCCATGGGACTTGCTGTTGCATATCGTTTAATGGATGTACGATGTCCGTCTGGTTCTGCCGCAAATAGAAGAACATCACAATCTTCACAATTTCAAATACTTTCTAGATACCTTGCAGCTTTTGCAACTCTTCTTCTGACTATGAAGGTAAGTTGAATTTATGGTTTCAATTTTCAGCGAAAGAAATCAACCTATCCTGATATTGGTTGAGACTAACCATTTTCCTTATAGAAATTATTGAGTACTCAGAATGCCCACTCTTCTTTTGTTGCCATGGTCGCTAGTGCAGCTACTATATGGTACGTCTTTGATCGTTCAAAAAATGGTTTTACTGTATCGTGTATTATGAGTATCATTGGTAGCATAGCGTACTATGCATTTGTTGATAATACCCCTTTCAGGTACGTAAATTTAGTTTGATAATGATTCTTTACTTACATGTTAGTCTTTTCGAACCCAACCCTTCAGAATACCAATTTCGTTATTGGATCCCTATGATTCTTTTCTCTGCCTCAACAATAGTGGGAAACGCCGGTCGTCTCCTCTTTTAGGTTTTTTTACGATGACTTATAAGCGCTAGACTCTTCGGTGAATGATTCTTTCTGTTTTACGTTTGTACTTGTTATGACATTTTTCTGGTATATATTATATATGGGCGATGGTTAAAACACCGTATATACTTTTCCAATTTATTATACTCGTTTTAATTTTTTTGGTCTTTATATCCTCGAGAAATGCTTACTGTTATCCATACGATGTTTTAATCGCTATTCTGTCCAGTTCATTATTTTTAATTGTCAGTTATACTTTGGCAACTCAATTTGGTGCATCAATCCGAGAAGTTGAAATCAACGAAGTTTTAGGCAGTAGATGAGAAAATTCAAAATATACAGCTTCACAATAACTGTACCAGCGGTCGGTACCTCCCTCGAAAATGCTTCTGTTTAGATTCGCACCCCAAGAGTTTCGTCGTATAAATACTAACTGATGTTGAAATATGGTCTTATTACACAAATACAACAAATGTTTCATCTAAAAACTAATTAGCTTCATCAGTTACTGAACATAAAAGCATACAAATAGAGGACACGAAAACCAACATAATGTAATACAAAAGCAAGGTGCACACTTTTTATTTTATTTTATTTTTATTTTTTACTAACAACTGGGAAAAGTTCTTTGCTGTAAATTCATTCCTTTGTTTTTTACCGTTTAGTGTCATCTTTAGGGAGCGTTATTTGCTCTTGGATTGAGAAACGCGGTGCGCTACTCAATCATTACTCTCTACCTTACTCCTAAACTTTGCCTGGGAGGGCGAGACAAGGGTGTGTATGTAATTGTTTCAATCTTTTACTAAAAGAAAAAAAAAACCTGTACTTGTATAAATTTGATTCTAAGGTCTCCATTCGGTTGCTTCTAGGCTTTGTTTACAGTATCGCTAGTTATTCAAACGCGATTCATGTGCATCTAGAATCGTAAAACCATCGTAATACCTGAATGGTTTCTGCTTAGGATTCGGATATCTAATTGACACATGTCTGTAGATCGCAAGAACATTCTACATTGATTCATTTCACTGATATCGACTTGACTTGCTATCCATAAGAATTTCCTACTCTACGTATTGATCCAGTCCGTTGCATATTTTCTGAGTGAATTATCTATAATATAATGGACCATCTTCCTCCAAAACCACCTTCCCAGAAGCCCAATCCACCACTTCAGAGAAATAATTACAAGTTAATTTACGACCCCGAGTTAGGCTATAAAGAGTCTCAGGGAAAGAAACCAATATACAGATTTAATGGTATCACTAAACCTCCTTTAGTAGTTCGTGACCCAAGGCACAAAAACCCCCTCTATTCTCGTGGCATACCAAAAAGTGGGCGACCATTTTTAAAATCGCTGCAACAGGTCAAGTTCGAATATAATGAAGATTCATTAGGACCCGAACCGCCAACGCAGGTATTCGTATATAATCTTTCGCCTCTCGTAACGGCAGATCAGCTACGATATCATTTCAAGTCTTTTGGAGATATATCCCAACTAGATCTTCAATTGAATCCATATACTGGTACATCATTGGGTTTATGTCAGATTTCTTTTTCAAAACATGAATCAGTATCAAAGGCCCATTTGGCTGCTAAGCTTGCCGTCCAACAAGCCAGTGGTCTCAAGCTTTCGGGAAAACAACTTATGATTGTTTTGGATGGTGATGGGTCGAAGTGTGAAGCTGCTCGGAACAAAGCTCTACAAGTGATTGAAGCCGATTTCGCTGAAGATTTACGCAAACGAGAACAGCAAATGAAAAAAGAAGAACAAAAAAGAGAAGAGGAAATGGAGGCTATTCGTAAGGCTTCAAATGTACCTCCATGGAGACGGGCGCAAAATAATACTGGTTTTAATAGACATCAAAATGCGACTTCTGTTTTTTCAAATAAAGACCAAGCTTACCCCAATAGCCCAAAACCGAACGACACGTCTGTTCCTAAAGATATTGAAAATTACATATATATTTTCATTGACGATAAGTTTGTTCCGCCTGACCGCGTGTACTACTCCGATATAAAACACCATTTTCGGAAGTTTCGCTATGAAGGTATATACATGAATAGTGATGGGTTTTATATTACATTCAGTAATTATCGTGAAGCGAGTAGTTGTTTTTGGACTCTTGACAAAACATTTGTCCAGAATTGTCGTATAAAGTTAAAGCTTCATGATGCCCCAAAATCAAAGAAAAATATAATACCTTCTGTGAAAAGCAAGAAAGATTTACCGATAGAAGAGGCCTGTGCCTCAGCAATATCCGCAATCTTTGAAGACTTGGAAGAGGTATTGGAACGTGACATAAAGAACAAAGTTGCACGGCCATGCATCTTTCAAATCTTGGAGTCACTTCCAAAGCCTATACCTATTAAAGAAGAAGAAAATGAACCAGGAATATTAGCTTCTAATATTTCTGAATCAGTGAAAACAGAAGCAAAACCAACCTTACCCCATTTACCCAGATTTAAAAAACGAGCAGATGCTTACAAAGTCAAAGTTCCAACTGAGAATAAAATAAAATCTAGGCTACAGAGAAGAAGAAGGAAGAAAATTGAGGCCAGACCTTTGCATTATCAATTAAACCAACAAACCGAAGATTTCTCTGACTCAGAGTTTGAACATGAAGATGGTTTAGATGAAGAAAAGCCCCTTGACGGTAGTTTTGATGGCTATAAGCCTACTAAGACTGAAGAATCAACACCTCTTCTTTCAGAAACATCTGAAGATGAAGAATTTTTAGAAAAATTTCACCGGGGTCGCCCTAAGAACCGTCTTTCTAGAAAGAAATCAGATAAACTTGACATAGATTATACTTCTTCTAGTGAAACTGAATCTGATGAATTCGTTTCTCCTGCGACGGTTCCCAAATCTCATTTAGAAAGAAACAAGAAGCCTGGTTTAGAGAAGGAATCATTGGAAATTCACCAGCCAACACTTAGACAGAAGGAAAACGAATTTAGCGAGGATGGCACATTGTATTATGGCACCCTTCCCTATAATTACCCTGAGGATGATGTTTTGGTTGACCTAGATGGAATACAATTTTTGGTAAAGGACGATCAAGATCTTCATTGTTTACGTGAGGCACTTTCATCGGAAGATGCTAATGAAATTGGAGATCCGAATTATTGGGCATACAGGAGAAAAAGTTGCAAATATAAGAATGGTGATATTCCGGTCGAAAGTTCTTTAGTATTACCGGTTTCGGTTGGTTATGAACGAATTAATTCTACTGGGTCTGCTAAAAGTGAGGGATATTATATTATTCCTACTGCTGAAAAATCCCAATATCTACCTCTTCGTAATCGTTCAACGGTAGAAGGCGGTAACCAATCGACTAGCAGAGTTACCTCTAGAATGCATCGAGTTAATAATCGTAGACTGGCAGCTGGTGTTGAAAAATCACTGCTTCCTGCTGAAGCAGATTTGCTTCGTTTCAACGCTTTGAAAGCTCGTAAGAAACAACTTAATTTTGGACCAAGTCGCATTCACACTCTCGGTCTATTCGCAAGAGAACATATTGATAAGAATGACATGGTTATTGAATATGTGGGCGAAGTAATTCGCCAACGTATTGCTGACAACCGTGAAAAGAACTACGTTCGAGAAGGTATTGGTGACAGTTATCTTTTCCGTATCGACGAGGACATTATTGTTGACGCTACAAAGAAGGGTAATATAGCTCGGTTTATTAACCATTCTTGTGCTCCTAATTGTATTGCTCGTATTATTCGTGTAGAAGGAAAAAGAAAAATTGTCATTTATGCTGATAGGGACATTATGCAAGGAGAGGAGTTAACTTATGACTATAAATTTCCTGAGGAAGCTGACAAAATTCCATGTTTGTGTGGTGCACCTACCTGCCGTGGTTATTTGAATTAATAGATGAACTATAGCATAGCAGTTAGATAATTTGTATTCATTCTTTTTTACTGACAATACGAAATTTAGTGGCCATGCTTACTCAAGGTCTAAATTTATCCTTAGTAATGTCAAATAGAAAATAATTAATTTTTGTTTGTTTTGTTTCACGCCTGCGATATCTCGTACTCATGCTAATGCACGAAACTTCTACTACTCTTTTACAATGAAGAAAATACAAAATAAAAATTATTAGTAGGTCACATTTATTTTTTGTAACCAAACATTTGAGTGGTTAAAAATAGTACTTGTCCTACCAGTCGGACACTGTTCATCCACCAGAAAACCAAATACATATATTGATAAATGAAGCGCGCCAGTTTAGGAGGTCATACGCCTGTAAACTTAAATTCATTAAATGATGATGCCTTAGAAAAAAAGAAAGCTAAACAGAAAAGTAGAAAGGAGCGTGAATTAAGACGAAGTTCAGCGCTTCAGTCAATTACTCCAAGAAGAGAATCTTTGGGCGGACCAGGTTATGGATCACCTTTTAATAGTTCCTATCAAGTTCCTGTTTTATCTAATTTTGAAGAATGGATCAAGTTAGCTACGGATAATAAGATCAATTCGACAAACACATGGAACTTTGCACTAATTGATTATTTCCACGACATGTCCCTACTTCGAGAAGGTGAAGCTATTAATTTTCAAAAAGCGAGTTGCACTCTAGATGGTTGTGTTAAAATCTATACGTCCCGAATTGATTCGGTTGCTACTGAAACAGGCAAACTACTTAGTGGTTTAGCAAACGATTCCAAAGCTTTAGGTGAAACCGAGGATACTAGCGAGAATGCAGAAGACGAAGAAGGAAGAAAAAAGCGTGAACGAAAGCGTGCCAATCGATCCGTAAATACACTTGCTAAAGATTTTGAAAGTCTACGTGCTAAAAAATTTGAGTTGGAAGGATCTTTTGACCCTTTGTTCAAAAAAATGTGTGCAGATTTTGATGAAGACGGTGCGAAAGGGCTATTAATGAACCATTTGTCTGTTGATCAGCATGGTAAAATAGTGTTTGATTCTAGCGATGCCATTATCAAGGATTTAGAAGGAAATGATAATAAAGAGGGAAATCTAGAAGACATTAATACCGGAAATCCAGAAGCGGAGAACGAGAATAAGGATGCTGATACTGACGGTATTTCTTTGGAAGCTTTGGGAAGTATTCAGAAGCGTTATTTTATTGATATTGATCAACTTACAATTTGTCCTTCTTTACAAGGATTCGAATTCGACAATAAAGGCAACTTGGATGTTTCATTATTAAAGTCTTTGAGCGACGAAGTGAATATGATTGCACCGAATTCATTGTTGGAAGAGCAAGCTGCTATGAATGGAGATGTAGAACTTGGTTCTGCACCATTAGATTCTGATGGTTCTGATGATGATGATAATGAACAAGGCCATATTGTTCACGCACTTGAAGATATGGCTTATGGCGATGAAAATGTTGATTTATCTACGAAACCGTTAGATGAATTCGAGGATCCAACCAATAATATGCAAGATGATATTGATACGGGAGAAACGATTAATTTAGCAAACTATTCTGTGGACAATCAATCGTCCGTAAATGGAATCTACGAGTATTTCGACAAGTCAATAAAGAAGAATTGGGCCGGTCCCGAGCATTGGAGGATTCAAGCTCTTCGTAAAAGAAGCATTTTTCAACCTCCTGGTATGGATTTGTCAAATGTTTCTGAGGGCGCTGACACTACTCGGACGTCCACTTCTTTAGAACGTAGGCGGCGTCGTGAAACGGATAACACGATAGACTTTACGAAGGAAGTTGACCTTGACTCTCTACTTACTCCTGCTTCTGGTAGTTTAAAGCTGCCAAAATCACATTGGAAAAAACATAATCGCTGCTTGTTACCGGACGACTATCAGTACGATTCTAAGCGTCTTTTACAGCTTTTTCTAAAACCAAAGGTAACTCTCATGCCGTATGTATCCTTCAATGGAGAAACTGGTGTTAAGCGGGTTTTTGAAGGACAAGATGAAGCAGATGCTAGTGCCCCAATATACCCTGGTGGATTCGATGAGGACAGCGATGGTGGAGATATGGAAGAACAAGGCTTACACGATTTTGATGGGGGATCCATGCAAGAATTGCGGGAGAACACATCATCGCCTACACCACCTTCCTCTGCTGGTTTTGGGGAGAATTTGTTATTGAATGCTCGTCTTGCCAAGCCGGATAGCATTAATTACGCAAAACGAGCGAAAAGAGTGGATGTAAAGGTATTGAAAGAAAATATATGGAAATGTTTGGATCTTGAAGAAAAAAATATACCAGAAGCGTCGAAATCGAATGCTGAATCCAATAATGATGAAGAACCAAAGGAAGAAGAAAAGGAAGAACCTGTGCGTACATTCTCTTCAACTGTTTCCCAGTTAGAAAACTTGTATGGACAAAAAGAACTCAAGGATATCTCTACAAGCTTTGCATTTATTTGTTTATTACACCTTGCCAATGAAAACGCTTTAAACTTAATAAGTAACGAAGACTTTTCAGATGTTTTCATTCAACATGATCCTAGCTTGACTAGCTTGGAACAACTGGAAAAAAATATATAACATGGCTCTTTCATGATGACATTTATGCTGGCCATTAGTGTCTCACGTTCTTTTTACTTTTTTTTTATTACGGAATCCCAGGTTGTATTTAATGAAAGAAGTGGTTTAATGGATTACCTTTCCATCTTTTATAATCTTTTCTTTCTTTCTTTATTTTTGTTTTTATTTTAATCTATGTTGTATTCATTTTGTTTAGAGTATGGCTCTACCTACCATCTAAGCAATGTCTCAAGGTGCTTTTGCCAATAATCTGACAAAGTCATCGTCGTATCATTAATTCGTTTACAGTCATCTGTCAATATCATTCCTGATATGTGTTTTAATCCACTTCTATCCCCTTATAGAAATTAAAGACTTGATGAATCTACTTGTGAATGAATGAAATTTCTACTTGCTTGTTTTTTTGTAAGTACTAAACAAAGAACTCTTTTTTCCTTCCATTCAATTGAAGTCACTGACGAACGAAAATTTTATAAAGGAACAGAATATTTATATTTGAAACAAAGAATTGCCGGATGTTAGAGTCATATACCTGAACCTATACATCCATTCATCGTAATTACCATTTTCATGGTTTGTTTACTAATTAACGATATCCAGAATAAATAACTTAAGGTCATTTAAGGTGTTTGCCTTATCATTGCTTAAGGAAACATCGTTACTTGCCATATGACAAGCAGTCAGAATAAACAAGCCCCGTTTGTTGAATTTGTTTTTATCACTTACTTACAACAAGAACAAACAAAATGTCGAATTATGCATTTTCTAAAATAAGTGAAAACGTTCAAGAATTGGTTTCTTCGAGGGTACGATCGATGAAGTAGAATGAAGCATTGCTAACAAAACAACAGTCGCAGTACTTGAGCGGATTCAAATCTGTGGGCGAATTTTTGGACGTTCGTCGCGTTTCAAGACCTGAAAATTTTGGAGAAGCACAATCAAGAGTCCGTTTTAACCTTCGACGATTCTCTTCAAATTACTTAGCCATTATTGCAATCCTCGCCATTTACTGTCTCTTGACTAATGTTCTGTTATCGATAGTTATTGCCGCTGGCGCTGTTGGTGTGTATGGAATTCGTAAACGCCAAGGCAATGAGGTGCAAATTGGACAGCGAGTTTATACTAAGTCAAGCTTATACACAACCTTGGGATGTGTGTTAATTCCTCTCGGGCTTTTCGCATCACCTATTCAAACTATCTTTTGGTTAGTTGGAGCATCTGCCGTCTGCGTCCTTGGTCATGGTGCGTTGTTTGAACCACCCGTTGAATCTGCTTTTGAAGCCGTCGAGCAACAGGTATAGATATATGCTTTTTATAAATTCATCCAGCAAGCTCGTCTTCTGTATTATTAGAAATCTTTCTTTGATTCTGCTTTTCTATATCGTAAATCGACTTGCTTTTCTTTTTTTTTGTTTCTCGAGGACGACTCATCGACGATCAAACAACAAAGATTCGTGGAAGTGACATACAATGTGAAGATTGCATAGATTTTCTGCTACTCTGTTTGCAGTTTGGGCTTTTTACGCATTCAGCTTTTGTTTGAGCATAATATTTTTTTTTCTTTTTTTCATGTGGTGACATGAACCATTGATCTGCTGCAACATCCATAGTTCATCAAATCTGCTAAGAGTTGCCGATATTACTTTGTTGCCTCAATCCACGTTTGCAAATGACATGTTAATTCCATTTTCCGTAATAAAATACAACCTCCCTTCTTTTAATGCTACTTAATCTTGTAGGCTTGGAGACAGATAGATATTAAAGTGCACGAAACCGTAGAGAAGCCAGAGAAAGAGGTTGATAATAATAGTGGCTTTTAGTTTTCGTCTTTATTTACAGATTCATTCATTTCAATGTTATGCATTCTCAATCTATCAATTAGATTCATCTATTTCGGTATAAAAGAATTAAACTATCATAAAGCAAGTCGAAACTTCATTGACCTGGCTAATCATATCATCGAACCTTCTTTTTATATCACGTTAAAGTTTTTGATAATCAATGGTACCTTCAAGCTTCTTAAGATCCGCAACTTTACGGGCTGCTGACATTAAATCGGACTGTACAACGTAATCCCGGTCCTCCTTGATGGCTAAAAATCCAGCTTCAGTCACAACATTTCGTAAATCTGCACCATTAGTGCCATCGGTAAGCTTAATGATGGCTTCGTAGTCAAGATCACCTCGTTTAGATACCTTTTCAAGATGAATTTTCAGAATTTCCATACGACCTACTTCATTGGGAAGAGGAACTTCAATTTTACGATCAAGACGACCTGGACGCAATAAAGCAGGGTCAAGGGTATCAGGACGGTTGGTAGCCATAATAATTTTAGTTTGTCCCAAATAATCGAAACCATCCATTTGGTTTAGTAATTCCATCAACGTACGTTGGATTTCACGATCGGCAGAAGTACCTTCTGAAAATCTACGTCCACCAATAGCGTCAATTTCATCCATGAAAATGACACATGGCTCGTGCTCTTTAGCATAACCAAACATTTCACGAATAATACGAGCAGATTCACCAATATACTTATCTACGATACCACTTGAGACAACCTTCAAGAAATTAACTCCCAAAGAAGCAGCAACAGCACGTGCTAAGAGGGTTTTTCCTGTACCAGGTGGACCATAAAGCAAAACACCTTTTGGTGGATTAATACCAACACGGTGAAATAATTCAGGACTCTTCAAAGGAAGTTCTATAACTTCTCTCAATTCACGAATCTGATCATTTAAACCACCAACACCTGCAAAGGACACGTCACCAGGACTCTCAACAGACATGTTATAAATCATTGGGTCGACTTCTCGGGGAAGTATACGCATAATCGTTAGGGTAGTCATATCTAAGGAAACACGAACACCCTGAATTAACTTGGATTGATCTACATTATTTCTACATCCAACCACATAGCGAGGACCAGAACTAAAACATTAGTAAATTGTTTCAAATCATATGAGCAAATGTGCTAATTTCAACCGGATATCCTTTTTCTTTTATACAAATCGCCTCCTAATGTCGCTCTTAAATAATCACACTTATAAATAAGTATTAAAAGCAACCAGTAGATGCTTTGTTCACCGCAAACACAACGTGTGTTTATGGTTTCTCCAAAACCGCATTTAAATAATCCGCTGAATCAGTATATGTAATCCTTACCTAGCCTTTACAATAAAACGCTCTGGGTCAAGCTGTTTCAGAACCTCGCCGATTATTTGACCTACAGACTGCAAACTTCTGATATCATTTTCTGTCTTGTCATATTTCTTGACTAAATCGCGAATTCCAAAACGCAAGTCTTTTAGTTTTGCATCAAACTCTCGATGTTGCAGCAGCGCTGCCTTATATTTCTCCAAAGACACTTCTCTTTCCGACATTCGGGTTTGGTGAAGGAATTGTTGGTTTCTACCAAGGACTCTTCTTTAGCCTTTCTGTACACTACGATGCGTTAGTAAAGCTACTTAACACGACATAGTGACATATGAGCAAATGGCGTTATGCTAATAGTGATAACGGTGTATTTCACTATACTCACATCTGTAAGAAGAATAAATAAATGAAGAACGCATTTTGTAAAAGTAAGCATGTGAATGTAAAGACTGAATACCGTTATTTATAATGAGAAGACGTACTTACAATAAAAATAAAAACAAAAAAGACAAGTATTATCACTAAATTTAGTAAGAAAGTTCTAAAATGTATGGACAACCTCGATCTAACAAATCAAACAATTAATTTCAATGGAACAAAACTCCTGCATAGATCAGATTGCTTCAAAGTTGAGCGGATAGTACTAATTGCATATAAAAGTAAGATTAAAAGGTATTAAGATCATAAATGCTATTTATTACATTATTGCACAGTAAAATAAATAAAACGTAATATGGTGCATAGCAAATCCGAACAGTCTTAAATAATGCTATGAAGCGCATTACTAAGAACGTGTGCCAAAAATCCTTCAACTAAATCGGATTCTTGAAGCAGGTCAAACAAAACCCGTAGACTATCTCCTGATGTCAAGGGTCCTAGAAACGAAGCATTATCAGCATATGCGTTGTTAAGAAAGAGTTCTTTGGCTTCAACCCGCATCTGTTCTTCATTTTTTTGTTGCACAGCAAATGCCGAATGGCTATTAAATAAACTATTCTTCATAGCTTCCTCCAAATACAAGTCAGTATCATCTTTATTACCTGGAGCAGAATCCCAGTTTGCGCCATCCTCATTTTCATGGGCTTTTGCTTGTTGTAAGTTCCTTAAATGCTCCTGAACTTTTTCTTTTTCTTCAGGCCATATATTGAGAATCAATGAAGTAAAAAAGTCACCAAGCAACTGCGTGTTTGAGAGCTTTGCAAACACGTGGTCTTTAAGCATTTTTTCCACTATCCCAGAAACGTCTACCGGCCCATACAAAAGTAATGACTTCAGTACAGACAAGACAGTTCGCCGAAAAAACCAAGTTTTAGGATTTAAACAAGAAAGTTCACCAAAAAGGGCAAACCCACTATCAATAATCTCCTTTAAAGCTTCCTCTTGAATACGAAAGGCAGAAGGTTCATCCCCAAATGGATTGCTTTCAGAAGAACATCTGGAATGATTTTTTCCTTCATTTTTATTTTCAAAAGATTGATTATCATCTTCCATGGATGAAAGTTCATTTGACGGGATATTGCTCAAATCGGTATCCTCCAGCATGCTTCTCTCAAACTTGGTATTCCACGTAGGTTCCGAAGTCGAGGAATCTTCTGAAGTTTTTGAATGCCCAGATCTCCCACTTACGATCCTCGTTACTTCTAAAATCTTATTTGAAACGGTTGAAAAAGATGAATTGTTCTGCCTTTCCATCCCATCGACTATATCGTCGGGTAAAGGTTGAAACGACAAAGACTTGCAAAAGAAATGCCGAACAACGGCATCGTTGGATAACTTTGGAACTTGGACTATCCCATTCAAATATGCGGACAAGTTCTGTCGGAAATGACCATATGTTTGGTTTCTCCACCGGGGAAACATGAGAGGGGCTCCAGTCGCATGAAGGAACTCTTTTCGCAGATCTTTGTACATAGATTTGAGACTTGAGTAAGTCCGGTAGACAATCCAAGGAGGGATATCGAGATACGAAGAATGTACCGTTATAATAAATTTCAGATTCTTTTTATCCTTTATCGGAGAAATGAGTTCTTTAGCATCAAGTGATCGATATTGAATATGAATTTCCGCTTCAAAAAGTGCATTATTAAATGAGTAAGAAGTCTGAGGGCTGTCATCCGTAGGTAAGGTCGATAAGGGGGATGAGTCTTTGAGTGTTTTATTTAGAAGACATCGATTTATATACCTGTTCCTACTTATACACTCATCCTTTTCCTTTGAAGGAGAAAGGCAAAGGATAATACAACGATTAACAAACACTGGCTTTGCACAATGAGTTGTAATCTTTTTAAAAACCTGCATAGCGAGAACTTCCCGAAGTAAAACGTGTAACGGAAGGCAAGCGGCATCTTCAGATTTGCAAAACTTTGTTATCATTGCAGAAGCTTGAGAGCGTAAGGCTTGCTCGTTTGCCGCTTTGTCCAGCATTTTTGCAACAGCCGAGTTGGGATAACGGACGGCAAATTCCGCAATGGGCATTTTCTTGCTCAAAAATACGTTTAGATCGGAAAGCAACAACGTAAGGGTATTCAAAACGTTCTTCAGCATCTCAAAAATTAAGTAGGAAGAATCTTGAGTGCTCAAGTAAGAGTAGAAGTTTCTCATGATATATCCAATGGTGTTCTCAACCTCTTTAACAAACGACATATCACTACTCACATGCGAATACCAACCGTGTATATAGTGATGTGTCAGTTTTGTTATGAGAAGAAGAAGTGGTGCTTCCAATTCTTTTGGGAGGTTATGTTGAGGATATCTTTGAGGGATACACTGAGAAGGACCCTCTACCTTCGGATGTTTTATATTCAAGACGATGTTACCATTTTCGTGGGTTAACCCCAGGGCGCAAACGCCCACAATAATGCCTAGTGCGAAATACACCAGGCCCCCAAAAAAAGCATGAAAAAAATAAAATAATAATATAAAACAAAAAAAGATTCCTATATATCTTGGATGATTCCCTAAGTTAAAAACCGCCTTTTGAGCCGTCGGTAAATCCCATTGCATCAACATGTGTAAAGTCAAACAATGAATTCGACTCAGTACGTTCAAATCTCAGTTTCGCGTCTAATTTCAACTATTTATTAGCTAAACGAGTAAACTGACCGTCAGAAATTTGTAGAGGTAAAATAAAATCCAATTATTTTTAGCTTCAATCGGTATAGGAAGGAATTGCGCATTAATATCGGATATGAGAAGATGTATTAAATTTATGTATTTCAAGACAAGTTAACTAGTTAAATATATAACTCGTGTACAGGAATTAAATATAAATCATGATTTTTGCAAAGGAATACATGAAGTTGTTCAGCCTCTCTCACCCATAGCTTAAGCTGACATAATACGGGTCTCCGTTTTATTTTCGTAAAAACATTAAAGCAATCCAACGTATTCTATCGAACTTAAGATATTTCATGAATTCGATAATTCTAAAACCGGGCAGGAAAAAGGGCGTTAACTTATTATAAATGCAGGTGCTTTATAGTAACTTGATACATCTTTTTTGGGCAGATGCATACCACGGCTGCAATTTTGACCATAGCCAGATATATCCACTATGTATCTGTGACATTATGGTACCACAGTTTAAGGCCTTCCTTTTTTTGATACGTGAAACAAAGAATAATACGAATATTTACAAAAGTTATTATAAATGCTACCAACATACTCAACTCAACCATAGAAATTAATTACTGCCTTAAAAAACCAAAAGTAGTATTTGTAGGTATAAAACAGAAGCGAAAATCAAATTAAGGCATCTACTCCTCGATTTGTTCAGCAGCGGTGTAAGCTTGTTCACGCTTCTCTCCGACAACCTTAGCTCTACGGAGACGAGCAGCCTTGGAACGAGCACGACGAGCGTCTTGTTGCTCTTGAAGTAACTTGGTACGGTTGGCTTCAGCCTTAGCACGTTGAATGTGCTCGATCAAAGCACGCTTGTGCTTGAAAGTGTTACCCTTAGCGGCCAAGTAAAGGCTGTGGTAAAGGTGCTTGTCGATCTTACCAGATTCACGGTACTTACGGAGAAGACGACGCAAAACACGTTGACGACGCATCCAGACGACAGCAGAAGGCATACGAGCTTCAGCAGTACCCTTACGCTTACCGTAACCGGTGTGACGACCAAGACGCTTAGCAGCGTGGGTCTTACGGATACGGAAACGAGAATGCATCAAGTTGGGCTTGCGGATGAGCAAACCGTCCTTGACCAACTTGCGAATGTTTTGGCGGCTGTTGGCATTGCTAATTTCACTGAGTTCATTGGGATCCATCCAAACCTTACGCTTACCGCATTTTAAAACGGAAGAAGCAAGGCGCTTCTGCGTAGTGAGATTTGCCATTGTGTTGGTCGGTTGGAAGGGGAGTGTCTCACAAGAATTCTCATAGTCAAACTGGGCCTCACGCCAGCAGTCACAGTTTCGCCTTGTACCCTACCCTGAACATTTTAATTAAGTAACGGGCATAGGTAACAATAAACAAAACAGAAATCCAAAAAAGGTGAGGTATGTAGGAAGCCATTTTTGTATGGTCTGAATGCGCGTCAAAAACAGAAGAATAAACAAATAAAACTATTAAAAGAATTATTTAAAGGTTGCTTGCAATCATTTGTTTGAGAGTATCTATCGTTACAGCAACCTTACATTACTTAAACTACATCGCTTTGTATGCCTTACTTATGTCTGGTAAGACAACGTACTATATATGGAAGAAAGATTTGTCTACAAGTACTATCCGATCAAGCTCAGAAGATAGAAATGCATCCAACTGGCGAGCTGTATGGATAAATATATACATTTAGATAGATATAGATATTTTTATAGAAAACCAAAATAGGGATTTAATAGTAAAAGATGCAAGTAAGAGTTGTCGTAAGCATCCCAAGAAGCTATGACCCTAATAAAAGGAAAGGCATGGGAACAATAAATACTTAACGAACGTCAAACGTATACTTTCTAATTCATAGTGAGAATGCCCAATATGTTTTCAAAATGTTTATCCAAAAAATAAACCAATTTAAGGTGGGTGAGTGGGTATGAAAGATTGAAAGAGAAATCACACTGACAAGAGAGTCATTATAGTTCAAAAAGGGATTTGTTTTTTTTTTAAAAAATAGACAGCAACCAAAATCCAAAAAAGGAACGAATGGGAATAGAGCGTGCAATTTTCTCTCATCCTACGAGAACAAAGGAGTGGAAAAGGACTGACAAAGAAGCCATTCGGTAATAAATAAGTAGAGGTACAAAAGGAGGAAGGGTATACGCATGGCCAATGGGACATAAATGATAGCATACGAAAAAGTTACTCATCAAAAAAACCTTCTTCATGAAAAGCTTTCCATAATCGACTAGCCTTGTTGACATCAACACGGCTAGCACGTTGTGCATCTGTTTTTCGAAAGCCCAACCCTTGTTGTTTACGATAATGCCATTCGGCAAAAATGCGTCGCTTATTGTCTAAATAAACGGAACAGGGTAAACGAAGTGTAGAAGCTAAATGGACTTCAGCAGGGTGTAAAAGATGGTAATGAGGATCGTTTGAAAGATCTAGAGGGGGACCCTTCCATTCAGCACGAAGAGGACGAGGATGGGACCGTCTGTCAAGTACAGACATGTCGGGACAAAAATCAGGCAGAGCTTCGTAAGGGATATTCGCAACCTCCATGCCATTATACTGGCCTGAACCACGAGTTGACTTCCTTCCTCTCGTTTCAACTGGGGAAGCAGAAGCAGAAGCTTCAGAAGTTGGTACTTCTGAATTGCGAGTGCCTGCTCCATTATTCGATGGTGAAGGTTCGCGAGAGGTATTCTTTGACGACGAAGCCTCTGACTCTACGACGGAAGAAACAATGCGATTTCCACGACGTCCAACAAAACCTTGACGACGCAATTTTGCAATTGGCTTTACGTGTTCTTTGCGAAGCCATATCCTTTCTTGCTGAAGCCAAAGCTTCGGCTGGGTTTTGTAGACTTCATAAACAATCCCCTTCATACAAGCGCACAAGTGTTGCTTTCGTAGAGAAGAAACATCTCGAACGCTGCTGAAATGAAAGTTCAATGCTTTTGGCTTGGGAGGTGAAAGAGGAGGTGTTATAAGAATGCAATCGTTTCCATTTCTAGTTGAACTTTCTTGTCCTTTAAGAATATGCATTCTATACCTTTTTTGTTTCAGCACTCAATCCAATGGCCCTAATCTATACCCCCAAAAATGAGGTTTTGGTATCTTGCTAAAGACACCTTCAGTGGGATACCTTTTTTTGTAAGCCCTAGAATGGTACCCTAATTGTTCACCACCACTTGAGCTGGTCATTACGTTCTCAATGCAAAATAATTTTCTTCTTCAGTCCTTACATTTTTAATAATTGTAGTTTTTGCATTGCTGAAATTGAACGTTGATTTCATGTACTCAAGATCTGTCAATGTATAGAAACAACCACTGCTAGTTTCAGCGGGAGCATGGGCGTAAAACTTTTCAATTACAATCATTTTTTTACTTTATTTTTTTGTAGTTATTGGAATCAGAATGAATCAGTAAATATATGATACATTGTTCTCTACATCCAAAAAAACTACGAATTCTTGTACAATGACTTAAGACTCTTTTCATGGAAATAGCGTTTTGTGGTTCCTCTAACCTACAAAAATAATAAAATAAAAAAAAAAGACATTGAGACACAACGTCAGCAAATTCAAAAAACAGCTACAGTTGAAGTTGCAAATGACTCGACCTGCTGCATTTGGCCGTGCTTCTCTCTCTCGAAGAAAAGACATGTTGCATTTTCATTGCGCCCCTATTTTTCTAATTTTTTTTTTTATTTTAATTGAATTCGCTTGAGCTATTGACATTCTTCTTTTTTTTTTTTTTTGGACTTGACAGTTTTTGCTTTTCTTTATTTGTTTACACAGGAACATTGCTACCCATGTTACCCAACGCAGGAACAATGTTGCTTTCCCTAGCCTTTATGCTCCGAGAGACCAGTAGCCAATGAGACCATGTCTATTCTTAGTTTCTTCTCTGTTCTTCTATGGTCCCACATTAAAAAGCTAACTATGTTTCATTGCGTTTTATCTCATTATGTAGTTTACTGTGTAGGAAAATAAAACGATATGTGATTTACAGAGACAAAACGTAGAATGCAAATGCCTGGAAAAATTTCGCATGTTTGGCTTTTTCTCTTTAGCAAGCATAAAGACAAAGGAATTTAAGACTTGCTGGGTATATTCTTGGGTTAAAGGGGCTCTTATTGCGTTCTTTCTTCTATTTACTTCATTTTTTTTGTTTCATTTGGGTCCGCGGGTTACATTTGACGAAACCCATCATTTTGTTTTAGGCTAATAAATCACAATACGTGCGTGTATCGTGTACGTGAGCTTCTGGGGCTGTTTTTAATTTATTGATTGGAGATATTTTGTATGTTCTTTTGTCCCTAATTGTTCATTGTTGCATCTCTTTTTCAGGCCTACAAGAATTGGTCAATTTGTTCCAGATTTTATTTAAAAGTTCAACCTCGTTTTTTGGGTTACAACTTACTCAACAAATTTTGAACAGGTTTTTTTTTGGGGTTCTTCATACGAGACTACATCGGTTGGTTTCTTGTGTTGTCATTACTGGTATTTTATTTTTGCTTCTGTTTCACTGTTTAATATGTCGTTGGCAATGCTGAATGGTTCAGTGAACCTTGCTGTAAAGCATTCCCTTGACGATCTCTTGGGTAATCCAGTTCGCTTTCGTGCGGCGTCTGTCAATACTAGCTCTACACCTGAAACTCCCTATGTCCCTTTAAATGCACCCAAGAACAAAAAGACAGGAGATTCTTCAGGTTCTAAGCATTCTGAACAAGGTTTAACATCTAGCAAGCCCTCTTCCGCTAGTGTTCCTTCCGCTGAGCGTAAAAAACCTTCTGGTACCCGGGGTGAAGGTGCGGATGATTTTGTTGACGAAGACCCGTCTTTCATTCCTCCTGCTCGCATTCTATATCCAGAGGAGAAAGTCGCTTTAGATTGGCAATCAATTCTCCAAAATGCGCCTGGTTTAGTCAATTTGGGCAATACTTGCTTTATGAATTCTGTCTTACAATTAATGACCCATACCCCTCCTTTGGCACAATACTTACTTTCTGTTCAGCATTCCATTGCTTGCCGATTAAATTCTTGTGTCTTATGTAAAATGGAACAGCAAGTTGCTCGCGCCTTTCCTAATAAAGGTGCGAAGCGCGGTTCTGCGTTTAAACCATCAGGCATCCAGGGTATGCTGAAAGTGATAGCAAGTCATTTTCGTCCATACCGCCAGGAAGACGCACACGAATTTATGCGTTGTTTGGTAGATGCTTGGCAGAAGTCTTGTCTTCAAAATTATAAGAATCTAGATCATCCCAGTCGGGAAACCTCCGTCGTGCATCGTATTTTTGGTGGTTACCTACGCCAGCAAATACTCTGTTCTGTTTGCAAAAAGCCTTCCAACACTTATCAAGCATTGCTTGATTTATCCATAGAAGCAAAAGACTCATCTATGCTGGATTGCTTAAAGCATTTTGTCCAAGCTGAAAAATTAGTTAAACAAAATCGCTATCGCTGTAGTAATTGCAAAAAGCTAGTGGACGCGACAAAAACCATGACTGTTTATCGGGCTCCCAATATTCTTACTATTCATTTCAAGCGTTTTACCTTCAATGGATATAGTTCTAGCAAAATTGGTAAGCACATTAACTATCCTGAACGATTCGATCTTGCTCCTTACATGTCGGATCCTTCACGCTCTTGTCGTTATGAATTGATTGGCGTCCTAGTCCACGCTGGTGGAAGTACTCGAAGTGGTCATTATTATTCTTTCTGCAAAAGTAGTAATGGTATGTGGCTTAAGTTTGACGATGAATTCGTTTCAAACTCTAGCATCGACCGTGTATTGAACCAACAGGCCTATATTTTGCAATACAAACGTATTCCTGGATCTTCTTCCGGTAAGAGAAAAACTAGTGATACAGGCGTCTCTACACAATCCAATAGTCAGAAAAAGAAGAAGAAAAAGAGTGTTTCTTTTTAAGATATACAAAAACTATCGATTCTTTCATTCATTCTTTAATTTATATTTAATTCCTTTGTTTCTTAATGTATTTCACGTTGTTTTATTTGTCTTTAACAGTCTAGCTTCTGACGAACTTAGCATATTGACAATGTATTCTTTCTTTCGTACAATTTTAGCATCATGAGCAGACTCTTTCTTTTTAGCAGCTTGTTCGTATAAACAGGATCCATATGTAATTTATCTTACCAGCGATGATGTATTGTAATGGAGCAGTTGGATTTGCAAGCCAATTCCAATAAAGTCAATAATCCCAATAAAAAAAGAAAGTAGCAAAGTTTTATTCGCAACTTAATCTATACTTTACAACTGCCTTAAATATCTTCAATTGGGTCAGTGAGCACAGCGAAGAGCATCTGCGAACCAGCAACATAACCATCCAGTTTCTTGATATCTTGTTTAAAAGGCGTTTCAGCACGTGAGGCAATTATATGTTTAGTGATTGTAAGAACCCTATAGGAAGTTTAAAAGCTAATAAATAGATGCTTCACGTTTTCTTGCACAATCTAGATTTTCATCAGCCGGTCAGCAACAATCTGGCTTTAGACCATCGAATTCACAGTTAGACGTAACTGGAACTTCCCTACCAAGGTCAATTGATAATGAGCATGATTTTTTAAGGACTAATGAAGCCTCTTCTGCTGGAACGAGTGGATTAAATTCTCTCTTAAACTCGGAATCACTAAATTGGCAATTGAGAGAAGAGGAGCAGTCCGAAGGTTCTGAGATACTTACAAATAGTGACTCAAAAGACAAACGATTCATGTATATGTCAAATGGGGTCGTAGAGTCGTCTGTACAACCAGAAAGCGAGTTGAACTCGTCCCCTAGTGGTAATGATGAATTTATGGAACTGCCGAATGAAAGATACATGAAAATTGAAAGGAAAGTACCGGATAAAAAATGGGGCATCTTGTTTGGCAGCCTTTGTCTTGTAATGTTCACTTACAGTATCCTTACTATATGGCGGACGAATCCTGATTCACCTCCAGAGACATCTGCATATGCCACTATACAAAAAGCATTTCCACTATTTCAAAAGGACGCTATTATTTGTGCGTTTCTTGCTATAGCATGGCTCATCTTCCTTGTCGCAGTCCCCCAATTCCTTGTTTTCCTTTTAGCCGTTGCACCTATATCCATGTTCTTTTTTTCTATTTATTTATTAAACGCTTCTAAAATTCACTTGGAAAATTCCACTCAGTCTAATATTATGCGAGTGACCGGAGTAAGCCTTCTTTTATTCACTTTAATTTGCTCGACCTATATTTGGCGACATTGGAGTAGGTTTGCAACCTCTTTTAATATTGTTAAACTTGCATGCCGCGTGATTTCAGACATTCCCCAAATAGTGTTGGTGTTCATAAGCTTTTTAGTCTCCTTTTACATATTAATTTTTGTATGGGTCCGTTTGTTTGCTAGGTTGTTCCTGCGTGGTTCTTCATTTGTAGGTTCAGTTTGGGTTTCACCTAAAAGCTCATGGATATTGGCTTCCTTCTATGCTTTCCATTTTCTTTGGCTTTGCGTGTTTTTAAACTCACTACAGTGGTAAGTACAAAAGAGATAATTTCCATTTACTAACTTTTTTTTAAAAGTGCTATTTTATCTTCCATTGTTTCACAATGGTTTTTCTATAGAAATACAAGAATGACCGCAACCAAGACTAATTTGGTTGCTCATTTTTTTTCCGACGTCCTTTATAATCATTACGGACTGTGCTCACTTTCTTCCTTATTAAGAGTTACAACTAAAGTCCCCCTTCATTTTCTTCCAAGATGGTTACGGCATACTTCACATCTGGTGTACTACATGTTTACTTCCGTTTCGGCTTCTTATGTGGCTTCTCCTTTAGCACTTGCTTACGCATCAATTTACTCGATTCCTTACATGAATGCATCGAAAGCACTTAGTCAAATTGAACAATTAAATCGAGTAAATTTACGTCGGCGTTGCTATTACCTTTCGAAATATACACTACTTGTTGCTCGTAGTGTGTTGGCTGTAGGTGTAGGTGTCACAGCGTGGAATTTTTCTATCCACTCAAACGGGATTTTTTATGGATACCTTGTGGGAATTCTTGGTGGATTCTTAGCATGGTTAATTATAGGGGTGATTGAAGGAGGACTGAGTATGCTGTATGGTTTAAAGTTACTTTTTAATACTTACTAACTTGATAACTAGGGTTGATGCTTTGTTAATATGTTCTATAATTGATATTTCTAGCTGTCAAGGAGACCCTAATGGTTCACACTGTTACGAAGCTTGGCAGCTTTTCGAATCCAATGGTTTTTAATGATACGGCTTTTTTATTTCTGATTTTCAGTTCAATCGTGATTCGAATTGCTTCGTTCTCATTGGCAAGTTTAGTTTCGTTTCTTTTGGTCCGTTAAAGTAGTACTATGATCAACTGTTTTCATAAGCCCAGCTGGAGAGTATTACTTTAACTTTTTTAAGTAATGTATTATTGTAACGATCATCTATAATAGTTCACGTTCTAACCATGCTTTATTATTTTTCGTTGAATTCTGTAAGGTTACAAGTCATTAAAAGACTAGGATATTCATGACCTGTACAGCTGCAAAATATAATTTGAGAAAAAAACTATTCTAAAGTCATTAAAAAGTATCAGGCGGACAGTCAAACCACGTTTCGGGAATCATAAAATTTTATCACCAACTTTTAAGATGAACAACGTCTAAGAATGAAATTACAGCTTTTGCTCAGCATGAGCAGCAGCAGATTCTTCTTGTTGTAGAAGTGGTTTAATCTCCTGTTGTTCAACAGTTTTGCTTGCCGCAAGGGAATCCAAAAGATCGTGTAGAGCAATGACAGCACGGACAATGCTAGAAATATAAATACTCATAAGCTGATCATTGGAGTTAATATTGAATGCACGTTGGGCTTCCGTTTGCAAAACTTGTTCAGAGGATACGGGTCCGGAGAAAACGTTGGGTAAAAGATTAAAAACTCCCTGAAGCTCGGCTAAGATTGCATGGTTAAGTGGAAGCTGACCGCCCACAACCTTTCGAAGATAATCAGCGATTTCAGTTAAACGCTGGCCTAGCCCTTGCAAAGATTGAGCTTGCTGAGTGACACGAGTAGCAAGAGTACCTACAGAAACGTCTCTAGTGTCACGTAAAAGATGCTCGACACCAATTTCTTCAGCCTCTTCGGCTTCAATGCTAGAAGGGAGATGAACAAAAGTTCTACTAGACTTTGAGCCATCATCCTTTATTTCATCAATAGCAAAGTAAGCGCTGGTGGGCAATCCAACAGATTTGGGCTTGACATCAATGATTACGAGCACAGGGTTGGGGATGTACTTCTTAAGTAAATTATTGATTTCCAAATCAGATGGACGTAATTGAGGACCGGTGTGATACCAACCGATAAGTTTTTCGTTAGCGTTAATCTTCTTAAACATTTCGTTCATCGATTCCATGAAATTGTGATCCAAAAACCATACAGAAGAGTTCTTTTCATCTTCCTCGAATGGAATCGCATAACTGTTGGCAACATTGACAACTGTACCATTATTTTGTCCTAACAAAATACCAACAACTCTACGTTTCGTTCCTTGTGCTGAACGAATATAAGAGTCTACTGCAGAGAGTAAGACCAATGGGTGAACAATCTATATTCGAGGGTTACTAAAATATCTTCGCTTTCCTGTACTTACAACATGTTGAGGAACAACCGTAGTTCCTTCGGAGATAACTGAAGGTGAAGGTGGCATTGTCCTTACTTTCACTATGAATTCTTGGTTTATACTTTTTCAAAGGTGTTGGTAAACGAAGAGTTCTTCGTAAACTGCTATTTCTCTACATAAAAGGATGAGCGTCTTTTTATGTATTGTAACATACTGTAACGCAGTGCGCAGTAGTACGTATTATTCTCGAACGCAGGTTAATGAGTCTATGCATTGTTAGAAAGCGTATTTAAATGAAAGGTGTATTCGCGAGTTTTCCTTTCCAAATACATATACTTAAGTCTGGAAAACAAGAATGGATTAATGTTCATCGAAGTCGATTTGTAAATAAAATTACTTAATAGAGATTGACTGTAGAAAACCTCAAATGCTAATGAAAACGCTCAATTTCATGGAATCTCGAATGAATGTTCAATTGACGCGTAAACGCGAAAAAGGTATTGTTTTGCGTTCGTATTGACTTGTCTTTTTCTATTCTGGTATTTCTTAAACAAAAAGATCTTCCTTCTTATATAACATTTACAACTATTTTAAACATAAGACACGCGTATCGTTACTTGCCTGGACCAAGAAGGTAACAGAATGGAAAACAACTTTAGCAAGTACTAGGAGTGGATGTGAGATGGCAGGAGAGGTTTCAAGACGAGGTTTTCATTTCTAAAACTGTTTTCTTCTATTTATTTTGTTATTTTTGATCTTAAAAATAAAAAAAAAGACAAAAAAAATAGTTTGCGTTACTGTGGTGTTCTCTAAGGAAGGATCAAATTTAAATTCATCATGTGAATACAAATTGAAGCAATATGCCTTCGAAACTCTCAAAACTGTTTTTAAACTTGTTTTGATTTGATTTTATTTTATTTTTTGTTTTTATTTTATATAAATTTTTTAATTTGTAGATGAACTGGAAATTCGGTTATCTTGATTATCTTTCGTTCAAATCAAAAAAAAAATTTTTCTTAAGCGATCAGTGTTATCTCCCTTTTTTTAATACACATACAGGGTTTTCTCTTCTTCTTTTCGGTCTAACATCAGCAAAATTGCTGGAATTTTTATTTGTTCAAAATATTCGATATAAAAAATGGCACCAGTCCAAGGAAATAAATCAGAATCTCAAGTTGCTCGTGTAGCCGGCGCTGCTTCAGCTGGTATTCTTGAGCTCTCTCTTTTTCATCCCGTTGACACTATCTCTAAGCGTTTGATGTCTAATCATGGACGCGTTACTTCCTTGAACCAGCTAAATACAGTCCTTTTCAAAGATTCCGCCAACGCTCCCTTTTTGAAGAAGCTTGGATCTCTTTTTCCAGGTTTGGGTTACGCCGCTTGCTACAAAGTAGTCCAGCGTATTTACAAGTACAGTGGACAACCTATTGTAAAAGATTTTTTGGCTACCAACTATGGCAATAAATTTGATCAAACCTTCGGAAAAGGTTCCGGTAAAGCCATCATGCACGCTACTGCCGGTAGTCTTGTAGGTATCGGTGAGATTTTCCTTCTTCCTTTGGATGTTTTGAAGATCAAGCGCCAAACCAACCCTGAAGCCTTCAAGGGACGTGGTGTTTTCCGAATTTTAGCTGACGAAAAATTCGCTTTGTACCGTGGATGGGGTTGGACTGCAGCTCGTAATGCTCCCGGTTCTTTCGCTCTTTTTGGTGGTAATGCTTTTGCTAAGGAGTATATTTTTAAATTAAAGGACTATTCTCATGCCACTTTTATCCAAAACTTTTTCACCTCCATCGCTGGTGCTTCAGCTAGTTTGATTGTTTCTGCTCCCTTGGATGTCATCAAGACCCGTATTCAAAACAAGAGCTTTGACAACCCTGCTTCCGGTTTTACAATCCTGAAGAACATGGTTAAGTATGAAGGCTTTACTTCATTCTTTAAGGGTCTTACTCCTAAACTTTTGACCACCGGACCTAAATTGGTTTTCTCATTCACTATGGCTCAAACTTTAATCCCTTTCTTTGACAAGGCTTTCAAGTAAGCTGTTTAATGGTTAATTAATAGTTGATTTTTTTTTATTTCAAAAAATCAACAACTACCAAACCTATTCCCCCTCTCCACGCCTACCTTCTCCGACTGAGTCTTTTTTGACTTTTCTGTGTTCTTTTACAAAAAAATTCGTTTTTCAGAAAATATTTGGAAAATTCATTTCTTTTTAATATTTTCATAAATAATCCTTTTTACTACTTTTAATAGATGGATTTTGCTTTTTTTTTCTTGGCAATCTATAATTTACTTTACTTTACTTTACCTTGTTTTGTTTTGTTTTGTTTTGTTTGTTTTGGTTTATATGTTTTTGGTGGGTTTATGTTTGTTTACTATTATTCACTCTCGTCATCGCTAGTAAACAGACTATTTGTTTACTTTCCCAGCTTTTGCTTTCTGTAAAAAACACAACATATTTTCCTTCCCAATTCCTTTCCCGTTTCAACATTACCCTGAAATCATTGATTCTATTGTAGATTGATAATAATATGCAAACCATTGAACTTGGAATGCCTGCAGCATCTAATACCTCTTCTGTATCCAGCAAAACAAATCCATCAAAGTTAACTACCAGCTTTGATGGCAATGTAATGGACGCACAAGATCCTTACTTTACGGTTACTAGAAAACTACACGCACTAGCTGATATTGTTGATGCTCAACAAAAGGAGATTGAAAACCAAAAAAAAGAAATCCATTCGAAAACGAAATGTGTTGAAGAATTACAGCTTCTTTTAGCAAGTACGAAACCTCCTATTGATGTAGGACTTACTTTAAATAATTATGCTTCTGGAAGCCCTTCTTTGGCCGCAACATCTGTACCCTCAGCTACTACTTCCGATAATGGATTGCAGGCGCCAAAGCTAATGCACCCTAGTTCCAGTGGTGTGGGTAGCCTCTACACGCTTTCTAATACAGCGCCATCTGCTTTAAGCGATGTTTCGGCCTCCCTCAACTTCCCTAGAAAACCTGAATTACCAAGCCGAAAATCGACTTCCTCCAACTCATTTTCACTTTCCAAAGGTTTGAGTAATGAAAACTACTCGTCTGCTTCATCGACATCTGATATCCTTGAATCATCTAAAGCTATAGACAGGAAAACTAAACTAACATCTACCCCTTGGGATTTATGCAATAACAATCATTCTGATTTTACTTTGGCCAATTTACAAATAGATGGAACTAAACCGACTATTGCTAACAGCCCTTTATCAAACTCCTCTAAACATGGTATTCAAAAATCTGTATTCTCAACCAATGCGGATATCGCTAGTACTGATCAATCTGCTTACGTTCGTGACCTATGGCCTAATGAAACAACTGCAAGCATGACCTCTGCAACTTTAGGATCAAATCTTGTATCAGCCTTAAAAGCTCCTTCATTGAGCTCTTCAAGAAGCTCTTCTTATACGAAAGGTTCCTCCGGTTCAAATGTACCGTCAATTTGGGATCCTTCTAACAATGCAGCATTGCCTATTGTTAATGACTCTACAAATCCTCGTGAAAATGCTATCCGCTACAGAAAGTTATCTGAAAGAAATGCTGTTTACGATTGGAATATTATTGTTAACAAAATTATATTAAACAATGATCAGCAATCCTCTATTTTCCTTCAACAAAAACTAAAGATGGCATCTCCTGAGATTAAACAAGCTATCATAGATTGTATATTAGTTCAGGCCTGTCCGTTGATGTTGAATAGATTTGGTAATTTCTTAATTCAACGTTGCTTTGAACATGGCACCCCTCATCAGATTCGAGTTATTGGTTCTACTATCATGGGGAATATGTACAAATTGGCAACTGATCCTTTCGGATGTCATGTCGTACAGAAAGCATTTGATAATATCGACGAAGATATCAAGTATTCCATGATGGAGGAATTGTTCTTAACGATTAATGAAACTATAATGCATCATTATGCTTGTCATGTTTGGCAAAAACTCTTTGAAACACGTTGGTTCAAATATCCAGTGAATGTTATGGACCGAGTAAATATAGCCTTAAAAGGAAAATGGCATGAGGTAGCTCTAGGAGAAAATGGAAGTTTGGTTGTTCAAAACATGTTTGAAAATTGCGTTGAGAAGGATAAGCAAGATTGCATTGAGGAAGTCATTCTGCACCTTGACCTAATTGTACGTGGTCAATGGGGTAATTGGGTAATTCAACACATGGTTGAGAATTCACAAGGCGAAGCTTTACGACGCGTGGTCGGTGCTCTGCTTCTACGGGCTACAGAGTATAGTGTGGATCAATATGCCTCCAAGGTCATGGAAAAAGCAATTAAGTTTGGCCCAAGGGATTTTATTTCTTTATATCTAAAACAAATCACGAACGCCAGAATGGATCGAACAAGACAGCCATTAATTGACATTGCATCAGACCAATATGGTAACTATTTAATCCAACAGATAATTCAGCTTGCTCAACCCAGTGACCGCACAACTGTGATTACGCATATAAAAAAGCATATGGTATCTCTTCGCGGAAGCAAATATGGCCAAAAGGTCGCATTCCTTGCCGAGAAATGGAAAACCCAGAACCCACAGTTCGTTTCGAACACTGGTTTTGATTAAGCCTCCTCATCTCTTGAAATGTAATATCCGTACATATAGTTTCTAAATTCTTCGTACATTCTACCATATAAGTCGACCAGATTATGACTTTCTATTGTAGTATAAATTTTATTGTTATAGGTTTATTTTATTTAACCAAGATCAGAAAATAAAGCAAACCGTTCCTGCAATATGTGTAAATGGAATAAAAATAAAGTGAAAGATAAGTATGTTCATGAGATCATTATTCAATTATCAGAGCATTGACAGCCGAAACATTCATGTAATTGTTCATGGGCAAAAATATCACAATCGATACAAAAGTGAAGTTTACAGGAAGGGCACTCAAAGCGCATGGAAGATGCTGCCTGATCCTGATCAGACGCTTCTGAAGCTTTGGGGAAAGGAACTTGACAAGCAAAACAATGAGACGAAGTGGGTTTTGCGGACCAAGGTAAGTCTATCCAATTTTTTAAAGGAAATAAATGGTGATAGGATCTGGCAAGGTGGGTGGATAAAATCAAAACTAGTTTACAACTAGGACATTCTATGGGCAAAGTGCAAACTTTTGCTCTACAACGGGGACAATGAAAGCCACCACGAGAGGGTAAAGAATGACACGTACATAAACTTGGAAGTTGCTCAATTACCTTCGAGGGAAACCCCATCATTACTAGGGAGGAGTCAGCGGTTTTTGAAGAATTCGTTGCTGGAGGAATTGTGCTTTCCATAAGTAGTTCACGGAAGTGTTGTTCACTTAAGACAACGCCGTACGCGTTTGTAGAAGAACTGTTAGTTCGGTCACAAATTTCACGGCAGATAGCAACCTCAGCAGCGAGACCAACGATCTGGACTCGAATTTGATCAGAAACAAGAGCATCAACTGTTCGAAAAATGTCTCCAGGATCAGAAGAAAAGATAGAACCAAATATAATTAATACCTCTCTTGTTCCGTGAGAAGCAATGTGGGATAAAGAAGCTCTTGCCATTTCCAAAGCGTTTTGAAGGGAAAAACTTCCATTACACTCACGAAGTGACTTTAACTTTTGGATATGAGATTGCGGATTTCCATGTAAATCGGAAATGCGCTGAGCGATACCGTCTTTTACGCCAATAATTGACAATTGAGAAATGGGATTCTGTTCGAAATACTCCATGACAAATTCAACTGCATATTTAATTTGTAGTTCAAATCGCTTATGATGAAAATCTCGCTCTTCCATTGCAGAGCTCAGATCTAAAACTAAAACCATGTGACGAATGATTCCTCTTCGCAAAGGCGTCGTGTCACGAAGCAATCTAATATGAATTGTTAAATTCTTTGTCTTTCTTTCTATAGACTTACCTTTTTCTTTTTCCTGCATTGATCAATCCTGCAATTACCCCAATTAAACTCCCTTCAGCATCCTCTTGAACAATATCCCATGAACGCTGATATTCACCTTCCCAAGTATATCCTTCGTTATCATCGCTTTTGCGTCCTTTGTTACTCACTCTTCCGTTTTGCTGTTCATCTTCGCTTTCAGACTTGTCAGAATCATAGTTCTTATCCGCTTTACTCATCGAGAAATCCTAATAAAAGCATGAACTGTTCGGCACAGTTGTTAGAGTTTTGAATAGAAAATTAAATGTAAAAACAGAATGGTTCGCTTCCAAAAAATCTTCAAATACTTTCAGTAGGAGTAGAAAATAGTCGGAGAAAAAAAAGAACCCTAGCCAAAATTTCTCTTTCTATTTTCCTAATATATCCTATTCTGTACAATGAATCCTTCTATCTTCTGGTCCCGCCAGAGGTTTAGAACAACAGCACACATCCCATCCACGGTCAGAGGTATGAACAAGATCGTATAACGCATTGCAACAAAGGCTTATTTATCCAATCCAGCAATTTTACAGGAGCTGAGGAAATTCTTGGCTGCTTTAATATTTTTTCCTAGTTAGTCAATAAAAGCAATAAACATTTAAAAATCATCATAAAGCGAGTTATTAAGCTTTCATTATACTATTGTGTACTATAAAATTTTTGAACAAAATTCCCATTGAAAATTAACCCTAAAATAAATGCCAGTTATCCCTTATGTAGCCTTTTTTTTTCTTCAACTTTAATCACTGTCTGAATCCAGATTAATACTAGGCAAAGATTCATTGTCTTCGTCGACACCCTCGTCGCCGTTGGAAACATTATTCTCAGACGGACTTGTTATTTCATCGTTTTCTAACCCAATAGTTCCTTGATCAACACTGTTAGAACGATCTAAAGACGCTGAACTGTTTGTATGTTCCAGTTTATCTTTTTCAGTAAGGTCTTGCTTCTGAGAAGTATGTTCAATAGTGGTCACTTCTTCGTGTATCACAGGCTCTTCTCCGTCCGTGTCAATTGATGCATTAATTGACAAATCAATTTCTTCATTTTCATCCTCATCCTCCTCTTCATTGTCAATCGTAGAAGTAGCCTGTTTAGTGTCTTCAGCTGTCATTTTGGTATCCTCTTCATTTTGATCGCTCCTCGAAAAAGTCACAGTTCCTTCGGCTTTTTGATAAGATCCATACTCATTCTGTTTATTTTCAGTTCCCTTTTGACCATTTTCTGATTCATCCAACTCGATTGTCATGGTCTCCTTCCCCGTCTCATCTGAGGCCTTTTCAGATGCTAGGTATGTTTTCTTGTGTTCGGAGGTCAAATTGTTAGACTCCAAATGATCCTTAACTTCGACACTATCATACTTGGCTTCCTCGTTTCCACCAACAGCATTGGATGAAAATCCGGATAGACCTAGCGGTTGCAACACTGGAGAGGTTCGGGATATAGCAGAAACAGGCTCGAATCGGGATTCAAAAGCGTTTTCTTCTTCATATACGGGAAGTCGTTTCTGAAGAGGTGGAAATCTGGGGTGCAATAATATGTCGAAGGTTTTCAAATATTGTCCTGCATGGGAAGAAACTACCGGCGATGTATGCATTATTCCTAGAGGTCCTGTAAGGACATGTAAAGCATGTGGTAGAATGATTGCTTGACAGTCTCCAGGTGCCAAAATAGACGCAATCAGCAAATCATGTAAATGAGTAAGAGCATCTGGCGTTGGTTCCGCAAGAGCAAGCTGAAGAATGGTACGATCAATTTTGGTCCTAAGCATTCTAGGTAAACTGATGGTATTTTTTAAAACAGAACTCAAAAAGGAAAAGCAATGAGTGAGACACTTATCATCCAAAGAAAATCCGGCAGAAACCGATGAGATTAAGGAATCACCTGTTTGGCTTCCGGCTAAGGTTTTGCGTTTCTTTGTAGCTCGTGCTTGATCTGCACCAGCCACGACAGCTTCACCAGAAGCTCGATCCTTTGATTTAGTAATCCTTTCTAAAGCTAAAGCTACAACGTTTTCATACTTTGGCAGAGGAACGTCAACGTGCATCTTCTCCAAGAACTCAGAAATGAGTTGCAGTGAGGTGCAGAACACGCCATCATGAGTAGCCTCCGAAAGAAGACAGTCATTTACAGAATCGAGTGTAGATGATAAGACCACCATAAGGGAGCTGGGACAGACGGCAAGTAGTTTCCGACTTAGTTCATTAGCGAGAGTGTGCAAATGAGGTAAAACCATGAACAATAACGCCTGGACAGAATTTTCAATTGTAGATTTCACCGACGAAGATAGCTGAACATTGTATATCCGTCGTATCAAATCTAGTAAATGTCTAATTGGTAAAGATACGGACTTTTCAGTCTTTGTAGACAAGAAAGACATGAGTATCAAATGCAAGTTTCTACATCTTTGCAAGGCCAGTTGATATGACTCCTCATAATGGCCTTTAATCTTTGGAAAACTTAATTCCTCATCTCTAGCAACATCAGCATACGTTTGTTCCTCTATGATCAAATTAAAAAGGAAATTTAAAGCGACGTGATATTCCTGTATGGAATTGACAAAGTCCTTCTTCCAATTGTCTGAAAGATTTCCTTTCCCTTGGCATCGATACAGAGAAGCATACAAAACAGCAGCCTTCTTCTTGAGAGTTGAATCTATAATTTCATGTTCTTCCAACACTTCAATACAAAGGTTTTTTATGGAAGAACTAAAAGGGCGAAAAGTAGGGGCATGATGAATTAAAATTTGGTAGAGACATACAAAAATTGTTTCCAAGCATTTCCCAGTTTCACCTACTCGAAGACAAGCAGTTATAAATGAGGATAAATTAGGAGTTACAAGTTCTCGGGTGATTCCTGGTTTACCTGAAGAAGAAATAAAGATTTTCGAAACAGTACTGATTGCGCTTTCAAGCGTTCTTGGAAGTTCAGGACGATTCAACAATTGAATCAGTAACTTAATCCATGTAACGCCGTGATCAATAAGACATTCCCAACTTTGAGAAATAGTGCAATCTATCAGAATAATAGCAGACCAACGAAGTTTAAAGTCTTTGTGATGCAACATGCGAGTAAGACTAGTGCACCAATTACTACGGACTAGAAGACCTTGTTCACTCGATCCTAAATTTTTAATACATTTCTGCTTCAAAAGAATGTCAGCTATTATCGGAATTTGTAGGGGTAAAGTTTTTTCGTTTGGAAAACTGGTTGACAACCAGGATTTTACCAAAGAAAGAGATCCTCCCTCCAAAAGATCTGTCATTGAATTCTGCATAAAGTCCTTCTAATGGTAGATTTATAAACTAACTTCTCACTCTCTCCTCAAGTCGTTTTTGAACTTATGACAGGTAGGAGGTGGTAAGTAAGTGCTGAGGCATACATAAATAAGAGTAATTAATTTACGCGAGATTAAGAATCAACTCTCACGGATATTTAATGAAAAGTACGGAAAATAAAAGCTATAGAATTTTTTTTTTTTTTTTTTTTTTTTTTTTTTTTTTTTGCTAATAGAAAAACGAATGGGATTTAAAGGTAGCCACTTGTTTGTACGTTTATATAACATTCTATAGTAGAGTTTGTTTTTAGAGCTTATTATTTCTAATTATTGACTATGGTTGTAGGAACAGGACATCTTAAACGTTGTACAAAAGAATGACTCTACATAAGTGAAGAGATGGTAATTTGAGGTGAATGAATGTAAAAACAAACGTCAGCAACCAGCACTTATATCTTTTCAAAAATTAACTGAAAAGTCTTTTATGTAATATACACAGACACGGCGGAATGTGCAAGTCCATAGCCAGATATAACATAAGCAGTATTACAGTTCTTTTTTAAAAAATCTTCCCACGATAAAGAGAATTCAATTGTGAAGTTTATAAACTTCTAATTACTTTTCCGAATTTCCTTTTATTGTCTTCCAGAAAGCTTCGCGTTCGGTCATGAGATTTTGTAGCCAACCTTTCACCTGAGGATGCTTAATCAACTGACTAGCCCAAGAAAACTGACTAAGATCCTTTGTTCCTTGATATTTTTTTTCATACTCAAACATTTGAGCAAGCATTTCAAACTTATCGATATCCTTAACGAACTTAGCTTCAGATGTCGAAGCATGCTCATATTCCAAAAATAAATCTTTGATTTCTTCAGCATTCATTGCTAAATCTGATGGTATTATTTCTTTGGTAATTTTATTCATAGCTTCCATTTCCAGGCGATGCTTCTCTTCTTTGGAAACATTTTCATGGGGGGTGATATCTCCAACAATAGATTCAGCAAGATCATGAACGATGGCAATCTTAACACATCGATCTTTATTGATTCCTGAATCATTGCAAAGCAGGGTTAGGATACCCATACGATACATGTGATCAGCGATGGACTCAGGAGTTTCTATACCATGGTAGAGCCAGCCTGTTCTCGGGGTGGATTTTAGTTTAGATATTGTCTCTAAGAAAGGAACGATTGATTGGGAAACACTCATTTTAATATACTGACAAGCCGGTAGCAAAAAAATTTCCTACACCTCGAAAAAGTAAATAAACGACCTGAATTTTTGGTTTTTAAAAAACAAAACAAAAAAATAAGAAAATACTAAACAAAAACAAATATAAATTTGAACACCCTCTCCGAAAAATTTGAAACCCGAACGCGTGTATCGCAGAGTTGGTGTTGGTTGCTCTTGGCAGAATGGCATTCATCGAATTTCTATTCGTGCAGAAATAATTTTTAAACTAGATCACAGTTCCTCCAATTTACTGTTTTAGATATAATAGTTTCAAAACAACTAGCGCTGAATAAGTAAAGGATATTTAGTCGGTCATTCAAAAACATCGTTTCGTTTATTTATCCATTCAGCTAAATGAAAAAAAAAATCGTTTTTATATCCAGTGTCTTAATTCATTAAAGTAAAAAGAAAAGTTAATCATGGAACAGTATATCGTCTATTGACCATGATGACCTCGGACAGCTTCCTTGAGGCAATCGTCTTGGAATGAAAGCTCTTCTATAATATTTACACCGGAATTTTTTAATAAATCAACTCCTTCACATTTCACGAAAGTATCTGGTTCCCGGGAACCCAGTACAACTGTTGATATGTTTTGACTGATGATTAAATCTGTGCAAGATTTCTTTCCTGATAGACGCTTACTACAGGGCTCCATTGTACTGTAAATCATTGTACCTTTCAAGGAAGACCCGTAAGGTTGTTGTGACAAGTATTTCATGATGGCACACTCTTCAGCATGCGTATTACCGGGTAACTCACGTGAATATCCGGTTGATACTATTTCACCATGTTGGACAAGAACAGATCCAATACAAAAAGCTGAATCAGTAGGCTCACACTTCTTGGCTTCTTCTAAAGCAGCATACATTAAAGCTTTGTGGTTGTAGGGTTTCAGTAAGAAAAGTGCCATGTTCTCTGGAAACCCCTCCTGTTCATAATTAAATAAAAAAACCTGATAAAATGGCTGTATTTTCAGTAGAAAGTCTGTGAGTGTTTCAGGATCCCTCAACTCTTGACCTACTAGGCAAGTAAGGTCTGGGAATAATCGCGCAAAAGAAGCCATTGTAGAAACGAGGTGTGTATTAAGATTCGGATTATATATGCAATCAAACAAGCACAATATATCTAAAGACATGTCTTTCCATTCCTTTTCCGAAGGAGGATTGGTCCAATCAAGTTCAGATACCTCCACCGTACTAGCCCCATTTTGATCCAAGTTTTCACGAAGTCCCTTTAAGTAATCATTCTGATCAGTAGCAATATACCTGTTAACTCGAGGGCCCAAAAGGATTCCGCCAATTCCGCTTATACCAGATCCAAGCTCTAATACAGAAACATCAGAGGAAAGGGTATTTGCAAACCAACTCTGTTTAATTAGCCATGGAACGATGCTAATGGATGTTTTCCAAACTACAGATCCTGTAGATCCTGGGAGTTGGTGCAAGGTTTGACGATTTTGTTTGATGTGAAGCTTGTGTTCATCGAGTTCTAAATCCACTCTGTCTAATTTAGAATCAAGCATTCCCAAATCAGCATTTTTCTTTTTGTGAACGGCGAATAAAACTTGCACATCTTCTTCAACTTCTTCAATTGGGGCATACAAATTTGAGGGAACCTCCATACTAGTATACAAGCTATAAAAAGCTTTACGACGTATAATCAAATTGAAATGTTTCGTTCAACAGAACCAATCTTACAAGGCTTGCAAATCCGTAAGACTCCAATTCCGACTGGTTAAAACGGATTCTTCTGGAAGTTATTTTAGTAAGTCTTCAAGTGCAAAAAGATATAAAAGACAGCTTGAATGTTCTTGCAGAGTTATGAGTGGAAGTGGTCAAGTTCGTGAAATGCGCTATTTACTGTATCATCTTGTTAACTCGCAGAACGCACCCACTACACAACCTGAGACCGAGCGATAAAAACACATATTTTTAAAAAATGAGTCTTTCCAGTAGACTTTCGAGTCTTCAATTGAATGGAAATGATGATTTAAAGCCGTCTTATAACTCGATGAATGCAAATCCGAACGAAAAACCGAGTATGGATATTTGTAGACGTGTTTTGATATAAAAGATACTAATTATTGCGTTATGTAGACTCTTCAGGAACTATAGGACCATCTGCTTCACAATCGTCTAGTACAATCGCCGACTTCGGCACAAACGGTTTGTTTTCTTCCTCTATCCACAGTGCCAACGATTCCCATGCGCCTCACCGAAATGGCAGTACTGTTGATGTAAATAGTCATAAGAACAAACTTTTAGGAGTGATTACTGGAAAGTCTGGTTCGACTTCACCTTCTTTCTCTGATGCCACTGAAACAAAAGATTTGAAACTTTCCGAAAATACAGATTCATCCGGTCCATTGGACGAGTCCGCGAAAGCATATTCTCTCGAATCCCTTTTACCCATAATTCGCATGGAAGATACCGATTTGTGCATGTTGCAGTTAGGTTGTGATTTGTCTGCATTAGGTTTTGACTTGGCACCAGTAGAGTAAGTCTTCGAGTGAATTTTTTTTATTCTTTTTCCTAACTTCGTTTTTTAGGGAGGATCGATTAATTTCTACAAATATGTCGTCTCCATGGGCTGAGCTAAATACTAAGAAACCAATTTCCGAACCTCCATTTAAGCTTCCTGAATGCTACAAGAGTGTTGATCCTCCTTCTCAACTCTCAAAAATCATTCAATTTTCTGACGAAACCCTGTTTTATATTTTTTATACAAAACCTCAAGACATTTTACAAGAGGCAGCTGCTCAAGAACTGTATGTACCTTCGTTATAGAATACTGTCTAACTAATTAGTACAAACCGTAACTGGCGCTTTCACAAAGAATTCAGAGTGTGGTTAACACCAGTACCTGGCACGAAGCCACTTCAACGCACGCCTCAATTTGAACGTGGTTACTACATGATTTTTGATCCTGTTCACTGGAAAAGAATCAGAAAAGACTTCTTGCTTATGTATGCTGCTCTGGAAGATCGTACTCAAAATGCTATTCCGACATGAAGAGGAAAGTGTAAGTCTCGTATACTTTCCACTTGTACAAAAGGATTAATCTGGGTTTGGTAATCATTATGATGGATGATTAGTTTTAATTTCGCATCTGAAGTATTCATGAAAAAAATTTTGATGTCCTATACAGAGTAATTAAAAATTAATAGTTTCAACGATACATCAACAGTTTGACTATGTATTCTGTATTTTTAAAGATTCTTAGCAGAGACAACGAATCATTATTTATCTATTTATTTTTTTTGTAGTAGAAATTTATTAACATGCAAATGTATATTTTAAAACCAAAACAATTATTCGCGTAACCTCGTAGATATTAAACATTAGCAGAAAAGCCATCAAGACCCTCCAAGACTAACTTTAGTTTTAAAGAGCATACGTCTTAATGGTTACTTGGAATTTCCTGAAGCATTTTCGCTTCCGTCTTCATTGTGTAAACGACGGAATGCCCGTTTAAGAAAACCTCCTACTGAACCCTCTGATTTAGAACCAGCAGATGACGACTCGGACGGCTTATCTTTACTAGATGAATCCGATGATGCAGGGGGTTCATCTTTAGCTGTTGGTCGTGGAGTAGTTCTACGTGCTGAAGTGTCATTAAGAGAATCAGCCAGTTGTTCCAACAAGCTTCGTTCATGGGGAGAAAGTGCTTTTGGAGTATTTACCTCGAAATCAATATAAAAGTTTCCATAACGGGCAATACCTGAAACGTTGCGAATACCTTTACCTGTCATTGTGATGCGATCACCGGATACTGTGCCTGGTGGTACACGAAGGTCCACTTCACCGGTCAAAGTAGGGATGCGAATGGTTCCTCCCAAAGCAGCAGTGGTCATAGGAACCTTAGCTCTATACAAGACGTTGTTTCCTTGACGACTAAAGAACTGGTGCTTACGTACGCGAACAGTTGCATAAAGATCACCAGGACGAGATTTCGCATCAGGAGCAGCCTTTGCAGTAGCAGCGTCATTTCCAGCACCAACGACTCGTAATACGGTATTGTCATCAATACCAGCAGGAATATCTAATGAGATAGTCTTCCGTTCACGGACGTTACCAGAGCCGCTACATGAACGGCAGGCAGATGAAGAAGGGATAGTAGTTCCACTTCCACCGCACACATCACATGTAGACTGCATATGCATAGAAGGAGGGATGAAATGAAGACGGTGGCCACTTCCTTTACAAGCAAAGCAGGTACTACGATGAGCACCAGTTTGAAGACCGGAACCATGACAACTAGAACACGTTGACGAAACTGAGTATACGACGTCCTTCTTAACACCTTTAACAGCCTCCATAAAGTCTATATTGAGACTAACTTCAGCATCTTCGCCGACATATACCTCAAAAGGGTTGGCACGTCTGCCTCGTCCTGCCCTTCCAGTAAACGACGAAAATAAATCCTCAAAATTGAAACCAGGAAAGCCAGATCCAAAAGCTGACTCAAAACCATTTTGAAACCCTCCAAAATCGTTTCCTGTAAATTCTCCATTTCTAAAGGCACCAGAACCATACGTGTCAAAAGCCTTTTTCTTCTCAGGATCTTGTAGAAGTTCGTAAGCTTGCTTTATGTCTACGAACTTTTCCTGGGCACTTTTGTCGGGGTTAGCATCTGGATGATATTGTTTTGCTAATTTGTAATAGGCAGACTTAATTTCTTTTGGAGAAGCATTCTTTGAAACGCCCAATGTTTTATACGGATCCGTCATTTCAAAAGCGGGATTGGAAGCATGGAAGAAACGCTGAAAACGGTACGGTCTCGCTGTATTTGCATTCCGCGAAATATACGAAATTTTCGCATTGAGAGCATGAGAAGCAAAAGCACGTCGAATTGGCTGGGATATATTTCTACGGGCTTTGGATAAGCGATGACAGGTATTGCGAGATGCAAAAGAATGCAAAGTCGAAATATTCGATCGTAAACCAAAAGGGATCATGATATTAAGGAAAGAATAAATCAATCAAATCTGTAGAAATAATACCGTTCGTGATCTCTTTGGTTGCTATGCAGAGTATATAGCTTTGACTTATTAAACAGTTCAAGCTAACCTATGGCAGACTCAAAGGATAAACTTAAAAATATAAAAAATAATAAAAAAAAGGACACAGAATCCCAACTACCTTACTTAGTCCAAAAACGGTAGAATTATATGGATGTATTCTAATGGAGTATGAAAATCACCAAAGAATCAAAAAGATGATTCAACGATCTCTTAAGAATATTCAATAGTCAAATCCTTGACTATATATACACTGAACACTAATTTTTGAAGAAGAGAGGATGGTTAAAGGGAAACGGTTTGTTATGGAATGTGCTGCTAAGAAAGCGGCGTAGAAGCTAACAGAACTTCACCAGAACCCAACCTCAGAAAGGAGACGGAAAGCCTTAGAAACGGAGAAGATATACGTTTAAAGAACACATATTTACTTCTTTAAACTGTTACAAAATTTAACACTATACTCATCGAAACTGATACGTAATTGGACTGGACTAGTTCTCTTAAGATTTTGACATTTTGGGTCAATATGCAAACAGAGCAAGTTGCAGGGTGTGCAATACTTTTAACTGTTGCTGCTTTAACTATTCGATGGATTTTTTCTACGGACAAGTCCTCGCACACAAGTGTTCGTAACCCCGGTGCTTTGGATTCCGGTCATGCAGTGAACAGTGAGCAAGTGAATATGATCAAATCAGTTTTTCCTAATATTGAGAGCGTTGCTATCGCTTATGATTTGCAAAAAACTGGTAGTGTTGATACCACTATTGAAAATGCGATTGCTTCTCAAAATTTACCTTTGCCAGCACGAGATTCTGCTCTGTACTCTCGCTTTCCTCTGTCGCCTGGATCTGATCTAGCTAATCATTCTCCGATGAGTAATAATGTAAATCCTGAGCAAGTTGCTCAGACTGGACAAAGTTCAAGTACTGTAGTCAATCCTTCGATGTCAGATGTCTCTAAGAGCTTGGTTGATAAGTATGGACTTTCTTCTCGACTCAACGATACAAATAACACCTCATCATCGTCATCATTGAAAACTGCATCCGAACCCGTCCAACGTCAGAAATTCCCCAACTCGAAGAAAGAGAGAGAGGAGCTTTTTCGTCGACGTAAGGAAGAAATGATAATTGCTGCTCGGAAACGAATGGAACAGAAAATTGCCGGTGGAGATGATGCTTAATCAAGAGATTTCTTGTGTTACATAACTATGGAAATATACGGTAATTCCTTGCATCCGTTCCCACCCCATATTACAGACGTCTTTTACAATGCTGAAGGAAAGCTCATATAATTTTCTGTTATATGTTGGCAAACAACATTATTTATGTTCTTGAATTTCTTAGTAGCTGGCAAAATAAGTTGTCTGATCAATTACAGTGACTCGTTTCGTATGAAAGTTTACTAAAATAGCTATGTGCGATGGTGCTTTCCTTTTTAAAAATGAAAAAAAAAAAAATTATGACTTATGTCCTTTATATTTTCTTTATTTTATTACACGATTTTTATTTACTAATGCGCGATTCCTTTTACTCTCATCAGCGGGTTTGGACTGCAACGGCATTAATTATAGGTCATTTAAACTTTTGTTTATGGTTGAAACCCATGACTTTCATATTTTGGACAGCAAAAAAGAAAACTTAATGTGGATTATGTAAGTAAATTTTGTGTTGTTATGTTGAATTAATAGACTTTCTAAGGGTAATCTGATGAACCAGAATCTATGCTATTTCGAATGTAAAATGATGGGCATAAGGTTCCCCCGAGTCTCATTGAATGGCTTCATACATATTGTTTTCACTGAAAAAGTTACGTCTTCTATGTTGGATTTAGCAATTGAATGAATTATGATCTGTAAATGCCAGCATTAGAAGAAGGCTTTCCTTCAAAGTTTGTTTGACACAACAGTCCAAAGATTTTGTTTTATTTCATATGATTATGGTTTAATAGATAGTTTTTGTTTATGTTATTTAAGTAATTACCAGATTTGGCACCTTGTTTAATGTTTTGCCTATTTTCGGCTTACGTAGTAATATAATACTAACGGGTTTCATACAATGATTCTTACATAACCGTATATTCACCTGTTTTCATGACTTAGAGTCGCTTCCAATTCCAATACTCCAAGTTTGATGACTTAGTAAGAAGTAATTACTGTATTTATTGCTGAAGTATAGATTCGTATATCTAATAAAAAGCCATTAGCAAAACTGAGAGGGTTAACAGTACTAACATCTATACGTTTCGTTGTGAAAAAAGAGAACGCACAATTCTGAGCTTGCTAGTCATATTTTCCTTTCTTGAGAACATTGAGGATCTTAATACATATATCAAAAAGTCTTGGGCCTGCTAGGTTTATCTTTCTTCGGTTGGCTTGCATTGTTTGTTTACGTTAACTAGGAAATTTTGCTTAGATTCTTGCGGAATATTCGCAAGGAACTATTCTATATTTTACTTGAATTACAGCATAATTCCTCTTATTTTGTAGGATCCTTGAGAAAGAGAGAAAAAAGGATTTTGAACCGTTTTGGTCTTGTAGATACAAATATTGGAATTTCATGGGACAAGCAAATTCTCGCTCACCGCTACCTGAGAATAATGAACAACACTCAAATAGAAACTACAACTTCTTACATAGACTCAAATCATTCTGGAAACGATACATTTCACGGGACGATAGTTCGGTGGTAAGCGACGGAACCCGGTCTACTAGGAAACATGGTTCTTCACGGCCATCTAATTCTTGCCGATCTTCAAGTTTACTGGCATCTGAAGATAGATCACAACATTCACACTGCTCATCTGTCCCTGACACTCCTGTGAATGATTCCCTCCGACAATCGCCAAACAGTGTTCCCATAGGAAATTTATCTACGGACTCTCAAACTATTGATCCAAGTATTTCCAATGCTTTACACGCAATGCCTTCGAACAGTTATTCAAGATTGGATTTCTCGTACTCTAATGACCACGCTAATGCTTCTATACCTTTCCACGAATTTCATGAATCTAATTCCTCCGTATTTGATACTGCTGATGAAACTATTAGTAATGAACACGCTTCCCCTACCTCGGATACCTCGATACCTGTAAATTATGGTTCACAATCTTCTGCTCAAAATCTCCGTTTACCGAATAATACCCAAAATCAACCATTCGAAAGTCGGTCACCACTAATCGATCATTTACGACAATATTTGACACAAGATTTCAGTCAACGCCAACAGCACAGCAATGCCGTGTATTATGGTGATGAAACCCTATCGAATTCTAGTAATTATTCTCAGTCATCTGTTTCTTCACGTTCTGAACCTGAAAATGATTTTAATACGAATTCAGGGAATCGAGCTAATTCTGCTTTGCCTCCTGAAACTGGTTCGACAGTTCATGGATCCAACAATGAAAATGCGACTAGCATGTTGAGTCGACTTCTTTCGGCAGCTGCTATTGAAACGGCAGCCTCTATTATGAACAATGAAGCTCATGGAGCTAACGCGAATGCCCATGGAAGACAATCTACCGTCAGATCTATTGATGGATCATTCGAAAATTTTCTCAGCGATCTTCGTAATGGAAATATAACTAGTGTTTTGGAAAATTCAGCTAATTCTCGGAGAGAAGCAGCAGTCAATCGAGATACCGAAGGAGAGAATCCCGAAGTGCAGTACTTGAGAATGTTCCGATTTCCATCTTCCCGTCAGTTGGATACTACTGGTGATGATCAAAATCAGCGAGAAAATAATGGACCAGATCTTTCCCTTGTACCGGTACTAATTGTCTGTATGCGTAATATTACCGACAGTTCTGAGGATCCTATGCAAAGTATGTCTCAAGATAATCAAAGTTATCATGAAGAGCTTCGAGATAACATTTCTATTAATGACATTACTGAACGAATGGCCCAGTCGACAAACTCTTCCAATGAAGTTATAGCCTCAAGGACATTCCCAGCCGATCGGCTATCGAATATATCTAACTCATTTGATCATTACAGCTCGGCTTCAGCGAGAAGTGAGGCTTCTTCATCGGAGTATCCTCGTCAACCTGCTGGATGGCCATCTTATGCGTCTGCTAACTCTTCACTTCCTTCCGTGCTTAGAAGAGCTGATGAGGACCTCGGTACTGAAAACGGAATTATACGGGCTAGACATCAGCCCACAGCAGGTACCGATTTGAACGAGATACCAACTTTGCGTACTCGACAGAATGATTTCGACTCTGATGTCGATGCACACACCAACGCGGAAGATGGCTTTCGGGAGAGCGATGGATTAGTGAGTCACAACCACGGAGAAGCTTTAGGATTTGGAAGCGTTGAAGCATCGACAAACCATCTTTATCAAGATTCCGTCTCTATAGATAATAATCGGAACAGCGCTTTTAGAAGGTTTGCATCAGTGGAAGAAGGCAACAACCGAATGAACGAAGGTAATGGAATAGATGAAACGACCAATACAAACTCAAGTAATGCCCATGGTGACTGGCTTATATATGTTTTTGGAGGATTGTTTCCAGAGTACCATCCGATTTTAACTACAGTAAGTTTATTCTCCGACAATCCAACATATGACGATTTGTTAGCGTTGACAAGCTATTTGGGGCCTGCAAAAAAGCCTGTTGCAACTGCAGAAGATTTAACTCGTGCTGGTGGACTGTTTCGGTATATGGAAAATGGAAATCATGCTGTCAACAATACATGTTTAATTTGTCTGGAACCATTTGAGCGCGATGTGCTATGCAGGAGATTGAAAAACTGCAAGCATTTCTATCATAAAGATTGTGTTGATCAATGGCTTACTACGGGCAACAATTCATGTCCTTTGTGTCGTTCACGCGGTGTGAAAACCAGTAATGAAGGAGCAAGTCAGCAGATGCCTGACGTATCTTTTATTTAACTATTGCTTAGATTGTTAAGGTTTCATTGATTATCGTTTTGACGGTTTATTGTGCTTATTATTATTGTTTTCTTTTTTGTTTGGTTATTATCGTGAAGAGCCTTTGCATTCGTGATAAATTATTCAGAGGCATCGGTTATGAGTGAGTACTTTACATGTCGGCTATTCATATACTCTGTACTCTTTGACCATTTATTCATAAAGCGTGTTTCAGAAGAGCTTTTTTTTTAAAAAAGCAAGCAAGATATTAAGAGCGTTACATGTATGAAATTCTTGCCTTTATTCATCAACTCTGTCTACAAACATTGCAATTTGCTTTTTTTGACGGCTGGCAAAATTTAAATTCACTGTCATTTATTTATGCTACTTTAGAATTACGCATAATCGTTTAATAATATGTAATAAACCCTTTCTATGCATTGTTTCTTTACTTTTATGGAATTTACTATAATCCCAGGCTAGCCTTCATTCTATTTTTTTCCGGTTCTCATGAAAGCGTCTCTATCGCTCTAATTGTACGTTTGACAGCTTTGTAATAACTTTTTTTTCTGCATAAAATAAATTAATACATTGCCATGTTTCTATATTCATTTCCCCAATGTAAACAAACAAGAAATTATGTCATCTATCCTTTTCCTCAGGTCTTTTCTACTTCGCTTGTACGCACCTTGTTGTTCGTCAACACAGGTTCCTATGTAGATGTAAATATATATTCTATATTATGTTTAATTAATTGCTTCACCTGAACAAACTAGACGAATAAAATGTCCAAAAATATATCATGAAAAAGTAATTCTTCTTCTCATTGTTGGTTTAGCGTTTATATTTTTCTGTTTATCCATTTCATTTTTGGTTTCTTGCATTGTCCTTCCTTTTTTAGGGTCTTTGCAGGTTTGTGCAAGATTATTTTATATGTTTTGGCTCTCAGTTGCAACTGCGTTCTTGTGTGCCTAAATAAAATCCATTTGGTCCCTTACATTTCTTTTAATTACCCATGTGATGAAATTCATAAATTCTTATTGAACTAGAATTCTTTCACTGGAATCACTCATTGACGATAAAAGGTTTTACTAGTTACGAAGATGAAGAATTAATTATAAATATGTATAGCATTCTGATTTGAATTTATCACTGTTATGCTCTTTTTCGTCAAGAATATTCATTAGCCCTCGAAGTGTCGCCGTTCAGGAGGAAACCGAGACAATCGCTTTAAAGGAGAATTGCTTTCTCTGGGAGTCGAAGTGGCAAGGGAATGTCGGTTCCCTCTCCGGTATGTGAAAAGAGGGCTACCTGGAGTTTTAGGACTACGAACAGAGGGAGAAGTTTTGTGTTCCAAAAACGCATCGATCGGTCGTTTCGGGGTATAATATTCAACTGAAGCGCTCACTGGACCATACGTAGTGTTCGTAGCGACGTCTCTCTTTGCAACAGAAAGTCGAGGTTCGACAAATTTCTTATCATACTCGTAAAAAACTTGCTGATGAAGACAATCCCTACCCTTAATCATATCCACAAATTTCCTCGCAACAAAATATAACAGGAGAGAGAATATGATGCTTAAAAAAATAATTTTAGGAGATTGAATGTAAACCCATAGAATAAGTAGATGGATAGGAGAGAAAAGACATGAAAAATAAAGAGAAAATATGTTGGGAGACCAAACAACTAATTCAAAACTTTTCTGTTCATTTGGTTCCAACTGAACAGGTCGTAAACCAGGCGTTGTTGGAATATTCTTATCGGGTTGCGGAAGTGTTCTGTAAGCCTTTTTTTGGAAATAAAAGCAACTCACTGTATTGATGATACTGAAAGCCACAAGGCATAGCGAAATGAATGAAAGGATTCCTCTAAACCAAGAACTTGTAGCTTTGGCTGTTTTGGTTCCCACAAACAGTTGACTACGATTCGACCGTGTTTTTGTGTTTTCCGCATACGCGCGTATAAAAATGAATAGGATATTTGACACCAAACTTAAAGGAATGGACCATCTTTCAGAGATTTTGTCCCATTCCACACTGTCGAAGTCCTCAGAGATGGATATAAAAAGATTGATAGGAAAATTCAAGATTCTGGATTTAAGTGATGTGCGACGAATTAGCTTTGCCATTTCTAGATATATAATGAAATTTCAGTCGACCGTGCCCTCGGCTATCCTGTGCCGTTGTTGAACGTGTAAACGCTCTATAAGTAAGGAATTCAAATAATAAAAAATCTTTCTTTTTTAAGCAGATTTGTTTCTTAAAGCAAATTACCTCGCAGTCAACGATAAACAGTTTATATTCGATTGCCTCCCAGGGTTTTACTCATAAAAACCAAGAATTCCTTAAGAATATTCTTTTTTTGGTCTCTTCTCCTTTAACAACTTTGTCAAGCTAAAGACTAACCTTGTGTTTAACCGATGAACTTGGTGTTTTCTGGGTACTTTGCTACGTATCATAACCATACCAGTACTACACATGACTCATCGTAAATCCTCTTTTGCCAAGTGCAATAAATTGGAAAGAAATACACTACATTAGATAAAAATTGACTATTTAAAGATTTCTAGCAATTTGCAACTTGCTTGGAATTAATTGTTTTTAAGCACGTTTTGTGAAACGTTTCAACTTTTAACAGTTCCGAATCCTCATTGGCATTTGAGAGGTTTAATTATTATACAAAAGGGTACAAACAGACCGGGAAGCTTTCTCTGTTATGTACATTTCTTTTTTTGGGGTACTTACGATTTTGTAATCTGGCCGCGTGTTTTGTGTTATTATACTCTATTTTTTTTAAAAAAAAAAGTATCTGTTATATTTATATAATTTGTTTGGTACTGGAAAAAGACAATTCAGATGTTCTAATGTGATTTTGATGATTATGCAGAAATTATATTCCACTCGAGAAAAACAGGTCCAATATGTCTAACTCAAGAAATACCCTCAATAGTAATGCTGCTGTAAAAAGAAAATTGGAGGAGCCTCGTCATGAAAATAGTCGAAAAACTCCACGGAATGCAATTGAGTTTCAACAAACTAGAAGTCATTCTAAGAAACAGAATCAAGAGCCTACAAAAATTGACCAGTCTACCTTTAATAAAGAAACAAAAGATGAAAAAGTGGGTATAAAGGAAAACGAGGAGGCCTTTGGTCTATTGTCAACTAATGATACCCCTGTATCAGGTGAGCACAGCGACGAAAACTCATCAGGAATTTCTGACCGGGAAGATGAATCTGATGAGGATTCAGATATATGGGAGCAAGTGGATCTTAAACCAGATCGTGATAAGAAAAAGAACGAAGAGAAAGATGTTCACATTAGTACTTCAAGTGTAACACCCTCTGACAACTTACATAAGAAAAGATCATCTGGTATAGTTGAAAAAGAGATTCGTTCATCTATACATGTCATGCACACATGTTGCTTATTTTACCATGGGTTACTTCGCAATCAGTGGTGCTGTCGCCCAGAACTTTTGGAATGTTTACTTGATATATTATCGGAAGAACGACCTTCGATAATAGAAGATTGGATCAGAAGTGAGCAAACACACGATGATCTTTTGATGCTAGTTAATGGACTACGGACATGGTGGCAGAAAAAATTCCATATAACCAAGCATGGTCTAAGGAAGCTGGGATATCGTGATTTTAAGGAGGGTTTAAAACTCGGGTTTGAACCCGAATCTATTGAAAACGAAATGATTTTTATGGAAAAAATTTGTTCATTTAGCGGAAGCCGTGATTTAGCTGCTCAAGGCTTCACTGCTTTATGCCGATCATTGAAGCTTGATGCCCGTTTAATCTTTTCACTTCAACCTTTAACTTACTCCACAGCTTCTTATGATAACTGGTCTAAACATGCCCTTCCAGACGAGACTGCAAGTTCCATTGACGGTGACCTCCGGTATCCTGTGTTTTGGACAGAGGTATATGACAATGATCAAAATCGTTGGATAAGTGTTGATGCCGTTGTCTTGAATGGTGTGTATACGAATGACATGTCCTGGTTTGAACCAAAGGGAGCTTACGCAGAGTCTAAACACTTGCGTATGGGGATTGTTGTCGCGTATGATGACGATTATTATGCCAAGGACGTGACGCCACGTTATGCGGATATGTCGTCCAGTCGTTGCAAAAAAATTCGAAAATCTTCTTCACCAGAGAAAAAAGACGATGTATATGCCAGAATTTTTTCTCAATTTACGAAAAGGAAGAACGATGAAAAGGGTTTGCTGGAGGATCGTGAGCTTGAACAAAAAGTGCCAGTGCGCGAATTAAAAAGCATTGCTGATTATAAGAATCACCCAGATTTTGTGTTAAAGCGACACCTTAAACGTGAAGAGGTAATCCCGGATAATGCACAACCGGTTAACAAGGTAGTTTTTGGATCAAAAAAAAATCCTATCCAAGAAGAGGTGTATCGCCGAGAGGATGTTTTGACGTGTAAATCACCAGAAAATTATCATAAAGAAGGCCGTGTGATTAAACCAGGAGAACAGCCACGAAAAATGGTGAAAGCGAGAGCGGTAACCATTACAAGGAAACGAGAGCATGAATCTAAAGTAATAGAATCCAAGGAACCAGTTATGCAGGGATTATATTCTTCGGATCAAACTGAATTATACATTCCGCCGCCAATAGAAGATGGAAAGATTCCGAAAAATGGTTACGGAAATATTGACTGTTTCGTTGAAAGCATGGTTCCTCGAGGAGCGGTGCATCTTCCATTTCGAGGAATTTCTAAGATCGCGAAGAAGCTGGGTGTTGATTATGCCGAAGCAGTGACAGGCTTCGATTTTCGAAAGCATCGTGCAATTCCTGTAACGACAGGTATCGTCGTACCAGAAGAATTTGCTCCCAAAGTGCTAGAGGAATATCGTGAGCATCAAAAGGAAATGCTATTAAAACAACTTGCAAAAGAACGGAATGCTGCTATTGGGTTGTGGAAGCGTATGATTAATGGACTACGGATTCGGAAACGAATTACGGAAAACTATGGCTAGGTTTAATCACTTAATACCTCTTTCTACGCATTGCTTGCTTACTCTACAGATAATTGCATTGTAAATAAATATTGATATGCTGTATGAAATTCACTTTATTTTCTAGAATAAACTCTTGTAGGCAACAGCTCATTGTGTTCGTAGGTGGCGTTCGACGTAACGGTTTCCAAAACAGTAGCAACTTAGTAAGTTACTCGTTTTAATAAAGCATTTAATCTATAAAGTCATTAAAAGAATCTTATACGAGTGTATAATTTTGTAAGGGTAGGGCATATTTGACGGGGATCGTCAAGTTTAATATGATACAAGCTGTCGTTTACCAGCTACATGAGGTATTGAACATAACAGGGTATAGCAGACAAAGACCCTTTTTTATTACTGATTGAATCCAAAATTTTTTCAATTACGCATGCAATTGATCGATTCTCTTTTATGAGGACAAGGATTAACTGAAAGAAAACAGGAAGACGTAAGGAGGAACATAGTTTGAGCATTCTCGCATGTCAGATAAATCTTAGGACGGAAAGCTACTAGCATTAGTATCAAAAATGAACGATACTAGTGACCTCATGGGGCTTTCTATGAATTCAAGCAGAGAGGATCAAGCTATATTGTCCGACGAGTCTTCAGCATTTCAGAGCCATGATAATTCCAAAATCTCATCAGAGTTTGAGTTAGAAGACGTTTTAGATTTGTATAATGATACTACTGATGATGCAGACGACATAGAGGACACAGGTCCTTTTATGCTTTCACCATCTTCAAGTATTTCCAGCCGGAGTAGCAAGGATCTTAATTCATTTATTTATCCGATTTACCGAAGCCAGCATATTAACAATAAGAGAAACGAAGGTGAAAGTGAAGATGAAAGTGATTTCGACACAGTTGTGTCTAACGAGCTTGAAGCTTACTCTACCTGTGGTTTCATCACAAACGATTCAACAAAAACAGATCTTACAAATATTTCAAAGCATAATCTGACGGATAATGTGAGGTTGTCATGGGAACTTTCGGAGAATAAAGACTCGTTGGCGATGAATGAATTTGCAGCTACCAACCATGACCATTTTTCGTCTAAAACTTCTACCAAAACTAATTTTACAATTAAATATAATGACGATGAAAAAGATTTTTCTTCTAAGATTTATAGTGACAACCTTACGTTTAAAATCAACTCTATTAATTGCGATATCAAAAATGATGATGGACCACTTTCTCAAATATTTCGGTGCTTTAATAACTTTAAACAATCCAGCTCTGAATGGGACATGTATGGATTTAAAAAGAAAGGTCCGTTTACATCTATTGATCAGTATGATTCCTGGTTCGAAGTATACAATCAGTATTTGGAACGACGTGAACAAAAATGGAAGCAACTACTAGCTGAAAATGGAATTGACTATTTTAAGGGTACCCCAGAAGTATTTCCTAGTCGTAGTGCGAAGGTTCAAAGGTTTATACGGAAAGGTATTCCTTACGATCTTCGTGGAAATGCTTGGTTTTATTATAGTGGCGGGTATGAGCTTTGCAAACGGAATCCGAAGCTTTATGAAACTTTATGGAGGTGTTCTTGTATTCGCAAGCCTTCTGATTCTGACTTGATTGAGCGTGATCTATATCGAACGTTTCCTGATAATATATATTTTCGGAGTAAACCAGATCAACCTTTGGACCCGACGGGTGCACCTGAAGAAGACTCGGGAATTATCATGATTGCAAAACTTCGCCGTGTTCTCATGTCATTTGCTACATATCTTCCAGAGAATGGTTATTGTCAGAGTCTCAATTTCCTTGCTGGATTTTTTTTGTTGTTTATGAGTGAAGAGAAGGCATTTTGGATGCTTGTTATTACTTGTCGAAAATATTTGCCCAGAATGCATGATGCTAATTTGGAAGGTGCAAATATCGATCAGAGTGTTTTAATGGCTTCTGTAAGGGAAAGCCTTCCTGCTGTTTGGAGTCGTATTAATTTAAACTTTGATGGTATGCCAGTCAATGATATTGTTGCCAAGCTACCCCCTATTACCCTTGTTACGGCAGCATGGTTTATGAGTGCTTTTGTAGGTGTCTTGCCAACCGAAACTACCCTTCGCATATGGGATTGCTTTTTTTATGAAGGAAGCAAAGTTTTATTTATGACTGCTTTATGTATCCTGCGTTTGGGGGAGGATGAAATAAAATCGAAAAAAGAACAAACAGACGTGTTCCAAGTCATTCAAGATCTTCCGAAGTCATTATTGGATGCCAACGCTTTTGTATCATTGCTATTTCGTCGGAATTTTCGAAGGAGTCCTTCACAAAAAGACATTGACCGCAGACGCCAGAAAATTGCAAAAAAACGGAGGAAAACAGTAACTCAAATAGAAGGTCAAGAAGCCGAAATGCAAAATCATGTGCCTACGAGATCGTCTTCGCGTTTCAAAGGTTCTCATTTGATTTCGCAACTACAAAGTCATCTAAAAAAAGCATCGTAGCATATCTTATGATATGTTTAACATGAATGTGATATGTTTTCATTCCCGTTTTGTTTGTATTTTACTCTCTCAATTGTTTGTTGTTTTGGTTTTTACCTTCCTTATTCCGCTTATTTGCAGGTCGGCTGTAACATCTTTGAAATTTAACTTATGTTATCTATTATGTTTGATACGAACTAACAGTATATTTTATTCACTCGTTTATTATCAGGAAATCAACTTGGGTTATTTTTATTTTCAAACTTCTTATTTCGCAAGTATATTATTTACAACCATATGTATAGATTTATTGTAGACTATTTTTAGCTCTAATGGCTTCTCCCTCGTAAATTCATTTTCATTTTCTAATATATTAGCTGTATAAGTATGAATTAAAGAGTAATTAGAAAATCAAACGTTAAAAAACAGAGAATGATTATGTGAGTTAAAGAACGATATATAAGCAAAAACTTCACAGAAATGAAAGGCCAAGAAAAATTGGCACTGAAAGTTCCACGTCCAATTTATACTCAGAACATGTATCCTAAATCTTTAATATTAAGATAATATGGTTGCACTTGCTACTAACATCGTTATTATGTTAAACGAGAAACAAGCAAGAACAATCATCGATAACAATGAGAGCAACATGAACACGATGTTGAATTCAGTTATGATTGATAAAATTAGGAGAAGCAACGTAAGTAAAGCCTCGAAAAGCAGATGAATGACTACCAACAGGAAGATTATCAGAACAAATAGGGGTGACCGAGATTGGCATTTTCGTGAATTCATCTGAAAAGTTTTCAGCGGCTGCGGGATCTGTTATGCAGGGAATAATTGGGGGCGGTAATTCCCGATTCTCCAATTTTTCCCAGTTGATTTTTCTGTACATTCTATGTTTCTTGATGGCTTCATGGTCAGTAGCGGTATTATTAGCACCAAGACGTTGCTTTGGGTTTTTCTTAAGATATTTATTAATCAAGTCACGTGCATCAGGAGAGACATAGAATGGTATATTTGCTTTTGTACGAACAATTTTCTCCGTGATTTTTTTATGGTTATTTGCCGTGAAAGGAGGAGACCCAACAAGCAGGTCATAAATTAAAATACCCATTGACCACCAATCAACAGAGTAATCATATGGTTGTCCTAGTAAAACTTCTGGTGCGCAGTATTCCTCTGTACCGACAAACGAATGGCAATTTGCGCCTACTTCTGCAACTTTGGAAAGTCCAAAGTCGGTTAACATGACATGACCTTCAGCGTCTAAAAGGCAGTTTTCTGGCTTCAGGTCTCGGTATACTATGCCCAGCTTATGTAAATGGATTAGAGCAGAAGTTAATTCTGCTGTATAGTAAGCAACGGATTCCTCAGGCAACATTCTCTGCTCAGCCAGATGAGCAAAAAGCTCTCCTCCTGGTGCATATTGGAGAATTAAGTAGAGACGATCTAAATCTTGAAAGGCATAGTACAATCGACATATGAATGGATGTCGTACTTCTTCCAAGATTTGGCGTTCGTTCTTAGTTTGTTGAACTCCTTTAGCTCGAAGAATTATACTTGCTTTCTTTAATTGCTTTTGAGCGAACAACCGACCAGTTTGTCCTTGTTCGACCAAAAGCACTTTGCCATATGATCCTCTTCCAAGGACTGCAATAGGATGGAAATCATTCGGATGCATTTTATGGTCTGGCACAAAATTATTATTGCGTTCTGAAACAAAATCTCCATCTTCTCCCAATTTATACTCAACCGTGTCTTCCTTTGAATCTTCCTCTTCTTTTCCGTTTCCCTCAGAAATGCAAAGATTTTTAAAGCTCAATGGGCCAGAATAACCATCCATCCCTTCAACAACTTCGTCGTCGCTTGACAACTCAGAGTGCGCGTCCCCGTTTAAGCAATCTTGCTCGTCAAATAAAAAAACAGGCATTCTGAATTAAGCGGCGCAAGACGCTATAAGAACAAAACCCCTTCAAAATAATGTTCTTATGTTTTTTTTGTGAGTCGTTGAACGCAGTAAAATTTAGCCAGAAGGTATTTGTTGTTTATAGTCCCAGTGATCTCGATTAGCTTTCGCTAACTTAATTATGATTTTTTAAGTTATCTTGGCGACTTGTTCATATATTAAAGTGAATCAAACAAAACATGAAAATATGTTCCGAAAAAAGCCTTTTTGAGATTTATACATTCCAATATGCTTCAATTATAAAAGCGCCGTTCTTTTAAACTACAAAAATTAGCGGTTGTGAGTTCAAAGGTAATCAGTAGCACAACGACTGGTATGAAAGTAGGCAGGATGTCCGCACGGATTTGTGACATTTCAATCAAAAGAAAAGATAAACCTTGAGCTCTTTTTTTCTTAGTAAAAAACAAATACAGGAACATAGAAAAAATTGATTATTGAATGCATTTTTTTGTTTACGGAATAGCCGCGGTGTTAGGACGGAACGACCGAGGGTAAAGACTGCCACTCTTTCATACTCTTTGAATGAACACCATAGTAGTCTGGCCGTTTAAGTTGGAAGGAAAATCGTAAACTAGATTTACAATTTTCTAGTTATTTCGTACTTAACTTTTTTCTTGAATTTTTATAAAATCTTCGTATTGGTCTTCTGATTGTCTGACGCTTTTATTGCTCGCGTTTTTGACGTGTCTATGAAGAGTAAAACGACGGGTTTATAGCATATGAATAGTTTATAGATTCTGAGAAAATGTCCGAACGATATTTTTTTCCTAATGAAAAAGAATATGATGTGAACGATTATGCAAACTTTCATTTTGGTACCGGAAACGATAGCCATGCTACCATATCTCAGAAAGAGAATCCTCAAAATTTAGTATCTGAAAGAAATTCAAGTATACATCCGTCTTCTGTGGCCTCAACGTCCCTAATTTCAGATGTCCCTCCCTTGAGTCCGAGCTTCCACAATCTTCAACAACATGTTGCTACTCCCTATGGTGAAATTGCTATGCCCATTCCTTCTTCTAGTGGTATGTCCGTCGTTGCTCCCGAAGCCTCAGAGAATAACGTGAACGATGTTCCGATGACTTTTAACAGAACCGTTACACAGCCTAATGCAACTAGGTTACGCGACACGTCTTCTCGTTATCGACCATCCAACAGTTCCCGAAAACAAGCATATAACGAGGATGATTTGGGTGATGATTCTGATTTGTCCAGTTCCATGTTACATGATGATTTTCAGGTAGAAGGCATGAAAACTAAATCTGGTCGTAAGATTCAACGACCGGTAACTTATAATCCGACTGCCGCTTCTTTAAAGAAAAGGACGAGAAAGGCCGACTTAGTCTCGCTCTGCGTTGTGTGCCATAGGGGTCATTCTCCAGTTTCCAATCAGTTGGTCTTCTGTGATGGGTGTAATAGTCCCTTTCACCAGCTTTGTCATCAACCTCCTATTGATGACATTACAGTTCAAATTGAAGATTCTGAATGGTATTGCATGAACTGCCAGTACAGCCGGGCGAAGCAGTTTCCATTGGAGACGGGTGCTACCTCACAGATGTTAGGATTAGATCCTCAGCAATTGCGTGCATACTTCTTTAGCTTACCAGTTCCTCATCTAGTAGACTTGATTCTCTTGTATGAGAAGTCATTTTCTGACTTACGTATATATAGCCCTCAGACACGCGAAAACTTAGGTGAAATTCGCCGACAATTACTTATAAATGCTGACCGAAATCAAAGCGCTCTACAAGAAAAGAAGAACGCCAAACAAGATGAGATGGCCTTAGACGTTCCTCCTCTTGTGCCATATACGACGGAATATGTATCTCGTTCTGGCGTTCTTTACGATTATCCAACGATTTTACGACTTGCAATACGAAACTTGGACACTCCTTCAAAAGAAAACATTTTTGCTTGGATGTCTGATCATTTACCTCTAATGATGTCGTTCCGCGAAAGTGCCTCCGATGCTCTTCGATGGATGGTTATCCACGGACAATTAGTTCGTTCAGGATATATTTATCAAATTACTAGCGTAGATGATTTTTCACCTCTACGTCCTTCATTATTACCCGCATTTCAAAAAAGAAGAAAAGTTCAGAAAGTTATGCCGATATCATACCCAACTGATGAACCTCAAAGCCTTTCTTTTACTGTACTGTAGTTTATTGGTATTTTAATGTATATTAATTTGTTTTTGTCTTTGTTGCTACTGTTTTACCTGCGAATTAAGCATGCTGATCGTTTATTATCCGCACGACCCGTGCTGTCTTTATCCTGCTAATAAATATCAAATTTGTAAGTTTTATTCGTTCACCGTTTTCACTTTTTCTTTTTATACGCTGTCTAATTCCTTACGGGCATGATTGAAAGGGCTCTAAACGCTTGACTGAAAGTAAAAAGCTTTTTCACATAAAATACTTTCAGTAACTACAATTCCTTCTATAGTTTGTCCTCAACTCTCGTCCATGCTTTCTGTCATTCGTAAATATGGCTTCGACATTGATCGTTGTTCACTTATGCCACAAAACGACAGAAAAAAATTAAAATCCATTCATATTCGTTATAGAATACTTTCTATCTCAAAGCAAAGATAAAAACTTAGAAAAAACTGTGTATTCTAAGAGTGCTCATCAACTTCCGACAACAACGCACGTACCAACTACCATAATGAGGGCCGCTCTTTTCCTATCAAAGCAAGCATCAGTTCGCATCCCAAAGGGCTTTAAATTTCCAGTTCCAAAAGAAAAGAAGCTGCCTCAAGTTTCTGATACCCATCCATTATGGCAATTCTTTCGGAATAAAAATGCTCTTTCACCTCCTGATGAAGAGGCTAAGTTTGGCCGCTCTTGGACAGCTGAAGAACTTCGTTGGAAATCTTTTGACGATTTACACGGTCTTTGGTATAACTGTCTTCGTGAAAGAAACCTCTTGCTGACACAGACAACCGAGATGAAACGTCTCAGATTAACGATTCCTGATCACTCCAAGGATCGCGTAAAAACTGTCAATAAAACAATGGCTACTATTAAATTTGTATTATGGGAACGTGAGCGTGCTTTTCAAGCTGCAAAAGACTTGGAAAAGAAAGCTTCTGAAAATGCGGAAAACCCCTCCTCTCAAGTTGTCTAGGATCAAAACTATTTCTCTAAAATGAAGTCATATATAAAGCTTCTTTCATTTTGTTAAAAATTCCTTTCTTTCTGAAGCATATCCATTTGTATTTGTTTACTATTTATCTGTTTACATTTCAGATTTCACTGAGTTTAGTTACCACGGCAACCGTGGTTAAAGAGAACTTGACGCGTTAAGCTTCTTTTTAATATTTACATGCTATCTACAAAATTAAAAGACGCGTAGTTTTGAATGAAGAGCTGCTAATGCTTTGCTTATGAGTTGCGGGAATCCTTTGTATTTGCAATGGATTCAAGAATGGATGGAGGAGTCGACTCGACGGTATCCCAAGTCTTACCAGACATGGAGAAAGGTAGGATAGAAAACGCAATTCATTGTTTGGTTCTTAATGAATAGTTTTTTTTTAGGTCACTTAATAAAAATACAAGCAAAAAGTGAATCAAAATGGTGTTATGAGTTTTAGAATATGGCAATGATAAGTGGTAAAACAAATATTAACGTTCCTAGGCATATGATTCCATGAAAAACTGTCCAGTCACTTTACAACACCCTTCACAAGCTTCTGCTTTAAAAGGAATCGGGCCTACGATATGTGCTAAGCTTGAAAAGCGATGGATAGCTTATTGTCGAGAAAATGACATACCGGTAACACCTATTCCCCAGAAGGAAAGTGTGAACAATTTGGAAGACCAGAATGTCAATGCTGCAGCACCTTCCTCCAATAACGTAAAAAAGCCGACTGTTCGAAAGAAACGCCCATACGTACCTGGTTATAGATCGGGTGCATATGCCATACTTTGTTCTTTATATTCACTTTCAGTTCACGAATTTGCTACGAAACCACAAATAATTATTTCTGCGCAGAGGTTCTGCGACGCATCGTTTGGGTCGGCTACCGATGGGAATCAACGTTATACAGCTTGGAGTGCTATGAAAACACTTATAACGAAAGGCCTTGTTTATCAAACAGGTCATCCATCGAAGTATTGTCTTACCGATGATGGTGAAGAAGTCTGCACGCGTTTAGCAAGGGTTGATGATGCCTTTCGAAAAAATGGTAGCCCTTTGCGATTGAAGAAGAGCAACTCCACTCCAGCTAGCTTTCCTAGCTCAAATAATTTAAAAAATAACGACGTATTACAGCGACGTTTAGGAAAAAACATGACATTGAATACGGTCTCACAGCAAGAAATTAATGTTGAAAACCAATCAGAACTTGTGCTCTCAGATGACGAAGAGATGCAGGACATAGCTGATGGAGAAAAAACTGATGTGGATGAGCATCAAGAAGAGCACCTCGTAGATGATACTAATTCCAATATACCAAATATTGATTTGACTGATGTCAGTACAGCAGCCTCAACTGTGAACGTAGAGAATCAGAATGATGTCCCTACGGAAGTTATTCCATTTGAGCGTTGTACCTTGGTTTTATTAATTGATACTCGAGAAATTCGGATTCGTGGTGATCGAAACACGGTAGCTGACAAGCTAAACAACGACCATAACGTTTTGTGTGAAGTACGTGCTTTGGAACTTGGCGATGCTATATGGATTGCGAGAGATAAAGTAACAGGTCAGGAAATTGTTCTTGATTTCGTCGTGGAAAGAAAGCGATATGATGATTTGGTAGCCTCAATTAAAGATGGGCGATTTCACGAACAAAAGCGTCGTCTTACGAAAAGTGGATTAAGCACTGTTTTTTATATCTTAGAAGAATCTAACTTTGATGAAAGCTTTTCTGACTCCATCCATACAGTCGTCTCCAACATACAAATTGATCACTTATTCCATGTTCGTTGTACAAAGTCCTTGGATCATACTATTTCCACTTTAGCAAACATGACAAAACATATAGAAAGTCTGTATCAAGACCGGAAAACATTGAAACTAATCCCAGATTTATCGGTGGAGGCAAAGACATTTGAATCCATGAGAAAGCATTTAGAGAGACTGGACCCATCGGTTACCTATCATATTACTTACAATGCTTTTTCTTCTGTCTTGTCAAAGTCTTCTACTCTAACACTTGGTGATATATTTGTTCGAATGTTGATGAGCATCCGTGGTGTCAGCGCACAGAAAGCGCTTGAAATCCAAAAGCGTTTTCCAACTTTTATTGATTTATTTGAGTCGTATGAACGATGTTCATCTAATCAAGATCGAGAGTTTCTTCTTACGAGATCATGTCAAGGATTTGGATCACAAGCCATTGGTCCTGCTCTTTCAGCTAAAATAGCCTACGTTTTTCATCCAGATTCAACATAGTAATTTGTTGACATGATCTCAATTGTTTCGTTACTAGTTATTTTTGGGATCTCTATAAGCGAAACTGGTTTAGCGAACTACAGTAGATTGTCCTCTGACAGGCGACCTGCTATACTAGCATTTACATGTTCCATATACATATACACACCCTAAAAATCACTCTCTCTGAACATCAACTCTCTCAACGTTTGAAATTAATGCTTGTACGTCGTTCATTGAATTGTGGTAGGTTTGCCCGGCAGCTTACACTGCTTCGGACAGGACTCTATCAAAATCGGGTTTCTTCGGTTAGATTCCACAGCTCTGATTCAAACAAAGTAAATGATTCCTATACCCATTTTGGATTTAAAGACGTTCCTGAAGAGGAGAAAGAGTACATGGTAAAAAATGTATTCTCCTCAGTTGCTAAAAAGTACGATCAAATGAATGATGCTATGTCTTTGGGGATCCACAGAGTATGGAAAAACCAGTTTGTAACTGCATTGAATCCAGGAAATAGTACTACTCCTATGAGGATTTTGGACGTTGCTGGCGGTACTGGTGATATCGCGTTCCGTTTATTGGACCATGCTACACAAAAGAATCAAGATTATAATAGTAAAGTGGTTGTAGCAGACATCAATCCTGATATGCTTGCAGTTGGTAAAAGGAGAGCTAAGAAAACGCCATATTTTGAGTCGAGACGTGTAGATTTTATTGAGCAAAATGCTGAGGTCTTGGACAAAATACCAGATAACAGTATTGATATATTTACTATTGCCTTTGGAATTCGGAATTGCACCCATATTGACAAAGTTTTGGAGCAGGCATACCGAGTTCTGAAACCTGGTGGTGTTTTCAGTTGTTTGGAATTTAGCAAAGTATATCCTCCTTTATTGGCAGAGATGTATCGTCAGTACAGCTTCAAATTCCTTCCTTTGCTTGGTACCTTGATAGCTGGCGATAGAGAAAGCTATCAGTACTTGGTTGAAAGCATTGAGCGTTTTCCTGATGCTGATACCTTCGCCAAGATGATTGAGCGTGCTGGCTTTACTTTAGCGGGTGAGCGAGGATACGAATGCCTTACCTTTGGAGTTGCTGCCATTCATACTGGTGTTAAACTTTAAGTAATGATCAACAGAATCTACTTTCTACACTTCGATGATCAAACCATAGCCCTTCTTGCCATATTTATTTGGAAAGATGTTAGTATTTAATCAACTTACCGTTAACATTTATCAAGATTCTATTACAGAATTTTAATTAGATTTACTATAATGCAACCATATATACTATGCAAGAACAATCATTATTAACTCACTATTATAGTTATTTATTACTATCGATCATTATTTTATGCGAAACCAAGTAGACAAATGTAAACTATGGCTCGTATCGTCATTACTCATTCGAGGGGCATTATTGTAAACATAATCAACAAGAAAAAAAAAATTCAGCATTACACGTTATAATTCATTTCCTCGAGCTTTTAAAACTCGACGTAAAACGTATGAATTGTTGCTGAGGTACATACGTGCTCGAACGTAAAACATAGCCCTTAAATCACTATGATCAATTGTCCGTTTATTTTTTTTTAAGGAACCAACTTTTTTATTTCCTTCGAAGCTTAAGCAAACGCGTAGGAAGGAAAGGATTTTCGGCTTTTCTTGTCAATATTCCATTCGTACAAGTGAGTTGCAGAAGCAACATATACCGATGAACCATCATCTGCAAAGCAGGATCCACAGATCCCTTGTGAATTAGAAAAGGGTCGATTCTCTTCATCAGGTAAAACAAGCTCAACATCTCTATTGGTACGTAAATCCAATAAATGAGACACTCTTGTGCCTTCCGTATACAGCAGTAAATCTAATGGACCAGAGTTGGGAGGCGTAAAATGGCAACTCCGGACGCTTCCATCAGGTTGATTTTGCGATGTTGTTTTTGTCAACATGGGAACTTTCATGTACCGAACATCAAAAACGCTGAGGCTAGAATCTTGACTAGCGCAAGCAAACATCTCGTTGTTTTGTGAAATACTAGTGCAAATTGAAGAGTCTTTCGTACTGGCTTGCACTGTGTGTCGAAGCATGTAGTCCCCGGATCGAGTTATTTCGTAAAAAAACAGATCCGGCGAATCACCGACACAAACCATGTATCGGCCATCATTACTAACAGACGCATGATTCATATTCACATGGTGACGAAGGTTTCTCGTTAATATTCCGGAAGTAAGGTCAACGACTTTAACGGAGCGATCGTTTGTTGAGATCAACGCCTCAGGCTGATCGTCTGAAAGCCGTTTGTGAATTTCAATGCCGTTGTTATAATATGGACCAAGTTCCAAATGCTTATGCTTTAAGTTGGGGGACCAATAATCAAACTGACCGGCTAAACCACCTGAAGCTATGTAGCCACATTTCCCAAGCAAGCACACGGGCTGATACGTCAGCATGTGTCCAACCTGAAAAACTTTTTCTGAATTGGGGTATATTTTCCAAATGAAGTAGTCATTGGTGTAATAGATAGGGTTGAATTCTTCTCCGGTATATTGAGTAGATATCAAATTTTTTAACTGAGGATGTTCGGAACATACCTTAGCACGATGTTGCTTCGGGATTTCATCCCGGAGGCATAAGCTAGACTGATTTAAAGAACTGACGACTGTCATTATATGCAAAACCAATTTGTGGGTCACTAAACTTGAAGAATAGAAAAGGGGAAATTCAAGAAATCAGGATGGAATAAATCAAAATGAACCCAAAATTGAGAGGATAGATAAGGTAGATTTTCTTTTTTGTTTTTGATTAAGAGAATGGAAGAATAGGCATGAAAAGCTTGGAGGAACAAGTACGTACGACAGTACCGTGTAAACAAGAGAAAGCTTTTTTTGGAAAAACAAATTGTTTTCAACACACAAAAGAAACAACTTTTAAGTAATTTATAAATAATTAATAAATTTTTATAACGCTCATAGGAAGGACACTCGCTGACAACGCAATATAAAATGCCTTCCACAAAGAGTGCGCAATGTGAATTCAAACGAGAATTGAAATCCAAAGGGTTGAGATAAGGGGAAAAAAGCAAATTAAATCAACTCAATTTCACTTCCTTACTCACTAATGACAGGGAAATCTAAGATTTGTTTTAAAGACGCTGTCGTTTCTCTGGGGACCCAAAAACTGTCTATATGACGGGGAACGGTATGGAAATCAAAATTGCCTTGAAAGATCAAAGGCAAAAGAAACGATAATTTAGTAGAATTCTTTGTAGCTAACTTATCCAGGATATTGCTAAAGAAGAGTTAGAAAGCAGAGAAATTCATGTTAGAAAGCAGCAGGTGCAATGGTTGCGTAAACAGATTCGCGAACATATCATTGTAGTAGGTTTGACGACGGCTAAAATATCGAATAACAGAACATCCACCATGTCGTTTATGAAGCACTCTCAAGTGAATTGCCCAATGCGCTTCTAATGTGGGGAGGCGCAAAAATTGAGTCATAGTAAGCGCAACAGAAGGGGCAATTCCATTAAGAAGAATGACGGATGTATGACAGAAAAGAGAATAACAACATTTTAAAATAAGAATTTCAAAAAAATAGCATTTGTGAGATTGATGAAAAGCACGGTCCAACTTGATAATGGAGCGATTTAAAGATGCTAAGAAACGTTCGTTAGTAAACACTCCAAGGAGGACATGAGAAAACAAGTTTGAGAACAAGATGAAGAAGTATGAACAATATTTCATAGATTTTAACGGTTATAGAATGATCATTTTTGCATGACGGTTGCATAGTGCATAAAAGTTGAGTGAGCTTGATGTTGACTTGGGTTAACTTGATTTGACAAATAAAAAATAGGTTAATTGAGGAAACGAAAATGCAGATTTTTGGAAAATAAAAATCTCATTTAAATCAAGTTTTTGTATATAGGGATTCCTTTTTTTTTTTATGTTTAGGTAAATCGGAACGGAATGTACTTCGACACATGTTAAGTTCATACAGACGGAGAGGTGAAAAAATGGAATGCAAGAAATAAATCCCTCGGTGTCGTAGCAGATTATAATTTCCATTTATTTAGAGAAACTGATTTTTTCCAATCAACATGCTTTCGCCCTTTATTGATTTTGTTCGAAGTAAGAACGTAACCAGGTTGCTTCTTCTTGCATAACCTCAGGTGTGCGAGGTTGACGGTCCTCATCTCTCGGGATGCTCTTCTTCATAGATGTAGGAGGGACTTGATCTCCTGTGATGGCTTCTTTTCCTGTAGCTTGTAACGATTCAAGGTTGGCCTCTGCCTTCTCTAGATGTTGATATACTTCGTCATTTTCATTAAAATCGAGTTTCTTGCGAGGGATTAGATGCACATGAAGATGAGGAACAGTCTGTCCAGCATCTTGTCCATCCTGTCAAAGTCGTAATTAGAGAATGCCTGTACTTCCTACCATATGACTTACCTGAATGCCAATGTTGGAAGCAGTTGCAGTGTAGATCTTTTCAAGAACAGATTGCACTTTTGCAACACTTTCAAATAGATCACCAATCTAAAAATAAATGTTAATATCTTGGTTGAATGCCTTGGACTTGCCTCTTCTGAAGAAAGGTCGCGTAATCGAGGAACTACCCTTCGGGGAATTACTAAAACGTGTCCTGGCAAAATTGGTTTGAGATTGACAATTGCAAAGGAATGCTAAATCCATACAAGTTAATAAAAAAAATAGCTACATAAAAAAGAAAGCTATGTCGCGTTGTTGATTACAACAATTTCATAATACGCAACAACATTGCTTTCCACCCTTATCCTTTAAAATTTCTTACTTTTGCTTGATAAAATACTTGGTTAGTAACGTTAAAAGCAGAAAACATAAAAGGTTTCGACATTTTTTATAATACAAATCGGTTCAGTGGTTGGAAGAGGAAGAATCTATACCCTATTCGCAAAGCACTGTAGATGTTCGACCTTGCTAATAAATGTAATCATTATTTCTGCTACATAAAATGAATGTTTTCACTTATGTTCACTTGAGCGATGTTAAACTTGGAAAGAACTAACGCAGATAGTATTAATAACTAATTAATTCAGGAAATTAATAAAATTTTTTAAATATATGTGTAACACAACTTTGTTCATGATATTCTGATTGTCGTTGAAGAACATAAACCAGAGAAAACTGTTTTCATAAAAATTAACCATACCAGAAAGCATTGTAGATTCGTACAAAGTACCATTATCTAAATTTTTGGATTCGAAAACAAGAAGGGATCAGTTGAAGGATCCAATTTCTTGAATATGCAGAGGAAATTTTTTTTCTGGATTCCAATGCATACCATAAAATGTCCGCGACAGACCCGAGCAGAAAAGAAAAGAAAGGATTCGGATTAATATTGAAGAAGAAGAAGAAGAAGAAGAGAAGAGAATAAGAAAAAAAACCATGTGCCAATATTGAGTACCAAAAAAAGCACTTTTGAATTGTAGCTGGGCCGATGTCATTCATTTTAATACAAAAGACGAGTATTAATTTTACCAGGCAAACACTCCAACTTGGAGTGCAAAGTCTCCAAGGAACTAGGTGAGCAATCGCTAATGTCAGCAACCAAGTAAGCAATCTCTCCGCGGGAGTCGGAGAATTGAGCTTTAATGTTGTGGTTAACAAGGATTTCATTGACTTGTCGAAGAACACCTGGTACGTTCTTGTGAGCAAACAAGACACGGACAACATTGGTGTCAGCCTCGGTAAGACTACGCAAGGAAACCTCAGGGAAGTTAACAGCACCAACACTGTTACCCTCATTGATATAGCGAGTGAGAGCCTCACTAACTTCAAGACCGATGTTGTATTGAGCCTCTTCAGTACTACCACCAATGTGAGGAGTCATGATGATGTTTCTGCAAGAACATAATTCGCTAGTCCAATCATTCAAGCTATCGGCGAACTTACCCTTGCCATTACCAGCAGGTTCAGCAGGGTAGACATCGATAGCAGCACCAGCAAGCTTACCGCTCTTGCTAGCGGCAATCATGGAAGGAATGTCAACAACAGTACCACGAGAAGCATTAATGAGATAGCTACCGTTTTTCATGGCAGCAAATTCGGCATGAGAAATCATCTTCTTCGTTTCAGGGGAAGCAGGAACGTGGCAGGAGACGAAATCAGCACGGCGGAGAAGCTCATGAAGAGAGCTCAATTGCTTGGCAGAACCCAAAGGCATGATGGGAAGAACATCGTAATAGATGACATGAAGTCCCATAGCTTCAGCAAGAACGGAAAGTTGGGAACCAATGTGACCATATCCGATGATACCCAAGGTCTTACCACGGATCTCCCAGCAGCCATTAGAAACCTTATTCCATTCACCATTGTGAATTTCCATAGAGCGATCACCAACCTGGCGAGACAAGCAGATGATTTCACCAATGACAAGTTCGGCGACCGAACGAGAGTTGGCATATGGAGAGTTGAAGACAGAAATACCACGTTCAGCAGCAAATTCCAAATCCACTTGGTTAGTACCGATACAGAAACAACCGATGACGATTAGATTGTCGGCAGCTTCCAAGACACGACGAGTCAAACGGGTCTTGGAACGGATACCGATGGCATGAACACCCTTAATCTTCTCAACGAGTTCATCTTCACTAAGAGAAGACTTTAAAAATTCAACCTGATAACCTTGTTCCTTCAATTTGCACAAGGCAGATTGGTTGACGTTTTCCAACAACAGGATCTTAATATCCTCAGAAGCAAATGGCTTCAAGGCACGCTTTGGGGGTTGCTTATATGAACCTGGAGCACGAAGTTGGCTTGTAAGGAAGGAAGGTTTATCGGGGGGAGACATGGAAAGTTGGTTCATGCTTTCTTCAACAGTTTGGCGAGATTGCGAAATATCCATTATGAACTTGAATGCAACTGTGTTTCTTTTAAATTACTCGATGATATGTGGTATTAAAAAGTCTTCGAAATTTTCGTTGGGAACTTTTCAAGGATGGTATAAGTAATAAGTCGTTTCTAGAAAATTTCTACGAGTTATATCGATTGAGTCGGTATAAATTCGCAATTTTCGGTTTTCCTGTTGTCTTTCTAACTAACAGAGGTGTGGTAAGATGTTGGTTTTGGTCAGAAGTTATGTCCACCTTATAGAAAAGAATATTCGCCATATGTATTCGCACGCAACTGAGATACCGAGCCCGGCCGCAAACGAATCCCAAATGTCCAACGATCAGTACATGACATTGGAAAAGAAGATTATAGAATTGATATCTTGAAGGAAATCAGAGATGTTAATGAAAGTTGGTTTGTAAAACTTTCCCGCCTGCGAAATCTTAGGTACGGGTGTTTGATAATTTGTAAAAAAAACAGCTGTTTCGGCAAATGAATTTTTTTCGAAATCTGAAAAATTATGAATTTATAGTCAATTAGAATTCGATGAGAAAATAAAAATTGTCATTTCATACGAAAGCACACTGTAAAAGGATACAATTCGTTAGATTCCATCCTTTTCTTTCTACCCTTGGCAAAATTCCTTTAAGCAGCAATTCTTTGTTTGTTTACTACCAAAAAAAAAAAAAAAAAAAAAAAAAAAAAAAGAGAATATAAAAAGGACTCAGCAAGTATATGCATATAGAAATAAAAAAGTAAATGACAAAATCTACAAAGATTGAAAGTAATCCAATTCGTTGATTATCTGTAAATAAAAAAAATACAAATTCATTGTCCTGGGATCAAAAACATTATGCCAAATACATGTCTTTACAGAAACTTTAGGCAGAAAAAAAAAAAGAGCTTTTTGTTTTATTTCATAATATTTTCTTTAATTGCTTCCAAGCATCGTCAAAATACCTGCTGTATTACCAGACCTGCCGAGTCGAATCTGATAAAAAATCCAATTCGTAAATACTCTTTCCAAACATCATTCGAAGAGTTATCCAATCTGTTATATTATCGTTACTGATTATATTAGTTAAATATCATGATATAAGAAGGCTGTACCACAGAGAGAGACAAGACTTGTAAATTCACTTAAATGAGAAACGCGAAATAAAGAAAGCGAATTAAACAAAATCACTTTATTTATACTCTTAACCACAATTAGACACTATGCCTGAGTGGTTAAAGGGATAGATTAGAAATCTATTGCGGTCTCCGCGCGCAGGTTCAAATCCTGCTGGTGTCGTTTTTCTAAAATTTTTTTGAATTCAGTAAGACATTCAGATTCGTCTTTAACGGACTTTGTACCATTCATCTACTCAATAAAATTTTGTTGTAAAAGATACGATCAACAAAATAGAAAAAAATCTCAATGCCTTGCAGCAAGCTTTTGTAAACACCATCGACAGCATGAACACAACTACTGTTCGTCTTCACCCAAAAACTTTTCATCTTATTATGTATACGTTGACATTCTGCTTGTACTTTATATTTCAATACAGCTTTAAGCGATTCAAAACTACTTTAATATATTCCCTTTATGACAAATAATCCATACTTAATTCTCAATAAACTGGATTCAACACAGTAGCATAATTATTATTCATACACCGGTTGCAGCTCCTATTGAACATATTCTCAATACTGCAAACAAACAGAAGATTTTACCTCGTCAAAGGCTGTAGAGCTGACCAAAAAGATGTCACAGTTCATCCAGCTTTCATACCGTGCACATGGCGTATTTATTATATAACAAAAGATTAGACAATATCGGCAATTCCAAGCAACATTCCTTATTGCTGACGGCACTCGGCAGGATTTTGCTTAGAGTGAGCAGTTCTATCTTCATCCTCGTTTTCCGAGCTATCATCATCAGAATCGGAAAAGTTTTCATTTGAAGAAGATTCAGCATCCTCGTCGTCATCTTCAACATCAAGGTCACCAAACTCATCGTAATCCTCCAACGCTTCACCAGTGAACCAATCCACTGCGCGAGGAATGAGTTTTTCTTTGAAGTCTTCGCCAATTTGATAATCAAGCTCCAAAAGCTCATCTAATCCTGGATTTTCTTCTTCCTCATCCTCCATTTGAGGAGGACTAAAAAAGTTAAAGAAACTATCCCGAGATTCGGAAACCTTGACGGTACGAGTTTGCTTTGTGTTTTTGTTGCGTTGCTTCTTCACTACAGTGCGAATGGTCAAGTCTGCATTGGGATGCCAGTGGACTTCATCTCCCTTGGCACTGCCGTACATAAACACATTAGAAGCGCCAGTTTCTTCCAAGTAGTAATAACTCTTGGTCAATACCTTATTGGAGAAAAATGGATTTTCCTCAAATTCAAATTGTAACTGGAAACCAGGCTTCTCCATATAAACAAGACGGACATCAATAAGGTGTCTTAATGCCTTCTCATCTTCAGGCGTAATCATTTCAGAAAGAGATAACACATTTTTCATTGCAGTCAACCAAAATTCAGGAATTCCTTTCATTTCTTGATCTTTTTGATTCTTTCCTTCCAAAACCTTGGACAATTCTTCGCCTTCAGGAATTCCCTTTTTGATTTCTTCCTCAGAGGGCTCCTTCTCTCCGTGAACAAGTTCACGTCTTCTTTCAAACAGAGGACCGTACTTTTTAGCAAAAGTTTTTTCCAATTCAAAAAGTTCTCTTTGAAATTGAAGTTCCAATGATGAGTATTGCTTTTGTAAACCTTTTAGACTCGAAATTCGTTTTTGAACTGAGGTTGGCAATTCTGAAATTCTGTGCGATGTGAGATTGCGCAAAGAGTCTAGTCTACCGTCAATAGCTTCTAAATCTTCATCACCTTCGTCAATCGTTTTGAATTGCGGTTCCTTCGCTCCAAAGGTAGTATTGTTTGCGCTGGAAGGAGTATTCTGGGGTGTCGGGGCTGCCGACATATTTCCAGACCGATTTTTAATATCCACTTTTTCCACCATTTTTTAACTTACTTTGCAAGTTCAAAAACCACTGACTATGCAGCTTTAACTACAAGGGCGTTCGTTGTTGGGTAATGGAAAGTGTCTATGCAGCCTTTCACAGGGACTTAACGTATCTTTTAAGCATGATGTTATCCACTTTCATTCTTCAATAATGTATATTCGCAGTATTTTTTATAATTTGAATTTGTAAATTTAACAGAAATAGTTCTATACATATATCCCACCTAAAGTGATTGCTATGGTACATCTCATCAGGTAGTATTTGGTAGACTAAATAAAAATAGAGGAAACATAAATAACTGTTAATAAATCGCTTGACCTTGGTAGATACTGTATCTGCACATTATTTCTTTTTGGTCATAATCATTAATGAATTAGCTAAATAATTTGGTACAACAATGTGATGATGATTCATTAGACATTGTTGTGATTTGGCGGCTTCTTTAACGTTACATTTCTTCGATTTACGGCCAAAAATAAAGATTCTGTTTGTCTTGATACAGTTTTTATCAAAGAGGCCTTTACGTGAGATTCATGCAAATGTTGTGCATTCTTTCTTTGAAGGACACGCAAATAATCTGCGACGGAATCGAGGTTCCAATCGTTCGGGATTGTATTTGTCACAAAAAGAATTGAATAATATGATGCTCTTCGATGTAACAAATCTTGAATATAGACACTGCATGCCGGTCCAGTTAAAACGCTTTTTTCTAAAAGGGTGTGCCAACAAGCAGAGCATACACTTTCAATTTTCTGGCAATATAGTTCTGCACCTTTATAATCATTCACATTATTTATCAGGACGGACAACGCCTCCTCATATTTACCCTTTTTATGGCAAAGCGTATGCTGTACCTGAGGAAATAAACTCAACCGTTTTGACGAATCATTTTGTAAGTATAGCTCAAACTTTGAAAGTTCTTCATCATCTAACTTTTCCATTAAGCCTATAGAATACAAATAATAAAATGAGAGATGATTATCACAGTCAGTCATATCACCAAAATGACTATCGACATATTGCGAAAATATTGGTTTTTCCAAACAAGGAAGTCTTCGATAATTATCGATGAAAGCTTCCAAACGAATCCGAAATTCTTCATGTTTCACAAAGCCATTTAGTAATTTGTTCACGCAAAGCTCTAATAACAACTCGTGATGTGTTACAGAATTTGACTTGATCAAATATTCTATTAGGACATTGTCGTTGGATGTACTCAAGTTACTTAAGACGTCGTCACCGGATATTGAACCATCATGCGTTTTGTCTAGTAAAAGTTTGGTTCCTTCACCGGTGTCTTGAGCACATAACCATGTGGCATATTTCCAAAAAAGAGAAATATCGATAGCTTTCATTAGACATATTCTCATTTTGCTTAATTCATTTTGAGATCGTTTGTCGTGTATTTCCCCTAGAACCAGGTTTTTCCATAACTGTAACGCTTCAGAGTCTTTATGGATTCCCGTCAGAAGTATTGCCAGCAAATAATTCTCATTCTTTTCAGAAAGTAAACGTTGTATGTCATCCGGGTCTGTCAGGCCAGCCTCAATGAGTTCTTCAGCACCTTTAGTTCCTTCTGTCGTATCTTCCATATTCAAATATAAATTCAGTAATACATGGTCCACAACAAAAGCAATCTCGCTTTTTGACGATATAAAATACTCGGGTAAATTGACATTTCGTTTATAGTTTTTTAAGTAGCGCATCAACATAATGTATGCATTTTCCTTTGTGATCTCAATCATTTGTTTTTGGGTATAGTCATCAGTCTCTCGGAAGAGATCATTTAAAGATAGCATTGAAACGATAGCTTCATTTACTGGAGAGAAACTCTCAAGAAACTCTTGTATTCCTTGGAAAGTACTATAATTAATGCGACCATTATATACATCGGGATATAAAGATATTATTACCCTTGGATCGACTTTTGAGGTTTCAAGTAAAGACAAAGAGTTTTCGTACTGTCCTTGTTTCCAATATTGTAGAGCTGCCACTTGCTCTAAATATGTGTACTGTAAAGTAGCAGCCTCATGGTCTATATGATACTTTTCAGGACTTTTGAGCCGTTTGCTCATTCGACGGAGAGGAGCTTCAATTTCGCCGGAAGTTATGCTCATTTCTAATCGCTCGACATAGGATGACTCGGTACCGAAACCCCAAGTTTCTTTTGATGCAAACAGAATAATGGGCTTTAATAAACAGCATTTCTCAATCCTTGCCGAGGAGGATTCTTCCAATGGGTTTCCGCGTCTAGAAGTAATGAGGAATTTCTTTACTATTTTTTCGTCACAGAAGTAAATATCGGACGTAAAGGAAATTAGTGACAAACTTTGCTCTTCGCCATCGAAAGTGAGATTTTTAACAGGTTGCAAACTCTTGGCATCAATGATTTGTAACATGCTAGGGCCTAGAGCAAAGACATAATGAGGAGTAGCAACTACGTCTTTAGGATAGAATGAGAATGTCAAAGTGCTTTTCGTAACGTTCCCATTGATGTCAACAAACAGTCCAATGGCATCTTTTGGACTTCCGGTGATCAAGAGAAATTCATTATTTTGACTAACAATTATTGGCTTGTATGAGAGTTCGTTCTTTTCTGAATCACATTTTATTATAGGAAAAAGAGGAATACTTTCGCTTGTAAGGATGTCTACAAGCTCGAAGGATTGATCAGTCACCAGACAAACTATGTTCCCAAGGACCGCTGCTGTTTGTACATTAGGATATTTCAATTCCTGAAATGGTCAGTATAAGGAAATCTGAAAAAAGAAATACACACGTTACGAAGAAATATTGTGCCATCTTTTTGTAGTGACAAAAGTCGAAGGTGAGAATTTGTAACCACAAGGTAGCTAGACTTTTCTTCAATTGAGTGTCCACCGTGACAAATCTCAACGACACGATCGAGAGAAGAGGATGGATAGACCAATTCAAGAGTTGTAGCATGACAAAAAAATGCTCGATCATCTAGGTATGGCGCGTCAGTAATCATCGGTGCTTAAGGTTACTTACCTTGATGAACAAGGATAGCATCAAGAAAGGGAATACAAAATATTCGTTTGACAGCCGATTTGGAAGATAAAGCAATAGACTTTATAAACACGCAAGGGTTCTTAACCTATCAACTCCGAATTAGTATGAAATTGCAACGCCTACCAAACCAACCTTGAGCTCAGAGTACTCGTAAACAAATATCGATCCTTGCTTTGTACCAAAATAAGCGTGATCATCTAGAAAATTAGCTTCAAGATTCTTCACCCTAGGACCATACCATATAGAGCTACAGTAGATATTTGGTTCTTCAACTCACTATCGAGATCATAACTGTTAAGATATATATCCGACATTAGTCTTTAGTCACATGAATAAAAAAGCTCAAAAATAGTCTATAAATTAAAGAAGAATTGTCGTATTTCCTTCTATAAGTAAACTTCAATGACACAGCATTTCTCGGTAAGTAGCATTGGTGGTTCAACAATTCCCAGCGCATTACTGTAGTAAACAAATACCTGTGAAATATTAACTGTTTGTCACTAAACGACCTAGTTTAGCTATATTTCGTGATGAAATGTTAATTTTAACCATAGGAAAAACGTCGACAAAGTCCAAATCTAACTATGTTCGTTGAAGCAATATTCATTTTTGATAAATCACCGGATGTTGCTAACCATTATAAGCCATCCAAGCCTGCTTTTAAAGAAGTTTTTCTTATTAAATAAAAAGAAAATCAAATTATAAAACAAAGAGTATTAAGTCTCATGTATCAGTTTCCAACATTAACTTACCTATTAAAGAGCGCTACCGAATACTTCACTATTTAAAAGCCAGGAAGTTACGCGGTGTACAAGCAATCACTACTAGTCCATATTTATTTTGGATGTAAAGACAGCCAAGATGGCTGTTGTATCAGATGCAGTACTTCAAAGATTACTTGACGTTTGGAAAGGCATGTGATCAGGTATACTCTTGAATGGAATATTAACCATAAAACAGATTCCCGATTTGAGGAACTACAAAAAGAATCGGATTTAGCGGCAGAGGAAGTAGAAAAGACACGAAAGGTTTCTTTAGAAGAAAGAAAAGATCTGTCTTCAAAAACTAAAGGTATAAAATATAGCGACGATGTCATGCAATAATGGTATGCTCACACACATTGCTTTTTAACAGAATTCAAAAAACAACCAGACGATGTCAAACTGAACGAGATAAAATCCCTTTTGAAACTCTATCAAGGAGGAATTGATTCCCTCACGAAGCGCGCAAAATATGCAGAATCAATATTTTTTCAGATGTACGAATCGTTGGGAGATTTTCCAGATCCCTATCCTCTATTGGAGCAGGCGGCTGAAATTGATCAAATTAAGCAAGAATTGGAATCTAAAGAGGAAGAAAAAAGGAAACTAAGAGAAGAATTGAAGCAAAAGGAGTCATTATCGACTGAAGTTCGAAATTTGCGGCAAGAATTACAAAAAACAAAGGATTCTGTTGATGCAGAAGTACAAAAAAGAGTCTCGAAATCCGTTCAGGAGTATGAGAAAAAGTTTTTAGAAAAAGAAAAGCTGCACAAGGATTCTGAACAAGAGAACACTGAGAGAATTAACCAGCTGAACAAGAAAGTCCGTGACTTACAAGCTACTCAGATTGATCATGCTCTTCAGTTCGGACAGTTAGAACCCCCATCGGAGGAGAGTATTATCAAGAGTTCGGAATATCAAAGCCTGCTAAATGAGCTTGATGAAGCAAATAGGTCAATTGGCTCCTTAATAAGCGAAAATGAAAGGTTAAAACAGAATTCTGATGAGCCAAAACTTGAAAATGAGAATGTCGATAAAAAAATGAAGGAGCATCTTGATTTCATGGAATCAAGAAATCGCAGTCTCACCGCTGAGCTTGAAGAAATTCGTCAATCCTCCCAAAATGAGTCGAATGCTTTTCGAAATGCACAATCAGATCTTACAAAGCAACTCGAGGAGAAGCAGGCAATTATTCAAAGCCAAATAGAAACTCTGAAAAGCTATTCGGACTATGAAGAGCTAAAAAGGGAGCTTTCTGTTTTGAAACAAATTGAGTTAAATGCAGACTCTCCCTTAACTGAGTCAACTTCATTGGAAGCTCAAATCCTCAGACGTGAAAAAGAACTATCTAATGAGCTCTCTAAGCTTAGAACCCAAGAAGCGTCTTTACAGCAGAAGCTTGCCAATGAAAAAGCACGCAATGGGAGCTTGGAGAAAGCTAATCGTGAGCAAAAAGCTTCCTTGCAAAGACTGGAATCTGAACTGGCCTCTTTAAGCACTGAAGGGAGCACGTACTATCCTAATAGCAGTTATCGTGAATCTAGTGGTCGCCTTTCTCCTACTTCTTCCATCATCGGAGGTAGCCCTAGTATATTTGGGGGGAGCACTACATCCAAAATGACTGGCCCCGAAAACGGCTCTACAATCATGGACGTTGTCAAACAACAAAGAGATCGTTTTCGACGTGCAAACGTTGATTTAGTCAACCAAATTAGTTCTAGCAATGAGAAGGTTGCTAATTTAGAGAGCAGATTGAGAGAAATGGAGAAAAGCAATACACTTTTATACGAACAGATGCGATTTCGTGAACAATACCAAACTGAAATACTACAGAATCCATCTCAGATTGAAGCAGCCACTGCTTACGAAAACAACATTTCCCCTTTTGCATCTTTTAGGAAAAGGGAATCTGAACGAGCATTTTCAAGAATGGGTTCATTTGAGCGCTTGCTCTATGTACTTTTACGCACCGTTTTACTGAATAATGGCACCAGAGCTATCTTTTTGACCTATCTGATAATGGTGCATTTGTTTATATTCGTCGTTCTTTTTAAATTAGGTGTGTCTGTTAACAAACTACATGCTTTACCAGAGGCAACGCTAAAGTCCCAATGATGATTCCCTAATGTCTTAATACTACAACATCGTCTTTTATGACTTCTGCATAATTTAAATTCCAATGTACACTAATGAATCATTTGAAAACGACATCATAACTATAAGACGTGCAATACCATTAACTTTTGTTCGTGAGTATTTATCCAATTGAATGTATGCAAGTTCAAATATATCATACAACCTGTTCTACATTACAAAAACCAGCTACAACTACAGACAAAAAAACACTAAAAGACTGCGAAAAAAGTCAAACCCATGAAAATACTTTGAACTTTACAGAACGAATGAAACTACAACAACCGAATCCATTCGTTATTAAATAGCTCCGTTCCTTCACTAAATCTAATTTAAGCAGAGGTGATGGCCTTGCGAGCAGCCAAGTTACGGGCCTTAGCACCTTGTTTCAAAGAAACACGGGCGACCTTGTCTTGAGCCTTGGGTACAGCGTCTTCTTCCTCGGTAAGGATGATTTCGATATGGCAAGGGTGAGACAAGTAGGCAGTAACACGACCGTAGGCACGGTAGGTACGGCGGTGTTGCTTAGGAGCAGCATTAACTTGAATGTGTTTGATAACCAACTTGTCCATGTCCAAACCCTTGGACTCAGCGTTAGCTTCGGCGTTCTTCAAGAGATCAAGGACAACGTTGACAGACTTGACGGGCCAACGAGCTTGAGTAACACCAAATTCCTTTCCTTGGGCAGTACGACCGACACCGCCGTTGAAGCGACGGAAGGGAACGGCTTGCTTGTGGTCAAGGACATTGTTCATAAAAGCAAAAGCCTTCTTCAAGTTCATGCCATTGATGGTGAAGGCAACTTCACGAGTGTTCTTGAAGTGAGTTCTCAAGTAAGAACCACGAGCCTTGGCGCACTTAGTCTCAGAAGCAGGAGCTGCAGAGTAGCGTGCCATTTTTGTTTTTGGATTATTTTTTTAAAACTTGCGTTGTGGAAAGCTTGAAAATCTGACTAGCACCAAAATTTCAACATGTGACTGCTTTTTCTCTAGTAAGGAAATGGTGTGCCATTAAATAATGTTTGTTGTCAAACGCCTGTTAGTAACACTATGAATATAATTTAGTTTATGCATTTTTTGTTTATTTACCCAAATATTTATGAGACAGGATGGATTGAGTGGTATAGAGGTATCTGAAATTGAAATGTCCGAAAGTCCAATTTAAGAGGATTTAAACGCGATGAAGAAATAAAAGAATCAAATTTAATGTATCTGTTGAGTGATAGCAATAAGCGCAGATGAGTTGCAGCTTCTTAATTAGTAGCTAGTAACTAATAATACCAAGACTGATTGCTAGTGTATGTGAATGTACGTACAGATTAGACAGTGCTTTCTGGGTTTGGAAATAAAGAAACCACTGAATTTTCATGATGACAGACTAGACGAGTCGCTCAGTGCCCTCGTAGCTGCGTACGGGAAGCTTTAAGGACTCGTTTTATGTACTATGTGCGTATGAGTAATGGCCAGGATTGAAAATTTATAGAACAATGGACTTCCTGCATTAGATAGTTGATATTCCCTATCGTACCTATCCTCTTGTAAGCAGTACAAAGTGGACGTGGTATTGTTTGTATGTATAAATGGGTATAAAAAAGTCGTCTGGAAAGTAAGAGTGATGGAAGTTATACTTTTAAAAGTAATCCTATATCGTTTCCAAACAAAGTTATCCTTTTAATCGCTAAAAAGTGTTTGCATTCTTCCTTGAAAGATTAAAACTGCTAGTAATGTCAATATTTCAAGAATTTTTTTTAAACTACTAATTTTGCCGGTTCTAATGAGGATACTGTGCGATTACACTTCAGATGAATAACCCTAATATTCTTTCTTTTATTCTTCTTCTAACCATTTTTTTTTGAAACAAGTAAAGGTGCCCTCAAGCTATTTTGTAGAACACCATATGGATGCACTTCTTCAACGTGCTAACTACAGCTAATTCATGTCCTTGATAAAACAAAGCAATGAAAATAACCAAGTAATTAAAAAAGGAAATAATCAAAATTCGAGTGAAATCAAACCCATTGCTATTGAAGAAGATGACTATATCGAAGGGTTGAATTCTATAATTCAGAAAACCTATTATCCAGATCTTTCTCACATGAAAGCTGATGTGGAAGGTCTTGGTAATGAGCTTGAAAACGATACTATTCAAGAAAAAAATGACGCAGTTCATAAACAGGTAGCATTACTCCCAAAGAATGAATATCTTGTGCAAAAGCTTCAGCATAATAATCAAGACTTAACACTTGCTGATTACCAGTCAAAGTTTACTTCTGAAGATAATGCTTCCTTTTCTGAATTATTCCTTATTGAGAAAGATGCAAGAAAAGAATTACTCCAAAAGCGCTATGGTGTGAAGCTCGACGAAAAATCAATGGGTGCAGCTTCCTCCTCTCAAGAAAAAATAAAGCCAAGGAATTCAATTGCATGGAAAGAAAGACCCAATGTTATTCAGACTTGGAATTCTAAGCAAAAAAATTCGTTAATGTTTTACCCTCAAACCTCAGAGAAATCTGCTGTAACTAAAGCAAGAAGCCAGCATCAACGAATCATTAGTTCATCCACTCGGCTTGATGATAACTTTCTTAAAGAAGCCAACGCACCCAGCCAGGAACCTTTGCCAGAGCCGACTATTAATAAGCGTGAAGCCTCAATCAATGGATATCCATTAATCGGCTCAAATTATAAGTATGCATCCGGAAACTCATCGACTAGTTTTTATATTCCCGAGACTTCAAGAAGAGAGAAGTTGCATGAAATGCAACTTCAGAATCTAAAAGCTCATAATAATGTGCCTTCAAATTCTATTAGTTCCGGAGAACCCACGTCAGCTACTTCTACTAGACTTCCTTCTAGGCTGTCTACATTGACGCCAGCAGCTAGGCGTCTTGTAGCCCAATCCTATCTTACAACTCCCAATAAGGAATCTCCGCTGCATCGTCGTTTAACGACAGCTTCAATTCCAAAGTTTTCTTGGACACCTACTCCTCGTACAAAAGATCCCACTACGACTAAACGACTCTAAAACAATATAATGAGCAAGTAATGAATGAATGGATAGAATGGTGCTATAGGCAACTCATTTTTGGTAAATAAATGGATTGATATACGGTCAATTTAATTAGGTTTGATGATAAAAATAAAATCAGATTTAAATAAATTCACCATGTTTTTTTGTATAGAGAAATTAAACTACCAAAAGAATTTTTATACCAAAACCCCTATTATTCCCTTTTTATAGACAGTAAGACTTATAAACGCTTACTCTTCTTTTTGAAATTCAATGGAATGGTTTTGTGTTGACTCCCAAAGAGAAGAAAATGCAAAGAGCCTCATTTCGTAGAATGTTCCTGGCTTATTGAGAGAATACCATTGATGGAGGAGCGAAGATCTAAGGACTAGAATGATTCCGTCATGTAAACGAACAGAATGCTTAATTGCAGGGATTTTTAATTCCACATCTTGTAAATCACCAACAACGATAATGACTGTAAACCCATACTTGACAGATGAGTCAGACACGGGAATGGATACCTTATTCTCAGCTTCAATTTGACGGATAGAAAAGTTAGGAAAAGCACCGAAACGTGCTTGTTGAGGAGCCAACTCTAATTTTAGTAAGGACTCATGATATTTGGGCGTATGTGCACTTAAGAGTCCACTTGCAAACCGAAACAAAGGAGAGCATTTTTGAATCAACTCACTATACGCAAGTGAACGAACAGTATCAGCAGATTTAATTAGTGATTTTCCTCGTTTGTCGTAATCCGTTCCAAAAAGATAGTAGGTTTGTTTTGGTTCCTGCTTTTGAGCAGAAAGAAACTGTTGAATAGTTCCGAACAATTCTTTAGTAAATGAAGAACCAGCAGTTTCATCTAAAGCGTACAATAATAGATTACCCCGCTTATCACCCATCTGATAACCAAGTTGTTCCTGCTCTTTTGTCTGACTTGAACAACCTGTTTCTTCTATTTTCAGTTCAGAGCTGTTTGAGTCGTCCTTCATCGATTTGGACAGAGACTTCAAGGACACGTCTTCCAATTTAATCCTCTTCTTTCGTTGCTTCTCAACGATTTCTCGAGTTTTCTCCAATTTTTGGGCTTTTAGTTTTTCTGCTCGGGCTTCTTTCCTTCTTTTTTTAGGAGGCTCGTTTTGCTCCTGTTCATTGTTGACAGGTTCATTCTCAATCTTTTTTTCCTGTGCGTTTCCTTCTGACTTTACAACTGTTAACTTTCCTGTTCCAAAGCATCACTGCTATGCACTTACCATTTTATGGAGTATATTGAATAATTGTTATGGAGGCTAGCAAGCTAAACTCACAATGCAAGGATTTTCAGCTAAACCGAACAGTTTCAATTTGTAATAAAAGATTGAAGAGAAACAAAAGAAGAAATTTTTATTTTCTTTAAGAATCTTCAGTTTTTTTCTTTCTTTTTCTGCCCTTTGTGCTGCTTCTATTATGAACCACCATCTCGCCTTACTATAAATCAAGAACGAAAAGAGCATATCCGTTTTGATTCTTTAGTTCTTTAAAATTATTCACAACGTCTACATTCTTCTATAAACTTGTCAAAGAAAATCCCCCAATGTTACATTTCTATGAATATCATAGTCTTTACTCGATAATACGAAACTAGAATACCGCGACGGAACGAGACTAATTAGTGCGCTGAATATTCGTGCATCGTGTACTACATCCTAAATGTTCGTTAAATGTTTTGACAAGGTAACCGTTACGCGTCCTCAGCAAAGTTGATGAAAACATTTTACGTGAATTGTTTGGGTTTTATTTGGTTTAAATATTAAGATTTGTTATAACTTTTAGAAAAGGATTATTAAGGAAATAATTATACTGCAATCGTTTCGAATTCGGGAGATATTAACGCATAAGAACTATCTGTCTTTTTGATTTATATTCGCTCGTTACGAAACTTACAAGATTTCGAGTATTGGTTTTTTTATTTATCACAAACTATAATTTATTAATGCTTGTACTGGTTGACAATGAGTGAAAATGAGTCTGGTGCAGGACAGATACTTCATCAAAAACGAGGTTTTTCAGAGCAGGAGGATGACTATTATGAGGTAAATAAGGTTTCAAAAAAGTACCTTCTGGAACAACTACAAACAAGCCGACGATGTTATGAAGCGTCATCCAACAGCTTGGAAAAACAAAAGACCATACTCTATGATAAATTACGACACATCGCGTTTCTCCTCAGTTGGTGGCCTCTAATAGCTCAACAGTTTTATAGCATTTTCCAAAATCGCGAGTCTGCTGATTTTGGGACTGAACAGTCGATTGCGCTCTTGGAGCAGATTCCTGACATGGAACATATAAAGAAATCGCTTGAAAATGACCAATCTGCAATTCGAGCAATTTTAAACGAATCTTTTACTTCAGAAATCTTGGAGAAATTATCTTCATCAACCGATTCTCAGTCTGCTTTCACTTTTCCCATAAAAGATAATTCCCAATTAAGTGAACGTAAAGAGACTCTTGATTCCGAAATAGAAAGAGTAATGAACGATATCCAATCTACAGAAGATCGCCTGCATAGTGCTCTTAAACTTCCCGAGCGGTCTAGTAGTTACACATTACGATGCATTAATGAATCCGTAAGTTCGCATCCCTCTGCGAAAACGGAAAGCCAAAAAAATGGAATGGAAAACGGTACTTCTGTTGGTGAAGCTTTGGGGCAGCAATCTCAGTTGCAAGAGCTTTCCCGGCTACAAGAAGAGCAACAAGTCATAATGAATTTATATTCTCAGCAGATGTCTTCTATGGATTCCAAATTGAATGAGATTGACAATGTCATTCTTAAGCGAAAAAATGAGCTTGGAAGTGTTGACTGGGAACATCTCCAGAAAAGCCCTTCACTATTGAATTTAATGCACGTTGTAACTTTGACGTCCGCTCAATACGAGGTCCTTCAACAATTGCATAACGAATGTTTTGAAGATAAAGAATTTTTTCTGCAACAGAAACGGAACTTCGATGATTCTTCTAGGTCACATTACCATTCCATATTGTATGATTTAGACACGCAAATTGCCGCACTTCAGAAAGATGAACGTAGAATTGCACAAGCTAAAGAAGATCTTTTGAAAGCAAGTGAAAAAAAACAAGCAGGCCTAAATGAGAAAGCTGGCTCCTTAACCGAAAAAGTAGATAAACTTAAGGAACTAGATCTCCAGGTGGAAGAAACCAAGAAAAAGACGGAATCATTAAAAGATTCTGTTACTACTAAGTTAGAAAATGGAAAGAAATCTTTGCTTTTTCAAAAAGAGTTATCGAAATTCTTAACTCAAGAATTGGCTCATACCGAGCGGGCTTTCCGCCTAGCTAATAAACAAGTTTTAAACAAAAATGATTTGCGCTTGGAAGAATTAATTAATAGATATAAACTCGAAAAGGATAAAGCAGAGCAAAAATATTTTGTTACCATGAAATCTGGAGATAGTCTACATGCCGAGGTTAAAGCATTACGTGAAAAATACAAGAAAACGGATGAGTTTACCTCTAAAATGTTACATTCTCAACATTTGATTACCTTGGAAATTGTGAAATTAGAACAAAGTATCTCTGAATTATCGGAGGTTCGAAATACGTCTTCAAGACACTCGGTTGAGTTTCAAGTTAAACAAGCAACTCATAATTTTTCGATAGCTAGCCAAGAAGAGAAGGTGAATAATTTAGAGGGAATAATTGAAAAGGCGAAATCCGAGTTAACCGATTTGAATGAACAGTCATCAATGCTATCATCAAATATTGATTCCTTGGAAAAAAGAAATGAACGTCATGAATGGCAAAAGCAAAAATTGAACAACAGTGCTGTATCTTCATCCGAAGAGGAAATGAAGATGTATAGAGCTATGTGTAAATGTTCTGTTTGCAATTTTGAACGTTGGAAAAATTCAGCAATATCACTGTGTGGGCATGCTTTTTGTTATGAATGTATTCAAAAAAGAATAGAAACACGTCAAAGACGCTGTCCTATATGTGGCCGGGGATTTGGAGCTTCGGATGTTGTTCCTATGCAATTATAATTTGCTTGTCGTACTGTACATGCTTAATATGTAAAGTATAGAAACATAATGGTCATTGGTTCACCCTTTGTGAATAATTGAATTGGGGGTTATTTAGGATTTCATAATTAATTACTCTTTTTTAGAAATATGCATGTGCATCGCATGTAAACTTGTGATATGTATAATTAATTAGTATTACGTTTGTTCAAACGCGAGTAATAATCGTGAATCATTAACTTTGTTCTGTCTATATAATAAACGCAATGGTTTATTTTTGATCAGCAACAACAGCATTCTCTAACTGGGTCATTATCATACCCACTTTTTTAGAATACTGACGTTGTAGGTCCTCTCTTCCACTTTTATTGGCATCCTTCATTAATCTCTGGTAATAAATACGAACCATTTGTTTCACGTCTTGAATTAAGTCAATGGAAGGAGTAGCCATAAAATGTTCAATAATCTTCTTGGCACCATTCTGATAAATTCCAAACACTTTGGAAGCCTTTGGGAATGAAACATCTTGCACTTTGGGTTGCAGAGACTTAAGCACTTGTATCATGGTTGACATATTCTTGAGCATTTGCAAACATGCGCCTCGATTCATGGATTCTAATTTGTAAAACTTCGCATAAAGCAAGAAATCTAAAAAACCATTGATTCCATGGATTACAAAACTATACGTTAAGTTAGAGGAATGAATATAAAATGTTAAGGCTTACTTGTGCTCCCATGAAGGTAAACAGTTCTTTAATTTTAAAACTGTTGACACGATCGTGGCATTTAAATGTACAATAGAACTATCGGGTCGGCCTCTGTATTCAACGACATAATCAGGGAGGGTCACAGTTTCCTGTAAAGTATTCATATATCGTAATCGTATCTCCATTCTTATTAATAGTAGCGCATCAAACTTTGTTTGTTGAAGTCTGTCAAAAGTATCTGCATAAACACTTTCGAAGGGTCAGCTTGATTTTTTATAAATTGTAAACAAACCTTTCTAGTGAATTGGTTTCAGTGGGACTAAAGTCCGTTCTTGAAAATGGTATAATGCTGCCGTCTAAATTAACTTGGGATCGACGCAAAATATCAGATAAATCGTCCCGTTCTAGATAAATTGAAAAACATCTTTGAAGAACCCACTCCATAGAATTGTAGAAGTAACACAGTAGTTCGATTAAATCTGAATCCTCACTAAGCACCGAGACAGGCAGTTTCTTGTCTGCAATTAGCTGACCTTCGTATTGCAGCAATCGCCTGTTTTCAGACATGCATATTTCATCAAGGTTAGTCGAATCCCTTTTGCAATTTTTCATAAGCCCTATTAACTGCGGATAAATTAGATCATCATGTAACATTCGGAAACGGAGAGTGTCATCGATATCTTCATGTTCATCATCAAACTTCTTGTATTCTTTTAACAAGGCGGATCGACATATGTCTACATGATTAATAACTCTATTTACAAAAAATACCACCATACCTGACATGTATTCTGCGCATCGGACTTGAAAACGGCTTAAGAGATCCTTTAGCAAATCGTAAAACTCATTTAGATTTAAGGACATAGTTGGTAGATAATCCTGCAAATCTCGTAAATATTCAACAACATTAATATGGCACTGCTAGGTTAGCAATTGATGAATATGTTAATTTTTCGCATACTTTAAATATGGGGAACTTGGAATATTCTCGCCAATTCGAAGATACACGAAAAGAATCAACGTCAGAGAATATCTTTTCAAGATGACTAGTCATAAAACGGAATAGCTGTGGTACGTAATGAACTTGCAAAAATTCTGTAAGAAAATTGACCGCAAATTTTCGAGAGAAGTGTGAACTATGCCGTTAGTATATTTAAGCTAATAGAAAAATTGACATACTCTTCAAGGTATATGATTGCATCTTCTAAAAAGCTCACCGTAGAAGAAAGCACAGAAGAAGCATGAAATATCGATGGACTCACTAAAATTGGGTGACCTGCTAATCGAGAAATATCCTTTGAACCAGAAAAAAGCTCAATTGTGGAAACAGAAGCAGTGGAGCGCTTAGCTAAAAAGCTGGGAGCAACTGATGTTACCAAATTACTAACATATTTATGAAAAGTACTTTCATTTTCGACGGCAACCTCGTTTGTAACATCAAATAATTTATCCACCTGGTTTTGGCCTGGAAGGTTGTAGATAGACAACTCATCGCTATGTTCGACATTTCCAATCTTCTCTGCAGTTTCATTTTTTGACAACAGGTAATCACGAAGCAGTAATCTCAATTCACCTTCCATGGCTTGCACTAAAGGCTCATAAGTAAAAGGCTGAAATTCTGTTGCTTCAACTTCGGGGCTTTTCGGTGCTACGAAATGCTTATGAGTGGCACCATTGGATTTAAGGGATTGAGAAGCGCCTATAGCAGTTTGGGTTTCGGGGCTCATCAAGTATTCGTGAACACCGCGATGATGCATAACGATGCATCTGAATCTTAGAAACAGCTCTTCAAAAAAGTCAGACAAAATTTTCTCATTGGTACACGATTCAGCACTTAATTCAAATTCAGCGAAAAAGCCAGGTAGGTTACTGCCGTGAGTATCTTTGGTACTCAGGGCGTATTTTGAAATAAACTCACGAGATACAGTATCCACAGTTGAAAAAATCTCAGCAGAAGTACGAGATTTTAGTGCGGATATTGCATTTGGTAGTTTCCCTAGTAAATTTAGAGATTCTAAGATAATCCGCAGATCACGAAAACTATCCTGGCCAAACTTCATCTCAACACACTCTGGAAGCTAAAAATTAGCTACCTTTGTATCATTACATCTTTCTTACCCCCAATGATAAAGACTTTCGTAAATAATTAAGTTGTTCATGTTGTTCACGCTTGAGAACGGTTTTTGGTTCGGCTAAAAAATTACGTAGAAAAAGAGGTTCAGAGACTAAACAAAGTTAAAACGCACGTTCATTGTGACAAAAATACATACTTCGTAAAGAACTAGAGCTGCAAGCAGAGATGATGGGATAAGCTAAAGGTTTTTTAAGAAAGACGATGGAAATAAGGTCATCCGATAGAACATCTTCCAGATGAGATATCAACCCAATTAGACGACTTTTGAATTGTTCAACGACTAAAATTCCATCGAATGCTGGATGCATTAAGCGTTCTCGAACGCGATGAACTAAATTACAAAGATTATAGTAATCCTTAGCTTGTAATAATTTTGGGGTTGTCTCAAACACTTCATTTGCCTCGTTAATTTCCTTAAGGATCTCTATAATCTTTTGATGCTGTGAGCTTCTTGTCATTACTTGTTGTAGATCTTTGACGTTGGCAACGCCAATATGCTGCCTAGAGTTTTCCAGCGAACTCTTCAAAGTATTAATTCTAACAAGACATCTTTGTATCCCATCAATAATTTCTCCATATGCCGACACACTTCGAGCAAAATCATCTTTGTGTTGATCTGCGACAGCTTGCAAAGAAGAACTCACTCTATCGTATACCCGTAAGAAAGACTTGTGATCTCTACCAAATGAATCCTCATCTAGTAACTCGAGAGCAGTAGATATAGGACGATACTGTTTTATGTCGTTAGTCACTGCTTCAGCAGGTATGATTCTTACATCTTCACGGCATAGATCTTTCCATTCATCCTCGATTTCTTGAACCAAAACTAATACTCAGTTAGATAGATATTGATTTCAATATTCACAAACATTTTAAATCATGCATTTTCATTCCACGCATCGCACTTTCACCTCGCCTTTCGCGATCTGGTGCTGAATTGGAGTTTCCATGCTTTTCAGGTGACACTAATCTTGAATGACTGTTGATAGAATTCCCTTTCTTTTTGGAATTTGAATAAAATCTGGTATCCATCAAATCCAATAACTTTTGTATTAGAACGAGGTTTTATTTACGCTTTTAAGAAATGGCGTATATCAATGAAATGTCAAGTTACAGCATTCTACACTATTTGCTTTAGCACGCCTTAAACTGCACTCCGAATTGGTCATTTACCACGCTTTGGCAGTATACGTAATCCCAGTACTACACCAAACAGGAATCAGTTTATTTCCTAGGCAGTCCTGGATTGAAATATTAAAAATGTTCTCGTGTTCTATTATTAAATTTTCGTAATTTATAGATTTTTCCTTTCCAAATAGTAACCAATGAAGGGATAAATTACTCACAGCGTAAGAGTTAGATAGTACTACGAAAACAACACGAAACAATGTTACCAAAGAGAAGACTTCAATGTATGGGCATGCGAACAAAGCTACAAAAAATCACCAGACAGTGTGATAGATTTCATGTTATCATAGCCTAACCTACTTTATATATATTTACAACTCTCATATCTGCCCAAAAGAAATCAACTTGTCCGTAACGTTCACGTAAGGAGGGGAATGGACATAAATCAACGATAAATACAATCATATTATAAGTTTTCGCATTAGAAGTTATTAAAAGATGATATTTTAGCTTGAACAGAGAAAACCAATGACAATACGTTACTGATTTCTCACCATCGTCATATACAAAATTGCAATCCAAAAAACGTCGATATCTTTTTCCACTCTTACCAACAATCAAATTACACTCAAGTAGAAGCATCACCACAAGCAGGGTCTTCATCAGGAAAGTCAAGCTCTTCGCCAAGCTCATCGCAACCCTCAGTAAAATTATCTTCATATCCTCGTTCAGCAACATGCATTCCTTTCGATTCTCGGTATATTTTAGAAAAATACAGGCGTAAAGTGCGTAAACCTCGAACGTATCCTTTGTCGTACGACTCAGGGTGCTGTGGAGGACAAGTCGCATCTGAAAGCATATTTTTGTCTTCCGCAAATACGCAATTCGCAAAATCTACTATTCTAATATCGATTTCTCTCGCACTTGCGCCCTCATGATCTAATGAACTACTAGATCCATTGCTCGGCGAAGGCTCGCCATCATATATAAATAAAAGAGAGCTCGCATATAACCTTGAACCTCTCAACAACCGAACAATCTGTTCCAAATGTCTCAATTTTCTTAAAATAGCAGGGACATGATGTATTAGTACGTGTTCATTATCCTCATCGTCCTCCATCCATCCTAAAAATCGCATCAATGCAAGCTGGAACTCCTCACCCGCTTTTATATCTCTACCGACGTACTTATCCTCAAATGTGTACGACTGACAATTTGAATGCCACACTTGCATTCCGCAAATTCTGACACCCAATACACGAGATGTAGTCATAGCACATTTCTTGGTTTGAGATGCTTTCTTTTTTTCAGTAGCCATTATACCATATTGCCTGGTCCCCATTTTAACATCCAAAACACAAGGACGATTCATTCCACTCGTCAAATCTTCAATAACAATATAGCGTTCTATTTGAGTTGATCTATTCAAGGCATCAGGATCCTCTTTCGGCTGTTTTAATTTTTCATGCTCTTCGGGTAATGCCTTTGACAGCACTGGAAATGAAGTCGTCCTATGTGCTCGATCAGTTGTAGAATTATTATCGACAGCTTCAAGTGGAGGAGGATCCTCAAACGAATCTTCGTTATCCATAGCAAATATCGGGTCTTCTGATGCATTTTTCTGGGCTTGCATCTTTTTAGAGTATTCAATGTACTTAGACGACTTCGGCAAACCTGGTTTGCATTCATAGTCGCCCAACATCTCAGACAAGCGGGGAAATTCGTCAGACTCTGGTTCTTCCCACACAGCATCCGAGGAATATCGTCTTTGGTTTCGAGTCCCTTTGTTTTGCTTATTTAAAGGATCATAGTCCATTTCTTCATTTTCCTCGTCAACAGCTGTACACATGTCGTAGCACTTATCCTCTACGCTACAGGACAAACTCTTGTTGGGATCAGTCTCGGAATTTCGTCTAGAACGAGGAACATTATCATAAGGGAAAACATTAACAGTGTTATCTCTGAAAACAGAGGGTCTGCTAGATCGATGAGTATTCCGTAACTTGTAGCGAGAGGCTAGTGATTGACGAGCATGTTTTGGAGCAAAAACCTCTTTTAAAACTTGTTCACGCAATTTTCTGTTGATTAACGTGGTACCCCAAGGTGTTTTTCGAGGTTCTGGAGAATCGGTACTATTAGACAATGGCCGATCGTCCAAAGAACTGGACTTGTTATGGTAGCTTCCTCCAGTATCATATCGACAGTGACCAGGCAGCATCCATTCGGGAAAAATGTGTCGATTCTGTTCTACACTGACTTCCGGAATGTAACCACAGGTTTGACTTTGAGATTGCCCATATATATTCTTTTTGTGGGTTTTAGAAGAAGACTTGGATGCGTCTTGATCCTTTTCACCAGCTTCTGTATCTTCTTTACTCTGATCTGTTTCAGTATGTGTAACATTCAAAACACCAATGTACTTAGGGATAAACGGTAATAATTCGGGGTGACAAGTCTCTATAGTTTCGTAAAAAGTATTTTCATTGCGAGTCAACGGCTTACAGACAGCTCTTCTAGAAAACCGAAAAAAAGCTGTATGACCGCCCACTTGATGTTTAAAAGGTTCTAGTTGGACGGTGATTGGATAATCAACATTCCAATTAAAAAAAGGATTCTCATCTGGGGGAGAAGATGAATTGGAGGAAAACGAAGAACGAGGAGTGGATAGAGGGCTAGAACGAGGACGAGATAGAGAACGATCAAATTCAAAAGATGCATCGGGTAAAAGAGGTAAATGCTGAGATGATCTAGTAGAGGGATGGTGAGGAATATAGGTAGCGGTGGTCTTTGAACTGGTGGATCCCTCTTTACGACCTCGAGAAGCCTTGGGAGTGGTTGTTAAAGAATCTTGAGGATTTGTATTAATTACGTTGGGTTCAAGAAGACCGGGGGTAGAGTTTGAATGATAGTTTTGATGAGAATAAATTGTGGATTGGTCAGGGATGGCAGGAGAAGATCGTCCAACAGAATCACCCTCAGGAACAGGATGCAAGGTGTTATTATTGCCATCATTAGTATTTAACGTAGAGGACGCAAATACGCGTAATGATTTACTGGCTTTTCTTGCAGGATGAACGTCCTGGGATGTTTGAGAATCGTTTGCATCCGGATCCAGCAACGAAGACTCCTGAACTTGGATTGAAGGTTCAGTAACTGAGAAGGGGGATTGGCGGTGCACATCAGCAGAATCAGAGGCCTGCAAAAGGTCTTTTAAAGATTCATGAAAAGAAACTTGATCGTTAGGACTAGGTAGCCGATAGTGATCGGAAGAACGTCGACTAAGTGGAGCGGTGCGAGATTGTACTTCATTCAATTGCGGACGGGGAGGATATGGAGAAACAAAACCATGATGATCGGATGATAAATTTTTAAGAGCATTGTTATCGAATTCAAATTTTGAAAACTGGTCACTTCGTCGTCTACCTGAAGACGAAACCTTTGAAGGGTGTCTAGATTTTTGCACTGAAAAATCCGAATTTCGTTCACGATTTTTCATTTCTTTCGCACGGAAACCGTTTTCTAGGCATTTTACCTTCTCTATTCTTCTCTCTGGATATTCGACGTCTCTACCACCACACGAACTTGGCAGGTAACACTTTGATGTGTTCTGCATAAATTCATAAGTTGATATTTATTGTTAAGCAATTTCTGCTGTAATATCCCGGCTCTAAACCCCAAATTCGACGAGTTGGTTTGTTTACTTCTTCATTCAGAGGCGTTTGGTTGTTGGTAAGTTGTTTGAATCAAGCTTCGCTACGTCTGAGTAACATTTTACTTAAGTGGGGGTACAGCTAGGCACGTTACAAGTCCGTACCATACCAATCGTGGATTCTTTACGTTATCCTTGTTACCGATCCTGGGTACAGTATCACTAAGTGGACTTCATAAGAAAATAGCACAAGTCAATTTTCCTCAGAATAATGTTACTAAAACGTTTTTAAATTAAAAAATAAAAACAGTTGGTATTCTTTTAATGCATAGAAATGACTAAAGGAAAAAATCCAAAAATCGACACCAGCAGGATTTGAACCTGCGCGCGGAGACCGCAATAGATTTCTAATCTATCCCTTTAACCACTCAGGCATAGTGTCTAACTGTTGAAAGTACTCGCAACAATAGATATGTATGTTATTAGGTATGAAATGAAGAAAAAGGTCTGAGTATCGTTGACACGGAAAACACAAGGTCATATCGGATGAAAGCGCTTTTCGTAAAATTACTTAAGAAGTTATACAAATTTTTAGGGAATAGAATAGGACGACTCGTATTCACGTGAAACGAACACTGACTATGAACTGGATTGGCATCGCTCATGCTCGTTAACCACATACGAGAGCTTACCATTGTGTTTCCTGTTCATTCTACTTGGCTCTCTTGTTTACAACGCATATGTTAGCGGGACCAATAGAAACTAGTATGCAAGCTATGTAAAGGAAATCTTTACTTTTAATGGTATAGGAGTTGCTGGTAGGAAAATGAGACTTTCACCGACTAGCAGAAAGTCTTTGTATAAACGCGAAACACATGGGTTAGAACAGATTACTGTAACAAATGAACACGGGAGGCTGTGTGACCTAGAGGACGTATTTGAGTACGGACCGTTTACTTTGACGGGAATACTGGTAGCAAATACACAGGAAAATGAACGTCGGAAAGAGAATACCACTCCTCTTGGTCATTCCATCAAAATATCACCGATCTGGATGTACAGCCTGAATGACGATTTTAAAGAAGGAATAATGAGGATATACATTCCGACATTGAATCGTCGATATGTTATCTTGTCTTCTTCAACTGAGTATCAACCGTATTTTGACCAGATTTTGGAAAAAAACAGACTATTCTATGTATTAAAGGATAAATTTAAGCAAGACATGGTACGAGGACATTTGCAAGACTATGACAGCTACATTTCCGTTGTAACGGACAAAATGAATTGTGCATCCGAATACCATGCTATCTTATTAATCCAAAAACACCTTCGTTTTCTCTTGTCGCAAATGACCAGCAGTCATTCTCTTCATATATGGGCGGAATCACCCTTTTTACACCGGATTCGTTCTTCCTATGAACATACCATATATCAAATCCATAAAAATATCCAGAGTGTTCGCTCTCGGCGGAGAAATACCAAGCGATCATCGGTTGCTGAAAAAGAGAATCAAGGCCTTCAACTTTTGGAAACTCAGAAACCGCCTTCTTTGGCTTTTCAACCTGTTCAACCTGTTCACTCAGCGCCTCTCACCATAGACCAACAACAGTTTTCTGTGCAAACACTTCCTATACGATACCCTCACAATGACTCTTGGCTTCCTGGTCTTCGGATTCTCGATCCAAACGTTGATGCTATCACCCTGTGGAAAGGAATCAAAGCAGCACAAGAAAATTCTAACTTTTCTTCAATTTCTCTTGAGAATGCATCCCAAATTGTTGCTCAGAATTTTCATACCACAACCTTGGAAGCTAAAACAAGAATTGTCGGGCATGGAGAAACATTGTTGCAATTAATGTATTCTGCACCTTTCTGGCGAGGATCAATTTTATTTAACGAATTGAAACATGCTATTGGATATCAAATTACAATAAATCAAGCCAGAGTGCAATTTCGGGAGCGTTGTCGACAGCGTATCCAATGGGTCGATCATTCTTTCCGCAAGTCGGAAAACGAAATTGATGATATCGATCCATTCTTAAAGAAAATAGACACTAGCAAAGTTTCTCTGTTTTTGTATAACTTTCTCCTTAGACAAATAAGTCTTGGGTTGCCAGGTGCAGATTATTCGTACGCTCAATACGTGCGTTTACTAAGTATGAAGTATGCTACGCAGCAAGATAGAGTTGAAGATCTATTAACTAGTATTCTTCCCGAATTTTTACAGTACTTCTCAAATGAATTTGGCTACTGGCCGGTATTCTCAATTTATAGTTACTTATATGAGTTGTGGAAAAAATTATATCCGGATGTTCGCTGTAATTTTCCTAATCTTTGGGACGAGGTGTATCTTAACAAGAAGAATACCTTTTCAAATATCGTGAAGGGTCTCCCAGTAACGACAACGGTTCCTGCTCCTTCCACTTCTATACCCTTCAACCCACGAGCGGCCTCATCGAATTCAACAAATTTGACTATGCTTCAATATTCGGATGTTGAAGCTGAGAAACAACGGCAAATTATGTTTTGTGAGTTGCAAAAAGTCTATCCTGTCCGGTTGGAATCTGATAAGCACTCAGGCATTTGGACTTGTCCTGTACAATGTTGTTTGTATTATTCAGTAAACGAGAATCCATTAAAGGCCAGTCCTCATGTTTATGTACATTTGCGAGGCCATTTGAAATCCGAACCTGTGTTGCGTGGATTATCCGATAACATGAGCACTTTGAATGAGGAAATTGAATTGGCGAGTCATGAAATGTAATCACCTATCAAGTAGGCGGAATACGGTTCACACATGTCAGTGAATGCAGTCTTACATTATTATTAATAGATTTGGCTACAATGGGATACGGTAATTATAAAAAGTATCCTCAAAGGGAAGCGGTTTATGGTCAATAGAGGAAATTTAGATATATATGTTGAATTAATGTATGTCGGATAAGAGAGATTATAATCATAAGCAAAAGCTAGACCATATAAAAATAGGTGGATGCCAAAGAATCATAAAAGCACATAGCAACCAACATGAAATCTCAATGCTGTAGATAAGAATACGATATACGTATAGATGGCGTTATAAGTCAAACAAAAAAAGGTAAATACCAACAAAAGAAATACTGAAAAGCGGCATAAGGTCATGCGGTATCGTTCGTGTAATTTTTTTATTTTACGGTTGACAAGCATGCCGAGGAAGTACGAGACCATCAATTGGGCAAGGATTATGAAGAGGGAGCATTAAACACAATACTGGTTTTTTTGGTGATAGGAAGGAAGTCATGCGCAGGGGATAGAAGAAGAACGGTTCTAATATATCTTTTTCTTTTCATCAACAGAGAACTTACCAGGACCAGTATTTACAAGATACAACAAACCTCCAATAATAGAAAGCGTTTGAAAAAAATCATAACGGTAAAAATCACGATGAGGGCTGTTTCTAGGAATGGACCAAAAACTATTTATAATAAAGTTGGATACTGAAAGGATTAGAACCAAGATAGCTGCAAAGTATTTAGCCTTGAAACCGATGACAACCATTGTACAAGCTGTTACAGAGAGCAAATGAACAAAGATACGGGTGTAGGTGATGCCACTTCCTTCCTTGGCTAAAAGGCCAATAAACATGAAAATAAGCAAAACACGACCACCAAGTTGGAAATAAGTACGCTTGTTATGCTCTGAAACGGCTGGTAATCCGGCGAAACGATTGAGACGGCGATGGATAAAGGTATCGCTAGCTACGAGACAAAGACCACCGATAACGCTGACGTTTCGGAAGAACATCTCACCGCTGGTAAGTAATCCATATGCGAAAGCTTGTAAAAGGGTAACAAACAATAAAGAACCAATAGCATAAACTTGACGTTTTCTAAATACCACCATTGTAGAACCAACAAACATGAGGACTACGCATAGCAAAAGCAAAAAAGGGGCAGTACCGAAACGGAAGCGGCGGTAATCACGCATATAAGAGACCTGATCGGGCCACTGTGTAACAATTCGGATTGCATCTTCAAAATAAGTAGCAACAATAAGGAATCGACCCAAAGCAGGCATATAGGGACCTAAGGGCGCCAAAAATATCTCTGCTTGTTCTACAATTTGAGAGGCACGTTCTGAAATTGTTCTTTGTCGAAGCCCATAGTTTGCGCGCGATGCGTAAGACTCCTGATTGACCGACAAAGGAATTGTTGAATATGGGGCACGTGAGGTCATTTTCTTTTCTTTCTATCGGCACCTGAGTTGATTAAATCCCTTTAGTATTACTATATCCTATATCTTTGGTAAACTTCCCTTCTTCAACGCTTGTTTCAACCTTTTATTTTTGTGTTTTGAGTATAGGAAAAGCGTAAGTTTCGATGATCACCATATCCCTGGCTTGTTGTTCCCATCGTCATATAAGGCATTCTTACCTAGCTTAACGCGGCTCCTTAAATGAACCGATGGGAGAGGGAAGGAAACTATTGTAGAGTTTATAAAAAAAACTAGTCTAAAGACAATTATTTATCTTGATTGATTCACCTCAGTTTCACTGCTTCGGTTTGCATCTCCTGAAGCGGTTTTCCGCTGACTTTCGCCGATATCTTTCCATACGATGGAAGCGACTTTTTGCTGTACAAAAATAGAAAACCGGATTCCTTTTGAAATAATAAAAAAAAAAACAAATCAATAGTTATGAAATAGCTCTCGTAGAAAGACGAATGCACTGTACTGGATGCAAAGGAAACATATGTCTTCTTCCTATTACGATTATGGTATAATATAATATTGTCTTAACGTCGTGATATCTGCTGAGAAGTGTCGAATGTAGCTCTCATGAAAGTATGCTTTAGGACCTTTAAAGGAAATTGTATGAACTAAACTAAACACAATCAGGATAAACACATGAGCTGATTGTCTATAGCTCGAATATTTGAAAGAAACGTCCTAAACTCGTTCTTCAAAACCTCTGAACTTGGACTTTGATCGAAATGAATTGGAGCCCGAGAAAGAAAAAAACGAGAAAGAAAAAAAAAAGGAGGAGTATTCCTCTTTCAACGCTCTGCTCTTTAGTTTTGCCAACAGTAGTATTCTTCTATAGCAACGAAGGAAAACCAAAAAAAATCTCTCGAGCCAGATTCGAACTAGCGACCAACCGGTATCTTGAACATTACAGCCGGGTGTGATAACCAACTACACCATCGAGAGAACTGTTGGTAGGCTAGGAATTATAAAGCTATTTGAAACAGAGATTAATAAGAACAGTAAATAAGAAGTTGGATGTTAGGATTTGACTAAATTCTGTGGCAGGCGGTAACTATAGGAAGGAGAAATTGTTCAAAAAATAAAATAAATACATAAAAAGAGGTTCTCTCTAAGTGCCGTAGTGCTTTAGAATTTGTTGCGTAGGTGTGATTTGGTGTGGAACGTTTTATGAGTTGTAAAACTAAACATAAATAAGAAATTTCGAGAATTTGAGGTTTCCTAAAATCCGTTTATAATAAAAAAAATAAAAAAGAAAATAGAAAAAAAAACTAAAGATAAAATGACGAATCGGTTCCAAATTCACCTGGTCAGAATTTTATTTATTAATAGTTCACGTATGTAAACAAATCATACTCCTTATGAAGCTCAAGCAGGAGTCAAAATTGGTCACCAAAATAAAAAAGTGTGAACAAAAATTAATTCATTTATTTAAATATCATTAGAATGATTGATGTAGGAAGCAACAATAACCCATTTCTACCCTACTTTACTGTTTTAATAATCTAAAGACTCTAAATATAATTAATTCATGCAGCTTATCAACAGTTCTCTCGATGGTGTAGTTGGTTATCACACCCGGCTGTAATGTTCAAGATACCGGTTGGTCGCTAGTTCGAATCTGGCTCGAGAGATTTTTTTTGGTTTTTAGTTCTTTTGTTTCAAACAACGCTAGAATCTTTTTCTGCTTTAATCTTTAATCACAAAAAAAAAACACATAATATAGTTTGATATCGACTCCCTAAAGTATCGCTCTACTACACGAAATTTTCTACAAGAACTCAACTACATGAGCATATGATACTACAAACAAGATGATCTACTTCTTACACCGCAAAAATCTTTTTCAACAAAACCGTAAATTGTAATGCTTTTTGATTATTACAACACATAACATTGCTTTTAATGAGCCAAACGAGAGCTTTGAATGACACCGGTGAGCTCTTCAATTTTACCCTTAGCACGCTTGAGGGTACCAAGCTAAAAATGGTTAGCATATTTAATGAACGAATAAAACAAAACAAGCAACATACTCTCTTCTTGGCGAGCTTACGGGCACGCTTGTCTTGAGAGTTACGGATCAATTCCATAACACGGCGCTCATAAGGAGCGAAACCAGCGACCTCACGGACAATAGAGCGAACAAAAGTAGTACGCTTAGATTGTTGTCCTTTACGACGAGAAGGACGCTCAGGCAATTGACGCTTGGTCAAAGCCTTTCCCTTGTTTAATCCAACGACAAGTCCAGGTGCCATTTCGTTTTGGTTGAAGAGCAAAATCTTCGGTCGTTCTTTTTCCCTACAGTTGTGCGCCCGAAAATGCAGTCACATATGCTATAACCCTACCCTATTGACAAGGCATGTTAGATTCCGTATTCGAATTAACGAAGGAAACGGTGTGTGCAGTAAAAAACAACCAAGCTGATTTGATCATAAAAAACAAAATCAAGGGAGATTTCTTTTCCTGATTGGCTTTACAACCACTCAGATGAGATTTCAATTTAGAGTTATTCTAGGTTTTATCCCATAATACTTTTTTTGTATTAGTCGTATACAATATTTCATTTAACACAATCTAGCGAGCTCTGCAGTAGTAAACAACTTTCTTCCCATTGAAGGTTGGCGTTATTGTTGCGAGAATCATAATTGTATAAGACTTCTTTTCAGAAGAAAATAAATCTCCTTAATCGTGTGTTCTCGGCGAAATCTGTCTTTAAAGCCATGTAAATTCATGAAAACGCCGCCAAGTCAAATTAATCATTGGAAGGTCTTACCAAAGGGAATCATCCACAAGCGAAAAAAAAAAAAACAAGAGAGAAGAAAAAACAGAAGAAAAGGAATTTATAGTTAAATGAATTACATGTTCTCAAGTACATAGAGCGTTCGTTAAGTAGGTTATCGTACGTGTCGATTCTCTTTGCATCGCACTATCTGGGTGGTATTTACTTTCAGAGGTTACTCAATTCAACTTCACTTTTCCCATGTTTTTGCTGAATTCTTTAAGAGGAATTACTCGCAGTAATCGGTCGAAAAAGCATCAGAATAATTACAACTCAGGAAACTCATCGTCGGGATCGCCATTCAAGAAGAGCTCTGCTGCTCAATTGTCGAGAACAAACTCTCCTAGCTCGAATCAAACTCCTCTTTACTTGCTTCAACCATTTGTTCGAAATCACCTTGTAAAAGGAAATTTTCTCACAATCGTATCTCTTCCGAAATATGTGGATTTGGATGAATGGCTTGCTTTAAATGGTAAGTACAACTGCATAGACAACCATTATTTTCAAATGGGCTTGCGTGACATGTCATATTCTCATTCATGATTTCTTATTTCTTGTTTCTTTTTAAAGAAAAAAGAAACAGTATGACATCTATTCAGCGCTAGATATCCTTTTTAGTGTCTTCAACAGTATATTTATTGCTTTCTATGTCATTTCAGTATTAACATTTCCGTTTTAGTTTATGAGCTATTTACTTATTTGAATCATTTTTATGATGTCTTTACTTCGTTCTGTACAGTAGACACATGCCCCATTATGCAGGCTGGTACTCAGTATGTGTGCTTTTATGATTGAGTCAACGAATAATTATATAACTAATCTGTCTTTATTTAGCTTTGACTACAAATGGTTGGATAACAATCGAAAACCTCTTTCTTTGCCGGCTCCCCAGTATATAGAGTATGTCTTGGCTTGGATCGAAAATCGCCTTCAAGACCAAAATGTTTTCCCAACAAAAGCTGGCTTTCCTTTTCCTACTAATTTTCATGCAATTGTTCGATCTATTTACAAACAAATGTTTCGAGTGTTTGCTCACATCTACTATGCTCATTATGCCGGAATCCTTCATTTATCTTTAGAAGCCCATTGGAATTCCTTTTTTGCTCATTTCATTGCCTTTGCGAAAGAGTTTCATCTTTTAGATCCCCGTGACACATTTCCGCTGAAAGATCTAATTTCGGTTTTGGAAGAACAGGGCAATATCTAATACCTTCTTGTTCCTCTCTTTCTTTTCAACTCTTATGATTTCATACTATCTGGTTTGTGTTGTTTTTATCATTTTAATTAATCCTTTGTATTCAGTTTCTTACAGAAAAGACTTATTTTTGTTTTGCATCATGTCCATTTCTAATAACACAGTTTTTAAGTATTTTTGAAAAAAATTTGGTTTCCTCATTTATTTTTACTACTCACTTCTGGGCGTCTCTTTTTTTTCCTTTTTTTTTATTTTTTTTCACCAATTGTCTGGTATCCGCATTGTAGTCTTTATTGGTCTATTAAGCTCTAGTCTAAAAAGGTAGTAATTCTATATCGTTGGATGAGAATTGAGTGTGGACTCCCGTATTTTACTTTCATAAATACGTTTGCATTAGAAACTATTTCTACTTTAGATATCTTAGAGTGCTTAGATTTACGATTTTAGGAACACCTTCATTTGCTTGATTACGAAATTCTATTAATGCTCTCGTTTTAGAATGAAGGCCACGAAGGTTGTATTTATAATCAATATGCAAGTTTGGCGTGTTTTTGCGATATTTAGTTCAGGAAAGATAAAATCTTCATCTAAATGCAGATTTTTACTATCGACTTGAGATCGTAAAAAGGTAGCGATAGCACGCAAAGACAGTAATTCTATGGACAAGTAAAAGAAAAACGCTATTAAAAGACGTAGACTTGATCTTCAATTTTGGAGATTGCACGAGCCTTTTCGTATCCTAATGAAACGGTAGCTTGGCGAACAGCATTAACCATAGGTGTTGGTCCGCAAATGAGAACTTTTGAGTCAGCAGAAGGAGCGGGAAAGTGATGCTTGATCAACTCTTCAGTAACGTAACCCACGGCTCCAGTCCAGTTTTCTGGTGGATTATTAAGAACATGCTCTACCGTAAATCGGGGATCCTTCTGAGCTAAAGCTTCAATTTCTTCGCGAAGGATTATATCCTTTTCGGAGACATTTGCATATAAAAGAGTAATTTGAGTAGGATCTTCGGGGTTGGAAAGAACGGCGCGGATAATCTGCAACATAGGAGTGATACCAGTACCTCCAGCAATCATACCAAAATGGCGAGCAAGACCGACTTGATGCTTCCAATTTCCCTTAGGTCCTCGTACGCCAATTTTATCACCTATCTTCAACTCTGAAATCTTCTTACTGACTATACCATTGGGGTATGCCTTTACAAGCAAGTCAAAGTAACCTTTATCAGCATCTGAAGATAAAGGGGTATAAGATCGAGAATGCTGCTTTCCATCAACCTCAACGACAACAGTTAAGTGCTGTCCAACTGGTAAACCGAGGACATCGTTAGAACGGGGAAGTCGAAAGCGATAGATTGCAGTATTATGGTTTAAAACGGCTTTATCACTCAATTCAAAGTATTGAATTTTACTATTCAAAACTCTTCGTACACGACCACGCCAAAACTTATGAAAACCCAAGACAAAGGCCAGTATGACTGAATAACCTATCCATTCGCGTTTCACAACAAATGTTCCAAAGACGATTAAAAACGCAGGGATATATACTCCGTGCAAAGGAGTGCTTAGAAGCGATTCCTTCGACATTTCTCCTGTTTTAAGATATAGCAATCTATATCACGCGTTAGTTAGTAATCCAGTCTAACAAAACAGACCAGACGTTGTTCCATCAGCTTTAGAAGCGTTTCAAACAAATAAAAATAAATTTTTTACAAAAATAAATAGTAATCGATGGTCGTTCGTCTCTTTAATCTGAAATGCCTACTTACCTTATGAGCAATTGGTACTGAGCAAGTTCATATTTTCCTAATTGTCTTAAGTAAATAAGCATAATCTGATGATCTTAATTGAATACACACTCAGTGCCTTTAAATTAATTATTTTTTCTTTAGAAGCTATTTACAGTTGTTTATTACTATTTTTGTGCAAACAGAAAAAATTCTCTTAGGTTAAAAAATTCCATATTATTCTGTGAAACGAGACAAAAGAAAGTAGCTTATAAAACAAGACAAATTGTATAAGTTGTAATGACATTAATGGTTCGTATGAACGTCGAATGTAATTTTCCTAGATTCCCAAAAGATCGTCAATTGCGAGTGAGTTGCATTAAATCGTTGCAAACGAAAAAGTATTAATGGTGGTAAACTACTAATGAGGCCTTAAAAACTTTCCAAAGACCTTCAGAGACAAAGATATAAAAAAAAGATCCGACCTCTACTTTAATAAAAGAAAAATACCGTCTAAGTTAGCACAAGCAGTAAAAGCCCAAGACTTATACTCAACAGGATATAATGTTGCTTTTTGATTGACAATTCTGTTATAGCAAACGATACCGTTGGCGTATATAATCCAGCCATAGGATCTCCTGTTGAAGATCCGCCATCTTGACTATTATAAATTCTGAGGTTTTGAAGTAATAATGGACCCTGTATTGCCTCCAACGCGGACAATTGCTCTCCCAAACCATAAAGCCCTATGGAAGATTAACATTTATTCGAGAAATGCAGTGAACTTACCATCCCACGTATTATTCATCCACCACCATTGGAAACCACATGTAACACCATCACTTCCTCCGCAGCAAGCTCCTGCTGCAGCAATGGCTGTTTTGCTTAGACATGTCTCAATTTTAGAAAGAGTAAATGGTGCCATATGCGCGGTATACACCATAAATCGTGCTAAAAATCCTTTGAAAGACGTTTGGTCATAATTGCAGGAGCCACTAAGCTCACAAGCTGGCTCATAGAGCACATCATTACGAAAAAACAAATCAATTGATTTGTTCACAAACCCTTCTGTCCGGGTTTTCCATACTGAAGACCCTGTCTAAATTTGCGTTAGAAGTAAACAGAAAAAAGCATCGTACATAATTATACAGAAACGCCGTTCCCGCCATATATAAACCACTATTGTAAGACCATTCTGTCGTTTCAAGGGCCGAACAGTTATCCTTAATTAAACTTCCATCATATACGGAATAATCGTCCCGAATAAATCCTACATTAACACTCCAGTCGTACGCCTTTTCGGCCCACTGAGTATAAGTGTCATTTCCGGTGAAACGTGCCAACCTTGCTGCAAGTTGAAAGAATGCACCATTTGTAACAGAATTCTTATAGTTGAATCCAGAATTGAATTGGGTTATTTGCCATCTAATTCCACCATTACAGTGACTATTGTCCCAGCGAGTAACTTGCTGGTTAAATACTGATTGAGCCAATTCTAACCATTGTGGCTCATTAGCTTTTGGGTTGGTAAAATTTGATTCTGCAGCTGAAATCGCAGCGAGACCCCAAAAAGCCTGGTCATCATTGCCTTCCGAGGTAGAGTAGTTAGAAGGCATATAATCTGAATTTTCACCCGCCTGATATGACAAGCTTGTTTTTACGAGATTATTGTAAGTAGAATTTCCTGTAGCTAAGTAAGTATTTAAAAGACCCTAGAACGGTTAGATTCAAGTACAACTAGCACCTTTCGACTCGTACATTCCAAGCAGCTCCTGCCTCCCACCAGTACGCAGGAGGTAGAAACATTCCTGTTGTTCCGCCTTTCTCATATCCAGCATAGTAATCTAGCATTCCGTCCGCGACCAAACCCGTAGCTTCATCAACAGAAGAGGCATCATGGGGGTCTATTTCGAATCCTTTAATACAAAGAAATGTAGTCAAAGAGAGTAAAATTGGAGATAAACTAAACATTTTTAATCTCTAAAAAAAAGAAGGGCTTGTTGAGAGCTTTAAACATGAGTCAAAATTTGTTTAAGATGATACAAGGATGACTCAATTGAGTGTCACACTTAACAGAAGGATAAATCCCAAACATATTATACCTTATAAGGTTAAGCTTTTCTTTGCAGTTATACCAATAGGTTTGCTAAGCGAATCGAAGCAATTATAGCATACACCAGACAAGCATAACCTGCTACGCTTTAGAACTCGCAAACAATTTGAGTGAAAAATAGATATTACAAATTCTCCTTATAGACAACATAATGAATAATAAAATCGATAATGTACGAATGTCCGAGGCTTACCTTACGATAATCTTAGTCGGTAAGCAAACTATTTTCTAGTCCTTTTAATCCCTTTTTTTGTTTGCTTAGGTGAAAGAATACGATCTTCCTTCAATTCCGACGGCAACCGACTTATAGTATTCAGAACAGATTCAATCGACTCTGAATGAGATTGACATTTCTCATACAAAGATAGACAAAAAGATTTCAACTATAAGCGATCTCAGTTAGCAAATAATAAAAATATATATATCTCCTACCTTTAATATATCTTCTTTAATCTCTAAATCTACCTGGTATCGTGTTAATCCTTCGGGATTTACGGTCTTAGCACCTATTTCGTAGCTTGATAAAGTTAATGAACGCCTTGTTAGTAGACTTACGCTGAAATCTTGTCCATTGTGAGCGTATACATATCTCTACACGGTTAAAACTCGATCAAACAAGAAATGACTCTCTGTACCTTATATCATCCAAGTACCTAGGAGTGGAACGAAAAACACAACCTATACTTGTATTACACTTTGTACACTTTATTAGAGAATATACACTTGACCATTAGCAAGAAGTAAACAATATCCTGAACCTACCAAAGTCCATCATCTGAAGTTCGTAAAAGTTCTTCTATATCAAAAGTATTTTCCGCTAAATCTATAAAATTTGTCAAAACCAGTATACTCCAAAACCATACCACTCAATGTGAAACTACCCATTTCACGATGCGATATTACCCATGCATTGGAATCGCCAACAATTTGAAGACAGTTTTTACATTGAAACACCGTCGGCGGAGATTCAAAATCATTGTCGGCACTTTCTACGGCATTTGCTTCCCCTTCTGACATTGTCTATATTGGGCATATATCAAGAGAGTTCTTGGTGTACGCGTTAGCTACATACTATTCGACTAATACTCAGAACAGAATCCAATTTACCCGTATAATATATTTTATTAAAACAAAAAAATTCTATTCATTATCTTTTAACTCCTTTCGAAAAAAGGTATACAATGAGCGTCCTGATTCAGGTCCGATTAATTCAGACCATTTACGTTCGTCTGCTTCGCATGCTTCTTGTATATTCTTAAGGTCGCTATAAACAACATTTTTATAATTTTTCATAGATATATAAGGAAGTCCCATTAATAAGTCAACGGGCGCTTGATTGTAAGTGTTAGTGGAGTCTTGACCTGCTTCCAAACCGATAGATGCTGCGACGGCTGGGTCTGGTTCTTTTTCTAACACCTTTAAGTCTTGAAACATCAGAGACGTAGCGTAAGCACTAGAAGACCAAAGAATTCGTAGTTTAGGAAACGCAAGTGTTAAGAGCACCAATTTGGATTGTACATCTGATTTTCCAATTTCAGTCGAAAGATCGGAAAATGGCTATAATATTAGTTAGCATTATTTAATAACTTTATGTTACATACCGGAGAAGTAAAAGTCTGATTTTGTTCAAATTCAATTAACAACACGGGTATTTCATAGTGCTCCAACATAGCTTCACATTGAGAATAAAGTCTACCACTACTCAGTGATTGTATTAAATCACGGATAGACTTTCTTTCAACACAAATATTTGGAGAGAGCACATAATCACCGACCACTAACTGACAGGGAATAACAGAGAAGTTGTTTCCGTGCAATATAGATGGTAAGGAACTTCGAAATTCTCGAAGATCGACTACGATCTATATTTATTAGTAAAAACAGTAGAAATAAAATCACTATACCCTTGGTTTTTCACTTGTGACTGATACACGGCCTCCACCAGCTATTCGTGTATTAACATTTCTCAAGAACTTCGTTTCTTGGCCTTCAAAACGTTCATTCTCTCCAGTAAGAACAATAGCCATATTCTTAAAAAAATATTAATATAATGATTTTCTCAAATTTCTTTTTACTTACTGATCGCTCTCGAATCAATTTGGAGAAGGAATCTTTTTCTCTCCTTACGGTATATAGATACTTTTGTTCTTCGACAGACCCTCCATAATAAACGAAGTAAACCCGTGTTGCCCTTTGTGGGTTGGTAGCTTTATATACCTCGATTCTTCTAATAAAGTCGGGATCGGAATCGAACATTATAATGAATCGTGGACGCAAAGTATTCAGGAGAAGGGTATCCAGTTCATAGTCGTAAGTATGTATATAAATTGAATTATTATCGCTTAGAACCTCAAAGGACTCATTTTCTTCTTGTGTATAGGTTGACTTCGATATTTGTGAAAGTAAACTATATGTTAATAAGATATTGGGAGACGTACTTACAGTTGTTCCAGCCTTATATCATTCGAAAAATTTTCTGAAGTAGTATTGCTTTCTGGTGTTGATCGAGATGTAGCTGTGCCTCCTCCTCTTACTCTTCGTCGTTTAGATGCGGGTGCAGCCCTCCTGCTAACATCAGGTGCATTTTGCTTTTCTTTAGATGTTTTTTCTATTTTGCTTATAGATCTGCTCATATTTCTGTATTGTTCACGCCAATGGAAATAGTCCATCAGTCGATTGTTCATCATCTTGAAGGACTCTTTATTATCATAGTGTATAGTACTTAAATAGTCTCGTAATTGTAAGCAAATACGTTCTTCCGAGCACATTATTAAAATTGAATTCGTTGAGGAATCTAAATGTTAACAAAAGACCTTAATCTCGATAACATACCGGGGTCATTACTTTCATTGAGTACGTTCTCATGGCTTATTTCTTGTAAAATATCCCGCAAGACAGACCATTTTGGTTGTTCTTCTAAAACAGGATAATATTCATCTGCGGATGCAGCGGGAGAACGATACACACGGTCTCTAGCTATCCGAATCATTGAATTTGCAGAATCCAGCATGAGCCACGGAGAAGGTTGAGCATTACCAGAGTAACCACCAGTCCGCACAGAAAGAATGATAGTATCCAAAATCTTTAGAAAGCTGACACAATCGTAAGATATCAGGGCGTTCAATAGGAATTTTAACGTCGACAAGTCGCCTACCAATTGCTTTGTTTTGGGACTCACGCGATGCCAAACAGAGTCAAGTTGACGACGAATGGTTACATCGAAACTTCGGTGCAAAGCAGAGTCAACGTTCCATTCTTCCATATCAAGGTGAGCTGAATTATATCTCCGTAATTCTCGAACGGTAGCTTCAATACAAGCTAGTAAGCAAGTTTGTATTGATTTTTGTGAATCGGTAAAGTCGACATTTAGTTCGATGACATCCGCTGGTGTTTTCTCTAATGACTCAGTTACATCAACATGGAAGCGAGGATAAATAAAGACATGACGAAGAAACATGCATCTCAAAGCATTACTGAGAGCATTAACACCCATCAAAAATCGTTCCGGGTCATCACTGAAAGCTTTTATGAATCCAGTCCTATTTTTCTCTCTATATAATCGTATTATGAAAGCTTCTGTTCCCGTTGACACAATCCTTTAAAACAATCTGTTAGTTATAGCATCCAAAATAACTAATACCTGTCTGCATGCAGTAAAACGATGCCCGTAATACTTTCAGCGGGAATAATCTGAGTTAATAAATCCATAACCAAAATTCGGTTGGTGACAGAAAAGATACCTCCCTCCTGATATGCCTTTTCTCTACGATTCAGTAGTTAGCCTAAATTAAAACTCGAACGACTTGATTGTTTACTTACCGTTTGTCTACAGACATGGTTTCAGTATTTACTATTTGCAGCCCTTTCCCCAAGTGTTCTTCCAACTCTCGCTGTACTAATTCATTGTCATTAGAATTGGCTCCTACAAGAAGAACTAGAGACCTTGGAACGGCGAAATAAGCTAGAACATTTGCTGCAATTTGGAGTAAAGAAAGGCCGGGTGCCATAACACAGAGTCCGTCTTCATTAATAACCTCATTAAATATTTTTTGTTGGTAGGAAAGTGTTAAATGGAGAGGCACTTCCATATTTAGAATCCGTAAACCTTTAAAACGCAATTAATTGCAAGTACTTCTAGGTATGTATCATAAATCCCTTTAGAATTGTATTTTGAGCAATTTATTTGGTTATATAATTATTTGAGAAACTTCTCCTTAAATTCTTAACCAAAATTATTTGTAAATACTGGCTTTAGTTATAGGTAAGCTTTACTGTGAATATGGCAACCTGATGAGTATGCCCAAATTGAAAACGCAAGATAGAATAAGGAGATATTCAATTCCATAAAATTGATTGTATTCATATATTTTTCTAAAAAAAAAGTTGATATAGTACATTGAGAGCTATTACTGGCATCTCTAGTGATTTTGTAACATCGAAACTAGCAGTGAACCACTACGTATAAAATGTCAAGAGATACTCGATCACGGTCGCCGCCAAGACGACCATCTCATAGAGACCGACACAATTATAAAAGTTCAAAATATTACGATCGCTACGACGATCGTCGAAATTCCTCTTACAGTCACCAAAGTAGACCAGATTATTACAGATCCCACAGCTCACGTAGGAATCACAGAGAGGATAGCTGGAAACATGATCGATATAAGTACGATGATGTTGATGAAAGAAAACATGACATTTTGTCACCTAATAGAAGCTCTCTTTCGTCACGGTACAATGCACCTCTGATATCTGAAGATTCTTCTCGTGGACGAAGCTCTGGGATTGCCCACGAAAGGAATTTTGAGGAAAACAAAGAACAGACACGTCCTGTAAGAAGATCTCGGTTTGACCAGCCAGCCAAAATAGAACGCCCACCGCCTCCTCCTTCAGCCAGCTTAAATGAAGGATCTAAAGGTGATGTTGATGCTGGAATTAGGCTACATAACACCGAAGAAATTAGAAATCCTAAAGATAAACATGAGACTACTCCTACAAATCCGCCTCTTGACCCCAAAATTCAAGCACGCTTAGAAAAAGTGCGTGCTTGGAAGGAATCGAAAGCTGCACAATCAGCTAGTAAGGCAGATGCATCTACTGATATTAAGCCCACTAAAAATTTAATACATGATGATAAGAATGCTATGCCTTCTGGAGGAATCTCAGGTTTCGAATTAGGACGCTTTAACGACAACAACAAAGAAGTGAAAAGAATGAATCGTGTCCATATGGATGACGAGGATGCTCCACGACGATTAAATTTACAGGATTACGAAGACTTCTGGGACAAAGAAGATCGTGAAGGCGTTCAGGATAACTCGAACGCGAATGCCATGGATGAAGATGGGGTAGACCCATTAGACGCTTATATGGAATCCCTCGTTGGGACTGTCGACACTGTTCGACCAGGTTTGTTGAATACTGAAGTAATTGACTCTCATGCGAACGAAGAAGATCGTATAACTCAATCAGAAACTTTGGAAGAAGAGGAAAACTTACTGGCTCTTGCTGCTAAACGTTCTAAGAAGAAAGATGTGATATCTGTTGACCATTCTAAAATGAACTATGAAGATTTTCGAAAAGACTTTTATGTGGAACCTGAAGAACTGAAACACCTTACTCCTAGAGAAGTCGACGAGCTACGTGCGTCCTTGGAAGGCATCAAAGTTCGCGGCGTAGATTGTCCTAAGCCTGTCACTAGTTGGAGTCAATGTGGATTGTCAGCTCAAACCATGGAAGTAATTCGTAATTTAGGTTATGGAAATCCAACATCGATTCAATGTCAGGCCATTCCAGCTATCTCTTCCGGAAGAGATGTTATTGGAGTAGCCAAGACAGGTAGTGGCAAGACCATTGCTTTCCTTCTTCCAATGTTTCGACATATCCGTGATCAGAGACCTTTGAGAAATGGTGAAGGTCCTATTGCCATCCTCATGACTCCAACACGTGAATTGGCTGTTCAGATTCATCGAGAATGTAAACCTTTTGCAAAAGCGTTGAATTTGAGAGCCGTTTGTGCTTATGGAGGTGCACCCATTAAAGATCAAATTGCAGAATTAAAACGAGGAGCAGAGATTGTTGTGTGCACCCCTGGAAGAATGATTGATGTTTTAAGTGCCAACCAGGGACGAGTGAGCAATTTACATCGCTGTACTTATTTGGTATTGGACGAAGCGGATCGTATGTTTGACCTCGGATTTGAGCCACAGGTAATGCGAATTATTAATAATGTTCGTCCAAGTCGACAAACAGTATTGTTTTCCGCTACCTTCCCAAGAGCCATGGAAGCTTTAGCCAGAAAAGTATTGAAGAAGCCAATAGAAATTACAGTTGGAGGAAGATCCGTTGTTGCGTCTGAGGTTGAACAGATAGTTGAAATTCGCTCTGAAGGATCAAAGTTTATGCGCCTTTTGGAACTTCTTGGTGAACTATATAATACGAAGGCTGATGTGAGAACCTTGGTATTTGTTGATAGACAAGAAGCTGCAGATGCTTTATTCTCTGACTTAATGAAACGTGGCTATAGTAGCTGTTCAATTCATGGCGGTAAAGATCAAAACGATCGTGATTCTACGATTAGTGATTACAAAGCTGGTGTTTTTGATGTTTTAATAGCCACTAGTGTAGCCGCTCGTGGATTAGATGTGAAATCATTGCAGCTTGTTGTAAATTACGACTGCCCTAATCATATGGAGGATTATGTACATCGGGTCGGTAGAACAGGTCGTGCTGGTCATACTGGTGTTGCCGTAACCTTCATTACTCCAGAGCAAGATAAGTATGCTGTTGATATAACAAAAGCTCTGACTTTAAGTAAGCAACATGTTCCAGATGAGTTGCGGAAGCTGGCAGACCAATTTCTTGATAAAGTTAAAGCCGGTAAAGAAAAGGCTGCCGGTGGTGGCTACGGAGGTAAAGGTTTGTCCCGCCTGGACGAAACAAGAAATGCTGAGCGTAAAATGCAACGAAAAGCCTATGGTGAAGATTACGAAGAAGATGAAGAACAAACTGAAGATATTCAAACTCCTTCGGTGAATATACCCCCTGAAAAGTCTACTGGTGATTTCACACTTGACAGAGTTAGAGCAGCAATCGGCGGTATAACAGCTCGAGCATTGAGTGGCCAAAGTGCGCAAGCGAATAAGTTGTCACAGCCAATTTCCATCATTAAAAGTGATACCGACGAATTTAAAGCAAAGGTGGAAATTAATGACTATCCTCAACAAGCAAGATGGGCAGTTACGAATAACGCTAATATTGTACATGTTACAGAATTGACTGGCACGAGTATAACAACGAGGGGTAATTTTTACCTTCCCGGAAAGAACCCAGAACCAGGCGAAGAGAAATTATATCTTTGGATTGAAGGACCGTCTGAACTGGTTGTTAGTCAAGCTGTCACTGAGCTTAAACGCTTGCTTTTGGAGGGTGTAGAGCACAGTCTCGAAGGATCAAGCAGAGCAGTTCCTACCGGCCGTTATAAGGTTGTGTAATTTACTTATATTTATTTTTTGTATAGTAGTAGTAGTAGTGTTCTGATTTCGTATAAATAAAAAGGGAAGGTTCTTGAGCACACATTCACACGGAATTTTAAGATATACTCATTTTTAATAACGGGATTTAATAGCTTAATAATTACTCAGCACTATTGTTTTCTAAGTTAATTTATTAATTCGATATGCATTATTCATTATGGTATGCGCATTGAGAATTTCTCTTCAGTAACGAGCTTGTATTTGCAAAAATATATATGAGATTGCAAGTATTCTACTCGTAAAAGAGAAAACAATCAGCGTGTCATGGTCAGGTTCTTGCACTGAATTGTTATCTAGTTTAGTATATAAACGAAGGAATTGTAAAAATTATTCAATCTAAATTCGACTTAGTTAGCTTCTCTTGAGTACTTTGAGAATCCAGTAACTTGAGTAGTTCAATAAAATGACAATTTGATTTACTAAAGTCGAATCAATCAATTCTTCCAATTCGAAGGTTCGTAATTTTAACTAGACGTATTTTATATAAATATTTCTTATATACCAGATAATACTGCTTTTTTTATTTAAATCGGTTTTTTAAAACTTTATGACTTCCCATCGTTTACATGTTGTAATAAACAACTCTATTATAAAATTATATTAGATTATAATAGTCTTGAATTTAGTGGATGTTAGCGATAGCGGTGCGGTCAGTTTGCGTACTGTATCAAATCGTTATACTACGCACATAAACATTTCTTCAAGTAAAAGCTTGGCGATAATTGACTATTGCGTTTACAGGCGAAAATACAAAATCGGGTAAAAATGGGATTAAAAGAAGAAACAATTGATTACTATGAACTTCTTGGGATATCAGAGGGTGCGCAAGACGCAGATATTCACCGCGCATGGAGGAAAACGTCTTTAAAGTATCATCCGGACAAAAACCCAGATGATCCAAATGCCGCTGAGAAGTTCCACTTACTACAAGTCGCTTACAATGCTTTAACAGATACAAAGACGCGTCAAGCGTACGATACTGAACGGACAGCTAAGCTTGCTCGTCAGAGACGTGAAGAAGCGTTTGATCTGAATAGGAGAACAATGGCTGATAAGTTAAAGGACAGAGAAAAAGAATTTTATTTTTCTGAACAACAAAAAGATTTAGAAAACAGAGGCTTACGGGAAAAGTTACGTTCCTTACAAGAGCAAAGTGCTAAATTACGACGAGAACGTGAAGAGAGGTTGTTTCAAAGTGAAGAATCAAACAAAAGAAAAAGAGAAGAAATTCCTGAGAAAAGTCGGTCAATCTCTGATCTTGATCGATCTGTGAAGGTTCGTTGGAAGAGAAAGTATAATAACCAAGTCGATGAATCTTTCCTACGTTCTTTTTACTCTAATTTTGGTTGTATACGTGATCTTATAATTCAAAAAACTGTTAATGATGACAAAAAATACGTTTATGCTATTCTTGTTTTTGATACTTTAGACGCCGCTTATTCTGCAGTAACAGCAAAAGCTCCTTCTGTCATTAAGGATGCTCAGTGGTTGAAGCCCTTAGATGGGAAGCAAATATTTGATGAAAAGAAACCTAAAACATCAATGGATTACGAAGAATTAACGATGTTGCGAATGAAACAAAAACAACGCGAAAGGGAACAGGAATTGAAAGCAACAGCAACCGAATCTTAAAATAATACCTATATTTATTTTGTAAACGTTGAATAAAAGTAAAGAAGTTTTCTTAATTCTGTATCATTTGAATGGCTAACTATGGAGTGTTCTAACTGGCAACAATGGCGAATGGAACCTTCCACCTTACTCAAGGTTGATCTGATGGAAACAATTGTGAATCGACCAAAATCCGCGAATGAAGGTTAATGCTTCTAATGTATTATTTTATTCTTCCAAATGGATGCAAAAAGGATGTCCCAATTGGTTTTCAAGAGGTATTCATGAGGTGCCAATATTAAAGCCAAATCTCAAGTTTTACAGACGTAAGGATTCGACGATAGAACTTGTTGAAAAGCTTACTAATTCCAAAAGAGTTATTAAAGCAACCGCAACCTAATTTGAACGTGGATACAGATGCGAATGTTTCATTTCTAGCTGTTGAAGAAGGCCCCGCTTCTTTACGTACATACTCAATTGGAAACGTTAGCCAAATGTATAATGGTATTCGAGTTCCACCGAAGCCGGAAGAACCATTGAACTGCTGTCAAAGTGGCTGTTCGATTTGTGTGTGGGATGTATTCGCTGATGACCTAGAGGAATATAACCAAGCCCGGCGGAAGGCCAAAAAAAGTTTTCTAGAGAAGCAGCTGGCTCTTCCAAAAGAGCTTGAAAGTGTGTCACTTGAGGAAACAAGCTCACTCAAGGAATTGCCTCCTCAGTTGCAGGCGTTCGTACTTTTAGAGAAACGCCTAGCGCAACAGCAGGACCAATAATGAAACGTTATTTCTGAATGCTTTGAATGACTACGATAAATAAAATATTCTTCTCTTAGAATTGCCGAAGACATCCATGAATGAAAGGAGCATTATCAAACCTGAACTATCATTCCTGCTCATATGTAACCGAAAGGATCATCTATATAAAGCCATTTGCAGAATTCAATGATTATACTATAAATTACATGAAATCTAAAAACTAACTGAAACAAAAAGGGACGGAGTAAGAGCTCTATGTGTTCATCACGGCTTTCAATGGTCCACTGTTTAGCAGACAACGTTTATGAACTTGGATCTGGATTAGGATTAGGATTAGGATTTGCAACGGGAATCTGATATCCACCTTTTGCAAGCCATTCGTAATACATTTCATCGTTTACCTGCTTAGACAAGTCTGCTCGAGATATATCGATTCGAAACTGTGGATTTTTTAAAAGAGTCAGCATATGCAAGCAAGTGGGATAAATGATAAATTTGACGTATTCAGGTTCCCTCCAGTATTCCAAATACTCAAGGTACTGCAAAAAACTTTCGTCCTCAAAGTAATTATGTTGAGCAAGGAAATTTAGATACCAGGGATTCGATAACATTTGGACGAATTCCAATTCAATCTCAAATCGAGATTTTTCATCTGGTACGCGAGAGAGAAGCCATTTTTGATCCATTGATACAACCTGTATCTGTGTCTCTCTGCCTTTCTGCCACGAAATCAAACCTTTCTAAATGAAACAGGCCTCTGTCATGTTCAAGGGCGTATGGATGTTAAATAACGTTATGGTAAATGCTTTTGTGCGCCCAGAAAATGCTCGCTATTTAATAAATAAAAAATCAAATGAAGAAATAATGAGAAATTGATTTTTTAAAACCTTTTAGTCGGTTTTGATAAATGTGAATGCATAAAGAATTGGATCGACGGCTTGTAAGCGGTTTTAAATAAAAATATGCGCATATCCAGAGATCGTGATTTGCAATCAGATTATAGAAATAAACAAGACATCTTTTCTTATATTCAAAAGGTTTCCCTATAAAGAATTATTTAACTAAACCATCTAACTGTAAGTATTAGCCTTTAAGATCGTTGATTATTTTACAATCATACATCAAAGCTTGTGTCACTAAATGGTTTGTTACAGAGACTTGCCGACTCAGACAAACATAGTAAAGTTGAAGCATTCTTCTGATTGATTAAATTCTCATTTATTCTGTTTATAAAATCCATAAAAAACTCTAGAAAAAATGCATATTTACCTGAAACCGTAATATGCGACTATTAATTATATACACAACTACGTCTACTCTCTACTCGTAACTTGACACTAAGCGGCATATAAACCCGTCGAAATCGGATGGTTTTCTTGTTCGTAAAAGAAAACTAAAAGAACAAACGTATTTATTCAAATACTTTCGCTAGTCCTACCTAGTTAAATTGGAAGTTATTTGTTGAGTTTTCAACAGTATTATTTTATGACCGAGAGGAATTGAAATTGACCACCAAATATGCTTGTCATGAAGGATTTTGTTTTCCTTAGCTCCCTCTTAGCATGCTTTGCTCAGCTTTGCTATGCAGTTTCGAGTAAGTTAAATACCTTGCACGGAGGTCCAATTATCGGAGGGTTTTAAGAGAAAAGAAATACTATGTAAAATTTACTAACATAATTTAATTGTAGGCAAATCTCAAGCACTCCCTTCTGGTGCGACCCCTACCAAAATGTATAGAATAGCTAGCGGTACGCATGTCACGAAAGCAGAAACAACCATCCTTCGACCTTTCAAGACTTTCAAAGGAGTCCCTACAGATACATATTACAATTGTCATCCTCAAAAATACTATCAAAGTGACATACCTATTTGCTTGCCCACTCCTGGTTCTCGTTGGATTAAGGGAAAGCCTCAAAGGGTGACTTGGGACCCTGTGTACTTTGGAGTGGATGAATTGCGGCTTGTATTATCCTTTCAAAATGACTCTGGCCTAATTGCCATGGATAAAAAAATTAAAAATAAAGACGGTATGATAGATAACGAGCATCAATATAACGAAGATCATTTACTAATACTACCCTTCAGGAGAAATTAATCTTAAACCAAATGATAAATGGCTGCATGGCGACTTTCTTCAAAACCTGACTGTTAACCTCATAACTGTAGATGAGGGAAATGCTACTTTTGTATCTGGACCCAATATCACTTTACAGAAAACCTTAGATCCTCACGAACAGCGTGCAGAAGACTATGACTTTTATGCACCTAAGCGTAACTTGAAGGCAGCTATTGCTGTTCCCAGTATCTTCTTGGGTATTATACTCACGATCTTGTTATATCACACGTATCGGAAGGATACTTGGAAAATTTTTATAGCTAAAATGCGTTTACGAAGATCGAATGCTGGTTATGGAGTCCGTAAGAGTAGAAGACAACGTACTCATGGACGTCCGGCCGCCAGCCTTGCTTCAAGAAGTGGACTTGTGTACGACGATTCAGAAGACGAAGAATATTTCAATTCACAACTTAAGAAAATGTATTAAATTTAAAGATCTGTTTCCGCTGTCATAGTTGACTCAGTTCGTTTCAAGTTTAATTATTCCACTTGGCAGCTGGAGACATAAGAATGTCATACCATGTGCAGTTTTCCTCGGTCTTTTCTTTCGTTATATTACATCCGAATTTTTAGAACTAATAATATTTTCTCGTTTATTTTCGTTACACTTTGGTTAATTTTGAAATTGAGATTGTTTCGATGTTGGTCATTTATTCTCTTTCAAGAACATTCTAAGTACGTTCTAAAGCTCACAGTAAGACAAGATGTAAACCATACTATAGGAACATGAGCAGCATGAAGATGGTATAATCATTCTCAAAAAAGGCATTGTGATCTAAAAAAAAAACGTAACAATGAAAGTTCTAATTTTAAAGTATCGTATTTTTCTTTTTGTCACGAGAGAAATCTGACAAATCGTTCCTTCAATACGTTTTGTGTTTCGTAACAAAAGAACCAAAGAACTATTCTTTCTTTCTTTCGGCTTCAATTATCAATTAGCAATTATACATAAGAAACTTATTGGAAAGGTCATAGGTGTTACATGGATTTACTTTTGGCCATAGACTAGATTCAGCAGCTACTGTAAAAAACATATCTTTGGTGCATCCTCCATTATTATACAATAGTTTACATACTAAAAAGAAAAGGAACTAATTTCATTAAAAGGGTGAAATTTAAATAATGTCAAGACTGGGTACTTACAAGAGAAAAGGATCTCCAGAAGAAAGTATTCCAACCATTGATTCCCCAATTTATCTAAATCAAATAGCATCTTTACCAAAAGAGGAGAATGTACACTGTCTGTCCCTAAAGCAACTAATTGGGAGCCCTCAATTGAAGCAGACATGGCAATTCAACTTTTGTGTGGACTTAAACTTTATCCTTGAAAATATACACCCAAAAGTGTTCCGAACGGTTGATATACGAATAACTCATGGATATGACAAAACTTCGGATAGCTTGGCGAGACTGACTGCTCAAAAGGAACATTGTCCTATTCACGTCCACCTGTACAGTGTGTATGTGCCCATGTGGGGAACCCATCATTCCAAAATCATGATTAATTTTTTTGAAGATGAATCATGCCAAATTGTAATTCATACGGCAAACATGGTTGAGCCCGACTGGATTGGCATGTCCCAGGCTATATACAAAACGCCGCTGCTGTTTCCCAAGTCAAGAGGAACACCCTCGGTATCTACTGTTCCCGTTGATGAAGAGGATACATTAAGAAAAAAAATGAAGAGTGATGTTGAAATTGTAGATGTTGATGCCGAAACGGACGATGAAAGCCCTTTGGAAAGCGAAATGAATTCAATCGGACAACAGTTTCAGGAAGATTTTTTAAATTATTTAAGCAATTACAATCATACTAAAGAGCTTATTAATAAACTGAAAGATTATGACTTCTCAAACGTTCGTGCTGTATTTCTTGGCTCTATACCTGGAAAGTTTATGGGCGATAAAGAAACCCAATGGGGACTCGGAAGACTCAAGCATGTACTTAGAGAGGCAGAGAAGAAAGAAAATAAAAAAGGGAAGAGGTTTTTGGACACGGATGTTTGCGTTTCGCAATGCAGCTCCATGGGATCGTTCGGTCCGAAGCAAGATTATTTAGAAGAATTGATGGAAGCGTTTCATTGCAAGAGAAACCAATGGAAGTTTATATTTCCTACGGTAGGGCAAATTCAACAGTCTATGTTGGGATGGCAATCTGGGTCATCCATTCATTTTAACATCTTAGGAAAGACTAGTATGGAGCAGGTTGAAGATTTGCGTCGAAATCATAATTTGTACAAATGGGGATCAATGAAAGCTGGAAGAGAAAGAATTGCTCCACACATCAAAACGTATCTTCGCCTAAATGAGTCTGGTGACAGGATTCGATGGGCGCTAGTAACAAGCGCCAATTTGAGCAAACCAGCTTGGGGGACAATGGAAGGAAAGGGTGTGAAGTCAAAGACCGCCCGTGGATTAAGGATAAAATCATATGAGGCAGGCGTGCTATTCTTCCCTCAATTATTTGAAAATAGCGGAGGTACAAATTCACCAATTTGCAGTATGGTACCGACTTACAAAACCAATTCGCCTGAACCTGTTATTAGATCCACTAAAGAAAATTTGGATAATCCTAAATCTCAATTACAAATTGGGTTTCGGATGTGTTGGGATTTTCCACCTAAAGAGTATGCACTCAACGACGAGATTTGGTCACCTGTCGTTCCACGAAAAGACAAGGACTGGCTAGGGTATACTTGGCCTCCAACGTGGACATAACTGGAGTTGTGTTAACTAATTTTGTGGAAGAGAAAATCGCAATGAACGAGAGCACAATGGTAGAGTCGAACCGGCTTAGATGAAAAGACGTATATACATCACTAATAACATTTTTTGTCTCTTTAATTTAGAGGTAAAGAATATTCTGCTGTTTATGGCAACTCACGTATTTGTCTTTCTTTTGTTTCAGTCAATTGTCTTTTGCTTTGTCTCTGATTCACTAACTAGAACTAGATCATCCTATTGTCCTTGAACGTACATTTGCATTTATTCTTATGAGAAATCGAACCGTTAATGATCTTTGGTATGACCTTGCCTTCTTTTCTTTTATAATCGTTGTATATTCCAACAAATATATTTGTTTACATCGTGATAAATTCCTCACAGCTGACTGATGGTAACCGATTCGGCTCAGCAAAGGTTAAAATTACAACTGAACATACGTAAGGATGATCAAATCTTAAATCAGCTGGTTCGTAAATATGAAAACATATCTGCTCAACGTAATTAAATGAAGCATCAAATTAATTACTTCGACTAGTTTCATTGATTTGATTTGGAGAATTAACTGCAAACCATAAATAGGCTGTATACTAAGAACCGCTCGTCTTTCCTGCCTTTAACAAACGTCGCAATAACATTATCATTTAAATTTATACGAGCCTTTCCTTTTTTTGGGTATTACTTACTTTAACGAAGATTTTGCAAAACGCATAAAGTGGTACTTTTATTCCATACCTGTGTTTTTTATAATAAAAATATCGTTTAGGTCTGTTTCTTCCTCTGTTTCAGATTGATTAATTTTCTATACCACAAGATTTATTACCGAATTATCTAAAATCGGTTAGTACGTTGGGCCTTTTCAAGAAAAATTTTGAGGAAGTTATTTTTTAAATGGCATCCAAACTATCGGAACGTGAGCATCACCCAACAGGTGATCCCTATTCTTCTCGTCGTCCTATTCCTACTATCCCAAAATTCTTTCGTGATAGAAAAGAACGTGCTGAAAAACGAGAAAAGCAAAAGGCAGAAAAGCATCAAAAGGAATCCAGTCAAGAAGAACTTTTCGATCCTATCACTCAACGAAACGTTGAAATCTCTGATATTAACTATGACTACCAAAAATCATATAGAGATCCAAATTACACTGTACCCAATCAGTCAATCCAGGCTGGACTTTCAGCAGGTCAAGAGCCCTATTTAAATTCAAACCAATCTCCGTCTACCTACAAACAACACCAAGATGACCTTGCACCCCCTGAAGCGCATGATGATATAACTCGAGATGTACCTATTAGCGACGAAAAAACTAATATCCTCTTCTTTCCTTCGCCATCTGTGGATCTGTCGTATGTCTCAAGAGAAATTAAACAGAAAACGGACCAGTATACGCTATATTGTTTTCTGTTTACTCTGATTGTCACTTGGGTTATTTCGCATTCCGTCCTACTTTCCATCATCTTTCCTATTGCTGCCTCATGCTCTATTTTCTTATGGATGAATCATGTCCAGACTGTTGCCCAAGCTGCCGAGTGGGGTTCCGAACAGAAACGAGGTGAATATGCCCGTCTTAATCTCATACCAGAAAGTGCCGAATGGATGAACCATCTACTGGAACAAATTTGGAATCTCATCAACCCGGAACTTTTCTCCTCACTCATTGACCAAATCGAAGATGTTATGCAAGCTTCAATTCCTTCTTTCATTGAAAACGTTCGTATCGCATCTTTTCACCAAGGGTCTCATCCAGTACGTGTTATTTCAATCCGCTCGTTGCCCTCAGCTGAAAGCCAGAAAACATTTAAGGAGCAAAATGAATCTCAAAATAAAAACGAAAATGAACCGACACAGAAGGCGAAAAGGTTTTATAATCTCGAGGTTTGTGTCGCCTACCATGCGACGCCAGTCCAAAGTAATACCAGTTCAGCCCACGCTTCCAATATACATCTTCGCATTGTTTTCTACCCTGGTATCAAAGGTACAATTGGTATTCCCCTGCCCATTTGGGTTGAAATGAAAGGATTTGTAGCCAGAATTCGTCTTCGTTGTGAGCTAATGCCTGAGATCCCCTTCTTGAAGAACCTTACCTTTTCACTAATGGGCCTTCCACAAATTAACGTTGCCGCAGTTCCTGTCGCAGAGAACGGTATTAACGTCTTAGGACTTCCTTTAATTTCTAAATTTGTCAATGACTCCATTGCTGCTGCTGCTAACGAGTATGTCAGTCCAAAGAACATGACAATGGATATGTCTAAGATTCTTTTAGGTGACGATATAAAGAAGGAAACGAGTGCACTTGGTGTTATATACATTTATATTGAGAAGGCAGAGGGTTTAAGCAAGCAAGACGTCAATGGTCTTTCAGATGCCTATATCACCATTGGGTACTACAAATTTGGCAAACCATTGTTTTGTACACGTGTCATAAAACAAGATTTAAATCCAATCTGGAAAGAATACGCCGTAATTCCTGTATTTCCAGAACATCTTAAAGCTGGTGAGAAAGTGTCCATCGAACTCTGGGATAGCGATCGGTTTAGTCCAGACGATGTAGTCGGTCGTACTAAAGTTGACTTACATGTTTTGTTCCAAAACCCTGAAAAGATTATGGATCGTCGTGATGCACTTACCGGTATTAGTGAGCAGACATCACTTCCCGGATATATATACTATCAATTAGGTTATTTCCCTAAAGCAGATTTTAGAGAAGAATTGAGAACTGGTGGACATGATATTTCTATCTCGCGTTCTCTTCGTGAAGATCCTGCTTTCCAACACCCCCAGGGAACTCTGAGTAATAGTGAAGAAGATGCTGTTGTTCACACTCCTCCAGATCCAGAGTATCCTAGTGGCATCTTGTCGTTCACAATTCATCAGGCCGTGAACTTGGAAATTAGTCATCCTAGGGGTACATATGGAAAGGTTAAAGGAACTTACAACACTTCTCCACCTCAAGATGTAGGAGATGTAAAGTCAGAAGAAGGTGGTGATTTACCTTCATCATACGTTTGTGTCGATATCAACGATAGTCTGGCATACAAGACGAGGACGAAGGTTTATTCTTCAAACCCCATCTATAACGCTGGAAGTGAAAAATTTATCAAAGACTGGAGAAATACGATAATATGCTTTACCGTCCGAAACTTTCGACTTCGTGAACACGATTCTATTTTGGGCACTGTTAATATTCCGCTTAGCAAAACCTTGACAAGCTTTTCCCAGATCACAAAATGGTTCCCGGTCGAAGGAGGAATTGGATATGGTAGCATTCGTTTGTCTATTTTATTCCGAAGTGTAAAACTTCAGATTCCACGTAATTTGTTGGGATGGGATATTGGCACCCTTGCATTTATTGACAATAAATTGGTTGCTGAAGGTATTGATAGCGTATCAAAGGTTAACTACTCCTATGTAAGGATTAATGCCGGCATGCAAAAGAGCAGTACAAAATATGTAACTTCGGAGTCTCCGGAGAGAGTCTCTTGGATGATTAATGGGAGCAGCTTGAGTCTACCGCTCAGATATCGTTACGGCAGCCCTTTGGTTTTCGAGTTCCGCAATCATATTCGCAGAAAAAACAATGTTTATGCGATTCTCTGGCTTTCGGAACTTGTGGACAACGAGGAACCAGTTATTCGTATTCCCATCTTTACTTCAAACAAACCTGCGCATATCTTGCAGAACACTGTAAATATTGAACATCCAGATGAATTTTCTCATCTCAAAATCCTTGGCTATCTAACGATTACTGTGAGTTTCCGACGTGGTTTCGACCTTCTTCACGAGCGACTCATTGGTAATGATGACGAGGGTGCCAGTTTTGAAACATTTATGAGCTTACGTTCTCAAGGAAAGCGAAGAGGCTATGTAAAGGACATGAACAACCCCTTATATGACAACTCTTCCAGCAACAATGAAGAGCGGTCCAACAATGAGGAGCGACCAGTATCAAGATCTAACACCATGGAGACGGCGGATGAAAATACTGAAAATGGCAGTGGGGAAAGTCCAAATCAGTTTGCGGAGTCGAACCCAAATGAAATGAATGACTACGGACAGAACGCTGTAGAACAAACTGTTACACTTGATGGATTCATCCCACCGAGCGCTGGTGGTCCTAGCAATGATTTGAATCACGACGAGCAGATTTTTGAGCGTGAATTTATCTCACTTGGCCAAGTAGTAAACCAAAATGGTAATCCGAAGCCAACATACAACCATCCAAATTCTACTGCACATAACGAAGGAAACAACAAAGGTGAAGACAACAGGGGCTCTCAAGTCATGGACGATGAAGATGCCGAAACATTGGATAGTGAAATATCAGGAGACGAGCAAGAACGTAAACAACTTCATAGAGATGACAATGAGCTGGAACGTCGTATGCATCGTGGGATTTATAACTACAAGGCAGTACGCACTGGCGACTGGGTTAAAGATGGTGCGAAAATGAGGTGGAGAAGTTTGAAGAAACGTTTCAGCTTGAATGGACGTGAGCCTGATGTTGAGACTGAAATTGCAAGATAAAACTTTGGTAATCCTGCAACAGTTCACTCATAGATTTTTATGAAATTATGACTGCAAAAGTAATGATTGTGTTTTGATTCAAATCACATCACATGGAAACCTAAAACGACTTTACTTCTTTCATTGTAAGCGCAATTGCTTACTGCTTCTTACTTATTACTTATTTACACTTTTAAGCATATGTGCTTGTTCTAACGTACTATATATACTGACTTGTAAATGATATAGTTTTTATTATTTCAATAACATGATATTATCTTAAATTGTATTAAAAGACTGCCCGGTTGTTTCTATAGTGATGGAAAACCAGTCCCATAAACTGATAGGGTAGGGTTTTACAGCAAAGAATAGACACGAAATTTTTGTGTTATTTAACACAACCAGAACTAACCACGCACTCCCAAACTAGTTGCAAGTATGGTCGCGTTCACACCCGAGGAGGTCCGTAATTTGATGGGCAAGCCATCAAACGTCCGTAACATGTCAGTGATTGCTCACGTCGATCACGGCAAGTCTACCTTGACTGATTCTTTGGTCCAAAAAGCCGGTATTATTTCTGCCGCTAAGGCTGGTGATGCTCGTTTCATGGATACCCGTGCCGATGAACAAGAGCGTGGTGTTACTATCAAGTCCACTGCCATCTCTTTGTTTGCTGAGATGTCTCAAGACGACTTGAAGGATGTTAAGGAACCCACTACTCACCCCGACTTTTTGGTCAACTTGATCGACTCTCCTGGTCACGTTGACTTCTCTTCAGAAGTTACTGCTGCTCTTCGTGTTACTGACGGTGCTTTGGTTGTTGTCGATACCATCGAAGGTGTCTGTGTTCAAACTGAAACTGTCCTTCGCCAAGCTTTGGGTGAACGTATTAAGCCTGTTGTTGTTGTCAACAAGGTTGACCGTGCTTTGCTTGAACTCCAAATTTCTAAGGAAGAACTTTACCAAAACTTTGCCCGTGTCGTTGAATCCGTCAACGTCGTTATCTCCACCTACTACGACAAGGTCCTTGGTGACTGCCAAGTCTTCCCCGACCAAGGAACTGTCGCTTTCGCTTCTGGTCTTCACGGTTGGGGTTTTACCATCCGCCAATTTGCCGATCGTTATGCCAAGAAATTCGGTATTGATCGTAACAAGATGATGACTCGTCTCTGGGGTGAAAGCTACTTCAACCCTAAGACCAAGAAGTGGTCTAAGTCTCCTGTTGATGCTGACGGTAATGAGAACCAACGTGCCTTCAACATGTTCATCTTGGATCCCATCTATCGTATCTTCGATGCTGTCATGAATGGCCGTAAGGACGAAGTTTTCGCCCTTTTGACCAAGCTTGAAGTCAACCTTAAGCCCGATGAGAAGGAACTCGACGGTAAGGCTCTCTTGAAGGTCGTTATGCGTAAGTTCTTGCCTGCTGCTAACGCCCTTTTGGAAATGATTGTCCTTCACCTTCCTTCTCCCAAGAAGGCTCAACAATACCGTGCTGAGACCTTGTATGAAGGTCCCATGGATGATGAGTGTGCTGTCGGTATCAAGAACTGTGATCCTAAGGCTCCTCTTATGGTCTACGTTTCTAAGATGGTTCCTACCTCTGAACGTGGTCGTTTCTACGCCTTTGGTCGTGTCTTCTCCGGTACCGTTCGTTCCGGTATGAAGGTCCGTATCCAAGGTCCTAACTACACTCCTGGTAAAAAGGAAGATCTTTTCATCAAGGCCATCCAACGTACCGTTTTGATGATGGGTTCCAAGATTGACCCCATTGAAGACTGCCCTGCCGGTAACGTTATCGGTTTGGTTGGTATTGACCAATTCTTGGTTAAGTCTGGTACTTTGACTACTTCTGAAGTTGCTCACAACATGAAGGTCATGAAGTTCTCTGTTTCTCCTGTCGTCCAGGTCGCCGTTGAAGTTAAGAACGGTAATGACTTGCCTAAGCTTGTTGAAGGTCTTAAGCGTCTTTCCAAGTCTGATCCTTGTGTCATGTGCACCACTAACGAATCCGGTGAACACATTGTCGCTGGTGCTGGTGAATTGCACTTGGAGATTTGCTTGAATGACTTGCAAGAGTCTCATGCTGGTATTCCTCTCAAGATCTCTCCTCCCGTTGTTTCCTACCGTGAATCTGTTAGCGAGACCTCTAGCATGACTGCCTTGTCCAAGTCTCCCAACAAGCACAACCGTATTTTCATGACTGCTGAGCCCATGAGTGAAGAACTCTCTATAGCCATCGAGACCGGTAAGATCAACCCTCGTGATGATTTCAAGGCTCGTGCTCGTGTTATGGCTGACGAATATGGCTGGGATGTTAGTGATGCCCGTAAGATCTGGTGTTTCGGTCCCGAAACCACTGGTGCTAACCTTGTTGTTGATCAAACCAAGGCTGTTTCTTACTTGAACGAAATTAAGGACTCTGTTGTAGCTGCCTTCCAATGGGCTACTAAGGAAGGTCCCTTGTTCGAAGAGAACTTGCGTTCTTGCCGCTACAACATCCTTGATGTTGTTTTGCACGCTGATGCTATTCACCGTGGTGGTGGTCAAATCATTCCTACTGCTCGTCGTGTCGTTTATGCTTCTACCCTTTTGGCTCAACCTATTATTCAAGAGCCCGTTTTCTTGGTCGAAATCCAAGTTTCTGAAAACGCTATGGGTGGTATCTACTCTGTCCTTAACAAGAAGCGTGGTCAAGTTTTCGCTGAAGAACAACGTGTTGGTACTCCCTTGTACAACATCAAGGCCTACCTTCCTGTCAACGAGTCATTCGGTTTCACTGGTGAGCTTCGTCAAGCTACTGGTGGTCAAGCTTTCCCTCAATTGGTGTTTGACCATTGGTCTTCTATGAGTGGTGATCCTACTGATCCCACTTCCAAGCCTGGTCTCATTGTTGCTGAGGCTCGTAAGCGTAAGGGTCTTAAGGAAGCTGTTCCTGAGTACACTGAATACTACGACCGTTTGTAAGAATATCCATTGAACAGACTAGTTTTGGGTTTGCGGGGAAAAATTGATAATTATTTACGAACATATGAATTAAGAGTAAGTAATATATTTTAGTTCAATAATAGCTTTGAGTGGCCCCATGAATGTAAATCGCTATCATCGGTATTGTTGGGTGTGTAAGTATTAAGTTTTGCTTAGTGGGATGTTAATAAGAAAAACACTTTTGTAAAGGAAAGCATCGTGTATGGTTTGTAAAATACGGGTCAACTAGTCACATCATCATATTGTGCAACATGCAAGTTTTGTATATCCAATTTACTTGATAAATTTACGGAACGAGTCTACGAAGATACAAACTCAAGTAGATAAATACAGTTAAGCAAGAAACAAACTATATATAAACAATAAAATGCCTCAGAAAGGACTCCCAAATTTTATTTAAATGTTAGAAGGGTAAAGCATGACTCTAAGAGAAGAGCCAAAAGTCTTGGCAGGCAAGTTGTGAACGAAACGAGCACGAACACAACCAGAGTTACCATGAGCGCGAGAAATGGTACTAAAAGTTTGTTAGTTATATGAAGAGATGAAAAAGGAAAAGTGCCTGGAAACATATTGAGAGCCAATTGAAATGACTGAAAAATATAATTTCCATAACTGATAAATACTTACCCCCAGATGACACGGAGCTTAGAACCACGGATAGGCTTAGCACACTTGTAGACGTAGCAAACACGCTTGCCCAAATAAAATTGAGCGTCTTCCTTGCTGTCACATCCCTCAATCTTGACAATGGAAGTTATAGGGTTAATGTGATGCTTGGAGCGTTGGTGGGAAAGGTGCTTAGCCTTCACGTACAATCTATGTCCTTGAGCAGGCATTTTGATGGTGATACGTCGGTGCTGAATGAATTTGAGTAGGGACGTTAGTTTCTGTATCGAAACTTTTTTCGACAGTCACAACGCACAACCCTACCCTACAAATAACTGTACGCAACATGTCGTTAAACCGATTAACGGCAACGAACGATGAACAGGATAAGTAAATAAAGAAGGGAAGAAAACGAGAATAGTTTGTGAGTTTATATTTCTTCTTGGGTTATTGGTATGCTTTATATAGAAAAGCAAGTTTCATGCCGTATGAAGTGGTATCTCTCAAGACTGCCGTTTATAGCTGAAGTAGTCGCTTCCCAATTGAGCTGGTTTCTATGAGATAAGTCTGACAGTAGAGGTCGTTCGGTCAGGAACTTTGCAGAATACGTGCTTCAACCAAAAAGAGGTTTCCTCTCAATTATTCGTAGAGTTTCTTCCCTGCATTATTACACTGAGAGGAATCTGCCAGGATCCAAGCTTTCGGTACCTGTTGTAATGCAATACTCGGTACAATAATGTACTGTTACTAATAACAATACTTAAAATATAATAGTGTCTTATCAAATATGTAATACACATTCGCATAAGAGGGTACTGTAATAGCGGTGCAGCGCATCCAATGACTTTGTCGTACGAATCAGTATACCAGCGCCATTTCAAGCTTTCTACTTGACTTGTACCAAGTAGAAGGATCCTGGTGAAACTGGAAAATCACTATCTGTACAGTGGTTTTTTAACAGAAATTCTTAAAATTGACAAAGATTTAACAAATAAATGTTTCATTAGTCATTGGTGAAACTACGCGTAGCAAGTCAATACATTAACTTCCGCAGAGATAATCTGCACATCTTTTTCTGGCACCATTCTAAAAAGAATTTCCTCTTTTTTTTACCTTTTCGTTTACTTTATTTGCTAGTCTTTTTCTTCGCTTTCAATTCCTGAGAGAAATAACCGAATGGGAGGGGATCAGCCTTCAGATATTCATCCTATCCTATCCCATACTACAAGTATCGTTATGGATGCTTCTACGAAGCCCCAGGAAGAGTTTCAATCTATTGTCGAAGAGGCAAGGTCTGCACCCCAGCTTCCTGAGCGTTCAGCTGAATTCAAGGAACAGGTAAGTATAAAGCACTGTTTAAGAAGTTACGTCTTATTTAAAAACAATTTTTCCCTCTTATACAAGGGGTTTGAGTCGATAAGTATTATTTTTTTTATGACATCCTTTACACAAAGTCGTACTTCTTTAAGAACTGAAACTCGTTTTAACATTGGATTTAGGCTGCAAGAATGACCGAAAGTTTTATGCCTGCTCCCACTCGGGCACCTCCAAATCAACCATCAAATCCGAGTGTCTCTTCTAGTATGGGAAACGTGTCGCCCGCGCAAACTGGAGAGTTACCGTTGGGTTCTTCTGCTCCTGTCAGCAAGGTCTCTACTCCGGTACCCACTCGTCTACCTCCTAGCCAACCAACAAACTCAAGTGTCTCTTCCAGTATGCGAAACATGTCACCTGCACACATTGGGTCACCCGCATTGGTTGGAGGCTCGCGAATGGGTACCACTCCTCCTGCTTCCAAGACGGCAACTCCCCTGCCCACTCTTGAGACATCTAGTCCACCGACAGATCCGGGCTCTTCCTCCAGTGTGAAAAAGGTAGAACCGGTACAGGTCGGAGCTGCCCAAGCGAGTCCTCCTAGTCCTGTTCCTGTTATTAGTCCTCCGGTGGGTAATTCACCAAAGACGCAAAAGCCTGATGAACCCAGCGGTAAGGATGCAAATTTACCCAATAGCGAATCTGCTAAAGCCGTGAATCCCCAACAAGAAGAGGCTGATGCTCTCATTGGTTGGAGATCTTTACATAAGACAAGTGTCGAGCAAATGCGTACATTTATTCAGGATGCCTCGTCCATCTTTGAATGGAACACTGGTCGTGTTGAACGCTCTGTCTTGGATATGTATCTACCTGGTAAATTGAATGGTCAGTGGTGGCAGAGCTCTCTAATATTAGCTGCCGTTTCTATTTTGAGTTGGTTAGCATCAAAGTTCTTTTTCTGTCGCTGGCAAATCCTTCTCGTTATTATCGCCGCTAGCACATTCGTTTATGGTTCCAATGCTATTGCTCTTCGTCGCACAGTGCGTGATGAAGTTGTCCGCGAGATGTTGAAGAATCCTTCTAATGTGGATTATGAAACTATGGATTGGTTTAACATTATTTTCCAGCGCCTTTGGATGTTGAACGAGCCAATGATTTCTCGTATGATAGTTACTAACGTTGAGCAAACTGTAGCCGAGTATCTTCCTTCCTTTGTTCCCGAAGTTCGTTTTTCTTCTTTCACCTTAGGATCAAAGGCACCCCGTATTGACGGAATCCGAACTCATCTTGCTACTGAACCTGATATGATTCTAATGGATGTTGATTTTAGCTACACACCGAATGATACTTTGGACATTACAGGTGCTTCTTATTGTCGTGTAAATTCAGCCGTATCCCTTCGTGTAAAGGTTGGTAAGGGAAAATTCATGGCTAAGCTTCCTGTTTCTACCAAAGATATTTTTGTGTCAGGACAGCTTCGTTTACGTTTTAGATTATCTGAAGAATTTCCTTTTATAAAAACGGCTTCTGTTAGTTTACTAAGCACTCCAAAGATTTCTGCTACCGTTCGCCCCTTTGACTTTAGTCTGTTCGATATTGATGTGTTCTACATCCCCGGGTTTAATCAATTCTTACATGAACAAATGACAACGATTCTATCTCCTCTGGCTATGTGGCCGAACATGCTTGATTTGGATCTTTCTTCTCTTATGGCAGGTGTCGCTCCATTTGCTCCAGTGGGTGTGATTGCTGTCAAGGTTTCTTCTGCTCGTCGCAATGAATACTTTAAATCTCGTACTACTAAACCTTCTTCTTATGTCGCAGTTGTGACCAATGGTCGTGAACATGGACGCTCTCCTGTTCGGGGAAATACGTTTACACCTAACTTTGACCATACAATATATGCTGTTGTTTCCTCGTTGAATGATCCCCTTGAGTTATCTTTATTCGATCCCGAAAGCCCTTCGTTACCCTTTGGTACTACTTACATTAACACGCGGTCTCTTGTTGAGAATGGATTCGTTAGTGACGTTCAGCCCTTATTGTTTAACGCCGTAAATCAAGGGTCAATTGCTTATGACGCTACTTTTTTCCCTTCTCTATTCCCGAAGAAGACATTGGATGGCAATCTAATCGAACCTCCTGCTACGCCTAAAGGTATCTTACAATTGTCACTTGACAGGATTAACAACCTTACTGACCTATCTACTTTCGACAAAAAGTCACAAATAATGTACATTGTTTCTCTTGATTCAAGAGAAATTGGATCAAAAACTTTGAAGTATGCTGACAAATCACCTACTCCTGTCAGTCTATCTTCAATGGCTTATATTGAAAATCGCGAAACTTCCAAGATACAAATAACTGTTGTCAAGAAGATTAAGAAGGAGCCTGATCAGGTTATCGGAAGTACGGTAATTCCACTTAATAAACTGCTTGCTGCTGAAGGTAATCAATCAACATATGCCCTCAAAGAAAAGCCCTCCTCTACTATTGATATTACATCTTCCTGGATTTCCGTAAATGTTACGGAAGAGAAGAGTGCCGAATCCTACCTCAAAGATTTGATAGGTGTTATGCGTATTAGCACCATAAAAGCAAACAACTGCTCTTCTACTGACTTGGGTCTAAAGAAGAATGATCCTTATGTTAGAGTACTCGTTAATGGATCGGTTGTTGAAAGAACTGTTCACGTATTGAATAACTCTAATCCTGTCTGGAATGAAGTTCTGTATGCGCCTGTTTTGGCAGATACTGAAGTTATTGAACTTGAAGTAATGGATCATGAGGATTCTGGACACGACAAATCCCTAGGATATGTCAAAGTTCCGGTTAAAAGCTTCAAAAATGCTGCAAATAAGATTGGAAAAACTGAAATGGCTAACCGAATTTTTGGTACCGATGAGGTTGAGGCATTAAAGTTGGTCTCCCGCAAGGGAAGCTCTACCCGTGCTACCTTAACGGTAAACTGTGATTTCCGCCCTTGCCTAAGACTTTCATCTGACGATGAACCTTCTGGCAACGAAGAGGAAAGTAAGATTACTACTGCTGAACCCGTGAATGACGAATCTGAAATTTCTAGTATAATTAGTGTTAGTGAAGCTACCAAGTATCCTTCTGGCATTTCCATGATGACTATTAAGTCGGCTGAGCTTCAAACAGAAGGAATTGCTTTAAGAGTTTTCACTGATAATGCCGCCTTCCCATGCTTAAAAACCGGCACAGCTGGTAGTAAAACACCCCGTTGGTCTGCCTTTGGTTTATCTATGATTAGAGAACTCCAATATTCTGAAACTACATTTCAGTTAACTGATGGTTCTCCCAAAAATCCTAAGGTTATAGCTGAGCATACCGAAAAAACCTCGAAACTTATTAGCGAATCTTTGGGACATGTGTATCCAGTTGATATTCAAGGATCAAATGGTGAAGTGAATAGAGTTAGAATTTCGATGAATTATCTCCCTGTGCCTATGCTTTTGAACCCAGTTGAGAGCTTTATCAACACTGGTTTGTTGCACTTCAATTTGTATAACGGAAAAGACCTCCCCATAGGTGATATTCGCTCATCGGATCCTTTCGTTTCATTGAAGACGAACGATAAGGAAGTTTACAAGAGTAAGGTCATTAAGAAGAACTTAAATCCTGTTTGGGATGAAGAAACCGATATCGTAATTCAAAACCGTGCCCTAGACGTGTTTAAATTAGTATGCTACGATTGGGATATGGGTGAGGCTGCTGATGTTCTGGGTAGTCACCTTATAGATCTTCTCGCATTAGAACCCAACGTTCAATCTCAACATGAACTTAACCTTGATGGAAAACGTGGACAGATTAGTGTTGGTATGAGGTTTGAACCTGGTTGGTACCGAAGATCTCCTGAATTAGATGCTTCCCTTGCTGATAACTTTTTTTCTGTTGCTGACAAAGGTGCTAAACTATTGGTTGGAGGTATTGGAGCTGCTGGTGGTCTTGCCCTAAATGGAGTTGGTTCAGCTGGTGGTCTCGCCTTGAACGGAGTCGGAGCTGCTGGCGGTCTTGCCTTAAGTGGAGTTGGTGCTGCCGGTGGCCTAGGTGGCAAAGCCGTATCTGGATTTACCGGAACAGGAAAGAATTTGTTTAAAGGTGTTACTGGAAAAGGATCTAAAGCTAGTCGAAACAATGAGCAAGGTGATACTATGAGCACCCAAACTGGCTCTACGTTTGGACCAAGATCGTCTACCGGTAAACAAGAGCCCTCAAAATTCAAACTCTTTGTTACGACTGGTAATGATTGTCCTCAAAAGCTTGTAAAGGTTGTAATTACCGATAAGCAAGGTCGGTCATATAAGACAAAGTCACACAGAGGTCCTTCTCCAAAGTGGAATGAGCATATACCTGTCAGGTTTAACCCAGGTGACAGCTTGCATGTTTCTTTAATTATTTCTAACTTAATTGGGCACAGTAAATTTGGCGAAGCTACGTTTAGTGAAGCTGCCGTGGGTACTTTCAAGGTTCCCTTCAACGGTGCTGCTACTTCAGTGGAGATGAGAGTTGAATCTGCTTAATCTCTGTCAATGTTTCATCTTTATCCTTTATTAACTGAATAATTTTTTTGTAGCATTGTCAATTTGCTTTGTTTTAATTTGCTTATACAGCATTATTGATCATCTAATTGCTAATATAGAATGAAATGCGATATTCAAACGCAGAAAAGAGAGTTTCTATTTGTAAATTAAAGATCGTAAAACTATTCAAATAACCAAACGGCAATAGACATGAACTATAAATATAACAAATTCAAAAAAATGCAAAGTACAATACATTTGGGAATAATTTAATTAAAGACTTTGAATATAATCTTCAGCTCGCTTTCCTTCTTTCAAAAGCCATTCAATTTGACGTTCGCATTCTTCTTCAAAGGTTTTAGCACACTTTGCGTACTGATATTTAATCCAATGCTCTACTGTCATATCTAATTCTTGCTCCGTGAGATTCTCTGATTCCGTATATTTGTTTGCAGGCGTTTTTAAAAGACTGGAGAAGTCAACTGGTTCCCATGGAGGCAGCGAAGGTTGAATAGACGGCGGAGCAGCACATTTAGTCTTCATAGGTGTAGACGGAGCCAGAAATGAAGATTGAGAAAGAGGATCGAACGGACTTTTTGACGTATCATGCACAAACTTTGACGGAGACGCAGAAAATTCAGGAAGTTCATCCAACTCTTTGTAATCTTTCGGAGTACTATGCAAAGAATGCTTGTATCCGTATTTAACCACCTTTTCAGGGGAGGTGCTTGACAGGATATGACCTTTTTCTAAAGAATCCTCTATATTTTTATAGCCTATAGATTTGCCATCTTCAATATTCAGACTTGTTTGTCTATCAATATAAACATCGGGGTTTGGTGATTCAATTTTACTCTGGGAAGCCCTCGATACTCTCGATTCTTTCTCAGAATGTTCTTCCGCTTCAGAAAAGGCTCGTTCAGAATCGTGGAATACTTCCCCGGAGGTTGCTGAATTCGTACTTATATCCGTTGAAGCATTTCGTTTAGGAATCAATTCTTCTTTATTATCTCTAGAATTACGAAAAGCGTCGGCCTCAGAATCTAATAAAGCTCTACCTTCGTTTGGTGATGAATTTTTTGAAAAACTAGATGGTCGCTTTAACGCGGTTCTCTCAATATTTGTTAGAGTCTGAAGTGGTTTCGAATCATGGTAATCTCCTTTATCATTTTTGGTTTTTATTTCGTTGGAGCTTTGTTCACGGATATTTTGCTCGGGAGATGAGTTTGTAAATAAATTCGTATTCAGTAGTTCACTGCCATTATCTTTTGAAGTTAGTTCTCTTGTAGGAGTGATTGAGGAGGCCGTCAAAGTTTCTGATTCAGTAACAGAATCTCCACCAAAATCCGAGGTTGGAGTATGTACAGCCTCAAGACTGGGGGATGATGAATTATCTTTTAAAGGCGAAACAGGAGCCTTTTCGCTCTTTTTTTCATATTTTGTTGGTGAATCATCTTCTTTCTCTAGCGTGTGCTTAGTAGATTCGAGTAATCTGGCCAAAGGTTCATCGTCATTAGTCATGTAGGAAGAACCATGTAGATCATTTGATTGATTTTGAGGAAAATCTTCAAATATACTTGTCTCCGCCGAAAAGGCTTCTAATTCAGACTCACTAGAAGAGGACTGGACTTTCGTTTCAGAAGCTGTAGGGTATTCAGAAGACTGTCTTTTAGCGGTTGGAATAGTTGATTCCAATCCAATATCTGTCTGTTGTTGATTAGGAGCGCCTACCTCTGACGATTTTCTCTTTTTTGATATTTGAAGGTTTGCGTCCAGGGAGTTAGAATTAGCGATCGGTTCAGTAGGAATGGTAGAAGGGCTCGTTGAAGGGGCATTCGTATGCTCGGCATTAGTGGAAAAATTCACAGAGTTCTCTTTGCTATTTAATTCTCCGACATCTTCTTGAATAGGTGGTAAAGTACTAGTCATAGGAGAATGAACAGAATGATAACTTTCGTCGGTTCTATTAGGAGAAGGAGGAGTTGAAGGAGGTAAGGGTGTATTGATAGGAATATGGGAGCCATTCATGTAAGATGAATAATCCTGTTCTGAACTGGGTTTTTTACTAGTGTTTGAGGGATGTTTGGGAGGACTCGACTTTAAATTGGGCTGATCATCTTCATCTTCGTCTGAGAAAATAGGCCTAGCCGGCTTAAAAACTGCTTCCTTTGTTTTTTTACTTAATTGTTTCCCTCTCTTTTTAGGAGAATTCATTGTGAAAGGTTTTGATGGTGATGAACCCTGATGTTCGGGTTGCACGAGAGAGGAATCATTTTTAGTATTTGAATACAAAGAAAAGGGGTGAGATTGACTTAAAGAAGATATCCTCCTCCGAGGAGTAGGTTTCGGCTCATTTGTTGGCTTTGTAAGATTCTTTTCCGATGAATTGGAAACGAGTTCAGATAAAGAGACATCTTCAAAATCAACATTCGACGAAGAAAGCAGTGAATACTTGGTCGGAGATAAAGCAGTAGGATCTTTCCACGTAAAAAATAGACAATTTGGACGACGGCGCTGATGTTCTTTGTATGGGTCATCATCCGATTCCCAATCGTGAAGGTCAATATTACAGTATAGGCAATGTGCCGCATCCTTCGAGTCTATACTAGGGGTAAATACAAAGCCAGCAGTCGCCATCGTATTTGGCTGGCAATGGAAGTCGGAACGATTGATATATGGCCATACTTTGTCAACAAACGTCAATTCTCTACATTTTGTTAATGAAGGAGCCTTTGGATCCTGGTGTGGATTATTACGAGCTGATAAAACGTAAGCCCAAGGACAACTAGGACTATGTGTTATATGCTCCTTTAACGGGTCATCGTTTTCTTCCCAGTCGTAAAACGACTTCGAACACATGAAACATGTTACATTATCGATCCTCTGTTGGGGCTTTTGAATAGGATTGTAGTAAAACCCAACGGCAGAAAGCTATGCAAAATTCTGTTAGTATACGAAATGCCTTCAATTAAATCATATTGTAGTTTTTCCTCACATACTTGTTCTGGACTAGGCGAACTAAGTGACCATGAGATTTTCTTGAATGTCTCCAGTCTTTTGGAAACAATACACATTTCTTTACGATGCCTACTCCATCTTCGTTTTGACGATGGTTCTACGGGCTTCATCACGAACAATTTGGGATTGATGTTTTAAAACAACGGTTCGTAACTTTCTGTCTTATCCTGTTAGAAAACCCAGTAAAACCTTACAAGAAGCAACTCCTCAAAACCTGTATCTAAAATAAATAAAGCTTCTCATAAACCGAATTTTAACCCAAGAACTTCAGTTCAATTTTGTATTGTTTATGTTTGTCTCTACCTAGGTAAGTAACGAGGATACAGTACTGCGGTATAAAACTTTATTTACAAAATACTGATGGCTACCCCGTTTTGTTAATATTCGAACTATAAGAGAATTCACGAAAGAACGCTAATAAACATATGTGATGATTTTACATCTTCTTGATCGACTATTTGAATTGACATGAATCTATGTCGAATTTGTTAAAAAGCTGTTAAACAACAATATATTTAAAAAAAGAACGTTCACTACCCATCAAAATTTAGTTTGCTAACTTGTATCTAATTTATAAAAATCATTATCGTCATTCAAGGAAATATCAAATTTTTTTCTTTTTTTTATTATGAGATTTTGTATTCTTCGTGTAAATTTGAAACAGAAATCTTATAGCTTTATCGTCGAAACAAGCAAGTTAGGGTGCTAAAGATGATGGGTGACGATTTATTACTTCAGTTATACAAACAAAAGATAGATATCGCACAAAACAAACATAGAATTAATAGATGAGGAAAAAGAAAGGAAACAAAACAGACTGAATAAAAGAAAAAATAGAATTTCTCAACACCTCACAGAACCCGGACCACTACATATTCATATCCTCGCCTTTACTCTCGAAATTAAAGCTGCCTGTTGGCACCTCACTAGATCCAAAAGTGAATGCACCTCCTGCAACATCCGGCTCTAGATCCTCAACAACATCTTCTTCTCCAAAGTATCTTTCAATTATGTTATATGCCTTTTGATAGATCTCCGCATTTGCCGAATTTTGCAATTCGTAAATAAGATCCATACCACCAGCATCCTCTATGTAAACAGCATGCAAATTGATGTTGTCAGGATTCTCCGCTCGGTCAAGATCACCAACGCGAAGAATGTTTTCAATTCCATCTAAAGCGACTTGAATTATCTTGTTATCCTGACAAGCTAGTAAGTTACACAAGGGTTTAATAGCTCCCTGAGAAACAATGTATCGGATTTGCGTTGGCTGGTTGATACCACCAGACGTAGCATTCGAGACAGCCCAGCAAGCTTCCTTTTGAATCTTGAAGTCAGCCGTAGCAAGAAGATTGATCAAAGGAGGAATAATATTGGCCTCAATAACATATTGAATTTGTGAAGCATTGCCTGCTGTAATGTTACTAATCGTCCAACAGGCCTCCTTTCGGATTCCGTCACGGGGATGGCTGAGCAATGATAATAAAGCACTTAAAGCACCACAGTTAATGATGACTTGCGTTTGAAGATCATCACCAGTAACAATATTACCAACAGAACGAAGGGCTGGTGTCTGAATTTGAGGATTGGGATGCATTAAAAGTTCGACTAACCTTCTGGGGATTCCTGCATCAATGATTGACTGAATTTTTTCATTAGGTCCGTCCGATAAATAAGAAATAGCCCAAAGAGCATCTACTATAACGTCGTCGTCAAGTGAGTAGATTAACTTTGACAAAACTGGAATTACACAAGAAATTGTGTTCCAGTCTGGTTGAGGGTTTTTACCACGACACATATTGGATAAGGTCCACGTACAGTTACGAAGCATACTCAGGCGCTTGCAAGATCCAATTACGGTTAACAAAGGTTCTAAAACACCACATTGAAGAACGTGATCACGGCACATGGGTGAATCACCAGCGATGTTGCCAAGAGCCCAAACAGCCTGCTCGCGAACATCCTTCTCAGGAGACGTGAGTAAACTGACAAAGATAGGAACTGCTCCAGAATTAACAACAGTATGGGTTTGGTCTGAAGATCCACTTGCAATGTTAGTTAAAGCCCAAGAAGCTTCAAACTTGAGTAAGTTGTTTTCGTGTCCCAAAAACTCTACAAATCGAGGCACCACGCCGGTGTTGATGACCTTTTGAATTGGTGGATCATGCTCTTTCGATAAGACCTTACGAAACTTTGTAGTAGCTTGAATTTGGATTTCAATGTCATCTGTATACAAAGCTCTCACCATGTCAGGGAGTTGTAAATCCAGTTCAGAATCATTTTCCTTTTCATTTATTACCGGCGTAACTTCCTCCGATGGTTCTTCAGACACATCTGCTAAATTACGGCGCTTGTTCAAATTTTCTTCACGCTTTTGTTTACGGATTTCGATTTGCTGAGTTTCACGTCGACGGCGCAACTCATCCGCTTGAAAAGCTCCTTTTCCTTTGTAATTTTGTTTCCTATGTTCAGGAATAAAACGAGAAGACGCACTCATCTTCAATTCCTTACTTCCTATAATTTCTCTGGGTGGAAGTGGTAAAAGTCGACGTCTCTAACTAAAGGTGTGAACGAAGTTGAAACGACCTTTCCAAAAAGGAAAATGAACGTCTGTAATTATTCTTAAAATCTAACTAGAAAAAAGTATGAAACATAATTCATGTACTTAAACCATTCGTATTAAATAAAGAACGGGCTTTGGCGTTTTTGGGTATATGAATAGATGAAATGCGAATGTTGTATTATAAATCTGATTAAAATTATTAAAGGAATCTAATTTTTTAAACTTTGAATGGATGTGTAGCTTTCAAAGTTTAGGATGAACAAAAGATTGATTTTCGAGTCAGCTACCCTTAGTATCGCCGTCGAAATTTTTCCCAACGATTGTTTTCTATCATTCTGATGTTCAGCTTTATTCTTTTTTTTCTATGAAAAAACCGAGCCTTATTGATATGCACGCTTTTAAGTCCTAAACATGGCCTTGGCCTTTGAATGTGAAGCATCATGTTCAGGCTCGTTAGGAAATATCAATAACTAATTACTGAAATCATGATTCCCTTCTTTTGACTTAGATTTTGGAGAAATAAGGAGCTTGGGCTAGCTGCGAGTATAACGGTGGATCTCGAAAACTCAAAGTAAATCAGAATCACAGCAGCATACCCTTGAGAATTCAAAATTTAGGAACTTGGTTTTGTCATTTTATAAGTTGATATATATTTGAAAAGAAAGCTTTCCGGGAATAAAAAAAAAAAAAAAAAACTGACCAAACTCGTAAAGGGTGTTTTCAAAACGATCCAAGAAGTTATTGTCAAAATACAGCTAAGTAACTTAATGAGTAAAGAAAGTCAACGTCTGATGGTCGAAGTTGTGTTATAGAATGTATAAGAGTACGAAAAGAAAAAGAACAAGAAAGATAAACGGCGCAAAATGGCAAATCCCCTGAGCCCATACGCACCAAGTGTAAAACGCGTCTATTATTAAGAGACTGTACTTTGGAGCATCAACTTCATATCATAATGGGGAATGTCATCCTCAAGGTAACTATCACTATGGATCATGAACCCAAAAGACTCGTAGAATGCTTTGAGATAAGCTTGGGCTTGGATATTTACGACTTTTGCGTCTGGATATTTCCATTTTCCAGCATTTAAAGCTTCCTGGAATATTAAGCGTCCATAACCATGTCTTCTGAAGTTAGGAGAAACGACTATTCGTCCAATTCGGAACCCATTTGGCTCGCCGATGAGTCTCGCATATGCAAGTAACTTGTCTTCATCGTCTTTAAGCATTAAATGGTCACATGTCAAGTCCGTTTCGTCAACATCCTGGTAAGGACATCTTTGTTCAACAACAAACACTTGTATCCTTGTATAGTAAATTGAATGCAACTCTTTAAGAGTTAATTCATTAAAAGACTTCAAAACCTGCTTCATCATAAACAGTTTATCGTAGTAAACGACAAAAAATGAGTGGATTGAATTTCAGAAGACGCGCTTAGCTTGAGACAAGATCCTTTCCTATGTCCTACAACCTGTAAGGAAGATTTATGATATATTTTCCTTGTGGACGATTCAATCTCCATCAGAATTCATGTTTAATGAAAAAAAAGAATAATATAATTAACAAGAGCTTCCACGAAGAATTGAATATATAGTAGGAACTCAATTTCTAGACAGTTCAATTCAACCCATATAGATTAGTATGGCCCCATGGTCTTAAATAACATACGGGAGTTCACCCTGTTTCGTTAAACGACGCGAAGCGATTTATATATCCGCTTTGGTAAAGCTTAATAAAAAGTTTCTGTTTCGGCGTGACTGTTTTTTCTGAAGAAATCATTTCGATGAAGGAAATTGTTCACAAACTTGATCTAAACCAGAAACATACCACAATGTCGGAACACGGTGAACAAGTTGAGCAAGTTGACGTTGTTGAACAAGTCGAAGAACAACCTACCGCCCCTGAAGTCTCTGTTGAAGATGCTTTGAAGGAAGTTTTGAAGCGTTCCCTTGTTCACGACGGTCTTGCCCGTGGTATCCGTGAGGCCTCTAAGGCTCTTGACCGTCGTCAAGCTCACCTTTGCGTTCTTTGCGAGTCTTGCGACCAAGAGGCTTACGTCAAGCTTGTCGAGGCCCTTTGTGCTGAATCTGAGACTCCTTTGATTAAGGTCGCTGACCCCAAGGTTTTGGGTGAATGGGCTGGTCTCTGTGTCCTTGACCGTGATGGCAATGCCCGTAAGGTTGTCGGCTGCTCTTGCATCGCCGTTACTGTAAGTTTTTACAAAAGAAAGAGCGATGTCATGTGCTTCACCTTTCTTAATAATTGTAATTTACCTAATTCATGAAAACTAACGTATTTTTAGGACTACGGTGAGGACTCCGCTGCTCTTCAAAAGCTTTTGGGTAGCTTCTCTGCTTAAAAACTATTTCATAATAAATATGAAAAAGCATTTTAGCGCTCGTTCTTTATTTTTTTGAGCTGTAGTTTTTTATATATCATTATAGTTGTCATTTTCACATTAACTTAACACTACTAGACTCAAGGTCCAGCTTACGGTAGTAAAAGTTTTCTCGTAAGAAAAATCCACGGCTGATGAATATTTTGTGACAGGCAGTTGTAGAGTAGTTTCCAATGAACTAACGAGACTACCAAATTCATTGTCACTTTAATCGTTTTAGTTGCTTTTTTGGTCTTCGCAAGATTGAATTGCTTTCAACGAGCAGTTCGCACACCCGGTTTTAATGATGTTTCAAATTTAGCGCAGTTGTACTTGTCCTTTTCATATATTAAAAACTTCAATTGCCTTCTGGTATTTTGGTATTGACAGGTATCCCATATCTCTGTAGTTAGTTCTGCTTTTTCTCCGTAATTATTCGTCCAAAAGGACTTCTACAGTTATCATTTATGGGTTCATCCCATATTTATACTCTCAGCTATTTTTCTATTCCTTTTCGTTGATCGAATTTGGCTCTTGATGGGCGTTCCCCGTTTAGGTAGATTTCTGGAGCCCTTTGGAAAGGTTCTTCATTTTCTTGTTCACCCATCTGGATCTCCTGGTAGTATAGTAATAGACGGACCCGCGTTTGCTTACTGGCTTTGGTTTACTGTCTCTACATCTCCTGCAAATTATCGTGCGTTCCAAGATGCCATCCTCAATTTCCATCAGTTCATGTTAACTTTAGGATTTCGTGCTATGTATGTCAGTTTTCTGAATAACTCTTAATTTTGATCTTTGAGCCATCTACTAACTATCCGTAGAGAATATGTGTTTGACGGAGGACTACCTTATTCTAAGCACCGGACAAGAATAGCTAGATATCAGCAGAATATATCGGACCCCATCAATGCTTATGTGCATCTTTGTGTCCCAATTGCCCATCATGTTCTGAAAGGAATTGCTGGAGCATGTGTCGTCGTCTGCAATCAAGAAGCTGATAAATATTGCGCAATTCGAGCAAGGGAGTTAGACGGCATTGTACTTAGCCAGGATTCAGATTTGCTTATGTTCAATTTAGAAAACCCTCATACTGGTTATGTGCCGTTACATTCTATTTCTATCACTTCGAAGGGCTTGCAGGGAAAGCTCTACAATTTCCAAGATTTAAAAAGGCATTTTCCATTTGATATCCATTTACTAGCTGCTTATTTGGGAGTTGAAGGCCATCCGGAAGATCAGGTTATTGATTATCACAGCAGCTTTCAGCAAATTTGTAAAACATTAGAAGAAAACGTGAAAGCTGGGACGTTGGAAAAACTCATCTCAACACAAGAGTTACATCGTGTTCACAAGTTTTATTCATTAGACGATATTAGTCTATATTCTTCTCAGTTAAACGATTTCATATGGGGAAGAGTGCAAGAACTATTGCATTCCACATTGGATCCTCCGGAAATGTGGCTTCCCCAATTACCTGAATTACCGGCCCGTCCATGTAGTTGGACTGAAAGCGCACCCTTGAGATTGCAGGCATATGCAAACTTCTTTACTAATCAAAAAACAAACACCCAAGTGCTGGAATATTCACGGAATTATGCGCAGCTAAGCAAAAAGCTTATACCGACGAACTTTGATTATGCTTCAGTTATAGACACAATGCAAAACAAGTTTGCTAATTGGCCTCTTCCACATCGGCTCGTTTTATGGACTTTAAGGTGCCTCAAAAATCTCACAAATGTCGCTGCAACGGGCTTTCTATTAATGCACGCTAGTCTTCACCTTAATGCACCTTTACGTTTGCAATCTGTTACGCCAACCCAAGAAGGGACTGCATTGGTTTCCCGTTATGTAGCTACGAGCTACTCATTGTGTATGTTAGTCTTTAGTGAATCTGATAAAGGCCGTTCCATTGACCTTCAAAGCTTTTCATCCTTTAGTCCTCTTTCAAGTACGGTCAACTTCAATTTATTCCATGAAGCAATGGGTAAACTAAAAACGGGAAGAAGTCCTCTTAGCATTGTTTCGGACAAAGCCACTGCCGAATTGACTTACGAATTGTACAAAGAACTTTCTGCAGACTATCAGGATATGGATATAATTATGAATATTTGGAACACGCAAACCACTAAAAAGAAACGTAAAAAAATAAATTAAATACATTGATTATCACAAATGACACCATTAATCACCTTTCTTTTCTTTGGGATTAGTTATACACATCAATGCCAAACAAAAACCATTATCTTTTCAAATTCAGTAAAACTATACGTGGTATCAGCTTTCTCTAAGGATTAGGAGACGTTCCTGGAGGTAAAGGCATACCCGGTGGCGCTCCAAACGGAAGCGTTTGAGGCATTCCAGGAGGTGCATTGGACATACCTGGAGCACTCGGTAGCGGCATGCCTGGAGGAGGAGGAGCATACCCAGGAAAAGCAGAAGGCATACCTTGAGGTGGAGCCATTCCTGGAGGAAGCATAGGAGGCTGTGGAATATTCATCAAAGGAGTAGTCATCATATCGGGTGCTGCTCCAGCTGCTGGTAATCCGGGCACAGCGGGTGCAGGAGGAAGACCTGGAGGCATGCCGGGAAGGGGAAGACCCGGTAGATTAGGATCGGGAACAGCTGGTTGGGTACTCTGTTGCCATGGAGGTAGCCCATTAGTTGATGTAGAAGGCACGGGCTGAGGGGGCATCGCTTGTTGCCAAGGAGCTGGAGCTGGTGTTGCAGCAGAACTAGAAGAAACACTCGGAGAGGCTTTTGCCCAAGGAGCTGGACTAGAAGTTTCTGATGATGGGCCGGGATTAGCTGCCCAAGGAGGAGGTACAGCAGAATTTGCGGTAGCGGTTTCAGCATACTCCAAAGTATGCTGATGATCAGCACCAGAAGCTATAGAGCCACCACCTAACTCTTGCATGAGGCTTTGATACTCGCGATCTGCCGCAGCGTCCGCTACGGGAGGTTGATTTCTTACAGGACAGTCTCGTGCAATATGGCCAGCATTTCCACAATGTCTACAAACAATATTTAGGGTATGATTAACTCGTTCAGGACAATCGTATCGGCGATGGCCAACATTACCACAGTTCTGACAGACTTGGTTCTCATCATCTCGAAGGGTACCATTAAGAGTGGCGAGCTGACGAAGCTGATTTCTCTTCAAGTCATTTTGTCCTTCAGGAGTGGAAGCGGCTGTTTGAATGACGAGATCAATAAGTCGAATGGCATGACTAATTTTGTCCTCTGAATCAGCAGTTACAAGACAGTGTAAGTCTTCTTCCATATTACCACGTACCGATGGATCGCTCTTGCCTTTTCCTTCTTTAACACTTCCTTTACCACGGATGGCAATTTTTGCACCAGACTTTGACTCCATATCCTTCAGTGTATGACCACGAGGTCCAATTAAAAGACCAATGAAGTTGATTTCTGGGTAATCTTGTACAGGAACATAAACTTTTTCTTGCGTTTTAGCTGGACGGCGATAGTCGCTAGGAGCTTTGAAGTTTGGAACCGTCTTCATAGCCTTTTCAATGATGCGATGACGCTCATCCTCTAGCTTCTTCTTGTAACGAATTTCTCTTGTGTTTAACCGGCGACCATGGTTATCATACTGTGGAGGAGGAGATGGAGAACGTTCTCTATCGCGAGGAACGACGCTTCCGGTGCGTAGTTTTTGGGTGATTTCTTCAAGTCTAACGTTCATAGCAAATAACTCTACCTGTTCATTTGTCATACAAGATGCAATGCTTAATTCTAACTCCATTTGAGAGGGCAGCATTTCATCGATGGGAGTCGGCTTGCCCCAGTAATGCTTTCTATAAGTACGACGACGCCCACGGTCTTCAGAAAATTGATCTTCACGTCGACTAGAAAAAGATTCTGAATGATCAGCTCGATCAAATCTGCTTCTAGAGCTTACAGCATCAGGCAATGGCGGCAAAGGGTTGGGTCCCTCATCAAACCGCCTTCGACCAAGAGGGACATTATTTGATCCTGAAATTGTTAGCAATATAGTGATAATATTTCTTTCTTCTTTACCTGTAGACCCCCCAGATCTCGCTCTAAGCATTTTATTAGGCTTTTGTTTTGAGAACTCGTGTAGTGGTTAAGGAAGGATTGAGGTGTAGCGAGGAGGCAAGTGGGAGGCATACCTAGCTTCCTAGCAAGAAGTTACCACATCCATCTAAACTTGATATATTCTTTATAGAAAATAGAAAATAACTTATCTCAATGCATAAAATGCATGATAGTCCTCTTGTTATACTGGGTTAGAAATGAAGAAAATTTCGATCATGAACGGTCCCATGAAAACGGCCATGCCATATGTATAGAAAAGGCTACCGCCTGGATGCGTTTCCTTTAAATCAGCAGCTCATTAAGCTGTTTGAACAAGCTCAATTTCATGTACAGCGGTCTGTCAAGAATTTTTTCAATTTTTGTGAATTACTTTGTTTGCTACTGAACCCATTTGTAGCTCGTAATTATACTGTAGACCAGACCATGAGTCTATAAATGTTGTTAACGTAGGTATGTATGAAAGAAAAGATGCATACCAGGACCATTTCGTTAAGAAACGAATAAAAAGGAAAAAGACCGTCTAGAGAAGATAATAGCAAAAACCAATTGTACCTCAATACGCCTGCAAATGTAAACTTCCACGTCATTTGAAAATGACTGTTTGACAACTAGTCACTCAAACACATCCAAGAAGCAATGTTTCATCTTGTGTAGAAAATAAAAAGAATCCTTGGGAATTGATGCTCCATAGGTAAACAGCATTAGCTTGTTTATATAAGACTATACCGCACTTTAGCATAAGGCAAAGAAATAATCGTTACTAGTAGTATAGGAGCAGGAAAAGCAAAATTTCTCGAAGCCGAACGATAGAGAGAGATGAGAATGGGAAAAAAATTAACAGCGTTTGTCATCTGCCAACTACCATCTTTCCAATTCCATAATTGAGTTTGTTCTTTAATTGTCTCAGACAAAAGTCTTCTCCTTGACTGGACTAGTGTGTTTTTGGTACTGGTTATAGCTGCTGGGAAGTTTATATAAACACCAGTTAATAATTTTAACTGTTTTAAAGCATTGGAGAATTTGAATGAACAATTAGGTTTTTAGAAGCTTTTTCTTTGGTGCATTTCAAGTTGTTATTGGTTTGAACATTTGGTGAGTATTCCTCTGGCATTAAAAAGAGTTGTGTTTGCCTGTTAATTACCTTGAGACTTTTTTTGAATAATTTATTTTCTTTTGGGTTTATTAGAATCTACAGAACATGCCTATTTCTAGTCATTCTCATAGCGGACAGTAAGGGTTGCCATGATGGTGGTAGAATACTAATGGTATCAGATTTTGTTTACATGCTCAGGGAACTTTAGAGCAGGTTATTCTTGAAGCTATCCAACAGGGATTTCATACATTTTCATTTACTGAACATTGTCCTCGAAAGTATGCAGAGGATCTATACCCAGAAGAGGTAAGTAGTCTATACTTTAGATATTCACAGGGAAAGCTCTTGCTTTTCTAGCGTTCCTCTGTTCCTTAATTTTATCCTTTTTATAAAATCTTTTTATAATGATGAAGAGGGTAGGACCGCAGGGATTGATGCAGGATATCTTTTTGAAAGCCTGGAATTAACCGTTGTTCATATAGTCCCATTTAACCTCCGATGATTTGTTTCATACATTTGATGAGTATATCCAAACTGCAAAACAACTTCGAGAGAAATATGCAGACAAAATTCAAATTTTAATAGGATCCGAGACGGAATACATTCGTCCAGACTCCATTGACCTTTTACGAGAACTGGTTGCAAAATACGATTTGGATTATTTAGTAGGCAGTGTGCATCATGTGAATGCGATTCCTATTGACTTTTCAGTCGAACTTTGGCACAAAGCTTTAGAACACGTTGGAGGATGTTATGAAAAACTTTTTTTGGATTATTTTGATCATCAATATACCCTCTTGACATCTTTACAGCCCCTTGTCGTTGCTCACTTTGACTTGATTTGCTTATATGCAAATGAAGAAGCTATGAAGGTGTTTACGAATTCATCCGAGGTATGGAAACTTATTGAAAGAAACATAGAATATGTGAATAGCTACGGCGGCGTTTTTGAAATCAACACATCTGCTTTCCGAAAAGGATGGTCTGTTGCTTACCCAAAACCTCAACTTATCAAGGTATGTTGTATATATATAAAATTTTTGATGCCTTTATTAACTAATAACAGTTAATGCAAAAACATAATAGCCGATTTACCTTGTCTGATGACAGCCATGGTCCTCACCAAGTAGGTCTAAATTATCATCGAGGCAAAGAATACTTGGAAAAGGAAGGCATTCACGCCCTTGCTGTTCTTTCCCGTAACTCCAAAGAGAGCCCTACTACTTACCAAATGGTTTCTGTTTCTCAAATATGGTCTAATTTTGTAGGGAAAAATGGTTTGTCTCCATAAAGACATAGCTTATGTATAACAAAAAAACAACTTGCTCTTTTTGATTTTACATTCGGAAAGAAAGGAAATAACTCTTTTACATTTTACTATAAACGGAATGTTTTTTATGGTTCCGCTGTCGCTGTCTTATATTTCTTTTAAGTTGAATATTTTATTCCATTATGCTGAATGTGACTAATTTCAATATAGAAAGCACTGAAAGAGAAGTATAATAATCACTGATAAGTCAGCAAACCCAAGGGATCTAATTAAATAGAAAAAGATTATTACAACAGACTCCGCAAACATCTATTGTAACTAAGGAATAACAGGTCCAAAACAGTTGCAAAGAGCTATATTCTTTCTCTAATTGATGGAACTCAAATTCTTATAATTGTGAATCCCAAAGATATGAAATCGGTCTAGTTGAAACAGAACGGTTCTTTTTACTCAAGGAACTATAAACACGACCACAAATGAACTTTCATTAGTACATCCAATGCGTCATGGTCCTTTGTTCGGAAAGGGAACTACAATACATCATGAAGGGTTCGTAAAGGATTAGGAGGATAAGGAATTAAGGAGCCGTTGGAAAGGAAATAAAATAAGACGTGAGAAGAAACGAAATATGCAGCAAAATCTCGTTATAAGCCAAATTTGGTTTGCCGATTAAAAGAAACAAAAATAAGGATGCCACAAACCACTGAAATCTGCAAGAAACCGGACAAGATAATAAGAAGGAATAAAAGAGAAACAAAAAATAACACAGAGCAAAGCCATACACCGGGGAACGAACGAGGGTAATGAGAAATGGACAGGTAGAACAATCAAGCCATCAAGCAAGAATGGAAGGATTCAATTAATGGTCAAGATTAGGGGCGATGCTAGAGTGCAAACCACTGCGGATAGCATTCATATTAGGACTCATATTCGCCCCGATGTTAGTACTCATGTTCGCACCCATGTTTGCGCCCATATTGGGCGTCATATTTGGTGTCATACTCGGATTCATGTTTACGCTGTGTGGTGGGCCATAGGGAGAGTGGGTTTCCATCTTTGCCAAGATGTCGTTGTGATCGAGAAGTTGATGAATACGTTTGTTATCGGTGTAAAGCTCTTCTACACGGGCGCTAAGCTGCATTATTTTTTCTTCGTTGTCATGAAGATGCTTAGAGAGAAAGTTGACCTTGGCGACTAACATGTCGACGTTTTGTTGGTCTTCGGTAAGCTTTTTAAGGCGTTCGTTTATTTCATCATTACAATCACATTTTCTCTTGCCGACCAAGAATTTTTCACGGTATTGTTGTAGTTCACTCAAACGAGCTTTCCATTCGTCGCACAACTGGTCAAGTTCGTCTTCTTCAGGAGTAGTTTTCATGCCAGGCTGACGATGTGCAAGGCGTTGTTCGTATACACGCATAATGGAAATTATTTGATTACGGCAGGCAGATTCAGTATGGATGGCAAGTCCTTCGTTCTCATAACCAATACGAGCGATTTTTGCATAAAATTCGCTAGTCTTGCGGTCGACTAATTCATGCTTGTGTTGAACAACCAAGCGCATCAACTTGATTTTTTCTTCCAAAGATAGGTGAGTACGCTGGGCTTTGGCAGGAGAGGAACTAGGAGAGAGAGAAGCATTTTTTCGTTTATAACTCTTCAACTCCATTTTAGGACCTGCTTCCATACCTGCAAACAATGAGGGATCCGTCTTGGGCAACTGGGGTGAAATTTGGTGCTTGAGGTAGCAAGCGCCAAATTTCGGGAAATGGGGGAAACCGAAAAAGAAGAAGCGGGCGTAACGACGCGCGCTTGAATGCAAAGAATGCGAAAGGAAAAGAAGTGACTTGCTGGAAGGATGGACTGCGGTGACGATAGAAACGACGACTGAGTCCAAAGGAAATCTACCAACAAGGTATGAGATGTTACTGAACCGAAAAAAAAAATTCAGAAATGGTTTTGATCAGTTCAACAACAATCAAGAAATCTCAACGTTGAAACAATTAATGTAAGCAAGGGTCCAACAACAACAACAATAATAAACAAAACTTGCTGAAGAGGATTCAACCGAAACAAACAACTAAGCACGGTAAATCAAGGTAATCGACAGAATCAACAAGAGAGCGTTGAAAAAATACAACGACGAGCAACGAAAACTTTTTTATAGAAAAGGCAAAGGGTTCGTAGCGTTCGCTTCGTAGTGAAAAAAATAGTGAGACGAAGAATCCCAAGAGCGTAAAAAGTGGTTTTCGAGGAAAAGTGAAACCGCAATAAGAAACACGTTTCAGAAATCAAAAGAGCTCTTCAAACCTCAAAGCTTTCGAAGTAAAAGAGTCAAAGCAGAAAGTCCAACTAAAACAGAAGAAAGATGCTTTAGGAAGAAGAGAGAAGTAAAGCAAATGGAGGTTGGTGCGTGGTAGAGGACGAGTTCGTTGGGATACGCAGCATTCTTATTAAGATCGAGTGCCACCATAATGCAGTCAGGTTCAGTAATAATGACATACGGCGGGGAAAAGAAGCGGTCACAAGGTAACTCCTAAAAACCAATCATAGAAGGTAGAAAATGCTGGAAGAAATCTAGAACGTATGATAACGGAATACTGCGAACACCAACCAACGAGTGACGTTATTTACAGAAGGCTTGATTGGGTTATCGTTAGGGAACGCTCTCGGGCGGATACGGAGACAAAATTTGCGTTTAAGGAGACGTAAGAAGAAGGAGATTGAAGGGATCCCTTGATAAGCCTTAATTACACAATCGAACGATACTCGTTTGAGGAAATAGTGGTCAAAAGTAGGGTAGGAGCTGGTACCCCCCGACAAAAGCAAATAGGGGAGTGCAGAAAGCATCGGTATGTGAGGGAGTTGGGAAGCAAACAAACAAAAGGTAAATAAAAGAAAATAACGAATTAATTTTTTTTTAAAGAGGAAATATGGTGAGAGTCTTAGGGTTTGATAATTTTTCTTGATTTATTTTATTTTATTATTCAAGTAGGAAAAAAAAATAATGAATGATCTATGCTTGCTTTTGGCGAAATAGTTGAATGAACGTTTGATGGCAGCCAAGAGTAACATAATATTGTGTAGTCGGTGTTTTGGAAAATAAAGGAAAAAATGAATGATGGTTTAAAGAAGAGAAGTTATGGTTGATCAATATGGAGTTAAATTCTCATGGATACTTTCAATGAAAAAGATGTTTCATATGTTTATCATTGACGACCGTAAAAAAAAAAAAAAAAAAAAACATTTAAATTCATCTCTTTAAAATACTATCTAGCGTACTACATTTTTCAAAATCTAAAGAATTCATAACGCTTCAGTTTTCAACGCTGATATAATTACTTTACTTTCTTCTACGCTGCTACAGCTGCGCTTCTTGCCAACTGAAGGTTGATACTTGTTAGGTAACGAGATGCATAATCATTGAATCAAATTTCTGTGCATATATAAAACTACAGCTTGAAAGTTAGGGAAAAGAAAATTAACTTAATAAAGAGAAGAATTTACAAGTATCCATCAATAATAACTGCCATACACACTTTTGGGATGAACCTCCACTCAAAAAGTCATTGTATGATTCACATATTAATTGAGTCTCTATTCCCTAGTGAGCAAATTTGTATGTTACTATTGTAAGAAACTTTTCAAACTGAAACAACAACAAAACTATACAATAAAAAAAATAACATTAAGAAGTAATATTATGAGAAAAGGATGTAAACATCTAAACAAAAGGCAATACATATGAAGAAGTACTTACTTTGATTTCAAGTACTTCGTAAAAATTGTTTCCTCTCCATAGAAGTACTTTTCTTGTGATCATAATTTTCATTCGTGTGCTTCCATGGCTCTGCATGTACTTTTCCATCATTTACGCACTGCGTGACTGGTAATGATATTGTATTTGTAAATGATTCCAGTATTTCTCGAAGACGAAGAGATTTTTGCACAGGAGATATTACGCTGTCCATATAGAGGGAAGCAAGACTTGTAGCAATAGGACTCATATCCTCGACTTTACAATCAGTACCGGCAATCAATTTTCCATTCACCCAGACCTGGGCAATGTTGCGATCGTCACCGTTGAAAATCCACTTACTCAAGATGTGTTCCCAACTATCATGTTCGTAAACATCTACTGGTGAATTACTTTGAGGAGACACATCTATGACAAGGGCGTCCCAGTTCTTTCCTTCTTCAAAACTACCAACTTCAGCACCGCGGCCCAAAACTTCAGCACCACCTTGTGTGGCAAGATATAGAAGCTCAGAAAGGTCCAATATAATCCTGGTATCCTTCAAAACTGAAGCCAGGGATCGTGATGTAAGAGCTGCTTGACGGATTGCAATGAGCATATTTGGAGTGTAACCGCCAGATACATCTGTTCCCAAAGAAACTTTGACCCCTGCATCTAAGAGTCTTCGAACATTTGCCATACCACTGGCTATAACGGCATTACTAGTGGGGCAATGTGAAATACCACTTTGACGGTTTAAAATCGTTTCGATTTCTTCATCCTCTAAATAAACACCATGTGCTAAAACTGTTTTCGGCGTCAATAACCTATAATGGTCATAAACATCGGTATATGATTTTCGATCAGGAAACAAATCCCGCACAAGAGCAATTTCCCCTCTATTTTCAGATATATGAGTCTGGATAGGCAAATCATGAGCAGCAGCAAAATTTCCACAGGCCTGAAGCAAATCTTTTGTGCAAGAAGGAGCAAACCTTGGGGTAACGATAGGAGAAACCATCTTTCGCTCAGGATCGAGTTTAGACATAAATGATACGAGTACATTGGTAGCCTCAATGGAGGACTCCGGTGATTTTTCACAATAATGGGGAGGTGAAAGGGTGTCCATATTGCATTTACCGATGTATGCTCGCTGACCAAGAAGGAAACAAAGTTCTGCAAGTAGAGCCGAGGCAGGGGCATGAAGAGAAGAAAAGTAGCTGGCAAAAGTAGTGCCATAAGCAAGCGTTCGAGTGATTACACGGTAGTAAACTTCCAACGCTTTATCCAAATTACGGAATGAGGATTCTAATGGAAATGTGTACTTCTCAAGCCATTTCAGTAAGGGAACATCAATGCCAAAACCAGCGTTGGGGTATTGAGGTGCATGAATGTGTGTGTCGATAAATCCCGGAAAGAAAAATTGCAGGGGCTTTAGTATTTGTACCCTAGCATTCTTCAACAAATGATGAGATTTTGCGAGTCGAATTGTTTCATCTGTAACGGACTTTGCAAGAAATACAATTTTACTTTGATGCACTCCCACAGTCGCGTCTTCAATCTCTAATGTTCCCAGAGAGGGGGTATGAATGAGTTTTCCAACAAAGATGATATCTTCAACCATATCAAGAAATAGAACGAAATAAACTGTCGTTGGATTATTTTGAAATCAGATCTACTTCAACTTCAGTACCTTCGAGTAAACAGATTCAACTGAGAGAATTTGATGGGCAGCTAATTGCAACAACACTTTTGAGAAAGGTAAACTTAATCGTCAGAAGTGAAGCCTTTTTGTTTTGATATATGTACGGATGCCCCAGAATCTCGGAATTCACCAGTAAACAATTTGACAGAAAGGAAGGGTAGTTATGATATATTGTCGGTAGCTTGTAAGCTCCAAACTACTTATCTTTTCAAAGTGTATATATAAATGTATATATAAATACTAGTATCTGAACTTAGCCTTGTAATAATCTATACCTCAACACCTGATACTGTTACGGTATAGCAATCCTATCTTTCGGATGTAGTTTATATTCAAAACTTCCAGGTAAGACAAATAGATTTCCACAAAATATATTTTTCAAGATGTAGAAAATGTGATGTTTAGCTCCAATTTAAATCAAAAATATTGAGACACCTCGTGAATGTCTTCAATAACAATAAGACTGAGTTAGGTAGTATAACTTGGAATGTAAACAGATGAAGAAAATCCGTGAGTTTTGAGTTTTACTAACCACTAAATTGAAATCTGGGTAAGTAGGTAATCTGTATTGACAGCTTACTTGCTTTTTCTCTTTACTTTGCTTGTATGTCAAAAGAGAATGCCTAACAGGAAATCGAGTAACAACCAAGATGGTTACCTTGTTTGTTTGTAACAATTGGCAAAGGTGGTCTAATACAGTTTCGAGTTTTCCTTGAAAAGTGCATAGTTGCATAACTTTATAGCTTTAACAATAAATATTGTAGAGGAAGCGTGCTGAAATGGGTTCAAAGCATTCATTTCATGAAATGAATGCTTTGAACCCATTTCAGCAAACCAGGTCTACTCCTATCCTAATCATTCATTCTTTGAATCTAATCTTTCTGTTCCCTCATCTTCAAAGCCTAAATTACGCATGTCATCCTGTCCGAAGAGACCCGTGTCCATGCGACACTGGAGATACTTTTTGGCAAGAGGTCGACATTCCTGTTGTTGACTTCGATTCGTTTTTATGCATTCTAAATACTCTTTCATGACATTTGTGCATTCACCTATATTTGAAAAAAAGTGATTAGTTTACATGTAGAAAAACTCTCCCATCCATACCAAAGTGATCTAAAGGAAAACTGCCTCGCTCAGGAGGTTCCTTGCTTGTCATAGGCATCGATCCACCAGCTAAAATACTTAGTTAATAGCTTGTTCTTCTAAAAACATGGTTAAAGAAGAATAAACGAAAACCGTGGGTTGTCCATCTGTATATGCTTTCACGGTTGAAAAGGCAAAGTTAAGCAACCAGCATCTGTAACAAACTGTACAGGAATGAAAGCTCGATATGCAACATCAAACTGGTTTAGAAGTTAAAGCTCTTAAAGACCAAATTCCTCGAATGCTTCACAGACTAATGATCCGAAAGCAATTGAAGCGAGCGCTCAACGATTCAATCTTAGTATGTAAAGCGAATTGTCATAATACTTTCGTTTATATGCTTTTTTCTTGACAAACAGCTTTCGTCCCTCTTCTTTCCTACTTACCTGCTCCAAAAGACATTTTTGTAAACGAATCACTTATTGCTTTCACTGAAATTAAATGTAAAGAAATTTAGAAACAAAAAACAAAGAAATAGGATAAAGTAATAGTCATCTATCCAGTCGGAAACCAATTTTCGTAGTTGTGCTCTGTACCTCTTCAATTGATGAACTCCCTACTGCCAGAGTTTCCAAAATTTAATTTCTCTATGGCAATGTATGTTGGATGTTTTGAAACTACCTCGTAATAGCTATGCAAAATTGTTTCCTCCATTATATGAATATCATTTTTAAACTGTATTTGACAAATCCAAATCTTTAAACATTTTCTTTCTGAATAAATAATATACTTTAGAGTCACCCCATAATAAGCTCAAACATATGAAAAATAATATTATTCTACAAAGAGAGTGTCCTATTTAATATCCAACTATTATAGAAACAAAACATCTTGTTTTTCTTACCATTTATCCCTTTTCAATTTCTAAATCTACACATCAAGACCCAAAGCTCCAACTATAAGTTTATGCTTGCTTTGCTTCTTCAACAGGCTTCTCTTGTGTAGATTCAGGAGCGGCGGCCGCAGGGGAATCGGCTTGTTCGGCCTCAGGCTTCTTTTCTACATTGTCCTTCTTAGCATTCTTCTTTTTGTCCTTCTTGTCTTTCTTAGCCTTCTTTGCATCTTTAGGATCAGGATAAGCCAATTTTACAAGTCCTTCCATATCGGCATAAGCCTTCAACTCAGCTTGAACGGAGGCGAGCAAGTTATTGATGGATGCTTGTAACCCATCCTTCAAATCTTGAGGGGCCAAAGTCTGTTCCACATAAGCCTTCTCCAACTCCTCATAACTTGTAAACACAATCTTTCCACCATACTTTTCGGGACGGTCAATGATAAATTCCTTTTCACCGCGCATCTTCATAGAAGGGAAAGAAACATGCTTTAAAAATGCAAGACAGCCGTTATCTTCGACGACACCAGGCTCACAAAAAGCGCTACGAACCTTCTTCTTTACGACATTAGGCTCGTCCAACAAATCAATTTTAGCATTAGCACCCGCAGAAGCAGACATTTTACCGCCTGTCATACTGGGAACCATAGGACTCATAAGATGTGAGCGCTTCTTGTAACCCATCATAGGCAGAAGCTTTTCAGCTAAAACGAAAATCTTACGTTGATCGATACCACCGAATTGCACATCAACGTTCAAGTATTGTTCATCGAGTGCTTGCATACCGGGGTACATCAAACTAGAGAGTAAAGGACTCGCAACTTGCTTGACAACCTCTGCACCAGCACGCATAGCATCGTGTTCTGTAGTAACAGCGCAAGCACGGAAATTATCCAAAGCATAATCTTCTTTCAACTGGAAACTAGATCCGACAATGAACTCAAGTTTTTCAATGGGAACATTCACAGACTTCAAAATGGCCTTTACCACTAATTCGTAGTAGCGTACACGATGTTGAACAAGCTCCATTGGTGCTTTCATGTTATCCAAAAATGCATGAACATCTGCCAAAAGCACTTTCACGTGAACACCGGCACGTAGAAAGTCAGCAAGCTTCATCAAAGGTACGAAGTAACCACAATGAGGACGACCAGTAGGGGCAGTACCAAAATATAGACTAAGATCGCGTTCCTTCAGAATTTCGCGGATTGCATCTCCGCCAATAACCTCTTGTAAGTTTCGAGTGATTAACTCATACTTTTCATCAACAGAAAGAGCCATTTTTAGCTTAAATCTACTATCCTATGAAGATGCAACGACACAAGAAGTTGGTTAAGGCCTTACAATTGCTGCCCTCCTTTTTTCCGGCGTCTCTTTTTACCGCGTGATGGCAATAAGATGGATTATAACCCTATCTTGATTAACGAAGCACAACGATGTCGCTAAAACAAAAAATAAATCTTCCGGAAATAAGGATCGCTTAAGTAATAGTAAGTCTTCCTGCTTTTTACATCGTAAACAATGATGCACTTTAGTTTATATTTACTGGAATGAAACGCTTCGGTAGATGGACAGAATTACACCGATCTTCAATACTCTTCACAAAGTTTTGAAGATCCAGATGTCTCGTTAAAGACCGCCTAGGAGCGACACTGATGCAGTGTTTGGCGTCTAATTTCATATCCAAAGGACATTGAGCATAGCACCCTGGAGACAGCGTAATCCTAACTGAAAATTCCTTGTTTCCGGAAGGATTTGTACGCTCAAACAACTCAAAACAAATTTGCGTAAGGTAATCCAACTCAGGAATCTGATTTCGTGGCATCTTCATGGGTAACCCAGACTCAAGAATGCAGTTCAGTAAAGTATATATATGTGACTCTTTGGTAAAATACATCCTCGTTGATGCGTGATCAGAGTCTCTGGCAACTTTAATATCGTCCAGAACTTGTCGTAGAAGAGGCACACTTGTCAATAATCCAATTTCAAGCTTTTCTTCTTGTTCTATACCATACTCTTGAGGAGAAACAAAATCAAACAAAACCTTAGCAAGATCGTACAACTCATACAGCTTTTCTAGTGGTCTTTCTGTCTTTCTGGCGGATTTGCTCATATTTGAAATGCCGTTATTACTGGAGTCATTAGAAGAACTAGAAGACTCCCTAGTTGTTAAACCAGGATCTTGGGGAAATCTCAAATATTGGTAAGGTGTGAATATTCTTTCCAAAAACTGACGATTGTGTAATGCATCATATTTAAGGGTATCATAAAGTTCCGATACTTTCGAAGGATCTGCTTTTTCAGAATCACAAAACTCATTAAAAAGCTTTTCCCACCGTTCTCTAAATAAGGCAGGGTTTTCGCTGCAGCACCAACGAGATTGTACTTGCTCAGCTCCAGGTCCTAGGATGATAAAATTCTCACGTAGGATGGCTCGATGATATTTCATTAATTGAACTACCTGCTGCATAACTTCACAAGGTTTGGGCATATTCTCTGGCCAAGTAAATTCTTTTCTTGCCGTATCACTAACCCTTAATAGTGACTTTAAGTGTTTTTTAACTTTATCCATTGTATCTTTAGCAGCATTGGAGTCATCCAAAAGATCTTTCCTAACCTTTAATAAGTCATTCGCTATTGTTTCTTGCTCCAAAAAGGCCATTGCAAAAATTTCGGCAGAAGTTGACACACGGCGTTCAGATGATGTAAAAATCTCAACATCTTTTAGACAATCGCGGTTCATTATATAGAGATCTTTACGAAATTGTTCACCAAGATCCTTGGATTGATATCGTGCAGAATGGGTGAATTCACCTCCCCATTTGATGATGAGTTGTAATTTTGTAAGATTGCCTTCAGAGGAATACGCTGGTTTGAGTTGGACTTTTGTACCAGGTAAATTTTTCTTGGTTTCTAAAGCAAGCCTAAGTTGTTTCAACTTGCTTAAATCTTCGCATTTCATCTCTGATGCTACGTTTGTAGCTGCCAAGACACTATTCAATTGCTCGTGACGCAATATAACTTCTTCGGTGTGACCCTGAAGCAGTTTTGCGAAAGGTTCAGAACTGAATGAAAACTTAAACTTTTGTTTAGGGGTGCGGTCGGCGTGACGAAGTACAACAACCAAACTTTTCAATCTCCAGGCTTCACTTTCCCTAGGAGGGGGATTAAGCACTTCTTGAACGGAGGGAACACGATTTCTCCTATGGCGTTCAGCAACATGAAACATCTGTTTCAAGATACGAGCGGCATTGTCATAATAATCATTGTTATCTTTAACAAATGACCAGCCATTTACATCAATCACATAGGATCTTCCTGACACCCTTAACAAGTCAAATCCACAAACAGGCTGTTCAAAAGCAATCGATATCTTAGAAGCCATTACTTTCTCTTCTTCAGATAAGTTGGTAATAAAACGAATTTCTTTTCCATGAGGATTACGGCGCACAATACCATCAACAACCGGTGACTTTCTTGTTTCAGCATGTCTATAATGCGAACCAACTGTATATATTTTGACATCCTCTGCATTGTCGACATTCATGAATTGCTCATATATATACGATCCGTCCGTGCGAGGATAGCAAAGATCGGGATCATAATCAGAAGACTTGTTTGCGATTTTACGAAATAGTTTCCGGCCGCCACCACCGGCGGATTTGGGAAAATAGATATAAATGTTATGGTCTTCACCATAGGTAGGCTTTTCCACAAAAGGTTTTTTTAGGATTTCACCATCGACACAAAGAGTATCTTCATCCAACATTTCCATTGTTGGTAAGGGTTCCTTTTTTAAATGGAAACCAAATTTACGTTTCAACTTTTCAGCCAGGACCTTATGTAACCTTGGTCCTCCATCTCGGTTACAAATCAACCTTGGAGGTGTGGAAACACTGATAGAGTCTAATATCTTCAAAACTAAACGGCGATCCCATAGCAATTCTTGAAATAAGACGTCGTTAACACAGAATGGTTTTCTAAGATCAACGTATCGTTCTGCCTTTTCTAGCGGAAATCCATTAGAATAAAAACAAATTAAATAATCACAAGCAGGCCAATTCTCCACCTCTTCGTCCAAAATCATGTTGTCACCGAATACGATAGCCTCAAACTCGCCTTCAGCGATAATTCGATTCAGAATATTTCTGCATGGCTTTGATCGTGCCTTTGCATCCATAGCACATACGCCTACAACATTATGTTTTATAGGAGGCTGGGATGTTCCTGAAGACACAGGTGATGTTGTTCTAGTAGATGGTTCTGTCTCAGAAGCAACAGAAGGTGCTCCTTTTTGAGACATTCCTTGGAGTATCTATGCCCTTTTATTAAAGTATAATCAAAGAAAAACCCTTCAAATACGTAAATGTTGACCTTCAAGTATTCTTACAGTTTTTGTTCTTGCTTCGTACTATACTTGCATAGCTCCGCTTAATCATCTATGTTACCTTATCATATTGAAACTTCCATCAGGCATTTCTTCAACTAATTGTTAAACATTTATAAAATAACAATTGGCTTTTTCTTTTTCTTTTATTCGTATTAGGCTTATACGTCTGAATCTCTTCATGCTGCACACTGGTCTATTATCTCAACGGCTAAGGATTCGACTTTTCCATAGAGAAGAGTAATTTCTATTTATAAATTCTGGCCTCAAGTGAGCTTGAAATAAGAATTTTTCAGAGGAATATTTTCCATTGATATTGTCGTAAACAATAGGATTCTTCCAAATTGTTGGTGTATCGTTACGCTACGTAATCCTGCTTACGCTGTAACAGTACATACGCGCAATCAAAATAGCGTCTTGCGAAGTTTTGCGTTAAAGGAGAAAATGAAGGTTTTCATTCCTCCTCCTGCTTTTGACAAATCCATTGATTTGCACTTAATCGTAAAAGCACCTAATTGAACGGCTTTTGGTGCAGAAACGAGGTAAATCTGTTATAGAAAATGCCGTTTCCTGAAAAGAAGAGAAAAACTCAAGAGACTAACGTAAAACCATTAAGGAAATCGAAGATTTTTGCGCGTATGTACCTATATGTACAGGAAGCATGATATGTTACTAACGAATGTTTAGCTTTTCGATCCATTGGTTATGTTTCAAATCAAATACCTTTTGACATTGAGGTTCGTGGTACTCACTTTTTAGTTACCACATGCGTTGGAAATTCTTTTCAAACGTACGATTGTGAACGACTCAATCTGTTGTTTGTCGGTAAACATTTGGAACGAGAAATTTCTTGTCTGAAATCTTACAAAGATTTTATGCTGGCAGGGTCTGGCTCTAAGGTTTTTGCTTACAAGCGAGGCAAAATCATCTGGGAAATAGAGTTGGAATCGTCAGCAGGTGAGGTTGTGCAGTTGGATGCTTTTGGTGAATGGATCATTGCGACTAGCAGTAGACGCTTGGTTCATATCTGGAAACATGTTTCCAAATACGAACTGCCAGAGTTACATACGGTTTTTCAACCTACCGCCAATGCGGATGTAACTGCAATGATTCATCCTAGCACATACTTGAACAAAATTATTTTGGGATTTTCCGACGGTTCCTTTGAATTATGGAACATGAGAACCGCAAAGTGCGTTTATAAATTTAAAAATTTGGTTGGCGATGCCATCACCTCTCTTACCCAGGCCCCTGTACTTGATATCCTCGCAATTGGTACTGCGGGTGGTCGGATTGTACTGTATAATTTAAGAAATGCCACAATAGTAATGGAATTCCGTCAAAGTGGTCGCGTCCTCTCCTCTTCCTTCCGAACGGATGGTGTACCGATTTTGGCGACGTCGAATCATCAGGGAGATGTCTCCCTCTTTGATTTATCAAAACGTCGTGTCCAAAATGTAGTCTATGGAGCTCATCATGGCCCCATTCCAAAACTTCAGTTCTTAAATGGTCAGCCTGTGTTGGTCACTGCCGGTCCTGACAATTCTCTAAAGGAATGGATCTTTGACTCCATGGATGGTGCTCCAAGGATTTTACGTCTTCGCAATGGTCATTATGAGCCGCCCTCTTGCATCAAGTTTTATGGTCAAAGCGTCCATTTCCTCCTTTCCGCTGCCAGCGATAATACGCTTCGTGCTATCAGTGTTTTCCAAGATAATCAAACTGTTGAATTATCCCAGGGATCCGTTACCTCCAAAGCGAAAAAATTGAATGTTCGCCCCGATGAACTAAAGCTTCCTGAAATAATTTCTATGTCTTCCTCTAATTCCCGTGAAAAATACTGGGATAACATTCTCACTGCTCATAAAAACGACAATGCCGCTCGTACCTGGAACTGGAAAAATAAGACTTTGGGTCAGCATGTTTTACCGACGACTGATGGTACCCCTGTTCGCGCCGTCTGTGTTAGTTGTTGTGGTAATTTCGGTATGGTTGGTAGTTCCAAGGGTCTAGTGAATGTTTATAACATGCAAAGTGGTATTCTGAGAAAATCGTTTGGCCATAAGCAACACAGCAACAAGCCAATTACATCTATTATGCTCGACAACGTCAATCGTGTTTTGGTTGTGTCTTCTCTTGATGGCACTTTGCGTTTTTGGGATTTCAATAAGGGGTCTTTGATTGATACGATTGATATGGGCAGTTCTATCACAAGTGCTGTCTACCATCATGCATCCGATCTCATAGCTGTTATTTGCGATGACTTTGGCATTCGCATCGTTGATGTTCAAACAAGAAAAGTTGTTCGTGAATTATGGGGTCACTCAAATCGTTTGACCGACATCGACTTCTCCAACGATGGACGCTGGTTAGTTACAGCATCTTTGGATGGAACTATTCGTACTTGGGATTTGCCAACAGGCCACTTGATTGATGCCATAACTACCGGTAATGTTTGTACTGGCTTGTCCTTTGGACCAACGGGTGACTATTTGGCAACCTCTCATGTTGATCAGATTGGAATCAGTTTGTGGACCAATCTTTCGATGTTTAAGCATGTATCTACCAAATCATTACGGCTGGACGATATTACTGAGGTTTCTCTTCCATCTATTTCTGGCGAGAAGGGAACGTCGGTGGTACAAGCTGCTTTGAATGCTGAAGAGGATGAGGAAGAAGAAGATGATATTTTATACACAACCGCTGATCAAATAGACAATCAGCTGCAAACTCTCAGTAAACTTCCTCGAACGCAATGGCAGACTCTTGTGAATATGGAGTTGATTAAAGCCCGTAATGCTCCTAAAGAGGCTCCTAAAGCACCTGAGAAAGCACCATTCTTCTTGCCCTCTCTTAAAGAACAATCTGAGGGTCTTGTTTCTAAGCTTGATGAAACAAATAACGATAAACAAAGCCGACCAAATTTGGCTTCCTCAATGCAAAACCTTACAACCAGATTTTCTGAACTTTTGCATGCCGGAGATGGTAAGTTAAAAAGTTTTAATATGATGTTATAACAGTAGTACTAACAGAATTTTAGATGATGCGTTCTTTGAATATTTAAAGACTCTACCACCGGCTAAGACTGATTTAGAAATTCGCTCTCTGGAGGCATTCCCACCTTACGAAGAATTCATTTTATTTATCAATAGCATGACTTCCCGGTTAGCAAGCCGTCGAGATTTTGAACTGGTACAAGCTTATATGGCAGTTTTCATTAAAGCACATGAAGATGTTTTATTGTCTTCAGAGGCTTCAAATGAAAAGGAAAACGTCCTAAATGCCTTGAAAGCTTGGGGTACTGTGCAAAAAGAGGAGAATAATCGTTTACTAGATTTGATTCACTATTGCTCAGGTGTCTTGAGTTTCATGCGGACTTAGATTATTAGAAATCTACTGTTTGGGAAAAGGGGATATAAAAAAAATTATCTATATACACTAATTCTTTCATAAGCTTATTATTTTTGGGATAAATAGAATACAGGTTTCTTACTATTTTTAGCAGAAGGCATTTCTAAGAAAAAAAAAATTTAGACTTAATTATAAAAGTACTTCAGTAGTATTGGAGAACCGTTGTTCCTACACAGCTCTTACAATATAATATCAAGACAAGCTATTTTACTTTAGTAGAATATATTGTCTACCTAACATATGTTGTCAACAGCAGCTCCCGTGGCCTAATGGCTAGGGCATTTGACTTCTAATCAAGGGATTGCGGGTTCGAGTCCCGCCGGGAGCTTGTTTCTCTTTTTAATATTTCTTTCGTCTTTAGTCGGAAACTATTTGATTTTTTTTTTGATTTTTGATTTTTATAATGTAAAAGACAAGGGCAAACTCAAGTAATCTATGAAAGATAGATAATTCCACATAATTTAAATTTTACTAAATAATTTAATCTGTAATGTTGTAGACTAGAAATACTATACAATATCTAAATTTTTATTGAAGTAAAGGCAATCCCAAAAACTAAGCGACCTCTATACAAGAGCGAAGAAACAATAATAAAGCAAAATCAATAACTAAAAACGGAAAATGCAAAACCATAGGCAAAATTGAATGTCTGAGGACTGTTAACATCACACCATAACTATTGTTTCATAGAGCTATAATCTCTAAGGATATTAAGATGGGTATTCGTAACTTTTCCACGTCTAGTTTTAGGTTTCTTTTGTTTCTGAGCAGCAGATGCAACTGGCCTTTTGATGGTTGAGGGATCTACGCTTGTCGGCTTCAAGCCATACTTCCCAAGTTCAGACGCCAAATCCAAGGTGGGAGGAATGGGAATTTCGTGCCAGACATTTTGGAATTCTTTGTCAATAACGCAATTGCTACTCTTATCGTTTCTCCATACCATCCTAGGAATTCCGTCTTTTCGAGTCCTTAAAAGCAGGACTTCTCCTTGTTTCTCAAGTTCTTCTAACTCAGCTACGACATTTGGCCATCCGTCTCTTAGCTCCTTAATACTCATTCCTGTATGTGTCTTTTGAGAATCCAGGTAAGCCAAGAGCCCGGGGGCAGAGCGAATATTATGTAAGGGTTTAAATGCAAAAGTTTCCGTTCGTTCATCATAATAAATACGTTCATTTTTTTTCAAAAGCTTTAATAACATGGGTGTCAACGGCGTTGAAAGATAAGAAGCAATTTCTTCTGCGGTTTTAGGGTCATTTCTTTCTTTCAAGTACTCGACGGCATAATGAAGTTGAGATAAATAATGCGTTCCGACTCCTGAATCGGCGGGTTGAGAATACACTGATTGTCCTGGTTAGTAAAAACCCAAAGAAATCCATGTGCTTGTCTTCAAACACTGTACATACCCAAATTCGCCTTGGAACGACGTTTCTTCAACGTCAATCCCGGGCTAGAACCTGCTGAAGCAGACTCATTTCGAGTATTAGAGCGGACACTGGGTGCCGGCGATGTTGATGTATGGACTTGCGGTTTGGCATAGACAGGCTGATTAGCAACTTTTTTTTTGAAGGAAGATAATTGTTCACTTAAAGAACTCATAACAGTCTAATAGCAATTGAAGAGGTGTGATCTCAAAACGTTTCGAATCCAACCGAATTTGATTGAAAACCACCAGGCAAAACAATGATTTACTAATGATTTTTCTTAAACTCTAGAATGAATAAAGTATTCTCTCGAGAATTAACTCCGTTTATTTTTGGTTCTCCAAAGGTGGTACAAAGTATAGAGATATGGCGAATGGCAAGTCTTATTAAACCATTCCACCGTTAATATGCAAAATGCTTCGTTTGCCTTTTTTAAGACGTTTAAAATGGTAAGTGTATTCAAAAACTTTATTCTAATATCTTTAGGAACGAATATGTATCTCTCTTTTTGGGATTTTTATTTGTTATGTTTGAGAAATTGCTCTCGGGCGTTGTGTTTACAATTCATTTCACCCTTCGACCTGCTTGGAATAAGTTTCATACTGAATGGACTAAGCGATATCCAGAGAAGCCTGCGACTCCTTTTGTCGAGAGAGCAAGGGCTATTCACGATGCAGATGATATTCGTCAGATGTGTAGGATTTCTGGATACACTGTTGAGGAACACCTTGTAAGGACTCAAGATGATTACATTCTTTGTATTCATAGGATATCAAAAGACCGCCCTGGGAAGATAGGCATGCCAATTCCTAAAAGGCTGCCTGTCATATACTGCCATCATGGACTATTAATGAATTCTGAAGTATGGGCTTGTAACATTGATCCGGAAAACTGTTTAATATATCAACTCGTAGACGAAGGATATGATGTTTGGGTATGAATCTTTGCTTTGCTTTTCAGTTGGTCCTGAAAGCTTTAGTCACATATAATACCATTTGTTATAGTTCTAACAAACTCTTATATAGCTTGGAAATAACAGGGGAAATAAGTATAGTCGACAGCATCTTCGGTTCGACTCGACAGACAATGACTTTTGGAATTTTAGCATTGATGACTTCGCTCACTACGACATTCCCGACACCATTGATTATATTTTGCAAACTTCTGAGCAAAAACAATTAACTTATATTGGGTTTTCTCAAGGAAGTGCGCAAGCGTTTGCCGCACTAAGTGTTCAGCCTCTTTTGAATGAAAAAGTAAACTGTTTCATAGCATTGGCACCAGCAATGAGTCCAGGAGGGCTGCACAATCAGATTGTTGACGCCTTTGTAAAGGCAAGACCGTCTGTTTTATTTTTTCTCTTTGGTCGGAAGTCCATCTTGCCGTCGGCTGGTTTTTGGCAAAGTATACTACGTAAGATAAACTAAACGTTGTATATGAAAGTTATACGCTTTCTAACACTTTATAGCAAGTACTCTTTTTAATCGCGTGTTATCTTTTTTTCTTCTACAATTGTTTAATTGGAGTTGCGATACTATATCGCCGTTGCAACGACATGCATCGTTTGCTCACTTGTATTCGTATACCAGCGTAAAGTGCCTTGTCCATTGGTTTCAGATAATGCGCTGTGCAGAATTCCGAATGTATGACAACGATCAGATTGCTCATGGTTACTTTTCCAAGCACTATAGAGCTGCCAGATTTCCGACGAAGAATATTCGTACCCCAATTTTATTATTTTGGGGAGAACTAGATTCTTTGGTGGATATCCAACCTATGTTAAACTCGTTGCCCCCTATGGCAGAACAGATTAGGGTAAGAGTACTTGCATTGGAGAATGCTAACACACTGAATAGATTCCCGGATATGAGCATTTGGATATGATTTGGGCAGATACGACTCATAAATATGTAAATCCTCTGGTATTGCAGCGACTTGCTGTAATCTATGGTGACACGCGATCAAAAGACAGTGCTAAAGAAAAGGCGTCCGAATTCCAGAGCCCACAAAATCAAAATCAGCAAGAAAGAGATGAGGAATATGAAGGGGAAAAATCCAAAGAAGACAAAAAGGTGGATAAGCTTGTAAGGCGGGATAAGAAAAACAAAAAGAAATGGGGATGGAAGATGAATGATGAGGATTTAATGAAAATGTATCGATCAAATGTGGATCCTACTATTTAAGGAATTCCAGATTTCCCTTTTTTCTTGTTAAACAGAAACCTCCTTCATTGCTTTGTCCGATGCTAGTACCTGCCTCTGTTATGTGCTTGTTCTATTTATGAATGCTTTGTCTGTTTGTGTTTATGTATAATTTAATTCTTAATGATAATGGTAACAAACGGAATCCTTTTCTTTATTTTAACTTGATCTTTGCGACCTGTAAAAGTATACATGTATAGTACTTCATAGACACTACGAAGAAATCAATGTGATAAAGTATGCCATTGACTTAGAATTAGAAAATCACGATGATATTGTTTTTTTCTTTAAAAAATAAATAAATAATGTAATTAAAATTAGCTGGTTTTTTATGAGTTTACTGCGAATTCTTATTTTTGCATTTTTCTCTACCTAATGCATGAAACGAAAACCGAACCCCATCATATTTTCATTTGAGTCCCTAAATTTACAGAAATAGAATTAAAATTGAAAAATAACATTTTATAAAGCAATTTTAATCCTTTATCGAGAAAGGAAATCATAGAATAGAAGGTCAACCAATCCAACCTTTCTCTTTCTGTTTGTTTTTACTACTATTTATTTATATTTACGTGCATTGGTTTTCCTCGGCAAGCTTATTTACTCGCCAAATTCGACTGAAAAATCTCGTTCATCTTTTGTTTTGATTTTCTTTTCGCTGACAGAAAATTTACTTCACCGTCACAATTTCGCTCTTCAAATAGGTGTTTACGACCTTCGCGAAGCATTACCCTACCCTAAAGAACAACAATGCAGTCACAATGTTTTTCTATATAAGGGAAGAAGAAACTTTCTGTTTCACCATCATCAGTAGGATTTAACTTACTTTGTTATATAAGTAAAGTAAATTCAAACCTGAAGTCAAGTATGATGATTGGAGTCTTTGGACGAAGAAAATGCATCCGTTCCGTCTTCAGTGATTTATTGAGTAGCTATCCCGGTCGTTGATTGTTTTTCATCCTTCAAGGGTGGGATAGTTTCTCGTACATTTTAGTTATAATCTTGTATGTTTTAGTGTTGTCGTTTGTGCTTGAAAAAGTAGAATACGAATGAAAAATTTGATCTTGAAGTTGATGATTCGAAGAGTATACGATTGTATTGAATTGTAAGTCTTTAGTCCATGTAGTTGGTGAAGTAAGGTGTACTGTTAGAGCATATATGCTGAAGCAGAATTCCTGAAGATTGTAATATGAATTAGTCCTGGGGAAGATGTAGGAGATTTGCTTTGTTAGCTTTGATCAGCATGAAATTTGAAGTTGTAAGTCGTTCGTTATTTTTGGTTGTCAAAAGAAAGAGAACATACGACTTGACTTGGTGAAGTATAGGAAAGTGCTCCACCAAGTTCATCTGTGCTTGTTTCAAGTGAGATATTACATTTTACCAAAAACCATGTCCCAAGAAGACTCTGTTACGACAGACACGCAGGTAGGTGATGAGAGCCGCCAAATTGAAAAAGAAGTCGAGTTAGAAAGAGTAATTCAGGAAGGTATGATATGCTTTACGTATTGTAGGCGGCTTTTTGGCACTTTGCTCGAAGGTTTAGCAACATTGGCTGACATTTTCTTTTTACCATAGAATATAAACTTTGGAAACAGAATGTTCCTTTCCTTTACGATTTAGTTATTACTCATGCCTTAGAATGGCCCTCTCTGACGGTTCAGTGGTTACCGGATAAACACACGTATGTTATTAGTCTATCCCAGACGAGCATTGAATGAATGCGGATCATTTGCATGCAGAACGAAACCAATTTTTTCTTTCTCAGAATTACAGGAGCTAACTGTTTGAAATTTGTTTTCAAACGGTCATTGCTTGATTCATAAGGTTCTGGCTCGTACACCGTGGATTTGTTCATTCTTTCTACAATTACTTTACTAACTACGTGATTTTCAGAGTTCCAGGAAAGGACTATTCGGTTCAACGCCTTCTTTTAGGAACCCATACATCAGGACATGACCAAAATTACTTACAAGTTGCTTCTGTCCAGTTACCCAATTTCGATGAAGACACTGTTGATATCACACCTGCTAATGTCCGTAGAGCTCAACATGAAGGCTCTTACAACATTGAAGTTACTCAAAAAATTTGTCACGACGGTGAAGTAAATCGCGCTCGCTATATGCCTCAAAATCCTGATATTGTTGCTACTACGGGGGTTGCCGGGAATGCCTACATCTTCAACTTGAACGATCATGGTGCATTACCAACAAGCAATTTTTCTCCACAAGCTATCCTCCGTGGTCATACTTCTGAAGGGTATGGTCTTTGTTGGAACCCTAATCAGCCAGGTCGTTTAGCGACGGCCGCTGAAGATCAACTCATATGTTTATGGGACATTAATACGTCCTCATTTTCTGCTACTGAGTCGGTGGATCTGCCTCCTACCGTAAAATTCCATCGTCATTCTGATATTGTTAATGATGTCCAATATCATCCCCAACATGAAGCCCTTTTAGTGTCAGTATCCGACGATTGCACTTTGCAAATACATGATACTAGATTGAATCCTAACGATCGTGCTCCTAAAGTTATTCATGCCCATTCGAGTGCCATTAATGCTGTAGCCATAAACCCTTTCAATGATTACTTACTGGCTACTGCCAGTGCTGATAAGACCGTTGCTCTTTGGGACCTTCGAAATCCTCATCAGCGCCTTCATACATTAGAAGGACACGAAGATGATGTTTATGGTTTAGAATGGTCTACTCATGATGAGCCCATCTTAGCTTCTAGTTCTACTGATCGCCGTGTTTGTATATGGGACCTTGCCAAAATTGGAGAAGAACAATCTGCAGAGGATGCTGAAGATGGCGTTCCCGAATTATTGTTCATGCACGGTGGACATACAAACAGAATCTCAGAGTTCAGCTGGTGCCCGAATGAGCGCTGGGTATTTGCGAGTATAGCCGACGATAACATTCTTCAGGTATGGAGTCCTTCCCGCGTTCTTTGGGGTCGTGATGATGTACAAATCTCATCTCGCGATTTAGAATAACAACAAAAAAGCAATCTATTATTATCAGCTGTGTACAACTAAAAATTATCATCCTTCTAAAATAGACTATGAACAAAGCCATACATGACACCTCCTCTATTGACTATCTATATCACTCAATATAAATTGATTAACTTACAAAAGAGATTTCATGGTCATTATTATAAAAAAACCTATAAAACTAAGAACCAAAAAATAAAAGCCAAAAAACACAATGTCGTCTATACCTGTTCATTATGCAATTTAGCAGACAGCCGTTTGTAAAGCTTTTTTGACACTTTCCTTTTATTCTGCAACCGTCGATAAAGTCTCGAAATAGTATTAACCAAACCTGTAAATATATACTGCTGGCCACTAGCAGCACAAACATAATAAATTAGCGCACAGAATATAATAAAATTCTGAAAATTGTCCGACATGGGCGTAAGACGAAAAACCTTCATGAAATAATTGTTTCTATCATGAAGCTTGGTTAAGGAAACGGCAATTCCCAACAAAGCGCATATTGAAACAGTAAAAGATACGTTTCTCCACATCCTTTGTCTATATGGAGGACCCACTGTCAATACGAGACCTATCAATATATACTGAAAAACAGAAAACAAAAATAAGCTCGTTACATCGCTATTTGCAATGCTTGATTTTTCAGATCCAGCAGCAGGAGGAGGGATATACCAAGGCTGTTGGCGAACAAGTCTGAGAATTATATACTGAAATGTGCAAATGAAAAAGATTTGCCCAAGCAAGGGGGACAAAATCCGCTTTGAAACCAAATTGGCTGTAGGACGTTTCTGAGCTAGTCTATGAAAAGGTTTTGATCGTCCCATAAATACGGCAATTGGTAGAATAATCGCCAAGTCAATAAATAAGAACTGAAAGTCACCTAAGTTTGAATTTGTCGTATACAACATACTGACGGTTACAAATTGAATTGCAGAATACAGAGCCATATATTGGAAGCAACCAAAGCTTGTAACCAATGCGGCACGACCATCTTTGATGACATCAAGCACACAAGAAATTTCAAACCACCGACTAGTAAAAGGAGCAGCCACAGAAGCTTCAGCTTCAGAAAGCGAAATACCAACGTCAGCAGCCTTTAGGGCACCACAATCATTCGCACCGTCACCACAAAAACCAACGCAGTAGTCCAGTTTTTGAAAGCATGAAACCAACTCATTCTTTTCAGAAGGAGACATTCTAGCAAAAATTTGTGTTTTAAGTAATATAGCGTTAAAAAGCTCAACTGGGGCATAATCAACTAACCAGCGAAATACATCGCCTGTTATAGCCATATGATAAGATTTAAATCGTTTAAATTCACTCGATAATAAATTGCGACTCGCTGAATCAACCACAGGATGAAGGGTCTGTGGATCCAAGTATACGTCGTTATCCTCAATGGATTGCCAGATGAGTTTACGAGATGCGATATCTCCGATTAATTCTTCTTCCTCAAATCGTGGTACAAATACCAAACCATCTTGTGGAAGCATACCACACCGTTTGCCCACACATATAGAAGTCAATACATTGTCGCCAGTGCACATAACTGTTCTAATCTTTGAATCTTCTAATTCATTAATAACCGGAATAGTGGAAGATTTCAGTTTATTCTCAAAAACAATTAATCCACAGAAGTCCAAATCGGATTCAACTTGTGTCCGTTTCATCCTCTGTGCTTTCGCCCAGGTACAATTCTCCAAATGTTTAGATGCGCAAGCTATAACGCGAAAACCATTATGAGTATAGTAGTCTAATACCTCCTGATAATTTTCAGGAAAGGACTCTGGTTTGCAGATAGAAGGCATGACCTCAGGAGCACCCTTCACATAGATATCCATCTTCTTATATTGTCCATGTTTCACTATAACAGCCATGCGGCGGAGTTGGGAAACAAATTCGAAAGTTCGAATTATACCAAGTTCCAAATCGCTTTCGGAGTAATTAATTGAGGGATCATTCCATGGAGGTGACACGGTAGGAGGTATTAGCTGTTGAGTTCTCATATAAGCAGCATCTTCGGACTGCTCAGAAGAAGTCAGCTTATTTGTAAAGTTCTCTTCAGAATATGTCCAATCCGTAAACTCAAACATTTTCATATCCAACGGATCTCCTAATAATTCGCCTTCCACACGACGAAGCATATGGCAAGTAGCCATCGTGAATAACAAATTAGACGGGCTATCATTAGAAAGCAAATCTTTCGAACATAATGTACTAGGATTATTTCGTAAATCAGTTAACTTAGAGTCTTCAATAACGGAGACACCCATAATATCAAGTCCATCTTCTGTTAGCGTTCCCGTTTTATCAAAACTAATGAGATCAAGCTTTCCACTCACATTCACGCGCTGAGGACTGATGCAAAATATCCCCTGCTTTCTTAATCTCGAGATTGCAAATGTAGTACCGATGGTAAGAGTAGCCGGTAAGGCAGGAGGAACTACGATGGTGATTAAATCCAGCGCACGAATAATTATAGTTTTAGCGGGGACTCCTATGGTTAGTAGATTAATAGAGCTAAATACAAATCCAATAACAGCGATAATGAACATAGCAGTGATAAATCTAAATGAATCGCGGTAAAATCCAAAATTTGTTGGCTTAGGGAAAATCATGGATCGTACTAGAGCTCCTTTAGTAGTATTGAAACCAGTACGAATAACCATAGCGAGAGAAGCACCTTCTTCTTTCTCATTTACAAATGGTTTACGCACTTGAATTATTTTTGTTCCTCCAAAAAGGAAATGTTTGGAGAGGGAAGGAGGAATAATTCTAGAAAAAGCAAAAAGATCTTTCATTCCTTGATTGGTTGCAGGGATTTTTGAAACCGGAATAGATTCACCAGTTAACATACTTTCATTGACGATGCAGTCACCGGAAAGCAAAAGTGCATCAGCTGGAAATACCGTCAGTTCTGGATCAGAGATTTCAAAGACGTCGCCAACAACCAAGTCACTGGATGGAATACTAGCCCAAAAGCCATCACGATAGACACGCACAGGGCAAGTAAACCTAGACATTTCTCGCATACGCTTCAGAGTAGTTCGTGTTTCAATTAAGCTTCCAATGATAGATACTACTGAAATAAGGAAGATGCAAATAGCATAATAATAATAAGCATCTAAAGACCACAGGATGATGGAAAAAACTTGAAAGATATAGAAAGGATGGAGGACTTCATCCACCAAGAGCTGAATAACACCTTTTGTTTCCAAGTCAATAATATTTTGGCCAAAAATTTTCGTTCGATCATTAATAGCATCACGTTCCAAACCTTCCTTAACAACATTGGTATCACGAATCCAGCGAGGATCTTTCCAATCCTGTTGAATAAGAAATCTTTCTAAGATTGGGTGAAAAATTAGTTTCATATAGCGATAATTTACATAACGAAAGTTTTCAACAAAAGGATCATTATCGGTACCTTCAGACGTAGCTACGCGAATAGAGGCACCAAATATAGTTGATAAAGAGTTCTCGTAAGGCTGAACCTGAATGTCAGACTTCGAAATTTCACCATATTGAGTTTCAATGCTAAGCCATTCCGCAGTAGCAAGGGGTTCACGTTTACCAATAAATCGAATGTAATGCCTAGGAAGCCATCTCATTATTAAGTAAACGAGACCAAATGTTAAAATACATATTAAATTGTATATCCTAGCACGGAGTTTATTGGTCCTGTAGCCAGCAATTCCAACCTCAAGGTCTTCTTCGACCAAGTACAAAATCTGGCAACATCCATCTTCACTTATTCCTGCAGCTTCTCCAGGAGATTCACGTCGCAAGATAGGGTGGAAGTTATGTTCTTCTAGCATCATCTCTGTGATCTCTTCTTCATCACTGTAAACAGCAGAGCCATTGTCGCGGTAGATGTTGGGGTAATCTACGCTGCTAGCTGCTGCAATAGATTCTGTGTCATTATATCGACTCAAGTTGTATTCAGACTGCAAATAGTCCATGCTAAATTGACTTACACTAGCATCAGAGGAGCCTCGCTGTGTTTTATGATGGAAGCTAGATATACTAGATGGGATACTTGTTCCTAAACCAGGACCATCAAAAATACTATCATGACTCATTAAAGAGCTCGCCAGGTACGTGTTCAGTGATTTTTTAGAACCCAGTGAGGTAACTGAGTTCTTTCCCCGAATTGATCTTGGAGAAGTCATTTCTGATTACCTATACGAAATTTTTGTACCCCAATTTCAACCAATTCTTCGGACTTTCTAAGATTTGCAGAATGCTGAACGTAAGGAATTTACAACCAGTATATCAGAAAATCATCGTTGGTATTTATGCATTTGTAATATACGCGATAGTATTATATTCATGCACTTAAAGAATTCATTTTAAATGCCAAGAATTTATACTAGAGCTTTCATAGATTAAATATGCAGCAAAGAATCTTGGTTACTTTTTGGGTAAATAAAATCCCCAAGTGAATGCTGTTTGTAAATGAAATAGATTAATTTGGCTAAATTCGTATGCTGTTGCATGAAACTTTCTAGTCTTGCTATCACAAATATTACAAAAAATATGTTTCCTAGCGTCAATTAACTTGATTATATCTGGTGAATAACACATAGTAGTAATTGAAATAACGATCCTTACAATTTCTATAAAATCTCACAGACATCTAAAAGTGCTTAAAGGAGTATATAGGATTTTATTCACTGCATATCCTGTAAGCATTATATACGCTTTGAGTCAAGAGTATTTAAAGAAGATAAATTTAAGACACATTGGCTACAAACAGGAAAATACAACAACAACGAAATAATAAAAGTATTAGTAGCTTATGGTCCAATAGAAGATAGAAATTCCATTCAGTAAACGTAACAGTTGGGTACTCCATGCTACAAAGTAAAAAGAATTATATATAAATACTAAGATATTTAATGGAGATTCCAATTGTTTGGTGATTTGAATAATGCTAATTTGTATAGCGATCATGTAGAGCAGATTAAACGTTTCTATGTTTTGCATGCAAGAAGCTCTTTTAATAACCCTAAGCTTCCGTAATGAAGTCTCCTACATATTAGGTCTATTCCAAGTCAATGGCATTCCCCCCTCCTGAAGAATTGTTAAACAAGGAACTCATGAGATTAGCCAACATGTTGGGTTGAGTATTAACAGGACGAATACCAAAATAAGCCTCTTCAACTTTAGTGAGAGCCTACAGATTTGTTAATGCTGATGTATCGAATGTAGGTGACTTTAAATAAGACTTACCGACTCCCATTCCGGCTTTTTAGGGTATTTTTGTGAAAGCGACAGATATGTTTCCTTATCCTTTCGATAAGCAGCAAGGATAAGCAAATGTAAGTAATTGAGGTAAGGATAAGAGTTAAAAACTGGAATACGAATCCCGTCAATGGAGAAGGTCTCATCTGGTGAATGTCCAGATCGTTCGAACAACTGCATAAATATCGTTAAACACTGTAGAGCGTTGGCTGGACTTCCAACCAAAAGATACTTGAGAACAGCGCGTCCAATAAATAAAGCAGGATCTTCATTTTTGGATGTATTAGCCCAATTGAACAACATTTGAGCATAAAAAGCGGGACACTTCTCATTTCCAACGACTAAGTGTCGCTCAGCAGAAACTGGATCTCCCCCTGTCATCATGTTAGTATCGCCACAAAGAGAAAAGTTAATAACAAGTGAAGTTACATTTCATAAGCATAATCCCGACCGATGCATGGATATCACAATCTCCCTGAGGTCCAGTACAATTGGCCCATCTTAGTGTTTGTTAGTAATCGATAAAGGTAACTTTGAACGAAAGGAATTTCTTTCCAAAGTTTCAATTAACGTACTCAAGTAGTTTCTTCACGTATTGCTTTCTACTTCCCTCTTCGGAGGGGAAGCTCCCAAGAAGAGCTAGAGCCTTTGCTAAAGCACTTAGTTAGATGTCTTATTCGTAGCAACCGACCGTTCAGAAGTTCGAACCTTTGTAGTCTGCTGATACAGAAGTTGATGCCTTAATGTAAACATCTATCAAATAAATGGATAAATCTCCAGCACTACCACTCTGTTGGAGCTCAAAAAGAGTCTTTGCACCCGAGTATAGTAAACCTATTGAATCATCGTATTTTTTCGACATGACCAGTCTACTTTAGGTTAACTTTCTGTCCTATAAAATATTTCAGAAACAACATACCGATTTACTAAAGTACGAATCATTTGATGACCCTCATAAGGGTCTTCTCGTAATCTATATTGTGTCAACTTTCATGTTTTGGTTCCTTACTAGAAAACAAACCTTGCTTCTGCTCTTTTAATTTTTGATTCCATAACACTCATAATTATTCAAATACAAAAATATCCTAGGTAGCTGTTAAAGCGATAGATTCCCTGAAAATTCGTTTGTTGTAGAAGGTTTGTCCTCAACGACTTCGCAGTACTTGAGATCATTTCACAATAAATCCAAAAGTCTTGAAAGCGCTGATAGGTTTTTAATATCAATGTATAAAAATGGACTTTGATTGTTTGGAATTTGTAAATAAGGTATATCTTTCAATGCATGTTGTTTTTGCTAATAGGCGAAGATTGCTACAATTGAGTCAAATGGAGATACTTTGGATCATTTACCACGTCTAATCACCTTGGCATGTCAAAAAAACCAGGAACTGCAAGTGTATCAGAGACTCAACGAATTAGGCAACAAGAATGCTATTCGTGTTGAACAGTTATGCGCCGAAAACAATCAGGTAAAACTATATACTTGCAGGGTAAGATTCTAACAACATGTGTAGGATTTCAGTAAATCTGTCCATCAGCTTTCGGTTGTGAGAAATGAACTTCATACTTTGCGTTCTCATATTGCGGACCTTAATACTGATATTCAGGCTAGTGGTAAGGATTTGAAAAATATGGTATGTATGACATTTAGTGAGCAAAAAGAGAAGAATCAACCATTCAAATTTATTCGGTTATTATACAGTTTGTTAACAAATATCAGAAACAACAATTGAATTCGTTGAAGGATTCTGAACGACAACTCTTCTTATGTCAAGACTTGACTCAAAGCTGCCTTCGAGTACTCTACAAATTAAGAGATGCTCAAGAATTGTTGTCGAAAAAGCAATATTTACCATCTCTGAGGATATGCTCCGAGGTTGAAAAGATATATTTGGAACGTATAAAAGGACTTACTATACATTCTCATGTTCAACAGATGATATCTAAAATGCAAAATTCCGTTTGTTCTTCAGCATTAGAGGATCTTCATGAATGGCTTTTTTCTTTGAGGAAAAAGTTACCGTTTGTAGGAGAAATCTGCTTTAGAGAAATCGACGAGGCTCGAAGGAGATGGGCCAAAAATTATCGTGAAGACTTGACCAATCTTACTTCGAAAACCCCTTTGTCTCTGGATTTAGCAATTCTAGAATATGTGGATTGTAAGTACTATTTGAATGGTGTTTTGTCTAACGTAATCAGTTGATCCTCTGGACAATGATCTAGTAAAGGTTGATTTCAATCCTCTTTATGTTTGCGTACAGGTTCACTCTTATCTAGGCATTCTAAGTTCATTTCAGGCGTCATTCGAAAAGGATCGTAAACGCCAGCAGGAATTTTTAGCTCCGAAGAATTTGGAGTCTATCAATTTAGAGGTAATTAGTGAGTGGTTGAAATCAGTTGCTGGATACATGATTGTTGAATACTATATTCTGCAAGAAATTCCCAACTTCCGATCTTACGAAGAAGTACAAAATATATGGTCCATTATCTGTGATAAACTGATCGAAAGCATTTTACGAGTGGCATTTTCGGAGCAAAGTACTACGGCAATTATAAAGATGAAAAACTATATAGTCTTATTGATGCATACAATGGAACGTTTTGGATTTGCTACCCAAAGGTTGCACAACCTTTCCGTGGATTTGATTGACGCTTTCGGAGGAGCATTGATGCTAAAACACCTTGCTTCTTTTGAGGATGCTTTTGAGACAGATCTATATGCTCCAATGGTAATTAATAACGAAAAAGAGTATGAGGAATTAATTGCTCCCTATTGGAAATTACCACCTTCTCCTTTACCTCGTATGGTTGAATTTTCCAAAATGTGCTCCTTATGTTGTATAACGCTTTCAAAATTTACTCGACACTTTTATATGTTTTCCAATGACTCTATAACGTTAGCATTAGATGTCCAGGAAAAGATCCCCAGGGTAAGATGAACGCCAATATTTCATGCTAACGAATATGGAAAGTTTTATAGAAGATTTATTATGCACAGTTTGCTTGAAAGACTAAAGAACTTATATCCCAAATTAAATTTATCACAGATGGCTCAGTTGGTAAAAAATTTTTATGCTTTCGAGGAGCCTTTAATACAAATGGAGAAGACTTTATTAATCAGTAAATCTACTTCACAGGGTGGCAGTGAAAATTCCAACGTAAACAGCAAATCTTCCGACATTTTAGAAGGTTTAGCAAATGCACGGAAATCAGCTTTGCATGAAATTTTCGTCAAAATTAATCTCAAAATTGATGACTTTATCGGTTTGGCAGAATATGACTGGTACGTCTATATCTTAAAAAAAAATATAATAATAATTTGAGAAAATGCTAATATTTACTAGGTCGACTACCGTTAGTCGTACCGCTCCAAGCGGATTCTTACAAGAAATGGTCCCGTATCTGCAGACTATTTACCTCGACTCCCTAGCAGGTCTTTTTAATCATGACAAATCTTACGTATATTTGGAAACGCTAGACCATTTATGCACTGCGATGATTGATTTGCTCTCGAACCCTGCGATTCGTAGAGTCTCGACTGCTGCAGCAGAAGGATTTAAAGTCGATGTTGAATATCTGGAAAAGTTCGCTTCCCAGGTACCCGATCAAAGTATCGTAAACGCAGATAGCTTCATTGAGTTAAGACAGTGCGCCAACCTCCTGTTGGGAGATAATATTGAAGATTATATGGATACTGACAAGTTCACTCGCGACTTCAATCGTTTGCACCCATCCACTTCTATAAAATTGTTAGAGAGGTAATTATAATGTTCTGTTGTTCATGCTAACCTACTTATAGACTCATTAGCGGTTATTCTTCAAATCCGCTAAGTAATGACCGTCCAAAGCGTCGGGCAATAGAAAACCTACTTACTGTGTTTCGACGAAAAACAAATTGATTAAGAGGAAATGCTTTCATTTATATTTTTTTCTTTAATGGATACTATTTATGTCTTTTATTACCCTTAGGACATATTCACGAGCTTATGATACCGTAGATATTTGCAATAAATTAGTTTGCTTAATTATATTCTTCTGTTATGCGTGAATTATATAAAAAATTGTACAAAGTGGGAATTAAACAACCTAATTTACATATATATTTATTGTTTTAAAACAGTTTCATTGTAACGCATGTACCGTGAAAAATATTGTTAGCGGCTTAATTGATCTATAAATTTAGGGTACTAATCCCACTGGCGTTTACTAACCTAACCACTTCATAGAAACCTATTAATTAGTAAAAGATAGTAAGATGTCTTTAGGAACTTTGTACAGCTTTAAGGATAATACAAGAACCGTTTGCTTGCTTGAACTAGCTAAACGTTTGAATTTGCAAGTTGATCTTGTTGAGACTTATCCTCACAAGTTTCCTTCTGACTTGGCTGCCAAATTTCCTCTTCAAAAGGTAAGAAGAGTTTACAAGGAAAAGAAATGAGGTTTGGGGCAATTAAACTGAACTCAATCTGGTTCTTATAAAACAGGTTCATCTTTTAAGGTACTGTTCTTGAACAAATACGCGTCGTTGCCAACTTTTTGAAAGATTTTCATTTGGCAACATAACTACGTTCATTGATTTTCTCTTGGATTCCCGTTTTTGCACGAGACTGATTTTCTTTTCCAATGTAATTCGTCTAATTACATATTAACTAACGCTCACAGCTTCCAGTATTTATTAGTTCCAATGGCCTAGAATTGAGTGAACTGTTCGCAATTTTAAGGTATTTCTATGAAAAGGGCAAGCAAAATGATACCGAGTCACTTGGTGGAAAGAATGCAAAGGAAGAGGCCGAAATCTGGAAGTGGATTTCATACGTGAATACTGATGTTGTCACTCCTTCCGTCATTCGTCCTTGGTTGGGCATGTGTCGAGGTGCATCTCCTTATGAAGAAAAGCCTTTTAAGGAATCTACTGCGAAGGCTTTGGGTGTTTTGAAAAAGTTTAATGATATGTTGGTTGACCGTACCTTTTTGGTTGGTAATCGCTTTACCCTTGCCGACTTGGTTGCTGGCAGTATGTTACGCCTTTTCTACCGCTTCATCGTTGATCCCGAGCAACGTTCTAAGCTCCCTCATTTAACCAGATACTACGTTACCATGTTTCATCAGGGTAATTTAAGTGAAATCATTCCCTTGGAATTGATTCCTTCAGTAGTTGTTGCAAAAAACTAAGTATGCAATTATACGAAAGCAATGAATAAAATATCCTAAATTGTTCACTCACTTCTCTATTTACAGTATAACCCGTGAAGACATCATACATCTGCCTTTAGTCCGAGGTTTAGATGAATCGTTAATCGTAGAGAATGATTTATAAGGAGACCATTTCATTTTCGTTCGGTTTAACAATCATTGATGTCCTTAAATTCAATCTTCTTGGAAAACGCATCTCCAATTTCTTTTGCCAAAATCTCAGATATGGTACTATCGTCTCTCGTGGACTTCCACGTTTTATTGTTGGAAGACCATTCGTAATGCTTAGGACCACTAAAGGCGTTAGTCCAAAAAATCAAAAAGATAATGATTGTTTATGAGTAGATTTCCTAACCAAAGGTTTGTAGTCATCTGATCCCCCAAAAGAAAAAGACATAAAATGGAGGTATGCAATTAAGTCTTCAGCAAAAGCGGCAATCTAGTAGTGCTGAGAGCATATAAACATTGGGCATATCTTTCTTATTGGGAACTCTGAAGAAAAGCTTGACTTACCTGACTGGCGATGACAGCCAGACCTGATGTGCTGGTGGCTGTTTATTAATAACATAAGTACCGTGATCTCCAAGGTTCAAAGTTAATACACCACTCTATGGTTACAGTTAGCGTTATAGTCTCATCTGGATAAAATGAGAAATCAGCAGTGCTTACCGAATATTCAATGTCATAATCTCTTCTTCCAGATTCCTCTAATAAATCTTCAAAGGTATTATTGAATACTTCTAATGTGTCATCAGCAAGCCGATGGTATTCTAGATCGGACAAAGGTTTAGTCGGATTAACAGTAGACAGGAATCTTAGACAAGAGTTCCTTCCAGTAGATGGACTATAGAAACGTCTCGGAGATGCTAAAGAGATGTTTCGAAACAGAATTCCTCGTAAGTATTGCATAGAAACAAAGTTATTGAACAAGTTGCGAAAACGCTCAATATCTCGCTAGAAAAGTAGTAATTTAAAAGATAGTACAGGGTAAATGGAAATCTCTTTTTATAATTACAAATAAGTGAGTAATAGAATGATAGTGTTCAGACTTTTGAAAAAGTGATAAATTCTACGTTTATGTAATAGTTGGCAGTAAATGTTCTAATTTACGGAAGAGGATATATCTTCAAACGAGATAGAAACCTTTTGGAACAAGCTTAAAACGGGGTTTTTTTTTCTTTATTCTTCTGAAGGAAAGAAAGAATTGATGTGTAGTCCAAGGAAACTTTCAGCTATTCATGTGACTTAAACTAAGCTAAAAAGCTAGCTGTACTCTTTTAGCAAAGCTTGACGAGGAAAAATCCAATTATTCTCTCATGCATATTCTAGTATTGTCTAGTAACGCATTGATATATTCAACAATTATACATCTAATCTACAACTTAAGTTAAGAAATTGTTCAAAAGATATCAGACAATTCTTTTCTTCTTTTTCTTTTAATAAGAAAGTAATTAAGTGAAACAAAACACCAACCGATCGAATTTCGTATCACACTTGAGAATGACTTCAAAAGCATTAAATCATGATTTTTAGGGAGAGGGGAATTACAAAGAATGCTAAATTAACTTATCAAAAAAAAAGAATTTTAGTTTTTATCCAGAAACCTTGGAACCAGTTGTCTTTGTCGCTGGCTTTCTGTAATACCAGTTCAGCAGCCGATATGGAACAAATCTGGGCTTTGTTTCATCCTTCATTAGCTTGTACCTTAACATCAAATATTTCTCGTACATAGCCTTTTGATTAATACAGGGATATATTTTGTATTGTATAGTCCATCTGTCGGTATCACGCAGTTTTCGAACAAAGAACATTCTCTTTCCGTTGACATAACTGGTCGATCGAACCTGAAAGGCGTAAAACCGGCCGGAACAATTTACATCTTCAGATAAATTCAGTCTTTGAAGCTTGGCTGGATCGAACTTTTGATTTTCCTTGTCTGATACAACCTCTACAAAGACTTGAAGAGCCGGATCTTTTGTCCTTCCTTGTGTAGAGAACATTAACCGTACAGATTTTTTTGGAAATTTAGAAGAAACATATCGTAAAATAGATTCGAGAAGTTGGATACTAAGCTTGAATTCGGCATCGCCAATATTCTTTCCCCAGTGAATTGCCTTGTCCATTTCTTTCAAACTTACATATTGGAATCCAAAAATTTGACATGTGTTATGGTATGCAACAAACACACCTTCCATGCGGCCTAATCGAGCCTGTAAGCTGTATTTCAGAAAAGCCGATCTAATCATATCATAATATTCTCGCTCGTAAGAAACAAAATTTCCGTAATATCTATCAAGAGTATAAGAATCGTAGTTTTCAGGTTCAGCTTGATTTAGCCGCACTCCAAGCACAGCTCTAGTTTTTAGATCGAAAACACCCGAATTTGGTAGAGTTCTATCAAAACAATCCAACTGAGATCGAATGAGGAGGCTACGACATTTACTATATTGAAAGACATCAATTTGAGGTTTGGGCTTTTGTGACACATTCTCACTTTTTAAGTAACGTTCGTATTCTTCTCTTCTTAGGGTAAAAAAAGCCTCCAATGATTTGCCTATATCCATAAGAATTGTATTTCCTTTTTCTCGTGACGTTAAGCTTTGATCTTTGTCGATACAATGCAGACCATTTTGATACGATACATGCACGGAAGTAGGCGAGCGACACAGACGTGTATAATGATTTTCGTTCTTAGCTACACGAAATTTTTTCGATAACCCTAGGAAACTAGGTGGTTTCCACTTGCTCAGGAAGAAATGAATTTGTGAGAGTAAGCCCGTCAGAGAGCTTGTTGAGCCAGCAAACTTTGAGTTGGTTTTATAGCCAGTCTTTTTTAACACTTTATCTTCCGAAGCTGTATAGAACTTGCCAAGGAGGCTAAAGTTAAACTCATCAACCGGCGTCACCCTAGACAAATACTCATCCCAGTTGAATTTTTGAGTTGCAGGGTTCTTCAAAAACTTAAATCGATTATCAGTTAACACTGTATTCAGCTCATGTTGTAGTTTATTAACTTCCTCTTGGTTGACACTGTTCACTTCTATTTTTGTTAGTAAACCATCATGTTAACTCTATATCTTACTTTGAAAATTTTCTGCTTGAGAATCAATTATTCCAAAACGAAGGCTTTTTGAATGGACATTTCTTTTGGGTAAATATGAACTTGTAGACTTGGCACCGCACAATGATAATGGTCGTAAATTTGTTCGTTCAATTATTAGCAACATTCCATCAGTTTCAAATTCTTGTAGCCCTTGTTTCTTCCATTAAAAAAAATATGTATATATATACATATATATTTTTCAGTTTTAAGGATCTTACTCGGTGTCCATACCCTTTTGTTGAATAATGGTCTATTGCTTGGTATAAGTTAGGACGCAAGTATATGGCAACTGGAACAGCTAAAGCAAATATTATTGCAAATCGTAGATATCATTCTAACATTCAACTATATAAATAATAACTAAACGTTTATGAAAACATTATAAGTAAACACTGATTGTTGGCTTTCTTAAGCGTTATTGGACTTTACGTCCTTCCATAATCTTAAAAGCCATTGATAATTCACAATTTCAGGATTAATTTGATGACTAGATGTTAGAGTGGGTTAAAAAAAATGAAATGCACGTACAATTCACAAGCTTGTTGTAGATATCTCACACGATCTTGATCATTGCTAAACATAATTATATGAGTCAACTCCTTGGAAGAGAAGGTACTTTGGATAGAAGCCCCGTTCCAACTCAAAATGGTCTTTGCCAAATGATATTGAGAATTTCTAAGAGCAGAGTCCTTTGAAGTTTCAAATTCACTATCGTCCAGGTAAGCTGAAACATGTGAGAGAGGAAAAACTCCAGGAAATGAAGTCTCACTCGCTGAAAGTTGATTCGAGATTAATATATTTCTTTTGTTATACTCTGGTAAAAAGCTATTTGGTACTTCCCATCGGCGCACTTCAGCAAGTAACCCCGAAAGACTGGAATTGCTTAAGTTTTCTAAAGCTTGCTCCCAAGAGTACTTTTTCTTTTTCTTAAAAAGCAGGCTTCGCTTGGTTAGAAATAAGAGTGGAATCAGTGTGTACGTACTATGGTCGTTCAGTAACCTTCTTTCCTTTGTTTGTACTGTCTATAATCCATTCAGGTTGATATATGGAACACATTCCTTTTTTCTCTTCCACAAGTACTCGTGCTGAGACTAACAAATATTAGTAACTAGTTTAAAGGTAATCACTTACTCTTATCTGCTAGCAATATCATTTGGCCTTTCGGAACAGAGGTAATTGCTTGATGAATTGTTCCCCCGTTAGAAATAATCATGTTTTCCAATTCCTGCTTTGATTTTCCAATCTTTGACGGAGGAAGAACGACTGCTTGTTAATCAATAACAGTATGAACAATATCTTACCGAAATGTAGATCTTGAAATATGTTGGACAGTGGAGTGGATTGCTTTAACGGACTATTTGTTTGATGCAAAAGCTTCTTCTCTGGTTGTTTCTTTTTACTAACTTTTCTTTTCTTTTCGACATGGCTAAAGCAGTTAGTTATTTTTACTGAATCGATGATTGTGAGATCCATACTAGACATCCTTTTCTTGGTTTTCAGCAAGGTTTTTTAGCTGAAAGAACTCGTTTATAGATAGAGCATCTTCCCAATTTCGATCCAACCGAATTTTTTCCAGCCTGGGAAATCGCAACGTATATGTTGTTTTAAACCGATCTTTAAAATTAGAATCTGAGAGTAAATCAAAAAAACAGCACTTACTGGAAGCAACAACCTCAGCAGCTTTAATTTGAAGAACCGGTGCGTCTTCGGGATGAATCCAAAGGTCGGGTTTCTCAAATTCTTGCCTACTGCCAGCTAATTCAAAGAATTCCAATGCTTCTGAAGACCATGGTTTCCATTTTCCATCAGTCTCCTTTCTAAACATGTTAATTAGGATCAACAATAGAGAGTACTTTGGCGTTCTTACCGAATAATATCGCGATCGAAGTAAGTAAAGCCGCCTCCAACACGAACGAATGATTGAAATCTTAAAAGTTAGGCTTATTTTTAGGATTATCTTACCTTTGATATGGCCTTTCCCCAGGTGCATGATCAATTCGAAGACCACATAAGAAAGAAGAAGCCTGTTTAGACTGTTTACCACGTCCGTAATAGCCACCTATAAATTAATAAAAAATCTTTTTTTTTTTTAAAGTAACCTACCTAAAATAAGGCAATCCAAATCCTAATGTTCCTTCGTTAACATAAAGGCTTCTATAAATCAAACTCACCTCTCCAAATCCTTCCAAATAATATGGCTTAACTTTTATCCAGTCATCCATTCGTTCTCCTAAACGATAAATCCCGGAAGGTTTCTAAATGGTAAACACTTGCTACATAAGAAAAACCTTACTTTTATTACCAAACCTTCTGATCCCTCCAGTATCGTTTGCCGTAATTCTTTATCTATATCGCCAACAGTTTTTCCAATTTTATGAGAAAGAACACACATTCTTCGGGACTCGCGAACAATCACTTTCTTGAGAATCCTATACCTTGCTTCAAGAGAATGTCTAATTAATGACTTCCCATTAAGATAAAGTATATCAAACACAATATCTACAACCATCAGCTAAACAACGAAACCACGTTCACATAATACTTACAATAGGGGTAGTATGTAGGATGAGTAGACGAAGAATCAAATGTACTTCTCAAGCTACCATATGGAATTATAGTTTCCAAAATGGGGTCCCAGGTGACCATTTCGCCATCCAAAACAACCTGGGAAACGCGTTCATCAAAAGCTCCTATAATGTACTGCGTAAGCTTTGAGTTTTCATCATGGTAAGATTTGCCATAAACATCAGTATATGTCCTGGCATTTCGACTAAAAAACTGAAATTGTCCAGAACTCATATGCAGTTGAATGCGTTCTCCATCCATCTTTTCTTCGATCCAAAAAGGTTCATTGTGCATGGAGTCCACTACAAAGTCAAGAGTAGATTTTTTGAAATTGGCCAATTGCGGCTGAAAACAGCTAAACACTTCAACATCGGTGTCTAGTTCACTTAGACTTCTAGCGGGATCATAGAGTTCCCATGCAATGCGCTTTAAAGAACTGCAGAGCCGATATAAGCGGGCAGCGTCTGGATGAAAAACACTTAGTATAAACTTCTCTGAAGTTCCATATTTTCTGACTAGAAAAGAAATAAGTTAGGAACCAAACGATCAGATTGCATACCTTTAAGGAGGATAGCGATTAGCCATCGCATCTCGAGCGGGCTTAAAGAATTGTAAAACTTTTCCAGCACGGAGCCTCTTACTTCCCTGTCATCTGTTAGAGTTGTTTCGCACAATCATCATACTCAGAAGTAGCTTCTGCTAGATGGTCCAATAGATTATTAATATCACCAATTGTAAATGAACTGGGAAATGTTCGATAAGCCCTTCTTTCTAAAACATCTAAGATTATAATTAATTTAAAGATTCTTTTAAGAATTAGAGCTAACCTTGGAGCATTGCCGTAAAATTCCCAACATGCTTGGAATCAGAGCTTCTCCAGTTACGAAGCGCTTTCGCATCTTCTGAATTTGAACTTAAGTGCATAGCCTGTTGTACAGTTTATTAGAACACTTCTTGTGAAAATTCTTACGAACCCTGATAAAAAGTTTTCCCAACCCAAATTCTTTGAATCCAAATGATCCTCTTTCTCTGTCTAGCTATAGTCTGTTTAGAAAGTTTTTCTTCCTTGGATCATTAAGACCAGTAAATTTTACAATAAATATAGCTGAGCGTACTTACATCAGGTAGCACTAGAATTTTATTAGTCCAGGACTCTTATCGTTTCATAAACCTTACTTAGGCGTAATAAAGGATACAAATCATCTCCAACTTGTTGTCTCCATTTGGTGAAATAGTTGGAAATGATCTTTCGTTTCAATTCATATGGGTCAATTCCTGAGTTTCTCGACTTTCTGGTTTTTCCTATCTTTTGCAATGGTTCCAATAAATTTATCACAAAATCGTAATACCTCAATGGCTCAGAATGATTGTGTGGTTTAACTATACCCGTAGTTGATTCAAATGAGTCCATACTCTTCCAACATGAATATTGCAACTTCAATTAATTTTATGTCATAGAAACAAAAATTCAGTAAAATGAATACATTTATTGGGAATTGTTCAACTATTATCGGTAAGTTCTACATGAGATGTAGCAGCAGGGTTAAAGGTTCCATAATTCAGATCCCAACTTGGCGACACTTTCTTATTGTGAAGGTGAAACCAAATTATCCTGTTCACAAGTCGGATATGAGTATATTAGAGCATTCTGAAAAACGTAAAGCTGATGAATCTAACGAAAATGTTCCACAAAAAACAAAACAGCAATGCTTAGAAAAGTTCTTTACCGCGAAACCAAAAACACCAAAGAATGAACCCATTGTACAATCTAACACTGTTTCCAATCAAAAAAATTCAATGTTTGATAAAAAAAAATGGATCGACGGTTTGACAGGAGACCAAAGGAAATTACTACAGTATGTAAATCGGATAAAAAAAAACAATGACGAGCAAGGAATACGTTGCTAACTTCTATTTACAGACTAGAAATTGATACTATGGAAGATTCTTGGTTTGAAGCTCTTAAGGATGAATTCTTACAACCATATTTTTTGAACTTAAAAAAATTTCTTCAAAGTGAATGGCAGAAAGAAAGGGTATTTCCTCCAAAGGAAGACATTTATTCTTGGTCGCATCATACTCCTCTGTCCAAAGTTCGTGTTATTATATTGGGGCAGGATCCTTACCATAACGTTGGACAAGCGCATGGACTCTGCTTTTCTGTTCGACCAGGAGTTCCTTGTCCACCTAGCTTACTAAACATATACAAAGCTATTAAAATAGATTATGAAGATTTTGTTATACCAAAAACGGGGTATGTATAATAATTGTCCATTCATCCGGTTCCTTTTTACTTAGGTGATAGTATTAACGTTCTGATACTAGATATTTAATACCATGGGCCGATCAAGGTGTTTTAATGCTCAATGCTAGCTTGACTGTTCGTGCTCATCAAGCTGCATCCCACTCAGGAAAGGGATGGGAACGATTTACAACTGCTGCTCTTCAAATTGCTCTAAATAAACATAAGCGTGGAATAGTTGTGCTTGCTTGGGGAACACCCGCTAACAAGCGTCTTCAAGGTCTCCCTTTACAGTCACACTGTGTACTAAAAAGTGTTCACCCGAGTCCTTTGTCTGCTCATCGCGGGTTTTTTGAATGTCATCATTTTAAAAAAACAAACGATTGGTTAGCTGAACGTTATGGAGATGAAAATTCTATCAATTGGCATGCCGTATCCATGCCCATGCCGCCTTTAAAATCAGCAGCTTCGAACAAGCCTTTGGATGAATCCGTTGAGAATTCATTGTTGGTGACTGAAAATTTAAAAACAGAGAAACAAGAAGCATGAAACGTTAACATGTCTTGTTTTATAAGCATTACTTAAAATTTTTTACTTTCTTCTTTTTTGCAATTTATCTTTCTTTTACTCAATGTTTCACTCTTTTCATTCAAATTCTAAAATATATATGCGGTTTGAATGTTGATGATCCTTATTGGTAAGGAGTTTCATAGGAATAAGAAAAGATTTTTCGGTTTACCATTGAAGTTCGAATAGCGGACTGGATATTTTTTAGCTTTTGCATTCTTCTTTCCTGCATCTTCTCGTGATAGTCTAGTTCACGCCGTAACACTTCCGTTTCTTGTCTTGCATTGGAGACCATTTCGTTTGCTTCAGTAAACAAAGAAACTGAAAGGTCTTCCATTTCCTTTTGACTTTTTTCTAATTGGCTTTCGAGTTCTTCTCGCCGTTGAACTTCATGTGATAATTGCTCCTTCATTTGGTTCAGTGCCATGGAATTCGCCTTGTTTACGGGGCTTTTTTGTTTTTCTGGTACTAGTTTATCGTTCACATTTTCTTTATTAGACATTGAATTAAATAGCCTTGTTATTTCTGCTTTGTTAGACCATCTACCTTTTTTCCTCTTGCTTAACAGTCATCTTCTTGTCTTTTTCTTTTACTTACGAGATCCGCTCATCATGATTTAGTACTTGGTTCATTACAAATTACTTTGGGGATCTCTTCCTGACGATGTTGTTTTGTTTGTTTGTAAACACAAGCAACCAACTATGGTTGATATATACAGCACCACCAATTTCTCTCTTTAGCCATATCTCGTTTAATCAGAAGCGCTATAATTGTCTCTAGTTTGTAAACATTTATTTCTCCATATATTCCCTGACTGTTTCAAGTCCACTACTAGAAATTCAAAAGTCTGAATGAAATAAACGGTCGATATATATGAAAACATAATATCATGTTTTCTCCATAAGTGTATAACAAGAGTTTACACTGGTTTAAATGTTAGTTTTCATACAACTAAACTTCTTTTGATAATTGTTAAACTAGTTTATTAATAAAAATGTGAAGTACTTTGCAAGTATTCCTCCATGTCTATCGTTTACATCCAATCTCGCCTGGTTTTAGTTTGTTTACTTGCGTAGTATAAAGACTTCATTATTTTAATTTAGCGCAGTTGAACACTACAATGTACCTGATGCCTGTCCCTTCCTGAATATTTTTCGCCTTTGTAGCTACGAGAGTTTGAAAAATTACCAACAACCTTTTTGTTGAGTTCTATTTTCCAGTCGAAATTAGTTGCTAATATCTCCTTACATATTAAAGAGATAATGGCTGGAACTAAGAGAAGGAGGGATACCGTTTCGAATGGCTCCGATAAGCCAAACAATGATAAATCCTCTCAAGAAAACGGAACTACTTCGTCTCTTTCTACTATGGAATCTTCAGGAGATTTCCCTCGTGGAGGAGGTTCCACATTAACTCCTCTTGAATATAAGGAGGCAGTAACAGAGGCCAAACAAGAGGCACTTATGGGTGCTGATGAGACTGATGTTACTAAGACTTCAAACAAACCATCCAAAAAGAAGAAGAAGAACATTACGAAGGCCGCTTCTTCTAAGGAAGATGATTTTTCCTCAGTACCTATTGAAAGCTTAAAATATAAAAATTTGATACCCGGAGCTTTGCTTTTGGGACAAATCTCTCAAATTAATACCTTGGATCTTGCCGTTTCATTGCCTAATGGCTTGACCGGATATGTACCCATCACCAGCATATCTGAAAAGCTTTCTCAGCGTCTAGAAAATTTGGATGATGCTGCCACTGATGCCGACAATGAAGCCGTTGAGCATTTGGATGAATTTAATAACTTCCCCGATTTAATCGATCTTTATCACGTTGGACAATATGTTCGTGTGTGCGTAACCAAGCTCGGTAGTGACGAACCAAAGAATAACAAAAAGCATGTTGAATTGAGTATGCGTCCCCAAGATGTAAATGGCCCCACAGATGAACCAAATAATTTTATCGATGGGTCTACGATCCAAGCAGCTGTTTCCAGTGTGGAAGATCACGGTATTGTTTTTGACGTTGGATTGAAAAACTTCACTGGCTTTCTTTCCAAAAAGAATGTTGGAGAATTTAAATTCGTGGAAGGCCAGAGTTTGATTTGTACTGTTTTATCAAAAGATCAACGTATCCTTCACTTAGCACTCTCCACCCCTGCTTCTGCTCCTTTAGATGTTTTACCTTCTGTTCAAGGTATTCTTCCCGGTAACTACATCAACGTATTAATTACGGATCTTAAGGATAATGGTGTCGTCGGAAAATATATGGGCGTCGCTGATGTAACAAGTGATTTGTTCCATTGTTCCGCTAATCAGACAAAGGATTTAGAGAAACGCTTTCACCTCGCCAAGTCCTCGCCAGCTCGTGTGCTTTTCGTCATTCCTGGTGATCCTCCAAAGATTGCTGTTTCTTTTTTACCTCACATTATGAATTTCAATTTCGATTCAGCAAAGCCTCAACAACTTGATCAGCTTGATGTTGGTTTCATCGTCGATACTGCTAAAGTTACATACGTTAGTCCTTCTCTTGGTGTTTTCTGTGATGTAGGCATTCCCGGTATTAATGGGTTTACTCACATTTCTCGCCTGTCTGATAAAAAGGTAGCAAATGTTAGCGCGAACAATGGCCCCTATAAATTAAATAGTGTGCATCGTGCTCGTGTAATTGGCTATAGTTATGTCGATAACTTATTTATCTTATCTTTTGAGAATTCCGTTTTAGAACAACCCTTTTTGCGTATTGAGGATATAAAAGTTGGGCAACATGTGGAGGGCTCCGTCTTGAAATTAATCCCCCAGGGTATTGTTATTACTGTCGCAGATGGAATCAATGCCTTGGTACCTTCCTCTCATATGTCAGATATTGCTTTGCAATTTCCTGAGCGACGTTTTAAGGTCGGCACAACCGTGAAGGGTCGTGTGTTGACCACGAATACTTTGAGAAGAAGAGTTATCGTCACATTAAAGAAATCTCTGTTAAACAGTGACTTGCCCCCAATAAGCTCGTTTGAGCAAGCAACACCGGGTATACGCGCTATAGGTGTCCTTGCTCGTGTATTAGAAGATGGTGCTATTGTGGAGTTCTACAATAGTGTTCGGGGATTCTTACCTGTGTCTGAAATGAGTGAAGCTTATATTCGAGATGCTAGGGAACATTTCAAGATTGGCCAAACTGTTTCTGTTACTATTCTTAGTTGTGAACCCTCCGAACGTAAGATGAGAGTCAGTTGCCGTGAACAAAATTGGGATGAACAAAGAGTTGAAAAGTTTAATAATATTTCATTAGGTTCTCTTGTTTCCGGTTCTGTTTTACAGAAAACCGAAGATTCTGTTATCGTCGATTTGGGTAATAAAGTTTCAGGAGTCATTGCTTTAAGTCATTTATCTGACGGTGATCTTACAAAGTCAACTAAGGTTATGAACAAACTTCGTGTTTCTACGAAGCTATCAGATGTGGTAGTTCTTCGAAAAGGCCAAGACAAAAGAAACATAACTTTGTCATTAAAGAAGAGTCTTATCGATGCTGCTAAGCAAGACCGGTTTCCCAAAACTATAGAAGAGGTTAAAGAGGGTGTTAAATATGCTGGCTTTGTTCGTAATACGACGGACTTTGGTGTATTTGTCGAATTCTGCGATGGTTTGGTAGCATTGGTACCTAAAGCTTATTTGTCAGAAGACTACGTTCCTGTGCCAGGCGCCTTATTTAAGCCTCAACAATCTGTTGAATGTGTTTGTCTATCTGTGAATCTTCAACAGAAAAAGATCTTCATGTCGTTTAAACCTTTAGCTTCCAGTAAACAGAGAGTCACTGAGGTTTTGGATAGCAAATATGACATTGAAAATCCAGTTGACGAAACAATCAAGAAAACTTATGATTATACAGCTGGAAAGATAACATGGGGTATTATAACTTCAGTTAAAGCTAGTCAACTTAACGTCGTGTTGGCCGCAAATGTACAGGGTCGCGTTGAAGTTTCTGAGGTATTTGACAAAGCTGAAGATATAGAAAATTTTAATAAGCCTCTCAAAAATTTCAAGAAAGGTGACAAAGTTCGTGTCCGTGTTTTAGGTATTCGCGACTCCAGACATCATAAGTTCTTACCTATCACTCATCGTGTTGCTCCTAAGCAGTTCTTGGAGTTGAGTATGCGTCCTTCTGTCATGAGTATGGAGCCATTTAAGCTTGAGACTCCTGCTTTTAAGAAAGGTGATTCTGTCGTTGCTTACGTTAATAACACATCTCAGGAATGTGTATGGGTTTCTGTTACTTCGACAATAAATGGGAGAATTATGGCTATGGACCTAGGTCACGATGCAGAAGTGGTTAATAATTTATCGAAGCACTTTTTTGGTGGTAAAGCTTTGAAATGTACAGTAACTGACGCCACCAAAGTTCTTGGTCTTTCCCTTATTAAACCCCTAGATGGTTATGAATCTGTTAAACCTGGTGATAAGTTATTGGGAAGAGTCACGAATATAAACGAGAGCGGAGCAATCGTTTACCTTCCTGGTCATTTATCTGGACGAGTTTCTCGTTTAGACATGTCAGATGATTATGATATTGCTCCTAGTCAAAAGTTTGTTCGTAACAAGTACATTTCGGTATGTGTTATAAGCGTTGATGTTTCGAATAAGAAGATTGCACTTTCCACTCGTGAATCCAGACTCAACCCGGAAGCTGTTGAGGTTAAGGATAGAGAGATTAAATCTATTGATGATGTGAAGCCTGGTGATGTTTGTCGTGGATTTGTTACCAACGTTGCCGACCAAGGTCTCTTCGTTTTGTTGGGTCACGATTTAGTTGCCAGAGTAAAAATTGCAGAGCTTTTTGACTCTTTCATTAAAGAATGGAAGACACAATTTCAGGTAAACATGCTTGTGAGAGGAAAACTGCTTAGTGTTGATCACGATTCAAAGCGTATGGAAATGACGTTGAAGCCTAGTAAAATAGATGAATCTTCTTCGATTACCACCGCGTTTTCTGATTTACAGGTTGGAACTAATGTAGATGGCACTGTTGCTAAAGTTGAAGATTATGGCCTTCTCATTAAAATCGACAGCACAGATGGCATTATTGGTTTGTGCCATAAATCTGAAGTTGCAGATGCTGTTGTTAATGATATAGGCAAGTTGTATAGCGTGGGCGATAAAGTTCGGGCACACGTTTTGGATGTTAATCCCGAAAAGCGACGTGTTGCATTGGGTCTTAAATCTTCCTACTTTGATGCTGATTCAGATGTTGAATTATCAGATGAAGTTGAAATGAAGTCTGCTGATGAAAGTTCAGATGAAGAAATGGAAGAAGATCAACAATCTGAATTAGAGGCTGATGAAAGGTCATCATCTGACGAGGAAGATGAGAAGCCTGCACCTGCGCCGTTGAACGTGAATGGTTTCGATTGGGGTGACAGTTCTACTGTCTTCGATAAACCTGCTCACGATGAGTCTGAAAGTGAGAATGAAGATGAAGAAGAAACTCCCAAGCGTAAGAAGTCGAAGCATGTTAATTCTAATGATGAAGAACGTGACCTAGATGAAGCTCCACGCGTGCCTGCTGATTTTGAACGTCAATTGCTGTCGTCACCCAATTCTTCCTTTTTGTGGATTAGCTATATGGCTTATCAGTTGAATCTCAACGAGGTTGAGAAAGCTCGTGAGATTGGTCAGCGTGCCTTGACCACTATTAACTACAGGGAAGAAGAAGAAAAGTTGAACGTTTGGATGGCATTACTCAATCTGGAGATTGCCTATGGAACGAACGAAACACTTCAAAACACTTTCAAGGATGCTTGTGCTCACTGTGAGCCTTTGGTTGTATATGAGAAACTGTGTGGTGTGTTGATTAAAAGTAACAAATTGGACTTGGCCAATGAGTATATGGAAGGTATGCTCAAGAACTTTAAGCAGGTTCCTTCTGTATGGATTCAATATGCTTCTTTCCTTTTAACGAATGGAAGTGAAGATACCGCAAGAGGTTTACTTCAGCGTAGTTTACAAAGTTTGCCTAAATCTGAGCATGTGAAGATGATAGAGAAATTTGCTATTCTTGAATTTAAGCAGGGCGATCCTGAACGTGGACGCACTATTTTTGAGGGATTGTTGAGCAACTATCCAAAACGACTGGATCTATGGAATGTTTTGATTGATATGGAAATTAAGCAAGGTGACACTGCCATCATTCGTCGCTTGTTCGAACGTGTGCTTGCATCCAAGCTTTCTACCAAGAAAGCTAAATTTATCTTTAAGAAATGGTTGACTTATGAAAAGGAAATTGGCGACAACAAGGGTGTTGAGTCGGTCAAACAAAAAGCGTTGGAGTACGTTTCTGGTAATCGGGAGGAATAATCTTTCAAATCAGACGTTCGTCCGGTTTATCAAAGTTGATATAACAATTATACCTGTTTTTGACAGTTTGTCAAAAGGGATTATTTGTATGTCAAAACAATGAGTGATACATTCAATGTTTATTTGTATGGTATGGTTTTTTGGATTTAATTTCCAGTAAAATGGATGATAGATTGGGAAGATTTATGGTCAAAAGATATATTCTTTTTAAAGTATACATTGAAAAAAGGTTATTTATCGGTTTAATAAAAAATTTATTTAGGATTAAAATCAAGTTGTAGAAAGGTAGTAAGTAGCTGATATACATTGGGAGAACTAGATTCCTGAAGGGACATACAACATCATATGGAGTTAATAATACAACACTTGTACCATATGGGGAACAAATTATGACTACAGTGAGTACTCGAAAGAAGTTTGAACTAATCAAGTGAAATTGATTGCATGTAAGAAAATTATACTATAAAGTGAAACACCAACCCCACATGCCTTTTTTTAGTAGAGTCTGAAAGGCTTACCCATGGTAGACTTGATGACCAAGGAACCAATGTTTTGCCAGCCCTTCTTAAGCAAAGAGACCAAGAAGTTAACGGCAAGCATGATGTTAGAGATCAATTGGTCTTGAGACATCTCAACGTGACCAACGGCGACACCAAGACAAAGAACCTTCTTCAATTGGAACTTGATGGTAGACTTAACTTCGACAATCTTACCGTAAAGGTCATCGTTGTGAGAGACAGGGGTAGGGAACTTACCAGCCTTGGAGAGACCGGGACCTAACAAACGGGGAATTTGCTTGATGAGGACATCGGAAGCAACGAAAGCGTCGTACTTCTTAGCCAACTTCTTAACAAGCTTTTTGTTCTTGTTAAGCTTCTTCAAGTCATCGACGGACATAGCATCAACACCGCCATGCTTAGCACGGTCCAAATCGTGGGCATCACCAAGAATGCAGAGAGCCATGTTAGGACGGGGGACATTGGGCAACTTGATGGTACCAGAGAAACGCTTATCACGTTGGGGGTCGTAGTTCTTCAAACCGATTTGAAGCTCGACAGTCTCGGTAAAATGGCGTCTCTTTTCTTGAGATCCTTGAAGGATGTGCTCGACATTAGAGCGGACCGTGGCAACGCTGACCTTAGACATGGTTCAATGTTGGTGTAGTGCGGGTACGTGAAACAGACGAATAGAAATTTCACCCTTTCTTTGTGGTCCCAAAACGCAGTCACGTATATAGTAGTATCATGTTAGGGTAGGGTGAAGGAGAAACAGAGTCGAACCGGAATGATGCAAAAGCAGTTTAGCGTGATGCGTTATGATACGGATAGCGAACTATAAGACAGAAATCAATTTGAGTAAGTAGAGCGATGATGGGTGGTGAAAGAAGCAGATGAAATGAAAAGGTAGAAGTAAGAAGAAGCAATTATTAAAGATACTAATAAAAAAAATAAAGAGAAATCATGAACGCTTAATCTTTCGAAATTGAAAGGAAAGATCAGGACAGCGATGAACAGACGATGAAAAGTCGTTAGGAAGATTTCCAACAAACGTTGTTGTATCTACAAAGTGAAGTAGACGGTATGGGAGGTGAAAACGCTGAAGATTATTGAAAAGCAGACAAGAAGGAACCTGTGGAGCGAATGTGGAAGAATAACGAGAAATCTTAGGACTGATGCTGGTATTTGTTATCTGAGAATGGAAGGTTAATAGGAATGGTAGAACAACAAGACAGGACAATAGACATACCGTTAGGAGCGAACGTCGAGTAAGCAGGAGGATTAACATTGGAGTTTGCAGAAATTCTCTGATGTGCCGTAGATTCAGGAGCATGAACAGAGGAGTAATGACCGTGTTCTATGTCATAGACAGGATAGGAGGGATACTTCAAGACAATGTAAATAGCGTGGATGATTCCAGGAAGACCCAAAGCGCAAAGACAGATGTTGATGAGAAAGCTAAGTCAGGTTGTTAGTATGCAATATAAAGCTTGGGCTTAGACCCTATATGGACAGATGATGATGCTACAAACGTGGGTGAAAGTGAAGGAACGAAAAACATACTCTGCACTACAGAATCCTCTGCGAATACCGACAACAATAAAAGGGACAAATATAGAAAGAACAATTAGCAGAAAACTCGTCAATGTGTGAGGCGACATGATGGTTGCTGAAGAGGTACTAAAATAGTATTCTAAAGAAAAGGAAACAAAATTCGGTTATAATTCCAATCAAAAACTGCAATTGATTCAAACAAGCGTACTTTACAGAGGATGGGGCTAGGAAAGTGAGACTTGGTAGAAGGAGACGGGCAAAGTGACACATTGATGGCCATGACGAACAGGTAACAATAAACAAAAAGCGATAAATCCAACGCTTTTTCTGCTCTGCTGAGCTCTTCCTCTTGCCTTATTTATTTCTTTCGTTAAAGTTACCATTTGTGCGATGCTGTCTGTAGTGTATCATATCAACTACGGTTCTTGGTTTGTAAGTAATGGATGCTACAGTTTCAAAGAAGAGCTTCGACTGAAATTGATCCCGTAAAGATGAAAAGGTTTTTTAAGCTTTTTGGACTAAGAAAAACTCGTTATATCTTGAACAAATTCCATTCGTCTACTGTTCGTTGTGTTTTCTTCCAATCTTATGGGTCAGTCATTTTCTTGCTTTTTGCAAGTAGTAGCCTCATTCTCATTACACCACGTTTCTTTTCACAAAAGCAGAAAGCGATGAATTGTAACAGAATAAATGTTGGACCATTCGCTTTTTCAGCTGGGTTCTTTCGCACCCATATACAGACTCTAGATATAGCCTAGAGCCATGAATATTCCAATCCACTCACATACGCACACACTCACACTCTCTCCACCTCTGTTTTTAAATATCTAAATATATCTAAAATAAAAATCAAACAAACAAACAAACAAAACTCTCTATGAAGTTTGTATCCAAAAGTTTCAACATTTTATTTAATGCCCCCCGGGGGCATTAGAGCCTTCTTCGCCTGAAAATAAGAAAGAAAAGAAAAACGTTATAAAACAAGCGAGCTCGTTAAAAAAAAGTATGTGACGTCAATAATGACCTAGGAAAATTTCCTCTGAATAACACCTTCGCCAACTTACCTTGAACCAAGTGTTTTTTTAAGAAAGAGGGTATATTGAGGTCAAACCATAAAACCATTGGCATACAACTTATAGAAAAAGTACACTTGGCTTCCAAGGTGCTTTCGGATTACAACTTTTGTTTCGTATATGTATTAGAAAGTTATTGTCTCGTTCAATTATTGCATTTTTTTTTCTTTTTATTTTCTGATTCCAATACTATATATCTTCATTTAGTTTTCATATTTCCTTCAATAACTTTGTTTTATTGAAACTAAAATCCCCTCTTTGTGTCGTTGTTGTTGTTGTTGCATTCCGCTCCATTCCTTTTTCGAACACTTTTCAACCTCCTTAAAGAGAGTAGTAGAGTGAGTTTATTTTCTTTGTTTCCTCCTCTATATACTCCTTAGTACTTTACCACTTGCTTTGTTTGTCTTTTTAAAAGACTTTTTAATTTTGCTCTTCCTACTTCTTGCTTTCTGTTTTCTGCTTTTCTTTTTTTCTTCGGTTTTTTCTATTTCTTTTTTTTTATTGATTAATTTGTGTTCATTTCCTCTCTTTCCCCAGCCCTTTTTCTTCTTCTTATTTTAATATTGGTATTTCTGTAGACATCTCTTTGATTCCTGACCTTTAAGAAAGTCGTCTTGTTGTCTGTGTTCTTTTTATTGTTTTCCTTTCCTTTCCTTCTGTTATTCTTCGTCGAATTCATTTCGTGATATCAATTACTTGATCTACATTAAACGAATCTAAAAAAAATATACACATTCATATAATAAAATGAGTGCTCCTACGGATAATCATGGAGTTCCTAAGCAAGGCCGTCACGGGCCACATAACTCTGATGAGTTGTCACTTCCCGAATATACTAACCAAGATCCCAATCCCCAATATATGCCCGAACAAACCATTGAAGAAGATGCTCCTAGTCAGCGAGAGTTAGAAAGTGAACTTGAACGATTGCACTCAAACGAAACCCATAGGTCCAATACTGTTCACAGTGGTCGCCCTGTATCGACCGCATACTCAACCGCTTCCACAGCCTCTCACATGAGTGTCGAGGATCAGGATCAAATTCTGAATGCGGAAATGTCTGTACATTCTCAATCTCTTCGTCGTCGGGGTACCAACAGAAGTATCCGTAGTTCTATGCGTCAATCTAAAAGAAGCGCTAGCCGGAAATCAAACAAGTCATCCAAACATGAGAACATTGAGGAAGAAAAATTGACCAATAAAGATGATGAATTACAGTTGAACAACTATGGTCTTGTCGAGTTTAGTACAGAGTCTTCCATAAGGGCTCCAGATAATCCTATCCATTTTTTCGGACGAATGTTCAAGGTCGTTCAAAGACAGAGCTTTTTCATTCGTTCCATGATTTATATTCTTCCTGTTGGAATTCTGTTACTGATTCCCATCTTTATTGGTAGATTTTACCACCTGAAGACAAGTGACCAATACAATAATCAAACTCGCTGGATTCATATTGGCGGTGTTCAATTGATGTGGATGTCTATATGGTGGGAAATCATTTGGCTCACTTTATGGGCTGGCCGTTATGCTGCTAAGTTACTTCCCTTTATCTTTGCATTTATCGTATCTTTCATTAGTAACAACGTTGCAAAGTGGAAATGTATGGCAATAGCTTTGGAATTTCCTTTGACATTATTTTTGTGGATGATGGCCTGTTATGTAAGTTTCCTTCCCATCATGACTCGGCATCATGTCGGAGACGGCGGTGTATTGGATGTACAAAAGACTGCTCAAGGAAAACGTACTCAGCTGCCCTGGGAAAAAAGTGCAAATAATGTTTTGATTTCTCTTTTTATTTGCTCCATTATGAATTTAGTTGAAAAGATCTTAATGCAGCTCATCGCAATGTCTCTCCACAGACGTCAGTACGAGTCTAGGATTTTGTTTAACAAATTTGCAATTAACGAATTGTCTCACCTCTATGAGTATGCTAGAAGTCGTTCTTTTGACTTTAATGAAGCCATTCAACGTGCTAAGAAGACCGGTCTCTTCAACTTTGCTGAAAAGGACCGTGGTGGAAAGACCGTAAATACTGCAGCTCGAGTCGCCCAGAATGCTTTGAATCAGACAACTTATAGAGCAATGGGTGCTTTCAATTTTGCTCATGATATGATAAACAAGGTTGCTGGTGAAATTACTAACCGTGAGATTCAAGGTTCCACATCTCCCAAGCACGTGGTTCAGCATTTGTTGAGAACTACTCGAGGCTGCCAATCATTAGCGCGTTGTTTGTTTCAAGCTTTGGTGAGATCCGGAAATATCGATATCGTATATGACGATTTCGTACCCGTTTACAGGAATGAATTAGGTGAAGTAGACGAAGAAAAGCTTAATGCATGCTACAATATTTTCGATCGTGATTTGAATGGCGATATTACCTGTGAAGAAATTGAACTAGCGATTGTGGAGATTGGAAAGGAACGAAAAATTATTTCGGCTTCTCTTCGTGATCTGAATGTATCGATTGGTAAACTGGACGCAATTTGCATGTTTTTCGTTGCTTTAATCACCTTGTTCATCTTCCTTTATTTGATAGCTCGTAACTTTAGTGGTGTTTTAACTTCTGCCGGTACCTGGCTGTTGGGTCTTTCTTGGCTCTTTTCTAGTTCTGCAGTAGAATTGCTTAATTCTATCATTTTTGTATTTGTTAAGCACCCTTACGATGTCGGTGACCGAATCAGTGTCTTGATTAACGGTGTTGTGACCCCAGCGATGGTGAAAGAAATTGCCATCATGTCTACAGAATTCCGTTTGCTAACTGGTGAAATTATTCAAGCACCAAATAACTTGCTGAACACACTTTGGATTTCGAATATGCGTCGTAGTGACGGGATTTCTGATCCAATCACCGTTAGTCTGAAATTTGGTACTACGTTGCAGCAAATTGAGGCTCTTCGAGTTAAGTTGATTGACTTCTTGAAAGAGGAAAAACGAGACTATAAGCCCGATTTACTTACGGAGGTTACTGACTTTCCTAATTTATATTCCATGTCATTGCTTGTGGTTTTCTTCCATAAATACAACTTTCAGGATGAAATTCTGAGAATGAGACGTCGTAACATGTTCATGTGTGCTTTGATGACTTACCTTCAAGAATTGGATATCGTTTCTCCTATTAACAACTCACCTGGCAAAACAAAAGAGTCACCCATGTATATCAACGTTGGCAATGGTGGCGCCTCCTTTGGAGCGAATCCATTGGATAGAACGAAACCAAGCGAAGGCCCACACGGAATTTTAAGAAATAGCTCTGTGCGCCAGCCTGTTCCCGAGGAATCATCAAGTTCTACTGATGTAGCGGATATGGAGAGACAACCCAGCAAGAAACGTGTTGATTTTTCATTGGGAACTTCACATATAGTGAATGCCATGGATGACATTACTGATATTGGAAGTAGCGATGTAACTCGTGAAAATCTTCCTGATGTTGTTATTGAAAGCGCCGGTACTGAGGCTATGCGTCGTGAGACAAAATTGCGTAGGCAACAGCAAGAACAAGAACAAGAGGAAGAAGAGAACAATGAAGAAAACGATGGATCTGAAAGATCATCCCGAAGATCTCGTTTCAGTCTTTCATCTCGCCGCAACTCTGGCCGGGTTAGTGCGCATACTTCTCCTGGCTTACGCAACGTTGCAGTAGACGACATGAGGACTTCTTTGATAGGTCAAAATAGCACCAGGTCTGCTCATCTTTAGCTGTCTCTCTGATTAAGACTTGCACACTGAATTTGTAAATCCCAATATAAGTATTGAGATTTAGAACCCGTATTTATTTTATTTCTAGTATTTAGGTGTTGTCTTTTATGATTTTTACATTGAAAGTTAATAAAATAGGAAAAGATGTATGTATGAAATGAGCATCATCTTTCATAATTCTCTTGAATGGATTATTGGATCTGGCTACTCGGAACAAAAGTGAGTTTTGAGAAGTATTTCGCAAAACATAATGTAGGTTAAGCAAAAAGAAATTAGAGGTTTTGATGAATTTGTCTTACTATGATAAAATGGGATAACAGTTTATGCTTCGTCAAAGTGTCTCTTCGTGTGGAAATTATGAGCAATGTTTGGTGTATTGTAACCAGCTATATTTGACGTGAACAAAGATAATATAATCGTAAAGTTAGATTTTAAACTGCAGTCTTTGTACATGAATATTTGAAGTACAGGTAATGTGCGTTTGTTTGACGAACGCAATGAGGATGCCGTAAATCAGTACATATCTTAATCGAACACGTTGACTGGAGAGATACGCTTTAAATAAAGCTTTTTTTATTTTTTATTACCTGTTTATGAGTTGTTTACGTTGTTCAGCCTTAGTATTAGTGCTTGAACATAAATCTGTCAGAGGTGAAACACATGTTTTGAGAATTCGTATTCAGGGGTAAATATAGTTTTAGTTTGAATAAATTCTATGTAGGAAATGTCGAATTGGATGCTTGGGAACTTTTGGAAAAGAATAGTAACAGCCTTAAAGGATCTGATTCACGTAGTAAGTCATATAATTTACTTGTTTAGTTAAATCAGTCAAATCTTCCAAATCTTTTGGTTGGAATATTATTTCTATATTATTTACATTAGATAGAAAATCCTTTAATTGACTTATTTTTCTTTGTCTACTTTCAATTTTTGGTTTTCATTGCTTTAAAGAAGCTTTCATGCTATATAATAAGTGTACCAAGTGAACAGTAATATCGTATATCGGTTATTATAGTACCCTTAAGTATAACAAAAAGCGTAACCTGCCCGGTGACAATGTTTTATAATGGGATATGCAAAAAGACACTATCGTGACCTTTTAGCTAGCATCCTAGTTACCTTTTTTTAGTAACTTTTTACTTTAAAAGAAAGATTTCATTCCCTTTTTGAAAGATACGTGAATCGAGGAACCAGTTCCTACGGACTTTTTTGGGGGAATTCTAGCTCATCTCGTTTTGACTGTAAATATCTGCATTATTTTGTATTCTAGGTTGCCATTGTAAAGATAGAGAATAAATAAACTTTTGTTTCAGATTCTGACGATTCTTTTAAAGTGCTCAATGATGAAAAGTCAGACGCTCAACCTTTAGATGGTACTGGTACCCCTCCTCCGTACCCAAATAAGATGTGCTGAAATAAAAAGGAAAAAAGGAACGTCAATTGTATCAATTCTCAGAATGCCAGCGACTCGCGATCGTTGTAAACAAACTCGACAAACACCTCTGTCCTTCGCAAACAAAAAAAAAAGTCCGTCACTAATACATCCATTCAACCAAGTTTATTGATTTAGAAAGGGTGATGGCTCCTCTAAAAAAGCCTCCCAAGGGTCCACTAACAATACTGGGTCGCATTCGACATATTCGAAGTGGATTTCAGCGAATGTCTTCTTATTTTTTGCATCTTTTGTGTATATTATGTTATATGCTATTTTTTTTGTGATATTTTTTTATTTAAAGTTTCCTGTAAAGGCACAAGACCTTTAATGACCTTTTGCTTGAACTTGTTGTAGCCTCTGCGTGGTTTTTTTATAAAAAGTCAGTATTGCTTTTATTTTGAACGACCTATTCATTAATGGCGAGCAATGCATTCATCCTATCCTGAATGGTTCACGCCAACTGGAAAAGCAATCGCACTAATTGTATGCTATTTGTGTACTCAATTATATCTGCGTCGTCTGTATAATCTTCGTTACTTATCGAAGAGAAGCTTCTAAATTCGTAACCATAGAGACTTTATTATTATGTTTTGGTGGTGTCAACATTGACATTGCTTCTTCGTTTTATGGGTATGTATATCATATATCTGCGAAATATATTTAGGTCCTAGATATTGCAATTGGATGTGTCGCTTGAACGATTAATCATTGAAATAAAAAAACATGAAAATGGATTAGGAATTGCTGTGAATCGTACTTTGCGTATGTACGCTTTGTAGCTGTTTCCTTTCGTAACGATTTAACTGCTTAAGAAGGGACAAGTCAAGGCCAGGATGCGCCTCTGTATGAGGATATCGAATTTTGGCGTTTTACAGAGCGAAGCTTTGATGTTTGAGTTATATCTTAGCGGCTTTCATTCTTACTATTTCACTCACTACTTTTGAAGCCCCAATGCTAATCGCAGTTCATTAAGTTCCTATATTTGCTTCAGCTAAAGCAAGTGCATAGTTGAATCGGGACTTGTATTGATCGTTTTTCATTCACTGCATCATGTAACCTTTACTCATTTAATGTCGTTTCATTTCGAATCATTGTTGATTACACATCATTCGTTTCCACACGGAACAACTGCACCTCTTTATGGTCATAAACATATTCTACATCCATAAGAGTGTTATTGATAAAAGTTAAGACTTCAATTATGTACCATGTCATCTTATTATTATACTGTTTATACACGTACAGTACAAAAACGAATATCGCTAGAGACAAAAGGTGTTTCGATTCATCATCTGTGATAAAGATAATTAAATTTTCGGATGTCTCAACATCTTTTTGCAAGTTGCACTTACGATAAAAATGCAGATGTTGATTCTATGGTGACATAAGATCGTCATTCTTACCAATATATAAAAGAAATCTCATGTCATTTCAAACAATATGTAAAGTGCACTTTCAATTATTTGAAAGGTTCAAAGACAAACATCAAATTAATCTACAACGAAAGTAAACATGAGCGAAAAAATAAAATTATACGGGTTTGAAAAATCTGGACATGTTCACAGAGTCCGACTTCTACTATCATTTTTAAAAATCCCATATAATTGGGTTATTATTCAAGAATCAGAGGTGAATTCGGAAGAAATAAAACGATTGAATCCATGGAAACAGGTTCCTATTCTTGCTGATGGGGACACCGTTGTATCAGACAGCAATGCTATTATGGTATACTTGGTGAAAAAGTATGGAGACGAAGACTTTTGGTTCTTAAAAGATCCAGTGGAATCTTCCTGGGTACAAAGATGGTTTTCTTACGCTGCTGGTGAATTACGTTATGGCCCATCAGTTGCTCGAAAGATTCATATACATAAGACGAGTGATGACTTAGAGGCTGCTAAAAAAATAGCAGCTATACTATTTGAATTCATGAATGGTTATTTAGAAGGAAAGGAATATTTAGTTGGTAAACATATTACTCTCGCGGACTTTGCTATGTATTCTTACACAGCTCATGCTCCGGAAGGTTCTATTTCTTTACAACCATATCCTAATATAGTGGCATGGTTGAAACGCATAGAGAACCTTCCTGATTACGTCCCTCTCAAATGGACTTTCCCAGAGAAGAAAGATTACTAGTTACGATAACTCCATTCTAACAACAATAATCAGATATATCTGTTTTGATAAAAATGTGAATTGAAGGGGTTCCTTGTTACGTATATTAAAGAGTAGTGCCATTGTTTCCTCAATACTGTTTGGAAGGAGCGATATATCGATTATCCAAATTTCAAGTATTTGAACAATGACAAAACAACTCGCCGTTTTCACCGGCCATAATTTTAACCTTGATGTAGGTTTTAGCAGATCCGGTAGCATTATGAATCTGTATATTGGGCTTCTGGTTCATCTTTTTCCTTTGGTGATTCCGTTTCGCTTATGACATCTAGTTTTATTGCTTCTGGATTGTCACTTAGGAAAGAACGTAGATATGTTTTTGAAAATCTATGCAAACCAACCACGTCAATCATCCACGAAAACAGGACGCCAAAGATAGGGAATTCTAAGAAGTCCAAGACACTATAAAAAACAGCTTCTCCGATCGGCAATGGGAATCCAATGCCCTCGCACAAACCCCAACATACAAAATAAGAAGCCCAGAGAACGAAAAAGTAAATGATAGAACATAGGAACCCAATTTTCGCTTTGCGTTTCAACGGTTGGATATTAAATTTGTACGTTACGCAGGTATGCACAAGTGCACAAGCATAACCTACCAACGAAAAAGCAAAGAAACCCCAACGGTGAGTAGACACGGTCATAGCTGCAGCTAATAAACATGAAAAGCAAAGCCAAATATTAAATACAGTTAAGAGGATCCGCATAAACGAGACACCTGCGAAGTGAAATATGCTCGAAATGACCAAAGGAAAATTGATCATCCATTGAATGTAGCGCACAAAGTAGACGACCCGTATACCGCGAAACCAAGTTGAAGTACTCAAGTTGACAAGCGTATATCCCAATTCACCAGCCATGCTAAAATAAACAATGGCTGAAACCATGCATGTTACAGAATATACATAATAAAACATCCGTTTTGGTGGACTGGAAAAGATCGAGACAATAGGATAAACAATGGCGCAAAACAAAAATATGGAAAAGATTGCCCAGTAATAATCTGTTGCAGACTTAAGCATGATCATATCAGGGTGTTTTTTGTTCCATATTTCTGAAGGAATTTTTCCGACATTGCTATTCATACTTCTTTATGCAATTTTATTGCTTTGCTTGAAACTATCAGACCTCAGCTATTGAGCGTTAAATCCAATTCAATAATAATATACCAATATAGAATAAAAGATATGTATACAAGGAAAAAAAAGGTATGCTGTTAATAAGAAAAAATCTCCACGGTGTAAACAAGCATATGTCTAGGAATATAAACAAACAAACACTGTTGACGCAAACAATTCGAATCGGCAATTCTTCAGAAAACTCTAAACAAGGACGGTTTGTTTATTATTAATTGCATAAAACAAGCCGGTAATTGTGAAATTTCATCTACATGATCATTGGAATAGAAATATAGAAGTAGTATTCATGAATAATCATAAAAGAAAATCAATACTGCAAAGTTCAAAGAAATCTGCGGAATATTTGTCAGCCGACAAGTTTACTAAATTACAAAACAGAGATAATGAGATTATAGCCTTAACATCTCCATCATCATGAAATAAAAAGACAGCCCCTTGGTAGTACATTGGGATATACACAAAGGAAAAATGAAGAGGATGAAAAACAGTAGATTGACCACATGTCATGAATAAGCCATACAGAAACATTAAATAGACCCGTTAATCGTATATATATGATATTTACATATTTATTGAAAAGCATTCAAGGCTGTTAGATAGAATGAAATCATCAAGGCACTTTCATAAGAATCCTAAGTAAAAAGATGTGAGATATATAAACCACTATTAAGAAAAAAGAGGGCAACGTGAAAAAGTGACTAATTGATTATCAAAGGGAATCCATACAAATTGATTCAGCAAAAGCTGATATCAGTAATTCATAAATATTTATTTTTTGGAAGCATTACCAAAACGTTCAGCACGCTTCCTGGCTTTTTCTGCTTCAACTGGATCTTCCAATATCGAACTTTTGCGTTTTTGTCCAGCCGTCTGGTCTTGTTGCTGTTGGCGAAACTTTTGTCTCCCTCGCTTATCCAAACGGCCCTTACGGGAACGAGGTAATTCCCCGTTCACCTGTTTAGCAACAGGTGTAGTTTGTACACCAAAACGAGCAGCACGAGCAGCCTTTTTGATATTATCATCATCCATTGGCAACCCAAATCGTTTAGCACGTTCTATAAGTTTGTTCTGCTCAGCTGCCAATATATCTGGGTTTGGTGAGTCTTTCGTATTTTCAGTTGTCGACTCTTCAGTATTCGTATCTGGCTTTTCGTTCGACTCCGTCTCCCTGGCTGCTGATTTTTCCTTTTGTTGATCCTCAGCTGGTTCTTCATTTGCTTTATCTCCTTCAGTCTTGGGGGCTTCCTCTTCAGACGGTTTGGAAGGTTCTTCAACTGCTGCAGTATCATTATCCATATCTCCCCAATCAATGTCATCTTCGGGAGGAGCTAAATCTCCCAAATCAGCGTCGTTATTTTTAGTATCATCCTCCTTTGATGCTTCAGGCTTTCCTTCCTCTGAGCTAGTCAGTCTAGCTACTAACTCATTCTTATTTCCGTTGGTGGACAGTCCTTTTTCAGCTAATTTTTCACGTAAATCGGCTACTTTTAAGTTTTTCAATTCAGTCATATCTAGAATTTTACGTTTCTCGACGTTTTTTTGTTTGTTAACAAAAGCGTCAAAGGTGTAGGTGAGCGTAGACGAGCCTGCAATATGAGGATTGCTGCTGGAATATACTGAAGTTTTACGACATCATATATGGATGGCTTACAACTGGATAACAACTAATCTACCAATACGTTAATTTCACAAGAACGCAAGATGCACGAGTGCCTAAAATGAGGAAAAAGAAAAATACTAATGATGGAGGCATGAGTCTTTTGGTAGAATTTATTTAGCTCAAACACTGAATATATAACCATTCTACATTCTGAGTAGACATAAATAAAAACCGCCAATAAAACCCACACAGTTACCACCGATGACATTTCAAATACTGCTCTCATACACTTCCTTGCTCACTACAAAGTATACATCATCAACCTATTTCATAAATGCTAGGGTGATAATTCTTTATTAAGCCATTGTACGTGTTGTAACCAAAGCAAGGTATCTAATTCAAGGAATACGTCCCTATATTTCCATAAATACCCCGGTTCTATTAAAAACAAAAATCAATTCTTTTCAGTCCTATCAAAAGAACATTTTTACTCTTGAGGGATCTCAATGTCGCCACTGTCAATCTCCTTTTGAACATCGTGAGGGTTCTTACCTTCAACAGTGCAACCAACGGAGAAAGCAGTACCGAGAATCTCCTTAACAGTACCAGAGAGGTCCTTGGCGAGAGACTTGAAGCGCATAGTACGGGCAACTTCAACAATCTCGTCAATAGAAACGTTACCAGAGTGGACAACACCCTTGTCCTTCTTTCTGTCACGAGCGGGTTCCTTCAAAGCCTTGATAACCAAAGCAGAGGCAGAAGGAACGACAGAGACGGCGGCTTGACGGTTTTGGATGGTCAACTTGACGGTAACACGAAGACCCTTCCAGTCCTTAGTAGCCTTGGCGATATCTTCACCAACCTTCTTAGGAGACAAACCCAAGGGACCAATCTTAGGAGCAAGAGTAGAACCACCGGCAACTTCACCACCGACGGCTCTCATGATGACGGTCTTCACTTCATTGGGATCGAACTATGTAATATGTTAGTAACTTAATACTACTAAGCAAAAATCTGTTACAATTCATGATAAACACTTACTTTAGGAGGCATCTTGCTCTTTGTTAAGGAGTATGGTGGAGGTGTTAATTTCTTGTTTGTTATATGTGACTGTTTGTATCACCCGTGACTATTCTCTGGTATGTTACTTGATATGTTCATGCGAGTAGCAAGTTTTATTTGTAAACAAATAGGATAAAACATTTAAATGAAAGAATATTGTATATTGAGTTTAAAGCATAGAAATCTATATTTATATCGCTACAATATTAGTTCTCTTGTAAAAAGTATAAGTGAATTATCAATAAGTCTTGTGTAACTTTTGTATATACGTTTTTGGTTGTTTTTGATTCTTCATACACGTTTGTTAGGAAAACCGTAATAGATCTACGCTTAGCTTACTGTATTCATTTCATTTTCATCCAATTCATATTTTTTATTTTATTTTAAATTGAAACAGCGAACGATTACTTTCGATTTACTGAAGTTATTTTATTTGGTACAACTTCCCATTTTTCGGCCTACTAAACAGAACAGGGGTAAACGTACTGTGAAGTATCTAAAAAATTACAAGTTGTTATGTGTAAAACCATTTACTCCACGATACTTACTTTACAGAACAGTAACAAAGCATACAGAATTCAAAAAATTATACCGCTTTTGGATCTTACAGACAGCCGCCTGTAATACATCCGAAATACGTTATTAAATTATTTCTTTAATTTCTTTTAAATTATTCCATTACTTCACAGATCCTATTCCGGGACCGTTATGAAAACAACGAGGACTATTATTTCATAAGGCCCTGAGTATTAACAACCAGACTCCCTTTTTTCACAAAGTAAAACTTAAACCCAGTACTAGTATACAACCAAGGATATAAATTTTTTTAAAAACGACACTTTAGTGCTTTTGCCAGAATGAATAATAATTCTTCCAGTTAAATTGAGTTTTCCTTAAATACAAATATACTCATTTTGTTGCAGACATGATTTCAAAAAATCATAATAAAAAGCATTTATATAGCTCCTTAATTATTTTTTGATTTTTTAAAGCCGCTCACCACAGGCTTGGGTTCTTTGCCAGCTAACGGGTGGTTGCGAGCGCGCTTCTCGGCAGGCTTCAAAATCTAAATTTATCCAGTTAGCATTTTTCTTTAATAAATTCAAACTTTCATACCTGAAAACTGCAAAGCAGATCTTCATTTACACTCATCATAGCACCAACATTGTCGAATTCTCCACAATAATTTGGGGCACTGAAAATTGTCACAAGCAAGCGCTTAGCGAAAAATTCATAGCCATCTTCAACTACCTGATGAGCCCTACAAACCAAATCCATATCCTGTTTTTGCAAAAACCGATTTACGACATCGGCGCCGAACGTGTATGAAACTCCTCTGTCATTATCACCCCAACCTTTCACATCTTTCTCGGGGTCAGACCACAGAAGATCACACAATAAGCCAGTGTCGGGAATATCCGTAGGACGCACAATGCGTTGAATTTGCTCCATGGTGTTTAAATCTGGGGAAAGACCACCGTGCATACAAAATATTTTTTCATCAACAATTGCAGCAACGGGCATACAATTGAAACAATCTGTAAACACTTTCCAAATTTTTATATTATAGCGACGCTTACATTCGTCATAGAAACCATAAATTCGATTGATACTAGCACATTCGTGATTACCACGAAGAAGGAAGAAGTTTTCAGGATATTTGATCTTAAAGGCAAACAAGAGACATATGACTTCAAGACTTTGTTTTCCTCGGTCAACATAATCTCCTAAGAACAGATAGTTCGCATCAGGAGGAAATCCTCCGTATTCAAATAATCGCAGCAAATCTGAATACTGACCATGGATGTCACCACATATCTACAAAACGGGTTAAAAATCATAATTCATGCTTTTATCTTCATATCTCCAGCCAAGATATAGGTTCGCTAGAGGATTATCATGACTAAATAAAAAAATTCGGATCTTCTTATTAGCAATGAATGTCATGCCCACAACGTAGGCTCCCAGAAGTCATGAAGAAATCCATCAAGTTTTAAGATGAAGGACATCTGACCTCAATTCTACCAAACCAAATCCAAGTAATTAGCTGTTCAAAGTTCGTACCTTTAAAGGAGCCTCCAATTCTAATAGCATTGGCTGGTCTAGAAACAAAGAACGGGCAGTCTTACATAAGTAACGAATTTCTGCTTCCGACAATTGAGTTTGGCGACCTGGTTTAACATGCTGCACTGAATTTTTTTTGTTAGCAAGAAAAACACAGAAGTCGATAGTTACAAACCTTTTATAAGCTTTTCTATTATATTATCAATATCATAATCCATAATTTGATTTTATTTCGACCGCAATTCCCAAACGAAAGGAAAACCACCCAAGTGCTGTGTTTGGCTTGTGTTGAGTCGATTCGAAAAAAAAATATGTCAAAAACCGTAAGCCCGAGAATTTCTCTATTTCCATAAGATTTAAATTAGATTTCTTTGTAACTAAAAGCAGTCTTTTCTAGTGAAATTTATATCTGAAATGTCCTTATTCTAGATTCTAAGGATTTAGAAGGTCGGATTGCCGAAGTATTTCATTCCCTTAATGCAGAGGTCCCTTAATATAAACAGAGCAGTGGATTGGTATTATCATTTAAAACTAAAGCAGCCTCATTCCTCCAAGGACTGGCTTGTTGGATCTTAGAAGCCAATATACGAACTGACGAAGAGTCTTTCAAAATGTTATAGCGGAAACCATACAAAAAGTTAATATTTGTATTAAAACAAATTAGTTTATAACTCGAGAAACGAGCTCCTTTGGTTTCTTGGTCCAGGAGTGTGTTACACCGTATGTTTCTTGAGTAATAGATATAAAAAACGGATTTAATTAAGAATAATGATAATGATAGCTCTTTAGACGATAATTTGGTTATTCTTTAAAGGTTGAATTGCGTTAAAGACAATTTGATTTAAATGAATAAAGGAGAATACCGTCTATTTTTTATGGTCTCCAATAAAAATTGTAGACAGTTGCTTTTGTATATTAACTTATCCGTTAAGGGCTAACCATATTAGCCTGTCGCTTTCATTCTTTCACACAACACAATTGCGTCTCTGATCGAGAGGGAGGTTTTACCAAAGAACAATGAGACTTGTGTAAACAGACTGGAAACGAATTTATCCTCTTCCATGCTTGTATGTCAATGTAATTCATAGGACTAAATTCAAATTATATGTGAAAACTTCTTTTTCTGAATTATCAACAAGGTAATAGGTATATCTTATATTTTGTTTGTAATCTGAGTGTGACAATTATGAATTTCTGTTAGCTCGAAGCTTACTTACAATAGGAATACGATAACTCTTATAAGCTTCCAACCATGCTCTGTACGAAACCTGCTTCTAAAGCAGTATATCTGTGGTTCATAATTGATGTGACGAGTGTGTCGATGGTGAGTGTTGCCTGTCTAGAACTCATACAAATGCTGCTGATATCTCATTATCATGTACCTACTGAAGAGGTTCGAGAAAAACTCGCGGTCATGACGGCAATTGCCAGTGTCCTTCAATATCTGTCTGCTACCTTCGCTGTTCCTATCCATTCTCTTGTCTTAAAGCGGTTTTCACCATGGTATACCGTTTTATTTACTTGGTTAGGAGAAGAATATATGCTTATTTCATCAGTTCTTGCTCTTTTGTATTTCAAAGAGGCTTCAAAGATCGTTCACTTTATTGTATACTCAATCTCAATAATACAAGGACTTTCAGGAACTGGTCCTTCTATTCATGCCAGTTGGAAAGCTATAGCTCACACATCTTACATTGATGAGCCATTCGTCCTTTTCGTTACTTCTATTCCAATGTTTTCTTTTTTCTTGGGCCCTTTTTTTGCGAGTCTCTTGCTTTCTCATATATCCCTCTTTCAACTATACATACTGGCTTGGCTATTACATTTTGTTTGCGGCATTACCTTCTGGTTAGTTTTCTATCATTCTCCCTCTTCTCATTCTTTGTCCCCGGAAACGAATCCCCTTTTTGTTACCACTGAGGCTACAGGAGTAAATTGTCCTGGATCATTTCCCTCAGATGATGAAAATCAGAGACAGAATCTTAGTCTTCATTTGATATCTAATGTGTACAGAAATTATATTAAGAATATAAATGATGTTCTATTCAATTCTTACTTTTTTCAACTGACACTTACTTGCCGCTTGCTATTATTGTCCTTCGTTTTTTACATGCCTTCTGCAGTTTTTTTCGACTATTATGTTCAATATTTGCTTAATGTTAAAAAATTCCCATTGGAAAAAGTCACCTTTATTAGTTCATTTCAAACGTTTGGCACGATGTTAACTTGCTCTGTCTTGACATATATGTCTGTGTTTGATGATTTGACGACAAAAGATTTTCATAACATCTTAATTTGGAGTACGTTTATCCTCTCACTACTGACCATGGCTTATTACTGGGCAATCGAATCTTTCATTCCCTTCCTAGCATTTATACACGGAATGTCTCGCTCAATGGAGCCTATTTTTCATTTCCTGCTAACCACATACGCTCCTTCTGGATCTCTGCACGAATATTGGAGACTTTCTGCAATTTTCGAAGCTTTTTCTACCTGCTTTTCCCACCTATATTTGGTGTATTGTTATCTACAAGGCACAGAAAGGAAATCCTTTTTATTTTTCCTTGGTCCAGCTTTCCTTGCATTAATTTCTTGTTTTAGTTCCTTTCTGTTTCATAAGTATTCCTCTTAGACTTGGACTCTCAGATGTCGATGATAATTATATTTATTCACTTTAATCATTCTCCAGCTAATTTACGAACAAAACTATTATGATTATATACGTTTTTTTCATAATAAAACTTACGAAAAAAAATTTAGAAAACTACTTTGCTTTTAAGAGACCATAAAGCCAACCAACATTAATGTCCGTCAACAAGAATAACAATATTCAGCTTGTCCTGGTTTTCCTTAGTTCATTTTTATCATTTTATAAAAAATATCTGGATCTGCTTTTTAATAACAACTAGAACGGCTAGTAATTATATCCATTTGTTTCATGTATCAAAAAAAAGGTTCGATCAAACACATCCGGATAACTAAAATAATTTCAACACAAACAATTTATTCGCAAAGTAATAATTTACCAAATAATCGCAAAGGGATATTGAACACAGTCTCTTCCCGACAGTAGAAGTGTTATCCATATTCCAAACACTTACCCACCTCCCACATCCAACCTCCAAATCGGTTGTGGTTCTTTACAAAGATGAATTTCGAGGAAATTGAAGAGCGAGATGGTTCGTATTATTGAAATAATGTTTAAAATGATTATTAACTTCCTTAGGGATCCGTTTTACTTGGAATGCCTTTCCATCAACTAGAATCGAAAGCTCTAGGACGATCGTTCCAATCTCAGCTCTCTACAAGCCTTTGAATCCAAGACCTGATTTACCTCCAGTGCTTTACGAACCTGTGACTTGTAAAGCTCCGTGCAAAGCAATTTTGAATCCTTTTTGGTAAGAATGATTATGCTTAACTTTAAGACATCAAAGATAGTTGGTTAACCTGTACATAGCCATCTTGATACTCGTGCTAAATTTTGGATATGTAAGTAATTAATCTAATCGGCAAGGTGATTATGGGACACCCGTAAACATTAAACACCAAAACAAAATGTTGCCAGTTTAACTAATAGTTTAGGTCCATTCTGCTTACAAAGGAATATGCTGCCACCCCAGTATAAGGATGTATCAAGCACTAGTCTTCCTCTCGAGTTACTTCCGGAATTCTCTACAATTGAGTATACTCTTCCCAGACCACCTCAACTCCCTCCTGTGTTCCTTTTTGTTGTGGATTTGTGTCAGGATCAGGAAAATTTGCAAGCATTGAAGGATTCCCTTATAATTAGCTTAAGCTTGCTTCCTCCAGAATGTTTGGTCGGTTTAATTACCTTTGGTACTATGGTTGATGTCTATGAGCTTGGTTATACTGATTGCTCTAAGTCGTATGTTTTCCGTGGTTCCAAGGATTATAGCTCCAAACAGGTACAAGAAATGTTGGGATTGCCTGTTAGTTCTGCTGCTGCACCAATCGCTTTACAGCAAGCTCGATCCGTTTCTGGCGGTATGACTGCTTCTCGTTTTCTTTTACCAATCCAGCAATGCGAATTTCAATTAACTAGTATCCTTGAACAACTTCAACCTGACTCATGGCCCGTTGCTAATGATAGACGTCCTCAACGTTGCACAGGAACCGCTCTAAATATTGCTGTTAGTATGATGGAAAGTAGCTGTAACAATAGTGGTGGTCGTATTATGGTTTTCGCTGGTGGTCCTAGTACTGTTGGCCCTGGTATGGTTGTTTCCACTGAGCTTCGTGAACCTATTCGTTCTCACCACGACGTTGAACGAGATCAAGCTAAGCATATGAAGAAAGCTTTGCGTTTTTATGAAAGTCTTAGTAAACGAGTTAGTGCGAATGGCCACGCTGTTGATATCTTAGCTGGCTGCTTGGATCAAATCGGTATGATGGAAATGCGAAGTCTATCTGCTAGTACCGGAGGTTATTTGGTTCTTTCTGATTCTTTTACGACATCAATCTTTAAACAGAGTTTCCAACGTATCTTTTCCCGAGATGCTTTTGGTCACTTAGCTTTGGGCTTCAATGCCAGTATGGAAGTTGTTACTAGCAAAGAACTGAAGATATCTGGCTTAATTGGTAATGCAGTTTCGTTAAACAAGAAAGCTCAAAATGTTGGTGATACCGAAATTGGACTTGGTAATACGAACAGTTGGAAGATGTGTGCTCTTTCTCCGAAGTCTGCCTTTGCTTTATATTTCGAAGTCGCTACGCAAACTGCTGCTGCACCTCAAAGTAATGATAAGGGCTTAATTCAATTTCTTACCTTATATCAACATTCGTCTAACACCTTCCGTTTGCGCGTTACTACTGCGGCTCGTGCTTTTGCCGATGGTGGTAGTCCGATAATCGTTAATTCTTTCGACCAAGAAACTGCTGCTGTCGCTATGGCACGAATTGCTGCTTTTAAAGCCGAAGTTGACGATGGACCTGATGTTCTTCGCTGGACTGATCGAATGCTAATTAAACTCTGCCAGAAGTTTGCTGAATACAGAAAGGATGACCCAGCCAGCTTCCGTCTCTCGTCTCAGTTTACCCTTTATCCTCAATTTATGTATTACCTTCGACGTAGCCCGTTTCTTCAAATTTTCAACAACTCACCAGATGAAACTGCCTTCTACCGTCATATGTTGAATATTGAAGATGTTAACAATGCTTTGATTATGATCCAACCTACCTTGCTTTCGTTTTCTTTAGAACATCCTGACGGTAAGCCTGTCTTATTAGACGCAGTTTCTGTGAAGTCTGACGCTATTCTTTTACTTGATACCTTCTTCCATATTCTCATTTTCCACGGTGATACAATTGCCCAATGGAGAAACGCTGGTTATCATGAGAAACCTGAATATGCGAACCTAAAAGAGTTGTTGCAGGCTCCTAGAGTTGAGGCTGCAGAATTATTAGTAGACAGGTTTCCGATTCCCAGATTTATTGTATGCGACCAAGGTGGTAGTCAAGGACGTTTCTTGCTTTCGCGCATTAACCCATCGGAAACTCACAACTCTGCCACTATATATGGGGCTCCTTCCGCTCATGCAGTTTTAACCGACGACGTATCATTACAAGTATTTATGAGTCATCTTAAGAAGCTTGCTGTTGCTGTTTCTTGAACGTAATTTTATGCCGGAGAAATAGCTTTACCTTTAATGATTTCGGCTGTTTATATGCATTTATTTAGGGTTTTTACTATCTAGATAAACGTTGTTAGGATGTTTTCTATGATTTTTTATAGCCTTTTTTATGTCTTAGAAAAATTGACTATCTTTTTACTTTATAGCGCGTTCATTATCATGGCTATAGGTAAACCAAATATTCTATGACCTATGATACTTCGCCTGTTCTAATAAAAAGTACAACTTACAACGAATTGTCATTGATTTCATTACATTTCATAGATAGTAAACGAGGAGTAAAATAGCTTTGTTTGATTGTTTATGCTCATGCTTTTTTAGCGCTTATTGTTTACCGACTCAGTTAGCTAAATGTAAACAAACAAATATCTATTCTGGCAAAAGTCTTCTATCATTTCAGTATCCCATATGACTTTATTGAAAGAGTATTTTGTAAGTGAACAATTGAAAAAGCCCCCCAAAGCGCATAGCGGCTTACAGAAACTGAATTACTTGCCGCCGCCGAAGGCTAAGACTTTCCAAATATACAATACGCTTCTTAATTCTGTAAGATGTCCCTGTGGAGTAAGTACAGTGCAAGTTTGCGTTTACTTCAGACACCATGGAAAGCTTGTTCCTGCATTTACGATTGAAGTTGATTCTTTATATCAAACTTGTCAAATAGGAATACTGGTTTGTGAAACAATCCAGACTTATCCAAACACCTTGTTACCAGAAGATTTGAGACACAAACCGATTAAAGTCTCGCCATTCTACCGGGAAAGCTTTGAACTTTGTCCCAAAGATCAGCGAGTAATTGAAAATCTTGACGGACCTAACCACATCCTTGTAGAACTCGCAAGAGCTAATGAAAACTGATTTGATGCACAGCTTATCTTAAAGATCGTTGTAATTGTCTATATAGGCGTTTAATATTCATGAGCTACTACTACATCCAGCACGTAACCTTATAATTTTTACGGACAATTTGATCCTCTTACTTGTAAAGATTTTACTTACCATCTTACGCATCAAGCCAAAAAGAGGGCTCATTTACAGACAATCACTTTCTGTCATTGCTAAATTTAGGATTTGTTATGGGACCCTTCTCCTGTTTCACTTTGAACTCGGCCAGCAAGCAAATGTGATCACTAGGAAAGTGTGCATTCGGAAATCCGACTATGCTCGAAAGGTAATTACGATCTACCCCCTTCAACAAACCAGTTGCCTCAAGGTTAGCATTTGTATACCATATGTAATCAATCGTGCCGCTGAAACCAGGTGTAAAGTTCGTAAATGGGAGTTCTTGAGTTTCGCTATAAGCGGATTTCAGATTGAACGGATGAGATTTACCGTTATAAGTGTAATCACCATAATCATTATTCATGAAATCCTCGTGATGCTGCTCGACCTTGCCTGATGACAGAAAATCTAACACGCCACTTCCAGGAACAGAATTGAAATCACCACAAATTAATACAGGTATCTTTGTATAATCTGAATAGGACGGTCTTGAATCCTTTAAATAATCAGCTGGAAGCTTGGAGGGCAACGAACAGAACCGAGTAGCAACCTGAGCAAGTTCATCCATTAGCATAGCTACCTGCATAAGCTTAACGTCTCTGAATTGAGGATCCCAATGAATGTGGCAGTTAGCAACAATTAACCGATGCCCAGTTTCTTTGGATTCTAACATAGTCATAACGCTAATGTTATCTTTGGTCATAACGCGATTATACATGTTGGAAGTAAGTTTGATATTTTGCCTTCGAAGCGAAGGGGCTTGGTTGAACTCGATAATAGATTTTTCATGCATAAAAAACTTTGAGGTTTTGAAAAAAGTAGCACAACCATCAACAACCCTACGTTCGAGTTCATTCATAGTACGTACTCGACTTTTAGGGAAATGCACTCCTTTATAACCTTTTATACTCATTTCGGGAGCAAAGAAAGTATCAAAGTTTTCAACATCTACTTCTTGAAGACAAATAATATCAGCCTTATAGCCTGCGAGTTCTTGCATAATCAAGTCCCTTCGATAAGACCAAGCAAGGGCCCAAGAAGGAGTATATCCATATAATGTGGATGTAGCATAACGTTCGCAAAGTATATTATAGCTCATAGCGGTAAACTTAAAATTAGTATTTGACTCGTTTGGTTTTGGAACGCTAGATCCTTCGGTATCGGAAGTAAGCATTAGCGACTTTTCATTAGCATCATCATTATCAGAGGTAAGCTTTTCCCATTCACGCTCAGGAGGGGGAGGAATAACAGGGCAGCCATCACGAAGAGCAGTAATTAACCCAGTCGTTCCAGTTTCCATTAGCTGAGACTTGTAGACATCTTGTAAAGGATTGCCTTCAACACCCAAAATTTTTAGTTGATACAATGTACCTAATTCAGGGGGAATTACAGCAATCATGTTATCAAATAACAGCACTTCTCGAAGCTCAGTGAGTAATCCAAGTTCGGGTGGAATTGCTTTGATATTGTTTCCAGATGCATCTAAAATAACCAAATTTCGTAATTTTCCAATTTCAGATGGGAGACGACTCAACTTATTATGATTAATGTAAAGTTCGGTCAAAAAGGAAAACTTGAATAAATCAGTGCTGACGTTGCGCAATCCAATGCCTCCCAAATCCAAGCAGGTCCAGTCTTGTCGTGATTCTTGACGAGAGTCATTTTTATCGTCAGGTTTAGTGGTAGTAGTCGTAACCACCGTACTCGCGGTAGTCAAGTTATTTCCAACGCTGTTGCTAGTAGTAGTTGATACCGTGGTAGAATTTAACCTTCCTGACAGGGCATTTGAAGCATTAGCACCAATTCCCGAATAGGCAGCACCACCGTTCCTGGTATTGTAATTCATTGCATTCATACCCGAAGTTCGAGCTAAAGCAGCAGCATTATGCGCACGTTGATGAGGAGAACTGAAAGCTCTTGACTGCGTAGCAACTGCAATTTGCTGTTTCCAATGTTCAGAAATATGTCCATTTTCTATAGCTGGTGAATTGTGAACCGACAGAATGGCTGCATGTTGTTGATCAGGCGTAAGCAGCCCTGGATGCGTTCCTGGATAGATTGTTCCTTGCGTATACCTAGGATTGAACATAGAAGGTATCTCGCAAATTTTACTGTGTCGAGATGTTTACTGTATACAACATTCACTACTAAGCAAACGAAGTGAAGTTGTTGGTTGACGGCAAGTGTTTCCCCCGGTAGAAGGTCTCATAGTGCTAACCAACCTCACCACCATAAACAACCTAACTAAAAGAAAATTTAGATGAATCTTTAATCAGTCACTGTAAATTAATATGATGCGTAAAAGTTTTTAATAGGTATGGTATGGACAATCTAGATAGTAGAGACCCTTTTAAGAAAAGGTTTTTTAAGTCCTTCCTAGATTATAAAGAATAATCACTTTATCAAAATAATTTAAGCAAAAGTCAATTGTATGCAACATGAATAAATCTATTAAAAAAGAAAAAATCTCATAATCATTATACAAAAAACTTGATATTATTAGTACATACACAAAGGAGTAATTAACAAGTCTGTTACGAAACTGAAGAAATTAATCAGTTTTTGGAACCAGAAGGGGGCAACTATATGGCAGCTAAAAAGAAATAGGTTTTTCTAAAAACGAAAGATCAATAAGACTTTAATTAACTGGCGCTAATTGACATGCATAAATTTCTTTTGGTAAAAGAAACTTGGTATATAGGAGTTTGCTTCGTGTTTAAGCGGACCATCTGATCAGGACTAGCAATAATGTAAGTATAACAAAGTTGTTGAGACTAGACTTACCTTGTTGTCCAAGCGGCAGTTGACTCCTTAGCGTCAGATTCAGTGTTGCTATAAGGTGTCACCACGCTGCCAGCGAGCGAACCCGACACTGAATCGGAATAGTTGGTTTTTAAAACATCCCAAGCTCGAACAGTGTAATCAGCACCGCCACTCACAAGCACTGATGACTCTTGGGAAAACGAAAGCGAATAAATACCACCTTGGTGGCCTTTCATTGTCTTTATTCTTCGACCGGAACCGATATCCCAAAGGTGTATAAGCCCATCATAATCTAAAAAACGTGTCAGCTAGGAATACTTTGATTATTTCTTCTCTATTTTTTTAGTGAAAAATTTCATACCGGCACTAGCTACCGTATGGCCATCTGGAGCAATGGCTACAGCGGTTACAGGCTTTGTATGGCCGTTAAAAACACGAACTGAATGCCCTCTATGAACATCCCACAATCTGCAAGTTTTGTCATTAGAACCAGTTAAAACATAAGCCGAGTTCGGATGAAAAGTCACACACTATTTTTCGTTAGTATATAAATTCTTGCATACTTCAAACCTACATCTACATCGCTCAAATGTCCAGCGAAAACCCGTAGAGGATAAATATGGTCGCAACTCCAGAGCAAAGCAGTTTGGTCGTGAGAAGCAGTAGCAAAATAATGTCCGAACGGCCCGAAGCTTACATCCCATACGGGACCGCTGTGTCCTTTGTAAGCTACTAGTGCAGTTTTGGTATCCACAGACCAAAGACGAGCACTCCGATCTTCCGAGCAAGATAAAAGGTATTTGTTATCTGGAGAGAACTTTGTACCATACACAGGTCCAGAATGACTTAAAAGTCGAGTAGAATCACTTGTTGGTTCGTTTGTTGTTCGAGTAGATGACTTTTTATCGGGTTTAAGAGACCAAAGTCGTATATAGCTTTCTTGAAAGCCGGAAGCAATCATTGTTGTATCTGGTGAAAATTCGGCACAATTCATAGAACCGTTGGTATCATGGAAAGTATACATACATACGCTCGGAAGCGATGCACGGGCTCCCAGATGCAACCTTTTACTCCAATCTTTAACCGCTTCGACTTCTGCTGCAATATCGGCACCTTTGTGAGGTGGCAAAGGTATGTAGTCACGAGATGGAGCATCTTCTGGGTTCGGAGGATGAGCTTTTCGAAATTCGCCTAGGAGATTTGATGGACTTTGTTTGGTAACAGGATCCATATGCAGTAAGTCTTCTTCTTCCAAATCCATCTCAACAATTTTTTCCATTTCCTTATCCATGGGCATATGACTTAAACGAACCGGCTGCAATTGCCCTTCTCCCCGATCCAAAAGCTGACCAGTTATTCCTTCTTGTTCATTGAGGATACCATGACTTGTAGATAGTGTAGGCCTTCCCGGGACTATATGGATGTCAACGTGTCTATTAATTAATTGAATAATAACCGTTCCTCCGTTGGAAATGTTTTCGAAAAGAAAGTGAAGTAGTAAGTCAAAGGTAATTCGAGAAAAGTTGAGCTGATATTTGTTTTTTCGGTATTGCTGGGCAACAGGGTCTTCATCCACATGGCTAGGAAGACTCAGTGATTTTAAACACTTTACATCCCAACTATGCAAATCTTCATGATCTTTCATAAACATATCATAAAATTGTTTGGCTATTTCAAGTTAATAATCTTTTCTATTTTTATATTCATGTTCTTTTACAGAAAACCTGAAGACGCAAACTTTCCGTAAAAGCATTGGGCATGCAGACACGCATAAAACAAAGCCTTCACTTTTACTTACCTGCATCATAACGATCTAAGGATAATAAATCCAAAAACGAGTGAACAAAAATCGGAAACAAAATCCTTCTTAACTCTGATTTATACAATTCCAGAGAACTATCTACCCAGTCTCGTAAAAGGGTGTACGTATGAGCATAGGCATCTGGAGTCTCCCTTATATTTTTCAATTTTTCCTCTACGGATATACCAGAATCAGAAGCCTCTAAACGAAGCATGGCTTCTGTTCTGGCATAGCCTTTTTTGGCCAAATAGTCCAACACAATGCGATTTAAATCTTGTGCTTGAGTTCCATTGCCGGCCGACATATTTTATATATATAAGCACTTCCAAACTTGACCTTATTTCCTAATTGAACCGCTTTTCCTTCAAAAAACGCGTAAATTCATATGAAAGTGTTTAAAAGGCCCCTAGTAAGTAGTTTTTACAGGTACTTTGGATGGATCGCTTAGTGAATCATAGCGAAGTACATTATCTAGTTTCGTTTGTTTACACGTTTATAAAAGAGAAATTCTGGCGAATGTTAATATAGAAGTTTCTGGTATTCATCCTTTTAAATAGTTGAAAGAATAGCTTTGCATGGTAAGCAAGCTATTACTAAAATCAGAATTGTGATGATTAACCGTTTATTTGACCTCGTTTAACTAATAAGTACACCGAAGGAAAAGGCGTATTCATTTATTTAGCAGACGGAAAGAAACACAGTTTCACTGAATCTGTCAAGAAACTCAAGTAAAACGATGTAAAACGGCTAATATTATTGAACTAAAAATAGGTATACAAAAAGATTCACATCATGTTCAAAGTACAAAATAGGAATATATAATTACTAAAAAGAACACACATTAATGCAGTCCTTTCTTCTTTTAATGTATAGTAAAAGTTGAATTAAATATCGTATTCTTTTCTGAGGGCGCATCTTCATACTACTATGCCCTTTGTTTACACCACTTCAATGAACTTCTTCAGTTTAGCTTATACCAGCACTTTCCTCCTTAAATACTTATTCTCATTGGGGTCATCCAAGTTTATCAAAAAAATATATTAAATGGATTAATAGTTCGCTAGTAAATATCTTGGCATGCTGGTTGTCTTGCTTTCATCTACAGTATAATCAAGGAATATCCAAAGGCCGACATATAATTTACATTCGTTGATCCAAAGCTTCATATTGTAACTACAAATTCATTAATTTCAAAACTTTAGTTTGTCTATTTGCTTTCGTTTACCAAATTTGGTTTTCGTAATCTAACTGTCCCTGACCTTGCAAATGTCCACGAAGACTTTTAGTGCTTCAAAGCCTGCTTGGACCACTGATAAGGTTATAAAATCTCTTACATATCCCGAGCATTGCTCTATCTCACTTGTAGAACGTCTTCGCGCTACTCTCACAACGAACAATGTCAAGTCTTCTCATGGATGGACATCTGACTTACTTCTCACAGCTTTAAAATCCGCTCTTGAGAATATGGCTAAACGTTGGGCAGATTTGCCAAGTGAAAATAAATTGCAGATATGCCAGGCATTTTCTTCTCTTCGTCGCTCTGCTTCTTCAAAAGCCCAATTGGAGATTAAATTACTTTATGATTGCTGTTGCTACCTGATGGATAGATTGGCCTTTAATCATGAGTCAGATGCACAACTTTACAGCTGCATTCGAGCTAGATTGGCCATTGTAAACAGGCTTTTGGACATGGAAGTTACGGAGCCTGCCATATTTCATCTTAGTAAGGTCTATTATAATTTTTGTTCATTATTTCAATCACTTTCTCCAAGATTTATGAACAATTCGTCATATATCTCTTCAGGAGCCTTAACAATGTCAGCCGTCGAACTGCAAAATTGCCTATATTTCCCCCTTCCTAGTCTCTCACTTGCCCAAGGTGCTTGTTCACTTCTAGTGACCTTCCAGCTCAATGTTTTAAGATGTCTTACCTTATTCCCAAATTTCTGTCTTTCCCTTTCTACAATTCAGAATTTGATGAAAGAAACAGGTCCATATGCTTCTTGCTTGAGATTATTTTCCCTAAATGAAGAACTCGGGCTATCCAGGATAGAAATTTTTGCAAGATTTCTCTCGAGATTTGCTCTTACTGAACAGAATTCATTGCATTCCTTGTATTTATTTGCTTACTCTCTTCAGTCCTGGCTACATATAGGAAGGTCTTTCATGTTAAAACATGCCATCGCTTTGCCAGAGTCAATAGAATTACGGGTTGTCAACTTATTTCATAAACTTTTTAATGCTTGCGATCCTTCCGTCATTAATATTGATCAATTAAATGAGATTTATGAGGGAATCCTGTTTGGAATTGACTTTTTAAATGTAGACAACAGAACTGAGCTGAACCTGAGAGTATCTGATACTTATTACCAGTATAGCGATGTTACAGCGTGTTTTTCACGACTAACGGATGGTATTGAATCTTCTATAGGTGAAAGGATAGCTAAATTAAAATACCTTCTGCTTATGTTTCGCCTCTCCTTGAAAAAAGATTGTCCCAAAGTCTCCTTTGATATTGTCTCGGAAATCAGTACTTCCGTTGAACTTCTTAATTCGGATTCCATTCGTCCGAACGATCTTATTTATTTCCTTAATGTAATTGACAATATATTTTCTTATCCTCCACATACGTCTCCTGATGGCCATGATAAAGTTAGAACGTTTTCGGTGATGGCCTCCTTTGCGCATGTCATTTTGGCTGCTAATCGAGAGTTGACATCAGATATCGAAGCAAACAAGCTATCAAAAAAGGTGAAGCGCTTTCTTTCTCTTTCATTTTATCAGTTACGTTCTTTGAAGGAAACCGAAATTCCCTTAGATACCTTTAGATGCTTTATCCAAGTTGCAATTAAATTTCAGGAGCCCGAGTTTTCTCAAAAACTATCAAATTTTTGTTACAATAACAGTGTAAAATCCAAACATACAGATCTCTCTATTCGATATATTGACTTAAGCGTTTCTATAACACTGTGGCACAACTTACTAGATGATGAGACATTTATCTTGAAACTCGTGAAGTGGCTTCAATTATTGGGAGAAAAATCGACGAAAGATTTCACTTTAAAAAAGGTCTCAAATATGTTGGAATTTCACTTCACACAGCCTTCATTCAAGGTTACCGCATCTCTTACTAAACTGTTGAAATGGATTATTAGAAGTATGCATTCGCTCGGAGAAAGCCATTTAAAAATTTACATCTCATGTTTGAGTATCACTGTCCTGAAAGCTATAAGTAAAGAAATGCTTGATTCCAAAGAACATGGCCCGAGTATAATATCCATACGAGTTCTTGCAGAAATGTTCGATAGGGAAGTGGACTTATCAGAGAAGGCAAACATTCTTTGCCTAATGTCATGCACGGTGTTTAATAATGCAAGTCTTAATTTGTGTTACTCATCATCTATAAAAAGAAAGATTGAGGATTTACAATCGTGCGCTTCAAAATGCCCAAAATTTCACCTACATAGAATTATTCTCGAAATATGGGATTTTTTAATAAAGTACCAAGCTAACCGTTGCTATGAAATTCCCTTACAATCTTTGCTTAAAAGGTTATCGGATTTCGTGCTTACATCTCGGCCACCAGCGACCCTTGTAGAATTGAGCGATAGAGACATATATACCTTTTTGACCGCTTCTTTCAGTATTTTTCATGTTATTGAAGTCTTGGGCGACTATTGCTCGGAACTCCTATTGTTGGAAACTGTATATGAACTTCTTAAAAACTACTTATCCAATCCAGCAGGGAGATACATTGTCGTGATAGTTACTCTGCTTGCAAATAAATATGTGTCTTTGGGGTTTTCGGGTAAAGCGCACCTTTGCTTCTCTAGAGCTTATAACTTTTTTAAAAAGCAAAATGGGACACAAGAATGTTTCGAAAATTTTTGGAGAGTATCTTTCGCTAAATATTTAATTATTACGGGTAACGCTGAAAAGGGGTAAGTAATTAATTGCTGGAATTTTTCTAACCGGGAACAGAGTTTTACAATTGAAGAACTACAGTACGACAAAGAAGGGACTATTTACAGGACTACAAAATTTGGTGGTCTTAGATTATTTGTTGATGTATGAAAGGTTCCAATTTTCCGAAGCAGTGTATTTATTAGGTCACTCTTCTCAGGCGTTGCACATAATAACGCAAAATCTGCGGATGATGAAATCTTTTTTTTCTATGTCTATAGACAAAATGCATTCTAACAGTACTGAATCGAGCTTGCCATGGGAATTGGCTCGGATTGCTGTAATGTCTAATAACCTCACTGCTCAGATTTATGAACATATGGGGCAACTGAGGGAAGCAATGTATTTCACTAAACAAGCATGCTTATTAGAAGAAACTATATGCCCCTTATTCAGTGCTTACTGTTCTAAATTATCGTTATGCTCTTTGCTCGCGAAAGCTGGGCGAATTGATGAAAGCGAGGTTATTATTCAGGAAATAGCGGATTTAGAGCAATCTTCTAGCTTCCATCAAAAATATCTTTGGAACCTAGTGAATGCTGAAATAGACTATTCGAAAGGGGAATTAAATGGTTCAATTAGACGTTATTCGCAATGTCTAGATTTATTAGATTTTTTGAAGCAAGAAGTTCTGTCTTTTATTCAGTTGTGTAAAAATAATCGTTCTTTAACGAAAGGAATAAAAAGGTTAAGTTTGTCTAATTCAGCCTATCCAACTGGAAAAGAAAAGCTCTTTGACTTGGATTGTTCGATTTTAGATGACAAGGCAGCCAAAGTGCTTCAAAGAATTGCGTTGATAGAAATAAAAAGAGGAAATTTGGATGAAGCAAGGTCGTTGATGAAGGCATCATCTGGAAAATTTATTGGTGATTTTTCTAATGTCGTGTCTCTGCAAATCGCAAAGGCAAAAATAGCGTTAAGTGAAGCCAATATGACTCTACGAGGTAATCCAGCTCTAAGCACCCTCCAAGATTCTGTTGTGTCCTTACCTTGCATAACCGAAAGACAGATAGTTGGTGTTCATGGGAAATTAATTGCCGCGTCGCCAAACATTCAAATTTCGAAAAGAAAGCAAGGGCATCTAAATCTTTTAAGAGAAAAGCTGAAAACTATTTTGCTGAACATTCGTTTGAACTGCGAATTAATTTTCTTTAATACATTTGAACGAAGTTCAGTAGAAACATGCAGAGCTGTTAACAACTTGATGACTTTTTCTTCAATCATGCAAAGTGCTATAACAAGTTTAGACGAAAAAAATACGTTGAATTCTGTCACTACGTCGTTCTTTATGGAGATTCCCCGTGCTCTAGGTTTCCAAAGAAAGTTGGTGAATTCTAAATCGGTATGGCAATCGCATTCCTATAATGAGAGTGAAATTGTCAATATGATATCCGAAAGTAAATCAAAAGCTCCACGTTTTGAGGAATTTGAAGAGTTTATAAACCAGCTACCCTCAACTTGGAATGTAATTTCTCTAAGCATTAACGAATCGAAGGAAGAGCTTTTCGTGACAAAATTAAGGAAGGAAGCAGCCCCTTTAATTTTTCGATTGCCTTTAAAACGCCACAGTTCTCAGGCAGTAGACGAGGACGTTTTGAGTTTTGACAAAGCACAGTCAGCATTTGGTAAAATAATTGCTAAAAGTAACGAAACAGCACAAAATGGAAAGGACTATACTACTAAACAAGACAAGGAATCATGGTGGAAACAACGAAGAGAACTAGATAGTAGTTTAGCCAAGCTCTTAAAGAATATAGAGCTTTTCTGGCTTGGTGGATTTAAAGGTATTTTCTCAAACCATAAACCAGATATGGGTCTATTTTTGAAATTCATTCATCAATTGTATGATATTATGAGAAAAAACCTTAACTTTTCGGATCTGGGGAATACTATTGAATTGTCATCTGGTATACTGGAACTTTTCGTCTCTCTTGGATCGCCTGACCAAGATAATGTTGATCAATTGCTTGAAGATCTTATATACTTCGTTCTCGACATATATCAGTTTCATGGGCTACAATTCGCTTATGATGAAGTTGATATGGACCAAATGATCATAGACGTTAAGGATGCACTAAGAGTTTACCATAATAACTACGATCCTGAAAAAAGTACTAGTCATACCGTACTTTTGTTGGATAAGATGGTCCATAAATTCCCATGGGAGTCGTTGCCCTGCTTGCAGCAGCTGTCAGTATCAAGGTTACCATCCATTTCCATCTTAAAAAGTATCATATGTAAAGAAGTTCGTCCAGAGCCATTTATCAAGGTAAATATTGACTCTGGCTCTTATATACTTAATCCCAGTTTAGACTTAAAACATACGCAAGATATGTTCGAAGCAGAATTATCTGCTACTGGATGGAGGGGAATTATCGGACGAAGTCCTTCGAATGAAGAGTATAGGTCTATGTTATCAGACTATGACTTTTTTCTTTATTTTGGCCATGGCGGAGGTGAACAGTACACAACTTCGAGAGATTTGGCGGCGCTTAATAAATGTGCCGTGAGTATTTTAATGGGTTGTAGCTCAGGGGCATTACACGAGTGTGGTATATATGAGCCTTGGGGGACTCCTTTGAATTATTTGGGTGCTGGTTGCCAAACTTTGGTAGCTAATTTATGGGATGTAACGGATAAAGACATTGATCGGTTTAGTGGTGCAATGCTCTCCTATTGGGGTGTTTTTTCTGGTAAAAAAAGCGCAGAAACATTCAACATATGTGAGGCAGTTAGCAAAAGCCGTAAACACTGTCATCTTCAGTTCTTAAATGGCGCTGCCCCTGTCGTTTATGGATTACCTGCCTTTGTCACTAAAAATATTTCAAATGATGTTTATGCATAATTTTTTTGAAAATATTTATTTTCTTTTTTCTATATCTGTAAAAATAAAATGAATTTAATTCCTCGAAGTCATAATGAAATATTTATACATATTTATGCTCTAGTGATGCGAAGCATAGTTGGCACGAAGTACTGAATCATAGCTGCAAATAAATCAAGCGTTGGGATTCACAATGGATGCAGTTGTGGCATTGGGAGCGGAAGTTGTAGGAGTGGGAGTAGAATTTCCAAGGGTTGCATGTTTGTGAATCCAATCACAGACTTGATTTAAATAGAGAGTCCTATCAGGTTCTTGTTCGATATTAGCTAAGTGAAGTATGTTAGCCTTGATTTAAAATAAAACAAAAATTAAAGCAAATAAGTGCACTTACGTGAATGTTGGCAATCAGGAAGAGAGAGGAAAGTCTTGTCTCTCGAACTTGCATGTTCATAAAATTCCTGAGATGCCTCGTACAAGTTGATGTTGTCATCAGTACCATGGGCAATGAGAAGAGGCAAATGAAACTGGTTAGCTTCTTCGAGTGTTTGCTGCGAACTAATAGAAAATGTTAGTAAGAGTATAGGAAATATGTATTGAGTAACCATACCAATTTATAAGGTCGCGCAATGTTTCAAGGGAACCAACTGACGAGGCGAGAGGGTCACTAAGAATTCGATCCATCATTTTCTGGTCTCGAGTTCCCTTCTTCGTTTCCATAATCTTGGTATTCCACGTAAAATTAGGCATCACTCTGCTAACAGCGGAAAGACTAAAAATTATGTAAGTGCAAGTCAATTCAAAGGAAACCTTACGATTTGTATAATAAATAACCGGGTTTTGTATCAGGATGATTTTGCAACATAGGGGCTTGAGCAATCACACCCTTTAAATTCTTGCGATGATCACCTATCATACCATATCGAAGCGACAAACCTCCGCCCATTGAATGACCCATTAAAAACAATGGAAGATTTGTGTCGCTTGCTCGTTGTACATGGTAATCGATGTCAGGAAGTTGCTGCTTCCAACCACCGCTACAACCCTGAAATTTTGGAGATTTCTTCGAGCGACCAAATCCTCTTTGATCAAAGCAAAACACTTCAATATTTCGCTGATTCAAAAACTCGAAGAATTCGGGATAAAGATTAGCGTGTTCGCCAAATCCATGAATGAATAAAACTCTTGCAACTGGAGTTTCTTTTGTGTCAGTATAATCCTTTACGTAGAGATCTGCCATTTTTAATACTCTTTATTTTCTCCCAATGTAAAAGTGAAGAAGAAATTAACTGTTATATAAGTTGAAAACGTACATCCTTCAACACGCTATTATTCCGATACCTCTTTAATATGAAGCTACGTACTGTTTTCGCTCTGTATTACTTATATAAGAATAGTCGGCTTAAAATTATAAAATCGAGTTGTATATTACTAATTGTAAACAAATCATTTAAGGCACAGATTCTAAGCCAAAAAAAAATTTATTCGTATTCTTCAGGAATGGCAGTTGATAATAATAATAAAAATTTGACTTCTGTAGAGTATGGAGAAATAGTACAAGTGGGCAACGGAAATGTGGATGAAATAAACATCAGAGGCGATAAATTCGTTGAATAAGTGATTCCAAACCTTGAATGAAAAAGGATTGTAAGAAATTATATGATTTATTTAATATTCATAATGGAGCAGTTTGGTATCCCCCTTCAATTACCTTGTACTTATTTACTTTCATCTACCAATGGCTTAATTAGTTGAATTCCAAAATAAGCATTGCTGGATGTACGGAGAATTTCCTGTTGTTCTGCTTTAAGATTTGAGGATTTATAGTCTTTCAATAATCATAATCTATGGTATGTTTTAAGATAGCAATATTTACATCTCGTAGTCTATGATTTATAAAAATTACAATGTTGATCGGTTAAAAGGAATCAATAGTCCGTGCTTGTGCAATATGAGAAGAGACTTTACTTTACGAGCACTGTAAATAGTTTAACAGTTGAAAGGTTCTCTATTTCCATTGTTTACATTTGAAGTGTCCATAGCACAGTACATATATGAGTTCGTAAAAAAGCAGTTTTCCATAAAAAAATATATAAAAAATTTTTTTTTTAATAAGCACGAACGTAAAGCCATACGAATAAAACATTAATAACACAACGTATGGTGAATTCAGATCAGGTACAATATCAGATTGAATAACATCAATCTGCATTTGACTAAGCGAAATTGAGATTCCATCCTTAAAATTGTCTTATAATTGTTCTTATTGAAGATGACAATCGAGGGGTTTATAACGTTATGTATCATGATGCCGATGCCTTTTTGAAATTCCGTGCCTGTGAGATAGAGAACCGTGCTGTTTCGAGGAACTTCGTTTAGAGCGGTGTCTTTCTTTTTTCTTATATACCCTCTCCTCTCTCTTTTTTTCATCAACATTAGATTTTTCTGAGAGAAGAGAATCTACGAGCGACATAGGGTCGTCGCGGATTGATCTCTTTATAGTGGCTGATGTCAGATTTTCTGTTGATTCTGTATTTTGTTTCATATACCACGGAAGAGGACCTTGAAATGTTAGTTTAGAATTTTAACTCTGAATACATACCTAGTCCATGTTTCTCTTTCATAACTTCAATCTCATGTCCATGTTTTTTGTAAAGCTCTTGACGATTATGTTCCTAGTAATCAGCTGTTAGCATCTAAAGGATGATCGACCTATTCGTAGTAAACATACCTGCTTCTCTTCTTGCTCCCAGAAATTCGCAAACTTTCCCTTTGGAGCCGACTCCAACCCTGGTAATTCTGTCTGGCCTCTCAGTCTTCGAAGTCTATTTTCAGAATCCTAAAAATAAATACGTTAGAAAATTATTTATTAGCAGAATACACGCTGACTTACCCGTTTAGCTAATTGTTCATCAGAAATTCGGGCCAATTCTTCATCACGGCGGACTCGCTCCACATTTTTTTCGCTGTACACTGAATACAAAAATTACATTAGTTGTCCTGTAGCCTAAAAATATAGTATCCTACCATTCCAGCTTTTATGTTTCAGTAAATTCAATGGCATGGTCTTTTCGTAAAATTGTCGCCAAATACAAAGTGTATGCCAGTAGATATTAGTCTAAATGAATATCTAAATAAACAAATTTTGGTTAAATTTCAAAGGTACATTTTTTTTTAGATAATTGGAAGAAAAATGATATAAAGCTGTTGGAGTTCGCAATGTAAGATCACTCCCCTTCTCTGAAATGAATGTCAATTGATGCTTGTTCACAAGTAAAGTATACTCTTCTCTGTCTTCTGTCTTCTTTTTAAATAAACTGTTCCTATTTAGGCGCAACGAATAGTTCTAGCAAAACAGCAAAAAAAATGGTTCATTCAAACGTCTTTTTTGAACAAAAAAGATTTTGTCACTATACAGAATGCTTCCTCTAAGTTTTTGTAAACGATTGAAGTATCCTATTTGTAGGTTTTCATTTCGTAGTAAAAACCGGCAAGAGAAGTCAGCATAGATTCATAAATACACAGAGAGAGAGAGCGAGAAGGGTCAGTAGGATAATAGTAGCAATAATACAATTATCCTTTGTTAAGATCATCCATCATTCCGTGTTTGTGTTGGACGAACGGTATGATTGTATTCACGAACGCGTCGTAATTAAACCTATTAATTTCCAAACACCATTTTTCTTACTTAGTCATTACCTGACAAAAAATACAATAAAACCGTTATTACTTGAATTTTATAATCTATTTTTCTTCTTTCAGGGCTCGTTTCTCGTATTACAGAAGCGAATATTGCGATATTCTCGTACACGATTTGTGAGTCGTCCTCTGTGGGCAACTTTTCATGAGTTCAGAGCAGGAAAGTGATTCTCTATATTTGGGGAATGAAATAGAAACTGAATTTGAAGGCAACACTCAAGGAACACGCCGTTCTTCTCCCGAATCTTTTAATGCAGTAAGTTTTGTTTACCCTACTAAATCCAGTAGGTTACTAACTAGAAGTTATTAGAAAGATACAAAAAGAAGACGGGTTGAATATGAACAGGATTCTTCCTTAAAGACGAGAGCGGTTCAAAGGTCTGTTTCTACCAATTTATCTAGGAATAATACTGCGGATTCAACTGGTGAAGATACTGTCCAAAATGCTATTCAGTCGAATCCTCAGTTTGAAAACCGTGTTGGAGTTATTGAATGCATTCACCTTATTAATTTTATGTGTCATGATTCGTTGCGTATAAGTTTTGGCTCAAGGATCAACTTCGTTATTGGTCACAATGGAAGTGGTAAAAGCGCGATTCTAACTGGACTTACTGTTTGTCTAGGGGCAAAAGCCTCTAGCACCAATCGTGCTCCAAACATGAAGAGTCTGATCAAGCAAGGTAAAAGCTTCGCAAGGATATTAGTCACTATTAGCAATAGAGGGTTTGAGGCATATCAAAGGGATGTCTATGGTGATTCTATTACCATTGAACGTACTATTCGACGGGAAGGCTCTACTGAATATAAGCTTCGGAGTCAAGATGATACAGTGATTTCTACGAAACGGGAGGAGTTGGATAGTATATGTGATCACATGGGACTTCAAATAGACAATCCTATGAACATTCTAACACAAGATACGGCGCGACAATTCTTAGGAAACTCTAGCCCAAAAGAAAAGTACCAACTCTTTATGAAAGGAATCCAACTCAAACAATTAGAGGATAATTATTCTTTGATTGAGCAAAGCTTGTATCAAACTAAAAATGCTTTGGATGGGAAAAAGTCTGGTCTTCTTCAATTAGCTAAGAAAGAGGAAGATTGTAAAACCAAATGGGACCAATCCCGCGAAACAGAAAACCTTCATAATATATTAGAAAAGAAGAAAGAAGAAATGGCTTGGGCATTAGTTGTTGAAGTTGAAAAGGAACTTCTGGGTACCGAAGAAGAAGTACGCGTTGCGGAAACCCGTGTTAACCAGTGTCACGAAGAGAGGAATTCGTACATTAAAAAATTTGGTGAATTTGACGAAAGGATTGTATTGAAGAATCAGGCTATGGAAATTCTTAAAGCGTCTATCACGGAAACCAAAGCAAGGTTCGAAAATGTGATTAAAACTTTTGAGGCACACCGTTCGGAAGTGAACGACGTAGACATACAAAAAAGAGATATTCAAAACAGTATAAATGCTGCAAAAAACTGTCTTCAGATTTACAAAGATCAACTTGCTAGTGAACGTGAACGCCAAAATAATGATGATGTCTCCGATCACCAACGAAGACTCGATGAGATTTCTACTTTACAAAGACAAATTGCTAATTTGAGTGAACAGGCAGTTGAATTGGAATCCAAAAGGAATGAACTACATACGACTGTTCTTGAAAAAGAAGGTAACCTATCGTCTTTTCTTGATAAAAAGGATACTTTAGCTAAACAGGTGACCAATCAAGCCGAAAAGATTCGCGTCATGGAAGAAGTTCAGAAAGACAAGTTGACAGCGTTTGGTAAAAATATACCATATCTGCTACGATTAATAACACGAGAGACTCGATTTCAGCATCCTCCCAAGGGACCAATGGGTCAATATATGACGGTAAAAGAAGAAAAATGGCATCTCACTATAGAGAGAATATTGGGAAATGTAATTAATGGTTTTATTGTGCGGACTCATCAAGACCAACTTGTTTTAAAAGAATTAATGCGTCGTGCTAATTGTAATGCTACTGTCGTCGTAGGCCGTTATGACCCTTTTGATTATTCTTCTGGGGAACCCGTCACTCCCTACTCCACTGTCCTTCAGGCCATTCACTTTGAAGATGATGAAGTATTACATACATTGATCAACCACCTAGGAATCGAAAAGATGCTCTTAATTGAAGATAGGAAAGAAGCCGAAGCATACATGAAACGTGGTGTCATCAATGTAACTCAATGTTATGCGCTGGATCCAAGAAGCAAAGGTTTTGGATTCCGTATAGTAAGCAACCAAAGATCGTCAGGTATATCCAAAGTTACGCCATGGAATCGTCCACCAAGAATTGGAGGATCCAGTTCTATGGACGCTAGGCTAGAAAAAAATCAGCTAGAGAACCTTAAGCAACTCTACGATAATGCTAATAATGATCTTCTTGCTGCAAAGCAAGAACTGGGAAGGCATAAAAGGGAAGAGCAAATAGTCATCGAGAAAATTGAAGCAATTAAAAGAGAGATTTTGGATACGCGGAGACAGGTTAATGCCTTGGAGTCAGTGGAAACCTCGGTGCTGGACACTGAGAAAATACAAAGTCTTGAAAGAAAAATTTCAGAGACGGAAAAAGAATTAGAAAGTTATGTCGGTCAGCTTCAGGATGCTAAAGACGAGGAACGAAGGATAAGGGAGGAGCAATTACCTGTTATAGATGAAATTGAAATGTTTAAGGAAAAAATTCAAGGTGAAAATCAAAAGTTGGCAATACAGCAAGCCGAAATTGATCAAATAAGAGACGAAAAAACAAGACTGGAAATGGCCCAAGAGGAATACATAAATAAGTCCGAACATTTGCTAAACGAAATGCGAGAAAAAGAGGCAAAACGGATACGCTGTTCCCAAGTAGTAGCTGAGTATACCGCGAAAGCTGCCACTCGATGCGAACGGGTTCCGGTGACACATACGCCTGTGGAGCTGGATAATGAAATTGAACGATTACAGCTTCAAATTACTGAATGGCGAAACCGGACTGGTATATCTGTAGAGCAAGCGGCTGAAGATTATTTGAAAGCAAAAGAAGAACATGATCGTTCCAAGTTCCTCGTATCAAAACTGCAATTACTATTGGAAACGCTGGAAGAGACACTGAGGAAGAGAAATGAAATGTGGGCTAAATTTAGAAAGCTAATTACTCTTCGTACTAAAGAACTGTTTGAGCTTTACTTGAGTCAAAGAAACTTTACAGGGAAGTTGGTTATTCGACACCAAGATGAATTTCTAGAGCCGAGGGTATATCCCGCCAACAGGAATTTGTCGGTATCTAGAGACCGTCAAACATTGTCTCAAGTTAGTGTCCAAGGTTTATCAGGTGGAGAGAAATCATTTGCTACTATTTGCATGTTATTATCTATATGGGAAGCAATGAGTTGTCCACTCAGATGCTTGGATGAATTTGATGTTTTCATGGATGCTGTTAATAGGCTTGTGAGTATCCGTATGATGGTCGACTCAGCAAAAGACTCCTCTGAAAAGCAATTCATATTCATTACCCCACAAGACATGGGTCAAATTGCTTTTGATGATGATGTTGTAGTCTTTCGTTTAAGTGACCCTGTTAAGTCTTCAAGTGCTCTACCTGCCTCTACAGCTCCATGAGTTATACATTCCAATGTATAATCAAATTTATTTTGATACTAAATAAACCTATCTTCTCGTATAAAGCATGAAAATCGTTTAACTTATTTGTTCCTTTGTATAGACTAAAAATTTTAGACAGGAAAAATGAATGTTCATGTTACCTCTGAGAATTAGTTACTTAAAAGATTTGGTTAGGGTAGGGTATGTGACTTGTTTTGCCTTATACCAACATAACCGAAAATCTGAAATTTAACAAATCAACTCACCACAGGACATCAAAATGCCTACTCATCTTGCTAAGAATCGTAAGCTTCGTGGTCACGTTTCCGCCGGTCACGGTCGTATCGGAAAGCACAGGAAGCATCCTGGTGGTCGTGGTCTTGCTGGTGGTCAACATCACCTCCGTACTCACTTGGATAAGTACCACCCTGGTTACTTTGGTAAGGTTGGTATGCGCCGTTTCCACCTTCAAAGAAACCCCTTGTGGCGCCCTAGTGTCAACTTGGACCGTCTCTGGACTTTGGTCCCCAACGAGACCCGTGAAAAGTACTTGGGCAAGAACACCGAGGTTGCCCCTGTGATTAACATCGTCCAATCTGGTTACGCTAAGGTTTTGGGTAAGGGCCGTCTTCCTGAGACTCCTGTCATTGTTCAAGCTCGCTACGTCTCCCGCAGAGCTGAGGAGAAGATCAAGCAAGCTGGTGGTGTTGTTGAACTTGTTGCCTAAACAAAAAGTAATACATAAAAACACCTGAGTGGCTAATTTTTGGTGTGCTTTGTTGATTGTAGTTATTATGCGTATACGTAGAACTTTGTTGTATGTTGTAACTATTGAGATTGAACTTTAGGCTTGAGATTCATTTGAAGACGTTAAAGCGTTTGTACCATGGTAGCCTTACTTTAAAGAATGTCTAAAGGGATCAGAAGTATGAAGATTCCTCATACATATAGATTAAGAGGAGGCGCGAGGAACTTGTCGAGAGCCATACTCATGGGCATTCATAAAGTAGAATAGTAAGCAGTCGTTTACAGACCACAGGATACTGTCTTTATCTACGGTTTGTATGAGAGGACTATATTAGCGAAGATTTGGTATTTTGGAATTGGTAACTGTAATAATTGTGAATATCATAATGGACTCAAGGCGTCAGCAATTACAGTACCTGTTGAATATTTCAGTTTCTACCTATTCCGTGAGCCCATCTTTATCGAGTCACTACTTGCGTAAATTCTATGCGTTAATAGAAGAATGGGACATTCAATTGGACCCAAGTACATCGCTGACTGGATGTAGTAAATGTGGAAGTGTCTTTATACTTGGGAAGAATGCATCTGTTCGGACACATTCGCACCATCGAAAAGAAAGGTTAGATTTACCTAAAGGACAACTTGCAAGAATGGAAACAGAATGGCTCATAGTTTGCAATGTTTGTGGCTATACTTCAGAATTATCTATTGGTGCCCCTGCAAGGATTCATAAAAGTAGAGCCGCCTTGCTCGCCAGTGAAGCTGCCAAGACCAGAAAAATACAGGAAGTCAATACTCAACACGCAAGCTTGGATAATACCAAGACATCGAGAAACACAAAAGGTAGACAAAGGCAAAAGCTTCGAACGTCAGGATTGAATGGAATCTTAGCTAAGAAAAAGGAGCGCGAGGCGGAAAGTAAGTCTTCTTCGTCATTAAACCTCTCTGATTTTATGTCTACTATTTAAGGTGTATATTTTGTTACACTCAATCCTTTAATCTTGATTCCCATAGACTGATAGTTAGTTACTATGTTTGATTTTTACTTTATGCTTTATTTTTGAGAAGGTACCTGTTAGATGACCAAGTTAGTTTGAACATCTTATGAATTAGTAATACTATTTCGCTTTGTTTTATATGTGATCACAACTTTAGTGTGAATTGCCGACCATGAAAGGTGTTTATATTGAGTAACGCAAGAATGCATTCTTTCTAGAGGACATTAGGCTACATTTGCCTATTTGACATTCAGGTATATCTTCCTCTTTTCACCATACTTGAATTTGTTCTCGGTTTACGGGTAGACACCTACCCTTACGCATTCACTCATTCACTACTGCTAGTATCCAAGCACCCATTCCCCGTCAAGATTATGAGCTCAAGAATTGGGCCTCAAAGGTCTACGAAAACTGCCGCAAAACTTAGATTACTACCTTCAACAGAAGAATTCGCTGACTTTAGACGACAGGACACCGGTCGTGAAGTATATTCACAACTTCCCCATATTGAAGGATCCACAGCTAGAAAAGATGCAGAATATTTAGGGAAACGACATCGTGATCATTTACCTCGTGTAACTGCTTACTGTACATGTGATACTTTTCGGGTAGATTTGCTTTTCAAGTTTTTCCAATCTCGTCGAAGTAGCCATAAAACAAGACCTAAACAGTTTGATGAATGGTAAGAAAATATAGCTTTAAGAAACTTCTCTAGTCTATTAACACTTATTTTATAGCATATATAGCCCATACAGCTATGGCAGTGAAGAAACCGTAGACTTACTTGGAGACGACATTGAACCAGACGGGAAATCTGCTGGCGGTGGCTCCACTACAACTCATGATACCATCCACAATGACATCTTTGAGACAGGGTTAGACAGAAATCAGCCCTTGTTTCGAGAAGTATTTTGTTTTAGCTACGGAGTGGTTGTACTATGGGGATTTACAATCGAAGAAGAACACCGGTTTTTACGAGAATTAAGTCGTTTTGAAATTGAAAAACTAAGTATGCAAACAAAATCTGACGTCTTATGCTTTCCTGTGAGCGATTGGACTCTCAAAAAAGTGAAAGGAAAACAGTAACTAACTCGTACTAGAAATGGATGACATTGAAGTCGAAGAGTTTAATTATTACGTTACTAATCTTTATCAACCAAGAGTAAGTTGTCTGTTTGTTTATTTGTTAATAAGACGCTAATAAGCTATGGGTATAGATTTTTAATGACTTTATTGCTCTGAGAGACGCCTCTAATTACATGATTCGTTTGTCTATATCCCATGCAATAGCACAATCAGTTAAAATTTCTCTTTTCGAAGAGCTCGTCAACGAAACAATTGATGCTACCAAAGATACACCACAGATGATTGCCGAGTCTGGTAGAATTAAACTGAAAAGGGAAGAGATTATGATGGCTGTCGGCCAGTTATTTATTTTACGAATTAATATCAATTTACAGGGAAGCGTTTTGGATAGTCCCGAGTTAATGTGGACAGAACCGCAGCTTGAGCCTATTTACACAGCAGCAAGGTCTTATTTAGAAATCAATCAGCGTGTTGCTCTGTTAAACCAGCGTGTTGAAGTAATAGGTGATTTATTATCTATGCTAAAAGAGCAAATCACGCATACTCACGACGAATCTTTAGAGTGGATTGTTGTAATACTTATGGCTTTGCTTGTTCTCATTGCCATCTTTAGCATTTTGGTAAGTTTGTTTACCATTAATAGTTTAAGCTCGCTTCATGTTGTTATTCAATGCTAACCTTTATGATCCAGGTTGACTTGAGGTTTTTCAAGTAGTTGGGTATAGGTCGTTTTATCAATAATTTATTTATTTTTTATGAAAAAACCACTTCTTTCTAAGAGTATAGCATTATAAAAACATTATTTGAAACCCTAGATCGCCGAGTACAGTGAAGAAAAAAAGATCAGAAAGGTCTTTTTAAGTGATGAATGAGTGAACTGGTGAGCAAAATCAAGTCATATATGTCATGATTCAAAAGAGCTGTTAAATTAAACCTCGTATAGACGTCTCATCAATTCATTATGAAAGTAATGACGAGTTTTAACCTCTTTTGTTCTTCTGGCTCGCGAATCGTTTCTTTTTTTTCATAATCATTAAATATGTTGTTTAAGCAACCTACTCTTTATTAATGGTGCGTAGGAGGTAGATTGGAATCCTATATGGTTAGTTGCTTATTCACGCTGCCACATTTGTAGTATAAAAACTAACCGAAACTTCTAAAGATGACTGAACATCTGGTGCTTCAGGAAGATCTTGATCTTTCAGTTTCTTCTGATGTTCTATATGTTCGTTGAACGTATTCTTAAGCATTTGCGTTTCCAGTCGATATCTCTGAATGTCTTTCTCTACGTGATAAATTTTAATGGCATACTGTACGCAATCATTTTCAACGTCTGCCACTTTCTTTCGAATTCGAGCAATCTTTTGTTGATAAACATTCTCTGATTATACGTGTTAGTTGAACATGATAAATAGATGCGACGCAATCCGTGCTCGCACATTCACAAACCTGATGTGGTAATTGGATCCTTTAACAGTTCAAAGTTAGTTTATAATGAAACACTAGTGAGTCTCTCATACCTGAGAATCCATTTTTATTTTTACGCGTCGTCGTTTGTACTAAATCGATGGGTTTTCACCGTAAAGGACGCTAAAAAAGTAAAGATACCGTAAGCCGTAAAGTTGATGGTATTGTATTTTTATGTATAATGACTCGGTTTGTAATATAGTAAACAATCGTAAAATGAAATTAAAAGCTGGGCTGAGTTAAAAAATAAAAGGAACAGGATGGACTCTATTTATATTTTCAAAATACGTTAAAGCCTGTGCTGATTCGTAAAATTAATCTTATTTCTGAGGCAACTTTCAATGTACCCTTTAAGAAATCAGGACTTCATACAAGTGCTACATCAATGCATAATGAAAAAGCTGTTCAACAAGCAAACGAAGCAACCTCAAAGTATTAAAAACTAAAAACATAAGTTGATTTACATGATCTAAATAAGGACGATCTTCCATGTACACGTATCACTCACTACTCACCAACTAATTTCACATACATCTCTACGTCGGCAAATTCAATATAAAATAAAATGATTTTTATATATTTCCATAGGGTTTAACACAAAACACACAATTAACATTAACCAAAACTAGTAAAGTGTATCAAAGACAAAAAAAAGCATTATGTTGTACAGTTGCCAAGGTCTACTTGACAAATCGAATCATTAGCATGCAAAAACTATGAAAGATATATAGGAACAACTTCTAGAGCATCGAGGAATGTAGACGCTTAATATTCCTATTTCAAATTAGTGGGCTGAAATCTTTTAAAACTTGAGATCCATGACTCCAACGGATAAATAACCCAGCTATAGCTTTTTCACGACGAGAAGTCACTAAAAGCAACCGTAATTCCATCAAAATTAAAATTAATATATCAATCAAAGGAAACGCTCGCGGTAACGTAGATTGTAATTAAAATAATTAATATATCCATAAATAAGATCGGCCATCTTCATTGCAAAGTTTATAATGGGTGATATGAGAAAGAATGAACATTTCCAAAGATGAAGATTGAAAAGATGATGAAATGAAGGTCAACAAACCAAATAGAATGAAATATATATATATATATATCATGCAGATTCATTCAACATATCTTTCCATAGAGGAGAATGAAACACCTCATGTTCCCAAATTGAAGAAGGAAGGATCGACTTTACTTCTAGCAAAATGTAGAAATCTTGGAACGCTTGGGTGGCCCTTTCATTCTCAGCCACATCTTCAAATAAAGCTTGTTTTGCTCCCATGGCTTCTAGTTCTTTATTGCAACGCTTGAAATCGTCCCACACGATTTCCCAACCTTTCACATTCTTGAAGGCTTTGAAACATTTTTCTACTTGGAGCATGTTGGGAAGAGCCAGTCCAATCCACTTTGCATACTCAACTCCGTTCTTCCAACCATACTTCCAAAGTGCCATAAATACATCAATTAAACCAGAAGCTTGCTTATATTGACTATCATCTTCCGTAAGCCAAAGACAAAGAGTGGCTATCGCGCTAACCACAGTGACGTGAACAGCAAACATTTCATGATGTCTCATATTATCCCAAGCGTCACGAATAAATTCCATTGTATCTCCAAACAGTTCCGATAGGGTGTTTTGAAGTTGAAAAAACTTTGTAGGCTCAATAGTTTGAGAAAGTTCATCACAATTTTCGCAAAGAAAGTGAATTAAAATTCCAAGTACTTCGTAGCATGTACACACACTATACGAGAGACTTTCGTGTTTTTGTTTTTCATCAAGCGTTGACACTAAAAGATCCAAGTTTGCACGGATTTCTGCTGTACAGCGACCAATCACTAGCAAAAAGGACTCTTTATTGTCTTCCATTACCACATCAGGACCGAGTGCTTTTAAAATGGAGAAAAGCTGTACACATGCATTTTCAATGGATTCTTCTGTAACGAATTCTTCCAGAACGGGTTTAATAAAAGGCCGAAGATAGCTGCAAAGTTCATCCGAATACCATAAATTAACAGGGAAACGAGCAAATAGATTTCTAAAAAATTGAGAAGTGACATGAGACTTCCACTCATCTCTCTTGTTTATTCCTTCAAAAATCGGTTTCATGTAAAGGTGAATTTTGTCTAGCGCATACAAACCGTATGACAAAATTTCTAAAGCATGGGAAAGGGGGAATTCATTAATAATAAAGGATGTATAATACAAAAGAGACTTTGCTGAACGTGGATTGGATGCTAAAGCACATATTGTGGGAATGCAAAGATCGTAATGCCGCATAGTACAAGTCAACAAAGCTGGAATCCGCTTTTTCATACAGGAGCTACGAAGAATCTTTTCATCGCTGCAAAATGCAAGCAACACGGAAACTCCCAAATCGGCGTATTCATAATTCTTAGATCTTAGAAGTCGATCGAGGAATTTCATATCCATTTGTTCCCAAAATGCAAAAAGAAAATCCGGATTTTCATTCAATAATTTCGCGAGCATCGTTAATGAAACAAACTTACTGGTGTCATCTTTAGCGTGTAAAAGTGCAAAACAATTTTCCAAAAGAGCTGATGCATTATCCTTGTCATGCTTGTTGGTGTGTTCCATTTTTTCTTTCTCCATTTGTTCTTGTAAAAGCGTATCTTTCTCGATATCGTCTAACTCGCGTACTATATCTTCACTGAATTTTTCCAACGGAAACGAATCACTCGCATCCGAAAACATTGCATTTGCGGAATCTGGTGCTTTCCTTTCGTTTTTCTGCATATTGATTATAGCCTCACTATACTCATTAATTCAATATAGCTTATTACTAGGCCTTATTCTCTTGAACACGCTTTACTGTATTTCAATCGCAATTTGAGGGCGTATCTAAGTACTATATGGGGGCAAAGTTAAGCCTTTGCTACCACCTTTTCTTATAACTGTTAAACAAGAAAATCAATCAATCTTTCAATTCCTCTTTGAAGAATGCGCTATTGGCAAATGCTGTGCATTCCGATGACTTCTGGTGAAATCTAGTTTTCGTGTACTACCCTTCCCGCCCATGAGACATATGTAACTTACAGGCATGACGTTGGCATAGCAACTCATTTATTTATTTACATTACTTAAATGAAAGAGCTTTAAAATACCAACCACGAAACTGTTTCAGCTTTCTCGTTTTTGCTTCCATTAATTCGGTACTTTGGTACTTTTTAGTATTCCATAATATTTAAATTTTTTTTTTTTTTCAGATTCAAAAATGTCGAGTACCGGATTGCCCGAGCCTTGGATTTTAAAAATTTCCCGATCAAGGAATCGTCCTTATTTCTTTAATCCACAAACTCAAGAATCTTTATGGGAGGCTCCTCCGTCTACGAACATGGATGCTTTGCGTCAGTTTATGGACAAGGAGTTTTCTGTCCCAAAATCGACAGGTTTAGAAGCACCCTCTTCTCCAAAGGTCCGGGTTAGTCATCTACTAGTGAAGCACAGGGAAAGCCGTCGACCAAGTTCTTGGAGAGAGGAACATATTACCCGCAGCAAAGAAGAAGCTTGGGACAGAATCCATTATTTCCTCAACCTCATCAAAGAGGGTACAATAAATATTAACGACCTCGCTGCTAAAGAATCAGATTGCAGTTCGGCTCGTCGAGGAGGTGATTTGTATGTTATTGAGCGAACGAAGGGTGTTTCCCAGCTACTTCGACAAGTTGGGAGTGCTCTTACATTCGTTAATGAATAGGCTGTTACGGTTATTAACTATGTCTCTAGGGGATTCTTTGGAAGAAACGAAATGCAAAAACCGTTTGAGGATGCCGCTTTTGCTTTACAGCCAGGACAGTTAAGTCCAGTCGTTGAAACAAACAGTGGTTTTCATATAATCCAACGTACAGCTTAAATCTGTAATGCTCAATCTATTTCTATTGCTCTCTGACATGTCGAAAACAATGATTTCAAAGTATATGACTATGGTTTAATGAATAAAGGCTTTTTTTCTCTCAATCAACTATTTAGTTTGTCATTTAACAATGAAAATTTAAACTCACTTCGTCCGTGCTAGGAAAGCCTACGATGAACAAGAAGTAAGTATTCAAAAAAGGCGTCAAATCTCAATAAAGGCTTTCTATCTTCTGATTTGGTCTAATCTGTTATCACCGAATTAAAACTAATATTAAAAATTTAATCCAATTTACTCAAAGGCTTGTTGAATTATATTGTATTTCGGGGTTAGCGATGGATTATATTCTAACCTAACATTCACGTTTGTTTACACCTCTCTTGCATACCGCATTGGAAGACTTACAAGGTAATCATAAGCACAAATCCAAATTTCACTGAAAAAAAGATTAACTTTCAAAAGAGTTGTTATGAAGAACTTCATTACTGCTTTAATCCGAGTATAAGTAGCTTGAAATGAGTTCAAGAACTTGGCCCCTTGCATATCGTTCCCCTTTAGGATATGCTTATAAACTTTACCTTGAAGGAAATCTTGCTTCTTCTTTGCATATACTAAAAACATACTTTCAAGAAGGATATCCGAAAGAAGAGGATTTTGATTCAGCATGCAATTTATATTTGCAAGTTTCGAGTGAACTCAACAATTCATGGCAGGAAACAGTAGAATGGCTGAATTTAGTCCATAATGGAACGATTCCTAATTCGCTACTTCACGAGTTGTATGTCTATAACCTCAAAGTTTTCTGACTGACCTGTTCTTTTAGGATTATTATCTACAGTTCAAAGAAAACGTGGGAATCGAGTAAGCAAGTAGCTGAGTTTCTCTCACTTGTTATATCGTCAAAGAATGAAGTTTTTATAGATAGTCGGGGGTACCAAGTTGAGGAACAACTTGTGAAACTAGCTTGTGAATGGAATCTATTTGCTCTTGCTAAATCCCTTCTCGTGAGTCCTAAAAGAAAGAAAGAGGAGGTAAGGCTTGTGTTTTACATGTATTTAAATGCTTTATTGACATCCTAGGAACTTTTGAACTACATTTCTGAGAAAGACTTACAAAACAAGCTGAAACAAAGCTTGTCACCAGACATGCTGCCTCGAAATGACGCTACAAATAAGGGAGATACTTTTACTTTGAAAGGTTTTACAAACATTATAACAAAACTCTTCTCTCAGTTGAGCGCAAAAATTGGTTTGCTTCGGAACATTCCTACATGGTTTCCAAGATATTACAACCTTTTGTTTATTTTTTTCGCTTTGGTAACAATACTTTTTAAAATTAAAGGTGTTTTTTTTGAGACTTAGACGCTCTAATATGACCTGGGAACGCTTGCAAAGCTTTATTGAAAAGCTCTCCTTTTTTATTTCATGATCCTTGCTTTTCAACTTTCGTTAGCTCAAAATCTGTCACCTGAAAACAAGAAATATATACAGAAATAATGCACTTAGCATGCTTCATTCGTTGTTTTGATTAAAACCTTTACCATTATGATATTTTTTGTTTACTCTTTAGTGCAATGCCGTGCACATCACTAAGAGTATGTCAAAGGATAGCGAAGTGCTTGAAAATCAACGGACAAAAAAACATGGTTCTGACAAACCTCCTAGGAGATTATGAAGAGTTAAGATGAAGAAACAACAAACCAAGGTTAAGCTTGTTTTGGAAAATCCATTAAATGTTCCATGGTAAGAAAAAATACGCTGTTACCTTGCTAACATCGAGAAAGGGTAAACATAGATTCTTCAACGAAAGAAAAATTAACCCAGGTCTTAATTCAATCTCTGCCTACGGCGAAGGAAGACTACACTAGACATGGTTTGACGATTGGTTTAAATGAAGTTAATATACTATTGGAAAGTTGCTGTCAACATACTGATAAAGATTCTTTACCACGAGTTGTTTTCGTGCTCCATGATCCTCAATCCTTACTTGCTATACATTATCCACAACTAATCGCTAATGCAAATTTTTACTCAAAAGATTCAGGGGAATGTTTGTTGGTATGCCTCGGTGCAGAAGCACAGGTTGGTATTTCAAGAAAGCTTGGACTTAGCCGGGCTAGTGCCATTGCTGTACGCGTAAGTATCCAAAAAATCTACGGTTCTTTCAAATGTTTGTACTAATAAATAATAAAGAATGACTCTCCTTTACTGTCACAAATAAATCCTTTGTTGAATGGTTTACCAGCTCCTTCAGCTAGTTGGCTGTCTGAAGCATCTGATTATCAACCGACTAAACTTTTACGAGTGACTACAACACTGGGCACAAAGGATAAAAAGGGATCAAAAAAGGGAACCAACTAATTTCGCTAGTATGTGACAGAATTATAGATAGACTAGCCACGAAGATTGGGGAAAAACCTCTTACCAAGATATTAAGATAGAACTAAAAGCTTAGTCACTTATAGATTTAGATGACGCTTGGTGCATTGCTGAAGCAAACTCATGAAGTAGCCGATCTTGCTTCTGCGACATGAAAAATTTTGAGTATCTAATGATGTTAACAAATAAATCAAATGAATTCTTACTTACGAATCCGTAAAAACAAAATTGTCCAGCATAGGCGTTCGAAGATAGTGATTTGCAAATTGGGCAATATCATCATTATAAGATGACCATTCTAACGGCTCGTAGTTGAATTGCTCACAGCGATTCTGAAAAGAATGAAAGATGGGCTCTTTGAGAAGAAGAGTTTCAGGAGGTGCTTTAGGAATATGAAGACGAGCAGGATTTTGTATGGTTGCAGGGATTATTTGAGATGGATTTGCGAACGGGTAAGAGCGTGTCAAATATATGAGAATTGCGACCATTTTCCGAATTTGGTGTTTCATAAAAGATTGCCCATGAAATACTAGCTTTAACCACTGACGATTGTATTTATCATAATGAATAGAATCAATGAAGATACGAAGCATATAGCGGCGTGCACTTGGATCTCCAAACGGTTTTTCAGTAGTAAAATTATGGAAAGAATGGGTTCCTTGAAATAGCGAGCATGCCTCTTTCAAGCATTCCAGCTTTGAGGAAGATATCCGGAAGGGATAAGACGTAGAACTCTCTTCAGAGTGTAGTTTTTGGATGACTTCAAAAACTTTTTCTTGATAAACAGTAGATGAATGAAAATGCTTCATAAATAACAAGGAATCTAGAGAGAAGGGGGATGGTGTGGCGACTGCGAAAGCAGGTATCCAATATTCATAAAGACGACTATTACAGGCCTTGTGAGGAGAAAATGAGTTTAATGTCCTTTCAATTTTCCAAACGCGGATTGATTCCGGAAGCTGCTCATTAACCAGTGAAACCCAAGGCTGAAAAGAGCCAGCATAATCTAACAATTTTAATCCCAAGACGTTTAAGACTGCATGCACGCCTTTGTCCGTTCGAGCTGCAGAACGAACATGAACCTTTCGAGGATTATCTGCGTTTAAGTGGGAGATGGCACCGATTTTACAGAAAGCACGAAAGATCTCTTCTTGTATTGTTTTTGTTGCATTGTTATACTGAAGACCGGCATACCCAGTACCGCGGTAGCTAATGATACAATAAACCATGCGCTTTTGTTGTTTGTATGAAAAGTCAGGTACGGATTGTTTTGGCATTTCTAGCGGAGAATATGCAAAAGAATCACTACTTAAGGAAGAAGACCATCGTTTCCATACAGCCGTGCAAGTCCTTTTTACCTTTAGATTTCGAAGAAGAGTAAACATCCTTTTTACTTAGTGGCCTCCAAAAACGCCGGGAGAATCTATCACGATAGCACCGTTAACTTTTCTTACAAAATAGTCTCTCGTCCAGGGAGTAATACAAAGCTACTAGTAAGTCCCTGTAAATGGGAATAAAACGACGTTTTGCTAAAAACGAAATATCACTCTTCTATACTAAAGACAAAACAAATAATTAGCAATTATTAACTATATCTGTTTTTAAAATGAAAAACAGTGTTATGGATGAAATAAATCAGAAATTAGAGGGCTAAGAAAATCATTGTGTTCTGTTGACATGGATGAAAACTACAAAACGAATAGGTTCGTATGAACTTAACGCTTAGTAAGTAGTTTGTCAAGCTAGTTTTTAAGAAATTGAATAAATCAATTTTAAAAATTTTTTTTTCTAACATGCAATTTGTCAACGGCTATCTGGTGGAGAGTCATTTTGCGAGATTTTGGAAATCCTATCCCGCCGGAGTCTCGACAATACTTACCAACCACTCTACCCATCGTCAATAAAAAAAGTAAGACTTTCTGCAAAAAAAGGCTTTCAAAAGTTGGAAAAAGTATTCCAATAGCAATCTTTTGCTTATTGATTAATAATTATCAAGCACTGAGCCTTTCTTTTCTTCCAGCTTACAGTTTCCTTGAATTTTCAAGACAGCTTCTCTTTTGTTTGCTATAACGCATTAAGCCTTCTTGTTGTTATCGTGAAGAACGTTGTAGTTTTAAGTCTATCACATTCTTTGCTTTCTAGACCTTCTTATTTGTTTAGGCTGTTGTCCGGTTTGTTCTTACCAGGACTTACCAGCCCCCTTTCGTTTTTTTACACACTTACAGCACGATAAAACTGGATACAGCTTTGTGTATTAAATAGTTTTTATTTTTACTGGATACTCCCCTTACCAAAGCAACCTCACGTCTTGTTTAGAAGACTTTTTTCTTTTGCTATTTTTTCCCTTTTTCTTTCTTTTTGATTCTTTTTATGCTTTTCTGTGTTTTTCTTCTTTGAGTGTTCACTTTATTTTGCTTGTTTCTCATTCATTTGCATTTTTCCTGTTATTTTTGTCGTTTGTTTTAACTTGCTTCGTTCCTTTGTGATCCTTGGTTGCTTTTGGTTTTTAAATCGATTTTAACAGTTTCGAGACCTGATTTCTTTATACTATTCCTTTGCACACGTTCAAATTTGTTGTTCAGCCTCACTGCTTAGGTTTAAGTAACGCATACTCCTAATCATACTCATTTAGAAAGTGTCGCTCTTTTGATATTCGCAATTTTGATTCGTACACTTCCCTCTGCTTGAATCATAACATTTGTGGAACCTAATTTGAATCAGCATTTCTACTAAAATCAAGTTTTCTTGTGATTTCGGGCATTTTTGCATTGATAATACTCTATTCCGGTGAATTCTCATTTTCGTACATATCATTCTTTGACGGAGTTTGAGTCATCTTTGGCATCTTTCATTTTGGCTTTGTGTTTTATTTAAGTTTCTCTCGTCTCTCTTTTATATCGTATTGCATTTAACTTTTCAATTCCCCTAATATCCTTGTTATAAGGGTTCCGTCGGATATTTTGTTTTCATTTTTGTCTATTAAGTTCACTCCGAATACACTCTCAAGTATCGCATATTCAGGTTATTCAGAAGATAATAGCCTTGATCTGTTGACAAATCGGAACTTTCTTTAAAGACTTCTTTGTTGATACGTTTTCGTTCTTTGAACGTGTCCTTCCTTCTTTTCTGCATTTCACGGCTTTCTTTGTGAACATCTGATTCAATATGTTCGTTGGCTCACCCAATATTGGTAAACAACCTCCTTTACTGTCTAAGAAAAGAATTCCTGAACCGTTCAACATTATGGATGATACTACTCGTGGTTCATCTCTGGTGCCGACCGGAATATTAAATGGTGAAGATGAAGGCCAAATGTTGCATATGTCTCCGCAAAATCCAGAGCCTCAGTTAGGAAAAGCCGATGCTGATTATCTACCTGCTTATGCTTCTTTGAATCCTTTGATGGAAAAATCTGCAACTCCTACTGGAAGATTGCTCGGTGGTTTGAACGGTGGATTGGCTTCTGCGCCTCCTAAGATGGGATTTCATTATCCGCGTTTCTTCGCGATAAAAATTGAAGATCTACCTAGAAATTTAACTCCCAGGGAGTTTTCTTCTACTTTTCTGTTTGCAAGTCACGTTGTATCTTCCGAAATTGTGTCTCCGGCGCCTGATAATGGTCCTGCATATGGATTAACGGTGTTTTCTTCTAGAGACGCTGCTCTTTCGGCACGTGATATTTTACTTTCGAGTGAAGTTTATGGTCTTTGTAACGTGACCGTCATTGATAATTATCGCAAAGGCAGCCAAACTAATGTCAGTGATGCAACAGAAGGCTCAGAAAGTGGTAGTCGCCTGTCTAGAAATCATTCTCCTATTCGACAACTATTTGGCAGTCGTGACGTTTTTCGACGTCCAAGCAATCATGTTTCGAATCCTGCAGCGGGTTCTAATGACGGTGTTTTTGATCAGTCTAAAACACCTCAGACTGAACACTTTGCAACTGCTCCTAATAGCGCACTTCAATCTGATCGTTTGTGGTCATCATTCCCAGTATCATACCCTTTGTCATTGGCCAATGCTTTAACAAAAGATGATGTCTCTTCCCCTACATGGTCACCTACGGCCAATAAAAGCACTAATTTGCGACAAGATACCGTCCCTCCCGTTATGAGATTTAATTCACTTTCCATAAATACAAATGTCTCTCGGCCCTATTTCTCTTCGGAGCAGGGGGGTTATGCACATCCCATGAGTGCTCAATCTCCTCATCCCAGAGTTCTCTCTGCCAACGGTGCTTTCGGTGTTAACAGTCCTCCGTTAACACCTTCTAATACCAGAGACTATCCGTTATCTGCTTCAACAGTACCACCTGCCACTCCATTTTCACCCTACGCATCTCACAATGGTATTCATCAAAGGATTCCTGCTACAACACCTACAAATATTAATCCTGCTGATCAAAATCCACCTTGTAATACTATTTATGTCGGAAATCTTCCACCCTCGACTTCGGAAGATGAATTGAAGGCCCTCTTTTCAACGCAGCCTGGTTACAAACGTCTTTGTTTCCGTACCAAAGGGAATGGTCCGATGTGTTTCGTGGAATTTGAAAATATTCCTTGCGCTATGGAAGCCTTGAAAACACTTCAAGGTGTGTGCTTAAGCAGCAGCATAAAGGGTGGTATACGCCTCAGCTTTTCGAAAAACCCCTTGGGTGTACGTTCATCAAGCTCCTCTCATAACCACGGTAATGTTCGTAATCTCCATTCTGGATCGATGAACAATTATGGTGCTGGATTTTTCTTGAATGATTCAGGACAGCACGACACACATAATAGCCCTGGTTGGGCTAATAACTTGATGTATGGTAAATAAATTCCCTTCAGATTCGCATTATAACCTGTTGTCGCCCATTAGAGTGCCTTGTACTTATGTTTCATATGCGTTTTTGGTTTTTTGATATACTTTGCATGTTGATTTTTCGTTATTAGTTCATTGGAATCCTTTTAATTCATTTTTAATTGCCAAAATCTGCCTTTAAGTTAAGACTTAATGCGCTCTAATTACGAAAGAAACCCTTGAGAAATGTAGGGGAATTTTTCAAGGATTCAGTAATTGGAAGGCTTTGTCTTTAAGGTCTGACTGGTTGGTTATAAATAACCATATACTGCTGCTTTAAGATATTCATACGCTTGCTGTTTTCTCAAGTTCAAATTGTTTGCTTTTTAAATGTTAATGAATAAATATATTGAATTTACAATAACAAGTTGCGAATAGCAAAAAGTAAATGTTTTGTGTAAAGAAATTAATTTTACAGTAGTTAATGCGAGCTAGAGGAATTCTTGGCTATCACAATATATTATTTTTAAACCGAAAGTAAACCCAAACTAAAAAGGAGATTTTTCAAAGCCCTCTTTTTTTTATTTTTCTCTGTTTTCAAGGAAACAGTTATTCGATGCGGGCACGTTTTGTAAGCTTAGAAGATGCTGCCCTTTTTGTAGAATCATCCGAAAATTCACTGCTTTCAGAATCAGATTCGCTTTCATTTGACTCTTCATTGGTATTGGCAGCATCTATCACAGGCGCATTTACCGCCGAATCCATAGCGACTATGCAAGTAATTCGGTTCCCTTCAGGAGCTTGTAGTTCCATCACTTTATTGAAAGTTTTATCCCAGACGTGCACAGAACCATCGGAACTAGCGGAAACGAGATTTTCAGTCGTAGCAGAAATAGCTTTCACTCTATTAAATGTTAGTATTAATAATGGTAGAAGGCAAAAACAAAGACCTTTTTTCATGAGCAGCGAATTCATTGATCAGATCTCCAGTGTTTACGTCGAAAACCTTTATGGAACCGTTATCACAACCAACAATCAAGTTGGATAGAAACAAACAAAGACAATTAAGCTGCGTATTAGACTTATAACCAAAAAAGGAGCTTAAATCCTAAAAAATCCAGATTAGCAAAGAATTCGTAATTCTTAAGATATTAGATAATGTACATACAAGTTTAAAACCTTCTAAACCACGTCGAGACATAACGACGAAAGAGGAGTCGTTGAGGAATAGAATCCCTTCGGGAATAAACGACAATGGCAATACCTTTCCACCTTTACCACGAATGAGATCCCAAAGACGAAGTTTGCTATCTCCTCCAACGCTGAAAGCAAGTTTTTCTGAAGGATGGACAGTGATTCCACTAATACCCTTGTTGGAGGAAGACTTCAAGGTATGAACAAGTAACCAAGAATCTCTAGACCACATAGTGATTTGTCCGTTGTCATGACAAGCTAGCAAGTGTTTCTTGGTAAAGCAGAGGCTGCGGGAAATGGCATTTGGCAACTCTGTAGGAATAGCCAAGTCAGCTATTTGAATATTACGACTGTGATCGTATATTCTATATTAAGTTAATCAGACGATTCAATAAAAATGTGAATAGATGATATGGAAGTAGAAAATATAAGATGACTTACTTTATAGTTTCATCTGAACTTGTGGATGCTAACTGAAGGCCATTTGTAGCCAAAGCGGTAAGAGCACTTTCATGAGCCTCAAACAACCACAAGGGCTTCGATTCTTTTTGCTTTAGGTCTGTATCTACACCATATAGGAGGTGAGAGTACGTACCAATGACAATTCTAAGCATTATATCAAAAAGGATATTTCAACCAAATAAACGCCGGCTGAGTTTAATAAAACAAGAGGAAGCCCCTATTTTATCCTAAAATTTCTTTTTTTATGAGATTAAAAAATTAAAAAAGCAAATAAAGAGTTTCACTTTTTTTTCGTAAGGTGTATGGTGGAAAAGAATCCAACCTTTCCAAAGGGATTGTCACTACTTGAGAATCCAAGGTGTAATGTAAATACACAGATGGATTTTCTGTAGCCTTCTTTTTATTATAGAAAAAAAAGGAAACAAAGAATTAAAGAAAGACTCGACTCCTTGCGTTCACCTGGGATACGGGTAAGTCTGGATCAACAATGAAAATTTTTTCAAAGTATGACAAGGATTCTTTTCCGATTTCCTAGTGATTCCGAGGTAAATTATAAGGTTGTTATTTCAATGTGAAGCTGTGGTTCTTTCCTCAAAATGAGGATTGGCATTTTTCTCCATTGCTGTTTTCACGTCGTACTACTTGTTTACTACTGCAAGGTGTTTCACTGCACTAAACGAACTCTTAAAGCATGAAATTTATTAAGGAATAGAAAGAATTACTAGGAATACGTTGTTTTCTTTTGGAAAGATTTTCTTTCATTTTTTTTTTTTTTTTTTGTGCTTACCTTTCGCCATCTGTGCTGCTGTGTTCTGGTGAGACAAATGTAAACTGAATTGCTTCGTTCTGCGAACAAAGGTTTTTCCACAGAAGAAGAAGCTCTGTAACAGTTGTTTTAATCTTACTTCTATAATTTATCTCTCTCTTGAGGCCTTGAGGTACCCTGCATTTGCTTGCTTGCTTAAAGTCGTCTCTAATAGTATGTGCAGAGAAATTGCTAGTTGTTACATTGCGAAATCTAATAATATCTATCCAGGATAGTTTCGTAGAAAATGTTGTAAACGTGGACTTTAACGGACTTGTATTAAGATGAATTCATTGCAAATATTATCTAATTAATAAGTACTATGCACGTACTAAAATTGCATTTTTTAAAGAATGTTTACCTGCCAAATTTCTGTCTACAGAATTCTTTTGTAGACATAGAAGAAACCCTTTTGGATTTTCTTCTTTATTCATATTCACTAGTGCATTTAAATGTTCTTTTTCAATTGCTTATTTTCATTTTTTATGTTTGTTTATTTACATCATTATAAATATGGTATTGTGTTATATTACGGTGTATTAGATACCGAATACGAGTGATGCTTTGTAATAGAAATCCTCTTCTGTCTACGTCAGGACGAAAGCTGTCATCTGCCTACACCGAGCAATTTAGGACGCGAATGGTTTTCGCTGTAACATTACTAAATCGATTATTCAGTCCCAAGAAGAATTGTTAGATTTAAAGCGGAATAAGTCTCATTAATCGCTGCATTCCTATTTCTATAGGGGTCATTTTGTGACATTTTTATTGACCCACCTCGACATTCTTTCTCTCTCGTTTCATATCCATCATTTTACTTTTCCTTTCACATATCCTTTCGTTTGAATTTATTTAAAAGCCACACGACCCAAGTTATCATTCTTCATTTCCTCTACATTTTCCAAGTTGTGTGTTAACTAAGCTCTTCCACTTTGATAAATTTCGTTAACGAAGTTCCGGAAGAATATTAGATCGTCTACATATCTTTATCCAGAATAAAGAGTTGTAACACGTTTCGTCAAAAGCTTTGCTAATTAAAAAGAAAGCGACCTTGTGAATTACGTCGTTCGACTTTTTTTTTTTCAGGTGCAGTGAAAAAAAAATATTTTAGCGAAACACTCTGCAACTGATCTCCTTACCATTCACACCTTTCTTCCTCCTATTCCTTCTGGGTAGTTTTTGACGCTTCCCGCTCTTTAAAACCCTTTTTTCTTTTTTTGGTGGGAAAATTATCTCGTCGTAACCTCATCTTATTATTCCCCTATTTTACGTCTTTTGTTTCGTTTTGGTACCTTTTTCTTGGCGCTATTATCAATTTCATTCTCTTACATTTTCCTTCGTTTTCTTGTTTATTCGTTTTTAACTAAGTTTTTTCCTGAATAACGCTGTTGACTCTACGAACCACTATTACTAGACAAACTTCCGTTTATTGTATTTATCTTTGGTTAATTAATTGTTTTCGATAAATTCTTTCTTCCCTTATTTGTGTCTTTATATTTTATTCCCTGTTTTTTATCATTTATATCTTTATTTCCCATTTTTGACTTTTCTTTTTCCCTAGTTCGTGTCATGGGTGAAGAGTTTCAAAATGACTTTGCTTACAGGGTAAATCCATTGCTTCAGGATTCAACCAATTTACAAACCAACCCTAATTTTATCTCCGGTGTTAGCTCTGCTAACCTGAACCCTCGTTTGGGCTCCGTTCAGCCCGCCATCTCTTCCGGTGTTTCTTCTTCCTTGAACCGTCCAACCTGGCTTCCTTTACAGCAGCATATTCATCATTTACGTCATACAAGCCTTTTACCGGCTGTGGAGTCTTCGTTTGTGCATGGCCATGGCCATGGTTCTGGTCACCGTCGAAGTGCTAGTACTGGTATTAATGTGAATACTTCCATGCCCAATTCCTCATTTTCACATCCCTCCTCCGCAAATATCTACCCTCAAGTGACACCAACCTCTTCCTTTTATCCTTCTAACGTCTTTTCCACACCACCATCATCTGCTGATTCTTTCAATGCTAGTCCAACCATCTCCAACAAATACAATTTGGCTTCATCCAACGTCTCTCCCATTTCACCAAATGTTGCTAGTAGCCCTCGACGACACGGTAAAAGCCACAGTGTGCACAGTGTCTCTTCACCTCCCATTTCGTCTTTGCCTCCTTTGTCATCTCATGCTTTGTCTTCTGCCCCCATTAAAAACTCTCCTCTGCCACCTTTGAATTCCGTTCCTCCCTTATTACGTCCCCAGCCTCGAAATTTGGATGGACGCTGGCGACCCTCGGCTTCTCAGAACAATAGTCCTACACATTCTGCCAACCCTTCGTTTTCCGGAAACATTACAAACCAACCTTCCTCCTCTCTTCGTCCTGATGGCGGGGGACACCGACATCGTCGTTCTACTGGAAGCTTAAGTGTGAATTCCTCAATGTCCGCTGCGAATAACTACTCGGTTGGTGGTGGGCCTGGTAACACTCGTAGAAATTTGTTTTCTCCTTACCTTCCTCAGTCATCAATCCCATCGTTATTGGCTGAACATCGTTTAGTAACCGGCGTGCTGATTGTTAGCAAGAAAAATCGATCAGATGCTTTCGTCCATGTTAGCGGTTTAGATGCGGAAGTGTTCATTTGCGGTTCTAAGGATAGAAATCGTGCTTTGGAAGGTGATGTAGTTGCCGTCGAACTTCTCGATGTTGAAGATGTATGGGCCGGTAAACTCGAAAAAGAAGAAAATCGCCGTCGCAAGGATCCTATTTCCACCAGGGGTTCTTTGGAAAACCTTGGGGCTGACACTGTTCTATTTGAAGTTCCCCAGCGATCAGCAATAAAGGCTCGTGATGACGAGCAAGTAGAAGGCCAAACGCTATTTCTGCTTGATCAAAAGCAATTAAGTACTGAAGAAAAGCCCAGATATGCCGGTCATGTCGTTGCGGTCTTGCAACGAGCTCCAGGACAAGTATTTTCTGGCTCTTTGGGCATTTTACGACCCAGTAGTGCTGCCAACAAAGAAAGACAAGGTTCTACTAATGCAGGTCAAGGTCCCACAGCGGTCTCTGGAGAGAAACCGAAGATCGTGTGGTTTAAACCTTCGGATAAGCGTGTTCCTTTAATTGCTATACCAACTGAGCAAGCACCTTCAGACTTTTTAGAAAATGACCAAAAGTATGCTGATTCTCTCTTTTTAGCTTCTATAAAACGGTGGCCTGTAACGTCCTTACATCCTTTTGGAATGCTCGTAGGTGAGCTTGGTCCAATGAATTTTATTGAATCACAAGTGGCTGCGCTCCTCCATGATACTGGTGCTCACACTGAGCCTTGGGAGGGTTCCGCAGCTGCTTCAGCCTCTTCATCTTTAGATGCATTATCGAATGATTTTCTAAATAATGCGAATCGAAATGATTATCGCTCGGAAGATGTCTTTTTATTTACTGGTCATAATAGCCATAGCGACCTCGATGATGTAGCTAATTCCTTTGTTTCATCTGCTTTTCATATTCGTCCTACTGGTAATGGGTATCACGTTGGTATTCATATCACAGATGTTTCGCGCGTAATTGAGCCAGGTTCACCTCTTGATCGTGAATTGCAGCGTCGTGGTAATACAGTGAGTTTATGTCAACGTACTGTTTCCTTGTTTCCTCCTGCCTTGGGAGATGCCCTCACATTAAAAGAAGGTAAAGATTGCTATACGGTTTCATTATTGTTGGACGTCTCTTCTTCTGGAAAGATTCGAGGCACTTGGGTAGGCTGGGCGATCATCCATCCTCGAAAAGCATATTCTATCGAAAAGGCGAATGAGCTTTTAGAAAGTGATCCCCGTTTGAAATTATTCAGCACTGTTAGTTCCCGCATTCGAGCTCATCATCTTGGTACAGATATTCCTTTAGATCGGTATTGCAAATTGTTCCGCCGATGGGATGAAGAGAATACCAGTTTCGATCCCAAACAGACAAATCTTTTTGCATCATCAGCGGTAGAAGTTTTGCGTCAAACTCTACTAGATGCCGCGAATCGAGCCGTGGCTAATCATTTACGAAGAGAATTCCGTGACAATGCATTTCTGAGAGTACAGAAAATGCCAAGTCGTGAAAACTGTCGAATGTTGCAGAGTATGGCTGTTCAAATGGGCTGTGTCTTAGATCTTTCAAGTCCAAAATCGCTGTTGCGATCGTTGTGCTTAATCGAAGATGATACAATCCGTAATATACTTCAACTTTATTACTATAAGATTACACCTCGAGCAGTGTATGAAATGCCCAAATATCGACCCAATATAGCTATGAGTATGCTGAGCTTGACATTAGATGATGAGACAGACGATTCGACTCATTTTACGGAACCACTTGATAGATATGCTGATTTAATTGTACATTATCAGCTTCAGTTACTATTACAAGGAGAAAGTGCATCAGAAAAGCGGTTACGCGTTTGGTCTCAAGCAGCAAACGATATAAGTCGTCGACTTGTGATAAGCAAATTCGCACAGGAGACTAGCGTCCATGTCAAAATCTTTAGTGAATGGATGGAAAAGCATCAACCATGGCAGGATGGTGTTGTATGTTTCATTGCTCCTTCATATTTCGATGTATTTTTCCCTGGTTTGGGAATGGAGAAGCGTGTTCACTTGGATCTGCTAAATTTAATTCACGTTCGTTATGAAGAGGACCAGGGAGTATTATTTTTGTATAGTGAAGATGGAGCAGTAAGAGTTGTAAAATTGCTATGCCCAGTTCGTGTGAAATTATTTACTCAACTTTCAACTCCTCCTTTGATAAATGTTGCTAAAGCGGAATTCATATAGTTTGATGTTTAAGGTAAATTATATACTTAAAAAAGATACATCACAGTTTTAATTCCGAAGTTTGTTGGCTTGAATTTTTTCACAAAAATGCAGATAGAGCTTACGTTCTGTTTGTATCTTATTGACATTCACCAACATAACTTGCGTGTGTCTAATAAATTATACTGCATTAATTTTGCATCGTCGAATATAATGATAATGAATACTGAAGAACAGAAAATTACATTCATGTATATACATTTCTACCCGAGTTGAAAATGGGTGCACAAACAATCGCTTTGCTATCTTACAACCGCAGGCTGAGTGACTTTTTGCACGATATGAGTTAGAATTTTTCATCGAAATTTGGTCAAAGGAAGCTGAAACTCCAAAGTCATATAGTCGTGAAAAGTTTAAAAGGACACCCCTACTTATATATACCAGGTTCAAGCTTACAATACAAGCCTTTCAAGTAATATTTAGAGAAACTTGGTTTATACGCTGCACAAGTCCACTGCTGTGAACATACGAGACATTGCACAAGACTTGGTTTTCCATAAGGTCCGTAGCATAATTAAAATAAAAGTTATATAATTAATTTGAATGTTGATCTTCTACTTCATGTAATTATTGCAGATTTGATTTATCTTCGCAACGAGTTTTTCTGAACATATGTCACTTGGGGTTACAAAATAGAAAATACGCCTGGCGCGTATAGCAATAACTTTCTTCTGCGAACCAACTGTAAAACAAGTCTTCATTGAAAGCACTCAATAATGTCATTTGGAATTTAAGCTGCTTTCAAGAATTTTTGATCGTCGACTATTTTCGTAGATTCTTTATCCATATCATATTTAAACTTCAAGTTCTTGTTAGTGTTATACAATGGAAAGACCTCTTGGAAAAACTGTGCTGCCGCTTAGCAGAGTAAAAAAAATAATAAAGCAAGACGAGGATATCCATTCTTGTTCAAACGCTTCAGCTCTTTTGGTATCTGTTGCAACTGTATGTGTTACTAAAAGTCTGTGACAACGCTAATTACATTCAAATGTAGGAGATGTTCATTCAGAAACTTGCAGATCAATCTTTTCAATTAGCTAAGTTACAAAAAAGAAAGGGTATTCAGTACCGAGACGTCGCTGATGTTGTTCGCAAGGACGATCAGTTTGAGTTTCTGTCGGATTTATTCTCTCTTTAGCTAGCTATGAAATATATAACATGGTAAACTATGGAATGAACAACTTTTAGCAACTATAATAGCCGGCAAACATAGCTCTTATATAAGGACGAATTTATCTTACTTGATGATTGCAATATGTTTAATGGTGATTAGAAGCATTCATTTGGGGTTATCCTTTGCTTCAAAGTTCTAAAACTAATATATTTAACCAACAAGAAATATGATGCTGCTTGTTCCTTATCTTGTGCAAGGATTATAGAAGGTAGCTATACAGGCTTTAAACTGTTTGTCAACTAAATCATCTTGATATCGAAATTACAGTTGACAACAATTTATTCTTATTTCAAGAACATTCGGAGGGGGTTTACAACGTGCGCGACTACTTATATTAAAAATCAACCCAGGATGTTATTCTCTACTGCCAGTGATACGACTATAATGTCAAATAAAAAAAACCAAACCATTTATTGCATTATACTAGTCCCATCTCGATAAACTTTACAAAAATCAAACCCTCATACGACAGTGATATCCCAACACCTTTCCTAAAATCTGAAAACTTTTCTCTTATATAATTAAACCACTGATAAATTTAAGTGATCTCTTTCATAGTGTTCTAGATGGATAGAGCAAAGAAGACAAGCCGGAGCAGTTGCCTTCTTCGTGCGCGAGGTTACCTGTCATAATTCTGATCAAATGAAATTTCGCGATAGTTCGAAGCTTCACTGCTACTTATTAATTCAAGAAATAAACTTATTTAAAATGGTCATCATTTATGAATTTCTCACTATATGCAGTTTACAGCGAGAAATTACATCATACCTTACAGAGTATCCCAACTTATATAAAGGACCGATGACTTTTTTCTGTACTTAGCAAAACTATTAAACAGTTGTTATGTCGGTTTACTCGTTTTCTGAAGGCAGTTCCGTTGCCAAGGCACTTGGACAATATGTGAAAACTAAATATGATGCTGCTATGGCAAAGCACGGAAGATTTACATTGGCTTTGAGCGGTGGTAGTTTAGCCAAGGTACTTGCTGAAGGATTATCACAGCAAAAAGACAACATTGATTTTTCCAAATGGTAAGTTATTTAAAAAGCAATATTTCTCTTCTTGTGGGTTAAAGAACAGTCTTTAGTATGAGATGGCCTTCTAGTGTCTTTTACTATATGGAGAAATAATTGAAACCTTAGAAAAAAAGGTTTTTTTATTCTGCGAATTTCGTTTGGATAACTAACAAACAATAGGGAAGTTTTCTTTGCTGATGAACGTATTGTTCCATTGGAGGATGAAAATTCAAACTATGCTCTTTGCAAAGAAGTTTTATTTGACGTATTACCTGGCTTTGTACCTGAACAAATCCATACAATTGATACCGAATTTTTGAAACAGAAGCCCTTGGATTCCCAAGCTGTTGCTGATGAGTATGAAAAGCAATTGGTTCACGTCTTTGCCAATGCTTCTACTGTCAAAGTACCTGTATTCGACTTGATGTTGTTGGGTTGCGGTCCCGATGGCCATACTTGCTCTTTGTTTCCTGATCATGAGCTTTTGGAAGAAGATGTTGCTTGGGTTGCTCCAGTTACTGACTCTCCCAAACCTCCCAAGGAACGTATTACTTTGACCATTCCTGTCGTTACCCATGCTTTATCTGTTGCTTTTGTAACAACAGGTGCTGCTAAACAGGACATTCTTCCCGTTGTTATCGAGGATACTACATCCAGATTACCTTCTGCTTTAATTTCTCGTGCTCATCCCGATCGTGTTAGCTGGTTCTTGGACGACGATGCTTCTGCTAAACTCGACAAATCCGTTTTACGTGTTTTCCCCTTTCAATAAATGTTACGAGTGATACGATCAAAATAAATATGTTATCTTGTTTTTAAAGGACTTTTTCTTACCTTTGTTAGTTTTACGATTTTGTTAGATAACCAAGTCTTTACGGAGACTATTATAAATAGTATATTTTGATGTTTACGGATTTGAATAAAGATTCTGGGTTATTTTTTTGATTCTTCATTCTATCTTTGTATACCTTTCACATTTAAGTAGAATCTATACTATTAATTTTGCCAGAAAACTTGTGAAGGCATATGTGTACCAATAATTCATCCGTTTCCTCTTGTTCATATTATAGCTACGAAATACGGCACTAGCATTTTCCTTAAGAGTACTACTAGCTTAGCTCCATAACATAATAAATGATTTGCACACATACAAGAATGTTTTATCATATTCCTTCCGAAAATGTTCATAGATGTGAAAAAATTATCAACCAAAGAAATGAATTGCTTCTAAAGTATCTAGTTTCCTTTTTACTTTAGTGTGGCTTTCTTTCTTGATGTTCCGACCTCGCTTGTCTTTCGGTCGATGTACTTTATCGTACCTTGCCTTGACTAAACCAAAGCAAAGAATTTTGCTATGTCCTCCGCCATGAACTACCAAAGACTAGAAAAGTTAGGTAAGAATGAAAAAAACCTTCTTAATTTTGCTACGGCATAAAGGCTAACCGGAAAGGCGAGGGAACGTATGCAAACGTTTATCGTGCTCAAAACCGCACGACGGGTGAAGTCGTTGCTCTAAAAATCATTCGTATTGACCCAGAGGAAGGAACTCCGAGTACGGCGATTCGAGAGATTAGCCTTATGAAGGAGCTTCGACACCCAAACATCATGTCGCTGATTGACGTTTTGCATACGGATAATAAGTTAATGCTTGTTTTTGAGTATATGGAAAAAGATTTAAAAAAGTATATGGATGCCTATGGAAACCAGGGAGCTTTAAGCCCTGCCGAAGTAAAAAACTTCACCAGGCAATTGCTAAGTGGGATTTCATTCTGCCATGAAAACCGTGTACTACACCGCGACTTGAAGCCTCAAAACCTTCTCATTAATAACAGAGGGGAATTAAAATTAGCAGACTTTGGTCTAGCTAGATCCATCGGTATTCCCGTGAACACTTTTTCAAACGAGGTCGTTACGCTTTGGTATCGTGCCCCTGATGTCTTGTTGGGTTCAAAAGCGTACAATACTTCCATTGATATTTGGTCGGTTGGTTGCATTATGGCTGAAATGGCAACGGGACGTCCTTTGTTTGCTGGCTCTAATAATGAAGATCAATTACTAAAAATTTTTCGTTTGCTAGGAACACCTACTGAGCAGACGTGGCCAGGTATATCCCTTCTCCAGGATTATAAAACTACATATCCTCTATACAAAAGCCAAGATCTAAATCACTTGATGCCCCATTTTGACCCTCTTGGTTTAGACCTTCTGAGAAGAATGCTTCGTCTTCAACCTGAACTTCGTATTACAGGTGACGATGCCTTACAACATGCCTGGTTTTTAACTCCTTAAAGTTCTTCAACATTCTTTTTGCATCTGAAAGTGTTTATTCTAGTCCTTTCTTGGTTTGCGTTTTCTTTTTCATGATCCACAAAGTTATGTTTGCATTCTAATATTCACTCATGTGTCTCGCTGGTTAATCTCAATAAAAGAAACCAAATAATTTCTCCATCAGTTATATCGTGAGTTAATACTGTTTATCCGCATACATATCGACAAGCTTCCTTTTCATTCTCCCTTTTTTTTTGTTTCACTTAGCACAACTATTGTGCAAATGCTTAATACTTGTTGAAAGACTAGAAGTCAATCCTTTATTCTTATTACGAATGCAAAATTTTAGATTTTCAGGAACCGTACTTTGATGTGCTACCATTTTTTTGGAAAGTCGCCTAAAAAGCACTATGATTGACTTTCTATGATCAGATACAGTCCAGTTCATTGACTAATTTGTTTGGTGTCTTTCATGACTCCATTTCTATTAACTTGATATCTTTCTTTCCAGAAATTCTACGTGGTGACTGAGTGCAAGGGAGAACTTGAAACGTATTACTATTTTTTTTTTGAGGATTAAGGAAATTTGACTATATTTGAGGAAGAGTTTGGTCAAAGCATACATGAAAAAAACCTACTTTATTGATTCCATTCGAGTATGTATGTCTCTAATATGGGACTATTTGGTGAACTTATTATAAGCTTTTCCTTTCCTTCCCGTAGTGCTTGCTATTCTTTTCGTTATCCCTCAATCTTAATTTATTCTTTACTAGTTCTACATACAAGCAACGCAACATGCAAATATATGATATGGGTTGCGTCCGTCATTCGATTCCATCAGTAGAAAAATGCTTCATATTACCATCATCGCTAAAGAAAGTAATAGGATTCGTTTTCCTATTTACTCAAGTCGAATTTCTTTTTCATTTAATATACCTCCTTCGTCTTTTTGATCAAAAAGTATTTTATTCAAAAAGATCTTTAAAAATCTTAAATGTTTGTACCTATTTTGTCATAGAATGATTATGCTCAGTTGAATTTCAAATGTCAGATTTCATGACTCTTGTTAACACCAAACTGCAGACTTGACTTTTTTTTTCTTCAAAATGGCGGATACTCGTAAATTTAAAGCTACTGATTTATTTAAATTTAACAACATTAATCTGGATCCTCTAACTGAAACTGTATGGTAAATTTGAAAGCATTATTTTCGAAATAGGTACTGACCCGCGAAAGTTCAATATTTCATTTTATTTGTCGTATCTTAACAAATGGCCAAGTTTGTGTGTTGCACAAGAATCAATTGCTTCAGAAAATAGCTCTTTAATGGGTTACATTATTGGAAAATCGGAAGGAAAGGGAACCGATTGGCATACCCATGTTACAGCTATTACAGTTGCACCTAGTTTTCGAAGGCTAGGTTTGGCAAAGACAATGATGGACTATTTAGAAACTGTCGGAGACTCTGAAAAAGCTTACTTTGTTGACCTCTTTGTTCGAACCAGCAACGCTTTAGCAATCAACTTCTATAGAGGATTGGGTTACTCCGTATATCGCCGAGTAGTTGGGTATTATAGCAATCCTTATGGAAAAGATGAAGACTCATTTGATATGCGAAAGCCCCTTGCTCGAGACACGAATCGTCAAAGTGTTCGTGAAAATGGAGAGCATTTTAATTGTAGTCCTGCCGATGTTGTTTTTTAAAATAGATTTACTGTTGAACAAAGGAGAGGAGCGTCAGTCTTAATCAAACTACCTTTTCCAAAAATAGTGTACTCTTACTCATTTTTATGGCCAAAAAAAATACCTTTATGTAGTCTAACACTTTCATATCACCTTTTACAACTTTCACGCTACCCATGTTTCTCAAAATATATGAAACTCCTGTATGTTACATTATAAACATTTGCTATTTAGCAATCTTGCAGAAAAACAACTTATTTGGTCATTGAATCCTAAACCTTAGAAATAACATTTTCATGCATGAATATGAATATCTTACTATATAATTATGTCTGAAGTATGGAAGAGACATACTTTACAGCAAAAAAAGCATGTCAATTTCCACTCCTTCTTAATCTAGGTTGGTATAAAATTGACCAGAGGTATAATGAAACCAAGCAGATCAGAGTGTTCCAACCACATTTTAAACAACTTTTAAAAATAGCTACTCACATTTTAATGTAACTCTTGTACCTTTTAATTATGTAAAAAAATTTTACTACAAGCTTTCAAAACTTACGACACCAAAAAAATGGAACCTTTGCAAGAATGATATTTTGTACCAAAGTGCCTGCTTACTCTTGAGGGATCTCAATGTCGCCACTGTCAATCTCCTTTTGAACATCGTGAGGGTTCTTACCTTCAACAGTGCAACCAACGGAGAAAGCAGTACCGAGAATCTCCTTAACAGTACCAGAGAGGTCCTTGGCGAGAGACTTGAAGCGCATAGTACGGGCAACTTCAACAATCTCGTCAATAGAAACGTTACCAGAGTGGACAACACCCTTGTCCTTCTTTCTGTCACGAGCGGGTTCCTTCAAAGCCTTGATAACCAAAGCAGAGGCAGAAGGAACGACAGAGACGGCGGCTTGACGGTTTTGGATGGTCAACTTGACGGTAACACGAAGACCCTTCCAGTCCTTAGTAGCCTTGGCGATATCTTCACCAACCTTCTTAGGAGACAAACCCAAGGGACCAATCTTAGGAGCAAGAGTAGAACCACCGGCAACTTCACCACCGACGGCTCTCATGATGACGGTCTTCACTTCATTGGGATCGAACTTGGGAGGCATCTTGGGTTGTGGCTATGGGATCAAATGGGCTTTGTGTGAACTTTGCCAAAGGTAAAGCGAAACAACAGTCACTAACCCTACCCCAAACTTTAGCATGTTACGCAGAATTAAATACTATAAAACAAAAGAGGGAAATTTTTATAAAGGCCCTGTTATGACAAATTGTACTTTTAATAAAATCTATAAATTGATGATTCTACCTTTGGACTGCCTTTAAAAGTATGAGCAATAAAAATAAAATAAAAAAAGAGATAATCTATTAAATTATATTACAAGAACAAACCCCAACTAAGATAAGATGAATTAAAAATGGATGTTACAAAGCTAAATGCTGTTTAGTTACTTCAAACGCCAAATTCAAGTTTCCACTGGATATATATATAAGTCGAAGATTATAAGCAGCTTCGTAGGCAAAGTCATAGGTGGAACTAACCCTGTTTCGTTCTTCCGGTTGTGTTGCCAATTTATCTATGGTTCCCAATGGCGACAATTCCAAAACCTTTTCGTAATACTGTACAGCATGATGTTCCAATCCAAGAAAATGGTAGGCTTTTGCCAAATTATAGAGAGCCTCCTGCTTCTCTCCTATGCCAACTTTGGACCGTAGATCATAATAGTGATATAAAAAGGTGAATCCCTGAAGAATCTGATAATGTCTATTGTCGGAAAGTCTTTGCATAGCACGATGAATATATGCCAAACCAAGAGATAGATTTGTCATTGGACAATTTGGATTCATCACATAAGCTCGGCTATAATAATTAATTGCTGGAATCCAACTTCTACTACGAGCCATAATATGTCCATAAAGTAAGAACAATATTGGATCGTAAGACGTAGGTACTGTTGCCAGTCCGTCTTCATTCTTCGATAAGGTAGCAGCACCAGGAATAGATGACTTGCTCATTAGTTGATCCATTAGTTTAACTTGACGAAGCAAAAATTTTTGATTAGCGCTGTCTACGAACGTTCGAGAGCATTCATAACCCGAACTTAATACACCTGAAAAAAGTCTGTACGTGTCTTGACGAAATTGGAAGTTCGTAAACGTCCATCGGAGAGGACCAAGAGCTGTCTGAGAATCTTTAGCATGGATAGCACATGCCAGCATGCACCATCGCAAATTCTGGCGCTTCAACGGATCTTGTTCAAACACAGGAGTAGCCATACCTGCTTTCAAAACCTCATAAGCCTGTTTAACTGACCCAGATTTCGCTTCTTGAAGTGCATAATGTACAAAGAGTTGAAACCAAGTATCGACAGGAACATCACGAAACATTTTCGTATGTAAAACCGTTTCCAGACCAACATCACCCCATTTCGAATGAGTGATTGAATCATTAAGACGATTAATCATATTCATGAGCTGATCTTTTAGCGAATGTATACGTACATGTCTTGTTAGCAAATTGGTTTTTGATCTCGCTTTCCGCTCATTAGGATAGAGGGCTTTTGTATTTACAAATTCGTCAATTAATTCGGATGCAATGTTCATCCAGAGAGCCGTCTCGAGGCTTGTCAAGTCGGTTTGTAAATTGTCAGACAAAGCACCAAGTTTTTCAAACCTTCTTTTGGTATGTTCGGTTTTCCAAATCTTATATTGACGTGCTTCTTCTCTGGAACGGCTAATTTGGGCCCGCTTTTCCCATCCGTCTTGTGGTAATCTCTGTTTATTGATAAGTAATTGGGAACCAAGATCGCTTTCACGACCTGTTAATTCCATAGTTGCTTTTTCATTTTCAGGCGTCGCCTTTTGAAGTTCTATTATACTAGTAACAATTGCCAGTGCCGCATCGCGATTATCCTGTAACTCATTAATCTCGGCCAATTTCACAAGTGCATTAATATTATCATTGTCCACAAGTAAAATAGCTTCCATACATTGTTGTGCATGTTCAAATTCCTTTAATTCCAGATAGCAAAGACCCATATCAAACCAAAGCTGAATGTTCTGAGCAGGGCCATAACCGCTCAAGAGTATATAATACTCCAATGCCAAATCTAGGCGCTCAACCTCCATATAGGTCTTTGCAATATTACCCAAAACAACCGAAGTATACTCAAGAGGAAGTGTTTTTATTATAGCAAAATGGTGGGCAGCTTCTTCAAGGTCACCAATTTTAATCCTCGCAATTCCCAGTTTAGTTCTTAGTAGATAAGGTAAATGATACGTTTCTTCAGAATTTTCTTGTAAGGAAGAAGCATCAAATTTCCTACGTTTTTCATCTATATCCCACTCACGGTCATCATCATAGTCGTCCCAGTGGATTTCTGACTTTCGTCCACGAAACCATCGTGTACCTCGGTTAATAAGTTGAATTGCGTTAGACCATTGATGATCTAAAAGCAATAGTTCAGCATAAAGATTCAAAGCAGGTAAATCAAAAACACCTTTGCCTACTGGTGGTACTGGGTACTGATAGTAATGAGCCCAGGAAGTCTCAAAAGCATTGAGGGCTTCACCAGGAGTACGAATTCTTATATACACCTCAGCCAAATGCTTTAACAAAGTTACATCAAAAGGAGAAGAAGGGAGCAATTGCCGAAACCCTTCGGTAGCTTTTCTCAGTGACCCATGATCTTTATTTAAGATAGATCTATTAAATATGTATTCTTCAGTTAAGCTTTTTTTAGCTGGTTTTGCTAAAATGGCGCGTGAATAACAATAATCTGCTTGATCCCAAAATTCTAAGCTTTCGCTAAGATGGGCGCAGGTGGCCCACATCTCATGGTCCTTTGGCCTAAGGTGAGCTGCTGCCATCCAAGCAATTAAGCATTTCTCAATATTAACCTTCTCGTTACCTCTCTGTCGATGACATTCGCCCAACATTTTCCAAGCGGCAATCACGTTGTTGTCAATGCGCACAATCTCTTCCGCAATCTTTTGTGCTTCTGTAAAATTTCCCTCTTGAGCAAATAACCGATTAGCCAAACTCAATAATTGTTGAACTTCCACAGAGGGAAGCATGTCAGCACGACTTACACGACCACGACCTCGCGAGCTTTTCTTAGCACGTCTAAAGCCAACAGCTGCTTTTAAATCTTCTTCCCATTCATTATCATCAACCTCAGAACCTTTTTGTGCGGATGGTTTGTCGATTGTGGATGAAACTTCTTCTTCGCTCTCATCATACTCTGACTCTTCGTCAGACCAAAGACCAGCAGTATTTAAAGCTGCAGTATCTCCTAAAAATGGTTCATTATTGTAGTCAAATCGTTCGGACTCCTCAACAAAGTCATTTATATATCCATTAAAATCTTGCATCCCTTCATCCATGGGTTCGACAGTAGAGCTGTTCACATCATCGACATTGGATTCTAAAAGGGTATTGGTTTCATTTTCGCTCATGATTTGCAAAGTTATGTGTACTGAAACATACTTTTAGAGATGTTGGCTGTTGGCAAACTGACCACGCACAAAATAATTTTCAAGCATACAAATTCACCACTATACCGCACCTAATAATATGAACTTTCACCCTAATGATAAAAGAAAAAAGAAGTTTTTAAAAGACAAACCTCAAAAGTCCTTATATTGTTTTCCCAAACAAACCTGTATAGCACAGCCATAACTCAATACTAATAATAGAATTATTGCTTAACTGAAGTTTACAGAATTCAATTTAGTAAACAGTACAAGAAGTGCTTAATTCTTGTTAGTTTTGGATTGAGAAGCATTTGTTTACTAACGTGCCCTAACACGTTCGTATCTACGATTATACAGAATTTTATATTCTGTTAAATCGCTACACCCAAAGAACTTGGCTGCAGTGAAAGTTGCTTTCTGCCTTAATAGTAGAAGACATTTCCATATGTTGAAAGTGTCCCAGTATTGGGGGTCTATAAGCCCGTTTCGGAGCTGCTCAAGGATTATTCGATATGCCTCTACAGCTCCAAACGGTGCAGAATCTTTGACAGACAACGAGCGGTCAATCGACACAAGTTTATTGTTTAGAGAGAAAACGAAATTTCAGGTATGGACTATCTTCTGATTAATTTGATGAAGAATTCTTCTTGAATAACCTACTAACCTTCGCCTACAGTTAAAAAAGTACAAACCCATCTCCCCTGGTCTACGACATTTGCAGCGTCCAATTACAGAAAATTTATGGAAGAAAGGTCCCTACCGTCCATTGACAGAAGCCAAGCGCAAAACAGGAGGTAGAAACGATACCGGTCGAATTACTGTTCGACATATTGGCGGTGGACACAAGCAACGGATTCGACTTGTTGACTTTAAACGGATTTCTCCTGGACCGTGTAAGGTTTTACGGATTGAGTATGATCCTGGCAGAAGTGGTCATATTGCCTTAATTGAGAGTTTGGACGAAGAAAAGCGGAAAAGTTACATCTTAGCTTGTGATGGCCTTCAAGCCGGTGACACCGTTGAGAGTTTCCGCCATCTGATGGCATTGGATAAGAATGGAAAGCTTCCAGTATTGAGTCCTACTCTAGCTGCCGAATTAGAGGATGGAACGTTCGCGGCTCGTAATCTGAAACCAGGAAACTGTTTTCCTTTGCGTCTCATTCCAGTTGGTACTGTAATTCATGCTATTGGTGTTCAACCTGGTCAAAAAGCAAAGTTATGCAGATCTGCTGGTTCAAGTGCACGACTTATTGCCTTCGATGACAAAAACTATGCGATTGTAAGATTACAAAGTGGAGAAGAACGGAAGATTTTAGCTACTTCGTTCGCAACAATTGGAACTGTCAGTAATATATACTGGCAACATAGACAACTAGGAAAAGCAGGACGTTCTCGTTGGCTCGGTATTCGTCCTACGGTTCGTGGTACAGCCATGAACGCCTGTGATCATCCTCACGGAGGTGGTGGTGGTAAACGTATTGGTAACAAGCCATCTCAATCACCTACTGGCGTTCTGGCTAAGGGAGGATATAAGACTCGTAAAGGCAAGAACGTAAATAAGCTTCTTGTTCGCAGCCGTCCTCGTGGTAAAGATAAACGCTAGACAATGACTCAGTTATGTACAGATACCAATTTTGTATACCGACTTTCCTCCAAGCCCAGCCGAGTGTTTCACATGGATGTTTGAAGCAAAGCTTTGGCAATTTGATGGAATCAGCTTTCATTTTAATTTTGTGATGCAGTCTCTCCAAAACTTTTTTAATCCTTATTCTTTAATAAATTTGCACCTTTTACATTCAGAAATAAATTCGAAAACTTTGGTTTTAAAAACTTATTCTTAACATTTTATGAATACAACAGTGCTAATATCATTAAGCTGTAAGTTTACTTTTATGTTTCTGATTTCTTTTTCAATCGTCTGTTTCTTCTACGCTTTCGTTGTGATGCTGGACTAGCGGAAATTCGTTCTAAGAGTGAGAGCTGAGAGGCTTTGGGACCAATTCGTGAGCGAAGAGGATTGGGTTTTCCTTTCGTGTCTTCGCTATCTGGGGATTTTCTAATAATTAGTAAGGATCATGCAATTTTCAACGAGTAAGCAAGAGTACAATACCTCTGTAGATGCGAAGATCGATCCTTCTCGTGAGGATCGCCGTGAAATAAATAATAGCGAGAATATAGATGAGCACTTTTTACTTTTTTATCCTGGTACCTCGCATAACGTATATGATACGTGGAAGAGGGGATATTTGGATTAGATTTCATAGGGTATTCAGCATAGTCGTCAAATTCAGAAACTGGCTCGGCCACAAGCAAGAAAAGTGCACGTCTAGCAACGTCTTCATCCGGGAATACCAGATTACCTGTGATGTGGTCAGTAATTTTCGGCATATAGACCGGATCTTCAGAATTCCTTCTTACATTCATTATCGTTAATCCATTCAATCACACATTCATGCTCAAGAACATAGGTAGATATAAATTCTTTAATTTGTGCTTCTGACATAAAATCCACTCCAGAAACATGAAGGGCTGTTCTTCTTAACGCCAAAACATCCGGATTTTCAGCTGGAGTCTCATTCACAATAGCCAGGTTTTCTGTTGGAATCCGATCTTCATGTAACGGTGCATTATGTTCTTCTATCGACATGAATGTTTGGGACGAGTTGCGCGTTTTGCAAAACAAGTGTTTGTTATTGTGCGAATTCAGTCGAATAGTGAAGGACGGTCACTATTCTTAAACGAGTTTATCCTTCGGTCAAAAAAGAGACATAAATTGTAAAACAGTGATCAAGAAATTATAGAGATTTATTATCCTAAATATTAAACTTTTAAATTGAATGAGAACTCCCTTTTGTTCGGTGCTCCATAAGTGAGATTTGGCTGGACAAAGTACAACTACACTGGTTCAGTATCGAACTTGCAATGCTTGGTCAAAGCATACGAATGAAGGTATAGAATTTTCTTTAGATTTAGAACCAAAACTAGATATGCTCTTCACTAGAATTACCGCCATTTATCTCACTAATGAAACCGCAATCGTTTCTAGAATGAAGAGTATAGTGACTGACTAGAATTTTTCATTCTCTCAAAATAGACCACACAAATGAACAGAAAATTTAGTCTGTCTTTCTTGTAAATATGAGTTTTATTAGTAACAAAACAAAATGAATAAAAAAAAAAAAAGGTTTCTTTTGTTTATTTTTTAATGAAAGTCAATATGAACTCCTTATTCGTGTTTAAGAAAATTCAACAAAACCAAACAACAAAAGTGAAAGCATATGTAAACATTACAGTGTCTCTATCCAAGTAAAGAACCTAAGCCTTTTATTCGTTTTTTGTATTGAAGCTAAATTCTTTCTTAAAAATCTTAGTCTATTGATCCCAGTATCTCTGTAACTGAACGCAAGCAGTCAAGGAATCGAACAAGATTTGAAACTTCTACCTCAATTTGAGAATACAAGACGCGTGTAATAGCAAGGACGTTCATTCTAAAGTGAACAACGAAAAAGAAGAATAGTATACTTATCAAAATGGAATCAATTATTGGTAGGCACAGTCGGGATGAATCTTTGTCGCGTTCTTCTATCGCTACTCCCACTGTTCTCGACGATCAAGAGGAAAATAGTGAACGTCCGTTCTCATATGTACAATCATTAAGAAGAGCCAGAGCTACCGTATGGAGTGACCAGGGTCGTGCAAAACCGTTGCAGTCTGCATCTTCATGGAAGAGCTCATCTCAAAACGGCAAAAAAGATTCTAGTAAAGGATTAGGTGGTATGCGATCTAGAGTCTTCTCAAGCCAACATCATGGTGTGTACCATACTCGACCTGCTTCTTTAAAATCTCGAACAATGGCCCCTCAGCATACCATTCTAACACCAAGACTTTCTGCAACTGAAGGTAAAGACGAAGACGAAGATGATCCAGCTCTTTTCGCGGCTAATACTACTCCCACTTACATGTCCATGATTAATTCTTCTCGCGCTAGCTCCACGCGTAGTGGCACTGCTCCATCCGCACCTTCTATCATGGGCATGTCTATCCACTCTCAAGCCGATACTACTCAGTCAGATGGATATGAGTCCAGAAGTGGCTCACCAACTCATGACATCCAATCTTACCTCGTCCATCACAGTAGCGGTGAAGAAGACTCCGATTGGGAAAGTGGTGAAGAAGGCGTGAAGCGTCTGGTAATTACTAATGTAGCTAATGACTCTGAACTGGACAGTGATTAAGCAACACGACAATCATACTTTAATCTCACTACATGTCCCCGTTTCTTTCTGACTATGCATCTTAGCTTCTCCTAACTTCTTATACCTGTTCATCCTGGACATCCCCACCGTTCCGTTTCTTTCTTACCTTTTCATTTTCTTCATTTACATTTTCAATGATTTTTTCATCGTTCCTTTTCTCATGTAGATTACCTTCCACTTTGTCCTTATTTATTATTGAAATTTAAATTGTTAATTGCTTGTCCTTATTGTGGTAAGAAAATGTAGAAAGAAAAGAACATTCATTTATGATTCATAATTCGATTTGTTTGAGTATATATTTATATTTACACAAAAGGCATTGGTAGCAGCGTGTGCACCTTCTAAGCAGGGTTGTTTTCGTCAACTAAAGCTAAAATGAGGTCCTTATCTTCTTTTTCCATAATCTTTTCAGTCATCAAATTACCAACAATTTTTTCCAAAAGACCCCGAGCATTCGGAGGGACAGTTCTATTTGTAGAGAGTTGATCATCTCTTAGAAGTAATAATGAATCATATAAAGCATCCATACAACGGTTCGCTTCATACTTGTCATCATCATTACCTTTTTCTAAACTCTTTCTCACCAAAATTTCATAGACTTTAATATTAGGAACAAGAAGCACCCTAATGGCTTCTTTTCCCATTGTTTTAAGACCATTAATAGCTCCGTAGTGAGTTGTATAAGGCTTCGTATTGTCTAAGAATGCTTTCAAAACTGTCCTAGTAACTCTCGGTTTCAATGTATAGTATACGTTGCCAAATCTATTACAAACGATTCCTAAAAGGTATGCAGCTAAGTCTCGTAAAGCATAATGGTCGTGGTTATGAGGATCATTTCCAAGACGTTTGGCAACCAAGCAAGTTAAAATAGAGGGCATTAGCTGTTGAACATAAGGCTCAACGAATAAATTGGGATTGTCAAGGAGCGCCCAAGCCATTTGCATGAGTGTTGTAAGGATAACTAGATTACTTAAATTATGAGATATGGAATCCGAAAGAAACATAATAAAATAGGGCAACAATTGATGTAAGCCCGGATCATCTCGAAGACTCGATAATGCAGCATGTCGAAGTTCTGGATTTGATACATCAAGCAAAGCAGCAGTTATACGCTCAAAATATAACTGAAGCTCCTTTGAAAGCACGTGGCGTACTAATGGTTTCACCTCAACATTCTCCATGGATGAAATACCATTAGACGCCTCTTTGGTAGCTGCAGTAGCACCGGGTGTGATTGCGGCTGGGCCCTTAGGAGCCCATTCCCCAGTAGTATGATCGGAGGGTGTTGGGTTTTGTGGAATAGCAGGTTGAACACCCTCAATGGCTAACCAATGTGCGGTATACGAAATATTTCTGGGGACTTTTGGTAAGGGAAAATTGATTATCTTTTCAAAATCAATTTCTTCATCATCAAGATAGTAGAGAGAATTCTGCCCAGCACCTACGGCGGCTTCATGAAATTCAACGGGCCTAGATGTATTAAACCCGTAAAGAGGTTCAACATTTAGAGTTCTCAAAGCTGATGAGATATCGGCATTTGAAAGGACCGTTCGCTTTGAATGAACCATAAATTTCATTGCTTCCTAGATTGACATTAGCAAATCGTTCCCTAGACATAAAATGCATGACAAGCGAGAACAACACCTTTTTTTGTATATGAAATATTTAAATAGCTTTAATAATACCATATACAATTTATGAAAATCCCAGAAGACCTAACATACCTGTATGACTTGGTGAATTCGATATTCAAGATCCATTGCAATTGCGGAAGCTGCCTCATCACCTAAATTGCTTATACCAAGCATTTCAGCGACATCTTTAATGGATTCTATGTTCCATACCGTCAAAGACATGTTGGTATATGGAATCTATGAATTTCCTCGTCGAGTTTAGGAAAGTGAATACAGAACTTTAGTGCGTTCCTCGTAATCGGATTACGATATTGCTAAAATTTGTTAGACAATACTAGAGTAAATAGAAAAGTAGTCCGTTTTTTTTGTAAACAAAATGATTTTATAACCGTTTTAGTTAATGGATCCTATAAGTTTTTTTTTTTCTTTTTTTTTTTACTTTTTTTTACTTTTTTGAAATTTTAACTTTGGAACTGCATGTGCAATGTCCAAGAAACCATGCAATTTACAAAATGTAAACTGGGGATGAAGACATTCAATCACATAAAGAACAATAAGTGTTCTAGTAATAGAATCCAAGAGGAAAGCGATATTTGGAAGCTTTTTTTATATAGTTTTATAGAGAATACTATTAAAAACCGGAGGTTTTTACTGTAAGAACGGTAGCTCTTCGGTCATTTCCGTAATGATTTATATGAGAGGACCGCCAAGACCAAAATTTTCTAAAAAAGCCGGAGAGGTGAAGCTGGTCTGTCATCACACACAGCCTTCTACATCAACTGCACAATTCTCATTAGCATCTTAATGCTTGTCACTCCTCTGGTAACAGTGTACAAATTGTAACCGTATTGCAGTTTGCTAAAGAAGCACTCTTAACTGACAAAGATAAATAAGTAAAAAATAAGAAAAAAAAACAAACAGAAATATACTATAGCTGTTTAGTTGGAAGTGAAAAAAATAGCTGCTCCAGCAGTGACTCGAACACTGGGCCTCTTGCTTACTAGGCAAGCGCTCTACCACTGAGCTACAAGAGCTAACTTAACTCCTTTTATAAAACATCCTATTAGGGATGAAAAAACAGGTTCATTTCATATAACTCTTAATTAAATCGTAGATCTCTTGCATCTCCGGTATGTTCATTTGCTTTCATTGATGAAAATAAAGGGCATCTACGCTACTATATTAGCGTAAGGTGTTAAATTTAGCATATTGTGTTATACTTTGCTATCTGTTTTAAGGAGGTCGTACAACCAGATAGGATCACACTCGAGACAAAAACATCCACCCTAAAGCCATTATGCTTGGTGATTCTTTATATGAGGCAGACAGTGAGTTTAATCCTTTTGCGGATGCAGTTTCACCCTTAAATCCGCCATCTGCCGATGTGCAGACGCCTACGGAATCTACGCGCGAGGTTTCATCAAATTCCCAGGATGCAAATTACAAAATTCGGGAGGTTTCTTCCCCAGGGAAGCTAGTAAATTTAAAATCTCTTCCATTGGAAACTCTTACGTTAGATTCAGCTCCCCTGGGGCCATTAGACCATTCGAACCCTTCCACTGTGAATTCTGAAAATAATCCTATAGGATCTAGTGCCCACGAATCCCCCACAACTTCTGCGAGATCATCATTTTTGCCAAATAATCCTCATGGTGTGCATGATGTTTCTCATGGGACGCATATTTCTGAAGTCAATCCTTACTCTACAGAGTCTATGAGCGCAATCCAAAAGGAATCACGACAGAAAGAAAATCTCGATACCACTTTAGACACGGGGGTCATGGATACTTTATCTCAATCTTCTGATCCCTCTCTTGCCCATACTATGATCGGAAAAGACAAAAACAGCCAGGTCGCCGCGGAGCTTGAGGTGCCTGCTCTGCCACCTATGAGTATAGACGTACATGATCCACATACAGTAACGGAGCTTGCAAAGTCTCACACTGTATATTTGGTAAGTTCACGAATGGAAAATGGTTCTACCCAACCCTCTGAAGTTACCGTACAAAGACGGTACAGAGACTTTGATTGTCTTTATCAACTTTTGTCTAATAATTATCCTGGGTGTATAATTCCTCCTCCTCCTGAAAAGCAAGTGGTTGGTCGATTAGATGACGAAGTAGTTGAGCATCGCAGATCTGCTTTAGAAATTATGCTTCGCAAAATCTCTTCTCATCCCCTTTTAAGAAATGATTCATTCTTTGAAAATTTCTTAAAAGTCGATTACTTTGACACTAAGTTAACAAACTACGTTACTCCCATCGATGCCGTTGCTTCTTCCACTAATGCTGGTTCATCCGGTCTGTTTGACTCCTTCACATCCGCTTTTCAAACATCTTCTTTACCGAAGTATGTTGAAGAAGATCCTTGGCTTGCCGAAACGAAATTATCATTAGATACTCTTGAAACTCAGCTACGATCCATGTACCATGCTATATTGGTGTGTATAGATCAGCGCTTGCAATTTTTATCTTCCATCCATGATTTTGGAGAATCTTTAGCAAATTTGTCCTTAGTTGATCTTGATCCTTCTCTTTCCTCCCAACTTGACAGTCTTTCTCAGATACAGATAGAGCTTCAGTTTTCTCAAGAAAGAAAGGTAGCGCAGGATAACTTGACTTTGGGCGTAACTGTTGAAGAATACATTCGTAATATAGAAAGTGCGAAGAACGCTTATGCTAGTCGACAAAAGTTATGGCAAGTATGGCAATCTTCTCTACAATCACTTGCTCGTGTCGATGCCCAACTAGATAAATGTCGGAAGCAATCCAAATTTAATCAAAAGTCTCTTCCTTATCTAGAAGGTCAAGTTGAAAAATTCCGGACTAAATCTTCTCAACTACAGCAACAGTTTGAAAAGTCAACCGCTTTATTAAAACACGATTTGAAGCAATTTTCTAGGAATAGAGTTGATGACTTGAAAGCGAGTGTTGAGACGTGGCTTGAATCAGCAATTGAGTCGCAAAAAGAGTTGATTGACAGATGGGAATCGTTTCTCGAATAATTTACTACAAATGGTTTGTATTTCTTCTACCTATTTATTGTGATATAAAATTATCTCCCTCCTTTCTTTTAACCTTTTGCTACCTTTGGTGGTCTTCTCAACTTCATTTCATTGATGTCGTCGCTACTTTGTTTAATGATTTTGATGCTAATTACATATTTTCATGAGATGTTAATGAAAGCATATAATATTACAAGTTATATTTCTTATTGGTTATCGTATTATTGACTATTGAGATTTCTCAAGCGTGCTACGACATCACGTCTCAAAACAAACGCATGTCTTCATCATAACAACTCGCACTAACGCCAAACTTCACCATTTTAAAACAGTTTCATAAATTTTGATGTTCTTCATTAATACGTAGGCTGAAATTCTATTCAGCTGTTTGATGAATAGCAATTTCTTGTGCCTGTTCTAGATAGGGCATTAACTTTCCAAAAGTATCGTAAACTGATTTTTCGGGTTTACTTTTTACTAATTCAACCTTCTTCTCTTCATCCCATGATTTTAAAACGAAGTCGTCAAAGCTAAGTTTCTGTGCGTTCATTGCGTAAGCGGCCTTGACAGCACCCTAAAAAAATGTTAGTAACTTTGTATATAGAAAATAGTCTTGTAAACATACACCGATGGCGCAAGCATTACTTGCTCCTTGCTTAAGTCGATAAACATCACATCCTAATATTTCACTGATCATTTGAACGATGGCTTCATTTCGACTAGCACCACCAACAACATATACTCTTTGTGGACGGGACACATCGGTAAGCAAAGGTGTAATTCTGTCACGAATGTCCAAAAATTGGCTTTCGACGATAGCACGAGCATCATCATCAGGGATTGTCCATGATTCCGATGTTTCTGTTATTGGTTCCAACTTGCTATTGCGGATATTGTAGCGCCATACACCGGGACCGACAGCAGGAATGATTTCGCGTAGAGGATAGTATAGACCAACTTTTTGGTCTGGGAGAGTACCTGTTTTGGGTCTTTCTGTCAGGGTAAATTTGTTGAACAAATCCCAAGAATTCTTATCGGGAACTTGATATTTTTCATTGATGCTATTGCGAATATTTTCTCTTGCCAAACTGCCATTTTTGTAGCAAAGCATGACCATATAATCCTAGATACCGGTTAGTAAAGCTGAGTTCAAATAATGCATTTAATGTTTACTGCTAAGGAGTAGTAATAAAAAAACATACATTTGTTACTGTAGGATGGCCGAACATATGATAATCTGGGGAGCAAACGTAGTTAGAAGTTGCCATCAGAGCGGTGGTACTTGTACCAAGCGACAAAAGAACATCTTTTCCTGGACGCAATGGCAAAGAAAGTAGAGTAGCAGGATTATCACCAGTGATTGGAAGGATTTGGCATTGAGGTGAAAAGCCGTATTTCTTGGTAAAGTAACTTCCAATACCGCCTAAATGCTTTGCACCATTCATCTCAACGGGTCCTAATTTTTGAGCTAAATCTGACCCTTTAAAAGGACCAGCAACATCATCCAAAAGACGGGGTTCAAATCGTTCGTTTCGAATATCCCATAAATTCATACCGCAAACATCACTGATCTCCAAAGGAGCCTCGCGCTGTAAAAGAACAGACATGAGAAAACTCGAAGCGAGTCCAATGCGCTCAGTCTTCTCGTAGATATCTGGGTGTAAGCGACGAAAGCGCTTGATCTGAGGACCCGTGAATCTTAGATGAGCTCTGGATCCTGTAATATCAGCAAGGATACCAGCACCACCGACGACAGCTTCCATTTCTCGACATTCACGAGAAGTGGTAGCGTCCTGCCAGTTGGGTGACCTCGGGTAAAGGTATTTTTCGAGTTGACTCTGCAATGTAGAGCTCGTTTCTAATGAACCAAGAGCTTGTTCAGCTCCCTGTAACCAGAAAACACCTGCATGCTGTTGACCTGCTCCGCAAATGCCCTGAATCTTACTCACGTCCATTACCTTGGTAAGTCTGACACATAACAAGTCAAGGGCGTCCAACCACATAGGAACTGGGGCTACCACCTCATGACCATCTTTGTAAACACCCTTTGTGGTTTTATAAGACGGGAAATCTTTCTCAAAGTCCACAACTACTTCTTGGACAATGTCTAGCTTTTCGTTAACAGTTACACCTTTCAATTGCTGGGTCGAAAGATCTAATCCTAGAAACATTTTGGTAATGCTATATGTTGTAACTGAAGGCTAGAAATCGGTCTTGTTATTGGAAACTAATTCCAAAAAATGGGTTTTAGATTCCAAAAAAATTAACTGTACTTGTTCTTTACAACTGTAAAATTCCGCATACATACTACTTTGTAATTACTTACATCAGTTGTTATGTTATGTATTGTCACTCGTTTTCCATAGAATAATATTTCATCACATTACAATACAGCAGATTGAAAGGTATTGAATATATGTACCTTCAGTAAAAGTAAAAGTGAAAATAAAAAATAAAACTGCACTTATCATTAAAGATGTTAATTTTTTTTTAAAAAAAAAAACCCTTGACTATTTCCGCGCACATACGTGGTTTACATTACATATCTTCAATTTGTTTCTTCACCAGAGTTCTTTCCTTCCTTATAATGCCTAGTTACAGAGACCTTGATAGAACTTTGTATATACAAATTAGTTGTAAAAGAAGAGAGGATTCCAGGAACAGTATATACGTTTGTCACTGTAAAAAAAAAAATAACTGAGAGTAAACAAATATCTAGGGAGAAACGAAGGTTCATGTTCTTTGCATTTCAAATCTATAAATACCTAACAGTACCAAATATAACTACACCATTCTTTTATAAATTCGCATTAGCGTAAAAACAAGATCAATAAACACTACTTTCTTTACATTAATAATTATGATCGACATCGCTTTGTTTCAAAAAAAAAGCCAATATATCAAGTATAAATTAAAGTCGTTATTAATACCTTGAAGCGCATTACCAAGAATTATGCATATGTATCTAACCATATCTAACCTAATTCACATCCCAGTATTATGCACACATCATATGTATGTAAACTTGAAACTCTTTCTGTTTTTTTTTTTTAAAAAAAAAGATTTAACTTCTCGTAATCTTTCTGTAAAGTCGAGTATTTTTGATTTGCATAACTCGGAAAATGTAAAATAGTAACAACACAGCAAAGACATTGAAGAAGACATAACCAATAACGATACCAAAGTTACGCCAACGATGGTCAAACTTCATACCGAATTGCAATAAGAACTGGTCACCAGATCGGTAACGGCAATATTGACAATCGCTTGTGGCATCAGGATTTAACAAATTACCGGCCATCTCACTTTTCAAGAAATTCTTTAAGTAAGATTGACAAGTTTGGCCATTAGGAGGGTTCAAGCGGTTGACTTCATTTGGTTTACATTCCACCGGGACATTGTGTAACAAATCACCTAACAACCCTTCAATAATGTAAGTGAAAGGTGTCAAGGAGTGCATCCAGTGCCAGAATTTAATTAAATTGTTGATAGGCTGCATGACACCATTGAAAGTAATAATGAAAGTAAAAGCCAAACTGTTCACTACGGATGCAGTCTGAGCGTTGGGGCAAGCACTGGCAACGGCTTGACCGAATGTCGAATAGTACATTTGGAAGATCATGTACATTAACCAAGCATAACCTGTTCTGTCACTTGGATGTTCCAAATGCTTATAAAACTTAACAGGATAAAACCAACACAAGAAGAAAATTGTACCGAAAATAAGGTTGAATGGAATTTCGACTAGAATTGCCGAAATAACAAATGCAACCCAACTGTAAATGTTGGATGGCTTCTCTCTCACCTCAAATACATTTCTAAGATCAATGAACTTGGGTTGTAAACCGTTAATCAGAGGAACAGCAAGGACTGTTGCCATGAAAATTGCGAAAAGCTTATTTTGCATATTTTGAGCACCTAAACCTTGATTGTAGAAAGTGAAACCAATAAACAAACCGGCAAAAATATTCAACATCATCTTAGACATCAATAATGAGGGTTCTCTCCAATAGGATTGGAAGTTTCTAAGCAACACAAATCTGATCTGTGTCCAAATTGGCATAGCGTAAGTATGAGTATCTTCTTTGCTAGGCTTGTTTTGATTATCAGATTTCGTATTTTCAATTTCATCCAGTTCTTGAGTAGTTTGTTTACGTTCGTCCGAATTTTGCCAAACTTCATGCCAATCACGATCAGTCTTCGCAGTAGCACCAGCACCGATTACATCAAGAATGTATTCGGCTGGATTTCCGTCAGGAGGACAAGGACTAGCTCCATGGGATGAGAAGTAATTTAACAACGTCTTGGAATTATCACCAATATCACCAAAATATACCGTTTTACCACCTTTTTGGAGTAGCAACAATCTATCGAATTGGTCAAACAATACAGCACTAGGTTGATGAATTGTACAAAGAATTGCTTGGCCAGCGTCGGTCAATTTACGCAAAAATTGAACAATCGACCATGCCGACTGACTATCCAAACCTGAGGTGGGTTCATCCAAAAACAAAAGAAGAGCTGGTTTAGCAGCCAACTCTACACCGATAGTTGCACGCTTACGTTGCTCAACGTTCAAACCAGATCCGGGGGTACCAATGATAGCTTCAGCATAAGCTTCCATTTCCAATAATTTAATAACACTTTCAACATATTCAAACTTTTCAGAGAGAGGAACAGAGGCCGGTTGGCGAAGTGCAGCACTGAATTGCAGCGCTTCTCGAACGGTAGACTCAGCGACATGAACATCCTGTTGTTGGACATATCCCGTACGACGCTGGAATGTGGAGTCAAGAGGGTGACCGTTGACGAGCATATTACCGGTGACAACACCTGTATCAACACGTTGAGCAAGCACATTGAGAAGTGTGGTCTTACCAGCACCTGATTCACCCATCAGAGCGGTAAGTTTTCCTGGTCTCACAAATCCATTAACCTCGCTCAATAGTCGACGCTTTTCTCCTTTAACAGTAATATCATAACAAAGGTTTCTCCAACTGAAAATGTCCTTACTTTTTTCTATAGTCTCGTACTCCTTATCAGTTTCTTCAGGATTTGGACGGGATTTTTCAACAGTACCGCCTTGAGTATTTTGTCCAGTTTCTAAATCCAAAGGTTTTCCGCCTTCATTGACTGCCTCCTTAACACTGTCAGGAGCGTGACCACGACGGAAAATGAGATATTCACCCTTAAGATCATTAAAGTTCAAAACCTCACTGGCAACGATGTTCACAAAAATCAAGAAAGCGTAATAACCAATAATAATTGCAAAGTTTCTCCAAATTTGGCGAGTTTTGTAATTAAAGCTGGTGTACAGATAGGTTGAGCCGTCAACATAAGTTTGACCTGGTTGAGCACTTGTGATTGGGCATACTTTGTATTCAGAGGAAATATTATCGTATTCACCGCCAGAAGGAATCATTTGAGTGCATCGGTATTTCTGGGCCTTAAATTCATTGATCATAAGAGACGCAAAACCGAATTGTACAGGATCAAGATATGAAATCCAGCGTAACCACCAACCAACATCAATATTGGGAATAGCATAACCTGTATAAATGGCAATAGCCAAGACACCCATACCACCCAAAGCAGAAGCAGAAGCTACATTTGGCATGATTGCGGCAAGAGCTCTAAAGAATGTAGTCATTGTGGTAGCAGAAATAAATAAAAAGGCGTAAAAGGTCCAAAAGCCACCAGCGGTACGCCTCAAATCGGTCAAGAAGTAAAGAATAATAGCAAAGACAGTTACGTTGATAGACCGGAAAGGGATATCAACAATAAGACTACTGATAACGTCGGCAGCTGGATGATAGAGAGCAGATGCGCGATGTTTGGCAATGATAGGACGTTGAGCAAACATGTTTGCAATTTCGGAAAGACTTTGAAGGGCAGTAAACAAGATGGCAAAGAATAGTGTACCACCACGAGTAAACATATCATTTGTAGAATCACGGAGATTGTAAAAGATGGAACCAATAATGAACGACTGGAACATAAAAGCAAAAGCCATGGCTAATATGTAAGCCGGATCATTAATGTAACGTTGCCATGAACGAATTAAACAATAGCGTAATTGCATCGCAAAAGTGACAGTGTAAGGAGTATCCTTCGACATGCCTTTTGCTTTTTCAGAGCGGGCACTATCGCGATAGTTTTCATGTTTGGTGACAGCAGATTCACCGTCGTTGAGATCCTTTGATGAACGGATAGAGTTGGGAGAGGAGTTTTCATCCCATCTTTGATCGTATTCATCCATCTCACGAAGGAGTTGAGCATACAAAGGGTGCTCATGCCATAGACGTTCAAAGTCCTCGGGAGTACGAGGAACACGGTTTTCCCAACCCTCCCTGGGTTGACGGGCATTGGGATCAGTGATGGCTGTCAAGAAATCGGGAGTAGTTTCACGAGGGTGACAAACAAAACCCATATTAAGGAAATAGTCTTTAGCTTTGGAAGCTGGACCATAATAGATTTGACGACCAGCATACAGGACACAAACTCGATCGAAAAGGTTATAAATCTTTTGACTAGCCTGGTAAGCGGTAACAAAAGAGGTTACCTTCAGCTCGTCTGAGCAAATACGTAGGTTATTTACGAATTCAAAAGCGGTACTAGCATCCAAACCACGGGTACTATTGTCCCAGCAAGCAATGGTGGGACGAAGAGCAAAAGCTTCACTAATAGTAACACGCTTGCGTTCACCACCAGAGACACCACGAATAAAGTCGTTACCAACCTTTGTCTTATAAGTGTGAGTAAGACCAAAACTGGTAGCAATAAGATCACGAATTTTGTTCATGTAGTCTTTACGGGAGATGTTGCATGGACGGTTATGAGGAGTACGAACACGGGCGGCGAAATTGATAGTTTCACGGGTAGTCAGAGAAGGGAAATGAACATCATTTTCACCGGAATAAAGAACATCACCTGGGTAATGTTTTTTCATCTCATCGGAAGAGATGCCATCGTAATGAAGTTGGGTTTCGACATCGTTGTAATGATCAGTTTCGCCAGCGACGGAACGTAAATAAGTTGAGCAACCAGCACCAGGCTGACCCAAGACCATGACAAGCTCACCAGCATTTGCGAGAGCATGGCTGTGGGAAAGAATGGCTTTCTTGACAACTTGACGTTCCTTGAAATGACGGTAAGGAGCGGCAAAAATGTCAATGAAGGTAGTAAGAAACTCGTAACCAGAACCGAGACCGTAGATGGAGGTATCACGCATGCAAACACCGGTGGTACGGGAACGGATGCCATCACGTTCCAGGGCATCTTTGTAACCACGAAGGTAACGTTTGAGATCAAAGTCTTCGCCCAAAGCAAAAGGGTCACCGGTAAGATGGTCGACAGATGAGACGGAAGAGGAAGACGTAGGTGCATTGGCAGGAGGGGCATAAACGGCAGAGTCGTAATGAGTTTCATGGGTCATTTGAGGATGAGGCTGATTTTGAAAATGATTTTCATTTTCATATTCATTATCGGTATGAGATTTAGTTTGATTTTGATTCCTAGCCGCAAAGGTAGTAGAGGAGGATATGGAAGAGGTATCTAAAAGTTGATTTTGAGTATTTTTAGGGAAAAAATCCAGAGAAGGGGCAGAATTGTCTTCCACAGAATTAGCGGATGCGTAGGAAGAAGCGGAAGGAGCAGGATAATGGTGAGTAGAAGAAGACATAATGATGAGAAAGTCTTGAACGCAAAAAAAAAAGAGAATAAAAAGAAAACAAAATGTAACCAAATATAAAACTAGAATCCGATGTCCGAGATATCCACTATTAAATCAACGAATGGAATGAAAACGAAAAAGAATATGAAAAGAGAATTCCAAATTCGTAATAGCAATTGCAATCGTATTCGTATTCAAATTTTTTTGGCTTTTCACAATTAAAAAAAGAAAAAAAAAGAAAAGAGTGTGTGTGTCCAAGATAGACAGACAAGAGAGAGGAAGTTAAAAAATGAGAAAAATAAGAAAAAGAAAAAAGATTAAAAAAAAAAAAATTAAAGCTACAGAATAGAGTAGCAACTTTTTTGCGTCCAGAAAGAGCAGGACAAATAAGAATAAAAATAGAGAGAATCCAGTCGCACAGAAACAACAGAGAAAATTTTTTTCCTACAAATATTAAAAAAAAAATAAAAAAAAAGAAAATAGAAAAAAATTCCAACGAAACAAAGTAGGAATTCTTTCAATGGCGACCCTGACAAAAAAAAAAAGGTAGCTGTAGGCCTTTTTAAGTAAATAAAATCATCGGTGTTTTACTACATCCGTGATGATGTCACAGCATGAATAAGCATTTATCCCGAGGACCGAGATGTGGACATTTCAAGTAGCGAGGTTCATGATACTGAGAAAGAGAGGGAGTGAGGTTAGGTGAAAGGAGACAAAAAGGGAGGATAGCAAAATGCATCAGATAAAAAGGAAAACAATGCAATTGCAGAGAAGAGCGAGAGCGAAAGAGAGAAAAAAAAAAAAGTCTCCCAAGATGTTTGCAATGAAAAGACGTAAAGACTCTTCGAGCCTTTCTCTCTCTCTCTCTCTCTCTCTCCTTCTCACTCCCTCTCATTTAATCTATCACCGGTCTGCCCGGTTGTTTTTCAAATCGCGTCCGAGGAATTTCCAGAAACAGCAATATATAGTTTTACGAGGGGAACCCTCTACTCTTGTTTGGTTGAAAAGTATCCAATTGTTTTGATTTTCAATGTTGATTTGTCCATTCGTTGTATGCATCGCTTGTCTTTGACACTTTAGTGAACCCTCTTTCAAAACTTTAGCGTAGAATGAATAAGGAGCTGAACCGACTCGCTATCTAAAAACCAATTCTCCAAACATAAAGACCCGAGACCGAGAGGTAGAGAAACATAGCGAAGAGGAAAAAAGAAATCACATTGGTTCATTCCAAACGTTTCAGCTCGTTCGTTGTAGAACATTCCACTCTCTACGGACCTGATCGGACCGAAGGAGAGAACAGAGCGAAGCCACAGAAAAATAAAATTGTATGTATCAAAAGTAAATTTAGACTCGTAGAGTCTCCAACTAAAATTTGCTGCAGACTCTTCGAGTCTAAAATTTTTCTTCCTTTTCACTATGTTTCTCTCTCTCTCTCTTTCTCTCTCTGTCACTGTCTCTCTGGTGTGTGTCTCCATCGTATGCCTTGTCTCGTCCTCGCTTCTTATTCGGACCCTCGGATGAAATCAAACAGAGAAAAAAAAAAAAAAAGGAAAAAGCTTCTTCCTGCTCTGCCCCGCGGATGCTAGTTCAACATAAACTCCGAAACACGCGGCGACGGCGTCTCTACACTTCCAAAATTTTCTACAAACGATCCTTCTCCTTTCGTCTCTTTAAAAGTTAATACCATTCTCCTTTTATTTCGCTAAACGAAATACAAACGAGTCTTCAAATCTCACTTCTCACTCTCACAAAACAGAGACGAGCGAGGTTCGTTAATTGTATCTGTGGTTATGGTTGTTTACTCCAATACAGTCCAGTCCATATAGAAGAGAGAGAGAGAGAGAGAGAGAGAGAGAGAGAGAGAGAGAAAGAGAAGAGACCAAGTCTTTACGAATGGTTTCTCATACTAAAAAATGAAAAATAAAAAAAAACATTCTAATCATATGTAGGAAATGTAAAAGTAAAATTTTGAAATAATGAAATAATGAAATAATGAAATAATGAAATAATGAAAAAACTGTAAAACTGTAATATAGAATTGGTTGTATAGTAATGTTATTCGTATATTTCTTTGTTTCTTTTCTGTCTTCTTCTTTCTCTATCAAAATCTACGAAATGAAAATCAAAGAAAACCAACCCACTTAAAAAAGTCCCTTCCACTTCTATACCAACACAACATCTCCTTTTTGTTTCGTTTCACTTCCTTCCTTCTGTTTGCATTCCACCTTCCACATCCCAAACACCTTTTTGTGCATCCTTCCATAGTTCAGTATTCCATCCATCCGTGATGGCTCCTACCACCATCCACGCCCAGTTTGCCTCTGTGCACCTAATTTTTTTGCGTTTCCCTCTTTTTTCACTTTCTTTGGAGATTTTTCCCTTATTGTTACAATCTTTTAGGACGAAACTTCTCTATTTATTTCTTTTTCGTTTTGTTTTTTCCTTTTCTCTTTCTCTTACGCGACGCGTCTCCCCTATTGCCTGCTTCCTTGCTCCTGACGTTGCCTTGACCTCTTTTCCTCTTTTCACGCAATTCTTCTTTTTTTTTCTTTCCTTTCCTTTCTTTTATCTTTTCTTGTTTTTTTTTTAAACTACACACCCTTTCTCTCTTCTCTCTTGTTGTTTATGCTTCTCTTCCTCTAAGTCTTTTTTTTTATCCTTTCTTTCTTTCCTTTCTTTTTCTTTTCCTTTGTGTACTCGGTTGGTTTTCCTTGTCGTTTTCTCTTTTTACTTTTTCATCTTTTACATCCTCTGTTTCTTTTTTTGGTCTTGCTCCTCTAGACGCTTTTTTTTTTCTATCTATCTATCGCTCTCGCAAACACACACACACACACTCACATTCTATATCTCTCTTTTTTCCATATCTGACTAGTCTTTGTCTTACACCGATTCCCTTTTCTCCGACATGTCCTCCTCCTCTTCCTCGAATCGTAGGCCTTGTACCCTTCGGCGATCCGAACGTTCTATGAACCTCAATCAGGAAACTTTCTTTCCTTCCACTACTACTTCTGCATCCACCAATGCTTCTCCTTTTTACTCTCCTCAATCTCCTTCCACCACTTCTTCCTCCACTCCAAAACCCTCTCTTCATTCTTCTCCTTTTTCCCATCCTTCTCGTCCCCCTTTTTCCGTAAAACGCTCTTACCTTCCTTCTGCCAATGTCTCTCCTTTCACTCAAACCGCCGTTCCTTCTATTCCCAACTCTTCTTCCACCCTCGCTTCTACTTCTCCTTCTCCCCCTTTTACCCTCTCTTCTTCTTACAAGTCTTCCGGAAGCGCCCCAAAACGTACCTACTTTTCCACTTCCCTCACAAATGGTACTTCCTCTCCTCCACCTTCTTCCCTTCATTCCTCATCTGCAAACCTCTCTCCTTCCTCCTCCTCCTTTTTATCTCCCTATCGCACTCCCTACACTCCCGCTCAAAAACTTCGCAAAAAGGATCCTTTTTCTTCCCTCAAACACCATCCGCCTGATATGTTTTCTTCCTCTCAACCTTCTTCCTTCTCCCCTTTTGCTACTTCTTCTCCTCACTTCCTTTCTACCTCCACCCCAGGTCTCCCAGCCGCCATTCCTCCTCCTCCTCGCTTTCCCTCTCACTCCCACCGCCCTCCCTCTTCCTCTTTCTTTTCCCACTCCTCGCACGCTTTCGATTCTCCTCAAAAATCTCCTCAGCGCTTTCCTCTCCATCATCCAACCGCAACTCCCTTAGCTGCTCCTTCCCCTTCCTTCCCTCTACCTACTCCCAAGCGTCCAACTCCCCGTTCTTCTTCCTTTTTATTTGGTAAACCAAATCCCGCCCCTTCTCCTTTCTCTTCCTCCATTTCCCGTAATGATTCTCCCATGTTCCACAATCCCTCTCCCGAACCAGCTCCCCATGGTGATACCTCCTCCTCTTTTGCCTCGACTTCTTCCCTTTTCCCTAATGCAACCCTTCCAATCCCAAATACCGGTCATAATCTTTTTACCACCCCGTTTCAGCAAGTGAAGCCTTCGTCCCAGGCTTTTCTCAGCACTGGTTTACTTTCTAAACAAAGTAGACCTCGCAAATCTTTTAATCTTAACACTCCTTTGCCTCCAAGCACTCCTTCTAAACCTTCCTCTCTTTTCCTTTCCAATATTAATTCAGCGGACTCTCCTCCTTCTCCTTCCACCCCTTCCAACACTAATTCTTCTTCTTTTTTGCTGCAAGGTCAAAGTACTCCTACCCACCAAAGCTCTTTTTCGTCTGCAAAATTTACCAAACCCTCTACGGACTTTATGAGGTTACCTCCTTCGTCTACTGTGAAACAGCACGCAGCTTCTGAATTCCTTGCCCCGTCAACCCCTACCCGTAACCCTTTTGATTTCGAAAATTCCTCAATGTATTTGGACGAATTTCACGACAGCTCTCATCAACATCGCAATAACTCTGAAATTCTTGCTGAAATGGAAGAAGAATCTGCTATCTTAGGAAATCCTTCCAATGTGAATTCCAACTTGTCGTTTCCTTCCGCTCTTACCTCGAAGTCTCCCGAGTCTCCAGCGGACGATTTACATAATCGCTTTCGAAACATCACCGTTCTAGGGAGAGGTGAGTTTAGCGAGGTTTTTCAAGTAGAGGATCCTTTGGAACGGTCCTTAAAGTATGCTGTAAAAAAACTAAAGGTAAAGTATAGTGGACCCAAAGAGAGAAGTCGTTTGTTGCACGAGGTTTCTATTCAGAGAGATCTTAAAGGACACGATCACATTGTTGAATTGATTGACTCTTGGGAATTCAACGGATATTTATTCATGCAAGTAGAGTTGTGTGAAAATGGCAGTCTGGATAGATTTTTGGAAGAGCAAGGTCAGCTCTCTCGGTTAGATGAATTTCGCGTTTGGAAAATTCTCGTCGAGTTGGCCTTAGGGCTGCAGTATATTCACTGCAAAAATTACGTTCATTTGGATTTGAAACCTGCAAATGTCATGATAACGTTTGAAGGAACTTTAAAAATTGGAGACTTTGGAATGGCAAGCGTCTGGCCTGTCCCAAGAGGTCTAGAGCGAGAAGGTGATTGCGAGTATATTGCTCCCGAAATATTGTCCAAACATTTATACGACAAGCCTGCCGATATTTTCAGTCTTGGAATCACTGTCTTTGAGGCGGCTGCTAACATTGTTTTGCCAGATAATGGCCAATCTTGGCAAAAGCTTCGTTCAGGTGATCTTTCTGATGCACCACGGCTATCTTCGACTGAAACCTCTAGTAATACCTCCGCTTCTCGTGATATACCTATGAACAGTATAATTGGTCAGGGAGGCCTTGATCGCGTGGTTCAATGGATGTTGGCGCCAGAACCAAGGAATCGTCCTACAATCGACCAAATATTGGCTACACCAGAAGTCAGCTGGGTAGAACTCCGAAGGAAGGCTGGAGCAATTGTTTATGAAGGACTACATGGATCTTCAGCTTCTCCTCAGGGAGATCAAATGATGGAAGACTGGCAGGTCAACGTATAGTTTCTTGGTACGAAGAAAAGATGTTTTATGCTTATTTATTCTTTCAATGGTTTTATCATATTTTGGTATTGTATACATATGTATATATACTTTTTGAAGTTCAGGGTCATAATGTCCCTAACCTAATTTAGAAAATGCACATTTCTTTTAATATGTGCTACTATTTTTTCCTTCTATGTCTTTCTATTTTTTCAATATAGAATGTTTTTGTCTAATATGGAGAACGAGTGGCTCAACCATAGTTTTTTGGCTTTTCAAATCTTAAAAATATTATTACTAAACAGTCCACTGCTTGAGTTAACTTTGAAGTAAGTTTTAAGTATTTTACTACTTACAAAGAAAGCAGAAGTTTTGGCGTTTAATTGGAATTGGGTGGATGCTCGGTGATTTCATCTATGATTGTCTAAAATAAACTAAATGGCTTAGCGTAGTCAGTTAATATGATTCCATTTTCTTTCTTTTTGGCCCTTCTCTTTTCCATTGGAATTTTTCTTCTTTTTTTGCTGCTCAGTTGGATGGGACCGGCTTGTATACGTGTTTATTATTATCACATTCGTTTAAATTTGCTCAGTCCTAATAGTTTTTTTGGATTGCTTTATTCGATTTTATTGCTCGACCTATTATTTCTTTTATCTGCTTCTAACTATCCAAGACGGATGTTTTCGAATATCTCGATAATTCTGTTTCTCAACATTCATAATACGTTCCACTCTCCATCTTTCCTTTCCCATTTAATGTTTTAATTGCTTTTTATGATTTTTGCTTGTCTTATTGGAATGATTTTAATCGTTTTAGCCCATCCTTGAGTATATTGTTGCTTTTAATTAATAAAAACTCAACCATTTGCGGTTGAATTAACTATATTGAAGCTTCATATATTTTAATATATCGCAATTGCTACCAAATTGTTCTCACATCAATTTTATTTACCTTACGAATGAAAAAGTAGAGAAATCCAATTCATACAACATACATACAAACATTCATACTATGAGCCTCTAATTATGTTGGTATCTTTGTAGAATAGTGAAGTTTGGTGCATAACGCTTAACAGGTTTCGGCATTGGAACGTAAAAACAGTAGACTCACTTAACATAGTCCAGGATGAGTGGTACTTTTGTAAGTCTCACTCTACTTTAGTACATTGCATTTAGTTTTAAACCCGATTAGAACCAGAATCATGTTTACACGGAAATTCCTAAGTTCTCTTGAAAACAATTCGAGACATGTATTTCAAACTATAAACTACCGAAAGAATCGCCCGTTCTCCACTGGTATTTCTCTTCAAGCGCCAAACACACAGAATTCCAATGTTAGGAAAAACGCGGGTTTTCAAAGACGGAGCGATTCTTTTATCCCACCTTTTTTAGTACCAAATGTTACTGAAGGCCAGGTATACTCACCAAGCGACTTGAAGTTTGAAACTGTGGAAGCACGAAATCAAGGTAATTTCTTTAATCCCAAAAGACACGATTGCTTTAAGGCTGTCAACAAAAGTCCCTTAGAATTTTGGAAAAATCCTGTTGTATTGTCAAATTTCATCACTGAGTTAGGCCGTATCAAGCCAAGAGCTGACACGGGTCTCAGTGCAAAGAACCAAAGACTTGTATCGAGAGCCATTCGTCGGGCCAGAGCAGTGGGCGTCTTACCTACAAAGCACAAATCAGTATATGCAGAACGAGAAAAATAATAGGCGCGTTCACTTCTATGTATATGCTGGAAACCCATCACTGTTGTCAAAGAATGACAAGAGAAGTGCGAAATACATAACCAACAAAAGGCTGGAGTATAGTGTTATGTTGTTTACAGTAAGTAAACAGTGAGGCAGCTTGGCACTGCAAAGTTGCATAGATACTTATTTTGTGAACATTTTTTTAAGCACTGGATTGCTAATGAAAACTTTTGCTAATCCTGTTAAATCGTATGATAATTAATCTAATATTAAAAAAGTTTAAGCTTTTTGTTTTTGTTCCATGTATTCTCGCAGGATACTGAAGAAAAGTCAATAGGTCAAAGTATAAATAATAGGCTAGGAATCAAGCCAAAAAAAGATAAATAGACTAAATAAAAATAAAGGTAGTAGAAACATTCTTTTCTATGGTGTTGGTTTCTTAAACCAGCGGAGAGTAACTCAGTTAAGGCAAGCTGGAAAGGCAATGAAGATTTTCGTAGTTACGTTCTTGTTTTTGAGAGGAAAGCAGGTGGTCTTGCATTGTCGGCGGTAGCGGAAGATTGAAGACAAAGGGTTACGGTATGGTTAGAAGAGGAGGGCTTGATTCTACGAAATAATTGAGCGCTGCGGCTGATGGACGAGAATTCCTCTTGTATACTCAACGATGCACGTTCAATAGACTGCCTAGCCTCTTGAATTGCCTCTAAAGGACGTTTTCCCAGCGCTATATTGGAAGCAATTGCTGCAGTCATTGAGCAACTGGTTCCGTGAACAGTTTTAGAGTACCGTAAATCGTATGGCTTTTGAAAAACATAAAAGTTGTCTCCGTCAAATATAAGGTCTACAGTAAAGGAGTCGGTTGTCGGTGAGCTAATGATTTCAAAGTTGTCGTTGTATGCAACGTGATGTCCGTTTAACACGATAAACCTAGGTCCCGCTTTGTGTATAATTCTTAAAAGATTTTTAATGTCCTCTAAAGTACGGAGAGAGAAAGGACAATGTCCTAAGACGCGCTGAACCAAAACATAAGCCTCCATGATATTTGAGGAATATACAAGTACATAGGGAAAAAGGTATTTTATGGTAGCTGATATGGCAGTTCCTTCACACATAATTTGCCCAGAGCTGCTAATGACGACTGAATCCATGACGATATTTTTCATGCGATGCCGCTGAAGACACTCTGCAATACGGACTACGCTTTTGAAATCAGGAAGCATTCCAATCTTTACGGTATCACAATTAATGTCACTTAAGCAAGCATCCAATTGTCTTTCTATGAGTACAGGGTGAACAGAGTATATGCCATCTATTCCTCTGGAGTTTTGAGAAGTTAATGCTGTTAAAACAGACATTCCGTAAACTCCATGAATCTGCATGACTTTAAGATCAGCCTGAATGCCAGCACTACCACTGCAATCAGATCCAGCAATGGTCAAACAAGCAGGAGTTCGAAGACGCTTCATGATGAGGAAAACGAACACGTAAAAGGATGCTTAAAGCTCAATTTAAGGGAAGTCGATAAAAAAGAAAGAGCTACTAATGCCAATTTCTTACCAAACACAATTGGAGAGTATAAAGAAAAAAGGTATTAAACCGCTTTACTAGAAAAGAATCTTTTCAACTAAACCGGAAATAGAGTGTTGTTTTTGATAAAAGGTTGGTTTGCATCTTGCAATTCATTGTTCATATATCCGTCCTTTGTGCAAGTGGATGCAAGTATGCGAGCGCAAATCCCCAAGTTGCTTTGTGTTCTCATGGTCTGTAGTAAAACATAACATAATAATTTCAATTTATAAATGATTAATGTCAATTCCTTTTGGAAAAATTTTGGAACAGGCGACACATGAAGCATTAGTGTGTCATGTGAAGAATGGAGAGAAAGCGAATTCCGTCTCGAGAGAGCGACGATGTATTAATTAATGAAGCATAGACATAGAAGTCAATCAATTAAATGGCTTTACTTTTATTTCTAACGATTTCTTGTTGTTTTATTTAATTTTTCGCTTATTATGGCATCTGCAAATGCATGTGGGGTAGATTTGTTCGCATCCCCGGACGTAAACAAAAGAAAAAATAAATAAAAATCGAAAATTATCAAAAAAGCAGGTGTTTCTTAAAAGACTTTCTAACTTTATTATCTTCGATGTATTACTTCCAGAAAGAAAAGAAAAAAGGCCATAACTTTTCGAGTATTGCACTGTTTGCATGATATGTTCAATACAATTTCACTTAGAATTGTACGCCAAGCTTTGTTCGCAAGTTTTTAGTATGCAGAAAAGAAAACTTCTATTAAATTAATAGTTTACGGAGCTAAACCGATTTCACACAGCTTCTTCGTTTATAATGATCCCAGTAATCGATGCTTGAGGCAATCCTTAATGTCGAAGTCATCATCCATTGTTAACGCCAAAGATCTCAGTACGATTTACTTTTTGGTATTGTCTTTGGGTTGAATAATACAGTGAAATGCCCTTCAGTAACTGATAATGCAAAGGGATTTTCCTTTCTGACTTAATTCAGCTTCACCGCGTAACTTTCAATAACTTTTATTAATTTATGTTTAATCAATTTTTTATGTTTTTATTAATTTTGTTTATTTCATAAAGTCTTCTCTCTATCATCGCTTGTCCATCCTCCGGTATGATGTATTTCACTCAATTCCTTGCTCTTTTTTCATTCCATTGTTAATATGCGGTTGGTACAAAAAAATGTAGAGAAAACAGGTTCTGGGGAAATTACAATGTACCCGGAAGAGCCTGAGGACATGTGGTATGCTTTAAAAACTGCCCTGATTGCTTGAATTTGCATAGTAACACTTTTAGGCACCTTTACAATATCTTACAAATTGGCGATCAGCTCAAGGCTTCCACGGTTCGGTACGTGCTTTTTGTAATTCTAGAAGATTTGACTAATATTAATGTTGACAGTCGTGTTGTCAAAGTTGGAGCTACAGGTACCACTTCAAATTCTAGAGAAAAAATGACCTTGAAAGTTTTGATAGAGGCTACAGATTTTGATACGAAGGCAGCTGAATTACATATCAAGGGAAAGACGACAGAATATCATCCCCTCGTAAGGTTGGGTTCATATCACACATTGGATTTAGAGTTGCACAGGAACTTTACGCTTTATAAAAATGAATGGGACTCATTTGCTTTAGACAGAGTAGATGCTGCTTGTAATCCATCTAGAAATGCTGAAATTGGTGCGGTGGTTCTCGAGGAAGGTATGTTCTTCGTTTATAAATTTAGTCTAAACTTTGAAAATACTAACACCTTTTGTAGGTATTGCAAATGTTTGCTTAATTACAGATTATATGACCATTATGCGTCAAAGGATTAATCAAACAATTCCTAGAAAGCGCAGAGGTGATAGCAGCGCTTATCAAAAGGTATGTTCGTACTCCTAAAGAGTCATAGACAAGCTTTCTAACGTTTTAGGGAATAAATAAGTTCTACGACACCGTTTTCCAAGCAATTTCTACAGAGCTTGATTTTGAAAAACTTAAAGTCATTATCTTAGCTTCTCCCGGTTTTGTCGCAAAAGGTTTATATGACTATATTATGGATATGGCTGTAAAATTGGACCTGAAACACGTTTTCAAAGCAAAAGAAAAATTCTTGATTCTTCATTCTAGTACTGGCCATATTCATTCTCTTAATGAAGTTCTCAAAAGTTCAGTAGTTGAATCCAGCTTGGCTGATACAAAATACATTCAGGAAATCCGTGTTCTAAATAAATTTTACCAAGTTATGAATGATGATGATAGACGTGCTTGGTACGGTCCCAAACATGTCGAAAAGGCTTTTGAAATAGGTGCTATCGGTGAACTACTAATTAGCGATTCTCTTTTTAGAAGCTCCGATATTGCGACTAGAAAAAAATGGGTTAGTCTTGTCGATACTTTAAAAGAAACTAAGAGTACCGTTTATATTTTTAGCAGCCTTCATGAATCTGGGAAGCAACTGGACTTATTGTCCGGGATAGCTGCTATCTTGACATATCCTGTCGAAGAAGAGGACATAGAGGAGGACATAGAGGAGGAAGAAAACGAAGACAGTTAACGCATATTCAATTCGCCAAAACTTATCCCTTTTATTATTATATTGTTCAACGAACAAGAGGTTTACAATGGGAATACAGAAAGTTTTTGAAGTTATTTTGGTTGCAATAAAAAAATGTAATCTTCATATCTAGTATTTCATTTTTACAAAAAAATACGCCCATCCAGTAAGTAAGTGAATCAATACTCTAATTTACAAACCAAAGTCAAAGCATTGTCTAACTTTAATGAAACCGACAACTACATTCTCTGTCAGACTAAATTTATAAAGTAGCCTTCCTTTCGTTCAAATTCTTAAGTAACTGTTCAGCCGTGCCTTTTTCCTTAACGCGAATCAAATAAGTTACCAGCCCTTTTCCATCATCAGAAGCCGCCGGAACAGTCAACGCTTTCTCTCCAGCTAATTTATATTCAAAGTCTTTACATAAACGAACGTTCAAAAGAAGTTTACCATTACCATCGACACGGGCAAGAAGTCTGGCAGCATTGGTGGTTCTATCGACATTTAATCTAAGGGGGCCGAGACCAATGTCCGCGTAAGACTTTGTGGTAGGATTAAAACGATAAAGCTTGGCTCTCGTTTCAAAAATACTGTCTTCATTTTCTTCTCCTTGACCTTTACTGGCGGCTAAAGAATTGTCTTGCTTTTCATCATCTTTCTTATCCTCTTCTTTATCCTCATCAGCAGCCTCCGTTTGCTCTTCTTCATTCTTGTCATCCGTCGTTCCTTCATTATTTACGCTAGCAGGAGGCTTGGCTGCAAATGAGAATGGATTAGGATTGGTACCAAAAGAGAAGCCAATTGATGCAGCGTTGGGTGGCTTAACTTCGGGAGTCGGAGCTGGCTTTTTAGCTGACAAGGGGTTTGTGAAGGTAAACTTCTTTTCGGGAGCTTCAAATTTAATAGGTTTACTGGGATCCCATGAAAAATTAAATCCTTTCTTTTGAGTAGTATCTTCTTCTTTGTTCTCGTTGTTTGAATCATTGCTAGGCTTCTTTTCACCTTGTTCTTGTGAAGTTTTTTGGAAGGAAAAAGTCGGGTTGAAAGATGACTTTTGACCAAAAGAGAAGGGAGTCTTGGTCTGAGTTTCGGATCCAAAAGTCGAGCTTTTCTCTTCATTTGGCTTGGTAATTTCCTTATTGAAGGCGGCCAAAGGACCCGTAGGTGTAAGTGACGATGGGTTAAACTGAAAAGACTTGCTTAGATCAGGTGCAGAAAATCCAAAACGTGGAGCACCTGGAACAGGCAAAGTAGATCCAGATGGCTTTGCTGAAATATTTTTGGGTGCGACTTCATTATCGTTTAAGCTCTTGCCAGAGTCTATTTGAGTAGTTTTCACGGACTCTGCCTCTGAAGCGGATTTAGATGTGTCATTTTGTGTCCTGCTTGAATCCAATACAGAACTCTCAATGGACTCAAGATGTTTCTTATATTCGTCCATCAAAATTGAAAGATTTCCAAATGGATCATTTTCTATACTTTTCTGTACACTATCCAAAAATGCCTTATTCAAACCTCGTTTCTTCAATAATGTTTCATATTTATCAGTCGAAGAAACCATGTTCGTTGGCTTTTCAAAGGTAAAAGGGGAGGCAACAGGTTTAGCAGGATCTGCTTTTGCTAGTCCTGAAAAAAGTCCTCCCGGCTGTGATATTCCAGCAGGACGCTTCCTTGTTTTGGGCTTAGCAATTCTAGACTGTTAGCTTCGGAGACACTTCATTAAATTCCATACTTTCTAGAAGCGATGACATCGGCTGGTGCTTCGGTTGCTAATTCAACAGAACCACTACGATCATCATCGGATTCGTCTTGATCCTTTGTAAGTTGATGATCAGCACCGCGTTTCGACATTTTCTTTCGATTTGGCAAAGGTCAAACTCTCACTTGGTGCACACACTCATATAACGGATAAGATGAAGTCTCACTAAATTGAACAAATACTTATAATAGTAAAAGATATCAAAAAGATTGATTAAGGGAAATTGAAATTTGTCTAAGTTAAAAAAAAAATATTTACTTTTCATAAAAGAAACGTATATTCTAAGAGGAAAGTACGCCGTTGCAACGTTGGCATACTTCTCCTTCTGAGACAGTATGCATCCAACACCTCAAGCATTTTTTTAATTGCGCAGGCTTAATCTTTATTTGTAATTTTCCAAGATTGCATTGCAATACATCTTGTAAAGCCCACAACGAATTCTTTGACTCATCAGTAGTATTGGATCTATCCATATGAACCTTTGAGGCTCCTAAAATCAAGGATAAGTCATTTCCATATTTCTTAAGAACGTTCTGTAAGCCTTCGTGTTCGATACCTATGAGAGCCTCTGTTTCCAAGGGGCTTCGAATACCATGTTGGCTTCTTGCTTCTTGTAGTAATAGGTTGAAGGAGTACTTGATTTTTTGCAATAATTGGTACTCTTCCAGCAACAAACTTTTTTCTAGACTTACTGACTCCTGAATTCCCTGAAGCAAAAAACTAGCACCAGCATGAAAAGGTGTTGAATAGGAAGGCTGTAAAGTATTGGGAAAGCTCCTCCAAACCTCTTGGGACAACAGAGGTACAATAGGTGAAATCGACCATATGATTGTTAGCAGAATTTTGTATAGTGTAGTTTGAGCACTTCGTCTAGAAAGGCTGTTTGGGTCATCTGAGTATAATCGATCTTTGATTGAATCGAAATATGTAGAAGAAAGAAAGCTATTCATGTATTGTAAAATACTTTGGACAGCCTTATTGAAAGTAAGTGATTCATAACTACTTTGAATTTCATTTTGAAATTCTGCGGTCTTTGCTAAAGCCACTTGATCAATACGGTGGAGTTGATTATAGGCAACCTCGTCCTTCAAAGAAAAGTCATACAAATTTCCCAAGCAAAACCTGCAAGTAAGCCTCCACTTTTTCAATGACTCTCCGACTTGATTTAATAAATTGGGACCGAGATTTATATCGTTTGTGCTATCGCAACTGCCAACCCATAGTCTTAACAAGTCAATGCCGTACAATTGCTTTTTCGAGGTACGATTATTTCCATCTAAAATGTCTTCTGGATCAGTGACATTTCCCAAAGACTTCGATTGTTTCATGCCTTTCTCGTCGAAAACAAACCCATGAGTGAATAAGGACATAAAAGGCGAATTCTTCGAACCGGAAACGGCAAGATAGATTAAAATAAGAGACTGAAACCAACCTCTATGTTGATCACTACCCTCAAGACACAAGTCTATAAGAGGCTTATTCTTACGGAACGGTACTGTAGTAAAGCCACTTCCAGAATCAAACCAAACATCAAGGGTCTCTTTACCACGAACGTATTCTTTAGTTCTAAATTCTGGAGGAACCCAATTAATATCTTCATCATCATTGAACCAGGCGTCAACCCCTTTCACTTCCATCTTGCTTATGATATAAGAAATACTTGTGGGCGTAAGTAGCGGTTCTCCAGATGACTTCTCATAAAGTACAGGGATTGGAAGACCCCATGAACGTTGTCTTGAAATACACCATTCAGGTCGACTATTCAAAAACCCGGAGAGTCGTGACATTCCATTTGCAGGAATCATCTTAACAGATTGAAGAGCTTCAATTGCTTTATCCTTTACAGATTTTAAAGAAATAAACCACTGAGCGGTTGCTCTTAATATTAACGGCTTTCTGTTTCGCCAGTCATATGGATAACGATGTTTATAAGAAGTCAGCTGAACTACCATACCCTTTGCTTTCATCAGCTCAAGGACTTTTTTTCCTCCCTCATTTAAAACGTCCAAGCCAATTAGGGATCCATCTAGAGCATCTTTTGTGTACGCGCCATTGTCATCTACAGGAGAAAAGGGAGACAGAGAATGTTCTAAACCTAATAAATAATCGTCAATTCCGTGACCCGGAGCGACATGCACAATACCAGTACCGGTGGTATCTGATACATACTCAGCAGGAAGAAATGGATGTACTTTTCCAGGGATTAAGGGATTTTGATATGTTAGTGATTGAAGAGTTTTACAGGTGCAAGTTTCAACCTCTTCAAAATCTTTTAAAAGACTTAAGAAAGGCACCAAGTTCTTTGCTACAATGTACTTCTGCTCACCATTGGAAAATATTCCATAATTCACATTTGGATGAAAGGCAAGTGCCAAATTGGAGGGTATGGTCCATGGAGTAGTTGTCCAAACTAAAGCTTTGACATTTTCATAGTATTTCCCATTGCTAGTAAAATTATTCACTGGGAAGGAAAAATAAAGCGAAGAACTAACATGACTATCATTATATTCAATTTCAGATTCTGCAAGAGCTGAACGACTGGACGGGCTCCAATATACAGGTTTAAACTGACGAAAAATCATGCCCTTCTCGACTAAAGTTCGGAACACTTGCAATTCTGAAATTTGATACTCGTGGCTCATGGTTGTATATCTAGACGACCAGTCTGCCATAACGCCTAAACGTCGAAAGAGGTTCATTTGATCATCCATGGCATTTTTCGCAAAATCTTCAGCAGTTTTTCTTATCTGTGAAGGAGATCCTTCTTGTACATTCTGCTGCAACGCTTTCAGTTCGATAGGAAGTCCGTGACAATCCCATCCGGGAACGTATCTAATTTGACGGCCATTTAAAAGTTTCCACCTATTCACCATGTCTTTCAAAATCTTATTCAATGCATGGCCGATGTGTAACTTCCCATTCGCGTACGGTGGTCCGTCTAAGAGAATGAAGGATTCTGAAGATGGTATGTTCTTTTTTTGCCATATGTATAAATCATCGGTTATTTCTTTCATATATTTCTTCTCATTTTCACGTTCATCATTGCGAATAGGGAAAGTTGTTTTTGGTAAACAAAGCGAATTGGAATATTTCTTAGCGTTCGCTTGTTGACTAAGAAAACGAAGCCCAATTCTCGACGATAATAGCCGTTGATCTATATAGGCCTTCATATATTATATCTTTTCAAATTATCATGTATATCCGATACTTTAGTTTAGAGCTATGGAATCCATCCAAAATAATGAGGTAGAAGACGAGTATTAACAGGACTTGAAAATCTTGCTGCTATAAATTTCGTTGACATAAAACAAAAAGAACGACTAGGTTAATAGTTTTGTTTATTTCTTAACTTTACTTTTGAAGCAGATACATTTATTCTATTCAACAAAAGTTTCAAATATTGATCAAAGAGTAAAACCAAGAATGAAGCTTCTCAATTCCAAATTATGTATTGATACTTAAACGAAACTATATATTAATATACCTCTAGGCTCTCAAAAAAGTTCTATGCAAATATGGTCGCTAATGCTGCTGTTACGAATTCATACAGGTGGATATTATATCAACATATAAAAACGTATTTATTAGAGTACAACTTTTTACAATCATGAATCTTTAACGTTGAACCAACCTTTCAGCAACATCCATGTCGATATGAATTCTTTTCCTACTACATAGCCGAAGTATTTCATCGTGAGAAAGGTAAACTGGCTTTACAACTGCGTTAAATTGACTACCAAGACACAAGTAATTTAAGTAGGCCGATTGAGCTTGCTCGGAAGAATCAAACGTTAAATACGCTCTATGGTCATCTTCCCATGTGATTATTATGTTTCCTATAGGGAAATATTTTCGTAAAAGAGCCTCCGTTAAATAATAAGCATGTACGTGTAAGATGTACGCTATAGGTGCTTGAGAGGGCAATAATGAGTGTTTTAATCCTTTAATCTCATTTTTATCTGGCATTGCAGACATGGAGACTCTGTCTACAATTCAGAAGATCACTGTTATATTTTCCCCCAGTGGAATACAGTGCCGGTAAAGGGTACGGGAACTTAGTGGATGAATTTGACGAAAACGTCAAAGCTTGCACCGGGAAGGAAGCAAACTTAGTGATAGTTTTTTACCTTTTATATTCCAAAAATTTTTAAACCACTGCTAGTAGGTTCCGTAAAAGCATATGCTAAAATATGTTTTGTTGGATTCCAAGCAAGCTTATTTAAAGGACCGTTTGTTGGCTGCTTCCAAACTTGTTCTCCCGTTAGTGTATCCGCCTAATAGTTAGTAATCATAAATGCACAAAATCTTACAATATCAATATAACGATCTTCAGATCCACTCGCCAGAAAGCGACCATCAAAACTGAATCCCAAAGAGCGGATTGGATATCTGGTAGAAGTTAGCTAACTATTTATTGTATAACTTCTTACGTTGATCTAGTAATAGAATTTTGGCATATCCATTCATCAGTATCCCATAATGTAACAATCGCGTCTGCACCACCGACTGCTATCCGCTCGTTGTCGGGACTAATGTCTATACAATAGCAATTTGATGTATGTGCATTAATTTCATATACTCTCTGAAGAGATGGCCATTCAATTACTTGAACAGTGCCTAAACCAGTAGTCATGTAGAATAAGTCTTCGCTGAAGGACCAGCAGCATTCATTTGTCTTTTACATTAGTAACATATATATAAACAAGATTTTAAAAATTATGATACCTCACAAGGTTGTTGGAATGTTTGCATAATCTGCCATTCCCTAGCATCAATGAAAGACAACATATCATCCTAAATTTCCTGGTTAGTTTATACGTATCATAAATAATAATGACTATAATTACCCGACTTCCAACGCAGCAATAACGGCCAGAAGGACTCCAGCTTCCATAAATGTTGTTGTAATCACTTTGAATTTCTGCGATGGGTTTAGCACCTAGCACACTGTTAGCAAATTGTTAACTCATGAAGAGAGTACTCACTCCGATAATCCCAAAAGCGTATCATTTTCCCGGAGTACACAGTCATTAATCGATCTGAATGAGTTGGATCCCAAACTACTTGTTCTACTAATCCATTGCTACGTGGTCCTAACTCCGTCGAATATTTAAAATCTAAGCGATCTAAATTCCAGATACGAACTGTGCTATCATTAGAAGAAGTTGCGAGACGATGGCCTGAAACATTCCATCCTAGTGATCGAACAGAACCTTGATGGCCGTGCAAGTCACGAGTTCTTAGCTCTGAGAAGTTTGGCTAAACCATTTAACGTGTCAGTTTTGTAAGAAAAAAAAAGCGATATTCTTACAAGTGACTCTATAATCGAAGTGCTCATTAAATATACACTAAGGATAGCTGGTTCGTGATATGCGTAGTATAGGACGCGCTCTGTGTATAGGAAATATTGTAACTTACACTTGCCAGCAAACAGAAGCTTGACTAAATATATTTCTTTACATAGTAGTTGAATTGATAAAAAATAAATGCTATACATCTATAAAGAAGAATGGATTTGTTCAGTAGAATTGTGTTCGCATTCTGACAGTGGTGGGGACTCTAAAACCTGAATAGACGATTCGGTTTTGAACCATGGATGTTCTAATGCTTCTCTTCCAGAAATCCGCTTTGAAGGGTCCAATTGGAACATTTGAGTGATTAAGTCAATACCCTCCGAAGATACTTCATTTTCCAGAAGTGGGGACATCGGGAAGTCTGCTTTGGATATAAGTTTAACAGATTCTTCTTGACTTGGAGCCGCAAATGGTATTGTAGCAGTTAACCTAGATGCATTAGTATCTTCTATAAGTGGGGATTCTGATCACATACATAACATATAAAACACATCCAAGACTCCATATGTCTACCTTATTACCATAACCACCTACTGGTGGAGTAGTCTTCGATTGCAGAACTTCTGGAGCCAGATAACCCATCGTTCCACAAAAGGTTTCAAAGAATGTGCCTTGACCGTGAAGAACTTTGGCTAAACCAAAATCAGAAAGTTTTAAATGAAAATCTTTGGTAATCAAAATATTCTAACGCCAAATTAGTTCTCTTATTCGAAAGCCAAATATGATTTTGAGACGTACCTCCGGTTTAATATCTCTATGGGCAATACCAGAGTCATGCAAATAAATAAGGGTTTCTATTATTTCTTTCAATAAAGGCTTGCTGTCTTGTTCATCTATCGAGCCATTTGCAATTAGGAAATCCATAAGATCTCCTCCTTCCACATATTCCATGACAATAAATATTTCTTCGTCAGTTTCGAAAACTTCTCGGCATTGCACAACACCGGGCTAAAATACCGTTAGAAAAAAGAAAAAAATTGAAGTTATATAATTCGTACATGATGTAGCGTCTTTAAAATTTCAATTTCTCTTTGAAACATTTCCGTAGCACCTTTTTCGGAGCTAGTGAGTAAAATCTTCTTCTTATTTATTACTTTGATGGCATAATATTCTCCTGTTTCTAAGTCAACAGCCAATTTTACTATAGCAAACGTCCCTGTACCAAGGGCTCGAAGAACTTCATATCTGTATTTTAGCGACGAAATTACTTCTTTTCGAGTGCTCTCTGATTTGTCATAAGGAATCTGACATAAAAACCCTGCACTTGTCAGTCAATCTATTTTTTACTTATTTTTCTTTTCATTTTTACATACGAATTTCATCTTTGGGAACTCCTAAACCGACCCGAATTTCATCTCCATGCGATAGAAGAGTGCGACCATTTTTCGGTAACCTTTCCTGCATAACGTCAGTACAAAGACCAAGTCACATTAAATTCGCTTACCAAGTTTAGATATGTGCCGTTAGAAGAATGATCTATCGGTTTGTTAGTATATAAATAAGTACTGTTTCAGATCCTTCCTTCTTCATACCATGTAAAAATATAACGTTACTCCTCGATTCCGTTTCACTAGCATGACCCTGTTTAAATTAGCATGAATTCTTGAGAGGACACAATTCGCCAAGGAAATTCTACCTCATAGATTTCAAAGTGAAAATTGCTAACTCTAGGACCGCCTATTGAGACCTCGCAAGTACGGTGTCGGCCAAACCTCCAGACACCATTATGAACGTCTCGTGAAAGAGGTATAACATGTGTTTTCCCGTCACCCATGCGAGTCATAACCAATTTTAAGTAAACGTTTTCACTTTGAGTTCCCAACGCGGAGGATTTTTCGCCCTCATTTACAGTGACCTGCGTAGCCTGAGTAGCATCTTCGGTATCCTCCATTGTATTCTGAAATTAAAAACTGCGAATGCAAGGATGCTGAATTTAAATTTTAAAAGATGCGAGAAAATTGCAATGCGAAAATCTTTGAAATCTCCTGACGGTGATACGATTTTTTAGCGTAGATGTTAAAGCCTTGGTTAGGTTAGCCTTGGTACCAGCAGGCTCAGAAACGCGTTCTGAAGTTTGCCATATAGGATACTTCGCTATCAGTCGGTATACAATTTAAGGCATTCTAAAAACTTGTGGAAATTTATTTAAAGCGAATGGATGCAAAACAACAACTCTATGAAGTAGTAAGAAGTAGATTTTGTAAGGTTCAAGATAATCTGAATCTTTTTCTACATATCTCTGTGTGTATATATACTTCAATTATTTAGGAATTCTCGTTTTGACGTTGATGTTCTATCGTTCTCTGAGCTGCAAACCTTTAAAGAATAGAATTCAATTTCGATATTTGTTGCTTTAAACTTGTAATATCTTTTGCTTTTATGTATATCATAGGATTGACAGGATCCATTGCTACTGGTATTACAACAAGTGACTTGAATATATATTAATTTGAATTATGTTTAGGAAAAACAACTGTTTCCAAGCAGTTTCATGAGAAATATCATGTTCCTGTAATAGACGCTGATATCCTCGCAAGGAAAGTAGTGGAGCCCGGAACGAGCTGTCTACGACAAATTCGAAAAGAATTTGGCCAAGAAGTGATCCTTCCAGATGGCAATTTGAATCGCCCTGAACTTGGGAAGATTATTTTCGAAACTCCATCCAAACGCAAGCTTCTGAATTCAATCGTTCATCCCGCCGTTAGGAAGGCAATGCTGAAGGACCTATTTTACTATTATATAACGGGTCATGGCATGGTAATTCTTGATGTCCCGTTGTTATTTGAAGCAAAAATGCACAGCATATGTTGGAAAACTATTTGTGTTGCATCATCTATAGAAACACAAAAAAGGCGATTACTAAAACGAAATCCTGAATATTCATCTGAAGACGCTGATCGCCGTATTCAATCTCAAACTCCCATACAGGAGAAAGAGTACCTTGCTGACTATGTCATTGATAACAATTCCGATTTCGATTCTCTTTCTAGAAACATTCACGCAACCTTTGTTGCGATCCGGCCTTCCTTTGTCTGGACTCTGGCATGCCTTCTCCTACCTATCATGCAAGTTCTTCTGCAAGCGTATCACTATAGTCGTCAAATAAAAAAAGCAAAGAATCAAAAGAAGATCCACCTAACGCAATAAACATAGATTATAATCGAAGTCAATCATTGAGACTACTTCTCATTTTGACTAAGCGTGTGTTTCAAGCAATAGTTAATTAGGATGCATGTCCTCGAAATAATTATTAATATCTTCAAAGATTTTATAGGCATGGAAAAGATAGATACAATGAAAAGGAAAATGCATAAAATTCACTCTATTTGCCCAAACTAAATCTGAATCATTTAGATTTTATTTGTCTTTTACTTAAACCATCTATATAATTTATATTGAAAATCTTGAACGTGTGCTAGTCTTTACGTCCTAGATGGCATACAACTCCCCTACCTTTTTCCAACACCAATTCGTAGACATTTCTGTTCAGCCATATCTGGCAAAATGGATGCCTCTACAATTGATTTAGAAGCTGGTTCGTGCCTAAGTTTTGTAATTGCATACTAATTTGTTTAGAGATTCGGGATTTGGGGAAAATTCTCATTGAACATCCAGCTCATGTGGAAAAAGTTCTTCAGACATTAGAGTTAGACAATTCTGCTCTTCGATACATAGATGCTATTTTAAATAGTCATTTAAAGCAGCTTTACCGTAATTTAGCCTCGAATTCTCCTCTACATACGCTCTCAATCTTGAGAGCAATGGCTTCATGGAATAACGGGGTTGCTTGTGGTCGAGTTTTTCAAGCTTTCGATTGGAGCGGTAAAGTATTTACAAAGTTACTGCAACTTTCCAACCAGCTAAATTCTTCAAAACGAAATGTTAAGCGGATGCGTATGGCGTCTTCCAAGAAACGTTCCTCATTTATATTATTGTTAATCACATTAATCCGTTACGGAACTCAGGAGGTACGCACAGAGCTAATAAATACAAAAAATATTACGACTCCTCTGTTTAAAGGGATCTACAACGATGAACCGGTTGTTCTGAAAGATCTATTACAGGCTTGGCTTACATACATAATCTTAGATCGTAATGTGAGTAGATCTACTAAAGTTTTTTATTTCAATGAATGGTCATTGAACTGTCTCCTGAGTCTCTATTCACGTGAAGAAGAAATGAATGGCGTTCCTCTGTACGAACATGTGCACAAATTCTTTCTGCGAGCTTGCACTGTGCCAGGAGAGGGTCTTTGCTTTTCCTCGGTCGGATGGCATGCTCCTCCGAAGTCTGAAGCAAATATGAACGTTTATAATCGTGTTTTGCAGTCTCTATTGCCTTCATTGCACATCTATACCGATCCTTTGCAGCGTGAGCTTTGTCTAAAAATATTGAGTGCTTGCCCTGACATATCTGCATCCTTTTTAGAAAGAAATAGTTTGAACACTGAGCCAACGCTAAGCTTTCAATGGATATGCTTCACTTCTTTTCTACAGACTTTCCTTAGCATGGACTTGCCTAAACCCTTTTTCCGTCCTGAAACCAACACTCCTCCGTCTGTTCACAGTGTCGTTGAGAATACGTTACCGGCTTCATTTTCGAAGCCTTTGATGTTGAAGTCACTAAATAGTTCAGACAAGCTTGTTTGCTATTTAGGCTTGAACACACTGTTATCGGCATTTAAGAGATTAAAACAGGTCTTGACTACTATCGACGAATCTGAGTTAGATTCTGAAAGCAAAATTTCGTTGATTACATCGATCACTGATGCTGTATCCAGTCGTCTCCCTGATGTGCAAATATTTATTCAGCTCTATACAACAAGTAAGCATGAGTTGTTGACGGATGCTTTGTCGAAAATTATCCTCTCTTATTATACTTTCTTTCCGGAAACTGTTTTGAAGCTCAAAATTAGCAGCAATGTTTTCTTAGGCACTGACTTGTCTTCAATTTCTATCGATCGTCCTTTCTCTCGTTCTCACTTGCAAAGTCTTATTGAAATTATTAAGCTCTTACCGGACGTAAAGTGTTTTGAGCTGTCGAATTCTCCTTTTATTTTCTTGACTTCTCTTTACCTAAAATCAGAATACTCTCAGTTGAAGGATGCTGTTATAAAGGTTCTTGAAGACGCTCTAGCTGAAACTGACGTCGTGTCACCGTCGCTTTTAGTATCTCCAATTATACCCATGTTGCAAGCTTTAGAAACTATACCTGAAGAATATGTTAGCAATGTCCTACAGTATGCGAATGCGTGTATAAGTAGATGTACGTCACGTGTTTATGCTTACTTAGACATGTCTATTAGCTATTGCAAGGAATCACTCTTGGATTATCATGATGGAATGGTACCACCGTTTTCTCCGCTTTCTATAGTTCTTCTTGAACAGATACCATTTCTCTTGAAGGATGCGTCAGTTAACCAGGATGCAAAGTTGTATGTCTTAAATTGGATCTTTAAATGTTTGGTATTTTTAGGTTGTTGTGGTGAATCTTTTAGCTGTCTTTCGAAGTTAGCCACAAAGCTAAATAGCGTTAAAACTGAATATAATTTTGCTGCAAGCGATATAGCTAGTTTTACTGAAATTATCGAGAAGTTAGCAAAGAACATGGAGCTGGGAGAGTCGCTACAAAATTCAGACTTGCTTTCGTTGTTGCTGTTGTGCAATGGCGATTCGTTCTGGGAGAGAATAAAAAATGGGTTTTCTATTCAACCGCGGTTTGCTCTTCTTTATTTCTGTGTCTTGTTAAAAAGGCTTGCTATACTTTTGAACAACAATAAGTCAAACATATATCCACTTTTTGAGTTATTATCAGAAAGTGTTCATTTATATATGGATTCGACGGATAGTCAATCAAGTTTAAGCCTCAGAAATATTTTTTCTAGTCTCTTAAACTTGGAAAGTTTTACCATGCATCCTGATTTCATTGAATTTAATTTGCTGTATGCTGATTTTCTTCACGAATCCCGCGCATTTAATAGTGAAGGCTATATTAGCAGACTGTCGTTAGAAGAAACAAGAAACTTTTTAAATAACCCTACAGAACATAATTTATGGAAAATGCCTCTGTTAGCTAAGTATATGGGACAATGGTCTCAAGATCAAACTAACTGTGCCTGTCAATCAATTGACATCTTCGTGCAAGAGCATACCTCGTTTGTTACTAAGCATTGTCAAAGTATTTCTCCTATTTTGTCTAAGTACATCACTTACGTGTCCATGAATAAACACCTATTGTCAGAACAAACTTTTGAGGTCTTGCTTGAAAATTCATTGTCCAAGTCTTCGGAACTGTCGACGTCCTTAAGTGAACATCTTCCTCAATTGAAGGACTTTTTAGGTGCACCGTTCGCAGAAAAGTCTATAAAGACATTGGAATATGTTTTACTTGAAGGTTGTGACGATATAAGAGTAAATATAATATGCTCTTTAAGTTATGCGTCGTGTGAAATTGCGTCTAGCCTATGGAAGTTTTTTCTTTCTAACAAAGAAGTGAGTAATCAATTCTGTAAAGAATACATCGGATTATATAGTGCTTTGGCTCAAAACATTGATGCTAGTCATATTCCTCTGAATGAGGTTCAAGATTGGTGTACGTTTATTTTCGAATCGAATATTGAATTTATTCTTGAAAATTCATCAATTCTAGCTACTGCGTTCCCTATGGTTTCTCTTTGCAACGTGAAATCCTCCTTTTTCGACGAAATTATGTCAAAACTATCCGAAAACTATCTTCCATTCAATATATTTGAGCTTTTAAGAATTATTGCATCCAAACACGAAATTATTTCATCAAAAGTTTCCAATGTATGTTCAGATATCTTGTTGCTGTTGACTCGTGTCTTCTCAAATAACGATAATTTGGATAAAAGCTTGTTCTCATTCATTGACAACTTCAGTGTTTATTTGAACGAAAATTCAGCAAGTGTGGAAAAAGGAATAAGCAAGACAGTTTTAGACAACTTTTTGGAATCAGCTTTGAAACATATTCAAAACAAATCAGTTTTGGAATTCATTCTTAAACTATTATTTTCTATACCATCGGAACAATACAACTCCTCTAAGGTTTTGCAAATGATGTTAGCAAATGAGAACAATCCTTTAATGTTGGAAGGTTCTTCTAGTGTCGATAAGTCGCTTGTTGCTGCTGTTATCTGTAAACTTACAATAACGGGCAATAACTATTCTTTATCGATTATGGATCAGATTATCCGGTTGTGTAAAGGCAGATACACTCTCCATGACTCGATTCTTTGTGAACTTCTGCGATATATGGAAGAAAGACTCAATGTCAGCGTCGCCAGTCGATACAAAGGCTGGGTTATTACGAATGATGAGGAAGTAATAACAATGTCCTTAAAAGAGAAATCTTCGGTATTAGAGCCACGTGTGGCTCTAGAAAGCATTCATCATTATCCTTCATGCTATATACCAATTCAACTTGATTCATTTCAAGACTTAAATGTTTGTGAAAAACTTTTAAGGACGGAAGACTTCGAGTGGAACGAAAAAATATATCATCCGGTGTTTGCACTAGGTATGGTTGCCGCATTATACCATACAAATCCTGAAGTCTCTAATATGCAAGTTATTCTTCAACAACATTTTATGGGATTAATAATAATGGGTCTTTCATTACATAACTATCAATTGAGAGCTGCTTGTTTTCATTTCATTCAGCATTTCATTCTGGGACTAGAAGATCAAAAGCTTCGTGAAAGACATTTAGTTAAACTAACACTCTCAAGTATAATTGTTAACGTTTCTACTCCAAATCAAAGATTGAGCACGTTAATGGCGAATTTTTATGCTCAGAGTGTAAGCATAATTATGAGACCCTCTCATCACATGTTTTTGGGTATCAACCGCTATTTCTTGCAAAGACAACACATTGACATTACTGATATTCCTATGTTTTATGAATTGTTATATCCCTCTTCCGATTACACGAAATGTCTTTCTTGGTTATTATCGTTGTTGTTGGCGGGTTTACAAAAAGGAGAAGACTTGAAACTTTATCTTCGTCGCCATGTATTTGAAACGATATGCACTTTGTATGAATCTTGTGTGGTAAATAGAGAGATACGGGAAGCTATCGCGAAAATCCTTCTAAGGGTAGATGCACTAGGTGCTGGTGCTATTCTAAAAAAGCATAACGCTGTGTATTCTTTACTGCAGTTACTTCCGTATGAAAATCTACTGTCAACCAAATCCATCCAGACAGCAGAAGCTTGAAAGGGAAGAGATAAAAAAACATCTTCTAAAATTAAAAGTCGTTTTGTTATGGGAATCCGGTTTACGTACACAATAGAACTTGTAATAACACAATCTTAATCAAGAATTTAAAGGGAAGGACATGGGAAAATTTATTGTAGATTTACAAACGTCGAGTAATATTCATGAAACCATAGAGAAATCAATTTGGGACAAACTACTGTAATGTGCTCAATTTTATCATTATAAAGTAACAAATATGGCCAAAAGGAAACAGGAAGAGAATGCATGGAAGAAGGAAAGAATGAAGGATCATAAAATGTTCAGAAAGCTTTTTACAGACCATAACGAGTAGCCACTTCGTTTTGAAAAGTCATTTCCATTGGAGCTTGAGCGGTGTAAATATCGGTCTCATCTAAGCAGGCTTCACGGTTGGCAAGAATGTCAGCATGGAAGTTGCTAGGTCCACCCAAAGCCATAGGCCTTACGCTCTACAAGAAAATATTAGCAAATCGGAATATTTTAGCTAAAGCAAATCTTGATCCCAGGAATCCGACATTTTTTACTTGAAATTTTGAATATGCTATGAAATCCTGCATAGGTATCGAGGGATACAAGCATTGCACTATTTACTTACCTGAGTTGATAGACGCAACTCCATTTCACGGCGAATGGGTTCATGCAAACCATAAATACGGCGCATACTATCCAAACGAACTTGTCGTTGTTGGGCTTCCCAATTGGCAAGACGGTTTTCCAAAGGATGCTTGTTCTCCAATTCGTTAACTTTAGGGCCGTGAGGGCTTAAAACGGACAGCTTGTAATCCCCGGAAACATTGGAGTGTACATTAGAATCAGGAATAATCTGCATATTCAAATTTTTCAATATATATTTGTTCTATAGACAGGTTGATGGTGGTGGTTACTGGGCAAGTTCACTTACTATGGTGTTTTCAGTAATGAGAGAGCAGTGTTACCTGATGCCCATTGCTACTTAGTCTCTCTTGGGCACCACCCTTCCTGTGTATGAACACGAAAAGAAATCTTGACACAAACAGATAAGGAAGAACTTGGCCACAACCACTATAGAGACGAATTTCGAATAGATCGTTTGGAAAAAGAAAGGGGAAAAGGAGACACCACAATGTCTCAAGTGATTCAGTATTCGGAAGCGGATTTGTTGTATCTGTCTAAATCTCCGCTTATAAAAAAACCGGAAAATTTACCAGAATGGATACTGTATGTAGTTATTTGTAGAGTGTATAGAAAGGATACTCTATTAATGCACAATGAATTATTCTTGGTTGTTAACGATTATGTAGTCCAGAGGCTATGAAAGCTGATCGCGAGCGACACATACGGCAGGAAAAGGAAATGAAAAGGTATGATCGAAATTTAGGATGGTATAACGGTGAAGTACTACTTACTGTCCATATGATTGTTGATATTGTGGCTAACATAAGTTTCGTAGTAAACATGATGATGAAGGAAGACAGATGCAGTCAGATCGGAAATATGCCAAATCAAGTAAGTCCTATTATTTTTTGGGTGGTGACGAATGAAATATGATGAGTATAGTCTTGTCTTTGTTGTAACCATCCTTCTTCCGATTGCTGGAACAAGTTACGCTAACCCGTAGAACACGAAGATATCATCCTTGGGCCTCCAAAACTCAGTTTTGCAAGCAGCAATGAAAACGGCCGCTCTATTGGTCGTCATGATGATTTATTATCCTTAGGAAACGTCTACAATGGATCCGCAGTACGACATCGGAACGGAGTTCCAGGTCCTGTACCAACAAAAAATGCTTCTTTAAACAATATCGCATCGACTTCATCGCCTTGGACAAGTCTTAACAAGCATGGTCGTAAAAAGGACTTCGATCGTCGTGATGATAATGAAGGACTAGATCGATTGTCAAAACAAAGGGCCAGTGCCAACCCTACAAGTCCTATGATTCCCAATAGTACTGAAGAGTTTGAAGCATGGAAGCGTATGATGAAGGCTAACACGGCCGAGACACCTGTCATTTCAGGAATGCCTGCTGTTGCTCATGTAGCTTCCCAAAAGCCAGTTCCTTCCCTTTCAAGAGCTGCTTCTGGTTCTGGCACTTCTTTTTCTGCCCGTGCAAACGTTAGTGTTGACTCTCTTTTTGGAAAGCGACCCGTTGCCCCTTCTGTTACTTCTGTTGCTCCGCCAATTGGAACTCCTGGTGGTACGCCTCCACGATTTGCTTCTCCTGCTCTTGGGCTGGAAACAGCCGCTCATGTTGCTCCTTCTACTACCTCATCGAGATTCAGTAAATTCTTCAACGGATTAGGTGGTCCTGAGACATCGAAGCAGTCAACACCATCGGTATCCCACTCAGCTTCCCCAAAAGTGAATAATGCCCCAACCGCCCCTTCGGCTATCCATGATAAAGATGCAGAGGGATTTCAACGTGTCCTTGCAATGCTAGGACGTCAAACTTCTAGCGCATCTGCTTCGCCTAGAGTTCCTGCGGTGCAGCCTTCCACTATGTCCAATTCACCTACTGTCAATCATGGTAACCCCGGAGCTATGTTTACAATGTCTTCTCTCACTTCTCCTGCTGCTTCTGTCGCACCTCCTCCTGGATTAAGTAGCCATGCACTCTCTACTGAAGATGCTTCATTTTTCCGTTCTCTTATTCATTCTGATGCCCGACCTGCGGTACCTCCTCCTCCTGGATTTTCTACAAGTAGTGTGGCTTCCCCTGACAAGGGTGTTTCCAATCCTCCTCCAGGTCTTTACAATCATTATCCTATGGGACCTGTACCACCTATGAGCTCTGTACCGGCTCCTGCTCCTCCTCCTGGTTTTGGATTCCAACAGCCTCCACTCCCTTATTCACCAGGTTTTTCTCCAAGCATGTATGCTCAACCACGTATGTCAGGTCATCCTCTCCCGGACCTTTCAAAAACTTCACACTAAATCTCTTTGTTTTTATGACATATGAAGTCTGCAGAGTTAAATGTTGTTAATGAAGTTTTAAAGGAAGGTTTTTATATGGATATATTATGAAGGTATTTTAGGAAATTATCTAAAGCAATGAATTTGCACATGTCTAAATTTTATAAATTCCTATTTGATAAATGCTGGTTTTTTCGTATATATCGTTTTTAGAATAATGTAACGATTTATTTTATTTGTATAGGCAAAATGATTTAGAATACTGCGATTACGGATAAACCTTGTATTCGAGCATAGTAGACAAGACGCAATGATACAAACTACTTTGACAAGTCATTATACTTTTCTTTCGTTTTTTTTAAGGGCTTTTTGTATGTGCAAAAGGTTTAATTATCATGTGCTTGCATATAGCGTTCTTTGGCAATGGTTTCAACAGTTACTTATCTCAATGTATAATTTTCTGTTTGTTTTGAGGATTATATTGCTATAATGTTTCTAATTTGAATAACTGTCAATAACAATCTACTAAATATGTAAACCTTTGATTTACACTACCAATTCACAGCAACTGTCTTACAAAAAGTATATAAAAGGAAGAACGAAGTCCCTGGGATAATACCTTTATGCATAAAATTGGTATGGCTTAATTAATTTTATTTATTTACTAAAGCATTCCAAGGAATAGCACTATAGTAATAATATGGCAGTAACGGAACGTAAGCGACTCGGCTACTATATGTCAATGTTTACTATGGTTCTATCGAAAGACTTACCAACACTTGAGTTAGATGCAAAAACGACCTGAAACAGAACCAATTCATCATGTTCAATGGTTCTATTTATCGAATTTTGATCTTTACGATGAAACTTCCCCCATGGAAATGCCTGAGCCTCAGCGCTGGCGCAAGTTTTTGAATCATGACAATCGCGCGTTGGAAGCAAAACATATAGAAATTAATAATGCGAGTACTTCTCAAGAACCTAATCAAAAAAATGTAAGGATAGCTACGGTTTTTGTCTACTAACGAGCAGATAATTGTGGGAGTATCGGGTTTACATGTTGTAAATTTACCCACTCTGACATTGAAACCCTTGTACTGGCCTAGTAGCCGAAGAAATGACACTCTTCGTGTTGTTCGAGGGCTGTGGATGTACCAGGATACTGGATTACCAGTAATCGACGAATTGGCAGAAATTTTGGAAGAAGGGTATCAACAGATTAAGCCATACAATGTTAATTGGGACAAACTGGAAAGTGAACTGGAAGACGAAAATCAAGAGAGATCTAGCATTTTTTCTTCTGGAAGGCGGAAACCTTCCAAGGATGCGATAAGCCAATTGCGATGGTCAATAAAACCTCCGTCTTCCGGAAAATATGTCTTATATGAAGATGGTTATCGAGCACTTCTATGCCAAGGAGGATTGCTTTCGTATTTTTCGAAAGGAACACAGTCGCAGCGCACGGGATTGAAAGGAATTCCGGTAATTCGAGATTTTCCTTTGAAGGAAGATGATGGTTTCCGTGGTTTAAAGCAAGTTACTGATCTCTTTTTGGTTGTTCACGGAATTGGTCAGAAAAGATCTGAAACTCGTAAGGAATTATCAATTTTCATTTTAAATATTTACTAATGATTTATTTTTACAATAGAGGAACGCTATCAATTCACCAAAACGTGTAATGTCTTCCGATCATTGATCCAAAAACAGAAAATAATCATGAAACAAAACCCTTTGTTAAGGGACGATTATGAACCTCAACTATTGCCCATTTGCTGGAGAAACAAGATTAATTTCGATTCGTTTTTCCAGGTGACTGAGGACGACGAAAATAGCGACGACGTCGATCAAAACAGGTTTCATATTGAAGATATTGAAATCGACAGCATTCCAACTGTTCGAAGACTATTTGGAGATGTTATGAGCGATATCCCTTATTATATGTCTCACCATAAAGATTCTATCATTCGGTCTGTCATCCGAGAAGCAAATCGAGTCTACAGTTTATGGATAGACTGTAATCCTTATTTTAAAGAAAATAAAGGAAGAGTCTTTATTATCGGTCATTCTTTAGGTGCTACTGTCGTTTTTGACATTTTATCACTTCAACCTACATTTGTAAAGGAGCTTGGACCCGAAGTAGAAGACGATAAGTACTTCAAGTTTGACACGAATGGATTTTTTTGCTTTGGTGGACCTATAGGTTTTTTCCTTCTATTGAACCAAAAAAGCATAATACCCAGGAAAGGACGTGGGTCTAGTCGTTTCCCTGAAAATGATGAATATACGAGTAAGAATGTCCCAAATTCTTATGCATACGCAGAAAATGATCGTTATGGGTGTTTAGCGGTAGATTCTTTTTACAACGTTTACAATTTTCTTGATCGTACGTGTTTTTATCTTCTTCAAACTAACTAATTTAAACCAGCTATTGCTATGCGTTTGAATCCTACCGTAGATGTTAACTATTCTAGAGGCATCCTTCCATCTAGACTCGTGTATTCTCGAAAACCATCGAGCATTTTGAGGGTTATTTCTCGGCCAAATGACGCCCCAATTCGACTCGTTAGTTATCAACAGGCACTAAACCAGTTAAAATCAGACGAGACTGGAAATTCGTCTATACTTCCAGATGCCGAGCAAGATGTTGAACTTCAAACTCGAAATTTTAAGCATGAAAAGAGAGCAAAATGGAGGATGCAAGAGTTGAACGAAAATGGCCAAATAGATTATGTCTTTACGAGTCAACAGGGCATTATTTCAAATAAATACTTAACAATGTTATCTGCACATACCAGTTACTGGAACAACGAGGACTTGGTTTGTTTTTTGGTTGTTGAAACAGCCCGAAAATTTGGAATTGCAAATTCCGTTGAACAATTCAGGGGAAAACGTGCATCTCAAAATAATGTTTCCTTACAATAAGGTCTTTGTCATTTGAGCCGATGGATATGACTTTGATTTATTTACATCTTGCTTGCTTATGGTGTTGGAAAAGCTAAACCTGAGATATATGTGACTTTAAGATAGTTTTGCTATTTCTAGGCATTCTTCGTAATTAAGAATGTCTTTTGTGAAGATGTTTTAAAGCAACGTTTATCAAATTCGCAGTTTCAATTTTATGGAGTGAGACACACCTTAATTTGACAAATGTTCCTTATAATGCCTATATTTATTTACCCATTAATTTTTTTACGATTAGATTTAATTTAATAAATACAACAAACAGTATCTGGAAAAGCGACTTGACAATACTGAGAAGCATTACTATAAAAAAGGACGAAAAATACATACGCCACACATTGATACAAACAAAATTAAAGATATAAAATCTCAAATAGCCTCCAGTTCTAACAGGGAAGCAGAAGAGCTATTGATTGGAATGTTACTATATGAAAGTGTTCCACCGTAATTTATAGACTCTTGCTAATAACAAATATCGCAAATCATGAGCGGTTATGAAAATGCCGAAGAATTACAAGATCTTTTAAGAAAACAAACCACTGGTTTAGTGCATTTAGAAGATTATCGTCGAGTAAAGCAAGGGATAGCCGAAAAAAAAGAAAAGGATGCACTTTCACAGACGAATCAAAAAATGTATGAGCGTACTTATAAATGAAGTTATTTTAAACTATGGAGATATGTTAACATTGTCTAGTAAAAAGAAAAAAAGTGTCTTGGGTAAAAATGCGAAGAAACAATTTCAGTTAAGTAAGGGCAAATTGTCATTTGATCAAGAAGAAAATGAAGGAGAGATGGATGACGGATTACAAAAAACAATTATAAAGAAGAAACATCTTGGGAAGGATCCTACCGTAAATACATCATTTTTGCCAGACGCTGAAAGAGAGGCTTTAGAAGAAGCAAAGAGAAAAGAATACCGGAAACAGTGGTTAGAGGAACAAGAACGGATTAAAGAAGAAGAGATTTTGATTCCTTTTCTGTTTTATGAAGGTTCCACTTCCCGGTATAGTGTCAAAATTCGTCTCAAAGATTCAGTGGGCCATATACTATCAAATATGAAAGACCAAATTCCCAGCCTGAAACGTGTTTTGGATATGGACAAGTTTTTATTAGTACAATCGGATTTAATTATCCCACATGTACGTAAAATTAACTAGAGGTATAGCTCTCTAACTATTTAATATAGCATCACGAACTATACTACTTTTATTTAAACAAAGTTCAAGGACCCAGCGGGTTGCTTTTCGAATTTGAATCTTTGCGATGTCAGAATCCCGAAATGGCAGCAACTCTGCAATTACCGGAAGTATGTTTAAGCAAAGTCTTGAAGACCTTGAAGAGTTTTTAATTAACCTACGTTAGAAAAAAATCCCTCATTTAGTTCCCAAATCGTTTTATATGGAATATAGACATGTTTTTCCCTGTAACTGCTGGGAAATGTTTGACTCTAGGAAAGACGTAAGATGAATGGCTTCTTTCAAATGATTTAATTAACACATTTAGTATGCTTCGCAAAGAACAATGGTCAATCCGAATGCTGCTTTATTTTACAGAAGCGAATGAGGAATTAAGCATACTAGTTTACTATTATTTATTTGCAATTCTGTTGCGCTATGTACATGAAATCGGGTCGTGAATGGTTAAACGAAATCAGAATCTAATGATTTTATTGCTCTAGTGAAGACAGGAATGTATCTCGAATGTCTCAAATGCTTTTTGGTGAACTAATTAGAAGGCATTGGCATGCTTTTAATTGTATTATGGATTCATGTTAAAAATGTATGTCAATACTGGCTGTACAATAGCTGTTAATAGACTCTTCGTATATTCTTGTTGACCGAAAGATATAATTGATTGTATATAGATGAATTATCTCTTTCCCATCGAGCACAAGGCTGAGTTACTCTCAGTTGAGAGCTATGCATCGGATTCTTAGTATTTGTACTATTTAATCTATATAGAAACTACTACCTTCATTGTGTAAAGACAAAATAGACCATTTTTAGTCTAAATTAGAAATGTAAATACTTTTGAGATCTAAATATTAGATTTGCTTTAAAGCAACGATAAAGGCGGGAAACGCTCTATAACCATATTTATGGAAGGGAGGAAAGTTTTAGTTCTTTATTGTTATTTCTTTCAAATGCTTACCCGAAAGTCTTACTCTAGTTTGAGTTGTGAGCTTGTAACTATTGTAAACAATGATCATATTGTATAACTTCCCATAGTGATATTTGGTAAACCCCGACTCTACTACAAAACGATTCTGTTTTGTCAAAGCATTTTGCTTAATTATAGCCGGTTAAGATGGAAAAAAAAATTCAACCATTTGTTACTGAGAGTGCGGTTCATAATGAAAGGGTATATTGACGGTACATTTCATATTCGCTAATTGTCATTCTTACAGGTGGTATCATTCATTCGAAACATGACACTAAGTGTCTTTGGTTGTTCTGCTGGAATTTTAGGGATAACGTCCTACCATGGTATTTTGTTTTATCTCTTTAGCTATTTATTCGTCTCGTTTCTCATTTATACAATGAAGATGGGAGGTAATGTTCGTGAGTTTTATCAACCAGGTCTTAAATTTTGGTACGCAAAAGTAATCGAAGGCGCCCCTTCGTTTGTGCTTTTCTGGACTCTTTTTTACAGTCTCGTTTATGGTATGTTTCGCGGCTGAATGTCGACAGTTATAAAGTCTAAACTGGAAAGCCGCACACTTTTTTACCTCTCGAAGTATTGAATTGGGCGATTTTTAACTAACCATGTCTCAGTTTATGAATAGTTCATCTTGAATAAATAAGTATACACATTTTTATGATGAGCTTGTTGGATACTTTCCATCCATAATTCATCAGACATATATTATGGTCTTTGGGATTGATCCTAAGCAAGACTCCCCCATCTTTTGTTAATATATCAGAATGTTACCAATGTGTGATGAATTTTACTTGCATACTCAATAAATCGTCGTTCAAATAAATGTACCTGTACATTTATTACGGGACAGGTATATGATTAGCTTTTACTAGTAATAAAATTCTGAAAGAATTGTACGTGTCTCATATTATGGATCATAAGTTCTATAATTAACGTTATTTTTATTTTCAATTCACCCAAACACTATTTCATCTCTATTCTTGCTTATAAAATAATCCCTAATGTTAATTTTCGTTTATAGAATAAGAATAGCATGTAGAAAGACAATGAGGCGTTTTCATGAAATTTCATTAATTTAAACAACAAAACGATAATTAACAAAGCTCCATTCAAAATAAATGGTTATAAACAGAAAGTAGTCAAGATCAAACAATATGACCGTATGCAGTAAAATTATACATAATAAGCAACGCCAATAGACCTATTGTATTCTTTTTTTTTTTTTACCTCTACCGTTTGACATGAGGGTATGGAGAGCCTTCAGGAGACACAAGATTGTGAAGGTGAGTAGGAGAACGAATCACTTTGTTATTTTGCATATGACACATCGAGATATTGGCAATCCAGTCATCAGCGAAAACACTATGGATGTCATATCTTCTAACGGGATCCAAATCAAGCATATGCAACACGGCTGCACGAGTATCACGAGGTAGTAAACGTAGCAATCTCCAAGGTCCGTAAACTTCTTGTTTGCCACCAGCATGTACTTGATGCTCAGAACGTTGTTGAGTATTTGGCGGTTTATAGGATGGGTGACCAGGGTCAACCAATCCCCTATCTTTTATAGATTTTAAAACTTCTTCTTCAGAAAAGTCACCTTTCGTAGGAGGTATTATGCAAAACAAACGGAAGGAGTTATCTGACAGTTTGGGGTATTTCCAAGGAAATCTACGAAGAGCCATACAGCAATAAATTATAGCACAAGACCATATATCAACAGCACGAGGGTCATATAACTTTTTGGTTAACGTTTCCGGAGCAAGATATGGATCAGAACCGACCACACCAGTCGCCTCTACAATGTCTGCTTCAAAGGGATATTTATACACCACGGCACTTCCAAAATCAATAATTTTGATATTACAATTTTCGTCTACAACGAGATTGTCAAGTTTTAAATCACGATGGGCAAGGCCCATAGAATGCAAGTAGGCGACACCAGAAAGAAGTTGTTTAAAACAACAATAAATTTCGGGCAGCGTCATTTGTCCACTCATAACAATTGAAAACATATCGTAGGGTGCGTACTCCATAACTTCAAAGAATTTTTTATTTTCTTCTATGATATCCAAGGTCTCAATGATATTTGTATGGTGAAGAGCACTACCCACGCAGAACTCAGCGGTGACTTTTCTAGCATACTCACGCTCAGACTCGGATGGCCTACGAGAACGGAATTCTTTGACGGCAAAAATCTTTCCATCAGAAGAACGCTTCATAATACGAACAGAACCTCCGGCACCCGATCCCAAGATACGGCCAAACTTGCCATACTTTTTAAACAAACCAAAGTGATCATCCTGAATGTTACTACTTGATCTTGATTTAGAGACACCCTTTTTATCAGACTTTTGGTGTGATTTGAAGAATCGACGCAAATCCAACGAGCTGTGATGCTTTTCATGCTTGTCACTTTTGTCGTGTTTATCATGAGAATGAAGTAAAGACTTTAATGACAAGGAGCTTGAGTTTGAGTGATTACCGTGATGATGATGACTGCTGTGATGATGTTTATGGTCCGGTTTTTTAAATATGAATTGGGAAGGAATTTCGCGAGGATCACTTTTGGAGGGAGCTCTACGGGTTCTGCGATAGGGATCATTGGGATCGCCGATCAAATCCTCTGATGACGGAAATCCACGAACGGTCTTTAAGACACTGGGAGAAGAAGGCTTGGATTCCTGGTGATGGTCGTCAGAGTCTTCCTCGTTACTGGGCAAATCAAATTTGTAAAGAGGGTGAATAGACGAGGTATTATCCTTGGAACGGAAAGCGGTGGATGCTTGAGAGGAAATATGGTCGTCTTCGTCCTCATCCTCAGAAGGAATTTGAGAATTTGGAATGGAAATGGGTTCAAAATTTTTCGCAGCAGATGATCGGTATCGGTCTTCTGCGAGTTTATGATCCACATAATCATTTACTTGAATTGGAGATCGAACACGGGGCAAAGGATGACTGGGTTCATGGGAATGTTCAACATCTTCATGAGGTAAGGGAGTAGCATCTCTTTCAAAAGGATATTTTGGGGTCTCTTCTATATGGACCTTGTCTTGGAATGTTTTCTCCAGAGGCGAAGAATCGTCTTCTTTATATTGTTAGTAATGATCAACGACAAAAACGACAACTATGATTATAGTAGAAATAAATATCACATACGAGATTGATTATCTTGAAAAGAGAACTTTGGGGAAGAATGAAGTTCAGACATATTGCAAGCAGTAACCATATATATATATATATATATATATATATATATATATATATATATATTTGTATATATATGTAAATGACAACACCGAAGAAAGATTACAAAGTTTCTGCCTTGTAATGAAAATAAAAAATGTACAAAGTAAAAAATGGAGAGAGAGACAGAGATAGACAGACAGACAGAAAAAGAGAAAGAGAGAAGAAAAACAATAATCAAAAAAATAAAAAGTCCAGGTAATGGAAGTGAAAATTAAAAAAAAAAATCAAATAAATAAATAAAAAACAAAAGAGGTTTTTACCACAATTCCTTTCCAAACACACACGTACACGACGTATCAACAAACAAAACAAAAAATAAAGAAGAGAAGAAACGAAAACAAGGGTAGATGCGTTCCGACACTAAACAATATACATTAACAATATTCCAAATCGTTCGGCGAATTTGTTTTTATATAAATTTTCACACAATGTAAACAATACTAGGAACAAAGAAATACACGTCTAAGGTTCCCCTGAATCTGAGGGATTATAAAAAGGAAATCTTGGCGTTCAATTCACTTCAACAACTTCAAGGAATCCTATTTTCTATACAGCGATTGGGAATTTTCCCTATTTCTGCTATGTACTGTAGGAGTATGGGAAAAGGTAAATTCAGTTACGTAGCAATTTTTGGATAAATATAGGATCCGGTGCGGCAGCTATTGAGTTGATGAATGACGATCAACGTTAACACATATGTAGCCCTTGAACGAATGATGTTGCTCGTTTAACAAAGGCAACCGAAGTGCGGAATCGGGCTCGACCATCGGCCGGCAAGCAACCATCTAAATCGGTAGTTGAGCTTCGGCAGATGAAAGGTAACGTTATTGTTACCTTTTGAGATGAACGGTATAGTAAAAGACGATGTAAACAATATCTATTTGAAAACAAAAGAACATGAAAAGGTAAGTTCTTAAACCATGAAAAAAAAACCAAAGACAACTTGAAGGAAATGCACGGTTTTGTTTCTTCCTATAATCTCAGCATGCGTGGTTCAATCGGCTGCTTTTCAATCAATGGTAAACAAACCGTAAAATTTGCGCAAATATTAATAAACTATATAAACTATATAAAAGCTTCATTACTAAATAAGTCCACGGTTTTACTCTTTCTAACGGTTTGTTAATATTTGTATTATTTGCGACATACGCAAGGGGCCTTTGCCGTTCCCCTTTAAAGTTCGCTCCTTCTTTTGCGGGGGACGAGGAGGTTGGATATTTGCGATAGCTCTCGGTAGTTGACGGTAAAGTCGATGGCGAAAAGTACCGAGACAAACTGGGGTTTAGTCTATTTTGATGGAAGGGATATTAAATCAATAAACAGTATGGGGAAACCCGCCTAGGTAGTAGGTAGGTAGGTAGGTAGGTGGATGAGTGGTTGGGTGGGATTGTTTATTTACATAAAATAAAATAAAAAGAAAAGACTTTTTCAATTCTCTACTGCATTAGAAAAAGAGAATCTAAATAATGATTGGAGATTATAAATAGAATATGTATTAAAAGAAAAAATTACCCCATTTTTAGTATGTGACAGAACTTGTTCTGCTTTCTTACTTGTTCCATCCATCCATCCATCCAGGATGCACACACGCCTGTATTCATACCTGGTATATTCCATATGCCCCAAGCTTCAACAATCCAGCGATATTTAAACATTTCCAAAAACTAAGCAGCAACCTCTGGAACTGCAGTAGGTGCCGGTGTGGCCTCTGGCTTATTTTTATTCTTTTGCTTTCGCACAAATCGAACATCTTCCGGACTAAATCCTCCCTGGCCAAAGTAAGCAAAGTCCGGCGTGGGTGCAATATAATCCATTGGATCAAATGCTTCCTTTGTACGCCATAGCTCAAAGAATTTCGCATAGTCAATGTGAGTGTACCACATGTCGTTCTTCTTGAACTTCGTTTGTGCAACCAGTAAACTGCAACTGTGAGCATGCTCCGCTGCAATTTCGTATTTAACACCCAAGTCTCCCAAATACTTGTCTATATTTTCAATTAACTTCTTTGTAAAGTCCACCACCTCTTCATAGTATGGTACATTCTTCATCGTTAGTGGCGATTGGTCAGAATTTCCACTGTAAGTAACTCCCTTGATCTCAATGAAACAAGGAACTCCCAATCGTATCAATTCAGTGTACTCTTTAATTTGTTCCATGTTAAATCCCTTCACCAATGTCATTCTATACACCGTCCTTTGCTTCTTTTCGCGTAAAATCTCTAAACACGTCAGCAAGCGCTCCCAAAAGTCTTTAAACAATGGTCGATCTACCGACTTGAGACTCTGTTTCGTGCTGGCATCGATCGAAACATATAGCTGAGTCACCATTCCCATCTTCCGGAACGCTTCCGGATGCTGAGCATTTGTGACAAGGAAGGATGAAATTTCCCGTTCATGAAGCATTCCCACGAATTCATTGATATATGGGTAGAAAATCGGTTCACCCACCAGCGACAATGCGCAATGCCTCACTCGAGAAGCTTCAAGAAAACGATCTTGACGCACTCCAGGTACGCCTCGCATCAGTTTCAATTTGGCATAGTGAGATTCAAGAACACCTTTCATAATCAACTCTGGAGGATCAACTTTCCAACGCCATTCTGTACCCACCGGATTCGTGCCGTGGCGCCAGCAAAATGTACATTTGTTTGCGCATGCCAAACTAGGCGTGGCTTCCATACACAAATGACTACGGATACCATAAAAGCTATATTTGTAGCAAAAACCTCGTCCACGCATGGCATTCTTCGTCCATCGACAAATCTTGACACCACTGTGGGAACCAACTACACTATATCCTTGTTTTGTTAACGCTTTATAAGTGGGCGATACAGTCGATACCATTTCCTTGGTGCCGACCGGCAACGAAGATTCTGCCTTGGCTTTCGCCATCATTGGACCCATATCTTCTACATCCATCACTTCAGAGTTTCCCTCCCCTTCATCTATAGGACGCAATAAGGTTCCTTTTTTCATGTTTTCGAGAACAGAATTTGTCCATTGAGTTAAGACATCAACTTGTGTTGCTGGAGCTAACTGTGAGTTTGTAACACCCATAGGAGCAATTCTTGAAGCACCAAGTTTGCTTAACCACTTATCGGTTTGAATAGCCTGGTAGCAAAACATATCACCAGGATAATTGTCCATATCACCAAGTCCAAACACAGCATACCCTGACAACTTTTCTAAAGGGTTTTTTTGAACGCGAAAATCGTAAAATGTCTCACGCAACGTCGATAAGTAGAAATCAATACTACTCTCAATGGCATAAGAGGGTAGAATAATAAGGTAGACTGCATTTTCCGGACAGGAAAGGAAATATTCCTCCAAATCGATGTAATCCAAACTTAGCAATTGCAAGTCATCTCTTTGAAGATTCGTAGACATTAACTTGTGCACTTCATTAGCATACCGCTGGGCTGTTCCTCCCAAAGTAGCGTAGAAGATGCATATTGGCGAGTTTAGCAAATCAATCTCATTCTGAGAATTGGATTGAACGAGTTTGCTCTTCACGTTTTTCCTAGTAAATCTCTTAACCGTTTTCTTGTGCTTTGTGTTTTCTTTTTCTTTCGGCAGATTTTCTTCACTTGAAACCGCCAATTGCTTCTTGTTTCGCGACAGTAGTACGTGAGCTGCCACAGGCAAAAGAAGGACTAAATAAAATAACAGGCCTCTATAAGTCCCCCATTTTTCTTCCAAATACGCAAGATCAAAACTCATAGTGTTTTTCTTCCAGCGTCTTTGGTAGTTGGAAGAGGAAAAAATTCAAAGAGCCTTAGTATGATACCGACCAAAGCAATGTCTTGCCAATCAGAAGCAAGAGAAGATGTATCTTTCCATATGAAAAGTAAAGTATCCGACTTTTATTAATATTCAAGCACTTTGCTCTTTTTCTTTTTGTTGACAATGAGAATTTGTCTTTCTGGACTGATGTGTTTTCTCAAGTGGAAATAATATTTATCTGATCATCTATAAGCTTCTTGAATATATTTTGTATTATGTTTCTATAAAATGATCAACGATTGTAACAAAAAATCGATGGCAATCGAAAGGAAAAATTCAATGAAAGGTTCGTATAATCGTTCAAAATATGTTTGATGGATGTGGTTGCAATACTATAAGATGGAAAAAGAAGAATTGAAGCTTTGTAACAAGTAGCACCATGAAAAGAAAAAGACAGAAAGAATTAGATATTTTGTAAGTCGACTTCCTTCAGAGAAGAACACTTGATGATATTCTTGTCCGCGGCTTGTTCAGAAGACAACGAGAAAAAAGGGAGAAGCTTGGGATCAGGAACCCAAATTACTTTCATGTCAGCAGCTCTTCCCGATTCAAGTCCCAATATGGAGTCTTCAAAAACAAGACAGTCCTTTGCTTCAACCTCTGGTTCGTTCTTTGATCGGAGCTTTTCGTTGATGACCTCCAAGGCAATGAACCAAATGTCGGGATTTGGCTTTCCACGACCAGGAAGCAAACGATCGTCATCTCCCGTTACAATATTGTTCTCAAAAAGCATAAACATGTCTCTTAAATGGCCAGTTTTCCTTTCAAAGTTGTAGGTATCACTAGAAGTAGCGAGTACCATTGGAATGTTGAGCGTTTTACATTGACGTAAAAGTTCCAGTGCTCCAGGAAGAGGTTGAGTTTGTTTCCATAATTCAGATTGCAATTCACGCTGCATCTGCACGTATTGTTCATACGACAAGTCCAACTTGGACCAGTCGAGGAAAATCTGACAAGCTTCTCGAGATGGTCGACCTTTTTTGTGAACTAATTAGCTCTGTCATAAATAAAATGATTCATCTTACCCATCATTTGAGCCTTGATCTCCATAGGAAAAGGGCCTTTTTGGTATCGTTCCAATATAATGTCTAGATGATAGGATTAGTTTCAGCAGGAAAGAAACGAAAATTGAAAAGACATACTTGTACTTTTTGTATATATGGTTTCCGTGTCTAATAAAAGACCCTGCCGCCCGTTAGTGTCCAATCCTTAATAATGCAATCCATAGACCACCATTTAAAGAATCCAGCTAGGAAATGAATATCCACAGTTGAATCCCAGTTTTACTAAAAAAAACGAAAAGCTTGTAATATTAGGGTTTCTGGTGCTCAACTACTACTTACGTCCATATCGAAAAGACAAGCTTTTGGAGGCATCTTTTGTGTTTTAGGATGGTTAGATTGAATTTTTAAATATTTTAGATTTTCTACAGTAATAAAACCAAAAATGGGAAGTTTTGATAAGCTTGGTGAAATTCAAGTTCAAGGCTTTGTGATTTCTGGTCAGTCAAGATGCCTACGTATAGGTGTTTTAGATTTTTCCCTAGTAAAAATAAAATAAGAAAACATTTACATGTGAATAAAAAAAAAGATTTTAGAATCTTTTATAAGTTATTTAAAGAAACTGACTAAAGTATAGAATTTAAACTGATCGAGCATGTGTTTTGTTTACTAGAAGGAATCATTCTTTTTTATGGATATGGATATGAAAAAGTCACCGCCAATTCAACCAAGAAGAGAAAATCTCCCTTCAACAATCGTGGTTTATTTTTTGTCTTGTTTTAAAACCCACGATCCACTCGAGATATTCAATATGGGTGCTGGTTCGTGATCGTAAAATATTTTTATATATATGGTTCCATTGCTTCAAAACTAGTATCAATTTCCGTAAGTTACAGAAGTCAAGAACAAGCAGAGAACTTTAAAGCTCTTTTGACTTGATGAGACAGCACCTTAAATCCCTACGAGTTTGCTGTAATTTAGTTTTCAGACGAACAAGAAACCGTTTCCTCACGAGTATGTTATCTGATAAACCGGTAATAACAGATCAAAAGAAGTCATGCCAAAAGAAAATCACTTTGTAGAGTATGAGTTAAATCGAAGAAAGGACAATGTCGAAGGTATTTCGATTTATCTCAATTTTCTTTTCCAAAGAGTCGGGATTTAGGACTAAGGCCGTCTTTACATGACTTGGGAGAAAAAAAAAAAAAAAAAAAAAAAATTCGTTGTCAACTGAAACTTTCACAATCATTGCTTGATCAACTCATTTACCTTCCATCCTCTGTTTGTCGTTTGAAAACCAAGAATCTCTCATACTGCCAGCCCTGTAAGGGTTCTTCTGCCTTTTTTTCTTCTTTACATGACAATGAAAATCTTTTCGTTGCTTCTTATATATTTATTAATTCAGTCTTTCCGTGTATTTATGTAAAAACAGGCCGAAACAATAAAATCAATGAATCTTTTCTTCCCATCAATATGCGAAAGATATCTTATCAGATTAGCATGGATGTTTGGTAAATTTATATAGAAAAGAACAAGAACAAGAATAAAATAGAATAAAGTCGAACAAGTCGAACAAAAAATAAATAAAAAATTTATTCCTTTCACTTCCAAAAGAAATAAGCTCAAAATCTAGAAAAAGGATCGATTGCTTAAAATCTAGAATCATTATTAATGAATATCATCATCTATTCTGCAACATCTTTAATCCATTATTCCTAAAAATCTTTTCTTTTGAATTGAATATCCTTCCCGTATTCTCCGACCCGTTGCAGACATTATTCAGTTTCTTTGTTACGTTCCAGCGACCTTTTCATTTGATCGAAATGGGGTTATTTACTTCCAACGGGACAATTCCTTTCATATGAAACCAAGCTCGTCGTTGTTCCAACCATTATCGGAAAGCCGAATACTGACAAGTTTAAACAAAGGAAGAACATAAGGAATGTTGAGGAATCATTATGGTATTTACAATATTTGCCTTCTTTTTGTTCGCGCGAGCGTATGGTGGAGAAAATAACCTTACATAAGCTCCTTCACCCTCCTTGTAATTCAGTATTTATAAAAGTCTTTAAACGCGCACCAACCTACCATCTACATATACCCTCCGCATACCAAAAGGTAGGAATATCCATTAGTAAGTACGCGATCTATCCTTTTTTTTGTTGGATTTTACTTTTACTTTTTCCTCTTATTATGAAAGAAGTATATATCCTACAAAGGAAAGATCGCGTTCATATTTGTATCATCTGAATACTAACCAAGTTTCTGTAGTTACGAATCTTTTTAGTAAAAAAATGTCATCCTCTTTAGAACAACTTAAGAATACCGGAACCGTCGTCGTTTCTGACACTGGTGATTTCGAATCCATCGCTAAGTACAAGCCTCAAGATGCTACTACCAACCCCTCTTTGATCTTGGCCGCCTCTAAGAAGCCTCAATACGCTGCTCTTGTCGATGCCGCCGTCGAATTTGCCAAGAAGAAGGGTGGCTCTCTCGAGGAACAAATTGAGAACGCCTTTGATCGCCTCCTCATTGAGTTTGGTACTAAGATTCTTGCCATTGTTCCCGGCCGTGTTTCTACTGAAGTTGATGCTCGCTTTTCTTTTGACACCAAGACTACCATTGAAAAGGCCCGTCAATTGATCAAGCTCTACGAAGAAGAGGGTATCAAGCGTGAACGTATTTTGATTAAGATTGCCTCCACCTACGAGGGTATTCAAGCCGCTAAGCAATTGGAACAAGAAGGCATTCACTGCAACTTGACCCTTCTTTTCTCTTTCGTCCAAGCTGTCGCTTGTGCTGAAGCTAATGTTACTCTCATTTCTCCTTTCGTTGGTCGTATCCTTGACTTCTTTAAGGCCAAGAACAACCGCGAATACGCTTCTCACGAAGACCCTGGTGTCCTTAGTGTCAGCCAAATTTACAACTACTACAAGAAGTTCAACTACAAGACCATTGTTATGGGTGCTTCCTTCCGTAACGTTGGTGAGATCCACGAGCTCGCTGGTGTTGACTTCTTGACTATTTCTCCTGCTCTCCTTGAACAACTTAACAACAGCCAAGAGCCCGTTCCCAAGAAGCTCGATGCTTCTCAAGCTCACGGTCTCGACATTGAAAAGGTTTCTTTCCTTAACGACGAGTCCAGGTTCCGTTTCAACTTCAACAACGATGAAATGGCCGTCGTCAAGTTGGCTACCGGTATCAGTGCTTTCGCCAAGGATGCTGATACTCTTCGTGGCCTCTTGAAGGAAAAGCTCCAAGCTTAAGCCGCTTCCAAATAATGACTATTTCTTTCATCAGAAGGTTCATGTTCTACTTAGTTTCTTCATATTAATAAATACCTTTTTCGTTTGATAGTTTGATCATCGTTGTTATGTATAGACTCACGATTCGGCACATTCTCATCTTTTATAGGTTATGATATATTTAATAAGCATTGCATATTAAAGTGACAATGATATTAATGTCACTAGTTAAAGCTAATTATCGTTAAGTGCTTCTATTAAATATATAAAACCCAAATAAAATGGGTACAAGGACGATACGGTTTCGATCACAGCTAGACATTAAAGGTTTGATCATCAAATATCTTCGATCTATCTTCCGGAGGCCATTCAAGTCTCTTCCAAGTACGGATGGTGCGTTCAGAAGGATTTAATTCCCATATTCTGGCACGTCGAATGTATCCGCCATGTCCACCATAGCCACCGAACCCAGAGCCTCCTGCCATACAGAATCTTACTTGATGTGTCTTGTGCATTCCACAAAAATCATTCACATGATCGTGACCAGCTACGGCCAAAGGGATTCTTAATTCGCTCAGTGTTTTTGCTGTTCCAGGATCACAATAGGAAGAAGAACACTTTTCTCGATAAGATCCGACCATATCGTCTACTTCACAAAACTCTCTTAACGGTATATGAAAGAAGACCATTTGGATAGGATCGTTTTCAAATTCCATCTTTCTTGACTTCAACCAAACAAGTTGGTCTTTCTTAATCGCATCATACATAGGACATGCTCGGCCATTCGAAGTTCCTGCATGTGAATCTAAAACATAGATCGAAAACTTTCCTGGATTTCGCAGAACGAAATTTCCAACGCCAGAAATATTTCCCACTAAACCGATATTGCCAGGAACCTGGTTAACAATCTGAGCCAATCCATCGTTAGCTAAATCTCCTAGACTGTCATGATTTCCGTAAGCAACTGCGAAGGGTATTTCGTAATCTACCACGGGCGCTAGTGCTTTCATTAAAGACGTTTTTGAATCTTCCACCGTGTCACCATTTATTAGATCACCCGTAAAAAGGACCAAGTCTGGCGATTCCCGTTTGATTAATTCGATAACAAACGCATTAGTAGTCGCGTCTGCCATACAGTTTGAAGGACGTTCTGGAGGATAGGAATCTCGGCATTTGGCGAGTTCTGTAGAATAGTGTAAGTCCGATAATTGCAAGATCTTCAACTTGTTCTTTTGTTCATTTACTGGTACTTCTACGAATGCTGGTGTTTCCTTCTTAAGGCTATCTATGGTTGAAGGAAGGGGATATGAGCAGTAACGTTGGGTCAACAAAATTGGACGACCCAAGAGAAGGAAGTCCGATGGTACTGGACTCCATCCTTTTCGTACTTCAGCAACATCTGAGCCAAGTAAGCCTTCAACATCACATATGTCACCGTTTGGACCCTGCCGAATACGGAGGCCGTGTTTATTCCTTTTCATGTTCTGGCGATCAATGACCAAATCCTCAATAGTCATTGTAACACCAGAGATATATCTGACAGGCCTTTTTACAAAAACATATGCCCGTTTCCAAGGTAGCCATGACTTATATAAATTTTTGCTAGAGCGATCCCATCGCCAGAATAGAAGTACAGGTCTGCAAAAGGGAGAGAAAAACCCACATTCGACAATGCGGATATCTTCAATTGGTGTTTGAAGATAAGCTACTCTTGTGTTGGGCGAAGTAGGCAATTGAGTCTTAACAAGCCAGTAATCAAAAATAAGTAGAATAAGGTAAAGGACTACACCGTACACAAAGTATAAACGAATATAATGACCCCTTCTTGCAAAAACCTTCATATTGAAAAAAGCACGCAAAACACGTCTTATTTATCCTACTTAAAAATAAAAGTCCGCCGCCTTTTGTATACTTTACCGACTAATTGAAACCAGTTCTTTTTCATGAAACAATTCGTACGATGAATTCTTGTAGTAATTGGAAATAGAAAAAGGAATCTAAGCAGTGTTAAATAAGTCTTACCTTCTGGTTCTTTGCAAAAAAATATTGAAACCATCAAGTGTTTGTTTACATTCGCGAATTACGAGATCATAGTAGCAATTATTATTATGATACTCATTGCATTGACCAAACCAAATTACGCAATTCATTCGAGCTCCTTAAATTTAATAAAGCGCAACATCAACTGTAAAAGAAACTGAGAATTTCTTCAAGGCACCTCTGCTTCTGCAACTTTCCTTTAATTTCGTAACCCCGTGTAAATAAACAATTCAATATGTCTGACTACGAAGAAGAAGAAGGATTTGGTATGGATGGTGCCGTAATGGAAGAAGAAGTGGACGAATACCAAATGGGAGACGAAAATGGCGAACAACAAAATAATGGTGCTGGAGGAGAGTCCACCACCATATTGTCGGAAGACGTAGCTAGCAGTCGTACTGGTGCTGCTTCTAAAGCCATAGATAAAGAAAAACGTACCACTACACCTTACATGACTAAATATGAGCGCGCTCGTATCTTGGGTACCCGTGCCTTACAGATTAGGTAAGTATATAACCAACGGGAAGAAAATGAATAAGGGTATTACGTTATAAATGAGAAGTTCTTGGAACTTCTCGTCTTGTTGGACTTGTATTGCGCTGTTTAATGGATGAGAATTGGATTTATTTTGAATGATTATTTGAAGACTAACACTATCGTTTAGTATGAATGCTCCTGTTTTAGTAGACTTGGAAGGTGAAACAGATCCATTGCAAATTGCCATGAAGGAACTTGCACAAAAGAAGATTCCCCTTTTGGTCCGTCGGTATTTACCTGATGGAAGTTATGAGGATTGGAGCGTTTCTGAGCTCATTTAATGGACTGTGTGGCATTTAATAAAGTTATTTAAGAAATAAAAAAAATAAGATCAATAATATCGGTGGTTTTTGGATATCTTTATCTCAGGCAAGAAAGTCCTTTTCGTATAGCATGAAGTTATATATTTAAAATTGACTGACCAAGCCCTAAACATCAAAAGTATAAAAGCCATTTTTCTATACAAAATAGGAACGTCCATAGAATCGTTTTAAAGCTGTTGATATGTCGGTCTTTTACTATAAGTATATACGTGTGTTTCGATTAATTTCAATAGCAAACTTATAAAAGTTTCGGCATAGCCGCAGATGGTTCAGCATACTTGGATTCTTTATAAACCATTACTTGAGTTATTTACTAATCAGTATATGTCTGTGAAAGAAAACATATTTTGCTTGAATCTATACTCTTAGTGTTGATGGTTCGTGATGTTTGACGCGGGTTTCAGTTTTCGCCAGTCTTGAATCTGTTCTGATGTAGAAGAGAGAGGTGTGACAATACAGCTTGACAAGGAGGGCATGGCATCCAATATGATTTCTTCAGCCGATTTCGCCAGCTTTGATGTCTCTTGAACTGTTAATTCAGGGGCCATGGACAAAATGACATGAATTGCATGTGTATTACCCAAGGTCATAGCAACTTCGTGGGGAAACCTTGCCTTTTTAGATAACACATCAACGACTGTTGTATGTAGTTTTGTAGAAGGGGCTTTGTCCAACATTTGATGAAATGCTTTACTTGAAGAAGTAAAACCAGCTCGAAAGACAACAGTACTGACTAAACACCCAAATAGAGGATCTAGCCATGGAGCATTTAGAAAATATGCACTGGAAAGTGCTACGAGTGATGCTAGACCAGTTAATGCATCTGCGCGATGATGCCAGGCATTGGCCATCAGTAAATTCGAACTTGTAGTTCTTGCTACTTCTTTTGCTGTATCGCTTAGTTAGCATTTTGTCAATCAAATGACTCTCTAACTGAATACTTACTTCTTTGGAATAACCACTCCTTCAAAACGATGCTTCCAAAGGCTATTCCCATTGCCATAAAAGGATGATGCAAAATAAGCTCAGAATAATCATGTGAATGTCCTATATGAACATCTGTAGCTGCCGCATCTGCAGGATTGACTGAAGTTGAATTTTGAAAAAATGTTGTATACAATCGACTGACGGAAGAATGTGCAATCCCTACTGATACGGCGAGAAGCAATCCAGAAACACTAAATGTTCCCAACGTTTCCCACTTTCCAAAACCGGTTGGATAATCTCTAGTTGGCTTCTTTCTACAAATTTTTAAAGTAAACAGAGTTACCAAATCGGAAATCATGTCTCCTAACTGATGAGCAGCATCAGCAAGTAAAATATTCGATTGCAAAGCTAATCCGCCGGTTCCTTTAGCAACCATCAGTGCGATATTACTATATCTAAAATACTGTTAGCATGCTGCATATTTCACAAACTGACATCTGAAACTAAACATATTAAACGAGCACTTACAGACCCCACCAAGTCAACCGCACTTCTGGTGTTTGCTTCTTTTGTTTTAATGCTTTGACGAGTTCAGCATAACTCTTTTCATCTTCATGACTATGCTTGTGGGAATGTGGGTAAAGTCCATGTTGGCGATGGAAAAGCCAAGGACGATAGGAAGGGTATTTAAGCAGAGACTTGCGCTTCGAACTCTCTAGACAGCTTCTGATATCAAACGTTTTCGTTAACCGTGGTAACATCATTATAATTTTTATTGCAGGAAATAAAAACTCTGCAAAATTCCTCAGTAATATAAGTTTAGTCGTAGCAAAGAACCATCCGTAAGTCTATTTTTTTTTTGAGTAGAGGATTCTCCTTTTCCTCTAGCTTCTATGCCTTCAAATACACGCAGCAGTTAGATCCCTTCTCTAGGAGAAGTACAAATAAAAAACAATATAAAAACCCGTTATTTTAAATACTTTTTTAAAGTTACGTCAACCAGAAGCACGCTTATATATGTAACAGACTTAGGAAACCGTAAAAATATTTAGAAAATTCCTTTCATAAGAGGATATATCATTACAAAGTTCAAATGGTCTTTCGTATATTACTAAAGTAGTTTGGAGTAAGTTGTTTTATTGTAAAGCAATTATTAATTAGCTCAGTTTACTCTTTTGATCTGCTACAATCTACTTATATGACTTTATCTGATCTTATTTCTAAATATAAATTCTTCACTTTTACAATGAATTTATAAAATAAATAGCGCATGTTGAGCTTATATATGAAGCTATAATTTAGTTTTAAGCAAATAAAGAACCAAGACCAATATATTCAATTGACCACAGTACTATACTTTGTACAGCAGGATTCGAATCAAATAATAAGGTAATTAACGACAAACACATAACCCATTATTATTAAATATATAAATTTTTAATATACACGAAATTTTTAAGCATTTTCACTAGGCATTAAAGGGTATCGAAATTGTAAATCAACAACTGACATCCTAAACACAAAAGTGATTATGTAAACTCATCCCACTAGCTGTAAATGCTTAAAATCTCAAAACATGCAAAAGAATATGCATTTATAGACACAGAATGTAGCTTTTCCAAAAGAACTTTCAAAATTTCCGGTTCTTGTTTCAAACCATTATCGTATACAGAATGAACCTTTACGGATGTTGCTTCATATACAGAATTTGCTCCGTCTTGTTTCATTAAAGCCGACTCAGGAATGTTGAACTCTATTAAAAGCTTCGTCGCTCTGGATTGGAGGTATATCTCCACTCGAATAACTAGACACTGTTTTTCCCAATTAAATGACACATAAGGCCAATATAATTTCAGCCTCTCAAATTCCAACAGTAGTTCTTGTAACTGATTCCAATAAGCAGCGATCTCATCCATTACCGGTTTTAACAGTTTAACGTTTTTCTTGATGATTTTACTCTTGCTGTTGTGAAACATATCAGCTAAAGTATCAAACACGTCAGAAACAGTCCATGATCGCTTTGCTAATTCGGCTTTCACGTTCAGATCTAGTTCTTCTTGTCGCACCTGAAGCAAGACAGACACTTGAAAAGGTTGCAACGAATGATTCCAAATTAGTTTCATTTCATTAGGTCGGATAGAAACTATGGTCCAGCCAAGTTTCCGTTGCAGTTGTGATAATTCCTGCTGGTACTCTGTAATTTCATCATACTCAAAATCCTGATTCGCATTATAAAACTCTCTCTCTTCCTGGCACCGCATTTCCAAACCTTTGCATCGCTTAGTTAAATCGTCTATCTCTTTTTCTAGGTTGCGCTTATAGGCTTGTCTTTCAATTAACGTTTTCCTCTTCAAATTTAACTCCTTTTGTAAATCTTCAAACTTGCTCTGGGTCTGGAGAACCAGTTCTTTGCTGTATTGCCCAAACAATTCCTTTCTCTTTCTTAATGCTTCAACCTTTGTTGATACCGTAGAAAAATTGGTACGTAATTCTTTAAAAAAAGGAAGAAGCTTGGATCTGGTTTCCGAAATCTGTATTAGATTTTTCTTAAGCTTCATAAGATTCTCATCGAGTTCCTGCTTGATTCCTTGCATTAAAGCCTCCCGCCATTCATACCAGTAACCTTGAGCTTGCAAACGCGAGAAAGTTTTAATTATCCGAAACTGCGAATTCATTAACGCTTTCATTTCACTAGATGCTTTTCGATATTCGTAAAATAACAAGGGATTATTCTTATGCGCCACTTCAGCCATCTTTGTTACGAAGTCTTTTCCCTCAATGATATATTCTTCTAATTTTTGACAGCTAAACCTATACAATTCCAGTATTGGAAATTGCAGATAATAGGATTCCAAAAGCTGAGCGGTTGTTAACTGCTGGCTCTCAGCTGGACCAGATATTATAGTCTCACGCCGTTTCGAACTCGTTATATTATCCAAAAATTCAATTTCAGTCATGCTCAGAAATTCATCTATTGTTAAAGCTGGTAAAACAGGGTCGTAAGAGGATAGAGCATTTTCCAGGCTTGTTTCCGTATTTTGCTTTTCTTCCTCAGCGGGTACAATTTCGTTAGCAACGTTCTGTAAATGAGAATCATGTAAAGCATTTTCTTCATCAGTAACATTTACGTCCATTGAGGTACCCAATTCGTGCGCTCCTTCAAAAGTTAAGGGCTGCAATTTTATTGCTATTGGAGAAATAAAGGAGTCTTTTTCCATTTCCTGGATTTTGCTATTGGTAAAATAACCAGAAGACGAAGATTCCGGCGCAGGAGACGTATGGACAGAAGCATGTTGTATTTCACGCCTCAAAGGACTTATCGGTGCAGGCTCTGTATCTTCATACTGACTTGGAGGTGATTCATTTTTTTTGGGTGAAGCATTTGATATAGAATTTTGTTCTGAAGCAGGAGGAAATGAAACAAAGTCCAAGTCGTTTAAAGTAGATATAGATTTTCTGGCATTCCGGATAGTTGACAATCGTTGTTGACGCTTAGTATCCATATCGACAGCAGATGTACTAAACCTCTGTTTTCGACGAGAACTTCTTGTTGTACTCCGATCCAACTTAGTATTCGGCGAAAGAGATGATGGAGAAGCTTTTTCTTTTGGTGGATGAATTTCGGATCTACTGGGACTTATAACGTCAAGGTTACCGCTCAACCGTTTTGGCTTCTTATGGGGAGGGATTTGTTCATAGGTTGTACGGGCAATATTTGGAGAAGGGAGTCTCTGTATTGGTGATAAGGGACCGGTGCCAGCTTCCTCTTGTTGTTCTTGTATATCATTATTTTCGTTGGTCTGGGAATATGGAAGATTGATTACACCCGTCACATCCATGGGTTCTTCGGTGTCATTCATCTGTCTTTTTGAAGGTGAGAACAGATCAAATGCCTTTGTAACATTCATTTCCGATTCTTCTCCATCTGCAAATTCAGCAATTCCTGTCTCTTGAAGCCTTGTCTGGGTATCACTTTGGGAGAGGACATGAACAGGTGAAGCAACAGAATGAACATTCTGAGTTATGTCCATAGCTTCCTCTTCAGAAGAAGGTAAAGGTGATGGTTGCTTTTCAACAATCCTTGTTGTTAAATCCATATCGGTAGGGTTTTGTGAAGGGGAATCAGAGGGTTCCAGAGTAGCTGGAGGAACTATAGACATTCCATTATCTTTTCTAGGCGTACCAGTTGCGGATAATTTTCGGTCGAGACGAATTGGTGATATATGAGAGGAAGTAAGCTCCATGCTAATGTCCATCTGATTTGAGAAGTCTTCAGGGTCAGCGCGTGGTACATCAATTGACCGGGTAAGCATCATGTCTTGCTCTTCATCAACGCCTCGATCCAGCGAGGCAATTGAATTTGATGCAGGAAGATGATGGTAAGAAAGCGAAGAATTATCTACATGCTGAATTTGTCGGGAAGGAGTTTGCTCGGTTGAGTTGGAACCCTGAAGAGACTCAATGCCAGAAAGGTAAGAGTTATCATCATGAAATCGCATAGTGACATCCATGCTCATTTCAGATTCCAAATCTTCATTACGACTTGTCTTGTTTGAATTTGCTGGAGGGCTTTCTGGCGCTTCAGTAGAAACTATTCGAGAAGCATATTGATATTCCGGTACGATTGAAGAAGGGTTTGGTAAATTAGAAACAGGATTGGTTGGGGGAGGTGAATTCGTGACATCCATATCACTATTTGATTCATTCTCTTGCAATTCGGGTGGAGGGGAATAACGGCGAGGACTAGACGATATGCTTTCATTTCCTGCTTCATTATTATTTGTTTCATCTTCATTTGCAGATGATTCTTTAGAAACTGAATGTCCGCGTTCTTCAGTTGAAAAGCCCGGCGCTCTGTTAACAGACGGAGGAGAGTCAGATGAAATACGCGATCGGTCAGACTCATTCTGATACCATCTTACGCGAGCATGACTAGCAAAAGATACGCGACTTCTTCTCCCTTTCGAACGAGTTGGTGGTTCCTTCTCTTGTGAAATATTCATTTGTTTGGATGCAAACATAATACTATTAGGAATCCCAATGACCGTATTATTCAGTGCATCAAAATTATCATTATAGGTACGTTCATTTTTGGTATCAGGATCAAGTCCGAAGGAAGAATATCGTTTAAGAATCCCTTTCCCTGGATTGGCCTGTTCTTTAAATTCTTCCAGAGCTTGTGACCCTCCCAATGAATATGAGCGTTTCCTTGTTTTTTTCTTTTCATATAAATCATCAGTAGCCGCAATACTATTACGGCGAGGCGATGCTGACATCGTCAATGAAAACAATACGTTTCCAAGTATAACTTGGTTGTGTTTAGGTTTCAACTCTCTAATTACCAAACCCGAATGCAGTGTGTAATCATGCAGCACAGAACTCAAAGACATTATTACGTACTTTAACTAAGCTATACAATTTAAAATTCTATGGTTTAGTTTGTTTTAGATGCAAGCAAAAGGAAGGATGGATCTCCTAAGGACGCAAGGAGTTTATTAAGGTAGCAAACGTTCTAGGACTTACAGTACTCAGAAAGATTCCCATTTTTCTTTCAAAAAGATATGTAGTAATCCAAATTCTGTCTCATGGTAGATGTACTTGCTCTGCAAAATCTACCAATATGCTGGACTGATCCATGAGATCGTTAGATGACTAGTAACTCTCAAAAATTCACAATCTCATTTTTCTATTGATATTTTTGATTTAGACATTTGAAACATCAAGGTCGAACCAAGCACTGAATTGCTTTCAACGATAACGTTTTTTCACAAGCAAACTCATATAAAAGCTGAGGAAATTTATATAGGAAAAAAATTGTTGCTATCATCAATAATTATTTATCTCCCTTTTTTGTACTAATGGAGCCATTGAGGGTGTGTAGGTGTTTACACCATTCAAGAGCTCACATTTCCTAGCTTGGATGAAGCAAATCTATTCAATTCCTTTCATAAGGTTAAAATTACTAAACTGTAGCAGCCACATAATAACAGCGTTTATGTTGCGCTGTTTACGTTTGCGTTCCTTGACTTTGTAAACAAACATTTAAATTCAGCGAGTCAGATGAGTTCGTACTTAAAATAACGACTTATACAAAAAAAGAGGAAATCAACTAGTGCTTTATTTCTTTACAATGGACAGCCCATACCAATAAATGCCAGACACGAAATGTTTCAGTCATGACTTATGAGGATAACGTTACGTTACTGACAAGAAGGTTTCCTCAAGTATAGTGTCAATGCCAGGTCATTTTGAAAATGAAGCAAGAAAGCAGTCTTGAAGACAATTTTCCACGTAATGCACTGAAAACATATTCGTTTTGTCGTTGAAGCGTCGTAAAACAGTCAAGTTCTAAGCCCTAGACCGTTCTTTTCTTGTACGATTCAATCAACTATAAAAGAAGTAGTTCCCTCCCTCTTTTGATAAACGCTCTTTTGCCCTACTCTCATTTGTTTAACTTACATCGAAAGGCACACTCATTTGAACACTTAAGTCTTTCATTTTATAAAGTCTTACTATAAGTCGTCTTTTGACAATATGCAAAATTCAGACATTGGTGCTGATCCTAGCGGATCATATCCCAGTCGTCAATACGTGCATAATCCAACATCTCAGCAGGGGGACCATGGACTCTCTCATGACTGGAATACCAGAACATACGTATATGATGACAGCGACCCTCATGCTGCACAGCAAGATACGGCCAGCATTGCATCTTCCGGCCAAGAAAGATACACTGATAGCGATCAAGGAAACCATGACTCTTCAGCTGTAGACTACGATAACGCATCGGGTGCTGTAGCCCCAAATGCACAAAACCAACCTCCTCAGTCTCCTGCTGGGCAAACTGCTCAACAACCTCAGCAGCAACGTCAACCCACGCAACAACAGCAACATCAACCGCCGTCTTCTCCTCCTGATTCTGCTAATAACGAAAAGGCTGCTGAAGCAGCTAACCAGACACAAGGCCAACAAGGACCTGGTGGTGACGGAGACGATGACGAAGACGAAGATGAGGATATTGATGCATTAATAGAAGATTTATACTCCCAGGATAATCAAGAAGAAGAAGAAGAAGAAGAAGAAAATCACGAACCAGGTGGTGTCAAGGCTGTCCCACAAGAACTTCTTCAAACTGATCCAAAGCAGGGTCTTTCTCAATCAGAAGTTGAACAAAGACAAAGCAAATATGGTCTAAACCAAATGAAGGAAGAAAAGCAAAATAACTTTAAGAAATTCCTCTCATTTTTTATCGGTCCTATTCAATTCGTTATGGAATTAGCAGCAGCCTTGGCTGCTGGTCTTCGTGACTGGGTAGATTTTGGTGTCATTTGTGCACTTTTATTGCTTAATGCGACTGTTGGTTTCGTTCAAGAATACCAAGCCGGTTCTATCGTTGACGAGCTAAAAAAAACCATGGCTTTGAAATCCACCGTCATACGTGACGGACATGCTGTTGAAGTGGAGGCCAAAGATATAGTTCCAGGTGACATCCTACACCTTGATGATGGTACTATTTGTCCAGCAGATGGTCGTTTAATATCTGAAGATTGCTACCTTCAAGTAGATCAGTCGGCCATTACTGGTGAATCTCTTGCTGTTGACAAACACAATGGTGACACCATGTATTCTTCATCTTCGGTAAAACGAGGTGAAGCATACATGATTGTCACTGCTACCGCTGATTCGACTTTCGTTGGAAGAGCTGCATCCTTGGTTGGTGCAGCCGGTCAAGCCCAAGGTCACTTCACCGAAGTCCTTAACGGAATTGGTACTGTTCTTCTCGTTCTAGTTATTCTTACTCTCCTCTGTATCTATACTGCGGCATTTTATCGTACTGTCCGTCTGGCAAGACTTTTGGAATATACATTGGCTATTACCATTATTGGTGTACCAGTGGGTCTTCCCGCAGTTGTCACTACAACGATGGCTGTTGGTGCTGCTTATCTTGCAAAGAAAAGAGCCATTGTTCAAAAGCTTTCGGCTATCGAATCTCTTGCAGGTGTTGAAATCCTCTGTTCAGACAAAACTGGTACTTTGACTAAAAACAGACTTTCCATGGGTGAACCCTATTGCGTCGAAGGGGTTGATCCTGATGAACTTATGATTACTTCTTGTCTCGCATCTTCGCGAAAAAAGAAAGGTCTGGATGCCATTGATAAAGCATTTTTGAAAGCTCTAAGGGACTATCCGAACGCCAAACAAAAGCTATCCAAATACAAAATTTTACAATTCCATCCTTTTGACCCTGTTTCCAAGAAGGTAACCGCTATAGTTGAGACTCCAGAAGGTGAACGAGTGACGTGTGTGAAAGGTGCACCATTATGGGTATTTAAAACTGTTCAAGAAGACCATGAAGTTTCTCAAGAAATCAGTGATGCTTACAGGGAGCAAGTTAACGAAATGGCTTCCAGAGGTTTCCGTTCGCTCGGTGTAGCCCGTAAAATAGAAGGAAAACAATGGGACATTCTCGGTATAATGCCTTGCTCAGATCCACCTCGTAATGACACTGGTCGCACTATCAGCGAAGCTATTCGTTTGGGTCTGAGAATCAAGATGCTTACCGGTGATGCTGTTGGTATCGCCAAAGAAACAGCACGTCAGTTGGGTATGGGAACTAACGTATATAATGCCGAACGCCTTGGTTTAGGTGGTGGTGGTGATATGCCTGGCTCTGAGGTTTATGACTTTGTGGAAGCGGCCGATGGATTTGCTGAAGTCTTTCCTCAACATAAATATTCAGTAGTCGATATTCTTCAACAAAGAGGTTATCTTGTGGCAATGACTGGTGATGGTGTCAATGATGCTCCTTCTTTGAAGAAGGCTGACACGGGTATTGCTGTTGAAGGTGCCTCTGACGCTGCTCGTTCAGCTGCAGACATCGTTTTCTTAGCCCCTGGTCTTTCAGCTATTATTGATGCTTTGAAAACATCTCGTCAAATTTTCCACCGTATGTATGCTTATATCGTTTATCGTATTGCATTGTCTCTTCATTTAGAAATATTTTTTGGATTATGGATTATCATTTTGAATCGTCTGATGAATCTGGAATTAATTGTCTTTATTGCAATTTTCGCCGACGTTGCAACACTAGCAATTGCGTACGACAATGCTCCGTATGCACCAAAACCAGTTAAGTGGAATCTTCCTCGTCTGTGGGGTCTCTCTACAGTTGTTGGTATCCTTTTAGCTATTGGAACTTGGATCGTAAATACCACTATGATTGCTGAAGGACAAAATCGTGGTATCGTACAGAATTTTGGTGTCATCGACGAGGTGCTCTTCCTTCAAATTTCACTTACTGAAAACTGGCTAATCTTTATAACCCGTTGTAATGGACCTTTCTGGTCTTCTATCCCTTCATGGCAGCTAACCGGTGCTGTGTTAGTTGTCGATATTCTCGCAACAATCTTTTGCCTATTCGGATGGTTCAAAGGTGGCCATCAAACGTCCATTGTAGCTGTTCTCCGTATTTGGATGTACTCTTTCGGAATATTTTGTTTTATTGCAGGAGTTTACTTGATTTTGTCTGAATCAACTGCCTTCGATCGCTTGATGCACGGCAAGGGTAAGAGAGGAGGTTCTACCCGTACGCTCGAAGATTTCGTTTTACGGTTACAGCGTACATCAACTCACCATGAACAAGAAGGGAAGAATAATGGTTAATCGCTCGTCCTTCTCTTCAATCAACTTTTTGATCACTCTTTTTGATTTATGTATATAGCTAGTTAATAGCACAATCACGAGTATCTAATGATGAAATTAGATTATATTTAATATTTTGCAAATAAAATAAATAAATAATATCTTTCGAAACAGAATGTAGCGACCGATACATTTCTCTTCGTGTATATTAGCATTTATATTAATTCCCAATAAGGAAGAAAACCCAAACCGTTATCACATCTAAGTGTAACTATATCCTTTATTAAAATAAATAAAAGAATGGGCATCCTTGCGGAATTGAAAAAGGGAATAATCATAGGATACAACACGTGTTAACAGACGGTAAATTTACTTGGAAGCATTGATGATTCCCAATATATTGCATTGTTTCATATTAGACAACCCGAATACATTAAACAACGCATATTAACTCATTCGACGTAATATATACTCAGCAAGTATAAGTATAGTATAGGAAATTTTAATAATAGTTATCCTAAAAAAAAAGACGGAAGGAACACTCGACATTAATGAACGAACAGAAAAAAGTCGAATATTTCAAAAATGATTTAACCTCTAGAAATCTTTTTCCTCCGTTTAGCCATTTCACGTTCTCGCTCTCTTTGTTCCTCTAATTCATCCTCGCGACGAGCAGCCCGAGCAGCTGCTTGTTCTTCGCGCCATACATCTTGCCCGGTAGCCTCCATATCGTCATCATCACTGTACAAAGCATCACGAGAAACATAATCTTGTTTTCGCTTTCCAAAAATTTTCCAGATTTCAGAGGATACGTCTTGTATGCCGTCATCCTCCTCCTCATCAGACACCAAAAAGTCATCTCTGGGAGCATTTTTCGACTTTGGCTGAGATACGCGAGGTAAAGGAGCATCCGAACGCTTCTTAGACCTTTCAGCAGAGTTTGCAATCTTCGGATTGCTTAAAGCCGTAGAACTTTTGGGCTTTGATAGAGCATTGGAAATACCGCCTGTGGATTGAGTTTTTGGAAGGCGTTTTATATTGCTTGGTGTACCCATTCGCTTTTTCATAATTTCATCTTGTACTTCTGCAATCGACCGCTTGTCACGCTTGGGTCCAGCCTGTAACTGAACGAGTTCACCAGGTCGAGAGGAGACCTTTTTTCTTACTCCGCTAAAAGGCGCATTAATAGAGGACCGGGATGAATTAGTGGCTGATCCACCGGGTTTAGGAGCATCTGCTTTGAGCCATGCTAATGAAGCAGGAGCCGACGATTTTGATGATGCAGATTCTATCCGACTGCTAATACCAAAAGGATCCTTACGCACCTTTTCAGTAGCTTTCGAGGATAGTTTAGATGTAGATGGACTGTTAGATTTGCTATTGTCTTTTGGAATAGAAGATGGTTTTTGAGAATCAGATGCCTGACGAAGCAACTCATTGTAAGATACTGGTTTCTTCTTCTCTAACCGCTCTTTTTCTTTACGCTCCCGTATGACCCGAGCTTCATCCACCGATAAAGGAGGACGTTCAGAATGTTTGGCATTCTCAGATGCTCGTTTTTGCTCTTTCAATTGACGACGCTTTTGTTCTTCTTCATATTTCATACGTAATTCGCGTTCTCTTTGTGTTCGCCGTATCCGATCTCGTTCTTCCTTCAGTTCAATAGCCTTTTCACGGATTTGAGCTTTCTTTAACTGTTCTAGCTGCGTAGCCGTTTGAGCAGATTGGCTATCGGCAAGTGCCATGAGTTTCTGGAAAGATGGTGTTCCAGCCATTATTAAAACTCCTTATTACAGTCGATTTTTTTTACAAAAACCCAATTATTTTTTAAATTAGACCATGCCACTAAGTATGTCACCTTAAAGTATAGGCAGTAGACAACGTATATTGTTGATCAATTTACTGCATGCTGGGATATAGTGAAGTAAGTCGATCGGCTTCACTAAATAAAAAGTTAAGGGTAGGGTACGTGACTGCTTATACAAGTCCAAACTACAGACACGAAAGTCGGTTTTACCGCAGTTTTGACCATCACCAACTACTGTTTTGTAAAATGGCTGAAGAAGAAGCACTCCGCGCTGCCGAATTAAGAAAGAAAAGAACTTTCCGTACTTTCGCCTACCGCGGTGTTGAGCTCGAGAAGCTCTTGGACCTTTCTGCTGAGGAATTGATTGAATTGTTCCCTGCTCGTCTTCGCCGTCGTATGCTCCGTGGTCTTGGAGCTGGTGCTTCTCGCTTCATCAAGAAGCTCCGTCAAGCCAAGGCTGAGGCTCCCTTGAACGAGAAGCCTGCCGTTGTCAAGACTCATTTGCGTTCCATGATTGTCCTTCCTGAAATGGTTGGCTCTCTTGTCGGTATCTACAACGGTAAGCTTTTCAACCAAGTTGAAATCCGTCCTGAAATGATTGGCCATTACTTGGGTGAATTCTCCATCTCTTACAAGCCCACCAGACACGGTCGCCCTGGTATTGGTGCTACTAACAGCTCTCGTTTCATTCCTCTTAAGTAAGGAAATCGAAAAGAGCATATGCGAAAACGCGGAAAAAGCTGGATATATGGTTGGTTATGTTCAAGCTCTTGCTTCCTATATACATCTTTCCATGTTTTTGTATATTCGCATAAAAATATTTCCCTTTTCTATGAAATGGTAAAGTTGGCTCAGGTTTGATGTAGTTGTGGAAGTAGTGTTTACAATGTAATACGGAAAGATGTAGAATCAAAAGTAAGGTTGTTTTCACATTTAGTTTCATGAGTATTTTAAAAGACCGTAAAGGTTACAAGGTGTAGATGTGGTTGAGAATGTAGGAAGACAACGTGCTTGCGTAAGTTGACCGTCCGTTCAAGAAGATTTATGTTTACAAAGTTCTTTTAGTTTGTTGGAAGAAAAACTATATCACTAAGTACTGCGTCAATGATTCGTTACTTTCATTTTTCACAGCAGGTTATGCTTGTTTCTGAATGAATACATTTCAGGTCTAAGCTCCTAAAATATGACTTAAGCAGAAACCTTCTAGAATATGGATATATATGATAAAAAAAAGTCGTTTTTGACGCGTCAAATACAGCTCTTGTCTCATCCTTTACAGATTCCCAAGAAACTACATATACAGTCAGAATCAAATGACTTTAATCATTCAGTTGTTGAGCGGGTTTTCCAAAGTCAGTAGATAAATTTCGTAGTTGGGTTATGGACATATATTAACTCTAATTATAGGATTACATTTGCGCGTGAAAAGACATGTACGATTCAACTATTCTCAGCAAGCGACGCAACACGTTGCAGCCCAAATAAGAAAACTTTACGAACAAACTACCCAGTTGGAGAATTTGTCCTCGCTGCCTTCCTATTTATACGGCGACTTTGACTTACATGACATTAAAAGCTTGCAAGATTTACCGCACCCATGGCCATTTCAGTTGGAGCAAAGCGAACAGGAAAAACAAAGTCAACAGGATTATTACGACTCGCTTCTTGGAGAATTGATGTCTTCATTATCTTCCCTAGAACAAATAAAGCAAGAACGAAAAGTTACAGAGGAATACCGATTGTCTCTGAAACCGTTCCTGACTAATACTCAATTGCCCACGAGACAACAGTGGAAAACAAACACAGAATTACCAACTCTTCTTTCCTCTATTAACGTAAAAATCGCTAGAGCAAACGCTAATCTCAAAAATGATTCCGTCAAGCCCATACAACCCGTTAAGAAAGAAGTAATATACCCACTTGAAGAGAAACTTAAGGAGCAACACTTTCGCTAAAATATCAAGCATCAGAGAAGGATATTTTTGTTGGAATAAATGGTCTACTTTACCATTTTGCTTTGTGAAATTACCTTGAGTATTCCGGGTACCTAAATGAAGTATGACTATTAACAACAATTCAAGGATCTACCAAATCCGATTGTAAATGTATAATAAATTTCAAGGTTTTTATTTTGGTATTTAGGTTTATTATAGGGATACTTTCTGCGCGAACAGAAATTAATTTCAAAAGAATTGTGCACGACAAATCTAAAGTGTGTTTACAAAACAAAAAATAGAAAAGAAGAAAAGGAAAACTAATAGGAACGGAAATTTCTTTAAACTGTGATGGAATAAGCCACGCGGTATCTTAACCTCAAATGGACGATTTCATTTCGACGAATACCAATACGCTTAGTTTCGCATTCCTAAAGAATAATGAATTCTAATGAAAGTAAAGGTACTTCTATTACTAATTTAGGTGAAACGATATTTTATCTGCAGTCGGCATATGTTTTGCATGACGAATTCGTGGACAAATTTATAAACTCCATTAAGCAAGTTGCTTTCTTTACGATTCCTTACTAACGAGAGAAGTTGTTCTTTACAAGAACCATTGACTATAGCGTATGACTCTTGTTCACAAGTAAGCGATTGTTTCCTATAATTTCAATAAGACGAAATGCAGAGCCGACAATGAGTTAACAATTCAAAAGAGTTTTGTAATTCGTATTGCTGCCGAAGGCCGCAAGCAAGCAATTGAATAGTAAGGTCCTTTTTCATTTGCTTGGTATTGACTATTACGGAACTACAGTTACCAAAAGATTGTTACAAGGTTTCGTCAGGAACTGAACAAACATGTTGAGACTCTAGTAATGGAACACCCGTTGGGCTATACATACTATACTTCAAATGAGTTATCAAGGTTTGAAGAATTTTCTTCAAATTTTTATGAAAACGAAACTGCACTCAATCGTTGTAGTTTAGAAGTATCCAAATCAAAAGATGAAATCAATAATGACTATGAAATTGATGCGTCCAACGAAACCGGAGTGTTCATAGCCGAATGGACTCCAACAAAATCCCAGCAAAGCTTGAAACGCACACTTATCCTTCTGAATGGCAGAAGCTTATTAAAGGAATATGGTAAAGCTACCAATGTTAAGTACAAGATTTGCCATGAGGAAAATGTACGTTAATCATAAACGAATAGACTAATAGCTAACTGCGAGAAGTACCTAATACTACATGCCTCTAGAAAGAAGGACTTAGAGAAAATGCTATATTTACTGAATAGGCTCGATAGTTTACTTTCTCAAGAGATCTCTGACCATTGTGAGAAAAACCTCTTTTCAATAGGAAGGTTTCCCAGCTGTGAGTTGAAGTTTTCATCTCTTAATTCCGACGTTCCTCTTTATAAAACTCTTTTTCTAAATCCTGAAGTTCGTAAAACCACTGAATTTTCCGATATGTTATGTTTTTTTATGCATTTGTCATATCACGATAGCACAACTAATACGTATAAAAATCTTCCATTATGCAATATTTCAGAAGGAAAGTTTGTTTCTAATGGAAACTTCCCTTATATTGGTAATGGTGAAAAAAGTGTTACAGAGAGAGATTCAGATGTACCGGCGAATATGAAAGACGATTCTCCCGAGAAAAAGAAGGAATTAATGATTTCGTCGGCTTATTCTATGAATGATATGGCTGGAAAGTCGAATCAACCACAATTTGAAGGATCTCTTTCTTTCTCGGAAACTAAAGACCCTTCTAAAAAGGTTCAAGTCTCCAGGAATAGTACAAGTACTATACACCCTCATGTAAATGATACTGAAGAGAAGATAAATGAAAGCGATCAGTCATCAGGTATAAATAAATTGAAGAAGAAGCCTCCTAAATTTAGTTTCAAGCTTCCTTCGCGTCCTTCTGAATCATATCTTCTAGCTGAATCGGCTTCAGATGAAATTGTTGTTCGTCGCGTGTGCGTTCCTGAGAATGATGAGGATAGGAATGCATTTTCCCGAAAGAGAAACGTTGGTACTAATGTCTGCTCTCCGCCGTCGTCATCCTTGGAAAATCTTCGGTTAAATAATCATACAACTACTGGTACTGACGGAAAAGTTTCTTTGGTATACATAGAATCTGATGTTTGCAATCTTCAGCTTTGCTTGCAAGCTGACAGTCGCCCTAAACACCTAGGAAATTACGAAAAGCTTGACGAACAAAATCATAAACTACTGCAGATGACCCTCTCTAAAAGGTAAACGGCTAGAACTACAGCAGTACAATATTATTAACGTGTTTCAGTTTGCATATTTTACAGTCATTTTCAGGTGAAATACACTTGTCTTTAAAGTATAATGAGATAAGCCGTGTTCTTTGCTAACGACTTTGCAGATTTGGGAAGGTTATTTATCCAAATGTAAGCCCAGAGATTCACCATTATTATCAGAGTCCTTCTCGATTTTATAAAAAGGATGATCTTCCTAAGTCCTTGTTTTCGAATTGGTAATGTTAAGATATAGGAACTTTCTAACCAGCTTAGTATTACCAACTCAGCTGAAGAAATACAAAACTTTTTAAAGAGGCCTGTAATTATTCATTACAGTCGTAATGAAAAGTCTTATGACATCGCGAAACCTAAGACAACTCAAACAACTGAATGCTTTCTGTTCCACGGGATATTTAAGAGTAAGAAGAAGGGACAAGAAACCTCGACGCCGTTCTTTATGAAATGCACTTCGACTTTAAAGGAACGTTGTTTCTTTGAATGGAATGAAGCAACCTCCGTTTGTAATTTAAATTTTGTTGCTATGTATGTTTGCTTGTCTTCAATTAGCTAATCTATAGGCCCTGGGATGCTCGATTAGAGCTTCATGCATGTAAGGTTTTGAACAATGCAATATTAAAGAAGTTCTCCGATTCTTTGTGTTTTAGGTACGGCATAAATTGAAGAAAAAAGGAAGGTAACATGGCTAACTGTAAAAGAAATGATGGAGGTACCAGTATTCTGAGCTTTAATAATCTGAAAAATAAGATTGTCGTACTGTCAGTTCAACGGATTTGGGAAAATCTGATACCCTTCAACAATGAATTCCTTCCTCATTCTACTGATTTCTTATTGAAGTATTCGAGAATTAATGATTTTGAGGTTTTTACTACTCAAGAAATTCCATCATCGCAATTTGTTATCATGGATCAACCTCATAAAGAAAATTTTTCTACGTTTTATACGGTCGAACTCGAAAGTCCGTTCATGAATTCTCAATTTGAATGTAATAAGAGGATCCAGCCAAAAGAAACGGCAAAATGGGATTCAACTAATCCGCAATTCATTGGAGGTGCGATGATAGAAAATTCTCAAGATTGGTACACTGCTGCAATTGTTACAGTAAAACAGTTGGATAACACTAGCTTAGTACCATAATCAACCAATATTAATTTCTAGCTTTACATATATTCAAACCGATAGCCCATATTCTTATTAAATAAACAGTACTAATGAAAAAAGAAATAACCATACCTCACTCATTCTTCTTCCAAATCATCGACCTTCTTTTTTAAACGCTCAAACTGATTAATGATGCTTTTCCATTCTTGTTCTGCCGCAAAATTAGCTTCCAGTAAGCCTGATTCACGATCAATCTTCTCAAATACTTTCAAAAATTTCTTCTTCAAGTTATATTCTTCAAAAGAAGACGCGAGTATATAATCTGCTAGAACGTCTAAGATAGATATTACCGACTGGCAGATTTTTGAAGAACCTGAACCTACTCGAAAATCTTTAACTATAGGACACGCGTCGGTCCACGCATCCCTAACGAAATCTATTAGTCCAGGAATAAAAGGCAGCATATTTTGAAATCGAAATTGAGGGTTATCAACAAGATCATGTTTGCCAGCACTAAACAGTGAAAGATATGAAAACGAACTCGGTGTTCGTAATTGGTCATACAGCGGGTGTACAACTATATTTTGTTCCATATAAGGATAGTCCAAGTGAATAGCAGATCGGGTAGTTTTTGATTGCCAACTCGGATCAATCCCCAAGTGCAAAAATTCATTGCAAACACTTATGTGACGAATTAGATTAGAAGTAGATTTCTTCGAAAAAACAGACGTTCTTTTTACTGATGCTGAATCAGTACTCCAACCAAGTAAACTAGAAAAGCACTCCAAAGTCTTTTTCCAGTGAGAGGAAATTATAGAAGAGCTCAATTTGTTCCTGCAAGCTTTTAAGATTATTGATAGATACCGAGTAGAATCATTTCTGATAGAAGGAGTAATATGAGTCATTCCTGAGTGGGTATACAAAAACATAATACCAACATTGGGCTCCAAAAGGTTGGGATCAATGGTAAACATGACTTTTATAAAAAACTGATACAGACTTTCTCGTACTTGAGCCGACTCGTCAAGGATAAGCGGAGACGTAACCTTTGCTAGCAACGAAGTAGACGTTGTCAATAATCCAGGATGTGATAACACATAATGAGATAGTTTATCCAAGGATTCTAAAAAGTTAGTAAACTTCTAATGCCGTACAACAAACCTTGTCTCTGAGATGCGTTATGATGTTTCAACATCCCAACTAAGTGAGAGAACTGAGCACGGTCTCTGGCATCATGAGTGAATTCTTCTTTTTCAATTGTAGCTTGAGTAGGTAAAATCAGAGCTAAAAAGTGTTAATAACTTCTATCTCTTGACTTTGTAAAGCTTACTTTTTGACCGAAAACTCGTGTCTGTAAAATTGTTGGGCAATTGTTTCGATTTGCCAACTTTGAGTTTTTGTTTCTAATAGAGGTTAAAATATTTATTCTTATTTTTTATCATACATTGAAATCAGCTCTTTTCGCTTTTGCTTTCTTGGATTTTCCCATTATAGAATATATGTTCTTTATACGAGCTACTTGGGCAGTAAGATATTGTACACACCACTGGAGCGTAGGGTATATGACCAAGGAATGAAGTTAATTAAATTAATTGCGTATACTATTACTATTATACATTATAAATTAATAAAAGTTATTATATCCAGTTAAAATTTTTCAACTCGTTGCATCGTGTTTTTTGTTGAAACGCAAAAATCCAAACGCATTTTGAAACTGCTGCTTTTCTAGCTCTAAACTGGACAATCTCGTCGGCGAGGTAATATATTCAGTGTTTGTGCAACTAGTAACAGATACAGTTTTGTGTACTTCCTTTGTCACTGTTCGATACTGCTCCTGCAGTTTCTGATTGACTGCTTGAACTTGTAAGAGTTTAATTTGCAGACTTTTCAAATCATCATGTTTCTCAAAGTTCTTTGGTAAAGGTGTAGTTAAAAACGAGGCTTGATCAATTGCAGGTTCAAGTGGTAAGGTCATTTGATAAACTAATAGTAATAGAATTCCGAGACAGCTTAGAATCAATAGTAAAAATTGTGAATAGGAACAGAAATTCTGCCAAGTGCTAGGCGCCGGAATGACAACATTTTCATAATTATTAATTAGTACATTTGTTTCATCATGACTTTGGTCTTCAAGTTCATAGTAAAGAATTAAATCGGAAATGGTTTGATTATTCCATGCCAATTGAGTGACAGAAACAGGCTGTTTGAGTATTGTTCGTTTGCTATTAGGATCAATGTAACCAGCCAGAGAATCTAGTACGGTTAGCGATGAAGAAGAAAGAAAAAACAAATAATAAAACTTACAAGAGGTGGATTGAATGTGAACAATAGTTGGGACAAGAGAGGGTACATTGGGAGCAGGAATTGAGAGTTTAATAGATGTGAAGTTTGAGCACTTTTCATACACAGATTTAATACTCCAGCAAATGTCGATGGAAGAAGTTGGATAATTTCCTTGGAACACTACGACTTCACCACTTTCAAAAAGAACCATTCGATGTTCTGTTTTTGGATGGCCGTTTACCATGCCCCAACTTAATGAGGAATATTTAGGCTGAACAATGCGAATGAGTTCCTTTCCTGGTTTTATGGAAGAAACAATATTCATGGATAGCAAAACATCCATACCACCATCAGAGGGCTGAATTGAAAGCGTGGAAGAACTGATCCACGTATACTTTTTAGGCCAGGGGAATTTGGGACTAGAAAATGAGGGTAACTTGCTGACTTGAAACTGGAATGGTCGTACACAAGGATTAGAACTTTTCCTTTGATAAGAGAGAACATTCAATTGTTTTGAATTGTCAGGGATCCATGAGTCAGTAATCGCGGCACCAGGAACAACGACTTCACAAGGGAAAGGAGGTCGTTCAATCCTAAGGCTACAGGAAGATGGCAGTGGAGACAAAAGCATTGGCACATACGCCTTTGCACCGGATTCAAGGACCTGTTGGAACACAAACGAATATGAACAGCTAGTAAATGGGAAGACCGCCTCGAATTCGCATATACGAAAGCCTTTTAAATCAACGTTTGTGGAATCTAAAAAGTTAGAAAAAGATGAATCGTAAGATGAATGACTTACCAGGTGGATCCGTACCAATGAGTCGGAGAGGGCCTAACTTTGATAAATCTTGGCTAATGAAGGATTCGGAGACAAGCATAAAAAACCGCGGTTTCAACTTGGTAGCAGGGGACGATGATGACATTTGAGAAGTTGAAGAAGAAGGAAAATGTTTAAAGAATTTTAGTGACTCGCAAGCAAAAGTAAGTTTGCAAGAGATTTCAAACAAGGAAGCTTCTTGGTTTAAGGGAATTGTTTGAATATCGGCCATAAGAGTACATAGAGAGCTTTCTGGGCGCCATACGGAAAGAGGTTTTTCGTACAATCGTAATTGAGGACCATGTTTGTAAGTTAAATCAGACATCGAAAAGGACGGCCAAGATATAGTTTTCCGTCCGTCTTCAGAAAGGATTTCACGTTTTCCTTTTTCAATCGATTTTATTCGTGTTAGTGTAGATTTAGGATTGCCGGAGTCGACCTGGTTCACTGATAGTTGCATGTTGCATTGAGGGGAAGAATTCGGAGACAAAAAGGAAAGACTAATATCAAAATTAGAAGGTAGGAAGGATAACGGGATGTATTTCTCCAGAGAAAGAAAATCACGAAAGATGGGAACATGCAAATCCAGCACCAGCACGGCTTTTGCTACTTGGTTTGCATCAAAAATACTCAAAGAAAAAGAGTCATCTATAAGATCAAGAGAGACAAGAGGGTCCGTTGTATTTGCGAGAGTAGTGTAATCAAAGGATGCGTCAGACGAAGACGAGAAATCAGAGCCTGAAGAATAAGGAGGTGTCGAGGACGAAGAATTGTCAGAAAGAGAAATAATTGATGGATGTTCTTTGGGGTGAGAAGGATTTGTAGAAGAGTCGCCCAAAGAAGCCGACAAGTGAAGGAGCTCCTCGATGCAAGAAAAACGGAAACGAGGTTCTGAACAGCAATCGTCTTGCCTATTCAAATAAGCAGATATTGAAGACGAGCCCGGCTCGTGGATAAGCTCAAGGAGACATACACCCTCTGTAGTATGCAGACGAAAAGAAAGACGGGGAATGGCAAAGGGACAGAGAAATAGATGGAGCAAAGAAAGAGGAAGAGGATTTTTATTAACAAGCGGAATGATCTAAGAATTGTTAGTTAGTGGAAGAAAAATCGAAAGAGCGCTTGAAAGATTGCATACAGTATATTCTACTCGCAAATCGGAGGTAAATGTAGGAAGCCAAGTCCCATGAGTATGAATTTGTAAAGAATAAAAATCTGGATGCTGCGAAGAAGCAGATGAACGCGAAGAAAAAAATTGAGGAATGGCAAACATGCCCATGATGTCGAACAAGCTGAAAGAGAGAGAGCCACTCAAGGCAGTAACAATAACAATAAGAAAAAGAAAAAAAAAAGAAAAAGAAAAATGCAAATTGTATGGGAGGCAGTCAATTCCTGAATGAGAATGGGAGAAGGATAAGGACTTGAATGTTAGGAGGATAAAGTAAACAAAGAAAAACGTAACATAAACAAACAAGGAAAAAATAATAGTTGAGGTCGTGGAAAAAAAGTACAAAAACAAAAAAAAAATTGAATAGAAACATGCTGAATAATTAATAATAACAAAAAAAAAAAAGAAAAACCAAATCATTTTATTCGACAACTGATTGACGAATGTCAGTCAATAACCAAGTTAAAACAAAAAAATCTCTCGAGCCAGATTCGAACTAGCGACCAACCGGTATCTTGAACATTACAGCCGGGTGTGATAACCAACTACACCATCGAGAGAACTGTTGAAAACTAGAAAAGTGTGACAGTATATAAATTAAAATAAACTTAATATAAACTCACTTTACCATAAAGAAAGCCAACAGGGGGACTACCATGACATTCTTCTACACTATAAAAACACACAAAAAAAAAAGGACATAAAATCTTAACGTTTTCTATAGTGTCTCTTCTACATTTTACTCTCTTTGAAATCTCTTTGTAGAGTCTTTTCACTGCAACTAACGTTTCCAGCCCGTTTCCCTTGTTTCGGTTGTGTCTTATCTTCCTACTGAACCACTTCTCCTCATGACGGTTTGGAACTGCGATTTCTGTATCTTTGCTTAACTCTATGTAGCAAGTACCCGAAACTCGTCGGATTGTATAGATAGCTTTAACAAACAGGAATCTTTCTATTTATTTATTTATTTATTCTAAAACAAGAAAAGACTTTAAAAAAAAATTTCTTTTGTTTTTTTATTTTTTTCCCTTGTTCTATGTTGTTTTATCTGTGGCTGTGGTATCGCATGTTTTTGTTCTCTCGCGCAGTAACAGTTTATCGTCTCCCTAAACAACCTTATCTGTCCAAACATTCATCCGTGCATGATGATAGGAAGTAATGACCATCTTCCAATCATAGTCCACACATTCTCTCAAAGTAGAGATAAGGTTTTTTCTATATACGAGTCTAGATGGTTCGATAGTTCTTACCGGTTACGAAAATTGTTCACCTTATCCAATAAGTCATCCCAAGTTTGTCCAGGTTTGCAATGGTCGGACGCGCGTTTTTAGGTCCCAGAACCCGATTTCTCCTATTTAAGAGTCCATCCCCCCACAAGCCTACTTGAACACCACTCACACACACACAGACCACAGACACAAAAAAGATTTACCATATACAAATTTTTTTACCAATTTTTGTCCAACGTTAAAGACAGCCAAAAAGCTTTTTTTTTCTTTTGTTGGTAAATTGTATTTAAAGATTCAATTGTTGTTTCTTTTCATATCTAAGTTGTAAGATATTCCAAGAAAACACTAATAGGATTTCCTGTGTTTTCTCCTGTTGTATCCCTTTTGTTTTATTTTATTTTTTGTTTTATTGATATATTGTTTTTCTGTGCGCGTCGTTCGCCCAAAATGTGTTAAATATTGTAATACGTGAATGGTATTGCTAACTATCGTTGGTTTTTATTGATTATTATTTTTGTGTGTGTTATGTTTTGTTAAAAAATCGCCTTATAGGTCCGTCGTCTTTTTTTGTTTATAAAAAAGGATTTTTCGTTGTTTATCTTTCCAATATGTTTTCCTAAAAAATTGTTTGATTAAGGTTACTGTCCTTTCTCGATTTGGTCCCTCCCTTTTTATAGGTTTGTTTTTCTAGGAATCGGCTTTTTATCCCGTTTTCTTTTTTGTCCCCCATCTTTTTTTTTTTTAATTTCCCAGATATTTTGTGGTTTGATTCCCATTTTCCAAGATGTCTCGGTGCTTTTTTACCTCTTTTGATTAAATCTGTGCTTTCTGTTTTTTTTTCTTACATCCAAAACAAAAAGTAGTTTGTTGGTTTATTTTCCATCTGATCTATTACCCCTCGAAAAATCGTTCTATATTCCCCCTTATCATCATTTAAACACCCTTGTGTTTTATTATTTTCTGTCGAGTTTTTGTTCTTTTTTAATTTTGAATTAATTATGAATTATCGTTCTCAACAATCTCAGTTTCCCTTTGGTCAATCGCTTCCTACCTCGTTGGCTGAAGGGGTCCCCGAGGGCTCCATGCCCCCCGTCGATTATCCTTCATTATTTCCCTCTTCGCATCTTTCTGATGAAGCGCTTTTTCCCTTTGCTTCTCAGAAAAAATCTCATCATTCCGAACATGAAAACAGTGACTTTCATTTTGATCCCGAATTAATGTTTAATCTTCTATCGGACCCTTCGTCCTCTCTCGCTTCTGTAAAAAGCAATATTCCCCCCAAATCTGCTTCGACTGCGATTCCCTCAACCAAACCTGCTTCGCTTCCGGTTTGGGCTTCATATCCCAGTCTTTCAAGCGCTCCTATGCAACCACCTGCTCCTGGAAAGCCCCGTAAAAGTGCTTCCTTCTATGATTCTCCATCTTGGAGCGGAAATCTTGGTATAGGTTCTCACATTGACAATGAGACTTTCTCTGTCCAAAACAGTATACTGTCGGAGCCTACACCTCCGTTCACGTTTGCTCCTACACCGAGCTCAGCTTTCTTAGAAACACCATTGCATGGATCTTCGGATCTCGATTTTAGTTTGGGTGATAATCAAACGCCTCTATTTCCCGCCGCTGATGGTGATTGTCAAAGAGCTTTCAGTTCCATTTCTTATCTGAATGGCAACGATTGCAAAATGACAAATGCAGGCTTCCGACCTCCCCAGAACAAAAGACCTGCATACGATTCTCCTCATGATGTATCTGACTATTATACACGCCGCAATGAATGCAATGCTGGTCCTGAATACTCTACGTCAGTGTCTTCTATGGAACCATACTTTTCCTACGAGGCTTTTGGTAGTGAGGTTTCGCAAAACGGTGCCCCTAATACACCGAACTCTTTTTCTCATGACGGCTTTGGTGGAAGTCCTTCCTTATGTTCACCAAGAAAGTCTGCTTTGACAGCCGGACTTGCCTCTTCAGCTCCGACTAGAGCTCATATACCTACTGCCAAACTAGCTCGTGTCGTCAAACCAAAAAGAGTTCGTGAGCATGTGTGTTTTAACTGTGGAGCTACCCAAACACCCTTATGGCGTAGAACCGCTGATAAACATCATTATCTGTGTAATGCATGTGGTTTGTACACGAAGCAGTATGGAGTGATGAGACCCCTGACTCCCAAAAATAAAAGCAGTCAGAAAGGTCCTGAAAACCTAATTTGTGCGAATTGCAATGCTACAAAGACATCCTTGTGGCGTAAGAACCGCGTAGGACAAACTGTCTGTAATGCTTGTGGTTTGTATGCTCGTCTCCATGGCCATGACCGACCTTTAGGCCTGAAGAAAAATAAGTTAATCCGTCGTCGTCGTGGAAGGTTGTGTGATGAAAGTCCCACTTCAGACTCTGTAAAGTCGGATGATTCTCCTGAGCTTTCTCAGTCAATATCGTCTTCCGAGTTGCATGAGTCAAAATTTTTGAACGAACCGATGTCGTTGTTCTCTGAAAATATGATGGAAAGTATGCTATTGCCTGTGAAGGCGGAGCCAGATACACCATTTTCCGCTTCCTTGTAATGACCTTTGTTCTTTCCTTTCTAAAGATGTGGTGCCTGGAATTTTTGGTGTTTATTGCGTTTTATGGGATATCCTCTACTAGAATTCGGAAAACTTTTTGTATGCATAAGAGGATTAGCTGTTTTTAAGGCAGCTGTGAGTTTGCAGAATCCTCTACTGAATCGCTCTTATTCAACCTAAGGGCTTTGGTTATATATATTTATATTGTGATTTATTTAATTAGTAGTACATCTAATTTGCTTTTAAGATACTGCATACAAGACAAAAGAGTATCCTATATATTCTTGTAGTATGCACCTGAAAGCTCAAAAAAAATGTTTAGGTTGCTATTGGTTGGTTTATTTTTTTGTCATCTAAAAGTTCCTTTATTCTTTGTTTTTTTTTAGTTAATTAATGTTTTCCGAATGTTCAAATTCGAAGCATCTCTAAACGTAGGAAAGGTAGTGTGAATGTAAGGCATACGAGTATGTTAAACAAGTGGATGAAAGAACACTCAACTGTTTAGCAGAGTTTTATAGCAATGGAATTGAATAATAAGATATTGAAGTGATACTTTTTTTGATCTTATGAAATGGACTAGACGCTTTACTTGTAGGATAATGTTTAAGCGATAAACAACGTAATCTAAATGATATATAATCAATTACCAGCCTTAAAAGCATGGGTAATTATCGTGACAAGGTTCTACTGTTTGTACTATAGAATTAAACACATCAAAGTTAAATGATTCTGTCATTTCCTTTTTGTTTTAAAGACTTTATCTATAAACTGAGGGAATTTGATTGACGCGAGCCGAATGATTTTTATGAAAAAATATATTTTCTACATTAAATTTACTGATGAACTGTCGTTGCCTTTAAGATGATTTAGTAGCAAGTGCAAATTCTTTAGCACGTTCCCAAAGCTTCATGGCAGTGTCAACATAAGTTTCTTCTGGGCTGTGATATTGCATCCCAAGGGATTTGGAATAAGAGTTGTCGACAGTGTAGTGTTCGTGGTTAAAAGGAACGTCGGTAGGTTCAGAAATGACTTCGTGCATATCAGGGAACTTTTGACGAAGAATCTTGCAAATATCATTTGTGAAAAGAGGGCCCTCAGAAACAATCATACGACCATTACTCAACTCGGGTTTGTCGAGTGCAATGACATGAGCACGAGCAATGTCACGAACATCAACCTGTATGGCTTGTTCCGAAGGTTGTGAGTGTGATCCATTGATGAGACTCCATATAACGCGGTCAGAAGTATTCAAAGATTCCATGTTGTTCATTGGGTGGATGGGGGGACCGACCACTAAAGCTGGGTTCACGGTGCACATATCAAAATGAGGTTGCTTTTCCTTGACGAAGTTACGAGCGCTTATTTCGGCAAACTTTTTCGACGCACAATAAGCAGAGAATCCATTTTTAGTTGTTAAAGCATCCTCATAAGTAATGGGGTTCCAGTCTTTTTCAGTATATCTATAGCCAGTATATGGTTCTTTGTTGAAGTCACAAATTGTAACAGTAGAAGAAGTAATGACCACTCGTTTCACTTTTGGTTCGTTGCAAGAAGCCTCCAAAATATTCATTGTACCCTTATAAGCAGGGTCCAAAAGCTGGGCTTTATTATCAGTCAGATTTTCGTAGAAGAAGGGAGAAGCAACATGGCAAATATAATCACAATTTTTGACGGCATTATCGAACGCATTAGGTGCGACAATGTCCTTCACAACAACGAATTCAACCTTGTCTTTAAGTTCAGGGTTCAAGCGTACTAAATCTTCAGCTTTTTCCATAGAACGAACTGTACCCCGTACAGCGTAGCCACTCTGAACTAATGATACAGCAACATGAGCTCCGATAAATCCAGTTACACCGGTTACTAAAACAAGACCTTGACCCGACATGACTTTAAAGCACAACAAAATTTACAACTCCAAACAAAGTAAAAGTAAAAAGATATATACAAAACAAAATCAAACTACATTTCTAAAAAGATTCTCCTTACAAATTACTCGGTTCGGTTTACACTTGCTGAGAGTAGGATAGCAATAGGAAGAGTATCAAAAGCTAACGGACAGTGTCGTTATAACATCATTGAACATTCCTCTCTATTAGTCATCCTCATAGCTTCAACTGACGCAAATCATTTGACTGTTCGGAATGAACTACTTTCGGCTATTCTTATAGGCTTAAAAATTTTTTTTTGCTCTTTCGACTTTATTATCCATGTTCACTGGCTTGAGTCGAACTTTTCGGTATTCGTTAGTTAAAGAGACTTAAGAGCGTGTTGTAACAATAATATACTTACAGTAAGTTAGATACTATTTCTTTTCAGTATGTGATTCACTAGAGGGATTGCATCCTATGTCATGTCACCCAGTACGTATGTAGTACTTAGTCGCAATGTTGACTGAAATTTCGATATTACTTTAGTCAATTCAGTTAAATAATCTTAAAGGATGTACCGGTTTAAAATTATCAGGAAACAGATGTTGTAGGATAATGTTGATAATGGTATAGAGGTATTACAAATAGTAAACAATAGAAGATTGATGGGAAAAAAGCTTGCATTTTGATACTTCATAATAATGTTTGACAGCTTGTTAGATCATTTTATTTTACTTAACTTTTTACATAAGTGAATGGAAAGTTTTGTAAACGTATAATCCGAAAAGGATTGGATTGGAAATCCTGCGTTTTACACCATTATTTATTTTTATATATTCCTGAAGTCAGTAAATTGAAAAAATCCAACATGAATGAAGGTATCAAGAAGACAGATTCATTATATTTTTGCTCAAGCAGTCGCATTTATTAAAAGTACTGATCACAGTAAAATTCCCCAAACTAAACGAACCCGAAACTATGTAAAAACGATCATCAAGCTTCTAATATTTCCCGACTTTCTGAGATACTTTTTAAGGAATCAGCAAGAATATTTTCCTACCCTAAATAATCCCAGCAATACTTTTAAAATTTTGATTTGCTCAGGAGACTATTCACCAAAACAATCAACTTCGGGACATTAGATGCTATTTTGATCTTTTCATACAAATTGATACTTTTTTGTGTGATGTACTGGACGAATAACTAAAGCTTTTGTAATCAAATGGTACTTATAACAACTTCCTAGCATCAATAAATCAAAGTAATAAAGGTTTGCATTACTTTATACTCAGGTCAGTATTCCTTCCTTCAATTGGATTTCTCAAGATACAAGGTTAACAGAGGAGCACTGGACCTGAAAGAGAATGGCACAAGGTTATGAATAGCCAAAATATACTTACAGTCATACAAAGATTAACATCAAATACCGCATCATAATTTATTCACGAATATGTGATTATACAATCCCTTGAATTTGAAATAATGAATTCAATCATGAAAATAGTGAAAAAACAAAAAAAAAACACATATACAATCACGCACAGAATGAAATAGTACAGAAATCAAGAAAAACTGATAATTTATGGCCTTGAAGATAGGCTTAAGACTAATCATAATCCTCAGAGTCATCCACTTTGACCATGTTCCTTTCAAAAAGTTGGCGACCGGTCAATTTTTTTTCTAGAATTGACTTTTTTACATTGCTATTGGAGGTGGAGTTTAATGCTTCGCGAAGCTTTTCTTCATTCTCCTTGCGAATTTCTTCATCCCTCCAAATATCAAAGTCCTTCTTCCACTTCATAAAAGATTCAACGGTTACCGGAGTACCTTGGAATTTTGCGTTTTCTAATTCAATTTCACGATTTTGGCGATCCTCAATTTCTTTTTCTTCCTTCTCGCATTGCTTGCAAAGAATGGTGTTTACTTCTTCTTTTAGTATAGAACAAAGCGAAAATACCATGGCCATGCCCAAACATTCTTCGGCCTAAAGATACTATATTAGCTCAATTGCAAGGAGAGAAACTTCATTTGCTTGCTCAATGTTTTACCGCTGCTTACATTTTGATGAACAACCTCTCGGAGGCATTTCATTTGCTCTTCGCCAAGCCAACGATGAGGGGGACTAATGCGGATTTTCATTTCAGGAATTTCATTTGGATATTCATCACTCAATGTTGCAATAAAAATGACAGAAGCTGCAAAATGTTGGTTAGTAAGAGAGGTATACAAATTTACGTTTTAGAAAGCATGTTCATACGAGGGTCAGAGCAATTAGATTCTTCAGGGTCTATTGTTTGAGTAATTTGGAATGTCCTTTCATCCAAACCTATTTCGTTAGCTTCTTCACTTGTCACTCAAAGGTCATATATTTTTGGCTTTTCGGTTTTGGATGTAAAATTGATCCTACTGAAGCAAATTAAATTTTTTTTAATTTTTTACTTACATTTAAATTCGTCTGGATAAATAGATTCTAAAATTTCCTTTTCCTCTTCGATAGCTGAACTCATTGCTATGATGGGAAATTTTTGTACCTTGTAGAGGTACCTTTTCGAGTTTATGTCGTACCTCCCTTACAACACCATGGAACATAGAAATTCTAAAATACGTTTAGAAATGATCAGGAAAAAAATAAATGTAAAAGCTTCAACAGTTTAGTCAACCTGAAGTTTTGCAATCATGCTTTACATAAAATAAACCATTAGGTAAATGAATAGAGATATTTTATATCAAGCATTTTTCTTTTAACATACTATGTTGATTTATTTTAATAGTATAAAGAAATACTCCTTCTTATTAAAATGACAATTCACTCATAACAGGTGTAAGCCCGTAATTAGAAAAATATGTAACAACACCAGTCTACGGTCACACCTACGTGAAAACGCCAATTCCCAACCGCTTACTGCAGGTAAGTGTTTGAATCGTTAGTGTTAGTAATGTGGTTCGAGGAAATTTTGGACGTCGTAGAAGTTCTTCTCTATTTGTACGCAAGCATTGCCTGTCTGTCGGTTAGATCGGCATGGTTGTTTGACTTAACCATACATACTACAGAATGAAAATCAGTGAAGTGGAAAAAGCACTTCAATGAATAACATGCAAAGAAGAGAATCAAACAAACAAAACTAGAGGAAAAACAAAAGTCCGGTCATTTAAATAATGCTTTCCTTTCCATCTAAATCAACTTCCGCTGAGCAGCTGAGCTAAAAACCGTCAGATGGACAGGTTTCTTCTGAAGTCTTTGAAAAAATTTAGAAAAAGTTGTTTCAAAGAATGAGTGTTTGTGAATGCTGAAAATAACTGCGAAAATCCAACGTCAAGGTTTTATTGTTGGATAGGTCCTTTGTTTACTTTTTGTAATACGAACTTCGTTTGGATTATACCATTATAAAAAACCCATAGTGAACCCACAATGTTAAATAATCGTAACGAGGATATGACCAGTCAGTGACATAATGTCGCTGCTTTATGAACTTGAGACATGCGAAAGGCCACTACCAAGATTTTTTTTTTTATTCCTATCTTTGGTTTTAGACTGATTTTACTCAAGGTATTGATTTTCTTTAGAAATAAGGAACAATTCCTTTTTTTTAAAGATCTCTGAAAGGTGGAATTGATTTCTATGGACTTTTCTTGGTAATTCTAGTTAATTTCGAACTAGCTATAAATATTGGTGTTCTTTTGGTTTGCCATTGTAAAAATGAAGAATAAATACAGCCCTGTTTCAGACTCTGACGAGTCTTTCAATACGCTCATTGATGAGAAATCAGATATACATTCTTCAGAGGGTACGCCTCCTCCGTATTCAGGTAAGATTTATTGAAATAGAAAGGAAGGGTTGGTTTTTTGTATGTTTGTTGAAAAAGCTAGGCTAAAAACAGTTTTGATGAAGAATCATGTTTGTTTGTTTACTTGTTGTGTTTAAGATTAATAAACTTGTTGATTACCATCAGCAAACTTGACAAACGCTCCATCCTTTCTCAAACAACAAAAGCATTCCTCACTAATACATTCATTAGCTCCGAACAAATTTATTGATTTAGAAATGGCTGATGGATCTGCTCAGCATTCTGCCCAAGAGTCCACTAACAACGCTGGATCGGATTCGACATATTCGAAGTGGATTATTATCATATATCTCTTTTTTTTGCGTCTCTTGGGTACATTGGGGCTTATTGTATTCTTCTCGTAATGTTCTTTTATTTCAAGGTTCCTGTGAGGGCGCAAGACTTTTGGGGACTTTTTGGCGGATTTATTGGGGCGATATCATTATTTCTTTGTTGTAAGTTGGCGTTATCTTTTATTCTGAATGTTTCACTGACTATTAGTGGCGCATATGCTCTACCCGGGGTGGTACAAGCAAGCTGGTAGAGTGCTGCCAAACATGTGTGCCGCAGTAATATGTACGGCTTCTCTGAATGTCGTTGGTTTCGTCTTCTATCGTAATGTAAAGAAAATAATAGGATTTGAAAAGATGAACGATATTGCTTTCTATGGTGTCTGGTTTGTTAACGTTGCCGTGTTTGTTTTATTTTGGAGTATGTCTTATAACCTGCGAAATATTCTAACTGTTCTAGTGAATCCAATTCCCGTGAACGATTTAGATTATTAGTCATGATATAGGGAACGGCGCAAATGCCATAGGAAATGGCTGATGGATCTGCTCAGCATTCTGCCCAAGAGTCCACTAACAACGCTGGATCGGATTCGATATATTCGAAGTGGATTATTATCATATATCTCTTTTTTTTTGCGTCTCTTGGGTACATTGGGGCTTATTGTATTCTTCTCGTAATGTTCTTTTATTTCAAGGTTCCTGTGAGGGCGCAAGACTTTTGGGGACTTTTTGGCGGATTTATTGGGGCGATATCATTATTTCTTTGTTGTAAGTTGGCGTTATCTTTTATTCTGAATGTTTCACTGACTATTAGTGGCGCATATGCTCTACCCGGGGTGGTACAAGCAAGCTGGTAGAGTGCTGCCAAACATGTGTGCCGCAGTAATATGTACGGCTTCTCTGAATGTCGTTGGTTTCGTCTTCTATCGTAATGTAAAGAAAATAATAGGATTTGAAAAGATGAACGATATTGCTTTCTATGGTGTCTGGTTTGTTAACGTTGCCGTGTTTGTTTTATTTTGGAGTATGTCTTATAACCTGCGAAATATTCTAACTGTTCTAGTGAATCCAATTTCCCGTGAACGATTTAGATTATTAGTCATTGATATAGGAAACGGCGCATATGCCATAGGAAACGGTGCAAATGCCATAGGAAACGGTATAGGAAACGGCGCAAATGCCATAGGAAACGGTATAGGAAATGCTGTGAATCATGCGTTTGGTATGTACATTACGTAAATGCTTCCTATCATAGAGCAATTATTAACCAAGTTAAAAGGGACAAATCAAGGAGACGAAGCATCTCAAAACGAAGAAATCGAGCTTCAACCTTTTGCTGGACAAAGCGCTGAAGTTTGAGTTTTAACGAATCTTCTCCATCCCTCCTATAAATCACATTTTCCTTGGAAGCATTCATGTCAATTGCAATCCCTCGAGTTTCTGCATTCTTGTCCACAAAAGTAAGCATGAGCTTCATTCGGCAGGTTTGATTGCTTTTCACGTTCATTCTTTTATGTATTTAAGAATTCGTCTCGCAAGAGTGTTATTTATAAATCGTTCGTTTTCTTTGTGATGAACATCCTTATTAATCCACCCTTTTTTAATAATCATTTAGTTGTTATGACGATAATTTTGCAAAATAATCAACCGATTCTAACTCAAAACTGTGCGGTGTAATCACATGTCTTTCATGATTTGTAGGGAACGAGTGATTGCCTTACCGTCAATGTTAAATTTCATTTACAGCATAGCAAGCACAAATCTTTCAACTGAACGATCCGACTTTTGTAGCCTAATGAATCAAATTGTCGTCTACTTAGAGAGTCAAATAAATGAACTGAAACACGAATTATCAGACTACAACTTCCGTGCAGCCATGTAAACAGACGCAGATGGAACTGAGCCAAATTGCATCTTGAAGTAGGATATCCAGCACAAATACCTTCATTTACACATTATAAACGTCTACGGCCACACCTAGGCGAAAACACCAGTTCCCGTCCGATCACTGCAGTTAAGCGTTTGAGGGTCTCGTTAGTACTATGGTTGGAGACAACATGGGAATCCGGGATGCTGTAGGCTTTTGTTTATTAATTCTTTTTCTTTTTTTGACTTAGTAAATGTCAATACATGCTTGGAAATACCTTTTTTGTTTCCCTTCTCGAGTGATGTTCCTTGAGGAGTAACAAGAAGCAAACGAACAATTAAATGTGAATGCGAGTGGGGTAGTTGCGGAGACAATGTTTCCGACTAATTCGCCCATACTAACTCATTGCCGTTGATATTGGATTGAAATGCTCATCCTTTAATTGCGGTCGTCAATACATATTTATAGACGAGGGTTAGTCCTGGTGTCAAGACAATCCTACCGACTTTGAAGAGCAGAGAATTTAAAAACTTAACTGAGGAATTACGATCACTAAGAGAACTGAAACGAATAAATTTTCCATTTTCCTTATACATTTCCTAGATCAAAGATTTCCAACAACTGCTTTGGTGGTTTAGTGGTATAATGCTTCGTTGCCATCGAAGCGACCCGGGTTCGATTCCCGGCCGAAGCAATCTTCTTCGTTTCACTTTTGCGTGTGCTGTGTATGTATTATGGGATCTTTCAGTATTTTTTGCAGTGTTGGATTTTGCCGGGCGAATTCGTATAGGAAATGTTTCATAATACTTTTCATATACACAGAAAGCTGTTTTGTTGTTGTTTGTAACTTCATTAAAGCAAAAAGACCGTTTTTTCATGCTTTCCGTATCGAACCATCTTCTATCCGTTGAAGACTCGTTGAACATTGTATTTGCGTTTTCAGCTTAACCATCTCCAACATATCCTCTTGTATGGTAAAGCCCCTAAACTATTAACGGCGGCCGTTTGGTCTAGTGGTATGATACCATCTTAGGGTGATGGTGGTCCTGGGTTCGATTCCCAGAACAGCCCTTTTTTTGCTTTCTCCTATGAACTTTATAAAGTTACGTCTGGCTTTCTTTTTTGAAACACGCCGAAGAGCCCGTGAGCGTTGGAAACCGAAAGTGAGAACCCTCAACTAATCCTGTTTATCCATTCACATGTGGAGTGTACATCATATTGGTTTTACCATCTAATTACTCAACAAGTGGTCGCATGATGTAGTTGGTTATCATGTCGATCTAATAAGTCGAATGTCGCCAGTTCGAGCCTGGCTGTGACCATTGTTTTTCTCATTTTGCTATCCAATTTATGACTTAAATTTTTTATGTTTCTTCTTTGTTTTGTCTTTTATTTGTTTTTTAAGAAATAAAAATTGATGCAGACTTAGAAGAGAGTCTTTACTGAGAAAAAAAAAAAAAAAAATTGTGTCGGATCCAACCTAACTAAAAAAGGAAACCAACGGAGTCGTTTGTATCAAAAATAATGGGAATCATACTGTTCTGCGATCTTTAAAAAAACTCAAATTCTAAAGAAATTGTAAGTACATTAACCAATCTAAGAAATGCAATTTTAGTTATCAACTCTTCTATTTACATACTCTCTTATTTATTTATTTATTTATATTTTAACTTTTAATGTTTTCATAGCTCATGCAGAAATTAAATAAAACTAATACAAGCGACTCGCTAAACAAAAGGAAAATACGGATAGTTGAGAATGTGACAATCCGAGATAATTGTGCTTCAGCGAGACATTTTTTAGTGGAAGCATAAAAAATGCCTCAAGAAAATTGGATTTCTTATTTATAGAGTCTACATTCTTCATTTCTCTGTTTACCATCGACGAAATCCATCCTTTCATTAAAATCATTCTCAGCGACGTTGTTTACAGACAAGAAGAGAAGAGAAGTATAGAAAACGTAAACGTGTTTTTGCTTGTGTTCATCATCTAAGCTGTAGTCAGGATTTATTATAAGAACAACTTTTCAATAGCTTGAGACCTTACGCTGAAAGGTTGATAATTTTTAATTATCTCTCAAGTTTTATTTTCAAAAACAGGAATAGAGTATATATTTCGTACTCGTTTTCTTCCATATTTAACGATATCCTTGTTCTCTATTATTATTTATTCGAAAAATTTCTCTTTTATTCTTTAAAATCACTCTTATTGTTTATTCCATATGTCGTTTTTTCAACAGGCCAAAGAAAATCTGGGAAATACATTGATCCAATTGGGCGGAAATTTAAAACAACAGTCGAATTCTTTATTAGACGCCGATAATGAAAAGTCTGCTATTACATTATTGCAAAGAGGAACCTCGAAAATGAGCAACATGACGATGGGTGGAATGTCGAATATGACAAACTCCTCTCCTCACACTTCTTCTACCGCCGCGTGCAAAACTTCAATGTATTGGAATTGGTACACTATTGATGCTTGCTTTATTACCAAACATTGGCATATACGCAGCAAGAGTATGTTTGTAGGAAGTATCTTCGGTATCATCTTTATGATGATGGCCATGGAACTCGTTCGTCGCTTGCAGCGGGAATTCGACCGTTGGTGTATTCGTCAATCTCAATACCGATCCAGCCTTGCGTGCCACCATTCTCCCGAAAGCTCCTTTGTTCATTCTTCTTCCAATGGTTTCAGCTGGTTCACCCGTGTTTGTTTCCACTTTATACGTTCCTGTCTTTACATTATCCAGTTCATTGTGACTTATATTGCCATGCTTCTGGCCATGTATTACAATGGCTATGTGATTTTATTCCTTTTTTGTGGTACCTTTTTGGGCTTCTTTTTGTTTGCCGCGGACACCGTCAATTACAGCAAGCCAATCTCAAGTCCATCAATAGACAAGATAGTCCATGTATCTGATGAAAAAGATCTCAGCTTTAAAACTAACAGCCAACCTTCTGACGTCTAATCAGCTTTCCAGCTATTTCTCTATAATCCTTTGTAATGTTTTCTTTCTTTAAAATTCATATGTTTCTTCGTTTATGATCCATCAATAAATTCAATTCTAGTTTTCATAATGTCAATAACTGTTTAATTTTGCAAGCTTTATAATCATAAAAATTACTAGTCTATCTTGTATCCATTGAATCAATACCTTCTTTTTGTTTTTTAATACCTTGAAAGCATACCTAAAAGCAAGTTCTTCTCAATGCTCAATTGGGCGAGCCTTAAAAAGGGTTCCATTCGGATGCAAGTTCCTGCCGCCATTGAAGAGCTTTCCTATACTTTGGGAGATCCATTCCTACTACTGACCGTACTAATAGTACATCAACCTTTCCATCTGAACATTTACGACCCACAATGTCCAACCATTCCCGTATTTGAATCTTTACGTGTCCGAGAACAGCAGCTAAATCACATTCAACCATGCTTGATCCATCTTGGAGGCATAAAATTCCATTAACGTAAGAGTGAACATATCCCAGAAACCTAACCTTTTGCCCGACTGGGCAGTTTTCTATTTGTTCCAAAGACACCAGTCTTGTACCATCCATTCCTCTCTATGGAGATTCGATTTCCATCGCCTGTAGGCAGATTTACTAAAGAAGAAATACCTTCGACAGCTTAACAACTGTAACCAAATGAACTGTATGGTTAGTAAGGAAAAAAAGAACGAAAGTGACCTAGCGGTTTACTGTATAAGTCGTCTCAAAGAAGGTGGTAAACCATCATTGACTACCGTAATTTGTTTTCCATACCTTTTCACACGTATAAACCTTTTAAAAGTATTTCATTTTGTGCAAAGCTAAAAGAACTTGTATATAATCCCGGAGAGTTTCATTAACTAATAAAAAAGAAAAAGATTGCTTCGGCCGGGAATCGAACCCGGGTCGCTTCGATGGCAACGAAGCATTATACCACTAAACCACCAAAGCAGTTATTGATAGACCCAAAGGTGAAGCGTATAAGAAAACTCAGTAAGACGAAGCAATCGGAATGAAAAGCAAAACCAAAGTCCCTTGTACATACTTTTTCTTCAGCAATCTTTGGTACCGTTGGCAAAACGCGTAAATCCAGAATAAGAGGACTTGGAGTGATTCTTTTTTTTTGAAAAAAGTATTGTTTTTACTTCTTTTGCCGAAATTTAGTAATTTTGGATTGGCTAGGAACGCTAAGCTTGCATGCTCGTGAAATTGATTCTTTAAAGTATTGAAGCAGTCTTTTTGTGCTGACTAAATTGTTTTTTATATATTTCTATTAATATGTTTCTTTTCATTAAGCAAAGCTGGGTTCGACAGGGAATTCTTATGCAAACCCGAAATATTAATCGGTTGTATCCAAAGATGCGAATCCCTAAACGACCAGAAGTTCCTTTGGGAACAAAAATTGCTGAAGTAGATGCTTCTTCAGATGTATACTATAATCCTCCTGCATCTTCACCAGACATACGCATTACACCGCTTTTATTTCGTTACGATGCTCCATCAGCAGAAGCACGGACGACGCTAGCCAAGAAACTTACAAGCTCATTATCTCCCGTTGTTTCTCGTAAATCCATGCCAAAGGGAAATCTTCGTTATTCGACTAACCAATTGACGGATGAGGAAAAGAAAGCTATTCATGACTTGCGATTGTCTAACCCAGACGAATGGACAACCGGAACTTTGTCGAAAAAGTTTCAAGTTACCCGCCTTGTAGTTTCTAGAGTTTGTGAAGCACCAGGAGAACGGTTGGCAACAGTGGAAGAGGAACTGGATCAACAGAAACTTCGCTGGGGTAAAGCGAAACGTCAAGTTCGTAGAGAAAAGCTTTCTCGAAATTCTTATCGTATTAACGAACGTGTTTCCAAGGTTTAATGTTTATGTTTAAACAAAAGATCGATTGAGATAAAAATACCTTTCTATTCCTTGACATGTTTGTTTTATGTGTATCAACATGAATTGTATCTTCCTACCTAAAAATATGCGTTCTCTAGATATCACTCAACGACTCCCCTTAGTCATATAATATCAGTTTCTTCTAACAGGGTTGACATTTTGTATTCAACAGAAAGCAAGTCTCGAAAATTCATGAATTCAATAAAGCTAAACTTTTAATTTAATAAAGGGATTCTTTATACTGAAGTGAAGATTACTCAATATTTCATTCAAACAAAAAAGTAGTTTACTTGCCTTAACCTGACTTTCCTTTCACTATTCTTGTTTGCCTCATGCTCAGGTTTTTCAATGATGGATTCTTACAAAGTTACAAGGAGTCAAAAATACGGTGTCATTTGTATTATTCTATTTTATTTTTCCAAACTTATACTTTCATACATATCTAGTCAAGACTTATTTCATTAAAGGGAATCATCGAAAGCCATAGAGAATCCAACATTAGTTAGCAGGTTATCCATCCTTGACGGATTTTCGAGATCAAACAGAATGATCGTTCCGTGGAATTTTAACAAACCCCAAGAAAATACAACTCTTTCTTTGCCTTTCTTTCGCCAGATTTAAAATCTCGTTTACGTTGATTTTTCCTTATACCATAACCATTCAGTAGGACTTAACAAAGTGACATCAGCGCCAAGTAAGCTGTAGCGGATGTCTAAAGGATGTAGTACGTGCGAAAGTGATCTCATGAATTCTTCAAGTTACGTTTTTCTTGGCGTAAGTTCGTTTATATGCTATGTATGATACAGACGTATGGCAGATGGGGTGTACTATATAAGACGTTCATCGTCGACGTGGTAATACACATTTACTTTATATTATAACTTTGGGAACCGTGTTGGTTATTACTGTTTCTATTTTTATATCTCTTGAACGCTGACTTGTACGTTTAAATACGTTTAATATTGTCGGCACATTTCGTTTCCTTCTCAGTAAAGTAACAAGAATTTCTCAGACGAAAAAAGAGAGATTTCCTATATACTGACTGACACATAATATACCAATTGAAGAAGAAAGCTTTTCTTTGTAAATTTAACATAAATTTCTTAAATCATGGACAAACGTATAAAGGTCGGTGGATTAGTTGCTGCTGGTGCAGCTGTTGCTTATATGTTTATGAATCGCAATAAACAGCCAGCAAACCAATTGGAGCAGAAAAATGCAGACTTTGTCAATGCAATTGAACGAGAAGGACGTCGTTTCGATCGTGCCGTAGGTGATACTGCGGATAAGGCGAAGACATTCGTGCAAGATAGTAAAGACAAGGTCGTGAATGAATTGGAAAAACCTCGTGAAGATGCGCATGAACTAGAAGGAGAAGTTAAGACAAAAACAAACGAAGCGTTAAATTCCCCCAATAAAAAAGACCAGTCTAAATGGTTTTAAGGGTTAACGACGCGCATCTTCAAACACATCTCACACCGCTAGAGGATGCCAAGAAAAAGACGACTGACCTTCTCTTCTTAATCGTCCGGAATTGAGAACAGCTAGTATGATTTTTTTGTATTTTTTTTTCTTGCGCTCTCATGCCATTTCTTACTTACGATGATGATTAAAATTTCTACGATACTCAAAACAATATATGAATGAATGAATTTAATTCCATGCCAAAAAAATAAATTGCAACAAGCAAGTACTCTATATTCCATATTTTCATTAACAAGCAGAAAAGCACAAAAATAAACAGGTGTCCATATCAAAACATTTCTCCTTTGACATCCTTCCTTGCCTTGCTTTCGTTACTCTTGCAGAGAAAAGGGCAACCTCCTTTTAGAATTAATTCATATAAACACATCAGCTTACGAAAAACAAAACAAAAAGAATAGTATAAAATGCGATTCGTTAAAATAAGCAACGATTGTCTAGTCGAATTGAGTAACTTTGTTGATCTAATGTACAATCTAATTCTAACATAATACGCAAACGAAACCCAACTTTTTTCAACCCAGACACTGACATCCCCTTCTAGCACAAACCTTTATTTGAGCTTAATCAAATGAAATCTTTGAACCCTTTGATTTCATTAGAATTCAAAGATTCGAATCTCTAGTCTTAGGGTACACATCATTCCTGAGGCTAATATTTGTTTTACTGCTCTGATTCGACAAATTGCTCTGAGGCACTTAGTTAGTTTGATCTTACAGTTGTATGACATCTTATAAAGGCCAAAAGATATTGATTGAGGCTTGTCGTCAAGAAAAGGGACTTCTGTGAGATAGAATGTATTGAATTGCAAGAGACTTGGGCGATGAAAGTTGAAGATATCTCACAAACACTTACAATGCTTGAATTCTTATTTCCATTGTTTGTTTACTCAATATAACACAAAGGCACTTTAAGTTTATATCAACCGATCTTCTTCTCAAATATATAAACCTATCGCATAATCTTGTGACCTGATCGCTTTGAGCAAAGTAACGTTTACGAAAATGTACTAAGCTCGCATACTGTCATAAGCTTCATAAGGTAATTTACGTCGTGAATAAGGCACCCTTGCGTAATAATTGAAATTGTATTTATTATGTGAGTACTGCAACTTCTGCCTCTAACCAAAAACGACTTGTTAAAAACATCGTTAAACATATTTTTGAAGCTTCATTGCATGCTTGATTAATCTCGTGTATAATGACAATGACGACCACGAAATTGGTGCATCCAGCGAAACGTATGTTGCAGGAAAATGTAAAAAGCTCAACATGACTTGAAGAAAAGAAAGTCGGTAGCTTTTCAGTTTTGTTTGGTTTTTTTCTGTTGTTTGTTCTATTGCTAATCTTTCTTGTTTTTTAGCATACGCTATGACAAGCGATCCTGAATCGTTTGCATACGAATGCGTTGTTCGGAGATGGCCTACCATGCTATCTAATGTCATTGACGATATTTCCCGTCATGTATCAAAGGCGCTTGAGGCCGGAATGTCTGAAAACTCTTCTTACGTTACTCAGGGAAAGTCCATTATCAATTTGCTGAGCCAACTCAAATATGACATGCAGCACAACCGTCCTTTGATACACCTTGAGGGAGACAATTCCGATTTGGAGGATTACAATGAAGAATTGACTCAGTGCGGCCCCATGACTTGGGGTGACGCTCCTTGGCTTTACTCCGAATGTTACTTTTACCGAATGATGAACCTCTTTTTACAAGCTCACTCGGAATGGAAACGCCATGATCCCTTTTTCGACCAGAAAGATTCCACTTTAAGATCCAGTCACGTAGCAGTTGAGGATCTGGCTGTCCGATATGTTAATCTCGATCACGAACTAGATGCTCTCAAAAAGCATCCCAATCCCCAAGCAGCCTACATGATCTTTGTTGAAATGGCCCAAGTTGCCTTATGGGGTAATGCCACGGATCTAAGTTTATTGACAAATTTGACGTATGAAGAACTCCAACAACTTCAGGGCCGGAAGGCTGTGGAAGAATCTCAAAAAAATGTTTTGGTGAATGACTTTCCAAAGGTCTGGGAAAAGCTTCAAGAGCATCCAGGTGGACGTGTTGATTTTGTGTTGGATAATGCTGGATTCGAGCTCTATGTTGATCTTGTATTTGCAGCTTACCTATTGAAAGCTAAAATTGTTGACACAGTTATTTTGCATCCAAAGGATATTCCTTGGTTCGTTTCTGACGCTTTGGTGAATGATATACCTCATGTCTTTACTTCTTTGACAACCTACTTCTCCGGCGAAAGTATTCATCAACTTGCTTCCGACCTTCAAGAGTTCCATGCTGAAGGAAAAATTTTGATTCGCCCCAACTGTTTTTGGACCACCGCTCATTATTTCGGTCGTATGCCTGAGTTTGCTCCTGCTTTAGTGGAAGATTTGGCAAAGTCAGATATGGTTATTTTCAAAGGTACACAATATTCTTTTATCGCTTGATCATTTTACTAACAGACTTTAGGCGATTTGAATTACCGCAAGTTGACTGGTGATTGTGAGTGGCCCAAGACAACTCCCTTCGATGTTGCTCTTGGTCCCCTTGCTGGCAAATTCAACATTTTAGCTCTTCGTACATGCAAAGCGTAAGTTAACTTTTATTTTGGTTTCCTTAAGGCTAATGCTAACCAATGTTTAGTGATGTTGTTGTCGGTCTCGAAGAAGGTGTTTACGAAAAGCTCTCTGAAAATATGCCTCACTGGGAGCGAACAGGGAAATATGCTGTTGTTCAGTATTGCCCAAAAAAGTAAACACTCTTCCATCTGAATTCATATGATCTATGACTCTTAAAACCTCTGTAATTTGTTCAAATGTACTATAAATAATGACAAGTCAGTTAGTTTCAATGAAAAATACATAGTCCCTGTAACTGATATCGTACTACCAAAGCATTTCTGTTCAAGTATTCTCGAAATCTATAAAGCTTTCCTGCTCCCTATTCTTGTCATGACAAAAACAATACTATCACAGATTTAACATTCGACAATCTCTTGATGGTTTCATGAACCCGTAATGATGCTAGTCCACCTTCATTATACTCGCAAAAAGCCTTTTGTTTATTACCGTATACCACACTGCAATGCACTGTGGTATTTTTTAAATCGGAGATTTCCTCTCATAAATCATCTCCGACGTCCTTTCACATAGCGCACTACTTTACCTCTCACTAGTAAAATTTCAGCATATCGGATTCCTGTCGGAGGAGCTACGCCTTTTTACTTCATAAAGGATTGAGACTGTCCTTAACACATAACCACTTACCTTTGGTACGCCGTTACTATTAATTGTTTTGACCCTTTTTGGTCAATTATCGCATTTTAAACAAGTCAATTCTTGTTTAAAAAAGCGTTTTTCAAGCTTATACCTTGTCTCACACGCTCAAATCTTATAGTCGATTTCTTCCTTGTGGATTGATTGTTCTGTTCATCCTTCCTTGTTGTGAGTGTCTTCTATTCTTATTTGTTTTTTTTTATAAACATCTTTTCTTTTGTTAAAACTTTCCAAGTTGACAATGGGTTTCAAATGGAATCCCTTCTCTAAAAGCAAGGAGCCCAAAGAGCCTCTCCCTCTTGAACAGTATGAAGCAGCCGAACAAAAAAAGATTTTTGGCTTGGTCAACAAGCAAGAGGCTAAGCTCCTCGCCATTGCAGGTACCGGATTCTTATTGGATAGTTATGATTTGTTCATTATTAATCTGGTAACCCCTATACTTTCTTATTTGTACTGGGGTGGATTAGAAGGCCATGAGGATTACCCATCGGGGATTCGCGGTCTTGTAAATGCTGGTACGAACATCGGAAACATTATGGGACAGCTCATTTTCGGGTTTTTGGGAGACTTTTTTGGCCGCCAGTTCGTTTACGGTAAGGAGATGATGCTTGTTATTATTTCTACTATACTTTTGATTAGTCTTCCGGATCGCCTTCCTACTCCTCTCGACAAGTCCATGTGGCTTTTCACTTTCCGTGTGCTACTTGGTATTGGTATCGGTGGTGATTATCCCATGTCCGCTTCCATTACATCTGAACAGTCTATGATTCATCGCCGTGGTGCTTTGCTTTCTTGGATTTTTTCAAATCAAGGATGGGGTACTCTTGTCGGTTGTATCGCTACTTTAGTTATTCTCGCGTGCTATAGAACATCTCTAGAGGTGCATGGCGATTATCATAAGTTAGATGGTGTTTGGCGCATTCAATTCGGTATTGCCTTGCTTCCCGCTTTCCTTGTGTTGATTCCTCGTTTAAGGATGAAAGAATCTAAACAATTCAAAGATTCAAAGAATGTTCATGCTCTCAATGAAGCAGAGACTAATTCTCAAACGGATGACTTAAAGAAGAACCAAGAAACATTTACTTCTGCAGATTTGCCACAACCCGTTGATACTGCAAAGGCAACCGAAAAAACTTCCGGTTCTGTACAAGTTGAACCTCGTGACAACTCTTTCATGGCTTCCAAAGAGCCTCCTTCTGATAAAGCGGAACAACAGGATCAGGAACAAGTGAAGTCTGGGTCCACTTTTGTCGCCTACTTCTCCGAGTGGAGACACTTGAGACTGTTGCTTGGTTCAGCTATCTCCTGGTTCCTTTTAGACATTGCGTTTTATGGCGTCAACCTGAACCAGTCCGTTATTCTAAATGAGATGGGCTTTAACAGCGGCAAAAATCAATACAGGAAACTACAGAGAAATGCTATCGGTAATCTGATTATTGCCATCGCTGGCTATGTTCCTGGATACTGGGCTACTGTATTTTTAATTGAAAAAATGGGCCGTAAATGGATTCAAATTCAAGGCTTTGCTATTTGCTCTCTTTTATTTGCCGTACTAGCCGGAAAATGGCACACCATCTCGACTGCTGGAAGATTCGTTTGCATTGCGCTTGCCCAGTTCTTCTTTAATTTTGGGCCAAACACTACTACATTTGTTTATCCAGCTGAAGTGTTCCCCTCAAGAGTTCGTGCTTTCTCTCACGGAATTTGTGCAGCAAGTGGCAAAGCCGGTGCAATTCTTTCTGGTCTATTGTTCAATAAGTTGACTGAAGTAATTGGTTTTGACAAGGTGTTGTGGATTTTCTTTGCATGTATGATTTTAGGTATAATTTTCAGTTTACTTCTACCCGAAACTGCTGGCCGTGATGCGGATTTGGTTGATCGCCTTGAGATTGTTGCCATGCAACAAGGAAAAGATTCCATTATTGACCGGAGCGAGAAATGGGCTTGGTGGAAACATGGTATATAATCCGGCATCGTGTTTTCCAAATTCTGTTGACTACAAAGTTAGCAATCGTTGATAATTGTTTGTTATTGTTTGTTTTTATTAGTATTTTTATCTGTTCAAAGTTTGAAGCTGACACTTCTGAAGTTATGTAACTTTTGAGTAATTTAAGCTGTTCTTTTGACTCTTCCAATGTTTATTCTTACTATGTTTAATTTTATGTGTTAACAGGATTGATGTATACGGCTGTTTTATTGTTGATGTTGTTTGATCAAGAGATTAGGCAAATAGCGGGTTGCCATGAATCGGGGGTTCTTTCTGTGATGTTTGACTATTTGTTTTCTTTGATAGTTCCATCAAGAAGACATATGCATTTCTACATATGTATCGGTGGAAAAAAGAAACGAAACTTAAGCATTGGTTTAATTAATAAATATTTATTAAAGTTATGTCTTCCATTTTATGTGGTCACAAGGCAGGTAGTTATTTGTTGATTGTTAGCTATAAGTAGTAAGTTCATGTTGTTGAGTGATTTTTCGATCTGTAAGCGTATTATATCACCGTTATAAAAAGTTAAATTTGATTTTCCTTTAGAGGTTAGTATTTGGAATTCAATGAATGCCTGATTTTCGTAGTGAAAGGTTTATAAACACTTTGGGCACAACAAATATATATATATATATATATATATAAAAGAATATCTTCTCTTTTTTATTTTTATTTTTTAAGAATTCAGTGAAAAGCAAGGTACATTCGATCAGAACTTGCTGGCGTTCAAGCATTGCATTGCAACCCGACTCTAGTATCCAAGAATACCCAGCGTGTTTATTTCGAGGATATGGAAGGAAAATGAACATTATTTTTCGAATATAAATTAATTGAAAGAGAATTTAACTAGAGAAAGATATTAAATAAAGGAATACTAACCGTAATTCTTGTTTGCAATACTTTGTTCGAAATAATTATGAGTGCGGCATGGAGGAAAAAATTACCACATATTCATAAATCAGAATGCTTAAGTGTTTATAAAGGGTTATTGAAATGCTGTAACCGATTTGTGGAGCCTGAATACCGGTCCATCCTTTCAGAAATAGTACGAGCAAGGACCCGACATTATCAGCATTTAACTAATGCGTATAAAGCCGAACACCTTTTACAAAATGCCAAAAAAGTAAGAACCCAGTTATTGTAAGAAGCTAACATTAGCTTAGTACCGTGAACGACTTGAACTGGTTAACAAAGGTCAATTGCCGGTGGAACATACACGGAGGGAAATACTAAAAAAATTTATATCTTACTCAAATCGAGGAAAACAAGAAATCCCTACAAAACAAGATCAGTGTTCAAATTCAAAATTACCAAAACCCCAAAAGTCAATGTCTATTCACGATTATGTTCGCGATGGGAAACCTCTTTACCATTTTGTTTTGACGACAGGAGGGGATACTTTTTTACGTCCTAAGTACTGGCCCCAAAGTGAGCACAGAAGTATGATGTTGAAGAATCGTATCAAGACAAAAGAACATAGACACCAACTTATTCAAGCAATGAATCGTATGGTCTATCATGCGTCTTTAGAAGACGACTTTCTCGAACCATATACAAATGAGGACGTAGGCTTTGCGGAATTCCTCACTGAGAATGTTCACGAAATTGGGAAAAAGCTTGAAGGATCTTATAAGCAGGGGTCTAAAGCATGGCATATCACGAGCCAGTTATATAGAATGATTGTGATGGAATCTGAACGACAACGACTAGAAAAAAGGTATTTCAAGACCTGGAAAAATTTAAGAAGGATAAGGCTTAGTCATAAATAATAAGCATTTTTGATGACTTAGATGGCTGAACATTATAGTACAATAGTCAACGTCTGAAATGCATGTCGTGAAAACCGATGCTCGCGATAGTAATGCGACTGTTAAGTTGAATCTTAAAAGTTCCATCGTATCAATCCTTTCTTAGATATCGCAGTGTTACCATTAAATATACAACATATAATAAATAAAAAGGATTTGGTTAACCGGGACCTAAAAGATTATCCTGCGCTTGCATTTTATCCTGCATGTTTGGCGTATGCTGTGAGGTTACCCATTTATTCTCAATGTCCTGTAACTTTCGTAAATCTTCATCATCAACAAAAAATTCATCTCCATCGTCTTCATCTTCATCATTCAATATGCAATTATTAGCAGAATCCTCTGGTCCCTCCTCATCTAGGCTCTGTTGTGTCTGAGTAACCTCTGTACCTGAACCTTGAGAACTGCTTGCTTCTTGCTCAACATCCGAAGGCTCATCATCGTTAGAAATTGGTTTATTTGTGTCGAGATAGCTATGATTGTCTTCAATGCTTTTCTTCCTTTGTTTTTCTCTTCTATCCATCGTAGCTCGTAGCAAGCTCACCAAGTTAGATACACGGGATAGTTTATTTTTTGGTTCTGGATTTTCGTCCGTATTCAAATCCAAAGTCCTTGAACGCTTTAAGGTATTCTTTGAATTATCTCTACTGACAGACTTATGACTTGTTGTACTTGACGGCATAGACACTGATCGATATACAACTTGGTTTTGCTGCAATCGGTCCCAAAGATTGACTACTGGATCATTAATTATTGGATTTGAATTTCCTGAAGACTTAGTAAATAACTGTGAGATTTGCTCATCAGATAATGATTTGCTTTTCAGTGGAGATAGTTTCCAGGAAACACACGGCTGATCATTCTTTGGAGAATTCGGCATAATCAATATACTTTTAAGATAACTTCTTCGATGTGAACGATGAACTTGCACAGAAAGCCTTTAAACAACGACTGACAGAAGAAGCTCTAGATATATAGTTCAAACCGGAACGTAATTCCTCTAAATCGTTTATATTTGTAATTTTTTTACTTTAGAACCTCTTCGGTCAATCAGAAAGTATCTGTTTAACTCAAAAAATCATATGTAGATTCTTCGTCCGTAAATTGGAAGATTTGCAGTCTTGCTTATATAAAAAAGCGTTGACAATAATTTTACTTAATAAACAAAAAGGGAATATTTGGTATTAAGCGAGTGAAAACCATAGAACTATATACTTGAAATATATCGTTACTGCATTAAAATCAGTAGGTAACGTTGATTTAAACCGACTACCAAAGAATCGTGAAGACTTTTATATACATTATTATTTTTAGTGTTTACCCATCATAAAACTAAGTCAACATTTATTCAGTCTTGATTGATGTTCTTTACTTTATTATATCTTACACGTTATGCATTTATCTAAAACTAAATTTATCGAGTAAACTGACAAATAAAGAGAACAGTATTTATCAAACAAATTCTAAAGATTACAAAAAAACATCTTATTTCCTTTAGCAAAAGAATATGAAGGCTAAGGTAGTAAAGACGAAAGCGAAAAACAATGTCTCAAACGAGGGGATAGCCCGATGCGAAGAGGACATTGTAATGAGACTATGTGAACCAGCAAAAGAACGGGTAGAATACGTGGGAGAGTAGTACGAGGTGTAGACAGTAGTAGTTTTTTGACGAGCTGTGCTAGGCATGACAGTTTGATTGATCGTAGGTAATGAGAAGTCAGACAACTTAGTATGAGGATACAAAACCATTGGATATCCACTAGTAAGTGAAGCAGTAACAGTACCTCCCTGTCCGACAGTTAAAGTTCGATGACCAAACACATCGGAAATGACCTCTTTTTCGCTGTATTGACTAGGTACTTTGTAAACAGTTCCATTGCTCTTTATTCCAAGATTATTATAAATAAGGAGAACATCATGCTTTTTGGCAGCCACGTGATCCACGTCGGCATCTATAATGTCGTAATGATCATTAGTAAATTTGGTATCCTGTTCCATAACGTGTTTTCGGAAATTGACCATGGTTTTAATCATAGTATAGTAGGGATTAGTTTGATCATAATTAGATGTCCAAAGAGCTTCACGATTAGAAGGGTCTGTTCCACCATAGAAGCCTTGTTCTTGTCCATAATAAACAGAAGGAATACCATCCCATAAAAGAGCAAAACTGTATGCAGACATAATAATTGCTTGATCATCTGTATAAGAAGCATAACGAGGCAAATCGTGGTTATCTAAGAAAATAAGCATGTTTCCTAAATCAGCCTTCGAACAAGTATCAGTAGTAATCAACTCCATTTGTTTTTTAAGCGTTTTAAAACCCTCAGTTGGTTCAAACTTGTCATGGGCCATAAAACTAAAGTTGAAGCCCAAACGGACAATATAATTGGTTACACCTATATCGTAATTCATATAATCGCATATAACTTTAGGATCATAATCGAAAACCTCACCAACAGCATATACACCAGACGATTTAACAAAATCCGGGAAAAATGTTTCGTTCATCATCTTCACAGCATCAATACGAAGACCATCATATCCATAATGTTGAACGGCTTGTTTAATATGTTTATTGAGATAAGACTTAACAGAGTTGCTTTCCACATCCAAATCAGCAAGAAGCACACCTGAATTTTGCCAACAGTCCTGGATATTTGTCTTATTATTTTTATTCCAGTCAATAATACAGTAAGGGTGATAGTACTTTTCGCTGTTGAAAGGATAGACAGCGGAATAATCAATATCTTTATAAGGACCAGCAAAGGCCATAGAGTTTACAACAGTATCAATCATGACCCATATGTCATACTTATGAGCAGCGTTAATTAGGCTAATGAGATCATCTTCGGTACCAAAATGTTCATTTAGTTTTTCGTAATTTGTGTTCCAATAACCGTGGTAGGCCTGACCAGCATTATTCGGATCACCCTCAATATTCTTATCAACAGGAGAAATCCAAATGGCCGTAAAACCAAGATCGCGAATATAGTCTAATTTCTGTTCAATACCTTTCCATGAGCCACCGCAGTAGCTGTTGGAAGCTGGATTGCAAGGATAGTCTGCACTTCCTTCTTCTCTAGCAAAACGATCCGTTACAATTTGGTAAATAATTCTAGTTCGCCATTCTGTTGGAGTATGCGCGGCAGTATATCCAAAAAACGTAACAAGGAAGAAGGAAATCAAAAGAGATAATGGATTGAACATGAGAAATCGTATAAATCCTTAATTTATGGGTATAAATAGTATAAAATGCTCCAGTAAATGAGAGGTATGTGATGACAAAACGTAGATTTACAGATTAAATAATGAGGGAGAGATGAGAAAAAAGAAAGCAATTAATGAAAGAGAAAAGAAAGTAATAATGAGAAGAAAATGCAAATGAAAATGCAAAAAAAAGAGGGATAAAAGGGAATCAGATATTTTTCAAAACCAAACTGACCTTCTTTTCAAAATCGTAATTTGGATAAGCCAAGCTTCCGAAAAAAAGAAAGACGCGAAAAGCTCAAAAGGAATTATGTTAAGGATATTTAACAACAAATTCCTATTTTATAAAACTCATATATCTCTTCACAACAAACTTCTGAGTTTTTTGCTCTACTGAAGAAAAATGAAAAATAAAGTAGAAGGAGAGTTAACTCAGCCCTCCGCTTGAATATATGCAGCAGTCACCAGTGCTACTTTGGACCATATTTCTGTACCTTGAAAACTCTCCTTATCGTAGTTTGTGAGCATTATCGTAACAACCTTATCTTGCTTGCAAAATCTTTTTGTATTATTTTCGTTTTAAGATGACTTTGTCAATGGTATTTTGATACATAGTTTTCAATCTACCGCTAGAAGGTGCAGTTTTTATTCTGGAAATAGATTATGGTAGCCTACATATTTTTATTGTCCAAACAGCTAGTCTTCGTAAAATCGTATCTCCAAACGTACTTTGTAAATTAGAGTGAATTAAAAACCAGGAGGTTCATGATACTTTTTGACGAACTCTGGAGTTATCCATTCAGAAAATGATATATCTTCAGGAGGTAGTAGATACACCAGCAACCCCTTTTCCTGTTGTAGTTTCAACGATGTTGTACAAAATGGGTATAAACGAAAGTAACAATTGACAAGAGGTTCCTTCATAGAGACTCAAGGTCCATCCCATATAAATAAACATGTTGAAGTGTTCATGTTATAAAAGTAAATTCTAGCGAAAATGCAGTAATCAACTTCATTGCCTACACAGACCAGGTATTTCTATTGATGTGAGACAAAACAATTATACAGAGCGTTGAAATAGTAAATTCATTTAATTAGTTAATTTGTATGTGTCAAATACTAAAGGAATGTATTCCAAAACTTCGTTGCGGATTCTAGCTATCGATGTATGATTTCAGTTTCATTCCAGAATTCATTAGTATCGTCTTGGGCTCGTAATTGTACCAGTCCCATAAGCTCAAATTTAAATTCTATCAATTGCGTATTTTACTTATTGTAGTCAAACAGAATTGTAAATGTTACTAGTACATGTATTAAAATGAAGTATACGGGTGTATAAGCAGCACTATTGACTGGAGTATGTCCCTCCGATTCGAATGGGTTAAGTATAGCATCTAACTTCTCTGTCCCAATGGTTAAAAACTTTCTTTCACAATTTTTTTTATGTTTCTGAAGCTATAAAGTTTAGTTTACTTTGAGCTTTTATGATTACTTTCAACTAACTTTTTTGGTTCTCATCGTTCGGACTTTGCAGTCGTGTATTCCTTATTCGGGTAACAGATCTATAAGAATATACTCTTTTCTGTAATCTTTGTAGAGCTAATGCTCGTCATATTAGACTAGAAATTCAGAGAAGCGCGTTCCCGATTTCGATAGTCAAGCTTACTGACTTCATACTTTGGAATTTGATACTGGAGTAACATCAAGAAGGTGACAGTATGATCAAGAGTAAATGTTCTATGAATCGGTAGTACATGGAACCTGCACGTATTTTCGACGCTTAAGCCCTGTTATCTCTTTCTTCCTGTTTTTTACTAAACGATAAAGAAAAAGAAAAAACGAAAAGAAATCACGTTCTTTTGGTGGTCTATAAAAGTGTCGACAACTTTAACTATTGTTAGAAAATATATTCAAATATTGCCCTGACTTCATGCAATTTTAACGAAATATATAATGGAAGAAACAAAAGAATTGTACGAAGTCCTCGGACTTCCTGTTGATGTATGTAGAAACAATAAATGCCTCATGGCGATGGGTAATTTTCTTTTACTAATTGCTTTATGAATGACAGGCTACTGCAGAACAAATTAAAGATGCATATTACAGACTGTCAAAGCTCTTTCACCCGGATAGACATAATCTTGAACAGAAAGTAGTTGCGGAACAAAAATTTCAGCGGGTACAAGCCGCTTATGAGGTTCTTTCAGATCCCATAAAACGTCAAATCTACGATAAGTATGGCATGAAAGGACTAAAGGTTGACTGGGACATTGGTCCGGCTGGGCAGTCAGCCGAAGAATTGCAACAAACTATCCGTGAACAACTTCAAGCTAAAGAGTCTCAGAGTCTGGACTCGTTGATTCAAAATAGAACTGAAACAAATGTCATGATTAACGCTACTCCCCTATTTGCAAAAAACTTGCGTGTCCGTAACCCATTGGCATTAGGTATGGCTTCAACCAGAGAATTAACATTACTTGAACGTTTCTCTTTGGTTCAGTGGATATCATATCACTTAAAGACTTCATTTAGTATCCCATTAATTACTTCCAAAAACTCAAAACTTCCTATACCAAAATTTTTTCAAAGTTCTTCTGAGGATGATGAATTTTCTGACCATATCGATGATGGTGAGACTGTGAATGGATCAACGCGTCTTATTTTCATTTCTGAAGCGTCCGCAAAACTAGGAGCTAGGGCCCAGCCTTCTCTTTCTGCCGTTCTCCGACACCAAGTGTCTCCTCGCCTAAGCACTGAAACAGGTTTGTCACTTTTACGCCCAGGGGTTGCTACTCTCAAAGCCGTATATGCTATAAACAACGAAACTTTTGTCATTCCTATGGTGCGCATGGCTTCCTACAAACGTCCACCTCAGGCTACAGTCGTAGTTGGCCGTCAAATTTCTCGATATGGCACGCTTTCTATACGATGGAAAACAGGTAGTTGGTCTCTAGGTAATTGGGGAGCTGCTTATCCTCCAAATAACGCATCATCTTTTTCCTTAATTTGGCAACAACTCAAACCTTCACCAGATGATCCTTTTCCACTATTGAAATGGAACGCCGAACTGACAGCCGGTCTTATGTATAGTGGAATTGCTTGCAATTATAATCTTTCAACCTTAGGTCCATATCAAATGCAATGTGGAACATCCCTCAGTACTGTAGGAGGTTTGCAAGTAACCGCAGATGCAAATCGAAAAGTTTTCCGTCACAGCGCCATGGGTATGACTATAGCTGTTGCTGTTCCATCTGGTGCTATCACTTTGAACATCAGGTATGTATCTTTACTTTTATATTTGAATAGCGTGCTAACAAAACATTAGTTGGTCAAGATTAGGTCAGAAGTTTTCTTTCCCTATTATGTGGAGTGGTGCATTTGACAGATCTTCAATCTTTTGGGGATTGGTTTTACCTATAGGCACAGTTTTGGGCGTTGATAATTTCTTTTTACGCCCCAGACGTATATCTGAGTCGAAGCGTAGGAGAGCTCTTCGACTGCAGCAGCATAAAAAGATACATGAAACTAAGAAAGAAGAGGCTGAGCAAATAGTCGCATTAATGAAGGAACTTGTTCAAAAAAAGCAAAAAGTGGAAGCTGACAAAGGCGGTCTCGTTATTGAATATGCAGAATACAGAACTATTCCAAAGAACTCAGTCTTACGTAGGCAAAAAGAACACGCTATCAAACAGGATGTTACTATTCCAATTGCTTCTCTGGTTGACGATTCCCGATTAGTTATCCCTTCCAGTGTTTCCAAAGTAAGTAATAAAGACAAAAATCCAATCTAACAAAGCAGTCTTCGATTGTTGGAATTTATCCTCTATTCTCTGACGATGATAAAGAATTGCTAATTGTTTATAAATTTCACCAGCAATCTCATCGTGTTTTGTTACGTGAAAAACAAGGGGTTCTTTTACCTAATCGAGGTATGTTCATATAAAAATAATCAAATATACTAATAATAAATTTTAGAACACAAACTATTGCACTAAAGTGACTTCTTTGTTTATGTTTATATGGGGTTCCCGCCAAAGGGTTTGTTTGTTTACATAGAAGCAGGTACATATAAGTGCTATCAACGCTCATCATTTTTCAACCAGAACAATCCCTTGGAAGGTAGGACAAACTGTAGTCTTTTTGAAGACTAAGTGAGTAGGGGGTTTTTCGTTAATTTCTGACTGTATCTTGCCGCTTCCTGGTAAATTACGGTGCTTTAGAAAAACGATATTCTTGTAAAAGTTATGTTCATTTCTAAATGTACTTATGTTCTGCAAAGACTTTTCTTTTTTATAGGGCTATCCTTAGCAGAACAAAGAACGGCTAGTCAGTATGGCATTGACGAAATCACTTTATCCGCTGGAACAGTTGAGCCCCTTCCTGAACTTCATCATTCTTTGATAGGATCTAATAATTCCATCTTTGAAATTAATTCTTTAGATTATTCAGCGAATTATACCACCGACGATTTATGGTCTTCTGAATTTTCAGCGCCTTTAACTGAATATTCCAACCTAAATAGTTCAATAGTGGGGGAACGATTTGCTGATTATTTTAATTCTTTAAATTTTGAAGGAAAGGCGGCACTGGCTGCTTTAAACGCCCTAAAGCATTCATACGGCTCTTCGCATGTCCGGAGGTTCACCCCTTATGAGCTTTTTGGGCAATCACAATGGATTGAAGAAGCCACCGAAATTAATCATGTCGGTTGGTCAATTATGTTCGACAACCTTGGCCGATACTTCACATTGGAATTAAGAGGACTTCGTGAACTTACTTTCTCCTTCTTCATTCTCTTTGCCCTACTACCTATTGCTACTGGGGCCCTGACAGTTTATATTTTTAAAAGAAGATATTACGCCGTAACTTTTAATGAAAAGGGTCGGTCAAAAGAATCCATTAGACAACTTCAAGAAAATTCTGTCGTGGATTTCGATGATTCGTCAAAATCTTCAGCAACTCTTGCTTTACCAGACAACGATGAACCATTAGTAGTAAGGGATCCTCCCCATGAGCGTTTAAGCATTTTATTTGCTACCCTCGAATATAACATCCCGGACTGGAACATCAAAATTAAAATCGGCGGTTTGGGAGTAATGGCTCAGCTTATGAGCAATAATCTAAAACGCTACGATTTAATTTGGGTAGTACCTTGCGTTGGTGATATTGTTTATCCGGTTGCTGAGACAGCACCTTCTATCATTGTTAAAACTGTCAACCAACAGTACGAGGTAAAAGTTTACTATCACTACCTTGAAAATATAAAATATGTCATCCTTGATTGTCCTATCCTAAGGAAGCAAACGTCTCGCGACCCATATCCACTCCGTATGGACGATTTCTCATCTGCTATCTTCTATAGTATATGGAACCAATCTATTGCAGCTGTGATGATGCGTGAAAATCCTGACATTTATCATATTAATGATTATCACTGCGCTCTAGCTCCTTTATATAACCTTCCCAAAATTGTGCCCTGTGCTGTCTCGTTACATAATGCAGAATTCCAGGGTCTTTGGCCTCTTCAATCGGAAAACGATTTAAGAGATGTCTGTGGACTTTTCAATATTCCTAAGTCGGTTTGTAAGAGCTACGTTCAGTTCGGTAACGCTTTCAATCTAATGCACGCTGCAGCCTCGTATGTTCGTAAGCATCAATCTGGCTTTGGTGTAGTTGGTGTTTCCGATAAATATGGTCACCGATCCTGGGTTCGTTATCCTGTTTTTTGGAGTTTAAAGAAGGTTGGACATTTACCTAATCCCGATCCAACTGATGTCGATCCTGTTATAAGTTCTGAACCAAAACAATTGCCTAGCTTTGCGGAGTATAATGAGAAGAGAAAGGCTGAAAAAAGAAAGGCCCAAGAATGGGCTGGTTTAACTGTTGATGATACAGCTGACCTTTTAGTGTTTGTCGGACGTTGGTCCGTTCAGAAAGGTATCGATCTCATCGCTGACCTTGCTCCTACATTGTTAGACAAATTTAACACCCAGATCATTGTTGTTGGTCCTGTAATTGACTTACACGGAAAATTTGCTGCTGAAAAGTTTGCATACATTATGGAGCGGTATCCCGGACGCGTTTTTTCTCGTCCTGAATTTGTTCACCTACCTTCATTCATATTTGATGGTGCTGATTTCGCGCTAATACCTTCTCGTGATGAACCCTTTGGATTGGTAGCAGTTGAATTTGGTAGAAGGGGAGCTATCTGCATTGGTGCTCGTGTAGGTGGGTTGGGAGAAATGCCTGGATGGTGGTATGCGGTTGAATCTTCAACTACTCCTCATCTCTTAAAGCAGTTCGAAACGGCTTGCTGCAGAGCTTTGAACTCTCCAACTACACTACGTCATAATCTTCGCATGGCAGCTATTCAGCAACGCTTTCCTGTTACTGAGTGGGTCGCCTTGTACGACAAGCTAATAAAGAAATGCATCAAAACCCATAAAAAGGCTGTTAAATCAGTCCCTGTCAATGAAAAATCCAATAGCAATTCTACTCCTCTACCGAGTATCGAAGTCAATGATACGAACGGAACTATGGTTGCAAATAAACAAAGCCCTGAAGTTGAAGAAGTCCCTGATGCTTCAGAACCAACTAACTCAGCAGGTGAGAGGAATCGTGTAGTACATGGGGAACTTAGTCCGGAGAAACTTGACGAGATTATGGAGACTGATAATGATTCAGTTGCGTCCTCGGTAGGCAGCCGGCCTTTATCGGAATTAACTTACATATCTCAAAGTTCGATGAACCTTGGATCTAAACTCGACGTGAGATTTATCGACGCAAACGGAGTTGCGATTTCAGAGTTTTCTTCAGCCTTAAGTGATTTGACAGCGGAAAATTCGAAAACGAAGCTATGTATTGATAACTTCTTGGTGAAGGTTTTACAGAAATGGTACAACGAAGAGCATCATTACTATCGAACGGGCTTTCGTCCTCGTTTTTACAAATATTTAAAAACAAAAGGTAAGAAACCTCGAGAAGTTGATGATGGCTCTAGTGTGCTTTCCGAAAGGTCATTTAGAGAAGGATTTGGGCCTGTCAGAGGTGTCGCTGGTCATCAGTTGTCTACATGTCAACGAGTAATGTACGTGAAGGTGGTTGGTTGGCCGCTCTATGCTATTTTTCTTGCTCTTGGCCAAATCTTGTCAATCTCTTCGTTTCATTTGTCTCTTTTATCCGGATTTGAAAGAAATCATATTGCCTCTCTATATGTAGTAAACGGAATATTTATATTATCTACCTTTTTCTGGTGGGGTCTTTACAGAAATTTTGCAAGCATTCATTGTTTGTCGCTTCCGTTTACCGTATATGGCTTAGCATTCAGTATGACCGGTATCTCATCTATGCCTTTTATTCCATTTACAACGAGAGGTTGGCTGAGTTATGGTGCTACCTGGATCTATGCTATTGCAGCATCTAGTGGGCCTTTGTATTTTACTCTGAATTTTGAAGATGAACATACTAAAGGCTTAGGCTCTTGGGTTACTCGCGCTTGTATTTTACATGGTCTTCAACAGTTGTGGACAGCTTTGCTTTGGCTTTGGGGAACATTATCCAGTCATTTAGATTGGAACTATTCCATTTTAATTAAACCCATGAACAATATCCTTGTTGCAGCCGCTGTTTTTCCAATTGCTTTCGTGCTTATGCTAACTACCATTATGTTGTACAAAGGTTTACCTCCTTTTTATCGACAAACACCCGGGAGCATACCAGCATTTTCGAAGGCTTTATTCCATCGCCGTGTAGTTATATGCTTCTTACTAATGGTAATTAATCAAAACTTCTGGATGTCTTCATTAATCAGTCATGGATGGAGATTCTTTTGGAATTCTGAACTCACAGTACTATGGAAAGTTATTGTTATGATGATATGTTTCCTTGTATTTTTGTGGGTTGGACTATTAGCTTTATTAGGGAAGCTATCAAATACTCATACTTGGTTGATTCCTGTGTTGGGTCTAGGCTTTGGAGGAATCAAATGGCTTCATGTATTTTGGGGAACCTCTAATATCGGATTCTTTTTGCCCTGGGCTGGAATTTCAGGAGCATATCTAGGACGTGCACTATGGCTTTGGCTGGGAGTTTTGGATTCTATCCAAGGAATTGGATGTGGTCTTATTCTTCTCCAAACGCTTTCTCGAAGACATGTGACAAACACTTTATTAATTGCGCAAGTGATTGGTGCTTCAGTTACACTTTTGGCATCTGCGATATCACCCACCAAGACTGGACCTGGTAATGTATTCCCTGATATAACTGCATATACAACAGTTGATGGCGTAAAACCAATCGCTAATGCTGCTTTTTGGATATGTCTTTGCGTAAATGTTATTTTATGTGGTGTCTATCTAAAATGCTTCCACAAAGAAAATATAAACAGGCCTTAGTGATTAACTTTTTCATGGTCTTTTTTAATAGTTTAATATGATATTTATAAGTTTTGTACATTAGGAAATGACCTATAAAGATTTCAGTAGCATTATTGTAAATTTGGCATAATCTCCCTTAAAGAGCCTGACTTTTGAAACTTTCTCTTTATTCTGATGTGGTTTTCATATATGAGTTTATTTTGATAAAACAGCCAATGGAAAATTGACACTTCAATCACTTTCTCTTACACGTCAAGTGGTCCACCAAAATTATCTTAAAACTGGAACGTCTCTATAACATATCCATAAAAGGCCTTAATTCAAGGGTTCTGAAAGGTAATAAGAAATTACACAAGCATGGATGCGAAATCTTTGAAAGAATTGTGGAACGAAACAAATCATTTGAAAGAAACTAAAGGGATCTCTCAAGAGACAGTTCCACAATTGGTAAAAGGATACGAGTCCTGTCTTGGCTTGGTCAGAAGAGCACGTCTATTCTCTTTGAATGAAGACATTGATGAAGTGAAAACGAGTGAATTGAGATATTTACTACTGGATTTTGAGGTCGCGAAGTGTATGGAACAATGGATGCAAAATGACCGACTAAAAGTCATTGAATACTCAAAAACTTGCTACGAAAATTTCCTTCGAATTTGCGAAGGTTACGGACTGAAGCCGTTACCAATTTCTTCGTTTACAAAAGATACAGATGCAAGAAGTACAAAAATTGCACGGTATAAACTACGAAAAGATATAGAAAACGAAATTGGATCCATGACCAAAGAACACATACAGGATGAAGAATTAGAGCGAAAGGTGTGGATCAACAAAATACAAATGGCGATAGAAGACACAGTTGACGATATGAGACACATTGAAATGGAGATTCAGATTCTGAAAAGTTTAGAGAAGCAAGCACATGAAAAAGACATAAGTCAAAGCCAAGAAACATTAAGGAAGGAAGAGCAAAGAAATCAGGATCGCAATACTTGGAAACTAGATTCACTTACCAAAGAAAGCCTTTTGGATCCAAAGAATAGACCTATACAGCCATTTACGATTGTTTCAGATAGAAATGCGAAGTCGAAAAACGTTTTTGGACCTGGTTATAATTTACCGACAATGAGTGTGGATGAATATTTAGATGAAGAAGCTAAGCGTGGAAATATTATAAGTCAAAAGGATAATCAGAATCAGCAAGGATCCTCTGAAGATGAAGATGATAATGATATTGCTGATGCCAAAACTATGAAAGCACGATACTGGGATGAATATACGGAAGCCAATCCTCGAGGCAGTGGAAACACAATGGTTAATCGGGGTTAAAAGGACTGGAAATTTTGAACGAATTGAACAATTCATAGTCCATATACCCAAGAAAACTTCCTTCCTTTTTAAGAACTGAGTCTGCTAACGCGATTAACTAGTACAGTCATATGCCACAAACAACTGATTCTGAGCAATCTACATAATGAAGCGGTTTTAGTTCTATCTTAAAATATTGAATGTTATTGTTTTAATCACTCAGCACAGTTTTTATTTATTTATTTTATTTTTTTCAATTCGCAAGCGAATACCTATGGTGATTTGTTCGATTTCTGAATATAGTTATTGAAATAGTAGAAATATATGATTATGATTGTTAAACGAACAACCAGCCGTGTGCCGTAAATTCTACATATTCTCTCTTACGGCTAACAATAGTTAAACCACTCCCAGACAGTGTGATTATTTGCACTGTAGAGACGTAGTTAATTTTCTTTTTTGTTCGGTATAGCCAGGTAATTAGACGAAAAAAAAGAAAAAAAAAAGGCTATTCTATCATAATATCTGCTCTGTCGTTTGTTTAGTTTTTCAAAAACATCTAGAAGTACTCGCTATTAACGATGGTCGCTGCCAAATCTTCTGTCAGGATCGGAAATGACGCCGAAACATATGTGTTTGACATAGCTCAACTGAAAGATCAGATAGCTGCTAGCTGCTCTAACGGTACTTGGGCTTGTTATGACAAGACAACTTTACGAGAATCATTCAAAGTTCCAAATGCTCACTCTAATATCACAGGTATTATTAACTATGAGAAGCATAATGGTGTATTAACTTGTGGTACCGACGGAAAATTACACTTGTGGGATATACGAAATTCACCATCCAAGCCAGCTAGAACTTGGACTTCACAATCAGTCCCCTTAACATGTTTGGCAGCGAATCAGACGGAGCAGATAGCAGCTGGTTCTGAATTGACACGCTCTTTAGCTTCCATCTTCTTGCTAGATGCTAGAAATGAGCAAAAGATCATCCGTCAATGGAACGATGCTCACAACGATGATATAACCAGTTTACAATTCCATCCAAAAGATAATAATTTACTACTTACTGGGTCCGTGGATGGACTTGTTAATCTTGTAGACATTACTAAAGACGAAGATACGGAGAATATCGACGAAGACCCATTGTTGCACGTAATTAACCACGACGCTTCTATTCACGTTGCTCGCTTTTTAGGTAAACGGAGAGTCTTGGCATTGTCTCACATGGAATCTTACGCTCTGTATAAGTTAAAACGTGATTCAGACGAGAAAACATGGACGAGTAAAGAGGTTGCTTCAGAGCAAGACTTACGACAATCGCTTCCATGTAGTTATGTAATTGATGCTTTTCCTGGTAATGATAAGCACTCTTATATGCTCGCTTTTGGCTCTTTTTCAAGTAATGAGACTCAGATAGCTTCTTTGGACGCAGACACCGGTGCAATTCACAAAAATGATACCATATTTGAACGAATGAGTACTGAAATTTGCCGAGCAATTACCTTTGACTCTAAAAATCATGCATATTACATGGGCGGTGAAGATGGTATGCTACAATGTTTTACTGTATGATTTAAAAAGGAGAATAGGAACATATAAAATTAGAGTGTCTTATTTATTAGCTTTTTTTTGGTAGTTTTATATTAAAAATCATCCAGCGTTTTGCTTGTACTCTATAGGCAACATTCCCTCAGATGTTGAATGGATTTTTAAGAGCATATATTAATCTGAGATGCTATGTATGGTCATACTTCTTATTGTAATATATATAAGCATATATCTTTCGTATTTAGTGATATTGTTATTGAACATCTTAATATTAATGTTTAATACAATCATATCCTTAGCTACATTACTAATCATTTGTGTAAGCATATGTTGGTAATAAGATACATGGTTTAGCATATTATCTAATTTTTATGAACGTCGTTCACTTAAGACAAGTAAACAAAACTTACAATATCCACTTTATTTCCTGTACATAGTGAATTTTGGTTGTTCTAGGTTGGATCTTTGGATTTCTCGTAATGGCTAACTCTAGATTTGAGTATGTTAAGCAATATGAGCGAATAGATAGATTATTACCGGAAACATATATTGTAATTCGAATTGATGGCAAAGGATTTCACAAATTTACTAAAAAGCACGAATTCGAAAAACCCAACGACCTTAGATGCTTGAGTTTAATGAACGCAGCTGCTAGAGTGGTAATGTCTGAATTTACAGACATTGTATTGGCATACGGGGATAGTGATGAGTATAGGTAAATAATACCTAAATCTATAGTATCTAACGGAATAGTTTTATATGGTCAAAAAGTACTGAGTTATATGAACGAAGAGAAAACAAATTGGTATCCCATGTATGCTCCTTATTTACATCTGCATTTGTGTTCAATTGGCCTCGATATTTTGATATGCCACTGTTATCTCTCCCTTCATTTGACGGTCGTGCCGTTTTGTACCCAAATATTAGCGTTCTACGGGATTATTTGAATTGGAGACAGGTTGACTGTCATATAAATAATTTGTACAACACTACGTTTTGGGCTTTAATACAAAAAGGTGGACTCACAAATACCAAAGCGGAAGAGTACTTAAAGGTAAGTAATGGTATTGATTGCCGTCGGATTGTATCGTTAACTTGTCGGTCTTTTGGGATCGTGTAGGGTACGGTTAGTTCTCAAAAACATGAAATTCTCTTCTCTCAATTTCATATAAATTATAATAACGAACTTGAAATTTATAAGAAAGGTTCCATTTGGGTACGGGAGGTAAGTCTATCTTAAATAACATCGTTCTGTTGCTTACCTAGTTCAGCCTGAAGAAAATGAATCAGCTCCTTCTAAACACGAAAAGTACTCTACGAAACAGAAACGAAAAATGGGTCTACGATTACTTCATGTTAGCATTATTGATAATCAGTTTTGGGATTCTCGGCCTTATCTTAACATCTTGCTTAATTAAATCCGTTTGTAAAAGCATGAAGTCAATGCTAAGCTGGGATAGCAACAGCAAACAGTTTTACTACTACTTTAGTTGTGCAAAAAATAATTTATTGAAGCCGTAAATTTGCATGCGAAGCTTCTCTATTATCAGTTAAATATAGATTAAATAATTAAGTAAAAAGATATTAGCGGTACAATACGGGTCATAACAAAATTAGTCGAAAATCATAAGTGTGAAATAGACTGGAAAAGAATTACCTCCAACAGCGTAAATAGAAACAGGTGATTATTCATGCATAATTCGTAGCAAAGGTCACGTTAGCTAATCCTTCAGAAACCTTATCTGCCACGTTTGGAAGACTTCCTTGAAGTTTTCCTTGTAACAAGTCCAAACGTTTTGAAATTAGTGTGATTACTAAAATTGTTAGACTTATAGATCATCTTAAAATATGCAAAGACACTTACATTTCTGGATAGTAAAGGTATTGTTAAAGTCCTCAGTGCCGCTAGGAGTCGAAAATTCACCTTCAAGTAGTGACTCCAATAAGTTATTGGCGACTTTGTAGCTTTTAAATGAACTGAACACATCATTTCCAGAAAGTTCCGAGGTAGCTGCGTTCCGAGACTGTAAAGTTAGTAGATAGTATCAAAATTTACCTTAGTAACTTACTATATCTAAAGCCCTTTGGTAGATGAGTTGCGATGCAAATGCGGGTTTGGTGATACGTAAAGTATTAGCAAAGGAATATGAATTCACAACAGCCTTCAAAAATTCAGATTTTTCAAGGCTCTCCATGTATCTTTTTTGATACCATTCCAATGCTTCTCGACATTCAGACGTATTCTTCTCATCCTTGTTAGACAAACCGGTTGAAACAAAATTAAATGCAATTTGAAGGAGCTCAATATCTCTTTGGTATAAAGTCAACGACTCTTTTACTAAAGAAACCAATGATGCTGAAGTGAGCCGAGCATCTTTTAATGTATCATACTGTGCATCGTCAATTTCTAATGACGGAAGTACTTGTACCAACTTCACCTCGGCCATATGAAAAACAGCATTTGCTTTAGCAGCAAGGTCTTCTAATACTTCCATCAATGTTTTATGGATAGTTTGGTTAACAGGTGCGTTTGTACGGCTCGGCAAGCCAGTTTGCTTAGGTAATGATTGAATAGGACTTTTACTTGCAACACCATCAATCCCATGATTTAGTTTGGCATTGGCAACATTAAGAGCTCTTTCCAACGCACTTTCATGACTGTCACCACTGGGCGCATTTGGTAACGATATAGGTGTTTGTTCAAAAGCCCTTCGTAACTGCGTAACCGGCGTATGTGACATATAAGGATTATGAGGCGGGTAGGCATTAGCTTTCATGTAAGGTATAGGAATGCGACGGGGATGAATATATGTTTGGGTGTTAGACGGTAAACTTTCCGGTGAAAAACTTCCGTGAAAAACGTCTTCGTTAGGAGAAGCAGAATTTCCATTCACAGAGCGGTCCCGGTTTTGAACATGGTCTATTTCATCATCGGAATGATGCTCAAAGGAATTTACATTATTTCGATCAACAACAACAAAAGTACTACTTTTGTCGGATACATGGTTATTATGGTATTTATGCTCGGAGATGGCTAAATTCGTTTTAGAATTAAAATGTGAAGGAAAATTGCTTGCAGGAGGTGCACTTTCAGGTGGAAAAACAGCAGGGGCATGTGGCAATGCCGTACCGTCTTGTACATAACGGGTAGAATGTCGTCGCTGGGATATATTTGTAGGTTGTTGCACAGAGCCTTGGGCCTGAAAGGCCTGTCGCAATAAGCCACCAGGAGGGTTGTTCGGGTTGCTTTTCGGGAAAAAATCGGTAATATATGCAGGACTAGAAGAAGGGATATTAATACCTTTAACTGCGTCCTGAATATCACTACCAGTCAGTGAAGATTCATCTATCACTGGAGCTGTAATTACCATACTGGCAAAAAATTGGTCGTAATCGATACGGTCTGCGGGGTTTTGCTTTAACAGAGAACATATTAGTGCCTTTATATCCGAATGAATGAACGCTTCTTCTGGAAATCTTATCACATCTTTTGCACGCTGGATACGGCGTAGAAGTTCTACATGGTTGGGAGCTTTAAATGGAGGTTTTCCTACAGCCATCTCATACAGAACAGCACCAACGGACCACAAATCTGCTTTCGCATCGTATTTTTCATATCTCAAAATCTCAGGAGCCATGTATAGAGGGGATCCGCAAAGAGTTTCGGCCATGCTCGACGTTTGAAGGTAGCGAGCAAAACCAAAGTCAGCCAGTTTTAGCATGGGTAATTTGGGGCTACCTATGAATTGGGGATGCTCCTCCAAAAAAGCTTCAGTTGGTGGAGGTTGTAGAAGCAAATTCTGAGGCTTCACATCACGATGTATCAGAGATCGGGAGCGCAAGAACTGGAGTGCAGAAGCCAATTGCTTCATAAAATGACGAACTAAGGTTTCATTTAATCCGGCTTTATAAACAGGTGGATGGTCTACGTTAATCCAGGCCAAAGAAGGTATACTGCTAAATTTCTCTCGTTTCCGAATGAAGTAGCTGAGATCTCCCAATGAACAGTACTCCATAATAAGATGAATGAATCTGCCGAGTTTAATGCAGTCTATTAATTCTACAACGTGCACATGTCGAATTTCCTTTAGTATTGATATTTCGCTTTCTAAGTTCTCCAGCAGCTTCTTGGTTAATTTTTTCGTCAGCACACTCTTAATTGAGACCACACGCTTTGTTTCCTAAATGGTAAGTTAGTTCTCTACCCATTTTTAGCAAGCAATTCACTTTTGACTTACCGAATGCTTCCCCTTGTAAACAATGGCGAAAGAGCCGCGTCCAATTTCTGATCGAATAACATAGGGACCGATACTTTGATTGTTGTTACTATGTGCGTTCATACAAAAAGAATTCCACAATATATGAATGAAAAAAACTCAATTCCCAATAATTCTATTGTTAACATGGGAGTTGGTAAAGACATCATTTGAGATTATCAATTGCCTTTATCATCAACATATATAGAGAGCTCACTCGAGCTCCCTAATTACTAACACCACGATTTTAATGTTGATCTATGCTGTAGTATGCGTATGTACTAGATAAACGAAATTACTGCTGGTTGATGAAAGTTTTAATGAAATTAGCATCAATTTGCCAACTGTTCCTGCCGTGGTACTTACCATACTAAAGCCTACCCTTCTACTACTCTACTAATTAAACGGACAACTGCCGAATGCTACTGTCTTATAATATTGTTAGATTCTTTAGCGTATGTGAACGTCATCCCAAAGGTTGAATTTCAAACATACTTGTAAATATAGGGCAGGAACTTCCGTGTGATAGAATGTATTGAATTGCAAGAGACTTGGGCGATGAAAGTTGAAGATATCTCACAAACACTTACAATGCTTGAATTCTTATTTCCATTGTTTGTTTACTCAATATAACACAAAGGCACTTTAAGTTTATATCAACCGATCTTCTTCTCAAATATATAAACCTATCGCATAATTTCGTAACAGAATCATAGTAATCAAAAAAATGTGACAAAAGCAATAATACACTGAACAGTATATACAAGTTGTCAATTAGAATACTTCAAAGATGTCGATTATCAGGTTGTGCAGTATGTTTCTGTCTTACTGCAAACCGAACCAGATAATCTTAAATTTCTTTCAACACCTCTTTAGCACATTCTCCTGTAGCGTATAAATGAATTTACATAGTATACAAGATCCACAACTTTAAGACTCATGAAACTTCCTAGTTTAGGTATTTTCCAATACTCGATACAGGACCCACATATACATGGGCAAAATGAGATTATCGTTTTCCAATGAAACGGCCTCAAGCATAGCTGTGAAAACAGACATAGCCAACGTATTCATTAAGCTAACGTGAGGGCAAATGCGTAATCGATGTGCGAGCTGAAGAACAATGAAAACAGATACTGAAAAAGCAACGGTGCCCTCTAATGTTTTTTCCGTTCTACGAATTCTAATCTTTCCGTATTTTTTTCCAATGATACTTGCCATAGAATCACCACATCCAAGACAGAGAACACCAACCAAAAGTTCGGCGGAAGCGACTGGTCCCCGTAATGCATGGGAGAACCAGACAGGGATTGCACATCCAATCAAAAGGTAAATATGCGAAATAATCAATGGCCCACGATGATCTCTATTATCTGTATATTGCCATAAAAATGTATGTATAATTTCCCCAAATGGTTCCAAACGGAGCACACGAATGCCCTCTATAAACAAAAAAGAAAAGAGTACGCCCGAAAACGCAAGGTGTACAAAATAGGGATCTGTACAATAAGTGGGAAGAAACATAAAAACAATGAGAGCATGATATGTTTTTCTTCTGAAGTTTAATAACTCTCCCTTTGATCCAAAATAATCACGGAAGAAACTGCCGTTATGAGAGCAAATGACAAAACCTATATAACTTGATAGACACATAATCCACCAAACCAAAATTGTTATTCTTTTTTTTGAGTATGGACTCAAAAATACTTGAGCAAATACCCAGTATTCAGGCTTTTGTTGTATACGCTTTGAAACCCACAATCGAGAAACGAAAATAACAACGAAAACACTAGCTGCATAAACTAATAGAGAAGACTTTTCCTTTGTAAGTTTGCATCTTGAACATACATGGAGCAGGAAAGAAATTAGTAGAACTAGTGAGGGAACAGATATTAATAAAACACCGGCTAAGACAGATACTAGAGGGCCAGCCTCGTTGAGAAACGTAGCATATGCTACACTGCTAAGTCCGGTGGAAATTAGAACGGCTTCGATAAATGTGAAGCTGTTTTTCGTGATTTCTATAAAGGCTTCCACAATGGTCGCATGAAGTTGCAAAGGAACGAACCAGGTTTGCAATCCCTTCAATAAATATGAGAAGAGCGGAAACCTCAGGTTAAAAGAGATTGCCGCATTATAAAAACAGACCATGTACATTTCATGAAAAAGTAAAGAGTCCCTTCCAAAACCAATACATAGGATGGCAAAAGGAAAGGAGGAAAGCCACAATAGAGGTCTAATAGCATCTATTAGCTTTGAACTTGGAACGAATGTTAGTTACTTACTCGTAAAAGCATTTTTCTTTGGGATTTGCAAGGAAATATATAAAAGCGGGCAGAAAGAAGGTAATATTAGAAAAGCTAGGATGTGGGACGAAAGAATCAGATAGGAAGGGAAGGAATAGGATAGAAAATATTTCCAAAACAATCTCAATTTCAAAAGAAGGAAGGTTCATTAGTAAGGATGCTTTAAGCAAATTCTAGATAGAATCAACCGACAACAAAAAGCTATTTTCCTTTCTTTTATGTAGTTTAGAATTTAATTGTCTTTTTTAGTTTTCCTTTTTTTTTTTTGGGTGTGTAATCATTCAGGTAAGCTAGATCGACCAGCGTGCTTAAACGACCTGAAATTTTGGCAAAATGGCGCTAAAAGTTATTCGGCAAGGAAGAATAAAAGGAATATCTTTTAGAATGTACTATAGCATTCTAGACACTCATCAATTGCGAGGAGTCTTTTTTGTGTAGTGTAGAATTGAAAAGGTCGGTGAGCTGAGAATCCTGTTTATAAGCGAAAGAACTACTAATCCTCATAACAAGTGATTCAACAAAAATAAATCTTTATAGTGAAAATGAAAAATTACAAAATAAACAAAGAATACAAACTTTAAAAGTCAAAGAAGCAAGGCTTTTATGCAAGCCCACCAAGAAATGTTACGAATGACTGTATACGACTACATAAAAAAAAAAAAAAAAGAAAGACAAAAGCGTCAAGCGTAAATAAAGTAAAGTAAGTAGATGATGAAGAACTCTATGGAATGTGGGCGAGAAAGGACGGTAAGAGAAGAAGGAAAACAGCACATATAAAAAGGTATCAATCTTTTTCCGGGAACATGTCAAAGTACGTGGTTGTACATTACGATAAAACAAGACAAACGAGCCAAGTAAACAAAGGTAAACATTCATAAACGAAATTTAATCTTGACGACCCTTTACAAGTCGTTTCACACATTTGTCAGGTGTAATGATGTAGACAATACAACCCCAACCACTAATTGCATCGCGGTCCTGAGCGTTTAAGAGAGCTTGTGAAATGGTTTCAAACAAATCTTCAGGCTCGAGGTTGGGCTCGTATACGGACTCGCACATACCGTAAAGTTGTTCAGCAGCAGTGCCGCTCACGATAAAGTCATCAGCAAAGTCAATACAACCAATGGAATCGAATCCACAAATAAAAGGGTTGTCATCTTTAGCTAAACCAGCAACTACTGGGAAAGAAAAGTAAGGTCCGAATCTAAAGAGAAGTGTTAGTAAAAGACTCAATGAATCATTGGAAAAGCAATTAAATAGAGAACAAAGTAATGATTTCTACTAAAAAAGTGAATGCCGTACCTTTTTTCGTAAAGGGAAGTGGACACCAAGTTGGCGAAGGTCTTTGGTTCAATTTGGCGCTCTTCACGGAATTTATACATGTTTACTTTATAACGGAATAATTCATAGAGTGTTTGGACATCACTAGCAAAGCCTGTGAGACCCAAATATGTCTTGTCGGTCATGGGGAATACCTTTGGAAAGTTATTTGCCAAGGATATAGATTGTACTCCCAATCGTAAGTCAGATGCAATAGCCACGCAGTTCTTTCCTGTCATGGCTACGCAGGATCCACCATTATATTCCATAATACTCATTTTGGCAATGTTTCGTGAAGAGATGAAGGATGCATACCTCTCAAAGAAAGCAAATAGGTTGAATGTACATGAAATACCGTACTCCAACGTATACCCTTTATAAGAGATTTCAATAGAATTATCACTACGAAAAGTATTTTAATGGGGTTCTTTGGAGTTTGGTATTTTGCTTTCTAATAATACGATTTTATCGTTCTAATGATTCCTCCAGGGCAGGCTTCTAAGCAGCAAAAGGGAAGAATAGTCGATGGTCATTCTCAAATAGATCTGTAAGATGACTTTTTCTTATTTTATATTAGACAACCAATTCATCTTTGTTTTTTTTTCTGTGTGTGTAACTGAGGTTTCCTAGCGGTATTTCTTCTATGGGCAGGACCTTACGAGGGACAAATTGAAGGGAACCATAGCTATCGAATCGACATTGGAAAAAGAGAAACTACCGAAATTTTAATTTATAGCAAGATTAAAAGTTTTTCTACTTTAATGACTTGGATTCCACACACTTTTAGTGTTTCGCGATATCATACAGCTTGTTTTACAAGATCGCCCATTTCTTGGAATACAATCCAACGAGCACAGAACAATGAACAGTCATCAAACGTACATCAATGGATGTTGGTTTTTTAAAATTCTTAAAAATATATTCTAAAAAAGAAAAAAATAAAAACAAAAAAGAGCAAGGCTGGTGGATTACTCTGTAAATCATATTATTCTTTCCTAATACGATGTCCTTTTTCGAAAAGATTATCGCGTTGTAAAGTGTTATGTGATATACCGCACACCAGTGTTCATTCGCAGATGCACTCCAAAGGCAAAACCAGCCTACGTAAGCACGAAAAGAGCAAAGTCCGTCTTTTTCGAATTCATCAATCTTTGGAAATGCAAAAGGATTACTACTCTATACTAAACGTTTCAAAAAAAGCAACTCAGGAAGAGATACGGTTTGCATATAAAAGAGCTGCTCTTGAAACACACCCTGACCGCGTGTCTCCCAATGAACGAACAGAAGCAACGCAGCGATTTCAGTTGGTGAATGAGGCCTTCTACGTATTAGGAGATCCTACACGTCGTTCTCAATATGATCGTGAAAATTCTTATTCTTCTTCGTCCTCATCATGGTCAAAAGCGAAACCATCTTCTTCTTTCTTTGGTGGCCGGAGCAAAGATGAGGATGCTTCTTCGAGTCAAGGGGAAAAGTATTCATATGGATTCCAAGAATCTTTTGCAAACTCCCAATTCGGTAATATTTTTAATGAAATGATGAGTGAATCTTCTAGCGAGGGCCTACTTCACCATATCTGGACCGCCATCGGCGGTCTCGCAGGAGCTGCGCTTGGTTTCATTGCTTTCGATACTCCAGGAGCCCTTTTGGGATCCTTTTCCGGTGCTAATTTGGGCAGAATCCGAGACAAGCATGGCAAAAGTGCCTATAGTGTTTTCATGGATCTTCCAGCTACTGAGAAAGCTCGTATTCTAAGCAAATTACTCTTTCAAATTCTAAATACTTCAAAAAATTTTTCTAATAAATCACCTTAGTGGTTTTCGATTCCATTTTTGCATCTGATTTCTTTCCTGCTCGTATCTTTTTGTCGCACCTTGACCTTACATCTTCAGGTTCTTTCACTTGTCTCTTTTTTTTTACGATTCATATTAATGATATTTTAAATAATTATTTATTTATTATTTTGTATAAATATATACTATTGCTATTCATCTTTGCTGTATTTGTTTATTTGTTTTCTTTATGTCCTTATTGTCTGAATCAGCGATATCATTATAATGTATGTGACTCAGGAATGAGCACTGTAATATTGCTTTCACTGAGGCACCTTTGAATTAAGCGCAACGCAGCCGATTATCCATGATTTGCTGATCGTACGAAACTTTGATGTCATTTAAATGTGTCAACATGATGTAGAATGTTTTTCTTCCCTTCATTGATGTCTACCTGAATTCTCTTTTAACCTATATCTGAAAGTACTAATAACGACTTTAAGCCAAAGGTAAAACCGTATAAATCCATCCTTTCCTTCTCAATAGTGAAATATCTTGGAAAGCAGTGTCCGTGACTTGTTCTTTAGTGTCTAAGTCTTTTACATTCATTTTCTAGTATTGTCGTTTGTCTTAGCCGTGTGTGTGCGTAAAGTTGGAAGAAATTCCATTGTTCTACTTTGGTAAATCCACCTTTCCAACTTAATGATCGAAATTATTCTATCATGACTTCTGTAAATAACACTTCTTTACCATCACCTGACGGTGCTGAATTGACTGGTCTCCATTCAGACAGTCAACAGACCGCAACCACTATTAGTAATAAATCGCTCAAAGGTCATTACGGCTCCCATCCTCATCAGGATCATCCTTCTGCCTATGTGGCAGCCAAGACAGGATTTACTTCTCGAACTGTACCAGCTGATTTACGTTATGATCAATCTAATCAAGTTTCTCAGAATGGAAATGATCTTTCTACAGTCTCTAACAGACCCAATCAGTCAAGATTTCAATATGTTGCAGCCGGTGCAAACCGGGCTGCTGGACATCGCTCCGGTGGGTTTGAAAATCCTTCCGCTGATTCAAATTCAATACACACTTCGGGTTCTTACGGCTATCACCCTCATCCTCATGCTGGTAAGGCCGCGCAATCTGCGCATGTCATTAAACACACTGATATGTCCGAAGGAAGACCCAATGAAAATGGTTATGGTCATGACGAACAACGCAAGCCATTGCAATTTCCCACTAACCCTGTGTTTGCGGGTTCTGCTCAACAGCCTATCGGTACTGACCCACACTCTTCCAATGAATTTGATGAAGACTCTTCTCGCAAAGTTCGTCTTGCCTCTCAGCTAGCTAAACATTCTGCCACCTACGCCCATCAAGCCCCTGAGCCCGAGTCAGCATCTGATCCTGCTCTTCCTCATCGAATGGCTGCCTCCCAATTAGTCCATAATCTTTCAGTGCAAGGTTCCTCTTCTTTAGAACCACAAGAGTCTTCTCGAGAAGCTCCTTCATCTGCAAATGCGAATTCTCTCGCTGCCGCCTCTTATGCTGCCTCCCATGCGAAATACGATAAATCGCAACCTAACGTGGAACAGAGCACATCGCCCAAAGGCGATGATGAATATCAGAGAGTTCGCAATATGAACTTGATTTCTCCTTCCGGTGACAACTTTTTACGTGATCATACTGGACAAGAGGACAATGGTGATGCCTTTGCTGGCTTTTCAAGAAGCGATCTTTTGAATAATGCACCTGGTTACCAAGGTTCACGAGCTTCAACCTATGGAAACACTAAAAATGCAGGCAGTGAACGTCCAGTGAAACCGATTTACTATGCTCCTGGCTCTACTACAATCAGTAACCAACATCAGCAGAAGCCAAAAGAAGGACCAACATATGATTTTAGTGCTGCATCTGCAGCTCTTCGTCGTCATCGTAGTATGAATGCAAATACATCTCGTAATGATAATTTCGAAAGTCAAGAGGATGCGAGGACTCGTGATTGGATTCGACAAATGCGGCTTCCAACCAGAAGCACAATTGCAACAAATGATTATAGACAGGAGCCGAGTTATTCAAACAACGTTGATCGCGATCAAATACAAGATGAAGCAATTAAACGTGTTCGTGATATGAACTTGGATCTTTCGAAAATTCAGAACAGGACAGACTCTCAAATTCGAGCTTATCGTCCTAGGTCTTCTCATCATCCTGCCTATTCCTATGCTGGAACCGACCAATACTCTAGAGATGCAGATAATGCATACGTTCCTCAAAACCAGGGAAGATACTCCCAAGCCAATCCAGTGTCTTATATTGATGGAAGATCCTCTTGGAACGATGAAGACTCATATGGTGCTAGTCCTGTAGAAGTGAGGGGAGCTGCTCACCAAGGCTTCAGCAGGCCTTCAACTGTTGTTGGTTCCGTCCCTGGACGAGGAGGTGTTTCTTCGAATGATGCAGATGTCGAGGCTTTACAGAAGAGACTTTCCAGAGCTTATATTGATCATGAACGTGAAGAAACATATGCTATAGATCTTGGTGCTGGTCGTCTCATATCTCCAGAAGAATTGGAGGCCATTGCGAGACGTAATGTGGATCCAATGGTTTCTGAGCTAGCCGAACGTGCTGCAGCCGAGAACCAGAGAAAGCAACAAGCATCGGATTCAAAGGCTGCTAAAAAGCAAGCTAAAGAAGAAAAGAAACAAAGAAAGAGGGATGAAAAGGCACGAAAGGCGGAAGAAAAACGACTTGCTAAAGAAAGAGCCAAATTTGCTAAGCAAATGTCTAAGGATGCTGGAAGAACTGACGAAGTAGCCGCTGCCCCTATTACCGATCATGAGCAAGAAACCAGTACTTCTTCAGCAGAATCGTATGACGGTCAAGAACAAGGAGATCAGTCTTTTGACCCTGCTGCCCAAGAGTACCTGATTCAACAAACTGACATACAGAATGCTGCAAAGCAGCAGGAATTATCCGGAAGTGGTAGAGAAGCAGAGGAAGATGTATATCAACCTAGAGATACTGGGTATTCTGGTGTAGTCGACCACAATTTAGGTGTTCCTAGCCACTATCTTCATGATGAAGAATACGGCGGAGCATTAAACGAAGGTGGAGGAAATCAAGTAGATTATGCTGAGAGATCCCACTTTCCTACTCCTACTGACCATGCCGACCAAGGAAATGGCTTACAAGAGACCACTGATACTGTTCCGAGGGCATCTGCTCCTGAACAATACGCTGACCTAAATCATTACCCTGTCGTCCAAGAGACGACGATTTTGCCAGATGGTCAAGGGGGATTTGTATTTCCGAATGATGATGAATCAGCTGCAGTGAATGGATACAATGATTCAGAATATAAGAGTGACAGTTTGCAAAAAAATGAAGATGATTTGGACGAAAATGATAAAGTATTCAACAAAGCTTCACCGAAGTCTCCAGTTGCTTGGTTAAGAAAGAAATTTAAGAACCAAAAAGACAAAGCCGCTGTGAAGCGTATGTTGGAGGAAGACTCTTATAAGAAACAAGCTAGTGATGGAAAGGTTCATGGGGATGGTCTGCAAGACAATAAGCCCCTTGCCACTAATGGATTCACCAAACATGAACAACGTCCACAAGCAGTTGAAACTCACTATGAGCCAGGTTTGGTTACAGAAAAGACTGGAGATGAAGTGCCGGATCTTGTGGCTGCACAGCCTCATGCTAAGATCTCCTCGATTCCACGAACAAACAGTAATCTTGGAGAATTATTGGATGGAAGCTATGTTTCGAAAACTGATGCAGTTCCAGGTGGACTCGGCGATTTCGAATCGAAGAATGAAAAGGCAGTGAATGGAAGTGGACAAGTTATAAATCATTTTCCTGAGCCAAGCAAAGACCCTATTGGAGCCGCATTTCATGAAGATTTGTAAGAAGAGCGAATTACGAAGGTGGAATTGTTAGCTTGGAATGGGATTGATTGGATTTTTTTGAAAATTGCCCATGCTATGGAGAATCGATTCTATTGATTTTGATGAACAAAAAGAACGTATTACTTATTCTGAAATTTTGACTTAATGTTCTGGTTTATTATTGAAAGATGAATCTTCAGCAAAAGCTCTCGCCTAGGATTCTTTATATTTTGGTGGAAGAATGAATTATAATCCGGTATAATACGACTGCAGTGTAATTTGATACTGTACGAAATTTTGAGAAAAGGAGACGGCACCTGTATTTTGAAGAGAAAAGCTGTCAATGAACCGAACTTTTCCTGTGTTATTTATTGTTCGAGAGTAATTAGTTATATTAATAGGAAAAGCATGTGTGTCGTAACACATGTATATCGGTGCTAGTATTTATATTCTGCTTATTATTAATGTTAAAATATGGATTTGTATTAGATATTGCTGTGTTATGTATGCTATGACTTGTGAAGTAGAAAATCCGAAGTAGACGAGAGTGTCGTCGATATATTGTACAAAACTGACGAGAGTGTGTTTTCACGATGAAATCATATTAGCATTTTGAACTGATCATACGAGACACTCTTGATGAATGCAAACCATGGATAGACTAACCATAAGGAACGTTAAACAGATGTTCACATGATAAAGAGTTTTGCCATACGATTATGGCTTCAGTACTTCAGTACCGAGAGAAAAAGGCTCAAATAAAGTTGTTTGTTTGGGTCAAACTTCTGTTTTCTCTTCTATCTATTTCATCTGATATTTATATAATTTTGTTTTGTTTATTTTTGGGATAGATCTAAACCATCTTTGATCTATACGTTTGGCATGCATAGTAGACTGTTTCTTTTCAGAAAATTAGAGCAAACAAATCATGACTTTCTATTTTTATCCACTAAGGGATCGCAAGCAATGAATTTTTCTTGAATACCAGCCAGCCATGGGAAAAAATTTACTTTGTATTTAGAAAAAGCATTACTAGGTAACACAGAAAGTAACAACGATGAGGACAATATTACAAGACTGTTTTAGCAACGTTCGCAAGGTTGACCTCCCCGGAGGAAGCCTGACAAATTATGATATCATCTACGTAAAGCATTTTCGAAAGATGTTTATAAATGTTTCTTTTACCAAACATTTGGGTGAACAGAGAGCACTAAGTGAGTAAGCTCGCTCTAAAACTTACATTTAGGGAAACTTTAGTTAAATATAAGACCAGAACCTGTTTTTTAATAACTGCTGTAATATTTTTTGGTGATTAAATAAATCATCCCAGATAATTTACGTTATTAAAGACAAGTGCTTCTGAAAGCAAGGCTGGTCGCTTGATATCTCTTTCGTTATTTACGTGTACACTTTTAAAAAAAAGATACTCCTTCGTTCGATCTGTAAGACTTACTTAAATCATCATTTGAAAATTTCACGTCTTAATACTTGGACTTGTTTACCCACATTTATTGTACAAACTCATTAACAGACATATTCTTCTATTTTCTTGTTACTACTGTGAATAAACATTAAGCAGTGTGGAAACGATTTCTTTTTTTTCTCTGTTGCATTAATAGTCTCCACATTGTTTTTTGATTCCTATTTCTAATACTCTAAGATATACTTGGATTTCTTTAATAGTCTCATTCTTATACTCTTTTAATTCCTCAACTTTGTGACAAAATGGTTGAACGTGTTCCTTCGACGCTCACTCGTACCCGCTACTGGGCTTACTTTTTGTTTTTGTTACCCCTTGTTTGCTTCTTAATGTGGACAATCGGTTTGATTGTTCTTTTGGGTCTTTGGAGTACTCAAGACAAATGGCATACTCCTGGTGAACCCGATCCCGTGTTTATTAGTGATATGGGTGCATATACCAAAGGGTTCTTCGTTCCCATGTGCGTTATCACTGGTGTTTTTTACATTCTAAGTTTCCTCGCCATTCGTCTCTTAAGACAATGGAGATTCTTGTATCCCACTACAAATAAGTATGAAACTTTCCTTGGTTGGTTTGCCGTACTGACAAGTGCCGGTTGTGCTGCTTGTTTAATATCCTTGGCAATTCGTGATGATGTGCATCACGATAATATCCACTGGAAGTTTACCGCAGCTTTCGTGGTGTTGGCTTTTGTTGCTGCCGCCAGTAATATTTTCGAGTGGCTATCAGCTCATCGCCATTATCGTTTTAGCAGACTGCTTGCTTTCTCGTTTTGGGCGAAATTCACGATTATTGTTACGGCAATCGTTTGTGCCATTGCATTTGCTGGTTTGCGTCACTACGAAAATCGTTCTAAATCAGCCAGATTCGAGTGGGTTGTTGGATTTTTGTGGTCTCTGTACATTGCTCTGTTGTGTTTGGATATACTCCCAGCCATTTATCATGAACGTTATCCAAGCAATTCCGGTGACTTGGAGAAGGGTGGTTATGGCACTCAACAATCCGGTATCCCTCAACAATCCGGTAATACACAGCCTGGGGAATCTTACGCCCCTCCTAGTGAGCCTCCAGCGGCCGCTACTCGAAACGAAGCTGATCCTACTGAGCTTTAATTTTTCGACCTTCATTTAGTATCAAGCTCCTTGAAATTTAGCAGCCGATAGCTAACAAGGTAATGTATTTACAGGTCTATTGATATGTTGTTAACGGTTGTTAACAACGGTTATGAATGCACTGTTGCTGATTTGGCAACAGGTTTCAAAATGCTTCTTGATAAATTTATTTATGTTAAAGACAAAGTATACGTCTCTTGTTACATCCGTAAGTCATCAAATGCACCTTGCTTGTTTGATGCTTTGTCACAGAAGATTAACATTCGGTTCTTTTCACAAAAATACTTCTTCCTTTTTCTTTTCATTACTTTGTACGAAAGGTATATAATATTACAGATTTTTACCACTCAAAAATGAAATTTTGTTTCTTATGACTAGATTATTTTAAATATTATCATTTTAGAGGACTAAAAATTAGCCAAACGAACAGAACAATATTAGAAATAATAGGGTAGTATATATGAATTTGTTACATGGGTTTAACGTAGTGAAACGCGAAAAACAAATAGATATGCAGAAAGTAACTTCGTCTTTTACCAAAAATCGCTTTTATGGCACCAATTGCAGAAAGGACTCGGTAAGTTTGCTTTGAAAGCAAGAAATTTACTAATTCAATAGATTTGGCCTAAAGAAGAGCATTGAGCCCGTCTATAGCGGTGGCCCTATCGGCTTCGCTTCTAATGAAAAAATCCTAGTTACTAGTTTAGGTGATCGTATCGTGGGTAGTAATGCAGAGACTGGAGAAAAAATCTTTTCTCTTAATAAAGATGAAGAGGATTACGTTACTTCCATGGTTATCACTGGCGATGCAAGCAGGTTGGTGGTTGCTTTTAGGTCACGCTTGGTTATAATCTATGAAATCCCTTCAGGAAAACGTCTAAAGTCATTTAAAGCACACGAGACACCGGTAATTACAATGACAATTGATCCAACAAATAGTATTCTGGCCACGGGTGGAGCTGAAGGTCTCGTAAAGGTTTGGGACTTGACAGGTGGATACACAACTCACGTTCTCCGTGGACACGGTGGTATTGTTAGTGCGCTTTGCTTTGGAAAATATCAAGGAAAATGGGTGCTCGCAAGTGGTGCCGACGATACACGCGTACGTCTTTGGGATTTGAATACCAGTCGATCAATTGCAGCATTTGAAGGTCATAGCAGTGTGATTCGGGGTCTTACATTCGATGAGTCTGGATCATTCTTGTTGAGTGGTTCTCGAGATAATACCGTTCAAGTATGGGATCTGAAAAAGCGATCCGCTGTTCGCACAATCCCTGTTTTGCATGGTGTTGAATCCCTTGGATGGGTTAACCATCCTGAAAAAGATGAAAAATTACTATACACGGCTGGTGAAGGAAATATTATTTTGGCTTGGAATTGGAAAAATGGGGCTCGTTTTAATCCTGATATCGAAATTGTGCCTAATGAAAATAATGCTATTATCCAGGTTGTTGCTATAGACGAGAATTCACTTCTAACTGTCCATTCGGATTTGAGCATGCTCGTGCAAACCTTGACTGTTGATAATGGATTTCTGATACAAAAGAAGCTTCATGGTTCTTTCGATGAAGTCATTGACTGTGCTTGGATTGGTGATAATCATTTGGCAATTGCATCTAATACTGAATATATCGATATTATTTCGGCTGATGGGACACAAGTTCATGGTGTTTTATCTGGTCATACTGATATCGTCCTCGCAATGCACGCTTCTGAAGATGGTGTTTGGATGGCAACCGGTGCTAAAGATAACACCACACGATTATGGAATTTGGATGTCGAAAATAATAGATTTACCTGCGTTCGTGTATTTACTGGTCATACAGCTAGTGTGACAGCAGTTGCTTTGGGCCCTTTGGATGCTCAGGGATTTCCCTCATTCCTTACATCTGCTTCCCAAGATCGCACCTTAAAACGTTATGATTTGGGATCTTCCTTGGCTAATTCCGAAAACCAAAGTAGAGCTATTTGGACAATTAAGGCACATGATCGTGATATTAACGCTATTCAAGTGTCTACTGATGGACGTATTATTGCCACTGTTAGTCAAGACAAATTAATTAAGTTGTGGGATGCATCTCTCGGTGAAGTTATAGGAGTGTTGCGAGGCCATCGTAGAGGTGTCTGGGCTTGTGTGTTCAATCCTTATAGCCGTCAATTGGCTAGTGGTAGTGGTGATCGAACAGTTCGTGTATGGAGTATGGATGAACAGCAATGTCTTCATACATTAGAAGGTCACACTGGTGCTGTTCTAAAACTGGCTTACATATCCAGAGGCACACAGCTTGTTAGTGCTGCTGCCGACGGACTTGTAAAAGTCTGGTCTATAGCATCGGGTGAATGTGTTGCAACATTGGATAATCACGAGGACAGAGTTTGGGCTGTTGCAGTTCGTGATGATGGAGCACGTATAGTGTCTGGTGGTGCCGATGCCGTTGTAAGTATCTGGCAAGACGTTACAGAAGAGTACGCTGCTCAGGAAGCTGAGGAACTCGAACGTCGTATTGAAGCCGAACAATCCCTTTCTAATTATGAAAAAGCTGAAGATTGGCGAAATGCCATTGCCTTAGCACTGTCATTGGATCGACCTCTCGGCTTACTACGTCTTTTCGAACGAGTTATGAATTCTCCTCATCAGAAAGGGAGCATCACAGGGAACGTTGATGTGGACAAAGTTGTATCGGATCTTAGCGATAACCAGTTGACAATTCTGTTTCAACGCATACGTGATTGGAATGTGAATAATAAAACTAGCATGGTTGCACAAAGGCTGCTACGTTTACTTTTACACGCTTATCCCCCTAAACATCTGTTGGAGATTCCAGGAATAAAAGGAATATTCGATAGTATGTTTCCATATACTCAACGTCATCTTTCAAGAATAAACGATTTGTTGGAGGAATCCTATATTGTTGACTATGTTATGTAAATTAAAACAGAACTTTTTTAATTTTTAAGTTAGTACTCCGGGTACTCTGCTATTTTTGGAAATCAATCTTTAGCTATTGATTATTCTATGTTTCAAAATTGGGTTAAATAAAATTTGGGTCTATTTTTTTTTGGAAAACTCTTCCAACACTAATTGTAGCTTTCGTATAGTAACCAGAGTATAACTAGATACCTTCGAAATTGAGGAAACCAGACATGAGAAGAATTCGATAATATTTTTTCTTGGAAATCTCGTTTGTCCAATTCCAAGCGCTTGTTAATCGACCGTCAATACAGCTGCCAGCGTCATACCAATTATCAGCCCCACGTCCATCAAATGCATGCTTAAAAAAGTCCAATAGTAAGGTTTTTTGTAAACCCACAATACTCCCGTATTCTTCTTCAATGTACTGTACCAAGAAGGGATCTCTCAAATATTCCAACTGCTGTAAAACCTTTACAAGTGGTGTTAAAATATGAGGTACTTGACGGTATTTGTCGATAAACATCAAAGCATTAGGAACTGCACGGTCGCCCAAATGAACTACAGAACTACCAATCCAAGACAATTCTTGTTCGTTTTGTACTCCGGACAATATTTTGTGAACTGTCCCACGTAGCAAAGGACATGGTTGAACACGGTTAAGACCCTGTCCTGTATCCGAAATGAAATATCTCGTATCTTTATCAACTAAAGATGCATCACTTTGAAGCCATAACAAAAACATTTGGTCCATCATACAAGACCAAAATTGCAGACTTTGATCAACATAAAAGAATTGGGTACGATGATCGTGTGTTAAACGGGCGCCATTCATGAACCCAATCTTCAAGTTTCCACCTTTTTTTGGATCTTGCGACGAGAAGAATTCATGTAAATAAAAACGCATTTTCTCAACAGGTACTCGATTAGCCATAAGAAACGATTCATGGTCTGCTAATGAAATTAAACAGTCTTCCAGCACTCTTTTCTTTTCATCGTTACCTTTTGCGTATTTTTTTAATAATACATCACTGCTTTTTTTACGTTCCTCACTTATTTTAGATCTTAATGAAGCGCCAGCATAGGGATCTATTTGCTTCAGAGAAGAATCTAGAAGTTGTTTTTCGGATAAAATATCTAATAAACCGTTTTCCTCTAAAACACGAAAAACAGTTTTTATCGGGATGTAAAAATCAAAGCCCATTTGCATACGGACATCAGGTATCATGGAATCTTGGCACATGTACATCATAGCACCATAGGTAGTACGCATTTTTTCAGGATTCATAATTTTATAACGCCGTCCTATTTCAAATATGGACTTGAAGAAATCCGCATTCGTTGCATGGTCCTTCCCTTGTAGCAGACTCCGGCCTAGTTTAATGTCCATTGCAACAACCAAGCCAGTTAATATACTGCACATTTCAGACAGATAAGTCACCATCAATTTCGTTCTTGACGTATAGGATATAATGTCAACACGGTCGGTATACTCAATAACATTTAACCTGAATGTTAGATTGATTCATTGTACATATAGAAAGGTTAAAGGTCAACGGAACGGAACAGCACGCCTTGCCAGTCGAAAACATAGGTAGATTATGCCTTCACTAGTTCTTTGGTCAAAGCATTTTACCAAAGCAAATAACGATTGTAAGACCAGATCGGTTTATTAATCAAATATAATTAATTATTTAATCGAATTGACTTAAGCTAAACACTTTGCAGACATGCTGCATTTTTATTCAAGACCTTTGCTGTTTCTTAAAATAATGTAACTTACGCTGCTTCTAGTAAACCCAAAATGCGTCGTTCATCTTCATTTAAACGTAAAGGGACAAACTTTGATTTATCAACCCAGCTCTTTGTGAATAACCCTGTTTTTGACATGATGGTATTGAACGAGTTGTTCAGTTCCAAGCGCATACACTTCACCAAATACTCAAAATCCGCAATTGCTCCTTTACTCTGAAATAGAACGGAGGTTTACGAATACCAAAGCTTAAGTTATTAAATAATTTTGTTTAAAAAAAAAAAGCTGCATTGATTGTCTGAGTTTATCAATTTGTTTGAAGCTTGTGCATGTTGACTTGTGATTTCGGCGACCTTTAAATCCCAAATTTCTATCTCTGATAGAAAGGAATATATCATTTTTTGCAGGAAAAAAGGCACTTGAAATTTCATTTCCTTCATCTTTGAACCTTTGACAAGTGATATAAAATCTATCCAGTATCTTGATTTCTGTAGCCTATTTCCTTGTTTTGATCTTTACCACTCTTTTCTAGACATGCAATAATTTGTTATGATAAGTCTGTAAGTCAAACTTCTGTTAACTGTGCCCCTACTTATGTCCCATAATCTGAAGACGTACTTTTTTTTTGCTTTTTGCGGTTTCATTGTCTGGATTATTTTTCGAAGCTTTATCATAAAAGTCATTTACTTATGGGCGGCTGGGTATTTCGTTTGGTTTCATTTGCATTCCAAGCATCTGGGTACCTACAATTCTTTCAATTCAGCTGAGCCCTTTCTGGTTGATCCTACGGTTTTCCGGAAACGGAGTCAAAATTTGCTAAAATCGAGGTTTTTACTAAGGCAAGCATTATGTCCGGGATATCCTGAAATTTCAGAAGAGCTAGAGTTTATTCTGGAGAATTTCATGGAAAGATATGTTAAGAAGTGGTCATCTCAAATTATTGGCGAACCAACTATCCCTAACAGTATAGAGAATCATTTTCGAAAATGCATTCATAATCTTTTTTTGAGTGTTGAGACCGTCGATTTTGCAGATATTTTAATCAAGAAAATACTTCCTCTACTTACACAGCACCTGCGTCTTTTTGTAGAAGCAGAACAACTCGTTGTCGGTCATAAGGCTGTTTCTTTTACTGACCATTCTGAGCTTTCAAAAGAAATAGCTGCGAAGTATAATAATGGTTCATTACATAAAGCTATACTTTTGTCAGGAAATCCGATGGTCGCCCAAAAAAAATATTTGCGGAATTGGACCATTCAAGTGTTGTCAATAATTCTCCCTAATTATTACCAAACAAGTCCTTTGGTGATTTCGCTAATAACCGAAATAATAATAAATATTGTTCTTCTTCCGCTGATATCTTATGTTTCTGACCCTGATTTTTTTAATTACTTGATCATTCAAGGTAGTGGAAGTATAATTGAGCGGCGTAGGAAGATACGTCGCTTAAAACATGCTATACGGAAGTTATCCTCGAATTCTCAGATTGGAACCCGCAGGTTAGGATTAAAAGACAGTCAATATGCTTTTGATCAATATATAAGAGAAATTCACCGTATTTCTAATATTTCTGATGCTAGACGTCTTCGATCCGAGTTGCTAGTTCAAAGGCGACAGTTAGATCAACATACCCCGTTTAGTTCCGAGCTTCAACAGTATCATGAACGTTTACGAATAGCTCTAAATATTACAGAAAAAAGGATTTCTGTTCTTTCAGGATCCCCGTTTCAGAAAAGACAGTCCACCCTCGTTGAACAAGCTCAATCTCTGCCGCAGATATTGTCTGATTCCGCGGCCGTATCATGTTTTCTAGAATTTATGGAACGCAGAAAAAGATCACATTTTCTTCATTTTTGGTTGGTAGTAGAAGGACTGAAAGAATCGCAAGATGATCCTTTAAATGCACACATGCTGGCTCCATTTTCTGACATATCTTCTGATTATACTGATTTTGCAGCCATCTCTAAATGTTATTTAAAAAGAGGAGAAAATCCATTTAATCTACCAGATTCTTTGATGAATTCTATATATTCTTTTATTGACCAATCTGAAAATAGTCTCTCGTCAGAACTCTGGATTGACGCCAGGAGTGCCATGTTAGCCGCGCAGGAGCACGTTTTTAATGTGATGCATAGTGATGATTATTTTGAATTTGTAAATAGTGATATTTATTATCGTTTTCTTGCACAGGATGTTGTTTCAGATAAAAAATCGCTTACTTCATCCACCGTATACAGTCCTACAAATGATACTCCAGATAACCATGCAAACGATTTGAGACAAGCTTCTATAAGAAGCATATCTTCTTCTTCAAAATCTTTCAATTCTTCCGCTTCAGTTCCATTATCCATGTCTTCCTTTCGAAGAGATAGCACGTTGAATGATGTGGATTTAGATGGGTCAATTAGTAGTGATGAAGAAGAAGTACTTTTTGCTTCCCCTGGTGATCTTCAACTCTCTGAGGCAATTCAAGAGCTTCAGACAGACATCCAGGAGTTCGAAAATCAACTTCATGCGTTAAGCACAATGATGAAAAAAGCCGAGCTAATTTCAGATCAGAAGCAGCTCAGGAATCTTTTTAAAAGCTACCAGGCAATTGAAAAGGCGGTAAGTCGAAAGAAAAGACAAGTGGATCAATATTTATCACAAGAAGAAGATAGCAAGTTGTATAATCGTTCCAGAATTTCTATTGACTTTTATAAACTTTGTAAGGATGACAATGAACAAGAATATGCCGTTTATACGATACGTATCGAACGCTTGGAAGGTGATGTTATTAGATCCGGTTGGATGGTTGCTAGACGATACCGAGAATTTGCTGAATTGCATAAGCAATTGAAGCAAATGTTCCCACAGGTACGCTTTCTTAAATTTCCCTCTAAAACCGTTATCCCTTCAGTAACGAAGTCAATTTTGGAGTACAGAAAAATAGCCCTCAAAGAATATTTACAATCGATATTTCAAATGCCAGACGTTTGCGATAGCAAAATTCTGAGAATGTTTTTATCGCAGCAGAACGTTACAGCTCCACAAATGTTTAATCCAAAGATAGTTGGCGAACGATGGAAGCGTTCTTTGGAGACGCTTGGCTTTGAAGTTAACGGTTCTTTTAAGTTATCGCAGGCCGATAGCACATCATCTTTTTCAGCGCCTATATGTGAGTTTCTGATTGAACTTTTTTCTCCAAATAATGACATTAAGCAACAATGGATGCCAAAAAAGGCTTACATCTCCATTTTAGAACAACTTTTCGGAGGAGCTTTGGAAAAACGTATACGAACACAATTGAGCCAATGGATCAATCAAGAACGAATATACGAGAAAGTCCACCAGCTTCGGCGCGAGCTGGCCGACAATAAGAAACATGAACAATCGACGTCTGGATCTAACCGTGCTCGTAAACCAGCTTATGCCGATCGAAATCAACTTAAAGCGGAGGCTGGTATCATGCTTGCATCCATGTTTCCTGGGTATACACCCGACATAGCCGTCAAGAGAATTTTTCGAATTTTACAAAACCAAACTCTTAATGCGCATATCATATATACCTTACTGGACCAAGCACTAAATGGTTTAAAGCAGCACAAAGAGGATTCAGAGAAAACAAAATAGCTTACGAGGTTTCCACTCTCCTTCCTTTTTAAATAATTTCCATACTAATTTGCTACACCTAATATTTGCTCATTCCATTTCACTTAATTGATAATAAATTATAATTATGAAGCAAGAATATCATTTTTGTTGAATTTCAGCTCGTAGTGATCAGTACTGAATGTTTTAGATCATCTTGAAAGTTATTCGTATAGCTTGGCTTTCATCGTAGGTTAGCGTATGTGTGGTATTATTTTCACATTGTTCCTTTTTTTTATTTTTACTATTAAGGAATGTAATGTAACCTATTAGCTACTATTTATAATGAGTGAGTCGTGCTGAAGAGATATCTCAAAGCCTCCAACATCAAGAAATCAAAACTGCTATATCTTTTTATGGGTTAGTTTAACAAGAGAATAGAAAATTTGAGGAAAAGTGTTTGGTTGTAATTGTCGTGGATCTGACAAATATCAAGTAAAGCAATAGATACGACATTTGGTATAGCTATATCCTCTTTCCGGTCGTAATTATCAAGAGATTAGGTAATTACAGATTAAGTAGCGTTTTTGAGTGGGTATCATGTATCATGTCGTTAAATGTAGGAATTCCCTAAGAGTAAATTGACTTAGGAGAGAGTTGAGGGCCAAGGTTCTACCAGTAGGTAAAGGATAGCTGTGAATTCTCTAAACGCATCAACATAAGCCAATAAAGACTAGTTTCAATATCTGGTTGTGAGAAATGTGTTTATCCTCTTTATAGTCAAGTCATGAGAACCTGAAAAAAGGAATATATGGGTCCATAATCCGCTTAAGACTATGTTATAAAGGAGATTCTGATAATATTTGCGTAGGTTAGGTTGAAGCACGCCGCTACTTCCGTGAAATGCTTCTTCATCAATAAGTACATCCAACACAAGTTCTACGTCTATAGCCAATTGTTAAAAGCTTAAGGTATGATAATTAGCGAAAATCAAGTTTTTATAGTTGAGGGTTCATTCCTCCAAAATCTCAGTGTAGTTTGGTAATTTTTGGCTTCCTTCAGAATCTGAGGGGTCGTTTCTTTCCTGGTTGGATGATTGCTTTCTGCTTTCATCCGTTTCCTTTTCTTTTCTTGGCAGGCGAAAAGGCCTGTTTTTAAAATATATATAAATATAAGCTGCGAGCCATGACACATAGGAAGTAAAATAGAATAATATAAGTAAGTTCGGTTGTTTGTGATACTTCAATGTTATTGAGAGCAATATATTAATCAAACATATGCATATAAGACTACAACAGCTTATAAACATTTTAGAATTATAGTGTGCTACTTCTTGGCTAACTTTCTCGTATGAGTCATCTTTAGGATGTCGATAATCATACACAATTTGAGGTTGAAACATGTTGGATCCGGTTGTTTGGTAAATTGGCTTCAAATGGTGTTCATAGTAAGGAAGGATATGGTGGTGATAATGACGTACCAACGCATCTCTAGCTGCACTATTTTCTCTTTACTTTTGTACTTTTCAAATGAAACAATCTGAAAATCCCTCTGAAGAAGTTGTTCCTTTACATCCCGGAAATCCCCTTCCATCTGCAGATGATGATTCCAAGAGACGTCTTTGGCGAAGTCTACGAAACAGGGCTAATGATTTGGAAGATCTTTTGATCCTATTCGCCACGTTGTACGCCATGATCGTCGGTCTCACGTCCCTTGGGTACTCCGTAAATTCTATGATGGACGGACCTAATGATTACACGGCATATTATATTGCTCTTATTCCTTCAATAATCTGCGGACTCTACCACTTGATTCCAGTATATATATATACTCAACCTATCGTCGTCGAAATAGAGGTTGATTCAATTCCTATGGAAGATTTGCCAAGAACGCATGATCCAAAATAATGCAATTTTACCAACTTCTCATTTTTGGCCCAAGGAATAAAATTCCCCCCTATAAAGGTCGATATGTGTCCCAAGGACACAGTTCTTGCTCCTTTTAATGAATTAAAGGTTAAGATGAGGGAAATCGGAAATCCTTTAATGATGGTAACTTTATGTTAGGTGCTTTAAGCCAACTGCTAATGTCTATGAAATCATATACACGGTTTATATTTAATATGATTTTTGATGGAATATTTTTCACTTTATTTGCTAATAACGGTGTCGGGTGGAATAATCTTTAGGTGAAATAACCAAACCCTTTCCTTTTCTGGCTCCTCTGAAAACCGTTTCGATAATATCGATCATCTCGTGTTTATCTTCCAATGCCCAATTAATTTTGTTGTTATTACCAGTACCCAAATCAATCATCATGTGTTTGTTTCGGTAGAAAAACATTATAGTACTTCTGTCATAAAGTTCATACATCTTTCAAGAGTTAGTATATGAAATCGGCTGCCCTGCGCCTAATGTTTCATACCTTATTGAAGTCAGGAACTTCGTCAATGTCAACCAAGTAGAACACAGCCATATTCACAACCTTTTCAGCGATTCTGTATAAGACCTCATCTTGTTTCATGCACTCCTCATCCTACAGCAATCGAGTTAGTACAGCGATTCGTTCTTCTCCATGATAAGAAACATACATGGTCCCGACCAAAACGTATAACTACTAGTCTTTCTTGTTCTTTACGAATCCGTTAGTTTGGAACTAAAAAGGAATTCAACCAACATTGAGTTCATACCAGAAAGAATTGCTTGGTCGACATGCCTAATGCACAGTTATTAGATACATACAAATAAATGAGATCTTCTTACCATCCAGAATGAAGATGAGGAAGGAAATAACTCATCTTAATGTTCTGAAAGTAGTAAATCTACGTTTTTTCTTCAAGACTAGATATGCAAATAGGGGCGTTCAATGAAATGCACAATATAATTCTAGGTAGTTGACATACATCACTAAGTTAGTTAAGTAGCATGTAACCTAATTTACAGAAGTAAATGAATCAAGTTATTTAGTAACAGTGCAAAAAAAGATTATGTAGCGAGTGTAATTGAATAATAATTTGTCGATGATTAATATGTTTATATTTGATGAATTCAATAAGGAAACGTAATTGGGCTTATATTGTCGTTTCCTGGATAACAGTAATTAGTAGGTACCAACATAAAGCAATATCAGAACGAAAGAAGAACTGTAATGAGTGACTGTGTCTAACTGGATTAAAAGTGGAAACATATTCATGTCGTAGTCATAATCTTAGATTAATATATAATTTTCATCATATGGAAAACTTGCCCTCGTTGAAAGATTCGTACTGCTTTTCATAGACAAGTAAATTACCTCGACGTTCTTCACTTTCGGGAATCCAAGAGTTGAAATACGTTGCGAATTCATTATATAAGAGTCCTTTAGAATCAAAATAGACTTCAAGTGATGGCAAGCGTTCTTCGAAAAAAACCAGGTAGTCTGGATATACCTCTAGTTGGTCGAGGTAAGCCGGCATATCCATGTAAAATCTATTGGTTTCATCAAAAGGATGCTCAAAAGGCTCACACGTAAGAAACCTCCAAGTACGATCCGCACTGGGAACGTGAATATGGGATTGCCAAGGTGTCGTGTGGCAGGGTGCGAGGATAATACCAGTTTTGTTTTGGGCTGCAAGAGAATGAATCAACGGCATTACATCTGCAGATCCCAATTGATGAAAACGACAAAGGATAATTGCAACACCAATATGTACACAACTAATTAAAACAAAACCACGGCGTATCCACTTCGAAGACACTGAAGCCAAACCATTACCAATAGCCGAAAGAAGTATAGGAGATAATGGATAGACAAACCGAAATTCTTTGTGGGAAATAAAAGAATAAGGAAGTAAAACAAATCCGACGGCGAAAACAGCCTGTAGATCAAACGACAAAAAAAGGAAAATTATATATCCTCCGCATATCAACGGTATAGCTTGTGAAAGGTAATAATGTGCAGAATTTACCCCATAAAGAGAGGAAAGACCTGACGTGACATTGAAATTAAAGAAAGAAATGATGGGAAAGACGAAACGACCGTATACATATCGGTCTACCAAGACGTTAAAAATAAGGATCGTGCTTACAACTGCAGTGATTGCAAAAGGGTGATTCAGGACTTCCCAAAATAACTGACGTACCCTTGCTAATATTAAGCTTGGACGAAGAAAAGGTGCTTTAGGCGAAGCTGTCCATAGTAAAACGGGAACAACCCAAATAAGTAAATTAGTAGGGCGGATAAGAAATGCAATCCCAATTATGGTTATAAACCATAATAATGCTCGAAATGCGGTAGGATTATGATCAGTCTTAACTTGAGTATGAGATACGAGCCTCATATATTTCTGCCACTGCCAAAGAGCAAGAGCTGTCATGGTTGTTTCTAAAGAATTTGCAAAAGTCCGAACACCAACAAAGGCATTGAAGAAAGAGAATAGAGAACAAACAAGGGTCCATCGTGCAGCTCTGCTGCCGTAGCGATGAAGGGCAAACTGATAAGTAGCATAATCCAGAATAGCAGAAAAAGTTCCTTGAAGGATACGAGGAGCACTCAGCATAACTGTGTAGTTAGAATCCCACCCTAGCAATTTTAACAACTGGTATAAGCAAGCAAAAATAAGAGGATGCAGACCAGAACGGATAGAGTTTCTCCATTCCCAAGTTAGAAATCCATAACCAAAGACTAAATGATGAGCAACCTCCAAAGACTGGTAGAACTCATCGGGTTGGAAAAACGTCTTTACCCATAACGCATTCCACCATCGAAAAGCAAATACCACAAACCACATCCAAGTCTGCATGGCGTTTCGAAGTACGTTGCAATGTTTCGAGTGCTTTCGAGCATCCAAGCTGATGCCGTACAAACCCTCGTTCTTGTTTCGTCTGGTTAGTGATATCGATGAGTATGAGCGGTTTGTACCGTTCTGTCAGAAATCTAAAATTACGAGCAGAGATCTTACAACAGGATTGCCAAATAAAGCAGATTTAACTATAGGATTTGGTAGTTTTTGCGAAACGTTTGATAGTCGAGTGGTTTGTGATCCAGTTGAGAGAACTGTCCTGGCAGATGCTTCTCATCACCGCTTGTTTCAATATTTGAAAACCAACTGGAAAATAGCGGAGGCTTCTAAAGGAAGAGTACGAGTAGATTTGGAGGTGGAATTTGAATTTGCGAGCAAACTACATAGCGTTGTAAGCAAAATGGCAGGTTCCACAGTAGCTACGGAGATTATTCAGGGATTCGTGGATCAAGCCAAACGGAAATATCAAATGGAACTCTCAAAGGAATCAACTAAAGACGATTCTTCGAATGTCCCATGATTGTAGGAAATTGGGCATCCCATTCTGTTCTAATGTAACACTAAGTTTCAATTTAGCTACAATGATGGACGAGAAAATATTAATAACTTGTAAAAGAAATAAGCTACAAGAAAAACCGAAATTTTTGTTCTTGAAATACCACCTATGCTAATTTACGAATAATGTATATCCATTGCGAAACCAAATTGTTGAAGACTCATAACTTAATGTCAACCGTCATTATACCCAAGTTAAATTGACATTACAATTGTTATGTATAATCGTTAGAAGTTTGTTGTTCAGTGTCATCTTACAAATCCCCTTGGAGTTTTGCTTCTTCGATCTCTTTTCGTTCACGAACCCCAAATTCTTTCATTGAGAAGAGAAGAGACAGAATTTGCTAATAGAGATATCCCTTCTAATGTAATAAATTTTGTCCCCCTTCGATATGTATAGTTCAAGTGTCTTTTTGAACAAGTTCTTTCATAGTACAGCATGTCTACGCCCGATGGAAACAATAGGTTTGCTAGTAAATGTTGGAATCCAGTAATACCTACAACAACTAACTATACCCTTTACAAGGTTTATAACTGTGATATGATTGAGTATATACACAAGCACAGAATTATAAAATCATAACTTCACAATCGCCGCTTTCTTCTACATGCTAAAACTCTTGTAACCCGAAGTATAACATAAATTTTATTTTTTACTCTATTTTTTACCTCTATCAAATCACTATTATAACCTAATAAACAAATGTTGAATAAACATTGGGGAATGTAAATAAACAAATAGTAAGTAACAACATAAGTCACAACACTCGAGCGATTCCAGGCATTACGTGGATAGGTGTTGTTTGTTACAGATACGAATATTCAATTTGAATTCAAATTACGATACACTCTACTTTCTTGACCGTAGTTAGCGCTAGTCCTTACGATCCGCTATCTCTTATTTATAAGGGAATCATACCAATACATAACCAACCAAATATCTGTTATGGACGTATTAAAAGAAGGTGTTTATAAAGAAAGATCGTCTTTGGAATCTCATGAAACTTCTGAAGGATTGGATAGGGGAGCTAATACCAAAATTGCAATTGTTAGTACCGTGACATCTTCAGATGGATCGTATGTGGAATATGAAGTTGCACATAAGGTACGTTATTTGAAAGTTCATTACGAATTAAATGATTGATGGTTTGGGGATGTGTTACTAATCCACGCGAATGCTACAGAAGCGATCTGTTTGGAGGCGGTATTCAGATTTCGAATCTTTAGTAAAATTGATGCATAGACGTTATCCAGCAGCCATTGTACCTCCAATTCCAGGGAAGCAATCACTACGTATGTTTAAATGGGCATATTGTCTTAATAATTCCCCTTGCTTGTCAAGTTCAGTTACTAACGAAGGGTTTGTGAGCTCTTTTATGAGCTTAACAAACCTTATATAGTAAGCTATGCAAAGAATCCTAGAAAAGCCAAAAATGATGCCGACTTTTTGGGATTTCGTTCCCGTATGCTTGAACTCTTCCTTCGTCAGTGCTTCTTACATCCCTTAATCCGTGTCGACTCGGATTTTGACAAATTTATCAATTCTAGCGTTTCATGGAATGTCATAATTTCCTCTATGAATTTACCAAAAGATTCGACAGATCCTCTTCGTCTACCCCCAATTGGTACTGAACCCGACCCTTTTGCTCACTTGCGCTCTTCTATGCCTTTAGTAATGTCTAACGCCATAAGCCCACCATCCTCAATAAGTCAAAAACAAAAAGTTTCGTCTCAAACAGCCCGTCCCACCAGTAACCCTTCCACCACGTCTTCTATAGATGGACCTGTCTATCCGGAGTCTGAAGACGAAGTCAAGCATCCACCGACATCTAGTGAAGCGTTTACAACACACGAGTCAGATGATAATAATTCTTCTGCTTCTATTCAAGACCGTTCCTCGTACCTCCCGTCAGCCATCGATGGACTTTCCATAACCTCAAATCCCCAAGACACTAACCGCTCAGAAACCAAAGATTTAACATCGTACACGAATGAAGTAATACTTTGCCGGAAGTTTCTTCACCATAACCTCAGTCCTTCTATTCATTCTACTTTAAATGGAATTTCTAAAATGGAGTCATCTCTCTCCAAATTGGGATCAGCTTTTCATTCATTAACTGCCTTAAATGAGATTCACTTAGCAAACCATCTACAGGTAATTGCTAATGCATTCGAATTTAGTGGAATGTATGCAAAGGAATTAGAGCAAGAGTTTAACTCCGCTGTGTACGAAAAACTAATTCAGTCAATGCAGTTAGCCCGCTCCGCTGTTAGGGCCCTTAAATACAAGAATTTAAAAATCCAACAGAGAGATTTTCTACAAGATCAGTTGGTTCATTCAAGCTCTTTTAATTCCCTGGAATCATCGTCGCCCTCTGCTCAGCCATCCAACCGGCTAAATTCAATCCAACGTGCAATGATATCGCAAGCAAAAAAGGGCTACACAATTTTTGGAAGATTACAGAATGCAATTTACGATTTTGTCGACGGCGAAACATCTATTAGCAAGGAAACGTTACAAGAGCACACAAAAACTATTGAAAACCAACTAAACGTTGCAAATCAGGATTGTCAAACGATCGATAAACTCATTGATGAAGAACTAGAATTCTACAAAGCATGCCAAAGCACTCAATTGAAAGAGATAGTGAACGCGGTTCATGCTTCCATATCAAAATGGGCACAATCAAATTTGCAACGATGGTTGCGAACAAGAGAAGAGTTAGAGCAATTGTCGAGAAGCATATAGCAGCTGTTCATTTTTGATTCTTGGTTCAAGAAGAGCACCGCACGCTTATTTAATGTCAGTTACGATTTATGATGATGACTTTTTTAATTGTTTATATGCAATCTTTTTAATACCTGTTGATCATGTATATTAATTATATTAATTTATTTCTCCTATCACATTATTTGTATTTACGAGTGTATGATAAGAAGCCTTGTAGTGCTTTGTGGCATCAGTGAGCCGTGAAGCGGATGACTGTTTGAAGCAAAGGTGTACTAGCGTCATTGTAAGCTTTGCGTATACATTACTATAGTTGTTTAAAATGTAATTGAGTGCATATGTGGAAGATGATTGTAGTAATCAGTAAAACCGTAAAGGCTTTGGGAATTTTATTGACGATTAATACATGCATAGATCCAAAAGGAAAAGGAACAAGGACCAAGTTTAGAATAAAGACGATTTATTCAATTTTTGTTGGCAATCATTAAACAAAAAAGTAGGATATAACGGGATACCATGTATGTCGAATCCAATGACCAAAAACCCATAGAAAGAATGTAAATGGTCCTCCAATCGGGACTAGACTTTACTTTTTTGCAATATCGATTCCTCTCGAACTATCTTGAAAAGGGAAGTGCGCAGAAACAAGGTGGAAATCCAGCATCCAAGAAGATAGGTTGAAACCAATTAAAAGATTAGAATCAAAAGTGATTTAAGGAAGAAAAAATTCTCATTGTATGTTGTTTTCAAAAAAAAAACCAAGGTAAAAATACAAAGATGAAACAATGCAGTTCAATTTATGGTAGAGGAGGTGAAAAGGGGATTCTCATGACTTGCGAGAGGGAATTACATGCAAATCACGAGGATTTATAAACAAAAATCAAAATCAATCCTTCTTACTCGTCAAAGTCTTCTTAGCAAAAGCCCAAACCCCAGCAGCGGAAGCTACCAAGGTACTACTGATGGCCATTGCGCGCACGCCACGAGTAGACTTGTAAAGAGCACCAGTTATAGCACCGGCAGCAACGCTGTTTTCCCAGCTATGCTTTTCACGCTTGTAGCCAATGAAGGAATTGATTCCATTGTACACGATGGCGAGCACACCAAGAGAATTTCCAACAAAAGGACCACGACGTGTAATACCGTTGAGAACACCGTTCAAACGAAGTCTAGTAGAAGTAATGTCTCTAGTTTTTTTAAGTCCTTCATTGAAACCCCATGCACCACCAACGGCTAAACCGGTTAAATATGAAGTACCAGTTCCGTAGCAAAGATCGTCCTGCCAACCACGAGAAGGGATAGCCATACTATCACCAGGCAAAGCACTTAAGGCATCTTCTTCAATAAGCAAATAATCTAAAGGCTTGTCTAATTCTGCCAAAGGATGAAGCTTTGCTGGATCAAATTCTGACTGAGAGAGGATATCGGAAGCAGAGGAGCCCGAGGAGGCTTCATTTTCAACAGGTTTTGCCTGAGTATCTTGATTTTCCTTTTTTTCTCTTGTAAATAACCAAGACATGCTGAAAATTGTGATTTGGACTTACAAAGAAGATGTTGGTTGTCAGTCGGTGGAAGCCGTCTTATTTAGCGCACTAGAGATCAGGTCCAATTTCATTTGATGAACAGTTTTGATATTTTTTAGTAGTAAAGATCGGCTTTTTTTTTATATACAAGATACATATATATAAATATTTTTACTTTTTTAAAAAAGATTATACTTTATACATTTACTTTCAAGTCATGTCATTGTATAAAGATGGACACTTGTATTGTCCTTCAACTGCCTGTTTCAACAAGTATTTTTTAACAATATGTACTTTTAAGAAATAAATTGAAAAAGAGAAACTGAAATTATTAGAAAGAGTGAAGCAACAACAAGCCTCTGTTCTTTGAAAAGATATACCCATATACTATAGCTAAGTGAAATAAACGGTAGAATGAAATGATACCTAAAGTTTGCACAATCTTTCAAGGCAAACAAAAAGCTACTTAAAATTAATAGAAGAGCAATAGTTAAAAAAGATTTGAGTGGGAGGGCCTCTTGTATCAAACTTTTCCTTTCTCTGATAAAAAAATAGAAAAAAGGAATAATACAGAAACGCCATAAAAATTTATTCTAAATAAAGCAACGAAAAGATTAATAGATTGCAACTTGTCAAAAACGATAGATGTGATATGTACCGGGTAAAAAGGAAACGAACGGGAGGACAAGAACAATAATGCACCTATGAATACGAAAAGGAAAATAAAAAGAAACCAAAAGTAAAGTTAAACGGAATATAGGGCTGTCAACTTCACCTGTAAAGCAGGCTTACTTCTTTTCCCTCATAATATTGATTGCACTTCTGTACAAGCTTATTTGATGAAATACATACGGAAAGCAACATAAGCACCAATCATAGCAATAACGAAGACCCACATTGCTGGGTGACTAGAAAGCAATGTTAGTAGAAATGATAAACAGACATTATGTATATTTCTTTGTGCATCAGAGCGAAGATAACAAGTAGCCATTCTAAACAGAGTTGAGAATCCTTGCTTTCTTCGGTTGATACAATTCATTACTTACATAGGTTGGGAGGAGTCGTAGTCCTTACCATCAGAGGAAGAACCGTTCGTGGGCAATTGAGGACCACCTTCCGTCTAAAGTACGTATCAGTTAATAAGTGTTTATGAAAATCTGGAACAAACCTTCACCAATTTGCCAACATAGAACTTTCTAAGCATGTCTTGAGCATCTTCCGAGTGACCAACATCCTCAAAGGGACCACTTGCGTCGTGACCTAGAAGGCGGGTTGGTTAGTAAACAACTATGACAAGAGAAGAAATGGTTAAACGGGACACGAATCATTTTTTTAAAAAGAAACGTAAAGCAAATACAAACACTACAACAAGAAATTTGCATACAAATACAAAGTTATCGGAAGAAAAGACATATTCACGTCACTCGTTCATCGGGCACGAACAGCCATCGGTTTACCCTTAAAAAGACGCGTCGTTTTCTTTCTGATTCTTATGTAAGAGTAACCCTATTCTTTCGTGGCTCTTGTTTTCGTTCCAAATACTGATCAGACGTAACTAGCTTCACTTTTTCACCCGTTTTCCACCTCAATCTTCAATTCCTTACCAGCAAGGTCTACCAAGACTTCTTCACCACCAGGATGAGCCTCAATGAACTTGGAGATGTCAAAGACTTCATCTTTGACGACAATCCATAAGTCTTCGCGAGTGTTGTGCTTCAACACTTCCTCGACAGATACGGTCTTTTCAGTCATTATTGCTTGTTTCTTTTAATTCTTAACGAATGTTTTCCGTAAGCGAAACCTTTGAAGCAGTTTATGTTGAGATCCAACAAATCGCGGTACTTCCAATAAGAAGAGCTGAATACTCTATTACCTGCTTTTAAGCATACCCTTCCATGGTGGTCCGATTTACACACTAAAAAGGTAGTCACGGATTGGAAATTGCAAAGTGCACCCAAAATCCATGACTTGACAAAAGCCAATCTTTTGCTGGCTTTCTACTTTTCCTTTTTTGCTGGTTCAAAACTGAACATATTGTGAATAAGAGAAAGCTTTTTTTTTTAGGTGCCAAGTCTGTATCCAGATTTTTTTATTTTTTTCCTTTTTTGGTTAATTGAAGATTCTTGTTTTTATTCAAAATGTTTGGTCCATTTCGCAGCACATTTGCCAGATTTGGAGGTTTAGTCAAAAAGGATCCATGGAGATTGTCTCACAATCGTAAATATCGTCTCCGTCAAAGACTTCGCGATGTTGATCAAGTTGTCGATGTCCTGCGTTCCGCTCTGTCAAAACAAAATGAGTCAGTACATGCCATTGAAAACTTTGTTGCAACAAACCCAAGAGAATCTGAAATGACACCTAAAGATAAGTACACTGTGTTTACCAGGAAAACACAGGGTGCTGGCCCTGGTGGATTTCGCAAATCTATACATAAAGTGCCTAAATGGACTAAGATTACTCATCGCACCAACCCTGAAGGATTTTAATCATTAATATTTTATGCTTCTTTCTTATTTTACCTTTTTTTAATGATAATTCTTTAACCCCTCCTCTGTGCCTTGAAGTCTTATATGCATTGTTTAATACCTATTTTCAAATAATACACAAGTCTTTCGTTTGCAAGATATACAGACATCATCCATTTTTTTTGTTGATATCTATGGTTCCGTTAAATTTTTTATTTTTCCTGGAAGAAAAGCACATATGCTGCAGCCGTGATGATAGCTTCGTCTTCAATTTTTTCAACATACGCATCTAATAGCAAAATTGTTAGTTACCTTTTCAATACGTATACTTATTCACAAGCCTTACCATCGTAATTTAAAAAACTGCCACTCGATATGTCCTTCACATACGAAGTATAGTGGCTGTTAATCATGTATCCGTGATGATTGTCAATCGCGTACAATTCGTAAGTATGGGATCTGCTTTCGGTTTCTTTCTCCTTTAGCTCCCTTAATGGACTAATGTAAGGTTTCATGTCTAAAGCCACCGTAGGAAAACTTACATAGTCTCTCCTTTTCCGAAGTCTCCGTATGCGGCCTGTACAACTAAAACGATTCAAATGTATAATTAAATTCCTTGGTAACTTCCAAATTTCCATTTGTTTGGTGGCTGCCCGAAAATCCTTACACGATGGACAATACCATGAATCTTCTAATGAAAGTTGCTCAGGCCGAGAAAATTCTTCAAGACAGTCTTGCAACGTAATAGAATTTAAATGGTATTGTTGCCCATCAAAATACCAATTGTTTTTAACAAATACCTTTCTCTGATTATCTTCGTTCCATATACACATGATAATGGTCTGTTTGCTTAAATAAACTCCTTCTTCATCCACTGGGGTATATTCATAGTTCTCGTAGTCTTTCAATCTATTCCACACGTCTAAGCCAAACGGAAGAGTCTGTACATAAATTTGAAACATATTGGGGGTTATAGAAATGTCGGTATATGTGCGGTATAATTTGTTGATTCTGTTGTATAATTCCTTTTTAGTAACATAATTTTCCGAAAAAGAAAGTTGTAGTGGATATCCAAAAGGGTCACACCGTTGAAATGACCCTGGCATTTGAGGAAGGCTTTTGCAATGGACAACGGGCGTAACTATCTTCTCCCTCATTGTTTCATACATGAACAAGCGATCGTAAGAATGAATCATCTTTGAAATTTTTCTATGTTCCTCTAAACATTTGTAAACTTTCCCATCGTATATATCCATTGCTTTCACTGACTCTGTGCGGTAGCCCAGCTGTTGCAAGCGCAATATAGCATAGCATTGAGCTTCCTGAACAGTGTAATCGGAAGGAATCTCAATGGTGAACTTTACAGGTGAAACGTTTTCTGACATAGGGACAAAATTAACTGTATGCCTCCATTTTGTTACCGTTGGAAGCGGCAAAGTGAGGTACATGAACGGATCAAAAACCACAGACTTCAAATCGCATGCCGAACACCGTAGTGTACTTTTATACATTCCTTGAAATAACTCAACGACAACTGAGTCATTTCTTTTGGCATACATCTTCCAGCATTCGTCTCCCACTTTTTGAACCTGTGCTCGATTTTCAGTGTACAAGTCTGGTCTATCAAAATAGGGCTTATCAATAACTCTATTAAGATCTTCGTGTAAGCCGTCAAGAAAAAAAGCAATAAATTCTTGAGAATCATTTTGGCTATAACCGGCGAAAGATGAATTAAATTCACTAATGATGTATTTCAGTGTATGAGGAGAAATTGAGGGTCCGAAAATACCGTTTTTATTAGCTTGCTTTATAAGATTAGCATAAGCAAGAGCGACTTTTCCTTTCATTCCCAAAGGATTAGCGAAATTAATTTCCTCTTTATGCCGATCGTAAAGAAAGTATTCAGAGAGCTCCCGAGTATGGAATAAGCATTGAAGAGCAGAATTCATATAGCAAGTGTTTCCAATGTTATTCATTCCACAATATCCACGAACAAGCATGTTCTTCGTATTAATTACTTGAGGCGAATCCATCAGCCATCCTTGAACTTGAGCGTTTAAAACTTCAACTACAAGACAACCTTTCTCCAAATTCATCTCAAACATTGTCATGCAATCAGCGAAGTCATCCAACAGAATGGTTTCTCTAAGACTTCTCGCATCGGATATTGGTATAAATCGACCAGACGGCAATAATCGTGCATTATGCCAAAGACGATATTTTGTGGAAACTGGTATATTGAAATTAACACGAATAAACTCTATCAAATTTTTAAGAGTCTGAGTCTTTGAGAAATGAAATTTATAGGGACCTTGATGACTAGTTGGGGGAAGAAATGAGAGCTCTTTATCTATGGAATCAGAATAAATAAAAGTTGTATAAAAAACAATAGGGTATACATTCACAAATGGTTGCGGATTTTGTTCCGGTCCAACGAGTATAACTTTTCTCTCAATTGGTAGTCCATGGACTCCAAACCTAAGTCAACTTGTTAGTACAATTATAAATAAACTGTAGTTGCATATTCACTAAAGATTTTGATTACTATTGCTTCACGCATTATTTGAATGTGAAGCATGCAAAGGATGTTTAAGCCATGTAGTAGTATAATCAGCAAAACAACATCATTGACCTCTAAACTCATTTCTTTTTTCTGAAATAAAAAAGCAAATCTTACCATTGTGCTAGCTTGTGCCAAACAGAGGAAGATATGATCGTATAATCAATTGATTCCTCAAGTCCAGGCAAAAGCTGGTGATTTTTATCTAGTAATTTTTTTTGATCTATCGGACCAGGATGACGGCTTTCTCCGTTTAAAAAATCTTTATAGGCTTCAAACCATTCATACTCTATCAAGTAAGCTGAATCGTCATTTTTCCATTCATCTAAATCATCCTCAAAAGTAGAAACAAAATCTTTACTCAACGTTTCATAAAAATTATCTCCCCAAGTTTCCGAATACCGCGATTTTCCAATATGAGCAGCGATTGAGGCCATTCTAAAACATTGCTTTTTAGTCAAGATTCTCAGTCCCTTTAGTAATTTCAATGTCTATTAAATGTTATAGAGAAAAATTATGGTAGCTTTAAGCGTTCTATAAAAATTGAAACTGTCGCTGAAATAGTAAAGTCGCTTTGCCCTTAATATCACAACTTCTCATTAATAGCCTCACTAGGTCCTTCTTGATTTAGTTCCTCCATAAATAATCCAAGTCCTATTTATTTATTTTCCAGTTTTTTTTTTTAAAAAAAGAATAATTTACTTGGTTTAATCTTTTATTGAAAGCAGAAGATACCTGTGAGTGTTGAAAGGTTTCGTGTTTGGACGACATTCACGGTTTCCTCTAAGTAATTCCATACGGTAGCATTCTTTTTTACTTTTTCGTAAACGATTTGACCTAAAGTGTGATTCCCTACAAAATTTAAAGAATTTCGTTCACCTCTGAAGAGAAAGAGATATTGAATTCTAGTAAATATGGCTGCCGAACAGAGAAAAATTATTGAACAACTTATGGGAAGTAACCTTTCCAATTTTACAAGTCGCGGCCAAGTGCATTTTACGGATCGCAAAGTGTGTAGAAGCTTTTTATGTGGAATATGCCCTCATGATATATTTACAAATACAAAGATGGATTTAGGCCCTTGTCCAAAAATCCACAGTGACAAGCTTAAGTCCGACTATGAGCGAGCTAGTTATTCACATAGTTATGGTTACGAATGGGATTACTTGGATGACTTAGAACGGCATGTTGATGAATGTAATCGAAGAATAGATATTGCAGAGGCCAGAAAGGAAAAAACAAAGGAGGAAATTGAACGAACAGATGAGTTGATGCGTGAAATAGCCCATACAGGACATTCCATTGAAGTTCTGATCGAGGAGATGAAAGCTTTATCTCAGAAGGGACACCTTAACCAGTCTATGAAACACTATACTGAGCTAAGTCGCCTCAGAAGTCGTAAAGAGGAGTTGCATCAAGAAGTAATTTCTATGAACGAAGTCCCCAGTCAAGCTGGAACCACTCATCAAAAGTTACAGGTTTGTGATGTTTGTAGTGCATATTTGTCTCGACTGGATAACGATAGACGTTTAGCAGACCACTTTTCAGGTAAGATGCACCTGGGATATGCGATGCTACGAAACTTGGCCAAGGATCTTCGAGAACAGTTAGATGTACAGATATCTAGTAAAGGTGAAGAAGATGAACCAGAGAATGAAAATTCGAAACACGGTGAGCCACGTTCAGAAACGCGTTCAACTCTACACGTAAGTTGATAAAGGATCTAATACATTTATAGCTTATTTATGTTACCAATAGCATAGCTGTCACAATAGCATCTTGTTTATGTATTCTACCAAAAGTATATGGATAATAAGCAGAACTGTTTCCCTTAGTTCACCTACAGATAGTACACGAGTTATCTTTTTTTCTGTTATTATTGGCTTTTGTTTTTATTTTCGACACTGAAAAGAAGAAATCTACTAAATTGTCTACGTGGAACTGAAATACTAATTCGGTCCTATCTCCTAGAAAAATCTGTTTGTATCAGAAAGTAAAATTTTAATAAGTGTAAATTATGTTTCTTTTTATTTTTAATCACAATAGTTCTATGCCAAAACACTAGATTCGTTAATAAGCGGTGAAGTACACCCATTCAAACTAATGAAATACCGTATAGACAAATACGACAAAATTGCAAATAAAAAAATTAGGTTTTTTTGGCTTTATTAACAAGTTTCGATAAAAAGCATCCGATGGTCTCAGATTGAAGTGGTCCGGAAGACGAATCTAACCTTGAGCATACTACAAAATCTCATCAACTTGATGAATCAAGCTTGCAAAACCACCTATCATGCTCGGCTACGAACGGGGAATACCTCTTTAATACAAAAAAATGTTACGGTCTCAACACGGTCACATACCTCGTATACTGGGCGAAATTCGCTTCGAAATGTACCGGTAGTTAATTATGCAGCTTTTGAGCAAGGAGATGATTATCAAGTTCCTTCTGAGCCTACGGAAAAAGAAGAGGAGGAGGAGAATTTTAAGGTGGATGAACAAGGCTTTCCAATTGAACGTCCCCAAGGAAAAAGGATCGTTCCTAAATTTGCAACGAAAACCAGGCACACATATTTCACAGATGAGCAATTACGATGTGCAGCTGAAGAAAGAGATGTATATGTACCAATACGACTGGATATTGAATTGACCAATGACTTTCGATTGAGAGATACGTTTTTATGGAATATGAATGAACAAGTGATGACTCCGGATACGTTTGCTCATATTCTATGTACGGATTTAGATATTCCAGTAAATTCATTTGGGCCTCAAATCAGTTCGAGTATTCGGACTCAGATAGAAGAATACGCGCCGGTAGCTGAAGTACCTATGCCTCAGGGACAGGAAATGATGGTCGTTTTTAATATTCAATTACAGTTGTCACAACATTCGTATAACGATCAGGTTGAGTGGAATCTAACAAGCAACTTAACCCCGGAGGATTTTAGTACACAAACATGTAATGATCTTGGATTGGCGGGCGAGTTTCGACCCGAAATGGCTCATGCCATCCATGAAAATTTACTCAAGCTGAAAAAAGATGCATGTGAAGGTGATTTACCAGATTATGACAACGATTCTGTGCCTGGAGCGATGGCTGGACCTCGCCAGGACATGGCTACAATGGGAGCACTATGGCAACCTACGTTAGAAACAGTAAGTTTAGAAGAAGCAAAAAGGAATGAAACAAACAAAGAAAATATGGTTCGACAATGGAGAAGAGATGCTTCAAAGTTTGGTGGAAATGCCGCGGATGTGTCAGCAGAGCGTTGGAGAGCAGCAGCTACCGGAAGTATGGTCGCCCAGGCAGCCACGACAAATCTTCCAAGCGCCTCTGTTTCTGATGCGCAGACCTTACTGGATCAAGAGCGACCTCGTTGGAAATGCAGATGGTGCAACGTTTTAGGGACAGGGACATTTTGTGTACGGCGTGGTCCTGAAGGAAATAAGTCTCTCTGTAATGCCTGTGGTGTTGCTTATGCTCGTACAGGACAGTTACCGTACTGGAGAAAAGGATTGTATACTTAGTATCCTCTACGATGACAATTCACTTTCATGCTGTTAAATATACTCCTTATCTTTTTATTATTGTTATTACGACACGAAGATATTCAGAGAAAAGCAGTAAATAAATGGCAGAAGTGAAAAGAAAATATATATATATGTGTGTTAACCATTAAAAATTCCAGCGTCAGGACGAAGAATTTTTGTTAACTGCTTATTTGTTAAGAATATACAACTTTTTATCTCTTATTACATTACGTTCATTTACTCTTTCTTTTTAGTATCCGCATAAACAGGTTGTCTCATTAATTAAAGCTGAAATAAAATAAACCGTTCAGCCATATTTTTCATAAGCATAATTGTCATAAATGAAAAGAAAACTTTGAAGGAATATCAAGAGCAGTCTCACAATTCATCAACTGAAGGAGGGCTCTTACGATCGTTCACGGATAAGTTTTCCGTACGTTGACTCTTGGTAGCAGTCTCACGTTCTAGTTCTTCAATAGGGGTATCGTCCCAGTCAGAACGAACGTTGGCCTCTGAATCAGTGGTATTTTCACGGCTAGCATTGTCTTTAGGGGGGATTGGATCTTCTTCAGCAGGTTTGCGATGTAGAGGTTGAGTACTGGAATACCAGCGACTCAACAATGTACGAGTCTCCAAGGATGAGCCCAAACGAATGGTGTTACGGCTAGAGTTGCTGAGAGGAAAGGTTTTGAAAGCGCTAAGACGTTGAGAAAACATGTTGGTTCACTTTGAACAGTACGACTATTAAATACACAGAGAGAGGGGAAGTGTTTATAAAGAGAAATCAAATAGTTTGCTATGTCTGTCTGGTTAGCCATCTATAGTAAATCCTTATAGCTTGGAACATCGATATGGCAAGACGAAAGCGAATGGACTAACGTTATTTTCTATTGACCATGCTTTCCTACTTTTTCTTCATACCCTTTAAAAATGAAACTCGCTAGTACAAACTGAGTCGACAATTGCTTTTTCGTTCACTTTTTGTATTAGTGGTAGTATAAGTTGAAAGAAATAATTCAGGAAAAGCCAGCCTTTTCTATCTTCGTAAACGGCTATGAAATATGACAAATTCTGGTGAGCCTTATGTCTGTAGAATGATTCACAACCAGTCTATTTGACGATTTCATAAACCAGTGATTTCATACTGAGCAAAGTTGCTACTTAAACAGCGATTTAGAGTAGCTTGATGAACCGAAACTGCTGGATGTGGCAATCAGTTATTTTGCAAATTTTTTTAAAAAAAGAAATAGAATTATTATGAGAGAAAATAATTCTGTAAAATACCATTTTGTTTTACTTGGTCTCTGATGTCATTACCTCTTTCATGCTGGTTGTGTTGATTAACGATACGAACCGTAAACACACATATCGCATTTCAGCTCGTAGTATGTCTTTCATTACAAAAACAATCTTTTGAGATACATCTTTGTTGCTTATGCATCACAGCAGCACGCTAGTAAATAAAAACAATGGAAGATTATTTAAGATAAATATATTTATAAGACTGGGTTTGGGCATATATCTGATAGCAGTTTTTTTATTTATTGTATCTTTTTCTTTTAATTTTATTTATTTTTTTACTTCTATCCTCGAAATGTTTATGATGGTTTCGTGTTTGTAAAAGTGAATCTTGACGAAAACAAGATTCACTCCAAATCAACCATTCTTTACCAGTTTTTCGCTTTGTATTGGTCATGTTTCTACATTTATATCTTGAATTCTTTATACAAATCATTGTTTAAACTACAACGCTTGGTTTTGCAGTTGAACCATTTTCCATCAATTCTCTCAGAACCAGCGGTAACATGGAACACGACTAGAATATTTATAAAGAAATCGTACTATTCTTATTTTATATGCATACTAAGCAGGATTTCCAAAGAAGTTTTCATTGCTATATGAAAACCTATGGAACAATTGTCAATAGACGTAATATTCTTGTGTCCGGTTTCCTTAGAAAAGTATAAAGGGAATTGGAACAGCAACGAAAAACAAGCGTAACGAATAAAGGGCACCTTTGCTAAAATAGCAACATCAAGAATCCAAAGGCATACGTATACGCTATATACAGGACATACATAAAACCTCTAAGTGTATTATACAAGAATACATTACCATCGTAACAAAATAATGCTTTCAAAGCTCAGTAAGAAAACAGAACCAAATTTAATATCGTGTGTCCGCATGCCAGACGATCTAGTAACCTAGAACATTCATCACGTCAGCACATAAATAAACGTTACAAGCGAATCGTCATATAATAAATTGTTGATTAAGATCTTTCTTCCATTTCCAAGTCCCTGTCTTGGCTATGATCACCACCACCTTCACTTTCATCAATGCTATTTCCATCTTCATCGGTATGAGTTATACGAGTGATAACAATCACACCTTCGGCCACCATACGATCGTAAATAGATTTTAAAAGTCTTTGTAGACCGTTGGGACCAGAAACTTCATCAGATGAGATTTGCAAATACGAACGCAAAGGTTCAAACTCTGGTTTTACAATTGCACGTTCTAACGAAGAAAAATGCTTATAAAAATCTGGGTTTTGGGTCAATTCATCTTTCCTGGAATTCCGAATCAATTCTGGAGGAGCATGAGGGAAGAGTTTATGAGAAATTCGTGGGTGTGTAATAACCCGATGCATCTCGTCATCTATTGGGAAGGGTTCAATAGGGGTGGTACTATTTTCTATAGATCTTGATAAATCTTCAAGCATGTCTAAGGTTCGAGAACGAGAATAATCTTCATTCACGTCAAATGTAGGTCCCGAAGGATCCTCCATGCCCAAGTCGGGTTGACCAGCTCTTCTTAATTCAACACCAGAGTCATTAGAAGGTTGGAGTTGATTTGCAGATTCACTCACTGGAGAAAATCGCGGCAAAAAGCCAGGTGCTTCAGCGGTGGGGGATAATACCTCCCAATTAAAATCCTGCAGGGAATCTTGACTAGCAGCTCCAAACAACTGCAATAATTGACTAGCAGATGAAGTATCGTCCATACTTCGACTACGGCTGGATGCATTGTTTCGAGCATTAATACTTCTAGTAACGTTGAAGGGATCGGCGATTAACTGATTTACCAGTGAAACAGTTTCTTCATCTTTTTCATCGCTATATTCTTGCATCCAATAAAAATGAATTTGAGATGATGATTTAAATCTCAAAGCATAAACACGACCAGTAGTGCATTGATCAATCTTAATAAAATCGGCCTCATCGGGAAAAATAATAAAATCCTAAACCAAAAGTTATTAATCAATATCAAACATTGAAATGACAACTTGAAACTTTCAGAAGCGGGAAATCTCATAAAAGTTCAGTTGGAAGGATAAACACTGGAATAATGTTCCAGATTACATTCTTTCTTACATCTTCTATATCTGATGAATTTCTGAATCTTTCTTTCCAGTAAAAATGAAGCAATTCATCTGTTTCTAACTGCATGTAAAGGATACTAATGGACCATTAGCAGTTTATTCCTCGTATGGAAATACTGTTGCTCAACAGAAAATATTGATCTTCAGCTTTCTTAAGAATATCTTACCCTTTTCGATGATCTGCTTGCAAGAGCTTAGTACCTGGCTTGCGATTCAACTTGCCAGCTTTCATGCTGATAACCCCGTATTTTCTTGACTCTGCTTGATCATTCCTAACTCGTCCAAAAACTGTCTCCATTTTTTACTTTGATATCAGACTATTTTTTTTGTCAGTCAATGTTTGTTTTGTTGAGGTTTGGTAGGTGCTTGGCTTCTGGGTATTCCAAAAACATTCAGCGTGAGACGAGTGTAGAGCAGGACATCTCGTTCCTTGAATTAAATTTAATATCAATGATTAAATACATGAATTTATGGATTAATTAGATTATTTATGATTTCTTCTAATCAGAGCGTTGATACATAGTTCTATGTGTAAAGGGACAGGTTGCAGCATGAAAGGAACACTATCCAGCTATGAGAACTGGCGTCAATATGTTAAGATGGTATTAAATTGAAGAAGAAAGGGAATGGAATCAAGTTGATAAAATAGAACCATGGACTCACTATGACAAACGAGCAACCCAATTTCAAACTCGTCGGATACGACAATCAGTCAATTTTACTATTGAATATTTCACATTGAAGCAATTTTTAGAAAAATTTACACTATATTCACAACCTTTTTTTGCTTCAGATATATTCACTTGAAAGTCGTCAACCCTACAAACAAAGGCTTCATATGGATGGCTGCAAAAATCTCCTTAATTGAAGGGAATGGACGATCAATCAAGCAAGATGCACTGACTCTTTCCTTTCCTTTATTTTATTTTATTTTACCTTCCCAGCTTTTGAAACTTTAGTACCGTCGGCTTTCGTTACTGAAGCATAAACAAACCACAAACAAAAGAAGCAGAGTTGAGAGACAATTACGGAAAAGAAGAAAAGATAAATTATTTTTCTAATTTAAATGTATGAATGAATGGACGAGGAATCTTTAGCGCTTTTCTACACTATGGATTTACTACAACCATTGAACTAGCAATTCTATTTTAATTCTTCGTACCAAAAATAAAACTCTACATAAGATATTACCACTTATTAAACTAATAAAACATTCATGTCCATTTGCTATTACTTTTTCTGCATATTTAAGCTGCAATTCGAATGATTGTTAACATTGTAAGTCAAAAATGGCATTCACTTAATATTAATTGAAGTAAAAGAAATATTTAGTGATCTACTCATTAGCGTGATTCAGAGTCAAAATTTTATTGCTTATGTTGACATTCCTTCCTATCCACTACCAACATGTCCTCAAGCCAACAGAGTAGTCAGGGCAGAGGAGCAACCACTCCAAAGCGGGCTAATAGCTCTTCTAGGGAAGCAATGGACTCCTCTCCATTGTTTTTTCCCACTTCTTCACCGGGTTTGAGTCAACATACAACCCCTAAAACAAAAACGCGCACGTCTCGTAAGTTATCCTTCGAATGTCACAGGCTAACCTCATATAGTGGCTTCCTCACCTTTATTATTTGAATCTAGTTCTCCTGCTCCGCAGGCCCCCCATAGCTCTCGTTCTATACCTCTTTCTCAGCATAATGATCTTTTCTTAGCTGGAAGCTCCCAACGAACTCCCAAATCTTCAAGACGCGGTGATATCCATTCTAGTATACATTTAAAAACACCTTCCAGAAGGGAAGTTGATCCTCAGAAAATTGGAGCTACTACTCCTAGCAGTTTGCTTTTCTCGGGTTCAGACGCTTTAACATTCAGTCAGGCACACCCAACAAGTGAAGCGAATGATGATACCGTTCGTGTCATCTGGGGAACGAACGTTTCGATCCAAGAAAGTATAGCTTCTTTTCAAGGATTTCTACGTGGATTTAAGAAAAAATACCGACCTGAGTATAGAAATGATCCAATGCCTCCTCCTGATGCCGAACAAGTTGTATATATAGAAGCACTTAGAAATATGCGTATTATCGGTTTAGATATCCTTAATTTGGACGTGCAGGATTTGAAGTATTATCCTCCTACGAAAAAGCTTTATAACCAGTTATATTCATATCCCCAAGAAATTATTCCAATCATGGATCAGACCATAAAAGATGTAATGCTTGATTTACTGGGAACGAATCCTCCCGAGGATATCTTAAATGATATTGAACTAAGGATATACAAAATTCGGCCGTTTAATTTGGAGCGAACCATCAATATGCGTGATTTGAATCCTGGCGATATCGATAAATTGATTTCTGTCAAGGGGTTGGTTCTTCGTTGTACTCCGGTGATTCCTGACATGAAGCAAGCTTTTTTCCGGTGTTCGGTTTGTGGACACAGTGTTACTGTTGAAATTGATCGAGGCCGTATTGCGGAGCCTGTGAAATGCCCAAGAGAAATTTGTGGTGTAACAAATTCCATGCAGTTAATACATAACCGCTCAGAATTTGCTGATAAACAGGTTATTAAGTTACAAGAAACTCCTGATGTTGTCCCAGATGGTCAGACGCCTCACTCTGTTAGTCTCTGTGTGTATGATGAACTCGTTGATTCTTCTAAGGCAGGTGACCGTATAGAAATTACAGGTATATTTCGTTGCGTCCCTATTCGGATGAATCCTCGTCAACGGACAATTAAGTCTCTTTTTAAAACATACGTGGACGTTGTCCATATAAAAAAGCAAGATCGGAGGCGTTTAGGCACGGATCCTTCTACTTTGGAAAATGACTTAGCTGAAGATACGGCTGCTCAAATTGATGATGTTCGCAGAATCACTGATGAGGAAATTGAGAAAATTAAAAAGGTTTCCGAGCGACCCGATTTGTATGACTTGCTTCCTCGCTCACTCGCACCAAGTATTTATGAAATGGATGATGTAAAGAAAGGAATATTGCTACAGCTCTTTGGAGGTACAAACAAGACCTTTCAAAAGGGCGCCAGTCCCAGGTATCGTGGTGATATTAATATTTTAATGTGCGGTGACCCTTCGACATCCAAATCTCAAATTCTCCAATACGTTCATAAAATCGCTCCTCGTGGTGTTTACACTAGCGGTAAAGGTTCTTCCGCTGTCGGTTTAACGGCTTATATTACTCGGGATCAAGATACAAAACAATTAGTATTGGAAAGTGGTGCTTTGGTGCTTTCAGACGGTGGTATATGTTGCATTGATGAGTTTGATAAAATGACCGATGCAACGCGTTCCATTCTTCATGAAGTGATGGAACAACAAACAGTAACAGTGGCCAAAGCAGGTATTATTACTACTCTTAATGCTAGAACCTCGATTTTGGCAAGTGCAAACCCAATAGGAAGTAAATATAATCCTGAAATGCCGGTTACGAAAAATATAGATCTACCTCCCACATTGCTTTCGAGATTTGACTTGGTTTATCTAATTTTAGACCGAGTGGATGAAACAATAGACAGAAAACTCGCTAATCATATTGTTTCGATGTATATGGAAGATACTCCTCAGAATGCTACGGAACACGAAGTACTTTCGATAGAGTTTTTGACAAGTTATATTACTTATGCACGTAACTGCATACATCCTGTTATCACTGAACCAGCCTCAAAGGAACTTGTTAATGCCTACGTTGAAATGAGAAAACTTGGCGAGGATGTGAGGGCTTCAGAGAAACGTATCACAGCAACAACTAGACAACTGGAATCAATGATCCGTTTGTCTGAAGCTCATGCCAAGATGCATCTTCGAGAGACGGTCGAGGTGGAAGATGTTAGAGAAGCTACCCGCCTAATTAAGACGGCAATTAAAGATTATGCTACCGATCCTACTACAGGAAAAATTTCTTTGGATCTTATTTATGTCAATGAAAGAGAAACACTGGTTTCTGAAGATATGGTTCGAGAATTGAGTAATTTGGCTTCTACATTAACTGCTGGAGGCAAAACGTTTATGGTAAGCCAACTCTTGACTAGATTTCGTGAGCAAAGTACAACTCACGTCGATGCTTCAGAGTTTGAAGCTTCGCTGGCAGCATTAGAAAAGAGAGGTCAACTGAAAGTGATAACGAGTGCTGGACATCGTCTAGTAAGACCAATTGCTCAGATAGAATGATCTGGTACGCATAACATCCTTAAGCTGGTATTAGGGGTGACTCACTTATTTTATTAAATTAACCTGATGCTGCTATACAGTGTGGATTTATTTGTATTTTATAGACATCCTATAATGAAAATTAAACCGAAAATGTAATTAAAATAGTTTATCTGATAAATATTGAACTATACGTTAATTTGAATAGGATTCAAAATCATTAAGGTCTTTGTTAGCATAATATATAAAGTACATCAAAATCTTTTCAATATCCAAAAAGGGAAACGCGGAAAAGAGAGGAATATATACATAAATAGCATGGAGCTTGTACAGAGTGTAAAAATCCGTGAATCATATCATGCTCATTACGAAAGATACCGAAAAAGGAAGAAACACATTTACCTCCCAATGCATTAGTGAAGCTTTTAGTCTAAGAGTTCTCGGCGGCCTCTCTGTTGTAGGAATTTTCAGCAATATCAAATTTATCGTCATTATTGTCTTTATTAAGAATCATGCTTTGCTTTCTAGAGAAAGGTTTTTGTATTTCTCGTACATTCCAATGGAGTTTGTCTTCAAGAACTTTCGTCCATTGCTTGTGGGGGTTTTGAATTGCAGTAAAGGGATATTGTGAAGTCACAATAGACAGGTAATCTCCTCGGGTCATTTCTATTTTGCTGTGGCCATCAGCAGAGTAGAAAGCGCTAGCACGAGAATCCAAGGGGATCTCTATAGTTACGACAGAATAATCAGGAAGGATAACAGGCCTAAAAGATAGGCAATGAGGACATATAGGGGTAATTAACAGAGCGTTTAATGCAGGATGAACAAGAGAGCCACCAGCATTCATGGACATGTTGGTTGAACCAGTTGGAGTAGAGATAATTAGTCCATCAGCTTGAACGACAGTCATTAACTCTGAGTTGTTGTAAAGATTTAAATTACTGATATAAGGATGCTCGCCACGTGAAACCTGTACCTCATCTAAAACATAACTAGTACATACGTGAGTGTACTGTTCTGTTTCTGCGTTGTACTTAAAATAGGAACATTCCAGCCGAGAAGAAAAGCGCAAAGAAACACTACTGTTTAACAGATAATTGATATTCTTTTTATAATCAGCAGCAGGGAAATGAGTTAAAAACCCAGGAGCGTCGGCGTCAGATAAAGTCAAAACAGGAGGGCAAAGCTTTTGAAATAACCAGGAGGTATACAAAACAGTTTGATTATCACCAACGGTGATAATTAAATCGAATTGCGTTGGTTTCACTAGGCAAATATAAGGAGTCCAATACTTAATCCTATCTTCTTGCAATTCCAATTCGTTCAGAATATCGTTTGCGATAAATCTTTTGGAGTTCGCTAGACGTTTGTCTACGTAGACCGACGAGTCAGGTGAGGTTGAAGTAAGCAAAAATTTCGTTATGTCGGCCGTCAAATATACCAATGAATGGTTCCTTGGTTTAGTAACGATGAGAATATTCTTTGGTTCTGCAGAAAAGACGCCGTTGATAGCTTCACTGTACAAGGATTTTAATTTCATAACGTTCTCAATACGAGAGTAACAATCTCCACGATTGCTTTGTTGAGCAATGCTGCGGAAATCACTAACATTCAGGTTTTGCATGTTTGCATTACTTACTTCATCGACTGGAGTGTTCAGTCCTGACAAGTCAAAGTTTGCTGGGCTGTTAACGTTCTCATTGCTTCTTATACGGAGATACAAGTTTTTTAATTTAATCTTGTTCAATTCATCCAACGTGCTATCCCCAGGAGTATCAGAACGTTCGGGCATGTCCATAAGATATCTCTTAAATCCAAAAAATCAACCAGATTCCACGTTTTCTAAATTTTAAATGTATCTATAATAGTTACACGAAGGAAACACCCTCGCTCTTATTCAAATGTACGTTCTTCCTCAAAACACACCGTTTTGTATTGAACATGTATATACGTGTGAATTTGCTCAATCTATACTCGAGTAGCATTGTAACTTGAAGATTTCACAGGTACTTATTTTCTACTGACATCAACCATACACCAAGAGATGTAAACAAAAACACATAATAATCATAGATCATTTTTCCTTACCTATTTTAAAATTGAAATTATGATTACTGAAACTATCTCGTAGACTTTTCTAAATCCGAAATTCTTAAAAGCTACGTTTTGGAAAATGTGAGTTTACTACGATGGAACAGAGCACTGAAGAGGCAATGCATTTTATTTTTTAATTTTTTTTTTACGCGTTTTTTAAAAATGAAGGCTATGGAGTTTGTCTATATTAACTGTTTGATCGTAAATCAATGTGTACGTACTGAAGGTTAACACAAAACCGATCAAATTGTTTTAGAATAATGAATATATGTTTGTTGTGGAGACAGCGGTTCAGGAAAGCAGACTCTTTAAGGCTAACTTTACCAATGGTGAAGATAGTCCATCTTAAGCTAAAGATTCAATGAAAGAGTACATTTAGTGGGTCTCTTCATGGTAGAGCATATCATAAATTCCTCCTGTTTATGATCTTAACTACAAAGAAATTCTTTTCTCTACAATAAAATTCAGCTGCAGCGTCCGTTTCAGTTAAACTATGACTTTGTGTTGTACTATTAATGCTATAATGTTTCAAGATTGGCCCTATCTTAAAATAGGAAGAAGCATTAGCAGTTGAATACTTAAACCTCAATAATGAAAAAATAAAACTATAAATTGAAAAGACTAGAAAGAAAAAAGTCATGTGTCAATTTAGATTTTTCTCTTCTGCGATTATTTACTTTGATGCATATAAACAAACCACTTCTCATTCTTCTTCTGCAAACCCGGTGTTGAAGCATGGATCCATTGAAACTAGAAGAAAAACAAGAAATGGAAGAATTTAATTTAAAATCGAATCAAATAAAAATGAATGAATGGAAACATCCATCAGAAAAAGCCGACGGTCGATGGTTGCAATTGGATGCAAGAATTAATCGTACTGTAAGTTTCACAAGGAAAAGCAATCCAATTCCAAAAGGATGTTCAAGAAAAAGATATGCTATATTATTATCTAATTCCTTGGAATTTAGAATGAGAAAATAACTGACTTTATGTACGGATTTGTCGATTACTTTCCTTTCTATTCAAGAACGCATCATAAGGAATCACTAGCTTACTAACATGAGTAGGTAGAAGACCTTGAAATTTCAAATCATAATTTACGAATCATTAATGAGGGTTTGGAAAGAAAAGTGGAAGAAATTACTGTTCAATCTTCAATGGAGAAGGAAAAGCAGGCTCCCAATAGGTTATTACAAACAAACGCAAATGAAGAGAAAGTTCTTCTTCATTCAGTCAATAATGTACTAGACAATTTCATTTCCATCGTTGATGGAATGGTTCAACAGGCGCAAGACATTTTAGATGAGTAGCACATTGGGTTAGCAAAACCGCTAACCAGCATCCGTTCAACGAAATTTTGCATCAAATCCGTCTGTTTTATGTGAATGCATTGGGCTATTTTACTGATTAATGCGACGAAACGAGTCTATTGTTTTTCACAGACCAGTCATTCAGATTACCTTCCTTTCAAAGAAAAACTAAAATCTGACATCTAAAAGGGTCAACTTTTAGTGTTTTGGATTTCATTTTTAAACTAAGCCATCTACGTTGAATATTTGTATTTTCGATGATCTGAAAATTTCACACTGATTTGATAATCCTTTTTCTTTTTCTTCTCTTTTTTTTTCACTATAATTTTTAGAAACCGTTTTTTTTTTTGTTCTCTTAGGTCCAAGAAACTAAAGAGCGGAATTTCAGCTTGCTCTAGGTAGTCCTAACTCTTCCTCGAGTTGTTGCCATTTTCCATCGCTAGCCATCATCCAAGGTAGGGTGCACTTTTCTCAAAATCACCCCAAAAAGAAGGGTTTTTAGTGTTAATGAAAAAGAGTTGAAGCTCAATGTTTGTTAGAAAGAGTTTGCGCCTTTTTCGGCCACAATTTGCCGGACCCATTCCATCAACACGTTCATGGTTTCATAATGCCAGTGTCCGGCAAAGTATTTTAGGAAGAATTAAAGATATGTTTGGAAAAGAAAAAGAAAAAGGAGAAGAACAAGTTTCTCAGAAAGATCTCCCTACTTTAGAAGTGGTGTTTCCAAAGAAAAGAACGAACGTCTCAAAATGGGAAGGAAAGCAGCTTTTTGAAAAGTTTTCTGGCGAAAAGCTTAATAAAGCTGATAGTCTCGCTATCATCAGTAACCTTCGATCTTCTGAAACTTTTTCTTCTCCCTGGTCCCCAGAAGATCGTTTGCGTGCCGCAAAATTAGCATATCAGAAGACAGGACATATTGTCTATGATTCCCCTCTACAAGAGATTTCAAATTGGGATGATATGTACCGGTATTACGATCTTCAAGTACAATATGGGGACTCCACCGTGCGAGGACGCACGACTTGGAAACCTACAGAAGAACTAATACTTTTGCCAAACGTTGTCTTACATATCGATAAAAATGGATTACCTACGGAGGATCACCCGGCAGGAGGATCAGTAAAGATATCTGAATCTACATAAACAATACCATTCGCCTTTGGGCAGTTTTGGGTATTAGCATTTCTTTTTACGCTTAATAATTTCCCCTCTCGTCTGGTTCCTTTGTCATTCTCCCTCTTTGCTGCTTTTAAATGCTAATTCCTCATGTGATGTTCATGTGTGTATAGTCCTCGTATACTCCCATCTCTTTAGAAACCTTTTTGTAAATCCAAATAAAATTGATACTTGAGAAGCATATGTTTTAGAAGTGCTTTGGTCCTCTGATTACTTAGAAAGTTCGGAATACTGACAGCTGGAGTTAAATGTTTTGTCTCAGTAGTAAGAGAAAAGGAATTAATTTACGATAATTGATTCTATAGCTATTTGTTAAAAAAATTATGGTGGTTCAAGTCATTAATTCAAAACATTAGTACTTTACTAGAATTTCAGTTGAACGTGCTGTATCAGGAATATTGCAAAATAATTCTAGCATTTTGTGTTTTCTAATAAAAATTTAAATCATAAATATTCAAAATTTATTCTTCCTGAAATGATATTATCCGAAGAGTAGTTTCACTCGTCTCCACCTGTCTACTCTGTAGTTACCACCCACCTCACCTTCAGTGTCAGATTTGAAATTATATAAAATGGAATATTTGAACCAAAAAGAACAAGAGCAATTTGCTCAGGTTTTGGAAGCTAAACAAATAAAAGATTATACAAATGTAAGTTTCGATAAATGACAAATACCAGGAAGCGGAGAAGACTGTAAATTCGTTGAAGCACCCTGGTCCCACTAGGAAACCTAGAATATAAAGAAAGTTTCCAAAAACATTCTAGCATTTTCAACTGCGAATGCAGTGGTATTCCCAATTGCAGCAAAGATATGCATGTTTGCTAACAAGTGTATAGATGATGTTCAACCTTAGTCAAGGCTGTTTCAATGACTGCATCGTCGATTTTACCAGCAGTAAAGTCGGTGATAAGGAAAGCGCGTGCTTAACCAGATGCGCAGACAAGTTTTTCAAGCATACCCAACGTGTTGGACAAAGATTTGCTGAAAACAACGCAAAGCTTATGCAGTAAATTTTGATGTCATTATCCAATTGATTGTTGGTCTCCTCTGAATATTCAACACAGAGTGCATTACTTTAACTATCAGGATGTGATGAAAACCCCGAATGAAGAATCAATATTCCTAGAATTGATGAAATTTTAGGACAAGGAGATTGCAGAAATATGATTCGTTTCTTAAAATTTTTCTCTACGTAGTTTTTATCTGTGTTACTTATAATCCTTGCGTTGAATGATCTGTAGTTGAGCATTCAACAGAGAAAATCAATGCTTTCACATATCCATTATCTGCCGCTAACATTCTACTTTTACATAAAGTATGCTTTTGCGTAAGATATTTTCTTTTACCATGTTAGTTTCAGCTGAGAGAACATCAAAGTTTACCTACGAAAGGAATCGTTCCTGCAATCCTAGAGAGGAAATACTTGACTTTGACGATGAATACTTGTGTTTGATTTTTTTAACGTTACAAGAGGATACAAGGGTCATGAATAGGAGACTGACCATGTATTCTTCATCCTGTACTTCACCACATGTCAGTAAAGTAGCAACTCTCAACAAGCAACATTGTTAGAGTTTCTTAAACGCTATGATTCTTTTAAATTATTATAATTTTAGACATAGTTTAATTGAATATGAGTATGGAGTCTTCTTACAAGGTCACATGTAACCTACGGTTTTGCGTGAAAGCACTGTTCTCCTTTGGAGTAGACTCGCTCAACTTCAACACCACCACACTTGACTGTAATTCAGCTTCGTTTATAGGTTAAACGGCCCATTTTTGTAACTAAATTCGTTCTCCTTTTTCCATTGAGTCGCGATTTCTGCCAAGATGCTTACCTTGAACCAGAAATCGCTTTGGGTTGCTCTGTGCGCCTTTTTCATGCTTTTCTCTTCGGCGCTTGGTGCTTTGGTTGCACCTGTCGGAAATGTTGAGAATTTTGAAGGTATACAATTAAAGTATGGTATGTATTATGTGTTGTAATGGCTTTTTGTGATGTCCTTTGCCTATTCCGAGTAGTATTTTAACATATTTTTAGCTGACAATAGCGTAACTACTCGCGTTCCTGAATTTAAACGGGAAAAGCGTGCCGATGGTCCTAAGCCATCGTATTCTACTACTGTAGACGATGTAGTCATTGTTACCGACAAATACTGGACTGTAATTTCAGGTGTCAATACACCTGTCCCTTATCCCTACACTTTTTCAGAGGCTCATCCATCTTCCACAATAACTACAGCTCCTTCGGGGTCTATCGGTTATGGATCAAGAAGGGATAAAGGCCGCCAGTTGATGGAAGGTAGCTCATCCACCCGTATCTCCTTCCCTCACATTACCTTTGCTTTAGTAGCTGTTGCTAGTTTGGTTGCTTTATTCTTGTAAAAAGTATCAGGAACGATTTTTCAGTGCATCTATTCAAATGGCTCGCATATTTATCATCGTTTAGATGACTTAATCGTTCTTTACCTACCAACTGTCTTTTGATTTGCTTTTTCGATGTGAAATTGGAAAACGAACTTTATTGATTACCAAGTCTTCTTTTTCTTTCTTTTATAATGTTCCAGAACGGTTTCTGAAATTCTATTCTATTCTATTCTATTCTATTCTATTTTATTTTATTTTTTTGTTACACTCTTTTTTCGAAGGATAATATGCCTTTCTTTTTTTTCATCTGTGCCCCATATATGCTCCTTATTATCATGTATTTTCTTTTTATATTACTTCTATTATCCTTGACATCTTTGTCTCATGTGAAGACTTAATCTCTTGTTACAAATTTATCAATGCTTTTTTATTAAAGCTGTATGAAGTTCAAGGCAGACCTGATAGGTAGGTATTCAGTGTTCTTTTCCCCCAAACAATAAAGAAAGTGATTGTGATTGAATGACATTACAAAAAGCGAAACGAAGTAGATTTTGTAGGACATTCCCATTTTTCTATTCATTTTTCACTTCACAAAGCAGCAAAGAGAGACACAAAGACTATAAATAAAAACAAGCTGGTTGAATCATCCAGTTATTACAATTCAAAGCTAAAGCTTGCTTGATTCAATAGCAAGTATATGAATTTTGTATGATAACTGTTTTTTGTTTATTTCGTATAAATGAAACTCGTTATTATATATTTCATTTTTCGCAAAATATCGGTAATGGGAATTACGCGCTGTAACCCGAGTACCGAAAATAATTGATATCTGTCGAACCATACAGGTGTGAAGAGCAGATATTGACTGGCCACAGCAAGTCTACCGGCGGGAAAAGAGAGAACATAGAGAATTGTCAAAGAAACGTATTTCCGTAGCCTAAAACCGTTTTAGATCAATTCTTTAAAGACACTGGTTCGGATTGGTATCCATTTTATAGGCTTTTTTTGATTCTCAGGCGACTTTGGTATAAGTCGCAATAGCTGAGCAGCGAATCTATACTGTAAAACTCAAAAATTTATCTTGCATTTTATACTAGAAAGCTCTTTTTTTTCAATCCAGTCTATTTTTACTACAAACTACGAGGTCTTTTACTTCGAACTTCAATTTAGTTGCTTTGCTCTATTGTTTGTGGCTCAATTGTTTTGATTTAAATTAGTGTCAAATTTCATAAAGGAAAATCTTTTAACGCTTTTATTCAAATTGTGTTTTTTGCTTGCTTTTACGTTCTGTCGTTCTTTTTCCCTTTATCTAACAAGTACTTATACTTCTCTACAAACTCTTTAATAATTTATAATGTCTTGGAAGTTAACGAAAAGTATGTGAATTTTCTTTTTTTGAATATTGTTTTCTAACTACTGATTTCTCAGAATTAAAAGAAACACATCTTGCCTCTGCAATAGGATTGACATCCAGTGGTTCAATAAAAAACTTGCGGAATAATGCACATTCTTCAATTTCGTCTCAAAAATCCAGTGATGAGAGATCCAGCAGAAGCTCAGAAGACCGACAATCTCCTCAAAGCACAGTTGTTCAGCCTGGTTTACTTCAAGTCACAATTATTGCAGCAAGAGATCTACGTTTGCCATCTGGGTATACCCCAAGTAGTTATACAGCTTCTTTCGGTGCTGCTCCCAGTACCAATGGCTTAGGGCATTCCCGCTCTCGAAGTCATGCATGGTGGCTACCTTATATTGTGGTGGAATTTGACAAGAACGAAGTTTTGGTAGATGCTCTTAATACTGCTACTCTAGAAAACCCGAGATGGGATTATCAAGCAACTTTTGATGTTTCTCGGTATTCAAAATTATCTTTAAACATTTATCTTCGATCTTCTACTAGTCGATTGAGAAACGGAATGGGAAATGACGTATTTTTGGGAGGAATAAAGCTTTCTCCATCTTTTGTTGTTAATAAACTTACTGATGAATGGGTTCCTTTACAAGGAGGTAGCGGTGAATTACGAGTTCAAATGCTGTATAAACCCAACCAGAATACCCCTCTTACCATTGATGCTTTTGACCTATTAAAAGTTGTTGGCAAAGGATCTTTTGGAAAAGTTATGCAAGTAAGAAAACGAGACACCTCACGTATTTATGCTTTAAAAACTATTCGAAAAGCCCACATTGTCTCAAGAAGTGAAGTTGATCATACTTTGGCTGAAAGGACCGTTCTGGCACAAGTTAACAACCCCTTTATTGTTCCTTTAAAGTTTTCTTTCCAATCTCCCGAAAAGTTGTATATTGTTTTAGCCTTTGTTAATGGCGGCGAATTGTTTCATCATTTACAACGTGAAGGTTGCTTCGGTACTTACCGAGCAAAGTTTTACACGGCAGAGCTGCTGGTAGCCCTCGAATGTCTTCACGAGTTTAACGTCATTTATCGTGATTTAAAACCAGAAAATATTCTTTTAGACTATACAGGACATATTGCCCTGTGTGATTTTGGTTTGTGCAAATTAAATATGGCCAAAACAGACCGCACAAACAGTAAGTAATCCAATTTTATTTATAAAGCACATTTGCTAACCTATATCTAGCTTTTTGTGGCACTCCAGAATATCTTGCGCCGGAATTGCTTTTGGGTCACGGTTATACAAAAGTAGTTGACTGGTGGACTTTGGGTGTATTACTTTATGAAATGATAACTGGTCTCCCCCCGTTTTATGATGAAAATATAAATGAAATGTATAAAAAGATTTTACAAGATACGCTACGCTTCCCCGATAATGTTGATGCAGATGGTCGTAATTTACTTTGCGGCTTATTGACTCGTTCGCCAGACAAGAGGCTGGGTAGTCGCGGTGCCCAAGAAATAAAAAATCATCCTTTTTTTGCGGATATAGATTGGAAAAAGCTTTTTGCCAAAAAGATCCAGCCGCCTTTTAAGCCATCTGTCGAGTCAGCTATTGATACAAGTAATTTTGACTCCGAATTTACCTCAGAAATCCCAATGGATAGTGTTGTTGCGGATTCACACCTTTCCGAAACTGTCCAACAACAATTTGCCAATTGGAGCTATCAACGTCCTACTACAATAGATGCATCTGATGACATATCGACCATTGGTCCTGGAAGCATAACGCGGTAGTTATGTCTACTATGCTGTCTTTTTAGATAAGTATTCCACTCTTTATTTTTGTTTTTATATTATAAAATTATCGAAATACATGGATGTTTGCTTTTGCAATAGTTTGTCTTAGCACAATCATCTTCATTAATGCTTCGTATTCATAACGTAGTTTGTACCTCGTGACTATATATGTGATAATTTTTGTGGTGAAATATGCGAGACAGGAGTATCATACATTTTGCTGAAGGACAGTAGGAAGAAGATAATTATGTATAAAATCTATATGCATTGCAAAGTAAACTATTTAACAGACAGTAAAAAAATGATAGAACTAAATATACAAGGGAGGTTTGCATCCAAAAGAAATTGACACTTTTCTGACCAAAAGAACGAAAGGAAAATTAAAACATTAAATAGGGGAATCTGTGCGAATTATGGAGTAATAATCCAATTTGACCTTTTAAAAAAGTCGTATATTTGTTCAACTTTTGAGTGATCAATGTGCTTCAATAGTTGAACAGCGTCGTCTTTGGAAAAAGGTTTATCAAGAAGAAGAGAGGCAGAAATTAAAGCGTATTTTAATGCCAAAAAAGGTTTTGGAAAAATTTGTAGCTGAAGACATAATGAATGCTCCTCATCGGAGAGAAGATGACGATCAGCAGAAGTAGGAAATGAAGGGACAGGAATAGGTTGTTTGACAAATTTTTGAATATCCCGAATCTGAAAAGGGATTGGCGGAGCAGAAGAATGTATGGGTTTATTTTGACGAAGTAAACCGCTAGTAGCTCTGCTAATCAGCATCTGTTAAGAAAAGTTAGTCATTTTGCGGATAATAAGAGTAAATTGAAGCTCACCTTCTGTGTTTTATCGCGTTGATAACGAGCACCTTGTTCAACACTAGTAAGTCCCATCTGTCTCCATTCCTGAAGCTCTTGAATGCGTTTTACAAGGGCAACTTGCTCAAAAAGCCCATGCAAAAATTTTCGATAATCTTCAGCTGAAAGCAGGCGAGCAAATGCTTTAGTTCTATTAAGTAAGAGACGCTCCTCTTTAGAGAGACGTTTTTCATTAGCTTGCAATCTTCGGTAGTCTAATAAATTATGGGTAAAGATGACTTGTTTCCGTATTGCACGACTTATTAAACGAGAATTATAAATATTCATCATCGTAAGCTTAATATAATCTTCCTGTTGTTTGGATTCTGATGCATCTTCTTCAAAGTTCATATCTTTGACAGAGACCTCGGCTTCGTTCATATACTCTTGATCAAATTCCAACCGGCCAGGCATATAGCCCTGGATTTCATGACATTGTGGTGTAGAGGCTAGCGGTTTTGGAGGAATCACAGGAGGGGGTTCGAATTTTTGCATGCGAGTCCGCTTTTGCTCAGCGAAGGCTATCCGGTCAATGGGTCCATCAAATTCGCTCTTAGAAAGAGGATAATTATTTGTTTCAATATATGTATTTATGTAATGATCTCTACAATCTTCTTTCGTACGTCCATTTCCAACATATTCGGCGATATCTGCCCAATTTCCCAAGCCCAGCGTCTCACACGCATCAATGAGCAGAAGTTCTTCATCTGCACCCCAGTCTTCTGTAAAAATAGGATAAGAATTTGTCTCTATAATACGATATGGATGGCTTGGTTGGTGCTCACCAAGGGAAGCTCCAGAAGTGTAGCAAGGAATACACAGATCAAAATCGGCACATTCCGCACACCTAATATGAATCATCCTCGTTATATCTTGTGCACATACATTGCAATGATATTTTTGAGGTGGCATCCTGCAGGGGAGCAAAAGTTTTCTGTTCCACTATGGTGGAGCAAAATCCCGTAGTTCGGTGGCAGGTTGGGTAGGAATGATGAAAACCAATTCGACTTCAGCAAACGAGAAACCTACCACAAAAGGTAAATAGATTCACTCGAAAATAACAGAATGTTTATTAAAAAATAACAATGGCGGAGGGCTGGGTTTTCACGGATTCAACAAATGGTAACACCACAAGGTGATTCTGTTTAAGCTTGGTCGATAGAAAAACAAGTGGCTAGTTCGTATCTGTCCTATTTTTTGCTTGCTTCATATTAAAGGAACAATATCTCGGGACTAGAAATCTTTCAATTTCTTAATCCCAACCTTTGTATCATGGCAAATAATGTTGCATAATCGTCTATTCACAAATGTAGTTCGCTTGACAATTACTCTTGTTTTAAATGAGTCTTTCTCAATAAATATTTAATAATAAATGAATAGTCTTACAAAAAGAAAAAGAACAACTAGCAGATATATTTTATTAACATCTTAAAATGATTTATTTCGCTACACTGTCTTACTATTCAGTAAAAAACGGCTTCTTTGCCCATCAGTAAAAACCCTAACCTATGGGTCATAGTACAGCAACAGCAGTCACGTACTACAAACACGAAATTTCACAGTAACGAATTCATCACAGGAACAGAAATGGTAAGGAACATAGTGTTTGATAACTTGAATTTGTCGGATGTGCTAACTATTGAATAGGGTCGTGTACGTACCAAAACTACGAAGAGAGCTTCTCGCGTAGTGATCGAGAAATACTATCCTCGTCTCACGTTGGATTTCCAAACCAACAAGAGAATTGTCGATGAGGTCGCTATTATTGCTTCCAAGCGTCTTCGCAACAAGATTGCTGGTTACACGACTCACCTTATGAGACGTATTCAACGTGGCCCTGTCCGCGGTATCTCCTTCAAGCTTCAAGAGGAGGAGCGTGAACGCAAGGACCAATACGTTCCTGAAGTCTCTGAGCTTGAGAAGGAGAAGATTAACGTTGACCAAGACACCAAGGACATGATCAAGGCTCTTGGCTACGACTCCATTCCCACTCTTGTCGTCAACCCCTCTGCTCGTCCTGAGCGTACCTTCCGCTACAACAAGCACTAGAGGATTTCGTAGATTTTACAAATCAAAATTTTCATTTTTGAATGTCATTGTGATTTTGCTCAATGCAGCAAGTTTGTATTTTTTTTTAGTATGTAAAATTGATATCCTACTGTACGAGAAGTAAAAAAAGCAAGCAGACTACCCAACATGGTGCGATTAACGCTTCCTGTAAATGTTTCTAAGTAGGCATATGCTTTGTTAAATCCGATAAAATTGTAACCTAATATGCACTTAATATTATGTTGTAGAGTCTATTCGACGTCTATAGATAATCCTTCTAAGGAATCCCGAGCGATAAAATCTTCTGCTCTTAAAGGACGCAGTCCACCATTGTCGATTTCTGCTTTTATTTTATCTAAATCATTTCCAAAAATCGCGAACAATTCCCGTCGTGGGACAGATAATGCGGAGCGGCAAGCTTCTTTGATATAAGAGCCCGATAAACCTGCTGTTGAAGCGACGACAGCATTCCAATCAAAGTTTTCATCCAATTTTACGTTTTTAAGATACAATTCCAAAATTTTTCTCCTTTGACTAGAGGTGGGTAATGGGATAGAGTAAACCTTTGGCATTCGACGACGAATTGCTTCGTCAATGTCTCCAGGACGATTTGTAGCTCCAAGTACTAGAACCCTAGATTCACCGGATAAGAGACCATCCCACATAGACATAAATTCCGCCTTAATTTGAGCCATAGCCTCATGATCGGTACGCTGTCGTTGTCTCAGAAAAGTATCAATCTCGTCAATGAAGATAATAGAGGGTTCTAACTTTCGAGCAAGAGAAAATAGTGCATCCACAAGCTTATTCGACTCCCCAAACCATTTATCCGTTAAAAGACCTACGCTAACATTGATGAATGTAGCATTGCTTTGCTTTGCCAAGGCTTTTGCCAACATGGTTTTACCGCAGCCCGGAGGTCCATACAAGAGGAGGCCCTTTGGGGATGACAGAAGGTCACTATGCGTATTAAAAACTTCTGGATATTTTAAAGGAAATAAAACGTCTTGAAACAAATGATTCACATGCTCGTCCATCCCAGCGATGTCGCCAAAAGCTACATTGATTTCGCTTGGCAAGACTAACTGAGATGCCACCATTTGTTCATACTCATCCAATTCAACCGTTTCAATTTCTCGAACATGTTCTTCTGCCCAGTCTTCCAATTTCTGGCGACTCTTTGAGACTGTATCTTGTTGTTTTTGACGGTAAGGATCCAAAGAAGAAAGCAGCTTACGAGCTGCATACCAGGAACAACCGAATGCCAAAGCATAAACGGTGATCTCCTTGATCGCGGTTTTTGTACCTGGGTGCATATGTTCTATTAGACGAGTTGAACCGTTCGTATACACTCAGTAGGATATTATAAACGTTAGCCGATGTATCAACAACCTTTTTTTTAAAAGAAACGATGCGTATATAGGAAAATAAATAACCTTATTCACTTGTTTCAGTTATGATTAATAATACTTTTCAATTGAAAAGAATAAACCGCCGTTGACAGCCTGTTCTCTTGGGTTCACAGATGCTAACCGACACCTTTTTGCTATGTTCGCTAACATTAAGTTAATTAAGATAGATGGAGTATCAGCTATGAAAAAGTAGAAGTAAATACAACAAAACTGAAGTGTAATTGTGCCATTAATTAACAGAAGAAAATGCAACTTTCTATTGTTTGCTTTCAGAATTCCATTTTACCTATCTTCTGTCTGAGTTCCATGAAAAGTTTCACGCAGTGATACTCTTGGCAGCGTAGACTTACAATCAATATAATCTTTGAAATGTAGAAGCTTAAGTTGGATTCATTATGTCTATTAGAAAAACGTGAACAATGAAGGATACATCCGTTCTTTCAGGAACACCGAAGTATTAATAGTTTTCTCAACGCCCCCATGGAGTTATGTTGAAAGAGACATGAGAAAACGAGCGATGTCAAGAATAGTAAAATTTTAGTTAATTCTAAAATAATTCTTTCTGGAACTTTTCCATCCATTTGGTTGCGAAACCAAAATAAAAAGAAAACAGCAAAAATAAAACACACATATATATATACACACCCAAATTAACAGAATAGCCAAGTAATAGTTTATTTATAGCCAGAGGATGATGGGGTTTCCCCTTCGCTGGCGATACCCTCTTCGGAATCGGAATCACCATTGTTGGATGGATGAAGAAGAGTTCGAAACTCATCAATACTTTGGACGATTTTTTCAAAATTCTCTTTTCTTTGATTCCACTGCTGCTCGTAATTTTTATTTTCCTCCTCAAGTTCTTGGATGGCACTTTCCAATTTTGCGATAGATCTGTTATTTCATGGTTAATTGACGTCGTTGGAAGGAAAGCGACAGTACATACTCTAATTGTTCACCTCTTGATCTTAATCCTCTTGCCATAATAGGTTTAGCAAGCTCATCATATTCTTGTTGCTTCTCCTGTTCCTGCTGGGCAAGGAGTAATTCTTGCTCAAGTCTGGAAATCTCTTTTTCCTCTTGCTCATAATCTTGCTCTAATAAACCAGTTAAAAATTGTCCAAAAAAAGTACCATATTGCTATGCTTACGAGTTTTTCTTAAGTTATTTTGATACAGGCTGACTTCTTTGCCATGGGTGTCCAATTGCATTTGTAAACGAAGCCAAAAGGCAGACATGGCTGCGAATTCGATTTCTAAAGTTTTCATGCTTGCTTCATCTGACTTTTCGTTTGTAAATCCCATGCAGCGACTGATCAAGCGCCGTAAAGGCCTTTCCTCCACGTTTAGACGCGAACGAATCGCAGCTTCTGCTCTAGTTAGACAACAATTTTCGTTTAATAGTCCTTACCTTCCATTTTATAAGAATATTAAGTAAATAAAATAAATAGAGACGTGTAAATGAAGAAATATATGGTAGTTTTGTTGATGGTGACTATTTTCGGTGAGGTACGAACTCCACCAAAGTGAATCTGGGAAAAACAAGGACATAGTCCAATTTGCGGTAGAAACACCTTCTGTATTTTAAAATGTATTTGCCATTATTTCAGCAAACACCTCTGAGTGTATTCGTGTTTGAAAACGTCGAGAATGCAGAGGAACTGCATCAAGAACTCATTGGACAAAATCCTGCTTACGATTATGCCTTTATTGACGCTTCTAGTGTACGTTTTGAAAATCGAAGTTAGAAATTGAATAGTAAAAACATTACTAATTTCGCTATTATACGGAAACTAACAGTTGGTAATTGCAGATTGTATCTGTAAAGCAAATTTATAGTGCTGCTATGCGTGCTCTGCAAGCTCAGTCGGACGGACAGATGAAATCAAAAACGCTGCACATGGAAGTAATTTTATCGCTCTGTCCTAAAACAGAGGTTTGTTCTTACACTTTCATGCTCCATTTACTTGACTAACAAAATACGCAATAGATATCAACAGCCCTAAGACAATTCGGAATGACCAAAAAGTCCAAAAATATTGTGGTTTTGGAAATCAATGGTGCTCCTTCAGAGGTACGGTAAAGGGCTTCATGTCTAGATAGATATGTTCTGATTGAGAGCCAATTCCAAGGCCGAAGATTTTTATTAGAAATTCTAACTTTATCCTTTTTAGGAAGAGGAACTTGCGCGTGTAGCAAAGATAGTTCAAGGCAAACAACTACCTTTTTGTGATGAGACTTTAAAAAAGCTAGCCGACATGAAGCTGGTAAAGAAGGTAAGGCAATATGTACTGTCGATAATTTATCTAATCAAACTTCAGTACTATAAACTGGATGCAGCCGCTATGCAAAACCCGACGGCTGCAATTCTATCCGCCATTGCTTTACGTGGCTACTCTTAGTTTCCTTTTTAAAGCTTATTATAAACATTATAATTTATGATACAGTTTACTTTATGCTTGAAGCATTGCTTCTTCTGTTTCGTTCATTTTATTTCGTTGGTTTTGTATTCATCGCTTCCGTCCCAATTATGCTTATTCGATGTTCATTTAAAACCAAGGTATAAGAATTAAAAGACAAATAGAAATAAATAATAACTACAGGGTACATAGACTGTCTATTTTTGGTTTGTTATATGGTTTTTAGTGTAAATCTGATTTATACAAGAACCGCTTCCAAATTTAAAAGTTCTTTTAAAATAGAATTTTTTTTATTATATATGTTATATCTACTGTTTACGCCCATAAGGCTTAGTATCGAACAACATAAATTTTCGCGCTCACAAACATTTCAACCACTACTAGTCACTCGTATATGTTTTCCAAAATTAGGATCTGTAGGTTTGTTGGTTCATTATTACAATCCAAACCCTTACTTCTCCATGAAATACCAAAGTGAAACTCTGTGATCCATTTTGCTTTGGTATACAGTGATTTGTCGCGCGCATGCTGAACACCATACAGAACCCGGGGTGAAGATCTTTTTCATTATTTATCCTCTGTTTTGGTAGTTTGCAAAAAACAAATAAGTTAAAAATAACTCGTCTTACGTTTGCTTCTTATAAATTCCATTTTGGGAATAAAGTGCTCAAGAAGTAAAACATAAGAGTTATTGCAATACGTGATACGTCTATTTCACTCGATTTTTTTTATCTTCATTGCAAAATATTAATTATATGTAATTTTTGTGATTCTATTCAATGACTGAAAGCAAAACTGAAGATCCTTACTCGGTAATTGCAAGAGACTACCTATATCCAGTTGATCATGAGTTATTTTATGGGTTCCACGCGCGAATCGTCGAGAAAGTAGAAGAAGACTATGAAGACGATGGAGATGCGAGTGTGTTTAGCACATTAAATAATGGTGAAGCTAATGACTACGGAGCCGAAGATTCCGATGATCCAAACACTATACAAGTTGTTTGTGATGCTGTTGCTCTATATGATTTTGAACCTTTGCATGAAAATGAACTGGGCGTCTCCGAGGGTCAGACGATATGCATCATATCAGAGGCTAGTCATGGCTGGCTAGTTGCATACGACGAATTCTCGGGAGGAAGTGGTCTTGTCCCGGAGTCCTACGTTAATTTAATCCGGTAAACCTTTCTTGTTATTTTTTGATGTTGTCCACGTTTTGATATCTGTATATTAGTTACCTAATGCGCTAATCTGGGTACTCTTTTTTGTTGTGTACCCTATTTCGATCTGCTTTTTGAAAACAAGCCGCTCTTTTTCTTCCAATTTAATGTCACTCGTTTGGTCTATATACGACATCTTGTCTTTTGGTTGTTATCAATGAAATTTATGGAATGTTTTTTTTTAAAGAAACCTCGATGAGCCTTTGTCTCAGCTACTCAATAACGATAAAATACCTAAAAAGCCTTTTGTTGCAACCTTCTAATAGCTTTACGTCTCCTAATCTCAAGGAGAAGGGTTAGAATGTACCGTGTATTACGGGAGTTCTTTTCCTGTAGAGTTACATTGGTTGCTAGAATAACCGTAAGTCATAGTACATATCAAGACTATAACTACCCTTGGTGTGTCTCCATTTGAGAACGGACATTTTAAAAAAGATGAATCATTGATGTTTAAACACGGTGTTATTATATGTTAAATTTCGTTGAGATAAAACTTTCATTGAAACCAAACGATCACACCCAAGTAAACAGAGTTTCTTAATAATTATTATCCAATAAAGTCATAATTTGTTCGTGAACGTTTAGGAGATATAAGGTCGACGAAAGCTGAACGTTTTTTTGGTGTTGAAGGGGTGGATTTTGCTGAGCGTTCTGCTGCAGCTCTGTCAATCCAGGACTGATCTTGAAGTTGTTGAGACCTGTCTTGGACAACTGATAATAAAGATCCGGCTGGAGCACGTACTTCGGAAGAAAGTAAGTGGAAAGTGAGAGGAAACCAAATTAGTTTGGACATTGCTTCTGCCGGCTGTAGTCGAAGAGTCCATTTCCAATCGAGCTGAATGTCTTTTGTTACTTTGATTTTACAGAATAAAGAAATGCACTCGTCAGATTTTGTTTCTTTTAAACTAACATGGCTTTCTGACGAGACGTTCAAAAGTGTTTCGCTGAGTAGTTCGATTAGTGTATCAAAAGTTTCGAAAGGGTCAATTGGACATCGTTGTTTCTTTTATTGTTAGTTACATATGTACAATGAAAGCAGCATTCGACTTGTAAGCCGTTTTTGAAGGAATTGTGCCACTTCTTTCTGCACTAGAAGGCAATGGCGAGCGACTTACCTCTGCTTGCTCAATGGTTTGATCCTTCGAATATGTACATCCCCATAGCCTTGTAAGATCAGTTATGGAAATTTTCATAACATGGAGTGAATCTTCCGGATCAAAATGAGCCTGAAGAAAATGATATTTATGACCACGCAATTGCGTCCAGTTAGACATATAAACTGGAATTAATTGGAAGTTGTTAAAAGAGATAGTGACGTGCACTTGAACAGTGCTATTCGATTCAAGATCTTTGGTAGTTGTTTTTAGTGTGCGCTATGGTTAAATCAATTTGTCTATGTCGTCTAATATCAATCAAATCCGAAAGAAACAGTTACTTTTGTATCAAGATTAAGGAATTCAATATCTGTATTTGACTTTGTGTTTTGCCGTAATATTCTTCATTCCAGGAATACCCTTAACACAATGTCGATGTATATGCCTACGGTAGGTCAAAAAAAATAAGATATGTAAAATAAGATATGTAAAGTAAAACTATCATCAATCCTAGCTACACACCAACAGAGCGACTTGCTTAAATGAAAGAAAAACTAAAATATTGATCCCGCCAGGAGTCGAACCTGGAATCTCCTGATCCGTAGTCAGGCGCCTTGACCATTGGGCCACGAGACCTTCTGCTGTTTTTCAGCTTCCCTTATTTAATTTGTATTAGGTTCTTTTTCTGAGCTCAATGCTTCGGGAAATTACATGTTACACAACATAAAGCTATACTTTAAAAAAAGACAATTTATAATTTTGCAACGAGACTTTCACCACTATTAATAGCCTTGCCGGTCTTTCAGTCAAGACACAGAAGGGCTAGCTCAAGTACACGACCTGAATGAAGAGGAAACTTTGCTGCTTGATTTAATATTAGTATATTTTAAATACTATTATATGAGAGAACGTTTAATAATATATACAAGGAACTAATTATGACATCGTTTGATGGAAACACCTTCAAGAGGGCCCAATCCGTTAATAGTTGTTTGTGTTGTATGTCTATTTTCTAATTACTTTTTTCTAAACATCTTTTTTCATAGTCTGTATTGATTGAGGCTCGTTTGGACTCGGCAGCACTCATTGTTGGTCGTTCTCTATTTACAAGCCTTTGAGTGGTAACTTGTTTGTCACGGGTTTGGAAGATTAGAAAATCACTAGTTTTCTCATTGCATCAAAGGATTTGGATCATCTTGTTTATTTCATAGTATTTTAATATTTGGGGACATCTCTCGAATAGACTGCGGTTCCTGGAACATATCATACATCTAATTATACTTTTTCGTTTCTTTGCTTGGAAGCTTTTCTGTTATCATACTCTGTACATATATATATATATCAGAAATCGCTTTTTGAATCTAGTTAAACGAACGACTATGGGAGTACCGACGCTTATGAGTCATATAGAGATCAATGATCCAATGGAAATCGATTCCATTATTGATTCTATAAATAAAGACCGTTCCGAAAACAAATATGCTTCATCTCGTGCCCCATCCTTGTCGCAAATCTTACCCAAGTTAGACTCGATATCTTTTACTTCTCCCAAAGCAAAAGAAATTTTAAGACCTCAGGGTTTATTCGTTGTTGATACAAATTTTCTGTTATCGCATCTCGTTCTATGCCAAAATCTTCTGGAAGTACTTTCCAAACAGTTTCCTCAAGTAGTGATCCTTCTTCCTTGGGTGGTGCTTCAAGAACTAGACGGGTTGAAATCAGATACCAAAGCAGCGTGCGGTTACTTGGCTAGACAAGCTCATGAATTTTTGTTACAGTGTTTTCGTGCCAGCCTTCCAAATCTGCGTGGTCAAAAGCTTCACGAACGATGCTCTGTAAACGAGTCAGGAGATAATGCAATATTGGATTGCTGTCTTTATTTTCAAAATGAGAAACTAATACCTGTCAATCTATTATCTGATGATAAAAATCTTTGCATTAAAGCAGCTGTACATCACGTTTCATCACAGAGTTATTCAAAATCCACACATCCAATCTCTTTGATTAGTGAGGCTTTTCCTTCAATAGATGTTTTAGATCAGTCCGCAAACTTCGAGCATCCACGAATGGAAATTGATACATCTGTCGCCCCTACCGCTCAACAGAAAAGTCTTTCGTTCACTGAAAGTATTCAACCCAATTTAGCTATCGACATGCCCATGGATGCTTCTCGTGACAAATCGACTTGGGGATCTCGTTATGCACATTTTTCGTCTGTCGAAAGCCATACCGAAAACACTCGTTCACGGTCCCCTTCTGAATACGTTCCCTATACTTATACATTACTAACTAAGGAACAAATCCTCCATGCCTCTCATCCCCGGGCTAGTAAATTGCTTGACCAAATTACAAAAGTTCTAGTGGAAGAAACAGCATTCCTATTGTCGATGAACTTGACGAAACTATGGGGTGATTATCGTTTGGCTATGAAAAAGCTACTGGTCTCTTCTAGTTTTCCACCAGAAACCATGCATGATGTTGCAAATGAATTGTATATTCATTGGTACACTTGCTTCGATGGATACGTGCCACCAGGTGAACGAAAATCTATAAAAGCCAAAGCAACTAAGTGGGATGAGTGGTCTATGTGGGCAGAAACTGGTTTAGGAAATGGGCCCAGATGCCAAGAAGAGTTTACAGAAAACATTATGTATTGGTCAAATCTGTGGTCCATCATGAGTCGCAAGGAAATTTTAGAGGATAAAGCTATCGAATACGTTGTCTTTAGGGAAGAGAATATAGAAAAATGGGTTCAGCGGTCCATGCGCCCAGCAATTTTATTATAAATCAGGGAATGAAATTAAGTATAACTTAAGCATTTGATTTTTTCCTTCGCTCTTCAATCATATTGTTTACAGCGCCCATTGTTTTGGTAAATCCTGATTGGATTTCCGGATCATTGGGAAATTCTCCTTGTAGAGTGATACTACAAAAAGCTTGAATTTGGTACCGTTTTGAAAGGATTCTCGACATCCTTCTTGAAAGATCGTCAATAGATCCAACTCCTACTAAATCAGTGGTAGCTATATCCTTCCCCATAGGTACGCCAAGCGTAAGATTTCCAGACGGACAAGATCCACTGTTGCTTGCCCAGACATAAATTGAGGATGAAGGAAGCATTTCCACAAGCTGAATCCACACGCGGGGAGCTCCTTGAATGCTTGTCTCAATAACAGTTTGACTTATTTCAAACATGAAGTTATAGCCTACTTGATTTTAGTTTTCTTCGTGAACTGAATCTTGTTATATTGCGGGATACGTATGAGATTCTTGGTAGGATACCAATTCCAAAATTGTGAACCGTCCTAAATTTACTAATGATCCCTTGTTTAGAATGAGAATAGTATACTTAAATTTTTGAATTTACGAATTGCTTCAGATATATTGTCTTTAAACCATGCTATAATGCATTCCCAGCAAGAAGTTGGTTTGGTAAAGAAATATTTTTAAGAATTCTTAACACACTTTGTTATATCATTTGGTGGAAAGTAAAGACAATATCGTTAAAATAGATACAGTAGAGCAGTCGGAAATGGTAGATGCCTTTGTTTACTTTTCAATTAAGTACCTGTTTCCTTCCACCAACAACGTTCGCTTCAAAGAAGACAAATCGTTGCTTGTTGCCGCGAGAAAAATGATGTCTTTAAGTATGATAAAGCTCGTTTTTTGGGCTTCTCTATTTTCTATTGTTTTTGGACACGGAATCCATTTACCACCCCATCAAACTGGTATGTTGGTATACTTCTTTGGTTTTTAGTTTTTCCTTGCTAAGTAGTCAGAATGCTTTTATGAAAACCTAAGAACAAATGATAAAATGTCGGTTACGTATCAAACCAACCTGGGCGGTGATCAGCTTGTTTCCTTAAGTGTCTATAATCCTCTTAATCAACTTATGCATCAAGAAGTCCCTAGTGCCATGTCACAGTATTCTTTCACTGTCAAAAACCCAGGAAAATATACATACTGCTTTAAAAACGTAAGTGTGGGAGAGCGAATTGCAAAGAAAAGATAATGTGATACGAGAAGTGGATACGTTCTTTCTGATTATCCTTAGAATGAGTACCGAGTTGAAACTAACTTATATTTTCAAGGATGCATTGGACAACGAGGCTAAGGAAGTTTTATTTAACGTTCATGGAGTTATTTATGTTTCTGATGAGGATCTAGAAGCAGACAATCCTTTGATCGGAAAAGTTCGCAATCTTCACGATACTATTTCTCATGTTAAGGATGAACAAGAATATTTCGTTGCTCGAGAACGCGTTCACCGTAACACGGCCGAAAGTACAAATGACCGCGTTAAATGGTGGAGTATTCTTCAAACTATTATTTTATTGTCCGTCTGTGTTTTTCAAATCATCTACTTGAAACGTCTCTTTGAAGTGAAGCGTGTAGTATGAGCTCCGATGTTTTCAAAAGGGCCAATGGTACTCTACTCTACGTGTTGTATCTAAGTATCAAGCGGAATTGTTTTTGAGAAGAATTATTTGCTCATTCTTAACGAAACGAATTGAACCATAAATTGAGTGATCTAAACTCCAAAGATAGATAGATGAAGAAAATGCTAAATCCGTCTCCTTCATCATGATTTTGTTAGACGTCGATATTTATGTTAATCATTCAAGCAAGTTATTCTTTCTTCTTCTAATTATGAAATCTATACTGCGATTAATACATATCTTTTCCTTTCAATCCAATTTACGATTGAACCACTATCTGAGCTTGCAAAGCTTTGCGTGATGATTCAAAATGATATTCATAGTTCAAATAGAAAAATGTCTTACGTTTTTTTTGTTTTACTTGCTTAATGATCTGAACACGTCTTTGAACACTTAAACCGACCATGAAACAATAGTTCTACATCATGACATTTATAAGGAATGAGAGTAAATTTCTTTACTACAAAGTGCTTTTTCCTATAGTTATTCATTATGTAGTTTCTAATGCCTTGTCTTTTGGAGGCAACTGATTTGTTACTTGGTGGCTGTTACTTGTAAGAAAGAAGGAGATGGGAAAACTTTTTGAATTTGAATTAAACCATTTTCAAAATGCCTCAAGGAGAATTAAAGAAGAAAGGCTCAAAGAATACTAAGAATGCTCATAAAATATCTAAACAAAAGAAGAATGTGAAGAAAGGAGGTAAGTATGCGTTAGGGTCAATGAATGGGGTTTGTTGGTAAAAGACTTTTGGCTGGTTATGTGAAGCCATTGTTTAATTCGTGAAGAATTGTTATTCTAAATACGGGAAGAGAGATGTTTATCATCAGATAGCACTTCTTTTTATTGCAAATTTTTGACCTGTTCAGACTGAATGGGATTTTTAAACTAACATTGTTTTAGCCCGTTATTTTGCTCCTAGAAAAGCCGCTGCAGTTAAGGATCATTTGGCTAATGAGGTAGGTTGCTGGTTATTATTTTGATTTTCTATAAACTGGGTTGTTTTAACATATTCTTTAGGGTATCACCAAGACTATTAACTCTCGAAACGAACGCATGGCTGCTGGACTTGCCAGTCAACAAATGGGCAAATTGACGATAACCAAAAGCATGGGAGACGAAGCTGTCAAAGAGTTGAAAGAACAGAAGCGTTAATGATTTGTCGAGCTATGATAACATAAAAGTTTTGGGATATGGTACTGGTATTTTAATAAACTATTTTTTTCATTTTGCTATTGTAAAAACACTTTATGAGAGGGAAAATATATATTGGTAAAAGCAACTATGTACATGATTCGTAATCTATAGAATGGGTACAACAAATAAAATGTTTCCTAATCCGTGAACTTTTACTAAATCTTAGAAACATAATAGACAAAATAATAATGTGAGTGCTTATAACTTTGACCTACGCCCTTTTGTTGAGCCAGGAGGTCGACCTCTTGGGTTTGGGTGAGATTGGTTAGTAGTACTTTGTTGGGCATTATTGATTGCTCGATCAAGAAGTTTCCATTCTTTTTGCCAGCTCTCCAGGAAACTTCGAGCTTTGAATAATTTATCTCGTTGGGCGGTGACTTCTTCACAATCCTTCTTCCTATTCAGAAAGTCAAGCAACTCTGTAAATTCTTCTTCTGAATCAGAAGATTCGTTAAGTTGCTCTTCATCCATCGCAGGTTCACTTTCCACTTGTTCTTCTTCAGTGCTATCGTTGGATGGAACATTTTGCAAATGCAATTCTTGAAGTATGGGGGATTTCGCTATTTGTGAGGGGACATCGTGTTTTGGAGATTTTGGCGATACATTCGTTGTTGTAATAAAAGCAATATTCTGTAATACATGCTGATCGGATTTATTGGGAGAAGGTGATTTTTTCGTAGGAAATGTATTAGTAGTATCCTGCTGATCCAAACGGTTTTCAAGAGGGGGTTTGGTATCTTCTTGTTGGATCTCAAGAGTAGGTTGTGGAAGAGACGGATATTCAGGACTCTGAGAGTGAAATCGTTCTAATGATTTTCTGATAGATATACTGAAAAGATCCGGTAAAATTAGCGCTCTTTGTGTATGAATAAATGCAGCCAAGAGTAAGGAATTCGACCAAATTTCGTACGCATTTCTGTAAGACGGATCATAATAAATTTGGCTTCCATATTGAATGCAAAGGTTAGCAATAGATTTACGGCTACATGTCAAGTTTGAAACCTGACAAAGCCAGTTTGGATCGACAGCTGATAGCGTCGCTCGGGTGCTGTTTACATCTAGGTCAGTTTCTAGAGAATCCAATAGTTGAACCACGACTTGATTCGAAAAGTTTTTTTCGTTCAATGGAAGAACCGTAGATTTTTGGTAATTGTTAAGACTAATGTAGCGACGGGAAGCAGGTCGTCCCTTATAAGCAGGCGTAATTGTCTCTATTGGAGTAAAGGATGATTCGGGTGTTAATTTACAAACATATCCTTCATTACTTGCAAAGCGTAAAGTTCGATATGGCCGAATCAATACGGGTCGAACATATGGTTTTCGGTTTGCGACTTCATGAACATTCAAAGGAAGAGCCTCATAAGGAACTAATAACTTGGTTAGTCAAAACAATTTGTTAGGAAAAAAAAAAAAAAAAAGTCGTCGAGCACTGGTTAAGCATGAAAAAGAGAAAAAATTGGTAAAATTGTAGATAATATTGAATGGAAAGACAGTTTGGTTTTGCGAAATCCAGGTTCCTCGTAAGTTAAGTCGTTCAAGCATGTTTGAATTGCGGGCAATCGATGAAGAAGAAGGAAAAACAAAAAAAAAAGATAAAACTAAATAAAAAAGTAGCTTTTACTAAAAGAAACAAACAAGGAAAAAGCGATTCAATCCGTCTAAACAAAGGGAGGTTTTAACATGCTTAATTTGTTGGCGTAGAATGGTAAGGAGAAGTGCACAAAAATGTACAAAGTTTGCAGTTCTGAACGTAGATTGAACTTACCTAACGTAATTAAGCAGCGAAAAGGTCCGCCTTGGCCGTCGTGGTCGAAAGGATTGCGAACATAGGAATCCAGCAGATTTGCATCTAGAGGATGGAAAGCATTTTGCAAAAAAGAGAAAAATTCTTCAATATCTGGCTTTTTATGTTGAGCATCCACCATTCCCTAAATTCTCAAGAAGCCTCCAAACATGGAGCATAAAATGGTATAGTTTTAGTGTTTATATTCAGTTGTCAATGAGTATGATTCCTAAATTTTCACAGTTTCCACGGCTGTCTATGTCAATTGTTACTAACAACTCTTTTACAAGAAAAAAGAATTATGAAAAATTCAAAACACGTACCTTTTTGGCATAGACTGCTGAGATTTGGTAATATAGGTGGTTTGGAAGGGCTTGAGCTACGCACATACATGAGCACCGTAAATAGAGACTTTTGAAGGTTACAACAAACGAGCCATGAGACTCTTGTGTATATTTATTTTTAAAGTCATAAATTGCAAAAATTCAATGAAGCAATTCAAGTCTGTTTAACCAGAAGCGTTTCGAGATTCCTTTGAAGAGAGCCAATTCTTGTAAAGGGGTCCATGCGTGAACACAAACTAAAAACAAGATGAAACCCGTTTGTAAAAAACTTTTTCTTATTTTTTAACTTTATCTTACGTTTTCGTGTCTTGTCATGCTACGCTGTTTTGAACAATGTCTTTTATTCTTCCTAATACCTCTATATATGATATCACTGTAAAACAGATTTCACTAAAGAAATCAGAATTTCTCGAATAGAGAGCCATAGATGGACCCCTCGGTGCATATTTTATTACCCAAAAAAAAGTAGCAAGAGTGATTTTGGCAAAGAACACCAGTGATATTACAATGATTTTGACATTGACAAAGTGGTTTCAAAAATCACATTATCAGAGTATTCCAATTTCCCTTCCTACCTCCATTTATTTATAAACACTCTTTCTACAATCCTTCCTAATCACCAACCTGTCTCAAACGTCGTTTCCTAATGTACTGAGTCGAGTTTTCTGTTTGTTTACAGTCTGTTGCTTCTTTCCTGGGGTTGTTACTCCACTGAAGTTTGCTTCGCTACGTTACTGTGCAAGAACGAAAGTGAACGCAAAACACCGCATCGTCACATCTTTGCGACGTCATTGTGGGACAAGTGGATCTCACAGCGGGTTCTCTAGAACTTTCTCTTGATCCGCACCTCTTCATCAGGGTACAATTTGTTTATCCGCATATCTAAAGTAACAAAGTCATCGCGGAAAAATCCGAGGCGAAATCGCTGGAAACAATTACCGAAACGTCTCTATTTACATTTTGAAGACGCTAATATTTGTTTGGCATTTTTTCTTAAGATTCATGTGTTGACATCGATCTACAGATGCTTGTACAAAGTATACAAACACCATCCTTTAGTTTGTGTGTAATCCAAAGCCACACATCACTCTTTAGGAAGCTCTAGCCACTGGACGAACTTTTTCGTAATGTCGCATTTCTTGGTTTTGCGTCGGACCTTGTCGGTTTTTTGAGTATATCAAAAAGAGGATGGAGATTATAATAGAATTGAAATAAAAGCTAAATGCAATGCATTTTGGAATTTAAAAATGCTGTCTGTAGATCCCTCGGGTATGCCTAGTGCACCTAAAGTCATCAGGGGAAAAACGTCAGGGTGATTCGGAGAAAGCAACGATAGGTAAAAACGCAATAGAGTGGACCTCTTCCGAAGAAGACTGTCGAATGAGCGGAGCACTCCTCAAAGCATTTCGTTAATATGTGACTGTCTAAAGAAATTATATATAATCATTGGGGCCATTGGCAAAAGTGTATCCTACTAAACAATAAACAGAACGGTAAAGATGTTTGCTCCTCGTACATTTTTCGTCGGTGGTAACTTCAAGATGAACGGCTCTCAGGAGTCTATGAAGCAAATCGTTGGTGCTTTGAACGAAAACAAGCTCAACGTCGACAAGGTTGAAACTGTTATCTTCCCTCAAAACTTGTACTTGATCCCTACCCGTGAACACGTTCGCAAGGATATTGGTGTCGGTGCCCAAAACGTTCACGACAAGAAGAACGGTGCCTACACTGGTGAGAACAGTGCCCAATCTTTGATTGACGCTGGTATCAACTACACTTTGACTGGTCACTCCGAGCGTCGTACCATCTTCCACGAGAGTGACGAGCTCGTTGCCGACAAGACCCAATTCGCCATTGAACAAGGTCTCACCGTCGTCGCCTGTATCGGTGAAACCTTGGCTGAGCGTGAAGCCAATGACACCATCAAGGTTGTCGTTCGTCAATTGAACGCTTTGGCTGACAAGGTCAAGTCCTGGTCTAAGGTCGTCGTCGCTTACGAACCCGTTTGGGCCATCGGTACCGGTAAGACCGCTACTCCTGCCCAAGCTCAAGAAGTTCACGCTGAGATCCGTAAGTGGGCTGCTGAGAGACTCGGTGCTCAAGCTGCTGAAGGCTTGCGTATCATCTATGGTGGTTCCGTTAACGGCGGTAACTGCAAGGAATTCCTCCAATTCAAGGATGTCGATGGCTTCTTGGTTGGTGGTGCTTCCCTCAAGCCCGAATTCCACAACATCGTCAACGTCCACAGTCTCTAAATTGAACGAATTCGTTAGTACAGTTGTTTAATTAATGGTTGAGTAAATTTATATTTTGTTGCCTTCTCTATGGCTTTTTTTAACCTAGCAGTAATTTGATTCAATTGTAGCAATCCATTCACATGTTTTTTCACTCATAGCTAGCACATCTCTGGCACCCTGCACGAAGTAAAATAAGCACCTAAAGCATGAATTTCCGTCTTATGTTTTATAGATACGTCTCCATGGATTTGTTTACTTCTGAAGTTTCTTCCAATGCCTTATACGATTTACTACAACCGACCGTTCGCGCAATCCATACCTACTACGAACCTATCGTCTATTTAAGTTGTAAAAAGCAGAAAAAAGTACTTGGTCCTTGATAGCTTTTCAATTATTCTTTATTATTTTCAAAATTCCTTCCATCAAAGTTCTTCCTATTGTCGGCCGTCGTATGCCACGGTCTGTTTACTGAGTCCAACATTTACAACAAGCTGCAAAGAATAGCTTTTTGTTTTCAGTGAACTGTCCGTTTGTGTCTATCTGCTAAAATAGATGTCTTTACGCTTCCTTTAATAAGATTTTGTACATGCCTGGATACGCAGTCCGTAGACTCGGCTCGCAATGGCTTCGTGTCTCTCAGATTGAGCCATTACTGTGCCGTAGTTTCTGCTCCACCAGTCGCTCATATGCGACGCACAAGTTAACGGATGATGCTGCATTAAGAATTAACCCGGTAGGAATTCAGTACTTATCGCCAGCTTTGCAATCGCAAATATTTCCGGGAAAAGCCCGTAGGCCATCCGATTTATATGTAGAACTTGCAAAGCTTCATCTCCAAAAGCATGACCTAACAGGTAGGGAAACAACAAAATTGCCGTCGTATAATTTTCGTCTTCCTGCTTTACAAGGAAAAAGCTTAACTGAACACTTTGAAAACATCGGCCGCGAATGCGCAGAACCTCACCTCACGAATGCAAATTCATTTGCTCAAATCTCTTTACCTCCTATTCCAAAAAAATGGCTCCACCACTCCGGTTGGACTAGGTATGGTTCAGATGGTACTGTAGAACAAGTGCCTTATCCCAAAGAAGCCATGCTCGTTTTTGACGTTGAGGTTCTATATAAAGTATCAGATTTTGCTGTTTTAGCCGTTGCTGCGTCTCCCGACGCTTGGTATTGTTGGTTATCGCCGTGGCTGTTGGGAAAAACAGAGCAGGATCGAAATCTTATTCCTCTAAGACCAGAAGGACACCTTATCGTCGGTCATCACGTCAGTTTTGATCGCCAGAGAATTTTGCAAGAATACAGTCTAAAGCGATCCAATAATGCTTTTATCGATACCATGTCGTTACACGTTGCTACCAATGGAATGTGTTCACGGCAAAAACCCACTTGGTTTAAGGCTAAGAAAGCCTTTAGGCAAACCATTGGTAAAGAATCTAATGGATCCGACGATGACTCTTCTCAAGCTGAGTTTGATTATGAAAACTTCATTGAGCAAGAACCTTGGCTGCGACACGTCTCTGTCAACTCACTCAAAGATGTAGCAAAGTTCCATTGCAACATTGATATGAGTAAAGCGACACGTGATCTATTTTCTGAACTGGATAAAGGGGTAATTTTACAGAATCTGGACGAGGCTATATCTTACTGCGCATCTGATGTTCATGCTACTCATGAAGTTTATAAAAGAATTCTTCCTCAATTTCTTGAAGTTTGTCCACATCCAACGACTTTTGCAGCTATGCTTCTCATGAGCACAAGTTTTTTACCGGTGAATAATTCTTGGAAACGTTATATCAATAACGCTGAAAAATGCTACAAAAGCATGTCTAATGTAGTTGTAGAAAAGCTTTCTTATTATGCTGAGAAAACGAAGGACTTCTTAGGTGATGAGATTGCTATTTCTGGAGATCCATGGCTACGTCAATTAGATTGGAGTCCCTGCAAGTTGTATCGCAAGCCAGCTAAATCAGATGTTGCACCCCCTGTCGTCCCAAAATGGTATAAGTTAATATACGAAAAGAACTCACAAAAAGCCGTTGCATCTGACAAGTCCCGACTCGCACCTATCCTCTTGCGTTTGCAATGGGAAGGACACCCTTTGGTATGGTCAAATGTCCATGGTTGGGTTTTTGAAGTAGAAAAAAATTCCCAAAAAGAAATTGATGACCTTCTACGTCGTAAGTTTTTTCACTGCAACTGTGATCCGCAAAAGGACCCAAATCTAAATGCAGAAAGTTATGCATATTTTAAAGTTCCTCATAAGGATGGTCCTGATGCGAGGTGTGGATCACCTTTATCCAAGACATACCAAAGTTATTTTGAAGATGGGATTCTCACTTCGAAATTCGAAGTAGCGAAAAATGCCCTAGAAATGAGTACTTCCTGCTCTTATTGGCGTAGCGCTCGTGACCGTATTCAATCTCAGATGGTAGTTTGGGAAAAAGATGTTAATTTTGGACTTGCATCTCAACCTGACGGTTTCGGAATGATTCTTCCAAGAATTATTCCCATGGGCACTGTGACTAGACGTGCTGTAGAGAACACTTGGTTAACTGCTTCTAACGCAAAAAGAAATAGACTGGGTTCAGAGCTTAAGGCCATGGTCCGTGCTCCCGAAGGATATACATTCGTAGGTGCAGATGTTGATTCAGAAGAACTTTGGATCGTTGCAGTTATTGGTGATTCTCAATTTAGTCTTCATGGTGCCACCGCTCTTAGTTGGATGACTTTGGAAGGTAAAAAATCCGATGGTACAGATTTGCACTCAAAAACAGCTGCAATTCTTGGAGTAAGCCGAGATGCTGCAAAAGTTTTTAATTATGGTCGCCTATATGGCGCCGGATTGAAACATACAGCTTTACTTTTAAAGCAATTTAACTCTTCATTAGACGATACTCAAGCGGCTAATTTAGCTAAAGCGTTATACAAATCTACTAAAGGGGTTCGCTCCGAAGTTAGTAAAAGGCTGCTTTCTATGGGAATTCCAGCGCACCATTTTTGGTCAAAAGGAAGTGAAAGTTTTGTATTTAACAAACTGGAATCAATGGCTCAAATGACTTTTCCGAGAACTCCTGTTCTAAATGCAGGAATTACTCAAGCCTTAAGCACTAATAACCTCAGTAAAAGCTCTTTTATGACATCCAGAGTAAATTGGGCAATTCAGTCATCAGCTGTAGATTATCTGCATTTGCTTGTTGTTTCTATGGAGCATTTAATTCGCAAGTATGGTTTAGAGGCTCGATTGTCTTTAACAGTTCATGATGAAGTTCGCTACTTCTCGACTAATAAAGATAGGTTCCGTGTTGCGCTTGCCTTACAGGTCGCCAATTTATGGACTAGATCCTTTTTTTGTCATCGGTTGGGATTTGATGAATTGCCTCAGTCTGTGGCATTCTTCTCTTCTGTCGATATTGATCACGTTTTACGGAAGGATGTTAAAATGGATTGCGTAACACCTTCAAATCCAACACCTATACCGCTTGGTGAAGAATATAACATAGATGCCTTACTTCGTCAATTGACAGAAAACGATCAATATTTGGAGCCATTCGAGAATTTATCAATTCATGCTATTCCGGAAGTTGAAGCTACTGTAAATAAGGAAGAGGATTCGAAAGCTTTGGCATATTTAAAAGCTCAAGCATTTCATTAATACTTTGGTTTTCAGGAAAAAGGAAATGATTTATGAAATTATCATGAAAATTCATTATTTTAAATTTTAATAATCGGGTTAGGGGTTATACTAAAACAGTTCAGTATTAGTTAATAGGAATCGCTGGTTTTTTTGATTCATTCAAAAATGAGATGAAGAATAACGGATGTGGATAATAGAACTGGTAAGGATTACTGCAAATATGCTCGTTGTACGAATATTTTCGAAAAAAAAAAAGAAAAAAAAAAAAAAACAAGGAACTTCCAACGACTAAGATTAGCATTATTAGGGATGAAATACTCCAGTGTTTCTGTCGATAGACGTTTTTAATGCTGCCACCCAGAGAATCAATGTGTCTTCATCATCCACTCGGAATTCCATTGGCTTGTTGAGTGTAATAACAATAAATATGTACTTCTGGGATTTTTCAAAGAAGTTGACCTCGGCAATATCTTGAATCTCTGTGATTGGGATAAGTTTAACAGGCTTGTATTCCTTGTTAGAGTTGTAAATTGTCATACCATTACCGCGAACTACTGCCCAACATTTTGACCAGCGATGGATATTCCCGTGACGCCAATATATGGGTCCTTGCATTAAGACTTTATTTTCATCGAGCATTTTATACAAATTTTGTAATGAAGAAGAATGTTTGTGCTTTCGGAGGTTATCATTATTCAGTGTGTGAAATGGATGTTTGGCGCCTTGCTGGGGTACGCCTTGAGGTCTCAACTTCCCCAATTGAGTCAAATCATACAATGAAGTACAATAATAACTTGGGAAGCCATCATCAGTTGCGGAGGGGCCGTGAGTAATGTTGGTATGAGAAGAAGAGTAGTTTTCAAAATCATTATCGGAGACTAAAACATCAGAACCGCTTGCTGTGGTAGGAGGAGATGAAATTAGAGCAAAGCGTAAAGGATGCCTGGAAAATGGAGCACGGTAGGCAGTTGTCGTCCTCAAAACTCGTACCCAACTTTCAGCTTCTACGTTTGAGGGAGCAATAAATCGTATAATTTTTTCGTTTAAATACAAATAAAATGCTAAAACAGTTAGAAAGAAGAATTCATCGAGATTTTGAAAATTAATACATTTCGGAGATTTCTCTCTGTAATATGCAACTGCTGAGATGTCTTGCGTTGGAAAAATAAGTTTTGTTTTATACTCCTAAATTTTAGTTAGAAATAATAAAAGACCCTTGGAAAACCTTTTCGTCTTTGTAAAAGGACAATTTCTCTCTGCGAAGTACGCCCCATAAGTGTTTGCCTGTCTAAGTCAGTCGGTTAGTAACTATAAGGCATTGAAATAGTCCATCTAATAGGAAAAACCAATCCCAAAATATTAATAAAAGGCTGCTACAAACAATGTGATGTTCTAATAGTAGAGTAATCTTCGACAAAAAGTCAAAAGCAGGACCTACTCACTGCTTATGGAAAAGGAAAGAGTGGAAAGTACTCTTGACGAGAATGAACTAACATCACCGTATGGGTCGTGCATTTACACATTTAGCTGGAACAGTAACTGGACTTTCAATACAATCATACCGTAGTAGAATGACTTTTTCTAATCAGCCAACCTGATTTCAATACTCGTTCTACTTCTTGAAGCCGTCTTGCTTCATCAAAGCTGGATTCTCGGATTTCACATGGATTCATTTCCTGTTCTGTAAAACCGAAGCTCTACGCTCGTAATTCACTTCAATTGAACCATGGACAAATTTTTTAGGTATTTTCTTCTCTAAAATCTTCCCTTTTCAATTGCTTTCAGATTTTGTAGTTTTCTTGCTTTTGCTAAGACAGTATGACACAACACTTACAGTTCTATAGGGAGTTACAACGAAGGCGATCCGAAAGAGAAACTAGTTGTTTCATTATTACAGTAATATTTATCTTTTTTTTCTATGACTATGTTCATCTTCTGCTTCGAAGACTACTGGTATACGAAGTAAAAAATAAACTACAAGGATAGCTTCCTTTGCTGTTCTACAAACGAAGTCAATAACAATTGCTTTTACTACTTTTTAATTCCTTTATAGTGTAACCTTTGAGAATATACCAGGTGAACCGTTCAAGCATATGAAAACTGACATGTAAACGAAGCATGGATATCATGAACCGATGAGTACCGGCTCATGTATCAAAACGATATTACAGAAAATCCGATCAAACAATTTTAAGGAGGATTGAATTGTTTACAAGTATTACTTGGCGTCAGATTTGAATGTGTGCATTTCTGGAGTTTACTGAGATATCAAGCTTATAGCCCTCTTTTTTTTTCTAAAAAGAATAAACTTACATATATACTTAAACCTTTTTCTAAAAAAAATACAAAATAATGGCAGGAATCTTATTAGAAGTAAGATTCACCAGCCTTCTATAAAATAAACAACAACAGAATAATGGGCTATTGTTGGTTTCTCGATCAATACCGGATTAATTTTAATGGATAAAGGACAAAATAAAATATTTATTTATTTATTTATTTGTGTATATTGAAGATTCGTTACGCCGTATTAAGAAGATAATGTCATACTACCATAGGAGAAGAAAGTATAAACCGTTCGCATCATACTTAAAACAAAATGGGAATGCAAAATTTTGTACAGCTTATTTTGTTTAAATTTATAGATACAATTTGATAAATACTCTTGTTTGCTCTTCTTTAATACCTTTACCAACTTGTACCTCTGCAAGTAACAGGAAGCAAAATATAGACCTAATGTGATGACGGAATTCACGATTGCAAACGTTCTTAATGACTGCAATTCCTTGTGACGGATACTCTTTTTATTTATTATTAAATATAAGAATAAGGATGAGTATAAATAATATTTAATTGAGTCATTTAATCTTCAGTCCGAAGGACTGGAAAATATATGTTTTCAATCCAAGGTATAGGGATTTAGATATTAATTGGATACTTTCAGATCTTAGTTCTTAAAACATCTATTTTTTTGTAAAAGAATTTTTAAATTATACTTGACGCTTCAGGCGCGATATGATAAAACAATTGTACTTTCCTACTTTAAGACAAACGGTGAATATCAGACGATTAAAAACCACTACCTGACTGAAATATATTTATGTACCCTATAAATAAAGAAAAAATGCTATCCTACCTATCTGGCAATATAATAAGAAAAAATATGATCTCCTTTTGACATTTCTTATGTTGTATCAAGTCACAATGTTAGGTAACACGTTTTCTCCTTTGGTGTTTTGTTTATATCATCGTAAACAAAATTAACTCTCAGAAATATCAAAAAAGAACGGCTTGAATCCAAGCTCTTAAAAGCCCAAATTATGCTTTATTTAGTAAAATCTAAACAAATTAATGGAATTTGCACCTTGGAATGGAATTGACATGCTGTCATCTAGAAGCAAGCTGAAGTTTGTAAAATAAATAGCATGGAGTTTTCTTTAGTAAAGAATAATGAAGGTAACTGCGAAGGTTTTTTTTTTTTGGAAAATTAGTACCTATTCCTCCTTAGATAGCTTTCATCGTTTTTGTCCGTTCATTAACGGAAAGGGATGAATACAACAGTCTCTTCTCAAAGGCAGAAAGTTTCCTATAAAATTCAATAAAATATTATTCTTCATTTAACTTTTATCTTTTTCTCATCCTAATTATAACTTAAACTCAGCATATATATTACATAACTGGGTATGCTAGTTGTGAATAAAGCATCACCATGTAAGCAATTTCAAAACTAGTTTAACAATATCTACTAATAACTCTAAGACCTTTCAATTTGCAACACGGTTGTATGGTGTAGCGGCTAGCACATGAGATTTTGATTCTCGAGATCTGGGTTCGACTCCCAGTACGACCTAATACTCTTTTGAGCCTTTCTTTTTATTAGGCCCGTCTTCACCTCCATACTCAGAAATTATTCATACCAAAAAAAAAAAGAATGGAATGTAGTATGTTTCAGGAAAGTCAAATTGTTAATGTACAGATAATTGCGGACCATACTAATATCAAGCCAAATACCCAAGGATGTCTATCAATATAAATCCAACATTTACTTGCATTTTCTTTTATGAATTGAGCGGACTACTTAGATGGAAAATATTGGAAAGTGAAAGCTTTCCCAAAATTTAGGTGACTCTCTTAAACTGTCCTAATTGTTTCTTCAATTGCAACTATTTGTTTTTCTCTCTCTTTGTTCACTTTTAATATACTAGCACGTAATCAGTTATATATTAGTATTTATTTCATTTTGATAATCATAACATTTTTTGCGTGTAATAATAGATCACACAAGCTATATATTGAGTAAAGACTAATAAATACTTGTAAAAAGTTTCAGCTACCATCAACGTTGTTACATTACATTGTCACAATCGAAGACTTTTACACCTAAGAATCATTAATATGCGAAAAGGTGATATATTTACGATCGTTTGCTCATATTTTTAAGCATGACCTACAGAGTTGTCCGGTACTCAACAGAAAACCATAAAACAATCGAAATCTGCCGATTGTTTATTTCAAATTCCTTGTGGAATGCTTTGTTTACAAAAATTACTTTAACGAAATGTTTCCTTATGAGATGAAATAATATCAACGTATATATAATAATATATATTTGCTTATTGAATTGTATTACAAAAAATTACCGATAAGACTTGACACTAGGGTGCATGAAGTGCCGTTAATGCGATATCGCTTTATGGTTTGGTATAATGAGATACTTTATTACGCCCTAAAGTGATGTAAACAAGAGCACTATGCATCGCTATTATACTGAAACTATACAGATCTGATGAGAAAAACTTTTGCCTAAGCAAACTCTTAGCATTTGTGGTTGAACGTTTGAAGGAATACTCATATATTGAATTTCAGATGGGACAAACTCTCTCCGAACCAGTTGTGGAAAAGCATTCAAATTCTGGCGGAGATAATTATGTACAATATGGACTATCGCACATGCAAGGCTGGCGGATTTCGATGGAGGATGCACATTGTGCGGTAATAAATATGCTACAACATTCAGTAAACCCTCAGATTAATTTTTTTGGCGTTTTTGATGGTCATGGAGGAGATCGTGTTGCCAAATATTGTGGTCAAAACTTGCCAGAAATTATAAAAAGACAACACACCTTTTGGAAAGGAGATTATGGGGAAGCATTAAAATCGGGATTTTTAGAAACAGACCAAGCATTGATGAGGGATTACGATATGCAAGAAGACCCATCTGGTTGCACTGCTACAACAGTTATGATTGTTAATGATCAAGTAGTATATTGTGCCAATGCTGGAGATTCTCGAACCGTTCTTTCACGAAGAGGTATTGCAGAACCACTTTCTTTTGATCATAAACCGAACATAGATGTCGAAAAGGCGCGTATTAAAGCAGCAGGTGGATTTATTGACTTTGGTCGTGTCAACGGCAGTTTAGCACTTTCTCGAGCCATTGGTGATTTCGAGTACAAAAAGAACAGCCTCCTCCCTCCGGAAAAGCAGATTGTTACGGCATTTCCTGACGTAGTTTGTCATACCATTGGTCAGGAGGATGAATTCTTGGTTTTGGCTTGTGATGGAATTTGGGATTGCAAGAATTCGCAAGAAGTCGTTGAATTTGTTCGAAGGGGGATTGTTGCGAAACAACCTTTGGAAACGATTGGCGAAAATTTAATGGACAGATGTATTGCTAGTAACAGTGAGTCTTGCGGAATTGGTTGTGACAACATGACAATCTGTATTGTGGCTCTCTTACAAGGTCGCACTTTGGATGAATGGTATGACTGGATAAGTCATCGTGTCGAATCCAACATTGGTCCGTGTGCCCCCGATTCATTTGCTGAATTGCGCGGACCTAACACAGTTGCAGATGCCCGGAATATACATCTCGAGTACGATTTTATTGCAAATCACGAATACGGTAGTGGTGATACTTTTGATAGTGATTCCGACGATGAATCTATCATCTACGACCGTTATTTCTTGCATTAATTATACATCTAATATAACACCTGGCCGTCTTTTAGGGAATTATTTTTTTGATACCGTTCAGTATTTTGGCACGCGTATTTTCAGTTTGATTTTTTATATAAACTCGGACGTTATTAATTATTCCAACTCACCTCGTCGTTTGTTTTAATTTATTATCATTTCCTTTCTCTCCTTATCTTTTTTTCTAGTATCTTCACTTTATCCTCCTGGCGCTTGATTCAATAATCTATTCATAAGGAGCTTCGTAACTTGGTTACACGCCTTTTATTTTCAATACCTGAAAGCGTTTCATCAAATGACTTCTTCTGAGGGAGACATTAAGTCGGTTAAAGCTAGAAGTTATTCTTATTTTAACTTTATTTTTAATACTCTTCAGTACCTCACACTCAGCGATCCTTTCTTAACCAAAAAAGCGATTAAGTTTACTTCTTGATAATCATTGATACGATTTCTATCCTTTTGACGACCACCAGATATCTGTCATATATTTGAAGCTTCACAAGCGAGCATACTCTTGCGTTTGGCCAAAACCTTATACATTTTAGCTTATTCTTGTGTTTGTTCTTCATAGATCCTGCGCACTTGATTCATTCTTTTGACGATGACGGTAAAGCGCCAAGGATGAATATCTACACTACCACCACCTTTTCACGATTTATAGAATGCAAATATTATTATGAATAGCACAGGTCGGTTTTTATATTATCAACACAGCTTTTGTTTTCGTTAGCAATGCAAGATGCCAAAAAGAAGCATATGTGCTTTTTACATCATTAGTCTTGGTACTTTATTTGCTAAAGAAAATTGTTTATTGAACATCTCTCCCAATATCTTTTGAATTTCATCCGATTAGATACTGTTACGTTTGTTTATTACAGCAACCCCTTATTTATATTAGAAACAAAATGGCCTCCTTGATTTTCAAGTTTAATAGGTGTTGTATGAATAAAATTTAGTCTTTTTGTTTGTTTTAGTTTATACAGAAACCTCGCAATGCATTATAAGTACGCACGGGCTTTCACATATATAAATGTATCTTGAAAGTAATTTAAGAACCTTTTCTCTCAATGATCCATTCATCTTGTCTTCCGGTATTTATACTTTCTATTGGAAAAGGCATTCAAAATCGGAAACCCCATCATCTACTACAGACATAAAGTGACCTCTGAACATTGATCGTTTATTTACAATTTCCTAAACAAAATCATGATTAAAAATACATTGTCCCAATGGACAAAAACCGAACTCCCACTGCGAGACTCGAACTCGCAACCTTCCGGTTAAAAGCCGGACGCTCTAAGCCGATTGAGCTAAACGGGACTTGCTTGAAGTCAGGTAAATTAGAAACTATATAAAACATTGCGATAAAGAATGAAGAAACATTCCTTGATTTTCTCTCATTTACGTATGTAAAAGTTCTGAAATTTTTGAAACCTGTATCCCTCCTTTAGTATGTAGTTCTTCATCTAGTAGATAGTTCACGTACATATTAAAAACTAGTTGATTACAAAATGTAAATGCTTTTTCTCTTACATTTCTTTTAAAATCCTACAGTTTACTTGACGAAATCATATCGGGTTCAGACAAAGAAAATTAATTATACTTCAGGGGAATTTATTCTAAATCATTACTGTTCGTTTTCCGTAAAGCTTTTCATGACAGTGAATCATCACAAAAATCGGGTTTGAGCTCCAATATTCATGGTTGGATATAAAACTCACGACCATGTGATGTTAAATAAAGTGATGCCGTATGCAGGTAGGATGGATAACAATTTCTGTTCTTTTTTTATGCTTTTTCCCTAATTCTTCGTAGGCCTTAATGTTGATATTTGAAGAGAAGACAATGCAAGTTGATGTTATACATCTTGGGATTTGTACTAATATTCAGAAACCTTTCTTACTTTTCAAGCTTGTGGCATTTAAAGGAGGTATTCCAAATAAAATGCCATAAACACCAAAAGAGAAGCGAGCACAATCGAAGAAGAAATCTTACTCTTGTTAGCGGCACTTGATTGCTTGTTCGACCTGTCCTTCGAGTTCTTCAAGGGCTCCTTGACGCTTTCAGTGCCATCTTCACCGAAAAGCTCGTCGTCAAGGCTAGCTTGTTCATTTGTTGGATTCTCTACGTTTCCACGGCATACAAAAGATTTACCTTTGATGATACCATCGCTTTGACGGAATGGGCAAGAAAATTGATCCGAGGAGGATTGCAAGTTCAAACCACCCTTGACATCTTTCAAAGCAGGCAAATCCACTTCAGCCAAATCACCGCTAAAATCAATCGATCCAGCCACAGTACGCAACTTGCTGAATCCCTTAATCTGTTTCAATTCTGGGTTGTTGAAAATCATAAATGTACCACCAATTGTTTCCAGTTGCTTAAAGTCGATGGAGGCCAAATCGGTGTTTCCTACAAAGAACAATGACTGACCAATGGAAGTAATGTTGGGGCATGAGACTTCTTTCATAGTACTGTTCAAAAATCCTAGGAATCCGTGGACGGTCTTTAATGCACGAAGATCAATGTCGGCGACTCTTTGAATAGTCATGTCTCCAACATTTTCAAGCGAGGGTAACTTCACACTAATTTCTCTAGCGTTGTAAGAAACGTAAAATTTACCCTTAACGTTTTCCAAATAAGGCATGTTTACTTCTCGGAGATAATTGTTATTAACAACAATCATACTCTCAGTCTTCTTCAAAGAAATTCCATCAAGTGTAGATAACTGGGTGTCCTCAATACGTAGGACATTTGCTTCCTTGACACCCTTGTCGAAACGAATTCCTTGGAGATTTGGTAAGATGCGCAAGTTTAAGGATCCGACTCTTTCCAAAGCAGGGGCATACAAACTACCAAGTCTAGTGAGCTTTTCCAGACGAAGTTCTCCTTGGACAGATTTCAAAGATGTAAGGGAAACAGAAGCCAAATAGTTATTATTTTGAATAATAACATCACCGACGACACTTTCAATGCGGTTGAATGACAACGAGACCGCTGAACTGGCATTCATGATGATGGAACCATTAATGACTTGGCAATTACTTAAAACATCCAGATCAGCTTGGGTTTGAATGTGGTATTCGGGTGCACCACATGTCGTAGGGGTCGCTAGAACAGTGGACAACAACCATGACCCTAACAATACCAGGGTGTAACTAAGGGAAACGAATTTCATTGTTCAAGGCAGAAAATGCGTTTGTTGTTGAGATATGAATGGAAGAATAGCGATTCCGAAACGTGATTTTTTTCCAAAGAAAATAGGAAATGGGCAACCAGGAAAAAAATAAGAATAAAAATGCACAGATGCAAATCTGTATTTGGGTCTGAAAACGGGTAAAAATGCTAGGCGTGGTAAAATACGTTGAGAGAGGATTCGCCTATTTAACAGCTCCTTTGGGATAAAATATCAATGCAAACGGAATAAATAGTATGTGCTGAGTGCAGGTTCATTCGTACCAATTGCTGCCCCTTTTATAGGATGCCAGCTAGCAAAGTAAACAAAAACAAACAGTGATGTCGGTTGGTAATATATGGAAACATCGAACGAAAATGTGTCAATCCGTTTTACTGTATTAAAAGGGACGATATACATCCTTCATTTGTGTCTATTTTACCATTCCAATTGTTTGTTGACTCTTGTTTTTTTTGTTGTTCTCCACCAATCTCTCAAAGGGCGATCGACAATAAACATACATATGTTTGTTTACATTCTTCCCCATGCGTCAGACGGAAATAAGAAAGTGCGGTCGAGTACTGTAAACAATCTTTGTCTGCTATTCTACATTTTGTGCAAACCGAGTATACCGAGTCGTGGAATAGAACGATAAATGAACTATGGAGTGGAAGGTTGCATTGCAGCAATAAACATTGCTGAATTATATCAAAAAGAGAATTTTGTTATTCTTTTGCGCAAATACCGGAGATGAGCAAGAGGAAATTAAAGAAAAACTCAGGTATAGTAGGAACGTATTATAAATTGCAAGGGAATTTGGAGCCATGAAAAAATTGGAGGAGAAAAAGTACACATCAGCCCTGAAAGCGCAGACAAGAAGGCATGAATGGAGATGATCAAAGGACGAAAACGAAAGAACATTTCATTGGTATTCTAATCTACGATATCATTCATATCATTGCCTGGTATTCTATAAACTTAGTTTGGTGCTCATGATTGTGAGGATGGGTAGTCGGCCATCTGCTTTCTATAAAAAAAAAGAGGATGTAGAAAAGGAAAATGAAAGCCAAACAAATCTAAGAAACGTAAGACAAAAACAAACCAGCAGAAGAAAAGAAAACAAAAGAAACAAGTGGAACAAATAAATCACAAGGGAAACCTTCTAAACATAGGATTGGACCTGTGGAGTACAAATGTGTATTGTAATGGCAGTTTCGTCTCGAGAAAATTTGCCGATGAAAAAGTTGTCGCTTTTTTAAGGAAAATAACAGGGTTTACCGTATTGTAGAAGGTCTACTAAATCAGTTTTTCCAGCTTTTCTTTTTTTAGCAACTCTTACTTGCCAGAACCCGATTCGGCTTTTTTTTTTTTTTTTTTCATTATATGGTCCTTATTATATCATATTATATCAAGGATTATTAAGCATGATCGTTGATACGTCTGGGAAATAGAGAGAGAGGATTGAAATATACTCAGAAAAAAAATAGTGGCAGAAAAATTTTTTTTCTCATATGAAAGGAATGTGATTCTTTTCGCTCGTTGGTTCAGAGAGAAATTGTTTTCCTATTTTTAAACGAAAGGGAAAGCCATAAATTCCGACGCCCGTTTTGTGGATTGAATTTTTGTTTCTTTATTTGTCTAGTTTTACTCTTTACAATTGTAATGAGTGTGAATGACGATGATATGACTATTTTTTAAAGATCATTGAAGTTGTGGTGGATTAGGAATATATTTAAATATATCTGAAGCTGGCTTCGAAAAGTTTGCTCCATTGATCGCTTAATCTATTTTAACCGTTTCAGTTACTTTTTCTTCGAGGGAAAGAAATGATCTAAGATTATTAACCAGCGGAGCTTCGTGAATGTAAAGGATTTTGGACTTAACTTTTGCAGGTTTCTTTTTTCTTTTTTTCTAATTAGAAGAAAAGAGAAAAATAATAAAGAGGAGGAGTATACTGTTGACAAGTGCTTCTCTATTTTTGGTGTTCAATAATCTATGAACCCTAGACGCTTTAGGCATTACTCCTTTGAAAAATTGTCTCCATCATCTTTTCAAGAGTATTCTTCTGAAGCTCGAAATGTAACTGAACCATATCCCCCGATCGAAACCCATTCTCCTCAAAACTCTTTTACGTCTATGCTGAATTCCTTTCCGTTTGGGAAGGATGATCAACTTTCTTCCAATTCATCCGTTCCCGTCGAATATCCTTCTAATACTTCAGATCCCTCCTCCGCATTTTATTCACGCTATTTCCAAAGCCTCCAAGGCAATGTATCTAGCGAGTTGAAAGATACGAAAAAGATGAATTCTCCTCCCCCTCCCAACAGCGGTGAGTTCAATGATCCTTGCAATTTATATGTATCCCCTTTTAAAATATGGCCTGCCGACAATCAACAACCCTTTCAGTCCGTTTATGATACTCTTCCAGAAGCAGTTCAATCTTCTGAAAGTGATCGCTTTCAAGATACCGCTTTTCACTCATTATACAATCCTTCCTTTTTAAATCCATCCCATCTCCCTGCGTATCCCGCTCAACAACCTATCTCGGATGAAATATCAGACTCTTTAAAATCTACGCGCTTATCCTATCCTCAACCCCTTTCAAGTAATCCAGATTCTTTAGACTTTCCAAATGCGACTGCCTATGCATTTCTAGATTCCACCGTTCCCTCTGCAGCTAACACGTATCCGTTATCTGCCTACACGACATATTCCTCGCAACTTCCTGAATTATCCACTCCCCACGATTTTACATATCCCTCCTCTGCTTATGCTGACCAAAGTATGTCTCCATTACAAACACCTTCCATTTCTTTGGCCAACACCTCCTCTACAAACATGAATTCCCCTGCAATTGATGGTATTCCCAGGACTACTCATAAATTGAGTTCCAATGCTACCAACAAGCATCACTTTCAACAATCCTTAGCAACCCATCCTTCCATAGAGTCAGAAAGTCAACATTTGTTTGCTCCAAACTTTTACGAAAGCAGTTCCTTATTTTACCAACCGTATACGGACCAGCCTCATCAAGACACTTCTTGTCTGCCTCCTTCATTACACTCAAATGCTTACTGTCATAAACCACCAAAGCATGCTCAGTACCGTGCCACCCATCCAGACTCAATAATTTCTACCAGGCCTTTGACATCGGATGCTTATGCATTCCAAAACGGGGAGCCAATTTCCATAAAAAAGAGTAAAAGCATGACTGAAGATTCAGTGCCGATAAACACTACCAGCGAGTCCGCATCGTGTTTGATTCCCCCTTCTCTGTATTCCTATCACACCTACATTGAAGAAAGATTGCGTTACGTCTTACAACACCACGAAACTCTTTGCAGTTTTAATATTTGCATGCCCTCCGTGTGCCAAAAATCTTATGGTAATGAGCGACGATATTTATGTCCTCCTATTGTGTTATACTTCTTGGGAGTCAACTGGTTCAATTACGAATCAGATGAAATGGTCATTATGTCGAATATAGTAAAAGATGCCGAGGATGAAAACCTTTCCAAGTCCATTTTGTACTACAATACTGACGGTAAGGAAATAAGTTTTTACTCGGAAAAACGAGCTTCTGCGAACCATGAGCAATGTCAAAAATTGAATCCTGTTTGGGCAAGTACTATGCTAAAAACTATTTATTATACTGGAACAGGTGAACACGACAAACTGGGCCGCTCCATGCAACTTCAACTTCAAATTGATACCAAAAACAAGCAACTAGGGATTGATAAAGTACGGTTAGGTGTCATCTCCAAGCCCAGTCAAAAACGCGCTCTTGCCAAGGTTTCCGACATGAGTATTTGTCACGGTGATTGCGTTAGTCTCTTTAATCGATACCGTGCCCAGCACAATAATGCATTGTTTTTAAGTACTAGTAAAATGTGTCAGGTACTATCGGATAAGAGCACGCGGATGAAGACTTCTGGTAACTTTTTTCCGGACATTGATACTCCGACTGTAGCTGAAAATGAGCAGGGCAGGCTTATTATGACCAGTGATACTTGGGAACCATTTTACATTCTGTCTGTCGAAGAGCTCAAAAAAGGGAATGGCAGTGTTGCAGCTAATACTCAACGAGTTGTTTTGAGTTTTGATACTCTTGTAATTTTAGTTAGTAAAATCACGGGAGTTCAATCGCCGCCATTAGTTTTGAAGAAACGGGAAAATTGGAAAGTGTCCATTTCTTGTACAAAATCCCATGAATCCTTTAACTGTTTATCTAAATTAGCATTTCAGTGTCCGGTGTCGAAAAAGTTTTTGTCTATTGATGAACTAAATTCTGGAGAAGTTGGGTACACAGAAGGGGAATTTCAGTTTAACGACAAACTAAATCCCTCAAGAGCAACCCATTCTGTTCTACCTTGGTCCGCAATGTGGTCAATTATATCTACACAATCTTTCAACACCAATTTCTACGATGAGCCAATCTTTAAAAATCGTACACACTCGGTGCCAAGCATGCCATCGGTCAAGTGTTTGTATAGTGACAAGCAGTCTCTGCTATATATATATGGTACTGGGTTTGCAAATGATGTTCAAGTGTGGATTGGCGATGCAAAGTGTGACGTTTTAAAAAAAGCAGGTGACCCGTTAAATACAAGTACTCTGCCAGACGTTGTGTCTTCATCTCGTTTTTGTTCACGACTACAAGCTTTTCCAGTGAATTTGACGTGCATTGCATGCGTTGTTCCATTCCATTTGTGGGAGTCGAAAATAAAGAAAAATCCTATATTGTTGTTTCAGCATGACACCTTTTTTAATTCTGGTTTTGCTTGGCCATTGCATTCGTGAAACAGTGAGTTGACAAATGATCAATCCAGATGTTTAATTTATTTATACTAATTTCTTTACTAATAAGCAAACGTATACTTTCTGTGATGTAAGGTATATGTGTATTCCTATAGGGACTTTATGTCGCGTTATTTGCATGTTTTACTCAGTCCCTTCTAATATGGGATTGATTTCTTTCTGTTTAAACCGTCTTCGTCATTCTTTCATTCCATTAAACCAGGGCAAGGCTCAAGCATACTGTTCTTTTGGAAAGACTTTATTGGTCTGGAAATCTTCATCTATCATTTAATTTAGATCTCACTAATTATTCAATTATTTATATTATTATCTTTTGGCTTTCGGCTTTATTTATACTGTTCTCTTTTGCATTCACATTTGCAAGTGAATTTTCTATTAATTATGTGTCCTGCACAACCCTCAATTCTATTATATGTAATAAATTAAATTGCTATTTGAAATCGGAAGTTAGTAATCTGTTCTTTCTTTGCTTACAATAAACCAACTTTGTAACAATATTAGCATCACTTTTGTCTTCCATTCGCTTGAAGCAAAGTTATCTTTGTAGTAGCGAGAGTTCCTTATAGTGAGGAATTCGGTATCTTACACTAAGAATACAGCATTGATGAGAGAGGTGAATGAATTTTCCCGTTTGCCAATTTTTGTTTGGATTGAGAAACGATAAACAACTGATAATTATATCTTGTCATATTTGTACAGAATAAAAATAGACATTTAGCATGTCCTCCTTTGGCACGTTATTCAAAGTAACTACCTATGGTGAATCACACTGCAGAAGTGTTGGTTGCATCGTGGAAGGATGCCCTCCTGGCATGAATTTGACAGAAGAAGATGTTCAAGTTCAACTTACTAGACGTCGCCCTGGTCAATCGAATTTGACCACACCCCGTAATGAGAAAGACCGCGTTCACATTCAGAGTGGAACCGAGTTTGGCGTTACTCTAGGAACTCCTGTTGGCATGATGGTGTTAAACCAGGATCAAAAGCCCCATGATTACTCAGATATGGACAATTATCCTCGTCCTTCTCACGCTGACTATACATATTTGGAGAAGTACGGTGTTAAGGCTTCTTCCGGAGGTGGCCGTTCCAGTGCTCGAGAGACCATTGGCCGTGTTGCCGCTGGTGCTATTGCTGAAAAGTATTTACGTGAGGCTTTTGGTATTGAAATTGTTGCTTTCGTTTCAGCTGTTGGCAAAATTGCCATTCCCCTTCATCAAACAAAGACCAGTTCCTCTGCAGCTGACGATGAGACCGATGACTATGATTCTCCTATTACTCCCGAATACTTGAAGTTTTTGGATGAAATTACTCGTGAGGAAGTCGACAAGACCATGATCCGTTGTCCTCACGCAGAGACTGCTAACAAGATGTCGGAACGAATTGCTCGTGCTCGTGATAGCCACGATTCCATCGGCGGTACTGTTACCTGTGTCATTCGCAATGTCCCCACTGGTCTTGGTGAGCCTTGTTTCGACAAGATTGAAGCCAAGCTTGCTCATGCCATGATGAGTATCCCTGCAACAAAATCGTTTGAGATTGGTTCTGGTCGTGAAGGTTGCAAGGTTCCTGGCTCTGCTCATAATGATCCTTTTGTCCGTAACCCAGTTACTGGCAAGCTCGGCACCTCCTCCAACAACAGCGGTGGTATTCAAGGAGGTATTTCTAATGGAGAAAACATCTACTTCACAGTTGGTTTCAAATCACCCGCCACCATTGGCAAAGAACAACCCACTACTCGTTACGATGGTTCGGACGGTGTTTTGGCTGCTAAGGGTCGTCATGATCCTTGTGTTGTTCCTCGTGCTATCCCAATTGTTGAAACAATGGCCGCTTTGGTTGTCATGGATGCTGTAATGATTCAACAAAGCCGTAACGCTACTCGCAATTTGTTGCCAAATGCCATGTAAGCAGTTTGTTTTTTTTTTTTAAAAAATAAAGAAGAAAAAAGTCTTTATGAGTTTTAGATTATTGGTTTTGGTTCAACTGTGGTAATATACCAATCTTTTATATTTCAGCAAAGTTAAAAGATATACATAATGTTCAATTTTTTATACCTTCGACCCTTCTACTCATTCAAATCCGTGTGAAAAGCTTTTGTTTGTCTGGTCTATCACCAGAAAATACGTTCCTCGATTAAAGACGGTTGTATTTTGTTTCTTTTTTGGTCTTAATAGATTTCTTTTTTCCAATTGTCTTCTATGAGCCTGCTAGCATAATGAACTGAGCAGTAATAATCACGTACTATAAATAGCCATATCAACTGTAAACATAAAAAATCTGGCTCGTTCCCTATTGTTTGATCATCATGCTTTCCATAATTGTTTCTATTCTCTATACATTGGAAAAATGATTTGTTTATAAAATTACGTAGTGCGTTATTTATTTATTATTGTGAAATAACGTGTTTTGAACTTTCATGTTGGCTATTCTTTGCCAAAGCATTTTCAACACATTCTTAGCGTCATTTACTCATAACAGCTGATCATAACAGAAGAACTTGACCTTCTCCAACTACAGATTTTCTCAAGAGAACTGATCGTTGAAGGTTTTAAACCTTGCAGAGTACACGAATATTGTGTTTTATTAAGTTATAATTAAGAAAAAAAGGAATTTAAAGAGTCCGCTTGAGTAGAGCGACTTCCAAACGAACATTAATCGCGAAGAATATTCGAAACTCAGAAGTTTCATTCGAGCGCATGCGTTGTTTTATCTGAGGAAACGGAGTTCATGATTTTAGTTTGATCTGAAGAAAACTAATTTTTGATCGGAGCGAGATATATTCATGGGATCGTCGAATAACGATCAAAACCCTAACAACACCAATCTTTTCCGAAAGCATACATGGCACCCGGAAACGAATGATTTAAAGAGAGAAAGACGGGCTAGTGGTTTACCTGGGGATTTCAGTGGAACAGCTTCGGAATCGGACCAGTCGGATTCTTTCCGAAAGCGAAATTACAGTGTCGGTGACTATGTCATTTCAAATGGATCAAACGGTGCAGGAGGAAGTGCTTTAACTCACTCATGGACATTTCAACCCGGTCGACACAACCAGGGTTTGTATTCTAACAATTTCCGGGAAGCCCAACGCCAGTGGAAACGCTTACAGGAGTGGGGTGAAGTAAAAGAAACGAAGAAAATAAAAAAACGGTTTGATCGATTCTCTGGTCGCAAGTTCATTAACGACTATGAAATTCTCAGTGAAATAGGTCGCGGCATGCACGGAAAAGTCAAATTGGGACGTGAAGTGAATACCAAGGAATTATTAGCTATAAAGATTATCCCCAAAACGGAACGTCGTCCCAAACTAGGACGTGCTAATTCTGGAAGCCAAAAGGAGAAAGTGCGTCGCGAAATTGCTATCCTAAAAAAGTGCATTCATCCAAACGTGGTCCGTTTGCGTGAGGTTATTGATGACCCAAATTCTACAAAAGTTTATTTGGTCCTTGAATGCATGAATGGAGGCGAAATTCAGTGGTCAGAAAACCAGTCTCCTTTTTTATCAGTCGAACAGGCACGCCAATATTTCCGTGATGTGGTTTGTGGCCTTGAATACCTTCACTATCAGGGAATCATTCATCGAGATATCAAACCTGCCAACCTTCTTTTGAGTTCTTCTGGGTGTGTGAAGATATCCGATTTTGGGGTTTCCTATATAGCGCGCAGCGGTTTAAACGAAGAAAATGATGTTGAACTCGTAAAAACCGTAGGTACGCCGGCCTTTTTTGCTCCTGAACTATGTTGGACGGACTTAGACCGTCCTAGGCCGAAAATATCCGAAGCTATCGATGTCTGGGCTTTAGGTGCTACTCTTTTCTGTCTTTTGTTTGGCCGGTGCCCTTTTCAAGCATCCATGGAATATGAGTTGTTTGATAAGATCGTTAATGAGCCCTTACAGATTCCTAATGTCCCCGATATAGGAGACGATGGTCGTGATTTGCTTAACAGATTACTAGACAAAGATCCGAATACTCGTATAACGTTAGCTGAAGTGAAACGTCACCCATGGACAATTCGTGATATGCCAGACTTTGAAGATTGGTATAAAGGTACGAACCCTGAAGCAAGCGGCCGTGTTGAAGTATCCAATGACGAAGTTGCTTCTGCTATTAGTTTGGTGGGTCGTTTGCGTAGGAAGCTTGGTAAGCTTTTTCATTTTCGTCGGCCAAAAACACAAGAACCGGAATCTTCTACATCCCCTTCTGATTCTTCCTTGCGTAGGGAACCTGATAATGCCAGTAATTCGTCTCTTGCTCTATCACCGACACAGTTATCTGATTCATTCAATCACATGTCTGTGGATAAACAAGATAAAAACGCAGGTGAATCCGAAGAAAGTAGTAAGAAAGCTAATACTGGTGAGGAAGTTCAGCACTTGGAGAAACCTAAAATTGATTTTAATTGGGACCGATCCCCCATGAGTGAAATTTCGAACCCGGTTGAAGAGAATGCTAATATAATACCTGAAGATGATTACGATGAGGACGAATCCTTTGACGATCGTACTCCGGATTCATTGAGGATGCATTCAGGAGAAGCCGGTTATGATGTCTATTGTCAACCTCCTACAGATATACACGACAATCACATGGATTATTCCAACCGGGCCGATTACGACATAAAAAGAGAACAGGTCCCGATGGTTGCTTGGCGTGACTATGAACATTTAAACAGGTCTCGTCCGGGAGAGGATCCGAACTATAATTCAATATCAGGTTTTTTATCTGCAAATGGTTTGCCCATGAGCCAAGCTCCAGGTACTCCTCCGTATATCTTTGAACATCCCATGACTTCGAGTCACTAAGCTTTTGTTGATTTAATTGTTGACTCGATTTTTTCCTTTTTGATATTGTGTTTTTGTATTTGTGTTTTTATATGTTTGGCTTTGCAATGGTGAGTTGTCATTCGTTTTTTATTAATGTCATTATGCGTTCGTCTGAAGTTGCTTGTTATGGAGAACACACTTACTGATATGTTCGCCATAAACGTTTGGATTATGGAGGAACCGTATCCTTAGGTAGTGTTTGATACATTCCATTCGTTTTATTTATGATTCGACTATTGTTATGTTTGAGAAATTAAATATATTTCATTGAGTTGAATCTTTTGATCTTTCAAATTAAACACAATACATAAAAAATTTAAATATCCTTTGTTAAATAAAGTTGTCTACCGAAATGATGAAAAAGAGAAACGAATATTAAAGACATAAAACAGCATTTAAGTATAAAACAAACCATGATATTCCGCGTAACCTAATAGTAGTTAAGAAAACAACTAAGAAATTTTTAAGTTCATTTTTTATAGAAGCAGGTTTTGAAAAAAGCTACCCTCTTCTTCTTCAGGTAAATCATAATGATTATGTTCAGATGTTGAGCCGCCATCGTCAAACCATAAGTGCTCACCATAAGATATACATAGCTCTTCGCAAGGATGTATATCTCGTAAAGTAAAATAAGATATGCAACGATTTAACTCGTCCTTTTTCCTATAAACATTAGGACACCGATCATGATTGAACATGCTACCTAACCCAAGGGCTAATCCTTGTCTACCGCTTGACCAAACATAAGTATACTCATTTAAAACAGTATATTGCCCATGATTAACATATTGATCTTTTTCAAACAATAAAACCGGACTAACCTCAATACAGGTATGAGCAGGCAAGGGTTCTAGGGCAAACACACCTCGACCTTTTGTTTCAGTATCCCGAATCTGAAAATCGTTAGTGAGATAAAAGTGGTCAATTAAGAAAAAAAATGGTGGTTGAATTATGTATTATTGTTTCATCTTGGAAACATGGGACTGCAATACTAGTTTCGTACTATCATTTTTCACGAAGGGATCATAGCTGAGAAAAGGAACATAAAAAATAAATAGAGATAAAAAGAAAAAGAGAAATAAGAAAAGTCGGGCGTCAAGGTGGTGAAAAATCTCAACCATTGAATCATAGTTGTACAAGTCGACTTACCTCCAAAGGACGGTCAAAAAGCGAAATTGTTTTCATTGAGCTGTAGCAAACACAAAAAAGACTTAAAACTAATTCTGAAATTTGTCTTTTGCCTTGCCATACACTTTTTCACACAGAACTCCAACGATTCTGCCTATTTCTGTAAAGTAACGTGTTACCTTAGAACATAAATTAAAATTAATGAAAGCAGTTGTTTAAATTTCAAAAAGCCCGCTGAATACACCTTTTTAGGATAAAAACAAACTTTTTGGAAGGATACTTTTAGAAATTGCGATGACTATGAAAATTGGGAACTACTGAATACCAATGTCGCTCTACCTCGTAATTCAAGAATTTTCTCCAAAGCAAGCAGAATTCAAGTATCGTTTTCAACCGTCCCTGCAGGGCTGGTAGAATGGAAAACGCTTGTTAAGGGGCTCATATAGAATAGAATTGCACAAGGAAGGAAATATATGTTGTGAAAGGGAACAATGATTTAATTGCATTTGGAATGGAAACAATAGCAGGTCATTTCTTTCTCGCAGGATTGTCGAGGAAGACGTTCAGTGATGTGATTGCGGTGCAAAAACAGGATGAAGGGAAGGATATTTTTGAGGACAGCAATGCATTGGCGATGAATTTGAGCAAGCGCCTTTCATTGAAACGGACATCAAGTGTTTCGCCATCATCCTCCCTTGACAAAGACAATAACCATTCTGGAGATTTGCGTAGTTCGCCATCGATCCTGAATTTCCCTAATAGTACTTCCTTAGATGACAATTCTTCTCCGAACCTAACATATATCGCTAGGAAAAGTAAGAACAGTTCTTCTGACATTGATGATTGCATTACTAGTCCTAGTCCATCCCGAAAGAGCTCTCTCTCCGAACCGCACCCTCAGAGTAAACATTCTCTGAGTTTATCTGGCTTTCATAAAGATCGTTTGCAAAATCGCTTCAGTATAGGCACAATTCATACTCTGTCCGACATATATAAATCCTACGATGCTTATTCAGAAGACCTTTCTTTTAATCCTTCAATAAACCCTCTTGAAAGATGTTTTCCTCCCTCTTTGCTGCAGAGATATCCCTCTTCAAAAGACATAGGTACAGAAAGTACAAATTGTTATCGTTGGGAGTTTCCCAACTACGTCCCAATGTTTGTATTTCCAAATGACATAACTATCGAGCGATCTCCTACTCGTCCTGCTTCAACTCATCATACGTTTGCCTTGACAAGTGAGGATAATTCCAAGGTTTATGGAATTTGCTTAGTTAACTGGGTAAAAATGCCATTGGAAATGCAGTCTGATTTGAAGAATGCTTGCGATACTTGGCGAAATATCTATGCATCCCCAGAAGATTTAGAAGTTGCTAATTTTTTGTTGTTTAAGCTGCATGCCGAAAAAGATCATCTTTCACGACTATGTGAGATGGACAAAAAGGCGGAGCAGAATCCCTTTTTTAACGCCTATTTATCAGAACAGATAGCCAGACATGAAGAAAATATACATCTTTACGAAGAGATGTTGCGTCCTATGAAAAACTTACTTTTTGGATTAACTGATATTTTTACTGAGGGTGAGCACCTTTGGTTGCCAAAGGCATATGGTATTCTAACTAGAAGGCCTTACTTACAGTCTTTCTGTCGCGATTGGCTTAGAATTATATGTTCATCTCTCCTTGTTGATGAACTTGATTATATTCCTCCTGCTGACGTCGCTTTCTTACGAAATATGTCTATTGAGGCTTACATAAAAAATATATGCAACGAAATACCTTTACCTCCAAGAGGGCTCTCTCAAACTCGTGTTGAGGTTGGACCTCTCCAACTTTGTGCCTTCCGTAGTCCTTTGAATGAAATTCCTGGATGGAATGACGTGGATTTGTATCCTTTGTTTCGTACTTTAGACTTTTGGAATATTATTTCTCTTTTTGAAGCGGCATTGCTAGAGTCTAAAATATTGTTTTTATCTAAAAGTATAAGCATGCTTAGTTACGCGTCATTCGCGCTTGTTCATCTGCTTTATCCTTTAGAATGGCAAGGTTTATTTATTCCTGTTCTATCGAGAAGGTTGATTTCGTGTCTGGAAGCACCATGCTCTTATATCATTGGTATTTCCAGTGATGCTATAGCTTTGGAGAGTTTACAGTCGGATAGTATACCTCTTGTTGTATGTGATTTGGACAATAATCTGATCAAAACCTATGGAAATCCAGTTACTTTACCTACTTCCTTGCGGCATAAATTGTATGCGAACTTAAGTACAGCCGCTCCCTTGCATTCTCATTATGAGATACCTTATGGAGTTCCAAAGTATGTATGCGAAACATATCCCAATAACACGATGCCTTTGAGTACAACCACGAGTTTTCCCTTTCGAGAAAGGTTTCATGTTCCCTCCTTCCTTTCTCGGCATCCTTGGGTTAACAGAAATTCCTATGTGGTACCACCGGTGCTAAATGGCTTCCTAAGGTTTCAAGAAAATACATCAAACATTTCGTTTTCTAAACAATTCGGTCTTACAAGGTCATTAAGTAGAATCTCTTCTCATGGACGCTTAACAGCCGAGCATTCACGTCACTTCTCTTCTCCGCCTTCGACCCGAGCTTATTCGCCTACAATGCATGAATCTGGTCTTTTGTATTCATCTGTTTCTGACAGTGTTCGCAGAAATTCAATGACAGTTGCTCATACATATTGCGATAAGCAACACGAAGAGCCTTTCAAAAGGAATAAATCAGCTGTAAATGTCCCTTACATAAACAACGTTGCTGAGAAAATGAGTAAGCATCTGCTTTACAAGGAAGGACACAAACTTCGGTACGTTTCGATTGATTTATATACCACTGGTTCTCATGTTGTGTGTGCCGTATCTGGTGCCCCACTAGAGCAAACTCATTTACGATGTGACAATTGTGGCCTACATATAAATATCGGGAAAATCCGGTACGTATGTGCCCCTTGTACTCCCGTTTGTTTTAATGGTCAATTAGTATCAACTGTTTTCTTGAAATTTTTTACGAAAATACTCGGTCCGTATAGACAATACTTTCAGAAAAAAGATGAAAACCGTCAAGCTGGTCAGAGAAAGAATGAGTCATTTAACTTCAGGAAGTTTGCACGCCAGTCATCTAAAATTCATGGAGATTGGATCTTTAGCTTTTGTAACACTCAAGCGTTTTCTGAATTTGTTAGCGATCGATCTCATGTCGATCCGAATGATCCAAAAATTGCCTTATTCGACCAGTTACTTTTGTGTGAAAAGAATAATGGTAAACCTCGCCTATTCGGAAAATCCACGTCTTTCTTACAAGATAGAAGCTTTGAATTTCAAAAGTTCGAGATAGCACCCACGCCGGATAATTCTTATGAAAAACAGTAATGCTGTGCACTCTTTGGCGAATTTATCTTTGTATATCTAGTCATCATATATTCTGATTTTAATGCTTTAGAAATCACTATTTAAAAACAAGTTTATGAAATGCGAATGATTTTTTACGCATCGGATGTTCCTTAATTTACCTTTTTTATTCTATCTATTTCTTATGAGTACAGTATAGTGAATGAATTTGAAATACACAAGTAATGTTACTAAAATAAAAACCATCTTATAAGTGTACATAGCTATCATAGCCATACCATGAAAAGATTAAGACGACCTTGTAAAGCGGCTCCGAGCGATTTCTCGTAGCATTTCTACAGTTTTCTTTTCCTTTTCCTTTCTTTCCTGCATTTTTTGAAGGATTTCTTCGTCTTTCTGAGTGTGATGTACCTGTCGCTTTTCATCTCGTATTTTTTTTCTTAAACGCTCTCGTTCAATTTGCTTACTGAAAGAGTCAGACTCACCGAAAAGATCATTCTCATTCAGTTCCGTTTCGTCATCTGACCGTTCACGATAATGTTTCAAAGCTTGCTGTTTCTCCTTCTTTTTCTGCAATAGCGCTTGTTTACTTCCTGCTGGTTCTTTAGGCAAAATCTCATCCAGCAGTTCAGTTTCACGCCTTGCTTTCAGTTTGTTTCCATAACGTTTTGAGGAGCGTTGTTGTTCTTGAATCTGCTCTCGTAGCTCTTGACGATCGTGTAAGTCATCAAATGTTGGTTTAGCCGGTCCTACAGGCGACTGAGCATTAGGATGAGCTATAGGAGCCTGCATTAAGGAATACCACTTTTGGCGCATCTTTCCGTCATTCCACCGTTTCACAAATCTTTTCCAGAGGTCATGCTGCCTGCTATGACTGCATTTCTCCACGTCAATTTGCTTTTCTTCTTTAACAAACCGATGGAACACATCCTTGTATTTTTGTTTACATACTGAATTTTGATAGTCTAAAACTTCTCTCATGTCTCTGTTTTATTGCTGAAAACCTCATACGTTTGTAATCAACTGGATATGCAATGTAACTGGTTTTTAAACATTTCCTGATTAGTTGAGAGTGGTCAACCTGCAAAAGAAGCTTCTATGTCGAATCGGTCAATTTTTATATAATTCACGATTGAAGGTGATTTACTTAAGAACATCAAAACAAAGATAATAAAATCATAAAAATAATAACAGGTTTTAGAAATAAGAGGCACTATAGCAGATTTATATATCAAATTCTACCACAGCTAATTATAAAAAAATATTTGTAATTTATTTGAACTACTTGCTTAGTCCTTTTTAGGAAGCTCCAACGCTTTTAAAGAATCATAATGTGCCTATGAGCGGCTGCTATTAAACAATTGGTATTATACAATTACAATGGAGAATGCTACGTTGAAACGTTGAACTGGAGACACATGAACATCGGGGGAAAAAAGGCTGTTATTTAAAAAAGAGAACAGTCATCAGATGACGGATAAAAGAAGGGGGAGATATGAGAAAGCTCTCGAAACAGTTCCGAGATGGCTTTTGCGTAACCTACAAACTATCATAGTTATTGATTGTAATGCAATACAAAAGATTGACTGCATACTGAGACAAAAGACGAGAATGTTAAAGACTGGTACATAGAGAAGGGAGGAAATGAATACTATATCACCAAGGATAAGAAGTCGGATAGCCAGAATTGCATCACTTAATCTCGGAAAACCACTTGCATATGTACATGAACAGTCAAAAATTCCAAGTGAAGGCAGCAAGAAACTTAATGGTACCGACTGCATACTACTGCTCATGTTGTATTTATGGGGTTATTGGAGCTAAGGATCCTACTTCTTATTAATCGTCCTAATTTAATGAGAGGGAGCTGCTTGCTTGGGAGTTCTGTCGACAATAAGAGAGTCGAAAGCCTCACGTTCTTGCTTCTCCTCCATAACACGCTTGACAATAGGACGAAGATAAAGGGTGTCTTCTTCACTCTTTGTCCATTCAGATTTGGGCAAGATCTTGTTTTCGATGTTCAACTGCATGGCACGACGGATACGGTATACTCTATCAAAAGATTCGTGCTCCGGCAAACGGCTCAAGGCCTTCTCAACAACGTCGTTTTCTTCTAAAGTCAAATCATCGTAACGAAGACCAAATTTACGGTAGCCAGAGAGGTTAATATAAGCTTGAGAAACAGGCTTCAAAAGCTTGTACAAAAAGGGAGATTTCTGAATGTACTTCGCTAAGGAGATGGGTTGCATGGTGACCAAAAGTAAATATTTACCTAATTCAAACTATTTACTCTTCAATTAAAGAGGTTTCTTCGTGACAATTGTGATCCGTGAGATTGGCAGATGGTAAGTTAGAAAGTATCTTATTGGTATGGTATTCGAACATTGTCACCTGGTCTCTCAACTGTTTGTCACTTATATAGTACGAGTAAAATTACAAAGAATACGCGATACATAGTTTATGGAAAGTATATAATAGAAAAATGAATTACCAATAAATAAAGTATATAATTAATGAAAAGAAGTATGCAAAGCAATCTACCTATATAATTGCTTCTTTTTTAAATCTTGATTCAACTAAGACAACTAGTTGAAGAAAGGAAAGTTCAATAGCAGACGAATGCTTTTTATACTTTCATCATAAACTCTTGTTTTCATACGCATCTCAACATATAAAAGTGTTAATGATCAAAGGTCCTATGTGTTAAAAACATAGTGATTGCGATACATATAAATAAAACAAGAGCTTAGTCCCACAAAAAGCAAACAGACAGAATTCATCCTACTTAATTGAAACATTCGTTGAGTGGTCCAGAAAAATAAAACGAAGCTGATACTCATAACTGCAAGTATAAGTCCGTTTCTTTTTCGAATAGAGGCTTTGGCTTCTAAAACTTCAGCAGAGTCATTAGTTAGATTTAGTGTCTCCGAAAATAAATTTTCTATTCCAGAATTTCTAAAAAAAGAGTATTTGGTGTTCTCTTCGCGATATTTTGATAATTGTCTCGTCTTCTTATATTGATTTAACTCTTTCATGACTTCCGGCCTAATATCAGTTGGTGTCACCTTTATGGAATCTTTTCCCCTGTAATTCTGAGGCATGTTTTGAAAACGTGAACATTTTGAAGAGTATGGACTTGAAGTTGGAAGAGCTTCGAGCTTTTTCTGTAGATTTGAAATTGGTGAAATCTTAGGCATTTCAGACAACTTTCGAAAATGTGAAGATAACGGTGTTGTTTGAGGAAAAACTGGAGGCTTGGAATTATTTTCCTTTTTCCTTGATTTAAAATTTTTTGTCAACGAGGCTAATTTAGATTTGTTTCTCTTTGATTTTTTTGGAAGTGTCCTATCCGACAAATTTATCTTTCGAGGAGAGCGAAAATCTAGACAGGAAAAACTTACAATTAGAAAAAATATAGTGATAAAAAATAGAACTGTATGCACTTGGGAGATTGTGGAACGAACATTATTAGCATCCCGAAAATATTCAGCCTTGACACCAAACTCGTAAATATTCAAAATATAGACTGAAGCTAGTCGGATTAGAGTAGAAATAAACTGAGAACGAATGTATTGCTCTCTCCCATAGAGGCTAGTAGAGGAATCTTGGGAAAGAACGAGCCAGTAAGGATTCCAAAAAATTACAAAAAATCCCAGCCAAGTGATCATTGCACCTTGGCTCAAACTTAAATTCAATAAGAAAATTCCAGAAATCTTCTTCAGTAATCCTTGAATAAACTCTGGAAAGAAAGCGGGTAAAATGGAATGGTAAAAATGCCAGCCTATAGCATGTGCATAAAACAGAAAAAATCCAACACCTCTGGAAACCCATATTATAGATGAAAAGGAATTGTTATTTAAAGAAGGAGTGGAATAAAATTTTTCCTTAGATTGAACAAGCCATTGACCTAATACATGATTTTTGGCTTCGTAATTATTGCTTTCTAATTGCTCATGAACAGGACCGTAACAATTATCACAGACAATAGGAAATTTTTCTTCTAAAGATTCTTTATATTTAGGAAAAGCGGCTTCATAGGCCTTGTAATCAGGATGGTTTTGCTCAGGTAGAAAATCTGCGAGCATTCGATTCACAAGCAGTTGGTTTCGCAAGCAGTCCTCGCAAAAAGGACTCTTAGTTGGTGTTTTCTCTACGAACCTTGAAAGAAAATTAGGAGCGGATGTCTCATATGATGGTGGTGTTGGAGGCCGATAATCCACTACTTCTCCATTGTCATCAAAGTGGTTTGGAGCTTCACAAAGAGGACAAGTCCACTCCCTCATAGATCCATTTCTCGATAGTTTTACGTGTTGATTACAAGAAAAACATCTCTTGACTGTCTTGTGGCCCGTACTAGTTCGGTTTTTCTGATCCGGCTCCTCTTTACATACGATACTTCGTTTACCCCAGACCATATTCCATCCTTTCCTGATGAAGGATAAAAGAAAGATTCCTAAAACTCTACTTCAAATAGAATCAATAAGAAATTCACAGAGTTCCTGGCTGAAGCTAACGAATGCACTTGATTCCTCTTCAATCAATTTGTGTTGTCAAAAGCCCAACACTAGGAAACAACAAAAAAAATGAAAAGAAGGAAATAAAAAAATTGAAATATGAAATAAAATGAAATAAGATAACCTTAAGGTTTAATATAATAATAAATGAAGACAGTTGGAAAACATGGAAATTGCTGTACTACTTAAGATGGTGGTTAATATTAGTGACTTTAATGGTGGAAGCATCAATACCGGTGAGTTTAAAGAAAATTTTATAATGCGTAAATAGCTTAATTTATTCAATGATTGAAGTAATAATTAAAGTATTGAAAGAAACAGATGGATTGGTTGTGTGAGAATCTTTATTTACAAGATGTAAACAAACCAAGTTATATCCCATCACAGGCATTCTACGATTAAGGAATACAAAATGCCTATGCAAATTCATTTATTTTAATGAATAAAAGGAAATTCGATTTGAGCGACTTAACGATCATGAAAATACTGAGCTTTTATCGTTGCGTATCATTTTAATCTGCAGAAAGTATGATATTTGTATTGATGCGATTTGAATAGCGCCCTTTTGCAAGGTAAAAAGTCTTTTTATTTCGGTTTTCCTTTCTTCTAATTTTCAAATGAATAGTAAGCTGAACTCGTAGTTTCCATGGTTCGCGCAAGAGGAACGCCGAGAGGGTGCGTAGTGAAATCGGTAGAGAAAATGTTCGGCGACTAGTTATCCTTCCTAATTAGTCATTGTTTTGATGGATATTTCAAGACTCAATACTGTACATGTTAGCCTACTCTCAGGGTTTCAACCATTTCGCTCTTTGTGCCTTACGTTCGAACCGAAAGAGGGTTTTTACTTTCTAAGGAAATAAATTCAAAGAAATATTTATTTAACAACTAAGCACTTCTAATATACTGTTTATATATCATATTTAGTGTATTTCTGTAAAAGCATAACCCTTACTGTATACTCATATGGGAAGAGAAATAACTACGTCCCCAGAGCATGCATGTGTGAAACCATAACCCATGGCTTATTACAACAATCCGGCAAATTTACAGTATTACCAAGGGACTTTTCCCGAAACAAATTCTTATGCTGCACAGGCACGGTCTTCTGGTTTCTATGATGAGCCTTTAAGTGAACCCTTAAGTCAAGGTTGGCTCGCTGCATTTTCGACCAGTGGATACCCAGGAGAGCCCTCGTTGCTTGAAGAATTAGACATCAATTTCGGACACATAAAACAAAAGGTAAGTGAGATGATACCTTTGCATCAGACACTATAAGTGTCAATCCAAAAGGCTTACGAAAGGACATCCAGATTAAGACGCATGTTTATTGCGTTTTAATCGGACTACGCTTATATCTTGTGTTTTTTTTTTAGACTTCTTACTAACGTTATAAATTAGACCACACATGTACTGAATCCTTTTAAACATGTTGATGTTCATATTATGGATGACACTGATATGGCTGGCCCAGTGCTATTTTGTCTCTTATTCAGTACTTTTCTTTCCTTACATGGTCGATCCCACTTTGGATATATTTATGGAATAGCTCTACTTGGTTCACTCAGCCTGCATCTCGTTTTACGATTAATGTCTGCAAGAAACTTATTTTACACCCGCACCGTCAGCGTGTTGGGATATTCTTTACTCCCCTTGGTAGTAGTAGCCTTTTTTAAAAATCTGGTATCTTTTAAGTAAGTAGACATCGTTAGGCATCGTCTCTAATATTTTTGGACGAAATGTGCTAACTATGTTTTAGTGGAATTTTGGGATATGCCTCTGCTGCTTTTGCATCTATATGGAGCACATATGCTGCCAGCGCTATGTTTGTTGCTATTCTCCAGGTTAACAATATGCGCTTCCTTGTCGCCTATCCTATCGCATTGTTTTACGCCGTATTTGCTGTCATCACTGTCTTTTCTAAATAATTGGATATCTAGACAGTCATTGCAGTTTTTGCAATGGCCTTCTCTTTCACTAAAATCCTAGCAATGCTCTTAACCCTGAAGACGTACTAGTCTTTCATGATATCTAGTTTGTAATGTGCTATTCGATTCCTTATGTTTCATTTTCTTTAACCATATTGATTCTACCGCTGTATCCTTCCAAATATAACTTCTTTACTAACGCTTAATGGTTTAAATAATAAGAGCTTAATCAAGTATGCGATGGATTCCATTTACTTGTGTAAATAAACGTATTTGGCCTAAAGTCTTACCGAAAAACCGAATAATAATACCTTCTTCATGCACAGTACGAAACAGCATACTCTCCTAGTTTAGAGTGAAGCAAACCATTATCGTGATGGATTGATGGATGCATAGATAAAATATTTATTTTTAAGTAAAGTTTTAGAACACAAAAGAAAAATTACATAAGTATCTAAAGATCGTAGCCCTCAGGTTCTAGCTATGCTCATTAATCGTTTGAATTTACTCCTTAATTGGCTGTTCACTTGATGGAATTTCATCATCCACTAGAGCATTGTAAACTTGACCAACATGGCGAACTAAGTCACTTGATTGTGTTGCCCTTCCGCATTCTTTGAATGATACACGGCTACACCATCTAGTGGTGGCACAAGCTCCGTATGCTGCTAAAAACAAACATTCCTTAGCATCCATGTCGCCTTCAATATCCCATTGCTTATTCAAGTAAGCCTTCCGCCAAGCAAGGAAAGTAACGAGAATCCCAGTAAGGATATCACCTTGACCACCACATCGCTTTAATCCTCCAGGAACAGAGCAAGCATAAATCGTACCCCCATCAGAAATTATATCTTCTTTACCTTTTTGGACAATCAAAAGATTTAATTTTTTCGCCAAATTTTGGCAAGCATCAGGACCTTCACTCTGAACACCTACTTTATCACAAAGACGCTTAAACTCCACAACATTAGGTGTCAATACCACATTATGGTATCCGCTCACAAGCTCAGGGCGCTGTTGCACTAAGAAGAGACCATCTGCATCAATTACCATAGGCATTTCCTTTTCCCGAGCATACTGAATAACTTTAGCAACGGTCTCTAGCATCCATTCATCACGACCCAAGCCAGGGCCGATAACGATCGCATGCAATCGTTCCATCATAGGTTTAACAAGTTCCATTATACCATCAATAGAGTCACCAGGGTTTTTATTTTCCTTTTCCCGCAAGAAAGGATGTACAATTAGGTCAGGAGAATAGCTTTTTATCACGTTTGCGGCATTTTTTTCACAGAAGATATGGCTTTGGTCGGTGCCAAAGAGCATAGAGCTCATAGAAGAATAGTAAGGTGCTCCCGTATAATGTTGACATCCTCCAAAAATACCTACTCGACCAGCTTGTCCCTTATGCGCTGATCCAGACAAAGGTGGTATAATACGCTTAACACGAGTCAAAAGATTTCCCTTCTGAGGCGATGACATTACGATACTGAATATTTTACTGAAATACTTTCTTCAGCTTTTTTGTTACAATAAATAAGAAAAAAAATAAAAAGACCAAATTGAAGCCAAAAGTTTTGAAATTGGTAATTGTTTCAGTGGATGGGTATAAGTAGGATTTCTACCGAAGCATTTGCGTATATATGATGTGGAACATTTGTATGATGAATGCGTCCTAACTGAAGAGGATAAAAGTGAAAAACGCAGAAAAAAAATACATTCTTTAGAACTATTTTTCATTAGTTTTACTTGGGTAAATTTTTCAAATTGTGGTTGTTCTGAATTGGTAAGAAAATCGAATAAAACAAAACCTGCGTTGGAGCAACTAGCTGAGCTATGAAAATACGATACAAGCATGGTTTGTAAATTGACAGTGTACTCTTCGCTCATCAATTAGTAGAACCCTAGTTTAGGAACGTCTTAGGCATAGTTTTAGCATGGATACGAAATCTCATTAGATTGCTATTGCGATTTTGAAGAAACAAGAAAAAGAAATAGTAAACGTAAAAGGACATTCCATTGAATTAAAGGAAAGTCATCATCCTTTTGATGGTTTCACTATTCTTAGGGTCATGAGCATTAGTAGTACATGGGAATGGCCTTCAGCTGTTCCCGTTAATTTTCGTATGAATCGTAACAAGATATAAGATAATTAAATTAGATAAACTCTTGACTTCACTAATCCTCCGTTAAAGCTTCTCATAGAAGTATGTTTTTTGTTGGGTACTTGTAGTCGTCGGAAAGCTTCCAAGACGTGAAATATTTGCAAAGGAGTCCTACCTTCAGTAAGCCCATCAAACAAGTAGCGTTCCTTTGGATGATTTGGAACATGATAACTCCCATGTCTTGTATTATCTTGTATTTGATCCATCCTTTCTTTGACTGCCAAAGCCTCTTCCGTTAAGGTCGCAACGATCTCAAATGTCAAAAATCCTAAAATATCAACTATGTCGTTATCTGGTCGAGTTTCTGTTAACACAGACATACCGCACCACTCGCGGAAGCGCTTTCCTTTTCGGTAGGTAAAACTAGCTTGACGACATTCACTCCAGTGAACATATTCCTCTCTTGTCATTTTTTTTGTCCTCTCATCAGCTAATTTTAGCCTTTCTCTTGTCGCATATGCCATCTCCATCATGTCATCATCGCCTTCGAATTCTTCAGTTTCCGGTATCGGTTCAGAAAACATATTTTTCACTTCCCAGGGCATCGCCACGGGAGCAGTCATCGTCTTTGTTTTGGATTCTACCTCTTCAAAGAGATCCTTTGTATCGGCGGCATTTGCATCCTGTTCTTTAGCCTTTTTTCGGACTTCTTTCCACGATAAGTATGTCTTGAGTCGATTAACTTTAGCACGATCGTGCCGAATTAAAAAGAATAAGTCTTCAACGTTGATGGATTTTGAGCCCCTTCGTATAGCTAGTTCATTTGCTTGAATCAACATTTCCATGACTTGTCCTCGAATTAATTCTTCCACTAATTGGATAGTCTCTGGGAGAGGATCCTGCACCTCTCCCAAAATAAACATCATTTGCTGAATTTCAACTCTGTATTTACTCATTTTTTCCTACGGTTTAGCTTCCAATCCTAATTTCCATGGTCTCTTCTTAGTGTTGTCGGTATATGCTACTACGAATAGAACTGAAATGTGTACAACAACAACTTTAGAAATAATTCAGTAACGACAATCTACTTTTGCTTTATGGAATACTAATTAAAATTGATAATTTAGCTACGATACTTTTTCGTTTGTTTTCTTTGCTAAGCATATATACGTACTTTTCCTTATTTTTCGTTTCTTACAAACGTTGCTAGGCTTAAACCCTCAGGTTCAACATCTCGGATAGTAAAACCGCTTTAAACCTGAAGACATTTGGAATAAAATGAAATGGAAGCGTTAACAGGAATTGGTGAAAGACCTACTTTGTAAAATGTCATAGTTCATATAGCAAAACCACAATAAGCAATAGAAGACATAAAGATGAAGATAATTTCTTTCAATTTTAATGATTTCTATTTTCTCTTATTAGATTATGAAAAGACTAGACTAGACTTTTCTTTCTTTTCTTTTTTTGTTTATTTTCGCTCTATTTACATCTACTCAAATTCGTTTAATACTACTTAAAAAACTTAAGAGAATTCCGATCTGATAACACTCACAAGTCGACTGACCCAAATCTGTCCTTTACCGATTTCGTGTATGAATCGAAACTATGGAACTATGGAAACAAATGAGCCTTCTATTGATGGCTTTTATAACAAGAACACAATAGAAAGCCACTTAATCAGTCAAGAAAGACAACTGGCGGTTTCACCGAGGACCCAGGTTGATCGACAGTCAGACATGTCCCTGGAGGGAGTCTCAAAAGTACAAGCCATTGCCTCCACTTGGTCAAGAAAATCAGTAATTGTTGCATATTTAGGGTAAGATCAGTTTCTACATAAGGATTTAGCTTTATCTGATTATAACGAAGAATATGCTAACGCTACTTCAGCCTTTATTTATTAGCATTTGCTACTTCATTAGAACAGCAAACTACTGTCTCTTTACAAAGATATGCAACTAGCAATTTTTCTGCTCATTCTAATTTGGCAACAATCAATCTCGTCAGCAACATACTTTTGGCCGTGGTTCGTGCTCCTATGGTCAAGGCAGGGGATGTGTTTGGCCGTACAGAAAGTATAACTCTAGCTTTATGCATGGCTGTATTTGGCTATGTTCTCTTGGCCTGCTCACGAAATATTGGAACATTTACCCTTGCCTATATTATTTACATTTGCGGTCAGACTGGCATTGGGATTCTCTCTCAGCTCATTATTGCTGATACGTCTTCTCTATTAAACAGGGGAATTTTATCTGCTATTCCTGAACAGCCTTATCTTCTTACTGTCTGGATGGGGCCAGCCCTTGCTCAAGCGTTTCATCCTGAGAGAGCCATGGGCTGGAGAATTGGATACGGTATATGGGCCATCATTCTTCCCGTCGTATCGCTCCCTCTCTTACTTTCCCTTTATTTTAACCAACAAAAAGCTAAGGCGGCTGGCTTATACAGAGAACACCACCAATTTTTTAATAATTCTACTTTTCTTAACTTTTGGCAAGAGCTAGATGGAGTAGGAATATTATTATTCATTTCAGGATTTGGATTGTTCCTTCTTCCTTTTTCCCACTCCAGCACGGTTGTGTCTCCCGAGTCGAATTTACTGACCTGCTTAACAATGGGGTTGGGTCTGCTCCTACTTGTTGCTCTATGTGTTTATGATTCCAAATATGCTGTTTACCCAATTTTCGCATTACGTTCTCTGAAGGATCGGACTGTTTTGGGTGCATGTTTTCTAATTTTCCTGTACTTTATGACCTATTCCATTTTTTCTAATTTCCTCACTTCTTACTTACAGGTAACGCATGACCTTTCCATAGACGCTAGTGGGTTGATTGTTAATGTGTTTATATTTTCTATGACCACTTCTGCTATTTGCTCTGGTTTCCTTATGAAGAAGTTTGCGAGGTTTAAAGTACTATTAAAGTTTTCCATTCCTTTGTATCTTCTTGGAATCATAGGCTACATTCTTTTTGGATTTGATAATGAAAATTCAAATATCCGAAGAATTGTTTTTATGCTTTTTGTTGCAGGTGTTGGAGGGGGATTACTTACCCTTAGTGCTCAAGTGGCAGTCCAATCCGTGTCTTCACATACAAAAGTAGGCCAAAATTTAACTCTATATTTAACTTTCTCTTCTGTTGGAGGTGCTTTCGGGTCTGCTATAGCAGGTGGTGTTTGGAGCAAAAAGCTTCCTTATAGATTACTTACAAGCCTAGAAGGATTATTACCGGTTCCTGAAATTGAATCTATTTTTCGAGATTTACGAACAGCTTTATCTTACCCTCCGAATTCGCACATAAGAAATCTAATTAATGCATCGTATTCTTCTACTCAGAAGGACTTGTTTCGGGTCTCTCTAATTTTTTCGATTTTAATGATTATCGGTCTTTATATAATCAGAGATGTTTCTTTAACCCCCGAACCCCAAAACGAACCGGCTGACTAACAATCATCACTCCGCTAATCATAGATACACTGGATTTTTCTGTTCCTTTTGTTATGAATTTTCTCATTGTTTTGATTAAAAATACCTTCAGTTTTACGGTGTTCGTTCGTTTCACTATTTTATCAATACCTTATTTAATTGAAGTTTATGAACATTTGACTAAAGAACCTTTTACCTAATTAATATACATTCAATTATTGTACCCTCTTTTTGGTTTGCTTTTGTGATGTAGATGATGCTTCTTCCATATCCCTTTTCTCACTGCTACCAGTGGTAGTATACAAACGCTGTATAGCTTTAAAAACCATTGATCGTTTTGCTTTCCATATATCCCTATCCTCGTATGGATGATCAAAATCTTGCAAATTATCCGGAGGATGAAACCAATAATTGAAAGCTATGTGAATATTGCTTTCGCCTTCTTGACATGAAGAAGTAACTTCGTGGAACCAACTCGCAGGCAAATACAACATATCGCCGGGTTCTAAATCCACAACTAAAGGACGTGTTTTCGACAAAGAGGTTCGTTCATCTTCAGACATTTCCACGTCCTTAGCATCTTCAAAGCCCAAGTACTTGTGTAGGCCAGGCACTGTAATTTTCGTAAAATGATCAGGTAGAGACGGATTTTCATTATTGGATGGAGAAACTTCCGCTTTGTTATCCGATTGATCTTCGCCATTTACAGAAGATGAGTCATCCTCAATCTCGTTTGTAGATTCATCAAGTAAACTATCAGCATCCCCCTCTTGCAATTCATCCCAATCATCTGCTTCTCCGCCAAGCTGCATCTGAAGGACATTATCCATTTCTGCTTCATAATCTGCCTCCAACTGCTGAATGATGTCTTCGGAAGTCTGTGCTTCTTTCAGACCAGCAATTTTGTTTTCTAGAAACTGAGTATGAGCAATAGCAGCATCTAGTTCTGTTAAGCCATCACTACGTTGAGAACGATCTTCACCTTCATAAGAAACAAGTCCATTCGGGTGAATTTTGGATATTTTGCCAGCCAACTGAAGATGAACAGCACTATCAGGTGAAAGAATAACGAATCGTTTGTGGCCTTTTACAACGGTATAAATGTTATCATGAAAGTCATGGTGAAGACCAGAAGAAGTGCCATTTTCACTTCTACCAATCCAGATGTTACATTGTTGAGGAACGAGATTCCCCATCAATGCAGGAGTCAAGGAAAAATCCGACAATAGACTGTTCGTTGGGGCCGGACACAACGACTTAACGAGTAAAGAAACTTCATCGTCGCCATCCAAAATATCATCTGAACTATCGTATTGGGTCGTCAAATACAAACGTTCGCCCGCCTTTAGGCGCTTTAAAAATTCAGCAATGGTCATCTCATTACGACTCATTCCTTGACCAAAAGTCCCAGTGGAAGGATCCATAGGTTCGATTTTGCATATACTTTGACCAATCTTTTCAAGAAGATAATCCTCATTTTTCCAAAGATAGCCCTTCCAGTCTGTTTCTGGAAGAGGCGATTTTATAACAACGGGAAGTCTCTTAGCGACATAATCTCTATAAAACTGTTCGGGAGAAATTTGATTTACACTATCCAAGACAGGGACTTTATCTTCTTCTTTAGGTGAGAAACCTTGAAAGAAATCATAATTAGTAAACTATGATCTTACAAACCAAATCTTATGCTTACCCTGATACGAAGAAACGGATGTTGACATATTTTTATAAAAATTGAGAGGTTTAACACATAAAAGCTCACTTCTTATAAAAAATCACGGGAGGTCAATTAATGTAGTTCAAGGACAACTGGAATAAGTTTTCCACATAAGTCTGGTACGACAGTTGTCACAAACGAAATCACTTATAACATATGATTTTTGGCTTATAATTTTATTCATGCACTTTCATTCTATACAGGAATTTAGCTTTCATATGAATAATATTTCCGCTCATATTTACTAAACTACTTTACTTTACTACGGCCATACATTGTATTGCAAAGGTTTCAATTTTACAGAAATCCAATATACCAATTTACGTTAAAGCACTATTTGAGTATGAGACCATCCTTGTTCTAACCATCCATAAAAACTTGGCTACATAGCTACAAAAGCACCAGAACTAAACAGAATGATAAATATGTCCTGCAAGTGCCAAAAACAATGATCGATTTACCTATTGCCAAAGTTTACGGATTTAAAACTTCATCAAGTGAGGGCGGTCACCGTTAGACAATGCAAAAGAAGCAGCAAGGTATTCCTTCATGTTAGGAATAGCCTTGATGGCAGGGAGAAGCTTGGCATCAACAGCCTTTTGGTCAGCAACACGTTCAGCAGGAAGAGCCTTCTTGGGAGCATTTTCAGCGAAGAAAGCTTCATCCTTCTTGAGGGGACCACTGCGCTTGGGCTTAGCGAAGTAAGCTTGGTTGAACTTTTCAACGGGAATGCCAGAGACATCAAGCTTAGGAGCGGAAGTGGCGATCACATAACGGTGGTTGACACGGCGGAGAGGAACACCGTTGACCTTGAAGGGACCAGTAACAACAAGAGTGTCTTCCAATTGGCTAAGAACGACAACACGCTTACCACGGAAGCGACCAGCCAACAAAATGCAAACAGTGCCGGGTTGTAAAGAAGCACGGAGCTTGGTAGGGCGAACAGCCTTACGGGTCTTCTTAGGGACATTTTCGCGTAAAACAGGGTAGTACTTAGCAGCGGCTTCACCAGCAGGCAAAACCTGACGTTCTCCGCCGTTCTTGGCTCCGTTGACCTTGACTGTAGACATCTCTCTTATGTTGGAGTTTTTGGGTGGTGTAGAGATTTTTCCTTGGTAAAATGGGAAATCTAGTGAAACCAAAAGAACAGTCACATAGGCCTATAGGTTAGGGCTTCTTTGGATAAACCCTAAGCTGTCGGTTAAGAGATATAAGGAGGTAAGACAAGTTCGTGTAAAGGCGAAAAACTCAGCAAATAACCGAAGTCTAACGAAGTACAAGGAATGCTTTAGTAAATAAATAATAAAGAGCGAAATATGAACAGCAAACGGTAAAAAAAAAAAGAAAATATTAAAACAATTATATTTGTATAATCTATTCAGTATAAATGAGTGAAATTCTGAAGCACTAGCTATTCAATGAGCTACCGCTTGACAAAAATGCGCAAACTCGACATATTTTAACTACAATGAATTACGCTTTAGAGGTTTGTACAGTCTTCCTTGTCCGCTTCACTGTCTTTATAGTTGTCTGAGTGGTGGTCAACTCATCCTTTCTTTTCTTTCCGACCCGTTTTGCTTCCTTTTGTTCAAATTTGCTCAATTGATCTTTCCGTGATGATTCACCCATAGAAGCCAGTCGCTTACCCTCCTCAAGAAGGTAAGGGTCATCAGAAGATTTTCCAACCAATTTACGAAGAATTTCAAGCTCGTTTGCCCATGTCTCTGGTGTCTTGGCAGGTGTTTCAAGGACCATGGGGATTCCGTCCCACCTGGAATCATTCATAATTAACCGGAAGGGTTCCAAGCCCAAAAACCCCAAACCAATATTTTCGTGCAAATCACGATTACTTCCTAATGGTGCTTTTGAATCATTCAAGTGCCATCCACCGATATATTGTACACCAACCGTTTTATCAAAGTCTTCTATAACCTTTTCATAACTTTCTTTTGTTCTTAAGTCATATCCAGCAGCAAAGGAATGACATGTATCCAAACAAACTCTCCAGCGGTCTAAGTTTTTGATCTTCGCTTTCAATGCTGCGAAATCACTGAAGGTACCCCCAAGGCAATTTCCTTGACCAGCCATATTTTCAGTAACAATAATTACATCATTTGTAGCTTCATGAGCTCTATTAATACATTCTGCAAGGTTATTGATGCCTTCTTCTTTTGTGCAAGAAGCAGTACTTCCGGGACTTATAAACCTGCGTTAGAAACAAATCTCAATGCAAACGAAAATCAAAGACTTTTTTATGTAAACTTACTGAAAATTGTAATTTCCTACACCCAAACGTTCACAGCGTTTTAAATCATCAAGAAAACAGTCATAGGCCTGTTCGCGTTTCTGCTTGTCTGCGTTTGCCATGTTAATAAGATAGCTACCATGAACAAGCACATGTTTTTTAGCGTCAAATTGGTATTCTTTAGCCAGTTCTCGAAACTTTTCCGCGATTTCCTCTGGCATATCTGCGGACGCCCATTTCCGTTGAGATTTGACAAAGAATGCACAGCTCGTAGCACTAAATATTGTCAGAAATCCTATTCCTTTTATCCAAAAAACACATGTTTTCCAAATAAAATTGAACGCCAAAGACGTCAAGGTCCGTACAGACTGAAACAATTGTTCATTAAAATGTAAACAAACCAATTCTTGGTATACCAACTTATGATGCATTGCACAGCAACAGTACTATAATTTACATACTTTATGTTCTTCATATTAATTAAGGAATTGAACACGCCACCAGCTGCAGATATATGAGCTCCGATGTATTTTCTCATCATCTTTTCGCTTGAAGCAGTAGCTTCTTCAGTAAGAATAGGCTTTTCCTCTTTAACTTCCACTTCAGCTACTATGCTTGTTTTACTAAGGTTTTGGACTTCTGACATCGACTAATATTTCTATACTTGCTATACTTCTGTTGGAACAGTGAGACTATAGTTAAAGCTCAGAAGTAACGAAGGTAACAAAACCAACAACAGACTTCTAATTTACGAACAATTCATAAAACCAGATTTCCCACTTTCAATTTGATTTACTCATTGACTATTTTATTTTTTTCTTGTCTTAATCCTGTCTAGATTTATTGGATTTTGGTCATTTTTTGTTGAGCTTATCAACCAAACCGCTGTTCGAAAGCTGAATTAGTACTTTACAAGAGCCTAGTAATGTTTACTTCTTTCATGTTTTCCATTGCTACATAAATATTTATTCGGTTCTATCTTATGAATCCACATTGCGAAACAATACCATAATTACGCTTGTTTCGTCTAGTGCATTCTTGTAAAGTAGCTGCATTGATAGAAAAGCTAGGACCGACAATTTACAAATTGTCTTACTTTTTAATTCTATTACTTAAGTTTTCTTCAATTGAATTGTTAATTTTTGCTCCTGTTGATTTGTTTTGGAATGGATCCTTGGGAGTATGATGATATTTTATACCAGGAGTTTACTCAGGATACAGATTTTCCAGCTGTTCCAGAAGTTGAGGATGATTTAGCTCCTTTCAAAACCACATCTCAAAAATTTTGCGCGTTACCTCCATCTCCTGAGGACAATGCTTCCTCCCTAGTTTATAATTTACAATCCCGCTCTAGCCATCTTACAACGAATTCTGAATGCGTGAATCCATCTCAGATTAATCCTTTTGAATATGCTTCCTTAACTAGCAACTCTGAATGCTTGTATCCTGTAAGCCCGAATGCTACATTATCGGAAAGTTCTACACCTGAAATCTCAAACCCGCGAGTTCACTACCCTAAAGATAGCCATAAGAGAACTCTTCTTTATAGAAAACTTCATCCTCATCATTATGCACTTCTTTCGAGATCGTTTGATGCAAGTCCTTTCCCCCGCATGCCTTCACAAAATATAAACCTCGAATATCTTCGTCAAACTGGTTTTAATGATCCTATTATATTTCCTTCTATTGATATTCAAAATACGAACCAGCTTACCCTTAGTAAAATTGCAATTCTCGTTGGAAATGATTGCCCTCTTCATATAGTCGATGTGGTCACACAAAGGCAGCTTTCTAACAAAATGACTATGAAGCAGTGGCTGCAATACATGAAACAGAAACCATCCGAACGTTCTAGGATATACGACGTTTTAAGCTTCGAAGTATCAAGTACAAAACTTGCTCTTTATGTTCGGAAACCCGACATTGTTCGCGACCTTGACCTTATAAATATAGTGTGGCCGCCCAGTGCTTTTGCTTCAGGCGATTGTCCTCATGTGGATACTTATTGTCAAATGTCAGCCGAGAACTCGTATATCGATTTTCATATAGAATTTGGTGGATCAAGCGCTTATTACAACATTTTGGATGGCTACAAAATTTTTTACCTGATTCCTCCTTCCCAGGAACACTGGAATGCTTATACATCATGGCTAACAGCGAATGAAAGTAAACGAGAGCACTTTCTACCAGATATGGTGGATAAATGCTATCGAGTGGAAGTTCGAGCAAAAGAAACTATTGTTATCCCTTCTGGTTGGATTTATGCGGTTGAGACTCCTTGTGATACAATTGCAATCTCTGGCAATTTTCTCACTAGTCTTCATATTCAATCCCAAATTTATATAAACGAACTAGAAGTCAACCTAGGTATTGAGCGAGAATTTCAATTTCCATGCTTTGAAAGTATTATGTGGTACACTGCAGTTCATTTCTATTTTGCTTTTCCTGACAATGGTCCAAGAGATGGCATTGATGATATGCTCTCGATATATGAAACTGGTTCTTTGCTTGACATAGGAAAGTTTACATCTCAAGAACTGCGTGGATTTGAAGAATTGCTTAATTATATTTATATACGTGCGCAAATACTTCGCGAATGTGACTTTATAGTGGATATTGACCAAAATCATGTTCAGGTTCAACAAGAAAATGGATTCGATGTTGCCTGGAGAATGGTTCCTCCTTTATTAGAAGAAATATGTGTCGATTTTGTTAGAAAATTTAATACTTGGCTTACCTATCATCATGGTCGCAGTATATACATGCCCTTTCTCTATACAGCTCAAGAAACGAATGTTGGGAGAAAGGAAAGGAAAAAGATTCCTGACAAGGTTACTATCACATGTCATCGGGCTAAAAAAGGCAGACTGTTTTCAGCGGTTGTTGTTCACACTCGTAGGTCTTTTATTGAAGCTTGCAAGCTGGAAGAAGAAAGAAGTATAAAGAGAGTCAAAACACGCTTGAAAAGTGAAGAAATACGAAATATAAATAATGATATTCCCTGGGACCGATTCTTCAATCCAAACGCTAACAATATTATCATAAATACACAAGGTCTTTCTACTCTGACTTTATTAGGGCAAACTCTCACAGATCTAACTCTAGGTTTAACCCAAAATAATTCACTTACGGTCTGTCTTAGCCGTCTAGTTTTAAGAGTTATTAGAGGATACACTCCACAACAACGAAGGCTATTACTGGGATCATTATTGACTAAATTTTTTAGAACTTATAATTTTTTTTCACATAAAAGGATAAAACTAGTATCATCTGGCGATGCTGATAATCATACATCACAATCACAGGAGCATGCACTTATATTACATCCGCATGTTTTTCTAAAGCGTTGCTGTGGGTCACATTCACTTGCCCGATATTTTTCTTTCAAGGAATTTTACGATGAACAGACCAAAATGATGCATAATAAATTTACTTTGCATCAGCAACCTGAAAAAACAGTATTAGTTTGCAATTCCAATTATAAAAACCAAGAAACATGTGATACCAACGATAATAAACAAGCTCATGCTACGGCGGATAACTTTTTGGGGTTTTCAAGGCTAGTTTCATCACCTTCAAGCAACGACGATAGCTCGTTTGTGGAAGATTGCTTTGACATAGCGGACGCAATCTCTTCCCCAAGTAAAGAAAATCGGTCGAAGCGAAAGTCTGATGAACAGAATACGTCTCGAAAAAAAAGTCAATTAAAATCAACAAGAAAGTCAACGAGAACAAAGTCTGAAAGGTTTGAAATGAATGACTCTAGCAATTTACAGACGGCGATTAACTCACATTTTCACTCAACCAAACTGGTTAAAGAACCGATAAAGGACCGAAAACGCCCAACTAAAGTTGAGAGTAAAAACAAAACGCGTTCCAGTGAACGGAACTACAATTTTCGATTATTAGACGACCAGGATCAAGATCATATTTACGATTTCGCAGATGAACCGCCTCCCAAAATTCGTTTGAAATTATTATGAAAAGTTTCACATTATCAATTTACGCTGCTAGTTATAGCAGATGTAAAGCAACAGAAAATGTTATATTTATAATGGAAAAGTGGTGTAATATGAAACTGCATTGTTTTCTTAGAAGGTTGGAAAAATAGCATTCTTTTTTTTTTGCTTGAAAAAGTCTGTTAAATTCGGTTTATGAGTTTATAATGGTATGATGTGTTAGAGGATTACTGATATTTCTTTTTATATGATTATTGTATAATTTATGTGTGTTTATATGTGATCGTGTTTGTATTGGTAACTTGAATGTAGTTATTCCCACAAACTCGAGGTGAATCAACTATTGAACTTCAACATATTTATGGGATTAGCGGAAGTCCAATTATAGCATATAAACGAAATGACTGTCGTTTTTAATTCTTTTTTGGCAAATCGTTAAGAAAATAAAGGATTATGTCTTAGGAATTGTAGCAGTATCATTACAAGGAAGAACAATGTATACCGCTTAAACTGACAGATATAGTAGATGAACCATCATTTGAGATCTAACTATCATAAACAGAGATGCGATTTATGAGTTTGGTTGATTGTATTTAGACTTGTTGTACTCTGGTGCTATCAACGCTTTGCGGTTGAAGATTTTCATTTCAAGAACTACTAAAAAGGAAAATATTTCACTTATAGAGTATTCTACTTATGAGGATTATCATTCCTACAGTATTTCAATGTTCATATTTGTTATTGTCAATCTTCACAGGTGATAACTTGATACCTGCAGAAAGTACGTCAGTAGAAACAAAATTTCAGACTGAAAAATAAATAGAATGCAAAGAAGAGAATCAAACGCAACCCAAGCCAGAGGATAATCAAAAGACCGGTCATTTAAATAATGCTTTCCTTTCGATCTACATCAACTTCCACTGCGTTAAGAACCCCTAGGTGGACAGATTTCTTCAAAAATCTTTTAAAGAAAGTTGTTTTATAAGAATGAGTGTTTACGAATGCTGAAAGTATATACGAGAATGTAGAGTCTCAAACTTTTATTGCTGAATTTCCCCTCAAACTCATAAATCCAAGTCACTGCGTCTTTCAATAAATTTATATTTAATTCCTATTTCGTGTATATAATATTTAAAGTGTACAATTTTTATATTTTTGATAAAAGTTTCTTTGTTTACTTTTTGTAATAGTGTATTCGTTTGAATAATAGTATTACGAAAAAGTACGGTTAAAAACGAAAGTCGAATAATCGTAACGAGGATGTGACCAGTCAGTGACATAATGTCGCTGCTTTATGAGCTTGAGACATGCGAAAGGCCACTACCAAGATTTTTTTTTTTTATTCCTATCTTTGGTTTTAGACAGAATTTACTCAAGGTATTGATTTTCTTTAGAAACAAGGAACAATTCCTTTTTTTACAGGTCCCTGAAAAGTGGAATTGATTTCTACGGACTTTTCTTGGTAATTCTAGTTAATTTCGAACTAGCTATAGATATTGGTGTTCTTTTGGTTTTTGGTTTGCCATTGCAAAAATGAAGAATAAATACAGTCCTGTTTCAGACTCTGACGAGTCTTTCAATACGCTCATTGATGAGAAATCAGATATACATTCTTCAGAGGGTACGCCTCCTCCGTATTCAGGTAAGATTTATTGAAATAGAAAGGAAGGGTTGGTTTTTTGTATGTTTGTTGAAAAATTCTAGGCTAAAAACAGTTTTGATGAAGAATCATGTTTGTTTGTTTACTTGTTGTGTTTAAGATTAATAAACTTGTTGATTACCATCAGCAAACTTGACAAACGCTCCATCCTTTCTCAAACAACAAAAGCATTCCTCACTAATACATTCATTAGCTCCGAACAAATTTATTGATTTAGAAATGGCTGATGGATCTGCTCAGCATTCTGCCCAAGAGTCCACTAACAACGCTGGATCGGATTCGACATATTCGAAGTGGATTATTATCATATATCTCTTTTTTTTTGCGTCTCTTGGGTACATTGGGGCTTATTGTATTCTTCTCGTAATGTTCTTTTATTTCAAGGTTCCTGTGAGGGCGCAAGACTTTTGGGGACTTTTTGGCGGATTTATTGGGGCGATATCATTATTTCTTTGTTGTAAGTTGGCGTTATCTTTTATTCTGAATGTTTCACTGACTATTAGTGGCGCATATGCTCTACCCGGGGTGGTACACTGACTATTAGTGGCGCATATGCTCTACCCGGGGTGGTACAAGCAAGCTGGTAGGTACAGGCAAGCTGGGATCAATATGTGTGTCGCAGTAATATGTACGGCTTCTCTGAATGTCGTTGGTTTCGTCGTCTATCGTAATGTAAAGAAAATAATAGGATTTGAAAAGATGAACGATATTGCTTTCTATGGTGTCTGGTTTGTTAACGTTGCCGTGTTTGTTTTATTTTGGAGTATGTCTTATAACCTGCGAAATATTCTAACTGTTCTAGTAAATCCAAACAAATTTATTGATTTAGAAATGGCTGATGGATCTGCTCAGCATTCTGCCCAAGAGTCCACTAACAACGCTGGATCGGATTCGACATATTCGAAGTGGATTATTATCATATATCTCTTTTTTTTGCGTCTCTTGGGTACATTGGGGCTTATTGTATTCTTCTCGTAATGTTCTTTTATTTCAAGGTTCCTGTGAGGGCGCAAGACTTTTGGGGACTTTTTGGCGGATTTATTGGGGCGATATCATTATTTCTTTGTTGTAAGTTGGCGTTATCTTTTATTCTGAATGTTTCACTGACTATTAGTGGCGCATATGCTCTACCCGGGGTGGTACAAGCAAGCTGGTAGAGTGCTGTCCTACTTATTCACGCAAACTTGTAGAGTTCTGTCCTACTTATTCACGCAAACTTGTAGAGTGCTGCCAAACATGTGTGCCGCAGTAATATGTACGGCTTCTCTGAATGTCGTTGGTTTCGTCGTCTATCGTAATGTAAAGAAAATAATAGGATTTGAAAAGATGAACGATATTGCTTTCTATGGTGTCTGGTTTGTTAACGTTGCCGTGTTTGTTTTATTTTGGAGTATGTCTTATAACCTGCGAAATATTCTAACTGGTTCTAGGTACGGATACGCGACAACTTCGAATCTTCATTGCTGATTTAGGAAATGGCATGGGAAACATGGTGAATGCATAAGAAATGCTGCGAATTATGTTCGTATGTACTGTTTATTATAACTTTTTTTTTCTTAGCATTGATTAACCTAATTAGGACCGACAGATCCAGAAAATGAAGCACCTCAAAACGAAGAAATTGAGCTTCAACCTTTTGCTGGGCAAAGCGCTGAAGTTTGAGTTTTAACGAATCTTCTCCATCCCTCCTATAAATCGCATTTTCCTTCGAAGCATTCATATCAATTGCAATCCCTCGAGTTTCTGCATTCTTGTCCACAAAAGTAAGCACAGCTTCATTCGGCAGGTTGGATTGCTTTTCACGTTCACTCTTTTATGGATCTAAGAATTCGTTTCGCAATAGTGTTATTTATGAATCGTTCGTTTTCTTTGTGACGAACATTTTTGTTAATGCAACCCTTTATAATGATTATCTAGTTGTTATGACAATAATTTTGCAAAATAATCAACCGATTCTAACTCAAAACTGTGCGGTGTAATCACATGTCTTTCATGATTTGTAGGGAACGAGTGATTGCCTTACCGTCAATGTTAAATTTCATTCACAGCATAGAAAGCACAAATCTTTCAACTTGAACGATCCGACTTTTGTAACCTAATAAATCAAATTATCGTCTACTTAGAGAGTCAAATAAATGAATTGAAACACGAATTATCAGACTACAACTTCCATGCAGCCATGTAAACAGACGCAGATGGAACTGAACAAATTGCATCTTGAAGTACGATATCCAGCAGAAATACCTTTTTTACGCATTATAAACGTCTACGGCCACACCTAGGCGAAAACACCAGTTCCCGTCCGATCACTGCAGTTAAGCGTCTGAGGGTCTCGTTAGTACTATGGTTGGAGACAACATGGGAATCCGGGGTGCTGTAGGCTTTTTACTGTTTTGTTATATCAGTGTAGACTTCTTTTCATGTCTGTACGTGGTTTATTCTTAATTCTTTCCCTTACCTTGTTGACACCTATCACTATTGTTAAGCAATGCAATGCTAGTTAAACTACTCAAATATAGACAGTTTATAGTCATTATAATATGAAAAAGCCAAGTTAAATATGAATTTTCTCTTTCAAGGATCCCTGCGTACTTTTTCGCTTTTCTTCGAGCCGTAACACTTTACTATTAAAATAAAGTGGTATTCAGCCGAGGATGTTTTCCTAATTAAAACTTATAATTTTTTAAATTCTGATCTTCATAATTAACACTATTATCATAATTTTTAAGAAATCTTCTCATAACCATTTGTTTACGATTTACAGACGCGCTCCGTATTGCAAACTAAAATAACGTCAGTTAATGAGATAGCGATAATCACTATATTACCGTACGTAATTCTTCTAACATTTACAACACAGGAACCGGATAGTTCATTGAGTAGAATATACAAGTTTTCACGTTCTTTTTTTTTTGAAAAATATGAATAAAAATGCTTCGATAAGTTCTAGTGATAATATGCAAAGGAAAAACTCAGAATCGTCTAAACAAGAGACAGCAAGGAATCAGAGCAATTCTCTAACCCAAACGAATGACGAAGCCAATGCTGTTGAAAAGAAACAAGATGAACCATTTGAAGGAAATGATCAATTGAAAGAAGTTATAGCAATGGATTCGCAATATTCCGAGGATACTTCAGCTATGTTAGAATCGAATGAAAGGTCCAGTTCTGATAGAGATGTTTCTTTATCGAGGCCAGAACAACCAATGAAGCAAAAGGATCTTCATATTGTTACTGGATTTCCAAAAGCAACATCTGAAGGGAGATATCAAGGAAGACAAGAAGATCCCTATTTCTCTCGCAATGGAAACAATCCGTCCTTTCACCAACCGATGGTCCCTTCATTCTCAAATGTTCATGGTGGATTTGATGGGATCCCCATTACCGCGAACAGTCCTCTTACCCACTCCTTCAACTATCCCATGATGAATCCATATATGGCTGGTGCACAATTTGGGCCTCCACCAATGCAAATGAAACCAGGCATGAATCCACATTCCCAATTCCAAGGTTATCGCCGCCCTCAGGTGGCTAGAACTCAGTATTTTGAAGAAAGCATTCCTATTCAGAATCATCCGCGCAATAAAGATGGGAAGAATTGGACAGGTAAAAGGGGTCAACGAACTGTCGAGATTCATTTAAACTTTGGAATAGCTTCTTCTGCAAGATCCGTTTCTCTCCAGCCAAAGAAACGCATTACACACGTTGTATATAATTCCCGGCTCCATCAGAAAAATTTGAGGGTCTGCCTCCCTGGATCTGGTTCGGTCACAGTTCCTTCAAAGTTGAAAAGGAGGTATAATATGAATGCATTTGCTGCTCCTATATCTTCTTTTCCTGCTTCAACTCCTTCTATCCCGTACAATCCGAATTTTCCACCTATACCACCTATTAACTTTTTACCTACACCTGCTATGCCTCCAAATTCTACCCAGCCAAACTTTTTCCAATACGACTTTCCTCCCCAGTTTGAATCTACCTCGTATTCACAGATCCCTGCCCAGGAAAATTACGCAACTGTGAATCGCTCTCCATCATTCAATCCCGCCATTCCGGCTACAGCTGAGACTCCCTTAGCTAGTGGAACCTTTAATCCTCCTGCTCTTGGCGTTAGTAACCCTTCCGCTTTTTATCAGCATACTGCTGCTCCTCTTGGAGCCATTGTTCCCAATTCTGCTTTTCCCCCTTCTTCGACGTTTCCAATGATGCCTGCCTACTGGCCTTACCCTGCCGTTTATGACCCCTCTACTCAATCTATGCTCCCTCCCAACATTGCTACTCATTTACCAGCTAATGATACGAGTTTAATGTCAAGAATGAATAGTGATACTGTTCACCCAATCTCTCCGTCTAATCCTACATCTACCCCTCCATATGGCTATGTTTACTGCTATGATCCTAACCAATATTACAATGGTCAAGACAACGGTTCAAACCCTTCGTAAAAGGAAAGTAAAAAATGAATATGAGAAGAGCTTTTCCCGGTTATATTCTTGACTCACCCTTTTTATGACATATTAATGGAACGGGTCTTGAGGATCGCTTTTGTAAAGTACATAATGCTTTTCGATTGTAACTCATGTTGGAACATAATCTTCTAACCCGTAGGAAATTTCCCAGTGAATGTATATGAAAGAAAAAAAAAAAAGTATTAGAAAAGCAAACGAATTAAGTTCTACAATTAGAAGTTGAAAATAATATTTATTTTTGAATTGAAAAGTAAAAGAGAAGAACTGAAAAATTCAGTGAGTCTTTGACACATGTCAACGATAAAAGATATTTACGGCTGCATCTTATTTTCCCCGTGATAGCCTGTCTATTAATTCCCTTCATAGACACCTCCGAACAAAGACTGAAAGAAGGCGAGTCGCTTTACACTTTATTCTTGCTTTCCTTCAAACTTTTGTTTGTTGACTACAGATGAGTAAGATGGTAATTCCTCGGAGTGATCGTCGCCATGGATTAATGGATTTGTAACATCCGGATCCGTGTGGTGCTCAGAAGCAGGTCTTTGAGAAGGACCATCGGTCGCGTTTATATTTTCATCGATTATGGATCGCACTTGTTGATAAGACTGACGAGCGGTTGACTGGACGGAAGTGGAAAAAGTTTTCACAGCATCAACATAATCTCTTCGAATCTCAGGAGCCTTTGAAGTGTTAGATAAGTATGAACATAAAAAGTTTATAGAAACCTTACCTTTGCAAAGGTAGACTGTACATAAGTTTTATTAATATCCTGCACCTGTTGTGATAAGGATTTGGAAAACATGCTCCATCCATGATTCAATGCAGAAATTGGATTTTTTGAGAGCTCATCCATAAAGGAGGGTCCACTTTCTCCATTACCAGGGAATGAAGGAGGTACGGAGTTTGTGCTACCAAATCCAGCGTAACGACCTCCTTGAGAAGGAGGCAAGTCAGTCGAACGCTGGGAGTTTACAGATCCTAAGCGTTCAAAGTATTGTTCCTTATCTTCCTTACTTGGAATAGGGACCGTACTCGAATTAACTTCTGGCTGTTTGGGACGCTCTCCTTTTATCCACTCACGGCCATCGACGTCTGCAAGAAGTTTTTCCCGATAATCTTCAGCAATATCAGTATTATACTAAAGTAGTTAGAATTTTTGATCTCTAAAGTTTTACTAACCTTGTCTCTAATACTTTTCGAAGATAAAAATTCGGGGTCAGTCATCAAGAATGCACGAGCACGTTCGTTTCCACCCTTTTCCATCATTTTTATTTGTCTGTCATTCCAATTATCCATTGTTACACTACGTACAAAGCTTTTCTCTACACCCAAACCACGGTGTTGTCCACTGCATTCCAAACATATAAAGATACCAAGGTTACAAGATGCCCATTGAGGGTTAGGAGAATCACAATCAAAGCATTTCCTATTTTCAGGAAGACGAGCAATTTTTTCTAAAGTTTCTGACATTACTGCAAGTGAGAATTCGTCTAATTATGTGTAGTGAAATAAGGCCAACTGGATTAATAGTCCAACCCGATATAATTATGCGTTGGTAAAATATAATTCTAGCATTTTAAGAATCATTGAAATGAACATATATTTAATATGCCTTAAGTAAAAGTCAAATGGTGGAAAAAGGAAAAAGCAGGGTTGAACATTATGAAGCATGGATTTCTGTTTTAGATTTTTTTTCTTGGTTTTTCACTGTTCTAGCACTCGGTTTGGTTATTTTCTTGTAAGTGATGAGTTTCTTTTGTATATAAGCAATTGGGAGTCTTATTAGGATGTGTTGTATGCCATTTTTTTACTTAAGTTTTGTTCTATATTGCTTGTAATACTTCTGGCTATGACTCTAGGTTGTAGATCGATAGATTTGAAGTACTGTAAAAAAACTCTTATGAATAGTTATGATTAAAGCGAAATTCGGGGTTACCTGTCAATTTAATAAAAATATATTTTCTATAAACAAACTCTTCATGCTTCCATCTTTAAAACACATCGACGATTGTCATCAAAAAGTTTCTGACAAACAGAAAGCGAATTCAACATTGATATTCAATGAAAAGTTTAAAGTCTCTTTTTTTCTTATGAAGATTAGGATTTTAGCTAGATCAAAGCTACTTCGTCGTATACCAAGACATATGCAAAAGTCATACTGACAACGATTCACCATTATCTCAAGAATTTTAGAAAACACTAAGAAAAGTGAGTTGTAATATTTCAGTTGGTATTTTTTTTTCTTCTATAACAGAGAAAGAAGTTCAAAAGGTCGGTTCAGCTAATATTCCCATTGTTTTTACATGTCTCAGGTTCAGACTCTATTTAGCAGATTTCGAAGTCCTTTCTGCAAACTAAGTCAATACAGTCTTCCATTATCTTCTTCTTCTTCTGTAATTGAAACTGATAAATTGAAAAACGCTCTTAAAGAGGCAAAAGATGCTTTAGCAGAAACTTTGAATGACCCAAGCCAAAAATTATCTCCTAATTTATGTGATTATTTATTCTTTCCTATAGCTCCTGTTTTAAAATCCTGGAGTCGTGTACCTAGCACTGGTCTTGAGCACGCTTTAGAGTGTATTCGTTTGATATACAATTATGGTTGGAAACACGTTCATAATGAATTCCTCACCCTTCAACTCATTTTGTTGATTATGAATATTGCAGACGGCTGGAAATCTCCATCTGACCATTTTCACCAAGATTCCTATGTACAAGAAACAGCCGTAGAGGTACTGAAAGACTTAATAGTCGACTTTCGTCCTAAAATGGAAGACCAGAGACAGTATCTTTTATACGCTAGATGCTTTTCTTATAGTTTGGATCTGTTTTCTAAGAGCAACAGCTCTGTGAGATTGCAGAAAGCTACCCTCGAGTGCACAAACGCTTTACTACATTTACCAGTCTCTCTTGATGTATTAACTACTTTTCTCCCAGGAATCGTCTCTGGTTTAGTAAAAGGGATTAGTCCAAAAGGTCCCTGTCACTATTTTCAGTGCGTTTCCAGAGCTTTGCAGGTGTTGGATTATACCCTAGTTTCAATTGTTGGAGACAAAGTCACAAAAGATTTACCAGAAGCTAAAGAGTCTATTGATTCCTCTAGCTTCATGGGAGGCACCAGAAGAACTGCGGCTTGGAAAAGGGCTAGCTGTCAACAAATTAGCACTGCGGTAAAAACGATTTTGCATCATCGTTCATCTCAAAACTTGCATATACAAGCATCTCTCTTTCATTTTTGTTTTTCTCTTTTTACGAATTGTTTAGATTCGCTAAAGGATTGTCGCATTCATTTGTTGGAAACCATGCTTTTGTTGGTAAATAAAAAAGAAAACCCACAGCTTGCTAGTATCGGTATAAAAATGATATCAGATTACATATCTTCTCAGAATAATACGTTAATTATGGAAGATATTCTTTCCGATTGCTTGCAATCATGGTCATCCACCTGGTCTGGTATATCAAGTCTTGCTTCAGAGGACGTAAAGTTGGAAAAATTAAAACAATTACGATGCATGTTAACATTTTCTGAGCAAATTCCTAGTGTTTTACAGTCGACTGAGTCTCTTTTGGAAGATATTCTTAGTCAGCTTAGCCCGAAAACTTCAGGCATCGAAGCAAATCACCAAAAGGTACTTATGTCTACTTCTTCGGGAAAGAATTTAATAGATGGATATTTCTTCGGGGGAAACGAAATGGAACAAGTTATCAAATCGATTTTACTTCAATTTGCCGACTCTCCTCAAGCGAAATATCTTCTACAATCATTGTTTATGAAATCTACTTCGGTTGTTAATCAGCCTGCGCTAACGTCGTTCTGGGCTGGCTTACATATAATAAAACATACGAATGTTGGAGACGTGAAAGGATTATTTTTGGAGTCTTATGAGCAAAAATCACTGGAAATAATACAAGAGATCTCACAACTGAATAAATTTCATGGAAAAGATTTGAAAAATGAAAAACAAAAGAATTACTTTGGCGTGCTTTGCGCTAGAGCTTGCATTGCAATGGATTGTATTAGCTGGATAGCCGCAGAGCAAGGAAAGAATTTTCGCCCTAAGCTTATGAGTGTACTCTATCATGTTTTGGAACATCTGGCATTTGCTTCTCCTTTTATATCCACTTTTGCTGAAGCTTGTATAGAATCCCTAGTCCATAATTGCGAGTATGGTTCAGCTGGGGAAATGTTACGGGAGAACATAGATTATGTTGTGAACTCTGTAGCATTGAAGCTGAATACCTTGGAAATTACACCTCAGCTGCCTCTGGTGATGGCTTATGTGATTAGACATGATGATGGAAGTGGTGTACAATATATCGGAGACGTTATTGAGTCTATTTTTACCATTCTGGACAACTATCATGGGTACACAAGACTTACAGAAGGGCTTTTGGGAATCTTATACGAGGTTATGAAACAACAAAGTGTGCAATCTCGTGGAAATAGACAATATTTGAAGGGTAAAACGCCCAAGGAAGTTACTGAAAAAGAAGGTATATTGTCGAATGATATACAAAGGTTTTTGGAAGCTTGTCGCCAAAACCCGATTTACCCATCTCCACCGGTGGAGGAAGAAATGGAGTCGATGGAAAGCGGACAAGAAGGTTTCAAAAGACATTTAGAAAAAGAAAAAGAGGAAGAAAAGATCGAAAAAGGAGAAAACGATGAACTCATGGGGCGGCCTGAAGGAGATGTTAAGGAACAGAATGGAATGATCAAAATGGTGCAACAAATAACAGAAAAAGCCCAACTGTTTTTAAGTCACGAGCAAATAACCATTCGCGTCCAGATGATTCGGCTTTTGGGTTACGCATCTCAAGTGCTTGTTGAAGACCCTGATACGTTTTACCCGACTATACACACATGCTGGCCGTTACTCATTACGCAACTCGGTACAGGTGAGCCAGTGTTAATGGAATTGGCGTTAGGAAGCATTGCTCAGATGTGTACATTGGCACATGAGTTTATGGGATCCCGCATTAGAAAGGACTTGATTCCGAGATTGAGGACGCTTGTAAGAGAAAATGGTTTATGGAAACAGGCGTCTCCCTTCTCGGCAGAACATTATTTGCAAAAATCTTTAGCGTTCGTTGGACGTGCATGCATGGAGAGTCGACAAAGTCTGCCGGTATATCTAGACTTATTGGACCTTGTTGCGCCAATCTTGCGTTGTTTAGAAAAGATGCAACAGACGAATCATGCAGATAAAGAATTCGTGGAATCAGTATGGAATGCGTTTTCAAGAGAAAATGCAGACGCTGTATATTATGAACGGGAAGTGGTGAAACACAAGCAGGACTTGTTGGAACCGGGAACTATGAAAATGGGTTTACAAGACAAACCAAAACGACGACCACTGATGTACAGTGGATCTGGGCAAGATAGACTTGAGCTGAATACGAAAGCATCTAAACCAAGTCTTTTGGAAGAACTGACTACTCCATCTAAGTCGACGGCTAAGCATGAAAACGAGCTTAAAGAAGAAGAAGAAGCCGGAGAAAACACCGGGAAAGAAGATGCATTGCCCTCGCTTGACCATTTGTTAGACGGTCAGCTGTCCGAAGGCTCTCAAACCAAAAGACCCAAGAAGCCATTGATTTCAATCTTGTAACGGCATGTTCTACAAAACAAAAAGGTTACTGATTTCTTATGTTTGGAAAGCTGGAAATGAGGCTGGAATCACGTCTTCATCATAATCTTTTATTATACTGACTACAGTTCTATCTACAAGTTTGGGAACCTATGCGAACTTGTTGGAAAAATAACGAAATTAAGTTTCGATATTGTTTCGTCGTTATACTAACAACTACAAACTTGATACCACACGCACTCTCTCTGCACTCAACCACACCATTGACTCATCGCAACGATCATACACTCTTTCTATAATTTTGCATGAAATTTTTATGTTTCATTTTTATCTGATGAGATAAAAACCAAATCTTTCAGCCCCGCCAAATTTCCTTATCAGTAACCCCAGCAGTGCACCCACAAAATGACGTAAAAAGAGAGATACCGCCGGCATCAAGCAGATCAACACGCCAGAAGGCTTTACCCGTCCAAACTGTGTCTTAAATCACCCGTAAAGAAGCGGAATTGTGACTGTTTTATCTGAACTCAGATAGCGATCTGTATATAGAGGCATCACTCGCTCCTGTGGAAAAGTGTTAAAACAGCTTTGTTTACGCGTTTCCGTGTCTGTTGTTTTTTTGTAGGAAACCAAAAGAAAAGGTTTTCTGTGTATATTTTATTATTTTTTTCCTCCTCCTTTAGAAAGAACAGTTTCGAACTCTTTAGTTATTCATAATGGTCGCTCCTCACGAACCCGAATTCCAACAAGCCTACAAAGAAATTATCAGCTCTGTTGAAGACTCCAAGCTCTTTGATGCTCATCCTGAATTAAAGCGTGTCTTGCCAGTTATCTCCATTCCCGAACGCGTTTTGCAATTCCGCGTTACTTGGGAAGATGACCAAGGAAACTGCCGTGTCAACACTGGCTATCGTGTCCAATTCAACTCTGCTTTGGGTCCTTACAAGGGTGGCCTCCGTTTCCATCCCTCTGTCAACTTGAGTATCCTCAAGTTTTTGGGCTTTGAGCAAATCTTCAAGAACGCTCTTACTGGCCTTCCCATGGGTGGTGGTAAGGGTGGTTCAGACTTCGATCCCAAGGGCAAGTCTGATGCCGAAATCCGTCGTTTCTCCCAAGCTTTCATGCGCCAATTGTACCGTCATATTGGACCCCAAACTGATGTTCCTGCTGGTGACATCGGTGTTACTGGTTTCGTCGTCAACGCTATGTTTGGCGAGTACAAGCGTCTCCGTAATGAGTACTCTGGTATTTTGACCGGTAAGCACATGCTCACTGGTGGTAGTAACATTCGTCCTGAAGCCACCGGTTACGGTGTTGTCTACTATGTCTGCCATATGATTCAATATGCCTCCAAGGGCTCCGACAGCATTTCCGGCAAGCGTGTTGCCATTTCTGGTAGCGGCAACGTTGCCCAATACGCCGCTCTTAAGTGTATGGAACTCGGTGCCGTTGTCAAGAGTTTGAGTGACTCCAAGGGTACTTTGATTGCTGCTGGTCCTGAAGGACTTACTCCCGATATCATTTACAAGGTCCAAGAACTTAAGGACAAGCGTCTTGCTATAGCTGATTGTAAGGAGCTTATCAGCAAGCACAAGTACATTGCTGGTGCTCGCCCTTGGACTCATGTCGGTGAAGTCGACATTGCTTTGCCTTGTGCTACTCAAAACGAGGTTAGCGCTGAAGAAGCTGAAGCTTTGATCAAGGCTGGTTGCCGTTTCGTCGCTGAAGGCTCTAACATGGGTTCTTCTGCCGAAGCTGTCGAGGTCTTTGAGAAGTCTCGTGCCACTGGTGAAGGTTGCTGGTTGGCTCCTGGTAAGGCTGCTAATGCTGGTGGTGTCGCTGTTTCCGGTTTGGAAATGGCCCAAAATGCCCAATTCAGCACTTGGTCTCATGCTGAAGTTGATGGTCGCTTGGCTGATATCATGAATTCCATCTTCTCCCAATCTACCGATGCTGCCTCCAAGTACTGTGACTCTGGAAAGAACAACCTTCCTAGTCTTTTCGACGGTGCCAACTTGGCTGGTTTCGTCCGTGTCGCTCGCGCTATGGAAGCTATCGCTGACTGGTGGTAAAGTAATTGTATGCTAAAATGATTGCTATGAATATTCTTATTTATGCTATGAAAAGGATTAGTTAAGTTGATCTCCTAAAATACTATCCATATACGCTCCGGGTTTCCAATCGCTCGCTACTAACGACTATACATTCTCAATAGTTTGTATACTTGCACTCTTTTACGTCTCATTTTTTTGTATCTAGGATAAAATAATACATGAAAACTTTTTGGTGCAACTTTATTCCCAACAAAAAGTTTTACATTAAAAATCAATGCATTTATAAGCTTTTCATAAATATTTATCGTTACGGTAAGAAAGGAAGTAAAAGTGAAAAGGATGCTTTTAAATATCATAGTCATGCAATCATACCCAACTAAAGCCCAAACATGAGAGATCATATATTTTTTTAGACAGATGGATAGTTTGCGCTCAATAGAAGAGCACGACCTTCAGCCAAGTAAGATGGGGACGTTTCGTCGAGAAAGTTATCTTCAGTGTCTGAAGATTCTGGTTCTAGCGTATCAATCACTGGAGACCTTTGAAGTCCATAAGAATAAATAAAGTGTCGAAGCCAATATTTCATAGAAAACAATGAAAACAAAACAGGTATAAGAATACATACGGGGTAGCGTTTGCTAATCAAGTTACCAAGAGGTAAAAGATCTATACTTTCTCCATAGAACTTGTGAAACTGCGTAGGAAAGAACTGTAAGGACGTAAAATTGTAACATAAAGGTAAAGTTAATCGGCAGAGTTGGGAAGCAAAACAAAGTAATGAAGCTGGACCGGTAGCACGAGAAGGAACGATGGCGTATCGATGATAAGAGGCAAACTGAGTGTTAATTACGGATTTATAAGTGCAATATCTCATGTAGTTAATAATAACGAAAGAAGCAAACGCACAAAAAGAAGCTGAATCTTTAATACGGTTTAAAAATATGCCAACAAGAGAATGTTTTGAGTGTAAAAACAGTTCAGAGACAACGATGACAAAGCTTAAAAAAGCAAGGAAGCAAGCTGTAATGATTCGAAGGACCGGAATAACCCATACGTAAAGAGTGTAAGCGAGAACAGGATGCATTTGAATATACGAGTCGGGCAAGTATAGTCGGTAGGAGGATGAAGCTTTGGCGGTTTGTATGGAGTTTATTAGATTATACTCTTTTACCATCTGTGTCCAAGTAACTTGCAAAGGAAAAACGTGAGACATGGCCTGCGATACAGCAGAGGTTGTAAAATCGCTCTCGGTGGCATAGGAAGTCCGAACATCAAGGTTATAGGATCGATCCATGTTCATCGTGCTAGAGCTAGAATAGGCAGAAAATTCATCTAGACGTTCTTGTAATTTTGAATAGATGTTGACTGCTTTTCTCTCTAAAAGACGAGCTCGTTTATGTAAGAAGGCTTTCCTCCACATATTACGAGGAACGAAAACGAGTCCATTACCAAGGAGAAAGATCACAAAGATGAGACCCCAAAAATAAGTTAAAGAAATAATCAATTCCTTGAAGTTAGCAAAAGACATTGTACGAAGAGTGAAGCGTAGATAAGCAACAACGAACAATGACAGAATTGTCAAAAGTCCGTAATAGCGCAAATTCTTGTACAAAGAATCCTTTAATCTCTTTTCTGCAGTTGGAAATTGACTTTCAATATACTCTTGGATAAATGGAAGTATGAACCAAGTCGCTATGAAAGTAGTCCAATATAAAATTCGCCATTTGAAAATGCTGACCTCCTAAAAAAACACACACGTTAGTTTACAAAAAAAAAGCATAAACATATAAAAGATGAAAGTAACAATATCTATTGCTTGAACGACGATTTTCCTTTGCTTTTCCTTCTTTGCATCCTTTAACTGAGGTGTTTATGGCAAACACAACTCCAGATACCATAAAAATTCATATTTTATAACTTTCTATTCTTTCATACGTTCAAGTAAACGTTTAACTTACCCATACGATATCGAAAGGAATTAGTAGCACGACTAGAAAAGGTACGTAAAGACCTAGAAATACAAAAGCCCTAGTGATCCAGGTCAACGAATGCTGTTGTGAATACTTATATATCCATATGACCGTCCAAAGAGCCGGCACTGTCAAAAACAGCAGTTGGCCCAGCATGTTGGGTGTGAACAAAGATGGTAGTATCGTTCAAACGGATTTTCATTTATGATATACGAAGAAAAAACAATAACAAACGGTAAACAGACTTTTCGAGCAAACAAATGTCAATTCCTAGTACTTAGATATTGTTTCTTGTGAATTAAATACTAGCTATCCTGAGTTTTTCTAATTATCATTTGAAATACAGACTACTTTATACGTGAGGATGATGCGAAGCTTTTGTATACAAGTAGCGTTTAGGCTTTTTGACTTCGCTCGCTTGAACTACAAAATTCGGTAATTTATGTTTGTGTATTGTAAACAAATACTTTTAATATTTTTGTGTTCCTTTGTTTTTAGACGTTGCTCTTCTCTTTTCTTTTCCTTTCTAATCCAAACTTATTACATAAAAAACAAAAGTAAATATTAAGATAAATATGAACATACATTATTCAAGAGAGGAAGCAAACGTAGGAATTAATAAAAATTGAGAATTTCCCTAACTAATGTTTACATAAATGTAAATAAAAGGTATAGAAAGCTGAATCTTGGAATTTATCTATTAAATCCCATTAGAATGATTGTTTAAAACATCCATTTACTTATTTTTTATTTTTATTTTTATGTAAGAAGTTTGGATTTGCTTGTAGGATGATTTACAATTGTAATGTAGCATCTAATATTGGTTGGATTCCTACAACCAAATTGTAAACATTCAAAGTCTTTTTTTTTATTTTTTTATCATATTTATTAAGAAAACTATAATTTCGGCTGGTCTATATTGAACTAGATTGAAAAGATGATTTGTAAAATTCAAAGCGCTTCACAACTCGCACAAGACCGCTTCAAGAATTTAAAAAAAGAAAAAGAAAAATTACTGTGTAATTGTATAGCTTCTATAGAATTCAAAATAAAATATTTTTAGCATTCTCAGCAGTTGTATATTCATCGATTCGATTGCCTACCAACTACCAAATTGCCCTAGGCGAGGTGTTTCTTGGTAAAATGAATGAGGATGATGAGATTTTAGCTCATTATGGATTAAAGAATTTCCACCAAGATTACTGGACAGAGAAAAGTGATTCTGAACTGAGAGGTCAGCCAGCTGCGCTGTCAAGTCCTTTAGACTCAGCGCATCATGGACGCAATCGGTCGGACGATATACTACAGATGACAGGGTAAGTAAGAAGAAAAGTTGCACAAAACTTACAAAGGAATATAGCTCAGGTTCGGATCCTTATTATCCTAATGGTATTCAGGGAAACCCAATAGCCCGTTCAGCAATGAAAAGGAGTCAAACTAGTGCAATGCCTTCCATGGCTCTCCCAATGATGGAAACAAATAGTTACGATTTAGCATCTCCAAAGTTGGGTCGAAGATGGCCTTCCGCAACCCCTAGTATGCATACCAAAGCACAAATGAAACAACCGTCGAATGGTTCACGTCTGCTTCTAGATTTGAAGGAGACGAATTTTAACAAGTTTATTGCAACAAAAGAGACTATTGATAATGTCTATGCACAGATTGTATCTACGCTTGGCGAACACGGTCAGTTAAATACGATGGAAATATGCGAGGAAAGCCTTAATGAAGCAATCAAAGAATTTCACGGACTTAATGACGATTATATGAAACAATTGGATGTAGATTATGGAAAACTTCTTGTCTTACAGCAATGTAAGGTTTTTTATTCCCTTCCTGAAAAATTCCAGCAATTTTACGAACAGGAAAATTACTCTAAATTATTACATGAGTATAAGAAAGCCAAAAAGCTGTACGAAAAAGAACATGACCGAGCTTTACGAAATAATAAACCTTTGGCTACCCTAATGGAGCATGCTTGGCATATTGCCCAATCGTCCCTCGATAGTCTTGCTTCGCTCATATGGAATCGTATCCTACACACAGAAGGAGATTTTTCTTACATTATCGAATCGTTGGCGGATTTACTAAAAATCAAATCAAACCCTATAAGCGGTCGTGATCCTGTTCTGTATGCCATGGTTAGCCAACAAAAGTACCTTTACACATTCATGAAGGAAAAGTTTGTCTATTATGAATCTCTCATTAGAAATCGCCAAGAAGGATCCGGAAAAATCGCCTATGCTCAAGCTTCTCCCATGTTGGTTTGGAAAGCAGTGTCTAGGGGTGGTGATTTGGACTATGCTTTGAGGGGCAGACCGGAGGTATTTGCGGGTATGCAGTTGATTGAATGGGCCAGGGATTGTGTCGGAGTGATTACCCAAGAAATAAAAGAAATAGAGCTACTCACTACTGAGTTTTTGACCGGGAAAGTACAAAAAAATTATCCTGAAGACGCCAAACGATACGGTCATGACCCAAAGCAAATGGGAGTAATCATAGAAAAGTTAAATAGTCAACTCACGGAATTGTTATATAGTTTCGTTGGCGAACGCGGAGAACGATTAGAGTTAGACGGAGCAAATGTCTTGATTCAGTTGCACTACTTTCAACGAGTGGCTAATTTACTTCCAAAAAAAGCTCGCTCCATTTTCAGCAAGGCGGCAACACGTTCTCTCGTGGACACCTGGATAATACAACACGCAACTCGTGCTCAGGCACCGGATATTACTAGTGTGTTTACATCAAAAGGCGCTGATGGTCAGTATTTGAAACCAGAACTTCTAATTATTGATATGTTGAAAGGTTTCGAAAACTTATATCAGGCTCCCCAACGTGATGAGATTAACAAGGAAATCCATGAAGCTTTTTATAAGGTACTCTACACGGCAGCATATGTTCCAGCGATTGATACATCGAGCTTTAGTTTGGTGGAATGGGATTCCAGTCTGGATACTGCCATCGACAGCTGTGTTGAAAATGCGCGACAGGGGAATGCCGAAGAATTGGCCTTCATTGCACAGACAATGCGAGAGAAATTCCCCGGTTTGTCATTCTGTGTGCTTAAAGAGGACATCTTTGATATGACAAGCCGCATCTTTACGATTAAAGAGCGTTTACCATCTTTACAAACGTACCTTATTCATAGCTTCCCATTGAATCAGACAGCCCCTTCGCTCGAGCAAACATTTCGTGATTCCCTTGGCACTCTTATGCAATTATACACAATCATTCTTTTACAGGATATTATGTCTTCGCAATGGCTGGCGAAACAGACACGCGTCTCTTCTAATACAAACTTAATTCATGCGTTTACGTTTGAATTATGCACCTTGATGGAACGTGTATATCTTGAGGTGAAGGAAGCGTTGCCTATAAACGAAGCCCATCGATGGATGTCTTTTGTAACATCGAATTTAACCAAGTTTTTCCTTGTGCAGTGTACAACAGTGGCACTTCAAGATCTTCCTGTACTTATTCAGATTCTGCAAAAATGTGTTTCTTCATCCGTTATGGCTAGATTATTAGATATACAAAAGAATGTTGCAGTTTCTGATCCATCAGCAACCGAACAAAAACTTACGAATTTACTATCACGATACAAATTTCAATTTCCAGATATGAGCTTTTCATAAACAAATTAATATATTATTACTTTACAATCTTTCAGCATATAAAAGGTATTTGCAAGCAAACACCGTAGCATACCCAGCTCATGATGAATCACAGTATAACAAAATTCATGCACACATAAACCAAGATAGGAAGGGATCATCAAGTAGTTAAGTAAAAAAGGAAATTAAAATAAGAAACCTAGCTGCAAAGTTCATCTGTGCTTTAGGTTATATACAAGAAATGACAAACAGTAGAAACAAACATCTTTCCAACCAGTGGTACCGTAGTTAAAAAAATAATAAAAAAGGAAAATGCAGAAAGGGAAAGAAGCAGAACGGGGAGATTAATAATCCTTGTAAGCGTCTTGTTTTATGCAGCGTTGAATGGACGGAATTTGTTCTATGGGCTTCCACATGAACCTGTCATGTATAACCAATCATAAACCCATTCAAAAACCAGAATGACTCTTCAAGGCAGACCGTAAACCAAAGAACGCGTTTACAAAACACGTAGAATATAATTAAAACTCGCGGATATGCGAATGGAACTTGCCAACAAATTGTTCAATTCATTGGTTTCAAGGTGAACGCATTTATTGAGCAGAGGAAGAGTATTTTGTGACGGACTTGGTACCTTCGGTGACGGCGTGCTTGGCCAATTCACCAGGAAGGATCAAACGGACAGCAGTTTGGATTTCACGAGAGGAAATAGTAGACTTCTTGTTGTAGGCAGCGAGCTTGGAGGCTTCAGTGGCAATGCGCTCGAAAATGTCATTAACGAAAGAGTTCAAAATACGCATAGCTTGGTTGGAAATACCGGTATCAGGGTGAACTTGCTTCAAGACCTTGTAGATATAAGAGGAATAAGTTTCCTTTCTGTTTTTACCACGCTTCTTGTCAGCAGACTTCATGGTGTCTCTGGGGGCCTTACCGGCGGGGGCCTTGGATGCGGGCTTCTTTTCAGCAGACATTGTTAATCTTCGTGTTTCTTGGTAATTGGAGTTGAATTAATAGAATTTCTTTCCACAATTGAACGTTTAGCGCTCCAGAATATAGTGGTTGGTTCTTGGTAAGCTACGTTGTTGACGCGATATATGTATACTAAATCCTCATCATAAACCCTAACCCTCGATGTAAACGACGCGTCGCGTAGGCGATCATATAACGCGTCGCGACGTGGTGTGCTAAACGAGAGTGTATTACTATATATAGAAGAGACGCGCCCATAAACAGGGCTTTCTGTGTAGTTCATTTCAGAACAAAAGGAGGTTTCCATTCGTCTTTTTAAAAGGAATTGGATATAAACAAGCAATTACTTACTGCCTTGTAAGCTTCAAGTATCAACAAAAGAAGTCTTGGTTTTTTTTGTTTGTTTACGCTACTTAATCTTTGAGTTCATCGTCTCTTTGTACTCTTTTATAACCTTTTTCTTTTTTTTTTATTTTCAATTATAATAATGTCTGGAGGAAAATCTGGTGGTAAAGCAGCTGTTGCCAAGTCTGCTCAATCTCGTTCCGCCAAGGCTGGTTTGGCCTTCCCTGTCGGTCGTGTTCATCGTTTGTTGCGTAAGGGTAACTATGCTCAACGTGTTGGTGCTGGTGCTCCCGTTTATTTGGCTGCCGTTTTGGAATATTTGGCTGCTGAAATTCTCGAATTGGCTGGTAACGCCGCTCGTGACAACAAGAAGACTCGTATTATTCCCCGTCATCTTCAACTTGCTATCCGTAACGATGAAGAATTGAACAAGCTTTTGGGTCATGTCACCATTGCCCAAGGTGGTGTTGTTCCCAACATTAACGCCCATCTCTTGCCTAAGCAATCTGGCAAGGCTAACCCTAGTCAAGAGTTTTAAGAAGACATGTGTGTTACAAAAGTCATGGAATACGTTGGGTTAAGATGATTATGTATGTATATTAATGAGCATTTATTTTCTAATATAATTTCCTTTTGAGGTATATATGTTATCGTAGGTTTTTTTTTGTCGTATTTCAATCTGTACTTGTAGTATTTGTTTGTGCAAAGAAGTCAACCATAGAGGGTTTTTATCAAATGCTGTATTGACACGATTGTAAATAAGAAACCAAGAGGACTTGGTTTTTCTTTTTCTATATTTTTATTTTTATTTTTTGGAATAGGAAAGAGAAAGTTTAGAGTCATATTTGGGAAGATTGAACAAGGATAAATAAAAAAAGTAAGCACTACGGATGGTTGTGATTTTGTTGCGAGTAGTTTAGTTGTATGATAAATGATGGGTGGATTTATAGGCAATTTTACCATTTCTTTTATATATATATATTTATTCTTTTTGTATATTTCATAAAAAAACAAAAAAAATTGTAGAGAGTGTGTTTCAAACGAATGATTTCGTTCATGGTCTATAGACAAAAGGAAGCATTATACCTGCAAAACAATCAACAACACGTCTTTCAACAATTTTTTTTTGTTAAAAAGAAAAAAAGAGAAATAGAACAAAATTAACTTTATATTTGTACCAATTGGTAAAGTGGGCTTTTTTTTTTTTTTTAGAAAAAACTTCTATCCAATGGTAAATAAACAAACATTATATCAACAACATAGTCTTAAAAGAGAAAAGAAAATAGCAAAAATACCGAGTATGACAGGACTCGAACCTGCAATCTTTGGTGCCGAAAACCAACGCGTTAACCATTACGCTACATACCCATTGCTGGATACAAGTATTTGTAAAGCATTATATTGTAAATATAGTTTGGTTACTTGGGAATAATAAAGAAATGACATTTTTTATTTGTTCTTGGGATGAATCAAGTTTTGCTGAGGATACGACAGTCTCCATTGATTCGGGGACTCAATGAAATATTTGGAAAATGAATTTTATATTTCAGTTTTAAATTCTTGTCATGACCGAAATCTCTTTTCATCACTCTAGTACAGTTCAGTTCAGTAAAATCAGTTAGTACCTTGTTAAAATTCTTGATTCCTTCCATCCCAAACCATGCTATCTATGGAATTGCTAATCTTACTAACTTGTTTTGTCTTTTCAAGCTAATCAGTCATAAGCCTGCCTACAAACGAAACAACTTGGAGAGTCGCACACGCATACTTTCGCACAAGGGAAAAATGCACCGGTCTTGGGAGGAAAAAAAAAAAGAAAAGTAAATAATACCTTTGCAAAAACGACTTGATTGTTTATTTTCAACTTGTAAATAGAAAATAGAAAATAGAAAATAAAACTAAAACTAAAACCAACAGATACCAAGTAAAAGAAGAAGCAATTTCTGTATATGTCATAAAATATTTCGTTATGTAATCTAGTTTGCACTGGGAAATTTACATCACTTTTAATCCTTTTAACACAATGCTTACTCATCTCAAATCTATATTTTTTTCTTAGTTTTCTATATATATATATATTTTAGAAAAAGAAAGAAAAAAAAATTGGACTGTTCAATGCTAAGAAGATTTGGGGTTTGCAAATTCATTCCACCATCCACCAACTACTTAGGAACCAGAAAATACTTGAATACTGCAACAAAGATGTCTTCCGGAGGTAAAATTACAGACTGGGCTAGTGCGGACGGTGAATTCCGACGTCAAACATCATCGTTTCGAGAAACGATTTCCAAGGACCATTCGATCTTTCGCCCAGAAATTGGCCGTTATCATTTATACGTGAGTTTGGCTTGCCCTTGGGCTCACCGCACTTTAATTGTTCGTAAGTTGAAGGGATTGGAAGAGGTATTGCCCGTCCATGTTGTTGGATGGTTGATGGGCCCTAACGGATGGGACTTTAATAAGGAACACGGTAGTACTGGTGATCCAGTTTACCAAAGTCCTTTGTTGAGAAACTTGTATTACCGTGCTGAACCCAACTACAACATGCGCTTCACTGTACCGGTGGTATGGGATACGAAGCACCATACGATTGTGAATAACGAAAGTGCAGAAATTATCCGCACTTTGAATTACGAAATGAACGACTTGATTCAAGATCCCAAGAAGAAGGAGCTCGATCTTTATCCAAAGGAGCTCCGTTCGGAGATCGATAAATGGAACGACTACTTTTATGACACGCTCAACAATGGTGTCTACAAGTCTGGATTTGCTACTACTGCCGAAGCTTATGAAAAGAACGTAAAGATTGTGTTTGAAGCTCTTGGGAAACTCGAGGAATTTCTCAAGAAGTCTGGTGGTCCCTACTTCTTTGGCGATCGCTTGACCGAAACCGATATTCGTTTGTACACCACGGTCGTTCGTTTTGATGCCGTTTATGTGCAACACTTTAAGTGTAACCTTGGTACAATTCGCCATGATTATCCTCATGTTAACAAATGGCTTCGTAACCTTTACTGGCGCCACCCTGCCTTTTATGAAACCACCGATTTTGATCACATCAAGTTCCACTATACAAAGAGCCATTCTCAAATCAACCCATTGGGTATTACTCCCTTGGGTCCTGTGCCACCTATTGAGCCTTTGTAAACTAGAAGGACTTTTTCGTTATGAATGATATTTATAATGGTACATACATCATATAAAGAGTCGAGTAGTAGTAGTACTAGTAGTAGCAGGAATAACAACAACAGCAGCAGCAGCAACAATAACTAGTTGGTTAGCATAAACTTTGCCCCAAGATGAAAACTTGCACTTTAAAACGTGTCATTTTCTAAACCTGTTTTCGTTTTCTTATACGCACGCACACTTTTTACACTCACCTACACAAACTTGAATACACTATCAAACAAAACAACCAGTTGCCATCATATTCAAAGAGGATTTTTACTCTATTCTACCATATTCTCCTATAATCTCCTTCACGTCAATCCTTACAAACAAACAGGTCTTGCTATTCTACCATTCAAAACAATACACTACTCTCTCTCTCTCTCTCCTTCCTCCTTCCTCCTTCCTACAAAAGAAACCCTTCCTTCCGTTGGGACAATAATAGTCGCTTACATGACTGCTTATTTTTCTCGGTTCGCCACTTATCGAGCCTCAAAGAATCCACCGAATTCTATTTACGAACCTTTGACGACATCTACCGCACTGCACACCACTTCCGTACAATCGAACCATATTTCTCACAAACAACTTTGATTCGTTCTTCTGTCAGTATCTGTTCTCACGGTTATATCACAGACTGACGAATCAAGGTGGCAATTGTGAATCGCTAGTTTCCTTTAGCTTCCGATTGGCTATTGAGTTCAAATTAGCATCGCTCATTCCCCGTTGGGGAAAGCTTCATCATTGCGATGGATAGCAAGTTTTTCAAAGATTTCAGTCATTTTGGGATCATTCTTCATGAATTTTTTTTTATTTTTGTTTCTATTCTCATTCTGTTTTTTATTTTTTTATCTTTTTTTTGTTTCTTGCCCTTTAGGCCTTGTTTTCATTTCTTTTCTTGTTTTCCGTTCCTTTCTTCTTGGATGAGTTATCTTATCGCCCTCTGATTCGTCAAGCTTCTTACATAGAGTTCCCAACCATCGTTCTGTTTCCTTTTGTTTTCTTGTCCTTGTTCCTTCCCAGACCGCCGTTTGGGTCTGCAGCTCGTAACCCTACCCTACCCACGCATTACCGACATTCACACGGTTAGGATATAAAAGAATGTGCCATCCTCTGTCTCAAAGACTTCACCAAAGCGACATACTTTAAAGAATTTCCATATTCCTTTTTCATAAACTATTACTATTGCCATAAAAGTGCACGTTAGTTGCTTCTTTGGCATTGTATAGTTGCAAGTGGGTTGTCGTCTTTTGCGGTACCTTTAATCCTTTTTTTTTTTTTCCCCAAAGCAGACTCAGGCTTCATTTGCTTTGCTTTGCTTTGCCTAGCCTAGCCTTGCTTTGTATTCTTCCTTTCACCTTGATCTTTTTCTTTTCTTCTTTGTCGCCGTTTTCATTTGCATTCCCTGTTACGGCTTTTTAGGCTTTTGAATTTAGATTATACACAAAAAGCTTCAAGTTGTTGTTGTTTCGATTCATACAACTTTCTTCTTCTTTTTCTTTATTTTGTTGATTCCTTTCTTCATTTTTTTTCTCTCTCACACCTTTTCGACATCAAATCATAAATAAAAAATTAAAAGATGTCTTCGAATGGAATCTCTCAAGGCTCTCAAGCCTCTGTCCATCCTTCCGCTGGTGAAGACAACACTCTTCGCCAACGTAAAATCCCCGTCGTCCCCGTTGTCCCTGAGCGCCGTTTTGACCCTAAGGCTCCTAAACACATCCAGGAACAACCATGGACCCTCACCAACTTTTGGCGCCACTTCAACTGGCTTCATTTGATTCTTTTGTTTACGTTCCCCGCCGTCGGTATTTACGGTATTTGCACGACTCCTTTACACACCAAGACCTTGTTATTCTCCATCGTGTACTACTTCTATTCCGGTCTTGGTATCACCGGCGGTTACCACCGTCTTTGGGCTCATCGTTCCTACAAGGCCAAGAAGCCCCTTCAATACTTCTTTGCCGCCGGTGGTGCTGCCGCTTTTGAAGGTTCCATCCGTTGGTGGGCCCGTGATCATCGTGCTCATCACCGTTACACCGATACTGACAAAGACCCTTACAATGTCAAGAAGGGTTTCTGGTATGCTCACGTTGGTTGGATGATCATCCTCCAAAACCCTCGTCGTATTGGCCGTACTGATATTTCCGATTTGAACACCGACAAGTTAGTCGTCTTCAACCACCGTCACTTCCTTCCCTTTGCTACCATCATGGCTTTCGTTGTACCAAGTCTTATTTGCGGTTACTTCTGGGGTGATTACCGTGGTGGTTATTTCTACGCTGGTGTCTGCCGTCTTGTTTTCGTTCACCATGCTACCTTTTGTGTCAATTCCCTCGCCCACATGTTGGGTGGTCAACCTTTCGACGACACCAACTCTGCCCGTAACCACTACATCACTGCTCTTGTCACCCTTGGCGAGGGTAACCACAACTACCACCATGCTTTCCCTAACGACTACCGTAATGGTTTAAGATGGTACGAATACGACCCTACTAAGGCTTTCATCTGGGCTTGCAGTCTCGTCGGTCTTGCTTACGATCTCAACACTTTCCCTCAGAATGAAATCGAAAAGAGTCTTGTTCAACAAAGACAGAAGGTCTTGGATCGCTGGCGTGCTCGTCTCAACTGGGGTACTCCTTTGGAAGTTCTCCCTGTTATGGAGTTTGAAGAATTTTTGGAAGAAAGCAAGACTCGCCCTCTTGTTCTCATCAATGGTGTCGTTCACGATGTAACTGGCTTCCAACACCCTGGTGGTCAAGGTCTTTTGCGTTCTGCCTTTGGTAAGGATGCCACTGCTGCCTTCAATGGTGGTGTTTATGAACACACCAATGGTGCCCACAACTTGCTCGCTACCTACCGTATCGCTGTCGTTCGCGGTGGTATGGAAGTTGAAGTTTGGAAGTCTGGTGCCGGTGAGAAGATGCCTATGAAAGATACCTTTGGTCAAAGAATCGTTCGTGTTGGCGAGCAACCAACTCGTCTTCAACCTCCAATTGAAGCCGCTGCTGCTAATTGATTTGTCTTGTATTTTCGTTTTTCTTTTTTTTCTTATTAATTTGAAAGTAAATTTCTTGGGAGGTGACGCAACGTTCATAATATTATAATGCATATTTAATAAATTTTTAATTTATAAGCTATTTTTTTCCTTTTGATTGTGTAAGTAATGAAAAAGAGAACTGTAACTAGGCATCCATCCCACCAATATGAATTTTTACATGCGATACTTACTCATTTAATGAATGGAATGGAATGTGTTTGTCGTTTTACATCAGCAAGCAGCTGGGTGATACATGGTCATGTACAACTAGCCTGAAAACTTTGTACAAAACAATGCGTCCATAACCAAAAATTTATAAAACAATTCATTAACTATATACTAACCAAATTCCATACGTAACATCGTTCAATGACCAACAACAAAGAAAGTATGCTTGCTTGCTTGTTCATTTTTCTATATCAAAACCCGAGAGTTTCAACAGGGTATCGTTTCAAAGACTTTCAACTTTGTTTGTAAAAAGAAAAAAGAAAAAGACCTTCAATTACCACAAAGTACCGTTCATTCTTGCTTGTAATAGTTCTTGTTCTTGTCGCCTTTTAATTGCCTCCTGCACATGAGGAGGACAGGAAGCAAGAACTGAAAACGGAACATTTATTAATGAAACCTGAGGTGCTATTTCTGGATTCAAAGATACTAAGACATCCAGTTTTGGAACGATGGACTCCTCTTGGTCGTGAGGAATGTGAGTCCACTCAGTTCGAGATGGTTGCGAATTTTGAGGAACATGAAGTAAATTAGAATGCGGCTCAAAATAGCCAGTCGTTTGTTTTTGTGTGAGATTTTTCGCGAGATCATTGTTATAAGCAGAAGTCGCTTTTGCATGTTGAAATAACCAAGTGGCATCTTTAGGAGGGTCCTTTTTACGCTTCCTAACCGCTGAAGGTAACTGAGCTTCAAAAGAAGGTTGCATATGATACACCGCGCTAGCACCATGCCATGCAACATATTGATTTCGATTATACGGCATCCCTGGAGGGGGAAGCTTATCCTCAGGATCAGCTAGGTCACCTTCTGCAAATCCACGAGCACGAAATTCACCTTCCCAATAATCATCAATGATTCTTCTACCACCAACAATTATTTTTGCACCAAATTCTCGGAAGATAGAACGCGCAGCGACGATTCCCACTGCTCTTCCCTTATATGAATGTGGAATAATATTACGCTCAATTAAGTCCCATTTTTCTGCATCATCCACTATAATCTTATGTAAAGAACGATGTTTTAGAAATAATAAATATGAGTCCCTATAGCCCATAGCACGCGCGGGTTCTGTCGAAAGCATATACAACCGATTCCCTCTACCCAGACAAGTAAATGTCCGACAACGATACTCGCGTCCACCATTCAAATAACCAAGCTCATTCACTTTCTTCTCACCTTCTGGATCAACTACGCCAAAATTGAGTTCGTCATCTTCCAGGGCTGCACGGTGTGCATACAAATCTTTGGGAACGACCGTGCTACCAGAGGACTGTGTTGAGACCTTCGGTCTTGGAGCACGATTCGTCCTCCTACGCGAGCGACCACCGTAATATTCATCGTCGTCTTCATCATCACTACCGAATGCTGCGTAACTTCCTTTAGGAGGTCGTCCTCTGCGTTTTTTCAAGTTAACCGTAGGATTCGTCGGCACTGAGTTTTCAGACCCTACTGGTGATTCCATTGCATGAAAAGTATTACCTTTTAATTAAGGAACCGTGAATTAACTATTTTTCTAAAGACCAACAACTTTAAACAGACTTTTGGTGGTAAGGTCGTACAAGTCTTACCCTTACTGAGTTCGAAGAGTCAGGTTCCAAAGTTGTGCAGTAAGTCATGAAACTTGATAAACCTCAAATGAATTTATTTCATTCATTATTTTGATATTTCCTAGGGTTTTCTTTATATTTTAAGTCAAAAAGAAGAAGTCTTCTATAGAAACAGACGCGCTTACTATTTGCCATGGCTAGCCTTGAATAGCGTACGTAAGTGTATCTCACCTTGGGTAAACAAAGCGTAAGAAAAGGAAAGACTAAAGAGTAAAAGATGGTCTACTAGTCAAGATTATTTTGATAAACCCTGTGTACGGATGAACTGGAAGGAAATTGTGTCAATCCAAACAAGTACCACCTTACCCGACTTGTGAAAAGACATGGCGTTTTCAAGAAACAATCCCTAAGCTCTTTGGAACAAAAGTATTTCTTCGTTTAGAGATCTTACTCTCAGGTGTACTTGGCTGCAAAAACTCACTTCTTCCTGTCTGATATAATGTACCCATTCTCATGAGCGTGTCGGGAATTGGATCAGTTTCTTGTTAAAACTTTTTTATATTCCAAAGACTTTGTATTCTTTATAAATTGCGTTCAGTCCGATTTTTGAAACGATCAGAAATGAAGTTACACTACTGGGCTGGATACATTTGAAAAATTAAGAGTAGTGAGACTTGATAATCTGCGAATGTTTAATTTTCAATTTTGTTTTAGATATAACTTCGTTTGTCGGTATAAACAATTTCTACTAGAAGACTGTACCATTGTGCTAGATCTCCATTTCTTCATGAATATTGTACATAACGACATGCTAATTTCGCTTATGAAAATAAAACACTTCCTTAAACGTTGCATATATTACTTTGTAAAAATTTCATACATCTAGTTTTTTTAAGCTAAGAATTCTTCGTAAAGGTTCAACCATACTCAACCACACTTTCTCATCTGCTGAATCCATTTCACAGCACAAAAACAGCCTCAGTTGGAAAGGAATCTTAATTTTACGAAAGAAAAACAAAAAGGTTATTATATTTAATCTGAGCTCTGTTTTCGTCCTTCTTACATTTCTGCTTTGTGCTTAAAAGGAAACTTTACCCTCACAATTACGATTAGATAATTAATTCCAACTTGTCAATTGTATCTTTCTAAATATTACCACTCTCCAAGTTTAAAAAAAAGCCCTCCAAAAGTCTTCTTCTTAGCTGAAATTTCATTTTCTTTAAAAGCTATCTCAAATATGGATATCAACGACGAAACAGACTGGTATCCAGTGCTCAGTTCTTCCCTTAAAAAGACTTCTAAAGGAAACACAGACACTTCTGAAAAGTACCCATCTCCCAGAGGATTTCAAGAAAATTCCGCTTCTTTCCGAAAGGCGAATAAAGAACAGTCTTCTTTCGATGTATCCGTCGACACCGAAAAACAAAATGCTGAAAAGGCCCTTGTAATAAAAAAAGCATGGGAGCTTGCATACTCTCCTCTTAAACAAATCCCGATGAATATAATCTTCGCTTACATGTCCGGTAACTCTTTGCAAATTTTCAGTATCATCACTACATTTATGTTGTTTTTAAACCCATTAAAAGCAATATCTTCTTCTGGTGATGCGTTTGCATCTTTTCGTTCTGTTCATCCCAACGCCATGTGGCTGCCGATGATAGTTTACATCCTTTCACAATGCTTACTTATGGCCATTGGTATTTACAAGCTACAGAAAATGGGTCTATTACCTACCACAAATAGTGATTGGCTTGCTTGGGAGGTTCCCAAACATTTCGTTGGGCGCTCTTTTCATCCTTCCAAGTAAAACCGTACTTGTGTCTGAGTATTAGGTTCTTATTTGTGTTGTTTTTTTTCCTCTAAGTTTTGTTGAATGTATCTTTTACCTTTTTTGTTTTATGCCATGAAGTCCTTGTGTGTACCATACTTCAGTATGCAGACAATTATATGGAACATTTCACAAAATACCTTTTCGTTTCCTTGGGCAGCTCAATGGTGTTTAAGGTACCATAATATGAGAAATCAGTTCTCTATATCTAAAATTAGCTTTTGTCTTTGCTCTTTTCTTCTTCCTTTAATGGTCGATCCATCTCATGCTTTTGCATTGCCTGATTCTACATTCGTAATATTGTGCAATAAACATTTAATTATAAAAAGTAAGCTTTATTTTTATTTGTATAGACGTTATTTAAATAAAATTCTTATGATAGGTTTTGTCTTAACAAACGGATATGAAACCTCAATATTCTGTCGGACTAAATCCCTTGACACTAACTACATATCGTAGACAACAACTAATTCTGTCCTAAATACCAATAAATCTTCGCCTCTCTTAATTTATTTTATTTCTTTTATTACCTTTTTTAATAAGTTTTGGTGCACATTCTAAATGGAGGATGAATACAAACAATATCAGAGTCAACTTGCATTAGTAAAAATATCTCTCGAAAAGGACCCTGCTAATCAGGAATTATCTGCTTTACGAAATGACTTAGAAGAACTAGTTCAATTGACACGACAACTAATAGATGAAAAAGCGCAAGAACTTCAAAAACAAAAGAAATTAGAAGAGAATCAGCACTCAACAACGGGTTCACAAACTTCAGCAAATGCTCAAAAACTAGAATTCTTTCCTGGCGATGTGGTAATGGCAAGATGGATTTCAGGTGACCAGTCCTTCTATACTGGGAAAATAACAGCTGTATCAGGATACGGCGCGAACAAAAAGTATACAATACAATTTTTGGATTATCCCGAAGTGGAAACAGTATCTCCACGAGACCTCAAGGCCGTACCTGAAACAAAACGCAAAATTGCAGGTATTCCAAGCTCTTCAAGCAATGGTCCTCGTGTTGGCTTTTCTCCGTTTTCTGCCGCATCAGTGACTTCTTCTCGTAGTATCTCTCCGAATGCTTCTTCGAAAACTCAGTCTCTTAGGGCTTCTCCAGAGCGTACATTTGCTTCAGCGACCAGCCCTCCTTCCTCCAAAGTTGCCCCAGTATATTCATTGCCCACCACTTCAAAACCTGATCCTCCAATTGTTTCCGAGCCTCCTGCAATAGCAACACCGCCGCCTCCTCCCCCTTCACAAAAGCCAAAGAAACAACTTAAACCCAACGCTGCTTTGGAAGCTTCTAAAAACTCTTGGAAACAATTTGCCTCAAGAGGTGTGAAGACGGGACGAATTGGCAAACGGAAAAAAATTGGAGAAACTAGTATGTTTCGTAGTCCTGAAGTTGCCGCCGATCAATTGGGATCAATGAGCAGTAATCGAGGAGCGTCCAAAGCTGCTCCGCGAGGAAAACATGTGTACAACTACAACGAAGATGAGGATAATGGATAATCGAACACGGTGGTTTACTTGACAACACATATCTACTATCCTTTTTAAGTTTTTTGTCGTTATTAATACTGTTCGTATTATGTTAATAATAGAAATTTGTTTGAACTTTTGTGACGAGCTTATATACTCTAAGCTGATGCGTGTTATAGAGTGGTTTAGAAAACCATTTTGCTTTAGTTTATGTATGAGCGTTAAACAATAGATTCTCAAACCACTCCTGTTTTACCAATTACTGTCACTACCAATATTAAAACAGTTAATCATCCGAACTCTGCTACTATTCTCGGATAAACTACACTAAATAAATGCAACGATTTAAATGCCTATTTACTGAAACACAAATTCTAATGCAAATATGTATATATAATATTAACATGCCTAGTAATAACCTAAACGTTTGCTCAATCTTTGGAAAACATAACTATCCATTGACTTTGCAAAAAGCTTCTACATTTTTTTAAGTAAACCATCATTATGTTTTTGCAAATACAAAGAAACAAGTATCATAAACACGTTCTTGATGGAATCCAAATTATCGACTAACTTATCCGTTAGTCAGTATCCGATACTGCTAAAACTCTTATTAACAGTATATTTTTGGGGGAAAATATTCTTCCCTTTCATGAATTCCACTGTTGAAGTCAAAACATATAATCCTTTCCAGGATTATGAGGCCACTTTTTTCTCTTCATTCATCATCTATAGATAAATAGTCGTTTAAGAGATTAAGGTCGGCTAAGATTTTCACGGCGGAAGAAGGCTAAAAATCCAACACAAATTGCAAGCTGACAAATTATGCAAATCCAGAAAGGAGCACTTGCAAGGATTGCTGAACCATCACCACGAGTCCATTGAGTAAAGTCAAGGAATACGTTTGCGGGTCCGAGACGATTAGGAGCACCTGCACGTCCAATCATTGTAGCTGCAGCACCAATAATTTGACCGGTCATCAATGTACTTGCAACGTGGCGGCGTGTTAGTGTTTGCAACAAAATCATACCAATACCGACGTTTTGAATGGCATCCAACACACCTAGCCAAAGCCAAAGTGTACGACCAAGATAAGGTCCTGCCCTACCAGCCCAGGGTAAATAAAGACCAATATTCGACGTAGCCCAGAAGGTTTGAACCCATCGTGGTGCACCAAGTCCAACACCGAAAACGCAAATAATCCAAGAGTGAGTACGAGCAACCCAAGCCAAAACGCCAAGTAACAATAACCATAATACAATATAGAAGGCGATCATTAACAAGAAAATCTGCCATTGAGGAATTTCACCGATATCCCAGAAGTACGACCATGAACGTCCATTTAATGTAGAAAGCCAGAAATTCTGAAGGAAAACAGCGATGCAAAACCAGACAACGAGTTTTCTTCTTAACAGAGACTTATAAAACGCTGGAATAGTACCGGATAGTTGTCTATAGTACTGTGGCAATCCCTTGTAAAGAATGAAAGCAATCATAACACAGATGACACTCAAAGGCCATGTGATGGCAGGAATAGCAGGACTAACCTTGTAATGATTTGCATCACCCTTGTTTACTTTGTTATTCAAGTGAGCACCCCAGTACCATAAAGCAGCAGACCAGACTTGTTGAAGTCCTTGCACAAGGCAAGCACGGAACACCCAAACTCGAGTTTGTACACTGCCTTCTTCACCGAAGTTAAGAGCAAAGAAAATTGATCCACTAGCAGAAGCAATCGAATAAATCCATGCACCAACATTTGTAATCCATACCCTACCACCAGTTATACGATCGAATGCAGGTAAACCTACCAAAAACAAAGCAAGAGCATAGAACAAAAATGGGCACGACAAAACGTAATATGCAGGAACCTTTGAATAGAGATACCACCAGAACAAAGAAGCTGCAATAAAGAATCCACAAATGGCATACAACTCATAGGTTTTGATACTGCTAGTACCAGTGAAAAGGGTCAACTGGTAGGCAGTTGAAGCGAGGATTTGACCCAGTGCAATAAAAAGGGAATATACAGGCCAATCATAAATCTTATATAACATGAACTTCTGCAAACCATGAATAGTCTTGTATCCAGAATCTTCCTCCAAATTAGTGTATGAGGGTGTCTCATCAGCTAAACCGATTATGTCATCATAAGAAGCATGGCCGTTGCTCAAAGACTCTTCATCAGTGCCAGATTGTGATGCGGTAGCATTCACGTGCAATTTGTTAGGTTTCTGTAAACCCATCTTGATCGCACGTCTTTCGTGATAGAACATGCGTTCCGATTTCATGATGTATTGTTCAATACAAAGTTCATCTTTAGAGTTTTTAGCAGTAAGCTTCTGTAACATATCTTGGAAGTTCCTCAAGGCTTTGCCATCCTCATCTCTGAAGATTTCCTCGACATTAGTTAAGGAGAAGTCCCGTTTCTCTTTTCCAGACATAACAGAAGCAAGGCTCAAGCTAGAGTCCGTTTGAAGATTACCATATGAGTAAGGATTGTTCCGAGAATTATTAGCATAGGGAGCCAATGGTGGGCTGAGTGCACCGGAATCTCTAGAATGAGAAGTATCGATCAAATCATCCTGGCTTAAAGTTGCACCTACACCATGCTCGGCATTGAAATTGCCCATTTGAGGACGGAAGGATGGGGTATTTCTTATCGTAGTTTCATCATCGAACAAGTCATCGTAGTAGTAAGAGCGCTGGGGATCAAATTCGTAATCAGCAGAGTCAAAGCTGTATTCAGAAGGAGAATGATTTTCATACTCGACTCCAGCAGGAGAATTACCGGAACCGCCAGAATTAGAGTCACCGCCATTCATGCTTTCTTCCTGAATGGTATCCAAACCATCACTGGAGTCATCGTTGCCCGTATGACCAGGACCATGACGACTACCCAAAGATAAAGATCGACCAATATTTGCTCCTCCTTGTGGAGCAGAGTCCTCATTGCTCATCATTATCATATCAGCCTCTTCCGCTCGTTTATCGGCCACACCACTATCGTTAGATTGGGGCAAAGCATCGGAAGAGCGACTGAAAGACTCGTGAAGCAACGAATAGAAGGAAGAGCGAGCGCGCGAGTTACGACCGAACTTCTGATTAGTCTTAATGCAACCATCAGTGAGCGCTTCCAATTTAGCGATCCATTGTGAAACAGGGAAACGTTGCTTGGCAGATCGTGCACGAAGTCTAGCTCTGGTACGTTGAGACGATGAAAGGGCCTGTTGACAAGCTTGTTCAAATTGTTTCAATAAATGGGGAGTCGCACTAGATTCAACAGAATACCACCAGCCAGGCATCTGTCCCAAACCACCAACCTTAGCACCAATACCTAAAGTACCTTTACGACCAAATTCGACAGCAACTAAACCAAATGGTTCATCACGGCTAGGAATTAAGGCAAAATCAGCACCAGTAAAGATATAAGGAGGCAACTGCGTGAACTTAGGACTGGAAAAGACACGAGTGGGGTACTTCTTCATAAGAAGGTCAAGCTTTTCAGCAGCAAATTTACCATAAAGATCGATAACGGGACCAACGCAAATCAATTGAACCTTGTATGACTCCAGCAAAGAAGGTGCGATATCAGCAATTAAATCCACACCTTTCTGATTAGACCAACGTCCAACGAATACCAACAAATCGTACTTGTCATTAACTTCCAACCCGGCCCATTCTTGAGCAAGTCTCTTATGCTCGACCTTCGTCTTTTCCATATCGGGATCTATATTAACAACTTTCTCGGGTTTTTCCAAAACGTCCTCCGTATCAGTAGGATCGGGGTTGGGAAGCTTCCCAATTTTCTTTAATCCCCAGAAAATAGGATAACGAGCCCATGAACGTTTACCATATTTATTAGATACACCTACCGCACCAAAACCTTTCTGATGAATTCGAATATAAGACACAGCGGAATGAAGCAAGTTAAAGACGTTTCCAAATTGAACATATCGTGAACAAATCCTTCGAGAGATGTTGTATACGGCGCATACTTCTTCCTTCTCCTCAGCTGTACGGAGAGGCCACAATCCTTGGAACTCAGCATTATGAAGCGAAAGGGCGACGGGAATCACATCAGGTAGTAGATAACAAGGGGCAAGGGCGCCGTGATAATCATTAATATGATAAATATCGATAGGATTTCTACGTATGACCTCGGCAATACATTGGTTCCAAGCAGAATAAAAGATTGCTGAACCAAGATCATCCATACGTGCTGGATATGGTTCCACTGTAGTCTGTCGTCTAAAGACTGGAGCGTCAAGCAAAACGTATTTAATGTTGTCCAGATAATGATGATAGACGTTAATGGTATACGTCTGATCAATTATTTTAACTTCGATAGGAGCCGCTTCTTCAGCTTCAGGATATACGATATCACCAACGCATGGAACTACCCAAACTAAATCTTGATGCTTGAGATTCTTTGCCATTAATTGAGCCATTACACCCAAACCACCAATCTTTATACGGATTTGCCAGTCAGTTATATCATATTCCAAAGTTGCGATTAAGACACATTTCTTTTTACGAGCTAAGCCACCACCAGCACCAGAATCATCGGCCATAGTCGTCTCACCCTTCTTCTTAAAAGGAACCAGAGTTTTGAGAGGATAAAATTTACCAAATTCGTCGTTACCAAACTTGTTTAATTTGACAGTGTAAAACGAATTTTTGAACATCCAAGAAACAAAAATAGCACAGATAGGAGGTACCACAATACATAATACATATATAGCAATTGAAACACTCCATTCACCTGTAGGATACAACTGGAAAAACATGGCATCATCTCTAAATCGAATTCTATAAGAAAGATGCGTCCCATTTGGACCTTCCTTAATAGTCACATTATTGGAAATAAAGGACGAAGGATCACTTCGACTCAGAACGGATGAGTTACCTTGACTTCCGTATATACGAGTTCTGTCAGGCTTACCATCTGGGTCCATACCCCAAACATTGAATTGGATTGTCGCAGGATAATGAGCACTAGTAAAGCCCAATTCCCAAAGTGAATCATCAATTTGCTTGAACGTATTCTCAACACCAGAATCATATCCATATTCGTTAAAACCACCTTCCAAAAACATGTGGGGGAACGATCTTCGATATTTGTAATCATAATCACCTTGTTGCATGTAATTGGCGGAAGCAGTAAGTTCACTCCAATATTGAACATGAACATGCTCTCCCTCCCAACGCTGCTCCTTCGTGCCAGTCCAATTCGTGGGTTTCAGTTTGGTCAATCCACCGTTATAGTCTAACCAATCGCTCCAAGTAGACTGGAAATCCCTGCTATACCTAAATTTTTCGGCTCCTGGAGAAGAATGGTTAAGATAGAAACCATCATCTTTCTTTACCAACAGATGGGATGAGTAGTTTGCAGCGTAGAATACGACAGGATTATCCCTCTTACCGTAGCGGAAAAGGAAATTATCTTGTGCTAAGGTTGAAGAAGAGTTATCAGAAGTCGTAGCTGGTCCGACTGAAACGCGATGAACACCCTCATAGACATCAGTAAGCTTAGCAGACCAGCGGAAAACACCTGGTGATTGAGAATGCAATAAATTGCTCTTGTCAATCTCTGAATCCGACAGGTTTCTACATTGCACTGTATTATCTATATAGCGAGCCGTGATGTTTTTCGGGCGAGTAGAAGATTGAATTTTCAATGAACGAGTAAGAGAGTCGCAATCCATTGGTCGAGAAAATTCAATACTAATATCCATTTCATTGCCGCGATAATCCAACCTAGCATCATGACTAGGTGTTAGTTTTGTGATCACAGGATCATTTTCAATAAATTCATCCTTTGGCACAAGCAATTTAAACTCGTATGGTTCAAACGTGACTCCTGGTAAACAACCCCATGTCTTATTCCAGGATTTTTGGAGTTTATGCTCGTCATAAGGGTAAATAAGATTCTTTACCGTAGTACCTTCCTTCCAAGGACCAATAATCGCTTTGTCTTTGTCATTGCAATCATAGTTCCAAGAATAGGTGTCATTTCTGTTAGCAAATAAACTCCATACCAAAGTTTTCTTGTGGGTGTCAGTATTTTTTAATGAGTCATAATGTTGGAATTGAATGCCTTCCATGGGACCACGTAAAACACTGTATAAACCCATGGGAGTGGCATACGGCTGACTATCCGGAAAGTAAACATCTTCCACCCATTTTCGAATCATGTCGAAACGATAACCATCACTCAAACTATAATAATGACGGCGAATAGAGTTCATATTCATATATACGTTATGATGAGCAGATGCAATATCAAAATGATCAAGATAGTTCCAAGGATCTTTGCAACCATTGTTCGCGGGAGTCCAATCGGCCCTTGGATAAGAAGCTGCCTTACCATAGTAACAACCGTGAATATACCAGGCTCTAGCACTGTTCATGGCCTGACGACCGTACAAGTAATTATCTGCACTATTGTCTAGTACATACATTCCCTGTTCATCACCGTAGTATAGCAATGGAATACCTGGGAACATCAGTGTGGTAATCATTGTTCCCAAAATGGCCCTTCCAGTACCATTCATAAGCGAACCCCAACGGAACAAATCGTTGTTAGTAATACCATACATATGACGAGCATCAATTACACCGGTGTTCATATTGACAGCATCTTCGTTTATTTGAATGTGAGTCCAAGCATCTGTAAACATAGAAGGAGTATCATAACCAATTTCGACTTTTGAATCCATACCCAAAAATCGAACGATGGCACGATAAACGGAATAATGGAACGCAGATGAATCAAAACCGCCATGATTTTTATCACGTAGGGAATATTTATTATCATCAATGGTAAGGTTATAAGCGATAGTTGAATTTGAAGGTCGTTGATCTGGTTGACGTCCACGGTTGTAATAGATTGAACCATAACTGGAAGAGCCAGTAACTTCACCAACGATGAGGAAGTTCTTCTTGTTATATTTTTGTCTAGCACAGTTACGGACGGACATCGACCAGTCAGCGATAAAATCAACAGTCATCTGGGTAGCCTTATCAATACGGAAACCATCTACATCCAACATGGAGATGACCAAACAGGATAAATGTTCCAACCGTATAGCAACGTTTGGATTCCAATCACGAAGACGATCTTGTACGGAAGCGAACTTGGACAACTGACGCTGCCAGTCAGGATGTGCACCGAAAGCTTCAGTATCACCATACTGATCAAAATCAGAATCATAACATCCCTTGTATTGCAAGGCAACCGGACTACCATCTTCACCCCAGAATTTGGGATATTCACAGGATGTATTGTAAACATTGGTAAAATTAAAGTCTGCATAATGTTGATCGGTCTTCCACATGGCGTTGTATTCGTTCAAGCTGAACGGCACACCACTACTATCGTTGAGATGGTCAACGATACCAACTAAATCAGCAAGGGTAGCGACGGTATGATCGAGAATGATGTACATGTTTCTGCTATGAATTGCATTGATGGTTGAACGCCATTGATCGATAGTACCAGTGTGATGATCCAAGATGGTATAATCAAGTGGAGAAAACTGATCATAACCCCAAGGTTGATTTTGAAAGGGAGTACCAGCTATATAAATACCTCTGATACCAAGAGCTTGGATATAGTCCAAAGAAAGCTCCAGACCGACTATATCACCACCATTACGGAAAGAAACCTCAGAAATATCATTTTCAAAAGGAGTTCCCATAATATCGTTGTTTACCGGGTCACCATCGTACCATCGGTCTAAAATAATGGCAATGAAGTTGATACGCCAATTATCAGGACTTGGGAAAAATTCATGATTTTCCCATTCACCCGAATAATCGAGAATGTCACGCGCATCTTTGTTTGTATTCAAATTCCAAGGTTCTTCCTCTTTACTGTACGGGGCAGCATGTGCAAAAGGAAGAAAAAGGAGTAGGAAAGCAGTTAAAGCTTTAAATATCCATAATTCACGTGGACCATGCATAAGAACTAATTTCGTAAAGAGCGGAGAAAAGAAATCAAAGAATCAGGACAAATTGGATAGATAGATATATAGTTTAAAATGATAACAAACGAGAGTATAGTTGTATATAAAAAATGTAAGGGAAAGGATATCAGGCGGATTCGTAGAAAAATGGGCTTTTAAAATGCAAAAAAAAATAAAAAATATAGGGTTTCAAATGGACAGGAAACCCGAGTCTTAAAGAAATAGGAATAAGAAAGAAAGATGCAAAAGAAAAGAAGGAAATTTATGAAAAAGAAAGTGAAAGGAGAGATGCGAAACGGTTTTCAACCAACCAAACAAAGTTGCAAACCCCAAGAATGAAAGAAAGGAATGAACAAGGATATATCCCTTTGTTTAGGGTTTAATTGTAACCAAAATTTTTGCACAAAAATCAAAGCTGCAAAAACGCAACGCTGGATGCTTCGATCGCAAGCCAACGGTTAACAAGGGGAGGACGAAAGAAAATCTAAGGAAAGCAAAAGCGACTAGAAATCAAGATAGATTTCTCTTCCAAAGTTTCAAATCGCAAACGTTTTGAAAAGACAGCGCGACGGAAGAGATATTCAATTATCAATCAGCCGACTCTTCGCAAAGACGTCTAGGAAGTAAAAGAAAAAAATGCAAGGGGTTATAAAATTAGCAAAAAATGCTAGAAGAAAGAGAGAAAAAGGAAAACCTTAAACAACCAAAGTAAGAATATGAAAACAAAATGAATCCAAAAAGATGTTAATTATCCATGCAAAGATTACCGGAAAATTAGACACGTGCAGGAGAAATCGATTTCTTCCTACAGAAGATTCTTAGCCTGAGGAAACGAAGGAAACCACGAAGCTGAAGAAAATAGTAAAGGAAAAGAAAGCTGAATTTCTTAGGACGGCAGAGTATCAAAAACAAAAAGCAAATCGTTTGAATCCTCTAAAATCGCCGTTATCCTTCTCTGTAGATGTCTTCGCAGTGTTTGGTTGTGGTGGAAGTTAGATTATCCCAGATTCAAAGAGAGCACAGCCAACATACTGTTTCCCATTAAAAAACAATAAAATCCTTTTTTTTGTTAATGTAATCAAAGATTCGTTTCCAGGACAACACGAAAAGCGGAGAATCTGGGTTTACTGATATCTTATACTGTTTCCGTATTTTGTATACCGCATCGTATCGAAATAGAAAGAAGATAATATCGTATTCAATGAACTGTCCACTTAATTGGAGTTAGTCATTTTCATACTATCAGACTGGTGACTAAGACGAGAAGTAGGGTTGCATAGTACTAAGAAAAATCAGATAAAAAAAGAAAACTAAGCATTAGCAAATGCAGACATAAGCAAAGAGATCTTGTAGATTTATTCTAATAAAATAAAAATTGTACTAGATAAAAATCAAGCGCTTGGGCTTTGGAACTTCATTCATCTTTCCTCGGCGTCCTTGTCCATTCTTCGTTCTTCTTTTGGGTGACAGCAATAATTGTTACCTGGACGGTGGATGACGCCGTCTTCGTGATAACCATGTGGAATGCCTTCTGACAAGCCAAGTCATAATGACGTGAGGTGCAAAGATTACTTTTGGTAAAACTGTTATCAGGTAACATGTGTATATTGTACTCTGGCAGCGTATTTTAAGAAAAGGAAGGCGAAATGGTAAACAAGAAGGGAAAGAGACTCAAAGACAATACAATCGATGTAGTTTGCTTCTTTAAGAATATTAATAAATTAAATTAGAATAAAATTAACATCCATGAAAGAGCTAATGATTTTTATGGTAAAATGTAAAAGACTTTTGTTTCTTGAGGTGCAGACTCGAGACATAGACACTGTTTGGTCAATTGATCATTGCTCGTACTGTGTAAACAAAACCAGTTTTATGAATGGTATGGTATATTTAATACAATTAGATGCGAATAGTGAGATTTGGTATGTCGAATGGTAAGGCGAATGTTTGAGACGTTCTTTGCTGACAGTTGGAAGAGCTGAGAGGTGCTAACCAAACCATGTCCAAATCAACAAACGCAATGATTTTTATAAATCTTTCTCTTGAGAATACATTGGAACGTTCCCAAACACCCGACTTGGATTCCACTGGGTCCTTTTAGTATGTATGTATGTATATATGTATATGTTAATCATGAGATAGAAACGTCCAACTTATTTTCAGTATTTTCTATATCCTTGAATTCGTTTATAGAAATTTAATTTTGGAATGAGCCCATATTTGTTTCCTTTTTAACGTCTTTCTCCACGGAGTGCAATTCGAAATCAGTTCCAGTTGCTGCATGAGAAAACAATATCGTTGCCACGCATTTCATAAATTCATCAGAATACACATGGAAAATTTCGTCTTTTCAAGAGAGTGTTTTTCTATGACTCTTCCTTCCTTCATTACTTAATGCCTCCATTACGTGGATAAACATCAGACAAATGAGCTGAAGTTATATAAATCTCACAAGGCGAAAGGTCAAAGCACACAAGAATTGTTGTTTAACTTCAGAAAATAAATTTTTGATTCTTTTCCTTTAACCAATCGCTATATATCATTAATTATGACTGAACCCGTTCCTTCCAACGTTACGCAAGACTGGCCTGGTAAACATACTGATTTGGATCCTCAGCCTGATTTGCTGAAATACCGTGATGGAAGAGAACATGTTGGCACCGGAAAGTTGAAGAACAAGCGCAGTTTAATAACAGGCGGTGACTCCGGAATTGGTAAAGCTGCGGCTCTTATGTTTGCTCGTGAAGGCAGTGACATCGTGATCACTTGTCTTCCCGAAGAGCGCGACGACGCTGAGCATACCAAGCAACTGATTGAAAAAGAAGGCCGCAAATGCTTTTATTGGACTGGTGACCTTAGTTCTTCTGAAAACTGTAGAAACCTCGTTCAATTCACTGTCGAAAAGTTAGGAGGTATTGACGTCCTCGTAAATAACGCTGGTTACCAAAAAGTCGCAAATACCATTGAAGACATATCCGATGAACAATGGGATTTTACCTTCAAAACTAACATTTATGCTTTTTTCTGGATCACCAAGGCTGCTCTTAAGCACTTAAAGCCAGGTAGCTCCATCGTCAACGCTGCTAGCATTAACGCCTATGTTGGACGACCAGACTTGTCAGATTATACCACAACAAAGGGAGCAATCGTGAGCTTCACCAGGGCTGTAAGCAACCAGTATGCCAGTCGTGGCATTCGTGTCAATGCTGTCGCTCCAGGCCCTATTTATACTCCTCTTGTTCACTCTACATTCTCTAAAGAAATGATTGAGGCTTCCAATCAAGTGCCCATGGGTCGTATGGGCCAACCTTCTGAAGTTGCTTCCTGTTACCTTTTCTTAGCTTGCTCTGACGCTGGCTACATCACAGGCCAAACTATTCATGTAAACGGTGGTACCATTATTAATAACTAAGACAAGGATTCTTTTTGTTCTTCATAACAACCTAAATAGTAATTGGAAAATTAATGATAGTGAATGATTATACATAATGACATGAATGTTTTAAAAGAATGATCTGCTTTCAGTTTGTGTTTTTTTCGTAGTAAGAGTTTTCTTTTCCATTCCTATTTTCATTTATATTAAATAACAACGCATTGTCAGTCTTTTATTTTATAAACTAATGTTTCGACCCTGAAAATCAATCTTCATAATCTGTAGGTTTGGCAGTAACACATCAACGGGCTTGCTTGTTCTTCTATCACTTGTTTTCACTCAGAAATAGTGGTAACTTAAGTTATTTTAAATATAGGTAATCAGTTTATAGTCTGATTTATCTTACACAAGGAAACGAAGACATCCTTCAACAAATCTCAATGAACGAGGGCCGTAAATAAACAATACTTCACACAACAGTAATCAGTATATAAAAACCAAAAATATAAAAGAAAAGAAAAATATTATAAGTATCATATTTCAACGGTTTGCTGTGATGCCTTTCATTGAGCATTTAAGGTATATATCTTATTTGTTTACTTGTTTACATAATGTAAATATCCATTCTAAAGGTCGTCGCTTCTACCAACCGGTATTTTACCCATAGAATTGAACAATTCTCAATAGAAAGCATAAAATATATATTTATTCACTTTACTGTGGCTATTTATGCCTTGAGAATCATCAATTGTTGAATTTTCGTTTCTTCATCTGGTAAAAAGGGGAGCAAGTTTATCAAAACACTTCCAGATTTTTTAAGATTATTCCACCATTTCAATATTTTCTATTGTAATCTTTTGTATTCATATATACTTCAATGAGTCCAAAAGAATTCTTTCAATGGATTCTCTGCACTATAAAGAACTTCTTCGCAAAATGTTCGTGGGGTTTGAAGAAGAGAGAACCTGCGACAAAACTTGCTCACAATGACATTGGTTTACGGTCGCTTGTTTTTCTCTCTGAGAATTCCTCTGCAGAAGCTCCAACTTTGCCAACCGATGAAAGCGAAGAAAGGACTCTTACTGGAATGTCTGAAAAAGGAAGAGTTTATTCTCACTCTGTAAAATCTCAGAAAATTAATGTCTTTCTTAGCTGCAACAACACTATACCCCAGCAGGCAGAGCTTTGTGAGCCAAGTACTGAAAGGGCATCTCCTCGTAATTTAAAATCCACATAAGCAATAGAGAAAGAAGGGAAGATTTACACAAAAGCCAAGGTTTTCTGCTTTGTACAAGTCCGTACTCAAGCTAGACACATCCAAACTTTTCTGTGCCAACACCCTAAGACTTTTATTTTCTAGGGATATCTAAGGCAGTTAGACAAAACTATCCCATTCATACTATAGACAAAGAGCAAAACAAACAACGGACAGGGTTCTTCAACATTGAATTCCAACTCTTGTCCCCGGATCCTCTTAGAGAAGCTTATTTTAGACCTTTTTTTATAGAATTGCATACGATATAATCCCAGCAGTTACTGATACCAAAGACTTGATACAATATCGTACATCCAAAGACGCGTTTTCCATTACAAAAATAATAAAGACAAAGAATAAATAACGAATGTAAAATTATACGTTGCAGCTTACATTAGTCTGCAAACAGACCCTTTTTTCAAACGAAGCACAGAGTACTTTCCGCTTTATTACAAGCTACAGCTGCAAGAAGTCTACCTTTTAACAGAATAAAATATTTTCATCCACTTTTTTGGACTTTAAAGTCGAAATACTTTTTCTATAAATAATGAGTGAAGAAAAGAGAGGACTTTGCCTGAACATTCGGTACCTGAAGAGTATGTCCAAAAGTTTTGGAACTATGACTTGCCTTGAATGTCACTAACAAGCTTCTTTCATAGATGTTTTAAGAAAGGCACGAAAAATAGATGATACAATACAACTATCTCTTAATTCTGCTAAATGGGAATCACCGGGACAAGCCAGAGAATCTCAAGAGCAACGATGCAATCGAGTTAAGCAAGAATTATTTCAAGGATGGCTCAGTAGAGATAATTTCTTGAAGGATTGCATTGCAGTTACAGAAGAGGAGTTGTCCAAAAATAGTCCATCATCAAATGTTAATCCAACTTCTGAAAAACCACTGGTCTCTGAACGTTTAGACCCCTATGCTAAAGAACAAGAAATCAAAATCTCGCCATTAGAGGAGGTTTCAATGACCCTCAAGTCTGAACAAACTGTTGAAAATATTATACGTGATCAGACTTGGGAAACACTGACGAATGCTTGTCCAGGAATGTTTGGCAGCTGGAGAATGGATTATACTAAGGCCAAAGCAACATAAAATCGCACATCTAGGAATAGAAACTCGTGAAGCATTTCATTAACCCCTTCTTAATTTTTCAGATATCAAGTCTTTTTCTTTACAAGTTTATCACTTGCAGACTACATACGAGTTTTACGAAAGTAGAGAATTATCCATAGAAAAAAATCCATATTCTTTAGATAAACTTTATGTGACGGTATCTTGATAGACATAACTAAGGTCATTGCTAAAAATTGAATGCACGGGAGCTCTATATTTGAAAAGCGCTACATCCAAATAATATCTATATGTGTATATATATTTTTTTCTTTCGTAACGAGCTCCAATATCATTGAAATGGCTTTGTTTTATTCGCACCTACTCATAAGTACTACCTTCAGCAGGTTGAGGCAGTTTACGGTTCGATGAAGATGCCATTTCTCTAATATGTGTTAGTGCTTCTTTCCTTTACGGTTCAATTCGTCAATCGACGTACTTTTTCAACTCCAAAAGAATAGTTTCCATCGTATATTCTCGTTTCCAATGACGAAGACAACCAATTTTGTTCGGATTAATCTGATGATAGTTAGTATGCATATTGCATAAGTTAATGTAGGTAAGCAGAGGGAATCCATGGAACACTCAGCAAAGATTGACGAGTGTTATTGTACACCATTGTTTTCTCTATTCAGTACAAACCACTAATGCCAACTGTAGTTCCTTTACTTACCTCACCAGTTTCATTGTCAACGCCAGGTAAATTGATTTTGGAGACAAAAGTTACACGAGGAGGTGCATCAGGATATTTACCATCACAATGAATCTTTACGCTGTAAATTCGGTTTTCATGAACACTCTATAGATGAGCTGTTAGTACATTTTCATGATCCAGATTTGAAGTGACAGTAAAAAGGAAGGGACTCTTTTGACAAACCAAATATCCATGCTTCACAACAGTACTGAATTTTGCTAAAAGGGATGAAAGCATGTTGTTGGTTTATTTAGACATACATGAGCAGGTCCTAGTATGGTAGCATTCCAATCGGACAAGCTAATGTCATCAGCATTAGTCAATCCGTAAGAACAAGAGTTGTCTCCGAGACCTTTTTCGCCTTTTTCAAGTTCTTCTAAAAGTCGAAAATTACGAGGACTATTTGAGTTGTTAACTTTGAACGGGTTATCAAAAATTCTTACACTTTAGCCATAGTTGTAGTGTTTGGTTGATGACAAGGTGAAGCGATGTACCTGCAGTTTATGCTAATTCACTTATTCTCGAATTGAGCCAGTATAAATAAAAATAAAAGAGCTATGTATTTTGCATTTACTTTGATCCAAATTAATGATCGGGTTGAAAGGTTAATTGATCGTTGATTGTCAAGAAAAGTGCTGTGTTTACAAAACAAAAACCTCCTTTAAAAAAGTAGAACGTCAGAAAAATTTATGTTATTTTTTTATTAAATGGATATAGAAATAAAAGAATATCAAGGAAAACAATACTTCAATGCTATGAAAAGATAGTCTCTTTTCTGATTACATTGTCTTCGATCCTAGTTTTTGTGTTAACTTGAATATATCATCCTTATTATGCTTAAACTTCAATTTATTCTTTTGGCACACAGATACCAAATCGTTGATATGGAAATATATCAAGGGTACATTCGCGGTGAATGGTAGATATTTTCACTTTCATAAAAGCCGTTCCTACAGTACTATTTGTTAGGAAAATTTCTGCAGTTGTAAGAAAAAGTGAATCGAGTGGACTCAAGTATACCAACTTGATGGTCAAATTCTTGAGGAAAAAGTGAGCAATGGTGCGCGGTTATTACTTCCCAAAAAAATTTCTTCTGTCAATTGATGATAGTAATGAATATGAACAAGTTGTTAATGAGCATGAGCTCTCAAGCATCTTCATATATCTGTCAATATATCTCAACAAGAGTAATATATATCATTATCACTTTCCAAACTCAGATCCTAAAAATTGAGGAGATTTATTGAATTAAATAAATCATTGAATTTCAACAATTTTCGTGCTAGATTCCATCTGTTTTTTGTACATAATGATACTCAGTATGCCATCCTTCAGAGAAGCCTGTACCATGCGATCATCAACGTGTTGAGGAAGGGCTATAGTTCGAGAAAAAGCACCAAAACATCTTTCACTCCAGCGGATGAGAGGTCCAGCTTGAGATTCGTCAGGCTTCCGCTCTCCGGAAACAGTTAGCTTTCGACCATCCAAGTCTACGTGCAAATTGTCCTTTGGAATTCCAGGAACTTCAACGTCTACTTCAAGCGTGTTATCTGTTTCCCTTAATTCAAAGGCAGGACCCCAACAATTTAACCATGCAGATGTTGCATGTTTTGAACGGTCGTGAAGATCAAAGATATCATCAAAAATGTGGTTTGTGAATGCGTCGAACAACATTTCATCAATTTTAGTCTTGCTTTTGCTAAAAATAATGGGTACCAATAATAAGCTACTAATATGTTTCTGTAGCGCAGGGAGGGTATGGCTCTAGTAAAGACATTCTAAATGTTTCCATGCGCTTTCCAGAATTCAGCATCCGAAATGTGAGTTAGTTACGCGCTATTCGCATTATGAGTTTCGAAAGCCTACTACTATTATTAAACAAAATCCCTTCAATGGGTTTGCATATCTCTTACATTCCGTACTATTTGTTACGTATTATTACTTAACGATACGCTCGTGTTCTTTTTTTTTAAAAAAATATGAAACATTCGATTTTTTTAAATTCTAAGCATTTTTAGTGGTCAAATATTGTTTTGCTTCTATGACAGATGCATGATTTTGGTCTAGTATTTGGCTTGCCTGCTCCAAATAGCGGTTCGCGGCTTCTGAGTCACCCTGACGACCATACAACTTTGCGGCCAATAGCAGGGTTGTTGGATTTTCTTTTGAAACTGACAACAATTTATCCATGTACTTTTGTGCGTCTTGTAGTGGAGTACTCGTGCTAACCAATTCTTCACCAAGAGGGTCTTCGTCAAACTTCACAGGCGTACCATCCTCAGACTTTGCGCGAGCTTTATCTGTTTCTTTAATTTTTTCTGCACGTTCATGACGCTTGGAGATGTCTTTCTTCAGTTTTTTCATTAATTTCTTTCTCTCTTCCTCATCAAGATTTCCTTGCGATAGCTTCTCATAGTCCGCGGGCTTGGGTCCATAGCGAGCAAAAGGGTGATCGAAAAGATCCAAATAGATTTGAGTAGCAAGCTGACAAGCTTCAAAAAATACAGAATTATTAAACACACCGTCTTCCCAAGAGAGCAAGTCCAGGTAATTACGAATGGTGTTCTTACGGAACGCAAAGAAATGGAAATCGAATTGGTCATCAGCCCAAGCTTCAAAGATAGAAATAACAGCGTTGAAACGCTTCAATGCCATAGCATACTTCTTTTGTCGATAAAAGGACTTTGCGTCTTCTAACATATACCAAAGGCATTGCATATCGGCAAGATCACCCACGGAACCACCGACAGCTTCATTTCTAGTAAACAATCCGACGGTATTTGCAGCGAGTTCATTTTCGTGGTTGCGTAACATGTATTTTGCACACTTATTATTCACAAAACGATCCTGTAAATCTAATTTGCGAGCAAAATCCATAGCTTCCATGGCTTCCTGTAATTTTCCTTGGTGCTTAAAAATTCTTGCCTGCGTCATGTAAAGTTCAACGAGAGTAGGAGTGTGTTGGAGAGCTAAAGATATATAATGTTCAGCTTGACTTAACTCTCGAGTGTAATCAAAGTGTTGAGCCAAATAATAATATGTCCAGAGCAGAGTAGTAGGTATTTGCACTTCAGTGTCTGCAGTCGAGAACTTTGCATGATCCGACAAACATGATGCATAATCGGAAACCAACTTTTCGACTACTTTGCACTTAGACGCATCTTCATATAAGGACTTGATGTCTACAAATACAGAGGGAATTCCTCGTTTAAGCTTGGCACGTAAATAAGAATCAACTCTTTGAGCGAATAAGTCACCAGATAGCTTATCCAAGGGCATTCTCTTAGGACATTCAGACTTAGGATAAAGCATAGAAATTTTGTCATACAGAGAGAGCCACTTGTCGAAGTTGAGTACATTGTGCTTGTCATCTTCATAACCATAAGCTTGTTGCAACTTGTGATAATAGTCGTGATTGTCAGAGTTACGATCCAACAACCTGATCAAAGTAGCCTTTGCTTCGTCAAATTTTTCCAAAGTTAATTCGTATCCAACCTTGATCTCCAAAAATGCAGTAAGATCTAAAATTTTCTTTTCTTCGGAAAGCAGGTGCTCATAAGCAGCAGCAGTTCCATCTTTTTTCAAAATAACCAAATTGATAAAAAGTTGAGACTCGGACTCCTCCTGGGGATCAACGGGAATTCCTTGGCTAATAGTAGTCTCAAAAGCGTCCAAAATTTTAAACGAACTAGCGAACTCGCCACGAAGATACTGAGCTACAGCCAAAGCACTCCAATTACCTCGAACGCCGGGGTTGGCTTGCAAAAGTGTGTTTCTTGTATCAGCCAAAGGCTTGAATTGACGAAGCTGACTCTGCAAAAGGGCAAGATCACGCAAAAGGCTAGTATTTCCCTTTTCCAATTTTTGAGCATTGATGTAACACTTTGCTGCTTGTACATAATCTTTGTCTGCTTTGCAAACGAGACCATAGATATGCCAACAAACACCAGAAGCAACGTCGTGACGAAGGCCGAGTCGAACGTTCTCATAACCTTCTTTAATTTGTCCTAATGAATGAAGAAGGATACCTTTGAGAGCGATCGATTCGCCATGTTCAGGATGTTTTTCGATTACAGACTCAATAGCCTTGAGACCCTTTTTGTATTGTCTAGTCTCGTAGCATTTCTACGTACATTAGCAATCTTTTGGAAATAAATTTTTCTTAAACGAATAAAACTTACCAAAGCCGTACGAAATTGAGTTATATCCTTTGGGCTCAGTTGTATTTTGGCCATTCCAGTACTTGTTGTGGACAGAGGTGGTGTCTCAGAAGCAGTTCCCGCATCAAAAATCATACACTTGATCTTTCCAACCAAGTTGTTAAATCCTTGCTCGAAACTTATGTAATGTTCTTTTTTTAGTTTTCATATTACCCATCTTCAATAACTCATGACGGGAATCTTCAGAGAGCAACTTTTCGCTAACAATTCTCCTCTCTATTCGAAGCCTCTACCAGATTTGCGAATGGTTCAGAAAGAAAAATCGTTTCAAAAATAAAAATAAAAATAAATAATCACTAGAGACATTTGGTAGATTTGAGATATGCGTGATCTCTTACGCCTGAATAAAGTCAGTATGAGTGTACAATCCAAGTAATACATCTAGCGTTGGAGAGGAATAAATAACAATTTCACTTAAAATGGTTCAATTCATTCGAGTACTGAAACTGAGCAGGCAAAATTCAGCCCAGAATGGAATTTAGCGGTTTACCACTTCATTTACTCATCATTAAAACAATATTGGATCAGTGCTGATTGTTTCCTCCTTTTTATAAATTAACAATTTTCCTATTTATGTTGCGCTTACCTCATTAAATCAAGCTTGAATTCTAAAAGCCTTATTTTACTGGCCTTGATATTTACAACAAGACAATTCTCGGTTCCTTTTGTACTTTTCAAGAGGTTCTTTACTAAAAGAAAAAAAAATAGAAAAATAAAAAAAAATACCTGGAGATTTCAGAGTTCCTTTTTCTACTGTAAATGCAAAGGAATTCATAATGGAAATTCACTGTTTACATCCTGTAATTGAATTTACTAGGCCATTGTTGATGGTCTTCTTGAAAGCAAGCGCTCTTTTACAACATCACAAAAGCAATTACATACATACATATGTATATGCATCATCCAAGAAAGAAGAAAAAGCTACAAAGATGATATAGATATTCTCACTTTAGTCTGTTTATTTTGATCATCCACTACCAGACTATCCTACTTGTATCCCAACTGCCTCTTAATAAAATAAAAACCACTATATAACTGTACTAAAATATCTTCAATCACAAATCAGCCCTTATGGCTTAGTGGTACAGCATCGCACTTGTAATGCGAAGATCCTCGGTTCGATTCCGAGTGGGGGCAGTTCAAACTTTTTTCATTCAACAAATTTTTATTTATGAATATCTTTTGCATTTTCTACTTTTTGCTCTCTCTATATTTCTTAAACAATTTGTTTTTCTGCCATTAGTTGAAAGAATTCAACATTTCCCTTTTGTTCTTTTCACTTTTCACTTTTCACTGAAGCTTGCTGCAAATCTGTAAAAGCACTAGCTTTCCTCTACAAAGTCGTTGTCAAAAGTAAATCCGTTAACAATACTTACAAACCTCTTTGTCTTCCAAATGTATTTACTTTATAGCTTACAATTCAATCCTTAAAACATCTATTATCGATAATTCATATATTCATAATCAAAGCATCTTTTATATCTACTATAACTACCTGAAAATGTAATCTAAAACATGTAGGCCATCCTCTCATCTTGCAAGGCGTAATCTGCACATAAAAATACAAGTCGCAAGAGTTCAAGCGCTTCTTCTCTGCACCCCGTAGCACGAGCAGTTGACATCTGCTAATCTCGGTATGGTGTAAACCAAGTTCGTGACTCTGCGGGTTGCAAATGACATTGTAAAGAATAGTTAAGAAAGCAGGGAGCTTTTATAGAAAAACAGAGTGACTGCTTTTCATTTAACGGTCTGCAGTGAAACGTAGGGAGACTTGACGCGACGCGTCGCGGTCTTTTGTTTACATTTCGTATGGTTTGTAACACTTTACTTTTCCCATTCACTAGCTACGTGAATTAGAATTGATCGGCAACTGGAAATTGGAGGCCGTCCCATCGATTTTTGTTGAAGATTCAAAATTAAGCGGAAACAAAGTTTTGGTGACGCAGACTCCCCTTTCGAGGAACGTGGATTTCATAAAAGGACAAGACCTCTGGAATCGGCGAAGCCAGTTGAATCCCACATTCATCCATATTCTGCAACCAATGCTTTGTTATACTCTTTGCATGTGGAACGTGAAAAGAGGATTCAGCGTGTAGAGCAAGAAGAATCCCAATTTACAGACGAATATTACTGCCAGCAGAATCACGTCCTTAGCGAAACAGCCTCAAGTCGGCAAAAGCAGGTTGAATAACTTTTCTTTTTCTGCTATAATCTTTTACTTTCGCTAGCCTGTTTTCCCTCACTTATGACCGAACAACCAAAGTCAACTCATCGACACTGGAGCAACCTGTACCATGAATTAGGAAACGCCATTGAACGTTTGGAAGAAGAAAATCTTCAACTAAAAACAGAACTTACGTATGAGAAAAGCATGCGTCTTCAATTAGAACAAGAGCTTGCCAATGAACGTTCTTTGAAAAAGACACTTCCATCAACCAATTCTCCTCGAAAGTCAAAGGCTCAGTTCGTTCCTTCGATGCCTTCTCTACCGAATTCCCAAGCTTCTACCACGGAAGAAGAAGATGAAATTCCCGGGAGCGAGACTGCTGAGGAAGATTTCAAAGATCATGAAATACCGAAGCAGGAACCCATGTCTCCCAAACTTCCCTTTCAAACTGATGCACAGCCTGAGATTTCTAAAAATGAATCCTTTCCAATCTTCAAGGATGAACCAAACGAGGATGCCATGTTATCCAGTGAAAACTCTTATCAAAGCTCTCCCGGTGAAGCCCGTTTGCAGGCTCGTGCTCCCGAGGACATGGCTATGTTGCGTGAAACCCAACCGTTGGCTCCGGTGGACATAAATAGTCTTCCAAGATATTCGGTTCCCAAACGACCTGAATTTGGAAGCAAAAAAGATACTATTAACCAGGAGGAATTTGACGACGTGGTTCGTGGTAAGAAACGAAAGTTATTGCCAGCATTTGATTGTCCTGATTGCCAAAAAGTACGTTTCTTTTTTAGTGATGAATTCTACTAACCAAGAAATAGTTTTACAAGCTACATGGTCCTATTAAGGATACTGGCATTGCTCTAGCGTGGAACGACGAGAATCGAAAACCAAATAGCTTGCCTCATTCTTGTCCCCATAATACACTTGTACAAAAGGTTGGCCGTCATCGACGTGTCGTGCCTCCAAAAAAAATTCCTGATGGGTTTTGGGAAAGTGACTTTATTGATTAATACTTGAGATTTGATATGAAGGATCTTTTGACTTTATTTGTTTTCTTACCTTTCGAATTACAAATGCCTAATGTTTAGGAACAATGCTACCATGTTGCCGCTAATTATAATAAAGGGGTGCATAAGCAACAGTTCGTTTCCAGAATAAATAGTTTTAAAATTGATGAGATTGACGATGATGTTATATATTTAAACAAACTTTTGAGCTTGCTACTCGCTTCTTCAAAGAATAATAGATCTGAAACGCTCGAATTCATAAATTTATTTAATGAATCCGGATGATCGATGGTTCTACATTTTGGAAAGTGAAATAAAAAAAATAAGAAAGTTACAAAATACTAGATATCATGTAAGGGGGATCAAATTTTTACATTAAGGGAGAATAAAACAAAGAAAAACTAGTATTCCAAGACAATTGCCTTCATTCTGTATTCGTGCAGAAACAGTCGAAAAGAATATTGAAACTAAGCTCCGATTACGAGTGAAAAATAGTAGAAAATATGAGTGTAAAAAAGCAAAACCGAGAATAAAGCTTCGTTACGAAGGTACAGAAAAGAAAGATAATATCAAAAGTAAAAGAGGAACTTAAGCTTGCTTGCCAGAAGGAGAGAATATACCACCGGTGATTTGACCACGTCCGGTGAAACCTTCACTAGCTTCACCACTGATGGGGTTGATCTTATTCTCCTTCATGTACTCGTTGGATTTTTCTTGCCATTCACGGGTTAAAGTGTGAGGAGCAGGAGCAGCTTGAGTACGAATCAAAGCAAACATGGCAACGGCGATAATAAGACCAGCAGCGGTACCCCAAAACACAGTCTTTTGGTTGATATGACTATAGGCACGGGGACCATGTTCACCAAAAGCAATCCAATAGGCAGCACGCTTTTCTTCAACCGATAAGTCTGTCCAAGGAAGCTTTTGACGAGCGTACAAATCAGTGATTAAAGTGTCCTTTTCTTCTTGAGGCATTATATCCCATCGTTGTTCCAAATCGACGAGACGAGGACGAGCAATCATGGCATCTGCCAGAGGACTTTCCTTTTGTAGAGAGGTAGTACTGTTGGCACCAATGGTAGCCGCGTTACGAAGGCCAAGCAACTGCTTGGGAAGTCGTTGCATAAACAATTTACCGGACAACATTATTGAAAGAATTGAAAGTTACTAAAACTCTGTTCCTGCTGATGAGAGGAGGGTTGGTCGTGGATGGGAAAGGATCAGTTGTATCAACGGACATTGGGTGGTAGCCTTTCCCCATGTATTTTCCGTTAGGGTAGGGTTATGTAAACAAGAACACCAGTACGTTATATACAATAATATGATAATGGAAAAACAAAATAAAAACGAGATAATTTTAATATTCATTTTTTATTTAACTTATTTACAAAAAAAGATAACAGTTGCAAAATAACAACCTTTATTTGGCAACCCATAAATATGTACATTCTATATTTGGGTGCTTAGGCGGTCTAAAACTAGTGGTTCCAAAGAAAAGACATACCATAAGGAATAAGAACGAGTATTATAGCTTTTGGTAGGAGATCGAACATTTAAGTTATACGGAGTTACTGTACTTCCACCGACTCCAACGGCAAGTGACCGGATATCGCGAGCCAAAATCTTCTTGACCGATTTCTTCTCCAGTATCGCGTATAAATCCAGCTTTTTGCATTAATTCTTCGAATTCCGCAATCTCTCCTAAGTGTGTATGCCGAAGAGGATACTCCGTTATCACAATACCGTCCTTCGCTAAATACTTTAAGAATAAAGCAATAGCAAGTCTTCCAAAATTCGTTTCGTAAACACAATCGCTGGCAATAACACGTTCAAAAGGTCGTTCAAGCCAAGCTGGAGGGTGATCAGTCGACGGAGGGTTCATCCAATCCAATACATGACATTCAACGGAACCACTGTTTTCCTGAACCAAGGATTCGTTTTCCAAAACATTATGTTCCATATTTTTTACAATTTCCGGTAAATCAGTGCAGACCATTTGCCATCCTAATTGATGGGCAGCACTAATTCCCAAAAGCCCGGTGCCAGATCCCAGCTCAAGAGCACGGATAGATGGATCGGGAGTTTCCCACTCAGGAAGATGAGCAGACAATAAAGGAGCAGAGCCCCATGTTTTAAATCCAAGCGTATCGTAGGTAAGACTTGGTTCTAGAATACGAATCTCCTTATGATTGCCCATGGTGAATTTTCGTACTTTTGTAGGTGCGGCCATACGACCGCTGCGTTCAGCTATCATTTGACAAACTGTAACAAGTAAGTCTTCCCTCTCGTCCGTATTCTCAATCCATTCCATGTTTGTCGCTATGAGTTTTACCAGCCAATTCAAGATACGCTTTTCCTCATCGCCATCTAGATCCCAAACATGGTCGCCAGAAGGAATCTTTTCCAAGACAGCCTTGATTTGTTGAAACGGCGGATTCGCTTTAACTGAAGGGAGATCCATTGAAGTTTCTGTGTTTCAACACGTCGAATTACACTTGTCCTAATTCTCACAACAGCCCAACAAATATGATCAATTGTTTAATTCCCTAAAACCTTTGAAAATGAAATCAAAAAAATTACAGCACTCTCACTCCTAAAGCATACTCTATTTGCGTCTCTCTTCACTTCCTAAGCACTGGGCTAATTTTTCACTAAATACTTTTGTTTGTTTTGGGGGAGTAACATGTTACCTGTCATGAAGAAAAACAAAAGCTTTCTAAAGTTCTTTTATCCTTAGTACGAAGCAAGCTTTCTAAAAAACATTAGTATTCTTTCATCTTTAATTCCCGTTTAGCTATGTTTTCCCATAGATATCCTCATTCATTGATGTACTCACATTCCATGTCTTTTTTTTAAGGTATGTGAATTCCAAATCGGTAATGTTTTTATCGATATTGTAGTTTATCGTTATGTATGTTTACGGCCGTAATGTATCGCAGGTTACTTAGTCTTTTGTTCGATATCAATGACTTAGTTGCATTGTCGATGTGATAAGGGCCTGCTGATGCGCAATGAACAAAGAGGAAGGGTGAGACCACTATGTAAAGCATATAAATACACAGCAGTACATTTACAAACTCAACTATAACGCTTACAATTCTTTTGAAAAGCAGAATTTTTCGACAGAGTCCAGTTACAATAGTTTCCCGTTCTTTTATTTCTAAAGGTTTATTTCAATATCATAAAATGAGTGAGAAATCCTACATCGTAAGTTCCTTCCCAATGTTTTGAGCAGTTCTTGGCTAGCGTTTTGCGAATTCGTTTCCATTCTATAACAATTGATGTGAGAATGGATAAATTGACGCTATGGGAGACTGTGAAGAAGTGAATTTTAGACTATGAGGACTTTTTACTAAATTAATTGTGATGTAGGTACAATTAAAAGACAACACTGATGTGAACAAGTACGCAGTCTTTATTAATTCTAGGTATAATCTAACTAGTTGATAATGTAGGGCAAAAGCCGAATTGGAAGCATCTGGCGTTAAAGTCGGTCATGTATATGACACCGTCTTTAAAGGATTCAGTGTTACTCTTCCTGAGAACTCTGTAAACACTTTGGATGCTCATCCGGAAGTTCAACATTATGAAGCAGACAAAGAGTTACACACCATGAAGAAGGATTAAGAACAGAAATGGTCATGTTCTTTTCAAGGAATTTCCAACTAGCAGTTCTAATGATGTGGAATCCACGTTATAAAGCGCAGTAGAATTGGTGGATACCCTTGATCTCCCTCTATTTTTACGTTAATGAGATTCGAAATGAATTTTTAAACACGAAATCCCTTCTAGTTTCTACAAAGTAATAATGAAAAGTAAGATTGTAATCATACTGTTTATTTAATAACGAGTAAAAGTACCTAACGCTATCCAAGATACGACAATGGAACGTGGAAAACAATAGCACTATCGCTCGCTGAAAGTGAACAACCAACATGAAACATACTGAATTACTTTGACACAGTTCTATACAGGAAAGGGAAACCACAATTTGGTCGTGCCATTTATCCTATTATTTAACATATACTACCATTATTAGTTCCCGTTGATTAATTTTGAATTACTGCCGGGATCTTTTATTGTTTACGCGGTCTTGTTCCAAGCGCGTGACATAGGTCTATTCAATTCAAGCATATGGTATCGACGGTTTCTTGACTCAATTGTGAATTATGCAAAATATCTCTATCTATGAATGCAAGAACTTAAATGAGATTGAAGCGTCATTTCAGTCTTTACAAGTAAAATCAAAGCAGACGGATGAACAGCTCGAATCTATTCTGAATGATCAACAATCCATTGATAGTTACAAATCTACTTTACAATCACTTGGAGAACGGTTGGTTTTGTTGGTGACTCAAACTGATGAATTGAAACAGGAATTCTGTGACGCGTCTATCGTGGATCCACAAGTGATTGATAAAATCAAAGTTGTGGACAGAGAACAAAATCGCTTAAAGGAATGTCTTTTGTATGTGCGTCAAGTTCGTGATTTTAAGGAATGCCTCATAGAACTAAACCGAGCTATGCTTCGGCAACAGTGGGAAAAAGCTGCTGATTTCGTACACCGTGCAAACTGTACTTCTCCATCTATTATACAAGGGAAGTTTGCCCTTGCAGTTGTTCCGACCAGTGAGCAACCACTTGCACCTACCGAAACTCTAAATGAAGTCGTTGAATCGCTGCACGCATTGTTTCAAAGGGAATTCGAAAAAGCAGCCCGTGACAAGGATCAAAAAGAAATTACTAGATACTTTAAACTTTTCCCTTTGATTGGGAAAGAAAAAGAAGGGTTAGAAGCGTACTGGCATTTCTTTGGTGGGATTATTGCTTCCAAAGCCAGGGCTACGCTGGACGAACCCCCCTCTCATTCTTTCTTTTTTTCGCAAGCATTTACTGGATTAGTTGAGCATGTTGCAAGCATAGTACGAGCTCATACTCCTCTGGTTCTGCGGTATTACAAGGCAAAGAATACAATCACCGTGATTGAAAACTTACAGTTTGATTGTGATAGACAAGGATCTCTCATCATAAGCACTATGTATGATATCCGTCGTATTTCCTCTCTTCTGCATTCAATAAAGAGCTATAAATATTTGCTCTTGAATGCTAAAATCAAACACCGCAACCTTCCTTCAGACCAGCGTGAAATGGAACGGCTAAGTTTACAAGTTCTACACCCTCTATTGAATGAAGTCACGTCTATTTTGACCAAGTGGAATATGTACAGGATTTTCATGAGCCGATTTATTCACCGCTTATTGAATCCAGATCCTTCTGTCAATTCCAATGATGAGCGTTCATTTGAATGCGCAAAAGTTTTCTCTAGTTCCAAAATTCAAGAATTGATTTCCGACCAGCTTATACCCTCCCTCTTACAACTAGAGACTTACTATTTGAAGCATAGCATGGAGACGGCCTTTGAGCTGGAGGAGCATTATACAAGAGTATTTCCTTGGTCGAGTTCCATTGTAGATGATGTTATGTACGTTACGAAGCAAGTCATTCAACGTGTTTTCTTTTCCGGTTCATCTGCATACCTCGATAAATTTGTTCACGAAAGTTTGTGTCCTATATTTCAAAAAATCTACTTTATATATATCTCTTCTGACCTAACTGGATTATGTGGAAATATTCGCAGTCAGTTTCAAAAACTCAAAGATGGCAGTAAAATACAAAAACCATTGTACGAGCGATTTGTTATCTTAATCAATAATGCCTCTCTGAGTAAGCATTATCTGTGTACCGTTTTAGACGAAATTTCAAAAAAGGATGCTGAGGTTTACCCATTTTATGAAGATAAAGAACAAGCATCTACTACATTGGATAAATTCCGAAAGGACAGTAGCATGTTTGATAACCTATGTTCCTATGCGTTTAATACATATTTTCCCATTTTCCTTCTTCCAAAAATTGAAAAAAGCATTGACGACGTGTTTATGGAATGTAACTATATACTTTCTTACGAAGACTATACTATAGAGATTGCTCGCGAGCGGCCGCTTGTTAACAGGCTCCGGGTAATATGGAATAAATTAACTGCTTTCGATGAATTTACACCGAAAAATCAATTTACGCTAACTAGTATGGCTTGTGAGAAAGCCGCTAGCTACTTGGAACACCTTGTTCTTTATAAAATTCAATGGAATGAGTATGGTGCTATGGCCCTCGAGAGTGATCTTTCACAATGCATTTATGTTCTCTCTAAAGAGCAAGTGCAGTTACGAGACAACTTTGAGCGATTACAAGAACTGATGCTGTTGTTGGTTTGGGAAAGTGAATCAGCCACACCATCTCAAATTGTAGAAGATTTGAGTCTACGATTGCTTTCTTTGGATATTGTTGCAGCTGTCCAGGAAAAGAAGAAAGAATCAGAGATTAAAGAAGAATAGATACCATAAACTTTCAGTTACAATTAAGATTTTATTTATTATGAGGCCATTAAATTACAAGAAAAAGGAAGACTGAGAACTGCTTTTTGAGCTTATTAACCTTGCATATTCTTCACTTTATTGTTTTCCTTAAGGTATTGGTAGTATTGGTACGAGGCGCGTTGTAGAAGTTAACATCGCGCAATGATTCGTTATTTCAAGTGATGTTACAGAATCTTTTGTAAACTCATGTCGAACCGCAGTTACCCTTTTCCTATATACTTTTGAAGAAGAATATTACTGACTATGTCTTCTTACGTCTTATTCGGATTGGAAAACCCTTTGTTGGATTACTACGTTGGAGGAGGAGAAGATACGCTCCAAAAGTATGAATTGAACGCCAACGATGCCATTTTGGCATCTGAGAAGCAAATGGGTATTTACAAAGAGACCTGTATAAGTTATGGTGCTGGTGGTGCTGCTCAAAACAGCTGCCGTGCTGCTCAATATGTCCTTCCTCCCAACTCTACTGTTTTTGCTGGTTGTGTAGGTAATGACGATTTCGCTCGCATGCTTCGTGAGTCTAATGACAAAGCTGGATTACGCTCTCTTTTCTCTGTTGATCCTTCCACCACTACTGGTGTTTGTGCCGTTGTTTTGAGTAACAATAACAAATGCCGCTCGTTGTGCACCAACTTGGGAGCTGCAAACAACTATAAGCTTAAGGACTTGAAGGCTCCTGAAGTTTGGAGCCTTGTCGAAAGCTCTAAGATTTTCTATGTTGGTGGATACCACTTGACTGTCAGCCCTGAGGCTATGTTGGAATTGGCCAAGCATGCTGTTGAAAAAAACAAGCCCTACATTATGAATCTTAGTGCTCCTTTTCTTTCTCAATTTTTCAAGGAGCAAATGGACTCTGTTGTTCCTTATTGTGACTACATCATTGGTAACGAGTCTGAAATCCTTAGCTATGGTGAGCACCACGGTATTCAAACTAAGGATGTTGGTCAAGTAGCTTTGGCTTTGGCTTCTGTTGAGAAGGTAAACAAGAAACGCAGTCGTGCTGTTGTTATTACCCAGGGTGCCGATGCCACTATTGTAGTCCAAGATGGTAAAGTAAACACCTACAAGCCTAATCACGTTCCCGCTGAGGAAATTGTTGACACTAATGGCGCAGGTGATGCCTTTGCCGGAGGTTTCATTGCTGCTCTTGCTGGAGACCATGGTATCGACTATGCCATTACTCTCGGACACTGGTTGGGTCAAGAGTGCATCAAGGTCAGCGGTACAACTCTTCCCCTTCCCAAAAAGCAATACCCTCTTCCCTAATTTGACTGGATGTAGAAATAGAAACGAGATCACTTAGGCATAACTCGCTTGCAAGTATAGATGAAAAAGCCTAAAGAAATTCGATTCAAAGACAATTAAAGCAATATATTTTGCTCACCTTTATGTTCATCATATCGTACCTTAAGTGATGGAAAGTTATTGTAAACCGTTAAACATTTCCTTCTGTTCCAACTATCTAATCTGTAAAATTTCTTTGATATAATCCTTAATTTACTTGTGTAGATATCTGCAGCTGATTAGCGACTCATTTCTCCTATGAATTATTTTCCCATTGTATTCTATTTTATCGTACTAAATGATGCATTTTTGTACGATCCATCTGCATGGTGCATTCTGTTGCTAGCAACATCCTTCAGGCTCACTAAACAGTAAGGTCCACTGCGCATGGTCATTTCAAACGTGACCTTAGCACAGGTGAAAGCACAACGATGAAACGAGCATTGTGCCTATTAATTGCCTTGTCCTGGTCACTATTTGTCCAGGGTTTGCGCCATACAATTTTGGCTACAGCAGATCATTCTTTAGAAGACTACAGCACATTTCTGGAATCATTGAGAGGTAAGAGAATCGATCAGACGGACAAGATCTAACTTTAAATTCTAGAAAATGGTTTTGATGTAACCGTAGCGAATGTGAAGGACGAAAAAGCAAAGCTGTTTGAATACGGCGAGCGCAAGTATGACAATGTCATATTGTTCTCTACTCAAAGCAAAAGTATGTGGTATATGGTGATAAAGAATATAAGGAGTAATAAGAGAACAAACGATTGACAGTTGATTTTAGGTCTCGGAGCTGCATTTTCTCCTAAAGCTATTCTAGAGTTTGCGCAAGCTGGCGGTAACGTCTTGTTTGCTGCTGGTTCGAACCTTCCTGAAGGAATCCGTGAGTTAGGAAGACAGTTAGATATGTATGTTGGCGAGCGTCATTCCTCAGTAGTGGATCATTTCCATTCGGTTGAGGGTTCCGATGACGAATCTGTATTGTTGGATGCTTTAACTGAAAGTCCTCATATCATCTCAGATGAAACCCGTCAGGCCGGCTCAATCGTTTATAAAGGAAATGGTCACTTCTTGGGCAAGAATTATCGTGCTCAGCCTGTACTTCGTGGAAACCCTTCCACATACGTGTACAACAAGAAATCTGAGAGTCAAGTTTCCGAAGAACCTTGGGCAGCCGGTGCTCAGTTATTTTTAGTCAGTGTCTTTCAAAGCGATGCTGGTGAGCGTATTGGATTTAGTGGAAGTCCTGAAATGTTTGCCAATGCATACCTTTCTCCTAGTTCTCCCTCATACTCTGTAGCAAACGCTCTGTTTGCTCGCGATCTGACAAACTGGGTTTTCCAACGTGTCGCCGTTTTGCATGCTACTAACATGACCTACGGAAAGGTTGGCGAACCTTACGAACTTCGTAATGCTTCTACTTATAGAATTAAGGATCAAATGGTAAGTGTCAAGAAACCATCGTAATCATGTTTTGCTAACTATTTTAGGTTTTTTCCATTGACATTGCGATTTTGAACGATGGCCAACCTCAACCTTATGTGACCGATGATGTTCAGATGGAGCTTGTGATGCTCGATCCTTATTATCGTGTGAATATGGTTCCAGTGGCTTCCGGTAGTCAAACACATCAACATTATGAAGCTATTTTTGATGTTCCGGACCATTATGGTGTTTTCACTTATAAAATTGCTTATCATAGACCCGGTTTGAATCCTATAGACGAGAAAGCAACTTTCACAATTCGTCAATTCTTCCATAATGAGTATCCTCGTTTCCTTCCACACGCTTATCCTTATTACGTCTCCTGTTTTGCTGTGTTGGGCGCCTTCTTAATCTTTTGTGGTATCTGGCTTGTTCAAATTCCCAAGGCCTCCGTAAAAAAGCAAAAGTGAAAGATTACTTTTCTTTCTCGTGAACCCTTCTATTATATGTATAAGTTCATTTAAATACTTAGTTATGTTTAAACCATTCTCTTATGCCAATCAATCTTTATGATTCGTTTGCTTATCAATAATTCTCAGTAGTGTGCACTATGATTTCGTTCCATTCCTTTACCTAAGTTCAATTGTTCTTCTGTTTAGAATGCCATATTTAGATGCATTTTTTATGTCAGTGCATCTTTCTCAAATTGTTTCGTTTTTTCGACAAACCGCCAGTATTTCTGTGAACTACTATATGCTAGTTTTGCAACATTGCTAGAACAGCCAATTTGTACATGGTATAAGACATGAGTAGAAAAAAATAATGAGATTTAAACCAAATGAAAAGCTCTTAAGGACAAGTGCTGTGGTAGGAATAGCGATGAGCCAGTAAACTCTTGACTTTACCAAACACATTTATAACCAAAGGTATGCATTAGAATCGGAGGAATTGGCTTATTAACTAGGTAAATAGGGCCCCGAAGCTTTTTTTTCTAAACTTTTTTGAGGACATTTCATTTTTTATTGAATTGTAGATGAACAATTATCAAATAAAGCATTGGCGAGAAAAGACAAAACACTACCTTCTAAAAAGAAGGTATGAGGATGCCCTTGCGTATATAACATCATGCATCGAGCAAGAACCTAATCCAGTTATTGATCTATTTGAAATTAGGGCAATTGTACTGAAAGAGATGGGTTTGTATGAGGAAGCCCAAGCCGATGCTCAAAGGATGATAAACCTAAATCAAAGAAATGCAAGAGGCTATTTACGCTTGGCTCAACTGCTTCAGTACGATGGTTTTAATTCGAAAGCTGATCATGTATATATGCAAGGCTTAAAATATGTTCATAAACTTGACCCGATGAGACAAAAACTGAAAATAGCTAGCACTCAATTATTACAACGTATGCAGAAAACTAGGCCAGTTCAAGATCTGTTTTCTTTACTACCTCGGGAAATACTCTTAAACATTTTTCAGTATGTGGAGTTTCGGACGATAGTGCGTTGCATGCAGGTTTCAAAAAATTGGAAGGATTCAATCAAAAGGGAATTTTCTTTTTTTAGTAAACTAGATTTTTCTGAGGCATCTTCACGAAGCAGCAAATTTAGAGATCGCAATGTCATGACGGTAGCTCGCTATTCTGCATATGCAAAAAACAATATACAAGAAGTCATTGGCTTGGAGAAATTAGGTATTCTAACCCCTACCAAGGGCTTGCTACGATGCGTGAATTCTATACACACTTACAAAACTATTTCACCTTTAAATCTCCCACATTTAATGCCCAAAATGCACCTAATATGGTCGCCGTTTATCGAATTGAAATATTTTTTTTGTGCTACTTCTGTCACATTTTCTACTGTTTCTAAGGTCATCTTAGCTTGCAAGAAGTTAGAGCGGTTGGAATTGGCTGATGTTGTTCCCGATTTGCTTTTTGATGATATGGACTGGGATAAGCGATTTGACAAAAAGCATAGTGTCTTGCATCTAAAAAGCTTACAGTTTATAAGAAATCAAATCCATCCATTTCACGAGAAAGAGCAAGAGTTTCTTGCTAGCTTAATTTCTTGTAGCCCCAATTTGCAAGAGCTCGTGGTTACTTATCAGTCGAATCTCATATCTACTTTAAAAGAAAATAAGCAGGATCTAAAGCATTTACATATAATTGACGATACAAAGCAAAAATCTATAAGAGATATATTTTACTTACCCTCTTCTTTGGAAAACTTATCTATCATACCTTCTACCCCTTCTATGACAATTGCTTCAGCATATTTATTCTCTATAGCTAATGTTCCTACTTCACTTAAAAGTGTTGAGTTAAGCTTGTTTATTCGACTGACAGATCAGGAAATTGAAAACACAGTGAAATTTTTGGTTTCTAGTCCTAACCTAAGGTCATTAATTTTACGTGATTCATTACCAATTTCCTCCAAGTTTATGGAGTTATTCACATATCTTCCGCATTTAGAAGTTTTGGACCTATCCGATAATGCTGAACTAAATAACGATCATCTTTCCCATATAGTGGCTTGCTGCCCGAAGTTAGAAGTTCTCAACCTTTCAAATTGTATCTCTGTAACAGGTTCAGGATTTGTTAGTCTTCTAAGAGGTCTCGCATTGTTGAAAAGAGTTGAGATAGTTAATTGTAGTTCTGTATCAAAAGATGCAATCGATGCTGCACGAGCTAAAGGCATTGAAGTTACCGTTTCAAATCAGCAAAATGCATCCTTGAAAGGCACAAAACGAATTCGGCTTATTTAACTCTTTCTTTTCTGATGGTTTAATGAGGTTATATAGACATTTCATGAGGCAATAATTAAGCGTTTTGAGTTTATTGGTTTTGCTAGTACAGTCTTCCTGTTTAGGCAATGGAGTGTGAAAATGAAAAATATTGCAAATGTAGGTTTCTTAACTAGACAGTATTCTCATTGAACCTACAAATCTCATTTACATTCTTGTCCAGTGAAACGGATTAAGATTGCCTATTTACACCAATTTTCTACTTACATTTCCGCAAACTATAGTATAAAGGAATTAAGTTATATTTATTAATCCAACATAAAAATTCGTTATTACCAAAAAGATATAAGTCCCTTATCAAAAATATAATACACGTCGTTGAAAATATTTAAAAACAAACAAGTTGTACACGATGTATGCACCGAACGCCTGAATAGCTGAAGATACAATTGTCAGGAAGGATAAATCAAACTAGCAAAAAGCAGAGGACCTTTTGATTATGACATATATGCAATTAAAAATGTAGATTATCCTCGTAATTTGCCAAAAATTAGAACCTTCACTTTACTCCTCTTAAAGAGAATTAAATAACATTTTTTGTTTAGCAGTAAGAATAATGTCACCTTCGGAAGATTCGTCTTGTTTTACTGATATCGCATCCTTTGTTGCTAATACTAATACATCAAAAAACAGCTGAACGGCATCATCACGCTTCGCGTTTCCACTCAAGTCCTTAAATGAAGCTTGCTCTCCTCGTACACGGGGGGTCCATCTTGAATGAACAAAGTCTTTAGCAACTTGCGTGCTAGGCATAGAGTCATATGACGCAGCTTCGTTAAGACCATTAGTAACATCCCACTCATTATCATCGAGCATAACGGGCGGAGCACCTATCATAGAATCTTCGTCTATATTGACTTCCGCTGGCGGAACTGAAGGGATTTCAGTTGCTGGCTCTACTTCCTCATCATTAGGAAAAGGGGTATCCAATGGAGACATTTCAGCTAAACTTTGCTCTGCTTCAGGCTCTTCGCGAATTCCTGAAACCTCTTGTTCTTCTTGTGGTGCGTCATCTGTTTTTTGATGCTTAGTTACTTCCTCTTCTTCAATTCCGGGTGATAATTTACGTTTTTTAACATCTTCTTGAAGCTTCTTCAAGAAGTCCATTCTGAAAATTTCAGCTAAATGAGGGTTTAAATTGGAGGACGATAAAGAAGTTTGCATATTCCCATTGCGCATGAAGTTAACCGTAGCATTTAATACGACTGGATTGGTGTTCAAACAAAGAGGTGCTGTAATAGAGGAAGTATCAGATAGTTGCTTTTTCATTTGTCGAGAAGATAACTCGGTAACTGGATCAATGACGGCACGTTGACGGCGCGGTACGCGAGGAACTGAGAGTTGGTGGTCGGTAATGTCGGGTACGACTTCATGAACGTCCTCTTGTGGAGATGATGCCTGTTCAAGATGATCAGAGGGAATTTGAATATTAGAAATTTCTTCGTGCTCTTCAGCTGGTATTTGCGGGGGAACTGTGGTATCATCCATGAGATCGTCCAAACCGAGATCCAATTGTAAGTCATCAACGGGGGCTAACAACTCATTATCCAAAGAATTATTTCCGACGGGAAGTAGGCTTGGGGTCCCAAAACTTCTAGCGGAAGATGCAGGTGATTTTCCACCTTGTGATCCAACAAGCGCGCTAAGGTCAGCAGCACCGGTAGGATCATGAGGAGCATCTCTTCCTACTTCTATAGAATGCTCGCTTCTAGGTGTACCAGCACCTGACTGAAATATCGGTAACTGGAACTGCATATCCATACTGTTGAGTTGCAAAGGATCAGAGAAAAGGTTCGCCTCATGAGGAGTAGCGTTTCGTGCTGCTTCAATTGAATGATCAGTAGAGTAAATAGAAGGAGAAGATGAGCTAGGAAGACTATGTAATTCAAAGGAACGCGACTTGGGTGTTTGAATAAGTTGAGACCATTGCATGTCAAAAGAGCTATCTGGAGCCAAGAGGTCAAACTCCGTAATGGTATCAGGAAGGGTTAAATTGGCACTTTGAGCCATAGCATCTTTTCCTCTTATAGAGGTAACCGAAGGAGCATTAATTTGTTCAGCTTGTCCAGGGCGAAAAGTCATTTTAAGTCTCAAGAGAGCTTCATTACAATCTTCCAACAAATACCTGGCTTTCCTCGAGTAAATACGAACGACACCAAGCATAAGCTGTCCCGAAAGACGCAAAGCCATCGGTGCTGTTTCTTCCGTGACGATGGCATGTACACTTTGTTCGATGTCCGTATGTAAGGTTTGGACTTTGGACAGTTTCTTTTCCCAATGAGCAGCCAGCCATACTTTTGCTAAAGGGCCCTAAAACACGAAATAGTTAGCTTCTGATACAATTGACCCCAATTTTAGAATGTAAACAAAGTACCTTCTTAGAAAGAATCGCCTCAGAATAGAACATGTGGCAGTTCTTTCAATAAAAAAAAATGATAATAAAAACGCAACTAAAAGAAAACAAAGCAGGTTTATATTTTGGCTTTTTTTTTAGCTGGTCGTATACGGTAGTGGATGCGTTTCATTACGATGGGTCGCTATTAAATTGAAACGCGGTACGCGTAAACAATCGTTGCTATGTACGCGACCTATAACGTTACGCGCGGGTTACGAAAATAAACAAACAATTTCACTAATTATAGGTATTCTTCACATCCTGCTTAAAAAATGCTGAAAGATAAATTAGCTGAAACATTTGAATTTCTAAAAAAAAAAATAAAATCCAAACTTGGTATTAACTAACTAAAAATTAGTCATCTAAAAGGAAAAAATATAATTTACCAAAAACACATATATTTATTTACATATTTACAAAAGGTTAACGTGCATTCAAATTGAGCTTGTATTTGCTTTACATGGTTAGTTAACTAGGTAATCATTATTGATTTTTTTTTTTTTTTTTTTTTTTTTTTTTTTTTTTTTTTTTTTTTTTTCCACAGCGTCTCGGAAGCAAATCGCGTTCGTAAAAACATAGTTTTGTGCAATCAGTTGTACATAGCATAATTGCACCTGAAGCCGTTTAATCAGTAGATGCTAGCTTTGTGTTGGGTTCACTTGTTCATAAGTGTCCGGACCCTTATGGTCAGATTGAATAGCTTGCATCCATCTCACTTTCAAGAAACATTTCTGGAAATTTTAGGAATGGACGATTACTTAGAATTACAAGAATATATTTTTTAGGAATGAAAGTCCTTGAATATTGTATCGAAAGTATATACGATTACACCTACGTGAAAACGCCAATTCCCGTCCGATCACTGCAGGTAAGTGTTTGAATCGTTAGTGTTAGTAATGTGGTTCGAGGAAATTTGGGATGTCGTAGAAGTTCTTCTATATTTGTACGCAAGCATTGCCTGTCTATCGGTTAGATCGGCATGGTTGTTTGACTTAACAATACATACTACAGAATGAAATCAGTGAAGTGGAAAAAGCAGTTCAATGAATAACATGCAAAGAAGAGAATTAAACACAAACAAAACTAGAGGAAAAACAAAAGACCGGTCATTTAAATAATGATTTCCTTTCCGTCTAAATCAATTTCCGCTGAGTTAAGAACCGTTGGATGGTCAGCTTTCTTCTGAAGTCTTTGAGAATATTTAGAAAGAATTTTTTTAAAAAATGAGTGTTTGTGAATGCTGAAAATAACTGCGAAAAACCAATGTCAAGGTTTTATTGTTGGATAGGTTCTTTGTTTACTTTTTGTAATACGAACTTCGTTTGGATTATACCATTACTAAAATCCATAGTAAACCCACAATGTTGAATAATCGTAACGAGGATATGACCAGTCGGTGACATAATGTCGCTGCTTTATGAAATTGTAACATGCGAAAAGCCATTACCATGAGTTTTTCAACTACGCTTCATCTTTTAAGAGGAGCTTTTTGTTGAAAAGTGCTTTTATTTAACGTTTTAAAAGAAAGGAATTATTTTTTTTTGTGACAGATCCGTGAACGGTAGAACCAGTTCCTACGGACTTATTTGGTAAATCTAGCTAGTATCGTTTTGGATGTATATATCTGCATTATTTTGTGTTTCTAGCTGCCATTGTAAAAATGAAGAATAATTACGCTCCAGTTTCGGATTCTGATGACTCTTTCAAAGTGCTCAATGATGAAAAGTCAGATGCTAGATCTTTAGATGGTACTGGTACGCCTCCTCCGTACTCAGGTAAGATTTGTTGAAATAGAAAGGAACAAACGAATGTCGATTGCTTTAATATCTATAAATGTCTGCAATTCCTTGTAAACAGACCCGACAAACGCTCCATCCTTTCTCAAATAACAAGAGCATTCATCACTAATACATTTATTAGCTCCGAATAAATTTATTGATTTAGAAATGGCTGATGGATCCACTCAGCATTCTGCCCAAGAGTCCACTAACAATATTGGGTCGGATTCGACATATTCGATGTGGGTTTCAGCGAATATCTTCTTATTTTTTGCGTCTCTTGTGTATGTTGTAACTTCTTCCATTTTTCTCGTGGTGTTTTTTATTTCAAGATTCCTGTGAGGACGGAAACCTTTTGGGGACTTTCTGTTACCTGTCCAGTGTCCATTGTAGTATTTCTCTATTGTAAGTTAGCGCTATGTTTATTTTTACTAACTATTAGCAATTTCTCAAATTCCTAAAGAATGGTTCAATCAAACTGGTAGAGTGCTGTCCTACTTATTCACGCAAATTTGTAGTGTACTGTCCAACATGTGTGTCGCAGTAATATGTACGGCCTCTCTGAATGCCCCTTGCTATTCCGTGTATTATTTTGTAAAGAAGGTAATAGGATTTGAAAAGATGGACAAATGGTTTTTCTATTTTGTCTGCATTGTTAACGTTGCCGTGTTTGTTTTATTTTGGACTATGTCTTATAACCTGCGAAATATTCTAATTGGTTCTAGGTACGGATACGCGACAACTTCGAATCTTCATTGCTGCTTCAGGAAACTTCATGGGAAACATGGTGAATGACATACCAAACGACATAAGAAATGCTGCGAATTATGTTCGTATGTACTGTTTGTTATAACTTTTTTTTTCTTAGCATCTGACTAACTTAATTAGGACCGACAGATCCAGAAAATGAAGCACCTCATAACGAGGAAATCGAGCTTCAACCTTTTGCTGGGCAAAGCGGTGAAGTTTGAGTTTTAACGAATCTTATCCATCCCTCCTATAAATCACATTTTCCTTACAAGCATTCATATCAATTGCAATCCCTCGAGTTTCTGCATTCTTGACCACAAAAGTAAGCATGAGCTTGATATGACTGGTTTGATTGCTTTTCACGTTCATTCTTTTATGTATTTAAGAATTCGTTTCGCAATAGTGTTATTTATGAATCGTTCGTTTTCTCTGTGACGAACATCCTTGTTAAAGCAACCTTTTTAATGATTGTTTAATTGTTATGACAATAATTTTGCAAAATAATCAACCGATTCTAACTCAAAACTGTGCGGTGTAATCACATGTCTTTCATGATTTGTAGGGAACGAGTGATTGCCTTACCGTCAATGTTAAATTTCATTTACAGCATAGCAAGCACAAATCTTTCAACTGAACGATCCGATTTTTGTAACCTAATGAATCAAATTGTCGTCTACTTAGGAGTCAAGTAAATGAATTGAAACACGAATTATCAGACTACAACTTCCATGCAGCCATGTAAACAGACGCAGATGGAACTGAACAAATTGCATCTTGAAGCAGGATATTCAGCAAAAATACCTTTATTTACACATTGTAAATGTCTACGGCCACACCTAGGCGAAAACACCAGTTCCCGTCCGATCACTGCAGTTAAGCGTCTGAGGGTCTCGTTAGTACTATGGTTGGAGACAACATGGGAATCCGGGATGCTGTAGGCTTTTTCTTCCTGATTTTTTTCCTCTTTGGTTTTGCTGCTCCTATTTTTTTATTTTTTTTTTATGTTGCTTTTCTTTTTCTAAACATTTGTACTGTTATTCTTCGGTTTCATACCAATAGAAGCTGCTGTTGTTTACTATGGAACCTAGTGGTTACCTCCGAGGTAACACTATTCAGCAAAGCAGAATTGTTACAGAAGGACATAAGTATTCTATTCTGTTTAAAAGTACTTAATATATTCATTTTATATCTTTTATCATTGTGCCTAAAATAAAAAAGGCTTTGATAAGGAGGAAAGTAATGTATCATCCAGTTGGTGATACTTTGGAAATTTCAGTGAATTAGTGTCTTCAGTTAGGTTTTCAAAAATGCAAATAAAGTCTGTTAAACTATCCAACATACAGCTCGAATTATAATAGTAATAATAATAGTATCCTGTTTGTTGGAGCTGAAATTTTACTCTTCATTCAACGAATTATTCGTTTGTTTATGCGAGTCGGGCAATAATTACTGTTGCCCAACATTGTTTACGTTCCCGTAAACAGGATCAAGTTTTCCATCCTAATTCAAATTTAATAATAAACGCAATTAAATAATATTTATTCTTAGCTTAGTTGTATGACTTGTTCAAAAACGGAAACTCTACTTTTTATTCCATAAAAACCATATATACAGGGAGGACTCTTACTTAAGCTAGAACAGTGCAAGAAAATAGCAAAACTTGGTTTTTATTTTTTTGTTATCTTTTTCTTTTTTATTCCTTGCAAGAGGATGGATAGTCTTACTTTACGTTTCTTTCGACTGTTTACTTGAGTTGACAATAAACAATTGCAGAGCCTTGCAGTCAAACTCAACAGATGGCACGGCTTGAATTTGTTTGTTTTTATTTCAAACTTTGTTGGATAAAACACCAATAGTAAAGTTTCCTTTGTTTGTTGTGAGTAGTTTGTTTCCCATCATAAATGTCAACAAACAAACGTCTAAGAAGGTATATTTATAGGTCAAATTCTACATGTTTCAGCAAGCAAGCAATTTCATGTATGCATTCAAAGGAAGTTCATTTACAGAATAAAAAAATTGTTTCTTGTAGATGAATTCCTCAAGAAGGTCTGGTTTCGTTTCAGTCTAGTATCGACAAAAACTCCATAAAATGACCTTCCTTGGATGTCTCATTGCTTGACTACATAAAAGAAAATGGACTGAAGAGCAAGCTTGTATTAAGTTCCTTTCCATTTTTCTATCAGAAGATCCTTAAATTTTATTAAATTGCGTTCTTTTGTTTTGTCTTTCATACAGAATATTCGTTTTGAAACTTTTTGACACCTTTTTGGGTAGGATCCCCTTAATTTCTTACTTTTTTTCTAACATTACAGCATTCTCTATCAGAAATATTCTTATTTCTCCAGCTTTTTTCCCTATAATGATTGTACTTCCCTACTCGTTATGACTCTTGCTTCTAGCATTGTTTATACCACCGTTGAATCTCATTTTATATCATCTTTGATCTTTGTATACATTCTCAAAAGAAGCAATGAGTATACGATTATAATCTTCGGCTGCAGATCAGACTCTAGCAGTTGCAAGTATTTGTTTACATTTCATGATGTACTTTGCAGCATTCAGGAGATCAGGTTCCACTTGCTATTATCATACACGTACGTGTTAAATAAAGCCTGTTTAGCAACGAGCATGAGATGAAAGCTTTTGAGAATAGACTCCGAAAGTGTTTGGATTCCAGAATAGTCCTTCTCTCAATAGTGATGTTGAATCAGTTAACCTTCCAAAACTTTGACTCTGGCCAAGCCAAGTTTGGGGTTTATGTTCCAAAAACGAATTGAGCAGAAGTTGAAAAAGAAAAAAGGAATTACATCTTGGAATGGGACCATTTCGCTGTCATCTCAAACCAAGTTGTTTCTTACTCAAGTATGTAGAATTGAGATTTATTCAGTTAAGGGGGCTTCACAGATAATTCCAAAAGTTTCCTAGGACAAATTGAGTAACTCTTTGTCACTAGTCCGCTTTTCTGGTTGTGTTGTTTGTTTGCTGGACAACTCTTGATACTGCAATCTTTGACTAAAAACAACTGGTTTTCTGACTTCAAGGAAATATTAAATTAGCTCTTTAAATAAATTTCACTTTTCTTCCTTACCTCTTAAGCATGTAAAAAACTAATATCGAGATAGCTTTTCATTTGCGTTTGGCTCGATTATAATAAAGAAAAAATAAAAAGTCTATTAATATAAAAGAAAAAGATGTATAAATTGCCAAACTTTTTTCTATAAACTTGCCAAATTACAACTCTCACCGTAATTGTACGATTTGGGTTCTTTGAGCGTAAATAAACACCACAATATTATAAACGAAGAAAAAAGATCCAAAAACCTATTGTTAATAACTTCTTAAGTAAATTCGATTTTGACTTTTTCACTCTTGTAAGTATTTACTGCCTTGTTGATTACTATTGTTGCCAAAGAGTCTTTGCTGACAACATTCATAGCACTGTTTGAAACAAACTATTAAGGTTTTTATTTACTTCGTTATTTAAGACGGTTTGTTTTGAAATACACCTTACTGCAGAAGTCAACTTCCTAATATCAATCAGGACGGATTAACATGGAAATCACAGAAATGCAGGATCCTTTGGGGGCTTCTGCTTATTCAGTTTTTCCAATACCATTGGATAAACACAATAAAAAGTCAGTCTTCTATACAAGGTTCCTTACACCACATAAATTTGCTTTATGTTTATTAATTGAATTTTACGCTCAACATGCTACCGCTCCAAGTTGTTCTACTTCATTTCTAGATATAGTTTTAGAATACTTTGACGTATGTTCTATTGGCTCATTTCTATCAATTATTGTCTTCTAATGACTTCGACTTTTTAGTCATCCAATTCGCTACCTCAAAGTTTGATCGACCTACATAATATTACAGAAAAAGTTCCAAGCACTATAGATGGCTATACTGTTTATGACTTATTACACGAACGTGTATGTCTTCATCTTACGGATCATATTTATGATTTGACTAACGAAGTATTGCTTTAGCTATGGTCCTTGCATTCATATGAAGATATTCATGAAATTTTTATGTCTTTGGGAAGTTACATTACGAACTTGTATGAGCCTGATGAGGTGCCGCCTTCTCACATGTTGTTCTCGCCGTCTTCTATTTTGTCTGTCTTTCTACGAAAATGCGTGGTAGAATATGAACAGTTATCTTTTGAACAAGGGGTTGAATTCTTTAAGTCTTTTCTCGAATACCGATCACCTTCCATGAGTTTTCGTAAAGACGGAGTGGAATACTGTAAAGTGAATGTGAGACATGAACTATTGGGACTAGCAAGCAACGAAAACTTACTCCAACTTGCATTCGGAAGCACTCCAGGTTTGAAATTCTCAACAACTGATGACCGAGCTAATTTTTAATAGGTTGTCATGCAACGCAAGATATCGAACGACTTATCCAACTACAAATTCAGCACATGCAACGTAAGTAGTATATTTCTATTGCCTGTTACTAGATGAGTATTTTTCTAATCATACTCCATCAGGTTACGGATGTTTTTTACCAGATGAAATGAAACGTAAACTACACGATATTTTAGAAGCCGAAGGGAATCACTTGAATACGAGCTACCATTTCAGGTATTTATATTTGTTATTTTTTTTCCTAACTGATTAGATTTTTAAACGCTTGGTTCAAAGGAGATTATCAACAATCCATCGAGAACCTTTGCAGATACTTTGACCATGTCATGCATTCAAATGAACGGGTCTCCTATCAATACGCTTTGCTCAATCTTAGTATTTTACAAGCTGACTTTGGATGCGACAAAGAAGCACTTCGCGCTATTGAAGATACTATAAACACTGCACGGGAAAGCGGAGATATTGCTTGCCTAAATTTTGCTTTGGCTTGGATGTATGAATTCAAACGATCTCAACTTCCTTCTTCTAAAGATAAAAACCCTGAAGAAGAATACCATATCCTGGAGCATTTGGCTGTTAATAGTCAAGGTGCTCAAATTCCTGTTCTACAGTCAACGGTTCATCTGATGCAAGCCCAGCATTTCTTTGATAACGGAAACAATATGGTTGGTGTTTTCTCCAATTTAACAAAATCGTTTGCTTTACAGTGCCAGAGTGAATCTTTCCATAGCTTTTCAAGATATATGGATCTTATGCAAGAAACATGGTATCGACTGGGCTGCTTCTCTTTGTGTATCAATTATATCAATATTTATCAAAATAGCTTTTTCCAGGAAGCTTCGGTGATTGATTTGGTGAAAAGCTATATGAATAAAGCCAGAAGACTAGTTGAAAATGGTAATTGGTCGGACGTTTCTGCAACTTTGCAAATGGCTAAAATGGAGTCGGAACGTTCTTTCCAGTCGGTTCATTTCTATGGTCGTGAGAAATGTTTCTTATATTTGGATAAAGCAATAAACGAGTAAGATATCATGTTGCCTTGAGATACAATGAGATACTAACATCTATTTTTACAGAAAAAATTATAAGACAGCAAATTTTCTTTTAAAAAGCTTGAATGGTTTTCGACATAGTAAGGAATCCTTATTCAAAACTCATTATTATAGCCTTAAGCTTGATATAAGTTTGGGCAACTTCAGTCAGGTACGCGGGTATGACAGACACTTGCTGACTAGAGCAGTCTATAGATGCAATCGAGAATCTTTTGGAGGACGCTACGAATCTTACAGTTGAGTGGAAAGTTAAGTTAATGCTTCTCAAAGTTGACATTTACATTGTACGTACTCTAAACGAAGTTATTGACATTTAACAACCTTAGAAAACGAACGTTCGACACCGAGCTATTTTTGAACTTCTAAATGTTATCGAAATCTCCTCGTCTTCATTCTTGAGACTTTATCTTTTAGAAGCATTATGTCTTTTATGCTTAATTGGAAATCTGGATTGCATCAAGGCTTCTGAGCTTCTAGACTCGTTAATACCCCAGATAATTGCGTCCGGTAATAAGGCATTGATGGCATTATCATTTTATACATACGCGTCCATTCAAATATCCAGCTATGACAAATTGAAGACGCCAAGAATATTTATTACAAAACTTTTGGACAATGCATTTGATGGTAAGCACTTTTCTTTTCGTATTGTATTTGATCATTAATGTTGAAAGGTTACAAAAACTGCCATATGAAAGATATGCAACAGCGTATAGCTCTTTTAAGAATCCGATTTCTCAAGCAGATCAGTGATAACCAAGCAAGTCGCTATGCTGAACAATATTATAAAGAGCTTTATATGCAAAACAAGTGAAGACTGGTTTAGATTTATTGAACGCCAGATTATGTCGGTAATCACGATGAGACGAATAATGACCACGCAATAAGTTGCCGAGTACTGCCTTTTACCAACTAACTACCCTTTACGTACGACTTCTATCTTTATAATTATACTACCTACTACATAATTACTTAAGCTACTTCTGAGATTACAAATGGACTAATTAATCCATCAAAAATAATATAAAATAACTGAAAGGAACAGCAATCTTTGATCTAGATGAAAGTATCATAAGGAGCAGGATGAAGAGTGATGGGTTTGTTTTGCTCAGTAGCAGCAACGAAGTGGGCCTTAACAGGGGGGGCAGGTTGACGACGGAGTTGGACGGTCTTACCTTCAGCCTTGGCTTCCTTACGCTTTTGCTCGTTAAGCTTGACACGGTTCAAGAAATCTTGACGGCACTTAGAGTGCTTAACGTGCTCAATACGGACGTTGACGCGTTTCTCCATGTAACGGTTGCCAACGATCTTGTAGATCAAGACACCAACGGAAGATTGAGTAACGTTATAAACGATACCGGTCTTACCGTGGTAGTACTTGTGAGGCATACCCTTCTGGACGGCACCATTGGCCTTAATGTCGACAATGTCACCAACCTTGTAGGTCTTCAAGTAAGTGGACAAACGAATTTGACCATGCTCTCTGAAGCCACGTTGGAAGGTGTAACGGGTACGAGCTCTGAGACCGAATGAATGAGGCATTGCTGTTCCTGGTTAAGCGCAGAATGTCCGTACAATTTCTCTTTGTGGTGTAGAAACCACTGTGACTGTTTTTTATTGCGTTACAATACACTAAATCATTGAAAACCGTAATGTAACGATGTGAAAGGTGAAGCTTAAGAAAAACAAATTCCAGCAAAAATTGTTTTTATGCCATATTGAAAAGTATATTTTTAATAAATTCCAATCCTACAGTGCTATAGTTTATGTATCTCATTTATGTAACAACCGTTTTATTTATTGATCACCCATCAGAAACACATCCAAAGGTGGGAAAACGAAAATGTATACTAAATTCCCAGAACGACAAGATCATAAAGTTGCAGATCAGTTAACAAAATAAAGGAAGATAATAGTTACTAGCACACAACCATAAAATTTAACATGTAGGCTTCTATGGTTGCACAGACGAATCGATTACCAACCTTTTTTAAGCCAGTCCCTTGAGAGCACGTCTGCGATCACGCTCTTCAGTGATGCTGAGCTTGACACCCTTGCCCTTAGGCAAAGAGATCCAGCTCTTGTTGGTCTCACCGATAACGAAAACGTTGGAGAGACGGGTAGCGAACTCACGGTCCAAAGCATCCTTAACGTGAATGATTTCAAAGGAACCAAGGTGGTGTTCACGGTGAATAATGGTACCAACACGACCCATGTTACGGCCACCGGTGACCATGACTTGGGCAGAAGTATCAAACTTGATGAATCCTTCAATCTTGTTGGTTTCCAAGTTAAGCTTGATGGTATCGTTGACCTTGATCAAAGGATCGGGGTAACGAATGGTACGGCCGTCATGAGTGACGATGAAGGGAATACCCTTGGCACCCAATTGGACACGCTTAACCTTGCAAAGCTTGTACTTGGCTTCCTCAGCAGTGATGCGGTGAACAGTGAAACGTCCCTTAACATCGTAGACAAGACGGAAGTGTTCACCAGTCTTCTCGATGCTGATAACGTCCATGAAACCAGTAGGGAAAGTGTTGTCAGTACGAACCTTTCCGTCAACCTTGATCAAACGTTGCATAAGAATGGCTCTAACCTCACGACCGTTCAAGGCATACTTGAGACGGTTGCGCAAGAAGACGATCAAGGGAAGGCATTCACGAGCCTTGTGAGGACCAGCAGAAGGCTTGGGAGCATAAGTACCAGAGAGCTTGTCTAAAAGCCAGTGGTGAGGGGCAGCGACACGCTTTAAATGCTTTTTGGGTCCGCGAACCATTGTCTATCGTCGTGGTTAAAACTCGCTCTTCGCCTAAACGGTTTCGCAGGAGGAGAGGTGTGACTGCTTTTTTCGACAACAAACATTTCTAACAATCACCTGTAAACAGCAACCATAGTCTATCCTTTATTGTTTTTACAGATATTTGAACGTTTTATCATCTCAATTAATTTCAATAAATATGTTATTTTGTAAATCTGCTATGTTGAGTCGTGTTTAGCCTTATATACAAAAGGTTAGTTAAACAAGGAAGTCTTTGCTTCCGGTCCTGATGAGAATATATTCTTTCTTTTCGTTTTATATATATATATATATATATCTATATATTTTTTATGTTTATTAGAAATTTATCATTCTACTTCTGTGGAAATTTGCTCGCATTTTTGGGAGCTCTTTGTTCCTCACTACTTAAAGTCATTTTTACAGCATAATCCCATGTATATGCATTATAAAGGTCTGTAGATTAAAAGCATTCGTGTTCTTTTACTGGCCAATTGACAACATGAATCGTGTAACTATTAGTAATGAGACTATCTCATATAAACATTATCCCAATGATAATTTGAAGATCGCGATTTTAGCACATCCATATGAATATTTAGGTGGATCCGTTGATGATGCTTGTATCGTCCTTATGGCTGAAAACCTTCAAAAAAAAGGCTACAGTGTTTACGTTTTAGATTTCGCCAGCCTACCTTCCATCTGGTTTAGTGGTAGAAGAGACGCGAAGATTTTCTCTATATTTACACATCACCTTGTTGAGATTCATTCACCAAGCCATCTCCTTATCGGCGGATACTCTTATGGCGGAAGAATTGCGATGCATCCTTCGATCTGGGAAAAACTGGATTTTAATTGTATTAACATAAGCTTTATATTCTTAGCTCCCTACCTTGGCCTAGGGAGCGGCCTTTTGACGGGTTATTGGAATGTAAAAGTAGATAAAATTCCTCAGAAAGCATCGATCCTTTACATTGTTCCAACGAATGATAATTTTACCGGTTTAAATACTTTTCACTCGTTTTATTCTAAATTGAAAAATCATTGCTCAAAGTCAAAGATGATCGAATTGCATGACTGCCCTCATTTCTTGGATTTACAGAAACAAAAAGAGCTTTCTACGGCTCTTGACGAATGGATCAAATAAACTTGTCAAGATGGAAAAGTGAATGAATTCTAAGGTTCACTCAATATCCTTTGACCGACGTATTAAAAGCCAAATGTAAAGCCCGTAAATATTGTTTACTAAAAACAAAACTCTTACTTTAATTAATAGTCTTGAATCGCTAATACTCAAAATTCGTATAGGTGATTAGCACTCTCCTATGATAAGTGTATGTTTGTTTACATTTCTGAGTTTCAGGATACACCGCATTTCCAAAAGAAAAGGTTACTGGAAACACCCACACAGCAAATCTGAAAAGAAGAAATGATATTCTCTAGTTTATCTTTTCTTTTTAGTTTCCTTGTATTTGCCTTTACTTTAGCTGAGTCACTTGTTTCGAATGAGGATGTTTATCTTGGCAAGCACAATGCATCTTCCATTCTAGAAACCCAGAAAATATGGTTTGTGACTTTTACTGAAACTGGAGAGGTTTTCAAAGACTTATCTGAACTTTGGGAAGCAACTTCCACTGCATATCCAAATCTTCACCATGCCAAGGTGCTTTGCGATTTGGAATATGGTACTGACGATTCAAAAGATTAAGTCAACTAACAAAAATAGATTTTTGCAAAAGTCAAGGCGTACATGAGTATCCTCAGATTGCTGTTTTACGTAGCGGAGCCTGGATGAGAAACGTTTTGGACGACAGCCATCATTCAGTTGATTCGGTGTTGGAGTTCATCGAGGCACATTTAACTCACTGTGAATCGGAATTCTTTAAATCGGGTTCCAAATGTCTAACGGAAGAGAGATACGAAGATGAACAGTTGGATTCCCAGGAAGCAGTTTTTGAACTAGAGGAAGACGAATCCTGGAAAAGAGTCGACTCTTTAAGAAAACCTGTCAATTTAGAATTTCGAGATTTTCTTGATGATTCTGCAAATATCCTCTCCGAGAGAGCCTTTGTTATGTTTTATTCAACTACCAAATGTACGGATTGCTTTCAATGGGAGCCCATCTGGTTGAGCATTACCAGGGACGTAGCAAATGATTTGACTATGGGGTACGTCAATTGCGATAAGGACGAGGCTCTCTGTGCTTATTACGATGTACATGAATATCCTACATTTTTAGCTTTTCAAAAGCTGGATGCTGTCAAATATGATGGTCCACTGAATTATCGGGAATTATCGCGATTTGCGAACCAGTTGGCAACTTACCAAACGTTACATATCCAACCGGAAGAGATTGACTTTGTAGAAGACACACATACAACTTTTTTCATCTTCTTCCACGATTACGCTCTTGCGTCAGAGGATATGCAAGCTTTAAGGCGCATGGAACTGTATCTCGTTGGTAGTGCTCCTTTGTATCAGTCAGATTCTGCTGCCTTGGCCAGAAAGTACGGAGTTCATGCCTTGCCTGCATTCGTTTCCGTGAGAAACGGGGAGCCTTTTATTTACCAAGCGAATACACCGCGTCAATTTCGTTCACACGAAAGGATTCGTAATTGGATTCACCAAGCGTCACTCCCATTAGTGTCAGAACTGTCACCTACCAATTGCCATAAGATGGTGAACCGACAATTGAGCGTTATAGCATTGCTTAACCCTGAGTCTGAAACCTATGTGGGAGATCGAGCTAGACTGTTAAATTTTGGAAAACATTGGTTCCAATTTCAAAAGAAGCGGGAACGCAATTTTATTTCACACCAGCGAGTGAAGAAGTACACAGCCTTAACGAAGGCTAAAAGGTCCAAAAATGAAAAGAAAATCCAACGGATCAAATACTCCACTGTAGAACATCCAGTCTTTACTGAGTCCGTATCCTTTCTTTGGACCGATTCTTCTGTTTGGCAAACTTGGTTGCTCACAAATCTAGGTTATTTAGAAAATGTAACCAACGAAGCCACTCTTTTCATCGTGGATAACGAACGTGGAATCTTCTACACTCAAGGACAAGATAGTAGACCATTGAGGTTGGATGAACCATCTTTGTTTTCTACATTGCGAACGATTCTTGACAACTCAAAATCGATCCCTCACCAAGAAATGGGTAAAGCAACTATGTGCGGTGGTGATATATATCAGAGAGGTGCACATTTCAAACCATTTATCTATTGTTTATTTTTGTTTTTATCATGTATCATGATTATTGTAATCATACAAAAGCGACGACGATCAAGGCCCTCTCGGATGCAACCCATTCTTGGTTTTATGGACTTTCATCCTTTAGTTACTATAAAGGCAGACTAATAAATATCTAACCAACTTTCATCAACTTCATAAAACTTTCTCTTTCGTGGTTGCATCTACAATTCCTTCTTAAAAGGCACTATACGAATACGCCATATGTAATTTTTTCAAACAATCTTCTCATTCTTATTCAGTATTATTATAAGACTCACTACCTAAAGCTAAAGCTATTAAACACTTTTTGAATGTCAACTGTATGGTTTTACCCAACTGCAAGGATCCAGGGACCATGTAGCGAAAGATTTAGGAATATACAGTTGTCAAAGGATCAACCATACAACACCTTTCGGCATTGCACAGGATCACTCTGATCAATTTCAAATCTGTTGGCTAGGCTACGCGGCATCATGAAGTCAATTTTCGAAGTAAGACATCGACTCTCAACTCGAAAGACGAATCTTTCAAGGACAATCAACGCCCTACACGTACTCTTGTCAACCTCTACACGCCAACCGCGTTGCACGCAAGTTCTCCGAAGAAAACTGAACAATGCAACTTCAGATTTGTTTGTAGTGTAATAAAAAGTTTCCACCGTGTTTATATAGGCAAGCTCATAAATAAAACCCTAACCCTGGTCGTGACTGCCAGTCACCATAGAAAAGTATTGAATTATAGAAGAAATGTAAAGTGATATCGTAGTAAACCATATGGAAATGATAAGAATGAATCTTTGATATCCTTAAAATAGGGTAATATGGGCATAGGGATAAAGAGCATAACAGTAACACATTAAAGCATATATATGCTAGTAAAGAAACAAGTCAGTTTACTCCAAAGTTAGAGGAAAACAGAGTAAAAGAGGACTGTAAAGTTTGTGAATGATTTTGAATTTATGCTTTCCTAATTAATTTTTATTAATACTTTGCTGAGCTATTCCCTACTTTAGCTTTTCTATATTTCAAAGAGTAAATTTGGAATTCCTCACCCTCTCTGGTAAACAAGATTTCAAGACCGTTTTTGAGGAAGAACAGGAACCTCTACAGCAATTGCCTAGCTCATGAAATTGGTACTTGTTTGTTTACTCTTAAGTATTGCAATCCCGTTCGTCGTTCAGCGCTTCCGGTCTAACGAACTTCCTTTAAATAATGTTTTGAGTGTTAAGCGTCTACCCCAGAAAACATCGCTGAATGCTTCTTTACTATTATTTACAGAGTAAGGATATATACAAATTCTTCTTTGCTAGGAATATCTATACAATGACAGAGCAATTACTTATTAATGTATTTTAGAGATGGAGATTTGCTTGACGTTTTACAGACCATTCGATCTGTAGAAGATCGGTGGAATAAGCGCTTTCATTATCCCTGGACATTCTTTAGTTCAGAAAAATTATCCTCATATTTTATGGAAGCTACAAGTTCCGTAGCATCCGGAAATTGTGAATACGGTAAGCATTGTCAAGAGACACATGTAAAACTAACGGGTGACAGTACAGTGGGACTCTACCGAATACTTTGGGACAGGATTAAAAGATACCATGTATTATTTAGAGCGATCAGAAAAACTTTCAGGGGAGGGAGTCAAATACAGCAGATCGGGTTCCTTCCATAGATACCAAGAATGGATCTTGCATTCCCTACTATACCATCCACAGCTTCGATTTCAATACGTCTGGAGGCTTGAACCTGGCCTTCGCTTTACTTGCGAAGAAGAATTGTATGTGAGCTGCAGTAAGCAGGATCCACTCTTACTAACGCTGTTTTAGAGATTATTTTGAGGAAATGGCAAAACATAATGCAACTGTAGGATTTACCAATCATGTATGTGAAACGAGGCACTCTGGAATTCTCGAACTCGAACAATCCTTAAATAAATATGAGCAGGAAGGGATGCCGGAGCGACCTCGCACAGCATGGGAGTATTCCACAGAGGATACGTATTGTAAATTTTTGCCTTATGATGAAATAATTTCTTTAAAAGAACTTAGAGGCAATTCTTCCCTTGTTCAACTCACACAACACTTACTCAACGAAGGGGGTATCTATTATCATCGATGGAGTATGTATCATCACTTTAGCATGTTGATCAAATTTTCACTTTTCTAATTACTAACATGCATTAGCTGAATCAGATATACTCTCTGCAGTGTTGCAAGTATACAATACCCCAGTTCTTCCTTTAGACACAGCAGGATACATTTTTCGACCGGATATAAATCACTGTCCCGATATGGAGAGCGGAAGATGTGCTTGTTATTTAGAAGATTGACTTCAAGGAAAAAAACAAGATGGTGATTCGATTCTATACCTTTTACCTTAGGTGAACACTTATGTCGAGGAACCATGCAATCTATGTAACCCTACCGATTCCCAAAAACTCTAAAATAGACCTTCATTAATTTTCATCATTTTGACGCGGCTTCATCAGTCCGTCTGTTACTTTGTAGTATACCACTGTAGAATCCGAACAAACGATTCCCAGATATATGTAAGATTCTTTACCCGACAGGCCACGTTCGTCCTGTGCGAGCAAAAGATTTTGGGTTTTCATCGAATCAAATATTGCACTAAGCATTTTTATGGAAACATGTTCGTGCAGAAAAACTGGGAAAACGTATTGCAGCTTTTTTTGTAACAAGCCTGTTTTCGGGACTCCAGAGAGCAATGGCCGTTCCTCCTCTGAATACATGTGAACTATGTGAATTTTCAGCTCGTCCCATTGCTGTCCCAGTCGCAAATCAGTTTCGACGGCTTTCAAGGCCCCAAAAAATGGATGGTTGTCCAGTCTTTGCAAATTTTCAATTGGCTTAAATGTTTCTTTGTTCATTTTCTTTCCTTCTTTTTTAATGAGTCCAATGATCGTTAAAATCCGCTAGCTCTTCGTATGATTTACCTTTTTGCCGCTATTCAGAAAAAATTCAACTTCAACCAAATGGCTCAGAAACGGGCAAAGCAACAAAAAAAGCCCAAATCTTCTTCACAAGGAATCAAAAAGCGTCCTAAAGCAAAAAAGGATTCCGCTAAAAGTACCAAAAACCAGCAAAATTTGCTGTTACAAAATCTTGATGACTATACGACGACGCAGTCTGTTTTGAGAATTGCCCACAATTCCAATTCCAACGTTGATCAAGTTTCCAATTCAATTGAAATCTTATCTATGAATAAAAAACAATAATGCATTTAAAAAGGTCTCTTCATTCACTTGAAGTACGAGCGTCTTTTTGGTAATGGGGTTATTTGAGTTATAATATGTGTTAGTATGCCTACAGGATTCTCTTTCTAAAAATAATAAAATTTTCTTTATATACATAATTCTTTTCCTTTACTCTTCTACAAATTTGATAGTTTCGTTTTAACCATGTATCGTCAACAGCTAGTATGATTTTTACTCGTAGCCTACTTCTTTCTTCTACCCAATCCACTCCAGGACAAAAACAATCTGAGTATAGGCATATTCAAGATTACAAGGCTATTAATTGATTTCTTTCGTTCTTGCATAGTCATCTTTAGCCATTCATTTTATTGAGAAACCAAGTTTTTGTCACTGGACGTGTCTTAAAATTTTGTAGCCATTGAACATCAGAAAAGGTTTTGCAGGGCGACTTGGAAATCCTTAGGTATACGATTTTATAAGGTCAACGATTTAGGGCATCTATTTTTGCTTACGCGCCGTGCAAAATGTCTGCTCAAAAGCTAAATTTGGACGAGGTCAAGGCGAAGACAGACAAGTACTCTCGTGGTCGAAAACTCAATCCTAAGGTAAAGAAAAATGAGACAATACGGAGGTATGCTAACTATGTATTAGAAAATTAAGGATAAAAAGCTTCGAAGCAATATACAAAAAATTGAGGAAAGAATTGAGAATGTAGAGACAGATTTGTCGAAAACAGAGTTATTGCGCGTTGATGAACCAGGATACTTAGAAGCTGAGGGATTAGAGAAAACTTACAAATTTAGCCAAAACCAGATTTCTCCAAATGTTGCTCTTGAAACTGCTACAAAGGTAAGAAGAGAATTGGATATGAGATTCTTTACTTGTACTAACCTTCTTTTAGTCTTTTTCCCTAGGTTTGGATAAATTCGGCAGTTACAATTTTGACTACACAAGAGATGGACGAATGGTGCTTCTAGGAGGTCGAAAGGGTCATGTTGCTGCTTTCGACTGGAGAAACGGTAAATTATTAACTGAATTACACTTACAGGAAACAATTCGTGACGTGAAGTGGTTTCACAACCACCAGTATTTTGCTGTTGCACAAAAAAAATATGTTTATGTTTATGATAATTTGGGTACAGAAATTCACTGCTTAAAGAGACACATAGATGTGAATGCTCTAGATTTCCTACCTTATCATCTTCTTTTAACTAGTATCGGCAATGCTGGTTATTTGAAATATCAAGATGTCTCAACTGGTCAATTAGTTGCCGAACACCGTACTGGTATGGGAGCTTGCCACGTCCTTCGTCAAAATCCTTACAATGCTGTTGAACATGTTGGCCATGCTAATGGACAAGTTACGCTTTGGGCTCCATCATCTACTACTCCCCTTGTTAAAATGTTGACCCATCGCGGACCTGTGCGCGATGTGGCCATCGATCGGGAAGGCAAGTATATGGTGACTGCCGGTGCTGATAGTTTGATGAAAGTTTGGGATCTTCGAAATTACAAGGAAGTTCATTCATATTATACTCCTACGCCCGCTCAACGCTTGACTTTGAGTGACACCGGTTTACTAACAGTCGGTTGGGGTCCTCATGCTACGGTATGGAAAGATGCTTTACGTACAAAGCAGAGCTCTCCGTACATGAATCATTTGATACCTTCTTCATCTGTTGTTGATCTTCATTATTGCCCTTATGAGGATATATTGGGTATTGGCCACGATAAGGGATTTGAGAGTATAATCATTCCTGGATCCGGTGAGCCAAACTATGATTCTTACGAAAATGATCCTTTCGCCTCTAAGAAACAAAGACAAGAAACTGAAGTTCGTCAACTTCTTGAAAAGCTGCGTCCTGAGATGATTTCCCTACGCCCTGAATTTATTGGTAATGTGGATAGGGCTGCTCCTTCACTTCGGAAGCAAGAGGCTGAAGAAGAGAAGCCTCCGGAGCAAAAATGGCTTCCCAAAAACAAGGCTCGAGGTAAGAACTCGGCTTTGCGTCGCTATGTGCGTAAGCATGCTCGGAATGTTGTGGATCAGCGCCGCCTTAATGTCGAAAAATCACTTGAAGTTGAAAAGAAAATGCGTGAAAAGCGTGTTCGTCAAGAGAAGGGATTGCCCGAAGAAAGGGAAAAATGGGGGTATGCACTATCACGGTTTATTGGGAAAAAATAAAAACTTGTATAATAATTTTTGGATAATGTTTCATCAGCGGTGTGAGGGGTTCAAATATACAATATAAAGATTTATTTACAGAAAAAAAAATGGAATGTAGTCTGCATGTAAAAACAGCTTCATTTTGTATTAAATATACATAATATAATCCAGTTTTTCGAATGCCAGTAGGATTCGAAACATAGGCAAAGATTGCCCTTAATAGTAAACTCCTTGAATGTGTAAACAGCAATCAAAGCGAGTCAATAAACGGATTGTTCGTACGACGCTTATTGATTTATATAGCTAAGCATGTAAAGAAAAGGCATTCCAAAAGTAAGAGAACATGAACAAGCGTGTAGTTAAGAATACAGCTTTTTTATCGAGTTCGATATTAATTAGCGGTAAATGCGTTATTTAAGTCAAGTCATCCTCAGCCTCTTGGATATTGTTTTTAATTAGCAACAAAATATTAGTCTTCCAGGCATCTAATTTGGATAATTGGTCATAAGTAAATACCTGACTGGCAAACATATCAGCATCAGACGACTCTATGGAAGTTTGCAAATCAACGAGTAATTGATGTTCACGGGTAGTAGCAAAGGAAGGATCTATTTGATTGAATTTTTCCAGAGCACTACGAGTAGCAATCTCATCGCCTTGGGCCATATAACAGAAACCAGCCTTCAACAAATAATCTTTAACGCTCCATTTCAGAAGACTGTTTTGAACACTAGCACGAGCTACATCTTCAAATTTTTGAATTGCAATAGGATATTCACCAGCTTGACCTGCAAGGTCGGCGACCTTCAAGTACGCCTTATTAGCAAGACTGCAAATGTTAGTATGAATAATTCTTCCAAAAGTGTCGCGATTAAATCGCAAAAGACAAATCTTCCGAACAAAGTTCTAAAGACATGGTCCTTTGTTTAACAAATCGTTAAATTACATACGCTTCAGCTTGATCGCTCATGTACCACTCACCCGCATCTTCGTAAGATGCAAGAGCAGCCTTGGGATTCTGTAATTCTTGTTCAAACAGAGTACCCAAGTCCATTTTATAATTGGCAGCACGTCGGAAATTACCACGTCTGGTGAACAAATCCACCGCAATCTGCAAAGTACGAGCAGCCTCCATTGGTTTTTCACGACGGTACGACTTGTAGGCCTCAACATAAGTATTAGCAGCATCATCCTTCTCATCGGTCTTCAACTGCATTTCGGCAGCTTTTTCGAAAGCGAATCCAGCGGCACTTCCTGTATATTCGCATTAGAATTTCTCAACGTAATTTTTATTCCTTACCCTGCTTTTGAAGTCTATAACCATTTGCAGCATCCAAAAAGAGTTCAGATGCTTCTTCATATTTGTTTCCACCACCGAAAAGGGCGAAGCCACTACTACCATTAGCCTTTTTGGCAGCCTATATGTTAATATTCTATACTTTAGCTCATCATATTTACTTTTTGCATCAACTGGTCAGGATCAGCTATCATTGTAATAATTGGTTGTAGCTACGTTTAATATGCAGTGTATGCTTTACGGCATTCTGAAGCTACTATAGAAAACTTCAACCATATATAAGTTTAGAAATAGACTATTTAAATAAACCTAAAAGTATTCAAAAAATCTTGTTTACAGATTCAACCTTTCTGATCTCAAATTCAATCCAGCGGGCTCGATCATAATTAATAGAGACGCTAATTTCTGATAAAGAAGGCATAAAGATTAGCCTTCAATTATTAATCTTTGAAACATAAGGATCATTTGGTTTGGTCAAAATTGGCTGACTCGAGTCTACTGAAATTATTCCATCTATAAGACTAGGATTACCAAAAAGGGTGGTCGCTATAAATACATGTTAAATTAAAGAAATATCCCTACTTGACGGTCAAGTACTTAGAATCATAATCGCAGCATAGTCAAAGAGTATACCCCCCAAAGAAAGAAAGGATCAATGTACAAGATCCATTTGCAATAATATTTTTAATCTATAACAAACCATAACAAAAAGAAAACAGGAAAGTTTTGTCCAAAAAATGCCATGTCTTAAGCCCATTTACTTAGGAATTTTTGTGAATAAAGGCAAAACGTTAGCCTTGACCATCTTGGCGGCCTGAGGAAGCTCTAGATAATAATACTTCAGAGGAGATCCTTCCACCTCTTCTGAAAAGCGGTAGGTATTCGTGAAGACTTTTCCTCCGTGATTTCCATAAACCTCTACAATAGAATGGTCCATAAGGATTCCCAAATCCACCATAAGCTTGTCATCAATAACAATAGGGGGTAAATTGGATACAGAACGCTCGGAATACATAGGATCTTTCCAACTCGTTTCGCAAGATCCGCGGTCGATATACACAGCACCATCGCTAAAACGATAACCAAGCTCAACGTACTGTTTGCTGTTGAGGACATCAGAAGTCGCTGACCAACGCAAACGCAAAAATTCAAGTTTTTCGGATTCAGCTGCAGAGAGAGGTATGGTAGCACAAAGATAAAATCTACTACCACACATAAATGTTGGGGGAAACTCTGCTACGTTTTGCAACTCTAAAGGATAAGGCTCCGACAGAGGATGCTTCAAAGCTTCTGTATTACAAGGGCGCTGGACTAAAACAAGCTCCTGTGCTTCAGGATTCAGAGGCATAGAACGTAGAGATAGTTCGCGTGGGCAAGTCAACATACCCCGGTATTTTTCCGCAGGGACTTTATTTGCATAGCTCCAGTTACTAGCCCAACCCATTGAAATCACTTGGTTATTGAGGACATTAGAAAATGTCTGACTGGCGTAGAAGTCATTACCATGATCGAAAATACGAGCAGTTTTATCGATAGGAGTAAAGGTGATACCATCAAATTCACCAATAAAGTACTGAGTAATGCTTCCACCGTTGATGGGGGATCCGGGATTAACGGACACAACCAAAACCCAACGATGATCCTCTGTATTTTCGATTGGTAGACGGAAAAGATCTGGGCATTCGTATTGAGATCCTAAAATGCCAGCGGGACCAAACTCAGAAACCTTCTCCCAATTTTTCAAATTCGAAGAGCGGAAAATAGCTATGCGGAACTTTTGAGCGAGTGCAACAACCATCACCCAATGCTTTGTGTCTTCATGCCAAAAGACTTTAGGGTCACGAAATTGCGACTCGTTTAAATCAATAATGGGATTGTTTTCATACTTTATAAATGTGATGCCTCCATCTTGACTATAGGCGATATTTTGGGTTTCGCGGTCATCATAATGAGTCGTGTAAATGAGAACGATACGACCATCGGTGTTGGTGGGAATTCTTCCATGCGAATCTTTAAAGAATCCAGAAGTGTTGTCTTTATCGATAACAGCACTCCCGCTAAACATAAGACCACCATCTTCATTGGGGTACAGAGCTACTGGAAGATGGTTCCAATTATACAAGTTCCTGCTAATAGCATGACCCCAATGTTGATTTCCTGCTTCCATCCCGGTTGGATTCCACTGGTAGAATAAGTGCCATAAACCATTTGATTGCACAAGGCCATTGGGATCGTTCATAAATCCCTCTTGTGGCGTAAAATGAAGACAAGGACGAGTTGACATGTTTTTCTTTTCAATCTTTAGTCGATTTTCTCAAAAATACCCTCTCTTTGTGTCAATTTCGAAGATTCGGTACTCTTCAAGATATTGCTCGTGCGTCTGGAATAAGTAAAAACTTTGCCAGACGGATGGAAACTGCAAGTCTTAAAACACTGCTAATACTCACTTTACTTTCTATAATTACTTTGGAATTTTACTAGTAACATATATACATATATATATATACATATATATATCTCCAGATGTAAATTGAGAGCTTTTCCCTTAAATTTTTATAAATAAACATTAGCTTATTACTTTACCCTTATTTGAATAATTCTATCGCTGGCGTCGGTCGTTGGTTTCAACAATTTCCACACTTTCAAGACAGCAGCTACCTATGTGAATTGGATTGGGCTATACATAAAAAAAAAAAAAAAAAAAGAGTAAGTAAAAAGATTAGGTAAAAATGTACGTAAATAAGAAAAGCTATCAAATCGGGCGATACACAAAATCTAATGTAAATATAAAAATAGCTTCATCAAGTCAACCTTTTTTCAAGCATAGTTCATACTAATGAAAGTATGGCATCAATCATAAGTAACAGCTATTTATGCGTCAGCCTTGGGTTCAGACTCTTCCTCAGCAGGAACGTTGGAAGAAGCGGGGGTTTCTTGAGCACTTTCGGCATTGCCAGCAGCAGCTGCATTGTATTCGGCATCAGAAGTCCATAATGTGAGGTTGTCACGCAACAATTGCATGATCAAAGTAGAATCCTTATAGGATTCTTCGGAAAGGCTATCCAATTCAGAGATAGCTTCATCGAAAGCTTGCTTAGCCAAGTAGCAAGCACGGTCGGGAGAGTTTAAGATTTCGTAGTAGAAAACTGAGAAGTTAAGAGCAAGACCTAAACGGATGGGGTGGGTAGGAGCGAGTTCAGCTTGAGCAGACTCGGAAGCAGCCTTGTAGCCTTCAAGAGACTGGTCAGCAGAGTGCTTGCGCTTGTCACCAACGGCGAACTCGGCAAGGTAACGGTAGTAGTCACCCTTCATTTTGTAGTAGAAAACCTTGGACTCAGCAGAAGCAGCATTAGGAATGAGATGCTTCTCGAGAACAGTCAAGATGTCTTGGCAGATGGTGTCAAGCTCTTGCTCAATCTTGTGACGGTATTCCTTGATCAATTCAACTTGGGCAGTGTTACCCTTGCTCTCTTCCTTTTGTTCAATGGAAGAGACAATACGCCAAGACGCCCGGCGAGCACCAATAACGTTCTTATAAGCGACAGAAAGTAAGTTGCGTTCTTCAACAGTTAATTCTTGGTCAGTGGAGGCAACGCTTTTCATGTTTTCGACCATGCCTTGACTTGGTTAGTTCAACAATTCATAAAACAGAAAAAACCCAAATTTATCGGTTCAGCTAGCACATGACTCTTAATTTTGCTTATATGTCATAACCCAATTTTCCATAAAAATGAATGCCCTGTCGACACTCGCTTTCACCTCCCTTGTTATAGCATACGGGCTACTTTGCTACCATCTTCGTTTTTCCAATAGCCAAGTACGGTATAAAACTTGTATACGCCATAAATTAAAAGCTTCATGTGCTAGTACAGCAATACATACCTTCATAGCGCTCAGCTTGCTCAGCAAGCTTGGCTAAGTAAACAGCATCTTCACGAGAAGTAGTAGACATCTTTACTAACTAATGAAAATGTATGCTTAGTTGTGGTTGGCACTGGAAAGGTTTCGGAGTGCTGTGTGGGTTGAATAGGGGACTGCTTCATCAGCAAATTTTCGTAACGCTACGCAGTGCATAATACGCCTTTTCTTAAAGATACAACAACGGATTTTCCATAACATTTGGTAACAAAGAACGTTATCGAACACTTCGGGCTCCTGTAACTAGTCTGTCTGATGTATTCTCGTTCCAGAGTAATCCATTACCGGGCCTGGTCCCACATAACGCACAATAGTCATATGGTTAAACAAAGATAAAGTAACGTAAATAAAGGTAAGAAAAAATCGCGATAAAATAGAAAATAGATGGTGACGCCGATGAGTTGCCGTGAATTTCAAACAGAATAAATAACTTGGAGCTAAATTGGCCAAGATGGCTTCTTTTTTTTTTTGATAAATTAAATTCATTGTATGGTATCACATCTCATCTCGAATCCGGTAATGCAGTCTGCGAATAGCTAGGATGAATTTAAATGTCAAAGAAATGTAGTATGATTTGCACCGGGCATTTCTGCTAATATTGTTCTCGATCGAGAGCCATATAGATTGCTTAAAGAGGCTGACGAACCTGGTACCGTCGTTAATTATTAAAGTTGAACCTGTTTTTTCTCCTTCCCAGGTGTTTTTTATTTTTTGTAGATAAAAAATTTGGATTTTGCCAAATTAAGACACGTCTGCAATTCCTCCGGGAGTGATAATGTAACTACACTCAGCTTCAGGCATATCGGGGGAATCATTAAGTTTTGCAACACGCTCTTCTCCCCGTCCTTTTCTTAAAAGTAAGCGTGTAGCGCTGGCATGTGCCATGACATGGCCACCGACCGGTTTGCGATCGTTGGAAGCGAACATGAGAGCAGCACCAGGATCTGCTTGCACTTGATTCGTAACAAAAACGGCTACATTAAATTCCTCCGAAATGTGATTTAGCCGGGCCAACATGATATTGAGTTTTTGTTGTCGCTCTGACAGTTCACCTCTTCCAGAGTAATCTACTCGGAAAAGTGCCATAATAGAATCAACAATGAGAAGTCGATATTGACCATCTTCGGCGAAGATAGTTGCCAGTTTTGTGATATAGTCCATTTGCTGTTCAGAATTGTAAGCGCGACTAACAATGATGTTTTCCATTGTTTGATCAGGATCCAAACCATAGCGTTCAGCGATTGCTTTAATACGATCAGGACGGAATGTTCCCTCGGTGTCAATAAAAGCTACTTTCCCTTCTGCGCCGCCCATATCCCTAGGAAGTTGTGCGGCTACGCAGAGAGTATGAGACATTTGCGTTTTACCACATCTGAATTCGCCAAACACTTCTGTAATACTCATGGATTGAATTCCACCTCCCAAAATCCCGTTCAATGCTTCCGAGCCAGTGGAAATGCTCCATACTCGCTTACGGTTTTGGCTAATTTCCATTGCCGTAGCGAAATTCACCGGACACATCTTTGAAGCTGCTTCTTTGAGTTTATCTACTTTTGCTTCACTGAATCCCTTAATTTTTAGCAAGAATCTCTTGGTAGACATATGGACCCCCTGAACAGTACAGATTCCGGATTGTTTAAGACGAACAATATCAGTCATTCCGATGCCTTGAGAAATAATTGTTAGTATATTTAGTAATCTTTCCCATGGAAACATACCATGAGAAGTCAATTCTTCAATATCGCTGAAGGCCATCTGGTCTTCGCCAGTTGTGTCGACAATGTCTGTGATAGCACTCATTATGTTTTTATATAGGATCTATAAAGGTTATTCTATTGAATATACTAGAGATCTGGTTAAAGGATGCCTTAGAGAATAATATTCGCGTTTGGAGTTTTGTGAGAAGCGTGAATTCAGGACGCGCTCTTTATAACAAATATCTAAATCGGAATTGTAGGATATGGGCCATTTTAATACACATAATGAATTAGTAAATGAAAAAATAGTATATTTATGTATTTAATATACTATATATGCGCACTACATGCGCGCGTATACGCCAAACTTTTGTTTCCACTATTAAGACGCGTCGCGTAAACAAACTTTCTATGGTCAAATAAAGCGGCTTTACATGCTGAACGGGATAAAAAAAATAAGCTACATGTATAAATATTTCTCTCGCATTCATTCTCTGTTTATACTGCGAATATACTTAGGTTAAATCGCTTTTACTGAGTGTGTACTTGAACGGAATAAAAATGGAAAATCTAGATATTACAACAAGGTCTATGTAAGCAGAGAACTAAGCAGTTCCAATGGTAGAAACAGCAAATTTATACATGTCAAGGAACGACTCTGGGGTAGGGGAATGCATATCTCCGTCGTAAAGTTTGTCCATACACTTCAAGAGTAGCTTTTGCTTCATATATTCGGCGGAAGCACTAGCAAGAGCACGAGGAATGATGGGATCATTATTCATATAGGCAAGAAAGATAGGAATGCTTCTAGCAAAACTGGAAAGGGACTCTGGAAATTTGTGTTCAAGTGGAAGGAAACCAGAATGTCCCATGATACCAGCCAAGCGTTTAGGATATGTTAATCCTGCAAAGAGCGAAGCCATACAACCTTTTTACAGGTTAGTTATCAAATAAATGAGAAGCTAGAAATGACGATATGTCTTACCTTGAGAGAAACCACCGATCAATATTTTGTCGCTGGAAATACCTGCAGCTATTTCAGCGTCTATCAAATGGTGAATAATATTGACGCAATTAAGGATTCCTTCCTCATCTTGCTTGTTCAAATTATTAAAAGAATATATGTCAAACCTAATTGTGGATATGAATTAGTACTTGTTGTCATCCTCTGCAAGAAGTTTTGTAAAAAAAAACATACCAAGAAGGCATCTTAAAGTTATTGTTCGCGGTAACAGGAGCGATTGGTCTGAGAAGTTGCTGTTAATAAACATGGAGACTATTCACTGTACGTACGCGTTAGGGAATATCCATTTTACATGACCCATAGATTTGAATTGCTCTGCCATAAATGACCATCCATGACCCGAATCGCCAAGGCCTAAAGTGTTAGAGAGTTTTCGTCTTTCAAACGCCAGGACACACTAAAGGTACTGTGTTGTTACTATTGCCCAAACATACCGTGAAGAAAAATGACGGTCGCCTTATGTGTCAAAGTAGGATTTATGATGGCTGAAGTTATTTTGGAAGCCATAGTATTTTTGAATGGTGTATGTACTACAAAAATTTGTCTTTAAGAAAAAGCTGCTCGTACTTGGTAAATTACCGTTCCTGTAAATGTTTTTTCTTAAAAGTGTGATTAAGCTTAACAATTTTAGCGAGCGATAGTGACGAAATCTTGGTATGGCTATTAAAGTCAAAGAGAAGTCTGAAAATTACTGTTACAAAAGTTAACAATGGGGAGCTTGGAACTCTTACTTTTTGTGATGGGATGCATATGAAAATACCAACCAGAATCTATATTCATATACACCTAACTGAAATGAACAAGACATGTAATCAATTATCTAGGTAAGGTCATTAAACGTATAGACATGGAGTGTTGAGAGTCACAGAGGTTGTGTAGAATTATAAGGAGTATTATTAATAAGGGTTCCATGAAGCCCATAATAACAAGGAAATTGAATAGGATAAAATAAAATAAAGAAAAAAAGAGAAGCTTGGGTATCCCGCCCAATAACAAGAAACACATGAACCGTAAAGAGTAGTAACAAAAGGCCAAAGAAGAGCATCATCCAAAGCTAAACAACGATAAAGAATATGTACTGAACCAAAAAAAATAAAGAATAGAGAAAGAAGAAAGAAGAAAGGAAATAGAATATCACAAAGGAAACGCAGGCGACTCAAATTAACGAGCGGACTTTCGTAAGCGTTTACTATGCTGTACGAGATCATCAACGACTGTTTCATAAAGCAATTTATCATTGAACGAAGAGTCGCGTTTATCAGTCCAGTACTGTGCTAAAGCAGTGGCTTCGGAAACATATTGCTTCAACATATTTATGTGCTTGACTAGGGCATCGGAAGATCGAGATGCAAGTATTTCGTGAGTAGTACAACATAACCGGCGTGCAACTGTATAATTGAACGAAGGTTCATTTTCTAGTTGTGTAGAAGAAGTCGAGATTTTAAGAATATTTTTAAAAGAAGCGGAAGAGGAAGACGGGTTCGATTGTGATGGTAACAGCTCATCCAAATCAACAGGTAACCCCATAGAGACTAAAAAGATATGCCGAATGCTAGAGCGTAGCCAGTCGGGGCGTTGAAGAACGGGCATTTCAATGAGTTTGTCCCATAAGGATAGAATTCTTTCAAGATCAAGAGGAGATTCGGGAAGATGTTCTGGATCTTTTGGAGGACCAAATACAGCGTGTAGAGAAGCTTCAAAGTTCTCAAGCCAATGTTCTCCCTCAAAAGTCGTGACAGGTGTCTCCATCTCTACTTCGCCGAACTCGCCGAAATCATCAAAATCATTGCTTTCATCTAATTCATGCTCTTCTTCTTCATTATTTTTCTCTTCTACTAGATGATCATCATGGTCTATTTCTTCTTCCATTGCCTTTGACTCATCCATTCCAAAAGATTGCAGCTCATCTACAGGAGAAGCAATGCTTGCGGTATTGGTCTCTTGTAAGGAATCACTGCTTTTTGTTTCCTTGAGTTTCGTATGGTTTGTATTTTCAGCATTTATGCTAGTGGAGGACGGTTCAAAGTCGGATTCCTCATCTTTGATAGGATCTTGGCTGTTTCCTTCGTCCAAAGACCGTCGAACAGACGAAGTATCGAGATCCATAAGAATACAGATACAAAGACCTACTTGACGATTCTGTATGTAGAGTACGCGTGCTAGTTTACCAAATACGGAAATGGAAGGAAACAATGCTAGCTATTTTCAGTTCTGTCTTAAAATACGGTGAACTTTTATAAACAGTCTTAAATCATATCACTATTTTTTTAAATTTTGTAAACAAAAGAAATGTGTTTATATAAACAAACAGAAACGACATGTGATGGGACTAGTGGATATTCTTTGATTTTTTTCATTTCATTTTTTTGAAACTAAAAAGTTAAGGAAATTTTTTTTTTGGACATGTACCTGACGTTGAAGGTTTGGGCAATGCAAATAGAAATCAAAGCTATCGTTATGTGTTTGTAGTATGCATCAATAAAGAAAAAACAATATAACAAATCCAATGAATCAGGTATTTCATCCAAGGCACGTTGCTGTGTGGACGTAGAAACTAAAACTAAAATCCGTATATACATATATAGAGGATCATGGTATAATGTGAAATGGACAAGATTTTTATCGACTTGTCAGAATTGCTGATATTATAAACTATGCTATGCTGCTATACATAAAAAATAGACTATTTCATTTCTATTTGCTAAACTCGTTCATCAATAGAAAACGAACAATTTGCTTTCATTAAGCTCAGTTGAAATTCACAGATTCTATGGGATTGGGATCATAAAAGAAGGAAATCAGTTTTGAAGCCCTTAGGGAATTGGTATACTACAAAAAAGAGAGAGAGAGAGAGAGAGAGAGAGAGAGAGAGAGAGAGAGAGAGAGTAAAAAAGCCTAAACAACAAAGGAGTATGTGTGAAATCATAGAAATCCGAAAAAGATTGTTTAAGCATGACCATTTTTAGGGGCATTGCTGGATTGCTCCTTTTGTAAAATTTCCTTGGCGGATTCAAGAACGGGTTTAGCAGATTCCAATTCAGGTAAGCCTTCATAAACTGGGTTATCTACGATAGATTGAAGGTCATCCGAAGCCTGTTGCAAGCGACGTAGAGCATCTGGAAGAGCACGAAGATGTTGTTTCAAAACAAATTTCTACGCCAAAGTTAGCTTATGACTACTTTCGGCGACAGGATGAATCCAACATAGTGTGGGATACAAGGTGGACGAATATCCTGTTCAATCATCACATACCTGGTGCTCAATTTCATGTTCATCTTCTTGATTGTCGATACGAGCTTGCACGCGCTCCTTGGCATCTTGAATATCGATGTGTGCAACCTGGAAAATCTGGTCAGCAAAATGGGTTTGTTATTTTGTCAAGGCATACCTCGACATCCTTCAAAATGCGTTTTACAACATTCGTTTTTATGTTGACAGTTCTGCTTGGGTTGGACATGTTGATTTCCGGTTTGAGTCTAAAAAATAAGATTCTGGGAAAAGGATCGAAAACAAGGAACTCATAAAGAAGTAACAGGATACCTAGTTTCTGCTAGGTAAGCAAGAAAGAAAGTCTATAAAGAGGAACAGAGCATAAATTACAACTGTATGTTGCAATAGAGTGTTCCTTAAAAACAAAACCCCCAAGGGAAAATAGAAAACAACGCTCTGCGTTTGATGCTTTTCATTTATTGGATCCTACGATTGATTTCCCTCGAAATTCAATGAACAAAGTCCATTCTCAATTCAACTTGCGAGAGAAATCAAAGATCCAATAAATAAAAAGTAAATAAACAAAAACAGATGCGCCACCCAACGAATGCTTTTCCTCAACACTTGTTTGTTGGATAAATCAACAAATCAACTTTCTATTTACTAAGGTGCCAGAGGGAACTTCACTATATAGATCTTTCAGTTCTAATGAAAAGGATTTCTGTATCGCCGGCTTTAAAGCGACCCAAGCTACCGTTCGCTCCTATACATTTGGTGCACTAGAAACAAGCAAAGTAAAGAAGAAAAGCATAGAAAACCATCCGAAACCAGTTGACTACCTTGAAACAAAACTTGCTCCTTACAAAATGATATCACTGACAACTACCAGCAAGAACGCTTGCTTGATCTGATAAGATGGACTTGACTTGCCTCAAAGCGTACTGTATCATACAAGAAAAAAAAAGGCTGGTACAAACAAAAATAAGAACTAAATAAAAAAAAACGTAAACTTATTCGGAATCCAGTTCACTTAAAGTATTCCTACAAAAGAAAAAAGAAAAATCAATTCGACATCTCCCTTCTTTTTTTTTAATATACCGTAGACAAATATTCCCTCACTAATAAACAAATGAGCTGTGGGTTTCATATACCTTGCCAAAGAAAAAAAAAAAAAGTCCTATGTAACATAGTTCAAATAATATCGATCGCTTTAACTTTTTTTTTTTTATGATGATAGTTCTTTGAAGAATACTACTGATTATTTTCATTTCTTTCTGGAGAAACTTGTGGTGGGCTGCCATTTTTCACGGTTTGAGCTGGTTTTCCACCAAGTCCTGCCATCGAGATAAAAAAAGGAAAGAGCTTGTACTTGGTTACGTACAGTGCAGTTTTTCCATAATCAAATGAGATCTATGCACAATGAAATCCGAATCCTTTGTCAGTGGTCTTACTTTTTTTTTATTTTTTATTTTTATTTTTAAGTTTCTTTAGCTCATATAAGTCATTGTTTTGGCCCGTTAAGTAGCTTTCTTCACATTGACGTTTTTGCCATCGATTTGGGTTAATCATTTGTAAGCATAGAGAAAAGCTTGAATCATTTTCTCCAAACATAGTCCAATAAGTTTTGGGTTTCTTTTCCTTTTGTATCGGGCTTGAAATACTAAGTGCGACAAAAAGTTGCTATATCTTTTGTTTTTGTGACTTTACGTAGGAACTTTTCAAGATCAATCAGCCTTTCGAGGGAGATATATATATATATCTATATCTAGCAGATTTTTGTATATATAGCTGCTACAAATCATCGTCTTTTTCTTTTCTGCTGTCTTGTTTGTACCAGTATTCACTCTTGTTGGATTCTTCTTTCTTTGCGAATTATCCAAACCAGCTCCTTAGAAAATTATTTTCATTATCTTTTTATAACTTTATATATCATGTCGCTTGCAATGTTTTCATTAAAGGGAAAAACCGCCATTGTTACGGGTGGTTCCGGTGGTATCGGATTTGCTATTGCAAAAGCTTTGGCTGCTGCTGGCTCCAACGTCGGTCTCTTATACGGTAGAAACAAAAAGGCTATCGAATATGCCCGTGAGCTTCGCGAAACTTACAATGTAAAGTCTGAAGCCTACTCTTGCTCCATTGAAAAGCGCAGTGCTGTCATTGAAACTACCAACCGTGCAGTCGAGGAACTCGGTGGTCGTCTCGACATCATGGTTGCCAATGCTGGAATTGCCATCCCACACCTTGCCCTGGAAGACGAAAATGAAGATACTTGGACAAAGGTTGTTAATGTCAACCTCAATGGTGCTTATTACTCTGCCCAAGCCGCTGGCCATTTCTTTAAGAAGCAAGGCAGTGGTAGTTTGATCTTCACTGCTAGTATGAGTGGTCATGTTGCCAATTGGCCTCAACAGTGGCCTTCCTACCACGCTACCAAGGGTGCCGTCAAGCACCTTGCTCGTGCTCTCGCTGTTGAATGGGCTGGCTTTGCTAGAGTCAATTCCGTCTCCCCCGGATACATCGATACTGACTTGACTCTCTATGCCGACGAAAATCTCCGCAACCAATGGAAAGATTTGACTCCCCAAGGTCGCATTGGCTTGCCCGAAGAATTGGTTGGTGCTTATGTCTACCTTGCCTCAGATGCCAGTTCCTACTGTACAGGTACAGACATTGTCGTCGATGGTGGCTACATCTCTCGTTAATCATGTTCCTTTTCAATGACCGTAGCGTTCCTACCATCATTCGACGCAAAATATGTCGTCTACCAATCTCGGTTATGCTATGCCTTTTCTTTTCTTCTTAGAAAATATTTTTTGTCTTTATTCTTTTTCATGATTATTTCATACATATATAGATTCTTGGTTCTCTTTAGAAATGAACAAAAATGCTTTCAAATTTTTCATTTTCTGCTGTAGTTTTTCTTTTTTTGTTCAAATCATTTTCACAAGTCTAATTATTTATCTTTTTCAATTTCATTTCAAACCCAATAGTTTCCTATTTTTTGTCAGAGGCATCCTTTCCCTTCTCTTGAGTAATGGCTTGCATAACCATTTTCTTTTTCTTTTTTTTTCTTTTTTTTTTGTATTCTCCGACTCAGTTCAATTTTTCTGTCTTCCTGATTAACCGCTTTTTTTTCTCTTGACGCTTAAATTCCTTCCCAAAGCAATATCGGTCACCATCCATCATAATGGAAGTTCCCATCGTCGAAGATTCCAGCACCTTTCAAGAATCCCCCGAGTCTCTCCAACTCATTGAAGCTGCTAAGCAATTGGACCTAGCAAAGGTCCAAGAGATGGTTAATCAGGGAGCTGTCACTGCTGCTTTAGATGTTGACAGCGGTAAAAACGCTTTGCATTTCGTGGCCTCCAGCGCTAATGCAGAAACCGAAAAAAAGGCTGTAGAACTTGCTAAATGGATGTTAGCTAATGGAGGAACTTGGAATGGCATCGACAGATCTGGTGAAACACCCGGCTGTATCGCTCGTCGCAAAAATTTAAACGAACTCTATGAGACAATTGTCGATGCAGGCGTCCGCTGTGAATTACTTCTCTCCCTTATTGAAAGAAAAGACAGAGTCAATGAGCGTCTGGACACCAATGAAAAATATTTACAAAGCACCCTTTCATATACGCAACCTACTGAAGACAGTACTAGTCTTCTGGACAGCGACGCAAATGCTGTCATGATGTCTTGGGAAAAGAAAATCATGCAGCGTTCTGCAGAGATTATAGCTCCTAAGCCTGGTTGCCGTGTCTTAAATGTCGGGTTTGGATTGGGCATTATCGACTCTTTTCTACAAGAAAGGCAGCCATCTATGCATGTAATTATCGAACCCCACCCCCATGTACTAGCGTTTATGCGGAAAACCGGTTGGATGGATCGCCCAAATGTTGTTGTTTACGAGACTACTTGGGAAAATGCCATTCAGGATATCGCTTCCAAATACGTCTTTGATGGTATCTACTATGACGCCTTTGCTGAAAGCTATGAAGATTTACGAAATTTTTTTGACTCTGTAGTTGGTATTTTAGATCCTGATACTGACTCTAAATTTTCCTTCTTCAATGGCTTAGGCGCTGATAATCAGACTTTCTACGATGTTTACAAAAAGTTAGTACCTATCGATCTTGCCTCCTTTGGCTTTAACTGTACCTACGAAGTTATGCCAACAAGTAGTACAGAGAACGAATGGGAGGGTGCAAAGCGTCGTTATTGGAATGTCGTTGATTATTTTCTTCCCATCATTACATTCGACTTGTAGACTTGTAAAGCCGAAAGATGATAAGGACTTATGTTTTGATATTTTAAATAAAATAGGGTATGCACGGTTCATTTTCGCTGAGTGTAGTCATTGCAAATGAAAAGAAGGATCAGTTTATTGTATAGATAGTGTAAGTCGCTGGATGCTATACTCCATAATCAGAGTTTATAGAACATGAACCCATGTAAATTTTTTAAACTATACGAAATGTGCAACTAAAAAGGGAAAAATCTTCATAAATTTTATTTCTATAGGACACGGAAAAGAGGGTCAATTGTTCACCTCGCATACTGAGCTAATATATACATACGAAAGTAAGCTTTCAATGCGAACAGCATCATGCGTAAAACTACGCGGAAGCAAAAGGTAACTAACCAGAAAATTCATGCACCTAAATGAACATTTTACATAAACGTACGATGGACGAAAACAAAACAAGTAAATATAAACGAATCATGGACAACATTCAAATCATTTTTCTAGTAACGCTTCCAAATATTTCGGAGCAACACATTAAAATTCACTTAATAAAGATTCAATTGCACCTTGAACGTTACCACCACTTCGGCGGAGGGCGCGAACATTTTGCTCAAAGTCAACGAATCCCATTTCATTAAGTTGACTCAATTGGTGAGCATATAGCTCTTCAGGAGGTTGACTGCTCTGAGTTGGAACTGCTGTGGCAGCAGGACTGACTCCGCCTCCCATACCGCTTCCAGAAAGGTTATTGAGTAAGCCTTGGATCGTGCTGGCAGCAGAGTTTGGATCAACAGATCTGTCAGCGGCTCCAGGACCGGCTGCATTAGGGTTTAAACCACCCAGGCCGCCTAAACCACCTAATCCGCCTAAACCGCCTAAACCACCAGACTCGCCCATTAATGCCGATGGGTCAATACCAGCAGCACCAAGTTGTTGTTGCATTTGAGCCATTTGACGCATCGTATCAGGATCAGTCATGGCACGTCGGAACTCAGGCGACTGCATCATTTGACGTACATAAGGAGGAGCATTACGGAGATGAGGACTACTGTTAATGATCATGTCCAGCATCTGGGGATTGGAAAACATTTCGTTAATGGATGACTGAACCATTGGGTTCGACAACATGTTGGCGAGGTCATCAGTGGATGGAGGTACAGGGTTTTCAGGATTAGGACCAAACATAGAAGCAGAAGGGAGGGGTATATTGTATCCAGCATAGCGGGCACTTGTGAGATTAGCTAATGGATCGTTTGCGCCCTGTCCTGCCTGAATATTAGTTGGCACTTGTTGTGTGCGATCTTGAACGTTACTGGCAGCCGCCGTAGGATTTTGCCCTAAAGAACGAACCAAGTGGACACTTTGACCATCTTGAATTTTATAAGTGTTTAGATATTCTTCATCTTTCAAAACTCGTCCAGCGTAGATTAGTCTTTGGCGTTCAACCTCAACATTTGCAACAGGGGCAATAATCTGCTTCAAATTTTTGACGGTAGATTCACTGTCAACAGTAACAGTGTACTTTTGGTCATTCGCAGCTTTGATCGTTAACGAAATGTTTGTCATCTTAATTGCACTTGGTATGTTTTATCCTTCTATAATTCTCTCTAAAGATGACTAGTGTCGGTGTTAATTCTGTAATTCCGAAAACCAAGAACCCGGTATATCACCGGAGTTTACCGAACGTGGAAGAAGACATCACATAGGCAACGTGAGGGAAACACTGCGAATTTCAAACCCTAGCTACAATGGGTAAGTTATTTCGTTTGGTGATATAATATGATCCAGTTTAAATACTAACTATGGATTTAGCCTTTAATCAAGGAAACAACCAAGGAACAGGGTTTTCGTTCGGTTCTTCAGCACCAAATAATACAGCCAGCCAAGGAACAGGCGCGTCCTCCGGTACAAACTTATTTGGAGGAAATTCAGGAAATAGTGGAGGTTTGTTTGGATCTGCTTCGAATGCCGCGAAACCAGGGGGAGGCTTTAGTTTTGGCTCCAATGCGTCTGATGCTGGCAACAAGCCCAGCTTTTCCTTCGGACAACCAAAGCCAGGGGGTGCTTCATTGTTTGGTAGCTTAAACAAGCCTGCTACAGAAACAGCTGCTGGATCCTCGCCGGCCGGCGATGCAAATGCCAACACAAACCAGCCTGCTCAATCTACTACACAACCATCAGGTGGTAGTCTTTTCTCTTTCGGTGCTAAACCAGCAGCTCCTGCAACTGGTACTCCTAGTAGTACTGGTACTGGAACAGGTGGATTCTCGCTAGGAAGTGGTTCCAATTCTGGAGGCTTGTTTGGGCAGAAACCGGCTAACAATGCTGCTGCTGCTTCGTCGACAGCTCCATCCCAAGACAAACCTGCAGCTGGAGGTTTTAGCTTCGGAAAACCCCAAACTTCCTCTACTACTACAGCTGGAGTTACTGAAAACAAACCCAGTACAACCACTTCAGGTGGATTCTCTTTTGGTGGTGCTACTGGTGCTGCAAAGCCTGCTGAAAACAAACCCAGTACTAGTGCTTCAGGTGGATTCTCTTTCGGTGGTGCTACTGGTGCTGCAAAGTCTGCTGAAAACAAACCCAGTACTAGTGCTTCAGGTGGATTCTCTTTCGGTGGTGCTACTGGTGCTGCAAAGCCTGCTGAAAGCAAACCAGCTTTCTCTTTTGGTGGTGGATCTGGAAGTAAATTAGGTACTTCCAGTACCACACCTGCTTCGAACGAAGCTAGCAAACCATCAACGGATACCACGAAACCAAGTACGACAGCCCCTACTCAGCCTTCTGGTGGATTTTCTTTCGGTAAGCAAGACTCTTCTTCCAAACCGGCAACCACGGGCTCATTGTTTGGCTCTAAACCCGGCGAGACGAATATAAACAAACCTGATGCTGCTAAAGATGCTACTTCAAAACCTGCTGCGGCCGGGCCTGTGGAATCCCCACCTTCATCTATAAAGCACAAAACTTTACAAGAAATTCTTAATAAATGGTCATCAGACCTCAATACACAAACCTCAGTGTTCAACAAACTGTGTGATCAAGTTGCTGATTGGGATAAGGCTTTGGTAGATAATGGAGCATTAATTTCGAAATTATATGCAGAAACAGTGGATGCTGAACAGTTATCAAATCGGGTTGATGATGGACTTGAATATGTTTCCTCTAGTCAGCAAGAGCTATTTAAATTGTTAGATTCTTATGAAGCACAGCTTGAATCCTTTGATGGTCGTACCCCTACCGCGCCCAATGTGGAGCGCGAGCGTGCTTTTAATGTTGCTGATGACATTTTGGGTCGTCTCGACAGACTTGGAGAAGATTTGGGAACTGTAATTAATCAAATGAACGACTTCTCGAAGCCTGATGACTCTATATCTGAAATTGTTAAGGTGTTGAATGCTCAATTATCAAGTTTGGGATGGGTGGAAAATAGGATATTCCAGATGGAAGAAAAAATAGAAAGCGTCAAAAAAAGGAGTAATGATGTTTTATTTTGAATTGAAAGATATTACATATGTTAATTAGGGATATCGATTAATGTTAGTCTCTTTGGAATTCGTGAGTCCTGTAATAAATTTAGATATAAGCATGTGGATTTTTATGTATGCATAGTTGTCATGGAATTGAATTTGTTGCTTTTGCGTTTCTTTTACATAAATACATATAAAGATGTATAATTTTCTTGTATAATAGTAAAAGTTCTCGCTACTGTATCCAATAACTACTCTACGGACTAGCACTCTTGTAATGCTGTTGTTACGTACAGCACAGAAACGAAGCTACTACCAAATATCCTCCTCTCTTCAGTAACGTTAGGAAAAACTATAAGCAGCCTTTAATTTTTGAAAATGGTATGTTATTTTTTTCTTAATAAACTAACCATAGCCCGTTCTTTCTCGTTTGTTTCACTACGGTGTTGATTTAGCATTACTTTCTACCTGCATCGCAGGAATTCGTCGTTCTTCTGGAGTCTCGTAAGTTTTTTTTCTATTTGTAAATCATACTAATGCAATGGCATTAGATTTGACATGGAGAAAGTCCATAATGAAGACGTGAAGCTCGCCGTCGAAAAGTATCTTGGTTTTGGCGAATGGGCGTTTGATCAATCCACTACTTTCCTATCAGCTACAGATTGGTTTAAAAAGTTGTAAACAATGGTTTTCGAAACCTGGATTTCCTCTGAATAGTATATAATTTGGGGAAGCTTGTTTGCTTAATCTGTCAGTATGATTTTGGAGCATACTTTTTTTTTTCTGCAATCGCTTGCCAGGTAGCAGTTTTTAAAAAAGTTTTACTTTCCAGTGCTCTCTTAATTGGCGTGGTAGTTCCTTTGACGAACGGGCACTCTTTTGTCAGATATTCAATTACACATTATAATATTTGGACAGTTGTTTTCTTTTGTTTGAATTATATGTCTAAACTATGAATACCCATTCTTTTTCAGAGGAGTAATTGACATTATACGTGTAGTTTTATCGCAAGAAATAGGATATGCCAATATCTAGTAGTATGTGAAGCCCTCTAGAGTTCGGTAGGATTGTACTTGGGTAACTGTCCTTTAAATTTCGTTTACCAGTAGTAGTAAAAAGTCAAAAACCTTTAAAAATTGTTCGTTAGTGCCTAAGCTGCAAATATCCGTTGAAAAACTAGCAGCACCTAATGATTATCTATTACAACTGCCCATCGTCTATATTCATTATATTATAATCTTTTAAAATTTAAATTAGCTTATTGTTTCTCAATTCTATGGTGGTTTCCTTTTTTTTTTTTTTTTTCATTTCAACAGTAAGCTAACGGTCCTTACAAATTTCAGTTTTTCTGTCGTCGTTACCATTCCATTGGGAAGAGATTGATATACCAAAATAATTTATTATCTCATATCATCTAATAATCACTATTTTACTACTAAGATGTTCAAATGCCTAGTTAAATCCAAATCAATTCGTATTTTGTTATTTCCATTTTACTATTTATTAGTGAAGGAGATTTATACTTCGGTATACACAACAGTAATAACCACCACAAGCATTTACACTTATAAAACAATATATACTCTTTATTGTAATGTATATTTAGGATTGTAACTCTTAAAGAATGTTATCTGTTCTGCGTTACAGGTGGCTGTCAATTACCATACAGAAGGGTTCGAACATTGATTCTTTTATTATCTAGAATCAGATTGATTTAGGTAGAAATACGGAAGTAGAACCACTTTCCTTCGGATTTTTTGGATAGGATGGGTGTTCCAGCACTTTTTCGACTATTGTCGAGAAAATTTCACAAAGTTATTACGCCCGTAGTCGAGGCACCGACTCAAACACTTCCTGATGGTACAGAAATTGGACCGGATTTGAGTCTTCCAAATCCCAATGGTGAAGAATGCGATAATTTATACCTGGATATGAATGGTATCGTCCATCCTTGTTCGCATCCTGAAGACCGACCTGCACCTGAGACCGAGGATGAGATGATGATAGCTATTTTTGAGTATACCGATCGTATTATGGCAATGGTTCGTCCGAGAAAGTTACTGTACATAGCCATTGATGGCGTAGCTCCTCGTGCAAAAATGAATCAGCAACGATCACGTCGTTTTCGATCCTCTCGTGAAGCTGCCCAAAAAGAAGCTGAACTTGAGATTTGTATCGAGGAAGCCAAAAAACAAGGAATTCCCGTTGACGAAGAGGCGACCAAGAAAAAAGCCTGGGATAGCAATTGCATTACTCCAGGAACGCCGTTTATGGATACATTGGCTAAATCATTAAAATATTACATTATTAATAAACTAAATACTGATCCTTGCTGGAGAAACACTCGTTTTATTCTGTCAGATGCATCAGTGCCAGGTGAAGGTGAACACAAAATTATGGAATTTATCCGTTCCCAACGTGTGAAACCAGAATACGACCCTAATACTCGTCATGTAGTATATGGATTGGATGCTGATTTGATTATGCTTGGTTTGGCTACCCATGAACCTCACTTCCGCGTACTACGTGAGGACGTATTTTTCCAACAAGGAAGTACCAAGAAATCAAAGGAGGAGCGGTTAGGATTGAAACGTTTAGACGAAACATCAGAAACGAACAAAGTTCCTGTAAAGAAACCATTTATTTGGTTACACGTTAGTGTTCTGCGGGAATACTTAGAAGTGGAGCTTTATGTTCCTAATTTACCTTTCCCATTCGATCTCGAACGAGCAATTGATGACTGGGTATTCTTCATTTTCTTCGTTGGTAATGACTTTCTTCCTCATCTTCCAAGTTTAGATATCCGTGATGGTGCTGTAGAACGACTTACTGAGATCTGGCGTACTTGCCTTCCGCATATGGGAGGTTACTTAACCTTGGATGGGTCAGTCAATTTAACACGAGCTGAGATGATTTTGACTGCTGTTGGTGATCAAGAAGACGACATTTTTAAACGTTTAAAGCAGCAAGAAGACCGTCGAACCGAAAACCAGAAGCGTAGAGCACAAAGAGAAGCCAACCAAAATGATTCTTCTTATTTGGATGATACAATAATACAGCGCTCAGCGAAAGTTGAAACGTCTCAAACAACCACTGTTCCTTCAGTTGATACAAGCGGTGCTGAGGATACGCGGCCTAGTAAAGCACGTAAAACAGATGCTCCCGCTCCTGAGAATTTGGTAAACTTATCTGAAAGAACTTCCAATAGATCTTTAAGTGCAACAAATAAAAATCTCATTAACAATCGTGCTGCTAATCGCCTTGGCCTTTCTAACGAAGCTGCAACTACTTCCTCCATTAATAAAATTGCTGCCGCGAATTTAAAATCTCAAATGACTTCAAACGAAACCCTTCGTGCCGTGCCTATTGAAGAGGTTGTTTCCTCCCCTACCCCTAGTGCAACAGACGATATAGCAAGTTCTGACCCTAGTGGTTTAGCAACTCCTATTGAACCAGCTCCTGTTTCAGCTGGCATGAAGCGGAAAGCTGGAGACACTGCCGACGAGGAGGCCTCCACAGATACAGTTCGCTTGCACGAGTCTGGTTATCGGGAGCGTTATTATGAGCAAAAATTTGGATTTTCTGTGACCGATACCGATCAGTTAGGGGAAGCGGTCCGTCATTATGTTCATGGATTATGTTGGGTTTTATTATATTATTATCAAGGATGTCCTTCGTGGACCTGGTATTATCCATATCACTACGCACCCTTTGCTGCTGATTTCAAAAATTTATCTTCTATTGATGTAAAGTTTGATGTAAATCAACCTTTTAGACCTTATGAGCAATTATTGGGTGTACTTCCTGCTGCGAGTAGAAACAATTTGCCTGAGAAGCTACAACCATTAATGACAGAAGCAGATTCGGAAATTATTGATTTTTATCCAGAGGACTTTGTCATAGATTTGAATGGTAAGAAGTTTGAGTGGCAGGGTGTGGCATTGCTTCCTTTTATTGATGAGAATCGCTTGCTATCTGCAGTTTCCAGAATTTATCCTTCACTTAGTGAAGATGAAGCCAGGAGAAACACGAGTGGATCTTCGTTACTCTTTGTTTCAGAACATCATCCCATGTACCCGGAAGTTGTAAAACACCTGTACTCTAAAAAGAAACAAGGGAAACCTTTAAAGTTATCAGGGAAAGTGGGACATGGCATTTTTGGTAAGGTCAGCAACGATGATTCCATCCTACCAAATGTTTCCGTACAGTGTCCAGTGGACGTTACTACGGCTGAGGCACTTCAGAAATACGGCAACATTGAAAATAACCAAAGTTTAAGTCTGCAGTTTGAAGTTCCAAAATCAAATTTCGTTCATAAGTCGATGCTTCTTCGGGGAGTTAAGATGCCCTCTAGGGTATTGACACCAGAGGATGTCAGTATCGTTCGTGCGGAACGCAACAATGCTGGACGTCGAAACAACGGCTCTTTCCGAGGAGGTGGCCCTCGAAGAGGCGGATATCAAGGTGCTCAGCGCTCATTTTATCAGTCACAAAACTATAGCTACAACCAGCAAGCATATACCGGTGTTACCAACGGATTTGCCCAAACAGGTATACAACCGCCATGGAACAATGGAAGTGGTTTTCCAAGATCTGCTAATGCATATAGTGCAAGAGGTGGATATGGTCAACAGGGCTATTCATATGGTAACTCTCAAATGAATAATCGTGGTAATCCGTACAGCTATGGATATCCTCCTGCCAACGGTTATAATGGAAAGGGCGCTTATCGATGATTTTATCGTTAATTAAATTAAAATATTAATGACATAAACGGTTTTGTAAGGGTATTTTGAACTTTTAGAATTACTTCATCCCTGTATTCATACACAGACATTTAGTTGAACTAATTAATTAATATCATACCATTTTAAGAAAAAAAAAAATCTAATTTTCATTAAGTTTTAAAGGTTTTGTTTCTGAATAGATGTCAAAACGGCGCTGGGTGTATAAAGAAATGCTTTTACGAATCGAAGCCATTTTCTCTGGATCAATATCAGCATAGACAATACCAGGCTTTTCATCCATAGTAGATAATACGACGCCATCAGGCCCAACAACAGTAGAGTGACCCCAGGCATGATAAGTGGCAGATACATCACGAGCTGGAGAGCAAGAAGCGACATAAATTTGATTGTCAACAGCACGAGCTCGGGCAAGAAGCTCCCAATGTAAAGGACCGGTGGTAAGGTTAAAAGCACCTGGATATATCATCATAGAGCAACCATTCCTAGCAGCAACTGTAGCCAATTCTGGAAAGCGGATGTCGTAGCAGATTCCTAACCCGATTTTGCCAAACTCGGTTTCCACAATTGTCATAGAATTACCAGATTTCAATGTTTCAGACTCACGGAATGTCATTTTTCCTGGGAAATCCACGTCAAATAAGTGGATTTTACGATGAATACCTATCAAGTCACCGTATGGGTTAAAAACCATGGAAGTGTTGTAAAGTTCGCCATCTTTTCTTTCAGGAATGGATCCTCCAAACACATAAACTTTTAGTTCTTTAGCAATAGAATGCAAGGTGTTATACGTAGGAGAGGTTTTTTCAATTGTCTCAGCGTATTCGTTGAAATATTGATTACCATAAGGAGAATTGAAACATTCAGGCAAAACGACCATTTTTGAGCCATTTTGTACAGCTTCTGAAATTTGAGAACGCGCGTTCTTCAAGTTTTCATCTTTATTAGAAGTGGAAGCAAGCTGAATGAGTCCAATTCGGAAAGGACGAAAGTCCTTTGGAACAAGAGAGGCGTTAAAATGGTTCATTCTATAAGAAAAAGATTTTGATAGCAAAAATGGGTTGGTCTTTCGAATGCCCTGCCAAAACGAAGTAGTAACGTTGGTAAACATATATAAGTGAAAAGTCTGCCTCGCAATGACTGATAAGATTACACAGTATTATAGTATATAATGAACAACATATAAGGAAGAAAAGAATAAAATACAGATATTTAGTATTATAAGAAGATCAATCTTTTTTTAATACTTTACAAATTACTCTTACACACGACCAGTTTTTGTCTCACAAGACATGTAGTCGACCTTTTTTCTTTTCTTAGAAAAGGTACAATCAGATTAGTTATTATTAATAGGAAATTAGTACCAAAATGAATGTTCAAAGAAATAAATGTTTCATCAGAAGAAAAAAGATCAATAATAAATAGGTTTCACATTTGGATAGAGACATAGCAGAGTCTCAAGGGGCAGATAAAAAGAGCGTATTTCATCAAGTTTTCAGATTCTGTAAAAACCGAATCATATCAAACAGACAAGATGATATTGTCAACGTAAACCAAAGACACACCAGAAGTTAAAGCGCAAACATTACTGACGAGGGCATACACTCGCCGTGGACTGCCATTTAAAATTATCTTTTGCTTTTTATAATAAATGAGTAGTATCTTGTGCGCTGTTACGAGTAACACTTAGAAAACATGAATGCATCTTTTTTTTCAAAAGAAAAAAAAATCATAATCAACTGGAATGCTTGACTCTTATTTAAAGAAAGCGAGCAAGTAAGAGAAATAACAGTAGAAAGAAATGTTGTAAATTGACCCGACTCTTTATTCAGCATATCGCTGAAGGAAATACCTATTCGGCCAGACTATCCGTATCTTCTTATTTCTTAAAGTCATGTCTCTCGATACTTAACAAATTGCCTCTGCTGCAACAACGATTGCATGTCTTTACATGCAAAGTCGGACAATTCCTCAGATGAGGGCAGTAATAGTCCGTTTAAAAGCATTAGCTCTAAATAATGCAAGCGAGTCGTATCCTGTGTTACTTCTTTGAGAAAATCAATTCCCTGTTCTTTAAAGTTTGGTCCAGCAGCAACTGCTAGCAAAACCTTTTCTGTCTCATTCGCTTTTAGACCTTCCATGAGATATTTATCAGGATCTACTGATGACAGATCCATAAAAGCATGTTCAACGTACTTTCTCTTAGCAAACAAGCTTTTCGAATCCGTATCGCTATCGGGAGAAGGCTTGCCGGAAAATGAATTTAATTTTGCTTCATAAACACGGTTTACGACCGAATTCCCTACCCGAGACAATAGAAGCTTAAGCTGTTGAGAGAGAGAGTCAAATAAAAGGGAACGCGTTTTTGAAATATGACAACCAAGTGAACGATGAACACCACTACATTCTATACACAACATTACTGGAACGTTGATAGAGCACCACGTCACGTCTTTAGTAGAACCACAATCAGCACATTTAGAATTCTCGGGATCGATTCTTTCTAACATTTGTATGAAAATGTTTGCAGTTGCATGATATTTTTCTAAATCCTCGATAGTTTTAGTATTTGTACTCGCACTCCGAAATAACTGCGGAAAATTCCAAGAACCTTTTCTGGTAAATGCCCTCCTTAATCCTGTGCCACTTATTTTGCGGGTCAAGCGAACACGTTCCGCAGGTAAGGTTAAAAACTCTTTAGAAATGGGATGCTCCTCAGAAACTCTGAAAGAATCATCTGAAGAAGATTGTTTACTTAAAGATATTATAGACTCATTAATGGAGTTCACCCACGTATCCAAGTCCGCTTCTGAAGTTGCTTGATATAAGCGCTTTGCTTTTGGAGATACCAATTCTAAACAATACTTCCTAGGTTGCTTTCTTAGTTTTCTTACTGAAGCATTTCGCAGTGAGATTGAACACACGCTAGTCTTTTCGGAGTCTTTCCAATTTGCGTACTCCAGTACATAACCATCCTTGATAACAACCCAGTATTTATGCCAGGCTGCTTTACTGTGAACTGCTAAATCGGCTCCTAATTCAGAGACTGTGAAGACAAACAAAAGTCCTTCCTTGTATATTAAGCCGGGCGTGTTAGCATTTGACGTAGGACTCATGAGCTTTTGGGAATCTTCAGACGATGAAGAATGTGATGGGCTGTATGCAGTAAAATCGGAATTTTCTGAAATATCAGAGGAAGGCGAGATTGGAAAAGAAAACATAGACTTTGGCCGAATTTTGTTCAACATCATAGCCGACCGTTGCTTTCTCCTGCATTTTTCTCTATATGCAAGATCTCCTTTGCAAGCTTCCAACTTTGACATCTGATGTTGTAGCTGAGGTGTTAAATCATTCAACGAATCGATATAGTCGGATAATTTTTCAAATCTTCGAGTCACAAAATTTAAAAAAACTTCATTGATTTCACTCATAGTAGTACCATTTTGAAGATCTCGCATAAAACAGTAATATTCATAACGTTGTAGGGTGAAGCGTTTTTCTTTCGCATAAAAGAGCGATTCAGATAACTTTGAGTCTTTACGAGTAGACATAAAGCGAGACAATAAAGTATAATAACTTTTACTTTGTTCTTCAAATTCAACTCTCTTATCATCAACGAGCTTTATAGAGGTTGAATATATTCTTTGTAAAGGCTCATGCAAATGATTCATAAAATCAGCTTTCATATGTCGTAGGACAATCATCTCTAATTCAAACGAGCGAAGTAAAAACTCACTTAGCATCTTCTGCGAAGCTATAGTTGTATCCGTAGACGCTTCATAAAGAGTGGCCGATAATCGTTTGAGAGCATACTCGGATTCTTCAAAAGCAGAACTGGCCTGCATAACTCGTTTCATTAGTTTTTTATAATACAACTTCATAGAAGATGACTTCTGCTCTAACTCATGCAAAATAGATCGAAAAAAAGGATTGTCTTCATAGGTCTCAGGATATAGCGTTGTTTTCGAACTGTATATGGCTGCTTTAGGAAAAGATTTAGGACTTCGTGACAAACCAATGTCAGCAGTCTGGGGAGATTCTGTTGTGGGAGGATTGAACGATATAGGAGTATCTTCATAGTCACAGGATGGGACCCATTTTACGTGATAATAAAACTTGTTAATAGGCACTAAGCATTCAGTCTCAAACGAATAAATAGCTAAACACGAATAATTGGTATAACCATCCTCCGAAGAGTTATGAATAGTAGGATTCCAATCCCAAGTGAACTTAAATACGTCGTCTTTCGTGTCGAATAATGTAGGTACCTCGCACACGTTTGGTTGCAAAGATAGCTCATCATAGGAAATCACTCGAGTAAAGTAATTGTTCAAGGACGTGAAAGATTCACAGTTTACAACAAAAAACCTTTTGTTTTCTTGTTTTATATTAGCAACCTTTGGATTAAAGTTGAGTCGGAAATTGGGAGAGCTTTGACATCTCAGTTGTAAAAGATATAGCTTGCTAAAGGTATCCTATATATCGTTAGCGCTCACTTCTATTTTCGTACAAATACTAGGAAGTAACTTTGGAATGTTCATTCAACTTTTGTTCGTTCATATCAAAGATGCTTACTGGCATAACCGTTGTCTAACAACAGTCTTCTATAATGAGCAAAAACTGAACGAACATTATTATGAGCTTCTTCTTTTAACAAACATACATATGTCATATCGAATAGCCTCCGCCTGCTATGTGAAGCAGGCATCAGTAAGCCACTGCTTTCAGGAATTAAAGATAGTACAGATCCATCATTAGTGTTAGAGATATCAATGGATATTAAACAGGCTGTCGTAAGTATATTAGCATAGGTGAAGATATAAGTAGAGACATACTATCATTTCCGTTCATAACCGTAAATCGTCAACGGTGGTGATGGAAAGACAACGTTTGAAAATATAATTTTCACAATTGATTAAAAAACTAAAACATGCAAATTAATGCTTGAGTTAAAAGCTGGTCCGAGAGACATGTATATGGGGATGGTAAGTTAACGCTACCAAAGATCCTACTACACCCTTTCATTATTAGTCCTACCTCTAGGAAAACTATAAAAGAAGCGACTTGTATGGAAGCGTATAGGATAAATGTATAAAAATAATGAAAGGAAGTAATTCCTTTGAAAATAAATTCGATAAAGGAACGAATATGAGTTTGAAAGAAGAGCCTAAATTTGACGATAGCAACGCGACTTCAGGAGGCCAAAACGAAAAACTATTCCAGTTGATAACTAATCAAAGAAATATCATCAACGATTTGCGTAGGGACTTGAAGCAAGCTGTTTCTGAGAATGGCCTTTTGAAATCAAAATTGAGTAGGTTGGAAAATATGGAAGCCTCGGCTTCTCAGATGAACAGTGGCACTGAAAGTTTGGTTGCAAAAGTCGAATCAAGGGATCAGAGGAACAATTTATCACCTAGTTATCTCACAAGTACTGACAAGAATGGTCGATTATCGGTTTCTTCCTTTGTTCCTCGAAGTTCCCCTTTAGAAGATCGCAATCCTAATTCCTATGATGATAGACCACAACTTTTGTTGAATACGAAACGTCTTCCTGTACATACTTCTTCTGGTACATACGACCCGCGATCAGCACTTTCTTCGCCTGTGTCCTACGAAAGATATGCAGCTTTGCGAAATGAAGCTGCAAAGACTCGATGGTATATGAAAGAAGATCTAGATTCTGCTGAAAGTTTTTCTCCTACTTCAACGAACAATAAGTTTTCGTCTGTTCAAGACCTATGGGATAGCAGTTTTACCGACCAGTTTTTTGAAAATTCTTCAGCTCCTAAAGGTTCTAAAATTGATAGTAAGAATTCGCATCCTAGCCTTTACGTTCCTACCCCTTCCTTAGCTTATCCAGATCCCGAGTCTAAATTGAAGAGTCATTTGATTAATGATTCGCCTGAAACACTTGCCTCTGAACCCTTATCTACCTTAAAGGTCCCGGATAGCGAGATTTGCTTGACACGTCGTCTTTCTGATTCTAATCGGACGTGGACTATCGTTGAACCTCCTCCCTCGGAACAAATAGATCAACAAAATCTTTTGACTCAACCGAAAGAACCTAGAAAATCCACTGCGAAGTCCTTCCTCTCGTCCTTCTCGTCGTTGACATCATTTGCTCGTCCCAAGCCAGAAAATCGCACTAAAAGTGATTCCGTAGCTGGTCATCCACAGTCGATGTCTACTAGTAACTCCGAAACTTTGTACAATAGCAAGCTTAGTTTCAGGTTGGATGAATCATTGGTGCGGTACTTGAAGTTTGATTTAATGAAAACTACTCTATCTTCTTCTTCTACTGTATTTGATAATATAATTCTACATTTTGTTGTTGGTGTTACCGCTGTACCACCACTTGCTTCTCAGTGGAAGGATGAAGTGTGGAGCTATTCCAGAAGTATTGGTCAATGTCGAGCATTTGATGCTTCATTTGTATTAGATGTGGGTGCACCACCATTTCCAACTCTTGATTGGTTTACAAACGATTCATCCTATATACAAAATGAGCTACTTCGACGATCTGTTGATACATACTTTCGTTATATTTTTCAAGCTGATCTTACTTTAGAGCAGAAAGTTAAGCTTATTCAGTTCTTGAGTAAAGATACTTTAAGAGAATATCTCAACGATGTTTTCTTTCTTCCTCCTGAACACGCTCAAAAAGAAGGAATCTTGCTTAGATATATTAAGAACAGCGGACTTGTTTCCCGCTACTTTTATTTGAAAGACAAGGTTCTGTATTATGCGGAAAACCGTAATGCACCTGTTTTGGGAACAATACAGTTGCAAGACGCGCTCGTCCATAGATATAGCGCAAATCTTCCTATCTTTACTGTTATTGATCCTCCTCATCAATTTTTAACCGGTGAAAATTATCAATCCGCGTTTGTTATACAAGAAAAGCAAACTGAACAAAAAAATGGAACAGATACTATTCATGTCCTATTGGCGAAAAACATAGAAGATCAGCAGAGTTGGTTACGTGCTATCGTCAATCAGATCCCCTCAATTTCTACCGCATCTACACCTGTTGATCTTCAAATTCAGGCTTCTGATTTTCCTGGATCCCGTCGGAATCAAACCGAAAAGCAAGAAGAAAGGATTAATCGAACGGATCTCTCACAAAACGATGATCGCTGGAGTTTAGAAGAGGATACTATGCGAACCGGTACCGCGGATAACGAGAATTTTGAAAAATTAAAGGATGTAGGAAGTATTAGTGATGATGCAAGTTTGAACCTTGACACTCCTCCTATTGAAAGCAGTGACACTGCAGATCTGTCAAGTGAAAGAAGTGAAACTGGATTATCATTTGCAAGCACTTCCGGAAATAGCATTTTGGAGACTGATCCTAGAATAATGAAGCTTGCACAAAGTTCTAGTAGCGAAAAAGAATTATCAAGAAAGGATAACGATGCGTCTATAGAAGAGGACTTCCTGAATCATTTCAAACGAGTTAATGTTTCGGGAAATAAGATGTCACAACAAGTAGATCAGCTTTCAGATACAAACAGTATGGAAGAGGTCAATAATGAGCCGTCTTCCAATACCATTGATGATGGTGGTATCGGCCCAGAATCGACGTCGTTAACGACATCAAAGGAGGTTCCGACGAAACAAACTGAGGTTTTTGGAATACCGCTGGTGGACGCGGTAAATCTAGGCTCGCAGTTTAACGAGAGTGGACTTCCTATTGTGATTTACAGGTGCTTAGAGTACTTGGAGACCGTACGTGCAGAGAAAGAAGAAGGTATATATCGATTGAGTGGCTCTTCTTCCGCAATTAAAGGTTTAAAAGAACAATTTAATAAAGGCATTGATTATGACTTGGTGAACTCTGAAGAAATGTTTGACGTTCATGCTGTAGCTGCTTTATTGAAACTTTATCTTCGTGAGTTACCAACCAATTTACTGGATAATTCGTTGACAAAAATCATTGAATTAATGCCGGGAATTCCTCATACGAAAAGCTCGATGGATGAACTTACTCGTATACTTGGGGAACTACCCGTTGAAAACTTCGTCCTTCTGGACTCTCTTCTGCACCATCTCCGCAGGATTATCACCTTTGAAAAATACAACAAAATGAATGTGAGAAATGTTGGAATCGTTTTTTCTCCGACATTGAATATTCCTTCTGAAGTTTTTAATATGCTCATTGAAAACTATGAGCTCATTTTCACTGACTATATTCGTCAAGCAAATGCGAATTTAGTTGATTAATATGTACCCATTTCGTTCTTTTCTTTTTATTCGGATGTAATTGACGCTCTTTATTTCTTAATTCTGGGATTTCTTTTCTTTTCTTTGCGTTTTATCGTTCTTTAGCATTTTATGATTTAATTTATGAATTAAATATGTTTGGGGTTTAAATAAAAAACGAAAAACCAATAAAAGAAAAAAAAGAGACAGAAGCTTTATTGAAACTTTATCTTTGTATATAGCAAAATTCGCTTAGGATAATTCGTTGACAAAAATCATTGAATTAATGCCGGGAATTCCTCATACGAAAAGCTCGATGGATGAACTTACTCGTATACTTGGGGAACTACCCGTTGAAAACTTCGTCCTTCTGGACTCTCTTCTGCACCATCTCCGCAGGATTATCACCTTTGAAAAATACAACAAAATGAATGTGAGAAATGTTGGAATCGTTTTTTCTCCGACATTGAATATTCCTTCTGAAGTTTTTAATATGCTCATTGAAAACTATGAGCTCATTTTCACTGACTATATTCGTCAAGCAAATGCGAATTTAGTTGATTAATATGTACCCATTTCGTTCTTTTCTTTTTATTCGGATGTAATTGACGCTCTTTATTTCTTAATTCTGGGATTTCTTTTCTTTTCTTTGCGTTTTATCGTTCTTTAGCATTTTATGATTTAATTTATGAATTAAATATGTTTGGGGTTTAAATAAAAAACGAAAAACCAAAAAAAAAAAAAAAAAAAAAAAAAAAAAAAAAAAAAAACTACATTACCTATTGTATATAGCAAAAATTCGTTTTTAGGAAGTTCTATTCAAGTAATAATTAATGATATTTGCGTTAAACGTAAATTTCCTAACATGAACGAGACCGTGAATGAAGCTTAAAGTAAAGGGTCTAAACTGATCGCTAAAACCTTCTTCAACTTTTTCTTTAAACCATGTCAATGAAATAAATTTAGAGATGAGCATCTTCTTTTCCTTTAAGTATAACATTTAGAATACAATGTTGATCATCTATAGGATATGGGGCTTCGTGTTGTGTCTGGCATGTAAGAGTACACAACATTTATGTTATTTTATAACAGAAAAAAAATTAATCGGTCAAAGCATTACGGGCGGAAAAATTCACGAAAAATAGCTCGAGTGATGGCTACTAGTATACATTATACCTGCGTGTACCCGTCGCAATAGTCTATACAGGACGGAAACCTGGAGGAGGAGCACCTCGTCCAAAACCAGCTGGAGGAGGAGGGGCGCTGAAACCAATTCCACGAATGGGGCCAGCCAAACCAACAGGAGCCTGTCCAAGAGGTATTCCTCGACCCGCAGGACGAGCAACACCAGGACCATTAAGCAAACCACCTCTCATTGATGGATCCATGGGGGGTGGACCTTGAACAGAGAGTGAGACAATAAATTCACCGCGTAAAATAACAAGACCTAGCATGCGCTTCTCCTCGTATACTGAATTTGAAGGATTATTCTGTTTACGGATGTGACGATATTCCAGACAGTCACTTAAAACCAAATTCATATGGCCGTCAAAAGCTAATAATTGACCTACAAAGGTTCGGCCATCTTTTGTAGTCACATTCAAAGAATGATTTAACAAAGAAACCATCTTTGTTGTACCCTAAATAAGAAACTAGTTTAGCAATGCATTTCAACTTAACAGAAGTATCCTTCTAGTATTTCTTACCATTTTAGAAAAAAAATCTGAAATTAAGAAAACCCTATGGTGGCTTTCTTATCGATGCAGAAATATGAGCTCTGACAACTGGCGTCCTGTCGAAATGGTGGTGAGGTTAGCCCTACCCTAATAATAACATAACAGTCACATTGTCACAACGAAACGTCTTCTGAGAATGTGAACGTGCTCGCGAGAAGGAAAAGAACTACCAACATCCAACACCATGGCAGAGAAGGCACAAAACCCTATGAAGGAGCTCCGTATCTCCAAGTTGGTGCTCAACATCTCCTTGGGAGAATCTGGTGATCGTCTCACCCGTGCCGCAAAGGTTTTGGAACAACTTTCTGGTCAAACTCCCGTTTTCTCCAAGGCCCGTTACACTATCCGTCGTTTCGGTATCCGTCGTAACGAAAAGATTTCCTGCCATGTCACTGTCCGTGGTCCCAAGGCTGAGGAAATTTTGGAACGTGGTCTTAAGGTCAAGGAGTACGAGTTGAAGCGTCGCAACTTTTCTGCCACTGGTAACTTTGGCTTCGGTATCCAAGAACACATTGACTTGGGTATTAAGTACGATCCTTCCATTGGTATTTACGGTATGGACTTCTACGTCGTCATGGACCGTCCTGGTATGCGTGTCACTCGCCGTAAGGCCCAACGTAGCCGTATTGGTTTCACTCACAAGATCACTCCTGAGGATACCATTAACTGGTTCAAGCAAAAGTATGATGCTCTTGTTACTGGAAAATAATTTAAGTTCCTTAACTCTTTTGTATTCTTACCTTTATAATGGTGGTTGGTAGCGAATATTCGGTAACAGTTGTGTAGTATTTCTTTAGTAACGATGTAAGTTCCAGGGCTTGTGATATACTGATAGTGTGTAAAACAAATTGTCGGCGTAGCAGGACTTAAGACATGAATCCTTCTGAGTTCATGAAAGGATACTGCGTCCGTAAATCACACAAATTAGAATCCAAACTATGTTAAAAAACGCACTCTAATTATCAAAATACCAAACATATTATTCCATTTTTTCTAAATTAACCCTATAGTATACATTCCCTGTTATTACCCATTCTAAAATGCAGCCTTTCTACGACGTCCAGAGTATTTGGAGTCTTTTGGAACGGAAAGCCGACCACGTTTACGGTTTAAATCCTTTTTGTGAACAATATATTCTCGAGTGCTCATATCGTGCTTCCGTTTCAATTTGCGCTTTTTAGCATTTACTTTTTCGTCTTCAACCGACATTTCACTTGTATTCAATGTCCGCATTCCACCGGCTTGTAAAATCAAATAGAACTTCTTCTGTCTCTTCGATTCTGGGTGATCGACGACAATACCGCCAGCAAAACCGCATTTCTTTGCTGTATCGAGAATCATTTGCTGAGAACGGTCACTTTCGGGATAATATTGCATAACCGCTCGGCCTCCACGTCTCATGCTGCTGTATAAGGTCTCGAAAAATCGATTTAATCGTCTTTGAGGAATGTTACAAGTTTTATCGGCATTTAGCAGCCATTGAATTGCTGAAATCGAAATTACACCATCAAAGGTTCCTGCACGAAAGGGAACTCCATTTCCCATATCAGCCAGCAGCATATCCCCTTCAACTTCTTGGGATTCTAAGGCCACGGAAAGCATGGATGGAGAAATGTCCATTCCAACGGTAACATGACCGTAGCTTTCAGCTATACTAGTGGAAATTCCAGACCCACATCCAATATCCAATAACAAGGATGGTCCTTCAGGATCAAGTAATTCTATTGCGCGCTCCGTCATCTCAGCTTGAATAGACTGGATACGAGTACTAAATATTGTGTTACTATTGAATGCCCCAAGGAAATACCTCGTTACTGAACATCAACAAGAAGTTCCACTCATATGCCTCTTTGTTTTACAAACTTCCATCACGCCTTGCAAATGAGTATTTTTTCCAACAACTTGACTTACTTGCTATTGTATTTGCCCGCCTCTTCATCGTTATAGAACTAAATTCAATGTCAGCATCGTGTCTCTTTTCTTTTTCCTTTTACTTTCCACTTACGAGTTCGGGAGGTGCGATATGCTCGGGTCTTGACATATTTAAAACAATGAATAGGCAAACGCTGAAGACAACTTCCTTGGTACCATTGAACTTGTTTTCCTGTTTACGGGATTCGTATAGCGCAGTACACTGCAACTCAATCAAAATTCATGTCGTACAATTTAATAAGGAATAGATTAATTTTCATTTACATGTGCAATAGAAATTGAAATAGCCTGTGAATTACTACTAGTATTGTCTATAGTATCATAATAGGATTGATTTCTTGCTATGAACCTGAAGTTCAGTAGTTCAAAAAGAATGGCATTAAATTTCTTAATAACGAATACATAATGGAGAAAGTGTTGCTTAAAATCCAAAGCCGGAAGCACCTGCATTGCTACTGCCTGTAGCCATTGGTCCTTGAGTAAGCATCAAGGTGTTACCAAGAATACCAGAACCTAGGTTGCTTGGTTCCTCATCAGGCTTGGCTACCTGCTTTTCCTTGATGTCCTTTTCCAAAGTCAAGATTTTGGAAAACATTTCAGCTTGGAAGTTAATGAAATAAGGATAAGCGTAATCTTGCAATCCCTTGCGCCAGCTAATCTCCATTACTAAATCATTACGAAGCAAATGATAGCAATTATACAATATTGCGGTAAAGCATTCATAGTTGCCGATTTCGACAAAGTATTTCATCAAGTCCTCAGCAATCTCAGTTTGTTTGGAATCACGAGCGGTAATAATGGCATCCTTGTAAAAACGATCCTGCTTAGAAAGTTCAATGGATTGGATCCATCGTCCATTTTTACGATAGATGTAAGCTGCAATACGGCGGAATTCAAGCAAAGTATGCTTTTCAAGTCGCCTAGCTAAGGCAATAGCATCAAAACGATCATAGTTATCGATGGAGTCCTGCAAAGATTGGTAATCTTCCATTTCAATTAATAGATCATTGTAAGCATTGTTAACAGCTTCGATATTTAAATGCTGAATAGCAACCATAAAGTTCATAATGAGAGGTGTATTTTCAGATTTTTCAAAGATGCGGATAACACGGGCATGATCAATACGAGAAGTTAAAGCAGCCAATAAGTCGGTAAGGAGCATAGGATGTTGTTCCAAATAAAAATGTAAGGCTCTATAGTACAACTCCAAATTCGCCACGTGTACAATAATATCTTTGAATGATTGATGATCAAAAGCTTCGGGCTCTTCCATCATTATGGCAGCAGCGTTATCATAACTTTGGTCGTGAACATATAAGAAAACAGCTTCATTCCAGAGGTGTGCTTGATCGCATGCCTTGACTACCTTGGCCATATTAAGTCTACCCCAGAATAACTTCAAATGCTCCATCAAGCGCTCAGGCTTGTATTTAGAATAGAGAATAGCAAGCTCAGTATAGAAAGCCATATGAGCACGTTCTAATCCTAAACCGGCTTCCATAAGGGAAATGACTTCGTCAAAATAGCCACGGTCCTCATACAAGCGGATTAGGAATGTAAGCTCTTCAGCGTGAACAATCAAGTTCAAGCCACAGATTTGAGCTAAACGGAATTCACGCTGTTCGATACAGGCAGTTCCGACTTGCTTCCATACTTTTATTGAGTTTGCCTTACGAGCGCAATCAACAGCACCTTGATATTCGCTTAAGTAAACCAAAGTAGTAGCAAGCATGGACCAGTTGGAAATGCTTGAATACATAATTCTAGCGGCTTCATATTTACCACTGTCAAAGCACTCATCACCAACGGCCTTCACATCAGCCACGTTGGAACCAATCAAAAAGGTCTCCATCTCGGCCAATTGGTTGGTTCGGGCATATGAAACCAAAATGGCACTATCAACATCGGGTTCATGCATCTTGCTTCTAGCCATAAAGAGGTATTTGATCAAATCTTCATACTTACCGGCTCTAGATGACAATTCAATAACCTCTTCATAATTGGAGGGATCATTAGCCTTTAAGTAAGAAGAAATAGCTTCGGAAATTCTGATACCATCTAGTTGAGCCTTGGCTAGACGGGACCATACTTCAGGTTGGTCCACAATTTCGGCGTATTCTTCAGCGCGATCGAGACTGACAATGTCCTCAACGAGAACCTTCATAGCCTCTTCGTGCTTTTGATGAGATTTGTAGATTTTAAAGGCTTCTTCAAATAAACCGTTTTCTACGGCAATCTCAGAAATCTCCTCAACATCGTAATTGTGGAGTCGCTCAATATACTCCATGACGCGTGATTTATCAGCCTTTATAGCAGTCAAGAACAGCAAGTTTTGGAGATTAGCGTTTTCACTGAACGACGAGGGCTGCAAAACAATCTTTTCCAAAAGCTCAATCAATTGACTAGGGAGATCGACTTCCATGAGAGAACGAACCACGATGGAAACTGCCTCAGGATCAGAAGATTCAGGAACAGCGGTTGCAATAACTTGGTCAAGCAAAGGTCTGCGGTACAACTGATCTTGTAGCACATCAACCCACAGTTCAGGGTCGCTTCTCTTAAGCAAATAACGAGCCAATTGCTTAAACATTGAATTTTCGTTACAAAGGGCAATTAGTTCAGCATCATTGGTGCCCTTTTCGTAAGCGATAAAAGCTAAGTAAGGATCACGCTTTTCACAGTATTTACCAATTGAGAGGGTGTCATACACATTGTTTTCCTTAAGGAAAACCTCTGGATTGTTGTTGGAATCGATGTAGATTTTAGCAAGAGCATCATAAATAGCACGGTCCTGGCTACCTGATTGTAATAATGTTTCCAAGTAAGGGAGCAACAATTTAAGACGGTTCCGTCTTTCTACTTCTTCCACCAATTCATCGACAGGGACTTGACCAACAACAGAGTTTAAGAGAATTTTCACAAACTCTTCTTCACAATCCATATCCAACAGAGCTCCGATAACATGTGGAGTTTTTGAAGGATTAATGCGTTGCACGTAAATTTGGATAAACTGAGGAAGGTTGTTTCGATGAAGATAAAAGATCAAATCGTTAACAAAGTTATAACGATCGCAAACAAGGATTAATGGAAGTTGATCAGCTAACTTGGCTTCTTTAAGCAAGTTTTTGACCTTCTCGGGGTTATAAACATTATTGTCACGGCAAATACGTTCAACCTCGGTGAATTGGTTCATAAGACAAGCGGCTTGAATATATTTATATACGACGTCAGCATCTTGTGTAATGTTAACGATGCTTCCGAGGTAATAATAAAGGCCCTCAAAAGTCTTGAACTTTTCAAACATTTCAATAAGTCGTTGGGGTCCAACCAAATCAGAATAACGAGTAGCAACTTGTACTACAACTTGCAAATTTTGGCGGAGGTTTGTGCGGAGCATCTCTCTAAGGTAATCATAAACTTCATCAGGTGAAAATTTGCCGAAGTACGACATTAACCATTCAGGATTCAATAAATTAGTGTGCACAATGACTCTCTTAATATCAGCGGGTTTCTCGTAAAGCTCTAGAGCACGTTGAACTAAACCTGCACGTTCACATAGAGAAGCAATAGCTTGATGATCAAAATGGGAGAACATTTGATTCCCAAGGATAGCGTCCGCGACCTGAGGGGCATTAATAAGATTCATTTCAAGCAAACGAGTCTGCAAATGAGAGTGTGCTGGACTATCATCCTTAAGAGCATCCAGCAAGAAGGCAGTGGCCTGTTGTACAAGGTTTTGAGACATGAAAATATCAACAATTTTCTCCAAATTAACTGAAGGGTCGCTATTGTACATCTGAGTAGCAAATTCAGCGGCTTGGTCAGGGTTAACTCGAACCAAATTTTGCAAAAGCGAAACGTAATCGGGAGTGAAGCTTGTTTGGCTTGTGTAGGTAACCAATCTATTGAAGTCACCAAGTTCGGACAAGCACATAACTACTTTGTTGGGGACATTGGCTGTTTCATATACCTTCAAAGCCAAAGCAGAATTGACCGGCTTAATAAGGTCACCAAGTACCTCCGTGCAAGCAAGTTTATTCTCGTTGTACCATTTTTCTAAAAGTTGAACACGGTTTTGGGCAAGCACTGGCCGAGCCAATTCCAACGACTCATGTTCATTTAATGGACCCTTATCTAACAAGGTGCCGAAATATTGCAAAATAGGTGCAATCTGACCAGGAACAGCGGGTAATTGCTTAAATTGTTCAATAACCTGAGCCGTGCGGAGGATGCCGCGGGGTGAAGAGGCAGCCACTTTAGCCGCATCACCATAGTTGCCTTGCATCATTAACTGCTGGAATTGTTGAGCATATAAATTGTCGGCTCCGGGTAAATTGGCACGAGAAGCTAATCGTACAGCCAATCCAGCATCAGTTAAATTGTTTAGGACATAAGGAATAATCGTGTCAGGGTTTATGGAAACACTCAAAACTTGGCCTTTACGGTTAACGGCCATGATACCGTTCACGGATTCATGGGGAGCAGTAACGAAAATAGACTCGCCTGATACACGGTTCATATAGATGCACTTGGCGGTTTCCAAATCATAAACGTGAATAAATCCAAACTTCGTAGAAACATATGCAACACCATATTTAGGCGCTATTTGAATGGCAATAGGAAAGTCATTAGCAGCTTCAGGAGGGAAGAAAAGGTCCACGGTCTTCGTAGCAAAAGCAGGATTATTAGGGTTGCGATCAATTTCAACAATACTTAATTTGGAGCCAGTCGGTAACCGGCTGGCAAGGGCAAGTACTTGTACATCATAACTAAGGCCTTCAGGTCTAATAACGGCAAATGCAGAGGCATGGCTTTCTAAAGGTTGACTGACTTTTCTCTTCTTGGAGTAAAGTTGTAAATTACCGGCTATGCGATTGTCACGTGAAGAGATACCAACAAGGGTAAACCATTCTTCATTATAGTTGCTTCTGTAAGAAATAATTTGGGTGCCATTCAAAGAGTTATGACGGTCAAACATTTTGACGGGATCAGATCCGTTAAGAGACCAATGGTATACGGAAGTATCGGTGACAATACCGATGGTAGAGTCACTGATCCAAGTCCAATAGACAACCTCTTGTGTCATCACAAAGCTGTTTAGCTTGGCTTTGGCTTCTAAATCAAACACCTGAAGTTGTTTTTGAGCCTTCAAGGCGATAATCATCTTTTTTGGGTGCATAATTACCGAATCCGCCGAAATTGGTCGGCGAACCACATTTTCAGGGTTCTCAAGGTCAACGATCACAACTTGATTGGTACCGTTGGAATTATCGCGAATACTAAACAGAGAAAGAAAGTTAGTGCATGGTCTAAGAATCTTACGTTCATCTGTAAGACGAAGTCTTTTCAGAGATGCGCAAAATGAAACCTTACCAAACATATTTTTCTGATTGAAGAGTAACATTGGTAAAGCCAAATGAAGGCTGAACTCCCAAAGAAGCCAGCTATGGAATCATGTTAGCTTATGCATCTAAATACATTATTTTAGCCAAAACATACCTGTAGTATTTCACTAAACCGTATTGGTAACTGTTGAGCCATTTTTTTAATCCACGGCAGGCAATGCGTCGTGGTAGAGAGAGGGAGACGGTAAGTTCGATATAGCAGGGGCTGGTGACGCCAAGTTCCTTACCCTTTTGTTCGCGAATAAGGGGAAGGGTGAGGCAGGCATCTGAAATCTAATGTCTTAGAATAAAAAAAAAACAAATGAAAGGTTGTGGTAAAATGTCCTTACTTTTTATTCTGTTTATTTCATGACCTTGAAACGGATATGAATTGTTTTGATTTTGTTGTTAACCATGCTCATTAACTGTGCTTGAACAAATATAAACATGTGGTTAAAAGTTCCTACATGACCTATGTACATCAGGATTCATTTCTAGCATCCTTTGAGCATTCTACAGTACTTGTTTAATGACTATGAACCGAAAGACTTTCAGCGTCTGTACTTGTCTAGCTATACACATGTATTTTGGGGTATCATAGTATCGACCAACGAAAATATACAAGAACAATAAATAAACTGTAAGATTAAACAAGTGAAAGCGTAGCGTTTAAATGGCATAGACTACTCAAATTTCATAAATAGGTAGGCGTCTATAGGAATTCCTTGTCAAACGATAGTCGAACCATGCTTCTCCTTGATTTGTACGAGACAGATATTTTTACCTTAGCAACTTTCCTGATGTTACGCTTTTACTATCATTTACAACTAATATAAACAGAAGTAATCCTTACTTTTAAAATCATTGATATTATGCCCTGACTTAACCCATTTATATGTTGAGGAACTGTATTTTATATAACACACACAGTTGCTGTGTCTATGAAAACCATACAAAAAAATTAGTAGAAAGTGGTAGGGCGGTGAGGAGCGAAAACCTTCTTGCCAGCCAAGCCGAGAGTACCGGTACGACGATGAGGGAGAGGGAACTTCAACTTGGGATCGAGAAGTTGCTTGACGTAGCTACGGCGAACTTCTTCCTTGTTCTCAACGGTAACAACCTTGAGAATACGGATGCTGCGGAAACGAGCACGGTGACGAGCAGCCATGTCTTGGTACATAGCCTGGACAGCGCCGACACGGGTAGTGTCACGGAATTCCTTGTACATGTTGTGAGTACCGGAACGAGAGTCATAACGAATCCAGATACCAAAAACCTTAGGTTGAAGGGGCTTGGGTTCGTGAATTTGGTTAATGGCAACGATTTCACCAGTGGCCTTCTTGACCTTGTTAATCATCTTCAAGAAGTACCAGTAACGAGACTTGGCGACAGATTCGTTAGGAGCAAACAAACGCATACGGTATAACTTAGGAACAGGTTCCTGTTCAGTTGGGACCTTACGGCCAACGACTTGATACTCCTTGAGTGCCATTTTCCCCAAATTGGTGTTGTCTACGAAAGTTTTGTTGCTCTGTTCAAGGTATAGTTTGTGACTGCGAATTTCAACAACACGCTTTAACGAGTTTGTAAGCGTTACGGTATTTATTTATCACTATCCTCTGCTTATAGCTTGTATAATGTTTAGAAATTATTTCTAAAATAGTTAAACTGTTTATAAATTAAGATCATTTATGCTTTAGAAATTTACTTTAATTAATTTTAACTTGCATAGAAGTGGAGCCGACACACCGACTTGAGATAAATTACTTATTGTACAGACAGGTCATTCAAAAAGAAGAAAAAATTAAATAGACTACCCCCGCCGTAGCCATCTGTGATTCAATGGTTCATTAAAAGTTTTCAAATCAAACGCCGACAGTAGCTTACCCTTAACTGAAAAGCGCTAGGAAACCAAGCAAAAATGACGGATACGTTGCTACTCAAAGAAATGGAACAAAGAGGGATTCCCTTAAAGAATTCTTGGCTGTCGTTGGTCGTAAATCACCTTGTTCATCAGAGAAAATATGCTCGAGAGAACATAACAATCGAACTAATCTTACCCTTTTTTATAGCGTCCGATATTCGTAGTTCTACAACTGGAGCAAGTGCTGCATCATATGATATTTCCAACCAGCATAATATTACACTTTCCAACCCGTTATTGGTACAAGTGGTTAGGATCAGGGAAATCGGGAAAAGCATCGTAAGCCAGCTCGAATATCTGAATCAACTGGAAGAACGGAAAAAACTAAAAGGCCAGCAAATTATTCGGCTAGTGGACGAAGAAGATCGAGAAGACAAAGAAGGCGACGACAGCGGTATCGCTGAGGCGCAAGAAGCCATATTTGATGGAAAAGGTTTTAAGTGTATGTGTCGACTGGTGTTAGAAGATGCGAATGGACAAAGATTTTATGGTATGGAATGGAAATCAATTCCAGGAATCCAACTGGACACGAATTTAGGAACAAAACTTCTTATTCAGAATGCCCAGATAAAGAGAGGAACACTTCTTCTCACTCCCGAAAACACAGAGATATTAGGAGGGGAAATTGACGAATGGAATCGAGAATACTTCCCAAAAAAATTAATGCAAGAACTGAAAGAAGAATTGGAAGTGAAGAAACTAAAGCCTTAAGCTTCGGCTTTCACGTTTTGTTGTTTAGCCGGGATAAGAGTGGGAGCCTTAAAGTTTGACAAAGAAGTAAGCTTCCTCTTTTTTAAATCCAAGGCTCCTCTGTAATTTTTAAGTCCAAGTTCACACATACCTACATGATCCAAATCAGACTGAGATATCCAAAAAAAGTCCTCCTTAGTTTTCGTCTCTGGAGTCACGATAGCATAAAATACGTGGCTTGTTTTTCTTATGTGACTAAATATATGGAGATATCTTCCACGTGACTGATGTTTTTTTACACATAAGTTCTCTTTTTGTAACCATAAGTTTAGACACCTCTTGAATTCGGCTTCAATATCTTTTGGCCAGGCATCTTCTCCATATTCCATTGTTGGAAAATCCCATAATCCGGCTAAGAGACCGACCGTTGGTCTCTTTCTAATTAAAAATAGCTTTTCTTTCGTTTCTGGATCCGTCTTTTGAAATATGGCGACTAAAGCCCTTTCTTCTCTCTGCTTTGTTTTTTGCGGTCGGATGGGATACCTGTTTACCACCCAGTTTTGCAAAGTTTCAGCGGATGGAGGGTCTGTTGAACAAATACTACAGGGCCCTTATATTCTTGTTAGCTAAAAAATTTGTAATGTAACTCACCATCTTCAATATCATATTTTAATTTTTTCTTGTCTGAGATAACAATCTGTTCTTGATAGCCTTTGCAGATATCCGAAACAGGACAGGTCGAGCATTGAGGGCTCTGAGGAGTACAGGTGATGGCGCCAAGTTCCATCAATGCTTGATTAAAATCGCCTGGGCGCTCAGGATCCACCAATGCATTGGCTAGTTCCCTGGTATCGAGTTAGTAACCAAGATTGTTATAAATCTAAAGACGTACCAGATAAGAGTATTAGCTTTTCCTTTGCTACAATCGCTATGAATGGCAAGCGCTCGACTCAAAACACGGATCACATTTCCATCCACGATTCCAGTAGGTTGTTTCCAAGCAATACTTAATACAGCACCAGCTGTGTAAGGTCCAACCCCAGGGATATCTTTAGACCACTTTTCCGCGCTCAAAGGGATTTCCTTTGGTTTCAACCCAGCTAGATACTGACAAGCTTGATGTAGACGTTTACAACGGGTATAGAATCCCATACCTGACCATAACGGCATGACCTGTGTATTGTAATCAGCTTCAGCACAGGCCTGAAGAGTAGGAAGCGTTTCCATCCATTTATTGTAATATCTTTTTACTGTTTCTACACGCGTTTGTTGCAACATAATCTCTGACACCAACACTTCGTACAACCGCTGTATAGGAGTCTCCCATTCGTTTAAAGGAGCATCTTTTGCGGGAAGATCACATCCTTTTTTTCGCCATGGCAATACGCGCTTTGTTTCTTCATAGAAATCTATCAGGTGTTTTTGAAACTGCTTTATCTCAACTTCATTATAAGAATGTAAACTTAAAGAATGGCTGGACATCTTCGTAGCGTATAAATAAATTATATTGTATATCTATAAAAATATGAGTTTCTTTTTGTAAATTTTTTTTGCACAGCAAGTCACCACGAGTTGCTGGCTGTTACCAAGAATCTGGTTGGTTGTAAGGTTTTTGGTCACTACTCAAAATCATGTACAGAAGCGAATATTAAATCGTCTAAAGGTCGAACGTTCTGTTAATCCTTAAACGAAAGCTCCAAATGCTGCTCAATCTACTTCAATTCTTTGACTATAGCTATAAAGGTAAGAAGCCAACTACAAAGACTTCATTTCTTTTGGCTCGTAAGACAAAGGAAGGTATTAATTGTTAAAAGTTATTCAATTCTTTAAAGCTGCTTCGTATTTAACTATTCAAAAACCAAAAAAAAAGAAAGAAAAGAAGTAATATAGAGTAAAAAATATTCGACATATCACACATTACTTAAAATATCAGCAAACGATAATCAAATATAGAAAAGTAATATAACAATTGCAAGGATTCATAAGTGAAGAGGAGTAACTACATATATATAAAGTAAAGATAACAAGTGTTAAACACATAATAGATAGATTGGGAGTTAAATACTTTCCGTTTTGATCGTAGAAACGTGAAAGGCAAGGAACGACTTAAAAGCAAAAATTCGCTTTTGAAATGGAGGAATATTTACATAACGACAAGGACAAAGAAAAAAGAACTCATCATTGCAAACACGGAATACAGACCGTATTTGCCGAAAGACGAAGCAATAGACTCCTCAGTTCCACTAGTACTTTCTTGCAATGTGCTATTGGCGCCGGGTGTACCGGTTAAAGGAACACTAGAAGAACCAATGCTTTGACCATCCGCGGCAGGAGTAGTAGGGGGTTTGGAAGTTGGGACACCACTCAAAGCGGAAGCGATGTTAGAAACTTCAACGCCAGAACCGGTGGCGTTGCTACGAAGATTAGCAAATCCGATTTTTTGGGCATCCCAATCGTAAGCAGCGTAAACGTTCTGCAAAAAGTATTGACCAAGGATGCAAGTATCAGGACTTGGAACGAAAGCCAAGTAACAAACCTCATCTCCTTGGTATGGTTCACGAGCAATCACTAATTCTTTTATACTGACTTGGAAGGAAGCATCACCTTGGAAGTTAAACTGGACATGATCAGAATCAGAAAAGGAATTACAGTAAACAACTGGGTATCCTTGACTGCTAATGAATCCTGAGTAACGATCAGCAATACCCTCAACAACATTGTCGGGCATGTACAACAAGACGGTACCAGTATCAACAGTAGTGTTTTGGTTGACTTGTAAACTAGAATCGCGCTTCTCAAAAGTCAGTTTCTTTGAGTTTTGTTGGTTGGATGGATCGGGCAAACTCAAACTCTCCAAAAATACAGAGTAAAAATTACTTTCACCGGAGATGTCCAACCAATGGAAATTACCGTCAACCTTTGCTTTATTATAACCACCAAAGATCAATTCACCTTCTTGTTCATTCAGGTAGATACCAAAAGAATAGGAATTGATCAGGCCAGAAGTATACAACTGTTCGACAATAGTAGGAGGTGAATAAGCGACAGCACGGTTGTTCGACGTAACACCAGTAATGGTCATTCCTGGAGACAAACCGATGATACCGGGGGTAACGCTAATCTGCTGGGAATCGTATTCACGAGTGGCGACACCAAAAGTGAAGTTGTCAAGAGCTAATCCAGCAAAATAAGCCTTGTCAACCATGTTATAACCAATAGCAGTGGTGTTATCACCATATCCAGTAAGGAAACCGATGATGTTGCTACCAGTAATCTTCGCACTGGTGTCTGAAAAGTCATAGCAAGTATAGTTACTGCAAATGCTTTGTATTTCAGATGTAGATTTTCCTGGAGCCATTTCCACCTGACTGAACTCGGAAGGATCAAGGGCTGTTATATTATTCGCGGTTACCCAAGTATAAGGGCTACCAGTATCGAGTGTCAAGGAGAAGTTTTTCTTTTTTTCACCCATGATGATACTAGCGAAGTAACTTCCTGTATTAGTATACTCTAGATCCAAAAGAGGATAACCTGACTCATCTCGTTTCGACAAGAAACGAGTTCTTTCAAAATCTGCAGAATCATCTCGGGAATAACTATGTTTTAATCCCATAACAACAGATTTCCCACTGTCGTCATTTGTGTCAATAACGGCAGCAGAAGAAAGCTGATTCTTTGCAGTTTGTAAGACACAGGCTGCTGCCCACAAAAGAGAGAATTTCATTTTCTACTATTCAATGAAATTTTCTATTTAAAATTGCGTTCCTTTATTGTTATTTCTTTGTAAATTTGTACCTAACCGCCCAATTAATGGGTATTTTAAGATGTTGGTTCTTGGCAAGTTTAAATACCAATCCTGAGTTGTCATTATAGCGTAAGCTGTCTGGGACTACAACAAAGAATACAGGGGTTATGTGAAGTCATCATACTCTGATTATGAAGAGCGGAAGATGACATTGCACATATATGTTTTATGGAATGCAGCATTACAGCGTTCGTTAAAATTCGGTAATAAATATTAACAAAGAAAAAAAATTCATGGCAAATACTATATGTAAGTGAAAACAAAATTTAAATTTGATAGAAATGAAAATAATAGAATGTCTTTGTGTTTTCCCTAGTTAATTCTAAACCACTCTATATTTCAAAGGAGTATGACCAAAAGAAACAGAGCTATTATGGAAACAGCAATGAATGCATCTCGAAACACAAATTGTACATGATTTCCGTGTCTATACATTCGGAAAGAAGACAAATAAAACGATACTTGACAATGATCCTTGAAAACAAAGTGCAGAAGGATACAACAAACCCATTATACAACATTGAATTATACTCATATATACCAACATTTACAAATATCTGCCTCTTCATATAACCTTTCTTCACTGTCCCGTTAAAAACATACAAAAAATATTTATTGTACTCATTAACAATCCAACCGATTTTCCAATCCATACATTATTGTAGAGATATTTAGAAAGCTCTTTTTTTGTGTGAAGAAAAATACAAAACAAACCAGTACCTAAATTACGCCCTTTTTTTTATAATTACGCTGATGCAGTTCCATTGGACGTCTGCAAAGCTGAAGCCGATTGTAACGGAATTTGGAAAATATAGCCAACGTTAGGCACATTTCGGATATTCTTCCACCGACCATAGCGAAACTCTCGACCGCATGCAGCCAAAACCAATAACTGTTCATGTCCTTTTCTTCCTTGAATCGAAAGTGATAAGGAATTTATGATGCTCTTTGTTGCCAAAGGCCTTTCCAACTCAACCGGTTCGAACGAACGAAGTCCATCAGCAATTTTCCATAAACGAATCGTTCCATCCCACGAACCAGACACAAACAAATTCGCATATGGTAAAGCTCTCAAGCAAGTAATCCAACGAGGTTGTGGTGGTGTGCTGCTCTCCGATGGTGTTTTTTCTGCAGAGTGCCGTTCAGGAGCTAACGGGGTATCTAATCCATGTGCCAAAGGATAAGTGTAAACTGGCTTCTTTCTCTGTAAAGACCATAAGGCGATAACACCATTATCACTACCAGTAATGAAATGATTTTCATCCACCATAGTGACACAGTCAACGCTACCTTCCATATATCCGCCCGTCATTTTAATCGAATTGCCTCCGCTCCGAAACACAAGCTGTGATTCTTCAACAATCTTCCATAATCTACTACTACGATCCCGACCACCAACTGTAATACAGCGTTCTTGCGAGAAGGCATCGACGTCGTAAACGATATCTTGATGACCAAACAAGGTTTCGACATAACTCATAGAGTCCAAAGACCATACTTTGATAGAACGATCAGCTGATGCACTAAACATTTCGTTTGTTCCCTTTCGGAATGCCAAAGCTAATATCACATCTCGATGATGCTTCCAGCAATGTTGAGCGGTCAAAGTTTCAGAGTCTCGTACAACAATGCGATGATCAAGACCACCTGTCACCACCCACCGGCCATCGTTACTGATCGTCAAACATGTAATTTCTGCCACATGATCCCGGTCTCCACCTTGGGGAATAGAAAAACGAACGGGCCTTAACTTCAATTTCGATGAAGAATCAACGCCACCTTCACTATCTTCATTAAGGATCTTCCATTTTTGAACTAATCCCGATTTATCAGCACTGTATATAAATTCCTCCTTCATAATTAGTCCAACAAGAGGCTTCGAGTGTCGACCACGTAGTTGTGTGCAAGTATGCTGAATCGATGGCTCAACACGATCAGCATAATTTAAATACATCTTTCCTTGTTTTTCTAAAACATCTTCTTGTAAACGCTCAGAAAGTAATTCACGATCCACATCTTCTGCATTGAAGCCAACGTCTTCACCAATCTCATTTTTTATCTGGTCTAAATAGTCTTTGGCAATTCGCAATCGCTTTTCTGCTGCATTTTCATGAGCATCTTCATTTTCTTCATCAGGATCGTATTGTTCTCTTTCAATATCTGACTCTGAAGATATAGATGCTAAATCCTCATCTCTTGATTCATTTTGTGGCTTTTTTTTACTGGCAGTAGATTTTTTTTGTGCTGCATTCCTTGCTTTTCTCTTTCTATGTTCCGGACGCGTGAAAAAAGGGTCCGACATGGCTTTTTTACAAATTCCAGAAAGTTTTGTACTGAGCTACTTTCAAGGATACTAAGAAAGAATACCGGTGAATTCATTTATTCACTTGACCGATGACCCAAGTTTTTCGGTAAGTGTTATAACAGAGAACACCGAAATTCACCGAGACGGACTCTCCTAAAATTCCTGAATGAATGTTGCCAAGGAAAAAAGGATTCCATATTTATATAGACTTTTCTAGTCATTCATTTGAAAGAAATAACTTAAAAATTATTCCATAGCCATCTAATCGCTCCTGTTGAGAAATTAACGTATATGCAGTTAACCGTATCAAAACATGTGGCATTCTTTCAGCGACATTTGATTCTGCTACCAAATCCGTATGAGGAACATGATTCTGAAAGAATGGCTTTGGGATTTTTCTGTCTACTTGGATTGGATTTACTTAATGCATTGGACAAGATTTCCGAAGAAGACCGAGAATCGTGGATTGAATGGATTTATAATAATTATGTTTTACTATATTCTAAAGAAACTAAAAAAAGCTATGCAGGATTTCGGGGATTCGCTACAGGAAGTACTCCAATCCTAAATGAACAGGAACCTCAATTGGCAGCTACTAGCTTTGCTATTAGTAATCTCCTTCTACTGGGTGATAATCTTTCTCGAATTGATAAACAAGCTGTTGAACAATTTCTTTCATTATGCCAATTGCCGGGTGGTCACTTCAAAAGTACAGCTTCAACAATGTGTTGCGACCAAGATATGCGGCAGTTATACCTAGCTACTACAATAGCCACTCTACTCAACATTTCTTTTCCTCACACGAAATTATCCCTTCAGTACATCCAAAAATGTCAGAACTATGAAGGAGGTTTTTCGTTGACTCCCTATGCTGAGGCTCATGCAGGCGCAACGTTTTGTGCGTTAGCATCACTAAAATTGCTTGTGAATTCTATACCTACTCAGAAACAGTTGGGCTTGGATCAGACTTCGGTTACTAAACCGTATGAATTTCAAGATTATATTCCCGACAAGAAAAGGCTTCTTTTATGGTTAATAAATAGACAGCAGAGTTCTGGCGGATTTAATGGAAGAACAAACAAAGACCATGATACTTGCTATTCTTACTGGGTTCAAGGTTCGCTGCAATTGTTAGGGGCATCCCAATTTATTTCTCAACAAGATGTAAAGAGTTTTCTACTGTGTCAAACACAACACAAGTTTGGAGGGTTTTCAAAAATTCCTGGGGAATTTCCGGACGTATTGCATTCTTCTTTAGGCTTGTACGCTTTGGCATTCAATGACAAAGCAAATTTCCCTGAAGTCGAGCATGCCATCTGTCTCCCGACAAGGCGTATGCCAATTAAAAAATAGACTATATAGTTCTCGAACAATATTCTAATAATTTATATGAAATCGTAATAATAATCACTTAATTATTTGTCGTTTGATCGTTTTTACGAAGAGGAACTCTGTTAGCACGACGTTTGACCCTACGTTTGCCTGCCTTCGCCGTATTCTCGGCAGGCTTAGTTTGCTGTTCTAATACCTCTTTTTTGGTCTCTGATTTCTCCTCTTCGTTGTAAGAGTCTATGTCTGCTTCTTCCGGATGGTCTTTTTTTGGGAACCAGCGAAGGACAAGGGTTTGCAAAAAGAATTTAGGAACCCGATATAGTAAGATATCAGAAAATTTCACACTAGGAACAGCTTCTGGAGATACTAAATACTCAATATTTGAAGAGGGGTCTAAAATACACACTTGACCTGTAATTGAATCCACCGTGTAAATCCTTTTTCCTTGAGGCACCGTGACAATACGCTTAGATCCTTTAGCAGTGTTGGAGTATTGTTCATACTGTCTAGCCAAATCAATATGATCTTGCATCATCTTTTTCTGTCGTTTCACACTTAATATGCGCATCATTAAGTGGGCAAATGAAATGAACACTGCAAGCAAAATAAGGACTGCTCCAAGACCAGGGCGGTACCTAGAGTATAAATAAGCAGTTCCTTTCCAACGTGGAAACCCGTTTTTCAAGAAATGGTCATAGCGCTTACGCGTCTCCGTATTTCGTAGGATATTAACAATTAAACCTAAAAGAGTGTAGAGTTCTCCCGTGCTGGGATTTTTGTCAGGATGGTAAAGAATACTTTTCTTTCTATATGCTTTATTAATTTCCTTGACGGATGCCTTTGGCGATACTTCTAACAACTCATAAAATGTAAGCTTTCTCTTCAAGATCGTTTTCAACGAGTCAACGATTCGGAAGATTTCAATATCAGATGCGCTCCATGCTATGCACACGCCTACGAATAGAAAAAACAAATAATAACGACTGAACATTCCGAAAATGCCAGTTATTCAAAGGGAACGGCGGTATAAAGAACCTCAAAGATTGATCAAATAAACTACATGAATACGATATATCATATCGTTGCATTGGCTTAGTAAATAAACAATATCAAGAAGTAAAATTATCAAAAAAAATTCAATTTACAAATTCCATAAAAGATGATTTAACTTGTAAAAAAGTAAATATAATTAGAAGATTAATAGGACATTGCTGAGCATTCTACCCCTTTGTTCAATTGATTGTGCACTAGCTTATTAGAAGTTTACTAGGACTTTATGTATCAGGCAAGGAACCTTCAAAAGTCTTGTAGTCTATTATTTTATTATTAAACCAGGAGGTTAGCTGTTAAATACCTACCAATAGAAAACCAAAGCAGGCAAACTGTATTAGCAAGGTGGATTGATGGTCTGAACAAATTGTAAGCATATTAGAAAGCATATATACGGTTATAAATTAGTTCATTGAGGAATTATTTAAATATATCAAAGAGTAATCAATTATTGTTTCCTTAAGATTACATGGGTTGTCTATTTGTTTACATTTCATTGGTAATTACGAAGTACAACATGTAAACAAACACAAGAATGTATTCCAGTGAGCAGATATCTTCGTCTTGCCTTTCCCAAATATTAAAAAAATGGATTTTCGCTATAGAGTACGTAAAGCTTTTAATCAATTAGGGCCTGACTCTATATCTACAAGCAAGCGAGTCATCTCTACAGCTTCGCGTGATGAATACTGCAGGATGGGAAAGGTCTCTTTACCACGCTTAGACGCCATTGCCCCTCGAACGCAGTATAACTTCCAAAAATATGCCTTTTACTATGCAATTTTCTTTTGTGGTTCCTGGCTGTTTACATTCTTTTGGTACCCTTTTTCCTTACTAGCTTTGATGGTCGGCGTTTTTCTTAGCTTTATAGCATATGCCATTGGAGACATCAGCATCGATGAAAGCATACAGGTGAAATATAGGTATACCGTGTCAGCCATCTCTTCTCTGACATTGATGGTCACTATCTTCTTGGTCCCTTTTAGCCGCCTTTTATTGTCTCTCTTTCTAATCTCTGGTGCCTTGCTAGCTCATGCTACTCTCACTCCACATGAGAATCCTGCAGGATTGTTGTAAGTACACTTTCTTTTTGAACCGGTTCATGAAAGTTAGTCCATTTTTTATCCTTTTCAGTTCTTAAAAGAAAACATTAGTACAGAAGCACTTGTCCCAGCTTGCTTAGCGGATGCTTTTTCTTTTGTTAGAAATATTCTCCGTTAATCTTGATCGAAAACAAGCAAATTTTTGAAATATCTTTTTAACCGATTGTATCCTTCTCAAATTTTAAAGTAATAATTATTCAAATGAAGTTCTGTAAAAAGACGAAGAGAAAATGGGTTTTTAAACGAACAAAAAGTAAACAGGATTAATGATTGTTTTCAGGATTATATTCCAAGCTTTGAACTGGTTTTTTTTTTTGAAAGAATTCAGAACTCCATGTTTGCATTCCACATACTAAACATTGTTCATTATTACGAACAGGTAATTATAACTCGAAAAAGCTGGTCAACAAAGTCGTAATTTGAGATCTTTTTTAATATTCTTAATTAAAATTTATTTCTTGTTCAGTAGTAAAACAACCATGTAACGTGTTGTTCCACGGGAGGTAGAGGTCACTTTCAACTGAAGCATTTGTTTTCTAAAAACAGTTCATACCAACGTAAGCAACTTTTTAAAAAGGCTGCTTAGCAGCAATTACCCAATCGTCGTAGAAACACCTTTTTAGAGGAAATTGCTTTTATGATTAAATTTATTGGTTTACTGTTAGAGATTTCATTTTTGAATATTCGTTTTTGCTGAGTACTAATATCCGAAAGTTGCAAGAATATACCCAAGCATTCTTGTACCTTTTATACACATTGTTTATGATATAATAATTCCTTTTTGTTTTTCAAACACTTTGTCTAAATCATGTTAGGACGTCGTCTCAAGTATGGTTCCTTCAAGCGGGTACTAATTACGCTATTACTAGTTTTTTCAATTTATTTATGTGCAAATCACGTTGCCAAAAAGAAAGAACAACCTCGAAGTCCGGCTGCAGAAAAACAAAATATTATACGTGAAACTTTTCAAAAAAGTTGGTCCGATTATGAAACTTTTGGATGGGGATATGATGAATATTATCCCATCAAGAAAACAGGAAGGAATTACCTTGAAAAAGGCATCGGTTGGATGATTATTGATGCCTTGGACACCATGATGATTATGGGATTAGACGATCAGAAAGAGCGTGCTCGTGAGTGGATCAAGTCTTCACTTACATGGGATCAAGGTGATGAGGAAATGAACGTGTTTGAAACTACAATACGAATGCTTGGTGGCTTGCTATCTGCTCATCATCTTTCAAAGGATCCTTTATATTTAGAAAAGGCTGTTGATTTGGGTGACCGATTGCTCTGTGCTTATAATACGACAACCGGTATTCCTCGTGCAAATTTGAATCTTCAAACTCGAAGTTCGAGAAAACGAACTAGAAACTACATGGTTAGCACTTCTGAATGTGGTACTGTTCAGATGGAGTTACGCTATCTGTCTTACTTAACAGGCGATCGCAGGTATTGGGACGCTGCTGACCAAGTTACTACTATGTTACTAAATGATCCCAGCTGGTCGCATATTGGACTGGTCCCCATCAGTTTTAACTTGGAGACAGGCAAGTATATTGGTGCCAACATTCGACTTGGCTCGCATGGTGACTCATATTATGAGTATCTTTTGAAACAAAGCCTTCAACTGAAGGATCAAGTGCCCATATATCGGGAGGCTTACAATATAGCTGTAGAGGGAATTATGAAACATCTCGTCAATCGCACGACCCACGAAGAGTATACCTATATAGCTGAATTACCGAAAGGGCTAAATAAGAAACAACATCCAAAAATGGACCATCTGGTATGCTTCCTATCCGGTACACTCATGTGGGGTGCCACAAATGGTACAAGCCTTAATGTTGCAAGAGAAAGTCCTCAGTGGAGCGAGCATCAGGATGAAGTTGTGAAACTGTCAGAAGAGCTTTGTAGAACTTGCTATGAAATGTACAGATCTACGGCTACTGGTTTAGCTCCAGAGATTGTATATTTTTCTACGGATACAAAGACTCATGAAAAGAATAATGAAAAGGACAGTGAAATGTATACTTTCAGTCAAGACCGACACAATCTCATGCGACCTGAAACTGTTGAAAGTCTTTTTATATTATACAGGATCACTGGTAAAGAAATTTACAGAGAATGGGGATGGAATATTTTCCAGGCCTTTATGAAGCATTCTCGATTACCAGGAAGAGACGCTTTTACTTGCTTAAACAACGTCGAGACTACCGGCATAACTAATCATAAAGATAGAACTGAATCTTTTTGGTTTGCCGAAACATTAAAATACCTATACCTACTATTTGAAGATGATCCCTCTGTCCTTGCCCTAACCGAATATACATTCAATACAGAAGCTCATCCCTTTCCGAATATTTCTCCTTATGAAAAATCCAAGTAATTCATTTAATTTATAGTTTAAATTAAATAAAACTTTATTTCTCTTGTTGCTTTAGCTTCCTAATCCCAGTCCGTTCGTTCATTAGAAGGTGATCGCCAAACGCCCTAAAGTTTGTCGAAAATGATAAATAAATGTTACGATTTTACAAATTATTCAAAAATTACAAACAGAAAGCTTGAGCTGTTAATCTCGCAACATCATGTTAACATTCACGTTTGTTCTACTTGCATAAATTGCTCAGAAAATCGAAGGGCATCTAAAATTGCTGAAGCTTGCTCAGCTGGACCAAAAGTTTCATTATCTGAATTCCATTGGTCTTGGTCTTCTGATTTATCCCACTCTTGATAATCTTTATGATGTTAGCTTCAAGTACACCCAAGAAAATAGCTATTAGTAAATCAAAAGTACCTTGCATCCATTGTAATCTCTGATATCTTTGTCTACGCTGCTCTTTTCGGATATGATGAAGCTTAGACTCCATTAACTCTTGAATCCTTAGTTCGCGAGCATGCTCTCCTTGTAGATTCGCAACTTGATCAGAGTTCATTGAGGAAGATTGGCTGGGTGTTTTAGAGCTAATAGACACCTGGCTGTGATCAGGCATCACATAGGAATCGGTGTTCTCATCATAGTAAAGCATATCAGGTAATTGGCGACGCTTTCTTGTCGAGCGTACTAACAGGTCAGCAAACTCAAATAAAGCTTTTTTTCTACCATACCTGGAAGAACTCGCTCTCCTTGCTTTTTTTGAGAGGCCATTTTTAGAATAATTTGTGGTTTACGTATTCAGTCAATTTTTCGTCTTCGAATACCAAGCAAAAACTAGTAACACTTTTAGAAGCAATTGAAAATATTAAATAAACTGAAAACTAAGACTTGAATTAGAAATTAAAATAGATTAATCTCTTGTGAATTTAAACAATAAATAAAGACTGATTTGGTATAGTAGAATGCTCACTTACGAGTTCCCTAGCGCTCCACTACGAAGGTGACTCTGTCAAATTTATCTTTATTGAGCTTATTACGAAATATTTACACGAATTAAGAAAGACATAAAGTGTTACGGCTAATGCTTAGCTTATGCTTTCTACTTAGGTAGGGACGAATATTTCAAGGTCATTCATCCTCAATGCAAACCAAGGATAAATATAACCAACAATACCAAGTTGACTATTTGAACTCTATTTAAATGCTTACTCCTAGAATGAAAACAAAAATCTTATGTGAGCTTGTGCTTATAAAGTAGAAATATTGTAAGACTTCTATTGTACTTTTACACCATTCTATGTTGCATGTAACTACGCACATATGGTAAACATAAACCAAATTGACGATATACGATACTCAGGTAATTACACTACAGACTGCTAAAATCAATATGAAGGCTGGTTTAAGGAATTCATCAAAAAAAAACTACAAACCCCAATTCTCTACCTACCGCAAAAGCAGTCTCCCAACCTCAGACTACAGCCATTTAAGAATGGGAAAAACCAAAAGCAAAGTGTATCTAAAGGAAGGAAAAACTCGTTGAAAGGATACTACATAAAGTAGGTTGTTTATTTTTTCATGGATGAAGCACGACGGGCCTTAACAACTTCCTTCTTTTGCTTTTGATCAGCAACACGCTTGGCCAATAATTGAGCAAATCCAGCAGCTTCTTCACGGTTCTTCTCAGCTTGTCTACGCTTGAGAGCGAAACGGTGACGCTTGTGTTGAAGAGTTCTAGGGGTAACAAGGCGTTGGATCTTAGGGGCCTTGGTGTAAGGCTTCTTGCCTTCCTTCTTGGGCTGAACCTCACGACGAATAACGAATTGGCGAACATCGTCTTCCTTGGTCAAGTTGAAGAAACGGCGAATCTTAGAAGCACGCTTAGGTCCAAGACGCTTGGGGACGGTAACGTCGGTCAAACCGGGAATGTCTTGCTCACCTTGCTTGACAATGGCGACAGCGAGGACGGCCATATCTTGGTTGACGATGCAACCACGGACGGACTTACGCTTGCGCTCACCATCACGACGAGGGCGGTAGCAAGGGTGACCAGCACGAAGCAAAAGACGAACACGGTGAGGAAGCAAGACACCTTGGAACATGGGGAAACCTTGCTTGTCGTTACCACCAGTGATCTTGAAGACGTAGCCAGCAAATTCGGGTCCTACAGAGTCAGCGGGAACTTCTTGGCCCATTCTCTTGTCCATGAAAACACGGAGACGACGGTCATCGTCGATCTCAATTAGTTTTTGAGTACCGTTCGCCGGGTAGGAAATGTTCAGCTTCATCGTGGCGGTTGGAGAATTCCTGCTGTTGCAACTTTCTGTTGCTTCTACACTTTGATAGAAACAGTCACACCATCTCTTTCTAAACAATTCTGCCCTACCCTAAAATCAATCATAAGCAGTCTGCAAAAATACACTAATTTATCCAACGCAACTCAAAAGAACTCCCTATATGAGATGGATTGGAGATGTACACAAACTCGCAGGTGTCTGCTGTATGACAGGAGAAATTGCTTACTCTATCTTTTTTATGCTTTACATCTTTGTATTGTAAATAATTTTCAAAAATAGGAAAGGATTTTAGTGGGTCGATCAGTTTTTATCTGCCGTAAGACAAGTGAGCTATATCGACGCGTTTCAACATATTGGCGCACGTTTCGTTCTACTGAATCAAGCATTTGCTCTTCTCGAAACGTACTAGCTTGATTCTTTGTTTTTAGATTCTATAATGAAGCTTCATTCTGCTTTGTTTTCTGGCGCGGTTGGAACATCGAGGTTTTATCGGTCAGAACTGCCAACGCTTTATAAAAGGCTTATTTTGGATGCTCGAGCATTGGGACAACAACCTGAAAAGGGTCTTTGGTTCCATGTGAAAACATACTATCCGGTTAGCTATGCGGAGGATATGTTGACTGGAAGTCTTCCGAGACGTTTTTTCAAACTTCAAGCGTTTCCGTATTATAACGAAAAAATAAGGTCAAAGGAATGGTTCGTACGTGCCTATATTCAACCCGGATTACCTATCCCTACATCTCCTCCTGGCTTTCCTCCTAATGAAGCCCAAGAGGAAGCTAACCAAGATTCGCAAACGCCTCTAAAAAGCTACTTTTCCAGCGACGAGAATTCTGAACCAACAACATTTGTGAAACGAGTCATTCCAGCTCGTGCTCCTTTGGAAGTTTCAGAGGATTTTTCTGGAATCGGTTCTTGGTATCTTGCGGATAGCCAACAAGTACAGGATTTTGAAAAACAGAAAGCTCTTTTGACTCAGTTTCGAATGAGAGCCTATCCGAAGTCACTTCTTTTGCAGTACGTTCCTAACGAAGTTTCGAGCGAAGATCTTTATAAGTATCTGCGACGACAAGGTCCCATAGATGGAGTCATACAACTGAACAAGGAAGCGTTACCAGCGTCACCAAAATCTTTTGAGAGCAAGGAATTATTGCGTTTGACACCCACAAACGATTGGCTTATTATTACACCCAAACCCAATTTATTTTTACGTCTCCTACATAGAAATTCATGGGATTCAATAAAAAGACTTGCACCTCTCTCACAAAAATCTCCTGAAGAGCGACTGAAAACAAGAGGAATATCGGGAGCACCGTTTCAAGATTCTTCTGGTTCAGCAAATCATAACTCACTATTACTATTTGCAAGCAATTTCTTCAATACTAAAGTTGAAAATGCAAAACTTTCTTCAAAACTACCACGAAAGAAAAATAATGCTTAACAAGAAGCCATAAAAATTAATATAATAAACTTTTCAGTTTATTAAGAGCTTGAAAGTGGATATTAATAATTTACGGTCGATTATGATGAACCTTCACTCCCCTTTCCCCCATTGATTCAGCTTACAGCATATAAACTCGCATTTTAGGGCATATTACTTGAATAGTATAACTTCATTGATCTATATGTGTCTTACTTCCAAAAAATCATTAGCTCGTTTTTAACTTCTATGGGTAAACTGAATTTACTTTTTCGATGAAAGCTTCTATTTGGTCTTCTTGAAGACGTTCCTCAATTCCTTCAATACAAGCATAAATTTCTGGAATACTTGAAGGGCGATTATTTAAAATTATTAGCTTTTCAGCTTTGGTTAATTCATATTCATCCAGTACTTTAAGACATGCAAGAAACTTTTCTTCATCCATATGTGAGCAATTTGTCTGTGAATTCATATATTTAAGGATCTCAAACTGTATAGTTCGCAAATTTTCACACACTAGTCCGCCTGCTGCTCCTCTTACTCGAGTCCTTTGATTTTGCTCTTCTTCCATGTCCTTCAGATGCAGGTAAACCTCCGCATTTGTTAAGTATGCATCTCTTGCATTTAGAATCTTCATCTTAAAATGTATTCTTTTTATTTAAGTCCAATCGTCCTCTGCCTATAAACTGGGCATTCGCTTCTGGCAAACGCAAACTTTTCTGAGGAATATGATTTCAGCTTTGTCTGTTGTTTCATGCAATGTAACGAGACTCTTTAAAGAAAGTAACGAAATTTACACTAGTACACTAAAATGGTCTTCTTGTGACTGTCTACGAATTTGTCACTATATAAGGTGCGTGCACCTGTATGAAAGCTCTTCACGTTGCGCTGCTGTTTTATTAGTCTCTATGATTTTCCAGTTCATTTAGGCTTACGGAGCAGCAGTAGATGAAAAACGAAAACTCAAAAGGCAGTAGCTTCAAAATTGAATGAAGCATACTGCAAGAGAGGGTTTTAACATTTACAATAACCAGATATTTATTGTTGTGCTTAGACAACGGTAATTGATTACAAGTGTTTCTTACGTTCAATAATATTGATTCTTGAAATTTATGCTCTTTTCATTATAGAAAAAATAGTAACTAAATTGTTGTACTGTTGAAGTTGTAAGGATCGAAGACTTACAGATGACGAATATAGTTTATCACAGTAGTCAGTAAGAAAAGACTTGAGTTTGTACTACACTTTTCAATACTACATCAAATCAAGAGATATGAATCATTTTATTTCTAAAGATGTACTATTGACAATTAAAGATTGAATTGAATTCAGTAGTAGTATGACGTGAGTAATCTCATTAGTAGATCCCTCATTTTTTTAAAGATGCCATTAAGATTTGCTCCAGTCTATGAAATTCGTGAAGATAATTAAATTTTCATATATCTAGTCATAGACATTCCAAGACTTGAGCCAGCGTAGATGCTGAAACTTCGAAGAGGGACCATGCATACCAAAAGTAACATCCTTGAAATAAATAAAGACAGCAGTTACAACGACATAAAGCAATAAATAAACTGTAATACGAGCAGCATGAGGCAGCTTTCTAGCAAACCAATCTACCATAAAGCTAGCGATAAAAGCTGAGAAGGCATACGAGGGTTCATAATGATGCACATATAAGACTCGTCCCATAATGTAGTAAGGTAGATAATTCATAAACCAACCCAAAAAGGGGTAGACACCTGCAAAGTGAACCATATCAAATTTCTTTGAATTCCATTGTAAAGCGTGACGGCGCCAGCTGAGAACGGATCCAACAACAAATAAAACGAAACCAAACAAACTGGCCGTAGCAAACCAGTATGCGAATGGATTACCGATCAACAAATACTTGATTTGGTCGTCTCCCCAACCACACATACGTAAGGTAGCTAATAAGAAAGGCCACTGGTAGGCATCGCTACGAAGAGCGTCAAGTTTATCCTCATCGGGAACAAGACCGTTATTGGCGCGCAACATTGCACGATTCAGGTGAAAGAAGTCACTCCAAAACGAATTAGGATAATCATCCAAACTTCCTTCCGGGAGACGAGGATTTATGTGCTCCTCAACATTCCAATGGGTATTAATATTTTTGGCATCCGTATTAGGATCGCAGTACATCTCAATCTGACCGAAGCCCCAAGCAGGAAGAGAAGAGGTAGAAGAACTCAAATAGCAATCCATTACGGGGTTATACAATTGGAAAACGGTGGATAATGAGTGGACAGAAGCAATATCTTTATGAGCGGAATCCGAAATAATTTTTACTTGCCAGTAGTCTTTTTCATCACCAATGTCGCCTAACCCATAGCCCGACACTTCATACATGCGTTGATTTAGAGGAGCAGGGATGTCATGAGTATGCAGGTTACGATTTGTATAAGGGTGAACAAGGCGAACAAGACTACCTTCCTTAATGGGAATTTTAGGATCATTTTCTTCAAAATCGTAGTGAACGCCGTGCTCAGGAAGGAACATCCATTCATTGTTTCCATCTTTGTGATGGTAGCCTGTGACTTGTTGTTGCTTGCTTCCACCCGGGAAAGTCTGGATATGGGAGTGCAGTAAAGCACCGGCTGAATTTCTGCTCTTCAGGGTGAATTTACTTCCATACATAAGATCAACGGGATTTTTGGTGAGTGGCGAGCCTTCCAGGCGAGCTTGGAAAAGAGAGGGCATTTGTGCATCACCAGGACCCGACCTGCTCAAAACTGCAAATTGAATCCAGAATGTCAATGCGTAAATAAAGAAGGGAATGATGATAAGGAAGATAATTCTAGTCAGCCAATGTCCAGCATAAGCAGTCCAGGAGACCTTTTTATCGTTTAAGAGTCGGAATAACTCGTCTACGGTGTACAAACCAACGACGGCGGTGATAAAGAGACCGACGAGTTTTACGCTACATACGCAACCAATGCAAACACCAGTCAAGATTAGCCACTTAAACCAGTAAAAAGAAAAAGGTTGCTTGCGGTAGACGTGGAATCGGGAAAGGGAAAAGAAAGTGCTAAGAATGAAAAATAAGAGCATGCTATCCAACAGAATGAAGCGACTGATGGTTGCCAAATGATTGTCTAGAGCAATCATTAGACCGACCAAGGTAGCAGCCCAAAAAGAGTAACCAAAATTGGTAGCAGAAAAGTAAGCCAAAGGGATGCAAAAGGTACCAAAAACAGCATTCCATAATCTCATAAATTTATAGTTCATGCCTTCTGGGTATGTAGCACCTGAGTCAAAGTCAAATTGACCATCATAACCCACCAATTTTCCGGCGACTGCATTGAGCATTTTTCCCAAAGGAGGATGGACGTCAAAATAAAACTCATGTTTCAGATAATAGGATGCAAATTTTCCAAAATGTGCTTCATCCCAAATTACCACGGGACTATCGGCGATGTGCCAAGTACGAACAAAACCAGCGATGATTGTCAAAACAAGAGGGACCAAGATATATCCAAAAAGATTGCTACAGCAGGATTTTCTTTTCGTTGCAAAAGAAGATCCATCTTGTTTTTTGGAATCTTCTGTTTCATTTGCAACGACAGAAATTTCTGGAGAATTGCTTTTGCCTGGAAAACGTTGACGCAACTTGCCAGAACTCTCTTTCTGACCAACCGACATAGTTTCAAAAAAAAATTAAAAATTAAAAAGCAAAAGAGAAATATTCAGTTCGCGGAACAATGGTTTTCTATGTCTGTATTTTTCCAAACTGAAGTAGCTTACGCAAACGTCCTCTTCACGATTCCTATGTAGACTGACTTGTCTTTTCAGCGAACCGTCTAGGTAAAACGAATCAGTTTTAGAACAAAGTGATAAATATATATATATAGAGACAAATTCCTTTCGACCGTTTCCTTCACGTTGGCAAAGGGCATCTGTCCGTCTGGGTTTACGAGGTCCAAGGACCAAAAAGTGACAATGCTCAGGCTTTGTCACTTTCCAGGACACTTATGCTTAAGCCATGCAAGTAAGGGAAGGAAGGAAAGCAAAAGGAAACATCAATTGCAATCCATGCAATTGAAGAAGAATCCATCTATCGAAACTAGTAGGAGATTATTTTCGAAAATGAATTTGTTGCAAGCTGCAAAAAATTAAAAAGATTCGATTTTGCCCACACCAGGAATCGAACCTGGGTCGCATCGGCCACAACGATGAGTCTTAACCACTGGACCATGTGAGCTGTTGTTGAGAGATGTTGTTCTATATATTAAATATAGGGGTTTTGTGTATACATATACATATATGTATGTACGCAAAATGGTAGAAATATTGCAAACAGAAGAATCATGTTCATTTGTTTTTACAAATATTCGGTTTCTTTCACTGAAGCTCTTGGATGAGATGGATTCAACGGATATTTTCTCTCTAGTTTCACAGACTCCCATTAAAACGATTTGTTCGCCATATAATTAGCATCGCTCCATCTTTTTGTTCAGCGCTCGATTATTATTTTTAAATTCAAAAAAAAAAACAAACATTGCGATCCATCATTTCTCCTCTTAGTCATGGCATCATCATCCTCGTTCCATCCCACTACCCTATTTCTACCATTTTGTGAAGTTTTGCGAATCCTTTGCTTGCGAAAACACAAACAAATCTTTGTCAATACGCACGCAATTTACCATGCATTCGTCAATTAGGAAAATAAAATTCAAGCTATGAGTCGTCCATAACGATTAATCAGCAATAGCCTCCAAATAGACCAATTAAGCCTTTAATGGTTGGCATCGAAATGGAGACATTATTCGCAAGAGGATCCACGATGGCAAAGAGAGAAATTCTAGCTATATATATATGCTTTCGTAGCAATATGAATTGTCGTATTATCGTCCTTCATCTGTTTTGGTTGCCATTCATTTTATTCACTCAAGTATGATTGCTGAATACAAGACGGCTAGGATCCATGAAGATCATAACCTTTTTCATCCGATATTGCGACCCTCTGATATTGAGAAGACTTTTCCTGGTCAACACATTCAGTCTTCTCCTTATGTCGAAAAAGAGCATTGGCTCAACTTGGAGTCCTTGTCTTTTGGTCATCGTCTCTTATCCATGGCTCTTCAAAGCTTTATCCCAAAAGATCCGGTGTATTATGCTCATCTGCCATACGAGGAAGCCTTTGATATTGCGGAAATCGTACATTTAGTTCGGGAATATGCACGTCAATACCTCTTGCCTGTTCCAAATTTTTCTGCCTATATCGTGGCATTTCGCTCTGTCTTACATTCCCACGTTCAAAGTTCCCAGACCATGCGTCACAAGCTGGCAGAAATAGACAAGGGATCACATTTAGAAGCCAATATTTCTGGCGGTCTGCTGAAATACTGGTATGGCGTACCTGACGATACGTACGGCCAAAACTTGGCTACGTGCTGGTGGGATTCTAGAAAGAGTGCAAAACTTGGCGGAGCCGGGAATATTCATCGAGAGGGATTGAAAACCGTCCGAGGATGGTACAAGGACTGGAAACTCGAGGAATACAAACTCGAAGTCTTTCAAGATGGAAACGATTATGTTTTCCAACGTCTTTCTTTGTAAATACTTTTCTTTTAGGAGAGATGACCATTCACTCGTTTGTATTATTTTCGTTGTATTTATTTTTATTTTTATGTTTCTGTTTACGTTTACGTTTCCCTCTATCTATGTCTAATGTCCATGTTAATTCCAAATAAATAGATTTGTAGGTGTTTTGTTTTCATCTCTTTTATTCAATTCATTACTTCCAAATGTATACAACCAAGCTGTAGAAAAACGATAGTGTAGACAAAATCGAGTCGAAGCGATGAATTAACACTGACAGTCGAATACAAATTCACAAGACTACAGGGTTCAAAGAAAACCATCATCCGACGTCGTTATTTTTTATTTTTTTTATAAAAAACAAAGAAAGAAGCATATCTACCTAGCCAACCACTTTTTCAAAAAAGATTCCATCCACAAAATCAGACATCCGTGCAGTTTCAGGGCGTAATCCGCTTTCAGCACATTACAATAACGATGATTCTAATTTCTACGGAATTCCACTAGCTAAGTTCCCAAAGTCTTGGTGGATGCGTCTTACCATAATCTGCGTAAGCGATGGACAAGCAACTAAAACCATTCAAGCAATACCTACTTCAACGGCAGCCATAAATCAAACAAATTCATTGTTTTTCTAAACTCGAATCGAAACCTTTCTACGTTAAAAACATTACCGTACAAAGAAAACAGAAATTTCGTTTTCCTATCTTAAGTTGCAGTAAGAAGGTGATGAAAGGGTACCATCATCATCTACTTTTCTTCCAAGTGCAAGAAAAAATTTCGCAATTCCATGCGCATATGTTTTCATGAATTTCTGTATATTTTTAAATTTCTATGAGACGAATTGCGAATCGCTGCTTGCTTTCCACATATCTTTTCAAGAATTCATTGACGACGAATTCGAGCACATTGGATGCTACAAGAAATTCTTTCCCTAGAAAAGATTTTTTTATTTCATACTTTCTTTTGGAATTTTGATTCAGTCTTCTATCTTCGTTTCCACTTTCACTTTACAAAATGACTTCTCTCAAGGAGTCGAACAAAGACAAGGCGTCCATCCAGAACGCTGAGATAGAGACTGAGATTGAGACAGAAACTGTTCCTCTTCAAACCACTACAAGTGTTTCATCAAACGATGACTTATTTGATTCCAAAGACTTTGATCAAGTCTACCTAGCCAAATCTCGTATCTTGAGTCAAGCCATTGACGAACTTGGCTTTGGTAAATATCAGTGGGCATTGCTCTTCATCGCTGGATTTGGATGGATGTCTGATAACAGTTGGCCAGTCGTTACATCTTTAATTCTGTCTCGGCTCAACGAGGTAAACGGCGTTCATCCACCTACCCCAAAGGATGCACCATTCTTGACCTTGGCCCAAAATTTGGGGTTCTTAGCCGGTGCTTCTTTTTGGTCTATATCCTCTGACATTTTTGGTAGATTATGGGCCTTCAATTACACCTTCCTCATCACTGGCGTCTTCTCTCTTGTTGCCGGGGCATCTCCAAATTTTGCTGCTATTGGAATATTTAATTCACTCTGGAGTTTTGGTGTCGGTGGTAACTTGCCTGTTGATTCGGCAATTTTCATCGAGGCAATTCCAAGCTCTTATCAATGGCTCTTGACCGTCATGAGCGCTTGGTGGGCACTAGGACAAGTTTTGGTAAATCTGATTGCCTGGGGTCTGGTTGCTAATTATTCGTGCTCGGATGACAAAGAACCGTGTTATAAAGAAAATAATAAAGGCTGGAGATACTTATTGTTTACCATGGGTGGATTGACTTTATTCATGTTTCTTATTAGGTTTTTATTTCCGCTTGTGGAATCTCCCGGTTATCTTTTAGCCAAAGGTAGAGAACAAGAAGCTGTCCAAGCAGTTCATAAGATTGCTAAATACAATAAAAAAGAATCTTCTCTATCTCTTCAGGATTTCCAAAAAGTCCAACCCTCTCTTTCTAACACTTTGGAATCTCAAACAGAAAACGACGTATTGCATACCATAAATAATTCCCCGAAAAAGGAAGCATTAAAAAGAGTAATAAATTTTCAGACTATTCGTGAATGCTTCCGATCAAAAAGGCTAATACTATCTTCTACATTGGTGATATCTTCTTGGGCCCTCATAGGCCTGGCATTTCCTTTATACAATGCTTTCCTGCCTTACTATCTTGAATCCAGAGGAAACGCTAACAAGCCTTTAAGTGTTTACGAAACATATAGAAACTCCCTCATCGTTTCTACTTTGGGCGTCCCCGGCTCCTTACTGGCTGGTATACTAGTTGAACTTCGAATAGGCCGTAAAGGAACTCTTACTCTTTCTCTTCTTCTTACAGGTGTTTTTCTATTTGCTTCTACAACGGCGAAAACGAGTAACGCCTATCTCGGGTGGAATTGTGCTTTCACTTTTGTTTCAGATATTATGTACGGCGTGCTATATGCCTACACGCCAGAAGTTTTTCCCTCCAAAGTTCGTGGTACTGCAATTGGATTAGCTTCCTCCGCAAATCGAGTCTTGGGGGTGTTCGCTCCCATCATTGCTATGTATGCGAATCTGACGACTTCTGCTCCAATTTTCGTAAGTGGAGCATTGTTTCTTTTTGCCGGTCTTTTGACGATTTTTTTCCCTTACGAACCAAGAGGAAAATCAAGCTTTTGATATTTTCCTCACATGTCACGATTTACCAACAGTCATCCTCATATATCTATGCACCATCATTTTTATAGGTTAATGAATGTAGTATAAAATCAATTAAATTAATGTATATATATTATTAATTCTTTCAAATTAGAATATTAGTTATATATATAAAACAAATTCTGTTTATCATTTAATGCAAAAATAATTAATTACATCGAATCCCGGAGTGAATTATTCATTTCATGTCCATAGATCCCCATTGTAAAATATCCAACACACATAGTAACACGGTAATTTATGTGGTCTTTTGCAGAGCCCGACCAGCAGCTTGCAATATCCAAATCTTGAAGCTTTCATTGAACCAATATTTAGATGGCTACGTTACGTTTAACAACACCACCGTCAGCTGGAAGGTAGGATTTACTAGACAATTGCAGATCAATTTCTCTCGCGCATTGACGTCCTTCTTGTATTCCCCAAACAACCAAACTCTGGCCACGACGACAGTCACCACAAGCGTAAACATTAGGAACACTAGTTTGATAAGACTTATGAGGTGTGCTGATATTGGAACGAGCATCTCTGCGAATATCCATGCTTGCTGTAGCCTGTTCTTCAGGACCTAAGAAACCCAAAGCGAGAATAACCAAGTCAGCTGGGAAAAATTCTTCAGAATTTCTTACTTCCTTCATAATCCAGCGGCCTTTGCTGTTCTTTGTCCACTCAATACGAACAGTGTGGATACCAGTGACGTTTCCATCATCATCTTTTTCAAAGTTCTTAGTCAAAATTGAGTATTCACGGAAGTCTTGGCCATAATGAGCTTGAACTTCAGCATGTCCATAATCAACACGGAAAACCCGAGGATATTGTGGCCAGGGATTATCAAATGCACGTTCACGAGGAGGAATCGGAAGTAGTTCCAAATTGCGAATGCTTTTAGCGCCATGGCGAACGCTTGTACCTAAGCAATCATTACCAGTATCACCACCGCCAATAACGATAACATCCTTGCCCTTGGCGCTAATATATTCTCCATCTTCAAGCTTACTGTCTAGCAAACTCTTGGTGTTCTTGTGAAGGAATTCCATAGCAAAATGAATACCCTTGGCATCTCGGTTGGGAATAGCAAGGTCACGAGGAATTGTGGATCCTGTAGCGAGTACTACAGCATCGTAAGTACTTTGTAATTCTTCTAAAGATACACCATGTGGACTACCAATCTCCACATTAGTCATTATTTCGACTCCTTCATCAACCATTAACTGAATGCGACGGTCCACTACGAACTTATCCAATTTCATATTCGGAATACCATATTGTAACAAGCCACCAGGACGATCAGCACGTTCATATATAACAACGTTATGACCAGCATGATTTAATTGATCGGCAGCTGCAAGACCGGCAGGACCTGAACCGATTACTGCGACACGTTTGTTTGAACGGTTAGCAGGAGGTTGGGGCTTAATCCAACCTTCCTCCCATGCTTTATCAATAATGGCACGCTCGACACTCTTGATACCTACGGGAGACTCAATTATACCCAAAACACAAGAACCCTCACATGGAGCGGGGCATACTCGGCCAGTAAACTCGGGGAAGTTATTAGTCATAAGTAATTGAACGAGGGCTTCCTTCCATTGTTTTTTGAACACTAAATCATTCCACGTGAAAATCTTGTTGGAAACCGGACAACCGTAATCAGATTGACAGAATGGGGTACCACAATCCATACATCTAGCTGTTTGAAGACGAAGCTCGTCTTCCTTAAGACGAACAGAGAGTTCTTTCCAATCGTTGGTACGTTTATGTGGATTACGGTAATGTTCACTCCGGCGTTGATACTTCATGAACCCACGCAACTTGTCGAGAGGAGGGCTCTTTTTCACAGGTGCACCCAAAGTATCCTCAACGTCAGTAATCGCTGCACCACGATTTGATTCCTCTAACTGCTGGCGGATACGATTACCGGGCATAAAAGCCTTGGGATATTGAAGACGCTTAGCTTCCTCTTTCTTAGCGGCCTCACGCTCCAGGACTGCTTTATATTCCCTAGGTAGGACCTTAACAAATCTATTCAAATTTCGAGGAAAATCACTCAAAACGCGATCAGCCACCTGGGAACCAGTCAAATGACGATGATCCTGAATAAGGCCCCTCAAGTATGCAATTTCAGCAGCATCAGATACGGTAGTAAGTTCTACCATTTCCATATTAACCTTTTTAGAAAAATCTGTATGATTGTCATAGACGTAAGCAATACCACCAGACATACCAGCAGCAAAATTTCGACCAGTGTTACCAAGGATGACAACACGACCACCGGTCATATATTCACAGCCATGATCACCGACACCTTCAACGACAGTAACAACACCAGAATTACGGACGGCAAATCTTTCAGCAGCAACACCAGAGATAAACACCTGACCAGAAGTTGCACCGTACAGACAAACGTTTCCAACAATAACGTTTTCTTCAGGTTTAAATGAGGAGGCTTTGGGTGGAAGAATAATTAGACGGCCACCAGACAAGCCTTTACCGACATAATCGTTGCAATCACCTTCTAATTGTAAGGTAACACCTGGAGCCAAGAAAGCACCAAAAGATTGGCCAGCAGAGCCAAAGACTTTCACACAAATAGAGTCCGCTGGCAAACCCTCTTCACCATAACGCTTGCTAATTCTGTTCGAAAGAGTTGCTCCCAAGGTACGATCTGTGTTTATTATTTCGCACTCCACAACAGAAGGTATACCGTCTTCCAAACTAGGTTCAGCTTCATCGATCAACTTATTATCTAACCTCGTATAAAGTCTATGATCTTGCTTACGGATATTGTATGTGGCAGCACCGGGTCGGAGAGTAAAGGCAGGAGTCAATAGAGGAGACAAGTCAAGCAGCTTGGACTTGGCATTAATGGGTTCAGCAACCTTCAGCTTATCAGAGCGGCCTACCATTTCATTAATGGTGCGGAAGCCGAGCTTAGCCATAATTCCCCGAAGCTCTTCTGCAACATAGTAAAAGAAGTTGACGACGTGTTCGGGCTGTCCTTCAAATTTTTTACGTAATTCAGGATCTTGAGTTGCAATACCAACAGGACAAGTATTGAGATGACATTTTCGCATCATAATGCAGCCTAAAGCAATAAGCGGAGTGGTTGCAAATCCCCACTCTTCAGCTCCAAGTAGACAAGCAATGGCAACATCGCGACCAGTTTTAATTTGACCATCTGTTTGAATAACGACTCTACCACGAAGATCGTTTAGTACCAAAGTTTGATGTGTTTCGGCAACACCAAGTTCCCATGGTAAGCCAGCATATTTAATACCAGTCCAACGAGAAGCACCTGTGCCGCCATCATGACCCGACACAACAATGTGATCAGCTTTAGCCTTGGCTACGCCTGAAGCCACAATACCAACACCGACTTCAGAAACCAATTTAACAGAAACACGAGCACGAGGATTGGCACATTTCAAATCGTAAATAAGCTGCTTTAAATCCTCAATTGAGTAAATATCATGGTGAGGAGGAGGAGAGATTAAACCGACACCGGCGGTAGAGTGACGGGTTTTAGCGATAGACTCACTGACTTTATTACCGGGAAGCTCACCACCTTCACCCGGTTTGGCACCCTGTGCCATTTTAATTTGAAGCTCATCAGAATCACTCAAGTAGTAAGAAGTAACGCCAAAACGACCAGATGCTATTTGTTTTATAGCAGAACGCATAGTGTCGCCGTTGGTTAATCGCTGGCTTCTAGCAGGATCTTCTCCGCCTTCACCAGTATTAGATTTACCGCCTATACGGTTCATGGCAATAGCCAACGTGGAATGGGACTCCATACTAATAGAACCATAAGACATAGCGCCAGTACAGAAACGACGAACAATTTCTGTCCATGGTTCAACTTGCTCTATGGGAATAGACTGAGATGGATCGACATCAAAATCAAGCATTCCTCGAAGAGTACATTTCCTAGTTTGTTCATAATGAGTTTTAGCAAACTCTGCATATGCAGACTCATTTTGGTTGCGAACTGCCTCCTGAAGAGAGGCGACTGCTTTCGGATGGTTAACGTGTTCTTCACCACCATCACGATAGTTGAATTCACCCATATCAGGGATATCTAAACTAAGTATGGAATCACTTCTAGGATAACCACGTTCATGAAAAGCCAAAGCATCCAAAGCAATATGCTCGAATGTAACACCACGGATACGAGATGCAGTACCCATGAAACATCTTTCAATAACTTCATCGTCAATTCCAAGAGCTTCAAAAATTTGAGCACCCTTGTAAGATTGAAGGGTGGAAATACCCATCTTGGACATAACCTTCAAAATTCCGCCATTCATGGCATGTTTGTAATTTTCAATTGCTTTCGCCTCAGTAACACCAGGCTTCAATGCATTCTGTCTTTGGAGCTTAATAATAGCTTCCATTGCTAAATAAGGGCAAACAGCATCGGCACCATAGCCCAGAAGAATACAAGCATGGTGAACTTCGCGAGCATCACCGGATTCACAGATAAGAGCGATGCGTGAACGTAATTTTCGATGAACTAAAAAGTGATGAACAGCACCGCAAGCAGCAACAGATGATAATGGGACCCGTTCAGAATTTGCATCTCTATCGGAAAGAATGACAATCTTATAATCATTTTCAATAGCATCGACAACCCTAGCACAAATACGATCAAGAGCAGCACTATATCCTCTGGGACCTTCACTTTTACCAAAAGTAATATCAACGGACGCAACCTTCCAGTCAGGATGTAGGTAAGTAACATTTTTCATAGCATTTAGCTCTTCCAAAGTAAGGATCGGAGTAGGAAGGCGCAAGCGGCGGCACTGAGAAGGATCAATTTCAAGAAGATTACCGCTTGGACCAATGTAACACTGTAAGCTCATAACAATAGCTTCACGGATTGGGTCAATCGGAGGATTGGTAACCTGAGCAAACAATTCTCGGAAATATTCATAAAGGAGACGAGGCTCACTAGAAAGGCATGCAATGGCCGCATCATTACCCATACTGCCAAGAGTTTCTTTACCGTCATTGGCCATGGGTGCGATGACCATGTTGATTTGCTCCAAATTATAGCCGAAAGCCAAGAGCTGCTTGTCATCGCCAAGAGCATCACTATTTATATTGGTAGTGAGATCGATGTTGCTATCTCCAACCAAAGTATCTACGATGTTATTCATATCCAATAGCTCTTGATCAATCCAACTACGGAAATCATAACGATTTGCTATATTATGTTTGAGTTCTTTATCATCTACAATACGGCCTTCTTTGGTATCGACTAAAAGCATGCGACCTGGACAAAGGCGTCCCTTTTGCACTACCTTTTCAGGCTCAATACCAACAGTTCCTACTTCTGAGGCACAAATCATCATATCGTCAGAAGTCAAATAATAACGGCAAGGACGTAAACCATTACGATCAAGATTAGCACCGCAATAACGACCGTCGGCGAATATAAACAAAGCAGGTCCGTCCCAGGGCTCCATTTGACAAGCGGCCCATTCGTAAAAAGCAGCTTTTTCGTCGGTGAGACTATTGTCATTCTGCCAAGCTTCCGGAATCAACATCATAATAGCTTCGGGTAAAGAAACCGTACCATTAACGCAAAGTAATTCCAAAACATTGTCAAAAGCTGCAGAATCGGAACCGCCGCGTTCTATTACCGGCAACAAAGATGACAACTGATCGCCAAATTTAGAAGATTTTAGCAAACCTTCACGAGCACGCATCCAGTTTTTATTACCTCTTAAAGTATTAATTTCGCCGTTGTGGGCAGCTAAACGCATGGGTTGAGCACGGTCCCATGAGGGGAAAGTGTTTGTGGAGAAGCGAGAATGTACAAGAGCAAAATGTGCAGTATATTCTGCATTATTTAAGTCTAAAAAGTAGTTATATACCTGAACAGGAGCCAATTGACCTTTGTAAACGATAGTGTCACGACTAAGAGAGCAAATGTAAAACCATTTTTCTTTTCCTATTTGAATTGCACTTTGTTTGCGAAGGAGATAGAGTTGTTTTTCAAAGAGGTTTTCATCAAACTCTGAAAGGCCTTCGTACACAGGCTTGTGAACAATTATGGGCTGCAAAATCGTAGGTTCACGGGAAAGAGCAGCAGGACCAAGGATACTATTATCGCAAGGAACGGAACGCCAGCCAAGGACTTCAAGTTCAAGAGCGTTGGCAACATTGGTGAACGAGTCAATACCCTCTTGGCATACCTCGGGCTCAGGAGAAAAAAATACGTTACCGGTAGCGTATTGACCGGGTTGGGGAAGGTCATAGCCAAGAATTTGTTTAAATTCTTTTTGCATAAAGGCATATGGCATAGAAGTCATGACACCAGCACCATCACCATCACGGGTATCAGCACCGGTTGCACCACGATGGGTCATATTGCACAACAACAAACGAGCATCGGTGACAATTTTATGATTACCTTGGCCTTTAACATGACACACGAAGCCTACACCACATGAGTCTTTCTCATAAGCAGGGTCATAAAGGGCCTGTGCTTTAGGGAGAGAGCCTGCCCAAGCTTCATTTCCATCTACCTCGTAAGAATAGATTGGGGCATGAGGATAGTCATCACTTGAAGGTGGTGCCGTGTTTGCATTTTGCATTAGGTTATCTACTGATGTAGCATTTTGATTGACGAATTCCAAAGGCTCGTTCATGGATGACAAGACAACCATATTAAACCAAGAAAGGAAAGGAAAAAGAAAGCAGTTCAAAAATAAAAGTAATAGAAAAGAAAAAGAAAAGAAAACACGGAAAAAACCAACAGTCAAAGTTATCTACCCATGAATGTTAGTATTGGGAAAATTCAAAGAGACTGGGAGAGAAAAATCATTTAACAGTAAACTTCCACTATTTATTGTATAAAATACATACCTGAATTCCTATTTCTGATAAATAAAGATGAGATATAAATAGAAAAACAAGAAATAACAAGAACGATCCCAATTTTAGGTCTACCAGCAAATACAGAGTATGAAGAAAGGAGAAGCAATGTAAAGAAAGACACAAAAGTTGATTTTCTTCAAATGAGTGTTACAAATGAAACAAAGAAGGGACGTAAAATGAAGGAAACCCTTCTATGGCCAAGTTCGAACGGCTAGCAACTAGTATACAAAGAAAAAAAAAAGCAATTTGTTGTTTTAGAGAGGAAAAGAAAGATCTTTAGTCCCAACCTCGGCCTTCTTCTTTTCTTAATTTCTGTTCGTGCTAGCTTGTAGAAGAGAGGCTTCCGCAGTGGAAATTGATTAGTATTTGTATGGGTGGGCCCTTTTGAGTCATGACGTCTCTTCCTCCAATCACTATAGTTCGATTTCTAACTTCCAACCAAAAAAAAGAGATTGAAACTGATTGATAACTGAGTAATTTTCTTATATGTGATTGGCTCGCTTAATATTAGTTTTTCAGTACTGAGAACACTAAATTTTTAAACTTTTTCGCTTCGAGTACTGTATCATATTAAAAAGCAAGATAATAATGCTCCGTAAACCCTTTAGCAGTTCCACAGATGGATATAGATGTTTCCTCAATTTTAAACTTATTTTATTAAGTCACCTATTTTTGAAGTTAATTTTTGTTTTTTAAAGACTCCCAATTCAGGAAGAGGGTTCACTAACAGTCGTTTTCGGTGTACTCAAATATCACTAAAATGGAATTCAGTTACAGTTGTTACCTGCATAGGAAGGCCCCCTAAAATTGTTGTCTTCAATTCGTCTTTAACGAGGAATCTGAAGATCCCCCTTGTTGACGAGAAATAAGGAAGCGCAGATACACAATAAGCTTCCGAAAATATAAACTTAATTGTAAGCGGGTTTGCGAAAAAAGGTAAACAAAAGAAAAGTGTAAGCAGGAAAAAGAAATTCAATAAATAATGACACAAGTACACTGTAAACCAAGTTTCTTTTGTATTCTTCTTTTAAAAGTAAACTACTAGAAGAAATCCTTATAACTACCTAAAATGAGGGAATAACACTCCAGCAAGAACTATGTAGAGATTACAAGGAAAGCTTTAAACAAAACACAGAGAATTCGCAAAAATTTTCATTTCTTACTCATTACCTTCACAAAATATTGAAAATAAATAAATAAAAGAAGACTCAATTCACTTTTTTATACCTGTGAAGAATAAACAGTTGTTCATTCATGCTTCTTCACCTCTTACTAGGGTGTGTGTCTTTCACTGAGTGCTGCAGTAAGTATATTACTTGTAGGTAAAGAATAAAATAATACTAGAGAATATTGTATATTACAAATTGTAAACAAACGAAATCAAAGAAAATAGGAAAACTCGAAGGGACTCCACCAGAACGATTCCCTTTGTTTCGTCTAAGACTTATTAATTTTTATTACTGTCCTAATCCTTAGTTTTATTTCGATTATGCTTTTGCTTGTCAATATCTTACTAAAGAAGTATCATATTAAGTCGGACTTCGTTCTATGCATTGGTGTTCACTGTGTCTTTCTTTCTTTTGTTTCTGTTCGATTTAAAGCGTTTTCTTTCTTGTTTTTATTTATTTATTTATTTATTATTTTACATACCAATTGCATTTACCACAACCTGCAAAGTCGCTCGTTTTCTATTAATCGAATGTCAAAACAAAACGATGTTATCCTCATTCCTTCCGAGACAGACATTGATGAGCAAGACGACTCTTCGCAACAGATAAAGGTTTGTGTCCGATGTGTTTTCTGCTTCTAATCTTTCCGTTTCTAGAGTCCTCTGCCCGCGAAAACGAATGTGATCTCAATCTCGGAAACGCCCCAGCAAAATGCACCCCTTGGAGCATTCGTTCAATCCGTTTTGTAAGAGAATTCTTTGCTTTTTTTTGCTTTCATACTAACAGTCTCTATTATCCAGCACCTCTACCTTTTCAGACTCAGATGACTTACTTCCAAGTCCCAGAAATGCTCTTGGCATTCCTTCTTGTGAATCTAATTCCAAATTCGATCGCTTGTCTGTGCGTAAGTTAACCCCACAGCCACGAAAAGTACCTGAAACTCCCTCACTTCCTCGTGAACCTATCGTTCTATCGTCTTCTCCTCCATCGTCCGTGTCTCATACAAGTCCTTTGTTTGCAATTACTCCACCATCTAATTTACATGTTGTGGATAATTTTCAAAGAGAGGCAGAAACTATTGATTTTGGATCTTCCCCTCTGCGTGACAAAGTCGTTGATTCCACAGTGCTTCCTGATCCCCCTGAGAAGACCTCTTCCTTTCATGAAAACATTTTGGATGCTCCAAGTAATTCACTTTTTAAAAACAATTCTCCAAAAGGCCTATCAAATGCTCTGGACGGGTCCCTTTTTGGCGAAAAAAATTTACTACAATATAGTATCCTTTCGAATCGCTTTGCAGATTCGGAGCGTCAGAACCAGACCGACGAAAGTGACGAAAATTTTTTGACAACGTCTTCAGAAAAGCAAATTAAGAGGAATTATGGATTGTCGGGTCTACCGACTGACTCTGGCTTAAAAAACACCGATTCCAATTCGTCCTCTTCTTCTTCTTCTTCTAAACCTACTTCTCATGAAAGTAGCCGAGATCCGTTACTATTTGATTTACCTACTGTAGATTTAGCTTCCACCCCAGGTTCCCGAAAACGTACCGTTGATGCCCTGTCAACAAATAACTCATCTCATTTAACCCAGAGCAATGATTTACAAAAGCTGAAAAAATTGAAAAATATTTACTCAAAAAGTTTTCAAGGTTCTACCAATGATAATCAAGAAGCAGTGCATAATACTTTACGGAAATCAAAAACCATGGGAAAAGTTGGTTTATCCAAAAAGAAACTTGACGAAGCTGAAAGAAAGAAGAATAAAGAATTGCAGAAAATAAATAAGGTTAAGAGAACAAAAGAAGAGTGTTTATCCGAAATGATTTTATCGTTTTCTGATGGAGATTTGTCTTCTTTATGGGGAGCTTCAGTCTCTGAAACCTTACAACCTTTTTCTTGTGAGGTCGTATCTGTGAAGCAACAACCGAAAAACACTATATCTTGGAAAAGAAAAGTCAACACTTTTTTTGACCATGCTGCCAATCGATTCGATTTTGTTACAGAACATATACAGAACGAGCCATTTTCACTCCATCGAATCCCTTGTTCTGATTTCGTGACAAAAATTGCTGACAACATATTGGATGATTATATTAAATCCTGCAAACTTCAATTTCCTAACAACAAACTCATAATTATCTTAGAAGGAGTTACCAGTCATTTTAAAAATGTCAAATCTGATATCAATCGTCAGTATGCTAACGCTGTAAATACCGGTACAAAACCCTTGTTATTTGGGTCGCTTTCTAAGTATCAGACAATCACAAAGGAAGTTCTCGAAAGTGAAGTCTGCAGGATAAATGTTCAGCATAATGTGTTATTGAACTATTCTAACGATGAAAAGGAAACCGCCGATTGGATAGTGTCCATTACTTCCGACATAGCTTTGTCACGATATAAACAGTTTTCTCATTTGTCTGCCAGGATTTCTTTAGCGGAAATAGGACATGTAAAATCTGCTGATAGAGCTGAGAATACGCTCAACTTTATGCTAAGGCAACTACTGAGAGTTACTCCCAACATTTCGAATGCCATTTGCGATTACTTTCCATCTATTCCCAAACTGATTCAGCATTTGAAAGCAAATGGTGAAGAATCTTTGTCTAATATCATGATCACTACGGCCATCAGCGAAAGAAATCTTGGAACAGCTTTATCCCGCCGTATATTTAATACGTTCATGGGTAGAAAAAGTGAAGATGATGCTCCGTAGACACTGACAAGTGTACTAATTCATTCTTTTTAAAATCATTCATATAAATAAATAAATTCATTGCTAACTTTGCTTAGTAGACTAGTGACATGATTGACTAATATGCATCAGTTATCAGCTTCGTTAAGTGCCTTTCTAACTGCTAAAACATTATCGACAATAACGGCATCCACACCAAATCGGACCTGGCGTCTTACGTTGTCTGTATCATTGTTTAAAACACCATATGTATAGCAAGTCAGTTTCAGTTGCTTCACGGCTTTAATCAAGCGTGGACTTTTAATCAAAGGCTCGCAAGCGCTTACAATACCAAGCAAATTCCATTGAGCAGCAAATCTCATAGAATTCTTAAGGGAGGCTGCTCTGGCATCAGTTCGAAAAGCAGTACCACCTTCTGTTAAGAATAAAACAGGTACAGAACATTTCAAGGATAGCAAGATACAAACATCTGGATTAAAGCTGGAGAAAATGTAACGTCGATGACCTCCATGCTTTTGTATCACGGAAAGAATGGTATCTACGAATGCGTTGTAATCATATGCAACAGGTAAAAGATTCTCCTCCTCAGCTTCACTCAGCATTGGGTATTTAAACTCAACATTTAATCCTACCGATTGAGGAACCTTTTCCAAGATGTCTCGCAAAGTGTTGAATGGTGCACAAATGCTATGTCCCAAGGCGTTTCCTTTATAAACCTTATGTTTCGTAGCCGAATGTTCTTCTTGAGAGTTCAGTAAATTCAATAAGTTCAAATGAGTATCTGATGATCTTGTCACTGAAGAACTATACGCACGAGGACGACGTTTAAGACTGTATTCTTGCAATTCATCTGCCATTTTTTTATCAGATGGACTATGTGAAACTGACAAAAATTGTTCCAAGGTTAAAGAATGAACTTGAGTATCGGTACCGGTTTCGTTTACAGAAAAATCATGGTAAACCACAGGAACTTTGTCTTTCGTAAGTTGAACATCCAACTCAACGTAGGAAGCACCCAAATCAGCAGCTTTGATAAAAGACTGAACGGTGTTTTCACCAAGTTGTAAAGTCAAGCGATCAGGTTGGTTTTTTCCTAATCCACGATGTCCTATAACTTCCACGCTGCTTGATTTTCCGGATTCCGAAGGAGATTTTGAAGCTGCAGGTGACTCGTCGGCATCCTCTAATGCCGATCTATCAATATTTGAAACCGATTCTAGGGAATTAGCTCCGTGAACGCGTTCAGAGCCCAATTTTAGAACATCTTTATCCGGGATAGTAGACACTAATGCATCAACATGAATTTTTGCTATAGGTTTTAATCCTTTACTGGATAACAAAGTAAGGGAAGGAAGCGGTCTTAATGACTGCATATCCTTTCCTAAACTTGGAATAAAATCACTTAATTGAGCGTATGCTCTGCCAATAACCTTCAAAGATCTATGGCCTAAGGCGTCGATACAAACAGTGGTTTTTTCAACGTTGTTCGTGGTGAAAATTAACTCATAAGGAGGAGATGCTACAGTAGACTTGGTATTTATCTCCTCGGTAGCTTCATAATGCATATAGATGGAGTCGTCAACTGTTTCATCCGGTTCAACCACATCTTCCAGATCAACCTCACCAACATTGTCAAAATGTGAACGGGGTACGTCAATAACCACGCTAGAGCTCGTGGATTTCTCACGGGATGACGCCGATGAGTCTAAGGAATTTGCTTGTATATTAGTCGCAAGACTAGAGGTAGGTAAATCAGCTGTTGAAGACTTGGAGGAACCTATATTAGATGATGCCTTACCGGAGAGGTATTGAGTCTCTTCACCTTCAAGAGTGACACGTATACGCCCGGTTAAGCCACTGAGTCTCAAAATCACAATTGATGAAGACGGCTGAAGTTCCATAGCGCGTTTACGGCTTCTCACCTCTGCTCCCGATGGTTTTATGGATAAAGAATCCAAATTCACAGGACCATCACTCAAAGTAATGGATGTCTGCAATAAATCAAGAACCTCCATATTTCCACGGACAACGGCATGTTCCATTGCTGTCCAACCAGAAGCATCAACTTCATCAACAGGTGAGCCTAATTCAATAAGGACCTTCATAATTTCTGAAAATCCGAGAGCACCAGCAAGCATTAGTGGTGTCCATGAGAAGGGGGCCTCCCGTATATTTTGATCAGCACCGTATTGGATCAGCATTTTAACACAGCTTAGACGGTGATTTCGAACAGCAGCATGCAAGGCAGTACTTCCTTTTGCATCATGTTCGTTAACATTAAAACCAGCATCTAGGAGTTCTTTAATCAATCCCGCGTTATCTCCTACCAAGCATACCAATACCAATGGTGGTATTGGGCCGGGTTTCGACGAAGGTGTGCTTTTATCCTGACAAGATAAAAGGGCATGCAACACTTTTACATGATTGCCTCTAATAGCCAAGGTCAAAGGGGTATCTTGCATAACATCAAACCAATATGGACGCATCCAATTTAAAGGTTCGGCTGAAGGGATAGACGAGATAATTTTACAGAATTCATTAGATAACGTATCAAAGCCAGCTTCCGCAGCCGAATGCATGACTGTTTGACCTTTGCTATTCCGTTCGACAGCCAGAATTCGTGTTAAGAGAGTATTAAGATGATCTTTTCCTAAGTATACAACGGAGCATATGTCCTTGACAACGTCTAAAAAGCAGTACACTCCATGGTCGGAACCATCTAGGTTATTCACTGCACGACGTAAAGCAGAAGCGAGACATTCGGATCGGAGTCCCATTCTTCCAACGACTTCCCTCATGCAAGCTTTAGCAGCCGCCACGATAGTAGCGGCAAGGATATCAATCAAGACGGCTTCCGGAGCGTTGATACAAGTTTCAGCAATCTCTCTAACGTCATCCTGTTGAATGTATGCTAGCAAATCTTTCTTTATGGGATGTTTTGAAGATATATGCTCTAGCTTTTTTAGAGTATCTATCTTTTTCTGAGAATTGTCCCATGTTTTCAAAGAGAGTAGGGTTTCGTAAATTTTTGCCGAATTGGCAAAATCAAGCTTGACGACTTTACGTTCGTAAAACGTGGTTTCGCGATCAGTACCAAGATGCTTATCCATTTTGGTAGATAATTTTTCGAATGCCAACTTGTTCCATTCAGCAAAAGAAGACAGTTTTTGCAATCGTAAATCTAAATCCTTTACCTGCTTATTCCGCTCTTGACTTTCATTTGAAGAACCATTGTGCTGGTGAGTAATCTCCAAATCATCCTCTTTCGAGAGACGAGAAATATAAGCATTGAGTTGAGAAATGTTTGTGGAGAAAAAATTGGCTACTTTCTCTAAATTTGCAATCAACATCTCGTCTGGGGAACCCTTAGGATAGACACCATCTGAAGCCCGGAGCATATACTCTTTCTCATTTGGTGGGAGGGAAGCCACGTATTGGATTTTTTGTTTTATTCCGTTATAATCCACATATTCATCAGCAAATTCTGATATCAGGGCCAATTGGAGACTGCATGTTAGCATGGAATAAGGATAAGAAAATAAAGAATGGTTAGTAGTATAGAAAGGTAGTATATCATATATCCTTGTAGTCTCGCGTTTCGTCTCATCAAAGAAGCGTGACTTTTAACATTATAACAGAAAAAACTAAACTTCATCTTCTCGGTGATTCAATTCCCTATTCTATACGTATGAATTGACAAAATTTGACTATCAATATGTTTGCTTTCCAAACATCCATCAAAACATATGCTACAAAAAGGATTTACCTACCTTTCACCAAATTTCATAACAGATAAACTTATGAATCCAAAAGTTTATTAAAAAAGACTGACAAAACTCGAGAAGAGTTATATTGTGTATGCAGAGGTAAAATGGGAAAGGCAAAGTTCAACATGGCCTTAAAGTTTTGAGATCATCACCTTCTAGTTTGTTATGGTAAATTAACAGAATTTACTTCACTTTGCGCTAGGTATTTCTGGCATATTGCAGTGTATTGTGTTGCAAGAGTATCATATTCAAACAATTTAAACGATATTTACTCTGAAAGTCGTATACTATGAACTAAGATCCTTCAATTCGTTTCGACGTGAAAAAATAAAACAAAAAACCATAAAATTTACGATTGAGTCCTAAATGCTCTCTTATACTATGAATTCTTCATTGAGTCGTGTGTTTTGGTATCGAAGGAAGGAAACCACCGGGAAGAATGAGTAAAAACAATAGTTTTACAACAAAAATAATGGGGCTATCACAAATTTATATCAAATATCTCTTTTGATTCTCCTGTATCTTTTCATTTCGCGATTCTTTCATCCTTATTTGATATGTTAAGTCAACTAGCAGTATGGAATACTGCCCTAATTCAACTGAATTGGAATAAAAATCAATTTATACAGAGAAGAATCAACAGTTGTGTATTCTTCTATTTCTTTTTCCTCGAACTGTGTAACCTGATATCGAAAAATTAGCAAGACTAGGTTGTGCGCCAATTTTGATACTCCTTTATAGACTAAAGGTTCCTTTATTTCTTTTTTAAAGTTAAGAAATTCCTTTCCTTTTCTTTTACGGCGACCACAGCTAAAGCTCCTTCTTACCTAATCCTTTTCACATGTTTCCTAGTTTACTAGTGTTCGCTTACTTCATCGCCTTTTAAACTAACAAAGGAAAGAAGTGATTGGTTTTTGTGTTATGTCTACATTCATTACTAGCTTCTCATCATCATCTCTTAGAACAGCTACTTAGGTTGCATTCCTGGTACTAGCAATGGAATAGATTATAACCTGACGTCCTCAATGCTTAGAGCAGGCTTATAACAACTATAGTGATTCTTCTTTTTATTAACTCTATCTTATTGTACTTTGGGTACCGGCAGGACATTTGAGAAAACGTAGTACGGATGAGAAAACCACATATGGTTCACTTCCCTTTGAACCGTGAATATTTGTTGTTACCAAGATTCTTTTTATTCAAATAACTCCCAAAAATCTATAAATCTCGTCTTGTTTACTAACTGAATTGCCTCATTTCTAAGTTTTTATTATATTTTGCATATAGCAATATTGTATAATAAAAGCGAAGGTTATTATAATGACGAAAACTGGGTACATTGTCCTATTCGAGAAAGCATACTTCATAGGTCTCTTAAAAGTCAATGTAAAAACTGATGTTCAGAAAACAAAAATGATTTACGTTGTTCATAACAACCTTCATTCATCGAAACTGCCGAGTAAGAGCTAGTACAAAAAGCTACAAGAGGGAAAGCGTGTCGAAAGCAACTTGCAAGTTATGTCTTCAAGAAAGCCTTTATACACCATTTGCAAACATAATAAGATCAGACAATTATGTAACCAAACGTTTTTGTCTATTTTTACTACGAAGTATGAGTTAAGAAACATACCACCAATCTTGCATATGCGACTGTTTATTTACAATCGGTTGCTATAGGAACCGACGCGTAAACAGTCAAATGGTAAATTATATAACAAGCAATCGGTCATCAATGGTCAAATTTGCTGATTATAGAATTTGAATATTTTTGCTTTGTATATCTAATTGTAAGTCATCTTAAAGTCGGATTAGAGATTTCGTACACAACGCGTCTGGTGTTTCTTTTGTTTACCTCAATTCCTAAACTTTTCGAGGTCTGTCTTAGTTGAATCTTCTAGATTCCAGGTTCTAAATCTTTTTAATCTTTTTGATTATTTGATTTTTGTTTGTACTCTTTTTTGGACTTTTGGGTAAAAAATTTGTAATGTACTTTGTATACTCTTTACTGGTGCTGGCTGTCTTAAGCCAAGTCAGTCGGGCATTAAATGTCAGCGATCGATCTTCAGTGGTTAATTACTGGAGTTTCGATTTATCTAGCGATGTTGGCTACGGTGACCAAAAGCGACTTGCAAACTATTGTGAGTCTTCCAAGAATGATATTGTCGTTCTATCCTCTGTTATTGATTTTAATACCAGCGGCTGGCCTATTCATGACTTTTCGAAGTTGTGCAGCGATGGAGAAAAGTCAAACGATGCAGACCTGAAACATTGTCCTCAGATGGAGATGGACATTCAAACCTGTCAGAAGAATGGCATCAAAGTACTGCTTTCCATTGGTGGTTTAATTGACAATTCTACTCTTGACGATGAAGAGGATGGTCCAAAAATTGCTTCCCAATTATGGAATGTCTTTGGCGGTGGTGAAGACGTATACCGTCCTTTTGGAAAAGCTGTTGTTGATGGCTTTAATTTAGAAGTCAGTGAAGGTAATAATGCTACTAACACTGCTTCTGCAAAACAATTTTTCCAGATCTTCGCTTCAAATCCCGATCACAAATACCATTTGTCTACTGCTACTCCTATTGCCAGGTTCAATGAAAATATGCCGATGAACGGTACTGCTAAGAGCTATTTTGCTTTTCTTTCCTCGCACGCAATAAACTCTTCTATTGGTGTTGGAAACGAAAACCACAATAGTACTTCATCAAGTCTCAACGTTAATAAGAATGCGCAGTCTAATTCAACCGTGGCAATTCAATCAACTTCAGCCTCTATTATTACTCATTATACTTCTTCTATGATTACTTCAGATAACTCCCACACGACGGTACCGACAACATCATCCGCACCTTCTTTACTTAAGTCAACTTTGCCTTCAGTCAATCCATCACCAATTTCTGAAGCTCGTAGAGGTATTATGACAGAATCTTTTGACATCTTTAATACCTTCACACACAAAGTGCCTTTTCAGACATTGTCTTCATACACTTACTTGAGTACTTTTGATTCGGATAGCATTGTTGCTTTTACTTCTCATTATACCATAGGAGATCAAAATACCGCACCGAATGCTGGATTGGGTAACCCAAGCTCTTCAACACCTATTCCCACTTCTACTAGTATGTCAAGTACTTTTACCCCTACCGCTTCTTCGTCACCTTCTACTAAACGGCCTTCGCAAGTACCCTCTTCAAGTTCTTCTAGCTTACCCGGTAGTAGCTGGTCTACTATGAATCCTTCTTCCAGTTCTTCTGCCACACCTTACAATCCTTGGTCTTCAGCAGAGCCCTCTTCAAGTTCTTCTAGGTCACCCGTTAGTAGCTGGTCTACTATGAATCCTTCTTCCAGTTCTTCTGCCACACCTTACAATCCTTGGTCTTCAGCAGAGCCCTCTTCAAGTTCTTCTAGGTCACCCGTTAGTAGCTGGTCTACTATGAATCCTTCTTCCAGTTCTTCTGCCACACCTTACAATCCTTGGTCTTCAGCAGAGCCCTCTCCAAGTTCTTCTAGCTCACCCGGTAGTAGCTGGTCTACTATGAATCCTTCTTCCAGTTCTTCTGCCACACCTTACAATCCTTGGTCTTCACCTATGCCCTCTCCAAGTTCTTCTAGTTCACCCGTTAGTAGCTGGACTACTATGAATCCTTCCTCCAGCTCTTCTGCCACACCTTCCAGTTCTTGGTCTTCACCTATGCCTTCTTCAAGTTCTTCTAGGTCACCCATTAGTAGCTGGTCTACTATGAATCCTTCTTCCAGTTCTTATGCCACACCATCTAGTTTTTGGTCTTCACCTATGCCCTCTCCAAGTTCTTCTAGTTCACCCATTAGTAGCTGGACTACTATGAATCCTTCCTCCAGCTCTTCTGCCACACCTTCCAGTTCTTGGTCTTCACCTATGCCTTCTTCAAGTTCTTCTAATTCTCCCGTTAGTAGCTGGTCTACTATGAATCCTTCCTCCAGCTCTTCTGCCACACCTTCCAATTCTTGGTCTTCAGCGGTACCCTCTTCAAGTCCTGTTCAATCGTCATCCAGTGCTTCTTCTACCAGTAGCTTCTCTTCAAATACATATACCTCAATGCCTATTGCTACTAGTAACAGCGTCAATTCGAATGTGGACTCAGCTGGACTGTGGTATCTGACGGCTTTCTCTACTTTCAGAGTTCCTGATGGGTTCGCTTGGTCGAATATCAATGGATTTTCAGTTTTAATGCCAACGGGAGGCGACTTTAATAAACGTAACGTTAATACTAGAGCTACTGCAAGTCCATTACCTTCAGCTACATGGAGCACAATTATCACTCAAGCATCAGCCCCTTATTGAACTGCATAAGAATTTCGTTGTCACGTCAATAGATCTTCAGTTCTTTGTTTACTTTTTGTTATTTCGGAATATTTATAATAGAATTACCTATTTATACTGTTTTAATACGTTATTTGCTTACATGTTTTGGCATATGTTTGTAAATTCACCCAAAATAAAGTCCATTTATTATTCGTCCCTAAAAATTAATATTAATTCGTCCAAACGGGAAGCTTGTAATAAGAGCTTTTCCTCATATGAGCGCAACCTTTTCAACTCAGCTTGTTCGAATTTTTGCAGATATTCTTCTTCTTTACCTTTTATATCTATACGTTCAGCCTTATCTATTAATTGCGACCTTTGAGCCCGTTCGTCCCGAAGTCGGTGAAACATTTTTGCGATTACTTCATATAGTTGATCCAAAAAAATAGAGTAAGCGCGTTCTGGCCGATGGAACCAAAGATAAAAAGTTTTTGAAGGTGCACGGTCAGAACTCCTTGGAACTTCCTGCAATTCTAGGGCTCCCATTTCAGCCATAGATTGAAGAACAGTTCGTAGATCTTTTTGTCGTAGTAAGGCTATATTTGCTAACTGTTTTTCCTCGATTTTTCCTTTATCCTTTATAATCCGTAATAGTCTAGTTGCTCTGTCACCAAGTTTTTCGTCTAATATATTTTCGAATTCCACAGCACGAAGCATATTTGTTAAGTAAGCAAAGTCTATTTTCCATTCTCCCATGCCTCTGTTCCCCACTCTTGTGATAAATCTCAAGGAAGTATCTGCCAATAACTCCAAATGTTGTACTAACACTTTGCTTTTGTTATTACGCTCCTCATCGACGTTTTCTTCATAATCTTCATCCTCTTCTTCCTGTTCATCCATTTCCAACTCGTCGAGCTGGTCGAGAGCAGCTTTTGCAGAGGGTTTTCTTACGTTGGAGCTTTTTGCAAAACAAGATTCAACATCAATATCCTTTGGAAAATTTCTTGTAAGTTCCATAGTAGTAATGGTTAAAACTGTACAATGTTAGTACCAAACGATGTAATCAAGATTTTTTTAAAAAATGAAAACTCTAAAATCTAAAATTCACATACTTGTAGCAGGAGTTGGTGAGCCTGCAAACTTAGACTCTAAGACTGCCAGTAGATGAGAATATACGATAGCAGTTGTTTTTCCTATACGGCGCTCTGCCCAGTGTACAAGTCTTTGATTTCTTGCCAAGAACGAGAATTTTGCACGATTTATCCGTACATGTGCAGCCGGATCTGGAAGCAAAATACTATTTTCGTCATCCAAAATTTCGTTCATATCTCCTGTCATTGAAGAAGTGGTGACATTTCTTCGCTTTCGTTTGGCGGGTCGAGGAATCGAATCTTTCGGTTTTCTAATAAGACCTTGATTTTCGGCCATGTCGCTTGACTGGAGCTGGGCCATTTCGAGAGCTACAGAGTCATTCACTTCACGATTCTTCTTTATTTCAGATACGTTTTCTGACTTACGCTGCTCGAGGAATTTGATGCGAAGTTGCATTTCCTGGTCACCAACCGGAATTAAATGTCGAGGCTGCACGACCACAAAATATTTCAAGTATATTAGATCAGTAATATTTTGTTGTAGCAAGCGGCTTTCCTCATCCGTTCCATCTGGCGTCTTCCCAAACGCAGCATAAACATCTTGCACACGTGCACGACCCTGCGTACTTACAAATTTGGCAATGGAGGCCGTTTCTTGATTTAATTTCTGCGAAACCGAATAAACATCCTTCCCCTTCCTTATTAAATTATACATTTCTTGCCATTGAGCCTCATAATATGTCACTTCTCGAAGCTGTTCAATGGCCGTAACGAACAAGACCATATGATGCTGCATTAGACTAGCAAGAGCCTGCCGGATTTTTGACCCTGGAAGGCTTGTCCGTTTCATAATCATTGGCAAATTCATTCGTCCATGACGAAGTAAAATACTTGCTACTTCCTATTAACAATCATCGAGTCAGCTTCTGCACGACATCTTCAATTTTTTCACTCAAACATACCGAACAGCATTCTCCAAAAAACTCGTCCACTAGGATTTCGCACAGCCCAACTGCATACTGTGACATCCTTGCATCCACCACTACTCAAACATGCAAATTGCTTAAGTAGTGTTTATGGTCAAAAGGAATTTGGCGACGAAACCTCGATTTTCAAATACCGAAGCGATGTTAAACCGTTTTATATAGGTTAGCGCAGAGGAACAAAACTAAGAATTTTTGCACTAGTAAACAACTATCTTCAGTTGTTCCTCTTGCTGGTAATTCTATTGTTCCAGTATGATAATCTCTTTATAATTTCTTTATAAATATGTGCAGGAACAATTAGGTGCTCAACTGTAGGAAACGAGTATGGAATGAACGTTGATTGGACAGCTTACCCTTTTTCGTGCATGCAGACAAGCCCTGTGGAATTGTTCATCTAAGTACTGGAATGCATTTCTATTTCCGAATTCCAATTTTGCTGCGATTTGCTTCGTGAGGTATGTTTCACGACCTTCTTTGTTGCAAAAATTGTAGTTCATAGCAGGACAGTTGTCAACAATAGAAGACTACTTTTTAATTAAATAGACGACAAGTAGCAATGTTTCTCTTCCTCTTTTTATGGATTCATTTTTATTGTTGACTAAAGAGATGGAGCGATGTCCTAATTAACATTTCCACCAAGGGTTGCTTTCTTCGTCTGCTACAATGGCAGGAAATCGACTTGTGCCCCGATATGCACATACCGATGGATTGACTAGGCTTGCATATACGCTAGACGGCACTTATTTACTCACAGTTGGGTCCAATCTGGTTATAAGAAAGTTTCAGGTTGGTTCTGATGAAGAACCTGAATCCATAGACAACCATCAAGATCCGATTACTGGAATTGCTGTTTCTGTACGTCGCTTTAAATAGGCTTCTAAATTAGTTTATACAATCTGTCTAATCGTATCATTTTAGAAAACCCATTTTTGTACATGCTCTGAAGACGCGACAATATGTGTATATCCCATCAATAACTCTTCAGAACATACTTTGCTAGCCAGGACGACACTTCCTGTGCGTGATATTGCATATTCTACAGATGGAAATTGGGTAGCTATTTCAAGTGAGTACGTGTTACGACTTATTATCATTACAATTCGGATGAAATTAACAATGTTAGTGAAACAGCGGTAAAGCTTGTCAATACAAAAGAATTAACTCAAATTCATTCTTTGCGACCTTCCAAAACTTCAAATAAACACGTATCATTCAGTCCGAATGAGAAGTTTCTTGCCATATCCAGCTGCAACGGTATATTATATTTTTATGATGCTCAATCCAGAAATCTCGTGAAATTTTTAACAAATACTATCTTGTCCGTTGAGGGTGATTCTGATCTTACCAGTAAGGCAATTTGGCACCCTTTTGATGGCACATTCGCTGTTGCCGACTCTGAAAACCAAGTATCTGTCATATCCACTGATGATTGGCTTGCTTTATACAAACTTTCTCCGAAAGAAAATTATTCTTCCATAACAGATGTTGCTTGGTCAAGTAATGGTCGTTTCTTGGCAGCTTCTTTCCGCGACTCGGGTATATTAATATGGGATACTTATTCAAAAGAAATAGTATCTGAACATCATTATCAGAATGTTGTTTCTTTGGCTTGGCAACCTTTTGCTAATGTTTTGTCGTTTACTACAAATCAAGGCGTGCTTTACAATTGTCCAGAGGCTATTCCTTTGTCAGAAACTATCACAGATGCCGATTTTCAAAACAGAAACCAGCTTAAGAATGGTCACAAGAAACGTATTTTTTTGGATGAGGCAGAAGAAAATCTCTATGGAAGTCAGAATACCAACGACGATGCCGCCCTTGCTGGTGGCATCACAAACGGGGAAGAAGATTTTGGTGATTTAAATGAAGATGCATTAGGTGATCCATTCGATTTAGACGGTGATAATTACATTGTGGATGATCGTGAATTAGAACTTGCAAAGAAGAGGAAAGCACGTTCAACACGCGATCAGCAGCCTGTTACCGCTGATGATGCTACGAAAAAACGTCGTCTTTTGCATTCCGCCGTCCACAAGCCAGTTTACGCTGGAAGTACTCCATGGCAAGGGAACAGACGTTACTTGTGTCTGAATTTAGTAGGTTTCATTTGGACCGTTCAACAGGACGACGGCCACAACACAATTACCGTCGAATTTCACGACGAGACTAATCACAGAAGATATCATTTTCCGGATGATCAAAAATTTGAAACGGCTTGCTTGGATGAAGAAGGAGCTTTGTTTTCCGCTCCAGCTACGGAGCAATCACCAGGTGTTATTTACTATAAACCTCACGTGGATTGGTCTCGGCGATCTGAATGGGCATTAATGCTTCCAATGGAAGATGAAAGCCCTGTTAGCATAACGCTGAGCTCAAACGTAATTGTTGTTTGTACAACAAGCGGCTATGTGCGTATTTATTCTCGAACAGGCTTTCCTATAAGTATGTATAGAAGTAAGCAACTACCTTTTGTTGCTTGCTCTGCTTTTCAAGATCTTGTTATGATAGTTGCGAACGGCGGCCCTGCCGCTGATGGAACCCCTCAATTGGTGTACACAATTGAAGACACAAGCAAAAACTATGTCTACCAATCGAATGATGGTTTAGCACTCCCACCTAATGGGGAACTTCAAAGTATTTTCTTTTCAGATGTTGGTGATCCATATATGTTCGATTCCAACGGTATTCTTTTGGTCTTGCTTCATTGGAGAACTCCTGGCCAGGCCAAATGGACGCCTGTACTGGATACAAATGAAATGGAACGTCGTAAGTCGAGACAAGAATCCTACTGGCCCGTGACAGTAGCAGATAATCAATTTCACTGTATCCTTTTGAAGGGAAACGCTCGTTATCCCTACTTCCCTCGTCCTATGTTTACTGAATTTCCATTCCGCATACCCTGTACTGTAGTGACTCCTGATGCTCCTACCTCAGTTCCTGCATTAGAGGAACTGCAACTTAGAAATGCAATTTTGTTGACAATAACCGAAGAAGGAATTAAGAAAGGAGATGTTAACGAAGAACAGCAGCTTCAGGTTACAAGGCTTGAAGCTAATATTGACAAAGCTCTATTACAACTAATTCAAAAGGCTTGTTTAGAAGAAAAACTTGAACGTATTCTGGATTTAACAAAAGCTTTACGGAGAACACCTAGCATATTGGCAGCTCAGAAAATTGCGCTGCATCATTCCCTTACCCAAGTTGCTGAAAAAATTGGAACTCTTCTTCCTGCTGCTTAATTGTTTACTCTTTGTATATTACTACGGATGATTCACTCTTTTATTTTTTTTATCACTTGTGCGTTGCTAAATGTGAACCTATACTTTATTAAACATCTAGCTATAACATTACAATACAAACTTTCCTTTAAATGGTTTTACAGCTTTGCTTTAACAGTGTTTGTTAAATCAGTCTTGCCATGCATTATTTAAAAGCTTCATTCTTTTTTATTTTACATCAAAAAAAACAGTTCTTGTCAGCCTTCGTTAAGTCTCCTTATAGCATACCATAAGACTAGTAAAACAAATTTTGTCAACACTGACCAAACATACATGCATTGAGGATGGAACAAGAAAAGGATGCATCGGTACTTTCTAATCAATTTCAAGCATCAATAGGAGTTTCTAGGAAATTAATTAACTCATGGTTAGGAGAAGGAAGTCAATCGATTGACGATGATAGCACTAATGACAATACCAACTTGCAAGCAAGACCAACGCGTTTAGGACTAGGGGCAACGGCCAAGGAGTCATCCACCAGTCCCCAGGTAGCTTTTAAAAATGAGCGAATGAAAAGTCTTCCAGCAGCGCTGAGGAAAAATATCGAACGGCAATTGCAAAAGAAGGAGCCGGTAAAAACTAATGGAGAACAATCTCCTCAAAAAAGGAAAAGAGAAACGGATGAAAAAGGTAAATTGAAAGAAGACGATGTCGCTGACGAAAGTGAGGATGAGGATGAGGATTCAAGGATTCAGGTTGCCAATAAATCTAAACGCAATATAAATCAAGGGTCTGGATTTGACCTGTATAAAAGACTTAATAAACGGAAATAAGCATGTTTCTATGCTTTCGAGACTTTGAAATGAACATGTGGTCAAGAGATCCTTACCATGATATGAAACAACAATGGTTTTGCTTCACGGTAGGAAAAAAGCAAACAGTATTTTGTTTTGACGAAAATGTACAGCTGAAAATAATAGAACACGCAAATGAACAAGCAATCGAATCATGTGCAAAATTTAAGAAATCTAGATAGAAATAAAAGGTTTTATGGTTAGGGAACTGGTTACCAAAAATGCGGAAGTCCGTTATTAAATAAAACGAGAAAGTGATTTTCTTTTCTTTTTTTTTTGTAAACAAACATGAGATTTCTTCTGGAATGGAAATCAGCTTTAGATTATTTTTCCGAATATAATTTTTAAGATCATTCACCAATTGTTACATCTTAACAGTGACATCCAGCCATGGAATGTGAAACGTACGTATACCAGTGACCCATTGTAACCAAGAAAGTCTTATTAACCTGTAACCAGCTTCGCTGAATTCTTTGGGAAAAGGCTTTGGATCAAACATGTACCGACTTAGTGTAAAAAAAGGTGAATCGCTCCAAAGGCTCCTTGTATTGACTAAGATGGCCAAAATAATCATACAGTAAGGGCTATCCGATGTGTTAGCATAAAATGAATAATGTATCTCTAGTCATGTTTGCCTTCAGTTTGCACAAACAATGGCATGTACGTACCATGGGTATTTTCGAGCAATTGTAGCCAAAATAAATACTGGATAAAAAACATAAGGCGCTGCATTAGCAACCAGAAGCATAGGAATAAAATATCTAAGACATAACATATTCGTGTGTCTTTGGCGGAGTGCAAGTAAGTAGCAGTGAAAATAGGACCTTAAACATTTTTAGCTACTACTTGAGGTAACACACATTTGGCTACTTGTATAAAAATAAGAAATGACATTCTGTTATGCTTTCATCAAAAATATAGAAAATTGAATGTTTTTCTTTTGATGTTTGCAGTTTTCATCGCCTCTTTAATGAAACTGATATGTCACTTCAAACCGTGGACTTTTGCTATGAAGCCATACTCGAATAAAATTTATCCTTCTCCTGGTTCTATCAGAATCATAAGAATTTAATTCTCCATTGGATTATATTCAGCAATTAAGCTGAACACAGCAAAATCTAAGAGAAAGTTCTGACTATGATACTAGCAGATGATATTTCAATAAATCTGCTAGTATGATAGGCATTTCCAAACAGTTTGCGTAAATTACAGTGACAAGTACGTTAACGCTTGACAATTTCATGAGTAGGGCTTGTTTTCTTTTCTTCTTCTATTTTGAAATCATTTAGTTTGAATTGATTTGTCCTTTTTCACTTATACGATAGACCCATTCGACACTGTGGGCTTAACTGAATTATCAAGGCTAAAATATCGGATTTTAGTAGAACGACTTTACGATATAGAGTTATATTATCATCATAATTATTCCTTTGATTTCTGCGATATTCATGTCTTGCATTACGAATGAAATACTTTGTAGCACTCCGTGATTCTAAGGATGAACCATTAGTTCTTATATCGAATTTTGAGGATGACTCTTCAGTCAGTTTAACTGTTATGAGCTCAAATAGCATGTTTATTTTACAAGGTATGGAATGTTGGATTTAGGATTGAAACAATCTATGGAGCTGACACAAGAACGGCAGACAAAAACCAAGAGTTTCGAAACCTACAGTCCAACCGACCTATAGAGTCTTTAACTCCTGCTGTAATTGAAAAATTGCTTTCTGGAGTATCGAATTCCAAATTTAAACTGCAACCAGTGTTGCTAGAGGACATTTGTCGAGTAAGTTCAGAGGCAATTTGTTCTATGTTTGAAGATTTTTCTAAAAATTTCTTAGATATACATTTTGATCATCGATCCTTTTCCTTTGCGGGTTGCTTGGTTCGAATTAGCCAAGCAATCGCTTGATCCTGAAACGTTGTTTTGCTCGTTGTGGGAGTGCAGTAATGTTATACAAGTATTAAACTAATTTGTTATATTAGAACTAACAGATTTATTTTAGGATGTTGCTTTTGCCAGACTAGCCCATCAGGAAGAAGAAATGGTACAGGTAGTACAACACGCTCGCGACCTAGAAGAGGAATTTCGTATGAGAGAACGACTCTTACTACTGAAGTTTCAGGAGTTAATTAAGGATGCCAAGAAGAAAGAAAGAGGTGATCAAAGTGGTTCTTCTTTAGAAGAGGAGTACAATGAAGACCTAGAGTCTCCCATAAAGGAAAGCTCTATACCTAAAGTCAAAGAGGAATCACCATCCGTAAACTCATATTCTCCAACAGATACTTTAGAAAACCAAGAAACAACATCCGAAGAGTATGAAATCCATGAAACAGGGAAAACATCAGGAGAAACCAGCGAGACCGAGTCGGAGTAAACAACTTCCAACATTCTACACTGTCATATATGCATAGAGGATACTGTCCACAAGCGGTATCCATAAATGAATATTATAACACTTTCCGTACTGCAACTATCTTCTACTTTTGAACATCCAAATTGGTAAACGTATATGTTTACCAACGAATTCCAACGTGCTGTATGAAGATGTGAAGGTGTGTGTGTATGCCAAACAATCGGTTTATGACATTCACCCTTTCTACTTTAGTATCTGTACTTATACTTGATTGGAATTATATAAACGCTGAAAAATTACCATTGTAAGCTTCAACTATCACCTTTCAAATTTACTTTGGAAATCAAAAGTTCACCTTCTTAAGTACGGTTTTTCTGTGATGTTACAACTCTTGCTACCAAAGTTTTACAGTTCTCTCTGAAAATTGCGTTCAGTTTAGCCAGTGTATGCTGTTTTACTTTCACGCTTCTTGTTAGAAAAGGGGACTTTTGTAGGAGCTCCATTTGCTTATCTTACTAAGTAACTTGTAGCCTTCTGTTTTCTTTATAATCTTTTTTCATTAAAATACTATGAGTTCTCATCCCATTTCGAACCGGAAACCTGTGCGAAAAAGTACACATCCGACTTTGCCTGACATCAATGAAGCAAACCGAAATTCGGGTGAACGCTTTCTAGCAACACCTCCACAGCTTCTTCAAGGTCAATTCCATTTACCTTCTCCAATTACGCCCACACTTCCTGATCTGAATTTAGGGTCTGCAAAGGATGAGATTCAAAAGGGCTTACCCAATCTTCTGAGCCCAACACTTCCTCCATCTTTCATGTTTGATTTAGAAAATAAGCACGATTCCTATTTATATGGATACTTAAATGGTACCGAGGAGGAAGTGACTAATCCAAAGAAAGATGATTCTCAAACACTAGAAATACATTCCGGTAAAACTATCTCTGCGACCAAAACTGAAAATAAAGATAAATTGGAGCCTGCTGAATTTCTAGTTAGCGATAACCAAAAGAATATTTCCGGAGCAGATCAAGCAATTTCAAAACGAAAGGCTAAAGTATCGTTAGAGGACTACAAGCGGCTCAAAATGCAAAACAAAGAAAATACAAGTGCCGGAAGCCCAATAAATTCAGTTAATTCTTTAAGTCCCTCAACTCCTTTGATGCAACATCAACCTGATTTCGAACTGCTAAAACAAAACTTCATCAGACTCCTTGCCGATGGTAAGGTCCAGAAAAAGCTCGCAGATAAAGAGGAAAAATATTCATTTATCTTTGCTATTGATGCTATTTTATGTTATGTAGTTGCTTTCCAATTTCAGAATGTGTCCAACATTTCAAAAAATCAACCGGCTACCACTAGCAATTGGAGAACTTTACCTGCATACATTGAATACTTTCTTCGTGCTGATAAAGAACCTCTTGATCCTGTTTTTCAAGGTCTTTTTCTCGGTTATCTTGGAATAGCTTTCAGGGAAATCTTTAATATTGAACTTTTTCGTATGCAACACTTACAACATTTCATTATGAAGGATATCCGACAAAATGATTCAGAATCAGTCCCCAAAAGCTCCATTGGGAATGTTAAAAATATTTGTGAAAATGCAGTTCGCTTGCATGATGCTTACAAACGGTGTATTGCAGCAATGAAGCAATCCTCTCAATTGTTAAGTAAAAAATTTCTGTACGCCTTTCCTGTATCCTTGAAAGAGTTTGAGGAAGGTAATTCCATTAACCTGTATCCTCCATTTTCTGTACAGACTAGTATCGCTGACTCAATCGAATTTGGACATAATATAATCACAGAATTTAAAGATCAACATTGTTTTACGTTCAATTCCAAAATGAATCACTCAGATATTTCCCTATTACGCACTTTAGAGAAAAAATAATACATGGCACTAATGGTTTCAGCTAATTTTACTTTCCTTAAATATTTACTTAATCATTTTTTGTTTTACATTATTAATCGAATTCGATTATTTTATTAAAATAATTATAGAATACATTTATTTTTAGAGCAAGAAATTTGCCAAATATAGAAGTCTGTGTTTTTGGTATCTTCGGTAGAAGTGTTCAAATGACTCAACATAGAAAATTAGAAACTAATAAACAATCGTGAGATATCAAATAAGACAAAACCGTCCTTTAAACTAGAAATACAAATAAGCGACAAGCAATGCGCTTCTATGCCACGGTAATAAATAAAGAGCGAACTTCAGTACGAAACGCCTTTTTCTAACTGGAATAGAAATAATAAAAAGTAAAAAAAAACAACGTGTATGAGTCGTTTTCAGACTTCAGTATTATTGTACAGGTGAAATTATTCTTTTTCCTTTGAACTGTGGCGTTGTCGTTCTAACTTCGAAATGATACGGCGACCACATGGAGTGTTTTTGATGCTAGGTATAAGTGGCTTTATACGTTCGGCCAGTTTCATACGTTGCTTAGGGTCAGCATTATCCAAGGCAGTCTGAATGACATAATTCGCGAAAGAATCCTTGAGCATTTTAGCCAAGAACTTCTCATCCATTAATTCATCAATCAGTTTTTCCTTTAGCGGGAAAGGAGAGTAGAAAATACACTTTAAATTTCGTTAGTAAATATTTTCGTATTTCCAACCGTACCTTTTCTATAACATTGGAGCTAAACTTTTGTGTAGACAGGACACGGACTTTACTGATGAAATGATTAACAATTGTTTCCGTATGTGATGGATTGTTAAGTTCCAATACATATTGCAGCACATAATTCCCAAATGCGTCCTGGACAAGGAGTAAGGCATGAGGTATTATGTGTTGCACCAACTGTTCAATCTGAGCTGGCGATGCATGGTCAAAACAACGTTGAACCACACAGCAACCATGTCTATGAGTCGACACATCGACTGGATCGTTGCAGATGGCATCAAAGATAAACTAGATGGTGTTAGTCTCATGGATTTCACCCTTACTAAACTTACCTGGCAATCTTCATGAGAAAATCTATTAAGGCACTTTTGAATGACATGATTTCCATTCAAATCTTTCGTAAGCATGACAACGTTCGGTCTGAGAGCATCTACGATACACGAAACTTGACCGGGTGATGAAACCAAATCAATAATTTTTTGAAGAGCTCTTGTTCCATGCATATTGAAAGAGATAGGAACAAGCTTCGGCGCTATTGTTTGAACAAATTTAGAACGCTGTGCATCGGATACGTGCTCAAACAATTTTTGACAAAGGTAATTGCCGAATGCGTCAACCATTAAAACAGGAAGATAAGCCTGCGTTTCGTTAAAAACAACATCAACATACGCAGGATTCTTTTTTTCTAAAAGTCGTTGCAAATATCGACAACCATGTTGATCCTTGCAAAATGAAAGGATGTTATTAGATGGAAATGAAAAAGGAGCAACGGTGGAAGACACAGCAGGCTGGGCATTCGCTTCTTCTGGCATATAAGCAGGAACACACAATGCAGATGGATCTAACAAGGTGGTTGGAATTCCTGCTGCTGGTATTCCTAATGCATTAGGAGGAAGAGGAGGAGCACTGTCATTACTTCCAGAACTAGCCGTCGAGGTAAAAGAAGCAGTTAAGGAAGGAGTGAAGGAGTCAGTCAAAAACGGCGATCCTGAAGAGCGTAATGACTGAAAGGAAGACGGAGTTTTCGAAGATGGGTAAGGACCGGAATCACCATTGTAGGCAGGAGCAGTATTGGCAGAAGTGGCGTGGTTGAGGCGTGGACTCAACGTAGGCGTCGAAAGCCTATGAGCATTCGCAGGAGAAGGCGTTGCAACACCAGAATTCGAGGCATAAGGGGTAGATGTAGGTCTTTTTAAATTTGAATTTGATACAGAAAGACTTCTTCTAGAACCTTGATTGGAAGAAGCAGATGAAGAAGGATAAGATGACAAATTTGGGCGTCTTAAAAGAACAGGGATATCATCCATTGTAGTGTTCATTTGAAGAATGGAGGATGATAGATGCTTAGACCCAAGTCTAGAGTAGGAAGGGCCAGAAGAAGCAGGAGCAGTAGGACCAACGGGAGCTGCCGGAGTTGCTAAGCAAGTGGCTCCTAATCCATTTGAAAGTACGGGTGCTGCAACAGCTCCGGATCCTGATGAAATTGAAGGAGCGGATGTTGGCTGAGGGACCAATGATGATGATGATGAGGAGTGAAAAAGTTGGTAAGGAGTGAATGTGGAAGTTGCAAACGAATAGCTACCAAGGTTGGGGGTACGCGATAAGCTATTAGAACGATTTCCAAAAGCACCATAACCAACATAACTTTCAGAGCTCGTCATCGAAGAAGGAAAAGAAGGAATAGTGCCATCCTTTAACTTCGAACCAGTGGAAGCTTTGGAAGGGTCCCACGGGGGTGATTTCAACGCATGTTTGTTCTCAAGTTCAGAATAAGCACTTGAGAGAGTAGGAAGCGAGTATTCAGCAGACATCGGAGACGGTTGTGGTAGGGAAGACTGCTCGGACATGCTACTACGCTTTAACAATGCGATTGATCAATGTCTGTTGACATATATTTACAAAACTTCGAAGTGAGGAATTTACCAACGGATTAAAAAACAGAAGGAACCGTTTCAAAACAAAAGAAAGATTGCCTCAACTATGTAAATTTTCAAAAAACCACAGTGTCGTCCACTTTACAAGAAGACGATGGTGGTGGAACGAACGTTTGGAATTCTTGGAAGATTTGATAATCTGTCTTCGTAAACTTAGAGGTGACACCATTAAGGTAACACTTCTAGGGAAAACGGAATTTTAAAATGGATTTTCTTGTTTTTAAAAGAAAAAGAAAAGGATTATATTAAAATAAAAAGAAAATACCTCCAAAAAATGAACTGTAAGAGTCGAATTTTTCTAAGAAACGAGACTAAGTAAGCTAACTTTCCAACCTCAGAACGGAAACACTTTTTAGAAGAGTAACGTAGTCATTCTATTATGTATACTTACATTATTGTTCTTCAAGTGTTTTACCTTTTTATTCTTTATAACGGCAGCTTCTTCCAGTCTAAATCTCATTTACGATTGCTTTGCTAGCTGCCTAGTTTTGTAAGTAATTCTAGTCCTCGCCATATCTCTTCTCTTTTTCATCATTTCCAAAAGTTTCAATGTTTTGTTTTACTCACAGTACCGATCTTGCCAGCAAGAGTAAATCAGCAAGCTGATCTCTTCTTCGATCGGCTCTCACCCGTTCGAAATGATAAATCATGAATCTTTTTACTTACTTAGAAAGAAGTTATTTTCATCTATTAAATTACAAAAATAAACAGTACATAATCAGAAACCACCGTAAACAGAAAAATGTTGAAAAGATCATGACGTGTTCGCTTAGATAACTTAATAATGCATCGCGATCATCAGATCTCTCTTCATAAAAAAAGAAGCTACATAGGGATATTTGAAGAAAGAAAAGTGTCTTTTACTGAACTACTTAGATTTAGAACTTATCTCAACAGGTATTCAAAGCGAATTGCTGAATTGCCTCTTCTCAATACTTACATTCCTTGACCATGCTTCTTTGTTCTATCCTTTCCCCAAAATTCCATTTGCTCGACGCGTCGTTATACTTGAAACCGAAAAGCAACCCATATTGAAACCATAACTTATATAAAACTAAACATGTATTTTTTAACTACGACCTTAATTGCCTTTGAGCAAGAAGGTGAAAATTACCTGACACAAGTAGCCATTTACACACAAATTCCAGTCTGTACAGACCCTTCCTGCAGGGATGCACAGTATTTAAAACGAACACTTCTTCAAATTACCTTCAACGGTATTCAGCAGCTATATACTACGTTTCCTAATATTTGGCAATATGCTTTGCTGAGTAAAGGAAAGAAAGAAGAATCATTGATAAGTATTGAAGAAGTACCAAACTCTGAATTTCGAATCCACTACTGTACGTGTAACAAGTTTCTTTCATGCCTAAATGGACGAGGATGAAGTACCAACATCAACGTAACCATTCGAACGCATGAAAAAGAATTAAGTCGACATAAATTTTAATTACTAACAACATCTATATAGACGTCTTGCCATGGACGAGACGATTACGAGGCTATCAAACGATCACCATTCAAAACGGAGTACGCGTGCCTTTAATTAAAAGATCGGAGAAATGGAGAATACTCGTAGAATGTTAAACCTAGAATGATTTAAGAACATATTAATGTAGTATGAAAAAGAAATATAACATTGCAAACGTTAACCAAGATTTACATTTTCAAAATCGTCTGAGTCCGCCTTTGCTTCGGGTTCAGTTAAATCTGCAGATTCTTTTTTTTCAGTAGACGGATTCTCATCTTCATTAACTTGATTCTCATCTTCGGTTTCCTTGTCCGAGCTTCTGTTCTCATTATTTTCAGCAGTGTCTTCTTGATTTGCATCATTCACACTTTTGGGTTCATCAACTTCTTCAGCATCACTCGGCTTAACTTCATCCTTTAGCTGTGTCTTATTATTGACGTTCTCTTCAGTAGCCTTCTCTTCACTGACTTTAGGAGAAGGTTCTGCCAATTCTTCTTTGTCAGTCGAATCATTATTTGCATGCTCGTCGGCAGATTGACTCTGAACTTCATTATCCGTAGTAACATTTGATTCATTTCCTTCTTGTATAGGCTCCATATCGTTTTGAGTAATACCTTCTTGCTTAGGTTGTTCCGATTCGTGACCACTAGTTTCATTCAGTTCATCCTTATCGCTGCCTTCAATTTCAGCTTTTGAGTTGCTTGGCTCTGTATTTTGAGCTTTATTATTAGTGTTGCTAGGAGGAATGATATCACTTGATACATCGACAGACTGCTCTGCGGAATTTAGGGGATTCGACGAGCTAGTGGGCTCTTTGGAAGAAGCACTCGTTTCATTCTTGGCCTGTAATTCTCCCGCTTCACCCTGTTCTTTCTGTTCATTGGGTTGTTTTTCTGCATGTCCGTTTACAGGAGCCTCAAACTGTTCCTTTGGAGGTTCTTCTTTAGATTGTTCAGCAACAGGCTTGTTTTCTTCCGCGGGCTGGGTGGTAGAGGCCTGATTGACAGTTTGCGCTTCTGTGTTTTGAACGGGAGGAGTTTGCACGTTGGCAACATTCAGGCGACTGATATTTGCAGAAGATCCGCCAGAACGGTTTTCAATATAGAACCCGCTAACATTAACAAGTCTCCCTTCCGATTCGCACTTAAGTAGATAATCAACACCAAGCACTGGGATGTTGGCAGTCTTTGCACGATCGTATTCACGACCGCCTACGGAAGAGCAAATGAAATGAGTTGTGTCAATTTGAACGCTAGTTTGGATGGGCTTGGCATGAATTCTTTCGATACATTTCTGCAAAGCTTGCATTTCCTCAGGTACCATGTTACCAACGCAGACCTGTATACCCGTCAAATCAATCATACGAAGAGTTTTAACTTGTAAATGTTTACTACTGAAGCGTCCAGCTGTAGTGTCGAGAACGAGCGTGAAATCGTAGTCAGTGTCTAAGGATAATCCACTAAGTTTTGCATGTTGTGTACTCAATAAATTGGTAATCTTTAAAGCACGGATATTGTTTTTGTAAAGACAGAGGCTTTTCAGTCTTGAAGTTCCTAACTGTAATGCATCCCACTCTAAAACGATACTTGTTTGGGTAACGTTTCTTACCCTTAAAACAGGTGCCGAAGGAAGGTTTTGGCCATAGGCTTCATAAATTTCATTTTGAATATCATCAAATTCTTTCTCACGGGAAGCTTCCTCTTCTCTATTATGGCGTACAGACATATCAACAATGGATCCTGCTTTTACATTCTCAGGTAGCAAAACCGACGGGAACTCTATAATATGAAATGAGGGTGTTATTAGAATTGCCATTCCAGCATCTATTTTGGCTACAGATACCATAAATTGATTTGCTTCCGCCATTTTTTAAAGATGCTCTCGAAGGATGGCACATGCGCGTTTGGTACAACTAATTCTACCTACATCAATTAAGTAACACTGTCACTTCAATTTCACTAAAGACATATTGAAGTTGTTTGTTAAATGCATGCATACTAAAATGAAAGTTTTAATGAAGTAAATACATCTTAAACCGTACTCTTTTTTTGTTTCTTTACTTAATTGTCTGAAGTAGTGTTTATACGAAAGACCGGCAAGCTATAATTACGAACCTGCTTCAAAAAACAATCCACTGCATATATGTTATATATATACTCAGAAGTTATATGACTCGTAAAAGAAAGGCGATTATCATATACATTAAACATCAACTATCCTCATGCTAAACGAAATGTCTTATGAAAAAAGTGACATAAAACCACAGAGGTTTGAAAATTACCAGGCGGATTTTCATAAAGTGCACCGAGTCTTTAAACCAAATGTCACAAGAACACCCGTAAAGCTTCGCATAAGACAACATCAGGGAATCATAGCCGGAGGATGTGCAAACTAGCATTTTCGTATTAATGCGATGTCTAGCTAAAACTGTAAATACAGCCATTATTTAAAAGCCCCGAATGCAGAAAAACCAACTCAGCATCGTCACCCATCATCAGACCAAGGGCTCGTATAAAAGGATATAAAAACGGGCAAAAGAGAAGTAATTACTTAAAGAAAAAAAAAAGAAGCCAGTATTTTCACGTTTTAAATGTTAATTCTAAGAAACTATGCGTACATTCACAGGATTTGAATTTGTTTTTTTTTTTTTAGAGCATAGTAAAGACGACTAGATTAAACTCAAAAGTGAGAAACAATGGACTCCAAGTCTAATCATAGGAAACGCCTCACGATAAAGGCAATCTCATACTGTCAAGTGTATGAACCCTTACTTCCCATGAAACTTTGTTGCAATGGGAACAATAATAACGACTAGTAAAATAATGATACCAATGATGATACATAAACGCATTCGCATATCTTTCCACCACATTTTCTTGCGAACGCGATTGGCACCGCGACGAAAGCCTTGGGCACTTACAGCCAAATTATCTTTACTCCATTAGCTTTTGGAAACTTATTTACAACAATTAAAAGAACGTACCTGTTTTATCTTGTAAGGAATCAAGGCGTTCACCACGCTCAGACACCTTTGAGATGTTCTCTCTCATAATGCCCACAGTGTCATCAATTTGCTGCTGAATTGCAGCTGTCTTCACATTTGGGGTCGATCCTGTATTGGCATTGCCAACACGACCTGGTGTCGACGATTCCGTCGGAATATATGGGTCGTAGGGCTCGGACATTGTTTTAATGCGCTGGTTGGTAAAGGAAACAAATACCCAAGGTACGACTTTCATACACCTAACCCCCACATTTTCGTGTATTAGACATGTTTAGTTTCTATGCTTGTATAAAGAAAATCGACTATTAAAAAATATGAAACTATTTAAAATAATTAAAAATATTTGAAAATTAGTAGTTTCTTGTATTTTTATATTTGACCAATCTGACCTGAAAATTCGATTCTTCAGTGTAAACAAAACCAATATTTTCGAGAGTGACGGTCGGTATTCTCTGAAAGCTCTGGATTTACTTAGGGTCTCTTGCGGTTTAGAACTGTTAACTTATAGGTGTAACTGCTATTAGTGAACTGTCTTACTACCTGGGTTTATGAGTGCGTACTAGATTGTTGCTTCTAATAAGTGTTTTTTGTTAAGATCACCAAAATATACATATATATATATACATTCATTCATAATTTAATATAGTGGGTTTATTGATGAAATAATCCTCTCGGATTTTCTGGTTCCTTTTTTTTTTGTTTTTGTTTTGGGCTGTTGGATTGCTTGGTTACTCAGTACAATTAAAGAACATATTCTTTCTTTCTTCTCTTGTTTTGACTTTAAAATAACATCATATATCTTTTCTAAACAAACGTTCATACGTCGTGAATCATGGTTGAATTAGATGACCAAACTTGTTTTGAAAAACTTGTCCACTATAGAAATGCACAACACTGGTTCTGCTCTGGATTACTTGACGAATATCTTCGTCCAGTCTTCTTGTGGATGGCTAAAGAGCCTTCTCCATGCTTTGAATGGGTATTGAAATGTTACAACGAGCGGCTGTGCGGTTGTACCTCTTGCATTCAGTCGTTCTATAATTTGCGAGACGAAGCGTTGGCTAAATATTCGTACGCTTACTCTGGAGCTTCTATGGCAAACCTCGAAAGACGATGGGATGACTGGATGGTTGATACTACACTTTCCAACTTTAAAAACGTGGAAGAAACGACACTTGATTTCACTGCTCTTCCCTCTTTGGTGTATAATGTCTTCCTTAATCCGGGTCTTATGAGAAACCAAGAGGTATACCGTCAAGCATTAAGTGGATTTGTTGATCTTGTTTCCGACTGGTCTTCTGACACTTTCCTCCCTGGGTTTCTTGTCATATTTTTCGAAGAGTCTTACTCCGAAGTTCATGAATATGTTATCAATTATCTCAAAAGGAATGAAAATCTTCATCTGACCTCTGAAGCTTTTGACGACGTCTTCTCTATAATTTTGTATCAACAAAGCGATGAAGAGAGTTCTTCCCTTCTTTCACCCTGTACTTCTGATTTCTGGAATCGCGCTTCTACACTTTTTCAGTTACTTCCTCTTAACTGTGTGACAAACCTATGTGAATCCCACTTTCGCGATTTTTTTATCTCCGAACTTGATAATGAGGCTTTTTCCAGTGAGAAGTTCGCTTGTTTGAGAGTATTTACTAATTCCCCTTCTTTTTGGTTTGCATCTGACAACTTTGATCAATTAGAGGGATATCTTCAAAAATTGTTGACGCATGTTACAATTGTCGACGGTGTTAACGCTTCATCTTGTGGATGGGCTTACGTGTTGGCTTCATTATTCAGATTTTGTTTGAATGATTTCATCTTAATCTTCCCTTCTTGGCTAAAAACTTTTATTAATGACAACAAAGTCGTTGATTTTATTATCTATGCTTCATTTTATGCGTTATTCGATCTATTAACATTAGACAATAGCTCTCCTCATTCCCTAAATGAAGTTTTGCTATTGATTGACAGAAAAAATATCAATTTGTTTAGTGAAGAATCGGATTACTTGAATAATCTTAAATTTCGATCCCTACTATATGATATTTTATTCATCAGTTGGGCTCACAAAGCTCTTACTAAAGATTCATCCTTTATTTTTGATCCAACTTATAAGGTGTCTCCATTTTGGAATTCGGTCGATATTAAGGATGTAAATTATATGAATCGATTCTTTGAAGGTTTGTCATCCTGTTATTTTGTTCATGACATTGAAATATCTGAAACGACAACGTCTGAAAAGTCTGTTGTTTTGTTCTCTGAAATTTGGCAAACTTTATCAAGTAACATAAGCTCATTCTTACAGTCATTTTCAGAAAGGGACCCTTCGGAAATAACCAGCTACATGCAAAATGATTTGATTTTTGATACCCTTTTAGGACTCTTGTTATCACCATCTCAGCAACTTTATGCTGACGCATTCCGTATATTCCAATCTTTCTTTGGAAAAGTAAAAAACAAGAATGAAGTAATGAAGAAGCTAGTTGAAAACCATTTTGTTGGTATTGTTCATGGCTTGGTTGATGCAACTCTTCATTGGCAGTCGGCTCTCACTTTTTTCCCTGCGCTTCGAATTATGCGTTTTGTCAGTACTGTTAACAAAATCTTCTCAACTGATAACAAAATCTGGAGCGAGAATGATTTATCAAGTTTAGGTGCTTATTGGCAATGTATTTGGAATGTTTTAGACCTTGTTCACTCGAACGTCGCAAGGTGGTCTTTATATAATTCAAATGATACTGTTAAACTATCAATGAAGTTAGCCTTAAAATTAAGCACCGATTTGTTTCAAAATGATGGACTTTTCATCAAGTTCCTTGCAAAGTTTGATGGTTTAGTCTTACTTGGTGAAACAAGTGATGCTCTATTTTCGTTAACCACTTGGCTTAAAATCAATGATTTGGAATTGAGAGAGCAAGTCATCGATACTTTGTGCATGCTCTTTGTTAAATACTCAAACTTTGATTATCTATTTGAAGATCGCACTATTAATTTCTTGACCGAGTTTATAATTAAAAAGCAGAAAGCACATTTATCGGCTGACCAATGCAAACGCCTCGCCGAGGTGATTGTTCAAGCTAGTCCTGAGGCTAAAAGTATATTGGATGAAAACCGTCTTGCGGAAGCTCGCAAGACTAAAAAGCAAACCGAATTGGTTAGTGGTAGCCAGTTTAATAAAAAAGTTGAACCGCCAAAGAAGGAAAAGACTCAAATTGTCGCTGCATCAACTGACAAGAAAGCTCCTACTCCTAGAATGAAAATGTTGGATCAACTACGACAAGAGTACATTGCTCGTCGCGCTGGTCATTATGCTGCTCGAGATGCAGCTGTATCTTCCAGAAAAACAACTTTTGAAAACCAAAAGCCCCCAACTAATTTATTGACTGAGCAAGATTCCGACAATGAAGAAGTCGATGAGAGTGATAGGAAAGAAGGATTATTTTCATTAGCTAAGGCTAACAAGGTACCTGAGATTCGTCAAACGGAACGTAGACAAATACAGCTTTTGTCTACTCCCAAAAACCAATTGCACCCATCTCAGGCACGAATATTATCCAATCGAAATGCAGCTAATACAAAGGCTCGTCTATTTCCTAACATGTCTGATTTCTATAGCGAAATCTTAACATGGAATCCCAGTTATGAAGCTGCTTCTCCTATCCTGAAGTATCATACGTCTGAAGGAAAAATTGCTGATACATTTAGAAGTATTGACCAGTATATGGACGTTCTTCAGCCTATGATTTTCATGGAATGTTGGAGTCAAATCCAGGCTACCAAAAAGAATTTGAAATTTTCTCCTGTAGAAGGTATCATGATTCAGAGAACGGCTGTGAATAACTTTGTTGATATTGGAATTTCAGTAGCACCTAAAGACCTTTATGGTTATCCGCTCTTTGATACTGAAATTGTCTCTCTAGCTTTTTCAAAAGAAGAAGCACATTCCATGAAAGGTCTCTGTTGTTTTGCTAAAATTGAAAAAATTGTTCGACAAGAAAATGGAACTCTTGTAATTGTGAGGACTCTACCGAAATTGGAAATGTTGAACAAACTTCAAGGAAATGTACCTTTGTATTTTTTGAAATTAACGAACCTGTCAACGTTCACCAGACAGTACGCTGCAATTCGAGGATTACCTTATTATCATATGGCTGATGACATTGTGCAGGCAAAGCCTTGTTCACAACCTATTAAACATTCTCCTAGTGAAATTCAAGGAGCCATGACTCGTTACCAAGTTAACTCTCCACAAGCTCAAGCAATTTTGTCTTCCCTGGACAACAGCGGCTTTACTTTGATTCAAGGTCCTCCTGGTACGGGTAAAACAAAGACAATTATCGGTATCATTACAGCATTGTTAGTGGATCTAAATCGATATCACATTTCTCGGCCCGGTGGTCAAAGTAGTAGTACTGAGCCTAAACAACAGATGTTGCTATGTGCTCCCAGTAATGCTGCTGTTGATGAAGTATTGCTTCGGTTAAAGCGCGGTTTCACTCTTAGTAATGGAGAACATTACGTCCCGAAAGTCGTTCGTATTGGTAACCCTGAAACAATAAATGTTGCTGTTCGGGATACTTCGTTAGAATATCAGACTGAAAAACAACTTCTTGAAGTTAACCAAGGAGCAGTAGATCTCGGATCTCTTCAGGAACTCACACGTTGGCGTGATGTTTTCTATAATTGTATTCAGAAGATAGAGGATCTCGAAAAGCAAATAGACGTTGCAAGAGATATGGAAGAAGATACTAAGGCTTTGGGACAAGATTTGCAGAACAGTATTAATGAGAAGAACTTAGCAGAACAAAAAATTGAGGAGTTCCAAAGCCAGAGTTTTACAAAAAACAAAGAAGTTGATCATTTGCGCAAAAAGGCTCAAAAAGCGATTTTAAAACAAGCAGACGTTGTTTGTGCTACTTTATCTGGTAGTGGTCATGACCTGGTTGCACACAGTTTTCTCAATTTCTCGACTGTTATCATTGATGAAGCAGCTCAAGCCGTGGAACTGGATACTATTATACCCTTACGTTACGGTGCTAAAAAGTGTATACTGGTTGGTGATCCTAATCAATTACCACCAACAGTTTTGAACCAAAAGGCAGCCAGCTATAATTACTCTCAATCACTCTTTGTTCGTATTCAGAAACTTCATTCCGAACAGATGTGCTTGTTAAGTATTCAATATCGTATGCATCCCCATATCAGTTATTTCCCTAGTATGAAATTCTACGATTCTCGCCTAAAAGATGGAGAAGGAATGGCTGAAAAGACGAAGCAAGTCTGGCATTCAAATAGTCAATTTGATCAGTACCGATTGTTTGATATACGTGGTCAAGAAAGAATATCTACAACATCATCTTCATACAATATTGAAGAAGTCGGATATGTTGTACAGATGTATGAAAAACTGGTTGCATCATTTCCGGATGTCAATTTTACGGGTAGAATTGGTGTCATTACACCATATCGCCAACAGTTGCATGAGTTGCGCAAGGCATTCAAGGAAAAATTTGGAAAAACTATTATGTCCTCTGTTGATATTCAAACCGTGGATGGTTTCCAGGGTCAGGAAAAAGATATTATTATATTTTCTTGTGTTAAAAGTTATTCTAAATACTCAATTGGTTTCTTAAGAGATTTTCGTCGTCTTAATGTTGCCTTGACTCGTGCAAGGAGTTCACTCTTTATTGTCGGAAACTTGGAAACTCTTAAGACAGATGATCTGTGGGGAAGTTTGGTTGACGACGCCCTGCAACGTAAATTAGTTGAGAGTCCTCATTTGGGCCCTGATGGACAATTAATTCTGGTTAGAAATCCTAGCGAGAAGCGCTCCAAACCAAAAGATTTTGAGGAATCTCCAGGAAAAAAACCAGCCAATTCAGACGACGTTCCTGAATCATCAGGATAAAGTCGCTATAGGAGTGAAAGATCCTATATATCGCATACGGTACTTGCTTACTGCTCTGAGAGTTCTGAACAAATACGTTGGCACTATGCTGTTCAACTTGGACCGTGAAAAATTAGTAGATTTTTTCTACATAGACTTAGACAAATAGACCAATTTATAACATTTACGATTACTATGGACAAAATGTGTGTTTAAAAAAATATTAACAATTTCAATCGTGAAAATCAGTAAGATACCAATCTAAGGCTAGAGATTTATAATTGTAGTATATTTGCTAAATTACAATAAACAAAATTGTATTTACAAATGAAAATGCTAAATCCCGGTATATCACTAGGGTCAGCTGATGATTTAGGGTAGGGTAGGTGACTGCACTTTCAAGTGTTCTGCAGGACGTAGTGTCAGTGGTAGTGAACAGTTCGACGAACTTTTTCAAAGACCCTTCCCAAAACAAGCCAAAATGAAGGTGGAAATCTGCTCATTCTCCGGTGCTAAAGTTTACCCAGGAGCTGGAAGACTTTTTGTTCGTGGTGACAACAAGGTTTTCCGCTTTGTAAACAAGAAGTCTGAAAGCCTCTTCTTGCAACGCAAGAATCCCCGTCGCTTGTCTTGGACCGTCCTTTACCGTCGCATGCACAAGAAGGGTCTTTCTGAAGAATCCACCAAGAAACGCTCTCGCCGTACTGTTAAACACCAACGTGGTGTTGTCGGTGCTTCCGTGGATGTCATCAAGGAAAAGCGTAACCAACGCCCTGAAGTCCGTGCTGCTGCCCGTGCCTCCGCTTTGAAGCAAGCTAAGGACAAGAAGGCTACTTCTAAGTCTGAGAAGAAGGCCGGCAATGCCAAGTCTTCTGCCGGTGCTGCCCGTGGTCAAGCCATCAAGAACGCTAAGGCCGCTGCTGCTCAATAAAATGAACGACAGCTTCATATAATAAGATGACATTCTGTACATTTATGCTGCAGATATTGTAAAAACTGTATAACTGATATCACCAATAGTAATATGTGAATTTTTTTTAATCTTACACAAAAGATCATTGGATCACAATTAGAAAATCTCTACCATATAGCCTTCATGCTTAACATAAGCTAACAATAAATCTCAGTGATAATACTACTAGTAATGTATCCAATATCTACGATGAAAGAAGAAAATCATGACTTGTGTATAAAACTAGCATAATCTACTCTATGTTTTTGGCTTGATAAAGCAAAATATAAGCACTGTCAGCTTCACCACCGCCATCTAATGACTCAATCTTTTCTGCGGGTACAGTGCTGACTCGGGAGTCATTAAAACGGAACCACTCACTGTGCTGATCGGGATTACGAATCCAAGCTTGGTAATGTCCAGAAGAAGCACTTGCACCTGAATGCGATAAAACACCAATTAAATCATACAAGCCGGTAATGTTGGCTCCGTCATCCTCACTGAGTTGTGGGTCTACAAGTGATTGGCATGTTGCAATCTGTGTTAGCCTACTCTCTGCCTCAGATTCTCGTTCTTCTTCAGAGGGCTGGATCTTAATCCGTTTAGTGTTTCGTTCTTGCTCCTCATCATTTTTTTCAATCTCTCGGAGTTTATCACGGACAGGAATTAGTTTTTGCGAAAGCTCGGGGGAACAAAATTCAACGGCATCTAGTTCAAAAGGAAACTTAACTTTACGAAGGATCTTGGCCTTTTGACCAAGAGAAGCTTTCCAGTAAAAGCGAACAAAGTTCACAGTCAAATATTTAGGCAATCGGGAGATCCGTGAGACTTTGTTGTATATAGCATCACGATTTAAGACATCACTACGCTTGGTAAGTTTTTGGGTTAAACCTTCCAAAATGCCTTGAGTCATGTAGTTCGTATGCATTGAAATATGGCATGGAAGGCTAAGGAAGGTATCTTGAGAGACTGTAGGTTCTTCATTTTCGTTTTCATCACATTTCATCGTAGATGTAAGTTTTCCAGACATATTTTTCTGTACCCATTCTGAAGATAATGAACGTTGCAAAGAAGATAATAAGAATGACCAGCATTCTTCGGCATCTTGTTGTGCATACCCACCCGTTTCTCGACTCATTTCAGAAAATTGAGGGTATTCTAAACGTAAATTCTAAATATGGATTAGACAATTGCTCTCAAGCATAGACCCAGTTGATATGTTTCATACCTGAAGAAACCGAACGGGGGTTATAGAATTGGCGGAATCCATAGAACGTAAAAGACTGGAGAATTCGCCAATGACACCAGAAGAAACATTAGATTTTTGAACTGCGTCCTTGAGTTCAGGGATAGCCCGCAGTAATTGGACTGTAGAATTCATGTAACATGTATTTCCTAAATTCACTAGGCCTGATGGATACTACAGCGATTGTTAGATATCGAAATGCTAGTTTGAGTGAAATAAAAGAAGAAAAGAATCTCTTTTTGAGACAGCAAACGGCCCCAATACATCTTCAGCAGTCGTTATACATACCTTCTCATCATCTGAATCTGAGCCATGGTCTACAGCCCCAGTCGTGATGGGAATTGGAATATTCGTTACTAACTCACCCGGAGTACCCATCATCATAACTGTAGCATTCGGCTTCAAGCCGACGTTTTTCATAACTTGGTCATCTTTCAGTTGGCCACCTTTCACGATAATCTTTTGCCGTTCAGCAGGTACCTGAGTAAGAATTGACAACTTATTTTTTAAGGAAATACCAGAATCTTCGGGATCATATTCGACATTGTATGCTTTTCCCTGCCAACGAATTGTTACAGGAACCATCCTTAGAAAATACAGAATTCAGAAAATGAAGTAAGCAGTCAATCGACGCGTTTCTATAAAAAAGATCTAAAAACAATGGAGTCGTTGATATAGGGAGAGTCAACAAGTGTCATTCTTAGACATAAGCCCGGCTGTGCCGCGGAGGTAACCGCGGTGTAGTCTACCTAGGAGTAAGAGTGAGTCTACGCAACTGAGACCATATACGAATTACAACTTAAACCACACAAAAAGAAACAACAGATTTAAGAAAATATGGTATTTATACGAAATAATGTCAGGAAACTAACAAGCATTATTTAGTCTAATACCTTACGACCTTATTTGAACGCTGTACGCTCTACATTGACAGCGTCTTTAGCATTAGAAGAGTTTTCGTCGGAAATTGTAGAGCGACAAAGCCAGCCGGAGGTTGAAGTTGGAAAGTCTTTAGAGGTTCTTCTGAAGCCTCTTGTTGTTTCTCGTAATGAACAAGAGCAATGCTTGATTGAAAGTTCAGTAAATAGGTACGACTTCCACTTGTAAACATATTCCTGGGTTGGTCTGTTGATTTCTCTGTGATTCATCAATCCAGATATTCTTGTTTTTGGAATAAGTGCGTTTGACGTCGATTAGCTAATCAATTGTAGCGTGCGTTTCAGTATCCGTATTAAGCAAGTGGATGAAATAGAACGGATTTTGGTGCATAAGTTTATGCAGTTTTTGATGGGACGTGCAGAATCGTTCTTTATCTTACGTCGGAAACCCGTTCCGGTAGGTTATATGCAAGTGTTAGCTTTCTTACTTCACAGGCTAACTTTGTTGTCTCTTTTGAATTAAATAGCATACTAACTAGCTTAATTTAGGGATACGACATTTCTTTCTTAATTACAAATTACCACACTGAAGAGATGTTGAAACACAAACTCGTTGACTTTATCATTGAATTCATGGAAGAAGTGGACGCTGAGATTAGCGAAATGAAGCTTTTCCTGAACGGTAGAGCTCGTCTGGTTGCCGAATCTTACTTAAGTTGTTTTTGAGTTCCCTTACTTCTTTCCGGTAGAAAAATCATTTTTAACCTTCTCTTTTCTTCTTAACCCGTTACTTCCAATCCTCGTCTTCTATTCTCTAAACACACCTCTTTTTTATACACATATGCATTTTGATGCATACATGACGACGCTTCTTACGTTCTGAAACTTTCGTATAATGATTCTATGAACGACTTCAAAACGTCGCATTCATATAAGCCAAGTGCCTCATGCTTCATCCTAAGTTTTGATCCTTGTAACCTCCTAATACTTATTTTTTTATCTCCTTGTATGTCACAGTCATTCCATCTCTGTATATTCATATTTGCAAGTGTTTACTTAACATAATTAAACGTATCGTATTTAACCTTTAGTAAGATATTTCATCGCTACGATACACTATGTCTCTTTGTTTGGGTTTCGAGTTTTCTCACAAATTATGGTAAATAAAGGAAACTAGTGTTTTCGACTCTTTTTTTCATATTCTTTCTTTACCAAAAGTATAGTTCTAGATCTTGTACCAACTGTGGTTTTGGGACCGTCAAAGTAACGTTCCCTTTTGCAGATTTAATGCATCCAAACATCTTGTACTTTGAAACGTGATCCCATGGTACAGTCTGCTACACCTAAAGACGAAACGCCGGATGATGTTCCACAGGGGAGCTTCTTGAATTCATTCAAGAGAACTACGAACCTTGAAAAGCCTCCTACAGATACGAGAGACTCGTTTGCACGAACACCATCGCAGGGCTTTTCTAGTAGACAAGCGAACCCTTTAGAATTTACACCACTCTTGAATTCAGGGAGAAAGAACTCATCTCATCAAACATCTTATTTGGATGAAAAAAGTCCCTACCGTCAAGATTTCTCAATTCTGTCGCCCGTGTCGGAAAAAGCATCTCAGGAAGGTATTAGTATTGATCAAAAAAGTGACGCTTTTGATATTTCAAAATTGGAAGAGAGCTCTTTTATATCGAATGCTGAACGAACGAACGATGAGCTTCCTGCTAATGCAGCTCTTACTTTACGTGAACAGGAAAAGATCCTTGAGAATGTTGGCAGAGAAAACTTTGGTCTACGTGTGAAAATCGCTTACCTTAATAAACGTCTTGATTCTATGGCACCAGAACAAATCCGTGAAGCAGTGAACGACAATGTGGATCTTCATGTTGAGCGAACGAAACTGCTTTTACAGTTAAAGAAAAGTGAACAACTACTTACAAAATCACATTCGGAAAATGATGATCTTGTTAAAAAAATTCAGTTTCTTGAAAAGGTGAATAGCGTCGAACAATCCCAAAATATGAAAGTGTTTATGGAACGTATTCGATCTCTCGAAACCGAATGTTCTCAACTAAAAGCTCAGCAAGCAAAGTCTTCTCCACCACCAAATGAGAATGCAAACCAAGTCGACATGGATTATGATATGAGAAGGCTTCAAGACCGGTACGATGAAATTAACGAAGAGCTTAACGTTGCTCAGGATATGCTAAATGAGAAGGACGAAGAAATTTCTTCACTGAAGAAGCAACTAGAGGAACTTCCATCTGGTGATCGTTCACATTCACGAAGCAAGGAAGACAATTCTCATGTTCAACTACTGATGGATTTTGAAGTACTCGAGAAGAAATATGATGATCTACAGGATGAATTGGTTCATTTGAAAGACGAGCTTCAACAAAAAAATAACGAACTAGATTACACGCAGGATATTTCAGAAGTGCAAATGCTAAAAGAGAAGCTACACGAAGCTGAACTTCATATAGAGTACCTCAATAATCAAATCCACGACTTTGAAGACATGAACAATGAGTTGGAAGACCTCACTAATCATATAGAAAATATGGAAAATGAGAAAAACGATTTACTTGTGAAGATTAAGTCTCTAGAAAGCACTAACGGTGATTTAAGAGAGATGTCGGCTTCATTAGGAAATCAACTCGAGTCTTTTAGAAACAAAAATATATCTTTGGAAGAGAAGAACAAAATGCTTGAGTTGATGTCGCAATCTAATGATACGGAAAACATTCTGCGGGAACTGAATATCAGACTAGAAACGATAACTGCTGAAATGACTGATTTACGTATGAGATACGAGTTGAATTTAGCTGATTTAGATTCTTTAAAGAAAGAAAAAATGAGTTTGCAATTTGAGAATGAAAGACTTCGAGTGGATACTGAAGTCACTGTTGGTCAGTTGAACCAGGATATTGAACATGAAAAGGCAAAGTATGCCCAGCTGGTAGAAAATTCGACGAGAACTCGAAATTCGTTGGAAGAGAAAAATGGCTCTTTGGAAGTTTCTCTGCAATCAAAGGAGAAAAGCGTTTTTCTACTTGAAGAGCAAATTCGGAACTTACGTGCATCTGAGCAAGAACTATTGACAAGATTACATAGCGGGCAGGAAACTATTTCAAATCTAAGAAAAAATTTGAATAAGTTTGAGCTTGAAAAAGAAGAGCTAAGTCAAAAATTGCGTGAAAGAGTGATTTCGTCTCCTGCTAAAAGCAGTAATCTTATTGATAATATGAATGATGAATTAAGTGTTCTTCGAAGAGAAATTTCAGATATTAAAGACGAATTAGAATTGAGTGAACAAGACCGTGAGGAAGCGTTAGCAGCGCAAGCAAAATTAACATCACAGGTCGATCAATTGAGTAAAGAGAGACAAAATATGATGTCGGAATATACGAAGCTAAAAGACGAGCTTTTTCAGTTGCAAGACCGATATCGCAGAAAGGAGTTGGAAGTATCAGATTTAAATTTGAAACTTTCGGAGAAAAGAACATCCGTAACTAATGTTGAAGAAATTGAAAAACAGAGGAAGAAATTAGATATATTTGCTGAAGACATTCGACGTCTTGAAGCTGATAAGATGAATTTGGAAAAAGTGGCATACCAATTGAGTAACGCTATACAGGAGTCGGAAGTCAATGAGAATTCTTTTAAAGAAAGGTTCTGTGCTTTTCTTCTAGAAAGACCGTCATCGATAACCTTCGATAAAGTTGTGACCCAAATTGAAGACTTAATCAGAAGTCAGAAACAGAAAATTCAAGAATTGCAAGCGGAAATTGACAAACTTAGCTATGAGAGTTTGAACGGCCAATTTGCGACGAAGGTTGGATTATCTGAACCTGAAAAGCTTGGCATTTCTCCTCTTGATAAACATAAAGTTCAGGAAATGCTGGAAAGTTATCGTGAGCGGCTTCATAAAGAGGTAGAATCCAAGTATTCTCTCAAAGCTGAATTACAGAATTTGAAGAAGGACAGTAGATCATACTTCGAGAAGGCAAGACTGCTAGAGAAAGAAAAGTACTATCTGGAGTCCGAATTAATGAGAATTAAATCTTCTAGCAATTCTAATTTAATAAACGATGAAGAAAAAAGGTTACTACATCAGAAGGTGAAAGATCTAGAGAAGGAATTACGAATTGGTGCCCAACTTTGGACTGAGAAAGAGAACTTGAGATCTCCTAATGGTGATCGACATACCCTAGACTCAATGAAAGATGCCCTTTATTCCAAGACCATCAAGATGGAACAACTAAAGTCGCTATATGAGAAACTGAAGTCAGAATATAACATTTTACTGAGAAATGATAAAGCGGAATACCCACGATATAACGAGTATGATAAGATTTCTGCTGGATCGCAAAATTTACGAATAAAACCTACTTCAGAAGTTAAGGGTTTAATAAAGATGACGCAGTTTTTACAGTCAAAGTTTGAAAGGGAGCATACTCTTCGACTTGATTTAGCTTTTTCCAAGAAGTTTATATTACTTCAGCTAACTGGGTATGAAACTTGTAACAAACTCAATCTACGTTTGTTGCAAAAGATTGGCATTACGCCAGACAATGCGGTGAGAAAGAAGAGAATTTCCTTTAAGAGTGTTACTATATTAATATGTTCTGTACAACGAATGAAGCGAATGAGGCATGATTGGCAGAAGCAATTGGAAGTAAGACAATCTTTACAAAGAGCAGCTGAAAAAGCGCGTTTGGAGGCTAAGAAAATTAATGTCTAATCTATATGTTGAGTCGCATGAATGTAATATCAATTTATGAAATTTAAATATGGATAATAATTTATTAAAATTCATTAATCTTCGTAAACATTAGAGCTTATTGTTAGTCACTTTGATTATGACAAGAAAATTCAGATTCATTATTAAATGTGAAATGCTAACAGCCTGAAATAAGAGTATTAGAAGTAGGTATCAAAGAATCGGGGCAAAGGGAGCGAAAATACATATTTAAAAGAACTGCTGTGATACCCCAGATTCGAGGAACATCCTTGATGTTGAACTCAATGTATTCAAGATCAGTGTTTCGAAATTTGGTAACCTTTTGGTAATTTGGATTTAGAAAAGAGGTCAAAGGAATGCAATAAACTTTATCCACTTCACCAAAACCAAGACTTGGAAGATTGTTTTGGATCGTGAATGCCACATAGGAATGAATTTCGGTGCGAAGATCTTTTGTAAATAAAGAAGGGATTCTATTCACAAAGGTAAAGAAATCCGGAAGTAGATCGACTTCTTCATAGGTCTCTCGCAAAGCTGCATAATAATGTGATCCATCAGAGGGTTCCACGCGGCCACCTGGAAAACACATTTGACCTGCATGAGATCGTAAATACGAAGATCTCTGTGTTAACACTAGACAAGCACGATGCTCACAGTTAATTAAAGGCTAAAAGGTAAAAGCGATTAGCATATAAACCCTTATAAATGTGAAAAATGGTGCTTACGATCAACACAGAAGCAAACTTTGCAGGATTGTAAGAGGGCGAATAACGAAGATGAGTCGGTCGTCGTCGAAGTAATTCGGCCTGTGCCTCCAATGATTCAGCGTTTAAAATCCCACGCTCGCTCACTACTTTTTCTCTTGCAAGTTTCTGTAGAGCTAGTTGTTCAAAAACTTTTTCACTATAACTGTCATTCTCTGCTAGTGTCGTATACTTATGAGCTCGCTCACTTGCAGGGAATATTCTGCCTATCCTGTTATTTTCTTTTGAAAAAGTATTCCCTTGCTGATTCCACGAATAGTTTGCTAAAAAGTTTGGCACGGTCCGCAACCGACGGGGTAGTAGATGAAGATCTTTTATATGTTTGTTTGGGAATTTCATAAGTAACTCTAGACTTTTTCAAGTCTAACCGTGAAATTCCTTGACTAACAAATCGTTGAAATGTTTGACTTCTAGCAATCTTAAAGTTTCCATTAGCATTCAATTATATGTTTGCTTTTGTATTCATCTTTTCTTACCTTTGAAGCTAAAGATGTGGTTATAAGTTCAACTATAATTTTTCTGATCATAAGGAGTTTTTAGTTATCTGAAGCATTACATCTTTGCATAACCTTCGTAAGACAAAATGGTATGCAAATTCCAACTGCGAAAAAATATCATCAAACAAAAATAAATAAATAAAAGAAATTATTATTCATTGTCTTCATACATTATAAATAATTTATGCTACAATAGAAGTAACCTGGCAAGAGAATGGATGATATTGTTTGGTTACTCTTGGTTTCTGTAGTCCTGACATAAGTTTTGGATGATCTGTTTGAGGGAACAAACTTACAAAATATCGGGCATTAAAACAGCCTTGCACATTCAATAGTAACATCATATCATTCACCTAATTTAAGCACTAATGTACAGTGGGTAGAATACGGCTACCCAAAACAAGTTAAGTTTCTAATGAGAACTCGCACAATTGCCAAGAATAGCAAAAGTCTATACCAGACGGGGTTGTTTCATCTTCACATTTACAATAAAAGTCATACTCTTAGAGCCATCCATATCTTGCCAAACGTGACATACGACGTAAAAACTTTCTGGTAGTTCAAACAACAGCTCTTTTCACTCCCAAAATCATATTATAATCTCCTCAAACTTCCATGCTCGCTTTATGTTTGGTCGGTGACAGCGTAGGATAAAAATCATGGGATTTTCGATAACTGTATTCACACTCCAATACATGTAGATATTCTTTGTATTTTATGCTCTTTTCATATAAAAATTTCATTTTTTTGTTCCAATTCGATAGTGCTTTTGTGTAATTCTTTGATCCCGACCCATAACAGCTAAGCATTTTGTCAAGTACATTTTGAAATTCCAAACAGGTTCTCAGTAGAACAGGCACATTACGACGGAAATTGTTCACTTTTTCCCGTAGTGGACGTGGAATATCTCGTATTCCTTGCATATCTGAAGGCTCCCAGTTTTGGATTTCCACTAAATCTCCAACGTAAGTAAGTCTACCATCAGCAGAGGTGTAATGGGGTTTTTCCTCTGCCCGTTGTAAAACCGGACCCCAGCCATATTCGGTATTCGTAATATTCTCAGGAAGAGGATGGCAGGATGCCATCGCAGCATTAAAATTAATCGCATGTATCCACTCATTTAATACGAGAATGTTGTCTACTTGAAAAAGTATACTGCAGTCACCAGGAATCTTGAGCATCATACAGTTATCTTTTCTTGAAGTGCATGACGATGGCACGTCAACACTTGCAATCGTATTTTGTAAATCGATCTCTTTATGAATTGTTCCATGTTTCATCCAAACCTCAGCATCAGAAAGGTCTCCGGAAGTAAACATATTTAATTTGTATATATACAGCTTCCCTTGCGAAACTTTAGCAAATCGTTTATACCAAGGTCCAACTGTCCATTTTCCATTCTTGTCAGGGATTACTTTTTTATATGAAATTAAACCTTGACGCAACCAAGGTAATTTTTCATGTGTTTTTTCTTCCTTCATATGATATTCATAATTGAAAATCTGAAAGTGTGGTCTTCCGTCGATCACCTCTGGCTCTGGAAGATCTATCGTTTTTGTTGCGAAAAGGCCGGCATTGGCTTCTGTTAATACGTAAGATGAGTTTTCTTTAAAGGCGTCATTTTCACTGGCAATATCTTGATTCATTATTTTTTTCTGTGGCTCGGCTCTTCGCAACAATTCTGACATTAAATTCACTTTCTCCCTTTGCGGACTAACTTGGCCTTTCACTTGGTTGCATAACTGTATATAAACTGCCTTTGGTACTTGAAATGGATTGACAACAAACAAATCGTAAAATTCACTAAGCATACACTCAAGAGCAAACCCAACCTCTTGTGGCATAGTATTCCAAGATGCGCATAGAACTTTAGCAAGCATTGTTTTCGATTTTCCATATTTTCTCCACTTCCGTCTTTGCTCAATAGGAACAGCACAAATAGCTTCGGGATGGATTAAGGGCAAAATGGTTTGGAACGTTGTTTTAATAAATGTTTCCGCTGATGTATAATTGTACATACGACGTCTAGTATTTGTTTCTTTATGCAATCGGACAAGGGATTTCAGAAGCTCCAAGACGATTTCTTCGGTTAAAAATCCAAATGTTGAATTTTGGTTTAACCATTTGTTAGCGAAAATGCGTATTAATCGTGAGTTCATGAAATCTTCAGAACCATAATAGAGATCGCAACAAATTGTTTGAAAAGCTTCGTAAAGGCTTAGATTTTTCAAATCATAATATGACATAAAATTTGAGAACACTTCACTTTTATTAGAAAAGTAATTAACAAACCAATCGGTGAAATTATAGGAAAGCAATTGATTCTGTTCAAGATCCCATAAACAATGGGCTAGTTTTGCAGGATCAGAAAATCGCGAGTCGCTGCAGACTTGTAATAAAGGAAGGTAGGATGCATTTGGGATATGCAAAACTCGAAGCGCGCAGTGTGGAATTAAGAACCTTATGTTCTCGTAATCATTCGGTTCTTCCTTTTCTTTTATACTTGATGTAGGGGTTTCATCATCATCGAACTTCAAATCAATATTGTTCAACGTCTCAATATCATAAACATCATCACCTTCGTCGGTACAATCTTCCATAAACTCTTCCAAAAATGTTTCCTGTATATCCATTGTCTTCAAATCTGGATTAGCAAATAGCTTATTTCCTATTTTCTGTGGTTTAGCTCGAATACTCCGTAAATTCCCCATTTTCTTTATTTCCTCAGCAATTCCGTTCCAATCTTCATTATCGCAACCGATGTTCTTCTTCAGTTGGCATAAATAGCTTCTTTCATCATAGCTAAAATTTTCATGATCTTCTTTTAAATAATTAACAAAAGACTTCAATCCATCCGGGGTATCCGGCGTTGAGAAAATCTTGTCACGTCGCATAAGTTCCTCACATAAATCTATTTCGGAAATAGAAGCATAGAAAGTTACAAGAGATGATTGAATGTTGAGTATTTTCTCCAGTGGAGCTTTAAGATACCTAGCAAACACTAGGGCAAATTGGTGCTCAGCATGTCTCAAATCGTAGACACGGAGCAAATGCTTAGCGGTCCTGCAAAAGTAGAGTCTATCAGAAAGACGCTCTATCAAATATGATTCCGGCTCATTGTTTTGTTGATCAGTGGTAAGCAAACGTTTAGGTTGCAGAGTGTCAGCTCGAATAGTCTGTTGGGAAACATCGCTTTTTTTATCATGATCTATCTTCTCATTGATAATGTCGCTTGGAATGTTTTCCTTCTGTAAATCTTTCAATGTTTGATTTTGGATTGTAACCTTGTCAGGGGTTACTGGTGGAGTCAATTTTGATACCGCTTCCTTTTCATTTTCCTTAGACGCTAATCCTTCTGTCTCTACAACTTTCTTAGAAAATTGAGGTGTATTAGCAAACTGCTCAGCTAATGAGCGAACGTGTCCTTTCCATGGTGCATCTTTTAAATCATTATCATTTGGTATTTCTTGTACGTTGGCACCTTTTGTATCATTTTTCATAAAATTCGATGTTTTTTCTCTGATGGCTTGCAAAAACCTGTGAGACGCTGATTGTTCTTGGAAAATGTCGGTTTCGGTGGACTTCGCGGGTTCATTGGAGTGATTAATAGAAGCAAATTTTGTAAATACGTCTTTAATTTGATTCACTTTCTCGGTAACAATGTTGGACACTTGATCTGGTCGACTATTAACTGCATTGAGATCATTATGATTCTCCTCAGAAGTAGCATCTCTTCTCTGTTCATTGCGGCGCCTAGCAAGTTCTATTCTTGCACGAACATTAGCTCCTGAAACTTGCTTTTGTATTCTTCGTCGAGCAGATAAACTTAAGGTTCCGGATGGATAAATTTCATTTGGAAAGTTTGACACAACTAAGCGAGGCTCCGGTGTAACATTCCGTTTCTTTGAAGGCTGAATTTCATCAATACCATCCAATCCTCTTTTCGTTGAAGTAGCGCTACTGCTTACACTCCGCAAGTGTACCTCTTCGTTGTCGTTTTGTGACAGGCGAGAAGAACTGCGTGTAGGAGCACTTATAATCCTATTTGCTGATGAATTATTTTTCGGGGATTTCTTCCTGAACGTTAATGAAGCTTTAGGGCTTCTTCTTCCATCGTACAAAGACTTAAACTTGGTCGTGGATTTCTTGGGGAGCAAGTCACCATTCAGTACTTGTGCAGTGGATTTGTAGGCTTTCTGGTTTGAAGGTTCTTGGCGAGAGGTTCGGCGCAAATTAATGAAATCTATAATTCTATTTGATTTAGGAAAACGTCTAACGTCGAATCTTTCATGATCATTTATTTCGCGTTCAGTGATTTCAACATCGACTTCGTCCAATTTTGAGGATATCGTGGGCTTGTCAACAGGAATCTTGGTAACTTTGTCTTGGCTCAGTCGATAATTGTTAAAAGCGGTTCCCGAATGCAAACGTTTTCCTTTATTTTGGTAAGGGGAATCTTGAGATGTTGGATCGAATTTTGGTCGACCGTCCTTGCAGGATTCAAACCCAGCTAATTTTTCGATAAAACTGAGATGAGTTGGTGAGGTTTCTTCTTCAACCATGGTATAAATATTAAGTAATCCTGTTATGTTTTATAAAATAAAAGTTTAGTATAAATCCGCTTGAATGAATCAATTGATGGCCGACTTAAGATGCTGCAAGGCCTTGTAACAGTTTCGATCGGAGGAGATAACTAATAAAATATTCTAATACTTCACAAACAGACGTTTTGGTTCGTCAGTTAAAGAATACCTCCTTCAAATCCTCTTTATACAACGCAAATTCCAATTTGCAGGAGTATTGGCCGGTCCTAATTGGGAATGGTAAAAAATAAGTGAATATAGGAGGGCAATTATATGTATACATCAACAAACAATGGCTTGCTCTGCAGGTTTGCTTGATATAAACAAACAGCATGCGTCTTGATAAATGTAAACAAACAATGGCTATAAAAACGAGCAAACGAAAACTGCAAGCACAAAAACAAATAATTGATCCAATTAGGTTTTATCAATAAGTTTTTTATGCCAACCCAAGCAATTAATCGCTACATCGTTTTTTCCCAAGTTTACAAAACTAAGCATTTTGACCTCTTCCACGCACAATGTGACTAATTTTGTTAAAAAAAAATCAGTTTTCCTTCAGAATACAAATAGGAGAACATTAAAACCTCCGTTCTTTTCACATGGATAATGGATGAGTAGTCTTGTTGGCGATGCTCAGTAACATATATACCATTCCTAAGATTTGGTTAAATAATTACAACAATTAATATATTTTTTATAGCATATTGTTGGCAAGAGTAAATTTACATATGATTCGAAAGTATTGCATTCGTAAAAATACAATCGTAAGTGGACATATATAGTAAGGCAAAGCAAGAACCAAGAGGAATTATAGTACAATAGATTACCTTGGTGAAATGGACCCTAAATTTAAAAATGACATAAAAAAGAGGTTTTCTAAAGATCGAAAACTATTACAAAATGTTATAACGGAATGCGGTATGAATGAGAACGTCCTCAAGCAGTAGAAAAAAGCTAATTTGAAGAGCAAAATCCTGGTTTATGTTCATTAATTGATAGAATATGCACTTATTATGAAGCGCCAGAAGTCTATGGAAAAAATGTTGAACCTGCAACAACGGGCATGAAAAGGAAAAATCGACTTGAGAATGATACCGGAAACCTGGTTTATGCAGTATTGGGACTCTCGTTTCAATTACCCATGAGGAAACGTTTTGATACATATATATATGAACATGGTATCAGCATTACTTTACCCGGAGAAGAAAACTCAGTGGAAATTTGGCTACCTTGGACAGATATCTACTTCGTTTGTCATACACCTGGTCCTCGAAAAGCTAATGTTCAGAATAACATAATTATTTTTAGAAAGAGCGAATCAAAAAGCAACTCTGTTCTAGAGGACGCAACTACTGAAGGGAATGAACCCATCCTCTTTACTGCACCGTATTCTTTGGAAAAGCTGAAACTAGTAGAAGGCCAACGTTCTTTCGTTCATTGTACGAATTCTTGGGACATCTTTAGAGACTTTTTTGAGTATGTGGGGATAAGTACTATTGCTCCATCTAAAGAAGAATTTGTGTGTCCTGTAGCTCAAACCGGCGACAACGGGGTATCGTATGGCGTAGAAGCAAATTATAAGAACAAAGATGGTATTTCTTTTTTGCTAAGGACCTGAATTACTAACCCCTTTTTTTCTTAGGCTACCTATATTTTCTAAAGAAAGGTGTCCTTTGGGGGTTTCGTAAACCCGTGCTATTTATTGAAACTTCAGATATTCAGAATTTTTACTATAGTAATGTTTTACAAAGAACTTTTTCTATAAATTTTGAAGTGAGGGATACGACAATATCTTTTGATATGATTGATCAAAGCGTTTTCCAAGCCCTAAATGAATATGCAACGACGCATGGATTGATGGACACCAGTTTAGCAGAAGAAAAAGCTGCTCCTCCAACGAAGAATCCCACTAGTACGTACTTGCAAGAGGCTGAAGAAGATGAAGACAATGGGTCAGATGATAATTATTCAGATGCAGAACAAGTAAAAGATGAAGGAAAAGATGAAGACCAAGAACAGGAACAAGAATCTGATGATGACAGTGAAACTCTTGACTCCGATGAATAACTACCCTAGAATATATACATTAATTTTGCTTTCTTTCATACTTTAGTTTCAATGACTTGTCAATTGCAAACATTATATTTTTTCAATAGCAAAAGATTTATACTTAGAAGTCTAGGCTGAAAAGAAACTAATGAAATGGAAGCATTTGTTTATTCTCAGTCAGATCCCTTTCGCTACAGAATCTGTATCGTCTGTCGCGACTAATTCAACAAGATCTATTAATTGTAATAACGTTTCGATTTAATCATGTTCAAGTCATTAATGTTTCTTTTATTAAATGCGTATTTTTTGATATCAGAAGATGAACTCCATTGTTTATTTACTTACGTACTTTAACGTCATCGTTAATCGGGTACTGTAATACAGTGAATGTCTAATGCTATTGAGTAGGAAAATAAAGTAAGAGTGAAAACCCAAGGCAAAAAACTAAAACCAGAACCACAAAGCAGGATGCCGAAAGCAAGAAAACAGCGTGGAAAAAAGCATTCATCCAAGAAGGATGTTGAAACAGAAGAGGTGCAGACTGAGATTGGCGACCAAGTTCCTCCTACAACCGTTGAAGAAGGACAAGAAGAAAGTGGATTTCAAGTCAATCCTTACACGAATGAGCCAGTGCAACCGTTTCTCGGTGCATTAGATCCTGAAGAAGAAAAATACTTTCAAGAAGCCGAGAAGGCTTTCGTGAATCATTTTACACGCAGCAATGAAGAGACGCGATTTTTTATCGACAGCGTTTATCGGGAAATTAAAGGAAAAGAATTAATCGTTTTAAATAATGTATTTGGCTCTAAGGTGATGGAGCATATGTTTCCTTTGGCAACGACTAGCCAGATTAAGTCTATCTTTTCGTCTATGAATGGACATTATCTAGAAGTTGTTCAAACAACATTTGGTTCTTATGCCTTTGAAAAGCTTTTGAGTCATATGGCTTATATTGTCGATTTGGAAACAAGAGGGGCGTTGGACAATGAAGAAGAAATGTTGGAAGGAGAAGATCAAGTATTCAGCACGGCAGAGTCACTAGTGATGTACATGTGCAATGAAATACGACCAGATTTCTCTTTGCTTATCAACCATAAGCTTGCCGTGCACGTTCTCCATAAAATTCTAATGTTATTAGATGGATATCGGTTTGTGTACGCCGAGGGTCGTCGCGAATCCATGGTACAAATACGCGTTCCTGAAACTTTTCCCCAGTTTGCCTACTCCATTATTGATAGTGCGGCGGAGAATTTAACTGCTTTAGAATTGCGGAATTACTGTGTTGATCGCTATGCGTCTAAGATCATGCAAGCATTCGTACGTATCGACTTTGAGCGAGCACAAGGTGGGAAAAAGAAAAAGGTTGCTCCTTTAGTCGATAAATTACTACTTTCTTCGGATAATAATCTGAAGGAATTACCATTCTTGGATACCTTATTGAAAGATGAAGCTGCTTCTCGGATTTTGGAGATCATTATAGAGAAGATGCCGAATGCACAACTTCCAAGATTCAGAGAAGCTTGGGAAGGCCGCTTTTATCGACTTTGCACGCACCCAATTGCCAACTTCGTCATGCAACGTTATATCAATCGACTTCCCGTGGAAGAACTTGGACACGTAGTACAGGAATTGAAGCAAGGTTCTGATAATGTAGTACGCAAATCATTCTTGGCAGTCTTGAAGACTCTCCTACAAAGATGTAACGCTCTTCAAGCTTACCAACATGATTTAGCTTCTTTGATATTTGCGTCCGCCGAGGAAAATGAAAAGAAGAAAAACATAATTCCTATCCTTTTGCGCTCAAAGCATAAAAGAGACATGTCTGATCCTGAAAATAAGAGAAAGCTGGTTAATAATATGCTAGGCGCACAGTTGTTAGAAGAATTCCTGAACGGTCCCAAAGAATATGTTGAAGTAATTTTAAATAATCTGTTGGAGCTCAGCCATGACCAATTAATGGAATACTGTCAAGAGAGTGTTTCATCTCGTTTGATTGAAAGTATCTCAGATTGGCCAGCCTTAGATCTCATTTTCAAGAAGAAGTTTTTGAATATGTTTTCAGATACGATTGTAGAATTGTCTATTTCGGCGTCGGGCTCTCATATTGTTGACAAGCTTTGGAAGCTATCACGCGGATTACCTCTTTACAGGACGCGTATTGTTCAGGAGCTTGTCCAAGGTGGTGACAAAGTTAAATTCGACTTTTACGGGAAAAAGGTATGGTCGAACTGGAAAGCGGAACTATTCCGCCGTGCTCCAGATGAGTGGTATCGGTTTATGAAGCAGGATGAGCCTGTGAAGCGAGTTCATGAAAAAGCTCGCAATACGCCAGGATCGTCAGCAAACTCACAACCACTACGTAAAAGACCAAACATGGAAGAAGGCACAAATGAAACAGATAAGCGCATTCGGGCTTAGTGTTTTTGTTTGCAGCATTACGAAAAAAAAAGAACAACTTTATTTATACTCAATTTGGGGACTAGGTTTCATTTTTTTGGCTTTTATATTGTTTACATTTTAGAGAGATTACTAATAAAGCTATCATTTTGATTATTAAACAGTTATGTAGATTTATCAAATTTTGAAAAGTTCACCATTTCATTTATTGCTTGCTTCCTTTAGCGCCATTCTCATCTAGCGCAGCAGCTCCTTCCTTCATCTTGAGTTGTAATGAGAAGCATCGTTCGTTACCTGTTAACTTGTTACTTGAATGAGTGGCTTGCTAGAACACATTGTAGCTTGTTAAATATTTAAGGTGGCTGGGAGAAGCTTAAGCTGTTGAAGTATATAGTGAGCGAACATCTTCACTTCGCACCATGGATTTGAACAATTTAACGTGTTCGGTATTTGGAGAAGATTGAGTTTTTTTCATGGATGGGATTAAACGTTCATATTCTTCATTTTGAACCATTGCGACGGCAAACGGGGCCAGAATAAATTAAGACAGCATGGAAATTGATGATATTTTTTCCCAAAAGAAAACTCAACCCAAGGGAAATGGTTCTGGCGAAAAAGAACAGAACAAACAAGAGCCCAAACATCCTGAGAACTCTCGTCCTTCAAAGCCCAAAAAAGGCGGTAGTAAAGGAGACGATTTGTTTTTAGATCCCAAGGGAAGTTCTGGAAGTAAGTAATTTGATCTAGCAAGCCGTTAGACCATGGAAGGAACAGGAAGCGAAAAAGAAAAGTTTGTCATGTCCATCAAGCGGAATAAATGGCTCGAAACTCTTTACCAGATGTTTTATTAATCTATTTGGGCCGAAAAAAACTTGACATTCTTCATTCTTTATTGAACGAATATCCCTCTTTCCATGATTGACGCTTGTGTTTACATTTGTTTAACGTGAATCACTATTCGTCGCTAGTATACTTTACCAATGTTTACTATTGATGTGGTATTCCTTTTTGGGCGATTGAAGTCGCTATGAAATATCGATTTGCGAGAAATCTTCTCGTTGTTATTCTATCTTTTGTTTACTAACAACATTCTAGGAAAACGAACTGAAGAAGGCTTTTTGGTGTACGATTTAGATGAACTACAAATGGGCAGAGGAGGAGACACACCGCAATGTCCTTTTGATTGTGATTGCTGTAAGGAAAAAACTTTATGCTTGGGTTACTACCTTTGATAGGTTCTATATCTTATGTGATACTAACTGTTTGCAGGCTATTAAAAGAAAAAGGAAAAAAAACGTAAGCACGCGCTTGGGTCATTTATTTTGTTTACGATGCCGTTGAAAGGAATCTGACGGTGATCATGGGATAAAATTCTTCATAGTCTAACTTCATTGCTGCAATAAATTTTGTAAACGTATTATTGTTTATTTACAAGGCGTTGCCATCTACTTTACGTGGATACGAAAGATTATCATAAACAGTAAATAAACAGTGACGGGCTTCTAGCACTAGATTGTTTATGTTTTTCCAGTTGTCTTGGCAACGAAATGCATCCAAAAAATCATATAAACAAATGCTAGACGCGCCTTTTTAAGCAAATTAGTAGAAAAGAAAAGAGCATTCAAAGCATATTAAAACTCAGGTTTTTACGGTTTCAACACCTGACCGCACATAATCCTTCCTCTTTTTTAGAGGGCACTTTATCCTTAACATTCCTTATAATAATATAGCATATAAAACGTTCTAATTCGTTGATAAACAAAAATGACTTCCAAAGGAGCATCTGTTGCAAAGAGTTCTGGCGATGTCTTTTCCTTAGGTGGTCTACCCAATTATCAGCATCATGGAGGTTGCTTTGATTACCAAGAGTACCTTCCAGAAATGGCGGCCACTTACTCGTGCCCTCTTTCCACTGTAATGGAACAGCCCGATTATTTTCATCAAAAGCATGACCACCCTTTACCTACGAATTCTTTATCTTCTTTCCCTACCGAACTCACTGATCATACTGACTATGAACATTACATGAACGTTCCGTTTGCCTCTTCTCTCGATTCCTCTTCGTCTTATGGAAACGTTCAAGCGGGCGGGATTTCTGACTCTCACTCTTACAGTTCCTCCTATGGTCCTTCTCTCTCTCCCCCTTCGTCGCCCTTTGAGATAGGAATTCACACATCGTTGGATCCTCCTTCTACAATTCTTGAAGAGAATGGCAACGATCTAGAATACCAAGAGAATCTGGCATCCGTCTGGAAAAATGAGTTGGTAGACGAGGGTACAAACGCTTCTTTTCCAGAAGTTCCCGTTAAAGAAGAAAGTGAACCTTTGGCCTTTTACGATAATGAAGACTATTGTCCTTCAGGTCAGCTATATCAAGAGCCAGACTTCTACAACTCTACCGGGTTTCCCAATCAAGACGCAATTGAGCCAATCCAAGATGCCATATCGAGTGACTTTGTCACAGTGCCCTCTTCTCCTCCTCATTTTGAAGAATCCTGTCCTTCTATCCGCCCTACTAATTTAACATTGCAAGTCACTGGTTACGAACCATCTCTCACAGACATATCTACACCAGATACCCCCGCTAATATCTCTCCTGTCTCTCCCTTTGCGACATTAACTAAGGTCGAGCCGGTCTCACCTATGAAACCTTCTTTTGCATTTGAAACCCTACCCCAACTACGACCAAATAACAGGTTCCTTAAGTCTCAGGTACCCCTCGCTGGCGAGGTCTTGCATTCTGAAAATCAAACTTTGTCTCCTATAAGTACTCTGCATTTGGATAATCAGCAAGGTGGGTTCTCAGACATCTTTCATGATGAACAATCTTCAATCCCCTTTTCCAAGGTTAATAAACCCTTAGCCATTTATGAACGTCAAGGGCAATGGAAACATGAACCCAATTGTTTTGTCCCTTCTGAAAAGAATCACGAAAAATCTTTTCATGCCGTCCAACGACAGTCCCCAAATGCTTCTGAAGTATCGTATTCCGTGAAGAAGGAGCCTTTGGATTCTCAAGGTATAGAATATGCACCACCACTGTTGGCACCCAAACCTCACCCGAAAATCACCGAAAACAATGGCTGCAAAACCTCTCGAAAGCAATCCTCGAGAATCTGTCGTATTCCTCCAGAAACCATGGCCAGCTTATACCGTGGACCTGAAGAAGACGGCAAGTTTGTTTGTTTGTTCAATAGTTGCTGCAAACGAATTCGCCGAAAGTATAATATTGAATCTCATATTCAAACCCATCTTAGTGATCGTCCTTATCGTTGTGAAATCTGCAAAGCGGGCTTTGTCAGGCATCACGATTTGAAGCGACATCTTCGTATCCATGAAAATGGACGACCATATATTTGTGAATGCAGCAAGCGATTTAACCGTCTGGACGCTCTGAATCGCCATAAACAAAGAAATATTTGCATTGGAGGATTAAACCGCAGATGAAACTTGAAGGACCTTTAATATTTGTATAATGTGTGTGCTTTTTTCTTTTTTTTATGATGATGATTAATGTTTTGGAATTTGGTTTTTGTTTTTGTAATCTTAATAATTATTATTTGATTTTTTCTCTAACCTTTACTCTGGTCTATGGAAGTATTGTAATGTTTATGTTGTTCGCAAAGTAACCGATCAAGAATATACCTTATAGACTATGAATAATTTTTTATCGGAGGTCAGCAAATGTATTCTGCGATGTTCCATTCCACAGAACAACACTGAACAAAATTTCTTTTACTTTCTTTAGTTAGGAGTTCATACTGAAAACGATAAACGTCTTTTTGCAACACGTCAGAATAGTAAACATAAACTATGTAGTAGAAAATGAAAACGTCTAAAATTCAATTAAACGTAGCATTACAAGATAGAATTCGGAAACTAGCAGGTAAAAAATACATTTTTCATACTTATCATTTTTGTTGTATTTATGTTTGTTTACCGTTTACTGATCGCCGACATCCTCGTTATACCTTGTATTGGAACCCAAGGCTTTTTCCAATATACACACAACCCTACCCTATATAGAAGCAGTCACACAAATATACTTCTCCAAACGCAACATTTTGATTCTTCCATCCGCAAGGAAGAGGCAATACTTTGCTGACTATGCAGATCTTCGTTAAAACCCTCACGGGTAAGACTATTACCCTAGAGGTAGAGTCCTCCGACACTATTGACAATGTCAAGAGTAAAATCCAAGACAAGGAGGGCATCCCCCCTGACCAACAGCGTTTGATTTTCGCTGGTAAGCAATTGGAGGATGGCCGTACTTTGTCTGACTACAACATTCAAAAGGAATCCACCCTTCACTTGGTCCTCCGTCTTCGTGGTGGTGGTAAGAAGCGTAAAAAGAAAACTTACACTACCCCCAAGAAGATCAAGCACAAGCACAAGAAGGTTGAGCTTGCTGTCCTCAAGTACTACAAGGTTGAGGATGATGGCAGCGTCAAGCGTCTTCGTCGTGAATGCCCTACTTGCGGTGCCTCTGTCTTCATGGCTAACCACGGTGATCGTCTCTACTGCGGTAGATGCCACTTGACCCTTAAGTTGGAAGCTTAAGTGTTACAATAAAATCGGAATTTTCCAAACATCTACAATATAAATACGTAAAATATCGTGATGGAAATAGTAAATAACTGATTGTAGTTTTCCAATTGAGTAGCTTTGGTTCTGTTACCTGTCAGAAGTAACGAATACAAGGTGACATACAACCAAGTAGAGAGACTTTTTTTAATTTTTCGTCTCCCGTGTAGTAACAGCAAAAGGTAGGGAGCTGATTAATTATCATTAAAATAAAGCCTTTCCTAATAGGTTATTACTTCGTTTGTTTGTGTTGATAACAATTAGTGTCATAGTATTGTTGTAACATTTCAACCAAGTTCAACAATTTCTTAGGTTGAGTCTATCGAGGTAGGCCGATACTTTACAGATACTTTCTGTTTACACATTCCTTTCATTGACTTACGCATTTGCTAATGGGTCGTAGTAACGCAACTCGTGGAGGTACCCGTGGCGGTCAAGGTGAATTCCAATGGGATCAGGTTAAGGGTGATAAACAAAAGGGAAACTATTTAGGTCAGTCTATTTATGCGGCCAGTGGTCGGTGGGCACAAGGACGTGACTTAGAGTGGTGGTCGAAAGGTAGAACTACCCAAGCAGAATCAGGTTCCAATAATGAAGATGCTTATAGAAAAGAGATACTAGAAATCAAACACAAAGAGCAGACCATGATAGCTGAAGCTCTTGGTCTTCCTCCTCCGCCTCCCCTTGGATCTGAAAATAGTTCTCAAAAACCGGAAACAACGACGAAAGATCAACACAAACAGCGTTCGGATTCTCACCACCGAAGAATCTCTCATAGGAAAGAACATTCGCATAGAAGGAGTAGATCTCGTTCTCCATCCCCTGGTGCACGATCTCATCGGAGAGAAAGACCAAGAGAGGATGATTACTATTCTGGTCGGTATAAAAGCCGTAGACAGGAGCGCTATTCTTCAATACCAGACCACCTTGATGAAGAAATAAGCTATAATGATAATCGAAATTTTCATCATCGACGACGACAGCATAGTGATGAAGTCCCTCAACGGGATTATAAAAAGGCTTACTTTGATCGTTCACCTCCGCGTGTCAGACAAAGGGAACACTAAAATACGAAGTACTTAAAGCTAATTATATTTTTGAATTTGCAAAGTTAATGCATTACTTGTACGATCATTCGTTCTTGAAATATTTTTATTAAAAAACATAAACAGGCATCATAATTCTATCTCCTTAATACTTTTCCGACATAATATTCACAATAACTGTTGTCCAACCAGTAAAATCTTTAGTTCTCTGGCCAACTCCAGTAACGGAGTCGTACTGCTCCCAGAAGATGCCGGTACGTTTCCAGTTGTTGAATACAGTGTTCACAACGTTAAGACGAAGTTCTTCATATATAGACTTAGCCAATCCTTGACTGGGTCCAGGGACATGGATATAATTTTGATAAAGACTGCTCAGAACCAAATAATTCATATTCATCCAGACAGGGCCACGCCAGTAGTTTTCGTCCGTTCCAAAGTAAGGATCATTCAAACTTAAGCTTCGAATACCGTAAGGAGACCACAACTCACTTTCATCTCTAATCATGTTTAAGGTGATTGTCAATTTTTCAGAATCGGCGGGCAAAAGGCCTAGCATCAATGGTAACAACGAAACGTAACCTTTGTGACAAATATAGCTGGGATCATCATACTGATCGACACTAGCATCACAATAAGTCTGAGCTTCGTCATCCCAGTGAAGATCATCCAAATTTCGCAGCATAGCATATTCATTTTTCGCCAATTTTTCAGCTTCTTCGCTTTCACCTAGGAATTCAGCAACAAAACGCAAACTCTTTGTAAAAGAAGTCATCCAGCTTAACAAATCAACGTGTAGTTCAGCAACGCTGGGAGGCTGGGCTCTAGGATAGTCATCTAAACCACTGGCAAGACAATGTTGATATGTACGACCACGCCAGCGGTAGCCTTCATCGGAAAACGATTCACGTTCCCATGTGTCAAAATCACCATGCTGAGTCTTTCTAAACCATTCATAATGGCGCAACATTAAAGGAAATAGTTCCCGGAGAAATTGAATAGACATTTCAGGATTTGAGACCGAAACAGATCGAAGATAATCTAAATCTTCTAAAGAATAATCAGAACCAACATCATTAAAAGACTTCTTATTGCCCTGCTCTTTCAATTTTTCTATATAAGCCTTCAACGCCAAAATGAGAGTAGGGGGATTAGCAATGTCGGGATATTGGGTTTGAAATTCATCGGGAACCTTGCTTCGAGCTTCAGATCCAAGAATCTGTTCACGACCAACCCAACCTTCTTCATTAACGAGAGAAAACCAACTTTTCAAAATTTCCAAACTAAATTGTTAGTCCAAATAAACTAAGAAATTGGAACATACCTAAAGTCATTATCCCAGAGACCAATTGGCAAAAGATGGAAGCCTTCATCCCAATAAAAACCTCGTGGAAAGTGAGATCTACTAGGGATGGCGGTAAGCAAGTGGCGCTCCTTATCAAAGAAAGCAGTATTTTCAGATAATTTTTCTTTAGCACTTTCGAAACCTTGCATAAACTCATAATCTTCGTCATCAGGTTCAATAGGAGTTTTACTAACTATCGAATCACCTTCGAAGAATCCAACGTTACCGAATAAGTTAGCAAAAGCAAATTCGGCAAAACGTTGATACTCTGGATTCTCGTCGTAAGGGTATTTCAATGGAAATACCTCTTGGAATTTACTTGAGAAATCTTTATGATTTTCTTCAATTGCCTTCGTAATTAATTCCTCGGTAGCTACTTGGGTTTTGGCAGTATTAAAAATGATATCAAACACAAACTCTCCCTTGAATACCTTCTGGATAAACTGCAAACCGTTTCCACCTGGAACATTTGGTAAAAGCAACGCCTCGTATGCAGGAGGTAAATCGTCTAAGCTATTCATGTTTCCATGTTCACTCAACACTTTCATTTTTGTATCCAATAAATAAAGAAGGATTTCAGAAGTCTGCCATACTTCTTTGGAGTTTATTTGGAAACCAGCATAATAATCCTTATCCATGGCAGTACTCTCCAAGTCTTCAACTCTACTAGTAGTAGGATGCTGGCCCATGCGGTTGTAAGTGTGAATACGGAATTTGCCCAAGTCGGGAGTTTGTCCTTCCATGAATACTTTCTTGGGAGATGTTGCTTTCAATTCTAAGTTTCCTTCTCCGTTCACATAGGCATAGAAGAACAGGGCTGTAGTTAAGTCCTCCGGAGCACCGGGAAGTGGTGTACCATGAATACGCAAAGCCCAGTTTCCATGTGGTAACTTAACAAACTCGGTTACCAGCTTAATTCCCATAAGAAGGTCCTCAATAACTTGTTGACCGCCGCGGCGAACATCATAAGAAGTCCAACCGAATTTACCAATATCATCTCCATGCTCTGCACGGTGACGGAGTTCTACAAATATCTGTTAGTATTTTAGAACGACAATGTTACCGTCGACATACTTGAGAATCTAGCATAGTCATCGACATTAGCCCACATCAATCCACTCATTAAAGAATTTGGAACCTTTGGGCGTATGCCTACATATAAATTTGGACGATAAGGTCCCCATAACAAAGAATCGTTTATTGCATTTCCGATAGAGTTCACGTTTGCGTGAGAAAGGAGCGCATTCCAGAGTAAAAACACAGCTCCCAGTAGGAGCCATGAAGTTACTCTAAACACAGGATTCAATACCATCGCGAACTTTCAGCAGAAGTATCAACGACAGATTTGTGCTTTGGAGTAGAGTGCTGCTTTGGTACTATACTTATGAAGTAGTTCGACTTTATGTGTTACGGTACGTTACTAAACGGAAGCAGCGAGAATGACGATTACTAGCAAGATGAAAAACTGACTTTTTGAAGGACATGAAAAGCTATGAATGTCTTAGTCGAATATTCTACTTACAGTTAGTCATATAAGAAAGATGGCTATTGTTACATTTGAGATGAAAAGCAAATCTACTTCAACCAAATCACAATAATCAGATTAAAAAGCTCCTAATAAAATCAGAAAACAATCATCTAAGAGCTCTTAGCAAGTTCAGAATTAAGCTCAGACTTAACTGCATCCAAAAATTCAAAAGTATCAACGTACTCATTGACATCAGGACTCAAAATGCAAAGATCCTTTGTCATGATACCCTTTTGAACGCAATTGACGCAAGCACGTTCAAGGGCGTTGGAAAAGTTAATCAATGGTTCGTTGTTATCCAAACGACCACGTTGAGCAAGACCACGAGTCCAAGCAAAGATAGATGCAATACTGTTTGTGGAGGTCTTCTTGCCTTGAAGGTGTTGCATGTAATGACGCTGAACAGTGCCATGAGCAGCTTCACTTTCGAAAGTGCGACCATTAGGGTGGATCAAGACAGAGGTCATAAGACCCAAAGAGCCATAAGCTTGAGCAACGACATCGGACATAACATCACCGTCGTAGTTCTTGCAAGCCCAAACAAATCCACCATTGGATTTGATAGCTTGAGCAACCATATCATCAATCAAACGGTGTTGATACCATAAACCAAGTTTTTCAAACTCACCCTTGTAGTCAGAGTCATAGATTTCTTGGAAGGTGTCTTTGAATCTACCATCGTATTGCTTCAAAATAGTATTCTTGGTGGAAAGATACAAGGGCATCTTCTTTTGAAGGGCCATCTGGAATGAACTGTGGGCAAATCCGCGGATAGAGTCATCAGTGTTGTACATAGACATGGCGACACCAGGACCAGAAAATTCGTAGACGTTGTGGGTTTGCTTAGCAGCCTCGTTGTTTTTTGGGGTAAAAGACATTTCCAACAAACCTGGTCCAGAGGCAATCATGTCGGTGGACTTGTATTGATCACCAAAGGCATGACGACCAATGCAGATAGGCTTTGTCCATCCTGGGATGTACTTGGGAATGTTGTTAATAAGAATAGGTTCACGGAATACGGTACCATTCAAGATGTTTCGAATTGTACCATTAGGAGACTTCCACATCTTCTTCAAATTGTACTCTTGAACACGAGCTTCATCAGGAGTAATCGTAGCGCACTTCACACCAACATCGTGTTTAATAATAGCATTGGCGGCATCCACAGTGATTTTATCACTTGTCTTGTCACGAGCTTCAATACCGAGGTCATAATAATCTAATTTAATGTTCATGTAAGGAAGAACAAGCTTCTCACGGATGATCTGCCAAATAACACGAGTCATTTCATCACCATCCATTTCAACCACGGGGTTTTTCACATCAATCTTTTGAAATGGTTTAGAAGACGCAAAGCGAACGCTTCGATAAAGGCTCGCTGCCTTTCCAACCTGTTTATAAGGCATGTTTGGACGTACGGCGAACATCCTATATTCAAAAAAATTTACTATATATGTACAAAAGTAAGGCGATCAAACTCCCACAACGTACAGCGTCTTTTTATAGTTGGTAGTTTACAAGTTGAGGTTGCTCACTCATAAAGCATTGCTTCACTCGGTGGGCAAACACTAGATTGACTGCAAGATAACCTATAAGATCTAATCAGATCAAGAAAACAACTGAAACACAAATTTCCAAACACCTGAAAACAATATTTAATAACTAATGAAAGAATACATACAGTGATGGACAGCGTTAATTTGGATTTGATGGACATTTTAGGTACCATTTTTAGTGACATTTATTTGAAAAGAGTCAATGGAATAGTTCTTTTCTTACTTAAATGAATACATATAAAGAAAAAAAAAATGAAGAAAGAACCTTCTAAAAGAAATTGTAATATGATAAAGCTCATGAATGTCATAAACCGTACTTTTATTTCAAAGTGTAAATCATGTATCTTCTCGCTTTTTCCAAATTAGATATTAAGAAAGCGTGCTTTTAAGCCTTTTCCTGTAGCAGATTGTATATCGCAATCTAGACAAGGACTGGACATCAATCAATGCTTACTACGACTGCTATTTTTCTATTCACTAGTCTGACCATAAACAAATTCTAAATTATTCTGAATTAACTGTATCCAGTGGGGTAACCAAGGAACACTTTCGTACTCGGATTTCCGCTTGGGCAGTTCGGTAAATAGAAGATTCAAAACTGTATCTTTCTCTTCTTTAGATTCCCTGATAAGTTCTTTCAAGTTTTCATCATCACTATTTACATTTTCCAATCGAGCATCCATCTTCTCTAAGGACATATGCATTAAGGACCACGTCCAACTTTTGGCCCATATAGACGAATCTTTTTGTTCTAACAGCCATCGGAAAACGGAAGTAATACTCACAATCGAATAATTGAGCATCTTGCTCAACCAAATGACTGCAATACTTGGTTGTGATCTCCAACATGAAAACAATTCGTCAATTGCTTCCATTTCTGTCGACAACGATTCTCTGGAGAAATGTTTGATGACATCCAAGTGTTTTTCAAATGTATTTGAAGCGTGAGAGAGAGATTTTGAACCAAGACTATAAGCACATGCCATTAAAAACCTCACTCCCGAAACTTGAGAAGATGGGTTTTCTTCAACAGACGAGAGAGATGACGACACTACTTCAATTGGCTTATGAATCCTTAAATGGTCTGTAATTTCTTTAAAATTTGAGTGCAATGGATTGGACTCATCTTCCCAAGGGATTTCAGGTTTTGGTGCTTCAGGTGCCATTAACTGATGCAACTGTTCCGGCAAAGAATCATGGATGCGTGACCAATAACTCAACTCCAATTCCTTGGCTATTGTTTCTCTCATGAACACCTTTTTTGGGTGAAAATCTTCCAACTCTATGTTACCTATCCATTCCTGCCACTTCCAGAAAAAGTTAAAGTTACTTAGATGGTGCGAAAACCAGTTGATAAATTTCTCAAACGTTTCCAACGGGAGATTTTCACTAATATTAAACACAAAACGTATAATTCTTCCGAATGTTGGAGCTAGAATTTTGGGAGCAACCCGACAGCACTCAGTAAGCAATGAGTGGTAATAGACGGGCTTAAAAGTAGACTTGGTTGTCAGCAGTTCTGAAAAAATGGCCTCTGTTATTATATCTTCTACTTTCCAACGAGACTCCTCAGCATCCAGTTTGGGAAGCTCGGCGATTGGAGTGCCACGTAAAGCGAATGTCTTGTAGGTAAAGTACACATCAAGATCCGTCAAAATTTGAGCAGCCTCCATACGGTTGTATTCTAAATGATTAATTATATCAACAGTAACATCTCGAAAAATACTAGAAGCGATGTTGAGGGTTTCTGGTGTAGTGCGAATCTCAGAAGTATGAAATACCTCTACAAAGGGGCGAAAAATTGGGTATTTTAGCTGTTCTTCTGATACGGAAGTAGACCATTCGAATGATTTTAAAAGAACAGGTGTAACCTTCGTTAAATCTGACTCGAATGCTTCCCAAGGTCGAGGTAAGTAAGAAAATTGAAGCCCGTTTTCTCTTTCAAGAACGAGCTGACGATACAAAAGATCTAATTCTTCCTCAATATACTCTTCCGAATTAGAGAACGGATTTTTAATTTGGTGTAACATAGGCTTTCTTAATTCAACGTAAGAAGCACTTCGTTGAATCCAGTCTTCAACTAAAGCAACTTTTTCAGGATGTTTAGATGCGACGCAGTAATAGGGAATATTAATTAAGATTATTTTTAATAATTTATCGCCAAAAACGGAAGGTGCGGTCTGTTCTCCTAGTCTGTCTAACAATTTGGTGAAGATAGGTTCGACACCTTCAGATTCATAGATGCGACTAAGGCAAATAAGCAAGCGAAAAACAATCTTAGCCTGATAGTAGTCGTATTGTTCTAATGAAGAGACCAATTTGGAGTGCAAAATCTCTACACCACGTTCAACTAAAAGAGGTGCTTTCAATGCAGCCCGCATCATCAATGTTGCCAAATGGGCTATTTTGATGGGAATAGAAAGAGCTCTGCAAAAATGGTTAGATAATTCTTCTTTTTTTTTATTGAGGAAAAAGTACAACACAACATACGTTTCAAGAATACAATTCAGAATGGCAGAAACGTTCTCTTCTTCATGAGATTCACGACTCACAGACATAGCTACATAATTAATGTCTTCTGTAACGACAGGATTAACACGAGGATCTGCCAGAAAGGTAATATCCTTTTTTATGCGGTAACCAAGAAGCTCTTGAGGATTTGCCCTATTAGGGCGAAAGCCAGAGTCAGAATCCTCTCTTCCGCGCTTCTTTGATCGTATGGGAGTACGATACGAAGACATTTTTTACGTTTCGACCGCGTTTGGAGTTTCGTAGACTACCATGCAAAAATGCAACCTTTTTTGTACCAGGTAACAATGAAGCAACACAAGTATCATAAACAAAAGGTCAGCATTTTAGGATAATCAAAAGAAAATGCATAGCTAGAAAATGAATATTATCAGCTAATATTGAATATCCACACTATTGATTTTTCCTTCCAGAATTAATTCTGCCATCCAAAGACCAGTAGCAGGTCCTTGGGTTATGCCCCAACTTGCATGACCAGCGGCGAAATAAATGCCTGAGCGCGAAATCGATAAACTCGGGATTCCAGTTACTCTGTTAAGAGGAAGAAATGCATAGGTGCAATCAATTACTTCTGACTTTTTCTTTTCTGCTAACAAAAGATCAAACGTCTCTTTTAAATCCATCAGATGATGAGAATTAATTCGAATATCTTCGTTTTCTTTTGGTAGAGGAATGAATAGAGTAGATCCTGTAACGAATGCTTTGATATTTTCAATAAAATGTACTTCCAAGCTTCTTTCTGAGAAGTCTGGGTTCTGTAGATTTACATTGCAGACGGCTACGTACCCTTTAGTTTCGCAATCTTTCAAATCTAACAAAAGCGATTGAGCAAATAGACATCCAATTCCTGAATAAGGAAGAACGTAACCAGTCCAAGCACCTGCGCTTACACAGACTTTATCAGCATTCAGTATGATGGTATCGCTTGTATTGCAACCTTTAGGTATATAATGAACGCGATTATTTTTAACATCGGTTACTTTTCCATAAATAATCTTAACTCCTCTCTCTGTAATCCTTTCGAACAGAAAACTGCAGAATTTTCTGCCATTGATTATAATAAAGTCGTTTTTGTCTCCGAGCTTTGAACCTATTCATGGTTAGTATATACATGTTACTTTTCGGAAAACAATTGGAAACAATAATGACTAGGATTCACTTGCATTTTTGAAGGTGTTCTTCACTAAAACAATCAAAGTGTTCCGGTAGTTTTGAAATATTTTCGTTAAATTTTTTAAAATTCATTAGCCACGGTTCTACATAACGGAAACCCCAATTATTTTTTCCGTCGTATCGATCATTCAGTTGTTGATGCATCTTCACAGATACCTCCGTTAAGACACGAAGATTTTCGTTTTGCCATTGGGAAGTAATTAAAGCAGATGGAATTGAAGATGATCCGGATGCCACCTCGTTAGATTCTATAATTATAACTTCCATACTTCCTTGTTTGTAAAGCTCGTGTTCTGTCAAATAAAAGCTTGTACAAATTCCAACAATACCACCTATGGATTTTGTGTTAGAAGTTACTTCAGGTATCTCTGGTAAACAAACATACATCCTACAATAATGCATCTCAGCTTTTTCTTATCCTCCATAATTTCCAGAGGTGCTGTCTTTATTTTTAAGGTGGAATTCCACTTCTAGTCTCAATAATAGAATTTTGAAAACCATCATCCATGAATACATTTGATCAGCATTATTTAAAAATGACGGCACATGGTTATATGTAACATCGTCAAGCATACATCAACTTATTCTGGTTATTTTTTACCCTGTCAAGGTCTTCTTCAGGACGAATATCAAAGTATTATTAAATGTTTACCATGAATGCTAAAATGAATATTAATTAGAATGTAATAATCATGTTTGTTTACTAACGAACCCCAACAATACTCGTTTATAACAAATAAGGCAGTTTGAAGAAATGCACTAGATTTCTCTGCCAAAGAAAGAAACAACATATACGAACATTTGTTTTTTATCAATATTATCTGGCAATGCTATGGAATTTGACTTTTTCTCTTTTGTAGCGCCATCCAGAATACAATCACTGGTCCGGCCATTTGGCAAGGTCAAACGACATCGCTTTCATACTTTCCTAAACCTATTGCGTCGCGTCAGTCATATTCAGTTAAGTGATATTCCAGTGGGCCGAGCGACAAAGAAGTGTATGCGATCTTAAATTTATTAATCTGATTACTAATTTTGCAGCAAGCTCATTCAATCCTTTAGCTTTCCCTTTAGGGAGAATTATTTACAACTTCACCACTACTCTGGATGATCAACAGTCATTATTGGAAGAGTTTGAGTATTTCCGAAGAATATTTGTCTTTATCGGCGTTGTTGACGGTTCTGAGGAACAAGACTTCTCACAATTGCAGTCGTCCTTGGATGCTTGGCAACGTCGTGTTCCTCATGCTTCGGTAGCAAAGTGTCTTATTTTTGACTGTCCTCAAGAATCGGAGGAAGTATTTCAAGATCCCCGATTTCTGCTTGGTCCAAGAAGCAATTCGTCCGTAAACTCAATTACAAGATCGATTCTCTGCGACATTACAGCTGAGTTGTTAGAAGAATTTAGCTCTCTAGAGTTCTCCCTTCATGCTAGGTCAGTAATCTTATCCCCTATAACAGAAATGCCGCATTTAGCTCCTTTACAGCGAACAAACTCAGTCTCATCAATGCATAGTCCTCGGTCCTCAATCACCACTCCAATGAGCAGGACTACCTCCATTCCTTCTGTTCGCTCTGTGTCTGCTGTAACGGAACGCTCCAAAAGCCTTTCTAAAGGTCGCATTGAGAATCAGTTAGGGCAACTGTACCTTTTGGCTGGGAGACTTCCAAATGCCCTCAAACACTTTGCCAATGCAATTGCAATCACAAAGTCTACCAGCGATTATCTTTGGCAAGGATTATCTCTCGAATTGCTTACTGTGTGCTTGATGCTAATGGCTCAATTACATATCGATGTTCAAATTCCCCAGAATATTATAAGCATGTTTCCATCCTATATCGATCGCTTCAATGAACACGGACCTTTAAAGCTGGACTTTTTGTTTAGTTTCATAACCGAAACGCGAAACACTATTGATCAGCTTTACCATAAATCCACTTTGCAACCTAATGATTCAATACCCGGACTTTGTTTTTCTGAGAGCATCCTTCGATTCTCCCATCTTTTGACTATCGTTTACATATGCAATGGCCTTACCGATACCGCTTTAAACCATATAATCTCTCAATCTCCTTTACGCACTTCTAAGTCTTATTCTTCTTATATTCCTAGCAAAGCGACTATATATCAATGGATTATTCGAGCTCGTGGACAGCATTTAAACTCTCTTTCCATCCGCGAGAACTGTCGTATCTATGGTGCGATGGCAAATATGCTTGGAACTATAGGCTTTCATCGTCAACGATCTAAGATGCTACGTGAAATGCTACACAACATAACTCCAGCCATTATGGAATCAAAAAAACAAATTATTTCGAAAAGTGATTTTCCCGTAGAAAATACTGCCATGCATACTGCTTCATCAGGCAATTTCCAGACTGGTTTCGATATCCTTCCTTTAATCTTAGAAGTCTGCGAAGAATTTGGTTTGTTACGGCTGGATGGTACAGTTTTGAATCCAGAAATAACCAAGTGGGGCTGGACATCTCTTCAATTCGATGTTGTAAATGAACTTGTTTCTTTCTGCGAAGCACTGTCGGATTACCAGGCGATACTTAAATTGATATCCTTATTTTTTACGTTTTTACCTTCTCATTCTACTTCCGCTCAGCAAATATATTTACACAAAACTTTCAGGAAGATTTGCTCATTTGCTAGCAATTTAGGTATGCCATTTCAAACTCCTTATTGGGATCCATTTATGATAATGGATATGGAGTATAGCGGGCATCCTGATTTTGAAGAACCAAAGCTTATTCATATGAAAGGGGCAAAAACAGATTCATTTCAAGGTAGGAGTCCTTTCATTTATAATCCATTCTTAAAAAAGAATACCGAAATTCATAAGACTGTACGTATCAAGCCGTTACAATGATACCAGCTAACTTTTTTAGAAAACCCTTGTAGCAGATGAGCTTATATTTTTTAATGTTTACTTACGAAATCCTTTTCATTTTTCTGTTGACATTCAGGAAATTCATCTCTACACTGAGGGGGTCGAAGTTATCCATTCAGTATGTATGACTACCCTAAGACCACTAACTACGGAAATAATTACTTTATCAATAACACCTTTGAAGGCAGGCACACTCAACGTACGTGGTTGTAATGTTAAAGTATTTGGGTGTAAACCTTCAGTACAATATTTCTATAATCAGCAGAAGCAAAAAGATGCATTGCATATTTCACTGGAAAAAATTAAACGCAACTTTGATGAAATGCGTTCTACTAACGTAGCAAAACACCAGTGGAACAGTGTACCCGAACTTCCAATCAATTCGGAATCATTAAACTTCCAAGTCATTGAGAAACAGCCAAAATTGATTGTCTCTTCAAGAAAGTTTTCGATTAACAATCTTAATCTTGCCGAATATGAAACTGGCGAATTGATTTATACCATTGAGAACGTGTCTAATACAAAAGCTACACATGTTCGTATCTCTTTTGAGGACAATGCATCTAAAGTATACCAACAGCTGAAGTCAGACAAAAATATAACTGCTGATGTATTATATGAACTTCAGCAAGAGGAATACCAAATGCCAACTTTTGAAGTTAAGAATGAGCAACCGTTTTCCCTTGAGCCAGGTGAAAAGAGAGAAATACAAGTCAATGTTATCGCAAAACCGATATCGGGAGAGGGTACTATTGTTTTCGAAAGCAGTTGTCGAAGCAACGATGAACATAATTTTTATGCCAGGCACTTAAAGGTACCTATCAAATTAAATTTGAGTAAAAGGATAACTCTCAGTAACTGGTCTGTTCTTCCAGACATCCACAAAGATCCCAATTATTGTATGCTTTTGCTGGATTTTTATAATCATCATTCTGATTCTCTAAAAGTCCTTATAAAAGAAAAGGAAACGGAATCGATTGAAAGCAAACTCGTGAAACCTAAGGCTGATCACATATTCTTTCTACGACTAGCACGCTTTCGTATTTCAGAGGAAGAGTTAAGCAAAGACATCCCGAATCTCTCATCTAAACAGTTTGTTCTATCGGAAGGAATGAAAAAGAGTCTCAAAAATATTCAAGCGCTGAAGAGACGGTTTTGGGTGAAACAACATCTATTAGAAACTATTCAGGCTTTTTGGGAAAGCGATGATCAAGATCGGCATGGCCAAGTTCATATGAAGAATCATTCGTTGACAGATGACATGACCCGATTACTATTACTGCCTTCCGTTCAAATATTAACATCTTTACAACAAAATGGAAAAATGGCTTCTCGTGTTTTACCGCGTAAGCCGTTTGTACTAGTACTATCATTTGTAAGTCATAAAGAAAACTTACGTTATAAAATATCCTGGGTATCACTGAGTCCTGATTCATTCAATACAACACATAGACAAGAGGGATTAATACTGGATGGCCCTGATGAAGCGACGATATCAGTTTCAGAGAAAGCAAGTACTTCACATATTGTCGAAAGAACCTTTTTTGCGCTTAGTCCTGGTATTTATCAAATTTATATATCGGCAATTTCAGAGAAGAATGAGTTACCTTTCTCTAATTGCGATGTCAATGAACCATTTATGCTTCATGTCGAAACCAACTGAATATACTAATTGTCTTGCAAATTTCTTATGTACGTACTGTTACTGTAATGACATTTATACTTAACGGTTGATGCCTTGTAAATTATTCTTCTCTTATTTAACTACAAAATAAATAACATATTAAAATTAACCAATGAATGTTTTACAGAAAGAATATTTAAAAATAATTTGTATTTTAAATAGTTCATGTGGTAAGTGTGTTCCTTGTAAGTAACGAAATCTCAAGTATCATTTGGATTACGACCTAACCAGAACCAATATGTTTAGAAATCAATATGGTATGGAATAACGTAGTAAAGACCTTTAGTTAACGTTTTTAGACGGAGATGCGACTACATGGAGCCCTCAAGGGAGACTTCATCAGGTTGAATATGCTCTCGAAGCAATAAAGCAAGGATCAGCAACCGTGGGAGTTGTTTCCAATACACACGCTGTTCTGGTTGCTTTAAAGGTAAGCGAATGAATCAATTATGGCGTAGTTACTAATTATATATAGAGAAATGCTGAAGAACTTAGCAGCTACCAAAAGAAGTTGATTCGTATCGATGATCACTTAGGCATTGCTATTGCTGGCTTAGCCCCAGATGCACGCGTATTAAGGTATGGTCTGAACAAAATGAACTCTATTTTAAAGATATAAATGAAAATAGAAGGTAACTTACAAACTAGCAATTACATGAAACAGGAAGCAATGTCTTCAAAAACACTCTTCAGCCGCCCTATTCCAGTCCGTCGTTTATTGAATCGTGTTGCCGAAAAGGCTCAGTTAAATACTCAGCAATATGGTAGCAGACCTTATGGCGTTGGCTTTTTAGTCATAGGATATGACGAGTCTGGCCCTCATTTGTTAGAGTTTCAACCTTCCGGCTTAGTACTTGAATATTTGGGTACAGGTTTGGGATCTCGTTCTCAATCCGCTCGTACCTATTTAGAGCGTAACTCAAGTACCTTTGCTACCGCTTCTAGAGAAGAACTAATTTTATCTGCATTAAGAGCTCTTCGCGATACACTTACCAAAGAACAAGAGTTGACGGAAGACAATGTTTCCATTTCCGTTGTAGGAAAAGGCGAGAAATATACGCTTTATGATCAAGCCAATACTAAGGAATGGCTTGAAAAATTGGGTGACCGTAGTCCAGCGGCTGCTCGCGCTACTAGAACAACCGAAGAGCCTTCTGCTCCTACTGCGGAAGCCATCCTTGACTCTGCTGATGCCATGGAAACCGAGTAAATGACATGATTAAATTGCAAATGTGTAGGGAGTGAAAGAGCTGTTTGAGCTATGATAAATATCATTCATAAAGTCATATAGAGTTTTGTTACCAATGAAGATGATACTACCTATAATTCTGAACCTGGCTACTTATGAACGTTGACATAAGTAAAATATATCCTAGAATTGGTACATGTTGTTTTATTACAAGAAAATATGAACCCCACTTCAGTCTTTTCATTCCAACTATAGCTTAATGTACAACATATATAAGCACTAGAAGATAAAACTGCTGCATATTTAAAGAAATGTCAATTTTCATTTAGCCTTTATTATCTCTAATTAAAAAATCTCCGAATTTCCATTAATGCTTATTATTATAATACCGCGAAAATATAATCGTATTAAACATCTTGAGTAGTGAATGACAAATGCCTATTTGTAGAAGCCTTCTTTCGCCATTTACAAAAAGGAATTTCTTCACCAGGGGAAAATCAATTTTCTGTAATACCAATTCCTCTAGCATCAATTACCCTAATAAAGTATAAAGAAAATTGATATCGTGATCTCCTTTTTCATTTGTCAGAGTCATTAGCCTTGCGGATCTTTGTAAAAAGAAAGAGATTGTTTTCGAGGAAAATTATTCACAATGTCTGAAGCTAAAGTCGCTAGTGTTAGCAATTCATCTGGTACTTCCATGCCACATACTCTAAGTATGTCATGGAGACAGTGGCGCACAGAGAGTAGTTCGGCGTATGCTAAAAAATGCGAGTTAGAGGTACTAAATAATGTTGATTTCATTCGTGAAAATGAAAAAGACCTAGATAGATTGGTTGAGATATATGATTTTCCTCTTCGTGATAATGAAGATTTGATTCATGAATTGTGCGTCAGTGACAAAAAAACAGGAAAAACAAACAAGAAAAGCGTGGTTTATTTACACGGATATGGTGCTGGTCTCGGATTCTTCTTTCAAAACATCGATGAGTTAACAAAAGAAACCACAAAAACGCATAATAGTTATTTTATCGATTGGCTGGGTATGGGTAATTCATCTCGCCCGCCGTTTAAGCTGAAGGGAGCTAACGCATCTGAGCGAGTGCATGAAGCCGAAAGCTTTTTTGTGAATTCGTTGGAATGCTGGCGTGAAAAACATAAAATTGAGAGCATGACTCTTGTAGGCCATAGTCTTGGAGGATATTTAAGCACAGTTTATGCAATGCGTTACCCAGATCGAGTTGAAAAACTTATTTTAGTGAGCCCCGTTGGTATTCCTGAGTGCCCGTACGCGACTGATGACGACGCTGAAGAGTATCCAAGCGTTGCTAATTCGGCACTCCATGCTATGACGGATGATACCCCAAAAACGAATGTAACAAATGAAATTTTACAAACGCAAGATGAGACATCTGGAAGAGCATCTCCTGGTTCTATCAAGCCAAGGAATCCTCTTCCGCGATGGGCTACCTTCCTATGGGAACAAAATGTAACACCGTTTGCTCTTTTGAGATACAGTGGACCTTTAGGACCAAAGTTAACAAGTTTTTGGACTTCCAGGCGCTTTTCTATCTTACCGGATAATATAGCAAGGTCACTTCATTCTTATTGCTACTCCATTTTTCGTTTAAAAGGATCTAGTGAATACGCCCTTGGAAGTTTACTAGCTCCTGGAGCTTTCGCTCGGAAGAGCATTCAAAATCGGTTGCACAGGGTTAAATGCCGAACCATTTTTATGTATGGTGATAAAGATTGGATGGACGATATAGCTGGTCTAAAAGCAGTTGAGACTTTATTGAAACAAAACGTTGAAGCTGAACACCACTATATCATCAACGCAGGCCATCACTGTTATTTAGATAACCCGAAAGACTTTAATTTCTTGGTTTTAAAAGAGCTTCTTGAAAGAGCGTGAAAAATTCTTTAAGTTACTATTCAGACCTTGGCTAAGAAGATTTTAGTATGGCATGTTATTAATTGCTTACGATCCTATGTTTACTTCATTCGTTATTGTATACGTTTACTTCCTAATGATAACTTTTTCCAAGTTGATCTTCTGTGTATGAAAGTTGTTTCCTTGATACTGAGAAAACCTATGAATATTCGACCTTGAGACGACAGGTGAATATAACCTGCCATACTGTATATTTGTTAAACGTGAATTGTTTTTTTATTTTATTTTATTTTATTTTTACTTTACAGAACTTATGAAAGTTTGAAACAGTTTGGCTTGATGAAATTTCTATTCAAAATCCTAAAACATGGTTCTGTCTTGGAATTTAAGAGAAAACACAGTAAAAGAACTTCTTCTTTGCTATGAGAGATGGACGTATGATTTCTATATTGCTCAAACTAGAAGGAGGTGGTAGTGGAAACTACCTGCGATGGTTTACCGTGAACACCCCAAGAGCAAATCGTACCTGCAATGCTACTTAGACTGTATTTATAGAGGATATATCGTTGTTGTTTATTTCTTATATTTTTCTTTCTGTGTTTTAAATTTTTGGACAATTTTATAGAGATTAAAAATTTGGTAATTGACTTTCCTCTAGGTTTTATAAAAAAGGACGTCAAAGTGGAGTTTTTGGAATATTGTTTTTGTTTTATTTATTTATTTTTATATTAATGAGCTTGGATAATAATATAGACGCGAATTTATCCACTCATTCTTCGTACAACCAGTATTGGAGTGTTCCTAAGGTCTTCGAGGGAGAACCTGGAAACGATAGACTTCCCAGTTTTTTAAATGGAGATTATGATTTTTCTAGTTCACGGGAAATAATTAACGGAAGATATTTGTACTTTCAGTGCAGACAAGAAGGAGTGCCGACAAAAATATTTATATTATTGGATCTTGAAACTTGCAAAGCAAGATTGTTAGAACTCGACGTAGATTTCGAAAGGTTACATCTCAGTCAAACACTTTCCTGTTACAAAAACAATCTTGTTTTATCGGCTAAACGAAATGCAAACCATGTTGAAAAGGATCAGCAGAATGATTGTCTTATATTTATCACCGGGGAAACTTTTGAAATCTGTGACATTATGAACGTTTGTGACTCATCCATCACTTCAAGACACGGTTACTCTTTGGATACACAAGGTACTGATATTATTTTATTCGGTGGAATAGTCAACGCAGAATATTCAAATGACTTACTTATTATGAATCTCAAAGGGCTCTCTGTTTCTCCAGATGATTCTTCTAAAGATTCAAATAATGCACGTAGATGGTCTGAATTGCCTCTTCAATCATCTTCTCCTCCTGGTCGTTGCAACCACGCTACAGTGGTGTTAGGGAATAAACTAATCATTCACGGAGGAAGAAATAAGATGGGACTTTTAGGGGATTTATGGCTTTTGGATTTAGATACCATGATTTGGACGGAAATCCGACCAGTAGGCAGTTTTCCATGCCCAAGAGAAAGCCATAAATTTGTTTCCCTAGGAAACAAAGTATATATGTATGGTGGGTTTGATAAAAATCAAGTTCTAAGTAATGAACTATGGTGTTTTGATTTAGATAAGCAAAGCTGGTTCCGAACTAAAGGCCCTTCCATTCCCGAAAGTAGTGCGAACTTCCTTACCATAAATAGTTGTAATGACCGTCTCTTCTTGACTCTCTCTCTCAAGAGGCGTGATTCATTTCGATTTTACGGTTATGAGTGCGATCCAAACCGCCTTCACTGGAATAATATGGACGCTTATGGGCTACCTGTTTTTAGTCACGTTAGAATGAACTCCTCCAATATAGCTAACAATACGGTTCCGCTTGGCAAAATCAAAACAAATCATACAAAGAATCGCTCGAACGCGTCATTCAGCTTTTATGATTATTTCGAGCCATCCCATAAATCAGTAAAGTCACTCGGACATAGACATTACGGGAGCTTAGATGAACAAGGAATAAAATCTTTGAAAGGAATGAAAAGAAACTCTTTACATAACCGTCGAAATTCCGATAATCTCTCCCTTCGTGAATTTGGTCAGAGCAGTCCATTTGCTTATGATGTTGATAAAACAATTACTTCGCTTCCTATCGCTTACGATGATGAAGATAATAGAGATAATCAATCATTTGTAAGCGTTACTGACCGTCTTTCTGATCGTTCGACAAATCTACAGACCTTTCATTTCCGTACTACAGACGATCGTATCGCGTGGTTAGAAGAGCAGCTACTTTTTTGTATGACCCAAGGTTATGCACTTAAACCCCCAGGACATTTAAATGAAATATATACAAAAGGAATTCATATTCATTCCCAGCCTTTAAAAATGCTTGAATCTTTACATGCTATGGAAGAGGAACTAAGCAAGACAAAATTTGAGTTCAACCGAAGCGTTAGCAATATGATATCTGAAAACGCTCAGTTGTTAGCGGAAAAGGATGCTTCCCAAAACTCTGTTGAGTTTCATATAAAGCTTCTCCAAGAAAGTAATATAGACAGTCTCACTCGAATGCTGAGTGAACGAGTGCACACACTAGAGATAGATGTGCAGCATTCTTTAGCCGAAGCAACATCTTACTACCAAAGATGCAATGAACTAGAACGGAAAGTTGAGGAATTACAATGTATGAATAGTATAATAAAGTCTCAACAAGTCGAGCTCAACAGAAATTACGAAAAACTTCATTCCGTTTTTGAGGAGGACGGTAATAGAGTTGGATTACTACAGACAGAAAACAATTTACTCAAACTTGATGTTAGTAGACTCTCTCGGGACGCATTAGATTTCCAAACAAAATGCCGAACTTTGGAGTACGACAATTACGAATTAGAAACAAAATTGATTGAGTTATGCGACCGAATGGAAATGCAAACTAACGTAGTTGAAGCATCCGCTAGTGCTTTAGATGTCTCGAATACTGCCATTCTATCTTTTGAAGATTCTCTTCGTAGAGAAAAGGAAGAGAATAAACTTTTGCATGAAAATTGCTTAAGCTTGACATATCATAATTCTCATTTGAATGCTGAATTGGAACGACTTCAACTTGAAAATAAGGAGAATCAAAAAGTAACTAATCAAGTTCGTTCGGATGCAACATATTTGAAATCAATTATACATAATGGGTTATCAAAGTTGCTCTCCTCGGATGCTGAAGCAAAGGAAAAACTTCAGGATTCCCCAACGACTAAACAAAAAATTACTCACCTTGAATCCCAACTAGTTGACATGCAGCAGTCGTTTGAGAAGCAACGTATAAACTTTGAGAAAACAATGCAAGAACTGATCCTTTCACAAAGACAATATGTTGAATTGAAGCATGCCTACTCATCAGCTCTCGCCGAAAAAGGTCAACTGCTTAATCAAATGGGTAGTTTCACAGATGCACGTAAAGCTGATGTTTTGGAATCTCAAAGAGCCATTTCTGGATCAAAATTAAGCCAAATTTCTCCGAGAATTAATTCTTTTGATCGAGTTTCGCTCCAGAGCCATTTGAGTTCTGGTATAAATCGTGAAGAGAAAGCCATTTCGAGTCCAGTTAATGATGAGGTCAATAACGAAGATTCTATATTCAGTAAGTACCAGAGAAACTTTAATAATCTAATTTCCTCGGAACCATTAACCACGTCTCCTCAACAACATATGCTTCATCGTCTGAAAATGGGACTAGAAAATCAAAAAAAGCAGCTTATTGACACTCCAAATACGCTTTCAAAAGGATTTGATCAGACCGTTGTCAATAGTAACCAAGGGAGAAATGATAAACCACTACAGTCCGTGTCCGATGATTATTATGCAAATAAAATAAAACAATTAGAGGACGACTATCAGCAGGCGATAACATTCGCAAATTGCTCTGATGAATCGTTTCAACAGTTGAATTATAAGTTTATATAGACAGATCACTTTCTTTGTTAGTATTTATATATAAATATATATATGGAAGGGTAAAAGGGTTGATTAAAACGTAACATTATCAAATTAAATTAGCTCCGATAGTGTTCCGTATAACAAAAATTAACCTTCTTATTACTTAACTAAACTATGAATTCGAAGGTATAGTAAAAGTGCAAAATTAAGATCTAGAACATTATTAAAGGGAAGAATCAGTATTAGGAAGATTTGACTCATTTGAAGGATGCATCAGCTCTGCCCAGCTTAAAAACGGTGGAGCTGGCCATTGCCGATCTATGTCTATATTTAGATCGAGATCATCTGCAGACGGGAAAGTGTTGCGAACAAGCAGTGACGCTGGATCAGACAGAAACTCCGTGTTAGAAACAGACGAGGAAAGGAGATTGGACTGTGGAACATCAGCGTTTCTTTGATCAAACCTAGTACTTTCATCGACTGATAGAGGATCTGAGATGGACGCTCGTTGTTGTTGCAAGTGATCATTCTGAGACATATCTCCAACCCACGACTGCCACTTTCGGAAGCTAAATTGGAAGTCACTCGATTCAGGAACAAAAGAAAAGGCTTTCTTATTTGTAAGCTGTTCTGAAAGTTCTTTCAAGGTTTGCAAGTTAAGCCGAGTAATTTCATTTCTTTGAGATAAAAATTCCAGAACTTCCCACAATTTGGATACAGCATTGCTAATCTCTAGGGAAGGCTCGTAATGAGAGCATAATATCAAGATAATACCACTACACGTTGGAAGATACGCGTCAAAGAACGAATAGCTAGACAAACGCTTATTTTGAAACAATTGATGTGCGATATTAATGATCCGAGAAGAGCTATCGACACACATATCTGCATATTGAAGATTTTCTGGGCTAAGATCTCTTCCTTTATATTTAAAAAGTAATACAATTCGTGTAGCGAGAATGACAGCGTTGTCGTAAATCATTTGTAGTTGAGCATTTAAACGGAAATGAGGATGATGCGGCGAAGACTCATCGCATATAAGAGAATGGTGTAAATTGCGTTTCCAAAGCTCAAGACGGGCATATAGCCTTCGAACATGAGATAGTTGAGTATTAAAATCGGATGAAGCTTTCCAGTACAGGCAATCACACACTTCACTGGTAATTCTTGTCAACTCTATTACTGCGCACATATTAGTAACCATTGAAGGAATACCAGGTATTTCCAGATCAAACAATATACTCGGATAAGGGGTAGTGATATTATCTAAAGCGATACTAAACGGTCGACCTGTAGCAATACTAATGAACCGATCAAGACAAAACACTGACCACCAAAGACGATTCCGAAGTTCTCTAGAGCTTTGACTAAGGGTAAAATCCTCACAGTTTTTATGTAATCCTAATGAAATAGCCGTCTTAACCGCCAAACCAAAGTAGGAATAACTAGCCTTTTGATATATTGTAGGTTGAAGATAAAGAGCGATTAGTATAGCAGATTGGATAGTGTTTGTATTAGCCTGAAGTAAAACCATGGGGAAGATGCTAACGGCCGCTGAAAAGAGCCGATTTCCTATAACGCAAACTTGAGAACTTGCTGCGACTGGGTCAGTTTGGTGTTCAATCATATATTGATTTCCAAAAGCGAGTACTAACAATAGTATACATAGGAATCCAGGATCAGTCTGATTTTTTATTGAGAGAAAGATTTCCAGGCGAATTTTGAAAAATGAGGCATGGTAAAAAAAGAGATTAGTTTGGATGTTCGTAAAAAACGTATTCACTAAAAATTCTGTTACGGTGAGAGAAGGGATAAGGTCACGAGCATGAGAGAGTAAATATTCATCTAATTCTGAATTAAAGAAAAAAGAGGTAGGCTGGTTCTGTAAAATGGAATTCTTAGTAGAAAAGTCGGTTAGGCAAGTATCCTTTCGAATTCGTTCAAAGAAAAGGTCTGAGGAGGTAGGTCCCAAATACATCGTATCCTCCATTTTCCCTACTAATAGTGACTCATCAAAACCGACAATTGGTTCGTTTTTTAGCGATTCATGAGAAAAAATAGGATCTTTGCTGTTTGGAACGGAAGCATCGTAATCGTCATCATTGCTAATATGGTTTTTCTTTAGTTCGTTGTTAATATTAACAATAGGATCCAAACCATTTAGGATATTAGGGAGCTGATCAGAAGTTAAACTTTCATGCTCAGACAGTTTTTTGGATACTGCAACCAGATTTTTTGTGTCCAAGTTAAAGTCTGGACAAATTCTAGATAAAATATACTCAAAGCACAATTGGCGTTCAGACAATTCATTCAAGTATTCCTTAGATGGGAGTTTACTTTGATTTTTTTGCGTATAAACGCAATCTACTCCAAGCAGGCGACAGTTCTCACAGGGATCGTTTCCGTCACATTTGATCTTCTTTTCTCTACAATGTTTACAAGCGCGAAAGACCCTTCTTCGTTGTTCGGGAGGGACGCGTCGCTTCTTCTTTTTTTCTAGTGCCTTGACGTCCGCGTATAATTGAGTCTTTATAAATCCCAAATTTTCATTCATATCAAATCAGTCCCCTAATCCATCCCAAGTCTTCAAAAGATTCAAGACATTCAACCAAAAACTAATCAATTCTATTTTTGTAAAACGAATTATTTTCAATGTGGTCATAAGGAATCAGAATCACTGGATCAATGCTAAGTGTCATGTATAGTAATATAATACAAACCAATATATGCTTAAAAGTAATGCTAATATAAATTAAGAAATGTTTTTACAGTTAAGATTGTATGATATGCGTTTAGAACTGTACACAAATATACTAAGCAAAATATTATATGCCTATATAACAAAGTTTTGGTATGTCTTTATGCTAAATAGATACTTCACATTAAATATTGGGGTTTATGCTTTTGCATAATTATAGGTTACTCTATGTTACAACAGTTAGTTTGCGGATTTCCAATTTGCAGTAAAAAGAAAGAGAGCGAATTGCAAATGAACGTAGTATAATACTGGGTCCGTATGTATATTTTCCTTTAGAATATTGTTTAATTATAGGAAGGGCAATCTATTTTCTATAACACAAGTAGCGTTTACCAAAATTAGATATGTTCTCCAATTTAAGGAAAATCAAATTAATCTTAGTCCGTTTACTATACAGTTTCTGATGAAATATATTTTCATATAAAACCTAAATATTATTTATTTCCTCAACTAAACAAAATTAAGATCCCAGTATAAACACCATATATAACATAGTAGTACCCAAAACTTTTTCTTTAAACATCCAAAACCTATAATAAACAAATTATACTCTTTACTTTAACGTCTCGTTTTGCGAACCTCATTTGGATTCTTTCTACCAGCACCAACGTTGATGCGCATATGTTCCTTGGGGGCACCCGTCAACAAAGAAGGCAAATAATCTTGATCCATAAGATCAACTTCCTTTTTACGCTGCATATAACGAACAGCCTTTTGATATTCTGGTTGATCTCCACGCAAGATGAGATTTTTCTTACCCTTGCCACTTGCGGTACCATGAACTGGTTTAGGAATAGCATACTTCGTACCACGGGTCTTCCATTCAAAATTCTTTTTCAAGTGAACCTGGAACTCACCTTTGGAATTAATGCTACAGGTGGTCTTAATTAGAGTATCACCTCCACAGGAAGGACAGAATGTTTTCGACATGTCATTAACAATAGCAAAGCAACCATGACAGCGAAGTACGAATCGCTTGACATTCTGAATCTTCAGTCCATCCGAAGAAACCAAGTTTAAGCCTATTTGTAACATAACATTCTGCATAGCAAAATCGGTGGTTGCACATGCAACCTTTAAGTGAGAGGGTTGAACGACACTTTCACCAGCACTATCTTGAGCCTTCTTCTTACGAATATTGGAAGGGGTAATCCATCCATCATCTTCCTCTTCTCGGTCTTCTTCTTCTTCCTCAGTTAACTTTTGTTTTTCATCACTCTTAGAAGCACCATTTTCATTTTCAGCCTTCTTTTGTAATTCCATCACCAATTCTGTATTTTGCTCGTCCTTCTTCTCATTTTCCTTCTTATCTTCAGATGGTGATGAATTTTCTTTTCCGCGAGCTTCATTATTAAGATCGGCAGGAGGTTTACCGTTAATTCGCTTTTGGCCAGGATATTGGCGAAGTCTCCAATCTCCACCATTGAATTCAAATTCAAGTTCGTATGTAAGGGCAAGAATGTGAATATCAGTAATGGATAAAGAAGCGAAATCACCAGTTTGCTTTGCAAAGTCAGAAACTACACCAATCGTTAATATCAAAACTCGTATGAACTTAGGATATGAATCCTCGCTATGATAACGTTGAGAAAAACAAGCTTCTGCTCAATGCCAAGATGAGAACAAACGCTTCACGGTTCTTCTTGATTCAATACATTCATACTACCGTTTCCCATCCATTGTAATATTCACATATATTATAATGTCTTTTTCTTTGAAGAATTCATTTTCACCAAATGTAAAGTTTACTCTCCACATCCAATTCATAAGCAAAGCCTTATATAAAACTTACCTCTTTTTATAAATTCTTGCTTAGGAACTCGCTGGATGACTTGACCGCCCCAAAGCTCAAAATTTCTACGTGAAACATCGTCTCGAATTTCTTGAATAACTCGAGGTGTAGTATAAAACTTTTCAGCAGAATTCCTTAAAAGAGAACTCGAGCATATGATCCCACCAGTATCCAAAACCAGGTGAGTGATTGATTTACTCATATTATTATGAATTAGTATGGTTTAAGATAAAATCGTTGACACCCTAGAACCGAACTACTCTTCTCATTCTAGCACGATAACCTTTGGTGATGCAACACAGCGCATTATTCTTTTTAACGAAAGTTTTTAGACCTCATTTGTTGTCATTTGGTATAAACAAGAATCTTACAAATACCAATTTATTGCCATATGGAGAAGTTTGTATTCTCTTAGCTTTTTTTGTCGTTTGGATCTTTTGTCGAAATAGGTGTTGCATAAGGAAAGAGTATTTTGGCAAAATCAGGAAGGAGAAGACGTTTTTGATTTTCTCGCGTCAAGTTCTTTGATTGTTGTAGCGAAAGACAAGGCTTCTGTTGATTGAATATAAAGAAATGATTAAAGAAACAATCATTGACGAAAGTAGAGAATTGATTTCGGATGAATTGGTTGCTCTACAGTCTATTTATCCTGAGCTTGAATTGGATGGCAACAATTGTGGTCGCGTTTCCATTCCTGTGTCAACAGAAGATACGTTTTATTTATCTTTTCCTGACTTAAAGACGAATAAATTAGACACTATAGCAGTTAAACACTTTCCTGCTATAGAATTAGAGTTTTTTCTTCGACAAGGATATCCTCAAAAGTCGCCTCCTGTATTCTTTGTAAAATCATCATGGCTTCCTATACAGAAAGTACGTGCTTTAACATCCCATATGTTGGCACTGTGGAATGAAATTCATGACTGCGTTCTGTTCGATGCAATTGAACTTGTGCGCTCTGATGCATCATCGGCATTTCATTCTCCAAAGGAGATGGTCTTTCCACCAGGTTCAGAGAGTTTGAAAGAAGAAGTTCTTGCAACTGATAAGCATGCTACTTTAGCGGAATTTGAAAACCGTAAGTTTACGTGTTTAATATGTTTCGATCAATTCAGCGGTAAAGATTGTTTTCAGCTCGCTCGTTGTGGTCACGTATGCTGTAAGCAATGCCTCACAGACTACTATTCTGTATGTATTGAGGAAGGGATGTTTTCTCAGTTGAAGTGTGTCGATTTGGAATGTGCTAAAACTGCTCCTATCTTATCCCTTGAGGAAATGGAAATGATTGTAGGTTCAGATTTGAGAAAGAGATTTCAAGAATTAGACGAAAAAAGGAGGTATGAAAACGACACAAATATTGTATTTTGCCCACGTAAATCCTGTCAGGGTCCAGCGAGGAGAGATCCTGGTCAAAAATTAGCAATCTGTCTGAAATGTGATTTTGCTTTTTGTTCCTTTTGTCAAGCATCGTGGCATGGTGACTTATCTGCCTGTAGACTTCAGGGTGATTCTAAGAAGCTAGTAAAGATGTATTTAGAGCATCTTGAAACAGACAAGGACAAGGCTGAAGAACTTGAAAAGCGTTATGGTAAACGCATACTGGACAAACTTGTCGAGCAAGTTCGAAATGACGAAGAAGCCGAGCGTTGGGCTCTTTTAAACGGCCAGCGTTGTCCTACTTGTGACCGAGTCGTTGAGAGGATAGATGGATGTTGTCACATGATTTGTCTTTGCGGGACTCACTTTTGCTTTCTTTGCGGTGCTTATCTTATGGAAGCGAATCCTTATATACACTTCAATGACCCTAGTAGTACGTGTTATGCGATGTTATTTGCTTCCCCAGAAGAGAAACAACGCTTTTCCGAAAACTGGCTATGAATACAATAAGAAATTGGAAGCATCTTCTTAATTATGAGGATTTATGAGGATAAAGGACAAAAAAAATGTACATTTAGATTTCTAGATTATTTATTTACCCCTTAATAACATTTTTTGATGAACTTGGTCAAACTAAGGATTAGTAGGATTAGGGAAAGAGTGTAGGCTTTTCATAAATGCTCTCACGACTGAGAAGTCTTCGGTAGAAAATGTATTATCGGCGTTATCATCGACAGCAGCGGTTTCTTTATTATCGGATTCCTGTGGATCTTTAATATGTGAACTTGAATTGTCAGAAATCTTCTGTGGATATGTATATCCTTCTTGAGGATGGTACTGTGGCATATTTTCGATTTTTTTTAAAGCAGTCTGAAGACTATGAGTAGCGTTCAACTGCATTAGAGTTGTTAATCAACTGAATTTATTTCCTGGTTATATCCACTTACCATTCGAGTTGCTAGCAATGTATATGCATTAGGAGCCATGTAAATATTTTCGTTGCAAACAAAATAAGTATTTAATGGTCGTACTTTGTGAGGTTAGTGTTCTAGTCGGAAGAGGGATGAATGCGATTGATTGTTTCAACATGCATACCTTCTTGCTCGTTGAGCCGATGTTGCTTTTGAATAATCCATAAAAACGGAGGTCTTTCTTGAGTTACGACGAATTGTGTTCCGGTCAGTCTTCTTAAATGATTATTTAGATCACCCAAATCGAGAGCATTAAATTGAGATTGCATTTTTAACATTTGATTATTGGATTTATGATCATAAAACGGAGAAAATGAAAAGTAGTCAAGAACTAAAACTGTCAGTATAGCTGGAAAATGGCATCGCACATGTACAGGGCTCACGCTCTACCGATTGTAGACACATTCAGAACAAGGATCTCAACTTAGAGATAAAGAAGAGATCATTCCAAGAGGAATTTTGTAAACATACCATTTTCGGTCCGCAGACCTCCCACAGATTGTACCCATTCAGGCATCCGCCATTGTATATTGCTGAGATCGAGAGAAGGTGTGGATGACATTGTCCTATTTAAAACAAAAGGTATACTATCAAGAAAGTAGGAATGAAGTACAACTTTTGAGAATAATAAATAATGGCAGTTTCCACGCAGACGAATAGAGAACTACGAATATCTTTCGTAGTTCGTTATAAAGCAAATAAATTTGTATTTAGTTTAAATATAAAAGATCAAAGAGGAAAACAAAATATTAGTAAACACTTTATGATAGTGACAACAAGTAGGATCTGTAACTCGTTGTTCGGTACAATAACCAACTGAAAATTTGGTTTGACTTGAAAGTATCACAATGCTGGTATGAATAGATAATGTATGCTTTAAACTATTTAGTTGATATTTGCTTTTCGTTATTGCATAAATAAATTACGGGCAAACCTGGCGATGCCAAAACAATACAACGAATATAAAGGAAAAGCAATTTAACTAGGGTGTTGAAACTAAGGATGTTATTAATTGAGTGAGCAAGAGATTGTGTACCTAATAAGAATGTACAAACGAAACCGATTAAGGATAAATTAAAATATTTGAATCAACTAAATTCAAATAGCTGCTTCATTCAAGCCAGTTTTCTTTTTTCATTAGGCATGACACAAAATTGCCTTTAGCGAACATAGGAATTGTGAGTTCAGGCTGTTTTCAAGCTTTTGAACAGCCTTTTCAGAATAATTTGATTCATATAACGACTTTGGTGCATCCTTTGTTGAATAGTAAAGATATTTAGTTTGTGTAGAATGATTGCGATGTCAATGACAATTTAAGAGGTAGCATGACTAGCGACGTACTTGCACGAAAACGAATGTACCTAGAATTATAATATTTAAAAGGATTTTTACCTTTCAGTTACATATTAATAAGTGTTACACGCTTGTAATGAGATGCGACATTAGCACTCGGCCAAGTGATATATAGACCGGCGTCTGTATAAATTATTGGGAAACATGAATACCATGTAAAACTTGAAACAGTTTGTTCCATGGCAAAGTTATAACAACACTTGAATGACGATGGGAAGATATTTCTAATACTTAAAATAAGGCCTCTTGATGTAAACCGATTTAAAAGAAAGGAGGCTATAATAAATTAGAGCAAAAATGAGATGCACTAGAATTTTCAAATATTGAAAAAAGCGAATTGGTGGCACGTTTGACGAACAATCATGGGAAGAAAGGCATTGAAACCGTATACGTAAACCTGGCCAGTTTCAGCAAAAAAAAAAAAAAAAAAAAAAAAAAGAAAAGGAATGGAAAAATTTTGTACCCTTAAAATAAGCAAAGACGCTTTTCCATCCGAATTGACTGACCCTAAATCCAAAAGACGTTACTCTTGGTGATAGCCTTCTCGAGATTATCAGAAATAAGAAGACAACAAAAACTTTAGAAACAAATCCAATCGACTCCTCAACAATGATAGTTAGTCAGCGTCACCCGGCGTGGCCTCCAACGTTGTGCACATGCAAAATGGCATAGACATAAAGTCCACTAAAGGTACCAAAAAATGTTGTAGAACCAAATAAGTATATAATACGAGGTGCTAACTCATCTCTAGTGTACATCGTTAGATATAGCATAAGACACCTTCTTCACAGACACCTCAAATGATATGAATTCGAAGCAGTCCACACGTTTTTGAAAAATTTCATTGAATAGGGCAGTCAATGATAAAGTCCTGGATGCTCTGAATAATCATTTGGTTTGGAAGGAAAGCTAGGATTAAGTGATATAAACCGACCTTGTTACAGTAATTATACGTTTTGATTTCCTTTTATTCGTATACCTTACCAATACAGGAAACATTAACGTTTCCTATGTTGGTACGACCTAAGACGATCATATAAAAGATTCCTTTTGTAGGAGCTGAAAACAAATCTAAGCGCCTGAAAAACTTTTCCTTTCTGCTAGGAGCGATCGATCGACTAGACAAGTTTCAAAGGGAATTCATGAACATCTAAAAGACAAGAGAAACTACTTACTCGCGAATTTTTTTTCAAAAAAAAAAAGAACACGAAAACTAATTGTAGTTAAATAAAAGAAAGAAAAAAAAAGCGACAGGTATTGTTTATACCTGGGTTGGTTGAAGACACTCCTTTAATATTTTCGGTTAGAGCAAAACATTATTCGATTTCAACTTAGAATATAAACTAGGCGAAACTTTATAAATTCGGACAATCCTATAATGACGACCATGCATATGTCTGTGTCTGTGTCTTGTATTTTATTTATTTTTTTTATTCTTTGCTAATTTAGAATGGTATTACGAACACAAATCTTACTCCACTTTATTTCAATTCGAATCTATAGCTTTGGGAAGGCAGTATTCTCTACAACTAGGATAGGAAAACCCCAAGTAACATGTTAGTTGGAAATCATTATGACATAGAATGAATGTTAATACCGTACTAAAGAGGAATTTGAAGATAATATTCTATTAGCCATTAGAATATTGCGATGTTCCATAGTTGTAAATAGGAGGAATGAAAAAGTTAAGAGCATTGAGAAAGGTACTTTTTAAAAACACCTCCGTATTAAATTACGCTTTTATGAATGTGTACAGAAGCATTCTCAAGTAATTTTTTCTTTGGTATAATAAACAGACACAGGCATGCACTTGAGTTATGACTCTCATGTTAAGTTGGATAATAACGGACGGAGTCGAGTTGGTGAACTAGAGTAGTACTTTTCCTTTTTATAAAAAACAATTCTACATTTCATGATCGAGTGAATTTACACTACAAAAGTCAAAGAATCCTTCTTAGGAAAATCAAGGAAAAAGTGAGAATCTAGTATTCATGACGAGCCTGGTTAAAATATCATAAAGTTTCTTTAATGACATCGGAGCCTGTAATGTTGAAATTATTTACTTTTGGAGTGGGTGACTTACGGCTTAAGCGGCGGCGCCGTAGAGTCGATCACCGATGTCTCCAATGCCAGGGACGAGGTAACCTTGTTCATCGAGACTCTTGTCAATAGCACCAAAGACAAATTCGACATTAGGGGTATTCTTGAAGCGTGCAACCGCTTGTGCACTTGCCAAAACACCAACAAAGACAATGTGCTTACAGCCCCATTCTTGGAGAGTAGTAATCACCGCCTGAGCAGTACCACCGGTAGCCATAACAGGATCCAACACAATGGCGACTTCTGTAGAATGCTTTGGAAGCTTATTGTAATATTCAATTGGTTGTAAAGAGCTCTTTTCTCGGAAAATTCCGATATGGTAGATCGGTACATCTGGTAATACTTTGGAGAAAGCACTCATCATGGACATGCCAGAACGAAGAACTGGGACTATGGACACGGAGGAAACGTTCAAAGACTTTGTGGACTCATACGCCAAGAATCGAGAAATTTCGTCAACCACACCTCGCACTTGCGAAGGCTTCAAGGACAAGTCTCGAAGGACGGAGATTAACTCGTTTACAACGGGATGATCAGAAATAGTAATGTTTTTCATGGTTTCAACAGAAGGGGCAGAAACAGCAGTCAAGGAGGTCGCGGTGTTTGTCATTGAGAAAAATCGTTTCTTATTTCTAAAGCAATTGAAGAGTGTCAAGAATATTAAACAAAGAAAGGGCTAGTTCAACAATGGAAAAGAACCGAAGCAAAAATAGAAAACCTAATACAGATTTTTCGTTTAAATTAAAAAAATGTAATGAATGAATATTTATTTTTGAGGAAATCCTTTCAATTTATAGCATTTTCCCTTTTCTTTGTTTGCTCGCCTCCTCGGCATCTCCGCGGTCGAGCAACCTTGTATATCAATAATGGCTACTTGATAGTGCTGGTGGACGGCATAGCATATGCTCTCTTTTCTTAAAGAATATGCTTATAAATCACTAAAGAAACCTGCTCATCCCAAGAAAAGGATTCAAACCGCGGCTTGGCCGTGGTATTAGAGACTTCACAAAGCTGTGACATGTGAGAATGTGTATCACAAAGAAAGTCATTGGGTGGGATAGTATCTTTCTTATAAACACTTCTCCTATATAAAAAAGTCGTTCCTTCCTTTGTGTGCAGCTTTCTCCTAGAACTCTTGTCTTTGGTTTAAAAGTACCATATCATCGTAGCTTCTTTGTCAATTAAAAGGACTTTCTCAAATTTGTAAATAGGATTTAAGTATACGATATTCCTTCTCTATCCATCTCATTTTGCTTTGCTGTTCGCCTGAACTCCTCCTTCTTTGTTTTCAGAAATTGTTCTAAATTGTGAATTTCTTTCCTACTTGTTTCGAAATGACTACAGAAACAATTGCAGACATCCTCTCTTTACAAAACATTCGCCTCAAGGCCCAAAAAGTTTTAGCCGTTGCCGAGAAAAATGAGCTACAAGCCTTTGTTTACGATCCCACCAAGCTTAACGCCGTGGCAGACTTTGTGGTATCGATCATTCAAGCAGATTTCAAAGGTAAATATGAAACGATCCCTCCTCATGGAAGATGGCAACACTTTGAGGTTGGAAATAATCCACGACTTACTCAACTGATTGATGTTTGGACCGACCAAGGGGTATCATCTCTTGAAGTTTGCAAACGTGTCTTGGACATAACCTTCCTTAGTGTTTTGCTAGATGCAGGTGCCGGTGATGCATGGTCGTATTTGGATGGCGTAGAACGCTATAGCCGTAGTGAAGGGTTAGCGGTTGCTAGTCTTCGTTGCTTTGAGAAAGGCATGTTTTCCCAAAATCCTAAAAATCCCCATCAAGTAGACGGTGCTGCTCTAAGTAATTTGAAAACAGAAGCGTTGGCTGAGGGTTTTCAAGTTTCCAAACAAAACCCAATTGCTGGCATAGAGGGAAGAGCATCCATTCTTCGGGCTTTGGGAAACCAATTGAAGGATTCTCGTCCTAGTTTTTTTATGGATTCTATATTTCCAACGGGGGATTTCTCTTCGGAATGCCTCAATGTTGAAACGCTGTGGTCTGAATTACAAAGAGTATTAATGCCCATTTGGCCTGAGCGTACAAAATATGAAGGGGAGAATATTGGAGATGCTTGGTATTTGTCAACCATCGACTCTATACAACCTTTCCATAAATTAACGCAATGGCTCACATACTCTCTCTTGGTCCCTCTAAACCGTTTGTTACATGTACAAATTGTCAATGAAACACTTTTAACCGGATTACCCGAATACAGAAATGGAGGGCTTTTCGTTGACCTTGGCGTATTGAAGCTTCGTCCCGAATATCCCGTTACCGAAGAGTATGAACCAGGCAGTGTTGTCATTGTTGAATGGAGAGCCATGACCATTGTCTTGCTTGACAAGCTACTAAACTTGGTAAATGAGCGCTTGCAAGAAGAACTAAAGGCCCCACTGTCCTTGGCGCAAATGCTGGAGGCCGGAAGTTGGAAATCCGGAAGAATCATTGCTCGCAAATTACGACCTACAAGTGCCGGCAGTCCTATTCTCATCAAAAGTGATGGTACACTGTTTTAGTTTTTATGATCTCCTTTTCTTTGTTATTGAATGAAATTCCAGGCGTTTATGAAAAATTTTCAAACTAAATAACGGTTTTCCGATGTAGAACAGCTTGTAAACGTCCTCCCCCTTTTTTTAGATTAAAAAAGAAAAGAAAAAAAGGCTAAAAGTTTTTCGTAGAGATGCAAACAAATGACAAGTATTTTCTCTTCACATATTTCAAAAACGTAAATGTAGCAAACCCATTTATGATGACCATAAAACTATTAAAGAGAAATCCTTAAATGCCCAAAATCAAAGGTCAAGCATTCAATTCGAACTCTGTCAAGTCATTGAGAAATCAAAAAGATTCTCTTTTCTTATTAAATCTCTGCGATTCTTTCTTCCAATTCTGTTTGTTTACATGACCCATAAAAAGCGCCTACCTTTTTCCTTGCTTTGTCGCTTAAAGAACAGCCAAATCGATCATCAGCGTACCGCGGATGTCCCGAGGTACATACGTATCCGACAGACCAAAACAATAGACTTTATTTTAGCTTTTCCTCCCATTATGTTTTACGTTAATATCCTCGGCAGCTCCGTGGCTTCGCCGCCATTATATAACCTTGAAAGAGGTGTATGATAAACAACAGATAGAGTCAGAAAAGGGTATAAATAAGACAGCGTCCGCCACAAAGACATTCAACAACAGAATTGATTTATACGTTGACAATTGGAAGAATTGCAATTGGGTTCTTTCAAATTGAAGTTTTCTTAATTGGACTGTTTACGTAGAACGTATTTCCTCACACACTCTAGTTTCCTAAAGCATAGCATAGTATACAATGTTGGCTACTGAACAACCAAAGCCTAGCTCTCATGAACAGACTCACCCAAACGTCGAGGTGAAGAAACCTCTGTATACACGACCGGTTGTTTTGACGACTTACCCAACACAAAACAAGTCTGATCCTTTCCCTCTAAATTGGGGAGCATCGTCACCTCAGAAGCGTGGCCCTATAACGGTTGCTCGTTCCATTGAGACCCTTCCTCACAGAAACGCTATAGGAGCTCATGGCGGTAGTTACTGCGTCTACAACTCGTTGGCCGTGGCCGGTGGGTTTTTGCCAGCTGATCATCACCCGGATTTTACTCTCACAGAACCTACCTTTGATGTTCCTAAAGTTGCTTCCTGGCACGACAAGAATAAGATTGTGGCCATGGATCCCTATGGTCATGACACCCCTCGTTATTTCAAAGAGTACTTGGAGAAGGGATATGACATCCGTCCCACCATTGCTATTACTCGCGCAAACATCCGAGTGACCGAAATCCAACGCTCTGTCGAAAATGGGTCTCTCAAGGTAGACGGCAAAATTGTACTCAACAAGGAGGGAGACATTGCCGTCACGAAGGTGGCAGTAGAGCCCGTTTGGTATCTTCCGGGAGTCGCCGAGCGATTCGACGTGGACGAGATTACCCTTCGTAGAGCCCTATTTGAACAAATGGGTGGTGCTTATCCAGAATTAATTACCCGTCCGGATATTAAGGTCTTTCTTCCACCCATTGGCGGTGCTACTGCTTACATCTTTGGTCCTCCCGAATACTTGAGTGATCCCACGAAAAAGTTGGCTGTCCGTGTCCACGACGAGTGCAACGGATCTGACGTTTTCCAAAGTGACATTTGCACCTGCAGACCTTATTTGGTTTTTGGTATTGAAGAAGCCGCCAAAGAAGCACAGAATGGTGGTGCTGGTCTAGTAGTTTACTACCGCAAAGAGGGCCGTGCTCTTGGTGAAGTCGTTAAATATCTGGTTTATAATAAGCGTAAGCGTACTGGAGATACCGCTGATCAGTACTTCCGCCGAACTGAAGAGTTGGCGGGTGTTCGCGATATGCGTTTCCAAGCTTTAATGCCAGACATCCTCCATTGGTTCGGAATTACCAAGATTGATCGCATGCTTAGTATGTCGAACATGAAGTACGATGCAATTGTTAATTCTGGAATTCCTATTTTGCAACGCGTCACGATTCCAGAAGAGCTCATTCCTGCTGATTCACAAGTCGAAATCGACGCCAAAATTCAATCTGGATATTTTTCTGATCAAAAGAAAGTCACAGAAGAGGACTTAACCTGTGTTCACGGACGTACCTGGTGATGCAGAATTAGTTCTTCTTTTCATGTAATTGTCTTTTGAAATTTTGTTAGTTGCATTCATTGTTTCCTCATAGGTTCAGGTTTTGTTTATGCCCTTTACGAGCCATGTCTATTTACCTTTCACCTTCGTGTTAATAATATTTTTCTTTTTCTTTTAGTCCATCCCTTGTAAAATGCAATGTAAGCTCTTAGAGTAGAGAGTATTCTCCCATGAAAATACTGCATAACATTTGCCAACACATTATCACACAAGACTTTCTCTAGTCATACAGAATGTTAAATTTAACTTGTTCGTTCCTTTTTGGTGCTTCTGGTAAAGTAAATAGTACATGTTTGGCGAGAATGATTAACATTGTCAAATTTTCCATCTTTGCGACTATATGAGATGCCTCAAGCAGGCTAAACAAGCAATCCTTCCCAAATCAAATACAGCTTTCGACTCGTAAGTTTCGTACATACTTCACGTTCGTAAAACATAAAAATAGGTCAAACAATAAACTCATTCATATTTCGTCGGGGATTATCGTACACAGTTGCATCAGAAAAGTTTTCAATATTACAGAGCGTCTCTGGACAAGTATTATACTAAAGATAAATAAAGCTATAATTCAAGACAAATAAGCATTCGAAAAATTGAAAGCAACTAGAGAACAGCGTTTGTTTTGTAGTAAGCGTCTTCCATTCTTGTAGTTGTAAAGTATTCCTAGGAAATACCTTCATCCAAAAACATTGTCAGCTGAACTAACAGACTTATTTAATTATACTGTCTATAGTATTACCTAAGCCCTTCATATAGTAAATTTCTTCAAAAAAATTGATATATAAAAAGTAGATACATGTTGCATTCAAGTTGTTTTACTTTTTTACCGGCAGACGAATATGCGAAACTCGTTTTTTGAATGTTATAATAGTAAAGAATACTACTAGAATATGTTGTACCTATGTTGGTAAATTTCTCTGTCGAAGGATTCTCCTTTTTTTAGGTTGTCGTCTATTTTCTTCCTCTTTTTTTTTTTAATAAATAATTACCTAAAGGACTGTATCTGAACAGATACTTTCATTTCCATCCGCAATAGTGGAATCTTGCTTCTTTTGTATCATCGAGTTTTAACTAAATACGAACGATCGATCTCGCTTTCACCGGTATAATATAAATTAAAAATTTTAGCTGGAAAGTTCAATTATTCTGGTCATCCTGAAGATCAAACTTAAAAAAAGAACTGTTTGGGGGAATTTACGATATTTTGGGATAGGCAGGCTTTCAAGCAGATATCCATATTCAACTTTTGGTATACCTAAACATTAACAAGCATCTTGTGCCGATTGCTTGGATTCTCTCTGCTAATGAGTTCTTTTTTTTTGCACGCATACTACTAATAAAACAAACTTGAAGGGTCCTTAATGAATGGAATGAAAGCCCAACATCCATCTAGCATTCTTATGCTCAAACGGAAAAGAGCATTGGAAGCTTGTGACTCTTGCAGAAAACAGAAAACACGATGTCTCGCTGGACCACCTGACGATGAAGATCGCACTTGTTTGCGGTGTCGTTCTTTACAATTAGAATGTAGCTTGGCTAAATCTAGCCAGACTCTCCGCAAGCCAGATGGCGACACCTTGGAATCTTCAGCAGCAACCATTCTCAATGTAAATCTTGAAAAAAGGTATGCTCTTTGTAAGCATCAAAACGGTGCATTTTCTTCTATTTCATTGTTCTTTTCCTAACTTCTCATTTTAGACTCAAAGTTTTGGAAAAGGCCGTAAGCTCTCTTTCAACATCAGCCCTCCATACACAACCGACTTACCCTTCTGAAGACATATACCTCAATGGTATTCTCTCCCTTGAGGAAATTGAGCTGTTATTAGACATTTTCATTGAGCGCTATGGTAAGCGTTGGCTATCACTTAATTGTAGTGGTGCTGAATACCTTGAGTTTCTTTACCGGAAATCTCACCTTATGCTTGTAACAGCTTGCGTTACAGCTCTTCGGCACAACCCTTCTCTTAAGGCACGCGTGTATTCACAGTTACTTGATATAGTTGATCGCCTCGTTTCACAGGAATTACTTACTGCATCACCATCTCTGCAATTTTTTGAAGCTGTCTCTATATTATCTTTATATCAACCTCTTCGCTATGTCCAAAAACAAGATCTTTGGCTTCTTAGCGGGTTTTCCCTACGGCACCGCATCCTCTCAAATACCCAAGGGTGGTTTAATGGATTCGTAGGTTCTCGATCAACCCTTACTTATTTAGATATTGTTCCTGCCCGTACTTGGAATCATCTTTGCCATGCTCATTTACTCGTGTGCATAGGATATCGTCGACATGCTATGCTTGAAGAAACAACATTTGATGAATGTAGAAATATTTTGACTAACTGCAAAGCTAATGAATTTGATGGAAATATCCTTGGTATGTTGTCTGTTTACTCCTTGTTGTATCGTTTGCTTCGTTCGTCCTTTGATTTAGATTATGCCGTTTTTCAGCTCGAAGAATGGCGAAAGGAATGGTGCCATCTATGGGAACAACCTGAACCATTATATTCACAGGTTGCTTATTTTTATGCTTACAACGTTATTTATGAAATTGGCATCCAAATGACCTCGGATTCGAAGCATTTCACTAATATTGCAAAATACGTTAGTATGCTTGAAACATATGCTTTAAAAACTGTTGATTCTATTTTTGAACTCTCTGCTTATGATATGTCTCGTTGTTCCGACCACGTTTTGTTTCATGTGGCCTTTGCCTGTGCTAGTATGCTACGATTAATGTATGCCGCGAAAACCAAAGACATCGGTTCTCTAGCTGTTCAAACAGAACTTTTGAATGAAGTTGTCACAAAAGCATGGAAATGGCTCTTATTGATTAGCGTCGATCAATATCATCTGGCTACCAAATTCGCTACCTACTTAAAAGAGTACCAGGCTACTGTCAACGACGTGGACCCAGAAACGTTCCTTTCTTCCTCCAAAACAGGTTCTTCTATCGTTCCTTCTCCTTCTGATCCAACTACAGCCCCGTCCACATGGTATAGAGGCCCACCTCGGGCGGTATCCGATGCAACACTGCAAGCATTAAAGCCATATAATTTAGGAGTGGCTACTGTGGAACACGGTTAATACTGTTGTCTCATTCTTTTCTTTGAATGATAAAATTCTTTCCTTTTCTTTGTATAATGGTATGTAACAAAAAAACAAGAGGGATCAGGGTACCGCGGAAGAGCCACGGAAATATGAATGAAGTGTATAACTAAGTATCAGACTTTGTTCATATATATGAAACAAAAATTCCTGAAATATGCCCTTTTATTTTACAAATATTATCGTTTTCGTATCCAATTATTCTCGCTCTTGTGTGTCGCATTCCCGTCTCCATCTTAATCCTTGTTAATTCTTACATGTCTCGTTCTGATTTTGGGCTAAATAATGTGCATGTTCTTCGTCAAACTGTGTATTTATTATCGTTAATGACAATTATTCGTGACAAAGATACTAGTCATTCAGAATTTGTCCGAACGTCAAATATGATCATCAACATGCTGGTACAAGAGGCATTGAATTATGTCCCCATGAAGAAACGTCTTATTGTTAGTGGTTCTGGCGGTACGTACAACGGACTAGAGCCTGCTCAAAAAATATGCGGTGTAAGTATTCTGAGAGCTGGTGAAAGCATGGAACATGGCCTGAATGCTGCTTTTCAATCTGTGCCAATTGGAAAAATCCTTATCCAAAGAGATGAGTTGACTTTCGAGTCAAAGCTTTTATTCTGTAAATTGCCCAAAAATATCGAAACCTATCTGGTTTTCCTTATGGACCCTTTATTGGCAACCGGGAATTCTTCTATTCTTGCCGTACAAGCACTATTACGAAAAGGCGTACCGGAGGAAAATATTGTTTTTCTCAATTTGATATGCTGTTCCCAAGGCATCGAGAATATAGGAAAGCAATTTCCTAGACTCAAGCTGGTTACTGCAGCTATCGATCCAGAACTAAATGATCAACGGTATGTTTTTTATACTGCTTTCTACTTTTTAAGCTGTACTAACCCTTCTTTAGCTATGTTTTACCTGGTTGTGGAGACTTTGGAGATCGCTACTTTGGTACTTGTTAAACCGTCTGTAAACATTTGCACATAAAACGCCATGTATGCTTACGATTCTTTTTACCTTGTATATCTATTTATGTAAGAATATATATTGTTGAACAGACTATGCAATAATGTCTCATTTAGTTAAGTGAATAAATATACAATAGACGAATATGGGAAATTATAAGGGTTATATAAAGTCGTTGTCCTATTCTGCTAAGTATAGTAAAAAGCCAATTGCTCAACAATTTCGTTGTTGGAAAGATCATGCTAATCGAGAAAAAAACTTCTTGGCGAGTAGATTCATTGATATAAAAGAGGTATAAGTAACGTTTCTACTAGTTTAAATAGAAAACAAAACTCTCAATTATCAAGTACGGCTTTTTTAAACAACCACCCTTCTAAACTGCATAGTTTATTATATTAATCCTTTTTATAATTATCTTTTGGATGAAATGAGACTTATATCAGACATCATTAGACTGAAAATGAAATGAAAGAACTTACCCTGTTTACGGAAAAAACGTACATAAATAAATAACATATTATTAACGTAAAGAAAGACATAACATCTTAATCATACAAAAATGGAAAATAAATATCTAAAAATAAATAAAATGAAGCCCTGATACCTGCATTGATTCAAATGAAAATGCTATAGCTATTTTTCGTCAATAGGTGATTTTGATATAAATACATAATAAATCAAGGAATCAAGGCAGAAATTAACTAATCCAAAACCAAAAAAATTTAAACGAAACGACTAACAATTAGTGAGATACGTAAAAAGAAAAAAAAAAATATGACTTATGGCAAACAACCAACTTCTTTGGAGTTAAGACTGTGAATATCGCTCTTCTCTTCTTCTTTGCTTGGCAAACCATCAATGAAGTAATCAGAAGAAGTGTCAGTTGTATCTTCGAGACTGATTAAGAACTCCTCTGTTTCTTGAGGTGTTTCACTTAAGAATTTCTCACCAATCTCAGTGACAGGGAACACATAGCAGAGCAAAATATGGGTTAAGCCGCTGACTATAAATCCCAAAAAATAATTGAGATTAAACATGGTATTTGCGGCAGCCGGCACTTTCTGACCGGTGGAGCCAGCCATACCAACAATGTTTATCAACATGCCGCAAATATAAGAAACAAAGCCACGGAAGTTAATCCCCTTGTAAAAGTAATAGCAACTGGAATCATCGGCTCTATAAAGATGTGAAGTTCGAATATATCCTTTACGGATTATAAAATAGTCAGCAATGAAAATTCCGGCAAAAGCGGACATGAAAACGGAGTAAGAAGAAAGATAGGTGGTAAAATTGTTGCTAGAACTGAGCAAATTCCAAGGGCACATACAAATTGCAATTATGGAAGCGAGATAAGCACCACGGCGGACATTAAACACAGTAGGAAGTAATGCAGAGACATCGTTACCGGCAGAAACAGAGTTTGCAGCAACATTTGTACCAAGTTGGGCAACACAGAGACCGAAAGCGATGAAAAAAACACCAGCTCGGACGCCATGGGCATTTGAATGATTCAAAAAAGCTGAAAGAAGTTCAGTTGGGTCCCAATAAGCGTTGCCATAGATTGACTTGGAAGCAGAACTGACGAGGATACCAATCAAAGATGTGATACCAAATGAGAGGGGTACAGTAATAATTTGAGGCCAGCGATTGGCATTAGGTGTAGTTGCAAATCTCGCAAAGTCTGGACTATTGACGGCCAGAGTAGCAAAACCGTCCAAGACAGTTACGATGCCATTTACGACAGTCCAACCATGTTCCCACGTTGAAAGCCTTGTAGGTTCGTGAATGACAGGACCGGCTCCTTTGGCTTTAACGAGGGCCCAAATTAAAAAGGCGACAGCGGCAGGAGGAGCGATAAAAGCTTTCATGGTAAAAAGATGGCGGATTTGATGAACTGGAAACCAGATCGCAACATTTGAAACGAGCCAAAAGATAAAGAAGCCCACCCATTGGTAAGTTTGGGTACCACTTTTCTCCATGGTATTGTGGATATGGGAAAAGGAGGGCCAAATAGATCTTATCATTAAAACAACACATTCACCTCCAATCCACGCGTGGACGCCAAACCAAATGCAAGCCATAGCACTGCGATTCAAAACGGGCCAGAAAGAACCCCATATACCAAATGAACATCTGGAAAGTACAGGAAAAGAAATATGATAGACGGCACCAGGACGACCAGTTGCGGCGATCAAAAGACCACAAATCATGTAGCCTACCCAAACGCAAATCCAAGCTTCCCACCAATTGAGACCAGCTTCAATGGCAGTAGCGGAAATCATCCAGGTATTAATGTTTACAGACTCGGCGAGCCAGAAAGAAACATAATTCCAATAACCCCAAAGACGCTTGCTGCTAGGGACAGGATATAAATCTTCGTTAGTCAACATTCGTTGCTTTAAAGATAAGCCGGGCTTTTGTTCCAACAAAATAACATCTTTGAGTTTTTTGTAGACTTTATTTTCTGTGATTTTTTCCATATTGCCCATGATTAAAAAAAAAATAAAAATAAAAGACGGTACTTTCCAAACAATAAAATAAAACAAAAGAGAAGAAAAAGATTAAAGAAAAAGGAGAAGAGAAAGGAAGCCAAGAAAAAAAGTTCGTGAGGGACAACTGTCTATAAAAGATTTTCAAAGGAGGTTTTGTACGACGAAAATTTTTTCGTGATATTTCGAATCCAAAATAGTATACAAATAAATGCTTTTTTTTTTTTAGATTCAAACTGGCTTGAAAGGAAGGATATAAAGCGGATATTTGCCCAATACTGCAGGGCGTGGTGTTTGGGAAAGACAAGTTTCGGACGCACACAATGAAAAATTTTATGCAGGGACGAAGCATACGATTAGCACAACTTCGTTAACCAAATAAGCTTTTTCGAAACGAACAAAACAGTTGTAACTCCAAAAACAAAATTTCGCGCTATGAACCTGTAGAAGTAAAATGCGGCAAATGTGTTCTCGAAGAGAGCTGTAGGGAGTAAGAACAATTGTTTTGTTATTTAAAACCGACGGCCTTGAGTCTCTATTTTATTTTTAACTGTGAATGTTCCTCGCAAAGTTTTGGAAGACGATTGAACAAGATGTCCGTTCAGGTGGACAAAAAAAACAGCCAACGAAAAATGGATAAAGAAAGGATTAAAGAGAGTCTAATGGAAAACACTCCACAAAAGAACGGGAAGATTTGAAAGCAAACAAGAAGTGCAATGGTTTCAATTTTAAAAGGACTTTGAAAGGACTGAGCAACGTTTTCTTTCCTTGGCGAATTAAGGAAGTAAAGAATATCAACTGAAAGCCAAAGGAAAAGAAAAAGATGACTTTACTCGTGCAAGGAAATTGGCTTTATATATGTACTTTTCCAGCTATCGTATCTTAAACATACGTTTCTGCTCCTCCATTCTGATTATCAAAAAGCTTTGCTTGTCTTATCGGATTCTTTCCTATCACTGAAGGAAAGAAAAGTTTGAGATACACATAAATAAATAAAAAACATAGCCATTGCTGTTTTGACTTAGTATCAAGTTGGAAGGAAACCCACCGTTCATCATTTCAGTTCACCTCTATGGTTTCTTGCTTTCTCGCTTTTCTCTCTGAATTCTTTGGAGTTTTTTGACTAGATTTAGTAATTGTAAGCTCTTAAATAAATGAATTCGCTTTTATTTTTGTTTTAGAAAGCTCGCAGCCATCTTAATCCTCGAATAGATAAATTGCGTTACATGTAGTGCAAACAAAGTAAAATCATTTTCAAAGGTTGCATTTGTTTTAGTTTACTTTCTTTCAGTTCATTATTTTTCTGGCGCGTTTTCTTTCCTTGAAGCCAAGTTTTTGCATGGCTGTTAAATAGGAAGAGACCTCTTTATTCTTTCTCTTAGTTGGTTCAATATAAAAGTCATTCATTCCTTACTTGTAAAGTATACTATAGTAGCTAAAGTAAACCCAAGATACCCTTTGTTATTGTCGTTAGCTTCTAACTTGTGTTCCACCACATATATTGCAATATGGCAAAGACATGTAAGAAATGATGTTTCAGATGTAAAAACTCGTCAGCTAATCTCGTAGTCACAACCCAATATCTAAAATTGTATAATGTTTTATCTTGCTTTTTATGGCTAAGTGTCTTAATTCGAGCTGGCTTGCTTTGGCATATCTCTGGTGATCAGAGAGTGGTCTTCAATCAAACAAACGTCTTGGTACGTTGGGTCCAAACATTGGCCTTAGCAGAAGTCTTTCATAGTATTCTAGGATTCGTAAAATCATCTCCCTTCACTACTTTTATCCAAGTCCTTTCTCGTCTTATCCTTGTTTGGGGAGTCTGCTTTCTTTTTCCACAAAGCATCAATACCTCTTCTATCTACATATTCATGATTTTAGCTTGGTCCGTTACTGAAGTTATCCGTTACGCATTCTACGCTTGTAATTTGGCTGGCAGCGTCCCAAAGTGGCTTTTATGGCTTCGTTACAATACTTTTATTGTTCTGTATCCCATTGGTGCCGGAAGTGAATTCTTGCTCGTCCTTAAAACATTTCGTATTGCCTGGAATACTTTCCTTATAAGTAAAATTGTGTGGACCGCTGCCACTGTAATCTATCCTTTCGGTATGTACTCTGTTTATTCTCATTTTGTTGTACTAAAACTTTTCTTTCTTTTCTTTCTCTTCATTTCTTACTATCTATTTGTGCAAGATCAAGATGAAAGCACACTTATAATGTCGTCCCTTTACAAAAACTAACATTTTTTAGGATTCTATATGTTGTACACGCATATGATTTCTCAACGTCGTAAAGTTCTTAAGCTCTCAAAGAAGAATGTTTAGGTTTGAGACATAGTGGAACATTGCTTCTTTATCTGACTTTCAATTCCTTCATTGCTTCCATTTGCTAAAAGGCTTTTATACTAAATCACTCTTTTCCTTAATCAATTCATTTTAAAAGACTATACAAACAATTGATATTTGTTTATTCTATTTCCTTCTTTCTCATGAGATACCATTTCTCATGGGTTTTGGCGACAAAAAGGTCATAAATTATATGAAAGCACAGTACTTAACACAGAATTTTTAGTAAAGGACGTAGGAATGCTTTTCTTCACCTTCCATCATGTTCTTCTTCACTACCAAAAGCAAACCTTAATTGTATTGTATTCGTAAAAGCATTGTAGAGAACCTATCTACATCAATCTATCACTTTATTGTAGTTTTATGGCTCACTTTTAGTAGTTCTTCAGCGTCGTCCCCCACGAGTTGGTAATGGCGTACCACGAGCAGGTCCTACTTTGAACATAGGTGCGTTTCTAAGTTGGTCAGTAAAAATCACTTTCAATATTACGGAAACAACTTACTTCAGCATGTCTGGAACAATCAAAAAACGAATGTGAGATCCCCGAATGTATACTTGGTCAAGATGAGAAACGCGTCCATCTCTGGCGGTGACACTAATGTCTTTCATCTGGCAGTTCATATTGTCTTCCGCTGATAAATTTGTTAGTCAACGTTTACGACTGGTACTTACCTTCAATCAGTTTGCCTCTATAAGTAGAACCATTTTCCAATTCCATACTAACAATGTGCCCTAACAATCAACGTTAGTGTTCTCAATCTCTTTTTGAAAAAGAAAGAAAATTTAATAAATAATTATTAAAATACCTTGGGACTCATGAAGCAGCTTTAAGCACAAAGACATGATTCACTTGAATTGCCTTTTGTGGTTAGTATACAGTAGGTGCTATGCTATGCCTGTAAAAACCTTTGCCCACTACAAACGCTGCGTACACCAGTCAAAATTACCATTTAAAAGGTTGTATTTGGTTAGATTGGACTTTATTAAAAGAAAGAATTAAATACCAATCTTATTCTGAAGAATTGGCCTTACTTTTTAGAGTAGGAGAAATGCAAAACATTAACGAAAATGACAATGACAGAGTTTTTCTTTGCAAAAAGTGCAAGAAACAGGCAACCGTAATGAGTAGGTCCGAATATACTTGTGATGGATGCTTTGTCCGTTCAACAGAAAACAAGATCCGTCGTCAGTTTGAGCTTTTACGTCCTAATTTGGAGAATCGACGCTCACAAAAGGCCTTGCTCGCTGTTTCTGGAGGAATTTCTTCAATGGCTATGTTGGAAACAGCGTATTATCTTTCGCGACACAGAAAAGATAATTATCGACCAATGTTTGATGATTTCTTGGTTGTCCATTTGCAAAGCAAATCTTTGCAAAACGAAGAAGAGTGTACGCAAACGATCAATGTTATAAAAAAAGCCATCGATAATCGTTATACACAATGTAAATTCGAGGTCATCCAGGAAGAAGATTTATTGAAGGAGGCATCTTACATAGACGGTAATGGCAACTTTTCTAGTGGCGGTACATCTGAACACAATACCTTCAACCTCGAGGCTATTCCATCCTTAGCCTCAAGACAAGACTTGTTGTATCGTATTCGCGAGCAAGCCCTTGTTGCCATTGCCGAAAAGGAACATTGTGATACCATCGTTTTCGGTGACTGCGGTACAACAATTGCTGCTCGCGTTTTGGAGCTTGTAGCCCAAGGAAGAGGATACGCCATTCCTTGGTGCACGTCTGTTTGCTCCAAGCTTCCTGAGTTCCCAGTATCTTTATTGCGTCCTCTCCGTGATGTATTGTCTTCCGAGCTGAATTCTTATATGAAAATCAAACAACTTGATTATCTACCTAAAGAAATTGAAGAACGCCCTTCTACAATATCTGGTGTAGCAGAAAATTACTTTACAAACTTGAACAATCATTTTCCCAGCTTAGTGAATACAGTTGTACGGATGTCGTCGAAATTGGGCGTACCAGAAGTGCAGAAAACATGTTCACTCTGTAAATTACCAATGCAGGAAAACGCGGAAGCCTGGTTACAAAAAACTACAGTGCAGCATCCTAGTGAAAGGCAAGAAGATGCAGCCGCTAACCCTGATATATGTTATGCTTGCTCTGTTTCACTAAAGAACATAAAACAGCCATTACGGATTCCCACGGTCAAAAAGGAGCAGTAAATAAGGGTCTTATTGTATATTAATATTTTTGGATTTCTTTACAAATATTGGGTAAACACTAATTTATAGAGTACAAGGACAAGGATAAAAGGGAGGAAAGGATGGATTAGTTAATAATATTAAAAGTACTTTGTTTATGCCGAACTAGGATTGCTAGATTGTCCATCATTTTTTTTCGTAAACCTGGTATGACTTTGCTGATTCAGAAAAAGGACTCCAAACACCACGCACAGAAGGATTCGTAGATTGAACGGGTTGTTTGATAAATCGTGGTTTCAAACCATCACTATCACGACACATCATAATTTTGTCCGTAATCTGCTTGATGTCCATCTTTCTAGTGCAAATCGTTTTTTCACGTCCAGTATCTAAAAGGTATTTAGTTAGTATATAATCCAAAAGCTCACAGCCTCATGTCATGCCAGCTGCGGTATTAGGTTCCGTGTCGAGATTACTTACTGTAAAATGCTCGTATCAAAGGATGCACTCCTTGTCTGTTGTAAACATGAAACTCGATATCTTGAGAATCTTTAGCAATAGAAGCCAATTTTTTCGTTAAAAACTCTTTCATTGATTTGGAACTTCCGCCCCAATTGCAATATGAGAGTTCAATCCTTTGACACTAATAAAAATTCATTAGCAGCTGCACACCTCATGCCTGTTTCTTTTTTTGTTTTATACATACTGGGCGGATAAAAGAACCCAATCCATTTTTGGGTATGGCCGTTTTGTGCACGATTTCAATCATTGTCTAGTGGATTGAGGCTTCTTTTACTATATAATGAACCAACGGAGAAACACAAAAGAAAAAGCTAAAAAGAACAAAAAAATAAAAGAATTCAAAATAGGGCGAACTCCTGAAAGAACGCTTATTTTACAGAACTGCTGTACAAGGTAAGGTGGGTGTGTAGGAATGGCTAGTGGAAGGAGATGCGATTCAGGCAGGATTGTGAAAATTACTAGTCCATAATATTAGCCAACGACAAATGCACTAGAATAGGTATTTGAATTAAACTTGTTTTCTACTTTCCACCATCCGTTTGGGATGATTTGAATCGATTTTTAGATTTTCAATGCTTTTGAATTTCTTCTAAGAAAAGTCAACCTCGCTATCAAATAAAGAGAATTCTCATATACATACAAATAATTGTATAGCTTTTTTTGAAAGATTACTATTCAACGCTGAAGATTATTGATATGAAATTTCACAGATATTCCACTGATGAATGAATGGGTTAAAAGCCTTGGATGGCAGGATCGCATTTTTGATAAAATTATTGTCTGAAAAAAAAAATTTCTTAATGATATGGAAACCTCTGTACCTACTGAAGTTTTGGATATCAGATTGCTAAATCATATCATTCTTCCACCAGTCTTAAAATCTAGGTATGAAATTCTGGAAAACAATTCACACTTCTTCTTGGACATTTTCTTTCTAATTACCTTTTTGCAGAAGATGGGTACTGCCGGTGCTACTCTCATGGGACTAGCATTAACTTATTCCCCTTCTAATGTGAAATGAATGACTCAGTAGGGTACTGAACAATATTGCAGAAATCCCAATGTTACGTATTAATGTAAATATATATCTATCTTGCTTAAGGACTGCTGGATGATGAAAATGCGAAAGTGAAGAGACAGAAAATTAGCACTGAATGCTTTAAACTTATACCAAACTCAAGCAATCAGACAATGCACTGAACGATAATTAATCACCCTTAATGAATTGATGTGTTGTTTAGCAACGCTGACAATTTCACTTCTCTTATTATTGATTCTCTTTCTTTTTCTTTCTAACCCTAGATTCTATATTGTTTGTTTACCGTTTTGGAATAGCATACATTAACGAAGTATTTAATCTAAATTTTCACGCTTGTTAAAATTTCGTTAAACCCCAGTCTTCCCGTATAACGTATAGCTGTTAACGGACCCGCCACTAGTCGATTACAAACCTGCCATCTACAAGTATCGAGAGAAACAGATTTGAGCGGAATTGTTAAAAAGAGCATATTTTCAAGACAAAAAGTATATGAGACAGAAAAAAGAATAAGGCTTTGAGTACATTAATTTGTCCAAGGTCACCATTTGACTCTGAAAATGTCGTTTCGAATAAGTGGTTGGGGTGAACAGTTTTCGGAAGCCTTCTATGAACGGGCTACAGCATTATTGAGTGCCGCCCTTAACAAGGGCGCAAAGCATTCATTAATTGCTGATCGCATCACTGTGAAGGAATTGAATATGGGTGAACAACCACCAGAATTGGAGATTCTAGAAATAGGAGATCTGGCGCCTGATCGGTTTCAAGGTTTATTTAATTTCCATTACTCGGGAAATGCATCACTGGTTTTGCAAACAAAAATTCGTGCGAATCCTTTATCTGTGGAAAAAAGAAAAGTACCTAGTTTTGGTGCAAAAAATACTATGCTAGCGTCTTGTGCTCCGTTAACAGTCCCTATGTTCTTGCGCTTGTCAAATCTTAAACTGAATGGTATTGTTGTTTTAGTATTTTCAAAGCAAAAGGGAATCACTATGGTGTTTCGCAATGATCCTTTAGAGTCTTTGCGCGTTTCTTCCTCCTTTGACTCAATTCCTGCGATAGCTCGGTTTTTGCAGAGAGAGATAGAGGTGCAACTTGCTGCTTTGTTCCGAGAAGAACTCCCTTCTATCATTTACAAAATGTCTCGTTTATGGTTTGCCAAAGCAGATCCAGCCCTTCCTTTTTCAGTTCCTAAACCAAAACCAACTTACTGTGGAACTTCCAGGGAGGCTGAATTGCCAGCTTCTTCAAACTCGGACTATCTGGATGGACCGCCGGATTACATTGAATCCACTAAAGTCGATGCTCAGTATCCAATGAAAATGGGTCCGTTAGATGTCCATGCTCATTCTAATCTTCAGTCGTTGACAAACTTGGCTTTGTCAAGAAACTGTCTGCATCCAAAATCCTCAAAAAACATTCCTATGTGCATATTTAGGTCTACTCCGTTCGATACCATTCATCGCCTTTCGGCGCAATCTGAGGACTCCACGTGTACTCCTCCTTCAACAATTTCCCCTTCTCCTTCTACAGATTATTTCTCTACTCAGCATAATGTTTCTACAGCAGGATCTCCGCGACCTACAATATTTGGCAAAATGAAGAATGCCCACCCACATCGTCGTCGTGAACAAGTTAAAAAACGTCACGTTATCCGCTTACAACCATCAAAAACCGTGAAACCCTCGCCGTCTAATACAAATTCTGCTACTCATAATTCGGACCCTTTTGTCTGCGAATCACAATCATCTGCAAATAAAGAAAAGTCTGCAGTTGAAGATTCTCTGGAAAAAAAGTCAGAAAAAGTAATCCTTTGTGATTCTGATATCAAGGATCCAATTGAAAAATCTCCTTTATTGGACAGCCCTATTCCTCGTTGGAGAGCAGACGAATTACAAAGCAAGTTAAAAGCGGAATTAATATCAAATAAGCCTCCCCACACGCGACATAATTCGATAAAGCTGCTCGCTCTGCAGCGATTGTTGCAAGCTAATCGCTCTTTTTGATTCTTTCTTTTTTGTTTATTCGCTCGCTCTGTGTATATCTCGAATAATGTACGAGAAAAGGAGCGGTTAAAAGATTCCATTGTGCTTATTACTAGCTAACTGAAACTATCAAGCATATTTTTATGGCTTTTGTATATTACCACTGAGAAGCGTTTCTTTTTTATTTATACTCCGTTAATGTTTTTACCTTTACGTTGCTGATTTCGACAATTAAAAGTTGAGTTTTAAGATTGACTTTGAATAATATCATCGCTAAAATATTATATCTAAGAATGGTAGTGTCGTATATATGTAAAAGTAAAAACAAACAAACAAACAAATTTTGAAATGAGAAATTCATAGAAAAACTATTGAAAGCCTTTGGGGTTCAATACTAGTATTCAAATTTCCAAGACAATAGCGAGTAAAGGTACCTTTAAAAAGAGAGGAAGCCCAGAAACATTAATTAGCAATATATATGTGTAGAATTCGTTCAGTACCGTTGTAACAATCCCATAAACCAGCCAAATAAAAAGGTTCGCACTATTTACGAAACCAAAGCTAGTTATGCGTTCCTTTAAACCACTTTCAAGAAAATTAGGCATTTTCATAATCACTTAGTGCTTTGGGAATCTTATCTAAATAAGCATAATTATGTTCAAGCATGCAAAAGTTTGACGGAAACAAACCAGTATTTCCAGTCAAACTTCCATCATCATTTAGCTGCTCGCCTACCCACCATCCGTCATTAACTTTTTTTAAGACAAGTAAAATGTCATTTTTTTTCAGAGCTAACTCATCCTCCATTTGTGGTTCATATTGATATTTCATCCTTACAACCTCCAAGCCTCTATGATGAGGTACAACGGAAGGTAAACTTTTACTGCGTTGATTTGCAAATTCTTTTTGTTTTTCATATGAGTTTGTTGATGTGGGCATCTCTGAAAGCGAAGAACGTTGACCAGATTCCATTTTCACTTTGGGTATATAATCGCTTTCAGAATCACGGGAATATACTTCTGACTTGTCATGAGAAACAGAATAACTTGAAGATGTGTGTCCTGTAAACACTGGCTTCGATTCAGTAGGTATTTCAGGCGTTGGCGACCTTCTAAGCGGCCGTTGAAATGGTGTATCACCTAATTGCAACTCTTCAATGTCCTTTAACAATTTGGCTGGTAGTAAAGCTTCTTCCTCAGCAGTAAGAGGTGTTGGAGCAGTCAATGAAGTTGGCTCTAACCTAAGAGAAGGGGAAGAAGGTTGGGGATGCATAGCCTGATTAAGGTCTTTGCAAATGACAGAAGGAGAAGAAGCTAAAGACTTTGTAGAATATGATCGTTTTGAACGATTCGTAGGCTCGTGAGTCTCTCCAAAATTTGGAGACTCCAATGGACGTAAGACATTAAGACATTGTTCATGAAATTGAGTTTGTTTGCGTACTAACAAAATAAGCTTATTGACTTGACTAGACTGTGCGAGGAAAAGTTGTTAGTAGGAGTGAGTGAATAGGCATGCTTACCTCCAGTTCTCTTAATTCAATCATTCTTTCCTCAAAATCTTCCAACGTTGTTTCATATTTTCCTCTTGCCATCCGTAATTCTTCTTCAATTTTGGAATCCTCCTTTTTAGCTTTCTGGATTTTGGTCGAAAGCGCATCAAATACCAATCTTCTATTCTCAAGCTTTTTCTCTTTCATCTCCAAAACCTTTTTTTGTGAAAGCCATTCATTCAACTCTTTCATGTACGATTCAGTGACGAAGCGAACGAAGTTTTCTTGTAGCGCTCCAATCTGAATTAATGTCTTTCCGTACATGTTGTAAGTGTCGGAATGTACAGAATAATTCGATAAAATGTATCCTAAATTAAGGAAAGAATCACCTAAAGCGGTAACTGGTAGTGCTTTTTCCTGCTCATCCAAGGATGACTTCTTACGTCCCATAGATTGTACCCATTGATTAAAATTTTGATGCAACTTTTCAATTCCAGTAAATCGAAGTTCCATTTCTCTTTGTAACTCACAGAAATCATCCGAAAGAGTCGTTTTCTGCCGATCGAACCCAAAACGCTCTCCTGTCCATTGTGATAACCTTGCAAAATGTTTGTTCATACTAAAAATCGTTCAAAACCTCCCAAAAATCTTACAGTTCAAACTTCTTAAAACCTATGAAACATTGGCGTAATTAATAGAAGACACAAACCATTGTTTATGAAGGATGGTTGCTACGGTACGCTAATTGAGTATGTGTACTGATATCATGTTAATTAATAAAATATTATAGAAAAGAGGTATTTTTACCAAAGCGCTATGGATACGTTTATCTTTGCAAAGTAGAATTACAAAAACCAGTTTATTTGTTACCGTGGTTAAAACAGAATAAACATTTGCAAATAGAATTTTTTCTAGGATTAATAATACTGAGGCGTCTATCTTTTATTTCTATTCATCATATAGGCACCAATTGTTTAAAAATAAAATAATACGGGAGCAAAGTTCTATCAATGTCAACTATTATTTGTAAATACCCACCCAAGTATGTATCTAAAATATCCTCTTCTAACCTTCGACCACACGTACGTATCAACATTGCTTTCGAATACCAAACAAATATACAATTAAAATGTAATAAACATAAGTGTCAAATTACCAGTGTACACACTAATGCTATGCATTGTTTGAAAAATTATAGGGTAAATTATATTATATTATTAGTCAACAACTTTATAAAAAACAAAAAAAGGAGAATATAATCATAGAAAATCTTTCGCACGTGTAAGTTTACAATAAATTAAGAAAAAGAAAGGCATTAGGCTATGCTTATGTTGTTTTCCGAGTCCGAGGCATATCCCAAATCTTCTTGAACTCGAGATCCAATCTCAATACAAGATGATATGAGATGACGACAAATCTTGGGATCCTCAATTCCCAAGGAACCAATTCCAACACGAACGTACATGGCCATAGCTTCCACGACATCGTTTTCCTTTTGCGAAGTGCATTTCGGCGAAAAGGCCTTCAATGTTTTCCAACCAATCACCAACGACAACATGCTAATATCAGAATTGTCTTCAGGAACACATATTTCTTTATACATACGCTTGGCGACATCTGAAAAACCAAGACGCAACAACCCAAGAGCCAAAGAAGCGTGAATGGTGAATAGTTTACTACTGCTTAAGTTCAACACACTGGAATAGCTGCGCTTGTCTTGACCACGAAGCTGCAGCGTAGTGTTATACGCAGCCAATACTTCTAAAAGGGATTCCGAAGTGCCATCTTCAAAAAGAACCAATTTAGCAACCAAGCCATGACGATATACTGGAGAGTTTTTTGGTGAAAGTGAAAGAACCTTCTCAATGTCAGATTTTTCAATAGGATGATCTAAACTTTCCATCAATAAAGCATCCAGCAAATCGGCTGCATACCAAGAAGCAGTAGTTTCTAAAGGAGACATGACTACAACATCTGAAAGCTTGCTGATTACGCTATTTGACAAAGTTGCAGAATCGCGAGTGCATCTAGAGAGAGTCCATAGACGCTCAACCATCCAAGCAGAAAAAACATCCTCTGCATCAGAAGTCTCAATTAGTTTTACGACACATTCTGGAAGCTCTTGAAGGTCGGTTTGCATAGATGCACTATTGTGCAAGCGTTTGGCGCGGTTCCACAAATATGAGGCACACTTCGAAACAAGTGCAGATGGCATCGGGGAGTTTGAAAATATAAGTTCAGCATACATCGCCTGAAGAGCCGACGTGTGACTTGTAGTGGGCAAAAAGAAGGAGGAAGCAAAAACCATAAACAAACGAAGGCGATTGACCTTTTCATCACCACCCATCAACTGAGCATCAAGCAGCTTTTCTAAATTCCTAATATCAGCTAGCTGCTGTTCGCTATAAACCCAAGTTTCCGAGGAGGCGTATAGGCCGCTGATTCTATGGCTTATATAGTTGTAAGAAGATTTGACGACAAATATCAACAAACCAAAGAAGAGTGACAATGATGAAGATGAATGATCCAATAAGCAGTATTTTTCAAACATTGTTTTCCTGAACAGGATAGATGAGGGTGATGTAGAAGACACAGCTGGAACTTTGGCCTTTCCTTTTGATTTAAAGCTCTTGTAAAATCGACGATCATTCAATAGGTAAAATAATCCTAGCAAAACAACACCGATTTTCAGCAAATGCCAAGTGATTGTTGTAAATGGTATTGTAGTGAGGAAGGAAGGAACAGCAAATAACCCGTAAATGGATTGGGAAGATTCATTACCACCGCCAAAATAATTGAAGAGGCCTAAACCGACCATACCATTCAAAGCAGTACGACCCATAGAATTAAGAGTTGGTGAGGTACGAGAACGCTGAGGGGTATGGTTTCGAGAAGCATTTTGTACAGGAAACTCTGAAGAAACGACGTTAACAGGTTCAGATGATTTATTATTATTATTATTATTATTGTCAGAGGACAAGGGAGCCATAGATGGATCTTCATAAAAAGCCAATCTATCAGAAAGTCGCTTATTTTCTTTGGCCAGCTGCTTGCTTTTGGATTCCAGGTGACGTATATATTCAGTAGCCTTCGCCAGAATAGTTCCTTTATTCAATTTTCTTGCAGGAGCGAGTCCATGCAGTTCTTCTTCTTCCAAAGTTACACCGCAACGGAGAGCGGCGGCTGCACGTAAGGAAGGAACCGCATCTCGAAGCTCACAAATACGATCATTAAGATTCGTACGGTAACGCTTTTCAATCATGTTATGCGATGTCTTCTTTGGCTTTCCGGTTGTAGGATCTATGACTTCGGGTGAATTGGAATCCTTTTGATAGGTTTCCATAGGATCAAGAACCGGAAAAGGCGGACTTCCCGAAGAGACGGAAGAGTTTACACCACTCTCGGTAGATTGGGGAGAAACTTTGGCCTTTTTAGAACTAGGCTCCTGCTTTACATAGTGAGCATCACCATCGAGAATGTCATCGCGCTTAAGGTTTCCAGATGGCTTCTCATAAGAAGCTTGAGGTGGGCGAGTGCGTACTGTGGAAGGATCGATGGTATCGATAGTTGGATGGACGGGTTCCATGGACGATTGGAAATTGTAATCTACATCCAAATCATTTGCTTTTGTAAAGTCATAATTCTCGTTATAATAGGAATTGGGAGATCCACAGTTTGAACGTAAAGCGCTAGAAGAATGGCCAAGCGAATTGGGAGAATTGATACCGTTAGAAGGAAATTGAGTAGAAGTAGGATTGGTGTTGAAATTCTCGTCGAAAGCAAATGGGTGAAGCCATCCATTCACTGAGGAATCCATATCAGAAAGCGAAAACGAATTTGGAGAGAAAGAAGTACTGGTAAGGGTTGGAGGAGAATCCTCAACAAAGTTTGCAAGATCATACAAAAGATTATTGCAGTTATCGACCAAAGGTGATGAAGTGTTTATATCGCCAGGCTCTGGAATCGTTGAAGCACCATTTGAGGGTTTCGACATATTTAAACTCTCTTTTTCGTTCAAAGGCTCGGACGGCGAAGCCGTAGAAACTGAAACGGAAGGAACGGGAGGTGGAGCAAGCATGTTGTAACAAAGCAGACAAGTGATACCGCAAAGAATCAGAAAGAAAAAAGAAAAGATTCTATTGAGAAAAAAAAGAAAAAGAAATTCAGTATAGTCCAATACCTTTTGTTATTCTTGAAGACTTTAGGACCAGTATTTCACACAATGCGCTCGTTATTTCCCCAGAAAAAAAAAATGTACGAAAGGATTTGTTTAGCTAGGAGAGCAAACGAGCAATAATTTACAAGTTATCAACAACTAACACTTTGAAGTAGATGAGGAAAGCCAATTTTTTTCACTCAAAGAGAGCGAAATAGACAATTCCGGATAAACTTGGCTAGTAGAACCGATTCAATCCAATTGAATCCGTTTTTATCTTGTCGCGTACTCTTCTTATACCAAAATAAGTTCCTCTTTTAAAAGCACGATTTGCTAAAGTTGTTGGACTATGACAAGAGGTACAATGCCGGAGACAATGCTTTTATTAAATCTGAAGATCAAAGTGGACTGACTTGAGGTGTAACGAGAAAACAATTTACCGATGGAAAATGGTTCGACTCGTTCAATTCGCTAACGAAAATGACCAACTTCGTTATATAAACAATAAAGAAATGTAAGAATGTTCTTTAGGACATCGTAAACCTTTAGACCCGAAACTCATTCAATAGTAATTCATGTTTAAAGACATAAATTTTTTAATAGTGAATCAATAGAAAGACTGCATAGGGGAATGAATTTCATATGGTAATCAAAGAAATAAAATTCAATAGTTGATAGTATTTCGTTTGGTTTTGTTGCAATGCAAAAACTCCAAGTGAGCAACTTGGAGCGTAGTGTGTATATCTTAGGCAGGAATTTCTTTTGGTTCATCATCTTCTAATTCACTTTCGGAAGAAGAAGGCAAGGGATCGAGTTGATCGAGTTCTTCAAGTTGGTAGCGACTCATCAAAGGCGGGAGAGTAATGTCACAGACGGTTTCTTCATTGAACAAAGCATCAATAAATTCATCCATATGAGAAACGTAAAATCCATTGTGATCTCTAATTCGCAGTTTTCGATAGTCTTTCATAAGAGGCTCTAAAGCTTGATACACTTCTGGATCCGACCAGGTGAGACGAATGTAAAAAGCTGCTAAAGCTCGTATATACTTGAATTCGGGAACGGCAAGGTACTGCATTACAATCTCTTTTTCTGGAGCTACTTGTAACAATTTATAAAGCAAACAAATAAACTCGGTAGGATGCTGATTCCCGTATTGTCCTCCGACATACTCGAGGCGTACAGCGCGATCAATCAACGAAGCAGCTAAACCATAGGTTGGTTAGTCTCGGAACGCTAACAGGACCAAAAGAAAAGTCGAAAACAATGTACATACCATTTAAACCAAAACACTGTTCCTTCCAGTAAAAGCATTCCACTATGCGTTCTCGCAAAATCTTGCCTACTAAAAAGGTCGGCAGCATCTGATGCACGACATCTCCCTGCGACTGGTAATCTCTTGCAATGAAGTCTGTCATTTCAATGAAACACGATACGATACCCACCTAAAACAGAAACAAACGGTTTTTAAAGGTTAAGACGCTAAACAGACGAAATGAAACAATGGGTTTTAAATGTACCAAACACCCAGTCAATCAATATAAACAGAAAAAAATTTAGAAATGGAAAAGAAAACCTACACTGGTACCAAAAAGGATGTAATGGGAAACGACAGAATATTTGCTACCACATTTCCAGTGCTTTCAAAAAAGTCTTTTGTGTAGGACTTGACGGGATTGAAAAAACAAAGGTTCTTTTCTACTACTACAGACTAGATACTACACTACATACACTGTATAGAATCCATGGAATTTTACAAACAGTACAAACAAAAAAAAAAGCATCATGAAACAGCAAATCTCATTAGAAAAAAAGTAATAACGTATACGGGTAAATTTTAATGAAGCTTACCGTCTATATATCATTGTATCACCTATTTGAACTGCAGAAACTTCTAGCAACCAAAAAGAATTTAGAGGGTGTTGTTGGCATAGAAGTCCTCGAGGGCAGTGATGATACGCTTGGTCATGGTCTTTTCACCCTCGTGAACCCAGACACGGGGGTCGAACTTCTTCTTGTTAGGCTTGTCAGGGCCCTCAGGGTTACCGACGGGGGTCTTGAGGTAGTCTTGGTACTTCAAGACGTAGTCACGAACACCTTCGAGGTAAGCGTATTGGGTGTCAGTGTCAATGTTGACCTTGACGACACCGCTCTTGATACCGGTACGGAATTCGTTGACGGAAGAACCGGAGCCACCGTGGAAGACGAAGAAGACGGGCTTGTCGTTAGTGGACTTGAGTTGCTCCTTGACGTACTTTTGGTGGTCACCCAAGATTTCAGGGCGGAGCTTGACGTTACCGGGCTTGTAGACACCGTGGACGTTACCGAAAGCGGCAGCGATGGAGAAGTAAGGAGTAACGCTAGAGAGCTCACGGTAGACATCCCAGATGTCTTCGGGTTGAGTGTAGAGAGTGTTTTGTTCGGCACCAGAGTTGTCGACACCATCTTCTTCACCACCAGTGATACCGATTTCCATCTCGATCCAAATCTTCATTTGGACGGCACGTTCACAGTACTTCTTGACAGTGGCGATGTTTTGTTCCTTGGGCTCTTCAGACAAGTCAAGCATGTGAGAAGAGAAGAGGGGTTCACCGTGGAGCTTGAAGTAAGCTTCGTCAGCGGCGAACATACCCTCCATCCAGGGAAGGAGCTTCTCGGCGCAGTGGTCAGAGTGCAAGACGACGGGGACACCGAAGAAGGGAGCGATAGAGCGGATGTAGTGAGCGGCAGCGACACATCCAGCGATGGAAGCCTTTTGGCCGTCGTTGGGGGAGTTCTTACCGGCAAAGAAAACGGAGCCACCGTTAGAGGTTTGCAAGATGATGGGAGAGCGAGCCTCACGAGCAGCTTCGAGAGCAGCAATAACGGTAGAAGAGGAAGTAACGTTAATGGCAGGGATGGCGAATCCGTGCTCACGAGCGTAAGTGAACAACTTCAAAACGTTGTCACCGCTAATAACACCAGTAGGAACAATGTCGAGAATACCCATTTTTACGTTTTCTTGGTTAGACCTGTGATGAAATCTCTTGGTGAAGGGCCAAGCTCTTATATATCCTGTCCAGCTACCCCATCCGGAAAAACTCGTCACCTGATGAACGTAACGATAATGACCGAACTGTCGTAATAGCCCAATCAGTCTCATCAGTACCTTCGGTCCCTGACGTCAATGGAAAAAAAATTATTTCTCTAGTAAGACTTACGAAAATCGTGTTCACCAAAGAGTCAATGAAATCTTTGGTATTCGAAAGAGACTGAAACGACGGAAACGCCTTTATGTGTTTATGGAAGATGTGCGCACAATGTGCAAGCGATGAGCCGGGTGGCCGCGGTAGCGACAGCGACAGCGACCAAAAAAAAAAAGAAATAAGCGCGAAAGCAAAACAAGAGAGTATAATGGAGTCTAAACAAAGCACATGGACAAGTAGAAGATGAAAGAATCTTTTCAAAATGAGTCGCAGCAATTGTCTTTCCTCAAACATATTATTGCTCTTGTAAACGCAAACCTTGCGTATCACTTCACCATGACATTACCTTTCCTCCACCGTCAACTCCTCTTTAAAATGAAACCTGCTATGTGATTGAACGTTGGCTTTGAGCTTTACTATCGACATACGCTTTGAAGCGATCAAGCAAAACCAGGCTTAGGCTTTGGAGAGACACAATTGTGTGTCAATCCCATATTCGTCATTCCTCTTGTATGCGTAAACTTGACAACTTGATCGAGAGTCTTGAGGCTTGAGTTTTTTTTTCTCTTTTTAGATTTTTCAAAATCTTTCTTTCTTTTATAACCTCTTTCTCTTTCTCTTTCTCTTTCTCTTTCGTCCTTATGTTTTTCTTGCTTCCTTTGTTGGACACTTGTCTATCCTTTTTTTGTTTATTTATTAACGCACCGCAAGCAACCACACCGATGCGTTTCGGCGTTGACGAATATGTGTGCCCGTTTGTTACGTCGGAAAAATATCCATCGCTTCGTCACCATATCAAATCTCTTCAAACAACCACCCCGTCTTTATGCATCCATTATTTTTCCGTCCGTCAAGGGATAAACAACCAATGTTACCTCTTTGGAACGAGTGGATATCTCTAGAAAAACATGGCTCTAGAGACGTTCTTGAGCTGGTTCAAGTTTTAAAAACTTTTTTTTTTTCTTTTTCTTTTTATGGTGATTATTTCTACTTTTTTTTGTTTTGTTTTGTCTCGTTCATTTCACACGCACATCTTTTTTTTTTTTTTTCTTTTTCCTTCCTTCCTTAATGTTCATCCATATACCCGTCCATAGACCGTTGTTCGGTACCTGACGATGATTCCTCCTTGTCGCCCGTCCGACCGTCTCGGGCATCTGTTCGCTTCCAGCAGTCGCCGCTAAAAGGAAAATTTTTCCATCGCAACATAAAGATGAAGACGACTGAGTCGCCTTTTCTGGTCTTTTCGATCCGCTTCTTTTGATTTCTCTACACTCAGTCTGTCCATTGGACCCCTTTGTTTTTGTTTTTGTTTTTGTTTTCGTTTTCGTCTCTTTCTTTTCTTTTTTTTTGTTTTTTTTTTTTTTGTTTTCTGTCCGCTACTCCTTTTGTAAACACGTAGTAGTAGGTCGGGTAGGAGATTGTCGTGTAGGAGATTTCCTTTTTCTTTGTTTCATCTTGGTTCTTTTCATGTAATGTTATTTTTATTGTAATTTCATTTTTTGCGTTTGTTTTTGCTTTCTTTTTGCTTTCTTTTTCGTCTCATCATCTTGTTTGAATTTTCAAAACCCAACCAAAAAATTCACACCAACTTTTATTTTTTCAATTTCGCTTTTGATAACCTTATCTTTATCTTGACGACCTAATTGACGACCTTAAACATAAATCAACTCGTAACTCGTCATATGTAAACAGACAGACAAGCTGAGCTTACTTTGGTTTGCTTGAAAAATCGCCGCTTCATATTTTTATAGTTTTTCAATTTTCCTTTCATCAAATTGGTTGGTAGATGGTTTTCTCAATCACTCTCTGCTCTGTTTGATTTCATCTTCATCGTCCGCGTCTCCTTCACAACATTCTATCCTTTCATTTCATTCTGTTCTAAGTTTCAATCTCCAGTTTCATGTTTCAATCACTTCGACGATAAACACATAAAAGATACTTTCTTCGTTTGCTCGCTTAATGGAACCGTTGAAGAAAATGCAATTCATTAAAACTAGTAAACCGTGAAAAAAAAGGAAAATTAAAGAGCAAGCCAAATACTTGCAAATATACATAAATAATACAAATACATCAGTGAAAAAAAAAGGGCCAAGCGCTGTTTCGTTGAAGCAAATCGGTGGAAAAAAAACTATAAAAAGAGAAAACAAAAGCATCCTACGAAATTCACGTCCGAAGGAAGAAAGGAACTCATCAACGCTTAAAGTGATTTTCGTGGAGCATCCATTAAGTTCGGGCTTCGTCCCGGTGGCGCCGGACACAATACAAATCCCGTGGCATAAGGAGAAGCAGCTACCATCGGTGCTCTATGCGCCGAGTATCCTAAAAAGTCGGATTCATTTTGAGATGGAACAGGAGTAGGAGGGAGGTAATTTCCAGCGGGTGAGTTATGACAAGGCCAGTTCGTATCGGTTGCAAATAATGGAGCTGTAATTGGTGGTACCTTGTTGTATTCGGAAGGGGTCGCCGAGTTTGGCGTCAGCACCGGAAAAGGGACGGGAAGCGTGGGCGTGTAGGGTGACTTCCATTGATTTGGAAGATGAGGTGTAGGAGGCCACGGAAGACCAATTTGCGGATTCGATGCATATGCTGAATTTACATACCCATTTGCTTCTTGCATATTTCGGATTTCCTGTTGTTGTTGACGTTGGTAGGCAAGATATTTTGAGGATACTAGGGGAGCTGGACGCATTCTTCGGGTAAACGATTTACAATTACTGACAACAGTTGAAAGCTCCAGTAATCCTATTCTTGTTTTTGGGTTTCGATCAAAAATACGATTCAGCAAGGAATTCAATTCTCGGCTTATGGGCAGAATGCTCAACAAAGTCGAAGGATTTTGCACGTAGGAGCGATACGTACCGTCGGTTTGGGAACATGCCCGTTTCCAAGGATTCCTTTGGCAGCACAAATTAATGAGTATAATCCCTAGCGCCCAAACATCGTTGGGTGCCGTACCAAACGCGGAAGAAGGTTTCTCGGATGACTCATTCGTCAACGGTGTACATGCTCGATAACCCACGCAAGAAAGTGCATTTGGGTTGGAGGATTCACGCTGGCATTCGGGAGACATGTAAAATAGACTGCCGCAACCATAGTCACTTGAGAGTTCATCCGTGGTTGCGAGACCAAAATCGGCCAAGTAAACCGTACGCCCTTCATTGTCTACGAGGATATTTTCGGGCTTTAAATCACGGTGATAGATGCCAACTGAGTGACAATGTTGAACAGCACTGATGAGTTGACTAAAGACGTGTTTTATCAAGGAATCGTTACCACGGTAGAGGTTTTTTTCGGTAATGCAGGTAAATAAGTCACCGTCAGGACAATATTGCAATACCACATAAATTGTATCTTCGGTGTCCAAGACACGGTATAAAGACAATATATTAGGATGAGACTGTACGCGCGCATGCAAATACAATTCTTTAGATTGTAGTAATTTTTGCTTTGCATCCAGGCCATCTTTGCATAAGGCTTTCACTGCATATAACGTACCATCGTAAAGATCTTCTGCTTTATAGACGACACCATATGCACCGACGCCAATGACTGAAATAAAGCGCAACGAATCATCTAATGTTTCGCCTATGCGAGCTTCGGGAGCCAAACGCATATTGAGACGGTAAAAGACCGGGTTCAATCGGCCGTTAGATAGAAAAGAGAATGGAGGCTAGGCGGAATTCCCGTGAAAGAATACGAATGCACACGATGAATGACTAGAAGGATTATAAGATGAGAGGATTAACTAGAAAGGGGTCAACAAGTAAAGAGATAAGGAATTGACTTGAAATAGGATAGAGGATGTTCATAAAGACAAGCAAAACGAAGCAAGAATCACTTTTATAATTTTTTTTTTCTTTAGAAAGAAATGGGAATGGGAGAGAGAGTAGGGAAGTATATATGAACAAAACAAAAGAGATGAGATGAGAACGGACGGTGAATGAATAAGGAAAAGGAAAAGCAGAATATGAAATGAAAAAGTAATTTTAGATCAAAATCAGACTTTCGGCTGAAATTGAGAAATTCTCCCGTAGTACAATTTTAAATGAAGAGATATGAATTGAAAAAAAAAAGGAATCGTTATGACGCGAGAAAATCAACACACAAAAAAAAAAAGGAAATTTAAAGTGAAGATGACAATATATGGGTTTGCGCGACCTTTTTCCCAAGTTTGAATTTTTTCGGAAACAACAACAAAAAAGGGAAACGAAATATAAAAAGAAGGGCGACGGTAGGAGAAAAGGATTAGAAAAACACAAATACCAACGTTAATAAAACCAATATAATTAAAAAAAAAAAGAGACAAAGAGAAATCAAAAATTAGGACCGAAAAGAATTAACGGAAAGAAATAGGAAAAGAATATTACAAGCAAACGTAAAAGAGGATCAAGTGATTTAAAAGGTCGAATCTTTGTAGATTGATGGGAAAATCAGGTTAAAATCCGTGAATTGAAAAGACTTGTAAACGTCAATTGGAAAATATCGCAAAAGAAAACGCGCGTAGTAAAAAAAGACTCTAGAGACAAATAGGAGAAAAAGTCTCTCCACTATTATAACTACTATTCCCAGAGTAGTAGTAAGGAAAAAAAGTAAAAAAGAAAAAGAAAAGCAACGAACCCGTCTAGATATAAAACACAACCTTTGAGAAAATAAAATCAATGCTCCCCAAAGAAGTAGAAAACCAATGCAAGAATCTAGTTGGAATGGGACCAATTCGTCAAGTTATCACCGAATTCTGTTTTTCTAGGTGAGAATCTGTCTATACACCACACTCGACGCGTGTGGACAAAGAAAATAAAAAGAAGAAAAGGAAGAAATGAAAAAGAAATTAGATGCTTGGAATGGAGAATGTAGTTGATAGTTCAAAGTAAAACGGAACGAATGGAAATTGAAAGAAAAATTTCTTTGGAACAAGTTTCCTTGTTCTTTCTTTTACTTTTTTTTTTTTCAATTTCAATTGTGCTAAAGGGATGAAGGGGAAGAGAGTATGGTGTTGTGAATTTTGCTACGGAGAACAAAGAAACACCCGTACAACAAAGAAATCCCTATGAACAAAGAATCAACTGAAATTCAGTTCTTCTCTTTATTCATTCATATAACGAACACCTTATTTCTCTTTAAACCATTCTTTGTTGGAATCGTTCAAACATTTCGTTTGTTTCGTTTGTTCTGGGTTTTTTCTACATTTTTCTACAATTTTCTTATTTCGCTCTCTCTCTCTCTCTCTTTGTGTCTTTTTTCTCTTTTGCAACCCCCACCCGTCTTGGTCCATATCCAAGGCTCTCCTTTTAACACACACACCCTCTCTCTTTCTTTCTTCCTCTCACTACCACTACCATCTTTTATCCTCAAAATGTTGCTCTATTCCTCTATATGAACCATAAGCATCTCAATTGTGTCGTTTTTGAGTCATTCTTTTTAACAAAAGAACCAATTCCTCTCTTCCTGCCTCAGAAACCCATATTTCTTTCTCTCTATACAAAACAACAATCCACCAACAGAGAATTCACCTACTTGTTCCATGCATTGTCCCTGATTTCTTTGTTTGTTTACTTTTTTCGATTTGTTTACATGTTCTTTGAATTGTCACTTGAGAAAAAATTCAGGTACCAATCATAGTCGGTTTCCCCATCTCTTTTTGTTTTTCTTGCTTTGCCATTCGTCTTTCATTCGAACCCTAAGAAGGCGGAATTCGACTTCCTCCAATGGAACTTCCGTAATCTTCCTTATTTGGCATCACTGAAACCCAAAGAAACCAACCGAATCCTTTCTTGACTTCCGTCTTCCACCTTTCGGATGCCTTTATCTTGACTACCCCTTTTGGTTTTTGTGCTTTGTGAGCCATTGAATTATGCATAAATGGGTTTCTTTCCTAACCTCAGTTGTTCTTTTTCCTTTGTGTATATTACATTCAACCTTCTTAGTCCGTCCATTTGACATCGAGCTTGTTTGTTGAATTTATTCTCTCCAGTTTCAACTCTTTATTTGTGTGTGTTTTTTCTTTTCTTGAATAGAAGACAGTACATTTGATGGAAATATTGGTCCTTGTTCACTTTTAAACAATTAGTTGGTAGAACTTGTAATTAGGTTGAAGTTATCTACCTTGGAATCGTCATCTTTGTGGAGAATTTTGTTTTGTTTGTTTTCCATATCTAGCGCGAAATCTTTAGTCTAGTTAGTCACTTGAGTGTGTGTGTGTGTGTGTGTCTCTTTCATTTGGGAAACCATAAAGAACGAGCATGGGCTATATTGCTTTCTAACCGTTTCAAAAGATTTTATTTTATTTTATTTTATTTTTTTTTGTGATATTATAAGAAGAGGAAATATAGGAATTGAAAAAATAAAACCTGGTTTTTTTTGAATTCCTTTTTCTCTTATTCATATTTTTATTTGTCTGTTGGTCTCTTGCGTTTCAATTTTGAAATCTGAAAAGTACTTTCGCATCCGCATTTTCTGATTTTCCGGCGTCCCGGTCTTCTTTTTCCTTTTTCTCTTTTTTTTATTGGACTATTTTCTCTCTCGAGTTGTTTTCTAGTCACCATTGTCCTTTCTCTTAATGTCTGCCGTTAATCCCTTGTCTGCTCGTCGTTCGAAAGAATACAATCGCATTTTCAAGGGTGCTGCAGTCTTGACCACCTTTGCTGCCTTGTACCTTGTCACTTCTTCCAATGGTTCTACCACAGTCAAGGCGAAAGCTTCCATCAAAGGTCTCTACAATTCCTCTGGAAACGATTGCTTTCTGAACAGTGTCCTTCAAGCTCTTGCTAGTCAATCTTCCTTGACCGAATTCCTTCAACTTCGTGCTTCTTCTTCCACTTTATACGCCGCCCTCCTTGATTTCCTCAAAAGTCTTAATTCCGGTAGCTCGAAACCCATCTCTGCCAATTATTTCCTTAATCTTTTGGAAAGGATCACGAATAAAGTAATCTTACGCTCATTGCAACAAGATGCCCACGAATTCTTACAATACCTTTTGGAAATCATCGAATCCCAAAATCTCTCCTTGCCCTCTCCTCCCTCCTCTGTCCGTATCCTCGGATTTCCTGCACAGCTTCCTTTCATCGGAATCATCCTTCAAACCGTTCAATGCTCTTCTTGTTCCGCTAAAACTTCCACAGTTTTCAAAAATACCACCTTGCAATTAAGCTTTCCCTACGCCCACAATGCTTCTTCCATTACCTTGTCCCAGCTTTTTGCTTCAAATGGATTCGAACAAATCGATGATTATAAATGTGATACCTGCTATCCTCATACCAAAAAAACCACCTCTTGTTTCCGTTTCGTCCAATGGAAGCGTCCTCCTACCCTGCTTCAAATTCAACTAGAGCGGTCTTGTTATACTTCCTTGGGTCTTTCCAGAAATAATACCGCTGTTCGTTATGAAAAGTCTTTTCTACTCCAAAATCGTTATCGATACCATCTCCGCTCCCTCATCACTCATCATGGTGGTGCAAATTCTGGTCATTACATTTGTTATCGCAAAAAGGATAATAGTTGGTGGAGTGCAAACGATACCATCATTTCTAAATGTTCCATTGAAAAAGTATTGGATCAACATCGACAGGTGTTTATGCTATTTTACGAAATGGAATCCCCTTTTGAATTGGATTAATTCATTCCCTTACCTTTTTACATCTTATTAATCCTACTCATAAATACTTCAGTTAGGCTTTCCTCTCACCTCAGAAAAAATTTTAAAAGTCGGTTTGGTTTTTTGGTTCTACATTTCTTAATATTGTTTTCTTTTTTTCGACATCCTTTTCCCATCCAACTTCTGTTTAATACTTTTTCTTTTATTTAAATCTATTCCATAGTTCCTTCTACTTAATGATTTTGTTTTTATTTTTTTTCATTTTTCTTCATGTAACCACCGTATCTGTCCACAAAGCCGCAGCTTTGGCTTTGAGATTTTCAAGCGGTCTCTTATTGTTGGCTTGATAGAAGTGCTACATGGCCCAACTATCTGCGCCGTGATATTCTTACTTCTCTTCATGACTTTCCTTTGGTAACAGAAATGACTACCAGCACGCTTTTTTACCATCTTCCTTTAATCCTTTAATTATTTCATAGTATTATCCAAAAGCCAATTCGTTAATTTTTATTCTCTATTCTTTTTGACTAAGGTCAAAGTCGACTGCCGCAAGTCAGCAGTCATATTATGATTCCCTTCGTGTCCTCTGTTTCCCGTAACTCAAACAAAAAAGCACAAATTCAATTCTTCTCATGATTTATCCAAACCAAGCGACGAGTTGTTCTAACGGGCTTCAAACTGCACCATTCTCTTGGTTCTCATTTTGTACATGACACGGTGGCCGCACTCACGACAACGGATTACCTCTTTAGCTTGAATAGTATTTTTTGCACCACAGTCTTTCAATTCATTAGTAAATTACCATCAATATAAATGTGCTTCACATACCTGCACAAAGATAAATCATTGTTACTGGCCTAGGTGGATTGAAAGCGGCTCCACCGGCAGAAGGACCAAAAGCACCGTTCATTATGTGTATTAAAATATATTAAAACCCCCAAAATAACCGTTCGTAAACTTTTGCAGAAGAATTCCCTTTTCTCCAACAAGGTGTGGTGGTAAACAGCAAAAAATTCATCCTCTTGGCAGTAGACTATTATTTGCTAAATATAATAATATAAACATAAGCAGGTAACGATAACTAAGTAAGATTGAAAATCAATAAATTGACAGCTTTTCAAGTAAATAAAAGAGATTGTATTTGGAAATTAAGGCTTCAAGGCTTTTAAAAAATGAGTGAGTATAATCTGATGGTATGACTGCTGAACGTTTACTTTCATCGTAAACACTTTCCTAAAATAGTTCAAGTAAAAAATGGTACAAAAGAGTAATTTTTTTTAAGTTTCATCCAGCACCTTATGTCTTTTTTTGTCTGCTAGTAAGATTGTTCAGTAGGTATGTGAGAAGTCGTGAAACCACGTTCACGTTAATGCTATTTCCTAGTAAACGATACATGGTTTTTTCAGATATTCCCAATTCCTTCCATTGAAATGAATCTGGGAAACCCATAATCCTTGCAATTTCCCTTGCAGTGAAGTATCGAAGTCTTAGAGACATCCTATCTTTTTCGAATTGCTCTGCTATGTTTTCATGGTCCGAGGTCTGTAAAACTGACCCTGATCCTTGTATTAATTGTGCATACCCTCTGGTAAAACAACAACAGTTAGTGCTTGTTGGTTTTACTATATCCAGTTGATGCCCATAACGAAACATAAGTTTTTCTGGAAGAAAATATGATTCAAGGTTAACTCCCTCTTCCAAGAAATCAATTAACCTCAATTCTTGGTTTTTGTAACTGTCTTCAAATGGAGCCGTCCTGATATCATCAAAGCTCCAGTTTACTGATGCATCTTTTCTGGCTAGGCCATACCATCGACAACGTGAATTGGGAATGTCAAATTCCTTGGGCGTTAAATTTCCTTCTATTATATAATATCCCATCTTTTTTAAAACCTCTCGACAACTATGAGCAGTTATACTGCTTTCAAACCCTTGAACATTTTCAATTAAGATGTACTCCGGTGGACTCATCATTTTTGGAAGTTCCTCTAGCAAATGAAGAAATGCATGAGATCTTGGATCTTGCACATCTTGCTGTTTCCCTATGCGTGTATATGGCTGACAACTTGGACTCATTGTCCATAAATCACACTGGTACTCATCTAATTCAGCCGCATTAAGTTTAGTAATGTCTATCTTCAATTATTAGTTTCTTTTCTCTTTTTCTAATTTTATTTTTAAAAACAAAAGTAGGATCGTACATGCTTAGCTCGATGTTCTAAATTATGATAGTACACCCTATTCGCGAGGGGATTAATATCAATCGCACAAACTATTTCGAACGGTACGTTTGATGCCTTTAATGCATAATGCATACCCCCAATCCCAGAATATAGCTCTAAAACCCGTATTTTTTGTGTCCCTTTTTCCATAGTTTTTATGTAGTAATAATACCGTCCGTTAAGTGCGTATATATGTAGAAATGTCACTATTGAAAATTTATTGGGAGTATGCTTCTTGTCTGAATGTATAATTGTAATAATAAATGGGTAAAATTTATAATTTTATTAGCTAAAGAAAATTAATTTTTCATAAAAAACCCTCGAAAACCATCAAATCCCGTTTTTTACTTGCTTATGAGTTCTTTCGTATAGAAAGGCTGATTAACTCATCTCCTCTTTTTGCTTTTATACATCTCCTCAATATTCTCCGGCTTGAAATAATGAGGACTAATTTCCAATAACCACTCTGGTTGAATCTGCATAACTTGTCGACAGTACTCTTTACTCGTCAAGACAAGCTCATAATAAATAATAATTTTCGGTTTCTTTTCAACTAGAGTAGAACTTGGATGAACATAAACCGTTTGGTTGCTCTTAACAGTTCTATATGAATCACCTGTACGATCCAACCGTGCTGCATTAGAAAAATACCCCGCGGTTATCGCCTTCTGGATTGGCATCAGTGAATCTGCAGAATTTGTAGTCAATTCAATCTCAACACGATTACAAAGGTTTGCGAGTTGATCCCGTACATCACGGGCTCGACACAAACTTTTATACTGTAGAAAGTTTTCTCGTGACCATTGATAGGAAAAATCTGTATCTACCCATTCATTCCATATACGAAGTAAAGTTAAGTGGTCGCCGCCTGGTTGAACAAAATTCATTCTTGACTTATCAGCCTCCATAATACGATCTTTTGGTCGATAAAATAGAGAAGCCGATTCACCTAGCATAGCTATAATGGAAAGGACCTCTTCGACACACCCATAACTAGCTGATGCTATCAATGATTTAGAAAGCATTGGGTCCGTAGGAAATTCGGCCATTTGCCTTCCAAGCTTTGTGAGTTCACCTCGATTATTCAGAGCCCCGAGCGCATATAAAAGCTCCAATGATCGCATCAGTGTTTCTGGAGGTGGTGAGTCCATAAAATCGAAATCCAATAAATTATTAATACCCAATGACTTTAGAAGCAATACAATATTTGTTAAATTAGTTCTTTGGATTTCGGGAGACGTGACCATATCAAGCTCGTTGTTGTAAGTCCAGCGAGTATACAGACGAAAACATTTACCAGGACCTACTCGACCAGCACGTCCAGCACGCTGATCAGCAGATGCACGAGAGCAGGGAACAGAAACTAAGCTTTCCATTCCTGTTCTTGGATTATAGACGTTTTGCTTAACGAATCCGGAATCGATTACATAATTTACTCCATCAATAGTGATAGAGGTTTCTGCAATATTTGTAGCCAAAACAACCTTCCGTGCACCAGGTGGTGTAGGTTCGAATATTTTCGCCTGCAACTCTGAGGGTAAATTAGCATAAATCGGACAAAGAATAATTTCAGGGATTCTCTTCCCCAAAATTTTACACAATTCTTGAATGTTTTCAGACATAACTTCTATTTCATCTTGACCAGTCAAGAAAACTAATATATCACCGGCCTGTTGGGTTGTATGAATCTGCAAAATTGTTGTAATAGCTGCTTGTATATAGTTTGCCTCTGGCTGCGGGGTATAATAAATATCAACAGGAAACCGTCGACCAGGTATATAGAAGACAGGCGCCTCATCAAAATAGGAAGAAAACTTGGCTGCATCTATAGTAGCACTCGAAACCAAAACTTTTAGATCAGGTCGGAATCGTGCAATATCCTTCACGAGACCGAATAGAATATCAGTATGAAGTGTTCTTTCATGTGCTTCATCTATAATAATAACAGAATAACTTGCGAGATCTGGCTCATTCAAAAATTCTCTTAAAAGCATACCATCAGTCAAATACTTTATAACCGTTTTCTCCGAAGTATTATTTTCAAAACGAATGGTATATCCTACTTCTTGGCCTAGTCGAACATCCATTTCATTAGCCACACGAGCAGCAACAGACATGGCGGCTACTCGACGAGGCTGGGTACAGCAAATCTTTTTGTTATTTTTTGTATATCCAGCATCATGTAAAAACTGCGGCAACTGGGTAGTCTTTCCTGAACCTGTCTCTGCTACTACCAACAAAACTTGATAAGCTTCAATTGCCTTTAACAAATCATCTTTGAATGCATAAACTGGTAATGATTTTCTGGACTCCTCCATTGATATTGCCTTTATCTCGGCTTGTGAAAGGGCAGGCGCAGATGCTTCAGCACCTGGCTCAGATTTACCAGGCATGTTTGACTCCAAAAGAAAGTCTATTTTCTGCGAATCATCAAAAACATAATCAAATTGTTTTTCTTGAGTGGGGGCCTTCATATTATCTTCATAGACGAGAGCTTTGGAAATTTGTTGAGACTCCCACTGCGCTTGTTCGGCAGCACCAAAGGGTGTAGCAGACTGACGGTCGTCATTAGCATCTGTGTACCGTTGGTGCAAGACAGCCTCTTTTCGCCTTCTATCTAATTTTCCCTGTTCAGTGAAGTAATCTTCAGGCATCCGATATTCGGCAGCTTGTGCACTTAGGTTCATGCGCTCTTCAGCGATTCTTAATAGTTCTTTCTTCTTTTCTAGTTCATGAATTTCCCGTTTTGTCAATTGTTCGTCCGAAAATAAGAGTTCCTCATCTTTAATCTCCCTTCGCAGAAGTTCCAATTGCTGCTGCGCTCTTGGCTTCAAATAATGCCGACGAGACTTTTTACGTAGTTCCGCAGCTAATTTTTCGCGAGATTCTGGATCATCTGCAAGGTTCCTTAAAGCAATTTCATCCGAAGAGAGCTTTGAAGAATAATCTTCAACCAAATCTCGAGTTGAAGCATTTAAATCCCTTTGTCTTAATCGTTCCTCAAACTCTTCCCTCTCTTTCACGTCATCCATTCGTTCATCATCCTCATTATGTTTAGGACTAGGATTAGATTCAGGTAAGTGACTTCTTTCGGGAAAATGTTTTTCGGGGTTCGTCGCGATATTCGAATTTTCTTCCTCGCTTTCATATTCATCACTTTGCCATTCGTCATCGCCATGCTTGCGTATTAATAAGTCCTGTTTATGTTCTTTACGTCTTTCTTTACGTTTTCTCGAGTCTGATGACGGCAAACTCTTCGACCGTTCTGCCTGCTGAGGCTCTAGTAACAGTTCGTACTTTGCATTCTGATTCTCCATTTGTAGAATCTCTCTTTGCCTTTTTTTTCGGTAACTGTATGTCTCGTCTGATAACTTTCCTTTGTTCTTTGGGATCCTTGAATACAGTGAATGAGCAAATTCATGCACTTTGGTATTATGTTCCTCCATGCCAAATCCCACCAATTTCTGAAACAGCTCCTGGGAGCTACGCGAACTAGAAGCTTCAGCTATTATATACTCTACGACTGAAGGTTCTGACATGCCTAGAAGGGCAATTGCTTGGTCCGAAACATATTGTTCTAAAGACATATTTCCTTTATTTATACCGTCGAATACACCTTCTAACCTCTCTCTTCCTAATTCAATTATTAAAAGAAGGAAAATTCCGTAATGAACTTCTATATCATATATCAAATTGGTGTCAACAATTGGTAAAATATACTAGGCACTTACATGCAAGTGTCGAAGCCGCGTTCAAACAGAGTATGCTACTAGTTGTCAGTTGCTAAAACTCGTTAACTGTGATTACAAAATTTACTAGACTACGCTATTCATTTGAAATAATGCTTACGAAATTAACAAGAGTGCGAAAAATACTATGGAAATTCAAGAAAAGAAATACTGGTTCAATGATACTTGAGCAGCTGGTCCTCTGTACCTGAATTTTTATTGCCTTGTAATTCAAAAATTGTGCCGTCGTTGTTAAGCTCCCATTGTGTGCACTAATGATTGTTTGGTCATTACTGTTTGAGATATATTACGAAAACAGTTGGTCAGGCTCTTCTCCATCTTTCAACATCAGTAACACTTAAAGGGTTATTGTTAAAACCAATTTTCCAAAATTCGTTCAATACTCCCCTTTATAAAAAGAAGTAAGCAAGTAAGTCCTTGCTTGCCTTTTCGAAGTCGTCTTGCCTCTAATACATACCGACATTGTAGCTCTAGAAAAATGTCGGACGATGCTTACCAGCAATTTTTGAATGCTGCAAATGCTCCAGTTCCTTCTCCTCCCCCCAAAAGTCCTAGTCAAGTTCCTTCTCAGTGGATGAAAAGCACAGATAATGTTCCTAGCTCTGCTCCATTGAGCGCTTTGTCAGAACAAGTAAAAGGTCACTACTATATTAGTGAGTCAGATGAAATTTTTCATCCTATCTATTTAGAGGAGATTCCAAAGGAATTCCGAAGCATCAATAAAAAAGAATTTGATCCTCGTGATGAATACGGAGCCATTATAAAAGCAGTTCAGAGCTGCTGCAACTCAAACACAGTACAGTTTTTTAGCTATCAAGATACAGCATCTACAATTATTTACTATATTTTAAGTAAACTCGAAAATGGCCATTGGTGTGGCCTTACGACCATGGAAGTTTCAACTTAATTTTGGAGCTTGAATGCACAGCGGTTTTACATTAGCACACTAACTAAAGCTATACTTTTATACAACCATTGTTTAATATTATTTTGATAATGGTCTAAATCATGTCTTATTTTTACATAACATTTAGCTATTCCAAAGGACTGAAGATAGTGGATTCTCAAGACGTTTTCTCATCGGAATTTACTGGAGCTATTGCAGGTTCAACAACTTCAGAAGATTTCGGATCTTGGGAATCAGTAGCAGTAGCTGCATTCGAATCCTGATTCTGATTAGTAGCATTATTACCATCATTACTATTGTTGGGATTGTTTGTGTAGTTATCATTTTTGTATCCATTATTTTGATGACGATTTCCTCTAGAAGGGTTGAACGATCTTTGGGAACTACTTCGTCTGTAATCTGTATACGCAGGATAACGCATGTTCATCATTCCATTGTTCATAGCATACTGTCCATACATAGGAGGCACACCAGTAGCAGGATATGGCATCATGGGCATTCCTCCCATTGCTCCCATCTGAGGTACATAGTAGGTAGCAGGAGCCACTCCCCTTGGGCTATTACTCTGTGGTTGGAAGGGAGGGACACCATAAGGCGGCATAACCGGGGGTGCCATAAACATGGGCGAAGCTACTGCACTAGAAGTACCTGAAGTGGGTGTAGCATTCGGCGAAGCAGCGACCGATGTTTGCTGGCTTGGAGCGCGCATGTAAGGAGGATATCCAGGAACCGGATAACCAAAAGGAACGTAAGGAAAGCCGGGAGCGGGATAAACAGGCATTGCTGGCGAGACCGGGCCATTAGGGAGCACTAAACCAGGAATTTGGCCACCTACTGCCGAATTGCGCTTTCCTTGGGCAGCATCAGTCTCTACCTTCTGGTTGGAGACGATATGCTGCACGTTGTTAGGACCAGAAGCCCAAGTAGGAGGACAAGAAAATGGTTTCTCTAATGTTTCACCAATTTTTTCTTGTCCAGCAGTCTTGATAACATTAAAATTGTCCATCACTGATGATTCTGCTTGGGGAGCTCCGTTAGGGAAAAAAGGACGCTCCGTATTATCACCAGGAGTTCCACCATTAGAAGCAGTACCTGTTTCTGTGCTGGAAGACTTTTGTGGGTTCAATGGCTGAGAAGTACCTGCTTTTGGGGGAAGAACAAATTTACCCGGAGTAAACACACTTGCGCCAATATTAGGTTTGAAAGATGCAGCCTTAGCATTCAATTTCAAAGGCTTCGAAGGTTCCTTATTTACCGGCTTCTCTTGTGTTTTGCTGGACTCCAAGGAGGTCTCTGGCTTGGGTTCCTCTTCCTGTTTTTGTTGAGTCTTCTCCTCTTTGTCGGATTCTTTCGTAGCAGTAGGTGCTTTATCTGTCTTTTCTACAGAAGGTTCATCCTTGGATGGGGCATCTTCCTTTTGTTTGGTAGTATCATCTGAGACATTAGCCTTCATAGTCTCGCTATCAGATGGTTTTTGTTTTTCCTTGGAAACGTCTTTGTTGCCCTTAGTAAGGTCTTCTTTATTTCCAAATCCACCCAGATTCAAAGATTGACTGAATTGCATGAATTCCTTTATTTGGCCTTCTTTTTCTCCTTTAGATAACGTTCCCATCTTACGACGAGCGTTAAAAAACTTTTCAGCAGCACGGGAATCACCGCCACGAGAAAACGCCATGTGTCGCTGGGAAACAATGGCAGGGTCATTGGGCAATAAGCCATTGCGAGGGCCAGCATTTCGAGGACGGTATTCTCGACCCTTTCCTTGGGAGTAATTTTCTCTGGATGAAGGGCCTCGGTTGTTGGGTCTTCCAGCTGGTTGAACTGAGCGCTGAACACCTGAGTATAGGTCATCTTCATCAAGCCCACTATCATCGGGTTTAAGACCTCGTTCTTCGGCGAGATGAACATTATCGGTGGCGGAGGATTCAATTTCTTTCGCAATACGATCAGCTTCTTGAGCACGCTCCTTATACTTGGGGTGGTTTCGATTAATGCTTGAAGTGTATTGTTCCTCATCAAAATGAGATTGAACACCAAAAAGCTTTTCATTAGCGGCAAATTGATCCCATTCAGCACCACCGCCAGTTTGATCCACAGACTCTTCCAAACTCATCAAAGAGGCGCTCGCATCTTGCGGGTCAGGCCTCCAAGGCAATAATTCACGCTCCCGATGTTGCGTTTGGCCCCTTTGCGAAGAAATCGCTGCATCGGTTTTCCAAGTTTTACTGTTTGACGAAGAAGTCCTAGAAGGATTATTCACACGTCCTGGGTTGGATGCGTTAATAAATCGTTTGTTCGACGTAGAAGACGTCGTGTTTACATTGCCGGTGTCTTTAGTATTATCTTTGACACCTGATTCTGGAGCTGTCTTTCTCGTTTCAGTGTAAATACGTTCACTATTGCTTGCTGACTGAGATGCTTTGCTTCCTTTAGCTGCAACCGCTGACCATTTTTTTGTTGCTTCAGTCTTTGAAGGACCAACGTTTCGTTGTGGGGTCTGTTCCATTCTGACAGAATAGGTTGCCATAAAATTACTTGAGTCTCCTCAGATACCCTTGCAATTTCTGAATTTGCAACCTCCCAGTACCCGACTGAGATATTAGTGAATTCCGTGGAGGTTGGAAGTTGAAGGTTGAAACAATTACGATAGATCTTTGGGGTTTAACGTGTGGCGCCCACCGCAAATTTTCGTAAATTCCTAATTGTGCAAAATCTAAGAATTTTTGTAGAGTACTTTATAATTATTTATTTATTTATTTACTTTGTTGGTTTTTGTAAAATCAAATTCAGTACTATTCAATTCTTTACTTTTCTCTGTGCAACCTCACCACCAAATGGAAGAATAGCGAAGTGTCTTTGCGTAAACGTGAAACAATAAGCATTGGTTACATTTCCCTAGGCATTCATCCAACGTAGAGCGGGTGTCATAGTAATGATTGAAATAACATCAACTTCTAAAAAATCTAAGGGTAAATTGCAGTCGTACAGTAGCAAACCGTTCTTGTAGTAAAGTTAGGATATGTTTCTTCCATTGGGTAATTCCAAGTGTAACGTTTTTCAACAATGATCTAGGAAACAGGTATATAGGTTGAGTGAGCTTCTTACTTGATTTCTACTAGCATTGCTTTCATCATCCGTAATACATACAGAAAAAAATAAAAATAAAAATAAAGAATGCCTTGTGACAATTTCCTGCTTGCATGAATTGATGAATGTTTTGTATTCAAGCCCATAAATAAGTACCATTTCGACACAGTCGCTCGAAGAACCTACTAACCCATACTACACCTTTGACACTGTCCTCAACATATTCTTTGAGTTTTTATATCTTCTGTATTCAAATATTATAATATGGCTATTACTTTTAAGCAACAAATGTTGTCTATCTTTGGAATCTTCATCCTAGGTAAGTCAAGTGAGCAATTTCTTTAGGCTTGAAGAAATTGGCTGCTTTTTAACAGTATTTTTCTTGCATAGATATGGCCTAATTGAAAGCAGAAATTAACCTGAATTGTTTGGTTTAGGTGGCCCTGTTTCATTCATCTTACTCAAGAATCATCTATACGAAAAGCGAAGGGTGTATTATAAGATGCAGAGGGAGAGAGAAAGTGAAGGCAAAACAGAATCCGGTTGAGTTAACATTTATTAACCTATGAAAGTAAGCATTTCGAAAGTGAAAAATACAACAGGGATAAATATCCGCTTTCAATACCCTGTAATAGCTTAGAATCTTTTGAACGACATGGAAATCTCCAATTAAAGAAAAATAATCTCAAAGCTCAAGACTTTTGCACTCCTTATACCTTTTTTGATTCAAATGCGTGGTTCAAATACGAATTGCATACCGGATGAACCAAATTAGTCAACCAGCTTTCTTATGTTTTCTTTTTTTTTGTACATGCTGCTGAAATGTATATTATCTATGTCTGTGAGATTGTGGGAAGACCAGATCTCCTGGATAATTCCTTATAAGAGAAGTAGAGTATTACATGGAATCTTGAAAACAACGCTACGTATTGTATGAAAAAAAGGAAAGAGAATCAGGGAAAATAATTAGAATAATAATTCACTCAAATACTAGGGCACACCCGTTCCGTTATAGATTAAGAAGACGTTCATAACACAAAATTAGAGGTTGCGACACGGGTGAGTCGTGATCAAAATAATACTAGCCTCACTTCCTCAGTGCCTTTTAAAAAAAGGTTCTTAAAACAAAATTTGTCAAAATTGCAGCTAATAAGACGAAGCATAGGATAGTAGGTCCAAAACGATCATCATAAGGACCACTTCCTCTTCTCCGAATAGCAGAAGCTCTCCAATGGTAAATAGATAAAGCATAGGCCATTGTACCTATGGCCACAACAGTAAAGAGACCAGCGCTAATCCTTCCAATTCTGTCACCAAAGTTCAACAAACCCACAGACAAACCACCTAAGACAACAGCAAAGCTGAGCCAAGAGAGAAAAGTACGTTCATTAGCGAAAAAGACCTTGGGTTCTACACGAACTGGGAGTGCAATCCTTTTTCCTGGAGTAGTTTGCAAAAGTGGTTGAGTCGACATTTCAAATCAGCACAAAATATGAGGAAATCAAAAAAGGGAGACCTTTAAAAAAATGTATATGAGGAACTACTTAGTATGTCACTAATTCCACTGAATTTTCGATGTATTAAGAATGTAGTGACAAAGGCAACGAACACACATGCCTTAGCTAGTGGAGGACTATCTGGGTATAGTGATGTACAGCGCATGTTGTTATTAAATCATAAACAAAAAGCGTTCATAAGGAAAAAAATATAAAACAAAAAAAGAATGTACTATGTATAATGGAGAAATAAAAATGAAAGAAAGATATAGTTACAGATCTTTGGATTCCTGTCGGTTTTGCAAAAGCTTGCCGTAGTACAAGAGTTGTTTTACAATCTCCGGATTCGGCGTTTCCTGTTGTTCTTCAAATTGTTGTAGGATGCTAACGTACTGCATGGCTTCCTTAATTGTAATTGATACAAAGTACTCTTCCTCTTCATCGCTTTCGAAATCACGATCCTTTAGAAATTCGGCTGCGATTTGGTCTGTAATATCAGCATCTTCGTCGACGACACTTTCTTCAACAGGATCTATGAACCGATCGATTGACTGATATTTTATGTCTGTAAACTGAGAAAACAAAGATTTGAGTTTTTCAGAAGCTTGGATTGCAGAAGATGGGGGTTTTACGTCAGAATAATTTTCTTTTATTCCTATTATGCCGGAACGTTGAAAACTAAATGCAATTGAAGAATTGGAAACATCAAAATTCCATGCAGCAACCATCCAGTGTATAGCTTTTAGTATGTTTACAGCTTTTAAAGGATCACGACCAAGACTGATCTGCTCCATCATGTATTGGAGCCAATAATTTCTATAGCATTCCTTGAAATTACGGAATATACCCATAGAATACGGATTTTGTGTTAGGTTGGAACTTCTTGGGAGCCATAAAATGGCTATATTTTGAAAACTTCTAGTACGGCGAATGTTTTCGACGGCACATTCATGAGCGCTAAGCCGGTCCAAAAGAAGTAGAACCTTTCTTCCAGACATTTTTTGATCAAACCAAATAAGCCACTCCTGCATTATGATATTATTAATTTGAGCGGTACCATTTGATCTCCATTCAACGTCAAGGGCATGAATATTTACACGGGCGGAACGAAATGCGCGAGGCTCTTTTGAATAACCAATAATCCATAGGGGTAATTTGTCTGTACCGAGGGCATTGCAGCACATTGCTATAGAAACACGAGCTTTTTCTCGACGGATGCCGTTTGTAAATTCGATAGAAGGAGGCTTGTCTGGAACGAGCTTCCATAAAAGACCTACTTCGTCGAATGAATATACATCTTCCAAAGGGTAATGTTTTACGAATTCGTAAATCATGTCTGAATCAGCTACTTTCACGTTCTCATGAAGATTAGAAGGATGCTTTTGAAATCTTTTCAGCCAATTGCTGCTAAATTCTGGGGTCGGTAAATTCGAATATGCAGGGATTTTCTTCCAAAGCTCGCATGCTACTTTACGGATAACTTCTTCATTTATATCGATATCGGATTTTTGTGTTCTCTGGATCCATTCCACGAGAGCACTTTCCAAAACAGGGTATTTCGCGGGTAGGATATTGGGTTTTTCAGATGTTTCGGAGCTCGTTTCATCAAGAAAATCATATTTAGATGATAATATTTGAGAAACCGACGGTTGCGACAATTCTTTGTCAAACTTTTCTTTGAACCAAGCCATCAACTTTTGTTGCGACGGTTTTTCAACACACCCAAAGTAGAAACGACGCAGTTCTTTCTTTTCGTTTTTTGTAATGACTTGACGCCGTACTGGAGGCATATTAAATCCTAGTATTCAGTATTCAGCATTTTGGTTTTGTGAGTACTCTATCATCACAATTTTTCCTTATTAACAAACTGCACGTGCCCCCTAGGGGAGGCCCGCTTAGCAGAATATTTATTGACCTCGAAGTAATGAATTTAGTATGGTGTTTATATTCACAACATCCTATTCGTACTTATCGAGAATAAACTCAACTAAGTTGACATACCTCGTTAAGAAGTTTTACATCATCGCCCATACTGTTATCATCTTTTCAAGACATGTCTTATACTGTTATTGAGAAATGGAGTTTTTTCCAAGAAAACTTTGCTTTTCGGTATCAGATTCACTTCAAGTTCCTTTCTTTCTGGTTTTTTTTCTTCTTTCATCTGTGGAATAATTAAAGGAACCCGAAAACTAAAACAAAATGATTATTTTTTACGACATGAACCTCTGTAGCATATGTTTTGACTTGCCAGTTACGAACGCATTTCATCGATTCGAAATCTGACCATCCTACAATGCTCGTATCCTTCGGAATCTTTCAGAAAATGTTTCTTGTAAGTATTTTACTACCTTTTATTTATCTACATGTGTGTCGCATCATTTTACATGGCGAATCGATAAATCTCTTTGGGAACACAGCGCAAGCGCGTCTGTTGAGCAGAAAACTTTTTGGCTCGCTCTCATTTCCTAACGGAAGGCCTAAGAGAAGCGATGAATTTACGATGACATTGATTTCTTTATGACTTTTTTGCTAGTTATCATGTCAGACAGAACGACTGGAAAACAAACATGATATATCTTTAGCATCGCCTACATTGATCTGATACATGAAATCCTGGGTTGAACAGGGATAGTTACGTAATGCATCTTTAACACGTATTACTCCAATGTAAACACATAAATACAAAAACATAAAAATGTTTTATTTATGTGTTGCTTCTTCAAAATTACCCAAGCAGCCAGTATTGAACAGACAATCTAGTATACGCTCCCATACAGATGACTACGCGCATTTAAATCAAAAGTCAATAGGAGCAAAGATCTAACTAATTCAGTGCAACAGTTTAAGATGTGAAAATTAGGACTGCTCTTGGTTATTTTTTAGACATCTCCGATCGTAAAGCTACATTTTCTATACTTGCAACCAGGCAGCTAAGAAAGAAATGTCTCAAGGGACTAGTTGCAAGTATATCAAAACTAAAGGAAAAATAAAACATTGAAATGTTCTCTTTCTCCTTGGTCACTCACATATGACAGACTCGACTTGTTTCAAACGGTTTCTCATAAAGGTATTATATTATGATTAAATATTTATCTTCATTTTAGCATTTGTTTTTTCTTTCAACTAAAAGCATACTAAGATATATATAATAACATATTATTTAAATTTTAGTTATGCTTTTAAGCATATACCTTATAGTCATATATTAAATTTCTAAGCATATCCTATAAATCTATAACAAATCTCGACTATGTTATAAAGTCAAGTCAAATTGTATAATAACATGTAAAACGCCAAAGAAACAGACGAATCTCTCACGTAACCAGGTTCTCAATTAGTTAGTACTCCCCTACTCCATGAATGCATACTGTTTCTATATTTTCTGAATGACTTTTGGGTAGTTTTACAAATCAATATTTTTTATTTCGTAAATCTTCTTTCTATGCCTCACGTACATTCTCAAGTTTTACATACGAATTCCTTCTTCATTAAAGTCAAACTCCTAAAATTAAATACTGACAAAAATTCTTCATAGGTTGAAATCCTCGTTCCATCAAAAAAGAAAAAAAAGGACCCTCCCATTATCTTGATAAAATAAAACCGTTTCATAGAATGCATTAAGAAAGCGAGGGCAGTGAATTCTAGACTTCAATTAAATATACATGTTTACAAATTATATTTGATAATCATTTAAGGCAACACATACTGCTGCTTTGTGATGGCCCGAGTATTGGCGAATGGTTTCTCCACTGGAAAGTTCCCACAGACGAGCTACGTGATCCGATGAAGCTGTAACAAGGTAGGTTGAATCTGCAGAGAATGCACAGTCCCATACCCATCTTTGGTGTCCTTGCAGACGTCTTTCCAACATGAATGACATATCGTCAGTACTCCAAATATTAACGGTGGAGTCGGCTGAGCATGTTGCCAAATGCTTTACGTCTGGAGAAAGCACACATCTTGTTATATATCGCGGATGTGCTTGGAACTTTACTACCGGTTGTAATAAAGAAGCTCCTTGGTGATTAAGCATCCTCCAAACGTAGCAATTACCTTTATTATTTCCTGCAATAAGCATACTTCCATCAGATGCAACTGTAACACTGCTCATCGGCACATCTTCCTCGGGAATTAGTTCGTGCGTACATGAGTCTTCACCTAGATCCCACGCACTTACTCTTCCGCTTTGATCACAAGAGATCAATTCTCCTTGGTTAGGGTGAATAAACAGATCATTGACAGGCGATTTATGATCATAGTTCCTTTGAACAGACGGCGCACGCATGTCCCACACCTTTACGGTACCATCTTCGCTAGACGTTGCTAGCCATTTACCATCACAATGAAAAGCTACCCCAGTAACATTATTCGTATGGCCTTCAAAAGTCATCAAAGGTAATTGGCTATTAGAATTAATATCGTAAAGGCGTACATGCGGATTTTCAGCGGCTGCTAGAAAACGCTTGTTTGGTGAAATGCAAAGTCGATTCACTTGCGTGTCGGCATGCTGAATAGTTCTTGAACAAATGCCACTTAATGCTTCCCAGAATCGAATTGTATGATCATATCCACTACTTACTAGTAGTACAGAATGCTGTGGTGGATACTGGACAGACATGCGGTGAGTGGGAAAGGACACATACTAAGGTAATATTCAAGAACGTAACCAGTTGCTTTTTGAATAATTTTCTAACTTTCTAGTAGTTCTCTTGGTCCTTTTACTTTTTCAAAAAAGTTTATAATATCATTTACACATTTTTAGTATGGCTACTCTACCGTATGTACGTATTTATATTCTTGCTAGGAAAAAATAGAAGACCACGTAATATATCTAACAATGACTGTGAAAATAGCATAAAACATTATTAAAGAAGAGAAAAACAAAGAAATATGTCTAAACAAGAGTAAAGTAGTGAAGGGTTTTTTTAGTACTTCCATGCTAAACATGGTAGTACTTATTCTATACTGGAACAAAAAGTAAAGCAAAGTAAATTTAAATTATATTATCGCATCTTGGGATGCAGGATAGCAGCACAAGTCCAAAACTAAGGCAATAGATATCAGGCTCCTCTGTAATTAGTAGGAGCACATAAAGTTTTAGCAACCTCGCATTTAGTATTTTCATAATGAAATACCGATGGAATTAATTGAATCTCGGAGCTTAGTGCGCGTATAATTATCAATCTTTCTTTCTCGGGGATGAACTCATTGGGGATAGCATATCACGATAAAATTCCCATTCGGATATTAGTCCTTTTAGCTGAAATCCAAAGTGATCGTATTCTTTCAATGCACCTTCTTGCGAATGTGCGTCTGAATTTTCTTGTAAATGTAAGCTAATATTTTCATGCGTTTCAAGCATTGCAAAATGTAATTTTTGTAATTTCTTTTTAAGATCGTCCATGTCCACAATTCCATTACGGTTAGAATGATTAAGATACTCGTTTTCTGGAGTGACTACACCACTTTCTGGCATAGAGGGAGAAAATGAATGAAGTTGTTCGGTAAACTCACGAAGCGTAGCAACAAAACTATCAATGTTATGACACAAAGTTGGCCATGATGTGCATTCTTGAGGAAATGTTTGTACAGAATATGACAGTATACAACATAGGATTTGTTTTAGTACAACCGTTAAATCAGAGTAACTTTTTACCAGATACAGCAAGGATTCATTAGAGTGAGAATTATACTCATTTGCCTCTTTTCGAAGACAATACAGAGAATTCCGCTGTAAGTTACGGTTTAGATTTTGTTTTAGCGAAAATGGGGATGAAGTACTAGTAAAACAATTGGGCAGTTTGTAGAGGAGTAGAAGATCCCTTAGGTAAAACGGAGCCGTAAATGGATATACTCTTGATAGAAGCTCCTGATACGATGGTAGTACTTTCGCGAAAAGGTCAGAAACTTGTCGGGACATGAGCTCTTGATTCCTGCTGATTTGAAAAACTCGGTTATGTTGACCGACGGTATTTGAAGATCTTTCAAGGCCATCTGGATGGCCTAACTCACAAATCTGAGTATAAACGCGATTAGCAACATCTTCAAACGATTGTAATGCATGGGTTAATCGGTATATACTACTTAAGCCGTCAATGCGAGTGTGATAAACCCAAAAATGACAAAAAAACATTAGGGCTGAAAATACCATATAGCAGTAAAAGGTCATTTTGAGGGGATAAAACGACAAGAAGTTGCACAACAATGAAATCAGGCAATAAAAACCCAAGCAATAACCGGCATGTAAGAAAGATTGGTAAGTAAACATATACCAAAGCTTTTTTGAAGAGAAAGATGGTGGACTTGGGATTGGGATAGATGAACCAAAAGTCAAATTTCCTTGACAATGTAGCTTATGGTCCCCGACAAGCAACTCTGAAGTATAAATTATATATTGGATATTGTCGTAAAGAAGGGTTCTCTCCGTCTCGCATATATTTGGTTGAAAAGATTCCTAAAAGGCAAAAAGTTAGCAGGCGCGTTTACACCAGTGAAAAAGTAAAAGTTATACCAAAACATAAGGCCAGACATTGTTTATGAACAGATCTGAGGAAAAACGTCCAAAGAAATACAGTTTGGAGACTATTTTTGACCAGTAGTACGAAATAGAATTAATATAGCTGTCTATGCCATTGAAGCGTTAGCCAATTCAGAATTCACTCATTTCGAGTAAGAAAACGGGGATAACTATACCATCTGAAATATTTTCTATAAAAAATAAATTACTTAATGGGCGATGACTTCCTTCCATGCTAACAGCCAAGTGTATCCAGTTTGCTTTTAAAGAGTTCTTTTGTTGCAGGCAATAGTCTATTTAGACTTCAAATATGAGGAAATGTAGAACAACCTATCATACATGAAATGAAAATAATGATACTTTTAACAGACTTCCATCAAGATATGCATCAATTAGCTACTATCTTCTATATAATGAGAAACGCGTGCGCGTGTCCGCTCTCCTTACATTTATAGTTTTAAGGACCCTTCATTCCTCTTTTAGGAAATAGTTATCACACAAACGCGACAATCATATTACTGCTGAAATCTAATATAATATTAATGAAGTCGTAGTTAACTATTGCATTCGTAAGCAAAATCTTTCTCCAAAAAATATTATACTTACTAGTAATTTTCTTACCTTTTCATATTTACTTAAGCAAACCTCATATCACTACTAGTCATTCTCCTGTCTCTTATTTTTATAGCACTATCGAGCTCTAACACGATATTGCCGGTATTCTTCAGCACCATTTTAAGGTCTTCAATTTTAAATCTTTTTAAATATCAATATCCTTATTGATGATGCCTCATCTTTTTTTTTGACATAGAAATCATAATTTATTTGTATACTGGCTAACAATGCGTCGCAGTGTTTCCTCACTTCGTTACTTTAGTTTCTCGTTCGAGATTTAAACTCAGAGAGTAACGATGCTACCTCGGTAGGGTGTGTACACAGCCTCACCTTACTTTGGTATTTATACGTACATTTAACCAACAACGTACTTGCTAAAACCAGTACCTATTTGTTTTGTCTCAGTAGAGGTGAAAACTTAGTAACATTCAAAGGTTACTTAAGGTTCATGAATCATTAAACTTCTAGGAATAAAGATAAATTGAGGAAGTATTTCCTAGCACTTATTTTCAACGTCTATTTATGGGTACTTCATTTGAGTATTGATTCACGATCAGCCTCCGATATTTAAGCTTACAGCAACGTCTAATACTTGACTTTCTTTTTTCCATTTATCATTCTTTTCATCGCTTGTAAATTTTTTATTGGATATTTTTCTTGATTTACTTCTAATACCTTGACTTCTTTGGTAACATATTTATATCCCTATTGAAGTAAACTTTTCTTTGGCATTTAAGGAACATTCATTTGTACAATTTCTCATTGGTTTTTCATTTTTTATTTCTACGAAAACGCTGTCTTTTCCATTCTCATCTTTTAATTTTCCCCTTGGTTTTAACCTTCATATTATCTTCGTATAATCATAATCATACTGGCTTTATTCTTGATATTTTGAAGATAAGCATAGTGTCTTTTGTTTTACTTTACTTGCTTTTCTGCTAAATTCATTCTACTTTGTATTCGAAGTTATAAAGCTCTTCATCCTCATTTTTTTATTATATTTTATTTTGATCTAGGCCTTTTTTAAACGGGTGTCACTCATCATGCTTCCCCAACCGCAATATTCTCAGCAAAGTCTCTCGACCGATGACTACTCCAGTAACTTGGAGAAAGGTGCAAACAGCTCTTATCAATATGAACCAGAAAGTCGAAAGTTGAATACTGGCGACGAACACTTTGAAGAAGTGAAGAAGCCTTGGTATCAGACTTACGAGAGAAAGATTCTGGTTGGTGTCATCATCTTTATTTGTCTTCTTCTTATTATCATCTTGGGTAGTGTTCTAGGCCATCGTACACATGAAAGAAATCGTCATCCTTCATATAAAAAAGAGAACTACACATTGTACGAATCATACGAAGGTGAATCATTTTTTGATGGCTTTGATTTTTGGAACAAGACAGATCCTACTCATGGTTTTGTTCAATACAAGAACCGTGAAGCCAGTGAGCAAATGGGTTTGATTCATGCTAACAGTACCAACGTAATTATGACTGCTGACCACAAGGATAAGTACCCTAATGGTCGTCCGTCTGTTCGAATCTCAACTAAGAAGCAATTCAAGGAGGTTTTAATTATCCTTGATGTTTTGCATGCACCTACTGGATGCGGTACTTGGCCCGCATTTTGGACAGTTGGTGATAACTGGCCTAAAAACGGTGAGATTGATATCATGGAAAATGTGAATTTAGCTCGTAAAGGTCAAGTTACATTGCACACTGATGATGGTTGTGATATGACTGGTGTCAAGCAAGTAATGACCGGAAGCTTATTGCAATCCAACTGTTATGTAGATGCTCCTGGAGCCAATAACGCTGGTTGCGGTGTGTCAGCCGCTGAGGAAGGCTCATTTGGAGCCCCTTTTAATGAACAACATGGTGGTGTTTACGCTCTTGATTGGCGTAATGAAGGTATTCGCGCCTGGTTTTTCAATCGTACACATATCCCTTCCGACATCACGAACAAACAACCTCAGCCCGCTGGATGGGGAACTCCTTTAGCTGATTTCCCTAACACAAAGTGTGATATTAGCAAGCGATTTGGTGATCAGAAAATTGTTTTTGATCTTACCTTCTGTGGTGACTGGGCTGGCTCTGGTTCATCTTATTCTGGTGCTGGATGTTCATCTAGCTGCACCGATTTCGTTGCCAATAATCCCCAAAATCTGACAGAAGCATACTGGAATGTTCGTGGTTTGAACGTCTATAAAAGTCACTAATTATTACTCATAAGGCTACAGGGTGAGTGTTAGAATACTGAAAGCTTCAAAGTTAGTCATTCAAGATATGGTTTTCTAAGATGGCAAATTAGCCCGTGAACATTGCTTCACTTATCTTGGAAGCCGACCTGAATAGCATAGCATGTTGATTATATGTTATTTTATCAATAATAATAGGTACTTTGTTAAAGAATACCTTGAAATGAAGATTCATATTCAGCACAACAACATTCATTATATTGGTCTTATCAAATAGTAGAGTATTTCAGGCATACTTAGTTACGAGCCAAAAATCCCACATTAGCGTATTTTAAATGCTGAATGGTAGCGGTAGCACCAGGGACTTGAATAGGTTCGGGTTGCTTACGGCCATTGGCATATCTAGTCACTGTAGCAAAGAGCAAAGAGTCGTCCAAAGAGTGAAGAATGAGACTGGTATCAGCATCTTGATCGACTGTAAGCTGTTTCTTCAATTCGTCGGGATTACCAGAAGCTTTGTATTCAGTATAAACGAGGTAATCATCAGCAGATTCGGGAGCACCGTTTTTGTTCAAGAAGCCTTCGACAATTTGGAAGTTACACTTTTGAAGAGGTTCAACCATTGGTGATTGCTCTGAGCTAAGATAACCAGCAAACTTGAGAAATGGTGGTGAAACCGCATGCTTACTTTCTAAGGCGTCCTTGTTATCATAAATTTCGATGCCCCAAACGGAATCTGGGTTGGCGGCATCGTAAGCAAAATAGTAGCATGAAGTAAAAGGTTCGCTTTGACTAACATGCGTACTCACATCGTTCAGTAGATTAAGAACCTACAGGGTAAGTAAGAGCAAGCTAGATGGATATCAAGTCCATGTCGACGTTGGCATTCAGTAGAAATGAAAATTTTATTCCATAAATTCTTACGTGCCCGGTTTATCACCGACTTAAACTTGATTAACGTTAGGTGATTTAACTTACCTTCTTTCCTTCACCAGATTTGAGAGAAGCTTTAGGAATAAGGACGTGTGTGTTTGCAGGAAAGCTCATTTCAGAAATATTTACCAGCTATTATGTGTGGTTGACAATTAGCAAGTTTAATCAAATCTACTAAAGTTGGTTTATATAGTTTTTTTACAAGTCGCTACGATTTCGGACCCCATTACGTAATGAAGTTACTAGAGAAGTCGAAGTATTTCTATACTGCTTGCGAGTTCTAAAGGTCGACTCTGCTGTTCTTAGTCGGCCGATTTAGACAAATGCCGACTGAAGTACATTTCTTTTCACCTTTATAATCAGCTGAAATTCATCTGTTAGTGATCTTAGGAAAGTACTTTTTCAGGTGTATATTTGATTATATCTAAATCCTTATGCCCATAAGAAAAGTCTTGAGGTGGTGAGATCAGAGAGACAAAAATATCACTGTTTAATAAATATCAATAAGTACTCAATCTTTGCAACTATGTAGGATCGAAAGTGAAAATAACAACAAATTAGAAGCCAAAGCTTACTAGGAAATGGATACGCATGATATATCGTATTATGGTGTACACAAAAGCGTATTGCGTATTGCAATTCTGTATGCTGGACTAGCGGTTTTTGAAATGAATTAAATGGGAACCATTCTGCGTTTTGGCATTGAATTATTGTGGAATGGAATAAAAGATTTGTTTTCTAATAAGTTTAATAGTGATACATTTTTAATAAAAAAAGCTTTCAAAGGAAACGTACTTTGCTTTCCTATTATTACGTTATTACAATTTCATGTTGTCGAAACCGCATCAAAGGGCTGGTCGAAGCACCATTGAATTAAGGGATTTAGAGAATGGTGCTGTTTCAAACACATTTCACCTATCGACAGATGACATCCCCGATGATCGAGGTTCGCTGCATGAAGTATATCAACCATTGTCTTTCCAACAAAAAAAGAATATCGTTTTCTTAATACTATTGTGTATGTACTTTTTGTCGAAATATGGCTTGACTAGATTGACCGTATCTGCTAACCAAAATGTTAGATCTTATTCAAGGTGTTCCTATGGGATTGATAAAGGGCAGTATTCCTTATTTCCTAAAACCACATTGTACTTATTCAGATATTGCAACTTACTCACTGGCTTCCTATCCATATAGCTTAAAGGTGCTTTGGAGCCCGATCGTAGACACATATTACTTTCCCAAATTTGGTCGACGCAAGACATGGGTAGCACCTTGCACGTTTTTTCTAGCTTGCACATTGTTAGTTTTCTCTTACAACATAGATATATGGATTGAAAGGGGCTCTTCTTACATCAATTCCTTCACTGTTTGGAGTTTCTTTCTGGTTTTTATTTGCGCAACTCAAGATATTGCAGTAGATGGATGGTCGTTGAATATGCTTGATGTTCATCAATTGAATTATGCCTCAACCGCCCAAACAGTTGGGTTGAATACAGGTTACTTTCTTTCGTTCACTGTTCTGTTGGTTCTGACCTCCCCTGAGTTTGCAAACTCTGTTTTACGTATCAGCACTTTAAATGAAGGTTTAATCACTTTGAGCGGATATATTCGCTTTTGGGCTTTAATTACGCTCGTTTCGGTTGTTTTAATTTTGGTTTGGGAGGAACAGAAACCAGAGCATGTAGCAAATATGAAGGATACCTTTCGTTCAATTCGAGACATTCTTTCGTTAAGGAGTAAGTCTACGTCTTTTTTCTTTACTAACATGTTTTAGATATGAAACAGCTTTTAGTGGTTCACCTATTTGGTAAAGTTGGGTTTGTCGCCAATGAAACTTTGACACTTCTTAAAGCAACAGAATCTGGTTTAAACAAAGCAATGCTTTCTTTAATTATCTTAATCAATTTTCCCCTGGGATTAATCCTGGGCGTGTATATTGGACATATTAGCAATAAGCGGCCTCTCTACGTATGGTTATGGGGATATTGGGGTCGAACAATTTCTATTGTGCTAAACGTGGCACTTGTATATGCGGTCACCTACTTTTCAGAGAAACTATCGTTGTTTCTTGCCATTCTCATTTGTTACACTCTTAATGCCTCCTTTATGACTGTCCAGTTTGTTTCGATAGGTGTATTCCACAGCCAAATCTCTGATCCTGCTATTGGAGGAACTTATATGACGGTAAGTAGAAGTCAATATGCTACGCAGAAACTAATTCTAGTTATAGATTCTCAACACAATAAGTAATTTAGGTGGGACATGGCCACAATACATTATGTTAAAATTAGCAGACTGGGTTACTTTTTCATACTGTTCAGCCGATCATAACCTGCGATGCATCACGGACGATGTTAAAAATGTGTGTGCCTCTAAAGGAGGTCAATGTATATATAAAAGAGATGGTTATTACTTTACGTCCATCCTCGGCATATTTCTTTCTATCCTTCTTTGTATTATCACTATATTCCCAATTGTGCGTAAGCTCAATAAAGTCCCCGCCTCATCTTGGCATATTCATGGTAAATTTTCTTCAAATCAATAGATTTTAATGTTCTTTCTTTCTTTCTTTTGACTAATATATTTATTATTTCGTTTCGATATTCAAAAATAGGCTGTTGTTTATTACTATCGTAAGTTCATTTATTAGACGTAACCAATTCTCACTTATAAAGGATATTCTTATGGGAATTTAGTAGATACAAGCACCCCCTGATTCAATTATATTCATTTCCAGGTCACTAACAGGCATACGGTGGAATCGAGGTGAAAGCTCGTTTCTGTCGTTGGCAATGAAGACGTCTTGGCCTTTAGAGGAGCCAGTAGCGGGTGCTCCAGCATTGGAAAAAAAACTAGAAGGCAAGGCAAATGGAACGGCAGGATGAGGATGTCGTTCAGCAGATGATTCTATCAGGTTAGTAATCCTTCGTATTGTGCAACATACTAGTCAAATGTTTGACAAACTGAATAAGAACTTTTCTAGCCATTTTTTTTGAAAAAAAAGCCTCAAATAATGAATTCTCAATTCTCAAGCAAAACCTAACCGCTACTTCCGTTAATTATGGCTTTAGTTCCGTCCTGGCAATATCTCATGTCTATACCAATCAATAGTACTTCATCATATGCGTTCAATTTCACTAATTATATATATGATTCTCTAAGGATGTTTGTATACTTCACGTTGTTATGTTTTACTGTACTAGTTAGGTATCTATTGATACCTTATTCTTCAGTATTATAGGTTCAAGGGATTTCAAACAATTCAGTCTGGTATGTTTCAATCATAGAAGGTGATATTTCTATAGGTGTTTTGTGATTCGAGAATTAACACATTGATGTGTATAGCGCATATACCAATTTCATTAATTCAATGTCGATTTAATCATAGTACTTATTGAGTAACTCAGTATGCATTTAGTGTAACACTCTAGACATGTTCAGCGAGGAAAATCCATACAAATGATTGAAAACGAGAAAGACTCATTGAATATTTAGTGCCCAAACTTCCTTTTACGGTTCAGTAAATAAATATCTTAGAATCCGACTAACTGGGTTGAATTAATTTATGGTTTAAACATTGAATTGTCTGGTCCAACAATACTATAAATTATAATCCTATCGAGTTACTTTGATCTTTTGTAATAATTTACCAATCATTTCTTTGTATGTATTAGGGTAGGGTTTGTTTGTTGTGAGCAGTCACTGTTTGGCGAATATTCACAAGAGACTAGGTGATGCCCCAGTAGAATCTTCCTTGAACCAACTGAAACAAAAATGGTAAGAGGCCCCAAAAAGCACCTGAAGCGTGTGGCCGCCCCTCACCACTGGCTTTTAGACAAGCTCTCTGGTACTTATGCCCCCAAGCCTTCTGCTGGTCCTCATAAGGCTCGTGAGTGCCTTCCCTTGATCGTCTTCTTGCGCAACCGTCTCAAGTATGCCTTAAACGGTCGTGAGGTTAGAGCCATTCTTATGCAACGTTTGATCAAGGTTGACGGAAAGGTTCGTACTGACAACACTTTCCCCACTGGTTTCATGGACGTTATCAGCATCGAGAAGACTGGTGAACATTTCCGTCTTGTCTATGATGTTAAGGGACGTTTCACTGTTCACCGCATCACTGCTGAAGAAGCCAAGTACAAGCTTTGCAAGGTTAAGCGTGTCCAGTTGGGTGCCAAGGGTATTCCCTTCATCGTCACTCATGACGGCCGTACCATTCGTTATCCCGATCCTTTGATCAAGGTCAACGATACCATCAAGCTCAACTTGGAAACCAACAAGATTGAAGGATTCATCAAGTTTGATACTTCTGCCCAAGTCATGGTCACCGGTGGCCGTAACATGGGTCGTGTTGGTACCATCATTCACCGTGAACACCATCTTGGTTCCTTTGAAATCATCCACGTTAAGGATGCTTTGGACCGTGAGTTCGCTACCCGTCTCTCCAACGTTTTCGTTATCGGTGAGACCAACAAGAGCTGGATCTCTTTGCCTAAGGGCAAGGGTGTCAAGCTCAGCATCACTGAAGAGCGTGATCGCAGACGTGCCCTTAAGGGACTCGCCTAAAATTTTTATATGTAGTATTGGTAATAAAATTGACTTTACATAAAGCAGCCTTAAACGTAGTTTTGTACAGAAATTTAAGCTCTTATTTTATCTCTAATTTATTTTATGTAGTTTAGAAGGATGGATATCGTAACCGCGTTCTGTTGATCAGGCGGTGTTTGTTTATCAAGGTAAGGTGTACTACGGATTAACCTTTGCTTTAACCAACCTCAACTATTTGAGAAGTACCAAGCTCAGCTCAGTTATCCATTATCGCTTTTATCGAACAGATACAGCTTACCATTCTATTGAATATATTATAGCAAGAACTCCTGGCTCATTCACACCCATTAGTTATCCTATACGATAGGAAATGTTATTCTATTTGTTAACAGCTGCTTTTATTTATTACACTATATGGATTCTAATAATGGTAATAACCTTAATCTCTTTCTTAAAACTAATCTTTGAGATTTAGCCGTTTGTTGACAAGATGAACCCAACCCACAAATTATTCTTAGATTGTGAATGGGCAATTGTCGTACCAGTGTCTTTGATGCTGTTTGGAATTTGCCTAGTTGGAACGTTCATTTCGTTAGTGATGATCAAATCTGAAAGAAACTCTCGAAAGACGTAATGCTACGCGTCGCGTCTCGCTTTTAGACTCCACATTATTCTTTGAGAAGCTGAACGTATACATTTCCATTTTGGTTGCAAATATATTATTCAATGCATAAAATATATAGTTCCGACAAGGACTTTCTGTTGGAATATAACTTTCAGGAAATCTGGAACTCCTTGCAGGAAGACATTGAGAGTTTCACCTCTTCTCCTTTTGAAGTACAAACTAAGGTTTAATGTAATTATACTAACTAACTATCTAGTTTTTAATTAAATTTCGCCATAATGGAAAGCCCATAGATCCGTTAACGTGTTATTCTTTGGGAAATGAAATAGCTGGTTTTCCTGTATGTTATTTAGCCTTGAAAATTTTACTTATATATAGGTTTGGAAGAAGTTGGAATTCTCTATACTGTTGAGTACTGAGGTGAATGGACATATCGTGAAATGTATGTATATAAGCTTGTATTCAGAATACTTACATCTTAGTCACTATTTATCCCCTGAAGTTACCTTTTAAGCAAGGTCCAATTAGGGAGTTACTTATTCTGGTAATGAATTGTGACCTTCGGCAGAATAATGCTTCTGTGGTCGATTGCAATCCTAGGTTTGTAGCACATTTGGTATATCAGGCCTTGCTACGGTACATTGTGAATGTACTAAGTCGGAAATGTCCTTTATCATTTCAACCAAATCTATGCAAGGTTTGTCAAAATTGAATTGAATGTCTATTAACAGTATATATGCTTTAGAAATTTTCAAACACAATGCTTTACGCTGATAGATACTCTAACTCAATAAACAAAATCCTCAATAGGGCTAGTTTAAAAGAAAATTTAACTGGAAATATATTATATGACTTGATATATCGAAAGACAAGGATTTGCTTACGAAAAAATATAAGGAAAAACGAACTATACAGCGGGCTTCATGAATATGAAACAACGGTTAATGAACATATAAGGCAAAACGTGGAACATGAAATTGAAGAATCTCAAACACAAGAAAACTCTACATTAAATTCATCACCTCCATATACAATTTCATATCCTTCGTTGCCAACGGAAGCTGCTTTTACTAATAATGAGTCAAGCACAACCTTACAGGAAACTATATCTTCGGATACAATTTTATCGTCAGATAATTTTCTTAACGAAGTACTATCTTCTCATTCTAAAAGCGATATCTGATTTTTAACTATTTATTTAATCTTCTCACGAGTACTTGTAGGTTAATATCAAGTTTGATGTAACTTATTATTTATATTCAATATTAATTGCATTAACGTTCAAATTAAAGCTTAATGAAGCTGAGCATGATTATTTCTTTGCTGTAATTCAATTAGACTTTTGGCGCATTCTTCCAATTCCTTATGGGACGAATAATTATCTTCTTTCGGTGAAGGAGGTTGATTAACTTTGCCCGGGAGAAGTTTTTCGATGTTTTCGGAAGTTTCCGTTTTTCTACTTAGCTTCGGTGGTTTGTTTTCCAAGTTGACTTTACTATCGACAGTCTTCTTTAGGAAAAAAAGTTCAGCTTCACCATTCTGACTTTCACAAAGGGCTATCATCGATTGTCTTTTTGGAAGCATGCCCTCTATATCATTTTCTGAACGTGCACGGAGTAAGCTATTACTTTTACGTAGCGATTGACGTTTATTTTGAAACCAAATTTGCAATTCTCGTGGGGACATGCTCGATTGTAGTTCTTTACTAAGCTCTTGTCTTTCCAAGAGGTTTGGCTTAGGCGTTTTCAAAAAATATTGCTCCAGAATAGATGCTTCAGCATCCGTGGTACGCCGTCTTCTTCGTTTGGCTCGTAGGTCTTCATCTTCCTGATCTCTAACGAGATGCTCATTTAGTTCAGAAGACTCAAATGTATGCTTAGGGGTTGAGATTGTATCTTGCGACATTACTTTGTATAAGTATCCATTGGAAATTATATGGTTAAGGATAAGCTGCTAGTCTTTCAGTTATAGTACGCGCAGCACGCGACGCGTCGCGTCTCAATTACGAAGTTGGTGTTGTAACTATATACGACACCTGATTTTGTATGTTTAAAACAGATAAAGTAAGGATTTGTTACAACTATTTATTAAATTTACTATTCTTGTTCACTTCTCTTACATTACGCAGATATTCAATTGATATTTTTCACACGCTTAAAAGATCACTAGTGAACAGGATGATAAAATGTGTACTTAGTAAGAGCGTCACAACAAAATTATGTCTTACGAGCCATAATTTGGTTAATTTTCAAAAATTTGTTAACTGGAAACATATAACGGCTAAGACAACGTATACTTTGCTAGAATAGAAAATTAATAAATTTAAAATAGCATAATCTATATGCATTATACGTGATTTATATATATTTCTGTTAATATATAGTGAAGTAAGCTTATAGTAGCATAAATAATGGCAGATCCTAAAACTATTGGATTTTTTAAATTGAAATGTAGTAATTATAATGATACTAGTTTGTTTTAGGAACTTACTAGCAATAATGCAGTAAAATTACAATAGACCAGTCTCACAGTCATTAGTAATTGATAGCACGGATTACGACGCCATTTTTGTAGAACATGGCCAGGTATTTAATATTTATGAAACAAGAAAGAATTCGATTTTTTATCCATTTTGCTGTCATTTTGTTGACGCAGCTTTGCCAAATAACAACTGTATTTATTCATATAATGAAAGCAGGTAGAGTAAAAAATGACCCCGCCAGGAGTCGAACCTGGAATCTCCTGATCCGTAGTCAGGCGCCTTAACCATTGGGCCACGAGGCCTTGTTAATTACAGATGCTTCTTTGTAGTTATATAGTTATACACATTTCTTCGAAAGAGTAATTAACAGTAAATAGTTAGGACTAAGTAATTATGGATTGATACCTATTGTAATGTTAGTAAATAGTTGTTTTGCCCTTTTTTAAGCTTCGCTTCTCTATATAATAACTATATTTCCATTTATGCAATGATTATATGCATTTTTGTTTTTTTCAAAACATGAATTGCTTTCCTTTCCTGCTTTCTTAATGTATATATAATGGATAATTATCTTAATAAAAAGCCGTTTTGACATTGTTTAAACGACTCTGTTGGTGATCAGTGATACTAATGGTTCATGTAAACTTTATTATATTTTTCGTTCTCTTTCTTTCGCTATTTTTCATTTTCGTTTCTATTTGTTTGATTTTAATGACAAGCCTGTGGAATTTTGGTATGCGTGTGCCGACGACGTACATACAAAACCAGCAAGGTAATAGGTGCGTAGATTACAAAGCAAACAGAATGTTTATAGAAAAAACCCTTACAACAAGTGGTCGCATGATGTAGTTGGTTATCATGTCGATCTAATAAGTCGAATGTCGCCAGTTCGAGCCTGGCTGTGACCATTGTTTTTTTTTCCTTTTTCCATTTTTTCCCTCTTTCTATTTCTATCTTACATTTACCTTTAATCACTCTTTTTTGGTTTTCTTTTCTTCTTTTTTGTCGTAATGAAATACCTATCTATTTGTATATTTCATCGCAGAGTTGAATGTCCACTGTGCGAAACAAAACAAAACAAAACTAGATGAAATCAAAGTAAACTAAGCTAAATAGTAAATCAAATTAGAACAACATTGAATAACATTGAATAAAGAAAAAAAAAAGGATTCTAATTCAAGTAAAAAGCAAAGGGAAATTTGAAGAAGGTTGAACAGGGAAAAAATTGGACAAGCCAGAACTCGAATCTGGGACCTCTTCCATGCTAAGGAAGCGTGATAACCATCTACACCACATGCCCTTGGTTGATGTCTTGTTCTTTTCTATGTTATGTAAACAGCTCTCTATATCTGACAATTCGAAAATGTGAATCTGTAATTAGGTACTCTTTCGACAAATTTGCGTATTTCAGAGTTGATATATATATATATATATATTCATGACAATTCGACATTCTACATTTGTATGTTACAAGGATTTAAATAAAAAAAGACCAAAAAGGTAGTTTTTATTTTGTTTTGTCGTCTTTAGTTTTTCTTTATTTTTTTTCGTATTGTGAAAGCGAGTGAAGTGGTATGCGTATACATTGATTATTTTGTTTGCTGCTTTAGGCCGTTTTATTATACAAATTCAGGCACACACTTAGAAACAGCTGGTTGAGGATGAACTGGTTGAGGATGAACATGAACATGAGCATGAAACGAGAAAATAATTGTCATCTCATATGTGTTGTTAAACATCAACGAAGGCCGTGTGGTTTAGATGGTTATAATTTCTGCTTAACATTTGATGTTCGCAGACGGTCCCAAGTTCGAGTCTTGGCACGGTCATAGCCTTCAATTTTTTCAATTTTTTCATTTCTTTTTCTTTCGGTGAATTCTATTAGTTGGATCATTGCAGATCTTTTATATAAAAATAATACACACTTGATTTTCGCTGCCTTGTTTGCGGTTGCTGAACGGCATGGTCTGCATCTGTCACCCGTCACACCATGATTTCTTTGCAACTGACGAAGGAAATATCGCTATGGATGCAGACACTAACTGTAGAATTAAAGAAACAATACAAACAAGAAAACACAAGGAAGAAGAAAAATTGAAAAAGGGAAAAGGAAAAACAGAAATTACTCTCCCTCCGGGATTCGAACCCGGGCTGCCAGCGTGACAGGCTGGTGTACTACCCCTATACTAAGGAAGATTTGTTGATATCCACTGCAAGCTTGCAAATAAGAGTACCTACAGGTTGTTAGTCAGTGGAAAAGCTTCTTTGTGTCTTTTGTTTACCTTTTCGTTGTATCCCTTCGTATGATGGAACATGCATTCCTGAAAAACGTGACTCCTTATATATAGAAACCATGTTCAGCAAGAAATGTAATACTAAAATAGTTTACAAGCGAAGAATTCCCCAAAAGCTATCAAATCTACCGAACTGTTCTTTTACTCTTTTTTATGCATTGTCCCTAGTTTATCAAAATCAAGTTCTTAAGTTCAATAACTTTGAGGTAAAAAATACTTGAAACTTGGGAATTGTTGCCTTTAAAAAACGATACTTTACGCAATTTGTGGCATCATCGATACACAAAACCAGCCTGATTTATCCTGGTAATATTGACTTTCACCTTGTTCTTCGCTCATTTTCACTGGTTCGGCAACGAACTACCGATATGCTGATATATCGATGGATCTTTAAAGCTATATCTTCTAGTAACATATCGACATAGATTTAAAACCCAATGACATTTCATCATTGAAGCTATCTATTTCGATTTTCTAATAGTAGGTGTATCCGGTATCTATTTCAACTACTGTTAAAGTATCAAATATAATATATATATATATATTGACCATTTTCACTTTTCCCATATTCTGGTATAACAAATCATTTACTCATCCTCTCTTATTCGGTCATTATTGCTTCTCTATTCTTCTTACTTTAGAAGTCGCTTGACAAAAGGAGAATTTTAGCATTTAAGCATCTCATATATGCATGTGGATCTACGCAACGGCAATCTATATCATTCAAATAATTTTGTTTTTTTAAAATGTTTTATAGATCTTATTTTAGTAGCAAGAATTTATTTGCGAAAGATGTTAAGCATAGAATTCTTGAGTAATTTACCAAGCAACCTTCTCAACTTCAAGAAAATATCCTTTTCGCGCTATTGCTTAACTTTTAGCCACTGAGATAGATTTATAAGCACCCGTTTAATTCATCTATAATATAAAATTTGTCAGAAGCATTCTGCAATGCTTGCCTTTGATTGTCGCCAGATGGCTTTGTTCATTAAGATACCAAGGATCATCGATTTTATAAATTATATTGTTCGTAACCTTTATTTATTCTTATTGAATTTAAACTTCTTTATTTTTGTTTTCATTCATTGTAAGTTCGTTAAAATATTGACTTAGTCAAAGTCATATGCCAATCAGTGTACGTCATTTAGATCCAATTCGGTTGTTAAAAATAATATAGCGACTCTTTATTCAATTGATCGTCAGAACCAACACCATAGCTGAGTTTTAGAAATAGTGCTTTAAAGGAACACTTCTAGTATGAACCATTATAGGTATAGGTATGAACACTAAATAGTTGTTTAAGGTTGCATATAATAACAGAAGACTTTATCCTAATTACATTTATTAGTTTGGTGACCAAGTAGCGTCATCAATATCATAACAATATATTTTGAATATGCAGATATGCAAACTATTTACTCAGAACTAGAGTAGATCAAGTGTATGAATGGAATGGACTTGTCTTGCGAGCATTTTCTTTGGTGATATGAATATATAATATATAATATATAATATATAATGTATGATGATATGATGATAGTCTTATCTGTTTGGATTAGTTAAACTGCAGTCGTCTAATAAATAGAGAACGAAAAATGCAAGCGTAAAGACGGAAAGACTCGTCGATAAAGTTCAGGCAGAGGATTCAAAATAAAGATACTATTTTGACTTGATATAAAGAGTTAAACGGATTGTCTAGTTTATTACAGTTCACGGTCTTACGGCAGGTAATCTAATTGAATTATCCTCAATAGACCCAAAATTAACTATGATTATTTAGCCGACTTTTGTTATATTAGGCATGAACAATCTGATGATGATGAGATAAAAACCTGAGCACATAGAAATTACTGCTTACGCAGCTACTTTCCGAGTATCCCCTTAAAACATAATGGGGTCATGAATATGGTTGAATATATAAGAAATAACTATTGATAAGCGCGCTTCCGGATACATACGTAATTCTCCTAATTAATACGAAAGCAATAACCGAGAAAGTTGTTTTTTTTTATTTAATTTATTCGACCAAGGCGAAGAAGCACTCCTTGATCTTTTTTTAGATGCAAATCTCAATAGATCATGTGTCAGGGACTTGTTGGTTATATGAATCAACTTAAACTGAGCGAGTATTCCCCGTATGAATACAACGTACCCTCTCATCATGTTTCTCGTTATTTTGCAAATTGAACTAAATTAGAA